ACCGGACTTCTGGAGTCGAGGAATCATCTCTGTCCTCGGTAGTTGAGGATTTTAGCGCAACCGAACACAAATACGGATCTGGGCCAAGCTTTTTCGATTCCAGCCAGCCTCGAAAACTCTCCCCAGCGCTGTCATCTACGGCCACGACTAGCACCCAGTACTTTGCGAGCTTTATTTCAGGGCGAAGTCATGAGAATTCCCAGGGGTGGAGCTACGGCATTCCGCAGTGGGTTGATCTTTCATACTGGTCAGCCGAGGCCGAGCCCTCAGAGACGAGATTTCCGGAGGAGGTTCCGAAGGATGTGGACGGTATCTCAAAACGCAAAAAGGGCTCTTTCTTGCCTCGAGTGAGGATGTACGAGATCCAGATGATGGGACTCATGGAACTAGGCATGGCAGACATGATCATCCCATTCATCACAGAAACTCAAGCACCGCCCCCGGGTTCACACAAACCCACCAACTCGAAACGCAAACGAGCAACCGGAAGCAGGAGTCTGTCGCATTCGCCTACTCTATCGCGCAAGAGCCGTCTTGGCCCAGAGCCTCCGCGGGTGGCCCAGGGATTACTGTCCATAAATGCCAAAGCATTGGGAGACATATTCGAACGTATGGACGGGTATGACTTAGCATTGTTTGAAGTACAGTCAACCGCAGAGACCAAGTCTAAAGCTAGGAAGGCAGCAAGCAACCGTCTGGCAGGGAGTGATGCCGCCTCCTCGACCCAGCCAAACAAGCTTGAGCCTGGGAACGCAGCACCAAAATCGGGATCTGGATTGACGAAGGTGCTCACCAACAAGTCTTTGAATTCGCCTTTCCGTCCACAGCTCCCGTCCCTGATCTCGGCAGATGCTTCAAGTCCTCTACTAGCAACTACGAAAGCCCGGGAAGCAACAAAGGTTAACCGGACACTGAACTATTCTTTGAGAGGGTTGGCTCCACCTATTCGTGCTGTTGCTAGTACCGAAGTAAATGTCACCAACGTAGAGGCTCACTCGCCATTCGGTAACCTTGGCCACTCGCGACCGACAGTGTCGACCTCCGCTGCTAGCATACGCTCGGTCTCCACGAACAGCGTACTTGGAGACAAGCATAAGGAAAACTCTGCTTCTTTGGAAAGGTCAAACACTCGGTTGTCTGGTCGGCCAGAAGACACGCCGTCTAAGCCAATTTCGATAAATACGCCTTTGCGGAAGATTCAAGACGATATCCTTGCTGGATCTCAAAGATCAAGTTCCACAACCCGGCGAGTTCAGAGCCATCTGTCCACTTCGAAAGATGATCTCAGATTGAACAAAGAAGCGGACAGCGAGTCATCACACTCTTCGGAAAGTGATGGAGGAGACGACTCGGATAGCGTAGAGCCGACTGAAAGTCAATTCGGAGCATCGGTCGCCAGTTCCGTCCCAAGAAGTACTCTCCCGTTTGTACGCAATGTCAACGCGTCAAATCCTCTGAAGCGACATCCTGAAAGAGAATCGTTCTTCGGCAGGTGGCAGCATCTATACCCTCGAAAACCACGTGCCGCTACCGTTAAGTGGAAGTCTCTGTGCACTCCTGCGTCGGTGCCTCTGACAACAGAGGATTTTCCGACAAAAGATGACCTTGAAATGGATTATGATACTGAAATCTACGACGTCATTTTGGCTAATCCCAACGACATGCTCGAGGAACCGGAGTCACGCGACATACTCCTAGGCGAGATGTTGGCCCTAAGGTTCGCTCATGGCTATCAACTCGTAGTTGGTCCGTCTTTACTCGAAGCCGTTGGCCCCGGTACGTGCGACACTTCTTCGTTCTTCACACCGAATCTTATTCGCCCTGATGGGTCCTTCATTGTCATGTCAATGGGGAACACGATACAAAAGCTGTCCCTTGAAATGAAAAATCGCATTCAGGTGACCAAGTATATTCGGAGACCACCAAATGTCCAGCCTCCTTTTCCCCAAGAGATCCACTACTATCCCAATATCAGGACCATTCTATCGGAAGCATACAGGATACGAGATATGCAGTTCAACGGATTTTCCGAGCAATACCCATGGGAAGCGGCCGACAGGTATTTGGCCGACTTCAGGAAGAAAAATGATGTAGACGTCAAAGCTCTTCGTTTCTGGCGAGCAAGATTTGTGCTCATCCCAGTCGCGCCACCAGCCAATTCCTGGAGGCCAACACTCTCCGAAGCTGAAGAAAGCGAAGAAGAGATCCACTTGCGCGGCATTCGAGCACTAACGCAGATGTGGCAAAAAGCACGATATGTGCCTCCAGACGAGAGAAGACCGGCCCACACTCGGTCAGCGACCATGAAACGGAAGGACAGAAACCCACTGAGGATCAATCTCGAAACTCTAAATCCATCTGAATTGGTGGCGACAGAGCTCGACAAGCTTATCGCGGCTGAAGAGGCTGGCGAAGTACAAACTACGCAGCTTCTACCCGAAGCCGAACAGTTCGAAAGGGACTCCTTCAGTCTCCCCAAGCTAGCCCAAGCCCTACAAGGTGAAAACGGGATTGAGATCAAGACACGGCGCTGGCATTTGCGTCTGTACTACAGTTGCTTCATGGGCGAAGATCTGACAAATTGGCTGGTGCACAATTTCAGAGACGTTGACACGAGGGAGGACGCCGTAGAATTGGGCAATGATCTTATGAAGGAAAACCTTTTCGAACACGTTAATAGCAAGCACAATTTCAAGGACGGGAACTACTTCTATTCCATCAAGCCCGAGTTTCGTACCCAGCGAACAGAAGCCAGACAGTCATGGTTTCCCGCCAGCCGACGCTCGGACCGATCGATCCCCCCAACCCCTGCGACAGAACATCCCACCCGAGAGTTGCTCAGTGGCAGATCACGCTCGGGTTCGAACCTCGCCAACCACGGACAGGTTGCCTCTGAACTTGCAAAGACGTTGGGCGACAAGAAAAGACGAACTGTGACCTTGAGCAAGATGATCCGAATCGACGTGGACACGAGAAAACGGTCCAACAGACCCGAGATCATCAACTTGCATTATGACAGACTCCACAATCCAGAGAACTGCTATCATCTCGAACTGTCTTGGTTCAACGTCACTTCGAAATTGGTCGATGACGCTATTGTCAGCTGGACTACACAAGCCGAGAAGTACGGGTTGAAGCTCGTTGAAGTCCCCATCGCAGAAGCGTATAAGGTACCTGAGCACGAACCATTTCGTGCCGCCTACCACATCAAGCTTGCTCTCGAGCCTCCGCAGCGCAGCTCGGTCAGCACCATGTACTTTACGGCTGTCTCCTTCGGGCCGCAAGCGCCAGTCAATCCCGATATTCACTTCTACCAAAAGGCTCTACTTAAGCGCTTCAATTTTGTACTCGATCTCGAAGCGCCCTCAGAGTTTCCAGAAAACGTTGAGATTAAGTATTCCTGGGGGGACTTAGACTACCGCTATACGCAATTCGTACACCGCTCAGGAATCGTCCTCGCCCAAATCACCGATGAAGGCGACATCCTCCTCCTAGCAAATAGGCTTTACAACTCTCGTCAAGCATCTGCAAAAGACACATCTTCAAAATTCGACAGCAGCAAGAAAGATCTCACGCCCAATGCATCCAGCACCATGCTAATGCGTCCTCAAACGTTGTCCTCGACCCATTCTGCGCCCAGCATGCAAGCATCAGGGATTATCGGATTGAACGTACAATCTCCCCACGCCGGACCCTATGCATCACCACTTATTCGCCCCCTAAAACCGACGCCCATTCCTCCAGTGCAGGCGGGAACAGATACGACAACATCCGCCACTGCCACGTCCGCTTCGAGCGTCTCCTTGCCCCCTCCGCCTACGACGCCGAAAGTCACAGCCGACGTGCTCGGCACGCGCCGGGCTCTCATTGCCTCCGGGTTCACGCACTATGTCACTCCCGAACAAATCAAAGATGATCTCGAAGCCTTCTGCGGCGACAAGGACCGTTTGGAACTCTTTTACCGAGAAGTCAGCGCGACGCTGCCGACCCAGCAAGCCGCGCTGAGAGAACGCGAGCGCGACCGAGAACATGGAGGGTACGTGGGAGGACCATCAATAGGAAGGGACAGGGGATACAGAACCGCCGGAACGGGCTCAAGCTTGCTCAGGCCGATCAGGGAGCCCGAGACAGAGAGGGCCATTCCGGAGTTTCGATTGCCGGACCCGTTGAACGTGGGCTTGAAGAGGAAGGACCGGTCGGGCTCCGGGTCTGGTGGCGCTGGCGCGACAACCAACTCATGATTATTTTGTCTTTTCCCCTCTTTGTCCTTTCAACACGCCGTTGAAGATGGATGGTGGATGGCCATACATGCCATGCATGTCATTGACGCTAGGGAACGTTGCACGGACGTTGAAGCAGAACATGGAAGTTCAAGTCGATGTCGATGTTGATATTACCTGCGCTAGGGATCTTAGCGCGAAATCCGGCTGCGCGCAAAGGTGCTCCTACTCCTCCTGCTCGTACTCGTACTATATGTACCACCACGCCACCGTGCCACTGTACCACTAGTCTATATTACCACACTACGGACCCCTATACCCTGCACCATTTGCTATTCCGTACTTATATTATATACTTGTACTCAACGGCGTAGCGGTTCATGACAAAGTAAGTATGCAACCATGGAGGTCCAAGGCACTGTCATGGAATTTCAATCACAGGATTCCTCGTCTTTCTTAGATAATAGTCCTTTTCTTCGGCATAGGGCTGTGGCTGAATTCTGTACATAGACTTCCGTACCGCCCTCTATTCTCTACCCATCTGTCTGTCCGTCTGTCTGTCCGTCTGGTGGCGGCTCACGTCGTTTGCTATATATATATATATATCTACATACATACAGATACATAGGTAGAAAGATATAGAGTTACAGAGCTTTCACCAAGAACTTCCACCATGTCCGGTGAGGAATTAAAGTGTATAATATCCATTGTTCGTCTTAGTATAGTAGATCAACAATTTTATTTTGGTATTCAAACAGACGAAAAAGACTTCGTTCTTCATCACATTATCCTGGTTGGGCTCCCACTCCTACTCTTGGACCGTCCATTGACACTCGCATCTCCGCCCGCCAGGCTCTCGCGACTCTCGGTCCTCACCACCAATCCCGCGCGGTCAATTGAATTCAGCGGCCTCAATCTTTCCGCGCCGTGGCGCTTGTTCTGGAAAGGCGAGTTCCTGCCCTGGGACGTCGGCCTGGAAGGGGTTGACTTGAGAAAAGCAACGTCAGGCTCCAGGGCCGCGATGTCATCGTCGGACATGTTGTCCAGCTCAAAATCGTTCGGGTCATAGAGCTGCTGTGAAGTTCCATCCTCTAGGTCACGATCTCTGTCGAGGTGCAAGACGCCGCCCTTGCGACGATTAAGGAGGGCATGGAGAAAATTGAACGGCGTCCTGAGTTTCGGAGTCGATGAGGGCGGGAATGTAGAGGACGATGATGGTCGAAGGGAAAGGTATATCCTAGACCGTCGTTCGCGGCCGCAGAGGTAAAAGGCCGCGATGATCAGGATGAGGAGAAAGAAAATGAATCCGGGGAGGCGGTGTGGGGCATCAGAATTGAAGAGAGTGTCGTGAATGTGGTCGGTTATGCTTTGGCCGTTTCCGTCACTACTACCAGCAGTCTCTTGTAGGTCGGTGGCAGGTGGTTCGGAGTGGTTACCTGGAGCGGCTTGGAGTAAGCCTCCACCAGGATACTGGAAGTCTTCGGGTATGCCCAGCATGTTGCTGCCAAATCCGACAGGTAAATCTCCATCAGAGGCCGGTGGAATCTCCGCGGATGCATATAGGAGCATTTTGCCCATTGTCCAGCTGACCTCCGTGGACTTGATTTTGTTCACGGCCTGGAAAGCATCGAGAAATCCTTTTCCTTTTGCACTCTCCAGAACTTCTTTCGTGTCATTTTGCGACGAGACATCGGTGTCTTCGAGTCCGACTCTGGGAATTCCAATACCATCATGAAGCATATTAATTAGCCAACTAGCCTTGAAACAAACTTCCAGTGCGCTCTTTTCGTCGACTTTATTGCCCCACATTTTGTCCTCGACACCCTTTTGAATATCGGACCAGTCTTGCTCGCAGAATTCCTTGACTCTTTTCTGATAGGTGTTGAAGTCATATGCTTTATCCTTGTGGGCCATCTCAAAAATCTCATGAGTAGTGTGCCAGTACTCGCTCACGCCAATAAAGTGATTGACTTCGAAGTCGATGGCAGGGACGTGGACACCATGAATCAAGCACGGCTCGTCTGGGCAGGGGATATCCTTCTCGAGCAAGGGAAATGTTCGTCTGAGACATTCATCAAATTTCCCGACTCCCCGTAGATAATGGTTCGAGAGCGAAGGACCGTCGTCTGATATGATGGTTCCATCGAAGTTTAGTCGCAGTCCGGTGGGTAAACATGGATCTGGAACCTCTAGGACACCATCAATTGCGTAGGATTCCTCGAGGTCCTCCACATACCTCCGTCGTGCCTCATTCGCGCCGAAACCAAGCCATGTTGTAACGAAGACCTTATACTCTTGCGGCATGCCGTTGATTGTGCGAAGCCGTAGTAGGGTGAGATCGTTGGCGTGTTTCTCTGCTTCTGTGGCATTCGGTGCAAAAGCAATCTGAGCGGACGCGCCGCCCATGTCCAGAAAGCCGTATGTATGGTGTCCCTTGCCATGATCGTGGTCTTCGGGCGAGTCAAATCCTCCAAGCAGATAATTTGCAGCAATCCACCCATACAATCCTTCTGTCTCCCCAGAAATTACTTGTACATGAACATCGCAGTCTGGTATTAAGAATTTCGTTTCGGATCGTATATAGGAGCAAATGTTTCGCAAAAGGTTCTTCTGTTCTTGGTCAGGGAGAAGGCGCATGCCAGCCGTGGCAAGCAGGAAAACAGGCGTGTTAGGGACTGCATCTTCAGGGATATATTTGAGAGCGTGTTCGAGTAGGAGTTTCAAGTGATCTGGGCCGACTGAGTCCGGTGTTTTGTCAAAGGTCGACACACCCGGGTGCACTTTTTTCGTCCATTTGTCCTTTGTCTCCAATTCTGGTAGCGCGTGCAGGGAGGGATGATCAAGTCGAGCGACCGAGTTAGAGAGCCACCGGTAGATGTATACTCTTGTCCCAGATGAGCCAGCATCCAGGACAACCCCGTACCGTTTATCAGGCCCGTCGACCATCGCGGGGACCGCTCATCGCATGATGGAGTGACAGACTAAAAGTTGAACCAGTCAACCGCCGAAGATTGGGGAAGAGAATCGTAGGAGTGGATAAGCCAGGTAGGGTATGCAAGAAGGAGCGAAGAGGGTGATCGCAGTCAATACTGTAGGAAAGTGGAAGAGACGGTTCGAGTGTTGGAAATTAGAACTTGCATTGTGCTGCTTGCATGAAAATGACAGCGAACAAAGTTACGTAGACACACGTGATTATTTCGGTTAACATCGCCGCTTTGAGGTTAGCGTACATAGTCTCCTTCAGCCTTGTCGAGCCTCGAGGCATGTTGTCGTTGCTTCTTTATGCTTCACCTGGGTCTGCACGGCTCAGAACCTTCTATGAAAGAACAGCTTCGGTAGAGGGGTTGCTTGTTGCCACGAAACGATCGATCGTAGATTGTGTAACACAAAACTCAAATCCTGATGTTTGTCCATCCAGACGTTTATCATGCCTTCCTGAAATGGGGTGTCATCAGTTCTGATGTATATCCATCCACATTGAAGGACCCCAAACAAATGAACTCACTCCCCCCAGCAAACAGCAAAGAATTGGTCTCGTGCATAGTTATCATGGTGCTCGGTTTTCAGTTTTCTGATGTTGTGGAAACGTCCATCACGCCTGATAAAGGATGGTACTGTTAGTGAGACAGACTCCTACGTCCAGATGGTCGTGAAGGATTTCTACGCAAATGTCCTTCCCGTGTGGGATTTCTCATGCTCAAAATGCAAGAGACCAAGTGCCCGAGTCGAAGCCGCAGATTCACTCAGAAGGCTTTTCACCTACCGGACAGTGCACCAGATTTGCACCCAAAAATGAACGAGGCTGCGCCTACCCAGTAAATATTTGAAAGCGACAGATGATATTTCAAGCTGTGAATGACATGTCCATCAGCCGCATCCTTCTGCATATCGTACTACTCAACGCCAGGTCAAGGGAGCCGGGCATGTGGGAAGCTCGGGGTAACCGATGAGATGAGAGGTTCCTCCTGTCCCCAAGCAAATTTGGCTGTTCCCGACAATGCTTTGTGCAGCCAGCCCCTGATTTTGCAGAAGCACAGACTCTGCAAGGAGGACAATAAAGAGCATTTCCAGGTAGCCTGCACATGCATCTCAACTGAGCGGCGAGAGGACTATCTGATCTAGGCCGCCCTTGTTGTCGTTGACCGTTGACCGTTGACCGTTGACGGTAGGTTCTTTGACCGTGCCTTCTGAAGGCGTAGCAGTGACTTGAGCGTTATTCCTCCACCTGGAAAGGGAGATCCGTATTCCACAACAAGATTCTCCTTTTCCAAGCAACTTCAGTCATTTCTGTATGTCCTGTGAATACCAATACCTTACCAAACCCTTACAGAAGTGACAGGCAAAGAGCGGTGAAGGGCGCCTATTGCGGGAAAGGCAGCTGAGAGTAGGCAGCATGCAAGGCCCAGGCCCCTGGGATCCTCTAAAACCTACCGGTACCTGCAGAAGCCTCGGGGAGGACAACCGCTTGTTTTGACGTCCTTGGAACCCCCCTTGCCCCCTTTTCCTTGCATGCTGCCAGCCTTGCATCGTCGCCACTGGCGGTGAGCATGTTCATGCAACCTGTCAAAGAACTGGTTTGACAACGCAAGCCGTGTGCGTGAGGCGGCACAGTGCATGGCCTCCTCTTCGGGCTTTCAGCTTCCGCGCATGTGAAACCACGACGGGTCGCCTACGGCTGGTCTGTTCGTCAGCAGGGAGTGGCAAAGATTCCAAAGTTCCAAAGAAAGAAACCTAGACCAGACATCAAATCAAGCACCGGTCGCAGCCCGGTTGCAGGCAGCAGAGCTGCAGCCTACCAGCGCAGTTGAGAGTCCCCCCCCCCAAAAAAATACAACGACGCGATCAGTTGAATGGACTGGACATGAGCCGCCTTTTCTCGCGATACGAGTCGATAGTGGATCGGCAAGGGGGAGGGGGTCGATATGTTCCCGTCGATGCAAGGCAGCATTTCGCTAGCTTCAGGGGGCGTTTGTTTCAAGTCTCCCAAGCGGAGGTCTCGCCTTCTCCCAAGGGCGCTTCCCGCCCTGCCCTGGCGTTAGGTGCTAAGGCAAGTACGGAGTGCATAGCTTTGAGCATTTCATGGTTCACGGAAGCGATTGGGCAACACGCCTCCAGTGATTGCGCTCGATAATCTCGAGTCATCCAAGGCAGCAGGATACGAGCGATCCAGTGCCGAGGCTTGAGGCTTGACATAGACAGCGTTTCACCATCTCGTCTGCCGTCTGCTCTCTGCCACAAACGCCCGAATTTGCGCGTGGCGCGAAAACCACCAATCACAGAGACGGCGAACACGACTTGTACTTGGTATGTATTCAGGCCCCTGGCCGCCTGACGCCTACCGCCAGGGGAGTCTTATCGTGGCTATCCTATACTTGCTATCTATCTACGGAGTCCACACCGCACTATACGTCGGGTTGCCTTTGCGATGGGCATGTGAACAAAGGCGCAGCGCTTTTGCGACTTACACAACACCAGCAACTATCACACCCTCCACGACCATTGGTGGCGAGCGGCCATGATCAGTAGTTCATGCACGTCGCTGGAAGAGTTGAGGCGTGGGTCACACAAGCTGAGTCTAGTCTCCTCTGAGCTCCTCGTCCAGCGTGTGTTGGCAGTCATCCGCCCCTTGCTCCTCGCGCAGAGATCCATTCCCACGCATACCTACACTACCTCGTACTCATGTCACACACGTCACGCGGGATCCAGCGGGTTTACCTGCTTGTTACAGCCGTGGCATCCCTTCGGATCCTTGATATGGCGACCAATCAATCCCCGATCCAGACCGATGCTAAGATCTGATTAATCCTGACACGCAACTCCGGACGCCTTGCCACTCCTTCCCCCCATGTTATTTTTCTTCCCGTTCATCCTATCACTCAGAGTTCAGGCCCTGGTAAGCGAACCAACGGCAAAAACCGTGGCTTTGAGTGCCCAATCACCCCTTCGTTCCCCCGGTCTCTTGCAGCCGCTGACGATCGCGTGCATGCTGCTTCTGTGCTTCCATGCAGTTTTTTTTGCAAGGGCCAGCTGGGGTTTGAAAAACCGCTCATCCTACTATTCCCCGTTGGATGTTCGGGTTAACAATTGGAGACTAGGGTGAAGCATGAGAATGGATTGGTTACTTTCCATGACGGCTTCCATACTTTAGCTGCGACGCTAACTGATGGACTATCTACCGTACATATTACTCGTTACAGGCACCTCTACTCGTTACGGCTGAACAATGAGCAACAGGAGGGGGGGGGAAGCTGCTTTTGAGGGGGCTCACTAAGCGCCCCGATATCTCTTTCACCCGCACCCCCATTACAGACCTTTGCGAGGGACGAGCTGGGCAAAAGAACAAGGGTTCCTTGCCTCCTTCCCTTCCCTCACCGAGGTTTACTATATTTGAATTCCATGTCGTTTGCCGCCCTCGTGGAGACGACAGGTTGTGATTTGTAGAGAGAGGGGAGGGGTCACGAACCCCGAGTTCAACTTTCTAGCTAGCTGTGTATCACCATGTGCCAGGAGGACCAACCGAATCCAGGTGATCTAGTATGTATTTGACTTTACAAATGCCAATAATTACACCCATTCGATACGCCCTTACATATGTACGTCGCTAGCAGGAGGACCTCTACGCGAACATCTCCTCGTTCTTCCACCTAGCTAGTTAGCCAGAGGGTGGCGAGGAGTGCTGAGAAAGAAAAGCTCAATAACTTGCTATTCCGATGCTGGCTTCGCTGCTGTGCCACACTGCGTTGCGCCGGTCAAGTTCTGAACCCGAGTACGTCGTAACTGGTCGTAATTGAACTTGTCGATGGAGAAGCCAACCCTGATGGACCTAGAAACCGACCTACACAGGCTGCCTGAACCAACCCAACCTGAGGTATTCATTCTAGAGCAGGTGTACACGAGAATGTCTCTTTCCGTGTATGTGTGTATGTACCAGGTACGTAGCACTCCTGGTGTAATGGAATAAGAAATGTGGATACGGCGCGTGGGCGGGGAAGGAGGGGCTCGGCCAGTTAAGGAGGGAGCGGGAAGGGCAATGGTCGCCGTGATATTGATCGTTGATGGTGATGGTGGTGGTGGTGGTGGTGATGGGGAGCTGGACAACTTGAGCCGGCACGCCTGAGCTTTTGTCCTTGTGGTTCTGGTAGTTTGTCCTTGTCCGTTGTTGTGACTTTCAGTCGCATCACGTTCCCCCACCCCTCCTTGCACTCCTGGACTCTACGAGCTGAGTTGAGCTGGACTAATAGGTAGGTTGAGTTGACTCGAGCTGGGTTCACTCCACCCGACTCTACCCCAATTGACTCCAGAGGCACTCGGTGAGTTGATTGATAGGCTTTTGACTTGGCCCCCATACTCGTAACTTCTATCCCTACCTAGGTAGTTTCTCACTTCGATAGTCAAGGACTCCTTGCATAGGTAGGAAGCGGATGCCCAGAAAACTCTAAGCAACTAACCACTCCGTACCTCGTACCTCCCTCCTTTAATTCCTACCTAGGTATTGCGGACTCGGAGCCGAGTCATGGTACATAAGTAACCTTTGACTACAAAAGGACGATGGATCTAGCCTGGAGGCATTCATTTAGTATTGGGGGGGGGGGGGGGGGGGGAATCCGGGTCCGCCAGCAGCAGCAGAAGAAGCAGCATCGAACTTCGCGTCAATCAAATTACATAAATGTATTCCGTAAATGTATCTGTATCTGCATACTCATACGGTGCGTGTTCGCATGACCATGTAACTAGGTATCTAGCTAATTCACCCGTGACGCCATTCCATCCTTTGGAAGTACGTTTGTAGCCCCAGTAGCCCAACAAGTACGGAGTCCATTAGTGCCCTCCCCAAATAGCAGCCCGCCAGCGAAGCGAGTACAACGCTTACAGCGCTTAACGAAGATTACCTACGTCGATGACGATGATGAGCAGCGCGACTTGATGACGGGACTGACCTACACTGCAAAACCCACGGACTTGCGTCGCGTGACTGACAAACCGTGCATCTACGTGGGTGGGAGGGAAAGGAAAAGGTTGTAAGATGTTGGCTGTGGGATTGCGACTTTGCTGAGTAACCGCCCAACTAAGAGACTTGCGCAAGTGAATCATCGAAGGGGCAGAGAAGGAGGAGGGTCACCCAAATGAGACGATAATCGTACGGTAGAATATGCACAAAGACACAGAGATCAACTCCCGAGGAACAGAGAGAGCAAAAAAAGACACTCCGCAAAATCAAGTGATATTAGTACAGAACCCTGCAATTACAACAAAATCACCCTTGTATCTGGTGGTCCATAATCTTCCAAGGTCCCGCGAGTCCTTGAAGTAATATCCTCCATGATAGCGAGAATTCCCCGCGGACCTGAACTCCGCCCGAAAACTCCAAATCAATGTTTATCCTTGTGACCTTGTGGCTTCTCCGAAATCATCGAAAAAGTCAATATCCCCAAACTCCCAATAGCCAAATATGTTGAATAAACCGATAGCAAAGCTGATGAGCAGTACATGAGGGGGTATCTCTGTGCCAATAAAACAAGAAGTACGCCAACAGAACCTTGACTGCCTTGTCCGTAACATGTTGATACAGGGATCAGAGTCATTCTGTGGTCATGTGTTCGTCCATCATGGCTTCATGACAGAACTTTTGGTGTCCCTTGAAAGAAAACTCCAACGAGTGTACATTTGTGCCCTGGCCGAGCGATAAAAGCGAATGACTCATAGCGAACCCTCCAATGCAATGCCTCAATGTGAATATTGTTACAGGTTGCCTAACCCATGAGCGCCAATGACCTCACAGAGGCCATGGCTTGGAGGTGGATGTAGTAGTGGTGATAGTAAGTCTTGTTGATGTCGAGTCCAGTTGGTTGTGGTGAGAGTGGCGACATGTGTGCAGTGTGGCGGAGGCAGTGTAAAAATTTGCCACCGTTCAAGTTCCTTGTTTCCAGCTGGCCGTCAATGGATGCGCTCGGCATTCCCGAGTCACAATCTAGGCAACAGAAGGCCGGCGTAACGTCTCCTCGCAGTTGACATCGAAGCGCATGTTCCAGAGACGGATCTGGTTCATGATCTTCTCCGTCGACTCGAGGTGGCGATCGCGACCGAAGATGGAGTCAACGAACTCGGTGCCTGCCCTCTTGCCCATGGTCTTGGTGCCGTCACGTTTGGCAGCCTTGAGCATGAAGTGTTCGCAATCCTTGAGGAGCGCCTTGAACTTTTCCCAGAGGCGTTTGCCACTGATGATGAAGTCCTCGACGGTTTCCTGTTTCTCAGGGTTGCGGATCCGGTCCACACATTCTTCGGCTCGCTTCATCTTGCCGGCGAGCTTGATGAGGAGAAGCCAGAGTTCGCCGGCAATATCGGCGATGGGAGTAGAAGCGCCGTGATGGAAGACGGTCCAATCATAGATCCATTTGCCAAGTGAGTTGGCATCAAAGACACTGCCCAGCAGAATGATGGGCAACTCGGTCGGATCCCAGTGCTTGATGGAGTAGCCGGCGGGAATCCCGGCGCGGATAGCGTCTTCCTCGGTCGCCTGCGGTGTTGATGATGTGGGCTTGGACTTCGGGGACGGCTTCGAGGTGGTCGAGGCACGTCGAGCCCTCGAACGCTTTGGCTGTTCGTCGATAATCTGCTCCTGCCCATAGTAAAAGTAGGTGTCAGTGCTTGGCTTCCTCGCATGCTTTGGCTTGGACTTTGGTTCTCGGTAGACGTATTCTGGCTGCACTCCTGCATATTCAACTTCATCGTCGTAGACATAGATGGGCTGATTCTGCTTGCGCGATGAGGAACGGGTATGATATCTCGAGCCAGGAAAGGTGCTGTAGCTCTCATATTTGCGGGTCTTGCCCCTTGCCTCACTCACATAGACATCCTCCCGCGGTGCAGAATACTGGACGTTGGGCTCATAGTATGGCGGTGGCGAGCCCGCAGGCGAATACCAGCCTCCGACTGGGGGGGACGGTGTGTAGCTGGTTTTTCGCGCGTGTTTCTTCGGTGTTGAATCGTACTGGGGAGCGTAGTGGACGTACTCGCCGCTGCTGTAGGGCGACGAATTTCCGTAGTATTTGGTGTAGTGCGACGGCGGCACGCCGTAGTGGTAACTCATTTTGATCCTGATAGACGGGACTCTGCTTCCGACTCGGGGCGTTCAACTCTCTCCTCACTCCTGCCCCTGTCCGCAACAATCTTCCCCCCGATCTGGGTCTATGTCGGACTGCTCTGGTCGGGTTATGTGTTGTCGAGAGAAAAGGTGTGTCCGGAAGATGTTGGACTGGCTGAATATCATAGCGTGGTAGGCCTCGAAAGGGTGGCTGGTTCAAGTCTGAATTGAGCCTGGCGACTCAATTTGGGACGTAAAAGTGGATAAGCTGCTTCGTTCGCTGCAGTGTGCAGGCTCTGCGATGACGCGGAAGAGGTGGTTGAAGTGAGGAGGAAGAGAGAAAAACTTTTCGATGGCTGGTAAAGGTTGGTGGGAGTATATGTTGATTTTCCTGGAGGTGGTTGACTAGGCCCCAAGGTTGTGTGGATTCCGACCAGGGGGGTCGCGGAGCAAGCCAGCCGGTGTGAGTCGACTTTGACGATGAGTCGACAGTGGACACTAGGGTCTGATGAAAAAGAAGGCTGTTCTTCTTGGAAACTGGAAATCCGTGTCCGCGCGTCTGAAGGTGATGAACGCGGCTGTACCTTTGCCGGTTCAGTGCTAGGCTAGTGTAGAAGCCGGTAGAAGGGAATGGGACCAACTGGAGCCAAAATGCTCAAAGTGGCCAATAAGCCGCGTTGCAGAAGGACGGAAAAGATCGTTGTTGAAGGGGAAATTGATAGCAGTGCTGGGAAATCAGGGGGGGCAATTAACGTTAAAATGGATTTTCTGTGAGAGGGAGACGATGGCCCAAGATGAGTGGATGCCCTTTTAGGTTCGACGGTATCGAAGGGGTCGAAGTGACAGAGAAGGAGAAGTGGGTGCAGCGGATGGCTTGATGGCTTGTCCAGACTAAGGCTGGTCCATGCTCCTGCCTGTGCGTGCCGTGATTCCAACTCTTTTGGCTGCGGTCAGGGATCAAGGGTTGAGGCCTCTTAGCGCAATGCGAAGGAAGCCCCTGGCGAGCGGGAGAGGCTGCGAGAGGATGGCAGGAAAAGAGCGAGAGGACCCAGAGGGGAGGCCAGAGGTGCCCACTTTGGAGGGGGAGTGTGTCGGTACAGGTAATGTACGGTAAATACTGATACGAGGTGAAGTTGATGGAGTTGGTGGGCGCGAGGCAGGAGGAGGCGAAAAAGGTGTGAAGGTCTTGTACCCAGTATTTGAAGGGAGTTGAATGAAGCGTACTTGTACTTGGTAGTCACGCTGTGATGGCGCAGATTGACTGTAGCCTAATCAGGTATCTTCCTGGTGCTTCTCTTTCTTCTTCTGTTGCTGAATAAACAAAGAGAGATGATGGAAGCGCCAGCGATGGTAGTGGCAACAACTTTGAACCCGAGCGTGGTGATGACGGTGGTGGTGTTGGTGATCAGGATGATTTGGCAGAACGCACGAGGGTTGCGGAGGATGGGCGCTCCGAGTCTTGGTTGATGTCGTGCCTTTAAGCACGTATAAGGCCTCGCCCAGGCGTCATAGGCAGTCGAGAGCCTCCGGCTTACCTGATCGCTCTCGCTTTTGTTTAACCAGCTTAACCACAATGGTTAAAGAGGGCAGCGCAGCCCATGCCCAAAACCCCTCAGTACTTAACAACACCTACCAAGTCCGGAACAGGGCGATTTCACTGCCACTCTCCCCGGGAGCCGCTGCTTAAGCCCGTGCGCACTCCCTTCTCCCTTCTGGAAGCCCTCGGGAGGGGCTAGATATGCCTAGAACCCACGGCTTTACGGAGCCCGGACCAACTTCTGGGCAACCTGGGCCCCCATCGACCTCACTCTCGGCACCGAAACGGGGTCGCGGGAACTGCGCCGCTTCCATGTAATGTAAGCTGACTGTCCGTCATACTTCCTCGCACATTGAGCAATCCTCGACGCCAATGGAACAAATAATGCACGACACAAGCTCCGATCGCTGAGCGTCGCTATACCCGAATCTGCTCTTTTTTGCGAAGCATGCCCTTGCACGATCCTTCATAAATAGCATCATCAAGCAATCCGCCATCACCTTCATCGTTCGTGACGCCTCTTCCTTGCGTTGCCTTTGGGTGGCTTCTCTCCGCGGCTCTATCTGCCGACGTATCCAGATACTCGACAAATTCTCTCTTCCTTCCAAGTGACTCAGTTTCCGTGGCTGTACGAGGTAAGTCCTATCAATTGACATTTGGCCCTCAGATCCAGATCGAATGCTTTCTTCGACGCGAACATTGCCCACCGAACGATTGGGGGTTAGCGACAAGGTCAAGGTTTTGTCAAGTTTGACGCAGGGTATGTCGGTCTACGGAGGGAGCCTTGGGAGTCTCAAACAAGCGGGTCACTCGGCCATGTTCAGCTCGCCATCTAGCAGGTTTGCAAACCAACGAGAAGGATTGATATCGAAAGATCTCCTGTAAAATATTCGCCTCCTGTCCTCTAGTCCAATGCTTGTCCAGACTCGCCCTGATTGGCGACATGCCAGCCAATCATTCTTCCGATGAGAGGCGATTTTTGTGTCAATCGATCAAACTGAGCTGAAATTCTCGACGATCAGATCCAATTATGCACGATCAAGCCTCGTCAGGCCTCGTGTGCTGTGGAGCTCACAGGCTGAAGTCGTCCTTCACCGACAGCACTTGGCCCCAATGTCTCCCGTAGGGCAGCTGAGTTTCCGTATGTCGCCGCGAAGGACCGGAGGTCGAGATCACCTGCGCCCTTGAAGCCTCGATTGGCTCGCAGAGATTCTCCTCAAGAAGCCTACATGACACAAGCAACGTGACTCGTGTTTGTGCTGTGCTGCCGTCCATTCTAATGCAGATGACACATATCACCTTTGATGCCCTCCTGCAGTCGGCCTTTCAATTGAGACCCATGAAAGGAAAAGGGTTGATCAGCCCGTATGGGGGGGAAAAGGATGACTTGTTGTCGAGTCTGCCCAGTGGTGCGGCAACGCGCATTAAAAAAATGAGCTTCCGTCCACCAGGGATGACGGTCCGTGAATCAAGTCCTCTTGAGTCTGTGTGCCACCATCTCCCACCCTTGGAAATGGTCCATCCATCCGTTTGCACTCTGCACTTCGCATTGCGGTGCGCTCTTCCGGCGCGGGGGGTGCCTAACAACCGTCCTTGTGGCTCCTTGTGGTCCTGTTGATAGGTACTAGGTACTAGGTACTGTATGTTCGGTATCAAAGCAGTTCTGAATATTACCTTACCTCGAGAAAGATTTGGATCGGTGGCCGACTCCTTCACCCAGTATAGGTTCCTCTGTTTGTCTTGGCTGGGTTGTTGATTGGAACGAGCGAGTGAGCGAGTGCCAGCGCATTCCAGCTTTACATTAGCCTTGGCGCTGGTTTCGGGCATCATTGTCATCGTCTTCCACCACTCCAGTCGCTCGTTTCTTACCGCCTCATTCCCGTCTGCTTCCCGCTGCATCTGAGAAGACGGCAGTCTTCCCATTGATCCGTATACTCTGGGAATGAGGCAAACTCGCATGATTCGGCTCCAGAAACCAGCAGCGCCCCGATCCGCTGGCTTCGACCACTTTGGGTATCTACCTGGTTATTCTGACGCACTTATGACTGTTGTTAATATCAATCGGCCACTGAAACTGAACAGGCGGAGCCTCTATCAGACTCCTAGAAGGTTCTGAATCTTGTAATCCTTCAGAGTTGCACCACCTTTACGGGCCCAAGGCTGTGTTGGGTAGCAAAATAACTTTGCACAGTGGAATCATATACTGCAATTTGCTAAGACTCGGTGTTGCCCCAAACTCGATGAGTTTGGCTTTCTTGCTACCACTAAAAAAAAATCAACATGGATCTGAGGCCTTGTGAGTTTGGTCAGAGCCTGGTCTTCCATTTCCAATTTGACTCATCAAGGATTCACAGCGTTATGGCTACTGGACCGGTGAAGATAGCGGATGGGAGGTCATCGAGAATCCCACTCACAACTATCACAATTTGTTGAGGAATTAGGAATTGGGTTTTGATCCTGGAGAGGCATTCCATCTGCAGTGGACTCTCCGAGCTAACGTTTGCGCTTTTTTGTGGCTTCGTTCGTGTGTTGCTGTGGTTTACTAGGGCCTGATCTCTGATCTTTGCGGACAGGACCTATTATCTCGAGAGACCAATAATGACTCATAGCTTCCAGACCGTATGAGACGTCATTTTCAACACGGTACGAAGGACACACGCAGGTGTAACAGAACGCAAAGAACGTGCTCAACGAAACCCAAGTCGAGGTCCACGAGGCTTTGGCATGGCGGGCAGACCCCTGCGAGAATAGAATTGGAAATTGCGGTGGCCCAACATAAACCCCGGACGGCAATTTCCTGCCCCGGCCGCACCACGTTTGGCACCGTCACTGACAGCCTGATGCCACCAACGCCGCAGGGACCATGGGATTGATGAGGCCTCGAGGCTGTAGTGGGGCTCTTGTTGATGTTCACAATACCTAGGCGTCTCTAAGCCAGACGCCAGATGTTTCGAAAGGTTGACTGAAAACACTTGTGGCTGCGGAGACAAGGGAGATCTCGGCATGGACAAGACCGGGCGCTCAAACAAAAGAGAATACTGGCGCCCGGAGATTGGTAGCTGCTCTTGTTTGATGTCTGACTTCTAAAATCACTTTCCCTATTACATACCTGCAACAATTGCTTCTTGGGTACGAGGTAGTGTCCAGCGTACCCAGCACTGCCATTTTTGCACCCAGTGGAGGTGGACAAAGGTGGAGCAACGCGGTGCAATTGATGACCGACCCATCTCTACAATATTAGCCGAAATCCTAGCTCTGAATAGTGCACAAAAGAAGTGGATAGTGTCTGACAGACCCCATTCTCTTTGTGGATCGCGCAGCACACGGGCTCGACGGCCCTCTGAGCCGGCGGGGCAGCCTAAGGGAGGAATAGATCGCGAAGAAAAAAAAAAAACACCCCAAAACTCGTCCTACTCAAGTAGCAGCTCGGTAGTTCTAAAAGCGCATAAAGGGCTCAGACGAAGAGGAAACCAGCTCGACGTTTGTCCTAGGTGGTAGTTGACCTTTCTTCTTTTCCTTTCCCTTATGAAATCCGGGATATGGAATACCGGGTACTGGGTATACTGCTCAGATTGATAATGAAAAATGCTGTTCTAACGCACGGAGTGTAGCCTTGTGTGAGAGGATGTTGGCCAGGCTAGGGCAGATTCCACCAATACTGCCTTGTGGTGCGAGTTTCTCCCGGCTCCAATCTTAGTGGTGGAAGAGTTCCCCAGCCCTGTCGGATTGTTTTCTGCAAGATAACAGCGTCACACCCAAAGAGGGTTTGTTCTGTCGACTTTGCCCAGCCGAGGAGCGCGGGAGGGTTGAAGCAGTCGAGAGTACCAAGGGATTGTGCCCGTAGATGGGGATACATAGTACATATGTAGATGGCTGATAGTGGTATCATGATTGTGGAAGAGTGCTCGGTACCTATGTACCTACAGTACTTAGGTGGGTATGTCAACGTCTGTTCAGTAAGAGAAGAGCTACTTATCTCCCCCCGCCGGCAGTCTTTCCCTTCTGGTCACCATGCAAAATAACTGCCGACTGGCTGGACAATCCAGCACGGCCTACGTACCGAGTACAAGGCCTAGACTGCCTATCAGTGGCATGTCCAGGTGGCAGTAGAGGCGATAGGGCCTGCGGGAGGCACCTAAGACCCCTAATAGAGGCATAGTGAGAGGAGGCAGAGGTGCCCTTGATTGGCCTCGGCGTCCTGTCGTCTCCCGCGCCCGCACTTGCGCACCACCACTGCCACCTCCTCTCCAGCTTTCAATTGTCCTCCCATCAGTGCCATCTTTCCGACCTTCCACGGCTTCGACGCCTTCGATCCATGACGCCGTTATCCTTCTCTGCATTGTAGATCCCTTCTTGGTGCGCACGCCCCATTCCTTTATGGGGTGGTTGGCTGCCCGTGGACTCAGCATTCCTTCCGCTCGTTCTTGTTTCTGTTTCTTTTCCTGTACCTTTCCTTGCTGCTTTGCTACGATCTCACCTATCTCCATCATCTTATGTCCTGGCCGATATATTCCCCGGAATGCAGATCTTGGGGTTTCACCCGCTGTTCGAATGAAGTTGAATTGAAATCCTCGACTCTGCGAATGACGTCTTAGCATTCTCCGTCTCACTCCTCCTCGTCACGCCAGTCGTCAGCTTATACATCGAGTCTACGATCGTTGTCATAATCATGTCCAGCTCCCAGTTCGCCGCTCAGCAGGATATTGCGTCTGCGCCTCCAGAAACCAATGCTTCAATCCCGCCACGAAAGAGGAGGAAACGTGCGCCTGCTGCTGGAGCAGCTGCGGACTGTTTCACCTGCACAAGTCGCAGTGTTGATTGCGACCGTCGGAGACCCTACTGCTCCAGATGCTTGGATGATGGGAAAGACTGCGCTGGCTACAAGACTCAATTGACCTGGGGGAATGGAGTGGCAAGCAGGGGCAAGCTGCGTGGCCTTTCACTGCCCATTGCTGGCACACAGAAGCTTTCGTCGCCCAGTTCACCACCGAGGCCAAAGAGGACACCGGTGCCGCCGCCGCCACCCCCGCCGCGTCCACCACAGCTGCATCACATTCTCAATGCTGCTCCAGAAGTCCTATCCGCATCCACTCCGGCTGTGCGATCCCCAGAATCTTCTACCACCGGCAATGCGCCCTTCCACTTTGGTCCACCCCATCCTCCAATTCCACCCTCTTATGCCGCGACTCCGAATTCGTGGAGCCCCCAACCAGAACTCCCCGGTATCAAAACAGCGCTGGGAGTGTGTCTGTATCCAGCTCCTTCATGGGCTGCCCATGAGGTACCTACCGGTGCTGGTCTCAGGCGGCCCAGTGCTGCATACAGCGGGAGCGACCGAGTGTCCCCCATGTCTCACTCTCCTCGTTCTCCCGATTCGGCATACTTTGGACGAATCTTGAACCATAACCCGCCTGGTATAACAGCGACTTTGCCTACGTATCCTGAGTCCCCTCAAGTTACCCCCTCATTTGGTGGGTCATATCCCGATCACGGGCAGTTTCCCATTTACCAGAGACAGGACGAGTCCGCCCGGGTCCTTCTACCCCAAGAAGTGGAACTAGCCCCCGCCCAACTCGTCGACGAAGCTGCTAATGAAGAGGTCGAGGAAGTTCTTCGAAATCCATACGAAAACGAATGTGCCATTGTTGAAGATGAGTCCATAGTAGGCTTTTCCCGGTGGTCGCTCCACGACTACAGCCTTTTGCTCTCGCCTTTTGCAGGTGTAACAGCTATCGGAGCAACGCCACGGATGCAATACCTCATACAATATTATACTGAGGTCATCTCGCCCGTAATTGTTGCGTTCGATGGTCCTTCAAATCCGTATCGGACACAAATTCTGCGGCTAGCTGGAAGGAGCGAAACTCTCCAGCATGCGATCGCCGCATTGGCGGCGAGTAACCTGAGACAACGGCGCGAAACAGGGCTATCTACGGGCAAAACTGATCCGGCGAGGCGGTCCTCTATGGCACATCTCACCCTCACGAAGGAACAGTGGCATGAAACGGGCTTGTTGACTCCGCAGGAGCAAGCACGTGAGGAATCAATGCATAAAGGGATTGCCATTCAATCCCTAAACATGCAGCTTGCCAATCCCATTCAACGAATGGACGATTCGATTCTGGCCACACTACTTATCTTGTGTCTGTTCCATATCTGCGACTCAGGGGTTGCTAAGTTCCGGACACAGTTCGCTGGAGTCAAGAAACTCCTCTCGCTGCGCAAGAATGATCCAGGCTTGAATACGAAGGAGGCGAAATGGTTTACACGGATGTTTACCTGGTTTGATGCAATGACTGCTACAGTCAACGATCGTGAGGGGCAGCTTCAGGGCTACCATTTGGACGTGTCCGCCGTTTCCGATGAGGAATGGGCATTGGAGAATCTTGCGGGTTGTGATGGGCACTTGTTCAAGATCATCGCCAAATTAGGCAGGCTAAATGTGTTGAGCCAAGGTAAATCTGTCGAAGAGTATCCTACCATTGTTTCTCGACCACCGCCAACGATCCCATCCGCACTGAATTTTGACTATAGCAAATTTGATGGCAATGGATGGATGCGGATCACGGAGGACGAGGAATTGTTCTCCAGCAAAGTATCCCAACCCGACGTGAAGACGCAGTTCTGGCGAGAATGGAGGGAAATTCGACAGTCATTGTTGGCTTGGCAGCTGGATACTACCATCTTCGACTACCCGAACCCTAGAGCGCCCTATTTGACCGGCGAGCAGCACGTGGATCTCGGCAATATATCTGAGTCCTTCAGGTATTCTGCACTGCTATACACGGAACGCCTAGCCCATCCACAAGCTCCCAGTACGGACTCAGCCATACGCGATTTGGTCCAAGTATGCCTCAAGTACATCAAAGCCGTCAAGTCGGACGTATATCTTCTCTGGCCGTTGTTCATCACAGGTAGCGAGTGCGTGGATGACCTTGATCGTGAGGTGATTCGCCAACGGTGTCTGGATATTCAAAAAGACAGTGGGTTTCTCAACAACAAGAGCTGTTTGGAGCTTTTGGAAAAGGTGTGGCGCAATTACGATGATAAGAAGAAACGACATGTGGCTGACAGTGAGCGCGGGAATTCCGAGAGAGATGTGGATGACGAAACTGGCTTCAGGTTCACGACTATCATGAAAATGGAGAACAACCAGGGCGAGTATATTGTCGTCTGATCAGGATATATAGGATTTGGAAAAGCCGAGGAAGCTCGCCGGGCCAGACGCAACTGGTCGTGATATACAGGAGAAGATTTGGGACACTCCTGACGAAGGGATGATGATATATGCTCATAATTGGTTGATGTATAGTACGAAAAGTTTTTCGAGGCTTCATCTACAGCTGTATATCCTTTACTAGTGTCAGTGGTGGACAGTATGAGGACAAAATGCGACGTTCACCGAAATATAGTCGAAGTCATAACAATATGATTTACCACTATCGGTCCATGAGTTTCCACATTCAAAGCCCCATCTCCAGGACATGCAAGGCTGAGCATTTTAGTTCCTGATTGGCTGACCACACAACGATGGACTTCCCGCATACTAACTTCATTCTTCTTTCTGTTCCTTCGCACCTCTTCATCCTCCCCCCCGTTCCGGATTGTCAACATGTCCAACTCCAACCCTCCCTCCGGTACCTCGACGCCGCGCGCATTCACTGCGCAGTCCGCCACCGCGGAGGACCTACTCAAATCGCAAACGGTCGGCTTAGTGAACTTGGCGGACTTTCGCAAGAGAAGGGCAGATGTGTTGGAATTGAAAGAGAAAGAGGCGAGAGAAAGGACTGGAACGAGGACACCGGAGAGTGATGGGTGAGTTGTGTGGCTCGTTTGCGCTGAGATTGTGGTCGTCCACTACCTTTTATTTCTTCGCTTTGCAGATTTTCTTCTTAGAGGGTTGCGAGAGTGGGGCTAATTTGCAAAGCACAGTGCGGCGGCGACACGAAAGACTGATCACGACGGACCTCCGAGTAAGAAGTTGAAGAAGAAAAAAGCTGCAGCGAAAGGGCTTCTATCCTTTGGAGGCGACGAAGACGAAGACGCAGATGGCGGAAGCGCGGTCTCGACGCCCGCGGCGCGAAGCCTCAGGACGTCCGCCGAACCGTCGCCTGAACCATCCGCGATTACTCGAAAATTAACGCCCAACCCAAAGTCAACACTCCCTCCACCCAGGGCAATCACAAAAGCCGCCTTGGCCGCCGACGCTCTGGAGCGAGAAAGACTCCGGAAGGAATTTCTTGAGATCCAAGAACGGGTGAAGGAGACAGAGATTGAGATTCCCTTTGTGTTTTACGAAGCTGGGGCGAATGTTCCAGGCGGGAGCGTGAAAGTGAAAAAGGGCGATCATGTGTGGTTGTTCTTGGACAGGTGCAGAAAAGTCGGCGCTGAACTCGGCGTCTCTGGGTCTGGCTCGGCATCTGGTGCTGGTGGGAGTGCCGCGCAGAAGAAGAGCAGGGAGGACTCGAAGAAACAGTGGGCGCGCGTGGGCGTAGACGACTTGATGCTCGTAAGAGGCGAAGTCATAGTACCGCATCACTATGAGTTCTACTATTTTATTGCAAACAAGATTCCCGATCCGAGCAGAGAAGGGAAGTTGCTGTTCGAGTACTCGGGAACAGCAGACGTCAGGAATACCAGCCCGGGCGGACAAGATGGCGAAAACATTGGCCTGTTAAGGGTGCCCAGAAAGAAGCAAGAGACGTTGGAAGGGCAGAATGACGATCCGACGTTGACCAAAGTCGTGGATCGGAGGTGGTACGAGAGGAACAAGCACATCTATCCGGCAAGTGTATGGAAAGAGTTCAAGCCTGGGATGGACTTTGAGGAGATCGCTAAGGGAGGCAGAAGAGATCCGCAGGGCAATGCCTTTTTCTTTGGCTGAACTGGACTCGGTTCTGAGGACGATATTCTCTGCGGAGATGGTGGATGCTGGATGGAAGCAATTAGGAATGGGACTCGCCAGAGTGAATATCACATGGAAGATGAGCTGGGCCTTGCGGAGACTCAAGACAGGAGGCAGGTGCGGACAAGGCTGGTGGGCTGACGGGCAAGGCTGATTGGGCAAGGCTGAGCTTCAAGGTCGTTCTGTCTTGGGCTGGACAAGAAAGTAGCCGACCACCTCCCTCCTCCCTCCTCCCACCTGCTGATTTTCTGACACACGGTCTCTGCCGCCTCTCCTCTGCCCGTCTCTCATCCCGCCGCGATTCAACCACTTGCCAGATCTCCTCTTTTTAAGCCGAAGCAATGGACCAGCACCTCCGGTGCAACAGCCAACATGGGGGCAGTTGTCGAACTGCGCTCACGACAGAAGCGATTGTCACAACTTGCGCGCATGTTCTCCTGATAATCACCTTGCCATCGTCATTCTGACATCTTCCAGGCACATCTTTTGCGTCCCCTGTGCCGAAAAGACTGGCTTATCTACCGCACCTCGGGACCAGCGTCGCTGTCCGGTCTGCAAAACCGACCTACCAAATGCCCATGACGCCGTCCGCAATCTGGTGAACCCCCCCGAGGACTTCAAGACCAGCGTCCTCTGTGGCCTTGACCCTGCGACTATCATGGAATGTACTCAGAGGGCGCTTTCGTTCTGGACATACCAGAATGCTCAGGAACAGTGACGTTGAACGCATTTGTCCATTGTGTGACTCTTCTGATAAGAGTGACAGTGCATATCAGCAACACATTGCCAGAAACCTGATGCAGAGGTACCACCAGCTCAATGCAGAAGTTGAAAGGATTGTTAATGATGCCAATACTCGAATCCAAGCTCTAGAGACGCAAAATCAGGGTACAACGTGCAAATTATGTCCGCTGAGAAAAAGCCCACTGACCTCTGCGAAGAACTCACTGCTGATCGACATTCAATGGACCAAAAATATGCTCAGCTTTTCGATCAGTATCAGGAAAAGAGCAAGAAGCAGGCACAGACTCAGAAGCTCTACGATATTCTGAAGCAGAAAGTCATGTTGGAGAAAATGCAACCACTCGCTGACGACGACGTGGCTCAGACGTTACAATCCATGGATGCCTTACCACATACCAAGAAGGAGCAGCCCATTATTGCCTCAAGACAAGCGGTTTATCCACCAGAGCCTCTCAACATTCCACAAAGGTCAATTCCTGACTACGGCCGACTGCAAGAAGGACCAGGCCGACTCCATCCTCATCAGAGATCCGGGAGTAGCGTCAGCGGCAGCGAGCAGAGAGGCATGCTGCCACCGGAGAGACCGCGGATATCTAGAATATGTACGTGGCCAAAGGTGACCGGTCTATTTCTACTAACCCGTCATAGCAAATCTGGTGACTACTTCAGGAACGCCTCTGCAACGAGTAGCCTTACCGGCTCACTCTCGTCTGGGTGTCAACCAAGCCGGCGTTCCAGCGACAGGGTCGCGTTCTCAGCTTCCGGCTAGCCATCACCTGCCAGGCTGGTCTCGTCGTCAGAACAACCACTCTAGCAAAGTCAAACATACAACCCGAAACTACAGTCCAATTATTTCAGGCATGAAAGTCGGTCGAGCAGGGACCTCTGGATCCCTAGGCTTGGGGCCAAGGTTCAGTGAATATGCTGTTATGCCTGACCCCCTCGGCGCGCACTGAAGGCTGACGGCAAATGGACAAAATCTTGTATCCGCCGCGGCAGAGTATGGATCAAACAGGTTCGGCTGTGCCGTATTCGGCGGGCTATGCTTGAGCTCAGATAAGGTGCGAAGTGCTACGACCGAGACAAGCAAGTCATACAAAGTTCTCCTGGCAAACGTCGAAGTTGTTCTTTCCGTGGAGCCGGCAAGTTGTTGCTCCTGCATTTGGCCTCCATCTCGGTTATTCACCACAAAGGCACGATCCATCGAAGAATCTGGCGCATTCCTATCTCTGCAGCGGCCGTCGATTGGTTTCACGAGTGTTGCGCCAACATAAGCTCGTCATCGTTCCATAAATGGCGCCTTCCACGAATGCTGTCGTGGAGTGACAACAAGGCTTTGGGCAGGAAATCATAGCCAGCGACAGGACGCAGCGATCGAGAGTTTCAGCCCCAATTCAAAACTATCTTCAGTCCGTTGCGCCATCAAAGCTCGCTTACAGGCTCCTCTTCGTGCCGATGTGGTGATGGCGGATGTTGTCAAGGTAGATTCAATGGATATAAATGGGAAATGTTTTGATCGGCTGGTTTCATTCGGAGGCAAGATTACGAACCTTGAGTGTGAAACAGTTCCACAGAGGCCAACAGGGATTGGTCTCCAAGTCATTTTCAACAATCCGATCTTGTTGTCCTCGTTCTGGATAGGAAAGACTACCCCAGGCTTGCCGAACTCGCAGCTATTATTCCTGATGTCGAACCATGGCCTGGCTGGAACCCTCCTACTCAACCTTGGTCCGTATGGACATAGCCTTTCGCCATCAAGGATCTTCCCGTTTGATGTCACAATCTGCGGCCACAGATACAACGACTTGCACCTATAGAATCCCCTCTGGCTTCGTACATTGAATGCGAATGGAAGGAACCGGTGGATGCGATGAGCTGGGGAGAGTGTGACTCGTCAGGGCAAGATCAAGATCTGCAACCAGAGCCCGGTCCAAATTCTGAGAGGGCATCGGAGAGAAAGCCTATAGAATAATTCGTCGAATGAATAGGCCACAGGTTGAAAATCAGAGATCTTCCCCGGCCGATGTGAAGAATGCCACACACGATTGCAGCTTTTGCCGGAGATATGTTCCTTCTCGAGCGATTTGATACGAGCTGTAGTACAGTTATTGGAAAGCGACGCATCTCCTGAACCATTGCTGGTGGATTTGCACGGGCTACATGGCTCTGGTCTGATGGTATGCTCGAGATGTGCTTGGAAACGTCGACTTGGTACGTCTCGCTCAGCATTTGTCTCTAGGAATATGGCCGAATAACCCCGCTCTGTCGAGAGTGCTCTGAGAATCCTTCAGCGGAGCTCTACAAATTCAAAGCAGCTATTATCTCTGCTCATCACGCACTGCGATGTTCTATATGCTCATCTAGTTGCAACGCAAGTTGAACGAGGCCTCTAACATCTATCCCGAAAACGCTCCGTCTGAGGCCACAGAGGTAGGCGATCCTAGTAGTTTATATGGCCGCACCTTTTTTCCCATGTACAAAAAGACAGGCACCGACTTGTCAAGACTTGGAGTGGTATACCTGAGGAAGAACAAGACCAAAGAATCTACTGTCTCTGGACGTCCCGTTTGGGACACATTCCGTGCAGGACGATCATGATCGCGTAACCGACCAATTGTCTCTGAACGGTGACCGTGCGTGCACTCGAGGTTGCAGTGGCCAGAGCATCAATATCCAAGTGATATCAATGTCCAGCGATAGACATCCACACAACTCGACGCGGGGTTTGAAGATGGGGCGCTTGGACGATGGAGCTCTTTGGCTCTTGCTCTTTGCATTTGAGCCCGCTCGAGAAGATCCGAGACGATCAATCTGCAGGACGAACCTATGAAGATGTGTGCATTGGCTTGGGGACTGTAGTACTAGCTCGCGACAGAAGCACAATCTATCTGTCGTACAGAGCGTTAACGAGGCTGCGTCTCACGTGGACCGTACCTACTTTACTTTAGGAATCCGATATTGATATTAATACCTACCTGTATCAGCGAAAGGGCTTCTACCCACTCTTTCCCCCCTTCTTCCTCCGTCTCCGTCTTCCGTCCTCTCCTGCTCCTCCTGTTTGTTTGGTATCACCGTCCTCTCTTCCCCTCTCCTCCTCTCTCCAGTCCAGTCCAGTCTAATCTAATCCCACCATCTATCTACCTCCTCAATCTGGGACTGAGACTCAGATATAGACTGAAACCGGGATCTAGGTCGGGCGTGAGGCAGTGGCCGAGGCAGGGAGACTAAGATTAATCGGCCCCTTTAGTTTATTCCGCGGATCGTAGTGCTTCTTCAGCGCGAACAGGTTCGGGAGGTGCTCGGCGAAGACCTAGGTAAATGGAGATTGTCAGATGTTGGGGGAAAAGGTGAGAATGGGAGAGTGGGTACGGGATCGAAGACCGTTTTCCCTCAACCCATCAATCAATCCACCGACCTACTGATCGGTCGGTTGGTCGATATGTGGGCGGAAGGATCTCGGATCTCGGGTTCCCAGACCTCCTCTGACTCTGGCTCTGCCTTCCAGAGGGCTTCCTGAAGGGATTGCATTTTTCGATTTGAAGACAGTTTGTCGGGAAACCTTGCCCGACGACACAGGTAGGGATGGAGTCTCGAAGGGGGGAAAATGGAGGGAAGGTGGTACTATCTGTTGCTAGACGCTTTTGGGACAGGAGGGGGGGTGTGGTGATGAATGAATCTAGGTCTGAAGGTACGGCATATACTCACGTCTTTCAGGTCGTGATACTCCTCCAGCGCATTCGGCGCATATCGGACAGGCTCGCCGCCCTCTTGTTGTCCGAGTATCATCACCGGCGCGTCCAGACAAAGCCGTCGCGCAGCTGCAAGGCCGTCGTCGTCATTGTCATGTTCTTCTTCTGTGCCTTTGCCGGCGGCATCGGCGTCGCACCCCGCCGCGCAGATGATTGTGTTTTTCATCCCCTTTGGCCTCGGCCAGGCCGACCCAGAAGGACCGCTCGCCGAGTCCCGCGTACACAGGCATTCAAATACAAGTTGTGCGCTGTTGGCTATCGCTCCGCCGGACGCCGCGCCGACGCGGTCGAGCCAGCTCACTGCATTGAGGATGGTTTTCTCAGTAAGTGTCGTGACGGTCAGGGGCTGCCAGTATGTTTTGAATCGGCCTTTGAGGGAGGTGACTTGTTCTGTAATTGTTCCTCCACCCCAGAACAAGACGCCAGGTGGAGGGGTTATGTTAGCTTTTTCCTCTCTCTCCCGGTTTCCATATGTACCTGTAGAGTTTTGTTTTCTTTGGCTGCATGCTTGGGTGTCCGTCTGTCTGCTGTGGAGCTCATAGCCCTCACTGCTAGACCCTGACATGGGTTGGGAAGAGTTACAACGTACCATGCATCTGTGAGACGCCCCGGAGATTGGTGACCTTGGTCATGTCCACCGCACCGGGGATCGCGAGCGCCCATTTGAATCCTTCCTCAGACCTTCCGTGCTCCTCGCCCAGGGAGTCGAATGCTTGTAAGATGAACAGGTCCTCCGTGGCGCCCATGTGCGCCGCTTGTTCTTTCCTCACCACATACAAGTCCATGGAGACTTGTGGGGCGAGGGTGGTCTCGGAGAGGGCGTTCATGGCCGCAATGCCCCTCACGACAAGAGGGAGCTGGCGGCGCGGGATGATGATGGGCCCGGCGTAAATGTCCTGGGGCACTGAATAGGCACGGAGTTTGAACCTGGTGACGACGCAGAAACTGGCTCCGGCGCCTCGCAAAGCCCACAACAGGTCAGGTTCGTGCGAGGCCCAGAGGACGGTCCCGTCCATCTTGACGACCTCGGCGTCGAGCATGTTGTCCGGGTCGGAAGTGTTGCCATACTGGCGGGCGAGCCAGGAGAAGCCGGCCGAGAGGATGCTCCCTCCGATCCCGAGGGCTGGTGTTCGTGCGGCGATCACTGTTCTCGTAAGACGGACACAATCTTCAGTCAGCCTGGAACCAGCTCATGTGGAAGGGGAGATTCCCAACTTTAATACATACCGTGATGATCTGGAGCCTCCCTCTCCATCTTGTTATAATAATCTCTCCATAGCTGTCCCGCGCCTAGTGTCAAAACCTCATTCTCCTTATCATAGTCAAATTCGTCAAAGGACTCCATATTAATGACCACGTCCCTCGCCGACGCCGAGCCGTACCCGGAGCTGCGGACGGCCATGTCTAGGTCAGTGTTTGATAGGTATCGTAGAACCTTTGAGAGAGATTGTGTTGAACTGGGCCGGACAACGAGGCGCGGATAGAGGTTCTTTTGAGCCGCCCATGTTGAAGTGTGCGACTCGTAAAGCTCTGATGACGGTAGTATGACTTCCGACTTGGAGAGCAGCGATCGAAGATGCTCCAGTTGTTCAGTTACGGAGTCTGCCATCGCCATAGATGTTTTCTCCAACACGTTGTTAAAAAGCTAGGTAAGGGTTGGGCTCGAGCGAAGATGAACGCAGAAATGGGCTCTGATAGTTCTCTTTGGATTTTCCTGAAGTTTTGTCGCGAGTTCAGGAAGGGCCTGAAAGGAACCGACATTGTGAGAAAGCTGACCCTTTGATTGTTATTGACAAGAAGACTAAATAAACTCTCGGTAGCAAGGCCCGCGGTCATTTTTGACCTCTGTGTTTGTAGAACTGCATGATTACAGCTCGTCGAGCCCAAAAGATCTGTGGGAGAACGAGCGTAACGAACGATGTGGGTGTTCATGAGCTCGACAAGCAGTTCAAGTGTCCCAAAAGGGCACTTCGAATTGTAAGTTTTGTAGAAGGCCATCTAAAGAGTCTCCATTGGGAGCTTGTCGCGCTCCGTTTTCTGTTACGTTGGGGCCTAGACTTTGCGCAACAAATTGTAGAATGGCCGGCCTGATCAGCTTACTCACTAAGAAGCTCGTTCCCGACAAGATATTGGGTTGACTTTACGTATTAGACGAGGCTATTGCCGAGGGGAAAATGCCTTATGTGGCCAACATCATCCAAAGTCGGGGCATTGCCTGGAGAGGGAACAAAGGGTGTGGGTGGATACAGCCTTGGAAGTGCACAAGGCTGAGATCGTTCAGGAGTCAGACCAAACGGCAACAAAGTAACTTTGAGCAATACACTCCTTTGGAATAGGGTGCTTTCTTTGTTGATACATGAGACTTAGTCTCGCTTCTTAGACCGCAAGCCGGGTAAGACCAAATCTTTTGATAAAGCCGGTCCCAACCTCAGGATATGGCTGTTGCGATGCCTTCTGATGAGCCAGCTCAACATATTACTGCGCGGTGTTAGAATTTCTACCTTGTTTCTCGGCGCAATTCGTTAGGCCTTAGAGTGGTAGCTTCTAAACCGTGGTAGCAAATCTGAAAATCGCCGACCCATATAGGCGCAGCGATCTATGAAGTTCTTTCGCCGTGTCTGAACCGCTTCGTCAATGCGTGCATAGTAGAGCTGGAAGCAAGCAGGGCGGTAGGACGACACAGCAAGTCGTGATCAGTGGTGGACGGGTGAGTCCGGATGACGAAACTGTCGCTACCAATTTCTCCTCCCGCCTTTTCCTCTTCCACGGCCACCAAATCCACCACCACCTCCGCCTTGATCGAATCCACCGCCTACTCCACCCCCACCCCCGGCAAATGAAGCAGAAGGCCCAGTAGGAGGCTGTGGCTGGCCCATCATCGCCGCTCCTCCACTTGCCATGAATTGCATGAACTGAGAAGGGTCCATACTCGTCGGATCCAGACCCTGGGATGTCATTGCCGCGAACATTTGCTGCATCTGCGCTTCATTGGGCATCGCCATTTGTGACATATCTGCTGCGGGCGCACCTGGCATGGGGGGCATTCCTGGTATGCCACCTCCCGGAATACCTTCTACAAATGCTTTCATTTGTTCTGCTTGCTGTGTGATCTCTTTCACTTCTTTGGGCATTTGTTGCTGCTTGAGGCAATATGATGCCCATGTAAATTCGTCAAATCCGTAGTTGAAGTAATCTGTTATATCTGCACCGGGCTTGCGCCACGGCTTGGAAGATTCCGAGGGAAAGTCAACGTCAAAGTCTGTGGATATGATGGGCTTGCCCGTGGCTGGGTGTACGGGATTCCCGTTCGGATCGATCTTGGACGTATGTCGAGCCGGGTAGTCGGTGCCAGGGCGTTCATTGGGGGGTTGGGATCCGCCTCTTGCATCTGCGGCCGTTCCTGCTTTCATTGCTGGGGTTGGAGTCGATGACGATTTCCGTATATCTGCCCCAGCTTGTCCAAGTCCAGGTAATCGCCTTGTCTGCGAACCTGGTGCTGAGCTTGGCTCCGTCTTTGGTTCATCTTTCACGTCAATGATGAAGTCGACATCATCCTGAGTGCAGTCAGCCTCTCGCGATCTCTGATTCCTGAGGTATATTTCATACCTCGTCGTCTTCCTCCTCAACTTCCTCGCCCTCCTCTTCGTCGTCCTCAGCATCCTCCATCTTCACCTCACCCTGGTTCGTATGTCCGTTCGCCTCGTCGTGCTCCGGGTAAATATCATCTTCGTCCGAGTCCATCATCTTGTCAATCGAACAATGCTCTTTGAAGGTGGGGAAAGGGTGGGCTGGAGGTTGGTATTTGGCTGGGAATTGATGAAGCGCAGGATGTTTGCCTTGTTTGCTTAATTTGCGCTGCGGCTTGGAAAGTTTGCGGCATTTCCTGTCCAATCATTATCGGAGCTCGATCGAGGAAAGTCTACCGAGTAACGAGCGGATGGTTCGAGAAAAAAGTCCCCGGAAACCTTTCAAAAGTGATCATCTGTTTACTTGTTACAGACCTTTGCGTGAATCTGCTCTCCCATACCATAGTTGATCCAGTTTCCCGCTGAGCCTTTCCAATCACGTCAAGATGGTGAGTTCTTTTCCCTCTAGGAGAAGCTTCGAAAGCTTCTGTTGCGACGCAGTTCCTCGCAAATTCAGTCGATTGACAAACACCTCTACAGACTACCGCACTCAAGAGCATCCGATCCCTCGTCCCTCTTCTCGACCGCGTTCTAGTCCAGCGAATCAAGGCCGAGTCAAGAACAGCTGCTGGTATCTATCTCCCCGAGAGCAGCGTCAAGGAGTTGAACGAAGCAAAGGTGTTGGCTGTGGGACCCGGTGGATTCGACAAGGAGGGAAGGAGAATGGCAATGAGCGTCAAGGAGGGGGACAAGGTTTTGATTCCTCAGTACGGCGGAAGCCCCGTGAAAGTGGGAGACGAGGAATACCATTTGTTCCGAGATCACGAGTATGTCCGAATTGTAGGTTTGTCAAGGATGCATCTTTATGCTAACGGTATCAAGGCTCCTCGCAAAGATCAACGAATAAAGGCAGCTCCGATACCTCCCAATGCCAGAGTCCGGCTCCTCAGACAAGCCCAATTTGCTGCTCCACGAGCATTGAAAGCACAGACTCTACATATGTACACCATGTATCATCATCGCAGTACTCCTGCGTATCAACATCAAGCTTGCGATCGTCCGACATGAGGCAATGCGGAAGGAAAAATTTTCAGTTCCAGCACGAGCGAAAAGCGCCAGGAGTCTGTTGTGCATTTTTGCATATACCTTGTGTAGATTCGAAAGTGGTACCAATATATTTGCCTTCTCCGCTCATCATGCATTTCCTCACGTAGCACTGCTACCCCCTTGGCCGTGACTTTGACCGGTTCTCCTCTCGGCTCCCTGCAGAAGCGCCAGTATTTCCTCCCTGCTTTCCAGTGCTTGGAATATCCCTGACCTCCAATTCTCGACCAATAACTTCTCTAAAATCTAGTCCGGAATCCCCCAACATCTCCCTCTCATGCTGCCACACGACGTCCATACATTCTCTCCACAACTTCCCTTGCTTCTCGATTGCACTCAACTGCCTCACTAGTAGTGTGTTAAACGTCTCCAAATGCATATCCGCCCATTTAACACACGCGCTGATCGTCAACGGCGAAAAGGCAGCTTGATAGATAAGCACAGTGTTTTTCACAACAGTGAAATACACGTAGGAGATGGAGAAGACATAGCGGTGCAGATCGCCTTCGAAAACGCATTGTCGGGCTCGTTTGGTCAGTGTCTCACTTCGAGCGTTCAGGTAAGCTTCTCTTGCGCGGTCCTCAAATCCAAGGCGGATGAGATAGCCGACCTTGCGTTTCGTGGCTTCCATGAAAGACGGGGTCTCGACCAATTCTCGACTGAGCACCGTGGCGAGCTTGCCGGCGCGCTCGTCAACTTTGACGATGATCAACTCTTGCGCAATCGAATTACCCTTCAAGCTCTTGGCGATCTTGCGCAGTTTCTCAACCTTTTCGACGGCTTCGTTGAAGCGTTGTAGGGAGATTTCAATGTCCAAATCGTCGATTTGTCCCTCAACCCAGCGAAAATTCTGTTGCCGGCCGTCCACCTCGATGAGGATGTCGGGCTTCTCCTTGGAGGAGTTGATGCTCTCGATGATTTCGGGATTTTTTGCCGACGCCGGATCGCGAGCTGCGAAGTAGTTGAGACTTTCGGTTTGGAGAGGCTTGCTTTGCTCTTCCTGTGTTTTGGCGGCTTTTCGGACATCTTCGGTTGCTTTTCTGAGCGCCATCAAGAGAGCCCCTTTGGCCTTTTCGTCACGCTTCTCGTGTCTGTAGGTGAGCGACCGCCCACCAGATCTGATCGCCAGTGCAGAAGCAATAGCTTTTTCCTCAGCTGGTGTCCCGGCCCCGCCATTTGCCACATTGGCCGCCATGTCGATGATTTCAATGTCCTGGAGCGGCCAGCATTCCTCTGCGACCAGTTTAGTAGGGGCGGGACCTTGTTGAGGTGAGTTAGGGTCTACCCTCTTGCGCTTCTTGGACGCAACAAGAAGATGATCGTTCAAAAGCACAATATGGACCGGCCGCTTTGGTTTCCAAGTGGCCGAGTCCAGCTCGATCCAGGTGCCCGTTTCTGCTACGATATGGCGGCCAGGTACAGCGGGCAAGAACTTTTGAGATTTCTCGATATTCTTCCATAGTGCTTGTAGCTGGATATTCCACATCTGCTCCAAATTTGCGACCGAAGTCCTATTCGTATTTCTTCTGGGTAGGGAGCTGCCATTGAGCTCGGGTGATAAAGGGCTGCTTGCAGAGCCTGTGTTCCCCGTTCCCAGTGTGCCGGTCAGCTCCGACATGAGACCCTGTAGGATGGCCATCTCAGCCTTTAACTTCTCCGCCTCTTTGCTGATCTTGATGAATTGTGTTCGGTTCTGATAGACGCTTTGCTGGAGCTCTTGAGAGTTGCGGTTCTTCAGCCGCTGCAAATTGTTCTGATATGCTTGAATATCTTGTTCTGAGGCATTGGAGAGGAGCTCGGTAACATAACGTTCATGTTGAAGGTTCGGGTCTCGAAGGGCGTCATTGTCGACGACAAGTGGCCGTGAGGTCGATCCTGCTCCCGGCCGACGCGGAGAACCACCTCCAGAACGGCGCTTGAGGGTGCCAGGACCAGGGAGGGAGGGGACAGCTGGGGCTGCAGCGTTGCTAAAGTTGGGGAGTTGGTTATATCTTGTCGAGTACCGGCGTTTGACAAGGTCGGATGTCTCGGTGGGAGCATCACGTTCTCGCGGTACAGTCAGGGTGTTAGCAGACTTGTTCTGCGAGGGGAGTCCTGGTCTGCCGATGCCTGGGCCTGAGGCATTCTGAGGTGCACTGATGGTTGGGCGGTCCTTGCGTTTCTTCCTCAACGTGAGACCTCTTGGATCCATCGCGATGATTCAACAGGAGACGAGTGTAGCCGAAGAGGCGTGGCAGGAGAGTGATTCAGAGCCTGGCGCGGGAGAGCGGACCTGCTCGGATATCACTCCGTCTTGAGAGGAGGGTGGCACCAAGTCATTTATTGATTGAGTATGCTGAGGTTGGGAGACTGCAAGCAACACATCCTCGTAGCCTACAAGCTCAGAACAAGGTACGAGGTACTCCAGAAAATGACACCGAGCGCACTTTGCTGAATCCATGAGAAGAACAGGCTGCTTTACAGGTGTGGTTACTAGCGCTTTTGCTGGAATTCATAACCCCCCACTAAACCCGCTATAGTGCATAAGTTCATAGTCTAATACTAACGATAATATGTACGTTTAGGTAGTCTTTATTCTGTGTTGATTTGCCTAGGCAGTGTTTTGTCCTTTACTATCTTTCGACTTTCCCCTTATTGTGTGAGGCGCCGCCTTAGATGGCCATCTTTGCCTGAAGCGCCAACGCCCCTTGAGGCAAGTCAACCGAACGAGACAACTTTACCGGGTAGGGATAAGGCTGAGTCAGGTCACGTGAACTATTAAAGAGGAAAGAAGTAGCTCGCATTCCGGACTCCGTACGGGGTGGAATGATACAGTAGAAACCGAGTCCTCCGTTCTGTAGCTACTAGCGGCCTTTCCCTGCCTGTTTTTGCAGGCTCACTTACAGGACCACGCGGCCTACTAGGGAATCCATTAGTCTAGCTGTTTTCCGCTCGGGATTTTGTTTGGCGCACAACGGCTGAAGAAGGATAATGACGCCTCTCCCTGACATCACGCTTTTTAGCGAAAGCTCAGCATGCATAAATGTCTCATCGTCGCTGTTCTGGCTGCGATCCTGGTACATACGGTAGGAAGTACTGGGTAGCCAGTAATGTACTACCGAGTAATGAACGGAGAAATAGTGGATGTAACTCGGGAGGCCCGCACCTTCCGCATCGGCATTAGGCCTTCTTGGCCCCCACAAAAAGATAACCTTAACTGGCCTTAAGCCACAACCATCGTCCCTTGGCAAGTTACCCACTTGCCCCCTTTTGGAGACAACAGCCTGTCGAGCATGTATAGTCGAATGATGATTGTCTGAGATTGCATCTGGCCAATGATTCGGGCAGAAAGCCTCGTAAAAGAAAGATCGGGGTTGCCATGCTAATGCCCATGCTACCATCCATGCAAACATTGAGGCTAAGTTCTTGCCTTGCCCTGATGCAGCGACTCAATCTCGTCCCCCATTCGCCCGTCGCGAACGCCTATCTATGCAGCTCTCGCGGGCGTAGATAGAGCTTGGAGTGCTTATCGCCCTCTAAGCTCAATGCTTGGTTGTCCTTTATCTTGGGCGACTCTACCCTCGTGGCTGAACTCCTCTGACCTTCACCTTTTCTCTTGAATTTCTAGAAAACCTTGGAACGCGACCTCGTGGAAGTGCCAAGATGAGCACCGGGAAAGAGAGTCTCTCTCTGCAGGATCCAGAGAAGGTGGCCAAGGCTGGTGATGTCGAACCGGCCAGTTTGGGCGAGCATTTGCGTGGGCGCCAATTCAGCGTCGATGCCCACGATGTAGCCATTATCGAAACCGATCAAGGCAAACTGCACCGGAATCTGCAAGGGAGGCATATGCAAATGATTGCCATGTGAGTCTCCTTTGCTAAATGGTTTCTCCTCTGAAAGGCACACCTGAATGTCGAGTTTTGACACTCTTTCGTCACTCGACACCCAATCCCCCTTTCGTCTCGAAGACTTGTACCAATGAAGACGCTGATTTGACTACAGCGGCGGCGCTATTGGCGCAGGTCTCTTCATCGGAAGTGGTGGTGCTTTTCAGACTGGAGGTCCTGGCGCCGTACTGATCGGTTTCATGATCATCGGTGAGTGCCAGACGATTCAACTTTCCATTGACAATTCTAATGTTTCATAACAGGTGGTATGATGTACGATTCACGAATTCCTGGTGACTGGTTTCCCGTGGCAATATTCTAACCATCATATGTAGATACCTCATGATGCAAGCGCTGGCCGAACTGGCTGTCATGTACCCCATCAATGGAGCATTTACCATGTACATCTGCAGATTCATTGACCCTTCGTGGGGATTTGCCTGTGGATGGGAGTACGGCATTGGTTGGCTCACTGTGCTTCCTTTTGAAATTTCGGCAGCTTGCAATGTAAGAATGATCCCGGGCATGCTTGATCAGATCTGACGCCAACAAGATCATACACTATTGGACAGCTGTAGAGAACGTCAACGACTGCGCTTGGATCATACCACTGCTGTTCCTCCTTACCGTCATCCAGTACTTTGGAGTACGAGGCTATGGAGAGGTGGGTGATCACACATATCGACGATCAGTATTCGCTACTTACCAGCTTAGGTCGAGTTTGTCCTCAGCGCAATGAAAGTCATTGCCTGCATTGGATTTATGATATTGGGAATCATCATCGACTGTGGCGGTGTACCAACCGATCATAGAGGCTACATCGGGGCCAGATACTGGTACGGATATTTTTGTGCGATTTTCCCGACACATACTGACTGGACGGACTTACACTAGGCATCACCCATACTCTGCATTCCTCAATGGCTTCCATGGATTCTGTACCGTCTTTGTCACAGCCTCGTTTGCCTTTGGCGGAACCGAACTCACTGGACTAGCTGCTGCCGAGACTCGGGACCCTAGGAGGGAAATTCCCAAGGCTTCGAGGCAGGTTGTCTGGCGCATTTGCATCTTCTACATCATCAATCTCTTCCTTGTTGGCCTGATTGTCCCTGCAAACAGTCCGCTCTACAGCGGTGAGGGAGCCGAAAGTCGGCACTCACCGTTTGTGATTGCTATCCAACTTGCAGGCATCAAAGCACTCCCGTCCATCTTCAACGCCATGATTTTGATTTCTGTGATGAGCGTTGCCAACTCGTGCACGTTTGCCTCGACCCGAACCTTTCAAGCGCTGGCTCAACATGGTAAGCCTTTCGACATTCAGGCCCAACAAAATCCCTGACGCTGATTGCTGCGAATAGGTATGGGCCCAAAGTTATTCGCCTACGTCGATAAGAAGGGACGTCCCCTTGTCGTCACCATCCTTCAACTGCTTTTCGGATGTTTGGCGTTCCTCAATCTGGATAAGACCGGAGGAGGCAACGTCTTCAACTGGCTCCTAGCCCTGTCCGGTCTCTCTTCGTTCTTCATTTTCGGCAGCATCGCGGTAGCCCACATCCGCTTCCGGGCCGCATGGTAAGATGGTCCCAGCCCTCTTTCAAAAACGTCAGTGTTTCAACTCCGCTCTAAATCTACATTTCGCAGGAAATACAACGGCCACAGCGTCGAGGAACTCCCCTTCAAAGCCGCGTTCGGCATCTACGGCTCTTACGTCTGCGCCATCATGAACTTCGTCTGCTTGGCCGCCCAGTTCTACGTCGCCCTCTACCCGGTCGGCGGGCCCTATCTGAACGCCAACCTCTTCTTCCAAGCCTACCTTGCAGGCCCGTTCCTCCTTTTCCTGTACGTCCTCTGGAAGGGCTATTCCTGGTTCAAGGTCAAGGAACACCGTCCGTTGTACGTCAAGATCAAGGATATCGACATCTACACGGGTATGCGCGAGGGACAGGCCGAGCTCATCAGTGGGCCGGGAGTCACGGAGGAACAGCGGAGGGAAAGCATCGTCGAGATTCAGGCGGAGCAGAAGAAGGGCGTCATGGATTGGACAAAGGCTGCCGTCAGAGCTGTATTCTGATTCCATCTCGGTTTCGTCAATACTAACTGCACTCTGGAACCCCTCAAATTGAGGCGGATCAAGGGTTTGAACCTTGGAGAGGGCAGGAGGTCAATGAAAACGACAGGGTCTTCTTAAGTCTTATCAAGATAGCCCAGAGAAGGCGTAGTCCACGATGAGGAAAAAGAGATACCGGCCGGGGGTCGAAAGCATTCAGAAGATTGCGAAAAACATACATACTCACATGCATACATATGCATATCTTCTCAGGCTGAGGATTTTAAATCCATTGTTCGAATTCAACAAAGATATTTCGCTCCTCCCAATTTTGGGTGCCGGATCGCATTCGTCACTTCCCTATCCCCCAAGGCCCTCCCTGGGCCTGGGGCATCGCCCTCGTGCTCACAAAATCCACCAAGTCAAAGAAAGCCTTCTTGTAGCTCCTCGCCTGCGTCGTCCTGTTGACGGCCTGCAGACCAAAATGCGCGCCGTAGTCGCCAAACTCCCAATTATCCGCGAAGCTCCACGCAAAGGCGCCCACGACGGGCACGCCGTCCTCCCATATCGATTTCAGGACTTCGGTCATGTACGAGAGGTAGTAGATGGAGCGGGGCGTGTCGTAGAGTTGGTCGCTCAACGCGGTTTTCTCAGCCTCGGCGAAGACGGGGAACCCAAATTCCGTGATCACGATGGGGCTGTGGAACGTGTTGTACAGGTACGAGAGGTACAGGCGCAGGTAGCGCGGCGCGATGTAGACGTAGGATTGCGAGCGGTAGCCGATGTTCCACCCCGTGGTGGTCAGTGTGCTTTGATTGACGCAGTAGGGAAAGTATGTGCTCGACGTGTTGGAGCAGCATTCGAGGATCGAGTCGGTGGAATTCATCACTGGTGGAGACACCACGGTCGCCTGTTCGAAACTCTTGTTAGCTCACAGCAGTGATACTGACGGCATCATAGGCCAAACGCTGAACGAGTGTGCTCGCAAAATGAGAAGGGGACTTACAGTGTATGGGTCAATGCCGAGAAAATCGGCGGTGCCATTGATATATGCCAGATCCTCTGAATTGAGAGGCACGTAATCTGGAACCGTCCGCTTGTAGCTTTCCGGATAGTCCAGTCCCAGGAATATCGGGTGACAGAACATGCCAAGTTGGAACGAGTTGAAATGATCGGCTGCGTAGACGTCGCTTGGATTGGCGGGATCACGCGGCACGCCAAAGTTGTCGTTGAATTTGAGGGAGATCTTCCCCGTCCCCTTGATCGATTCTTTGTAGAAATGATAAACCTGGGCATGAGCCTTGATCACATGGTCGACCGACAAGCCGTTGAAGGCATATATGAACGGCTCATTGAACGTGAACCAAATGGGCACGCGGTCTGCATAGTGCGTCATAACAATCTTTGCATAATTCACGTAGGCCTCGACGAACGTCTCGTTCTGATAGCCGCCGTTTGAATAGCCGATCAAAGGCTTCGCCTGGGCGGCCGAGAAGTTCGCGGCAAAGAACTGTGCTGGAGTATCGAAATGGAGAATGGTGACCACGGGGATCATGCCTTTCTCGAGCACAAAGTCGATCAGGTCAGAGTAGTGGTCGAGTCCCTGCTGATTGACAGGAGTTCCCGGTAGCGCAAAGGGCAGGATTCGACTCCACGCAAGACTGAAGGAATAGTACTTGACGCCCATCGAGGCCAGCCTTTCAATTTCCTGCTTGTAGTAGTAATAGTTTTCGTTTGTGGCGTAGTCCTTTGGTCGATCGTCCTGGATCAAGATGTCCATGAGCGAAGGGGATTTGCCTTCGTCAGCCGTGGCCCCTTCGATTTGAGCGGCAGACCCTGCAACACCAAATTGGAAATCGGCCGGGAAGTAATAGCAATCGGTCGGTCCGAAGTAGTCCGGAGGAGGCAGAACGAGCTCACTCGTTGGGATCGGAGTTGGTGAGACGGTGGTGCTGAAGACTGATGTCTCGGTGAAATTGGGAGGATTGGCGACTTCCATAACGCGGTCCACGCAGCATTTCCGTAGGGATTGTCTGTGTCCGTGGCCGAGACTGTGGCGTTAGGATCCCACTTGCCCCAGGTTGTGTAAGAAAGCGAGGAGATGAGGCTTGTGAGTGAGGCCGCGGGTGGCGCATACGTGGTGGTAGGGCCTGGCTGGACTGATGTGGCGGTCCGTACTGTCTCGGTCATGGAATATGCAAACGTAGAGTATGGCGAGTATGTGGGCTGGGAGTAGGATGGTGTGGCCGTGCATTGAGGCCTTGCTGATGTGCCTGCTGCTGGGATATAGATTTGTTGTGCAATGGCCGAGCCCAGCACAAATAGCAACAGAGCTATCCAGGGTGCCATATTGGATGAGTAGGGAGCTTTCGATTTGCTTCGCACACTCTTGGAGCCATGGTGGACGTCAAGGGCATTTGTATCTGCCTGGGCGACCAAGTTTGTGGTCTTGAGGCGGTGGTTGTTAGCAATCGTGCTGAACACAGCAAAGAGATTGCCGCCGCAGTGTAACCTTCTCCGCAACGAGCTGGCAAGACTGGGGCCCCGGATCCGGATTTTTCTGATCCAACAGCAACGACGTCGTCATGGTCAAGAGTACTTGGTGGACTCGCCCTGTCTTCAGCCGAAAAGGAGGAAGGCCGACTTGGGCTTTGCTCCACGTGTTGGGGCTCTCGCTTCGGAGTCCCTCATGCAGACAAGACGATCGTCTGGTAGCCGAGAGATCGACAACACGTCAACCCAAAAGTCGGTGTCTTTGAAGATCAAACCCATATGTCGGGGGAAAGAAAAGCGAGGTTGGAAATGCCACCGGCCCGATATGGTTCGCTTTTCGTTTTGCTGCTCTGCTCAATGTAGCTGGCGGTCGGCTTTGCACGGAACACGTAGATTTTCAAGGGGCAATAGTGATCCAAACAATAACACATCCTTGAATTAAGTTGTTGACGGTCTCCGCGGGCGATAGTGGTGGAATCTAGAGGATGTCTCTTGTTAACAATTTAATATATATATATATATAGCATACTATCCGGGCATTCCTGTTCTTGACGTACGTCCGCCTCCTAGCTACGTACTGCCTAGCCCAGTCTGATCCGTGTCCGTGTCTTCCGCAGCTCGAGCGGCCTCAGGAACACGGGGAAGTCGTTCTTAGGGGTCGCTAATCTGATCTGCTCGCACTCGTCGTCCCACACGCGGTGGGCGAGATTCACGAACCCGATGCGCTCGGCGGAAGCGATCCCGTTCCCGTCCCCGTCCCCGTCCTTGAGTGGTTGCTGTGTCTTGAAGGGCGATAGCACCACGACGCAGAGGTCTGTGAATTTGTTATCGTATACCTCATGGTTGGACCCGACCCAGCGGTAGTATGCCAGCTGGCCTAGCACCAGGCACTCCCATGACGACGACGAAGACGAAGGGGAAAAGCCGCTGGCGTCGACATCACCAGAGAGCTGCAAGGGTGAGTAAATCGCGTAGGAGTCGTGACATCGGACGTACAGCCCGGGCCGGTAAGGCCCATCGGGCGCGTAAGCCCAGGAGTGCTGGGGCGGGTCCACGAGCCACTCGAAGCGGAGGGGAACGGTGTACGCGTCGAGATGGAGGAAGTTTGACAGATTCGCCGGCAGACGGTCGGCGACAATCATGCCTCTGAATTCCTTCCATGGGATGAGAGCCCCATCAGAGTTCTCGACAGAGGCTTCCATGCTCTCGGCAGTGAACGTTGGATGGTACCAGTGCTGCACGCCGCTGAGCTCCAGGTACGAGATCTCTCCGATCCAGCCCGCCCACGACCAGCTGGGGAAACCCTGACGGCGACTAGAAGTTCTAATGTGATACCAGAGGAAGCTATGCTGCAACGAGCCGTCGTCGGCCGGGGAGCCTTCTCGCGCGATGACGGCCGGAAGCAGAGCGCCCATGTATTGATACAGCACTTTCGCGTGCGCCATGGCGTTGAAGAGGCCCTGCATGGCCTGGATCACGTCCGATGAGAAGGACAGCTGGCGCCGCGAGTAGTCGTTGAGCTTGTAGATCTCGTTGAACGCACTGGTCAGCGAGCTGTGCGTGTGGATGCGGCCGATGTTGCTGAAGGGGTACTCCCCCCAAGCCTCGGCGTGGAAGACGTTCCACCGCTGCTCCATGTAGACCTGCAGGTCAGTGAAGATCAGGCGCGATCCCGAGAAGATCATCTCCTGATACGTCCATGCTCGAGTGTTCCATTTGGATTTCAGGACCAGGGCCGGTCCATCCGGCATGGTCCAGGTGAGCAGGTGCCGGTCGACTTGTGCGCATGGTTGCCGGCCATTTGCCCTCTTCTTGGAGACACCGGGGAGCCCGTGGTCTGCGCCGTTACCTGCGGCAGCGAATATGGTCAGCGAAGCACTGCTGTAGATAGGGCCCATTTTCTTGATCTGGGCAGCCTTTTCCGCCAAGTTGGTTTGCGAGATGCAGTACCGATCGACCCACAGGTAGGGTATCCCAACCCGTTTAGCGACCGTGAGAGCATCCTCAACCACACGCGGCAAATGCTTCGGCAGCCGATCGTCGTCAGGAATAGACTCGTCTGACCGACCCCAGACATAGCTCAGTGTGGCGTATGGACATCCTTCGGGCGGCTTGACGATCTGACTGGTCGCACAGTCGATGAGCCTAAAGTGAGGGTTGTCCTCGAGAGACAAGCCACTCCAGGTCCTAGTGTCGTTCATTCCCCCTTGCTGTATCCAGCTCCTGACGAAGGTAAAGTCGACATGGTCGCCAACCAGCCCGACAGAATGATGCCCGATCGAACCGTGGGCTTTCGCGGCAGCCCGGGAAATAAACCCCGACGCCGCGCAGTCTGCATCCAGCGTGTCGAGAGAAGGTGTTGGTAGGACTGCCAGGCCTGTCGATTGATAGCTCCTGAACGCGCGGAGGGTATAGCGCGTAGTTTCATCGTACTCGGCAAGCTTGTTATTGTGTATGGTCATAAACAGACAGCAGAGGGCACATTGGGTCGGATTCCACGTCGCCGGCGTGTCCAGGGCAGCAACCTCCCAATTGGTGTCTCGCGAGCTGTAATCGTCTTCTGTCTTGCTGAGACGGGCTAGGCTGTCGCCGATGCCTTTGCGCAATCTCAGGCATCGTCGGCAAAGATCTTGCGGTTTGGGAGGATTCCCTGGAATGGTCGGGGTTTGGGGATGGTCCTCCCAATAGCGGATCCAGCGTCGATAGGTGTCGTTCATGGCTTCACCACCACACTGATTTGGGTCGGCAGAGTAAGAATCAGTCAGTGTCTCCCTCTGGGAATCCAGAGGGATTTAGAGCATTTCAGCTGGACGACCGTCGGATAACTTTGAGTCCAGCCGCAAGGGAAGAGATGCAGCCATGCAGCAATTGGACCACTGTACGTACATTGCGGAGCGCGGCTATCCTATTACTCCGGTCCACGTCGATGGAGCTGGTGTGTCGGGGGGAGCACAAGAGACTCAAGGGGGAATCATGGAAAGGAGAGTGGATGCCGCACAAGAGAATGGTTGTCAGAATACATAGCCAGAGAGCCAGTCTCTTTGAATGTTCCTCCTTGATTCGTAGATCCTTGTAGTTCGTCATTTAGGCATCACTCGGTCGATTTATATGGGGAACTCGAGGCCATTGTTACATTTCAACTAGAATTTGGCAGCGAAATGGCCCTGCTGCTGGTCCGATACACGGCAAGCTTGATGTGTATATATATACATATAACATTGAGGTAGTATTCTGTTTATGAATGTGACTGGCTCGCTCTTTGAAGAGAGCTTTGAAGCAACAGCCACGACACCACATGTATGCATGATATGATCGATTGAGTTGAGGACCTCTGCATCTATCTATCAGTTGACATGTTGACTTATTGGACCAATTGTTGACTTGACAAATCCTGCCCGCCATCTATGTATCCGTCCCCGATTCTATCAAACGTGATGGAGTTCTGTCTTTTTTTCCCAACACAGAGACCCGTCCCCGATATCTCTCTGCTCCACAAATAATTGTGAAGAAAACGTACTCCGCCCGTGGTCCAGCAAGATATCAAACACAGCACGACTCCACGATTAGAGTAATATTAGTACATGCACCAAACGAAATTCAAGCCTAGGCTTCAAGCCACCCACGACGGTTAGAACTGGGGTGCTGTAACGAAGCGTTCGGTGGTAGGTCGCTCTGTCGGCTCCACAGCAGCTTCCTCTGTTGTTGTTCCGGCAGACGATGCCGCGGCAGCTTCTTCTCTCTTCTCCGCCGTGTAGGAAGCCCCCTTTTCCTGATGAATAGATTGATCGCTCTCGGTGTCCGAATCATCCGTGGAGGGACTGGCGCGACGATCCTTCTCTGAACCACCAAGCACGGCGGTACCCTTCTCATCAAAGTTAGTAGCACCGACGACATGCTGCTGCTGCCCTTGGCTCGCATTGCTCAGAGTTTTCACCAATGCCTTGCTCTTATCTGCATCTTTGCCGCCCGCATATTTCTTCCCCTTCGGCACCCTGGCCAACCAATAAATCGTCACCGCCGCAAAGACATTAAAGGCAATATACACAAACAAAATTCCAAAGTCCCGCCATCTATGCGAGAACGAGATGCTGACCAATGACAAAAAGGTGTTGGTGTTGTCAACCGTGCAGAATTGACACTGCGTAGTATCTGAGTTTAGGAGATAGCCGCCCGCTGTTGAGATGAAAGGGTCGAGATATTGGCCGCATGTTTCGCCGGCAGGGGCCGTGAGATGGAGGTATTCGTTGGCGGCACATGTAACTGGTGCGTTCGCAATTCCCACACTTAAGAGTCCTTCGACCAGATACGTGAAAGGACTAGGGTTCACGAGTAAGCCTCTGTTCAGGTCCAAGAGAAAATGCGTCACTTACCTCACTCGATACATAAAGATCCAGAACCCGGGCATGGCTTTTGGACCAACCAAGACGCCATTGAACAGGAGACAGAGCGAAAACAAGACGTTTGCGATATTGGAGGCGGTCTCTGCCGTCGCAATCCCTGCAATCATCCTGCCTGGCTGTTAGCACTGGATTTCCTTTTTTGGGGAGGACGGCGGTAAAACCTCTTCCAACACTCGGGGGTTAGAGACTTACATATGGGCGAAGGTGCTGCTGAACAGGATAAACTCCAACACAAACAAGAATTGGGTTGCTCCGCGTGAGGCCACTGAATCGGTGTACGTTGCGTTTTGGTAAAGTCCAATGGGATAATACCAACAGAAAAACAATATCACTGCCCCCAGCGTTGCCCAAGGAAGCTCGACGAGGATATTCGATAGCATAAATGCCTTCCATGAGTAGGTCTTCGAAGGTCGCTCACGCACTTCGTAAAGGCTGCGCTGTGTGACGAAGAGAGGCATAATTTGCTGAACAAGCTGCGAGAATAGGACCAACAGCATGAAAATGCCAAAAAGCTGGTTTTGAAGCCCCTGTTGAGTATTTGGTGCCTTGAAGAGCGAGAAACCGATAAATAGGCCCTGCCGATGCAGTTAGTATCATGTAACTTAAAGCATAGGGCGATACACATACGGTGAGGCAGCAAAGTAAGAGCTTGGAGTAGATGTACTCCGGGGTCCGCCAATACTGCTGGAAAACCCGCTTTTGTGTTTCCCAAAATTGTAAGAAGAAAGGCGCAGCAAACTCGAAATAATCTGCCTTGTTCGAAGAAGTGGGGGCCACCAACTGAGATCGTTCAATCTTCATCTCCTCTAATTCTCGCTGTACCTCCTGGTACTCTGGTGAGTTGCGCCAGACTTGAAACCAGTCGATATCTGAATGAGACCCGGGCGCTGCACCAATCGCTTCGAGCATATATTCGGCCGGGTTGGCGCCAGGTGGACATTCATGAGCGCCATTTTTTTGGAAATAGTCAATCAGGATGCTGGAATCCTTGCCAACTGGACCGAAGTACACGGTCTTGCCACCGGCCGCGAGAAACAGGAGTCGGTCGAATCTCTGAAATAGAATAGCCGATGGTTGGTGAATAGTGCAAAGAATTGCTTGGCCAGCCTTTGTGAGCTTCTCGAGAAGGTTCAAAATGGACCAGGAAGTCTGCGAATCAAGTCCTGACGTAGGTTCGTCAAGAAAGAGAAGAAGTTGAGGTCGGGCAGCAAGCTCCACTCCAATTGTCAATCGCTTCCGCTGTTCCACGTTTAGGCCTATGATATTTCGAGTCAGAACGCAACGACAAACAGAGTCAGGGAGTGGTGAGGAAGAACAGATCGACATACCTTCACCTGGAACACCGACCACAGCATCGGCGTACTCCTGCATATCCAACAGTTTGATGACCTCTTCAACATAGGCAATCTTTTCATCTTGAGGCGTGTCTCTCGGTTGTCGCAAGAGGGCGCTGAAACGCAAAGCCTCTCGTACAGTGCTCGTCTCAAGATGCAAGTCCTGCTGTTGCACATAACCCGTCTTTCTCTGGAAGGACTCGTCGCGTTGACGTCCATCGACCAGCATCTCGCCCGTGATAACGCCCATTGTTACACGGGTTGCGAGACAGTCGAGTAAAGTGGTCTTGCCGGCACCTGAAACTCCCTGTTTGCAAGTGTCAGCGTATTTCGAAACTCAGGATTGACAAGGTAACACATACCATGAGCGCTGTCATTGTGCCTGGTTTGACCCAACCGTCGACATGATCGAGAATGCGACGCGGCTGGCCTTTAATCTTAATGTCGTAGCAAACATCCTTCCACTGGAAGATTGCCGTCTGCTTCTGAATCACAGCACTGACTTGTCGCGTCAACTGTTCGTCCTTCGTCTGCCTCCTCTCGAGAGCAACAAGGTTTGGATCGGAGCCTCCCGACTCCATATCGGACATGTGCTCTTTCAAGAATGCCGGCTTGTGGCCTCGGCGGAAGAGCAGCACTTCACCCTTCGACTTTTTCGCCGTCACCGTCTCGGTTGCAACCAAATACAGAACACAGAGCCCAATCATAAAGACGAACAAGATGCCGATGTTCCGCCATTTGTGAGCCGCAAAGTATCTGTAGGAAATGTTGATATAAGCGTCGCCATCGACAAAGGGTCGTCCAGCCACAGATCCAACGACAGTACATATTTGTGAGGTGGTCGACCCGTTTCCGAACTGTGGCGCTGGAGGGACGAAAGTCGAACACGGATAGTCACGATTGTGGAACTCATTCACCATGAGACTTTCAAATCCATACGCCGTCGGATTGACGTAGTTGATCCAACGCGCCCATCCATGCATATAGTCCACAGGAATAACGAAGCCTGATTGAGCGTCAGATCACAACCTTGCTAAACTCGTGTACAGGGATTCCGAAACGGGGATTAAAGGTACTCACCTGTGTAGACGACAATAGCTATCATCAAAACAGCTGTTGGGACCAAGGCTTCGACCAGTGACCTCGACACCGACGCGATGAACCGGAACAACATGCTCATAGTAAAGGTCAAGATGTATGAGGTGAACAGAAAGAAAAAGAAAGCACCAGGTGTCCGTCGGAGATTTGTCATGAAGTAAAGAATTAGGTTGAAGCCAATGGCGTTGAGAGTCTTTGAAGGGACGTCTGTGAGCATTGATGCAAAGGCCTCCGCTGACGGGTGGTAAAGTGCGTATCGCTGATGTTTTTCAACAATCGGGCGCTGTGCGTATAGCGTCAGGATCTCAAGAGCACTGCCAAAAGCGTTGAGCAATACTGCGAAAAAGATGAGTGAGCTTCTGGATCGCATTGAATCGGTATTCGCCGGTAGGTTGTAGAACAATGAAGAGACCACAAGCGCGTTGATACAATTGGCGAAAAGTTGTGTGAGAGTAATGGCCGGATCATCCATGAGTCGCTTGAAGCCCCGCCAAAGACACAGTCTGACCTGACCCGCATATGACAACGTGTATGGAGAAGACTTCCGTTGGGCTTTTGACTGTTGGACACGACGGGATTGCTTGAAGGCTTCCAGGTTGGGCCCACCGATGGGATTAGCTTTTTCGAAGGCATCCAGCTCCTGCAACATTTTCTGTCGTGCTTCGCTCTGTTGCCATCGTTCGGCGAATTCGTCGGGAGTCCGCGGCACTTGCGACTCGTATCCCTTCTTGACCAGACGTTCAATCGGATTGGTCATGGACGTAAGGAAATCCGGGACTGTCTGACGTTTAGCACACTCGAAGCCCATGTCCTCGAAGTATTTCTGAGCTTCGGTAGTGCGGCCGAAAAAGATCTGACGACCTTGATAGAGGACAAGAACCTTGTCGAAAAAGTCATAGGCACTTTGTGGCGACTGGTAGATGGCGACTGCCGCAGTCGTTTCATTCAAGTCGGTCGACGTCCGAAGAGTTTTGCAGAATTCGATGGCGTTGGCTGAATCAAGACCTCGAGTGCTATTGTCCCAACATTGAAGAGGGGCATTACTCAATGCTGCCTCCGCAATAGACACTCGCTTTCTTTCACCACCGCTGACTCCCCTGACGAAGTCATTGCCGACTTTGGTATTTATGGTGTGCCTGATACCGAACGTTGCCATCACCACGTCCCGTAAGTGAGCTGCATACATTGTCTTGGTCACGCCCGGGGGCAGCTTCATGTTCTGGGGTGTTCGAGCTCGGGCGGCGAAGAGCAAAGTGTCACCGACCGTCAACATGGGGAAATGGACGTCCTGTTCTGCCGTGTAGATAGCTTCGCCCTTGAAATTATTGTGCATCTGCCTGTAGCTAATGCCCTGGTAATTGATGTATGAATCGTCGCTGAGGTTGAAGCCGTGAGTCTCGCCCGTAATGGTCTTGAGGAAGGTGGAACAACCGGAGCCCGGGGGTCCAAGCACGACGAGCATTTCGCCCGGTTGCACCACGCCTTCAAAGTTGCGCAGAATATCCACCCGTTGGCCTTTGTGGCCTAATATGCCTCGCAGCATGTCCATCAAGGCCAGGGGATAGTTGTCTACCGTCTTCTGAAAGTCACTGCCCTTGGTGTAGCCAAAGGCGGAGAGGTTTCGAAAGGCGAAGCCCGCGGTCCGACCGACATTTTGGCCTGTCTGCTTCTGGAGCTTCAGCATGGCTTTCGTCCAGGCCCTGCCATTGAAGTTCTCCGAGCTGGGATCGATCTCGGTGCCGACGCTCGCTTCATCGAAAGGGTGGTAGCTAGGCTCTGCGGTGGTTGAGACGCGGGAATACTGCCGGGCAAGTTGCTGGATCTCTCTGTTCGCATCCTGGCTCTCGTCCACGACAGCTCCACCACCCGAAGACATTGATCGGTCCAGGTATGGGAAGTCTGTCGCTTGGTTATCGGGTGAAGCACCAGACATTCGACGGCTTCGGTCGTAGTTTGTTGTAATATTGCCGACGAGAGGGGTCGTCATTTTCAATGCAGTCGTGTCAAGTCATGGACAACAGTACTACGGAAGGTCGATTTGAGGTAGGAAATGGATGAAGCTAGGGAGGGATTGAAGTTGAGGCAGCAGGGCAATGAAATAAAAGCCTGATAAAGTGAAACAAGTCGACTCATAAAACCACCATCTGAATCGGGCAGAAGAGATCAAGGAAACCCGGGCGACCGGTGAGGGGAGAAGGGAACGACAGAGAAGAGGATAGAAGTGTGTTACTGAAATAATGCAGCGTGTATCACGAAGGATGTTGTTGTTGTGGTAGTCGGGGTGTTTTTTTTTTTTTTTTTTGCCCTTTGACGGGGACATTCGGTCGAAGTCGCCGCGCATTCACAGGCAGAGTGACGACAAGGGAATGTGGCACACACAGCATACGTTGCACGCGCATCAATCAATCCCAAGTCGATACTAGTTCCCGCCGAGGGGCAGCTTGAGCAAGTAACTTAGATACGTGATTTGCACCATGCAAGACTCAGTTCGCACCTTCGCACAAGAGGGCAAATGAACAAATGTCCTGCAGCCCATATTTTTACCGGTTCAAGGCAAAGTGCACCACGAGCTGGGCATGGTATACGTCGAATACGAAGCCAAAGCGCATGGATTTCCGTGGCCATGGCATCTGAGTGGCCGATAGGGGCGCCACTAGATGCTCTAGGCACTGCCTGGCTGGCTGCTTGGCGCCCTCGGCTGTGGTTTGTTCCAGGCATTGCAGGCACCGACTCTGCCTACCGACTACCTAATAAGAGACAGGCTCCATCCGAGCCCCGCAGGGATCCAGCAGACAGCCAGATGCCCGGAAGGAACCATCCCCACACCCGGAATCCCCAAACTCCCCCTATTCTGTTTGGCTGTAGCCTGTCTTGTGCAGTGCCTTGTGCCAAGTCGTTTGTTCCGGTGCCGAAGTTATTCACTCATTAGCCGTGCATAAGGAAGGTGCAAACCACGTGATCTCGTATCCCCTCGAATTCCTTTCCGAGATGTGCAACCCTGACAATATGATGGGTCTTAATACGCACTCGGCCTCCGCGGACTCCATCGAATGTTGCTTCGGATGATACTGGTTCCCCGGTTGCCTTTTCAGCCCTTTCAGCCCGTTCAGCCTCTTGCTTGTCCTCCCTCAATCCATTGACACGAGGCTGTCCGGTCTCACATCAAAGTGTCAGGTTGGTTATTCCTGCATTCTGCCCCAAATCATCCCCAGCATGCACCTCGCCGCAGTAAGCTATTGTCATGATGATTGATCTATGGAGTATCTGACGATCTGACGATTTGATGAGAGATGCCAACAAATGCTTAGCTGACACCTTCCTTCAGACCATTTCCAATTACATCTGCCGGATTTGCTACTTGTGAACCAGCGCTGTTGGGTTTGGTGGAGTGGCCCATCCTTGTCGCTCTTTCATGCGTCCGTCCTTCCCGTCTCGAACCCTCAGTACTTCTTGCGTCTTCGACTGCGTTCTTCTGCGTTCTTGAATGTGGCCAAAATATTTGCCCGATTATTTCAAGGTCTTTGTCACATCCCTATCTTGCCGAGAGCAGAAAGCAGATGCGTTGATCTTGTTCTTGAAGACACCGTGCTTGAATTGCGCTCATCGCTGCAATGCCCGATGTCTGCTGCCATGCGTTCACCACGTTGGTGGCTTCATCGGTACCAAATGGCAGCAACCGCAACATCGTGAACTTACCCAGATCTACACCATATCAGCTTCGGCTACGGATCGAGGTTGAAGAAGACATCACTCACTTCGAGGAAGATCGAATTGTCTGGCGCCTACGCGGTAGTATAAAGATTTCCTGCTGAACAGACGAGCATCGGATGAGGAAACAGGAAAATAGGCAGGACGGTTGAGATGTCGGTGAGTTTGTTGGCAATCACTGCTTTTACGTCATCTTGGTTTGATTCGAGGTTCAAACATAATGAGAGAAAGAGCTCTCTAATTGAGCTGATGGAGAGCAGCGATCGCGGCTTTGGATGTTTTTGTCTGTGATGTTGTCTGCGCAAGTCTGCTCTCCCTGACGATGTTCATCGCGTCTGATTCACAATCAAGGCTCTCCCTGAGCGCGCCTTCAAGGCTGTTGCCATTCGGTACCTCGCCCGTTCTGTCGTCGCTCTTGCAATTTTGAAGATTACTTCCTAGTCACGGCAAGACTTTGCACTCGCTAACCTGCTCCCTCCCTCTCAAGGCTTTATTTCGGAAGCACGAAATCATTCTTCGCGATGCCTCCTTTTTGCTCCCCTCCTGAACTATACATCCAGGATTCCCTAGCCCCATCGGCTCGAACGCCACGGTTAATGGCGGCTTATATTCAGCCGATCAGGGGAGCGAGCTACAGGGCGCAGGAGACACCGCCCTGCAATGAAACAACCCATTGCTGAGAGAAGCGTCTGCCTGTGTGTATCCTCTGCCAAGCCTACGTTAGACTTTCTTGCCTTCGAACCAAGATTGAGATTTGCTTCGTCTGGATGGGAGGTGGTGTGCGTGTAGGTTCTGTATGTGGCCATCAGAAACCGCCCGCCTCGGAAAGGACCGTTGTCGAGAACAACTCTTTACGTGTTGGCACCATGGGGCAGGCTCGTCAGCAAGCTGCTGCGACATTTGCGGAGGTCATGCATAGCATACGTCGAGCTGCTTCATCATGGCATCTCGCACATCTCGCACATCTCGCTATGGTGGCTGGGAACGAAACGGTGAGCGCGCTCATAACTCGCCCGGAGCCCGTGCCAGGATCCCTTTATTCGCTGTGACGCTGCTAGTCTGCACTCGAACCGAGTATGGCGCTGCGCGCTGCACACCAGCGTGGGCCGTCTCTGAACCGAGCCCATCGATTGCTCCGTCACCCGCGAAGAGACAGAGTGTGCTGTGGCCGGATAGTCGTTGATTTCAGTCTTCTCTTGGGGATGGTGCAAGTAGACAGAGAAAGTGATGGAAAGCGTGGAATCCGGGTGCCACTCCTCGTGTCTTCTGCAATCTGCACCGGTATGAAAGATGGGCGGTCATGACTGAGGTGCTCGTATCTACAAAAGCGGAGTCTTCCTAGAGCAGCGCCCTCGCGTAAGGCCATTGCTGCTTTAGCCAGAGTGTGAAATGACTCGTGTATCGATAAAAGCGGCAAATTATTCTAGCCCAAAGAGTTCCTCCGAGCCGTTCGTTTTGTGCAGTATCAAGTAATTGTTGCTTGGAGGAGGCAACCTTCAATCAACCATCCTCGGGGACTCTGAATGCAAGACTCGACTCGTTTCACGGTGCACAAGTTTCCCATTATTGTCGGGAGGGACAGTCCTCTATTGACCTGTCCTCGAACCAGACGTCAGCCGCACTTGGCCGGCCATGGCCAATGACCCCGACACAGGCCCGTTCCATACCCCAGAGAATGAAGGCTTTCCTTACCACGATGTGTATTCACCCCTGAACATGCAAGACAAACAGATACACTTAATCTCCCTCGCACCTGGAGTTGACGATGACTCGGTCTACTGCGAGGTGTTCCCATGTTCATTTCTAAATTCGCCACAATATGAGGCACAAGGAGCTAGCTCCCAGGGCTCTCCTTGGCCTGCCCGGATCATGTATCTCGATCACCGGAAAAAGTCTACAAACTCCCTGACGAACGATTTAGCCCTGACTGAAAATCTCGACCGCTCGAGGGCTTCATTCTTGACCTGTGCAATCTCAATCTGTTTCTGCAACTCCGCCAGTCGGCGCTGGTGTTCGGCATCTGTTTTGGCCTTGGCTGCTTGCAGTTGCATCTCCAGATATTGCTTCTGCATAGCCTCCAGACGCCTCATGTGCTCTTGCCGCTCCTTCTCCCGCTCCGCCTCGCGTTGATCCCAGAGGGCATCTGCTTGCGCTTGCATCTTCTTCCTCTCTTCGAGTTCTCTCCTGATGAACTCTTCGCGCTCCTTCCTTTCGGCCTCGAGCGCCTGCCGGGCGGCCTCATCACGGTTCTTGAGGTGTTCCTGCATCTCCTGCTTGATGTCGACAATCATCTGCTCATACTTCCGACGCATCTTGTCCATCTCGGCCTGCACTTCAGAACCTGCCGCGGTCTCTTCAAGGGTCTTTTTCTTGTTGACCATCTCATCTTGAATGGCATACACCGGCTTGTCTCGACGATCCAGGAGATACTGGATAATCGAGCTGCCCGACTGCTCCTCGAAATCATGTCGGAAAACCTGACTGCCACGGTTGACCATGTTGCCCCAGAAAGCAGGTGTTGTCTTGAGTTGGTCTTCTCGTTCTCGTCCTGTTTTCTCATCTACTTTGGCCCAGAAAGTGGTGGCGAGCACGACCGAGGCCAGGTTGCCATCGCCACAGAGCTTTTTGAACATGGATAGGTTGCGCATCGCAGCGCCGCTGAACCTTACATCTATGATTCTGTGCAAGTAGATGATTCCGGAAAGTCGGATATTTTCCGAATATGTCTTGGTAAGCCAGCTCGAAAGCTCGCGAAGTATCTCTTGGTCTGGTCGATTGCTATCATCAAACCCAGGCGTGTCGACGAGGTAGAATGACTCATCGCTGTTGGGCATCTTGCATGGGAAGATGGCCACTTGAGTGGTGACTTTGAGAGGTCAGTGAGGCCCGGTGTAAGTCTTGGTCTTCGAACTTCCTCACATGATTCTAGGTCATCACCCACTCCAACCGTGTCGGGTGTGAACAACTGAATGAAAGAGCTCTTTCCAACTCCAGTCATACCCATCAGGGCGATGACTTTGTCATCGGGGCTTGCGTGTACGGTCAGCCGCTGCGCATTGGAGCCGCCTAGAGTACGAACTTACGTTAGGGTCACAGCCATCTTCCCAACCACTGCTTTACTCGACGGCGATGAGATGGTGAGGATTGAAGAAGTTGTGTCGCAAACCACAGGTACGGTCGAGTCTTTCTGTTGGAATCAGGCTTTGGAAATCAGGCTTCGACGATGGGCGGGCCATATTACCCTCTACCGCGGCTGCCGAGAGCCTCACTCACCCGACCTTCCTCGCGTGTTCTCAACAATGGCTTGACAAAGACGGGACATGCATGGCTGCATTTGCCTTTTTTTGAGGCTCTGGACTGGGGGCCGTGCATGACACTTGTCTCGTTTATGCACTGCCACCGCCCATCTGAGTTCGAGCGAGCCAAACTTGGGTAGGAGATACAGCCAGGTCGTGGAGCAGCCGGGGGTTACCTTCGTAAATGTGGGCCCTAAAGCGGCAATGACTGACCAGACCCCGTTCGAGCAGGCGCCAGCTTCCGGTCTCGACTCTCTCGCAACCTGAGTGTCTAAGATGCCTGGAAACGTGGGCACTGGGACACGATCCAGCACTGCCAGCTTCCACCTTCGCGCCTGGCCCTGGTGCCGCTGTTGGCTCCCACGCCGAAGTTTTCCTCTACGGCGGATGAGTTCCCTCCTTTTTTACTCCAACCCCAGGATGCTGTCGGCAATCGAGTACATAGCGATCTGTGCCTTGCTCTTGGTTGCATGCTTTCGATCATCGGATGTTGTAACGTCGACCGTTGGTTTTTGTGAAGCAGCGTTGTGCGTGTTCTTTCTCTGCGCGCTATGCTTGGCACTCAAAGCAATTGCACAACATCTCGGAAGACTAATTTGGAAATCTGCAATGAAGACTCTGATATGCAGGGACGAGTTCTCACTAGACGACGGGATCGGCCTGCCTCCACCACTTCCTCCGCGAAAGAACAATGTTGTTATCGCAGTCATGGGACCAACGGGAGTTGGTAAGAGCTCGTTCATCAAAGCTCTTACTGGCGCCGAAGATATTGTTATTGGCCATGGATTGACATCAGGTGAATGACTTCTCTGACCGGCCTGTGGACCCTGCCTGCTAATGATATAGCTACTTCCAAGGTCCAATGCTACAACCTCGCCCACGAGGGGACAAACTTTCTTCTCGTCGACACCCCTGGATTTGACGATAGCAGTGGACTGGACAACGATGTTGTGCAAGAGATTCTGTCATGGTTGAAGTCATCCATGGGGGAAGGCTTGCTCTTGAATGGATTGATCTATCTACACCGCATTATTGACCCAAGGATAACTGGGACAGCGCGTTCTAATATGCGTCTATTCAGAGAACTTTGCGGAAGCGACAACTTGCACAAAGTCGTCCTGGCCACCACTTTCTGGGCAGCTGTCGACGATGAGCTGGGCCAGCGGCGTGAGGCGCAGCTTCTTGAGGACCCGAAATTCTGGAAGCCAATGGCCGAGAAAGGATCCAGGGCTTTCCGACTGAGGCAAGACCGCACGGCATACCTACAGATTTTGTCACACATCGCTCGAAAGAACGACAAGTTTTTGGTCCAAGCTCAGCAAGAAATGCGCCGTGGCCAGGAAGCACATGAGACAAGCGCCGGCAGGGCTATGAATCTTGGCCTTGAGCGTCTCAAACAAGAGTACGAAGCCAAAGTGGTCGATGAGAGGCGAAAGCAGCAGGCCGTGCTTGATGAGGCCGACCGTCGACGTCGTACAGAGCGCCGGAAAGAGCAACGTCGACTTGAGCAGCAGCGTCGTCGCGAAATGGAAAGACTGGAACGAGAAGCGAGAGAAAAGGACGAAGCGAGACGGGAGAGTGAAGCTAGACAAGATCTGCTTCAGAAGATGCAGCGCGAGGCAGAGGAGCGAGAAATGCGTCAAAGATTAGAGACGGCCGCTCAAGTTCTCCGACAGCGCCAGGAGGAGGCGGCCCGGCTCCGACAGCTCTCTTCCTATGTCTGCCAGAACTTCGACACCAAAAGAGTTCGCTGTAGCAACTGCAACACGCGTCTTGATCTCGTTGAAGGTGGCAAATGGTGTTACCGTGAGCACATCCCACCGGCCGCCCCTTTTCGGACTGAGCTAATATCATCCAGACTGTTGCCACTGCGATAATGACAGGCGATATCATTGCATGAGGTGTGGAAATCGGTGTCCGTGGAGCCACTTGCATCCCCCTATGAAAACTCGTGCTGTAACTCAAACGTTCATTGGGATTCTGCTGGGTTGATATATTAGAGAGAACAATCGGAATCGTTGCTTCTTGATAGATCTATCCCATCAATATATCAAAGAGGCTAGTACCACGCCTTCTCTTCAACTGTTTGTTCTTCTTTTTCAGACGATGTAGCTCGCCCCTCAACTCGTGACTTTCGTCTTCGTAACGGTTTATCATTTGTTGGATGGCCCGCCGGCTCTCAACACGCTGTTGCTGATTCTGTTGTACCATGATTTCCTGCAATCTTGCCATCTCGACCTGGTGCTTTCGTTCGGCTCTGACAAGTCTCTCTTCCAAATGAGTTCGTTCAGAATGCAACAGCTGATTCTCAGATCTCAGCGCCACAGAGCTCTCGTCACCTGAAGTAGACCTAGCGTCACCTCGGAGATTCCGCTCATAGACTTGGTCATGTAGACGTTCAAGCTTGACATTGAGCTGCGATTTCGCAATGAGCATGGTCTCTTTTCGGCGCTGATATTCCATTTCCTCGGCGGCCAAGGCCTCAGCCAGTTCGTGGTCTTTGTCCAGTAAGGCTTGTTGGCGTTCCTTCTGCAACTTCTCGACCTCAATTTCGTAGTGCTTTCGGAGTTTGTCATTGTCATCAGCGATGAAGCGCCCCGCTGCAGTGTCGAGCAATGATCGCTTCTCGTCCAAAATCTCCATCACGATCGCAAGCTTAGGAGGGGGGTCCCTTCTCGCGAGCAAGGACGAGATCACTTCCTGCGCCGACTCCCGATTCCCCAAATGGCGATGTGTGATCGCACCGTTGCGGATCAGCGTCGCCCAAAACTTATCCGTCGTCCGCAACTGGTCTTCGAGTCGGTAGGCCTTGTCCAAGTCTGGGCCGATCATATCGAACTCATTCCAGCGAGTCGTCACGAGACGGACAATGGGCATCGCCGAGGCACCCGTCAAGAGCTTGAAGATCTCCAGAGTCTTCAGCGCCGAACCCCCCATCCTCGGATCTGTGATACGGTGCAGATATATCATCCCCGAGACCTTACCGCCACGTTCATAAAGCTTGGTCAAAGACACGATGAATTCTTCCAGGATCTCAATATTCTGTCGCCCGGTGTCGTCGAATCCTGGCGTATCGACGAGCCATGCCTTACGGCCGTCGGGGCATCGAAACCTGTGCGCCGTGACATTTTTGGTTTCTTCGTACAGGGCGTTAGCAATCGGTCCGTCTAATCGGAATGGACACCGACTTACTCGACTGAAGCCCATGTCCAACTTCAACGGCATCCTCTGACAAGAGAGAGATAAAAGTGCTCTTCCCGGCCCCAGTAACCCCCATGATCACAAACAGCGGGTCGGCTGGGTTGAAGGCATCTTCGTCAGGGAGGCTCTCGGGCTTATCGTCATCCTCAACCGCCACAAAAGATTCCGGTCGTGCATTTGCGTCTGGCTTTGACGATCTGGACGGCACCGGCGGCGGCTCACGTTTGCGCTGCGTACTTGGTATCATCTGTCTGTCCGCCGTGGCCGTTGGTTGTCGCATCATTGCCGCATCGCTCCTGACTTCTTCGCCATCCTTCGGTGGCTCAAGGCCGCTCGGCCGGTTTGCTACATGTACCCTCGCGGAATCATCCCAAACACCATGACTCGAGGCTGGTCTTTGGCCATCTCGGGGTCGATCTTCGCGAGGCCTGGCTTGCTGCGCAGAGCCCGAGTCCCGATATGCAGTGGTAGCTGCTTGACGCGCTATTGATTTATTATCCATGAGCCCGTTTGAGCAGAGTCACGGTTCTGTGCAGCTGCTCGAAATTGTAAAGCCTGATTCAATTTCACTACGGATGTCCCAGATGTCCTCAGCATGGCCACAACAGTCGACCTCAGGCTGAATGATTTCACTCCATACGGTCCCTCTGGCCCTCGCTGCTTTAGTGACACGAAAACGTGGCTGCAGTAAAGGCCTCGCATTCTGCACGCCTTCCTGCAGCTCGGCACGCAACGGTGCCGCTGAGCGACACAAGCCAGATCAACCAGGTGCGGCTGAACGACGCAGGACCGAGGCGCAGCGGGAGCCTGAGACCTGCAGATCAGGCATCCAATTATTTCTTAGCAGGTGCCTCGGGGGCCGCAAAGGGCGCTCGTGGCCCAGCCGAGACCCCGGGGCTGGTCTGGGAAACTTCAGTCTCGTCCTTTTCACCTGCGCAGAGCCTCACAAAGGTGGATGGCAAATTGATGTGATAAGCCCCATGGTGAGAGCAGAGGGTGGGAAGTCAAGAACTGGTCGAACGCATGTTTCATCGATCGAGTCTCAAGCGAGCCCGTCCGACAGAAACTTGCACTATTCTATCCAGGCTCCTCTTATGGTCAGCGGAATGGCGACCTCACTTTACGTAAAATCATGAGGCTGGATGCAGAGCCATACAAACCTCTTGGTAGGTGCCTTTTGTGATGTAACAAACAATTTGTCCGCAGAGCGCCGGAGAAAAAGGCCCAAGTAACCAGGCCTTGACAAATGCCATAACACAGCCCACAGACAAGATTTCCCGAATTGGGGGCCAGCCTGATGCGTTGATTTCACTCTACCGCGCACTCTGGACCTCGTTCGCTTGGTGGTCAAATTGGCCATCTCGTCCCTGCGAGTATTGTCACTGACTGGACTTCCTCACGCTACTCCCGATTGCAGTAGTGGACTGCACACACGAGACCTTTTACAACAATTAACTTGGTTTGAGCGAACACGAGTCCAACGATTCCCAGGATGGACACAGAACCAGAATTGGTAGACTCCGCGCAAATTCTGAAGTGAGTAGAAGCAGGCTGAAGATGGCCGATTGGAATGCTCTGACAATCACATCCAGTCCCCAAGATGTCTTCATTGCGGTCATGGGCCTTACGGGTGTGGGTAAATCTACCTTCGTGACCTTGTGCACTCAAAAGGAGATCCAGATTGGCCACAAACTTGAGTCCTGTGAGACGCCCTCGCAATGTGTCAAACGCCCGGCTTGCTAAATGTCATGCCCAGGCACGTCCTCGGTATCAATCTTCTCATTTCGGCATAAGTCCAAGACTGTCCATCTCATCGACACACCCGGCTTCAACGACACCACGCGCTCCGAATCAGAGGTGCTGCAAGAAGTTGCGTACTGGCTGTCGACAGCATACGGCAAGGCCGACGCAAAGCTGGAAGACAGGTTCCGCCTCAATGGCATCGTCTACCTCCACTCCATCGCGGACGTTCGATGGAGTGGTTCCACGCGCCGAAGCCTGAATATGCTTCGTACCATCTGCGGCCCCGAAAACTACGATGCCATTGTCCTGACCACCACATTCTGGGACCAAGTGGACCGAGAGACAGGCAAGGTCCGCGAGGCCCAACTCATCGGAGACATGAACAAATGGGGCCAGCTTGTCCACACATCCCCCAAAAGCTCGGTCCGAAGACACGACCAGGGGTATAAGACTGCCATCAACATCATCGACGGCATCATAGATCGAGGCGTCAAGTACGAATTGCTCATCCAGAAGGAGCTCGCGAAACCCGGTGCCACGCTGCACGACACCACCGCCGGTCGCGAGGCCCAACTGCTCTGGGAGAAGGACATTGAGCGCTTTCAACAGGAGCTCGGCTATGCCAAGGAAGCAATGAAGGAGAGCCAGCAGCAATCCGACGGAACCCTCGTCACTGAGATGGCCAGGCTCAAATCGTCCATCAACCAGGGCCGGGCCGCGCTCAGCGAGTTGTACCTGCCCAAAAAGGAGCTCGAGAACCGCTGGGTGTCGAGGAATACTCGCGACGTGGAACTGCTCCAGCAACAGATCGTCAAGTGTCAGAAGACCATCGAAGACTTGTTCAAGCGATCTGCCAGCACTTTGTCCCCGTCTTCAAATGGCACTCCGCCACCGGCCTACTCGCGGCGGACGAGCGACGAGTCTACGGCGTCGTCGGCGAACAGCCTTCTCGAGCAGGAACGCCGGTGGAAGAAGGACCTCATGGCGCAGAAGATGGCAAAGCTGGCCGCGAGGAGCATGCATATCAATGTTGCGTCGGCGTTGTTTGGCGGCGTGTCTGCCGGAGTCGCCATCCTGCCCCTTTTGCCTTACTTGGCAGCCTGTTGCGTTATGTGAACTGATTGGAATGATGTGTGTACATAGGTAGGCTGGCGCGGGCGAGGATTCTAGCCCCGCGGCTGGCGGAAATTCTCTCGATTTGGAGTCCTTGCACAGGTGTATCTAATTTTGGTAGAACTTGGCTGCGAGTATGATTTCGAAACTGCCAGTTGCCGCGTGCTTCCTCTGCTAAGCTGGGGTGGCGCCGTGGGAGGCATTAGAGCAGAAACCTCGGTGCATGAGCCTAACGAGAAGTCCTTCGTGGTAATTTAAGCGGTTTTTGATCAACTGAGCTCATGGAGGCTGTTCCCCTTTGTCACAATGGTCGTGCCGGATTGGTGCATTGAAATGAAACAAAATGCACGGCATTAAGCATCTTTGGCCGTCATTGGTGCTGCGATGATATACTGTGCCACATGGACCTGAGAGTTATAGGTTCACTCAAATCGCTATAGCGCAAGGCATGCTTTGCGGGTGCCGGAAATGTGCAGTCGGAGCTGGAACATGTTGTCGCGAGACGTGCAGAAGTGGCTCGCAGAAGCCCCTCTTGACCGACTGGCATCATATGAAACAAACGGACGGGTCAAAGAGCCGGGGGGGGGGGGGGGGACGAGTAGGGTATGTTGAGCCGCGATAAAGTAGGAAAGTATTACATATGTACTTGTAGAACAGCCATCCCCGATCGGCTGTCATCGGAGAGGGTGTTTGTTAGCAGGCTTTGGAGGAGGATTTGTTATTAATAGAGAGGTCGGCGACTGGCACAGACTTTGGCATCGTTCGCTTGGAGATCCCCGCAGCGAAGAATGAAGACGCATGTTCAGTTCAACCACGCTCCAGAGATTCTAGAGATAGATATCTCTGCCACAGCAGCGCATTGATCGCGACGCTGAGTCAGTTCAGCTACCGGCAGAGCAGAACCTGAACTCGGGGAGCACTTCGAAAAGGAAGCCTTGCTCATGAGGAGCCTAGTGGGCATTCTACAGAGGATAAAATAAATAATGACGGCGGCCTTATTGCTGCGTAGGAGAGAATTCTGCGCTGAACTCGCACTAACCAGGATCATTCAGCCGCTTTGATCAGACGCACCGATTTACTTTGCGAACTTGTACAGCGAACCAGAGATACTATCGGTCGAGTCGGTTGAGCCGGTCTTGCTGTTCCTGTGGCCTTGGACTTTCAAGGTTGGCTGAGTGGAGCGCAAGGCTATTGTTAAGCTTAAATTGAGCCAATTAGATCGCGCCATTTGCAGATAGACGTTCAGTCTATACATCTACTGGGTACCCGCATCCGCGTCAGTTTTATGAATTCATTCAGTATTCTTTAAACCGTCACAATCGCCTTATCGAGGAGAATTCAAAAATTTAAAATATATTCCCAAAATCCCCAGTAGATATTATCCTTGTACGACTTGAGGGAGTTTGACTGCGAATTTTAGAGTTCCTCACTTCCCCGCAAGAGGAGAAGGAAATGCTTACCCAGTAGCTGAGTTCAGGGCCACTTTCACAGCGGTTGCACATGGGATATATCTGAATATGCAATCCAGTATTACATCAAGTGCACCGGAGCCCATTAACATGATTTGGCCCGCCCTTTCGTCCACATCGTGCTGATTTGTATCAAAAAACAGACATCCCAGAACGAAATCTACAAGGCAGCACGATGATGAGGGATATATGTCGAGGTGTGGGCCACCACCTTTGGGGGGGGGGGAGCCAGGTCTTGATAACGATGCAGCCTTTGACCTTTTTGGACGAGTTCTGTGCCACTACAAAAGGCCGAGTCCTCGAAAGTGTTTGGCAACATAAGGCAGATCAAGAGCGCCTAGGTCGAGTCCCCAGACGGCATAGATTTTGTTGTTCGTTCCATATGTGGCACGGGTTTCAAAGTTTCAGTGGATGGACACTTCATCCCAGAGATATCTCGCAGGAGATTTCTTGGAGAGCCCTCAGGGACCTTTCTCGTCGTCCGTGGTACGGACGCTGTTGGGTTCTGCAAGAAGTCGCCGTCTGGCCACGTCTTGTCCTCAATAGCAGGACCAGATTTTTCAGCTAGGACAGCCTCTTGGTATTTGGACGATGATTATGCATTCTGGAGGTTCATGCACGCCATCTTTGCCGAACACCTAGCGAGTCTCTGTCCGAGGTCCTTAATTCTCTGTCTAGGCTGAATGTTCTCGATGCCATCCGCGGTCAGAATTTCCATGCCTTCCTGGGCTCCAAACTTCTCCAAGCTCCGCTGCACAATTTGAAGCGATGACTGGATGTCGGCGCCGGCCAAGGCAGGCGGGACGGTGTTTACGCAACCCGTGTTTCTCGACAATGGTACCTTTATGAGACTCCCTGGCCTAGAACTGAAAACCCTGGACGGAGGTCGTGCAGCGAGATACGAATACGGCAAGGGTAATGCTGGGAATGAGACACTGCGAACCTGGGTCAACATAATACTAGCATATGTTCCTGAGTGCCCTGAAGTCTCAAGCCACTCGAGATTTCCTAGAGATCATCTCCCTCTCCAATCGGCCTTTACAAAGGGCGCTGACGCAACTCGACAGACAGCGGGATCTCGCAGGGCCTTGATCGATATTGTGACGGGCGTTCCGTTCCGTACCTCAGAGCATCTGCGCAAGTTCGATTCTTCCCTCTCCAAAATGGAACCATGAGCCTAATAGCGGGACATTCAGGGCCAGGAGATCTGATCTTCGTGCCGTGCGGCGCAAGATTCCCGATCGTGGTTCGAGAAACCGAGACACAGGGACGCTTCAATGTGCAGGGCATCATGCGCGGAGAGCTCTTGGGGAGAATCCTGAGGAGAAGTGCGAGATAATGAACGATCGACTTGGTCTAAGCTCGGTCAGCTCGGTCGCCTTCTCGCATAACTCGGCGAGGCTCGCGTCGACGTCAAGCGACAAGAGGAGCAAGATCTGGAATGCCGACAGCAGTGAGTGCCTGCAGATGCTCGAGGGCCAAAGTACCATGCCCGCGCGGTCGCCTTCTTGCACGACTCGGCGCGGCTCGCGTTGGCGTCAGACCTCAAGGCGATGAAGATCTAGGATGCCGGCAGCGGCGAGTGCCTCTAGACACCATATATTCGCACGGTACTCTACAAGAGATCATTCGACGCCATTAGCTCGTATCTCCTTACGGATATTGGTGCTATCACCCTTCAAGCTCCTTCGGGTCCAGATGTAACGCCGGATGGAAGAGAACCTTGAGATCCGCGATACTAAGGGATGATTGTGAGTTGGGACAGAGAATGGATAACATGCAATTCCGAGACCCTGATTTGGTTGCTACAGAGAGCAGTGCTTCAAGAGGATGCCTGGACCACGTTCTTGCCCTGTCAAGGAGGTTGATCGGACATTCCAGGTCGCTTGATGACGGTTGGGCCGCGGTAGGGGCTGGATCAGAACCCTGCTTGAGTTTGCGACATGTATCCTGCAAACATCAATCCACAAAACCCGCTCGGCACGGCTGGCCCTTGTCATTGTCTTTCGTCGCGTGAGCGAAATCCACTTCTGCAAACCAAGAGTCATGAGAGCGGTTTGTTGTTGTTCTTGTTGTGACCGGCGCATTCTTCAAAGGTAATCACAATGGATAGAGCCTGGACCTTGGACAGGCTGAGGGGCTCGAATGCCTGGAACGCCAGCGGGACGAGGACAAGGCCCAAGAGCTGCGTTTGCATTATTTGTTTGGACAACACGTGAGAATAAAATGATCATCTGCAAAAGGAACACGTACCTTAAAAGGCGATTCTAGCCTTCGGACTGGACAGTGCGGGATCCGACACGATCGTATGACTCGTGCAAATGCTCCAGGTGTCCTTGGATGTGCCGTGCCCAGTACATTCCAGACCCAGCTCCGGTACAGCTGAAAGATGATCCTTGTGATCCTGTTGGTTGATCTTCCTTGATGGTTGTTTGGGCCGTATGAACGTCCGTGCGACATTCGGCCGATCTTCGCGGCATCTCTGTCTCTCCTACCGCGGGCCATCTTTGGGATCAGAAATCAGGCTTTCCCGCTCGGAATAGAGCCAGGAAACTAACTCGTCGGGAGCAGGCTCAGAGTCTCAAGGCGACATACACCCGATGCCAACCGCCATCGACGATGAAATGAGACAAGGTGCAGAACTTTTCCGATGCGGAGAATCAATCCCCAACTGGGCGAGGCAAGTCCTGGCCTGCTTGCTGTTTAGTGAATTGTGGGGGTTGCGAGCCCGATTAGGGCTGTCGACGGCTGAAGGTCTGGAGAAGCGGGGAGTCGACATTTCCGTTGCCCCCCCCATCGATCTCGCAGGCACCTCCGCATCTAAAGAGAATAATCCGGAGAGAAGAATAGGCGCGCGAATGGAAGTGTTTGCCTCGCTACGCACGAAAGCAAGAATGTAAGCCCTGGAAAGGCACCTTTTGTCGTGCGGACAATGGCCGCCCGAGCCGACTTTCTGACCTCGACAACTAACAAGAGCAGGGCCAGTATGACTATTGATGATTGTTCGCCGTGTCTTGCCTGTCGAGACATGTGGTTGATGCCTGAAGCGACATGTGTTCAATCCTGCTGCAAGTCAGAGTCGTATGCTCTCTCACATGCTGATGTGCCAGCACATGGACACGACGCGCCTCCAAACGAGGCTCAGCTCGTGCCAATGTCAGCTGCACTTCGAAGGGCTGTGGTGTCAAGTCACGTTGGACATGTTGTGAGATGGGCTGGAAGACCCTGCATATCTTACAAACATGGCTGCATGCGCATCATGTGTCAGCCACGCATTTGCTATCTTGAGCGCAAAGATGTTACTCGAGGCCGGGGTCATGAACAACACCAGTATGTCGGTGCCGAGCCGCGGTGTGAGTGGGCTGACTCTGAACCAAGCGAAGGGTCTTTTGTTGACCAGACCGTCGGATTCAAGGCCGAGGCAGAGAATGAGAGGCAGCAATAGGAGTTGTTCTCTATTGGTTCGTCTCTCTTTTCGAAATGACCAGACTGAACCCCGTATTTGTGCGCCAAGAGTCAAAACGCGTTCCGTGGTCTAGTGCCGCGACAACTGCCACAGCTTGTGGACTGGGTGGTTTTATGCTGCTCGTAAAAAAAAAAAAGGACAGGTGTGAAAGTCAAAAGTCTTTGGTGTTTGAAGCGAACTATTGATCGTCTGTTCAACGCCGACAACGGAGCAGACTCTTTTTGTTAATCATCGAGGTAAGAGCTTAGGCCCGCGGCGATCAAGAACACTCCCCGTCGGCACCTCGGTTTGAGGAAATTGTCCCGAAGTCGAGTGGCTGTCGGAAACCTCAGCCATGAGAATTCGAAAAGCAAACCTTGTTTTGTCGGAGTGAAGAAAACTCGGAACAGCCTTTCGACACGAAGCATTAAGAGGGCTTGTAGCTGGAAACAACAGGTGTTGATTGGATTACAAGCGAGATTCGATACTGTGCCTACGATGAATCCGTCTCTCCCGGAGAGCTGGGCTTGATGGAGACCAACAGTGGGTAATATCTGACGGGGGTTTGAGATGGCACGGAGGGTCTGATGGCGGGTTGAGAGGTGGCGCCTTTGGGCACTTTAGCACCTCCGGCTTATGGGTCTTTTGGCTGATTTAGAGCATGGGGACTTTACCCAGGAGGCTGAATGGAGTCCGTGCTCTAGTCGGTTGAAGGAGTGGGAATATTGCCTGCGCCGCCGATCCACCATCTTGTTCCCCGTCGTAGCAACGCCCTTGAGAAATGTTCCATAATCCTTCTGGAAAATTGGTCGTTGCCACAGTACTGGATACTGGGCACGGAGTCAAGTACTTGGAGAACGGCCCTTGCAATGTCCCCATCGCACAGGGGATCCGAAGATAGGAGAATACTAAGTACAATCCACCTTGGTGTGGACTCTCTTTGATGTCACAATGAAGGAAAAGGACACCCACCAAGGGAAAAAGAGGAAGGCAAAGGGGCGACAAGAAATTTGCATTGATTGGCTGAAGTTCACCGAGGTATCTCCAGATGCGGTGAAGGTACCTCCCCAGCCAAATTTTGGCGGGAAGATACTTGGGGCTAGTTTCGGGGAACCGCGAGGCTCCCCAATGGTCTGAATAACGCAAAAACTCGACTTGTCGATCTGGCGGGCGCGGATGGAGGTACCCTGGACTCCGTCCTACAAGAAGGTAGGTAGGTACAGTATGTAGGTAGTGCATGGCGCTTCGTCCGTGTACAGTACTCCTCCTGAATATTTCGGTAGATTGCGTGTAAACTTCGGCTCCCTCTCCTGGTTGCTGGAGTAGGTAATTCAGTCCCCATACTGGGTAGGTAGTTCCACAACATTGGTGACGAAGCAAACGAGGCGCGGCAAGGCGACGCAAGGCGAAGAAATCACGGCAGTTGTTCGGTTCCGTAAATCACTATTGACTTTTTCCTTTTTGCCTGGTGTTGAGACAGAGGGACCAGGCAGTGACAATTGCGAATGTGTTTATGAAATCCAGTTATCAACCGTGGGACGCATATATTCCTAAGGCATCCATCCGGGTGCCATCCACGATGTATCGGGGGTTGCAAGTCACCGGCAGTTTTTTCGCCCTGGACTGCCCACGGCAAGAGCCCCGCGAAGGGTGGTTTTAACTATGATTTTTAAGTGAAGTTTCATTCTCTGGCGCCCGGAAACGACCGACCAGGGAGTGTTGGAGGCGCCGGTGAGTGGCTGCCCTTTAAGCTTTTGTTTTGGGCAGCAACTTTTGGATGCGCCCCAGATTTGGAGAAGCAGGTCCGGCACCGGTACCGTCTTGAGTCCTGACTCACATTGCCTTGATGTGCTGGCCATGAGGAGAGCCCCCAAAGACGGTCAGGGAGGTGATCTGGCATGGTACTGGTCAAGTGGACCAACAATGATTCCACGGTTTCTCGTAACAGCAAAGGACAAGAACAACCAAACACACAAGAATCAAGGAAAGTTCTGTTTGACCGTGGCCGCGTGGGATGAAGCAAAAGCCTTGGGCATGACGTCTGGTGGTTGTTGGATGGTGTACTGGCTACTCGGCAGGCAGTCGTATACCAACCATCCATCCACTGGCAGAATAATCAACCTTGGTCATACTTCCCAGACTCGTGCTAACGACCGGCATACAAGGCGAGATTAGGCGACGAAGAAGACCGCCTTGGCCTTTTTGTTGGTGTTAGTATTATATTATGTACCCTGTAGATGTCGAGGTCCTTCCCAATGCGGCAATCCCACAGCTTGGGGGCCGCTGCTCGCCAGTCTGCCGCCGGCTGAAGTAATCGTTTCCGGCGAGTGCCAGCGAACAGTTGTATTACCTGGTGTGGTGTTGTTTGGGAATGGCTAATGCCCTCTTACTCAGGGTCTAGAAGGGATGACAGACAGCAACAATAATGCAATGATGATGGTGATCATGAGAATAATGAGACATGAACTATGTTGAGGGAGCTAATTTTGGGGGTTGGGGTGTGTTACAGATTACTTGTTACACCAAAGAGTTATTGCGCCTTGCACATCTTTCGCGGTGGGATGGGTACGGCATACCTCGTATGTACCGCCGAGTCGTGTCGGCAATGTCGAAGCCACAAGGATGACCCGATCCCTGCTCGCCATAGCCTGCAATATGGCCGAATGCGGCATCATGCAAACGGGATGAGCATGACGAGTATTACTCGTATTCGCCGGATCCGTTGATGGTAAATGGTAGATAGTAAATGATGGATGCATAGCGAGCAGTGAATGCTGGAATACCCAGTACTACCCAGGACTCTAATTAACTGTGTGCCTGAGTCATCGCATCGCACACTTGTTTGGCTTTGGTCTTTCTTTGGCTGCCTACGGGTCTTGATTATCATTGTGCCTTCGTTTTGGCTAAATTGGGAACTTAGCAGCAGGGCAGTGAGGAACAAAAGTCCGTCTCACAATCAACACGCACTCTCCCTGGGATTCCTTCTCCGGTCGTCACCCATCACTATCCCCCTTCGCAAATTGGCTCCTGAATTAGCAGTTCTGAACGATGATAGGAAGGAGGGACGAGGCCTCAGCCAGGCTTTATCGCACGAATCTAGCCTTAACCCTGCATCCGTCGTGTGGTACTGGCCCGAGGTCGATTTTAGCCGGGGGCAGCTGTGACCCCGAGCCCCCTTTTGACTTCTTTGTTGGCGAGTCAGAGAGTCTCCAGCGGGCGTGGGGTAGCCTCCATAGAGAGCCTGGAGAGCCGAAGTAGAGGTAGAGTCCGGGTGCCTACCAGGACTTGTCCTTAGCTAGGGAGTCCCAAGGGGCAGTCTAGGCATTTCATCGGGACAGATCTCGGCTCCTCTAGGCTTCGGAACACTGACTGCACGGCCACCAACCAGCCCGTTCCAGTGCTACCAGTGCGAGCCCAGGCTCAGACTCTCAGGCTCCATCCCTCAGCTCCGGCTTCTCTCCCCTCTCTCTCTGGTCGCATCCCTTCTCCCCCCCATTCTCCATTCTCCCTTCTCCCCTTCTCCCTTCCTCCCCCCTGGTCACCGACTTATCCACCGCCAAATCCTTTTGCACGAAATTCCCCCCGTTTTCAGCTACTCTCATTTTCGTCGAACCCACGTTGGTGGCTTGTCTGGGATTCTCCCATTCGACCCCTTACCCTGCTTCTCGTCTAACCCCCGTGGCTTGCGCCTCGAGCCTAACTTGTCGCTCACTCGCCCTCACCCACGCTCGGTTGCCTGGCTGAAGGGTGAAGGGGCACGAATCGGTGTCACATTCACCCTTCACACACAATCAGAATCATCCCTTTTTCAGGCGGTCTACTGACCGACAGTCAGCGCCGCCGGACTGTGACAACAAATCATCCTGTTTGGGGGTTTGCCTTCTTCTAAGAGTCAGTGTGTGTTATAATCTGAGTTGCCTGCCCTGCTCTGCCTGCGTGCCTCGACAACTTCGACACAACTCTACTTCCTCTCCTCCTCCTCCTCCTCCTCCTCCTCCACTCCTCAAACCATCCTGGCATCTTCATCCAACGACTACCTAGGAACCGGTACCGGATCACACACTATCGACATCGACCCTCACTATCCAGCAAGCCACCCACCAACCCCTACGTCCGCATCACCTCAACGGTCCGCCGATTCCGACGTGCTCTGAAACCAGCCACTCAAACGCGGAACCGCTAGCGTCTCGCGGAACCCATCGATACGGTGCCAAAAGCGACAAACCTTTTACCGTTGCTCGCCCACCCCCCACAACCCGAAGCGTCAACGCTACAGCGCTACAACGTAAGACCCATACGACACAAGGGGGACAAGCTCCGAACCCCGTTTGTGTCTTTTCCCGTCCTAGGCCCGAGGTCGCACCGCTCCATCGGGTTTTCGCCATTCTCCATCTGCCCAAAAAGAAAAGAAAAAAGCACGGGGAAGGGTCAAAAACACTGACACGACTAATTTGCTTCTACCACCCTTGCACCCGCGACAGCATTAATAACTGGGATACTCCCCCGTTTGGGCTTCCATCTTGGTCACCCTCATACACCAACAACCCCTTTCACAGGCTCTCAGCACAGCCGCCCTGACGAGGCATATATTGACCACTGGGATTCCATTGACCTGCACGCTGACCGAACCGGGCCAACCACCGAGGCGAGCAGCAGCGGCAAGTCGACCGATCACAGTCTCCATCACGCCGAGTCACCGTTCTCCGGCCTTCTCCTGAACTCCAGGTCGTTTAGCCGACCCTCATCCGTCCGCCGTGGCCGTTGACTCGACACAAAACCATAATACTCGCGCGGATTGCATCACCACCCGCAACCAGCCCCAGTCGTCTTGCCACACTCCCGCACCTGGGAATCCGAAATCCCGGATCTGGCTGCCAAACAACACACCCATCATCATAATATCACGGGCCCCCCAAACTCTGTGCTTGTATATCAGACTCGACATCCCCGTCGCGTCGTACACAACCATCCACCGCCGTTCCACCCTCAAACACAACACAACAAAATGTTCTTCTCATCACCCACCTCTAACATTACCCCGGCCATGACATCGGTGGCTATGTCGCGTTCAGACTCTCGCGACTCCACCTCGTCCAACGCCAACTACTACACTTACGCGCCTACCTCTGCCTACACGGCACTCGTGAGCGCGTCACCCACCTCGGCATGGCCTACCTCTCAAGCCCTTGCTCGAACAGACAGCAACGCATCATCCACCTCTACTTCGACTTCATCACAGGCTCAATCCATTGCCATGCGCCGCGACAGCAGCAACTCAACGTGGATGCCTAGTCCTTACAGGTCATGCATGTCGTCCTTTGGCGCCGAGCCCAACTCTTACCTGTCTGATGACGACCTTCTCTGTCCCGCCGAGGAGCTCAATCTTCCTGTGGAGAACATTCCGGCGTTGGCTCCCAAGAAGGAACTCACCACCGAAGAGCAAATTGCCTTCGTGCGTGAACTACAAGAGAAAGAGGTCGCCGCCAACTACCCCCAGGCAGCAGCCCATTACTCGCGAGACGCGGACGTCAGACGCAGAGTCGTTCGCTTCGCCAACCAGGATGCCGCAAACAGCTCAAGCAAGTCGCGTCGACCCAGTGCCGTCAAGGGACGTCAGCCTGTCCAGCGACGTGGCACGCGCTGCCTGAACGGTCCTCAATGAGGAAATGAGTCTGGGGCTGGCCCTAGCCACATGATGTGTTTTGTGTGTGTTGTCTAGCAAGCGATTTTTTGGGTCCCGCGAGCGGCTACCAACTTGCTCCATTTGGAGCAGTTCTGTTTTGCATATTTTGCGAGCATGGGATACGGTCTACGATACCCCCGCCTTCATGGCTGATTGGATACGATATGAACATGGTTGAGTCCATTATGACTCCCTCTTCACCTCACAGAGGATTTCAGAGCTCCAGAGCCCTCTAGCTTAGTATTATTAGTTTAATCAATACCAACTGTTGAAAAACAGACACATTGCTGTCCTTCATGTTCTTCTGGTGACCCAAATGGCTGCTAGCCTTGATTGACTCACGCTCTAGCTTTAGGTGTAACGGGCAATTGAGTCGAAAGGGTGAAGCTTCTGCTTGTATTTCTCATTTTCTTGACGCATTCGCTGCTTCCTTTGTGTGAACACACCCAGAGATCTCGATGCTCATGCCGATCTCCCATTTGGCCGGTTGATCCCTAGGGGAGGGGGGCCGTAGTGAGCAAAGAGCGGTATGTACACTGGTGTCAACAAGGCCTTGTACCCAGATTGCCGGCAACTACAACCTCTACACAGCAAACACGACATGACGCAGTGGCCGTCAATACGAGTTCCTCCCTCCCGAAAGGTGCGAGCACCCCCCGGGGGAAAAGAATCGGCCGATTACTTCCTGGGGAAAAGAAATCCGCCGATGGATGGATGAGTGGACGAGTGGGTTGAAAACCGAAACTCGGCAGTTCCGCACCACTTTCACATGATGATTCTCGAGACTTTCACGGCACTCTATCTACCCAGTACCAGTATCTCGATTCCTAATGATGATGATGGTGATAATGTCGAGACGGTGAATACTTCTTAGTGTGAAGTGAATCAGGGTGGTGGAACGGGTGTGCGGTTCCCATTGAAGCATGAGCATGTCTCATTGAGAGCTTGCCAGGGCGACCGTCGCCTTCCATCGGAAAACAACTCCTGCTATTGCTGCTACTGCTGCTACTGCTGCTACTGCTGCGGCTCCGATTTTCAGGCTGATTCCATACGAGGCCCAGTCGTCACCATTGGTTACCAGGATTCCAATGAGTTCCAGGAGAGCAGAGAAGGTAGGTGAGGTCTTGACTCATCAAGAACTGTCCAGCACCATTTCCCTTCCTCCCTCTTCCCCCCCTGCAGTGATGCTCGAAGGTCGAGCTCCATCTTTCGCAATCATGTCGGTGTAACAAGTAGGATGGTTCGGGTGTCACGCTCCGGACACTTCAGCGGTTGTCTGTGGAAACCATTCTTTCTGCTACTCGATGAACCTTGGGCGATGCGAAGTTGCAGAATTTTCTTCCTGTCCCCGACAATTTGCACAATTTGCTTTTGGGGTCATCGGGTATTCCCTCAAACAGAGTTTGCCAGAGAAGCCAGGCCGTTCATCAAGCCTCCAATCATGTGGGATTGTTTCTCGTACGGAGTTCTGCCGAAATTTCGCAGCCTGGGTTCGCGCTTTTTCCGATTTGTGCTAAAGGCCCCCCTCTCGAATTCAGGAGGTCAAGGTTACGGCTTTTCCCCCCTCTTCCAGGTGGGTAGAACATCACCACTGTGCCTCGGGTATTGAATTCTTCAGGCAGGATAAACACTGCCGTGCTTGGAACATCTTACCTTGAGCTATTACGTGCGCTCCCAAGAGGCGATGGCGAAATCTTTGCGGGTGGACACAGTCAGAACTCAACTTCGGTGCCGGCAAATTCGTCATTCTTCGGGTTCCTTCAAGCCCGAGATCTCTAGGTGGTGTCGGCGACTCATGTCCTTCTTGGGTTTTGTCCGCGAATGAACCAGCGGAAAAAGCACCAACAGTTTTCGAGGTTGGTTGGTCCCTCCCCCACCACATGGCGTTGTCACCGTTGCTTTTGCGCGTCTCCTCCCTCACGATGATCGCCACAGATGGGCAGTCGAGGGAGAATGCGTCAAATAGTGCCAGATGCAGGGGTTCGTGCCACTACCACATGGCAAACTATATACCTCTGGTAAAGCATGCTACAGCAGGTAAGTGGACTGCCGATCTGAGTAAGTGGGAGGGTCACTGGGAGATTTTGGAGCGCTAGAAGGGGGGGGGAATCTTCTCTTGCTGCTACGGTGGGAGAGACTACCGGGTTCCAGGAACAATGTCCACTCACACACATCAGCTCCACGTGGATGGCACGGAATGTTACGAAGCAGGTGGGAGGATTCACTTCTCTTGGTCTGTCCAGCCACGCAACGGTCAGGGAGATGCCGAAATTCCTGCGAGAGAACACCGCCACAGGCTTCAGCCACTTCATTCACATGACTCGCATCGTTGCGTATTACTAATACGATGCCACTGATTTATCGGGGTGGCATCTGAGTGGCGACATTCCTTCAAGCCAATCATGGCATCATAGACAGGCCATGGTGTCCTTGTCGGCCTCATTTTTCGGTCTCATTTTTCGGTAGACCGATCGGATATATTTCCCTTTGGCACTCGAGAAATCAAGTTTTCCCCCCTGTTTCTGTCGTGGCGAATGCTGGCAGCAAATCTCGGAGCAGTCAAAGTTCAGGCATCAATGTATGGCCTTGCTTTCGTCCGGAGAGAACTAAGTAACTTTCCTGTAGACCTCCGGGTGCGGACTCGGAGGGCGAAGGAGGTGGATGCCTTTGCCACCGAGGCTGCTACTGATGCGACAGCGACCGTCGGGGTCTTGGCCATTGCCATCCTCCGAGAGAAAGCCGAGAAGAGAAATTGCAAGCTATTTTCGCCTGAGGTGTCGAGAGAACCGTTTCTTATGTTAACTAAATGTCGTGTAAATCCAAAATGTTCCTTGCCAAACAAGATACCAAAAAACCCAAAACCATGATAAACCCAGGAGGGACTAAGGAAGCCACTCTTACATGGAACATGAACGCAAAGGCTACGTGCTGGCCGACTTCCTACATACTCCTGCCACTCGCCAAGGTGAAAATCGGTACGTATTCGAACGTACTGCTCCTTGCTGTTGTGTGAATCGTTCCCTTGGACTCCCCGGACAGCATCTTCCGCTTGATTCTTTACGGTGAACCAGACCAATCTTACCAATGTCCATCGACCTTGCATGACGGAAGACCATCCGTTCCAGCCGACAGGCAACGGATCAGTCGTGCTCCGTATTGACACTCTTGTCTCAATTCAAAACATGGAAGATGATCACATCGTGTAGGTTCTGTCTGATGGTGACAACGAACCGTCCATGACCGAGCCTTCCCTTTCCACCAGGCCAGTGGTTCACCGGGTTTTGACCAAGTCTGTGGTCTTCTGGGGGCCACAGAGACTCACAGGAGCGTTCCGCGCCGAAAAGAAGACGGTTTCAAAATGTGGAGGAGCTGTTTCGTGAGGAAGCCAGGGCGCAAATTCCCAGATAGGGGACATCGTATTCTCGTTGCGATTGCCTCACTTGTTGTTGTGTACCTACCAAAACTTGACATCTTGCAAGCTGCATCGACCACGGGGCCGGTCAGAACTCGCAGCCCCATCACCGATTCCCTCTGAGGATTGACGCAATCCTTCGTGCGTGATAGAGATGAAATGCGACCGGTACAAACTATCACCAATCCTTCTCGGAGCACCAAACGCACACGCGCGGTTTGCCTGCCGCGACTGTTTCCCATCACCGCTTCTACTGATGGAATTCTTAGGCGATAGATACCACGCAAGGACCATGCACGAGCGTCGACCGGTCTCGGATGACAAGAGCGCTCAGTATTAGACCTCAGGGCCTATGTGGACACTGCAGGCGACTCATCATTCTGATATCATGGTTTAGGCTCAAGAAACTGGTCGGCTCAACGGAGGCGTCGACGCTATCTTCGAGAATGTCAACCACTCCTTCCGCCCGGACAGCCAAAACTCTGTTGGATGGTTGGGCATGCAATTCTGCAGGGGGAGAGAAATCCTATTCTGCGAGCCTTGATGATGTTGATCACCATTCCTCGACCCATGCAGCGCCATGGGTTTTTTGCTCAACAAACCCTGGTTTGCCTGTTGGAGACTCAATTGTGCAGCGGGCGCCAGCCCCTTGTTCGAATGGACCGCTTCTCGGGCCGATGAGCCCGTACAGCCCTGGTAGGTGGCCCCGCTGGCGCATACGCGTCGGCTCGCAGCATGAAAAGACGATGAAGGCACCTGTGCACTACGTATGCACCTCCCACGGATTGGCTATTCACGCAAATCATTGCGCAGAGCATGCCGAACGCCTGGTGCAGCGTCGCGAAGGGCGCCTTGCATGCAGCCAACACTCCCAGCGGGCCGGTTTACAAAGATCCGACGAAGCTGTTGCCATCAGCTTGAGCCGCATGAAGATGCATGCTAGACAAACTTGGAACAACGTATTACCGTTAGCAAGCAAGAAGCCAGCTGATTTTTGCACGAGGAAGCGGCAACTCATTATAGAACAGCTCACTCGTTTGCTCATCACCGACAATGCGGAACTCATCAAATCGCCGATGATCTAAGCAGCTTAGATGAGTGGTATTGCTGAATCTCCGTCCTGACTCTGCGCTCTCACGGGCTGCTGACAGTCATGGCACGCTGATGTTGCTAATGACGCCTTGTTGTAGTGTCAACGTTGACGTCCGCCCCAGGATCTGAGGCCATCTTTACCACATCCTCACTATTGTTTACCCGCGATACATGTCTAGTTGTCCACAGGTTTCTCTGGTAATCGAGGAAAATGCTTGTTCTCATCGTCCTCCTCGATCCGATACCCGCACCCGGTGCAAATCGGGACAGAAATCTGGCCGCCCTTAAGGACAATGACTCGATGCGCTTTCACCGCACTATACCGATGTAATAAATCAAGAGGGAAGCCGAGGTCAACGTGTCTCGCTTCCTCAAGAATTGGTGGCATCTCCGCAAATCCCCAGGATGCTATCTCCTATAGCGTCTTCCGGAATGCGGGAGATGGTGGGTTTTCTTTCTTACGCCTAACTGGCTTCTTAAAGTTTTCAACACCTTCTTTGTACCTTGACGTTCCTCATACCAAGGCAATAAAATCAAGAACGGAGACATCAAATCCTTGCCTCGTAGAAAGGTAACTGGTCAAATGGCATCACCCCAGGAGTTTCTCCCTACTACTGCTGCTGCTGCTGCGGGGCGAAAGAAATCTAGCGCTGCGACAGAAAAGCGGTAAGTTGAATCGACGTGATCGATGGAGGCATCCATACTACCAAATGCAATGCTGACCGCGCGATCCCGCTGGGCTACCTAGCAAGCTCCGCAACCGCCTCTCCCAGCAAGCGTTCCGCGCGCGGCAGAGTCTGGAAATCAACGAGCTTAAGCAGCGGCTGGAACTCTTTTCCGGCTCCGAGAGCGACCGCAACAGCAGGCTGGTCGAAGAGAACCGCAGATTGAGACAGTTGCTGTGGCAGTCGGAGAAGAAGCTCCGGAGCCTCCAGGCGACGCTGAAGGGCATCATCGACGCCATGGTAGAGAGCAGAGAGAGCAACTTTGTAAGTCAAGTTCTGTCTTGAATAGCTCGCCAGGCATCACATCATGGCTCAGCCTCGTGCAATCCCGGGTCCTTTTTCCAGGTCTCTAATGAGAAATATCTATCAAGGATGCTCATGCCCAGCACGCGGAACCCGGACTCGATGTAGGTGATGATGAAGAAGGACTGGATCCGTGGGCGACTGATCTCAACATGCTTTCCTCTGGCCACACTGACACCGAACCACTGTCGGCATCTCTTAGCGCGATGTTGGACACAAATACGTGTCCTGCCTCGGGCTCTGTCATCTCATCATCCAACGAGACGCCTCCCGCGGAGACAACATATGCGGCTGAGCCGCCAGTGCCGATATCGTCTAACGAAGACTCGCTGGGAGAGAGTGTCGATTGGACCGTCGGCCGGGGGGTGCAAGCAGTATCTACGACGACGTCGCTGCGACATAGTCCTCCAAACTCGGTCGCCTTCCCCATCTATCGCAATCTGCAGGTGATGGCCCGTTCTAATTACTCCGAACATATCCATGCATACGAGATGTGCGCCGTGACCGGCTATTTGGGCGCCAGACAAAATCCCGATCTGAGCAGGTACGTATTAGTATTCCGCGGCGGAGGACGCGGAGATCTGCTGCGATCAAGCTGCTGAGAAATGTGCTTTTATCAGTCTCAATCGAATGGTCTCCAGCCTCGTCTCGGCTTTCATTAAGGTCGCCTGGGGCGGCATGGAATCGTGGATCCAATGGACCAACGGAAAAGACACGCTGACCAAACTTGCGGCGTGGCGTATCTCCCCAGGCCCAGAGACGTTCGCAGCCATACCGCCGTCGATGCAGCCGACGCCGCTGCAGACGGCGGTGCCTCATCCGCCCGTCATCGACTGGTGCGTCTTCTCCTTCCTCCGGGACAAGCTGATCCAGTACCACTCTGCGGACCCGGCGCTGGACGACATCTGCGGCGACATCGGGCTGGCGTACGTTGTGCAGGCGGACCTGTCGGAATTCGTGCTCGGGGCCGAGCCGCTGACGGTCTACTTCAACATCCACGACATCATATCCGGCATGGAGAGGAATCCTACGTGGCTCACTTCTAACATTGGGCCCAAGCCCGAGGTCAAACTGCCCGCCCCGGACCTCTACACGCTCCTGCACTCGCGCGAGTACGCGCACGAGATGCACCGCCGGCTCAAGATCGGCCAGGGCGTCGAAGAGTACCTGCTCGACCCGGCCCTGTTCGTCAAGTACCCGCACCTGTACGAGCCGAGTCTCAAGGTCGCCCAGGGCGTGCCGCTCAGGTCGCGCAACAACATCTCCTGGCCTGCGCCCCGACCCCTCGACGACGTCGCCATGAGCTGGTACCGCAAGTGTGCGTCGTATCAGGACGGTCAGGTGCCAGCGCCGGTGCCAGCGAGGGCATATCATCGACACGTTCTGGAGGAGGGCTAACTGGATTTTCCTTGCCCTTTTTTGTGGCCACGTCTGTTTTCTCTCTGTGTCCGAAACAGCGGCATATCTTTTTTCCCCCTTTTCCCCTTTTTCTTTTCTCTTCTCTCAATCGACTGTGGACATGTCAAAAGATTGGGGGCAAACACAACTGGACGAGCGCAATCTACCGCCAATTCCATCCGGGTTCACTTACGCAAATTCCCCGCACACCGGGGAGTTGGAGGGGCATCTAGGTATGGCACAGCAGCAACAACAGCAGCAGCACTGTTTTCAGATCTACTTTTTCATTTCTCTTCTGCTTCTTCTTCTCCTCCGCATCAGGCCTGTTGCGGTAGGTCCTATCCCTTCCAGGGTAGAGGCAGATCCAAGCTCCACGGCACATCCTCGTTGCGAATGTACGGCGCCAGGTCGACTTTGCGAGCGCCGTCGTTTGCATTGTTCTCGTGTTCCCATTCCAAGTCCGTCCGGCCATTACCCAAAAACGCCCAGACGTTGTCGGCCTCGTAGCGCAGGTCGTAGTGCTCGTAGCGCGGCACCCGCAGCGTTTTCAGGTGGTGCAGCAGGCTGCCCGGCCAGATGTAGACGCGGCCGTCGGGCTTGTTGTCCTTGTACCACGAGCGGCACTCCTCAGCCCACACGCTGTACTTCTTGTGCCACGCGTCCAGGTGCTGGTTGATCTGCGTTGTCGGGCCCTGCCGCGGCTCCATCGCCCGGATCCCTTCCTCTTGCATCTTGCGGCAGCATTGCAGCGCGTATTCGAGCTGGACCTCGTGCTGTTTGTTTTGGCCAGGACATGTGAGCAAGGAAAACACGCAGACTTTGGGGTTGGAGAAGGGGGGGGGGGGGCGTTCCTTTCATTTTCTTTCCAAAGGACAGTAGACTGACGAGGCATTGTTAGGAAGGGCAAACAAAAGACTTGCTTACCGAAGGCAGGGCACATCCCTGGCCCCAGTTCCCCGTCGGGCCGTTCACGACAAAGTAATTGGGGAACTTTGGCGCTGTGATGCTGAGGTAGATATTGGGCGTTTCCTTCCACTCGTCCTGCATCACGGTCCCGTCCACGCCCGTGATCTTGAAGTGCGGCGTGTACGCAATGTCGAACCCAGTCGCGCACGCGATGATGTCAAAGTCCAACTCCTCGCCGGCGGCCGTCACGAGGCCCGTCTCGGTGAATCGTGCGATCTCGTCGTGGATCACCCTGACGTGGTCCAGAATCAGCGTCTCGAGATAGCCTTCTCCTGGCGTCAGCCTCCTGCACCCCGGCGACCACTGCGGAATGAATCGTTGCTTCAAATCGTCGTGGCCCGGCCCGATCTTGGCCAGCATACTCGCTCGCATCGACTCTCGGGCCTGGACGTTCAGCTTCGTGCCGCGAAGGAACATCGGGAACATCTCGGTCAGGGCCGACTCCAGCCTCTTCCGATACTGGAGATGGAACTCGGGGTCCGTGCGGAATTTCTCTTTCTCGGCTTCGATGTAGTAGTGTTTCCCGACCGCGGCTGGAGTCTGGCTGTTCTCGTCTATCTTTTGTTCGTCAGCGGCGACCTGAGGTGCGATATAGGTCATGTTTCGAGCAAAGACGGTCAAGCTATGGGACCCTGCCACACGGTACTTCAGTCAAATGTCTTTTAGATGTCAGAATTGTCTTGTAGTTTGTTACCTCTGGCCAGATGCGGCACCATTTGAATAGAGCTTGACCCTGTCCCCAGCACAGCCACCTTCTTGCCTTGCCAATCAATTGAGGTGTCCCAGTTGGCGCTGTGAGCGAGGGTGCCCTTGTAGAAAGAGATACCATCAATGGCGGGCCCTGTGGGAGGTTTTCTGTAAGATTCTTTACCAGACACTGTCTTTCGCGGGTTTCGAGCGAGTTCAAAACTCACATTTCCACTTGTTAACCACCCCTGAACCATTAATCAGGACATTGCAGCGATCCGTAAAAGTCTCGTCTCCTTTTTTGAGTTCAACTTCCCCTAGAATTTCCGTGGGTGTCAGACAGAATTCTAATCAGTGCGGCCGGCCCGGTCATTTCGTTGATTTACGTATATATCGCAGACTCACATTCGCCCCGATCTTCGAACCAGGTGGCGCTCAAGACTTCGGTGTTTAACCGCACATATTTCGCCAACTTATATTCGTCGTAAAACTTCTCGAAATACTTTTGTATCTCGTCTGAGCGCGAATAGAACCCCGACCACTCCGGGTTGGGTCGAAAGGTGTAAGTGTACGTGTGAGCGGGAATGTCGCAGGCACATCCAGGATATCTGTTCTCCCACCATGTTCCGCCGATGCTTGGATTTCTTTTCAGAGACAGGGATTAAAACAATCAGCTTTTACACCGATTCGGTGATACTATGGGCGGTTGGGAGTGTTTGTCTTGACATACTTTTCATAACAAATGAGCTCATAATTGCGTAACTGTCTCTCAGCCTTGTAGGCTAGCAAGAGCCCGGATGCTCCTGCCCCGACATGGATGATCTTGAGCTTTCGCGGTTGCGAGTGATATTGATCAAGGATCTCATACTCGCCGACCAGGTTTGCGATCATCTTGAAAGAATATGTGAATGTGCTCACACTCGCTGTACTAAAAAAAAAGGCAGGAAATATGTACTTACAAACACTCGAAGACAATATTTCAAAATATCAACCAGAATGAAGATGATCCCGAGACGGGTAGATACCTTCTCTTCCTCGGGACGATATGGGATGCTCCGCGCGGGCTAGATTGCCTCGGCCTTGTATCAGATTGCTGCTGACCGTGAAAGTCGCAACTGCCCAGAGCGATGTATCATTGGGCGCCAGGATCAGAAGCGAGCGATCACTGAGATAGTGCGCCCATTTGACTTTCTTTTGCCGTTATGGTTCAAGCCTCGAGGTGTCTCAAGTTCCTCTGGCCTGTGCCAATGAGGATGATAGTTGTTCTTTGAATGCCGCGGCAGGAAGTCATCAATTCCTGACTCGTCAAGCACTGTCAGAAATCAGTTACTATCCCTGTCCGAAATATCTCTGGGTCAAGTGGGACTCTGATATCAGAAGGTCGGTAACACTGCTCTTCAATCAGCTTGGCTCTATGCATCTGTTAGCTCGGGAGGTGTTAAGATAAACTTGGACTTGCAGCGGGATAAGTTGGGTTATAGAACAAGCGCCATGTATATCGTGCGGTTTGGCGCTTGGCACTTTGCCCAGTGCGTCTCAGTTGAACATTGAATGGGTAGATGTGAAGCATAGCTAGTTTATTGTATTTTTGAATCTATAGATTTTGTCATAGACTCTGTGCCCAGTTTCTAAGCCCAGTTGTTGACGAGGAGGTCGCTCTTCACCTCTTCGCCTTCATGCGTGACCTCCAGTAACGGAGAGTACTTCCCCCGCGACATAGCTGGCTTCGTCTGAGAGGAGAAAAGCAACGGCTGAAGCGATCTCAGAAGGTTTGGCGACCCTTCCAAGAGGATTGCTAGGTAACGTATCGAGGAAGCCTTTCTCTTCTTCGGCACGTTTGACAAAGGCAGCAGTCGCCGTAGCACCTGAACAATGTTGATCAGACATTTTACCAAGACAAGTGAGGACAAGGGGGTCATCTACCTGGAGCAACAGAGTTCGTCCGAATGCCGTACTTTCCAAAGTCCTCCTGCCAGGCGCGCGATAGTCCGATCACCGCATGTTTTGTAGCACAGTACACAGCGAGGCCACTCACTCCCCTCAGGCCAGCGCCACTGGCAATATTGACGATGCCGCCTCGTGAGCCCCATTCGCCTCTTGGTTCTTGCTTTTGCATAGCACGGAGTGCAGCGGTACCGTAATTCCACACTCCGCCGATATTGACGTAGATCATGCGATCATATGCTTCGTCGGAAGCAATTGGCCCTTCAGCTAGGCCGATTCCAGCATTGTTTACCAGACCGTCTAGTCTGCCAGCTGTGAAAACGACCTTGTCCATGTATGCCCTACATGTAGTTCGGTCACCAACGTCGATGCCGCCTTCGAAGTGCACTTTGCCTTTCTCGATCCATGGTTTCAGCTCGTCGGGGGGGGTTTGGGAGAGATCTACTGTCCAAACTATCGCGCCTCGCTCTGCAAGAGTCAGCGTAATGGCAAGACCAATTCCCGATGCTGATCCAGTGACAACAATATTTTTGCCTGTGAAGGTGGCCATTTCTGGCGTTCGCGCGCATTCAATCTCGGTATGCTTCTCGCACCAACTCCGCCTACCCCAACCTTTTGAAAGAGAACAAATATAGTCGGAGAATGCTATATTTGCAATTCATATCTGGGTGTGGCTCGTCGGAAGGACAATGACTCGAGTAGTATCCGGATTAGGAAGCAGGCTTCGTACCTCGGGCATATCGGATCTGGGGCGTACTGGGGCAAGTGTACTAGGTGTGGAGCAAGCACGTGGCCTGTGGAGAAGGACCACTGAGCCTTTTCATTGTCAGCGGTGGACGCCTGGCCAGGGCCTGTCAGCCTTTTCATCGTCGTCCCCCATGTGTCCGTTCGATCTCTACAGTAAAGCTGAATATCATTCCCCTTGTCAGTCACATCTGACTCGATATCAGACTCTAGCTGTCGCTGCTAATATGGATCTCGGAACGGAACAACGAAATTGCTTCTCTACTTCCAATTCGTAGCTAGGGACTTCAAAGAGATTACTCGGGCGAGATCCTGACAAATTTGCCTATGCGATCCAAACATTCAGGTACTTGCGCGCATTGAGATCCGCATCTGTGCCTCGATGGCTCATCCGCCAACCATAACCCTTGGCCGGTACCGGGGGGGTTGTCCCCATTACGTTCCAGCCTCGCGGTCCAAATCCAAGGCCTCCGAAACTATCACCGGGGCTTGACCCCATGGGGAAATACAAGGATACCATGCATTGAAGGCCCAAGCACTTGTCCTGGATGATATTTATACAAGTGGAACATCCCTGGGGCATAGGGAAGATGCCCACCTCTGTACGATTCCAGGACTCTTCCTCAGACCCGTCAGTAATACCCTCACGAGATTGCCAATTATTGAGCACTCCGTCCAGAACCATGAGCAGCACTCAAGACCTCGACCAAGACCTCGAGTCCAAGTTTGAGGAAAAAGACAGTCCAACAGTTACACGACACGAAATCGTCGACGTACAAGATGAAAAGACTCGGGTCGCCAAAGGTGACGACTCCGACGGACGCGTCAACTGGACATGGAAACAGGTCATTGCGACTGTCTCGTTGTGTGGAGTATACGTGGGTAAGCCATTACCGTCGACATTGTATGACTTGGAGGTTGAGTTCACTATACTGACAAGAGTCATTATTCAATAGGTTCACAAATCCCACTCTATTTCGTCGGAGGTGACCTCTTGACCTCAAGATTCCTTTTCGCCAGGGTACTGTAGCTAACAAGCAGAAGGCTCGCTCAGCTACATTGCAGCCGACTTGGGGTCCGCCTCGACTGGCTGGCTCCCGGTTTCGAACTCCCTGGCTCTTGCTGCTGTCTGCCCATTCTGTGGCTATCTCCAAGATATGTTCGGCAAAAGGAACATTTCCATACTGGGATCCGTCATGATCATGGTCGGCGTCTTGATCACCGCAACAGCAAAGACCTTCGCTCAAGGAGTTGTGGGAATGACCATTGCTGGCGGTGGTGCGGCTATTGGAGAGCTTACGGCGCTTGCTGGGTCAGTGTTGTGTCTGTCATGATCCTAGACCTGGTCATTCACCGACTAAAACCTTTTAGTACTGCGGAGCTGGTCCCTGTCAAAAAGCGTGGCATTTATCTAGCATGCGTCACCTTTTTCATCTGTGGGCGGAACCGTCTCAGAAAAGTTTTTCTGCAAGCACACTGACTCTATGTCAAGGCCCGTTTTTTCCGTATGTCTTATACGCTCAGCTCCTCTCTGCGAACGCGACATGGCGGTGGGGATTATGGATTACATTGTGAGAACATCCGATCTTGAATTGGTCCACCACGACTGACGACCAACCCCAAGCATCTATAACGGAGTCTTCTTCGTAGGGGTGGTTCTTTTCTATTTCCCCGACTCCCACATCCTACGCAAGGGCGACCTGAGCCGGGCAGAAATAGCCAAGAAAATTGACTATATCGGTGCTGTTCTCTCGATAACGGGAGTGATTTTATTGTAAGTCACCACCACCAGTGTCACCAATACCGCTAGCTAATTATGCGCAGCCTCGTGGCACTGCAGTCTGGGGGATCGTCTCACCCCTGGACAAGTGCATACGTCCTATGCATGCTCTTCATCGGCGCGGCACTCATAGCCGGCTTTGTCATGTGGGAATGGAAAGGCGCCAAATATCCCATGGTTCCAAGGGATCTCTTCGTCGGCCAGCGTGTCGTTGCTATCGCTCTCGCAGTTGCGTTTGTGTCGGGAATGAATTTCTACTCCATGATCAACTTTGCTCCACTGACATACAGTACCGTGTATAACCCCGAGTATGTGGCTCCCTTCAATCTTCTCTCGATACCTCACTAACATGTCCTAGTCCAATTCAAGTCGGTGTAAAGGGTCTTGGTTATTCGATTGCGATCACTGTCGGCGCTACAGTAATGAATGCTCTGCTCACCATCCTGAAGGGGAACAATCGTGAGCTTCTTCTGATCTCTTGCGTCTTGATGAGTAAGTGAGCCGTGTGGTCTCGATATGCACTCGCTGACACTACTTCACAAAGCCGCCTTTACCGGCAGTATGGCTGCTGTGAACCCAAATAACCCGGGACTTGCTGTGGGTCTGGCCACTGTTGCAGGGTTTGGAATTGGAGGAGTCATCGTCCCGTCCGCTACAATTGCGATGACTGCATGTCCTGATTCCCTGATTGCCACGGCCACGGCACTGACGCTGACTATCCGCTTCGTTGGAGGTTCAATTGGCTACTCCATCTACTACAACGTCTTTGCCGAAAAGCTCACCAACAAGCTCCCAGAGAGGGTCCTCGATTTTGCACTTCAGGCCGGTCTTCCCACGTCCTCTGCGACGGATTTCGTCCAGACGTTTCTTACCGTCCCTGCGAACGCCACCAGTGTGCCTGGCGTCACACCGGCCATCATCAACGCAGCAACCATCGGCACCCGCTGGGCATATTCAGATGCCTTGGCTTACGTCTGGTATGTCAGCATTCCATTTGGCGCGCTGTCCATCGTTGGATGCCTCTTGATCGGAGACATCTCCAAGTACATGACAAACAGAATTGCCGTCCAGATACGGCGCTAGAGTGAGGACCCTCCAAGACAGCTACAGATTCGATCGATGTTACCATTGCTCAGGTTGCTTTGGGATGTGGAAATAGTAGCAAGATCTTCAGTCCTCAATCAAGACAACTCTTGAAGATCTCAAGCGAGTGTGGCGCTTATGGAGTGGTCCTGTTCAGCGGATTGGTTCCAAATTCAGCTACCTCCGCTCAAGAAGATCAGGCTCAGTTTCGTTTCGAGCATGGTTCTAGGACGTCCCGCAGAGAAATCTAACTGCCCAATCTGTTCAATGTATAAAAAGAGCGCAACTTGATCTCTGTGTACTTTTCCCATATACCGTACCTCCAAAGTTGCAGACGAGCAAGAATCCCCTCGATATTGATTCCCTTTGGCTTGCGATTTGAGACATGCATGACCTAGGTACAACCAGCAGCAAGCTGTCACCGAGCGTATGAAGAGCTTTCAGCTAAATAGAGCCACCTGTATGATTAGCCTTAGCATATATAGGCACCTTGCTGACATATGTACTTAATTGCCAAGCAACCAAAGACGCTATTGTCGCTCAGCCTTACCCAGAAGGCTATGATCTTGCACCCCTATCCGGAACCACACGACAGGTTCAGCCTTGAGAGTGTGAATTTGGGACCTTGATATTCTAGCCCAAGAGTAATCTATAGAGATTAGTTGGAAAACACATTTTGCAGATGTTTCGTCGGCAGACTGCTGTAAGACTTCTTCAGCCCGGACTTGGCTCGGAGTTTGTTGCCGAGGCTGTGACTAGTAATCATTCTCAGAGGACTTGAAGTTCATAGCCTCGTGCATGTATAACCTAAGGTGGGACGATTCCGATTCGCTGCTCTGTGCTAGTGGAAAGGCAGTTGGAGTTTACCGAATAAGCCAACTCTGAGCCCTTCATTCTAATCAATCACTTTAAAGCCCACAATCGACCAGGAACAGAATGCAGTTCCTCCGTTTCCCATCCTGAGGTATCTCTCCCCATGACATACGTCTAGCGAAGCAAGCTTGCTCGTGTTTCTATGAACATTATAGATGCGCCAACAGGCACAGCTTCCTAACTAGTGTCTTCAGGCCAATCTTCACTCTCACTGGCATAAAATTCAGGTTTACTTCGTTCTGCGCCCTAGCACAACATCATCTACAGCTATATCTCGTACCTGAGAGATAAAAAGCTTTTGTGACATGGGGAATTTTCCGGAATCAGGGATTTTGGTGGAGGCCGAGGAGTTCGACGACTTTGGTGGTTGGGTCCTGGACTCCCAGTTCGACCTGGAGATGGGCTCACCTTACTTGCTGGCTCATGGGAACGGCAGGCCGGTCACAGATGCCACAACCGTAATTTCCATCCCGGAGGCTGCGAAATACAACATCTGGGTTCGCGCAAAGGATTGGGTCCCGGGCCATCATCCAGGAAGGTTCACGCTTGCGGTCAACGGAAACACTTTGAGGACTGTGTTTGGAGCAAACGACCTGGACTGGTCTTGGCAGTACGGAGGTAACATGGAGCTTCCACTAGGTAAAATAAAGCTCGTACTCCACGACCTGACAGGATTTTGCGGACGCTGTGATGCGATTTTCTTCAGTCGTGATGATGTTGCACCTCCCCAGGCGACACACGCGGCAGCAAGGGCATGGCGGCGCAAATTCCGTGGACTCCCCCAGGACCCCGTCGACATCGGCACCTTCGACCTTGTGGTCATTGGAGGCGGAGTACCTGGGGTGGCCGCGGCTCTAACTGCTGCCCGGCTAGGGGAGCGTGTTGCGCTGGTTCACGATCGGCCTTACCTTGGGGGCAATGCTAGCGTGGAAATTGGACTTCGCCCACGCGGAGTGACGGGGCCGCTGATAGACGAGCTCTCACAGCGCAAACCTGATGGCGATCTCTACGCAAGTGAGTTGCTTGATGCGGAAGATAATGCAACTGTCTTCCTGGAGTACGCTGTTTACAATGTGGTGCAAAGGAACTCGACTATCATCTCGGTGGATGCTCGCCATGCCCGCAGCGGACGGGAGGTCCGCTTGACGGCGCCAATTTTCATCGACTGCTCAGGAAGAGCCATCGTTGGGCTGCTCTCTGGCGCGGAGACTCTCTTCGGACAGGAGTCGCAGTCGGAGTACGGCGAGAAGCTCGCCCCAGCAGATGGCAACAACATGCACCACGGCAACACTGTGTTTTTCCGGACGCGGATGGCGCGCTCGCCTGTTGCCTTTCCACACGTTCCCTGGGCTACCGAGGTGGCCAAGGACTTCTCTGATCTTGGTGGTCAGCTCACAAAGCCCGGTATTGAAAACGGTCCCGGTCCTGCTGTCGCTCCGAGCTTTGTATCTGATCCAAACGTGCCCCGGCGAATGACAAGGCCTCTCACTCACTTTTGGGAGTACGGCCAATGGCTCGACCCCTATACTCAAGGCGAGCATATTCGTGACTTCCTTCTTCGTGCCATCTATGGCACCTTCTCAAACGTCAAAACAAAGGATCCTCGTACATACGCCAACCTCGAGTTCGACTGGGTCGCCTATGTCCCTGCACAAGGCGAATTCCGGAGGTACAAGGGAGATTATGTCCTTACTGAGAACGACATTCGCAATCACAAGCGATTCCATGACGCAGTGGTGCAGAACGAGGGAGCATTCTGTTTGCACTATCCAGGCGACAAGAAGTACGACTTTCGTCTTAAGTGGTGGGAATGGGATGAAAGGGATGGAAAGCCTTATGATATCCCGTTCCGTTGCATCTACTCTGTCAATATCTCGAATTTGATGATGGCAGGAAAGCACATGAGCGCAACTCATGTTGCATCGTCTAATACCAAATTCATGGGAAATGGTGGGCAGCACGCGATCGCAACAGCAGCCGCGGCTCATTTGTGCAAAAAGTACAGCACAACACCTCGAGGCGTCTACGAAAGCCATCTTTCGGAGCTTCAAAGAATCGCTGCGACCATAACTGGCACTGATTGTTCATACCCCCGGAGCCACCTATGAGAACGAGCGTCCAGGCATCTCAAACGCATGTCTTGCACTACGGGAGCAAATGTCGCGGATCATGTATCCGCGCCCTTCCGGAATGCATATTGTCAGGGTACTTCAAGCACCCATATATCTGTCATAAGACAAACATCTTGAAGAATCTTCAATCCTCTAGATTACTGAGCCGGTGAAACGACAGCATTTATATGTCTTACCCACATCCGCGAGTTGATCGGCAAGCAAAGCTATCTATCTAGAGCACTTAAAGATGTTAGAAGAAGGCTTGGTTGTTTGAAGAGGTGGACGAATGGCTTCCTACTGAAGAAGTGAACAAAGGAGGCCGAGGATTCAACTCCCCGTTTTCCTTACCCCGTCCAGGATGCAATAACCAGTTGTTGTCTGCCGTGGCGATCCACTACATTATGACTTCGAAGTCGGCCGACAAATTCGGAATTCTGCAAGAAAAATGAACACCAAATTGGTTGCCATCACCTATCTCTAGCCAGGGTACAAGAGTCTGTTGCCAGACGAGGACATGGCCACCAAGGACTAAATCCTCGAGCCAACCAGGGCTTTCCACATGGAGATAGCTGTGCATTGATGTGTCAAACAGGCGGCTTTGATCACCTTTGTGAGCCAATACATCTCTGACAAGTTTTCCAATTTTGCCTGACAAAAGTACATGACTCTAATGCGAGGCGCGACACAACTCTGGTATTTTCTCCAGAGCTCAAACTGCACTAGGCTTGTTGCATCTGAAAAGAAACGGGGCGTGGCTAGGAAGACTTCGGCTCTCACCATATATACATTGGAACTGTCCTGGAAAACGAGGAGCCCAGACTCAATTCTTTCACACCATTTCCAACTTAATCCACAGAGTATACTGTTGAGCGTCAAGGGCCTAGGATACACGCATAAAGCTCGTCGTTTTCTATATTCTGATACTCTTTTCTCCGACCGAACTTCAGGCGTCCCGCCGTTATCGCTACCATCTACATACACACTACATCATGGCTCATGGATCATCGTTCAACAATTGGAAAGGGGTCGATTCAACGAAGTACAACCCCTTAGTCTGATATGGTTAACATCTGTTGTTTGATGTTGTCTAATATCGTAAATAGCTGTGTTCAAGACGACGAAAAGCAAGAAAACCTTCACGTTGTGGCCGAAATACCTCGTGACGTGGAACGATCTCTCGTGGCTAGCTTTTCAAATTTTTCTAGCCTGGGTGGCGGATGGCTTGGACCTGACCCTTCCAACGACGACAAAATCCAACTAAGGAATTGGGCTAAAGATGCTCCTGAGTGGCGGATCGCAGCAGAGGGTCTAAGTTTTGAAGGTTGGTAATGATCCTCAGACTTCAGCCTTGAGAACGTTGGCAGTTGAGTTGGCTAACCGCTGGTCTCTAAAGCCCATTGCGAGAACACCTCTTGTCGTGCTTACAACCAAGGCTACGTTCTCGTCAGGTGGGGTTATAGCAATGGCGGGGTTTTTGACTTCTTCCGAAACAACAGAGATGTGAAATGCCCGATGTGTGCAAAGTATGTCCAAGTCGAAAACTTTGGCTTTTACAACACTCAGTACAAGGTGACTGGCTCCAAGAAGGACACCCCGCGAGGATTTTTCCAAGACGTGAACACCGGCTGGAAGTCGGCCTCTGCAGACTACTATACTACTTTCTTGGACGACCCAAACAGCTTGGTGTATTGGGGGCAGCTCAAAGTCGAGGTTCGAAAGCCGTGAACTGCATAGTGTTTCCTGGTGTCTTAGCACTGCTAGATTGTCATACAGTATCGGTACACATTCAACGTGAACTCAAGCCTGCCCGTGTAAGATACTTACTACACGAAGAGTACTGTGTGCTGAGAGAATCCCCTTCCTCTGTTCAGCAACCATTAACCGGCCCGAGGCGGTGACGAATGGTCCCGTATTCGAAAAGGATCAATGCGTGGCCGTGCACTTAGACAACCTCAATGCTCGCTAGCACGAACCGCTGCGCAATAAATGATTATTGGTTTACTCCTCCTCTGGCGAATAGAAAGCAACCACGCCCGATCTTCCTGCAGAGGTTCAGATTTGGAATCACAAGCTGTCTCTTAACATCGCCGATCTGCTCTGAGGGTTGAAACGTGGTGATAACGGAATCCAGTCCTCGCCACCGGTTTTGCGGCTCTTGTTTATTGCTTGCACCCACCACTCATGGCAGGTGGCAAAAATCTAAGGCTGAAGATTGGGTTGGAATGGATTGAAAAAGGGGGTCAGCTATTAAGTAGACGGAGGAGGATGTGGTATGGTCCAGATATTCTGTCCGGAGATTGTGGAACGCCTCGGATTCGCGGGCAGAGCGTCTTTTGACATAATCTCATGAACACCAGTTCCTGCAGGGTCAAAAATGCCATGTGATAGTCTTCTTGAAGAGGTTCTTCGCGGATGTCATCGTCCCTAAAGTGTAGAAATCTCAGTGAGTAACTCTCTCTCGAACATAGCTTTTGCCGAAATTGCGATTCTAGGGCGCGGTAACCAAAGGTGAAGATTTATGCATAAATGATGTGTTGACAGCCTCATCTTGTCATTTCTTTGATTTTGTTCCCTTAGATGTCCAACTGGCAACCCAGGAGCCAGAGAGTGATTGGACAGTGCTTTACTTGCCGGTTAGCATATGAAGATAGTGGAAGGACAGCTTTCACACGTCAGACCGCAGAGTTGGTGGTGTTTCCTAGATGGTCGTTGTGCATAACTACAGGGCGCCCAATAGTCCTTGATTGGGCATTGAGATCAAAGGTATATCTGGCAGTTGGGCAATACGAAAGCTTTGTAATGTCCCAGGTATAAGAATCAGTGTTACGAGCTCAATCCGCCCGTTTGTTTAGCTTCTGGATACGATCATTTGCCTGCATTATCATCTCCCCTATACCTTGACTAGGCTAAGGTCGACCACTTTGCGTCAACAATGTCAAACCAAACTCCCATTGCTGGTGAGACAATTCCATACTCGAACAAAGACATGGAGGATGCCATCAAAATTTTCAAATCCAAACAAATCCCAGTCTATGAACCTGGTGAGGATGACTATGAGCGTTATATTGCCACAGCCAACCTCATCTATCGCTTCTCGAGCCCCCCTTGTGTTGTTCGGCCCAAGTGTGCTTGCGATGTGCGAGATGTTATCAAAATTGCAAAACCCCGAAAAATCCCGATTACAATCAAGAATGGTGGTCACTCTTATGCGGGAGGATCCACGACGAATGTCGGGATCTTGATGGAACTTGGTCTGATGAATGAGGTCAACCTCAACTTGAAGTCAGAAATGGTGACCGTCAAGGGCGGTGCGTTGTGGTTTCATGTATACAAGACACTAGTTAGCAAGCATCTTGATGGTTTCGTCGTCAATGGTGGGCGCTGTCCCACTGTGGGAGTGAGCGGATTCATGCTGGGAGGTGGTCTTTCCCCGTTCACAAGAAGCTTCAGCATGGGCTGCGACACCGTCAAGGAGTTTACCATTGTGACGGCAGAGGGAGATGAGGTGACTGTTTCGGAGCGCGATGATCCGAAAAGGGACAAGGGTAAGCTGTTCTGGGCCCCTCGAGGTGCTGGTGGCGGAAACTTTGGCGTTGTCGTCGAAATGAAGTTGGCGCTGAAAAAGTTAAAGAGCAATGTCGTCGTCGCCGGACGATACACCTGGTTTCCGGAACGTCAAGCCATGGACCCATTCATGAAAACCATGAATAGCTTCTATACCAGGAGCTGGCCGGATGAAATGACGCTTGACACCACCTGGCTGTGCGACCTCTCGAACGTTAGGACCGATCTCGCAGTTAGGTTTCTGGTCTATTATAATGGCGGCCGGGGAGCTTTTAACAAAGTCATTGATGACTGGACGATCCCGAACGGCCCTAGTCAACATGCAGAGCTAAAGAAACAACTCAAACGGCGGTCATTGCAGGAGAAATCATCCCGCTTCCTTCACGAGACTCTCGCGGCGCAGTGGGTCGAGGAGACCAAGAAGTCCTTTCCCAGCAACCGGTCTTACCAGATTTATACTTCATTCGTCTTTAAGAATGCCCAAAGGAGCATTGAAAGAATCACCCGCATCATCAGAGACGAGATGAGAGAATTCCGGGAGCAATTCGCGGGAGAGACAGGCACTCTCCAGGTCACCTTTATTCATTCTGGTGGAGCGGCAAACCAGAAGCAAAGAAGGGACACGGCCTTCCGCTGGCGTGGCTGCATTTATTTCACATACATCATGATCCAGTGGGATGAAAAATGGCTGGAGATGAACATGAGAGGCTTCCTGGACCGGATGAGGGCGAACCTGAGCCCATTTGGCATGGTGCGAGGGGCCACATTTGTGAATTTCCCCGACGACTCGCTCAAGGCAGACGCCCATGAAAAGTCATACTATGGGAACAACTACCAGGAGCTGCGGCGCGTCAAGAAAATCTGGGACAGAGACAACTTTTTCAAGGGCTCACAGGGCATTCAGCTCCCCGGCACATCCGCACCGCAGACTGTCAGCATGGACATGGAGGACAACGACGGGCTCTTGGAGGATCTGTTTGCTGCCAGGGCATTCGTCGTGAACGAGGAAGACCTGACTGATGCGTTAGCAGAACAGCAATGGGAATCCTATCGCCCTCCCACCCCGACCGACTTTTACGGGAGTGGAGCCCTGCCGACCTTGGTCTACTGATGAAAACGAGGTTTCAGCCCTTTTTGTGGGAGCGATCTTTCTTTGATTCAGCTTCTTTCCCTAAGTCCACATGTAGGACGAGTTATATTCTGCCCATGACACCTAACATTGGCTCTTGTGTTTCCGGTCCTCTTGATTTCATTGGTTGGCTATGTCATTGACAGCGGGGACTCGTCGCATTCCTTCCGTTTCTGATCTCAGAAACGCTACTCGGTAGTTAGGGCTATTACGTCTCCACTTCGGGTCCACCAGGCGGCGGAGACCGTCACATAATGAGGCTGTACCAAGGCTGTACTTACGGGGTATGCAAAGTGACACGGCCGCGTAGACTCAATAATTTAAAGTCGACGGTTCTTCCCGCATTCTAGACATCTGATCCATCATCTATGGCCCCTGCCATGGCTTCACGAGAGTCTTGTCTGGACCTCGCAGAGCTGCGCCACGTCAAAGAATGATGACGCATCTGTGCTTGCACCATCACTTTTGCGTCCTCGAGCTCTGGCTGGTGCTCCTGCGTTGACCGAGTTTGGCTATCTGAGGAGCTGCAATATGCCCGTCAAATGTCAGTATGCTGGGCGAAGAAAGGTTTCGCAGACTGCTATCATCCGGGGAACCCGACCTTCAAGCCTGAGCTCCTGACAGGTTTGCCATTGCTGCTGTATGGCGATTTGCAGTCCAAAGGGATACCGCACGAGGAGATTATTGAAATCACCAGGCGGAGAAGCTCAAAATGCCAAATGGGTTCGAGGCCTATGGCTGGCCATCGGCGAGAGTCTCAAGGATTACTTTGAAGCGCTTTCGACAAGCGAATTCCCTCTGGAACTGCTCAAAGTTAAGAATATGGCACGGCTCCTGCTAGGAAAAGTCCTGCAACTTGGCAGCACTTCGACTACGCTTTGTGACTCGTTCTGGTTCGTCCGGGCTCGTGATATTTTACCTCAGACAGCCAAACGAGCCACCAAGCGGCACGACTACGTGCTCTCTGTCTGGGCTAACCGGCCTAGCTATCAGGTTCCTTACTCACATGGCTCGAGCTGTTTGCTGATGAGGTCCATCAGTTCAAGTCTGGCGATCATCAAGTCTTCGCACCGAGCTCCGGTTCTGCAGGTCTCCTCAGCTCTTCTTCAGCGCCCTGGAAATTCACTTGCAATCTTAGCAAAGACCCAAAGTAAATCAAAGACACTCATGACGTGTATCATCCCTGTTTCTGGCTCAATCCAATGCTTGGGACTTGCTCTGTTGTTCCCCTTCACGTTGAGCAGGGTTTCATTCGGCCGTCTGAGCCACAAATTGTGAAGGATTGGATCGATGGACTCCCAGCAAGTACGGTGCTTGATCGTGTCTTGGAGTTCAAGTAGAAAATTCGCGAGAGGTTTGTCGCAGAAGTCGTGAACTCTGGCGCGAGCAACATCATATATGACCCCTACTCATTGCGGGGAGAATAGCACTTCGAGGCTGATGACATTTTCGATTTTGTAGGCTTTTAGCCAAACCTCGACAAGACTGAATGCCAGAGTGCAAACCTCCAGCCCATATATGTGAAATGGGAAGTGACAATTCACTTTGGTAGTGGGAAGTCAGAGGCGCGCAGAACATTACCTACTTCAGACTCACAAATGGGAAAAAAACACGACGATGCTGGGCCGGGTGGCCAAAAAGTCCTGAGCGTCAACATTAAAAACGAGAAGTGGCAATTTTCTGAGGCTGTATTGCTGCCGGAACAGAACAATCGCTTCTCAACTGCCGGAGTCTGGGTTCTGCTCGCCAGCGTTTACGAATGCGAGTTGGGATGCATCGTAGGCGATGAAAGCACCCATGGCGATTTGGTGCAATCGAAGTCGAAAAGCTTTCACTCCAGTGGCCATGCCATTGCTAAGGTAACTTGATGGTATCGCTTTCCCTGCTCAGGACGTGGCAAATATCGAACTCGCTGGCCGTTTATCGAAATTGGGACGAGCCAAAGGCAGCACCAACCTCATCCCAGAAGGAAGCGGAGTCCTACTAGAGTGCTCAACGCAGATACCAGAACAGCATTAGAATAATCCCTACTCCATTGTAAGAGTCGCGATCTCGCCATTGTCATAAACGCCGGCGTTGAAGACCGATTTCCATGTCCGGACCAACTTGCGCTGATCATGCCGAGCTTGGTTGACACCTTGGGAGAGGTGGATGACATGGCTTCCGTTCATTGTCCAGTCACGCTGCTGCAGCTGATACATGCAGGTTGAAACTCAAAGCGTAGTTCATGTACCTCCAGTAGCAGAGAGATCCCCTTGTTGGAAACGTCTTTGAGAGCGATCAATCGACTCCATGGCGGTCAAAAAAAAATCCTCTTGGAATGCCTTCCTGAGTACAAGCCAGGAATTGTGCTCACCGCCGTCTTCTTTCCAGGTTGTAAGTTTCAAAGAGCCCTCCTCTTGCGTGCACCTTTATCATCGATGTAATTTGACACCTGAGACAGTATGCTGGCACTCGTTAGCCGACTTGTCCTTCGGGCAGCCAGTCTTTCTTTCAGAGTGACGCTGGACGGCGCAAAGAGGCAGTCCTGGTCGGCACTGCGCAGCCCACAAGACGGATTTGTCGACACACGGTACAACTTTGTGCTAGCACGAGCGGAGGAGACTGGACGCGGCAGAGACAAGAAGCGATTTTAATATTGAAAGTACCGAATACGACGTACAGAGAAGCGGACAAGGCTGGCCAATCAGCAAGCGACCGTTGTCTTCAATGGCGGGCTGTTTGCGACCTCTTCCTTGCTCTTCCCATATTCATCCCCAATACTCCTTCCTTTGCGTCTCAATCGGTCTCGGTTAGTTTGCATAGCCCACGACCAAATCCATACACATAGTGAAATAGCGACTTTGGATTTCCGCTCTCTGATCGACTCCAAAACACTGTGCCACTCGCCAGTTAGCTCGGTTCTCTTCCCTACGAATCTGCCCCGACACGTCTCTCGCAATTCCTCCTGTCGCCAACTCAAGTCCACGCACATGAGACTGACTCTCCACGGACACCAAGCAGTCTATACATAATTATACGCGCCGTGTCCAACGATTTCATCCCAGCCCACTACTTTCCCTCGACCCTTGACCTCCACGTCAGCCGCTGGCATTCGACGTTTTAGACTTCAACTTCTGAACGTCTTCAAACCCCGAGAAGGAATAGGGTCAGATAGCGAAGAGAAAAAAGCGAAAAAAAGGAAAAAATGATAACAGACGCTCAACTGTACAGCCTCGCCATCTTCCTCGGTAGCGCGGCGATGCTGCTGATTGTACTCTACCATTTCCTCGAGGTCAATGCACAGGACGACGAGAAGTTGGACGGGGAGCTGAGGAATGAGAAGGCGGGCGTAGGGGCTGTCAAGCCCGCGGGTCTGGGCGAGGAGACTCGGTGAGAGGGAGTGCACAGCAACCGAAGAGAGATAGACGCAGGGAGGAAACATCAACAGGATGCGCCGGGGCTCGAAATTGGCGGATCTGTCTTGAAGGGCACAAACTCGCGCACGCAGAAAGGGAGAAGATGACATCGATCACGGCTGGACACAGGGCAATGGCGACAACGGAGGATGCACGGAAGACCTAAGCAACGAAGATGGTAGAGGGAACAGAGCAAGAGGGACAAGAAGATCCTGCCGTTCAACCACACCGAGCTATGCAGAGCTACACCAGGTTCATCCAATACTTCCCTACCCACCCTGCTTGACCGACTGGAGTGTTGAGACATTACAGAAGCAGAAGCAGAAGCCTAGGTCGACAATTACCTACCCGCAGCATAAAGCCGCAGCCGACTCCAAGGCGTGGGCGAGACTGGACCCAAGTTGATAACCATCATGTAACCATATCGAGAATATGTACCACTACGCGCAAGCAAGTGAACGGCGCTTCAAGACCTTTAAAAGGGCCAGGGAACAAGCCGGGGAGGGAGAGTGAGCCTTTACCTTTGCCTTTGCCTCGTCTCGCTGAACCTGGCGTGCTCTGCCCTAATACCCAGTACCCACCTTTCCACCTCCTATTCGCAACAGGGCTTCAAAGTTCTTTCTCTTTTTTTTTTCTTCTCTTCCTTGTGGGATCTGGCGACAGAGAGACAAAGAGAATGGGGGAGGGGAGATCACTTCAATAGATGATACCAAATGGAAACCGCCCCCTATCACCTGAGTACAAGACGGGCAGTAGCACAAGTACAAGAAAGAGTGATGGCGGAAAAGAAGACTTACCACCACCGCTCCCCAAAATTGGTCAAAGGACAGCATAGAGTATCTCAGTAGCAAGTTGAAACTCAAGATTAAATAAAATGTGGATTTCCCAATAGTCACAATGATGTTTTCTGGCGTTGTAATTTGATGCTTTGATTTGCTGGATCAACCAGCAAGCCCAGTATCTGCGACTACGTAGGCAGCGATGTACCCAGTACACTGACTTAACCGCAGTGGTGGAGAAGATGGAAAGGCCGGTGCCCTGTTGTTTTGACCGGGCATCTCACATTGGTTGGAAAGCTCGTCCTCAAATCATCCATCACTCCAAGATGGAATAGTCGAACACGTCGACCTGTGCTGTGGCGAGGTCCATCCGCTAATGACGATCTCCCGTCACTTGTCTTATTGAAGCAACCACTTTCATTTGGTCAGGTTTGTCGTAAACATTGAGCGAGTCCTCGGCTCATGCAGGCTCTGATGTGTTCTCTCATCAGTAATCCTCATCAACCACCCTCTGAATCCCTGGGTTTTGAATGAGGGTAGCCCTCCTCGCCTCGTTCACCAAGACACAACCACCACGGTCGATTCCTGGTCCAATCTTGGCCTTCCTTGCCGCCATAGCCTTGAGGGTCTCTTCTGCAACAGCCCTCGGGCTGCTCTTCTCCATTCGATGTGTTTTCATGAAACTTTTTTGAGCCTGTTTCTCTACATCATCGTGGTCGGCTTTCAATAATGTCATTGTGTCGGCGTCCAATTCGTCTTGGACGGACTTGACCGATACGTCAGGTGTGGTCTTTCGTCCTTGTTCGTCCGAGAGGTAACGGGCCTTGTCACGGAGGAGTGTCTGAGGATCTGTGTGAGAAAGAGTTCTAGCCAAAGAATTTGACAGATGCTGTATGGGAGGATGATAAAGAAATCTTGAGACATCAAAGAGTTTCGGTCCTGCTCTGTTTTGCTTACCGATGATCTTGGTTGTTGGGCCATCCCCTAACTTAGCCGCAACTTCGCGCAAGTGTTGCTTCGCAATATGTGCGAGCCACTCTTTCGAGTTTTCAAATACCTGAGACGGTCGAAGAGAGCCTTCGCCGTCATCCTCAAGGTATTTGCACCTCTTCCACCAGCAGATATAACCGCCTTCTTCCTTCAGCTGCTCCGGTGTTGGCTGATGCACTTTGGAAACATGGTTTCGGAGTGTGTCAAGGTTGTGAAGGTGTGCGTGACAACCTTTCCAGCGGCATTTAAAAACAGGAAGGCTTGGCGAAGTAGGCGAAGGGATAGTGATTTCAATGTGAGAGAGCTCTTGCGCTGTCTTCTTCCGCGCTCCAGAGGTTGGGTGGACGTTTTTGGCTCCAGGAGGTCGCCCTCGTCTCTTTCCGCTCGAGAAGAATGCGCCCTCGCTCATTGTTTTCGATTTAGTTGGGGGAGTGACTTGAGTAGACGGAGGTCGAATCGATCGTGTTCGCTCTAAGTGAGGAGATCCGTTTGAGGAAATAAGACTTCCTCTTCGTTTCCGGGGAATTACTGGCTTCGGAGACGACTGCCGCACCTTCTTGGCCTCTGCAACTTGAGATTGTGGTAGGACACGCGGGCCTCGTGAGCGTGGACTCACTTTTGAGTCTGAGCTCCCTTGCACTGGTGGCGTGGGCGACTGGGGTTTGTGAGGTTTGGACTTGTCCTTTTGTCCTGGGGGAGGCGCAGATGCAGGCACGCGTGAAGATGCGGGCGCAGGCGGCAGTATTCCGCGCTTTTCCGAATCCGGCAAGCGTTTCTGTGTAGTGTTCGCGTCAGATGGCGGAGGCGGGCCTTGCCCCTTCGGGCGGCGGATTCCTGTTTCTCCCAGGCGATATCGAGGTGGCTCAGTCGGGACATCAGCATACGGAACTTGAGGTATCGGAGGCCCCCCAGGATCTACTGCATCCCAGTCAAAGGTGCTCAGATCAGAATCAATATCCACGTAACTCCCAAGGAGGCCTGCCAAGTGAGCGTTAAGCGGGCGCTCAGACGGATGTCTGCCAGCAGTGATTAGAATATCTCGAGCTATTGTCTTGGCATCATAGTACGTCTTGCGCAAAGCTTCTTCCTTGTTGACGGGTTTAGCAAGTATCTTGACCGACCGCTGTGGCAGCGGCTGCGGCACGGTCGGGGGCGGGGTTCGTGGGAATGCGGCTGGTGGATAATGAGGAAGCGGAATGTACCTTGGCGCGTATTGGGGGTAATTGGGATCAAATCGCAGCGGCCATAGGTATCCAGGGGCCGCATATGGTACCGGAGGCGGAGGCGGATAGGCAGGTAAGGGCTGATTGGGATACCCCTGGAACAGATTCGTCGGTTCAGGTGACTGGCTCTCGGCTCGCGCGTGCTTTTTCGCCATAACATAGTCCTCGTTATCACTCAATGCCGTTAGGTCGATCAACTCTGAGAAGTCGCTTTTTCGCGCCATTGCTTCCTTCGAACCGGGAACGGGCTCAGGGCGGGCTTGATAATGGTTTCTGGCAGGCTTTGACCGTTGCATTGGAAGATATCGAGGTGCCAAGAGGCGACTCTCGGTTTTGTAAATAGGGGGCTTTGCTGCCTGAAATGCCTTGCCGGAGTTTATGCCATTTTCAGGAGCAGAAGAAGCAATTGGTAACGACGCTGGGCGCGTTACCTCTGGCTGACTGGTAGCGACAGAACCTTCGGGAACTGGTGCTGGCACCGGCACCTGAGAAGGTGACAGTACAGCAGAAGCTGGAGGCAATGGAGTCTTTGCTGGCCCTCTCAGCTGTGGCACATGGTTCAAAAGTTGTCTCGCGAACTGGCCTCTGTGGAATTTGAGACCTTTTTTCTCGAGCATCAGACACAAGTCGATGTAGCTCGGATTCTGCTCCAGGATCCCGTGAATGTCTTTAGGGGAGATCTCAATCTCCGCATTTTCAGGGAAAGCTTTGAGGAATTTGACGGCTACTTCGGCAAGAGCATTTCGCTTGTCTTCAGGCCACATGGTCTCGCCAGTTGGCTTTCGGGGAGGGAGGCCTTGTGCAATGGGAGTCGCAGTTTTTCGCTCAGGAGCAAGAGGGACAGTCGCTTGTCCGGAACTGACGCCCGGCTCGACTGGGCTTGGGTTTGCGGTGCTCTGCCCAATAGCATCTTTCTGGGATGAAGTCCTGGCATGGTATGATGTTCTGATACGTCGTTCAGCGGGGAAGCGGCCCAAATCAGGTAATCGTTCTGGGTTGTTCTCAACAACCACTCTGTATCCATTGAGCCCAGCTCCTGGCGGAGCAATTGAAAGAGTCTCCGGCTCTCCTCTCGGGGTCAATACAGTCGGGGTCCTCTTAGATTGTTGCGGAGGAGGCTGTTGCGGTGGAGTTGTCTGAAGGGGCACTGGGGTCGTTGACGGTGGCGGATGGTTCTGGGTGGTTGGAAGTGCCTGCTCTGTTCTCACCTGACGGGAGGTCGAGGATAATAGGGTTGGTATTGACGGGGTTGATGATGTCTTTTGTATGTCGTCCCACAGCTTTTGAAAGAGAGACGGATCCCTGCTTCGAAACTCTTGCATTTTTTCCATCATTGCCGTAAGCCCAGCCGCCATGTCCGCTTCACTATCCACAGGTTCCGGTTGCTTGCCAGATTGAGGATCACTACCGCTAGGAAGGTCCTGTCGAGTTCGGGCTGCCCTTCTAATCTGCTTTTTCTCTTCGTTGGCCTCTTTCGTCATGGCCCAAGCTGTAGCTGCGGCAGCGGCGCCTTTTTCTCGATCCGTCGCGGAGGCCGCCGCAGACGCCATTTCTTCTTCGGCTTGCTTTTTCGCGGCGACCTCTTCTGCCGCTTTTCGCTTGAGTTCCGCCTCTACTTGAGCTGCTGCTTCCTTGCGCCTTCTTTCGTGCTCTTTATGGAACGGATTGAACACCTGGGTAGGGTCAATGTAATTCGGTATTGACTGCGGTTCAAGGGCCTCCGAGTATTGGGTTTGAGCCGGCTCCTCGGCTGAGTGGATAACAAGATTCGAGATGCTGTTCACAGGTTGAACTTGTAGCTGCGAATTTCGCTGCGCAGCGTCGTGACTCGGGGCCCGTCTATGCTGACCGGTGTTCGCAATCTGCTGGGCTTTCTGTTGATTGCTCGAGACTGCTGGATTGATACTCCCATAATTTTTCTGAGAAGTGATGGAGGACGGACGTTCCTGGGTCTGCGTCTTGGTGACCTGAGGTTGAACATACGGCGATGCAGATCCCTGTGAAGCCGGCTGACGTGTTGAGGCGAACTGGTTCATCACTGGCGAGGACGATAGTTTTCCTCTCACTGCTGTTGATGCCTGTTGAAAGCGGGCACCGACATTCCCAGCCAAAGCGGTTGCTGATCCTATCAAGGAATTATGTGGATTTTGAGAGGAAAGATCATTCTGGTTCCCATAATTGGAAGACTGGGCGGTATCGTATCGCGATGCGCTTTGTGTTGCGACCGGGGATTGTACGCGATTCACAGCAGTAAGAGGTTGGCTTAGAGTTGACACTGCAGTTGAGCGTTGCTGATGATGCCCGCGTCGCTGCAAAGCTGCGTCCTCTAGTCCTGACGCTAAATTGTTCAGACCCGAGTTATTCTGCGCCGCCATAGTTGAGGATGTGGAATTGTAAGAATTGTGCCCGCGGCCGCCACCACCAACTGCCGTATCTTGCGCCGGATAATTGCCCTTCTGCGTCTGGTCATCGTGGGAGGCGACCTGTGTCCTCCCACTGTCCCAGGCGCCGTTGTTGTAGGTTGCTCGTTGGCCCGAGCTATTCGAGTAGTTCTGATGGGTTTGATCAGACCAATCGTAGCCGGAGGAGGCATACTGTGGTTGTCGAACGTTCCCCGGATAGGATGCTTGTGTGGCATAACAATTGTTCGCGCTTGACTGTCTTGCATAATTGTAGAGGTCGTTCATGTTCATTTCTTGCGAATCGTAGGATCCTCCGGAGACTGTGAGCTGTGGATAAGCCATCAAAGGCCCCTAACTGTCAGACGATTATGGCGACCAGCTGGCCGTCTTCCGCCCATACTCTTTGCCGTATTCTGCTTCCCAAATCCATTTATCAGTCGTGTCGGCGCATACGGGTGAGTGGGCGAGGCTGGGTTGCACTCTGCTATGAAAGAAGAGTTTGTTGACTTGAGTGCGCTCAGTCCAGTGGTGTCGAAACTAGCCCTAATAATGGTGAAGGTCTATGTAACTTGCAGATGAACTAGAGTTCACTTGTCACAAAAAAGCACAGGGCGTAGACATGGGGGGCGCGGCGCAGGTGGGCACCGGAGGCAAGGCTGAGGCCGCGCTGGTCGCGCAAGCGAGTTAAGGACACGAGCGGCGAGTATGCGGCCGCTGTGCTGAATGCTCCGCCCTAATTAATTCCTTGGCAAATGCGGATTTCGCACCACTGGAAAATTCCCAAAATTCGGGCATCGCATCTAGATTGACGACCTCAGATCTCGTCCATTGTTCCACATTCCTTTTCCTTGCCAGAAATCCCCAACCATGACGAAGACGAACCATGGTGCGAGTCACCCCTCAGGGCGAAGAGTGACATGATAAGAACCGACATTGACAGTTTCCTACAGGTATTGCCTCGTCGAGGCGCAAGTCTCGCAAACTTCATTTCGGTGCCCCTTCCAGCGTGCGACGAACGATCATGAGCGCCCCTCTGAGCAAGGAATTAAGAGAAAAGCACAATGTACGAATTCTCGACCCCCTGCCCAAGCAATCGTCTGCATGTCTCTCCGCGAAATGAACCCAAGTCTGACGTTTGCTTTGAAATATCAAAACAGGTCCGTAGCATCCCGATCCGCAAAGACGACGAAGTCACCATCGTGCGAGGCTCCAACAAGGGCCGCGAGGGAAAAGTCACCTCTGTCTACCGATTGAAATACCTCATCCACATCGAACGTGTCTCCCGAGAGAAGTCGAACGGCCAATCCGTACCAATCGGCGTTCATCCCAGCAAGGTTGTCGTGACGAAACTTAAGCTTGACAAGGACAGAGAGAAGATTCTGGAGAGGATCGGCAAGGGAAGAGAGGCTGTCAAGTCTAAGGAGTAGACACAAACACGCATAGGGAGAGGCAGAGAGCGTGCGCACGTTATGGCCGCCACTTGCGAAGCGGATTCGTGCCAATGCTTGGACTGAGGTGGGAAAAACAATTCAAACGGACTCGGAGCATTCGTCAGCGGTTTCCACGAGGATCGTTATCAACACAATGAGTTGGTAGAAACAAGGGGCGTCATACATACCCGAAAACCCGGACGTCTCATTCGTGGCTTGAATGGAAAACAAAAAATCATTTCAAAGAGTAGGAGACCTCCAGGCCATGTTCACCCGCTGCACCCACATATCTTCTTCTTCTTCTTCTCCTCTTCCTCCTCCCTTCTTATACGCAAGAGCTTTGAGGTGCTCAAATAGCCTCTCGACACTTTTTGCCAGTATTATCTCCTTGTCTACCTCATTTCCCCGTGGTTGCCCAAGGTAAACATCTGGCGCAAATTGAAACATTTTCTTTCTGATTCTCACTTTACAAAAAGTGCGTGGAAAGGGCTCGCCGGCAGACTGTCGACAAGGACACGATCCAATGAGTCGCAGGATTTGATGGCGAGGGACAATTCCGCATAGCGCGATTCACCTCGTAATTTGGATTTCTCCACTGGGTTTTTTTCTCGTCGGTCCGAATTCTCTGATCAGTCTCCTTTTGCTCATTTCTCTGTTGCACAAACCCCTCCTTCGTTCCGGAGGTTTTCGATTGAAACAGCGAGACATTCTGTCAGACCGCCACTTTTGCTCGCTGGCGCGCCCAAGCTTTTACCGTGGCTTGCATGGCTTGCTAGGCAGCCTTCAGGCGATAATGACCAGAGATCATTGGCCGAGTACAGATCTTGGCATATTTGTGGAGCCTACCCACGGATACGCGGTCTTGAGGTAGTAGCCTAACTCGCCTAGTTGTACGTGAATATAAGGATGTACTTTGAATCAGAACGCATTGAGAGTCTGCTAGACTACATACACGACGCTCCCGGAGCGAACGTTGCTGTGAACATCCTCTCGCAACGTGTTATTACGCAGCGTCTCTCTCTTGTAGTTCAGAACTGCTTCTCAATAATGCCGTTCGCAGCATTCATGGCACCGCGCTCCGTCGCGCTGGGCACGTCCATGCCAGTGACCTTGGAGAGATATCTGGACAGTCCCTCCTCGCCCTCTTCGTGTTCAGCATGTCCCTTGTGGATCTTCTGCAGACTGTCCCGCATCAAGAACTCGTAGTACCCCGTGGCGAAGATGGTAGCGGGGATGTTTACGAGGATGGAAATCCACGAGTAGCCGTTGTCGAAGCTGAAGGCCTCGCCGCCGAAGAAGATGGCGGCGACGATCCGAGTGCCCAGGTCCCTTGCCAGGTTGGTCGAGATGCTGTTTCCGGCGAAACCCCAGACCATGGCTGCGTAGACAAGACCGATCGTGAAGGGCGCAGAGACCGGGCTGACGAAGGGGTTGGCGGGATCGAGACAAGCCCAGATCAAGATCCCGATATAGCTGTCCACAAAGAACTCCTGGAAGAAGAGATATCCTTGATTCGACTGGTCTGGGTTAGGAAACGTGCAGAATATGCTGGCTACTCCGCCGTTGTAAACGGCAGTACCGTGCTCTTTGATATCGATGGCTTTGGCAGCTTGTATCTGTGGCCAGTAGCACGCCATGAGAAACAAGCCGGCGATGAACGCCCCAAAGATCTGAGAGAAAATATAGTGCGGTACTTTCTTCCAAGGGAAGCCTAGTTATTGATAAGGTATCAGGCAAATATTCTGACTTCGAGGGGTAGAAGGGGAGCGGATGGCTCCACTTACCTTGCCAGATAGCAAAACAAATAGTGATGGCTGGGTTGAAGTGCCCACCGCTAGTGGGTGCACAGGTGATGATCGCAAACGCAATACCCATGGCGAACGCACAACCAATCTGGAAGAGAGACCCAAAGACCGGGATTCCGACAGCAGCCCCGACGCCATTGGTAGTAGCCAGAGTGAATGAAGCCACAGAGGCAATACCGGGAAAGACGTAGAAAAACACGCCAGTGCTAGAGTCCCGGTTAGCATGGAAAATCTTATCTGGATACGGGCAAATCTCCAAATCGAAGCCGTTGCAGACTGGATTGAGAGCGGACAGATGAGGCTACTTACGCTTCTGCCATCATTTCCCGCAGAATTCGCGGTCTCTTGTGCTCGAAATTGAGCTTTCTCTGGGAGACCGGCTTTGGGGCAACCACATGGCGAGTGATATGCCGCTGCAAAACCTCCGAAACACCGAGTTCGATGTCATGAGTGTGCTGTCGAGTCATCGACTCCGGAGAGCGATTAGCCATGGCTAAGGTGCACCTTCGCTCTGAATCGACTCTGATTAATATTCAGGAATCTGGGGATGCTGCGTTCGCACAATCTGGGGGAGAGACGATCTGGGGAATTGGATTGGAAGGGTAATCACGAAAATTTCTCAAACCTGGGGTGAATGGCCATAGATGTAGACCACGACCTCCTACCACGACCTTGGCCGTTGCCACGTTATTTCGTTCCACTTTGTTGATTCAGAACCAGCATACTTTCCGGACCTACCGTTGGTGCGCATTTCGCACTCGACAACTGCTTGGCTGGAAATTGAATCCACAAGTGGATTGGAGACAGATAGGGTCGTTCAATGACGAAGCCCGCAACGAGGGATCCGGTAGATGTGGTATCAGCAACGGATGCCGTTGGGGACAGGGCTCTCGGGTGTCATTATGAAGCAATGCAAGCGATTCGACCTGTCAGGAGAGATTTTGCGCCATGCAGGGGGGCATTGCTTGACCACAGACAAGCTTCGCAAGCACGCTACCTTTCCAGATCAGCAAGCTAATTTCCCCGATGGGGAATGGTTTTTTCGAATGAACGAAAGAGCAGAAGGCTGCGAGGCTAGAATACGAAGAGGAAGGTAGGCTCAGGTGGCCGGAGCCGCGTTGTTTGGCACCGCTGGCTATCGTTCGGCAACCCTGTCGACATTCCTGTTGAAGAGAAGCAATCAGAAACACTGCGATACCACGAACAGCCTCGGTGGAAAAGATGATGTGTGCGTCATCGTGTCTCCGTCAAAGCTGTGATTGAACGGGACGATCAGAGCCTGGGAGGAAGTGAGGAGTCTGGAGGGATGCATTCGGTGGAGGCGGAGATAAAGCGAACAGCGACTGTAACAATGTCATTGAACCCCGTGGATCGCTGGGGTCTCCATGTGGAGAAGAACATGCTTCGATTGCGTATGATTTGAGTACGGCGTGCCACTCGACTCCACTCCAAAGCACATGGTGATGCATTGTCGTTGTGAATTACACCGAGAACAGACGTCGAGACGTTTCAACATGCTTTTTCTTGCGACGATACGGCACCTCCCCGGTCGAGTCCGTCCCCTTGTAGCCTCGTTTGCTGGCCGAAGTTCCGAAGGCTCTGTCCTTTCTCCTGGATGTTGGGTCAGTAGCATTGGTAGCAATGACGGAATCGACTAATGGGAGAAGCTGAGCAAAGCCTCCAAAAGGTTTAGCCTGCCCGGAGACGCTGTCAAAGCAGCCGTGCTGTCCGCGAGTGCGGGTGAATAAGCCTGCGGCGGAACGGATACTGGGAACGCAACACACCCTCTTGCAAATTGATCCAACCTGCAAGATTTAAATGGCCAATAGTGTTATTCTCTCTGCGAGCCTAAGGCAAAATATAAATAAATTTCCCAGCGCCACCTCAGTCATTGCAGGGAGCGGGCAAGTGTCGTCCGGTGGCCTTGAAAGGTTCCCACCGTGTGTTCGGAACCGAGACCTTTCGGAGACCCTCTCGGACACAAGAGAGAGCGAGTCTGTGAATTGTCTGGAGCTGTTCGTCCTTGATGAAAATTCTTCGATCCGGAGAGCGGGCGCATTTCCGTTCCAGAAAGGGGCCCCAGAGAGGATCCAGTAGCCTCCACTCCACTTGGAGGGGGTGAGTCTCCAGATGCACTCGGCCCGAGTTGTGCACAGTGCTCCTCACCATTTCTCGACCGCAGGCCTAATGTCGATTTCGTTGGTGAAGCACGTCCTGGGCTGAGTATGCAGGTACCAATACGAGTCGGCGATGGCCTCTGGCTTGATCTTTGCCTCCGGATGGTCAAACTTGTACTCCTTTGTGCGCTCAATATCAATCACACCATCAATGATGGCATGAACCACATGGACACCCTTGGGTCCAAACTCTCTAGCCAGCGATTGTGCCACGGCCCTCATTGCGAATTTCCCGGCCGCGAAGGACGCGCACAAAGCGGAGCCTTTCATGGCTGCCGTGGCAGATGTAAAGATAAGGGTCGGTGGGTATTCTGCGTTTGTGTTCTTGAGGAGGAGTGGGAGGACAGCTTGTGAGAAGTGGAACGCTCCTCGCCTGCTCGGATGACAGTCACATCAGCAAGTTTTCGCTTCACCAAGTCTTCTTCACAACATACCCATTGGCTTCCCATCCACTCTCAAACTCTTCGTCCGTCAGTTCAAGAAACGGCTTCCTCACAAACCTGCCTCCCACATTGTAGATTGCGGCTGCGAGCGACGCACCGCCCATCTCTTTCTGCAGCTGCTCAAAAGCAGCCTTGACACTCTTGCCGTCAGAGGTATCGGTACTGATGCCGATCGCCTTGCCGCCAGCGGCATTAATCTCATTGACGATAGGTTCGAAGTTGGCTGGTTTTCGAGCGAGAAGGGCGACGGCATAGTTCTTTGCGAACCGACGAGCGACGGAGGCACCTCTGTCCAGGGTCAGTATTCCGGTAGATTCTCCAAATCATTTGCTGCGTCGAAACTTACGTGCCAGGCCCAACACCGGCAACCACAGCCCAGGCTTTTTGGGATGCCATTGTACAAGAAGTCAACCTATGGGCCTCAATGCGAAGCCTGTTGTGGGCAGTTTGTCCAACAGCCACTATCATGCAAATCGGGAAGAGATAGAAGATGAAGGCACCAAGTGCAATTGAAACTTTGGTCGGCGGCTGAGAAGAGCAGATCGTCGCAGACAGCGACGCGGACTCTTTTGGTCAGCCCCGTTCCCTTTAAGAGCTTATGGCCTTTTCTCCCAAGATCATCCAGCCCCGCAATGATGTGCTCGCGGGTTACAAATCGATGGTATGTGCGCCCTGATAACTAATCGCAACAAGTGACAAACAAGGCTTCCAGAACACGAGTATCAATGATCAAACTGCAAGGGCGCAGGCACCGCAGGCGTTTTACCCCGCTGCTTGCCGGCTGCCAGCCGAGCTCGCTATGGCACTAATTAGTCAGCAGACGAGGCTTCGCTCGGTTCGTTCAGCCTCTCATCTTGGCACTGTTAAGGCGGCGAGGCGGCTTGGCGAGATGGATCTTCCAGCCTCCAGGGTTTGTTGTCGGATAAATATTCAAAATCTGTCATGCCCACAGCTCCAAGCTGTTTCCACTCCTGCAAATCACATCTGGCACGCCTGTGTTGTTTGTTTGGGCTTCCCCCGTGGCTGTTAAACCGCTGATGGCTTGTACTGCTCCAGAGCCAGGTCCTTGGCCATTTCCTCAGTCAAGATATCGTCACTCACGCCCGGCTTGATAACGAACCGCTCAGCCTGAGTTGATGCCAGCTCTGCCCGATATCGAAAGGAGTTTCTCCACAATCCGCGAACATGGATTTTCATCTGCACTTCCATGTTGAAGGGTTTCAAGTCATGTTCAACGATGGCGACGAGCCGGATTGCGTCAGGTATCGTGGAATCTCCCCGGTCGTCGCCGCCGCCATTGTCCAGAACCCATCTGTGTGTCCTTCCAAGACTGCCCCTACCATGTTGCACTGTACTACCTCGAACCTTCCAGCAAACGTTTCCGTCTTGGATTAACTGCTTACCGTCTTCAACTGAGCAGATTTTCATCAGTGTCTGTCCGTCGGCACCCATTTCGGGGGCAAATACGCGGCCGTCTATGACAAGACAGCCGTTTCCCAGCCCGCACAGGTCACGCGGTTCAACAACTTGGCTCGCCTGCAACTCGCTCTGCGAACCGCGGGCCTCGTCCTTGTAAGTGATTTCGATGTCTGCGTGGTCGACAGAAGTCCCTTTCGGGCCGATGAGGGAAAGGTCCAATGCAATCAAAGTCGCCGATCGGGGCTTGGTGTCATATAATATCTTGCCGTGACGTATTGTGGAAAACGTCCCGTCGATTAGGGTTTCTCCGGCAGTGCTTGTTGACCCTGCCATACATTCTGTTATTGTGGCTATTTTAGGAGGACGGGAGAACACCAGCTCTCTGCTCTGCGTACAGGTGAGTCGAAAGCGTTCATCCTCTTTCGATGTTCGTACGAGCTCCGCAAATTCTTGGAGCGTTGACAGGACTTGATGTTCCTTGGCCGCCGAAGTCGTGAGCAAATCGCGCAGGACGCCGTCCAGAATCCTCAGCTCTTCGCGGACAGCGTCAGTAGACGGACTGGTTCCGAGCTTGTCTTTGTCTGTGCCCGGTTTCGAAAATTTGCGCAGAGCATCGCTAAGAACCCTGAACCTTTTCCAAGCGGTGTCGTCAGAGGGCGACCTTGTGTGGGTAGTTTTCGTCGTCGAGGGGGCAGCTCTGGCGGTTTCGGCCGGAAAGTGTTGTAGACTCTGATGGAGAGCTTCGATTTTGTCGACGAAATCCAGGTTTGCAACCTTGAGCGTTCGAGGCGGCACCACCGGGCAGCGCTTTGGCATTGCATCCAGGGACTGATGCGTGAGCTCGCACAACGCTTTCAGCGCGTTCCAGACGGCTCGGCAAAACTCTATGTGCGGAACATCACTGCAATGCTTGCTCATGTAATGCTCAAAGATGCTCATCATGGCGCCCTTGGCGTGGGGATCGACATGGCATTCGTCGCACTCTTTCTCTTGTCCTTGTGTGAGGTAGCGGTACCTCAACGCTGTCGAGAAGGATGAGCCTCCTTCCGCCGGGCTGGTGAGGGAGCTCGAATCCACCGACGGAGTACCTTTGACTGTCATCTTGAGATAGGCGAATATGGCAATACTCAATTTCTGGGGTTAGAGTCAAGGGCATGCATCACTTCCGCGAGTCGTTGGTGGTTGCGAGGCTTATAGCTAGTTTGACACGAGGCTGATGATGGTCACGCGCCAGCCTCTTCGGGGATCACACCACCGCCACTGGATGCTTGTTCCTTTGTAGACCCCGACCATATGATATTTGTGCGCCCAGAAGATTGGGCGTGGTGATCAGGGGATTCGACTCGACTCTGAGAGACCGACGGAGAACATCCTCGACTTGTCGTGCTTGGTCTAAGACAAGTATGGCACATGCGGGACAGCCAATTACATCTGCTGATGACATATTGATACTATCACCATAACCATGTGACACTATAACAAGTAGAGGAATACAAGTATAACAAGTACCGTACAAGTACTGTACTCCTTGTACAACTAAGTAGATGGCAAAAAAGCAAGGACCTAAAAATGACCTCCGCCCTTGACCGTCGAATCACAATGGCGTGACCTTCGGATCCTCAGGCCACATATTGGCAGCTAAACCACCTTAAACAAACTAGACAACCAGCCTCTTGGCTTGGGAAGAAATCGTCTTTTTGTTTCTGTTGGTTCTTAAAAAGCCGCTCCGCTTCCAACTGTCCCCCTTTCGGCCTCGCTTACAGCTTTCAGGCCCTATAGCCGCCCTTTCGATCCGAGCATTGAACGTACAGAGTCAGCATTTTCGGGAATCTCGAGGGCCTTTTGTGTCCGCCAAGTTATCTTTCTCCAGATGCACTTTAATTTAAGGGACTCAGGGTCTTTCTTCGATCCATTATACCTCACGTAGCTCTTACTGTTGCTTCTCGCGGTGCTACAGTTTGAGGGGCCACCAGTCCTCTTTACAATCCTATTTCTCAAGACGACGCCCACATTCGAGGGATCCCGGTGTGCAGGCATGATCAATGAGTGTGACTTATGGGCTTCTTGGGAGAACCGCTTCTTTAAAGTGGACATGGTCGCCATCCGATCGATGTTGTCTGGTGGCCCCCTTCCGCTAGATGTTGCTGGAAAGGGCTCCAAAGACGAGACAAACCCACGACGAATTGTGGTTCTAGGATGGAGTAGGGAGGCAGGCTCTTCAGCATCCAGGTCCAGAGTCCAGACGATGAGACACCAACCTGGGCTTGATCAGGAATGGGCCATCGACCGCGACCGTGGTGCGCATCATGATGCGCCTCGCACTGGACCTTGCTGTTCTGGTGGTGTAAATGAGGCGTGGGTTGTCAGTGCTACTTCTGCCCAATATCGATGGGCGGCGCTATCACATCTCTCACTCGAACAGCCGAGACAGGCGACTGGTAAGGGCATACAAAATTACATCTTGATATCATTTCTGAGCAAATCTTGATTTACTCTTCAAGAATATTATCATATGCTACTATTGGCGTCTACGCCTTGTTACCTTTGGTTGGAGGTTCGGCAAATTTGCCCCATATTCCCCCGCGCGTCGTGACTGTTAAAACTTGGCCTTATCCGCCATCGTTGAGATCCTTGATTTGCAACATCTTCGGTTTGCATAATCTCATCACAATTGCCAGGTCATACGTTTGCCTAGTCCGACCATCGCTCGTCCTCTGTTTCACAGCAGTATGGAAAGTTCACGCAGGGGCTCTTCAAACTACGCCCCTCCGCTCGCACTTACAGCGGTCTCTTGGGTCTCGATCGGTATCGCGGTCCTCGCCTCACTGTGGATCACATATGACATTGTCTCCTATAAACGATGGAAGCACATGATGGCTATTATGTGAGTTGTGTTGCTCAACTGGCTTTGTCTAAAAACCTCTGCTTCCTGCTCGGGGTCGCTGTCTCATACTCCTTTCCGAAGGATTCCGGTCTACATCATCAACGCCCTCTATCTATGGCCAATTACCGTTTGGACATATATTCAGTACGGGCGAGAGGGCATGGAAACACAGTCAATTGATGAAGCAGAGACCATAGAAGAGGACCCTCTCTTACACTCGCTGTCTCAACCGGACCACAGTGAAGATGACACCACTGGGGAACAACACCCAGGCGGGAGTCAGATGGCGCTTGACCATCACGATGCTGACGGCGCTATTGCGGAGGGTGGCCATCAAGGCCATGGTACAGAGCATGACGGAGAAGCACATCAACACAACAAGCACCAATACCACTCCCACATGCATGCAGTCCTTCCCATGTTCGCAACCGTCACCATCGCAACTTGCCATTGTGGTGCTGGCTGTGTCCTCGGCGACCTTGTAGGGGAATGGCTGATTTCCACTCTTGAAGTGACAATCGGTGGAAGGATGCTCTATGCTGCGTTTGTCGTGGGTGAGCCACACCCCTATTGCGAGTTAGATGAGCACCGGCCTTCGGCAGGGACCAGCTGACACGTGTACCTCTGTTTTAGACTTTGTATTCGCTCTTGCCTTTGGGATTGTCTTCCAGTACTTCTCCATCGCACCCATGGCCGGCGATTATGGTTGGCGCACTGTTGTCCGCGCTGCCAAGGCCGACTTCTTGTCACTGACGTTCTTCGAAATCGGCCTCTTTGGCTGGATGGCCATCTTTGATCTCTTGATCTTCGACCAGCAGCTGGGGATGAATACTGCAGCTTACTGGTTCATGATGCAAGTAAGTCATCGACCAGTCTGTGACATCGACCATCGTAAAAGACCCGTGGTCCTGATACGTTGTCATCTAGGTTGGAATGTTTTTCGGACACTGGACTGGATTTCCTATCAATTGGTGGTTGATCAAAGAAGGAATCAAAGAGCCCTGTGCTTGATTGAGGTCCCGGCTATCCACCGGAGGCCCCGAGGCACATTGACCCAAGGCATGGCGTGGGGCTTATCGCTGCGGTGAACCTGAGTCAAGCGCAGCAGGGAAGGATCGTTCTATACTTGACACAATCCCCAAAAGGTTCACGTCGTTTGAACCGCCAAGAAGATCCGGCTTTGCCAAAAGCTCTCTTGAAGCGGGCTGGCCTCCTCGGTCCCCTCCCAGTCGTGACACGCATCATGTTCCGCTGGGATGGTCTACCTGTTTTTCGGTCATTGATCTATTGCCGCCTGAAGCTCCAAAGCAGCCCAAGAACAGACTATTCTGCGGGGCTATTCTCTGAACCAGAGAGAGCGGTAAATATATAAACGGTCATGATGGGCAGCATTTCGGTTGGCACGGCACTCTCCTACGCCAACAAGCTTCTGGTAAGTCGTCTTGGACTCTTGGCAGATTGTTCAGCAATCCATTTCTTGGAGGCGGTTCCGCCCTTGATTTCTTGGAAGGCATGTTGGAGTCGTGGACTAGCAAACCAAGATGTTGAAAGCTCCGTCAAGCTCCCCCAAGGCCAAGAATGTGCGCCACCTTATAGCTTCTTGTCACTGCAGGGTATTTTGACCTCTCTGTCCAACCGCTTCCTTGCCCCGGTATATCAACCCCAGGTAGGTATATTGACCCACGAAATGCCCCATTTTGCGGGGAAGATATGCGACGTCCACTTTACAGGCAATATGGCAGTGAGCCTGTTATATCTCTTTCAAATCCGTCTCGCCCACCGTTGGCGTAGGGAGTTGACAACGCCCACTCTTCTCCACGGTGACCCCAAGCACTGCACATCTGGCGTCCCGTGAAATTCAGTCTCTGGAGAACAGTCATGGCTATCAGCAAGGAGAGGGTTACGCCCATCAAGGCAAACCTCAAGTGCCTCCTGATCTGCCTGGCGGTCTCTATGGCCAATTGTCAGTATGGATTCGACACGGCCACAGTTGGGGGGTTCCAAGCCATGATTGGCGTAAGTTCCTGTGTCTTTTTCAAAGACTGATCCCCTTCGACTCGATTGAACTCGACTCGCGCTGACATGCCGTTGCTAGTTTCTTGAGATCTTTGGATACCGGGATCCAACATCCAAAACCGGCTGGGGGATCGAGACACAAACACAGCAACTGATGACGAGTCTGATCAACGTGGGGACTATCGCGGGCGTCTTTGTCACTGCTCCTTTCGCGCGGTACTTTGGCCGTCGGCCGGGCATCTGGGTGGCTTCGATTATCAACTTTGTTGCTGCGGGAGTCCAGGTGGGAACTACTTCCATCGGTGGGCTCTATGCTGGCAGAGCTCTCATTGGAATAGCAAACGGCCTTTTCATAACGTACGCCAACATCTACGTTGCAGAGGTTGCTCCAGCCCATCTTCGTGGCCTGCTCGTCTCTTTCTTCGGAGTTTGGGTCAATATCGGAAGTGTTCTGGGGGCTGTTGCGGACAACTACTCGAAGCAGCATTTGGACAGGTTGTGCTACCAGATTCCGCTAGCAAGCATGTTTGCAGTGCCGTTACTTTTGAGCATATTCATGTTCTTCATCCCGGAGTCCCCGAGGTAAAATTGAACCCCCCCCCCCTTCTTTTCCCCAAAAGACTCGGATGATCAACATAACTAAGACTGCCTTTCCAGATGGTTGCTAATTCACAACAAGCCGGAACAAGCCAGAAGGGCTCTCGAGAGACTTCGGGGCAACTCTCTGGCGCCAGAGTTCTTTCGCGAAGAGTATGTCGAAATGGCGCGTGGCATTGAAGAAGAGAAGGAACTCGCATCGTCGGCGTCTTACCTCGACATCTTCAGGGGCACCGATCTGAGGAGGACGATCATCTGCTGGGGCACCATTATGTCTCATTCCGGCGCCGGGCTCTGGCTCATCATCGGATACGGCACGTTTTTCTTCCAGATCGCTGGCGTAGAGAAGCCGTTTGAGGCCTCGATCATCTCCACGTGTGGCAGCTTCGCTGGCGTGCTCGTGGGTCTGTATTTCACTACAAAAGTCATTGGGCGCCGCACTTCGATGCTCTTCGGCTCTGCCATGGCTTCACTCTGCATGCTGGCGATCGGCGTCGCGTATGTCACGGGAGGCACCTCCAAGCCCGCGGGCTCGGCGATCGTGGCCTTCATGGTCCTCTATGGGTTCTTCTACAATGGCTTCTCCGGCACGCTCAGCTGGCCGATCGCCACGGAGGTCTGCAGCTCACGGCTCCGCGTTTTAACCATCGGATTGTGCACGGGCGTCAATTACTTCTTCAATTGTGAGTGTCTCCTTGTCCTTTGTTGCGTTGCGAGGGGGGCGCTAGTTGCTAAATGATGGGTCTCCTTGCCAGGGCTTACATCTTATACCGCGCCTTACTTTATCAACCCGAACCAGCTTAACTGGGGCGGCAAATATGCCTTTATATGGGCAGGCTCGAATCTCTGCGTCTTCTGTAAGTCCAGTCCAGTCCATTCCATTCCAACCGCACATCCATTTCTTATGCATCGCCAATCGATCAAAAAAAGAGAAGAACCTTGTGGCAAAGACGAAGGCCCTACCTTAAGATTTGCCCATTCTGCGCGCAAAAAGAGAACCTAAAGATCCAAGTAACCAACCACTAACCGCTTGTCCTTTTTATTTTAACCATCCAGTCTTCTTCTTCTTCCTCCTTCCCGAAATGAAAGACCGCTCCCTCGAAGAGTTGGACGAGCTCTTCCAAAACCGCGTCTCGGTCCGTGACTTCAAGAAGTACCAGTGCGTCAGCTCCGAGAGGGCCAGGGAGGTCGCGCTCAAGGAAATGGGCGGGGGAGAAGGGGAGATGAAGACGAATGTCGTTGTCGAGACGGTCGAGGACACTGCTACTGCAACCACGGCGGTCGCGTCGAAGGTCTGACGTTGCGTGTCGTCGGACTAATTTGTTGCGCATCCGAGGTCCGAAATGTGAGATCTCAAATGGTCATGATCAGTGACCAAGGTCCAAGGCTGGCTGGGCCTCTTGAGTCTTGAATATTGTGAGACCCAAGGTGTAAAGGGCCGTGAGGAGGCTGGAGATGTGACTGAGAGATGTAGGAGAGTGAGCCATCACGGTGGCTAACGGTATATACCTGCTCCGCCAGCGGAGTACCTACCTAGAGACAGCTGAGAGAGCACCCGTCCATCCGGCTGTTCAGATTAACTTAAATCAATTCAGATACAGCACGACCTGGCATTGACGTGCTCGACTGTTCATAGGATTCTTCAGAAGAAATGTCTCCATCAAAGGTCGCGACAAGTTGGGCTCAAGACTGTCCCATGCCATCTTGCTATACCATAATGCGCCCTTGGTGCCGGCAAACTTTATCCCCCAACAGCAGCCTTATCTTGACCGGCTAAGGAGCCGAAATTGAAAACCGGTTGATTTCCTTCTAGATGTACATTCGAGAAAGAAGACTTTCGCATAATTCACACGTTCTCCCGTGGACGCAAAGCAAGGCCTTCCATCTCCAGAGCCTCCCAATCCTGGTCCCTCGACCTCCTCGCATCGACCCAGAGCTCCACCGCGGCAGGGTTGAGAACTATATCCAACCACAGGAACGACGACAGGCACTCTTCCACCTGCCGCCACGTCAAGATATCGATGGACGACATGACATCCGAGAGCTGCTCGACGAACCACGACCTCTCAGCCTCCGCGTCGATGACGCCGTCGTCAACTTGAATGCCACCCAGCACAAGCGCCCAGAGCAGCAGGCGCTTATACGTGTCGTCGGGGAAGAGTTGCCACGGGCTCTCGTTCTCACTCTGGATGATCACTTCTCTCAGTGCTCCTGCTAAGATCCTGCTGGTACCGCCGCTGGGATTCATTGGAAACAGGACCAGGTTACTGTATATCCGCAGCGACATGCGACTGATCTCGTAAAGATGCTCCGAGAACCTCTCAGAGCTCGAGGGCATCTCGCAATCGGCTTCGCTTATTGGTAGGAGGCTCAGCAAGAGATACTGCGCTTCGTTGCGGGCGTTGACAATGTCGGCGAATAATGTCGTGGGTTCTCTTTTACTCAGATAACAGTCGACCGCGGTGTTGACGACTAGCATTGCTTGGACGGCTTGAAGAAATTCGTACCTATCGGGCTGGCTGAATGGTAGATGACCCCAAACGCTGGTTTGAAGATTCCAGTTTATCCCCTCCTTTATCATCAAATGAGCCAAGTCTCGCAGCGTGGCCAAGGTGGGTGGACTCATTGGAATGATGTAGAGCTGAGAGTTGGTCTGAGAAGCATTGACTAGATCGCATCTATGTCAAAAATTAGCACTCTTTCCGAGCCGTCCCGATGAGAGAAGGCATTTTGAAGGCAGGTTTTTAACTGACAAGGAAACCACGCTGGCAACCCCTGGCGATTTGATTTCGGAACATCCGCCTTTCATGATCATCAGCCGAACCAACGCTTCCGAATGCGCGCTGGGGAACGGATTTGCGCTATACACGTGGAGAAACTGTGCGGTTCTGAGAGGAGAGTTGAATCGCGACGGCTTCGCGACTTTGAGAAATGTCCCCTTCGCGCGGCTGATAAAGCCCGCGGAATTGCCGGCGAGCACTATTATGGCTCCCAGTAACTCGTCAGATGGCGGACCCGTCATCTCTTCAATTTCTTGGTTGACGAGTTTGATCATCTCCACGCGGTAGGACAGACACAACTTTGAGAACGCCTTCGTTTTGACGTTGGTGCCGCTCAAAAGTTCGTAGTTTTCGGCAGTTCCAACCATGTATGCATAAAATGCAAGCGTGGAGCTCCGGATTGCCGCGAGGTAATCCTCGTTAACCGGGTTGGTCACATTTGGCGGTTTGCTTGGAGTTAAGCCCGGCCAGAAGAGCCGAACGGCTTGGGCAGCAAGTCAGCCTTCTCACAACATGGTTTGAAGGGTTGGTACCAGGATCGAAACGTACCATGATCAACCACTTCCTCTACCAAGCCAGGAATATCAGAGACGGCGTATCTTGCAAAAGGATCTCTCCTCCCTTGGCTGAGGATATCGAGTGGGTGATCCTGTGGGTGTTTGGATGGTATGACGGCGGCAGAAGTCGACTCGCGACCGTGCCGGTCTAGTAATAGCTTGCGGCGCGAAGGTGGCTCGCCAGCTGCTTTCCAAGCCAGAAACTTGTGGATGGTCTTTCCAGGCTCAAAATCGACAACTTTTCGTCTTCTCTGTCGCCTCGCCTTGGCCGTGTGAGAGGCTACAGCGAAGCGTGTTTCATCGCTAACCATATCCGCCGGTCTAGTGATTGTGATGAAGCTCTCCGGCGTTATGAGAGGCTTTGCAGCCATCTCTCAATACTCCTACTATCGAGGGCACTCGCGGGCACTCGCGGGCACTCGCGGGAGGATGCTGAGTACGAGCGTAGGAAAGAACTTTGATGTTGGTCGGCTTGTTTACTGATGTTCCAGCAGTACACAAATGAATGAAAAGATGATGGAATGAGCCCATCTCCAACTTTGGGGGCTCTGGGAGATTTTTGATTTTCATGATCCATTACAGAGCTCCTGTTGGGGCGACTAGGTCGGAAGCCCACCGCAACGGACTCTCCATGAATTGGAATGGCGGATTTGCGATATGTATTGGTTCAGTAGCAGGGGTCGAGTGCGGATTTAGGCGGCGCGGTCCCTCAAAACATGGTGGCTAGGTGTGCCTCGTCGAGACAGCCGTGATAACATGGGACTGCTGAAGCTGAGACCGTGAGGGGGTTTTCTGAGTTGCTCGTATTTTAAGAACCGAATCGAAAGTGAAGCTTGGCCAGGTACGAGGTATTAGGGTAGACTTGGTGGCTTTTCGCTTGCTGTGCTGATTAATTGCTGCCCTCTAGCTGCTCTCTAGCCTGGGTTCCAGACCTCCGCGGGCGCTGGTTGTCTGGAGTCGCTTCTGAGGCCAAGGCTGGGACTCCGTACCTGGGTATGTACACAGTACAAGCACGGGTGGTGAAGTGGTGCCCCGCCTGAATCCGTTTATGGCATATGGTGAATGCTCCTCGGAGCTTCGAGTATCTCAGATCCCAACTTCGCTTCCAGGGGAGAGCCTTGTCATTGGACTACTAGACACTCGGCCTTGGAGGTTGTAAACTGATAGTCTTGGATGAACACTGTCTTCCAATAGAGTCTCTTTCACTGCCAGTCCATCCCCTAAACCATAAGGAACAGGCGTTCCAATGAAAGCGGGCCAACAAAGACGGACGTGCTCACCTACTGCTTAAGATACGGATAGATACGGATCAATCATCCTGTCAAGATTCATTCTGCGCCGGACCCCAGCATCCCTCCTGGCGGTATCGATCTCCGATCTCTGCTCAAGCTAAATCTTCAGATACGACATAGAAGTGTCTCAATTCCTCGGCTAAACGGGACAGTTGCTGAAGCCTGGCAACCCCCGTTTTCCAGACGCCCAGAGCAATTTCCTCGCAAGTTGTCCGCAGCGACTGGTGCTGGATGACAAGAGAGCTGACTGAAGTTGATGCAGATGGATAGGATGGGCATTCGACCTGAACACACTAACTACATATCCCAGTGGAGTCATATGTGTCATAGACGCCAACTCCACACCTATAGTCCTCTTTCATCCTCAGTTCCGTTGGTGTTCGGCGGCCCTCCATGCGTTGGCACAGCTTTCCTTCGGGTCTTCACGATTTCTCGTCTCTGAAAAAGTCTGTTTCAGCATAGCCTCATCGTTGCCAGAAAGTCCGAGCTCAACAGACAATGCAATCACAAAGACGACTATACTTCCGCGGCGGGCTGCTTTTTCCTCGCGGATTTAATCCGGAAAATGGTCTGCCACTTCCTGCCGCAGCCTTGGGCAATGTGAAGGTTCCCTTATGTTCCGCGATGCCCCGCCTCATATTCTGCAGTGGTCATCTGGCTCTCGACCGGAATGACTTCTTTGGAACGCATTAAAATGGGGTTTCTCCTTGTATCGGTGGCAGTTACCTCTTGAGTGCTGCCTTCATGCTTGAGGCGGTCCACGGCACGAAAATCCCATCGTATTCTGACTCAGCCAGGCGGGGTCACTCGTAGAATCCAAAAGTAGTGGCTGTGTTGGGAGACGACTCCGAGCTCGATAGACAGCACCAAGCCCCGAGGATCCTGGCTGAGGTAGACAAGGTGCGATTTGAGAATGCTGTGTCTTGCGACAGGGGATAAGGGAAGTGGCTGTCAACTCCGTCAACAAGAGATCATGAAGGAACGAAGAGAACAATCCTGCTTCCGCTGCCGACTGAATGCCGTCATGCAAGGTGTTCTACTAACACATCGAGACCGACTGCGGCTGGGAGGGAAGGGAAGCCATGTTAGATTGGAGAAGCCCGAATAGATCGAGAAGTCACCAGACGAAGAAGGATGCTGCTTTTGTTGATGAATTGGGCATGTACACAAAGCTCGAGAAAGTGGGAAGAAAGGTACAAAAGCAGGAGAGAGGCGACTCAGTGCTTTGATAGACGGCCGTGAGGGCCGAGGTTCACAGGTAAGAGCCCGTAGTCAATGCCAGCTGTCGTAGCATATACCGAGTTCCGGCAGCCTTTGTTTAGCTGCATCACGCCGTCCTGATGAAAGATCTTCCAACAATCTATCCCATCGGGCGTCGAAGGTTCTGATCAGGCTGAAGCGAGACGGCATATATGCGACGCTTTCTGGGTCCGAAGGGGCATCCAATGCCAATTGTTCCGCGTGAATATTTGTGAATACACGGGACAAAGCCCCTTCCCACACCTGGGCCATCAAAACAGGACTTAGCATGATAACTCTGAACATGCTTCGTAAGGACGCAATTTCGACGACGTTCGGTGTCCTCATTAGATAGATTCGAGACAGCTACCAAGATGGCCAGTCATATTTATTGAAGAGTGGCTCAGGAATCATCCTTCATGCTAAAAGACGAAGGAATTCCAGCCCTAGAAACCTTTCGACTCTCGCCTGAAGAAGAGTACGAGGCATCCGAAATCGGGTTGAGTGCATGGCAGAACTCCATCGCTGTTTGTTGGAAGCCGAGCTGAGCGAGCTGTGGTTTCAAAGGCGATCGACTTTTTTCGATGAAGGGTCTCGGTTTTGGTCGAGAAGAATGTGTCTGTCTCATCACCCATGTCCTAGGAGGTAACCATATCAGGGCACAGTGCTGCGCGGCGCAGTTAACTTTCAGGAGGCGGCGGTGAAGTGTCACTGGTTCGCTTCAAACATCTTCCCAATTCTGTATACGAATGTTAGCTAGTCAGATTGCCAGCGCAGGTCAAGTCGCATCATTACCTCCAGCGCATCAGCTCTCTGCTTCCATCCAACGGGTCCTTTTACTCAGCTTCGACCAGAAGGAGAAACGTGCTTGGTGATTGAAGACTGTCTGGCAACGAATATCCAGGTTATATTGTCAGTGAAGAGTCTGGCCCGAATTGTCCGAGGCAAGAAACAGGGTTTTCACGTTCATTCCAGCCAGGGATGCGAAGTTGGGTGACAAATTTCGTGAGTATGCGATCGCTCTTGTAGAATTGCTTTATCCTTAGCAGCGGACATTTCGAAGATCGACAGTACCGAACCGCTCGGGAGCAACGCGCGGAATGGGACTCATAATTTTGAAGGCCTCCTGCGCTCCTTAACAGCCTTTTGATCGCCAGTCGGTACAGGCATTGCGTCATTTGCAAACATTTGCTGGTTGAGCCTCGCCGCCAGTGAAAGTACGCGTGTGGAGACAGCTGCTCCGTCGCGTCTATTTTTCCCTTCCCGACGGAATTGTGCGATCTTCTCAATAAAATCCCATAGGCGGCCAGATGCCCTCAGTTCGCCTGTCGTGGGATCTCTTTCGGGCGTCCACTCGAGAGCAAGCCGCACTGTAGGCTTTGCCTTCGACTCTGAACCCTTCGCTACGTCAATGATCCCTTCTTCCTGGAACCGCGTGTAGGCGTTTTTGAGGGCTTCCTTGTTGACTGCTTCAAAGTAAGACAGGTCTCCCTGGTGATACAGGGTGCGGCCAGCAAGCTGAGCCATATTCTGAGCCTTTTGCATATCGACCCAGCCCGCGGAAGTGCCTGCCGGAGGAACCAACACCAACAAGGAGACGGCTCCCAACCAGGCAGCATCCACAAACGGCCAAACAAGGAAACAATACAAGTCGTAATTCTCTCTGCCTGATTTCCGCTCAGCATCGGATATACCGACCATTCTTTCAGTGTCTTCTGTAACTTTGAGGACATCATCTCGTACCAACCCTTGCATTGCCTGTTCCAAGTTATGTCGCAAGCCTTGGCCAGCCGGGAAGATGAATTCACCTCTGAACAGCTGGGACAAGAATGTAACTTTATCGATCAACTCAACTTCGGTCATGCGTTGGTTCGCGCTTCCTCCGCCCTGTTTGACCTTGGTGTATAGGGCAGCCGCGATCAGCGCTTCTGAGATGAAAAGATGAATCGTCATATTCCTGTAGAATGATAGTTGAAAGCGGTCAACAGCATAATAGGTTTCCTCTGCAAGACCATCGACCGTTCCGACGAGCTTCGGCCCAAGGACCTCCAGGGCTCGCTCGACAACATATGAGGTGGGCATCCCTCTAAAATCTGCCACTTTGCCCCCATTTGCCCTTATACGTCTGCAGAGCCAATCAACTCGGCGAATTAGTTCAGACTTACCCACCCCACGGCCCCGTATTGTCAAGAGCACAGTCCCAATGAGTGCCGTTGGCATGATCACTGAAGCTGAATTAATGTCAGAGAGGACTCGATATCCAAGGGTCCGCAGCAGCCGAATTCTACTATCCGAACTTGAGGGGCCTGCGGCGAGAGTGGTTGGAGCCTGACGTGCTTGCTGTTCCTTGATGAACTCTTTCAAGCTCCAAGGTTCGTGAAATCTGCAGTCGATTCGACCAAGGTTCAGTGACAGAACAGACGACGCCGAGATGAAGTCAGCAAGATTTTCCTTCTGTTTGGGGTTTCCCAAGAGTTCATTGACGTATGAGTCAACCTCTATCACTTTGTCGTATTGCAAGGACACCGGGCAAACATAAGCGTCTTCCGTGCGACCCGAAAGTACGGAGTCGAGAAGGAACCTGAGGAAGCCGAAGCGAGGTCCTAATAGCTTTCCCGTGCGACTTCTTCCGCCTTCGATGAAACACTCCAGATTGAGACCCTGTTGGAGCAGAGTATCCAGATAGGCCTGTACGAGCGTCGTATACAGCTGGTCATTTCCGAAACTTCGCCTGATCCACATTGCCCCATTGCTTTGCAGAAAACTACCAACGAGCGGAAAGTTTAGGTTGTCGCCTGCCACAACAACAGGTAGAGTCAGGCCAAGGCGATAGCACACTAGGTGAAGAGTGACATAGTCAAGATGGCTCGTATGTCGGGGTAGAAATATGATGGATTGCTTCTTTTCGGCCGCCAACGTTGCGACTTCTCGGAGCCTTCTGACCTCCGCTTCCGAGACGTGGATTGCGCTGTAGGCTCTGGTGAGCAGCTGCGTGACTCCATAAAAAGCTGCTCGAATGTAGATCTTGCTTTCCATTTTGCAAACCATTTTATCCAGCATGTCGGCCGTGATCTCAACCAGTTGCGATGTGATTTCATGTCTTCGTTTTTCCCTCTCTGGCAGATATGTCGGGCTGGTGGTGTCCAAAAGATATTCCTTCTCTTCAACTTTCAAACGTTCCTCGGTCAACTCGACGATCTTTCGCCGCAAAAGCGGAGAAGCCATCACCGCAGTTTTGACATTAGATGTGTAACCCGGGTAGAAAACTGGCTGTCCGATGGGATTGTCGTAGGCCCGCCATCCAATGCCTCGGATGAAAAGTGAGATTTCATGCGCGAAGGAGAAAGGGTTGGTGCGGAAACGCTTCATGCGCGTGACGATACTGCGATCGGTAGAGTCATCTCGCGAGGCGGGCTTGCCCTCAGCCCGGACGAGCTCGGGCATTGATGAGACAGGCAATATGAAAGACTGTTCACTGTAGCCCGCACGAATATACTGCAGATGCAGTTAGTTGAAGGATGATCGAAACTCCCAAACCCGAGCAGTCACCCGAGGAGCAGCTAAGGTGGATAAACCATTCTTGACCATTGACTGGTTTGTTGAGCCGAGACCCGGAGCCCCACAGACCCCAGACTTTCTTACATAAGCAATATGCCACTGTTCCCATCAAGCCTTACCCTGTCTTGCCCTGTACAGCCTTGCACTTCCTTGCCCCGTGTTTTCCTATTCCTACCATCTCCCAACTCTTGAGAAGGCTGAATCTTCAATTTCCAGACTAAAAATATGCTCACAGCCTTAATGATGACAGAGACTCCGTAAAAAAAAAAATATCTCAGGCTTTGAGAAGGCCTTTTCAGGGTCTCAGTCGGGCACCGAGGCAGGGTCATCGTAACAATCATGAAAGCCACTGAAGGGAATGGTACCAACATTCTGGCTTACAAACGTTTTGAATCAAGTCAACCTGTTCCACATACTGGTTCAATACAGATTTGCGATCCGCTTGGCATCGGAGCTGAAGTCCGAGACCCTTGTCGATCCATGAAGCCTCATGGGCAGTGATTGACGATGAGAGAAAGTCTGACGTAGTCTTTGGCCGCAGGTCTTGACCTACTTAGCGATCGACCCCATCCCTGGATTCACATTGTGCACACTGTTATTCGTCCTCCTTCATCGACGGTTCTGCTGGCACAACAATACAATCTGACTTCATCGTTTCTTAATTCCTGATTAACGATGTCGACAGTATCGAGCCAGCAAGGAGCTGGCTCTAAAGAGAATTCACCAGGCCAAAGCTCGCCAGGTCCGTTCAGTAACGTCGTCCGTAACCGATACCTGGGCCAGCCCGAGCGGAGATAGAGGATATCAGGGAAGCCAAAGTCAGGTAAGTCCTCCCTCGAGACTCTGGGGTCATAAGTCCTTGGTTTCTTGACAGGATATTGTCGGAATAAGTCATCTTGCTAGCCCTCAGGTCGGTGTAACAGACGGATCGGCCAAGTTCGGTTAGCTTGGGTTCATAAAATGGCTATTGATCATCGGCGAACAGCTCTGCTAACGCTATACCCATCCCTAGACCTCCAATCCTGAGAAATCATCAAGCGAAACAGTAAAGACATCTGATGCTCTCAGTGGCCTCGGCTCCTCAGACGAAGGTGAAGGTACAAGGGGTACTATTGCGAGCGAATTTGCTGGAGAAGGTCCAAGTGTGCATAGCGAGGCGCAGCGGTCACTTGCCGAAGGAGCAAGCCATGGTTGAATAGCATCCGGCATTCGAAGGTTCAAAGCCTGCTCGAAATCCAGGATCAAGTAGGGGCGGAAAGTGGCAATAATTCCTATCATTGTCTGATGGCTTCCTCACCTGTGGTTTTCCCGGTTGCCTGCGATTTTACTCATGACTTTGACTTTAAGCAATTCTCGACATCATACCCAGCTTGCACGGACCCTCCGCGGTTCAAAAGGCGAAGATTCATTAGGAGGTGCTGTCGAAATGACAGTGCTTGCTAAGCAAAGAGCGTGATGGGAGCGGTTCTTGACATCTCTTAGTCCTGGAGGTAACAGCCTTCTTAAGTGAATAGCCACTTCTCGCTGTCTCTGTACGCGGATTACATCCACAAAGTGCGAACCAGGACTCGAGACGTCTTAGTCAACTGTTAGGAGCTGCTCATAAAATCCGCCGATTTGGCGGTCGCGATCTATAAGATGGATTTCTAGGATCCAATGCAGCAGCTGTCCGTCCGTGCCTGTGCGCCTCATCGGCTTCTGGCTGCCCTTGGTTATATAGTATTCGACTTTATCTCCAGGGATTCGCTCGTGCGGGAATTGACCGACGAGGTGTCCTGCGTGCGAACCGCCGAACTCCCACCCAGCCTCCTTAGCTAAATCGCAGGCGATCCTGTAGAGTTCCTCGCCTGTCATGTCCGGACTGTCCTGGAACCGCGACTTTACCTGCTTCCACAAGGGCTCTAGCGTGTCGCGCAGCTTTGTCTTGATCGGATCACCTCCAAGCACAAATGTCCGACCAAAATCTGCTTCCCATGCCTCGAATACAGGCCCTAGGTCAACGAAGACGATGTCGTCGGGTTGAATTATGCGGTCCGGAGGGTTGTCGGCATAGGGGAACAAGGTGTTAGGGCCGCTTCTGATAACCCGCTTGTGCCAGTGGGTTTTGACGTCGTAACGTTTAGCACCAAGTTCATGGATCTCATCACTTAGTTGCTTCTCACTGACGCTGGGGCGGACTATGGATTGTTCAATCTCTTCGAACAGCTTGACAGCTTTTGTCTGTGCCTCCCGGAGGTAAGCAGCTCGCTCCTGCTCCGTCGTTGGTGTGGGTTCGGAGGCCATTGTTGACAGGCGTTTACCAGAAGAACAGACGAAATGTTCTATTTTGCGCGACAAACTTGCAAGGCAACCAAACGATAGAAAGCCTGACAGTGTTCGAGAATACGTACTTTTCTTCCCTTTATGCGGAGAAGGATTTCTGCGGGGTCGAGGGCGTGCCAAGACAAATACGCCCTCGGTCCTTCGCTCTATTGACCCCCTTGGCCCGCTCAGCCTTGTCGAAACCTGGTGCCGACTTTCAGAATACCAGGTACCGCCAGATATCTCCAAGTCTACATTCTTCAAGGCTGACAGCAGTTCCGAGTATATGATTATTCGACGTCGCCAAGCTCTACAGTAGATTCACCGATATTCCGCTTGGTTGTTTGGTATATACCTAAGATGAGTGCGTACGAGGCTGAACCGGGTCACCGTCCCCGTCGGAAGCAACCGATCACTAAAGTCTCTGCCGAGGCCGCTTCTCGCTTGATCATGCTGCCAACCTCCTTTCAACTGGACTGGGAAACAGCTTCCAAACAGAGAGTTGTCCGTGCCACTTCTGGGCAGAATGCTGGTGCCCTGACATCCTGATCAAGAATTTATTTGGGCTAGCTGATGACCCCAGCCTGGCTGATTGTACCACGACTACATTAGCATAGCAACCACAATGCACAAACCTCGTATTGCTATTCACCGACCCGTCGCTCTCCTCTCTTGATCAGATGACACAAACTGAAGCAACGCGTTCTCCAAATATCACGCGAGGCATCTCGTGAAGCTCACAAAACAGTGTCTCTCCCTCCCCCCTCTCTCTGTGTGTGTGGTCGTTAGATCAATTCCATGGGTTTGAAAATACCTTCCAAGCCTCAATTGATTCGTGCCATCCCATTTCAACATGCTCTTTGTGCGCTCATGCAGGGATGCGCCGGGGAATTCTGTGTCTTCAACCCAGTATCAGCTGACTGACGCAAATAACCACATCTCTCAATTGCTGCTGGGGCTTCGAGAGAGGGTCGAGCTGGCAGGTGGGTCTTCAGTGATATTAACACTGCTGATGCAGAACCCTGCGTAGTAAGGCACTCGGCTGCGACAAATGAATGGCCGAAATCTCACCACTTTTGGTCGGCCTTTCAAGAGGACATATGTATACGCAGGCGCGACTAGCATGGACCACCCTGCTATTCTCGATAGTTTCCATTCTCGCAACACATGGTGAGGGAATCCCGCATTTTAAACTGCCTACCTTCAAGTCCATGTCTCAGCATACAGTGGCAAGCGAACATGTCATCATCAACCACTCAATGCTCTGAGCAGCCAGATACGGCAAACCTGAATTCCAAGGTCAAAGGTATTAAATGGTTCTAGATTTCAAAAGAACGTGGCTGATAAATTCAAGGTCGAAGAGCCTATACTGCATCAGCAACACCTCAAACATACGCGCCTCTATCTGCTCCAGGATGGCCTCAGGCACCGTTGCAACTCAAGCTCTCCTTTCGCCACCGCTGTTAGAGAGTTATATTGGACATTTGGCTCCTTCTTGTCTCACTTTTATTCGCAGGTTAGTCCGAAGCTGTATTTGGCTCTCTTGGTCCTGTTTAGAGAAATGCAAAGCTTATCCCACACGAGTTCTCGGTGGTTTCGTCATTCATATGAGGAACAAACCACAGACGCCATGGGCAGTGGAGGTTATCCAGGCCACAAAAGTAGCACCCACAATCTGGCCATTGGTATTTGCCGCCGTGGTAGGCAGCATGCTCAAAGCCAAGGCCCATGAGAAGGTTCAGCATGGTACCGCCATAGGCGTATGTGATATGAGGCACTCCAATGCGTGGGGTTTGTACTGACATTCAGTTACAGGTGCTTGAGCAACTACTCGGCAGCCAGACGGTGTTTGGCGCCTTGAAATCTGCTTTTATATTGCGCATATTTGGCCTTTCAACATTCTTTCACTTTCTTCTGTGGAGCCTCAATCCGGTTGGGGGCCAAGCTGTTCTTCGTGCTATCACTTTGGAACCAACCTTCGCCGAGGAGAATGTGGACATCAATTATATGGTATCCGACCCTCGAGTGACTCCGTGGTACGAGGCATTTCAGGGTGCATCGTCATACACCATGTATCGTCCACTGGTTTCGACATTATTCGGAGCAGCGTTGTTCTCGCCCGATGCAGCCTTGCAGTACTCCAATGGCACGAGTTCCGGCTCTAATTTTGCCAGCATTGTCGCCCAGCTTGGAGGCATTGATTCAGCGATTACAGGGTCAGTAACAGACTCCTGGGGAAATGTTCGAATCCCAGCGCTCCACCTGCTTCCAGCCTTTAATCCAGCCGACCCACAAAGATGGGTTGAAGTGCTTACGGATGAAATTCCCCCCCCATGAGTCCGTCATCGGAGTTCCCCTTCGGCAGCTGCCTTCTGGGGTAGCGGGAAATCCGAGCTTCACGCTAGAAACCAACTACTATGTGCTACATGTATGATTCCCCCGCTAGACTATCAACTGGTCGAAGACTAACTCATTTATGTCATGATAGTGCTCGGATTGGATTGTCCTCTCCGGAGCCAACGAAACGGCTTGGTTCCAGCAGTTTGGGCCCACGTTTCAGTTTTACAATGCACCCGAAAGTCCGTTCTCCATGATATCTACGGGGTTCTTTCTCGCCACTCCAGAGATGGGCTCAGATCGGTCACAGATATTTCACGATAACAATACCACTTCGTCCGCAGGTGCCAGGCAAATCCTTTTTGGATCTCGGGGTTATGATTCAACACCGGAACAAGATATAGCTGATTCCTTGACGATTTGCAATCTCACGATGCAATATGTCGAAGTTGAAGTGAGCTGCTCTCGGCACGCCGACAATGGCCAACTGGCATGTGTGGCAACAGCGGTTCGGCCGTCGCAGTTGCCGCACATATCCTCCAATTTGACCGAGTTTGGCTTCGTTCCCTCCGAAATGTATCTCAAACTAGACGCCATTTCGCTCATCTTCGGAAGTCAACATGTCACAACATCCACCCCTCAAGAAGTCTTCATGTATGATCCAACCAAGGCTTTCACCAGTGAAGCACTCCTTGAATATGCTGTTATGATGCACGAAATCCCTACTGGGGTCTTCGAAAAGAGACTGGCCTTGGTTTTCAACACCTTCTTGCGAGCGACAATAGCTCCTCCAATCATCACTGGCGGAAGCATCAACAGTACATACTAGGACAAATCGATCATGACCAAGACTAGTGCGAGTTGGCGATACGTGACGCCGCAGGTATACCGGCTCCACATTGGTTGGCTGGTGCCATACCTTGCTGCCGTCATTGTGCTTTGTGCCTGCGCGATTATCATCGTCGCAGTACGATTTCGGTTACAGGTCCCGGAAGTCCTTGGATATGTTTCAACCCTTACCAGGGACTCTCCCTTTGTTAGCACCGAGAGCGCTGCAAGTGCACTCGAAGGTAATGAAAGGAGAAGAGTGCTTAAGGATTATTAGATTCGACTTCAAGATATTCAGCCTGAAGCTCCGTTCGGGAGAATTGCGTTCAGCTCGGACACGTCAATTTCGATGGTCCCTCTTCAGAAGGAGAGACTTTACTTGTAACAGAAAGCCACACCTGGGAAGAGCGTAAGGTGATAGAAGTCAACCGACTCATCGACTGAAACAGACGTTAATGAGGTCATCGGTCTCTGTGCTTTCATTTCCACTGATAGTGCAGTGCGAACACACCTCCCCTTCCGCAAGCTAACTTTTCATCCATTTTAGGGTCCTCCTTGGAAACCGTGTGGGCCCGGACCTAGCGTCCCTGGTAGTCCTTATAAAATAAACACAGCTTTTCATAAAACCAATCTGGCTACCGCCATAATACCTGCATACTTGGTAGAGTGAGGTGGTGCTGATGCTTCAGCCTTACCCCACAGCCTTGTTTGGGGCCAAGGCTGGCAATTTTCAGCCTCGTGGAATCGACGAGGCTGAGGTGCTTCCCTGGCCAATCACATGTCAGTCGCAAAAATCTTGACATCCCACAGCGACGTCCAACCCGCGGCGGACTCTTGCAGTTGACAGAACCAGCCCGAAGCACTACAGCTGCCACAGCAATGAGGCTCACAGCGGACCTCATCCATAATTCCCTGTCCTACTTAAACCCTCTCAAAGAGCGTGAACTCGACCTCCGAGGTATGTCTGAGAAGAGCAGATGCTACACTTTGATTTCTCCGAACTGGCAAGAGCATAGTTGACCGCACGCGTCTTTCTTTGTGCAAACCGTATAGGTCATAAAATCCCCACCATCGAGAACTTGGGCGTTGCAGGCCCGCAAGATGCAATCGACTTTACCGACAACGACATCACCACCATCTCCAATTTTCCCCTGTCTCCCAGATTGAATACCCTGCTCTGTGCGCGAAATCGAATACAAAACGTGGACAAGAGAATAGCGGAACAAATACCCAATCTGACAACCCTCGTCTTGACGTCAAATCATGTCAAGGAGCTCGCTGATCTGGAGGGCTTGGCCGGCTGTGGAGCGTTGACCCATTTGAGTTTATTGGAGAATCCGGTCACCAAGAAAGAGGTGAGGCTGGACCATGAATCTAAAGGGTTGAAACCCTCCTATTGACTTTATTCTACAGCATTACAGACTTTACCTTATCTGGGCGATTCCCTCGCTGCGATTCCTCGACTTCCAGAAGGTGCGGCAAGCGGAACGTGAGAGGGCCAACGAGCTATTTGGCACCGCGGAAGCGCCCACCGAACTGGCTACGAAGATCAAGGGACTCAAGAGTCGGACCTTTGACGTTTCGACAACCGGGGTCAACGGCAAGGCCGCAGCTACTCAAAAGGGGGTCCGCACACGGTTGACCGAGTCAGAGAAGAAGAGAGTGGAAATGATGATCCAGAATGCCAAAAGTTTTCAGGAGATTGAAAGAATCGAGAGAGATCTCGCGGAGGGCAGGATACCTGCTGGCGCGGCGGATGCTGACAGGATGGTCCCTTAAGGCTTCCGTAGTGCATGCATTGCATGGACGGAGGAATTGGAGAGACTCGCGAGATGCACTCATGTATAGATACGGAGCATCGCTGTGAGTGTTTACAGCTGGAAATGAGCAGACTCACCGCCAAGGGCAGTCTATTTCTATCCACCAAGGCGTGAAGTCGATCCAACCCCGGATACGCTCCATCTCTACTATTCCAACAGGAACTTCAGAAATGCTTGACTAACAATCAACCCGTCGTGTGGCAGATCGACTTTCTTCATATATTCCTTATATGCCTTGTCATCGAAAATACCTGTAGCATGTCGCGTGTTGATGATTTCGGTCATGATTTCCTGATTGAACTCGGGGTGGCCCTGCACGGTCAGGAGTCGCTTTGGTGAATACATGACTTGGACCTTGCAGACAGGAGAGGAGCCGAGTGCCTCTACGCCTTCTGGATAGTAGAAGACACAGTCGCGGTGCATTTGGTGGAGGCGCTATGCAGCAATCTTGTCAGGGAGATGCGGTGATGTTGCGCAGGGTTTAGCGCAGGCAGCGCAGGTTACACAACATACAATCTTGTCAACGCCAAACACTTCCTTGCCCTTCTCCGACAGCTGGACATCATTCACAGCTGCCTCCCAGCCCTGGGGATTCCGCCCAACATCAGCTTTCAGAGCCCGCCCTACGATCTGGTGGCCAAAGCACACGCCGATGACACGGACGCTCGTTTCGGACAGGATCTTCGCTGTATAGTCGACCAGCTTGTTGATCCAGGGCGTGTCGGCGAAGGAGTCGTGTCCTGGATTGATGCTCACACATCAGCGCCGATCGCTCCTCAACCATCAGCATGTCGACCATGCTACGGGCAAGACGGAACATTGTGTTCGATTCTTCGTCCCGCTGTCTACATCCGGTCCCCTTCTCACAAGGGGACATCGCAACAATATAAAGACGACCATGACACTCACTGGAACCCGTAATCAAAATGGCATCAATGTCGTCGGGATCGGGATACTGGTCCGGGTTCAACTCAACCTGCCAGAAGGAGAACTCGAGGCGATTGTCGGGATCCAAGTCGGCTCGACCCAAGGCTCTGGCCCCTGACCGGAGCAAGAACTCAAACACACCGCCATAACCATGAAATCTCTTCTTAGTCTCCGGGAGCGGAGTATCGCACTCAAGGATGGCGATGCGCAGGGCTCGAGGGAGTTTCAGATTCATTTTGCTCTCCTCCTGACCCGGAACACGGTGAGGGCCCAGATCTCGAGATGATATCTCAAACGAAGTCAAAGCTGCAACGTGGTTACCGCCGCCATTGTCGCCCCCGGAGCGCCACATGAAGGGCGTACAGTAACTAGCATTTCCATTATCTAATCGCGGACATAGCAGTCGGTGCCGTCATTTGAAGTCGGCATCGCCGCCTCGCCTCCCGCTTCCTCGCATCGCTCTTCTCCATCCTCTCTATCTTTTGGCGTCCTCTGATTACTGCAGATGCACCCACGTTCTTATTGGCTATGTGCCAATCTCGGTTATCGCCTGGAATGCAAGGGGCAACCAAGGCGTGCCGCCAGATGATTTTCTGCAACGGCACTCCATACTTTGTAAAAGCTATGGTCTCCCCAGCGGATCTGCAAATCTGGTGGTCAGCCGTTCCCATTCGCAACCACCGTCTTGGAACAGTCACAGGGGCTTTGTACTTCTGAGATCAGAACATCAGCAGGCTCTCTGCGAAACTACACTGTTGATTATGGTATTTCAAGACCCTGAGCCATTTGCACAGTCATCCCGGCTGAATACCAGATGGGGCATGGTCAGCATTGTATTATTTCCAGCCCTATATCCCGCCACATGGTAACCCTCATGCGGCAGGCGCGCTGTTATTGCCCCTCAGCTGGAAGGATCGATTGTGGCCACCAGGGCCGCCCCTGCCTGCTGGTGCTTGAGGTTTCTTGGTGACTTTCATGACGTGTGACCTGCCAGCAAAATGGTTAAATACTATCCCCAGTCGTTGGCTGGCGTCTGCACTCACCACTGTACAGTTGACTCTGGGAGACTTGCCTGGCAAAAGTCACGCCAACCATGAAGAGGGACGACAACAGACCCTCAATCGACGCGGTGGCAACGCCGGGCCCATATATCGTAGCCGGCGTCGAAGAGCACACCGGTCCTCGGCCGACCGAAACGACCAGTTTGCTTCCCAAGCGGAATCACAGGAACCGCTCAGATGTTCACCATCGGGATTGCATCTCGGGCCCGCGCTTTCATTTTCTATTCTGGAGCATAATCTTTGGCTGCTCAATTGCGTTCTTTGACACTACCTTAATGGCTTCTTCCCACCCCGTCATCACTTCCTACTTCGAAGCGTCGAACGCTGCTTCCTGGCTTAGTACTGTGTTCTATTTGACCTCGACGGTGTTCCAGCCTGTCTACGGCCGCGTTTCTGACACTATCGGTCGACGGCCAGCATTGCTGTTTGCGATCGTCATGTTCTTCGCTAGCACCGTGTGGTGTGGCGCGGCTAGCAGCATTGGCAGTTTTATCGCCGCCAGAGCAGTAAGTGGATTGGGCGCCGGTGGTCTGGTTGCTCTGGGTGGAATCTTGACGAGTGACATTGTCAAAATCGAGTACAGGGGCATCTATCAGAGTTATTTCAATTTGGTACGTTTTCTCTATTCGGTGCGCAGCCCTCACTCCGCTGCTCTTATACCACCCAGTCTGTGCTCTCGAAACACGATCTCCTTCTCTGCTAACATTACGGCAAATTCAGGCATATGGAGCAGGCAATGGGCTGGGTGCCGCCCTAGGGGGCTTTCTTTGTGACTATTTCGGCTGGCGCGCTGCTTTCTTCCTACAGCTACCTTTCATCGTCGTTTACGGTGTTCTTGCCATTTTTTCTTGTCCAGATGACCTCGGTCCAAACTTTGCAAAGACGCAAGGGAAGACACTCAGCGAAGCCTTCAAGAGCTTCGACACTTATGGGACGATTGGACTGATTACCACGGTCACCGGCCTCATTCTTGGAGTGAACTTGGGCGGCAACGTATTCACATGGACACACCCTTTTGTCATCGGCAGCCTAGTGATCTCTGGCATTGCAGGCGCCTCCCTGATCTTTGTGGAGCGGACAGCCGAGCGACCTATTCTCCCTTTAAGGCTGTTTTCTACAGCCCCCGTTGCGAATGTGATTGGGAGCAATTTCCTTGCCTCGATGCTCACCAATACCATTCTGTTCAATGTTCCTTTATATCTCCAGGCAGTCCGACAAACATCACCCACCACTTCCGGCCTTTACCTCCTCCCTCCTTTAGTCGGTGCTAGCATCACCGGCCTGTTAGCAGGAGTCTACATTACTCTCACAAGACGGATGAGGCCGCCCATGGTGCTGGGTTCAATCATGGGACTTGGTGGCGCTATGGCTGTGATGTGCTTGTCAGCGGACACGCCGACCTCGCTTGTCCCCTACCTCATTCCTTTTGTCCAGATTGGCCAAGGATTCTTCTTCCCAGCAGGCACTATTGCAGTCCTAGCGCTAAACTCTCAGGAGGACCAAGCTGTGGCTACTACCACACTTGGTCTGATCCGCAATCTCGGCTCAATCATGGGTGTGGCCTTGAGCAGCTGGGTGTTGCAAAATGCGCTGCCTATATACTTGAACAAATGCGTCACAGCACCCGACGCGGCGACCAAGGAGCATATCATCCGTACGGTCAGAGAATCGATCCGCTCAATCCGAGATTTGGACCCGGTGCACAAGAAACAGGTCATTGTTGCGTATGCGTTGAGCCTGAGGGCAACATTTTTCACAGGGATAGTTTTTTCTATGCTGTCCTGCTTGCTCATTTGGCCCGCTCGCCTGCCCCGTCTGCAAAAGCAAGAGGACCTTGACAAAGACGAGGCAGCCGTCTACGCTCCGGGATCGAGCGACGAGGGAAATTGTGATGAAGAGGAGCAAGAAGAGGATGAGGCACGAGCGTTGCTGGCGACGCCGACCCTATCGATTGCTCGAACTGTGACGAGCGGCACAAATCGAAGCAAGAGGTCGACGTCTCTAGGCGGACACGTTGAGAGAAGAGCAAGTTTCGATATGAATTTCTAGACGCGACAACCTTGGGTTGGCAGGTTGGTCCGTTGTGCCTGAACTGGGCTTTGCGATGGGCTGGCTGTCCATGCTCCCCGGATTGCAGGTACGTCGTGGGCTAAAGTACCTACTTGTAGGTAAATCCTTCAACTTGTCTACTTGTCATGGATTTGCCGCTTTGTGCACTCAGACATCAAGCGACCTAGCTCAACCTCGGCTCAGTGTCAGCGTGATCTTCTTACGCGTTAGATTGCTTCACATCACGAGTTTGTAACCAGTCGCGTCCTTCCTTGTCCATTAGACAACAACGGGAGGAGCCCTCTGGTCCACCCTGCGGTTCCACTCCCCGGCATCCTGCAACTCACTAATAGTTAGGCCATGATCACGATATTTTCTTATTATTAATGCCCATCATTTACAGAAGCTCTTGCAATTCTTTCCATTAAATACCTAGATCAACAGGAAGCCCGCACGCGATGCACGCTGGCAAGGAATTAGTCTTGAGGTCGCTATTTGAATCCTGGTGACATGCCTGCAACCGCCTGCTAGCAGTTCGCTTGCCAACCTGCCGACGAATACGACTTGTTGCCTGAGCGTAGCACTACACATGGACAAGAGTTGTTGCCAAGCTTGAAATCATGACCGGTGAAGTTTGTGAGATCTTCCATGACGTGACACAAAATTACCCATTGTTGAACTGCAACTGTTGTTGTCATTATCATCGTCTAGCATCAATACGTTGCACGCATTCCTCATCCCTGCACCAAGGGGATTAACTTGCCACGGCGGAACACCTGTTTCTTTCTCTTTTCAATCCAAGAGGGCTGCCAGTAAGGGGACTGTCAGCCCCAGAGTGGTTGCGATTCCAGTACCAATGGCGAACCCAAGTGTCGCGTTGCGGCAGGCGAGACCCATTGCCAAACCTGCTCCTCCAGCAAGCGTCACGATGCCGATGACAAGCCCGTCGACATAACTCTTTTTCAACTTCCAACCTAGGACAATTGCGCGCTCCGCCGGAATGCCACCACCATCTTGTGTGTTGTGTCTTTCAAACCTTCGGTTCGCCTCTGTGAGATTGTTGAATCCTCTCAGCAGCTTCGGATCATGGTAGGCCGCAGAGAGAAATGGATCATGGGTCTTCTCGGCAATCTCAACCAGGGGAAGCTGCCCCCTGATGCTCGGCGTGCGACCAGGATCTCTGTGCACAGTCACAATATCAGTCCGAGATGGGCAAAACGTCGCGTCAGGGATAACTAACCATCTTGATTTGGGCGTCGAATATCGCCTCTTCGTATCCCATCAATGCCGAGACCATCTTCTCCAACCCTTTTGCGCCATATCGCTTTTTAAAGCGCATGATTGTCAGCGCCCCGCTCTCATCAACTCGGACGAGGAATGTGGACAGAGGCCCGAAGTTGTCTCTCAACTCGCGGACTGCGTTCCAAGAACGGATGCTCGTGCCAGCGACGTCTGATGGTGCAGCACCACCTGCTGCCATGGGAGGAGGAGCGAGTTGCGCCTGTCGGGGGTCGAATGGCTGAAGCTCGAAGCTAGGGAAGTTTGCAAAGTCGTGGTAAGCCGCCATATAGCTGCTGCTGCTGTTGTTGATGTCGAAGTCGAGGGGTGATGGCGAGGTTGCGAAGAGAAGCGGACGGTTGATCCATGACAAAGTGCAGGAGGTTAGAGCGTCTTGCTCAGATGGAGTTCCGGGTTGACGGCGAGCGGCAGCAAAGCCCACCTTCTACGGTGTAATCGTCGAAGAGGGCCCTGGCGCAGTGAAAGGAGCGCCAAACTCTGTGAGTCGGCGTCGGCGTCGTTGGACTCCATTTCGCAAAAGAACGAGTTTTCCAGCTTCCACATTGGGACCAATACAGTTGACGGCATGAGCTTCCAGAGAAGGCTCATATAGCCAGAACGAGATCCAGATGGCTTGAAGCGTGGATTGAAATCTCCAATCTTCAAGGCGCAGCCTCAGCAGCCCTCACCCTCGACGGCGAAGCTAGCGCCTTGGCTGCATTTCACTGTGCAAAGCGAAGAAGCACCTTGCATTGTGAATCAACATCCCTTCAACCTCCTAAACCGGCAGAACCACACACACACACAAAAAAAAATATCCCTTTATATTCATATTTAAGAGTCCTTCGCAGCCCTGCGGTTGGCGCTGTTCTTTTGTGCATGCGTCCGACTATCCATCTGCACCGACGCAACACCATTGTCGACGTTATTGCTGCTGATTCTTCTACTACTGCTTCTCGAATATACCGCCGTGACGAGAGATTCTACGTCTTACTATGCGGCGCAGGAAAGCATTCAATACCTTGGGACTCACGAGGGTCACTCTGGTCAGCGGGTAACTAGCACAAGTCATTGTGCCCAAGGACGGACACCGTCACGCTAAGAGAAAGGAGATACGCCAGAGCTGTTTACAACACCTGGAAGGGCAAGCAGCTATCTCCCGGGCCGGTCTCTGGAAAGGACTTTCCCCCCTCTTACACGCTTCTGACTTCGCCATACGCGCCCGCAGATGTAACGGTTCATCATCCTCTCCTCAGTATTCCATGCCCCCAGAGTCGTCGACCAAGTCGACACCCACCTCCCAGACTCTCTGGAACAGCCCCGGATCCATGACGGAGCCCGAGACTCCTCCGCCACAACTTAAGTCGGACCACGTCCAGTCGACGAAACAGAAACGAGCGAGGACCGGATGTTTGACCTGTCGCAAACGACGCCTCAAATGCGATAAAGGGTTGCCGAACTGCCGGAATTGCCAAAAATTCAACCGAAAATGCAAACGAGGCGTCCGTCTAAACTTCATCGACGTCCACTGCGAGAGGCCCCCGCGCCTGGTCCCGCGGACGCGCGATTGGAAGGTTTCTTTCCAGGATGACTCCCGCGACATTGCCTCCGAATATCAAGGCGGTCGGGAGAAGTATCTTGTCCTCGACCCAGAGCCCAAGCGACAAAAGTTAAGCCTGTCCGAGGTGACTTGCGACTATACTACGTCTCAGTCAGGCACATACGTGGCCCCGTATAGCGAGAGCTTGCTCTCTAAGAATGATGTCGAAGGCTCACTCTCAAATACAGGAGGGTTCACAGAAACAAATGCCAGCAGCAACTACTCATTGAAACGATACCTGGACTGGGACCAATCTGGGGATATTTGGAGTCAAGGAGGGCGACCTGGCAGACGCACCTGGTCACTCTTTGCGGTGTTAGATATAATTGTATCTACCTTTCAGCTCAACATTCAATCCACGGAAGTCTATGAAGCGACGGACGGCGAATTTCGACCCAACCTCGAGCGAGGACACTCAGCGGAACGCACAAACAGGTCGGCCTTTGAACATTTACGCCTCATGCATAGTTCTTACCGAGCAGATGGTCTGCCGCAGTACATCTCCAAGGATCAGCAGGGCGACTATCGAAGGACATATGCGACAAAGCAGCTACTTCGCTCTGCTTTAGCATATTTCTGGATATCGGGTAGACGCTCTTGTGGTTCCATGAGATGGCTCAAGACTCTCTGTGAAATCAAGCTGGTGGATTCTTTTGGCTATCACTTCATCTGTGCGACAAACTCGCAGGTCAATCTCGAATTGAACATCCTCCACATACGGTGCGTACGGAAAGTTCTATACTCTCCCACCTTGTTCGAAGTCCCAGAGCGAGATCTATGCCACGGAATCAAACGGGAACTAGCGCATGCAGATCAACCTGGCAGACGACAAAAACCTTCATTTGGCACATCATTAGAGCAAGGCGTTCTGCCTACGGGGTTTGTACACAACCGAACCACCCCATGCATGGCACAATTTCAACAAGGGCGCCATTCAGCGTTAGCGGCTGACGACGGAAGTACCTCATCCACAATTGTCGGCACACTGAAGAATAAGCGGAAACGAGACTCTTCAAGACCTACATTTCCGTGTCCTTTGTTCCACTTCAACCCTGATACTTACCCTGAATGCAAGGGGAGAGCCTACCTAAGCGTAAGGCAGGCATTTCAGGCAAGGATCACCCGTTCGGCAGTGCAACGGTTGTTGCACTCTTCCTACAATATCTTTGGAGAGCGCTAATTGTTGTGCACAGATTCATCTTCAAGTCCACATAGACCCTCAGTCTCGACCTCAATTACCGGGAAATGCAGCGCAGAGGGAACCACAAGAAAAAGTTAGTCACCACCAGATATCGTTCTCCCGATACGATGAAGCTTGGAATGCCCAAGTGAACACTAGGGGAATAGACAACAAGCAAGAAAACATGTATCGAGTTAAGTTTTGGAGGTTGCTGCCGATATATGCTCGCATCCCCATTAACACACGTAGGTATCTCTCAGCTCTCTGCTTAGAGGTTGCGTGCTGACACTCTTCCAGGGTACGGGGAGACGCTACTTCCCGAGAGCTATCGAGGTCAGGAGCGTGAGTTACAAGAAGGACAACAAGCTGAGCTGGAGACTAATCTCCAACAAAATCTCCTTGTCATTGGAGGACCTATTCAACATACACCGGCTCAAGGACGGAGGGTTCCCAGTGCTCAAGCCGCATTCAATCGAGACTTGGCTCAGGAAGAGACTGCAGTCGCACCTATTCCACAGAGTCAGTTTGTACCAACCCTGTTGGCTTCGCCCTCTTCTTGCGCAATAGCTTCCGCCCTCGGCATGCTGAGTAACGTCGACCGAGGGTCAAGACTCCGGTGTATTAATGGCGTTCCCGGCCTACGAAGATATACACAAGGCCTTCGGGAGATCGAGGAATTCGTCCGCAGCAGTCAGACCCCCGATCGTATCTTCGAATACTTCATGTGCATTTCGACAGGTTCAACCGTGGCTGCGCCTAGCCCACCGATGCAGAATACGCTTCTGCCAGGCCATACAAAATCATTGAACATGTTACGAGAAGCCACCAAGTGGCTGAGGGATGGATGGCAGGGACTGCAAGGCGACCCTTCCTTGTCTGATGATGCCCGACAATTGATGGACCAGCTGGGTGGTGCCGCGGACAATGCCGAAAGCCTCCTCCGCCACATTGAAAACTCTGAGGACGTCGTCCAGTACTTCGTGCGGCTCGCCAGTCAGCGCCCGGGCGCTCCTGCTCAGCTTGCCTCTCCTTTGGACCCCAGTATTCCTCCTAGCCCTGTTCCTCTCGTCCCATCATTTGTCAACGAGCTGGATCGTCGAAGACCTTCCACGCCTCCTGCCACGAATCCACAGACAACCTCGGCATCCAGTGGTACATATCCGCCGACGCCGTTCGATTCCTCCCTGCTGTTTGATTCCTCTCTGCGTTTCGCAGCCTTGGGATCTCAACAAGGGATTAATGTGGCTGACACGCTCGACGAGCCACTAGCTTATTTTAGTCGCGAGCAAGGAGAGCATTTCGACAATTCAATAGGAAAATCCCAGGAGGGAAACTTCGAGAGTCGTTGTCCTAGCATGGCATCGAGTACAGACGTGCGAGAATGAGTGAGCATGTCATGCGATACTCCATTGGACATATCTTGATTTCTTTTGTGGGAGTTGTGGTATTCTGAAGACATCGACCGTTATGCGCGTCCGTTCACAGAGCAATATTGCCCAAATCCGTTCCTAAAAGTTATTATCTACCTAGGGTGTTTTCCATGACCCTTTAGCTAGTAAAGTTCCGTAACCATGGCCAAGAGCTATTCGTCGCTCTTACTGTCGTGTCCCATCTGTACATATGGGCGGCCTCACGGTTTGACTATCAGCGGCGACACATTCCAACTCAAATCTTTGCACTTATGCTCCAAGGCAACGCACCTTATAATTGCTAGTCTAGCTGGCAAGGGGGCCAGCAGTCTTTCTTCGCCATTTACTGCCAGCCCTAGCTTGTCCCTTGTGCGATTACGGCGGCAGCAGCAACAGCCGCCCCTCAAAGCCTCGACTGGCGGCATTTTTCTACGGATCCAAGATCTAACCCAACGACTCCCCGGCCCTCTGGAAAACGACCTTGAATTTCTCAGGCACGTCGAACTTGCCCAGCCTGACGTCTACAAAGTGCAGCCCTCGACCCTCGCAAAACTGCTCGTCAGCAAGCAACCGGTCGAGATGCCGCCACGTCGAGATCTCGTAGCTTCGCGCGGGATAGTCGTCATCAGCGGGAATTGCTTCGGACGACAACGACGACGACGATCTTTGCGGCGTGGTCGGGGAAAGCAGCTGTGCCTCGCTCGCTCCAAATACCCGGGCCAGCTCTTGATAACGCCAGGGCGCCAGGTCGTTGTAGTCCTCGTGCATGCCGTGGATCTGTCTCTCGTAGGCGTATCCGGCATTGTTGATGAGGAAGATGGTCACGGGGATCCTGTAGCGGATCATGGTCCCCAATTCCTGCGCGGTGACTTGGAACCCGCCGTCGCCGTCGAGGAGGATGGTTCTTCCAATCCCACCTTTCGATCCCGGGAGTCGCTCTTGTTGTTGTCTTTGTCGAGCTAAACTCGCACCCATGGTGAGCGGGAGCATATGCCCTATGGAGAACCACTGGCCTGAAGCAGTGATCTGTGCTCCGTGAGGGAGGACCAGGTCGCGACCGCCGAGAATCGGGGTTGCATTGCCAAGGACCACGTTGTCGTAGGGGCGAAGGTACGCGCTCAGGCGGAGGTAGAAAGATGTCTGGTCGATAGGTGCGTCGAGGTCGACGCTGGCATTTCCGAAGGCAGGCGCCTGGATTGTTCGAAAATTGCCCAAGGATGTCACATCGGGCGAGGTGACGCCCGAGCGATCAATCCGCCGCGTCAACCGGGCAAGAAGCCGCTTCAGATCGATCTCCCTCTTCGTCCCGCCATTTGTGGGCCGGGTCGGGTCGTGAATGGAGTTCTTCTCCAGCGTGATCGTCCTCGCTGCGTCCGGCACGACCTTCCACGACAGCGTCTGCGTGTCGGAGAACATTGGCCCAAAGGCTATCACCAGATCCGCTCCCTGTACATACGGCATCGTGTCGATCTGTCCCACGGGGCCGGAGTGGACGCCGTAGTAGTTCTGGAGCGAATGCTCGACCATGCCGTTCCCAGAGGGCATGCAGAGAGTAGGAATCCCAGACGCCTTGACAAAGTCGTTGATTTCGGGCCGCAGTTGCCGGACGCCGCCGCCGCTGTCGACGAGCAGTAAAGGCTGTTTCGCGGAATATAGCCTTTGCAACAGATCATCGACAAGTCCGTCATCGCGGTTCTCGTCGCCACCACTCGATCTGTCGGCGTTAAGCGGCTGCTCCAGCCTCCCCCCTTCGACCTCCTTCCCCACCATATCCGCTGGCAGCTCAATATACACCGGCCGGCTCTCCCTCAGCGCGGCCTCGATCGTCATATCAATCTCTCTCGGCGCAGTGGCTTCATCAACAAGATTGGCTTGCGCGACTGTGACATGCCTGGCGATCTCCGCGAACACTCTCGGCCGGCCATCGCCGAGGGTATGGTGGACGTTCTTCCTCTCATGCTGCAGCCGCCGTTGCGGGGTCCCCACGATCGACACCACGGGGACATGTTCACTGAAGCTGCCCGCGACGGCATTGATGGCGCTCAGCTCGCCGACGCCATACGTGGTGAGCAGGGCGCCGAGCCCGCGCACCCGCGCATATCCATCCGCGGCGTAGCCCGCGTTCAGCTCGTTGCAGGTGCCGATCCATTTCACCCCGGCTTGGGGAAGGTAGTCGAGTGCCTTGAGAGTAAAGTCGCCCGGGACGCCATGGATGGCGTGCACGCCTTGCTGGCGGAGCCGGGTGAAGAGATATCTTGCTAGGGGGATTTTGTTGCTGCCGGAACTCACCATTGGACACAGGAATCGTTGTCCACCTCTTTCCTTTATTACCTATCTTGCCACTATCTAAAGAGGCGGGGAGGAGGAGGGGGGTTTTCTCCCTAGCCAAAATTCTCAATTAAAACGCAAGATGTAGGGAAAAACGCGAGGCTGCGAAGGCTGGGTAAGTGGCGCGGTTAAAAAAGATGCTAAATCTAGTAAGCTCGCTCCTCTGACGAATAGCGGTAAAGGGGGGAGACGATGCTCCGCTGCTTCCGCCGTGTAGGTGACTGCAAATCATCATCAAAAACTAATCCGTTGGTTGATTGAGGGGTGTCGTAATGGCATGCGTAGTAGGTATGTAAGCTGAGAAGCGTAGCAATTGCCGAGGTTTCTGAACTTTCCAGGCTCTGCTCACGGTAGGGCTGGTGACCCCGCAGCCTGGTGTTGACAGACAAGGCTGAACGCCCTTTTCCCTGTACACAATAACGCCTTAGGAGACTAGACAGACCAGCGCTACGGAACTTTTAGAGGGGGAAAATAAACAAAAACAAAAACAAAAACAAAAAAAATTAAAGTTAAGAGCATCGCAAAAATGGACGACGCTATTTGTGCATGCAAGCCGTGCCTTTGGAAGACTCCTCATTTCTCGTCTTCCAATGCTCACACTACGAGCCCAGATTTGCACTTATATCCTACGGACGTAGTCCCCAGTCCTCCCCCCGAAAAATGCCCGTTCGAGGCTGCTGACAGGCAAGTGGAGACTTGCGTGCCATAACGTATCCAAAGTTTCAGCGTCATATTAGCTTCAATGCTTTCGTTTTCAACAACTCTCGCAACAAGATGTGTACCGAGCGCGCTCCACCAGGGAAAATATCTTGAGTACCAGAGGCTTTGCTTGAACCTCTTTCTAAATCTTTTCGAAAATCTTCCTGGGGGACATTCGGGGCTGAAGAATCCGCGCCTGTGTCTCTCTACACGGTGGTGGAGATGGCCCATCGATGGCTGCCGTGCAAGTGCTTCGTTGATAGATTGGTTGAGCTTTGCTCTGCCGAGCTGGTTCATGGGCCGAGTGGTGACGACGTCTCCGCTTAGTGGATTAAGTTGGTTGGAGCTTGCTCTGGGAGAGGCTTACAGTCGCTTTTCGACGCGTCATTCACCAGGAAGTTGCGGTTTGGGGTGCTCGCAGGTTTCGAAACCTTCGCTAAAAAGCATAGCAACTTGATGTGTGGAGATGGGACGGCTTGTTGAGCCGTTATTGTAATGTTTCAATTGTGAACATGTGGCGACGTTGATGAGTTGATTAGAAGATATATGAAGTGGTTTTTGAAAATCAAACCACCAAGTCTCGTTGACATCCCGTGCCGAGCTGATATTAGGTGGCTCGCTCCCGACGTCAGTTTAACAAAATGGGAATATTGTACAAAAGGAGAGCAATCATGAGCCGGCCGGGCAGTCGCTGAGGCCAGGAGCGGTGGGATAGAACCAGGCGGCGACCGCAATGATGATGTAGAGAGTCATCAGTAAGATACCCTCGAGGTAGTGTGATTTGCCGTCGCTTATCAAGTAGTTGACAAGCAAGACGGCCACGAATAATACGGCGATTTGGAAGCCGTCAAAGAAAAGGGTCATGTCGTCTTTACCGATGATCCAGCCCAAAACAACAACAAATGGAAGCACAAGTAGCGCAATTTGCATGCTGGAACCCACAGCGACACCGATGGCCAAATCCATCTTGTCCTTGACAGCCACCGTTACCGCAGTTGCGTGTTCAGCGGCGTTACCGACAATAGGGAGTAATATGAGACCGACAAAGTTTTTGGAGATGCCGCCGCCACAGGTGATGGAGTTGATTGAATCGACCAAGTACTCGGCGTTGAGCGCGACAAGGACAGTGGAGATTGCCAGTGTAAGCAGAGCAACCCATACGGAGAGCTGGGGCTGTTCAGGCTCGTCATCTTCCGGCTCCAACATTTCAGCTTCTGGTGCCTTCTTAGAGCGCAGCTTTTCGGGAATGACCGCATTCTTGAACTTGGTGCCCACGTCTCGTGTCTCATTCTTCGCACTGGGTGCGTTGTAGATTGCCGAGTGACTCTTGAGCTGGAAAAAGAGATAGCAGGCATAGACAACAAGGAGAAGGATGGCCGTTCCTCTGCTCAGTTGTGCGACCCCAGGTTTGGCATTCTCGGTAGTGGCGGTTTCCGTGTTGCCAGTATTATTTCCAGTCCGAGCCCATTGCTCAAAGGCAGTGGGAATAATCAAGCTGCTGACTGCTAAAAAGAGCAAGCTGGAAGCAGTTTGAGCCACTGTAATGTTGAAGGCCTGCTCGACGCGATTGACTCCACCGAAGAAAAAGCACATGCCCATGACCAACAGAAGATTGGAGAGCATACTGCCAATCAGGGAAGTTTGGACGATCAAAACCTGATCTTTGGCCAAGGCGATAATGGAAACAATCAACTCGACTGCGTTGCCGAAGGAGGCGTTGAGCAGGCCACCAAGAACCTCACCAGTTCTCAGGGCAATCTCCTCGGTGGCATAGCTCAGCATTGCTGCCAGCGGAATGATAGCGATGAAGTTGATGACGAACACTGCGACAGGATCGACCTTGGCGTAGTAGACGGCAATGCCGACAGGGGACGCGATCAGAAGAACATTGATCCACGAATTGAAGAGCGTGGCCCGGATTTGGCTCCATGCGGTAAACTGTGGTTTGTCTTTGCCGTTGTTGTCGTCCTTCTCTTGCTTGGACTCGCCGCCGAAGAGGGCCTGGAGACCGTGCTTCTCTGGGTTTTTATCACCCGAGCTACGGTTCCGCACGGAACCTGCTTCGTCTGTTTGACCAGGCTTGCCGACCGTGTAAGTATCGCTGCTCATGCCATCTTCGTTGGACCCATTGGGGATCTCGTCTCTGAGACCTCTCTCCGAGTGAACTGGACTCAGAGATCGCGGCAATTCGACATCATCACCAGGCGAATATGGCTTTCGGGCCGATGTAGCATCTGGGGTGGTCGCTGCGTGTTTCTTTGTCGACTGTGCACTGAAGTCTTCGCCTCTCGCTCTTGAGGAAGAAGGGCGGTAGTTGTTTGGGTCATCTGTTTTGGTAGTAGTCAAGGGTGAGCCGCTACCTTCGCCATTCTCGACGCGACGCAGCGAATTTGACCTGGAGTTGGGTTTCCATTTCGCAAAGGGATTCATGATCGGCAAATTGGATTCATCATTGGGATCGTTGTACCACGCAGCCACTTTTGCCTGGTGCCGAAACTTGTCTGCGCCCAGGTCAGAATACGGCGCGCGAAAAGGGAGGTGTTGCAATTTCACTCACGCATTGTTCAAAACCTCAACCTCGGACGCTCAACAGTAGAATATCTCAGTTGTCTAGAAATGCGACCCTGTGGCTGTCATAGGATGCCACCGAGTTGTTTATGATACAATAGTGTGGCGAGTCAATGGGTCACGGCAGATGGAAGGTGGTGTCGGCCCCTGCCTTTAAAATACGTGGTCGATGGCCAACGGTTGCACAGCCCCAAATCAGCGGCGAAGACACAACAGCAACAATGGCGTGACAAGCGATGGAATTGAAGGTGAAGAAGCAGGATGATGATGTCCGCAAAACAGGGAATCGGGCATTAAAGCCACGGCGTCCGACCAGTTGAAAGGGGACAGTGAGAGCATCGGCTGCTTGGCGACACGGAGGAGAGATGAATGGATGAAAGCATTCCTGAGAAGGGTCTAGTATACGGTACTTGTCTAAGTAGCATCTGGGACCAGCAGCAAACGCGCAGCGCGCTCCGACAATCAGACAATCAATCTTCGAACCAGGGGGTTTTTTGGCCATGTTTCGCGAGGTGGGAATGTATGAAATCATGACTTTGTTCTCCCCCCCCCCTGGTCTCTCTGGTGTTTCTGGTCGCTTTCTCACCCTGCAAGCCACACTAACTCCACCGCTCTGCTCGCTCCCGGCCTATCGCAGCATCCCGTGTTGCCTCCGTTCCTGGGCGGATCATCCAGGCGCCGATCCAGCGTCATTGCTTTTTGCCCAACACCGCCCTGACAAGGTTGTTATTGTACTCGTCGGAGCAGGGATGATGGAATCCGTCTCCATCTCTCTCTTTCGGGTACCATCTGCGAGCCAACTGATCAGGCAGACGCAACAATGTAAGAATCCAGCTGGATTTGAAGGGAAGAAGCCATCTGGAGCCATCTGGAGCCATCAAGTCTTGGCTTGTCCATTGGCGGCTGGGCGTAATCCAACTGTGATTGCTTGGGACTTCTTGGGCATTCTTGGTCACGCTTGACGCCTCTTGGGTTAAGCTTGAATTGACAGCCACACATGTTCGTTGCTGTCAGCTGGTATAGGTACCTCGCAGAGCAAGGGGACCCGAACACCATGCGAAGTTTGATGCGAAGGGCTGCGGACTCGGGTACTTGGGCGTATTCGGACCGCTACACTCCCGTTGTTAGCGTGTTCAAGTAGGAGTAGGTAGCAGGACGGTGGCAGAGAATAAGGGGTACGAGGACAAGGACGGATACAGCCACATTGCACCGCCACTTCTCTCCGTCTCTAGTTCTCGTAGAGCCAGACGGTTTAGAATATTCCGTACCGAGTACGAGGTACATGGTCAAATCCCCTCCAGGCAGCACCCAATTCTCCCTCGAAGTCAAATAACTGCAGGCTGTTGCTCATGTGTGAATTTATCCCACGTAGGCTTTGGCCTGTCACCTGATGCCACGTGAGATCACGTGAAATGAGTTGCCGCAGAACCCAGGCTCGCAGGGGGACAAAGAAAGCACTCTCAAATTAGTCAATTAACGAGCCCAAATACTCACTCGACCCTGTTCGCGAACACCGCATCTGCGCGTAGATTGCGCTGCTTACCGTCGACCTCTGACATCTCTGGGATGGACAGGGTGAGCAATGTGCCACACGCAGGATGATGTTTTGGACTTCTTTTTTGCGAGGCTAGCTCTTCAGCCAGAGCTGTCGTGGCTCGATCAAATTTCACCCGGGTCATATCAATCCGTCTCTTCCTCTCATGGCTCGGGTTGTATCAAATCGAATAGCGAGCGTGGGGCAGCATTTGACCCTTTCAAGTTTCCTCGGTTCTTTCACTGAAATCTGGGAAAAGCAAGGGCTTGAACGGGACCTGAGGAGACCAGTCCCAATAGGTAAGCTCTACCATCTTTCCACCGTCTCTGTGCTGATAGATCCAGGCGTATGTGTCAGTGGAGGCCCCGACTCTATGGCATTGGCCTACTTGCTCAACCAGATTTCTGCAGTGCCTGGAAAGCACAACATTGCCGTCCAACCGTTCGCTTTCATTGTCAACCACAATGCTCGCAAAGAGAGCACTGGGGAAGCCAATTACGTTCAGTCACAGTTATGTCGGCTTGGTATGTTTCTCCAGCTCTGGGCAAGAACGGCACTTACAATTCCAAGGCGTCGAAAGCAGGATCCTCGAAATACAATGGCCTAACACCAATGACCCGGGGAGTACTACCGATTTCGAGATGACGGCTCGCCGAGCTCGCTATCGGTTGATTGCGGATGCAGCCATTCAGAAAAATATCAACCATCTCTTTCTAGGACATCATCAAGACGACCAGGTTGAAACAATCCTGATGCGTCTGGTGCGGAATGCTGGTACCTCTTTTCTTGGGTGGCAAGGCATGTCGGAGCATAGCAAAATACCCTGTTGCGACGACATTAGGGGTGCAAACGAAGCAGAGAACTACGAGAAATTTGCGGACTGGCTGCGTCCAGGCGAAATCCGACCAGATGAAGAGGGAATAAACCCCCAGCCTCTTAACCAAGGGAAAAGTGTTACACCTTCGCTACCAGGCGGGCTTCGGATCCACCGACCGCTGTTGCCATTTAAGAAGTCTGCAATCCTCGACTTCTGCAAGACGAATCGAGTTACCTATGTCCAGGATAAGACAAACTATGATCCTACGCTGACCCTCCGGAATGCTGTGCGATATATGAGGAGCCATTATGTATTGCCAAAGGCCTTGCAAGCGCCCTCCATCCTCGAGCTTCGAAAATCCTCTCAGCGTTCAGCTGCTTCCCTTGCCAGACGAGGAGACAGGGTCCTTCGAGGACTCAGGGTACTAAACATCGATCTACGGTCTGGCCGCGTGACCGTACTACTATCATCTGCTTTTGTGTCTCTGTGCGAGGCTGATCCCGAAGCTGGAGCTTATGCATTGGCGAGGCTCACAAGCGTGGTGAGTCCACAGTCGAAAGATGACGAGCCGACACTCGTACCTCGGCATAATCTGAAGCAGTTCCTAGACAAGAATCGGTCCCGGATGCGAGAACAGATGACAATACGGCAGGTCTTACTCGAGAAAGCGGATTCTAAGCCAGATGCGAGTAAGAGTTCGGTCTCCTCTAGTTTTGAACTCAGAGGAGAGGTGAATTTCGGCAGGAACTTGTCCGAAGAACGAGAGACTGTATGGACGCTGTCGCGACCACCAATGCGTTTGGCGGAGGTTGCGATTGCATCAAGGTCCTTCTCTCCTTGTGTGGGACCGGGCGAAGTCGAGAACAAAGGTACGGACTCAGCGGCCTGGAAGGACTTGCCTGAAGAGCACAGCCAGACGGGACTCTGGTCGGAGTGGATGCTTTGGGACCATCGGTACTGGATCCGTGTACGGACGGAAGATGCCAAAGCGCTCTCCCAGATTCGTGTTCGCCCTTATTCCGAGTCTGATGTACAACGAGTGTACGAAAGACTCCCCAAGACAGGTTCAGAGCTTCAGTCAATTCTAGCAGAAGCGGCACCTGGCAAGTTGAGGTATACCATTCCAGTACTAACAGAAGAGGGGCAAGTCTTGGTTTTTCCAACCTTGAACGTGACCGTGGACTGGGAGGATTCCATGGATGTCAAATCCAAGCTGACGGACCGCCCAATCCTAGAATGGGAAGTCTGTTACAAGGTCATCAACCACCCATTCATTAGAGAGCAACGGGAAATGATTGAGTGGAGGAATGCCCAGGTAAAACGGCGCACGCGAGCTGGTTCCTCCTTTAGAGAGGCGAGAAAGCAAGTCAGAATGAGTACAGCAAATGAGCCCCACAGGATTGATAGTGAAGGCTAATTGAGTATCCTCGCTCGACTACATCCATCCATGCTTGCAAAGGATCTTCGGCAAAGATTCGGTCAGGAGTTGCGTTGGATGTCATTGTTCGACAAGGGGAGCACGGAAATACCCCCAGAAGATGACCCAAGAATTGCCGAACAGTGTTCCAGCGGAACATGACCGTGAAACCGACACAGAGTGACTTACCGGGCGAAAGCGTTGGTTGAAGTTGGGGGACCTCAGGAAGTCAATACCGTCAATTTTGTGCTGAAGTCAAAGAAGCTGACACGATGTCCGAGAGAATGCCGAACGATCGACTGTAAGCTGGACAAAATAAGGGGTCGCTTCCTAGCCCCCTGCACCATAAGTGCAAAAAAACTGCTCTGCTTAGTTCGCCTCGTATTTCGAGCTGCACTGGCTATATTCGGCACCGCTAAAATGGAAAATGGAATAAAAAATAATAATTGAGAGGAGTGGGATTCGAACCCACGCGGGATAAACCCATGAGAAGACTGGTTTTCAGTCCAAGTGGTAAACTTGAGTCACACGCCATAACCGCTCGGCCATCCTCCCATTTAGCTCGAGGAATTTTCGAGCAACAATTCAGAATGTTATTTGACGTCAATAATATATAATTCTCTGAGCTTGAGACTAACTAAGTCTTGGCATTGTAAATTTGGCCTTTCCTACAAAGTCTAACAAGTATACTGGGTTTTCATATGAAATCCTAGCAATTGGTCAATAGGATTTTGAAAACAGAGGATTCCTTAACAGAAGCACACAACACAATTTTTTATAAGCCTTCCTATAGCGGTACGGAGATCGCGAATTGCCCCGTATCTCAAGGACCTCTCCCGGCGGAACTGATGCTGTGGAGGGCTGTAATGGCGTTTACAGCCGCTATGTAAGCGTTCCTTAGCGTGTTAGCCACTAGTCTACATCTCTCTCTTTTCTCAAGGCGTACGATTAACAGCGTAGCCATCGTCGGAGGAGGAATTGAGTAACTATAGTCTTCCGAGCATTTTATGAAGACGAGTAATCCGTCGATTTTCCTGATGAGGGTCTCTCAAGAGGAAATATTGATTAAACCTATAGCCGAGTGCTCGGGTCAGCAACAAGAAGTAGAGACCCAGGGCACCCTCGGGACTACTCAGGATTGAACAGCCAATTGGGATGATCAGGCCCTGAACAGAAATGGAACTATTTGTAGGATCACATTTGTCTTCCCCACAGCGGGCGTCATCATGGCGGTCCACCAAACGCGGAGAGGAGGTGGAGATAGCCGCCTCGGCCATAAAGCGAAGTCTATATAAGTATCGAGTACATTGCCGTTGAGCCGGGCTGAGTCTCGGTTGAATCTCACTCACGCATAAACAGTCTCAAACATCACAATGGCAACTCAAGCGGTCCCTGAAGTGCTGTCTGCACCAGCCCGAACGTTTGACAATGCTCCACTGTTCCCGGAGGATGTGCCAACAGCACCACTCCTGCGCCTCAGTCTGGCCAAGCTAATCGAGCGAGATCCCGAAGAGGTGAACCGATTCGTGCGGGCGTGCGAGGACCTCGGATTCTTTTATCTTGACTTGACTGGTCCGGGGGACTCTCTGCTTGCTGATGCAGATCAACTTTTCAAAGTCGGCGAAGAGTTGTTCGAGCTCCCGCTGGACGAGAAAAAGAAGTATGATTTCCAGAAAAAGAACTCGTACTTTGGATACAAAGGCTTCGGCGCCAACGTTGTTGACCGAGATGGTAATCTCGACCGTAATGAGTTCTACAATGTGAGTGTGACAGCAGAGTGGCGACTGCTAGGAAGTGCCTGACCACATGCAGGTGTCCAAAGATGACATTTTCGGAATCATGGAGCCCTTACCTGCCCCGGAAGTCCTCAGCTCACGACGTACCTGTTTCAAATCGTTTATGTCATCAGCTCATGGCATAGTTACGCTGGTTCTAGAACTACTTAACGACCACCTAAAACTGCCGCCAAACACCTTGCAAGATATGCATCGCCTTGAGGGCCATTCGGGAGATCAAGTCCGTTTCATCAAAGCTCCACCACAGCCTATGGACGACCGGCGAACGGCGTTGGGTGAACACACCGATTTTGGAAGTGTGACGGTCCTCTTCAATCGTTTAGGAGGTCTGCAGGTCCTTCCACCCGGACGCAATGCACAATGGTGCTACGTGAAGCCCCTCCCAAACCACGCCATCATCAATCTCGGGGATGCGATGGTGAAATTCACAAACGGGCTTCTAAGGTCTAACATCCATCGCGTGGTTTCTCCACCAGGCGAGCAGGCAGACCACACCAGATACTCGCTGGTTTACTTCAACCGACCGGAGAACGACGTGCTGCTGAAACGTTTGGAGGGGAGCGAGATGATTCCGCCATTGGAGAAGGACGCGGTCGAAGAAGAAATAAACAGCCAGGATTGGATCTTGAGACGAGCACTAGGACATCGAATTGAACTGTTCGGCAAGGACTCTGCTTCGGATTTTGAAAAGACTCGGGGTACGGAAGCCATCAGCCAACGTGCTTACCTGTAAGATTCGCAAGATGTAGCATGACGAACCTGGAGTCATTCTCTTCTCCATACACGATATATTGCTCATCGAGGGTCACCATGATTGTTTCACTGGCCGACGGTGACTCAGGTGTAAAAGCCACCAAGGCTGGGGGGGGGTGAAAAAGAACGCTATCTCCGAAATGTCCGGCTCACTAGCCTCCCCGCCTTCCAAAAGAGGCTAGACTCACTGCGCACAATGTGAAATTTCTCTTCATTTTTTGTGTCAATCTCGCAATTGCTCACCAACGGACTGCGCTGGGCCAAAGGCCTGGTCACTCGAGCTCCAATATTCGCCTCAGCCATATGTATCACTTATTTGTTTGGTTCATCCACCTTACGCTGGCCCATGACTCGAAAGAGCATCACCATCTGCAACCGCCTGTCCAGCCATGTTAGCCGCGCCACCCCAGGCCCGTCGGCCTGCGCTACCGACCAGCATCTCGAATCCTCTTCCTTCAAAAACCATGAGACCTCAGCCCATACAACGAAGATCAACCCTGAAGCGATCCATCGATAAGACCAGTTTTATGGAGACACCGTCGAGTCCCTCCAAACGCTCTCGCGTGACTTTCGATTCCGATGTCGAGATTGTGTCTGCGGACGATGACGAGGACCTCGATCCTCTGGTCGTCAAGGAGCAGGTGCGGAGAGCAATTGAAAGACACCGGTTCAGAGAAGACGAGGCATACGAACGTGTGAAAGGTTATTTCAGTACATCACCTGACAAACCAAACGCCCCGTCCACAAAGGTGCTCAAATTCCACCTTCAGGCTGTCCTGGCGAACGTCACGTCCCTTGATAAAGACTGCAGCGGTTTAGTCGATGCAGTTCTGAACAGTGAATGGGTCGGGAGAGACGAACAATATTATGCGATCTTTGTCAGATTCCTCAACAACCTGGCCGCTGCGCAACGAGGTTATCAGCACAAGATCATGTCGGTCCTGGTCGATCTTTTGGGACCGCAAAGAACACGGCGAATTGAAAGCTCAGCACCCGTCAGGCAGCCAAAGATCTATCGAAGAGTCCTGCAAGCCATTCAACATATCACCGTCAATGTTCCTTCCTCGCCTGCCGCTCTCGCCAATCGAGTCGCTTCCCGCCTCCAGTTTGATTTCCAAAAGGCGGATGAGCGCATGACATACATACGAAACTTTATGGAGATGATCAAATACGTGCCAGAGCTCACTTCGGAAATCCTGTCGTGTGTATTGCGGGAGCTTATCAAGCTTGACGTCTCCGTTCAGGTTGACCTGGATGAAGAGGAAGAGGATGCAGAAGACGACTTGCTCAGCCACATGTCCTCATCGCAAACACTGGTTGCACGCTCATCTCAGGACATGCTTATCGACGGTCTTGATGATCAAAGTGACGACATTAGCACCAGCGACGAATCCGAGATGGATGAAGATGAAGAGACTGATCCCGCCACCGTACGGCGGCGCAAACTGAAGGAAGACATCAAGCAGGTTGACCTGATCATGGACATTTTGTTTCAATATTACGCCAAACTCACCACATCTGCCGCGCTTCAAGCTCGCGACAACGCTGTTGAGCAGCTCATTTCCCAATTCCACACTCACATCCTTCCGACATACCGGGCCCGTCACCCGCAATTCTTGGTCTTCCACTTCGCTCAAGCAGACCCCATCGTCGTCGACCGCTTCGTCACTTCTTGTGTCGCTGTTCTCGTCGACAAGAAGCAGCCGCACCTCCTCCGGCACAGCGCCGCAGCGTATTTCTCGGGCTTCGTCGGACGTGGCGCCCATGTTTCCCCACAGGTGGTGCACGATTGCTTGGACTTGCTCTGCGACCATCTGACCATCCTGCGGAAATCCTACGAGCCCACATGTCGCGGCCCAGATCTGAAACGCTACGGCGACTTCTATGCCGCCTTCCAAGCAATCCTGTACATCTTCTGCTTCCGCTGGCGGGACATCGCTTCCGCCCATTCCGACGACGAATCCGACTTCGACGCTGACGAGGAAGAAGTTGAGACGTACCACTTCACCGAGTTACTTCGCGAAACACTTCGGGCGGCGATCTACTCACCACTCAATCCCTTGCGGGTCTGCACGCCAGTCATAGTTGAGCAATTCGCCAAGCTGACGCACGCGCTGCAATTGTTCTATGTGTATCCGAAACTCGAAGAGAACAGACATGTGCGGGTAACCGGCCATTGGCGCAGCGTGTCTGATTTGACCATTAGCAACCCCGATCGGGACTTGAGCTGGGTCGGTGATAATGGCATGTTGGAAGGATACTTTCCCTATGACCCATACCACTTGCCTATTAGCAAGCATTGGATCGAGGGGGACTATGTTGAGTGGCCAGGCATCCCCGGGGAAGAGGTCGAGGACACGGATTCTGAAGATGATGCAGGCATGGATGTTGGAGGGACGGATGAACATGACCATGATCATCTTGGTGACGAGTCGGGCGGTGAATGAGTTGAGTGTGGATATTTCTCTCCTGCGTCCGCGATATGGATTTATGTCTGTCATGATTGTGGAATGACACGTACAGCTCGCTAGCTCCATGGCGCGAACGAGCTTGGATGGATATGGTCCATGGGAAGAAGGAGCATTGAGAGCGAGAAATGGCCCGGCCTCAGTCTACGGGCCATGGTATTTAGCTGCTTTGATTCACGTGAGTTGCGTTCAAGCGAGCCCCTTTAGAAAAGAAATTGTTTGCAGAGCACATTTCACATGCCGCATCACGCGAAAAGCAAGAGCAAAATGGGGTGCTCACCATCACTTTAATATGGCGGTGGCCCCGGACGGACAGACGGACGGACGGAGTAGGTTCGCGCAAGAACAGAATCATTGGGAATTCTAGAGAACACGTAATAGAATTGACGACGACGGTCTGAGAACTGAATGGCACCCTTTGCATCGCTTCGCATTATTACACATCGCATCTGCCTGCCTGCCTGTTCCGAACAATATGATAGGAGATGGTATAGTATAGTATGATATGACATGATATAGTAGGTATTGTCTCAGACGCCGCCTCGCCTAAACCAGGCCTCCAGACCGGTCTTCCAGGCGCAGAACTCACCTTCAATCTGCGCGACGATCTCCAACGTTCCGGGCTCCAGCCCAAATCTCTCCGTCGCAATCTCTGGCTCCTCCATCTGCGTCTTGTAGTCTAGCTCATCACGTTGGAACCGCAACCCGCCGACGTCCCCCCATACCACAGGGCGGCTCAGTCGATGGCTCTCGGTGACTTTGATGGCGCGGACCTTGTCCATGCCCAGGGGCTGGACGTATGCGCGGACTTTGTCCAGGGCATCCACCATGGCCTCGGAGCGGCATTTGGAAAATAGCCTCTTCTTGGTCACGTCGTCGAGCGTCCATTTCAGGGACTGGACCGTTGCCGCCGGCGTCTTGGAGACTTGCGCCAAGAGGATTCCCAAGGGTTCGAAGTCTCGGAACTCGGCCTCGATCTCGACGCTCGCTTGATACTGCGGCGTCTCGCGGGAGAGCAGCGAGCCAGGTTTTTGCCATGAGTAGCTGCGGAAGGTGGTCACCGAGAGGTCGACGATGGGCGGCTGATATTGTATGTCGTCATTGGCGGTCGTGGCGTTGACTGTCGGGAGCTGGGGCGCTTGCAGTTGAGCGAGAGGTCTGAGTGTGGCCAGGACGTCGTCAGCGGTCTTGCGGACTTCATCGGCAACCTTGTCCTGCTTGGGCCCTTCGGCATTTATACGCAGGGAGATGATGGCCCGGTTGGCAGGCACAGCGATGCTCGACTGTCCTTCAAGGTGCACTGAGATGGGTTTTGGTGCGGAGAGGTACGAGGGGATCCCCAGAACGCAGAGGACGGTGATGATTGACTGCTTGAGCCAGGATGAGGCAATCATGGTTGTGGCAAGCTGGGCGGCGCTGAGAAGAAAGAGAAAGAAGTTTGACTGAAGTCAGTGGCTCCTTTCGAGCGTTTCGAATCTTGATTACGACTCAAGCCAGGTGGTATGTTTGGGCCCAAAGGCATATACCTAGTGGTTGGTGTTCCTCACCTCTAATTAACCAACAATACCCATGGCATTTTGTGATGCATTCATCTCCGAGGGATCCGATATCTTCTAGGTGGCTTCTTTGGATGCCTGGACGATGGCGGAAAAGGCAGAAGAAGCAGAAGAAGCCAACATGTTCGAAACATGATGGTCGCGACTCACTTCCCAGATTGGGAAGAGCATGTGACTGCCCGATACTAATATGGGAATGGTGTGGTATATACTTTAAAAGGGTATTGATACCTTCAAATGACACTAGCCCCGACATCTGTAAGACACTCACCATCCTGGTCCTTGGCTCAGGTGCAGCTCAATCTCTGGCATACCACAGACCACAGACCACAGACCACGGATCACGAAGAAGCATCCTCGTATTATGCAGTCCAGACTTGGTCACCCGCAGTACGAGCTCGTCGGTGGCTAGCTAGCTCAATCCCTTGCATACAACTTCAGCTGCGGGGTAGTTTGGGTAACCGGTTGCGCTGCGACTTCATCCACCTCCGACAGAGTCCTTTACACAGCTTCTCGATCTCGAAGTGAAATCTCACATGCCTCAAGGCCCGGTGAGGGGATTTTGCTGCTGTGCAAAAACAAACCTGCGATGACCCATGGATCCTCTAACCATCAGTACCAGTGCCGTAGCACTCATCACAGTTTGCATTCAAATAGTGCAGGTCATCAAAAAGACCGTCGAGACGATGAAGACGGCGAAATCGGAACTGATGAATATCCTCAATGAAACCATCAAAATGCGACTGCTCCTGGAGCAACTCCGGGGGCTGACGCATCAGTTGGGCAGTCAAAACAACACGATACTACTCGCGTTTGATGAAACCGGGTGCAAATATGTCCTCAATGAGCTCGAAAGCCTCGTGAACAAACTCGCTCAGGCCGACAAGTTTCTGGGCTTCCAGTTCTGGGTGCGACGGAGCAAGCTTGACACACTGGTAGCCGGCCTCAGGGTGCAGGAAGACGGGATTCGCACGGTGCTTCTGTCTGTTACGACGTCAGCCACTTCTCTCTGGAAGTTTCAGATACTTTGCTGATATGTTTACCAAGTGAAACAGCTCTATTTACTAGGGAAGACGTGAAACACCTGATCGCTGCAGCCAATGTACAAGCCATCGCGATATCCTCTATTGCGCATGGCGGCGTTGACACTGCCAACGACCTTCCTCCCCCTTTCTCTGAACAGGCGGAGCTACCGATTCGCCCCGCCGAACCCATCCAAAAAGCTGGAGCGACCGTGGATAGATTACCGACGGCCTACCCTGGCTCAGTAAAGGTGGAGGTGACACCAGAATCCCAAACTCAAGCTCACACCCAAGATACTGATGACCTGATCTCGCTTGTCGAAACCGAGCCGCCGCCGACCGCTACGACGGGCTATCCCGCAGGAGTCGGCACCAACGCAAAGCTCTTGTCAACGCTGGAGAAGGAGAATTCGACAATGTGGCTTCCCATTTCGAAATTGACTCCGTTGCAAACCAAAATAAAAATTGATACTCCCCTCAATACGGCGGCGATTTCGAAAATCCTCTCCCGGTCGCCAATATGGCATGGTCAACTTTCGCGAGACCTATACGATCAGCAGTACCTTCGGATGCGGGATCGACTGGCAGATGCAGCCTACTGGGGCAACTGGGCCAAAGTTGAAGCAACGATTGATGAGGCTCATGCGCACGGCCTGAGGTCATGGCCGAACTGTTACCGACTTGGGCGCCTCCCAAGTCCATCAGGCTGGACGCCGTTGCATCAAGCAGCCTTCCTCAGCGCTCCGGAACATGTAGTCCGGAAACTGGTCGATCAAGGCGCCTCACTGACCTTACAGACTCTGTGGGCCTCATCAGCAGAACTCCCATTTAGGAACATGACGGCTCTAGAGATGGCACGGTTCCTAGGGTTTAAGCACCTCTTCGACGTACTCTCACCTGTCCTCCACCATCTGGTTCCACATACAACGTTGGACAAGTTGCAACAACATTTTCACCGCTTGATCCAAGTCGACCTTGCTGGTCGACCAGAAGCTGCTCATCTCCGGCTGCCCGCTCTGGAGTTGCTCACGGAGCTAAGAAATCCGGAAATGTACTTCGCGCTGAAGTCTCCCAAAATTGCCATGGTAATCACACCCTCCCTCCTGTGCAAGTGAAGAAGGAATAGAGAATGAAAATCCTCAGCAACATACTTATTTCTGATACAGGGATATCTCTATCGGCTCGACGGTCGGGAGCTTTTGGTAGTGAGCCTCGGGATTTCGACCCCGGGACATACCAAGTACTATCGAATCACCGAGGAAGGGGCACACGAAATCCAAGATGCGATCTTGTTTGATATATAGAATTGCAGAGGAGCGTAGTACTTCTCCCCTATGTCTCTGGGCCTGGAGTGTTATGTACGAGAAGCTTACCTGGATTGCTCACGAACGAAAACATAATTGCCATATACGGTTTGGACCTAGAGGGTGAGCGAAGGCTGCTTTAACCCGAACTTCAGCTTAACTGAGCATTTGTTGAGGTCCTTCCCACCTGTCCCTGAGGCGAGCTGGAGCAGCAAACGGAGAGGCGCAGAACTCTCTCATCTCTGTGTGTAGTCGTCGCAGTCAACGTCGTTCATGGCATTGCGCACAAGAAACTTGCGAATTCAGCCAGGTGTCTTCCTTAGTGCCTCCGACGTAAACTGCGCCGTTCTTATCCTATGTTGTTCCGACCCTTCTGAATGTGCGCCCTTCGATCCTTGGGTCTTTTGACTTTCCCCCAGCAGGTGCGAGAACTCTGATCGAAGACCTATATGTCAGCTACTTCTATGGCATATCACCCACCTGCATCAGCCGCCTTCAGCTTCCGTTGCCCCTTTGAGGTCCAACGCACGAGGTACGAGTCTTAGCATATATGTGGCTATATACCCCCGACTAGGAAACTCTCGGCGACATCCAATTTAGTGTACCCACTAACATGCTAAGGATTAGTGTGCGGTGCATGCCCCCCAGTTTCCACTCAGTAGCCATGAAACGAGACGTTCAGGCACGAATTGAAATCTGGAGGGTGGCCAGCAAAAAGACACGGTAATTGTCCCTTTTTGCTGATTTCCGCCTCCTTCCTAAAAGGTTGTAAGCTGTTGGTCCTCGGAGGTGAATCCGCTCTGTGCATATCCACTCAAAAACGCTGTTAATAGTACTTTCATCAGCCGAGGCATTGCGGTATAATCTATGAGATGCCGGCTCCTGCTACGAAAAAGGACAATAGTGTCTAGACCCTATCCCATTCTAAAATTCCGTCTTCACAGTTTCCAGCTGAAATGCCGCTACATTGCGTGCTATCGTACTTTTTCATCGCTTTAGACTTGCTCGGTGTGGCGCGCCTCTTCTCCCTTCTCGGTGGTGATGGTAGCGCCCTTGGACGTGTCGACCACGGTGGCAGGGTGCGTTGAGACGCCCGCTCTACCGCTGACGACAAGCTCGTGGGTGTTGTGGTCGATGTGGATGTCTTCCGCGTAGACCATGATCGTGTCGGTGTCGCCAAAGAGCTTGGCTACTTCCTCGAGGGGGACGCCCTTGGTTTCGGGCAGCAGGAAATACATGGCGATGGTGCCGAGGCCGCACACGATGATAAAGACCTAAAGGATAGGAATCAGGGGTTCTATTCTGTTTTTTTTTTTGTTTTTTTGGTCTGGGGGTTCTTGCAACTTGGACTGGGATGAGTCCGAGGAGGAAAGGAAGAGGTCGTGAGAGGGGGTGAAAGGGCAGGAATCACTTACCAGGTAGAACTTCCAACCAATGTTGGCAAATGCGGTTGCTGTGACCTATAAATACACAAGGTCGGTGAGCGCAACCACGGCCATGGACAGACAAACAGCTATTTGGATGCAGTTAGCAAACGACATCGTTACACCCCGTCAAAAGCGTTCCCTTATCTTTCGCGCGCAGGTGGTTTGGAAACAACTCGCTATAAAACACTATCCCGGCCACGTCGACTCCACAACTGTAGATGACCTCGAACAGGAACAACGCTGCGACCCCCATGGCCAAAGCGGAGGTGTTGGCGGTCCCGGCAAAGTTGGCGACAATGGCTGCTTCGATAATGAGCCAGAAGCAGCATCCGCCAACCCCAAAGAGCATCAGAGGCTTGCGCCCAACGCGGTCCATGAAGGTTGCTCCAATTGCATTTCCGATAATAGCTGTGGTGATCCAACCGCACTGGAGCCGGAGTTGGTCCTCTGTGCCGTAGCCGCGACTCTTATACAGCGTTGGACCGTAATTATTGATAACGAGCACGCCCGTCGACTGGCCTACGAAGGCGAAACCAACAGCTAGCATGGTTCGCCTGCGATAGGATTTCTTGAAGAAAACGTCCCACTGGCGGTAAATGTCAGTCGTAAATCGGCAAGCGAAGGTGGAACTCTTGACTTGCCCATGAGACAGACAAGGTGCGATCGAACTCGGCTTGCTTCTGCATTTGGTAGAACTCGCCCCGCGCAAATTCCTGGTCCTCATCCCCAGGGATGACGTGGAGTCTCAGCACAATCTTCTCCGCCTCCTCTACGCGGCCCTTCATGAGCAGGTATCTGGGACTTTCGGGGATGAACGGGAGCATGGCGACCATCACAATAGGGAAGAAAAGAGCGATACCCAGTGGACCACGCCACTGGGCTTGGGCCTCTTTCACATAGAAGAAGCCCATACCAGTGTAGGCTGCCAACGAGTAACCGACTGCGATATTTACTCCGTTGAGTCCTACGAAGAAACCGCGGAGTGCGGGTGGAGCCAGCTCAGCGCTGTACGCGGGTGCTGCGACGTATGAGTTAACGACTTTTATCAATCGGTTGATGCATCTGCAACTACCTGACTGCAAGATAGCCCCAGCTTCCCATTCCGGCGAAGAACCTTGCGACAATGAACATGGCCGAGCTTTTCGAACCGCAGATCAAAGCGCCGCCGAGGAGGGACCAGAACGAGCAGAAGATGACCCCCGCTTTTCTGCCCCATTTGTCCATTATATAGCTCACCATCATGATGCCGAAAAAGGCTCCTGCCTGTGTCCATAGTTAGACGATGTATTTGGTTAACCAAAAGGCTCGAGGGCAAGGGGAGGCCATCAACCTGGAAAACGCCAGGCATGGCACCTTCGAGTTGGTCTGCATTGCTCGACGGCAACCCCGTTGTCGGGTCCAGCAATTTCATACACACCAGAAAGCTTGGTTCGCCTAGGGTCGTGCTAATGATGGAGGCAGGATAGCCAAACGCTATCTGGCCAAGCGAGACCAGCCAGCAGATCCAAAAATTATACCAATTGAATTGTCGAGCGTGAGCCGCCGCGGCCGCCATTCTGAAACTCTATTGACTTTGGTGTCCCCTTCCTCTTTTTGGTGTGAAAGTCTGTACAAAGTGGATTTTCGATACACAAAGATAGGACAGCTCCCCTCTAACGCACTGCGAGCAAGAGGCAAAGGAGCAAATCTAAATACCATTGCGTCTGCTGCCTGTATAGGTTAACCGAATCCCGCGGCTCCATCTGGGCGGTCGCAAAGCCATGACCGAAATGTTCCTGGGTCAGTTCAGCGGCATGCCATATAACACTGCGATGCAGGGGAGGAAAGATTTGAAGCTACTTTGTGGGATCTGATGCTGAACGAGCCTGAAGAACGTTGTTTGCTTTCGTACGCTCCGGTTGGTCAGACAGGGAACGTCGTCTTATGTAGTTGGACAGACCTCGCAGCGAGACCTTCGACTTCCCCGAGTGGGAGATGCCACCTGAGCGCGTAACTCACGAACTACAGTCGTCTTGAGGGGTTCACGCTTCCTCGTCCCATGAAACCACAAGCGCGCAATCTGGGATATCATGGCGGGAAAACCGTAAGATCAGTCTGTTGTCATTAGTCTCTATCCCCACCATTGACGGGAGCGAGTATGTAGACCCTCCCGCTCTCGGATTGCCGGCATGTTGAACATATTTTATACAAGCATTCCAGATTCAATGCAACCCGAAGCGTGGTGTCTACTGAAACTTGGTGCGCCAACGATAGACAATCATGATGATCGGCCATTTCTGACACGAACTTAGATTTCTCTATGCAAGACCGGTGATGATGTTCGGAGGGCTTTGCTTTTACCTACTGTACCCGGGGCGACCAGGGTCTTTCTGATGGGCTTTGGTACTCACAAATCCAGGGATGATTGAGCTTCCGTTGAAGATTGCTTCGCATGCACTGCCTCTCTAGGATTTCCCGCTGTCCGCGACTCCGGGCGGTGAGCCGCACATTGCCGAGGCCGAAATTCCTGAAATGAAATCCATTTCTGATAGGTCTTTGAATACTGTTCGCTCTCGTCGACCGTTGCGCAAATCCCAGACCAGCGAGCGTCTTCTAGCCCCGCTGCAATGGGGGTCCCAATCCAACACGGAAGGGAAGTACGGTTCTTGCAAAGCGTTGGGAAAATACCCCGTTTCCAATGTGGAATGACGGGATATCGTGGAGGCATAGAAATCGACACCGCTTATGACTGATTCTCCCAGATATCGGCCTTTACCCGCCCACTGCCTTCTGGGCTTGGGTCATGCAACGGAAGGGGGAGCCGATGGTGCCGAAAGACGGAACAGAAGAATCTGGGGATTTCGACGTATTGGTCTGCAGATGATTGACGACCAAATTGTAGGCGCAAAGCTGTTTAGCTCCTCCACGAGTGGTGAGGTTAAGGGTAGGGAGGTAATCAATGATCCTTGGCCAAACCTTTCCACGTTTCCCATCCAGTTGAAAGTAGCCCCGGCCCTGGTCCTCCACATGCCCTCTATGAACTTGATGTTGGCTGACGCTGAGGGGAGGAGAAGCAGTGACTAGATTCGTCCACACTCGACCAGCTTACAGGCGGACACAGATCTCAGTGGTTACGAATTTGTGGAACAGCAGAATCCCCAAATAGAAGAAAAGGTAGCGTAGAAAGAGATGTTGACTTTCCTGCTTATCACATTGCTAGTCATGTCCGTTTCACGATTCCAAGGGCGTCAAAGTTGCGCTGGTCGATCAGGGAAGGCCCGGAGGAATCCTCTTTGGGGTGGTATTAATTAAATGGAGAATCAGAATGGGTTTTAAGTTCTGCTTGAAAGAGATCGCAAAGATAGCTCTGTCTGACAGAAGACGTGGTCCACAATCGCCCGGTCGATACCTGAGGAATTTTGTCAGACAAGCCAATTTTCGGCCATCCAAATGGCTTTCGAGGCAAAATTTGATAGGCAACGGGTTGGCACTTTGGGCACTGCACTTCAGTGGAACGGGCAAGGATGGCAGCCAGTTCGTAACAATAGCTATTTATAGACTAAGCTCCTGAAGACGTTATCTAGTCTATAGCGGTATCTCTTTCTACACACCTTATTTGTGTCTAACATTGGTGCTCGAACACCTATTGCGGATCTCGACCCCCCCCACGATTCCATCGAATGTCAATGTCATCTAGTGTTTCCACAAGATATCCTCTAGACCCATGTCAATCCAGTTTTCACACCAATCTTCAATCTTTAACGCAGTGGGCATAATTGACTCGGCCTGGACCCGGCGCCTCAAGTTGTACCTCTCAGCCCGTGGGAGATGACTGACTTCTGACCTCCCTCGAGGAGGACTGGTCCGGGCTGATCCTCACTGGGTGGAGGCGCAACAGCATTCTTCTCACTCTCGAGGATCTCTACCGAATGATGTCTGTCGCTATCGCGGCCTGCAGAGAATCTTCGGCGGTTGCGACGGCGGCGGATGACATCGTCAATGTGTCTGCCAATGGCAAGGGTCAGGCCAAACGCCAGCACAGTGCAATTGACACTGAATGCACGACGGTATCGCGGGCGGTCGTCTTGCCGGAAAATTTGAGCTCCGTAGATCCCAGCAATGTTCGCGCCCATAATAACCCTGCAAAATGTTAGACAACATTCTTCATTCACACTCTGTGTGTGTGTGAGAGAGAGAAAGAGAGAGAACTACATGGCCATCGCAAGAGCTCTTTCTTCCGAGTCGTCGCAAGTAAGCGACATCCACGTGATGTTCAGAGGGTGTGAAAAAGTCCCAAAGGTTTGCGTCCAGACGACACCAAAGTATCTCAATCCTCGATTGTTGATTTCGGTAAAGATGCGATTGAAGATGTACCCGAGGAGATGCATGCTGAGGCCAGCAATGACTGTTTCTCCTCGCCTCGAGCTGTTGCGGGTAAGCACACAAATAAACCCATGCGAGTTTCGGACGACTTACAAATGATCCGACACATAACTGAATGTGAATGACACCGGAATCTGCAAAAATAGACCAACTGAGGCAAGGGCGTTGGCCGACAGCGAAGCAAAGCCGAAACTGCTGACAATCGTCGGAGCATAGGTGTCAAAGGCGCGTTGCGGTCCATTGTTCGCCAGGGTGATGAGAACGTGCACCCACAACCTCCAAGCAGAGAACTGCACACCGCGTCAGATCGAGTCAAATGGGAGATCATCATGGGTGGACGTACAGCCTTCTTGAAGGCGATTCGGCCGATGCGCTTCTTCTTCTTGCCCTTCATCGGGTCATCCAGCATGACTCGAGTGTTGAGAATGTGGATCTCTCTGTCTGTGAAGATCTTGACATTAGGTAGAAAAGTGCTGCGAGGCCGCTTGAAAGAGTCGGGGAGGAAGAATCCTAGAACGAGACCGCTGAGAACGGTAAAGCTTCCCATGAGGACGAATAACCAGAACCAGCCTGCTTTACCTGCAACGCCGCGCATGTGGAGAATACCATATGCCAGTAATTTTGCGGATGCTTGACCGAATTGGTTCCCGAAGTAGAAGATCATAACACGCTTCGCAGTCTCCCTTCGGGTGTACCAGGTGGAGAGAGTCCACAGACCACCTGGGATGAAGCCAGACTCTGTCATTCCAAGGAGAAAACGAGTAGTGATAAACGAGCCGTAGCTTTTCTGGAAGGCCTGGAATGTGCTCACTGTGCCAAAAAGGAACAATTGAAGGGTTAGCCATTTTCCAGGACCGACCCGATACAAAATCATGTTCGAGGGAATCTCGAAGAGCACAATGCCCAAAGACAGCATCTGTTGGCCCACGTTGAACTGGTTTTGCGTGATGCCAACGTCCTCCATGAAATTATCTGTGATGGCATTGGCCATATTCCCGCGGTCAAGTTCTGTGAAGGTTTGGGTCAGGGGGAGATTGGCGAGTGGTCAGGACACAGACGTACGAAGGCAAAAGAAGCCCAGCGTGAGGAGTGGCAGGATAATGAAGTCCATCCTGCAAAAGCAAAAGTAGTTTCGTCAGTAGAGTCCCTATTGTCGACAAGCTTGCGATGTAAAAGACTGACTTCCTTTTCGCTTTGACTTCTTCTTCTACTGTCCAGTCCCGCTCCAGGAGAAGAGCGTCGCCATTTTCGCCGACCTGAGGGATTTCACCCACAACTTCCGCCGACTTGGGATCAAAATCTGACATCGTCGCAGGTAATACTGAAAAATGATCCAAAAGGCCTTTGCCCTGCCACAGACTTCGAAAAGGAACGGTCCAGCATTCTTGTAGGGATTCAAACACTAACGGACCCCCATCACGCCATTTCGAACTCCGTCTGGATCATCAGAATCTTTAGATGTTCCTCCATCGTAGACAGCAAGCCAAGAACGCAAATGCATCGTGGCCATTGGTGTGCATGACAGATTTCAAAAACTTTCGGCGTTCCTTCAGCAAAAGTCGTGAAGCCAAGAGAGTGACTGCGTCGGCGGTGTCCAAGTGACGCCCGCCCAAGAACGTCCGCGTCAAGATTTGTCGCGGCGCCGAGGACACGGCTGAACATGGTGGTCCTTGTGGCATGGAGACATTAAATACAGAGCTCTGGGAGTGGTCGAGATAGCTTGGCAAGCCTTGTCGGTATGGCGACATCCTTGAGCCAGATAGCGCAATTTGAGCTACTCTCGGCGTTAGACCAATGCTTGTCAAAATTTCGACTCTAATTTCCATTGGAACAGTGGTCATGGCATCGGGAAACCTGCTGGGAGCTTGCTCTCCGCTCTATCCGTCTTGTCGAGTCGAGGCTGTGATGGTGTATAGATAACGGCCGCCAGAGGACTTGGCGACGACGAGCGATAATATCTTGATCTTCAAGCATTGGAATGCTTCAGAGCTGGCCATAAGAAATGCCCCGAGGAATAGCAAGACAACCAAGAACACTATCGTACTTGGCGTGATAGCTTGGAAATTGACAACTGCCACTGATGGGTAGTGTGTCTCCTGATCGTGTGTGCGATGTTCACATTCAGGAAGGACACCATCATTTTGAGATATTGTCGTGCCCGGCTACGGCCAACGTACTTGTAGTATATTTGCAGAGCCTGCACTGTGCTCGAGTATCTGTTCAATTTCTTAGCCTTTGTTAGCTGACCATATATTTGATCCTTTATGGAAGGGCACACCTCACGGATCTGCACCCACGATTATTAATCTCGGTGGATTCTGGTCATGCTAGAACAGACAATGACTTTGTTGAATGGTCGGAGCAATGAGAATGATCAAAACCGGGGCGCCAACGTGGTGAAGATCGTCCTCTTCACCATGACGGGCACCATCCTTGCCTTCTTTGGAACCATCGCCCTCATGGGGGCAATTCGAGTATATCTTCATCCAGAACGATACATGGCACGAAATCCAGCCAGCCAGTCAATGCGAAATCGAGCGAAAGGAATCACTCGCGCCATTCTGGACACAATTCCCATCGTCCGATTTGCCGACAAGACGGATATTGAGCTTGAGTCGGTCGAGCAGGGGAATGCGGACATCAACATGCAGAACCAAGAGGATATTGCGGGTCAGACGATAAAATGCAGCAGCGATGACTCGACGAGTGCTGCCATGACAGAATCGCATAGTGCTCGCGCCCTAGATGGAGAGCGATGCCTAAAGTGCTCAATATGCACAGAGGATTTCAGCATCGGAGAACAGGTCCGAGTTTTGCCATGTTTTCACAAATACCACCCTGCATGCGTCGATCCCTGGTTGCTGAACCTGAGTAGCACCTGTCCCCTTTGCCGTATCGATCTTGACCGCAAGGACCAACGGCAGAGAGATGGTCAGGTCCGAAGCGAAGCCTGAAATTCACGTTTAGGTCTGGCTCACCAGGCCATGTATGCAAGGGGCAATAGGCCCTTTTTTTGGGGATAATAAGCAGTTCCTTGATCATCGAAGGAATCTTTGACGTCGAGAATCGGATTCGAGCTCTCAAAAACAGACCAAGTGCTGGACATTATAGGAGATCAAGTCAATGGGTGGGTTCGAACGGCGACGCGGTCCCGAAGCAGCACAATCTAACATTGGCCTAGCCAGAGCACATACGAGGTATATATACATGCATATATATACACCATTGAGAGGACGACAGTAGCCCTGGAGTGCACGCTGTGAAAGAGAATAATGTCCTCGAGTCTATGACACTGGTGTCCGATTGAGGCAGAGAGACGGATATATTAATAGGAACAATGAAATAGAATGACCATTACATTAATACAGCTAAGGGCGAAAACTCTATTCAATCGGCAGTTTTGCCGAGCGCCACAACACCATTTCAAATACCACGTGCGCATCGACAGTGCAAGTATGAAGTATATAGAAAATAATTCCTCTATAAATACTATAGCCTATAGTTGCATATTGCCGATATATCCTCGCGCCGTCGCCGTGACTCAGAATCTTAGAGGCCACAAGCGGATTCACCTGACAAGAGCAGAGTGATTTGCTGTCAGATCGAAGATGGCCTTCATTCACCTGAGGAATAGCGACCCTCTGTCATACATCCTATACTGTCAATTACATTGAATATAGCGGCCGCTTTGACGTTGTTGAGCACTCTTGAGGTACATCAAGGTACGTATTCCGTGACAGACGGTGCCACTTATTTCTAACTCCGGCTTAGACGGTCAAGGACGGTATAACCACAGACTAGGAGGACCAACAATCGCCGCTACCGTTATCTCCACCAGCGTGACTACTACAGTATGTACTGTATCTAAGGTCGGCGTCGTGATATCCGTCACGCCGTGCCAAAGCGGGGTGAGCTGGCTCGCCGGCCGTAGATTTCCTAATTCTTGGCGGTATTTCTCCGCAAAAAAAGTCGACGGCTTGCGCTGTAGAGAATTCAATACTCGTAAATGCCCAAGCTGCCCTTTGACCCAACACAACACCGTGTGCCGCTCTGCTCTACGCAATAAAGCCCCGACCCATTCTCTCGTATCGCCCGATTCTCTCTCAACGACACTCTGCAACCGTTACTCCCCAACAAGCGTCCAAAATGCGCGCCCGCCGGAGCAAGAAATATCGCAAAATCATGTCCGCCTACCAGATGAGCTTTTCCTTCCGTGAACCCTACCAAGTCCTCCTCGACTCGCATTTCCTCAAGACATGCCACTCGTTCCACATGCCTCTACAGAAGTACCTGGAGAACACGCTACACGGGGAATGTAGACTTTTCGTGACGAGGTGTACCCTTGCAAAAATCATGGGTGACTGGGAGAAAGTGAAAAACAAGGAGGGCAAGGGGAGGGGACCTCCACGCCCGGAATTCCTCCCTCCCCCAACAGAAGTGCCCTTGCGGCACTGCAAGCACAAGGACGACGAAGGCCAAGAATTAGGTGTCGTGAGCGAGGCACGGTGTCTCCTCGATTTGCTGGCGGGCCAACCCCACGGTCACGAACACGCAAAAAATAAACAACATTACATCCTCGCCACAGCGGATGCAGATGACAAAGAGTCGCGGGCCAAGGGATTCGTTGATGTGAAAGACAGGGCCAGATTGATCCCCGGAGTGCCGATCGTGTATGTGAAACGGAGTGTGATGATCTTGGAAGAGATGAGCGGTGTCAGTGAGCGCTCTGTCCGGTCACAGGAGAAGGAAAAGTTCAGCCAGGGATTGATCGGTTTGTCATCGCGAAAGAGGAAGAGGGGAGAAGGAGAAGACGAGAGTGACGATGGAGATGATGATTTGCTCCCAGAGAAGCAAGGGCCCAAGATCAGAGGAATGAAGAAAGCGAAAGGGCCGAACCCATTGAGCGTCAAGAAAAGGAAGGTCAAAGTCCTATCGTCGAATGGAGCAGGCCGTGATGGAGCGGCCGTGGAAGGGGAGGTGCCGCGGAAAAAGCCAACGAGAAGGGGTACAAGAGGGCAGCGACAGGCGGGAAACAAAACGACACCGGACAATAATGTTGATGGAGAAGCCAGGCAGACAACCGCATCTGCAACTGCATCTGCTGGCACCGCAACGACGGAGGTACAGGCTCCAATCCACGAGGCGTAAGTCTTTTGGGTCGGAGGGACGTTTTGGTGTTTTGGAGCCTTTGTATTTTGAATGAGATACCCCATCATCCATTGACGACGTGGAATGCCAGTGTTTTATTTTGCTCCTCCCTTGTGGAACAGCCTCCGTACCACATTCATTCCTCTTGCCTCATCTCCCCCTACCTTCATTCCTTCCGGGCCTCACACTTCCACTCCCCCGTATCTTCCCACGGGATGCTTTCCCTTCCTCTTTCTCTCTCCCTCCCCCCCACAAAGAGAGACATCACCTAGCTCTACTTTGCCAAAAAAGCCCTGCCGTAAATGACGAGGCCCGTGGCCGCCAACACGCCGAGGCCTGCGGGGAGGGGCTTGCCCGTCCTGATGGCGCGCGGGATGCTGCTGCCCGCAAGCACCACCGAGGCCAGCAGCGCGAGCTCGACGCCGTATGGCTGTTTTCTCGAGATGCGGAAGCCGCCGAGACCGTACTGCAGGAGGGGAGGGGGTGGCATTGTTAGTCGAGGGCTGTACACGGAGGACATGGGGGCTGGGAGGGAGTGTCATACCAGGATTCCGACCGTCAGGCCTGCGGTGATGCTAGGCACGCTGCCTGTGCGCACGTAGCCGGTGATGCCGCCAATGGAGGTGAGCGCTGAAAGGATGTATGCTGGGAGTTCCAAGGCCTGCATCGCGCGGATTGACAATTGTTAGTTTTTTCTTTCGGAGACCTAGTTTTTTGGGGGGGGGGGGGGGGGGCTCTGGACCATGTTTGGAGGCTTCTGAACTGTTTCGCGTTCGCCGGCTGTGCTGAGTCTGTCTGAATACCAAAGATTCAATCTACACCATACGGAGGACTGGGAAACGACAACGTAGGAGACAGGGAGACAGGTACTCAGGTCGGCCGACGTCAATTGTCATCTGGTGATGTTTACGCTGTCGCACCACAAAGGCTACCACAACTTCTCGGAGCTGATGCATTCCGCCTTCCGACTCCGAGCCCGATGGAGCCCTCTCTCTCTCTCTCTCTCTCTCCACTGAATAATAACAGCCTCGTTATTGCGCTCCGAGCCTTTCGTTTTGGGACATATGTGCAAGTCCAAAGACCTCTCTATTGGGAAACGAACTTGAATATTAACGATTATAATTAAATCAAGGCTATTCCTGGACCTCTCGTGAACACCTGTCTATATGCATATATACTCCGTAGATCTGGGTCATCAAAGCAGAAGTCTGGAAGTCAAGTACAGGAATGCCACCGTCATCAAGAGTGGCCAGCAATTCAAAGAAGACGCAGCGTTGCTGTTCGTGCTGGTCGAACTGGTGTCATTTATCGTGGGAGGGACGTTCGTGGTGTTCAGGATGGCTGTGCCATTGCCGTTTCCTGAACTTCGACCGTTGCTTGAGCTAGTGCTATTTGTCGTTGAGTTGTGATGTTTTGTCGACGGAGGGGGTTGATTGTAGAATCCGCGGATAATGGTGCTTGCCTGTTCGGCCAGCCCATAGGTAGAGCTCATGAGATGCGCGGAGAATGACATGGGCGGTACGCTGGCGTCAGCGACACGGACGTTGGAAAGCCCATAGACGCGGAGGTTTGCGTCGACCACACCGCCCTGTTCAAGAGGGAGCATCGCGCAGGTGGAGGATGGGTGGAACTCTGTAAAAACTTCTCCGCGGAGCCAGTCTTCCCATTCCTGGTCAGTTTGGACGTCTGATCCAGGCCATGTCTCTTTTATCATGGCGCTGGCTAAGGGCTCGGTTTCGCCCAGGCGGCGGGCGAGCTTAACGCCTTCGCGGAGAATCTCGACGTCTGTATATGACTTGTCAGTTTCAGGCACCCAGTATTATTTGGGCGCACAAGCCGTAAACACATACCAGCTGGATGATTCAGATAATTTGGATTGATAACCGGATAGTCTAGAGGATTCGAGGAGTTGATGGAGATCTGACCGTGACTGAAGGGATGTTGGAGATTGGCGCCGATTTGAATAGCACCGTCAGTGCTCAGTCCAATTACAAGCTCTATCAGTCCGATCGGGCTGGTGAGAATGGTGTTCGCCGTTGTGCCATAGATTGCCTTGTAGCCGGAAATGACACCAGTATCTGAACTCGTGTTCGGTATGTACTGGTCGATTTCGCCCAAGATGTTGCTTTGAAGGCCGCTGACTCCGTTGCCAAACAGTAAAGAGGAATTCACGTAGGCAGTCGCGCTGTTAACATATGACAAGAAGGCAGGATCGTTCTGTGATAAGTCAGGAACTGAGCTGAAGCCCCCCCAGGAACACGTTGCACTTACCTTTTCGCTGCTGTTATCATTATAGATAGTGCCTGCCGTCTCCGCGTCGCTACTCCACGTTACCGTGACACTCTATTCTCGTTAGTAAAGGGTGCTTGTGACGCCTGCAAAGAGCAACTGACTATGTGATCCTGGAGATGCTGACCAACGCCAGGAAGGTCGGATAGAACTTCAACTCCTGCCGCATCCAGGACGTCCTTAGGACCGACGCCACTGTAGAGCAAAACGGTCGGGCTGCCAACAGTGCCAGCAGCAAGAATGACCTCCTTATTCACTCCCACTGTCAGCTTGGCATCACCTCCGTTCAGCGCGTACTCGACAGCGTATGCTGTTAGATTTCCTCCAGAGGTATTGTTGAAGAGGATGCGCGTAACCTGTGCGTTGGCAACCACACCGTAGTTACGACGTGGTGGCAGCGGATCAAGGTACCCAGAGCGGCTGTAGGAACGCGTCCAGTTGGCTGGGTTGATAGCTGACGTTGCAACGTACGCTCCCCAGTTCTCACCACCATAGGCGTCTTGCGTGTTATCTACACCGGCGTTGATCGCAGCACTGGACCAGGCGCCAACTAGAGGTAGAGTACTGGATACGTTGTCAGCGTGATAATCCATCTGCCGAAATGCAAAAAAAAAAAACATACAAGCCGGGGTAAGACATGTGGATTGGCCCTTGGCTGCCGTGGCTTGCAGGATTGTAAGTGATGGCAGCCTCTTGTTGAATTGAAGAGTCGACAGGAGGACTGAATGTCTCGCTCTTCTTCATCGCGGCGTACATGGACTCCCAAGACCAGTTTTCTGCGCCGTCCATGTCCCCGAGCATATCTTGCCATGCATTAACTTCGATTTCGCCCGGCCGATTCAGGTACATTCCGTTGATGGCCGAGCTACCTATGAGCATTATGTGTCAATACCTCATCGGGGCACATAGACAAAGAGGAAACGAACCTCCAAGAACTTTGCCACGAGGCCACGGGCACACGCTGTTATTCGCATTGGGTTGAGGAGTTGTTGTGAAGGCCCAATTCAGCTCCGTCGGCCAGAGCGATTCATAATATGCATATGCCGGAGTGTCTGTCGATTGGTTAGACCCTCGAGAAATTTTGTGAATTGCTAGAACCCAGTTCCGCACCTATTCGTTCTCGATACTCGTCTCCATTACCACCAGCCTCGAGGACAAGGACCGTATGGTTCGCATCTTCTGAGAGGCGTGCGCCGAGCACGAGACCAGCCAAACCTCCGCCGACAATGACGAAGTCGTATGAGCCCGCGATAGTCGTGCTATCGATGATATTGCGTGTACGAAGATGTGTTTCCCTTGATTCATGCGCATGGGGAGCGGCGGCCACTAACCCGGCGCCAACGGCCAGAACGACAGACAAAGAGCATCGCATGCTGTGACCTGCATGAATTGCGTGGAGTGCGAAGAGACGCGCAGGGCAGACGAAGAGATAAATGCAACAGCATATTGAGGGAGGCTAAACAGGCCTGGGTTAGCATTGACTTGACCATGGGATATACCTAGATTTCCGGAGAAGCTACGGACTAACCAACGCGTAATGGCAGGCTGGCAGCGCTTGATCGCCCAGCGCTCCAGCCCACTCTTTTTAAATTATGTATACAAAACTAGACTTACCTAGCACCAACCGGGGACCGTGTACACGTGCTCCATACCGAGTCAAGTCAAGTTGGCGAGGTGTGCCAGGCGGTGTGGAGCATAGTGCCGCCACCTTTGAGCATGTTCATGTTTTGCCGAACGGTTGATCTCTGACTCTCGAGCTGCCAGCCGCCATTTTCTCCCGGTTCACTGGCAAGGGAGTGGACTATTGAAAAAGCGAATTGATAACACTGGTGCTGAATTCTGGTATCAGGGGGTTGGACGATCTCCAGGATGCCATGCGAGTGGTCCGAAGGGTCTGATGATCTGAGGGACGGAGGGTCAAAGGCACCCACTGCAGGAGGGGAATGGGTGGTATGGACTGGGGTCGAGTGAGTGGAGTGAGCAGTGCACAGACACCACTGAGCTGGTGATATCGGGGTGGAAGCGCAGACGGACTTGACATCAAACGATCAAAAAGAAAGGGGTTGAGAAAGTCAAAAGCAGTTAAGCTCACGCCGTCTGAAGCTGCCAAGCCTGCACACACGTCTGAAGCGAGGCTGGCAGGGGCTCTGCTCCGTACAAAGCCCGAGGCTGTAGATAGGGCGGCATCTTCCGCTGGCCCGATCGAGCAGGGTCTTGCTGTCGCCCGGCCACGTTGGCTTCAATTGCTTGGAATGAGTCCTATGTTGAACCCCGAGACCGCCAAACACCCTCGATCGAATCAGTCCAGCTTCACCGACAGTCCTCGCAATGGCGAAGAGGCCTGCGGCCCAGTCTGCAGCCACGAAAACACCCGCTCCTGTCGCCGCCGCCAAACCTCCTGCTGCAACAACACATACGATTAAACCCTCAGGTTCCATCACCTCCAGTCCAGCACCGCCCACAAAGCCTGTACAGGCAAGCACATTGTCCCCTCGTTCATCGCCACAAGAGATCATAATCCATGTCTGGAACAAATATCTACAAGACACCCCTTCTCGAACTATGCTGTTGGATGTCTTCATGGCCTGGCTAGTCGTCGTTGGCGGTCTACAGTTCCTCTACTGTGTGCTAGCTGGCAACTACGTATGTCTCTCCGATTCAATTGCCAGCTTGTGCTAATTCATCCTGCAAATACAGCCCTTTAACGCCTTCCTCTCTGGCTTCTCTGCCGCAGTTGGCCAGTTTGTTCTTACCGCTTCATTACGAATGCAAACCTCCGAACGACCACCAGCAGGTGCATCCACGACAGCGAAAAAGTCGACGACCAAGACAGTCGAAGCTGTGACCGGTGAATTGGTCGAAGACAAGAAAATCAGTTCGGAAAGAGCGTTTGCTGATTTTGTCTTCGGGAGTTTAATATTACATGGATTCTGTGTTAACTTCATCAACTAGAAGAGAAGCCCACCACACGACCTGGGGGAAGAGCGCCTGAAGCTGTTGCCAATCTGTCATGGTTACGCGTGCTTCGCCTGCAGTCATCCGTGGTGCCTGCCTGTGGTCGGATGGAAGGCCAATAACTATCTTCATGTGGACGCATCGAGAGCTTCCTTCGGTGGCTAAGGACGACCGCCACGCCTCTGTCCTGCCGATTGTTCAACAGGCACATTCGGCACGGAGGATGCATTTCGACCGGTGACCGAATCTATTGGCCAGAGGCACAAAGTCTGCCAGTACGGGACAAGCCTGGACGAAAAAACATGCAGTGTGTACACGCAATAGATATGTATCATAAGAAGGGCCAAAGGAGGATTTGACTCTTGCCTAGCCTTCTAACTGGGTAGGCGATGCCCTCAGGAGCGTTATCTCAATGCAATCCTAATGCGTCCGCAAAGAGCCTCACGCCAAAACATAATCCTCATGCACGCGGGCAAATCATTCGCTGCCTTCTTATGTGCCCGTCATTTTGTCATTTCATCATCATTTCCGTCACCACCCTGATCACCCTCCTGACGTCCTTATCTCGTGTCAGATCATCTATGTAACATCACCTCAACTTCATCCTTCGACCAAAGTGCCTAGAGTGTTGGGTTGACCCCAAGCAATGTTTCCTGCTCCATACTTTACGAACTTGACGATGAGAAAACGCCGTCGTCGCCTTGTCCCAGTCGGGCGCCATTTGAGCGTAGAGTACAAAGTAAAGGGGATTGATCCAACCTGAAACACTCTTCAGGGCACAGTGTTTCATGTTCCAAGATGGCTCTCTTTGAATAGCTGACTACCACCAACAGGAGCCTCTTGCTCTTGTGTGAATTCATCTCTCTTCTGTATAATACGTACTCTGTATTCATCTTTGTTTAATTCTTAGTCCTGCTTTATTGTGCCAAGATGAAAACCGAGCTGGTCTCCTTATTAACGATTCTATCCTTTCTGAAACCTATCGTTCCCGCCGCGAGCGCACAGGAGGCGCCGCTGTCATTGGAAAAAAGCTCAATTTTTGACAGCGATATTGCCGTCGAGGCTGGGAGCGGAACCTACGGTGATGAATTTCTCAGCGGATCAGATCAAGCGGAACTCGCCATCGAGGGAGGTGATGCCACTTCTTCCCATGATCAACGGACCACGACAACAGATCATTCTCCTTGGTCCTACAAACCAGTCTGTACCGACTACCTGGATGAGCTAGGAGACCAGCTGTGCGTCTACACAGACACGACTTTCAGCAATGGCCGAGGTATATCCATATTCACGACGCCGCAAATCGCCCAGGAATTCGCCTCTCTTTTGCCCTTTCAGGATCCCTCTGCGCTTTCGTCCCGCGGCATCAACCCGGGCAGCGGCAATGTGGACAACATGCCATGGTACACGGCCCCAATCCCGGGCAAAGGGGTGGGCATGCTGGCTTCGCGGAGTTTGCAGCGAGGCGACCTCATCACGGCCTACACGCCGTATCTGCTAGCGCACATGGAGAACGTCCTCTCCACGCCCGAGCGCGAGAGATTCCTCCGGGTAGCTCTCGACCAGCTCCCTGCGGCCAGCCGGGACGTCTATCTCGGCCTCGCGAAGATCTACGGCGAGCCAAGCGTCGTGGTCCAGGACGTGGTGAAGGCGAATGCGTTCGAGATGCAGATCGGAGGGCAGATGCATCTGGCTGTGTTCCCGGAAGCGTCGAGGATGAACCACGCTTGTGCGCCAAAGTATGTTTGCCCTCTTTACCTTTTCTTTCCCATTTCCATCACATCACATCCCCACTCCAAACCCATCATACTCCCCTCCCTCAAATTCTTGCTATTGACACGCGCAAACTAACCTTCTCTCCTTTTCAAGCGCACAATACTTCCTCTCTCCAGGGCTGCTCACGCACTTCGTCCACGCGGTGCGCCCGATCGCCAGAGGCGAAGAAGTGACGATCTCCTACGCGCCGCCGCTGCGGCTGCACGCGGACCGGCAAGCGTATCTGCAGTCAACATTTCAGTTCACGTGCACGTGCGCGCGCTGCACGCACAGCGGCGACAGGACGCTCGAGGACGCGGACAAGGCGACCGAGGACATCATCGCGCTGCAGTGGGCGCTGTCGCAGTGGGGGTCTAACTCGACCGCCAGCGTCAAGAAGGCCGAGATGCTGGTGGGTCTGTACAGACAAGAAGGCCTCGACGCCTTCTTGGACGACGCCTACGGACACGCTGCCCTCACGTACAATGCCGTGGGCAGCGCGAGGGGCGCGAAGAAGTACGCAAAGTTGGCCGCCGAAGCCGCGAGGTTGAAGTACGGGCCTGACGCCGAGGCGGCGATGGAGTGGGACAGGATAATGAAGGATCCCATGGGGCATTCCAGCTGGAGAAGGAGGAAGACAGGATAGAGGCTGTGGCGTGGCATGTGTACATGATGTGTATTATATCGACTAGGATATCTGGAAAAGGTTTGGAGGATGCAGATCGAAGGTCCATGTTCCGCGACAGCTATTGTTCATTTCTCTGTTCCCACCCACAATTTCAACCTCGTCAACCGTCCATCCGCACATTTTCTCCCCACTGTGGCGTGCCATTTGATTTTGTCAAATTCCCGATCCAGATATGTTGGCTCTTATCCATCCCTCCGTCCATTCGTCCATTCGTCCATCCTTCGTAAAGCATATTTTCGTCCTCCCTTCCATGTCCTCCTTTCCCTCTTGTTCCAATAAGATGCGATATATAATGACAGCGAGTAACCCCTGCAAATTTGCGCATGAATTCAATGCCGGCGAAAGGTGTCGTGAGAGGAGACTGGTATTTGTGTTACATGCCAGTCCATCACTTCAGACATTGTGCCCAGCGAGATGTTGCATCCTTCCCGTCCATGCATGTAGAGGTTGAACAAATATATGGATTGCCATCATCAGAGAAGGCAGTAAATGTGCCCTGTTCGGTAAAGACAGACAGCCACAGCTGAAAGAAATGACGGACCGCCGTTGTGTATACTCAATTGGTAGAGACAGACAGCTCCGATGCACCATCCCACGTCGAAGGAAAACCCCGGATCAATGATCGCGCCCAGGACGAGGAATGGGCCATTCCGTCAATCCAGCTTGCCAACTCTTGACCAGCCCAGCCTTCGCATGAGATGTACGCATACTGAGAAGTCATTTCGCATTGGAAATGTGCCCTGACTCCACAGTTTGCACGGTCTCCATCTGCATACCCTTGCGAGTCGCAAAAGCAACTTCCATGCACCATGTCCATGCAGCGCTGAACAAGAAAAAGCAAACATGTATGCGTAAATGCCTAACCTGGAATTGATGCCCAAGTGGCAAGAATCGCCCCATTCCGAATGCCGTGTGCCATCTCGCCGACCCTTCGGTGATATATTGAGAGGGGTTATGCTGCAATCTTTGTGAAATACGTGACAACAATCGTAACAAAACTATGCTATAAACATGACGTGACTAAAGTCACAACAGATGGGGTATCAGATAGCCGCCTGCTTTAACACAAAAGAAGGAAAAGAGCAAACCCACGGAACCTATACTGAAGATCTTCGAACTCGACAGTAGCATGCAATTATAACATCAAGAAAGGTCGTTACTCTCTCGGGAGCGGTTTCATTCCGTGGTCGGTATAGTGAACCCAAAAATCGATACCTGGTCTCGTGTGGGGCTGCTTTCATAGGCTGGGCCGCCTGCTCCCGTGTTGCTCAGATTCTATAACCATTAAAATCAGGACCGGGGGTTGCTGTCGAGAGATGGAGTAAAGAGGCCGGCATATGCCGCAGCTGTCATCTTCGTAACCTAAATCTTGGCAGCGTTGGCGACAGTTATATGCTCTCGACTGTTTTCACGATGCAGGCTAGAGTGAGCGTGACCGTTGGAGTTTCCATAGAAATAGCCGTTTGACGTCAAACTGGGATCGTCTCTTGCCAAACTACCGGGGCCCACGATTTTGTCTTCATCAATGCCTCGAAGTTTGGAACAGGCATTACCCAGCAAGCCCGCAGCTTCATGAGTAAGCTCCCATCTTGTGCTCTCGAAGGACTCCTTCAAAATCATGAGCAACCCTAGGCATCGATTCTTGCCTTTCACGTTTTCAAGGTCATCGGGAGCCCGGACTCCGGCGACTCTCTCCAGATACTGCCGCATGTCGCGCTCTTTTTGCTCATAGGTCTCGAATTCTGCATCGGTTGGGGAGGGCTTGATGGGGCCCTCGAGCGCAAAACCATAGCACCACACGACGAGTGCTGATATGTACAGCACCCAGGGGCGGTTCAACAGAAAATCGTCACGAGCAATGTACTGGTTGTGTTCGAATGCTTGAGGAAGGATAGGGCTGGCGTGACCGTACAAGCGACCGCTAATCCCATCCAGTCCATCACCGTCTGGTGGAATGAGAACCTGAACAATAAATTTGAGGGCGTAAAATGCTGCATCCCTTGCCGACGCTTTTGTAGCCCACCGCTCAATCTTCTCACGTACCACACTGTAATCCTTTGGGGTTATTGAGCGTCCAAGGAGTCTGTTGGCGCCCGCGAAGACTTGGCAGTCGACAACATCGACATGAGCAGCAATGTGAGCAAGATGGTGCAGAACTGTTCGTGATTCGAAGATATTTTCATCATCGACAGGGCGCAAGATCGGGTGGAGGGGTGCCACCGGAGTTCGCAGCGGGGAGGACGGGGCCGGTGTGGCCTCTGCCAAAGCTTCGTCGAAATCTCGCTTCCAGTTGTCAAAGGCACGCAACAAGACTCCTTTCCATTTGTCTGGGCCTCCAAAGGAGTTTGCTGTTCGTGGCCCGAGGGAAGAGATTTGCAAGTCCCTTTGAGTCATATGCCAGGAGACCGATAGTAAACCCGCCATAATGATGGTACGGCCGAAGGAATTTGTGCGCACCCTCTGCCCATTTAGCGTTCTCTTTAGACCCTCAACAAACATGATTGGCTTGATTCCGTTGGTCTGCAGCGAGGATTGAACTCGAGCGGCCTCGGAAGGAGAGACAGCTGACCACAGACCTTCATCACATGGTAACGGTAGCCGCATCTCATGTGCAACCATTTTTGCAGCATGACCAAACATCGTTGCATGGATGGAATCAAGCACAAATGCTCCAAACGCGGCACGACGCGTTGCTTCAGTGGTGATCCATCGATGCCATGAGTCTTCCGACTTTGAGGCTTCCGCTCCGGAAAATGGTACCGATATCCTCCCATTGTCTTGCTCCCCTCGTAAACTGGGCGGGGAATCTGATGCTGAACGACCTAGGAGGGAGCTGCCACGGCGCATAAGGGTCAGGGTCGAGTCGTGGTGAATATGCGCCCTCTCATGCAGCGCCCGGGTTGCATACATCTTCTCGTATACCTCAATAAGTAGGAGGGTTTGGAAGACCCAGAGTTTTGCGGGGGGTCTGAAATCGACATCTCGGACAATTTCCCAGCGTAGATGCCAGACAACGAAGTTCGCAAACTCGGCTGCAGAATCCGTCAAAGTCGTGCCGTAAGCTTTGTCCAAAGTTGCAGCCCCGATTGCAATGACCATAAGGAGGAGGAGGTTGGGAGTCCGATCGGCAGAAAAAGTGGGCTTGTGTAAGATGGGCAACTGCGCATGTTGGTGATACCAATATGAACCAATATAAGTGTGCATCATTCTCAAACTCAAGATATGACCATCGTTGTCAAGGTCACCTTCGAACACAGAGTCCTTTCGCTTTTTCACCGCGTCGTGGGGACGTTCAACAAATTGAGTTTGCATCAGATCGAGGAGCTCGTGGCGTTTAGATTCGGACATTATATACTGGCTAGTGACAGTCGAATCGAGAATACTGGTAACACTCATAGGATGATGCAAGGGGGCGCTTGTGGAGTAGTTGTTGCCAGACGACGAAGGGCTCTGGGAGAAATAAGGACCCTGGACTTGCTGCTGCTCGTGGCCGCTGTAGCCAGGGACGTAGTTTGGCGGTGAGAAATCATTGGAGCCAGATCGGGCATCGTTGAAGAGCCATTGCGTAAAATCATCGGCTACTGTAAAAGGCGTCTGAGTAAACTCGTCACCACCGAAGACCGGAAAACCAAAACCGGTATTGATGTCTACGTTCGACATGCTAGTATTGAGCAGGGAGTATGGGAATGGGTCATTCCTCGTCAGTCCATGCGAGACCGCAGCGGCAAACGCAGCGTCTGCCGTTCGAGACACACCGGCAGCTGGATAGCCTGCAGAAGAATAGGCAACAGCGGAGGCCATGTCAACGGACTGCATATAACCATTATTCAACATACTCCTGTCGATAGTACTGTCAGAGTGTGATCTCATCGGTTGGAGAGGTGTTACAGAGGTTCCGGAGAACTGCCGAATAGGAGACTGTGGGACATGTTGTCCCGAGTTCCTGTCTCTTGCCTGCATCGACGCATAAGGCCCCTGGTCCCGCCTCTGATCCGCATTGTTGAAACTTTGTCTTCGGACAACTGAAGTCCAGGTTGCGTGCTCCTGTTTTTGGGGTGGACTCATCGGATTGCTGCCAAGGCTGCCGGTGCGATGTAAAGGGGGTTCTGGCCTGGCAGCGACGTTCTGCGGCGTTGGAGGATGAAATCTCGGTTCAGTGGACGCTGTCGATGGAGAGACAGTATTGTTGGCTGGGTGGGACTGTTGTCCGTAGTGGCCACCATCCACAGGGTGGCCCGAGGGCGGACCGAGATGCTGGCCTTCCTGAGCACTCTTGACGTTGGGGGCGGACATTGGATAAGCTTGAGGTTGACCGAGGTGGTGCTGGGGTGGTATTGCGGGCGTAATCTGGTTGTTAGAGGTGGATTGCGCAAAAGTATCCCGCTTGTGGAGTTGGGAGCCATGGGTTGTATGTCGTTCCCGATGTCGAATGCAAAGATCTTGTCGTACGAAATACCTACTGCAATCGGGATAGTCGCACCGATAGATGGTTTTCGGTGTATCTTGAAAGGAGAATTAGAGGAGGCAGAAGGAACTGGGTAAGAATGACTTACGGTTTAGCTGATGTCTATAAAGATGCTCAGCACGAGAATAGCTTTTACCGCATCCTTCGTGTTTACACTCGAATTTCTTGTCTGGATTCGGCTTTGCAACTCTCCTCCTCTTTTTCGGCGGTAGTCCGCCGACGTTTTCTGCGTGGCCATTCGGGACCTGGACATCGTCGGAGGAGCCGTTCTGGACGAGCGATTCCTGCTCCCTCTGTTCGACAGAGTCTAGCTCTGCCATGGTGCGTAACGGCCGGTTGTCACAGTAAGCCTGAGAGCCTGACACTGGTCCAGGCGGTGATTCAGGCAAGGAGTATCACGGGTTATGCAGCATGATCGGAATGCCCACGGTCTGCACAGCCAAGACTCACACTGGAAGTCGACGAGGGAGGCGCCGGACAGCCCCTTGATTCCTACCACTGGACTGTTGTTGCGATGGAGTCGGTGGGGGAGGGGGGAGGTATAACTGATTCGGTGCAGGTGGTACCTGTCTTCCCCCTTGTAGACTTGCCGAGGGCGGTCGCGACTCTCTCAAGTGCTCGTGCTCGTGTGTTTTTCCCCCTCGGATTGAACCCAATGCTTCGATAGACAGTCAAAGGAGGCTTCTGCGCGGGACTAAGATGGGCTAGATGGCGTCTGTGGGAGAAAGAATCGCAACGGATTGTGGGATGCAAAAATGGCACGAGCGAGTTTTCCTTCGAATGCAGGTACCAGGTCGCGCAGAATGAACGTTGTTCAGGTGACCTCGGGGAGTAAGGCTCGTGAGAAATGAGCGGAGGGCTTATTGCTTTTGCTGCTCCTCATGGCCCGTGGCGAAGAAAAGTGGACAGGCGAGAACAAGGCCTGGGCGTGATGCTGCGTGGGCGTCCAGACACAATCTAGAGTGCTGGAGAGCAATACGAAGGAAGGGTCTTCGAACGCAGCGGATCTTCGTTGCTTCTGTAAGGAGGCGGTACCGGGGTGATTGTTGGGGTCTAGGTTGCAGTTATGCTTGTCGCTGGCTGTAGTGCCGTCGACAATGGCATGGCGGAGTATCTAGGCTAGATATGGATCAGGCAATGGCAAGCCCAGTCGCGCAGAGCGGAGTGCAGAAGCCAGTCAGAGGCACGAGGACGGGGGATGGAGGTTGGGCAAGGTTGGGCAAGGTTGGGGTGATGCAGAGGACGCGGGATGAGTGTGGATGTGCGGCGTGGAGAGGATAAAGTACGATGGGAGGCACCAGAGCGAGGTTTTGCGGTCAAAAGAGAGGAGGAGGGGGAATTGGGTGCTTTCTGGTGGTTCGTGCGAACTGGTGACGAGCGAGACAGTCAAGAGGAATTTTCACAGTGTGGTGAGTGGTGCGATGGCGATGGCGCTAGGCATGATGTGGGCTGCCCTCCCTCCAGCGCTGGTGGGCTGGTGGGCTGGTGGGCTGGTGGGCCATCAACTCGACTACCTGGTAAGAACTCGCACGGACTAGGTACGAGCTCGGAACGGCGAGAACGGGTAGAGGCTTGCGGGCAGAGCGGGCAGCGGGCATGGCGGCGGGCAGAGCGGCGGGCTAGTACTCGGTAGGCCTACTTAACACAAGAGACCATTGGCATCTCTGGGTGCCAGTGACTGGGGCCCCCAGCAATACAGTACATTGATCATTTGCTGCCATCACCACCACCACCACCCACCTCTGCCCTTTGCCCAAACCGCTTGCGGAGGGCTGCCTTAACCACTGCTTAACCACCGCTTGACCACCGCTTTTCCCTTCTCGCTTCCATCTTTTCATCTTAGAACACAGCCTAGGCGGCCTTCTGGCGCCCCCCTCTGTCCACTCTCCACAAATTGGCGTGCAGATCAGCTTGCTCCATGAGGCGGCTCACCCCCAAGTCAGAAACAGCTTACGCCCGGGCGCCCAATTTCTTCTCTCAAGTGGTGAGGGGGATAAGCCCTGTCGAGAAACCGCCCAATTCTTACTCTACAAGACTTGCGTTTTCGAATTCGTTAACGTAAGATGCAGACATCTCCCAACGATAGCCCTCCTCCTCTTCGTCCCGACTCCGTCGCAAAGCGCAGGTCGTCACAGTCATCGCCGTCGTGTCATCGCAGTCACTCACCGAAATCACGACGGCCAACATCCCACCCTGCACCTTGCACCAGGGATTCCGTTCCCGTTCGGCGCGCCCTCTCCTGACCAAGCCAGGCCTTCCGGTTCGAGGAATAGGATTTATAAAAAAGTCGTCATCTGGGACACGTTGGGTGATCATCTGTTGCTCATCGTCGGCGGATTGAGGAGGCTGCCTGATACTTGACATTCCCCACGCTTTCGCTCTGCCTTGACCCTTGCAGGCAAGGCATCAACGCTAAATGGGACACCCAAGTGTCTTCGAGGAGAGAGCCAACCACCTGGGACCTCTTGACAACGTCCTCCCCCCTTCTCCGCACCCTATTTAACCGCGATTTCTCACCAGGAAAGCCCCGGCCCGAATCACATCATCGCGCATGCCTTGTGCCACGCACCACTATCTCGTGTAACCGCCCGCAGTCATCCTGTCGGCTTGATCCGAGGACAGCGCATGGTAAAATTTTGGTAATCGAGAGGCTCGATGTTCCCCAGCTTTTACGAGGTACAATGCATCAGGCAGCAGAACTCCTCGGGGGTAACACGGGGACTTCGCTTACTCACGGGAAACTACTGGGGTAGTAATGACACCGTCTGTCGAAAATCCAGGATTTAATGGCTCGCGCAGCACTTTACATTCTCGAATCTCGATATTGATCAGCCAGGTATAGTAATCTAGCCACACCATTTGTCGATCCAACGAGAAACGTATATCTTTAACTTCTACTTGCCCAACTAGTACTTGGGCGAACAAATCTGCTACTCTGCCTTCCTGCTGGGGGCAATCTTGCTCAACCGACCAGAGTGTGACTGTTCCGAAGATAGACCGTCGACATCTCAAGTTTCGTCTCCTAAGGCCACGGAAAACGGGTACAAACCCCAGATATCACCCCCGTCGGGTCCACTGTTCATGAGCTCTGTGCTCCTGGAGAGGGACAGGCTGCGTCATGATGGGAAAACATGGGCCCCATAAACAACGAGCCAGCTGCAACGTGGATCAGACGAAAGGACCAGACAGATAGCATAACCATGGCAGCAGACCACCGCCAAGGGTGAGTGAGGCTAAACAGTTTCATGCAACCCGTCGGCTGTCACTGCTTAGTCTGAGGAAGATCTTTTCCACCATTTCCAGACCCTTGCCTGAAGTGATGTTCTGGGAAGGCCTGGTGTGTCCGTCAGTTTCATCCCCCTCTTTCTTCGACCACCAGCTCCTCCGCCCACTTCTCCTCCAATCATGGCAATGGGGAGGTGAAGATGCTAATGCAACTTGTCTCAACCATTCACACGGCCGTCCATCCAGCTGTTTGTCACCCTAACTCCCACCTGTTCCCATCGACGTCTCTGATAAGACCAGCTTCACTTCCAACAGATTTTCTCGCTCGCTGAGTGGCCATCTCAAGTCGGAATCTCTTCAAAATTCACCGTCCAATTCCGCACGTGGACTAAGCGGGCTCCTTGGGCTCCCACACACCTCGGACTAATCTTTGTCCGTTGCCCGACCTGCACGTTGTTGAACGCCGGTGTCCGAAAAGGGTTCATCAGCATCAAAAGCACGCGACAGCAGGTCCTATGTGAGTCTCGTTGAAGCATTTTGTCCAGTGCAATGTGCAGGCTCGAGTCCTGTCATCGAACGCAGCATCGCAAAACATTCTCAAGCGGGCTAACCCTCTCCAAGCAACGCAAGGTGAATTCGAACGCAATCAAGGCAAGATGTCCGACATAAACAGCCCGACCAGCCCAACTCCGAAGCCAAAATCGAAGACTTATGAAGGATCGTGCCATTGCGGTAGAGTCAGGTGTGCAGGTGAATCCAGTTTCAAGGCGGCGCCAGCATACTGATCGGTACCAGATTCACCATGAAGCTCTCCCCTCCTGTGGAGGATGGTCCGGTGACCAGCTGCAATTGTAAGTCTTTTACGCGTTGCGGATCCGGCTTCAAAGGCCTGTTCCTAGCAGATTAGGTTGATTCATTCGCGTGCAGGCTCTATTTGTGCCATCAACGGATATCTCATGGTTTACCCTTTGGAGTCCAACATCACCTGGATCAGTGGTTTTGACGAACTGACCACTTACACCTTCGGCAAAGAGAGAATAGCACATTCCTTCTGCTCGACTTGCGGGACAAGCATTGGCGGGAAGAGCACCGATCCCAACTTTTTTGCTGATAACCGGGCGTTGAATGTAAGTACTTCAGTCCTCAATCCTTGACTTTGTTCCACCTATTTTAGTGACCTTCAACCAATTTCTCACGTCTCCTCTACTCTTGTTGTCACTTATTAGTCATAACGCGTCATCAAGCTAACATTTCTGATTCCAGGTGCGCACACTGAAAGGCGTTGACATTGATGCACTGAAATTGAGGAAAGTAGATGGTCGAAATGCATAGATCAAAGTTCCCTCTGATACACCTCGCAAATTGTCCCATTGATTCCTAGGGGAGTAGGCTACAAATTCGATATCGTCTCAAAATCCAAAAAAGGGGGCAAATGGAATCAATGTATTGTTGGAATTGATTATCACATCCTTCACTCATATTCTCTTTGCGGACATCATTCTGATTCTGCGTCTTCCATATGTACAGGAAAGTCAATGGCCGCATCATATCGACCCCGAACAAACAAGAGTTGTCGAAACCCGGAGTAATTCTCAATTAACCTGAAGCGTCTGCTTTGTTCGTCTCGCGTGAGCTCAAACACCGACCATCTCCTCGAGAGAGCAGGGGGAGAAGTGAGTCGTAGGTAGGGAAATGGAGGGTTCCTGCCGCTACATTCATTGATCAGAAGGATTTTGCGCAATTGATTTCGAGATCGAGCGGGCCGCTTTCAACAGGAAGTCCCGCTGGAGTGAACCTCTTCACCACCGACTAGGGAGTCAAATTGTTACGGCCTTTCATTCCAAAACTACCTGATGATGGCCTCCGACTCAAAGAGGATTTAATAATTTCAATCATTGATCTAAACAGTCGCCCATCTCTCCTGACCGAATTCACCCTGCATTTTCGTGATCACTTTACCCATGGCTTTTTCTTTTCAAGGCAGAATACCACACAAGAACTCCTCCAGCACCTGTTCGAAATGCTCGCCTTATTTCACAATCCTTTGTTTGACGCTTATATTGGAAATACCATTATCCCCATTGATGCCCGTGCTCCTCGGAAAATTCTCAACGACGCCAGACAAAGACTCTTTCTGAGCCCTCCTCTTGTTCTTTGCTAGGAGTCTCTCCTCCCTTACAGTGATGTTGGTAGCATGTACATCACCGTCCCCAGAGCCGTCAATCCAACTCCAGCCCACCACCATCGATCAGCATTGTAGATGTCGCCAGGTTGTTGCTGGATGATTTTCGAGTCCCCGTTCAACGGCTGGAGCACTTCCTGCTCGCCGTCTCCTCCGTCCGTCCGCTTGACCCGCGATTTCCCCGTCGAACTCGGTGCACTCGTGGGATTGAGTGTCTGCGTCGGGAGCATCTGGGGCGGGCTGTACATCAGATACATGGGCTGCATGGGGCTGCCGTCGAACTTGTATAGATTCAATCTGGGCACGTTGTGGAAGGCGTCGGTGAGGACCTGGTAGGATTTGAAGAGCTCGGCTTGTTCGTAACGGATGTAGATGGCGTTGTCGTAGGAACAGGGGGCGGATGTGAGCTGGCGGCCGTCGACGCCGAAGGGAGTGAGGACGATGGAGCCGTTGCCCGGTAAAGAGTAGGTGCCGTGCTGCCATTGCATTATGGAGGATGGGCATTGGGGAGTTGTTGCTATGAGAAATGTGTTAGCATGGCCTTTTGCTTGCTCTCTTATGTACCAGGGGTCAGGGCCTTGAGATTCCAGCTAGGGCATCTTCCATGCGAAAGGATACGGGGGCAATGCATACGATTTGAGACAGCCCGATAGTATGCCTCTTCATAGTATCCGTCGCTAGTGAAGGAGTAGGAAATTCCCGCCAGGTCGGGCTCGATTAACTTGTCTGCGACAGGATCATAGAAGCCCTAGAAATCCAGGTTAGAAATTCGAATCAGAAGAGTTGGCGACTACACATGTAGACAATGGAGACAACCCTTACCGGACCAGTGACGACCTTTTTGGACTTGGTCGTCCATGTGCCCACGAGCGCAGCATCAAACTGCGCTCTCACAAGGCCCGCCAGGCCAAGCGAGAGAGTTACGACCGTTTGTATCGAGGTGATCATTGTGGCATTGTCTTGCGAGATTGTGTGAGTGTGTCGAGGATATCGAGGTGGCACGGGAAGGGATGGTCGTGTGTTCCGCAGACAAGTACTAAGGAGAGAGAGGACGGACGTCTGCAGTCGTTGGTCGTTGATTCAATCTGTCTGACTCCAATCTGGGATTTCTCACCCTTGAGGCTGGCTCGCTGCTCACCTTGGGGGGATGTTGACGCGGAGGCTGAGGCGCATGTGCAGGGGTCTCGGAGTGTGGATTTGCATGCGGACTGGAGCTTGGTTTGAGGCTGGTGCCGCTTGTCAGAACCATCGTCTCAAAAATAGTTCTTCCGCTCGCTGATCTACCTATGTATCACAGTAACTCGGCTTTCCATCCATCAAGCACTGCTGCTTTTGCCATCGATCATACTACCTTCGCTTAAGGCTACGAAGCGCCGGTGACGAAATCAATCTAGAAGGTCGTGATGCACGAATGCAGCAGTCACTCTGGGGACGTTGCTCAATGAAATCGTGGTCGTCGGTTCGAGCTCTGCGGACAATGACAACCATGGCTCTGAAGGATCAGAAGGCAGCATTGCGAAAGAGAGTAGGAGAGGAGCTGAAGAAACTTGACTCGAAGGAAATTGAAAGACAATGTAGGGAGCGTCGCACTGCGGATATTGATCCTAGCTGATGATGAAAGCGGCCATCGTCACGGAGCACGTGCTGCAGATGCCAGCTTATCAAAGTGCAAAATCAATGGCTATATTCTTGTCGATGCCTGGCAGGGAGGTGTCGACTCGTGATATTGTCCTGCATGCCTTGGACAGCGGGAAGTCGGTCTTCGTACCATATCTTCATGCAGGCGAAGCCCCGAAGTCAAAGGTAATGGACATGTTGCAATTGCAGGATAAGGATGATTTTCACTCGTTAAGCCCAGATGCTTGGGGCATTCCATCGCTTTCCAGGGATTCAGTTGAAAGAAGAAGAAATGCTCTTGGTGGAATCGGCATCTTGAATCGCTCTTCGCAGGACCAGCAAGATCCTCCAACTCTGGATCTAGTATTCATGCCAGCGGTGGCTTTCGATCAATCCCACCGTCGCCTCGGCCATGGCAAAGGTTTCTATGACCGCTACCTCTCCAAATATAAAGACACTCTCGCCAGGAGCCAAAGTAGACGGCCAATGCCCCTCTTGAGTAAGTGGCCGACCACTCAGTATCTCCCAGTGGCTTCGCAACTAATCCCTCTCTTGCAGTGGGGATCGCCCTTCGCCAACAAGTCCTGCTGCCGGGGGAGACGATTCCTGCGGACGAGCATGACTGGACAATTGATCAAATAGTAGTTGCTGATGTCGAATGAATGCGCTCATGGCATCGTCTTGTCCAACGCAACTTGAATTTCGTCCGACTTGATGCCCCAGTAAATATGGCGCTTGTTGGATGACTGGAATAAGGCAAAGTGTCTCGCTCACTCTAGTCCCGAGACTGGATCAACGAGACATTGTCGCCCTTCAATAGGATTTGTCCTAGAAGTTATCAGCCGCAGCCCTAGCTCGAGAAGCTCAATTCAAGTCATACCCAGCTGCCTCCTCTTTTCTGGGGTATCTCTCGTAGCTAGTTGTACCTCAACTGCATCATCAATTACTAGGTTCATGAATTCGTCAAAACCCTGCTCATCGGTCAGTCGCACAGCTCCTCGAGCCCAGTGAAGGCACGCACCCTGATCTTTCCCTCGATGCGCGTGTGCAAATTCTCGTAGAGCCAAATGGAGACCGTGGAGCGCTTTTGCAACAGACTGAATATGAAATGGATGGGCGCAAGCAGAGTTTTGCGGGCACCACCGCCGCCGCGTCCAGTCATTGTGGGCACAGTTTGCGACGTAACTGTATGCTTTGGGCTGGATTTGTTTGGGCGGAACGTTTGCTCATAAGATTCTAGCAGTCTTGCATGCAAGGCGTTCAGGTATCAGCTGTGTTCGTGGAAGAGCTTTCGTGACCTTGACAAAGAAGTAGTTTTGGCGCAGGACTGAAAATCGAAAATGCGGAGCAAGGCTGAAGCGGGAGGCGAGGCTCGCAACCTAATCAAAAACTGAGGTCATTTCCAAAACATCTGATCTCTGCGGATTCGCAGCCACTGTCTTTCCTTTCACAACAGTTTTGCCGCGGCCCCTGTCTTCTAGGTCTACCACTTCTGCCTTCATCGTTTATTCTTTTTTCTCGCCGAATGACCAAAACCGCACTGTCACCTTCGCTGCCCGGCCGAGACGCCTGTAAGCTGCCCCTCATTTTCATCACATTCATCTACTTCAAACGCTATGGCCGATAAGGCGACCGCTGCGAGCGGCTATGCGCCAGTGCTTTCGGCTCTGGCGACCATGCAGAGCGGTGCTGCCAAAGAAGAGAAAACCAATGCCCATGAATTCCTTGAAAAGTTTCAGAAATCGGTTTGTGCTATTCCTACAGAGTCCATGAACAGTCATACTCATTTGGCAACAGTTGGAAGCATGGAACACCACTCATGCAATCTTGCAAGACTCGTCTGCCCCGGTAGAGGCCAGACTATTTGCTGCAACAACACTGAAGGGAAAAGTCTGTGCTCTCAGCCCGTCTGGCAAAATCCCGCACTGACCTTCCCAGATCACTTATGACCTCCATCAGCTCCCAGCCGATGCCCTCACACCTCTCCGAGACTCTCTCCTCTCTTTGCTTCAACTCTACATCTCGGGTCCTCGACCTATTCGGACGCAATTATGCGTATGCCTGGCGATCCTGGCAATTCAGTTGACATCATGGAAAGACGTCTTGAGAACAGTGGGAGCAGCTGTTGGCAACAGTAGTGACGGCGGAGACTGTCTGCTCGATTTTCTGCGCATCTTACCAGAAGAAGTCACAGAAGGCCGCAAGATCAACCTCTCAGTATGTTCGACCACGCAGCGTTTGATGCTCGACTCTGCCGCAACACCACCCTGGGAACCGATCACAGTCTAATCCAGCATTTTTGCAATATAGGAAGAGGAACTTGCCGATCGGACCAAGGAACTCCTAGAGGACAACTCCGCTCAGGTCTTGAGTCTTTTGGTCTCTTATGCCCAATCATCAAGTAAGGATCCGTGCTCTCGTCATATCGGAACCGCTGACATCGTTCTTTAGCCCAAGCTGCTCACAATCCTCACCTGTATTCCTGTATCGCATCATGGCTTCGGGAAATCCCCACAATCGACATTGTGAACTCGCCTCTTTTGAATGAAATCATCGACGCCCTCCAAGATAGTGATTCCTTCGAAGCAGCAGTTGATTGCCTTTGCACCATGTTCAGAGACACCCGAGATGTCGACGAATCACAAAGCGTTATTCGAATACTCTATCCGAGGATTGTCAAGCTGAGGCCCATGATCGCAGAAGCCGCTTCCACGGAAGACAACGACCTCATGAAAGGCATTACAAGACTTTTTGCGGAGGCCGGTGAAGCATGGGTTGTACTCATTGCACGCATGCCGGACGATTTCCGTGAGCTCGTCGAATGTGTCCTAGAATGTTGCGTACGTGACAAGGACCGAGAAGCTATTTCGGTCACGTTTATTTTCTGGTATGAACTCAAGCAGTCCCTGACTCTCGAAAAATATATGCCCGCTCGAGCGGCCCTCGCGGATCTCTACTCGAAACTCGTAGATGTCATGATCAAACATCTCGAGTTTCCCACGCCGGAAAACGGCGATGAGAAGGACCTCTTTGATGGGGATCGAGAAGCAGAGGACAAATTCCGCAGTTTTCGGCATAACATGGGCGATGTCCTGAAGGACTGCTGTGAAGTCATTGGCGTCACAGAGTGCTTGACAAAGGCCTTCTCTCTGATACAAACCTGGGGACAGAAATATGCCTCGCAGGTTTCAGGCACAACTGTACCACATTGGCAAGAACTTGAAGCGCCACTCTTCAGCCTCAGAGCAATGGGTCGCATGGTCAGCCCAGAGGAAAGCACCGTGCTTCCACAGGTCATTCCTTTACTTACCACGGTCCCAGATCACGAGAAGCTGAAGTTTCAAGCGATCATGGCCCTAGCTCGCTATACTGAATGGACTGCTCAACATCCGGAAACGCTCGAGGCACAGCTTAACTATGTCATCTCCGGATTCAGTCACAGCTCCCAGGAAGTTGTGCAGGCGGCAGCATTAGCCTTCAAGTTCTTGGGCACTGACTGCCAGAAGTTGCTGGGCGATCACGTCCCGCAGCTCCATAACTTCTATGAGAGCGTTATCGACAAGCTCAAATCGACAAGCCAGGAAGAAGTCACTGAAGGGGTTGCAGCGGTTGTCGCAGTGCAACCAGTTAGCAAGATCTATGAAACCATGAAGATGTTCTGTGATCCGGTCATGAGGAGAGTGGTTGCACTTGCTGCACAAGCAAGGGATGAAAATGCCGAGAAGACTGTCGCTGACTACCTAGGGCTGATGACAATCTTTTTCGAATGGGTACAGCCCTACGTTTCGCCATCTGAAGAGAATCCGGCAGTCAAATATTGCCAAGAAGTGCTCCCGGCTCTTTCACAAATGGCAAAGCACTTCACCCGGTCCATGCCAATCCTGGAGAGGGTTTGCAAGTGCTGGAGGTCCATGGTCATATCTTATCGGACCGCAACAGCTCCACTTCTGCCCACACTTGCGACTAGTATCGCCGAGGGCTTTGAAGCATCACGACAAGGCTGTTTCCTGTGGGCAACTGACGCTGTAATTCGAGAATTCTCGTACGGGGCGGAATTCGTTGACGAGGCGACGAGCGACAACGTCTATCGATTCTTTGCCCAGCAGGCCACGGTCTTTTTCAGAATCCTCGCAGAACTACAACCCGTCGAGCTCCCCGATGTTATCGAGGACTTCTTCCGCCTGGCTTCTGATGCGGTTCGATTCTATCCCCGGAAAACACTTACCTCGAACCTTGCCTTGCCGATGGTCAACGCGTCATTGACGGCCCTCACACTGCAATCAGTGGAACCAATTCAAGCTACATTGCACTTCTTGAGAGACTTCCTTGATTTTGGATTTGAGAAACCACCCATCTCCAACTTCAACGGACCTAATGGCGAACCAACATCCGGGAACCCACCAGAAGTCCAAGCAGCGGTGAGGCAAGTTCTGAGTTCTACAGGACAGGAACTGGTGCACCGAGTCTTGACCGGCATGATGTTCAGCTTTCCCGAGGATTGCTTTCCAGATGCCTCTGGCGTTCTCTTGTCTCTGTTCAGCTTGGCACCGCAGGCGGCAGCTCAATGGGTTCAAGGGACTTTACAAGCTTTACCCGCAGGCACACTAAAGCCAGCGGAAGCGAATAAGTTGATGAAAGGCATCAGTGACAAGCTACAGCAAAACGAACCACGAAAAGTGCGTGTGTTACTCCAGGACTTTACGAATTCGTATCGACGACGGATCGTGGCGCCGCGTGAAGGGTTGGGGAGGTTGGAAGCGGCAAGGTTCAAGTTCAGCGGCTGATCGACCGGATGGACGCCGTGCTGATGGACGATGGCACCCCCCTCGATGGGATATTTACTAAATCACCCTGTGCAGAACATCGAATTGAGTTGGTGCCATTTCTCGAGCATCTTTGGGCGTAACTCCTTTCAAGGCGACTTTGACTGGCAGGAACAGGAACCACATCTACAACTGATACCAGATTTCTTTGCTCTTGATACGAAAACAATGCAATTCGATACAACATGAATCCACCTGAAACCAAGCGTACGTATCTAGACAGTACTCATGACTTTTCACCAATGAGGACACCCATCTGCTGGTATGGATATTAGTGGTGAGGTTCGGTTCGCCCTCTTCAGCCAGCAGGGGCCGGCGGAAGGCGAGTACATAAAGCGCAAGGAGTCTGCTCAGGAAAAGGGGGGACCACCGACATACGCGACAATAAGGCGCGCCACGATCAGGGTTGGGACGACGATAGAGCCGAGCAAGCACCAGCATAGCTTAGCTTAGTCCATATAGCATAGCAAGCCAAAGCCCAGCTACAAACAGTTGGGAGTCACGGTTTCCTTGCCATGTAGATAGTTAGACAAGACGCCGGAAGGGGATGATGAAAAAAAAGGGGGAAAGGGGGGATGGGTTGGCAAAGGAGGGCGAGGAGTGCTCCACGGCGATCGGAAAAAGTCAGAAGGAGAGAAAGGAAAGGGCATGGAGAGGAAGTAGCTCGTAACGAAAACGAAGAAAAAAGGGAGAGAGAACTTGATGTGAAGCCATTATGTACCTATGTATTGATCCTTATCTCTGATTCTCATCCTCTTCTATCCTACATATCATATCCTATCCTGTCCTACCCCTCCCAGCTCCTTAATCACCACCACCCCTCTGCAATAAATCCTTTCCCCGAAGTTTAATGATTAGTAAGGAACGAGTTCGAGAAGGCCGTGTACATTCATAAATCCATCCTCCGTACTTAATAGCTCGCTACTTCCCTACCTTCGTACGTATCTATATAGATCTCTACACACCTTCGTACGTATCTATATAGATCTCTACACACCTTCGTACGTATCTATATAGATCTCTACACACCTAGGGATGTATATATATATATATATATATAAAATCCCCGAATAGACGTCGTCTATAACTATTTCGCTAACTTATCCCCCGCCGCTTTGCTCTCCCGCTAACGACTATTTAGTCGTTTCGCTCCCTCGTCCGCTCTCTTCGCCTCCCTTCCTCTCTTTCGCGCTCCCCTCCACTCCCTTCTGCTCCCTCACGGCTCTAACCCGCTCTGTGACTTCGTTATCGTGTGGGGAGGTAGAAATCTTTGGAAAAGGCTACAATCGATTCCTCCTACACCTGTTGCAAGCCCGAATCCGACAATGCCGACACTCAAAAGATGTATTGTGGAAGGTGGAAGTAGCACTCTTCGCACAGGTGTGGACCAGGTACATATCTCCAACCACGATGTACGCAATTATGTCGCTCTCGGAGTACCTGGGCCGCTTCTTGCACGCGGCCAATACGATTTGCGTTGTCAGCTGGAAGTTGAGGCATGTCTCGCTGAACGACTTGATTTGCCCGGCCTAAAAGACGATCTTTCGTTCCATTTAGGACATGCGCGGTTCTTCCAACGTACTCCGCAGACGTAGCAAAATTCGGTACCGCAGCGGCATCTACAAGCGTCAGTGACATATAGAGGATGGGACAGCAGGAAACAAACGTGAAGTGATTGCAACCTATATCCAGTTCAACCAGTCGTCGACATGAGGAGCAACGTTGCCAGCCATTTTCTCGCGCAAGATTCAATGTCGCCTGAAGCGCAATATCCTCGGGCAGTGGTGGAAGTTCGTAACTGCCAGTGTAGCCGTTGACATCTCCAAATTGGGCGCAGAGCAGCAGCACCGAACATGATCGAGACCTATAAAGTCTGTTAGGATCCCTCAAGTTTTCTATTTCTCTCTCATCTGCTTCAGACCCCATTCACATCCCCCGGCCCCAAAACAGGAAAACTTTTGCCCACCATCTTCGACTACAATGGCGGCCCAAACGTCCATCACCTTCTCAAACTCCACTCAACCTGGTCCGCCCCTCTCGATCCCCCTTTCCAAACCCCCCAAGGATGTACACGGCTCCGAGACCTCCACACCGGGCCGCGAAGCCTCCCTCATTCTTCTCGAGGCTGTCCCAGCCCACGAAGGCAACATCGCAACCTTCCTGCGAGACATCAACAACGGCGTCAACCAGGAACCCGGCACGGATCCTTGGCTCGATACCCGCTTCTCCAAGACCAGCTTCGCCATCTCCTGATGCTGAAAGGCGCCCACAACCATGATGTGGGCCCCGGCGGAAAGAAATTTCTCAGGCTTGACGAGTTGAAGAAGTGGCTGGTTTAGCCTGCGCAGATGTACAGGCTGGATTTGTTGCATGGGAAGTTTGGTGTGTTATTTGGTAAGGAAGTCGAGGGCGTCGTTGAGTGAGATGAAGGGTTGGGATAATATGTGCGAGGCCACGGGCTGGCTGAGTGGGCTGACTGTAGCTCCTGGCTGAAGACGCAAGTAGTTGCAATCGAGCATGTGCCCATCAATATACCCTGGTTTTAGGCGAATAGAGAGATCAAGCGCATGACCCCTTTTAAACACCCGGGGACGATCTGTTGCTTGAATTGTATGTGACGGACACGGGTCTTGTAAGTCCGAACCACCAACTAATCACTTGGTAGCGGCCTCCTGAACCATTTTGACAAATCTCCAAAAATCCAGATCCAACTTCACTTTAGACCCTCGAGCCAAGAGCATGCGTTTTACACGGAACACTTGGTCACCTGGCTTCCCGTCGTGAAAGGAGCCAGGCACTAGATGTTGATCGCGAAAAAAGTTTGCATGCATGGCAGTGCCGTTCCTCCCCCAGCAAGCATCGATGGCCTCTTCCCGATCGAGTAATAGGTCGAATTTCGCTTCTGTGTCGCACTGGGACTCTCTGGCAGCAATCCACAGTGCGCCGACTGGCTCCCTGGGATCAAACCGACACACCCACGCACCTCTGCTGGGTTTAGCTCGATTTGCCTCACCTTTTTCGATACTCGTGAAGTCGTGGTACGAGAAGGTTGTCCGATCCGGAGGCAGGGCATTAAGGAGGACTTCCACCACCTTAGCAGATGCGCCCTGCATGGCATGAATGATGTCTGAATCATGTATGCTGTCGTCAATGTCCAAAACGCTCTCAATCAAACTGACGTCAGAGCCGTCATTGGGTAGGTTGCCTGGCATTCCTGTAGTGTGCCTGGCTGCGAAACCAATCGCTGCATACAGAAGGTCTTTTCGAAGCCCAGGCTCGGTCACTGCTGCACCTTTCGAGCTAAGATTGGTGGCAAAGACCGGCTCAGCGCGACCTGCTGGTCCAGGTGTGACTCTCGCTTGCTCCTTTGTTTGTCCAGCACGGAATGCGTCTTTCAAATATAATCTGAGGCCGTAAAGAACAAGTAGGCCTACGATCGAGTCCGGCAGATTGCTGGCGTTAACTCCCACGCTCCCACAGCTCTCGCTCCCGTAGCCATATCCGTGCAGAGACAGGAACTCCGGGCATAAGACCTGGTTCAGAAGCGGCCAAGACGATATGTTCCTGTTCTGTTCGAGACACCTAGCGTAATACAGAATGTCTTGGACGCTCACTCCGTCTCTAGCATCTGTCGAATCGTCACTTTTCGGCGACTTGCGTCTGTAATGCCAGTAACAATTCTCTGATTTCGATTCGGTCAGGAGTGAGCTACAGTGTCCCTTCCAGTCTAGCCTTGCCCGATTGCGATAAAGTTTCACGTGCCTGGCCATGTGGCCATCCTCCAGAACAGTTGCAATGCAGACTTTCAGCCAGATAGCTTCGGGTTGAAATGGAGAGGTGCTCAGCTGTGCCCAGCCCTTGGCTTCGAGGTACGTCCGCACTGTCTTGTGCACGAGTTTGACTTCTCGCTCTTCGAAAGGGACTTCCACTGGTTCTTCATCTCCATCAGAGTCGTCCTCAAGCACTTCTGACGGTTGATTCGCCCATGGCGCGATGGTTGGCCCGACCATACTGATCGGCCTCCTCACGCGGATACGAGGTAATAGCCGTTGACGGTGATATGAAGGTCTTGATCTTTGCCCAAAACCATGAAGATCACCTTCTGTATCTTCCGACTGCTCAGATGTGTAACTCTCCTCGGAATCGTCTTTGGGGGGTTGCGCCGGCAATGCTACACCACTGGTTGGACTTCCTTGATCTGGGGAAGATGATGGAGGCGAAACCCGTAAACGATCGCGCATATGAGCAAGTACGAAATCATCAACAGAGATTCCAAACCCCACATCGGCACTTGCTGCGATGTTATTCTCCTGGTTTTCTGAGGTCTTTCTCATCGTCGCAGCGGCCCTCCGGGCTTGTCGGCGAGCTTGAGAAAACATATTTTGCATCTTCCTCCTGCTATGACTCAGACTGCCAGCTCGATAGAGAGTATCTTCATCTTCAGGTTCAACGAGCTCCACGAGGCCCATCGTGATGATGTTGAGGGCAATGAGTGGGGAAAGTTGTCGATCTTTACACAAAACTTGAAACCGGTTCTGTTGTGTAGGGAGCGCATGGCGTAGAGCAGCCAGAAGATCTTCGAGTTTGAGCGTCCGTGCAGAGAAGCAGACGAGTTGAAGCACAACACCGGTTTGCTCTCGATCTGCAGGTTCCATGCTCGATAACATCCTGGACCAGAGATCTTCGAGATCTTGGGGTAGTTCCTTGAGTCCCTTGAGAAGTTCGTCGACAGTACTATAACCTTTGAACCACAAGCGAGTCAGCTCTTTCACAGCGTAGCTTGCCCAGAGAAAGACGCCTTCTGCCTTTTCTACAACAGCCATCGAGATACGTTGCAGGCTCTCCGGGGATGACTCCAAAACTGGCAGCTCTCGAAGGATAGCTGCCGTGAATTGTCTAAGGCTTTTGTTGTTCCAGTCAGTCATCGACAGCGCCGGCAGGCCTGAGAACAGCCCGTTCAAGATTGGATGGAGTCGACTCGACAAGCAAAGCTTTGTCTGGCCAAGCGCACTTATACCCTTGAGAAACTTTGACAGCTCCAGCATGTCTCCATTGTACTCGTCCAGGCCGTCTACAAAGATGCACAGCGGCAATGACTTATCCGCACAAGCAGATAAGCCGGCTTGTAGAATGCGTTGGAGCTCTGACGTCGGCCACAGATGACATTCCTTCACAGTTTTCCATTCTGACTTCTCAATGTAAGTCTGCATCACCTTCAAATCTCGCTCCAGCTGATACAACAATGAAAGAAGGAGACCATGGAAAGAATTGGGAATCTTGTCCTCCTGGCGAAAATCGAAGAAGAAATAGATCAGAGTGTAGTTTGTCCCCGTATGAAGTGAAAGTAACTCCTTCGTATCGTCTGCATGGGCCAGATAGGACGCAAGAGTGGATTTGCCACTGCCTGGCTTGCCATGGATCCAGAAAATCCGGTCAGGGTTGGACAGCCACGTTGCGAATGGGGATGACCAGACCCATCTTAGAGTCGCGTCTCGGTGTTTCGTATCTCCAAGCTGTCTCTCGCGGGCTGTTCGGTTGGTGTATTCGAGACGCTCGAGGAGCTCTTGATTGGCGCATCAACGAACATGCTGCTAATGAAAGAGTCATGTGTATCTACTCACCCTCATGAGTCGTGCTCCTGTGGCCTGCTGGGCTGGGATAGTTGTTGATGACATTGGCCACCTGCCATCGCCCACCACGGGTCTGGTTGAAGTGAAAGTCACCGCCTGAGCCCTGGCGCTCCTCCATATGACTTGAGTGAATGTTGGCTACACTGGTCGAGGTATTTGGACGAGTGGAGAATGTCGACGCTGGCTATGCCTTTCAGGGTTGGGCCGCTGTCACCTGGCCGCTTTGTGCGAAGGCTTTGGACTTGTTCCAACGTTGGAGGCGGCTGTATAACGAAACAGTGTCATGGCGTGTAGTCCGGAGAAGAAAATAGGTCATGAGGGATGAAGTCGTTGCAATTGACAATGACGAGGAGAATATCCTATTGGATTGGAGGAGGGCGGGGCTCTCTCGTGTACGACTTCGTATTGTTGGGGGCTAAAACAAATGCGCCCCTCACCTAAGGACCTATGCCCCTGCCCATTTTAGAGGAAACCTGCAAGCCTTCTCAGCCATTACGCCCTTTGGTGCTGCGTGCGTGACACTACGCTTTAGTCCCTAAACTATTTCTGTCTCGCAATGCTCAGCCTGTTTCCACGCTCGCAGTGCTGGAAGTTCCAAATTGAGACACAAGCGCTTGAATCTCGCTTTCACTGACTTGATCTGCGTAGCAATTTGAGATGACTCCAAAAGTGTCATTATTCGGTGCGTATGGTTGTGTTCAAGTATACAGGCCTTTGGAGTAACTTGCTGGCGCAGGTCGCGAGAAGCCAAAGGCTTCACAAGACAAACAGGACAGGTAGGCTAGCGAGGCTCACCTACAATCTATAGGTCCCAGAGGCTCGAACACAGAGCTGATGATTCTATGCAGCGAAGTTCCAGCACTGATTCCTTCCCCGCCAGAGTCAAATGGATTCGATTGTTTCGTAGTATATCCCACTACATCGACACCCTACAAAGCCGAAAAATCGGAGCCCACTGTGGAGTGAGCGGGCCTGCGCCAACAATCCGGGGGTGTCATGTACTCAAACTAACTGCATCTCATCACAGCTTTGTCTTCATTCACGGAATCACGGGATCTCAAACTGCAACATGGACGGCCGAGAACGACCAAGGAGTGAAAGTACTGTGGCCGCGAGATCTCCTCCCTGACAAGATTCCCGACTGCCGGGTCATCATGTACGGCTATGACGCCAACGTCGTCAACTTTTGGGCCGAAGCGAGCCAAAATTGCCTCTATCAACATGCTAGAGACCTGTTCGTAAATTTGGGAAGACTGAGGAATGATACGGAGACAGTTGAGTGAATGGAGACCTGCGCACCGTTGCGACAAGCTGACCATTCTCCTTATATTAGAACAGCAGGCCGATCATCTTCGTTGTACACAGCATGGGCGGTCTTGTCGTTGCTGATGCCTTGCACCGAGCCAAAGACGCCCTGGATAGGTATGAAGAAGACGTCTACCACTTGACATACGCCATTGCTTTCTTGGGCACGCCTCATCTGGGGGCGGAACTGGCATCCTGGGCCTCTGTTGGTGCCAAGTTTCTCTACCCCTTCAAACGGACCAACGTACGCTTGGTGAAAGTACTGGAAACGCGATCCGAAGAGCTTCGGGATATTCAGCAGCGTTTCCATCTGATGCTGAGGAAAAGAGCGATGGCCTGCTCCAAGCAACCATCCGATTCGCCCTATCCAATCAAACTTTATTGTTTCTATGAGTCTGAAGCATTGAAAATAGTGGGCAAGGTCGTTGAAGAGAAAAGTGCCGTGCTGAGCGATTGGGGCTCGGCTTCCATCCATGCCAACCATATGGGGATGACTCGCTTTCCACATGAGAATGACGATGGATTCAGGAGAGTATGTGGGCGTTTGTCGGTCTGGGTTAAAGAATTAAGGGATCGACGCTCAGCCCAGGCCAGCGCACAAATAGCAGTCCAGACTGCCACTATGCCTGGTGCTACGCAGAGGTCCGAATTGGAGGTTTCCAAGACCCAAGGCGTAGAGGCGCCGACCTCAGTGTCGGCTCAGATACCTCCAGCCACTGCCCTGTCACCACTCCAACAGCATCATCAGCAGCAGCAGTACCAACCGCCCCGTCTGCCGCCCCAACAAGCTGCCGAGCCCCCGAGTGAGACACCAGACCCTGGGCAGGAGCAACCGACTGAACTACCGGATCGGCCGGCACAGCAGGGTCGGGGCGAGCATCCAAAACAGCAGCCCGCATATTTCCCGATTGGACAGCCAGTAAGAGAGAAGAAACACCCAAAGAAATCCAAGAAAAGTCAGAGCAGCGGCCCAACGTTCAACTTCAATGGGCCCCGTGGAGGCCAATGGCAGGTAGCAGGTGGTGATATAAACAATCGCGGACGTGCGTTTGGCGGTAAAACTAGCAATGTAAAAGGGGGCGACAGCAAGGAGGACGATTCTAGCGAAGAGTCGGCCGGCGGTGATTGAGTTTAGATGCTCGCAATCGTAGCCCTTGAGGCTTGTATGGTGACGAATGCACTACGACTGTCTCAGGCTCGTCTGCGGTTCTGTGGGAAGCTACTTCCTCACAAGCAGCGTGCCCACGTGTTGATCCGTTAGACCACGCGACGCACTCTATGAAGGACACATTGTCCCAGCCCGGCGGCCTTGCTGGTATGACGACCTCGATGATTGCAGACTTGGATTTGACACTTCTCGGCAGCCCCAGTCGAAGAGATCTCCCGATGTTGTTTTCGCCCCGTGGCAGACACAGGCGACCACGGTCGTCTGCATAATGAAGATGATGACGAAGACAAACGAAATGCGCTTTTCGATGCATGACTCTAAGCACTACAACACTAATGGATCTGATCATCACCTGTATCGACTTCAGAGTTCGGCACACGGACAGCGGCATCACTTTCTCCATGAGCGCCGTTATCATTGCTCTCTTTCGCAGTGGTTGAGCCCCGAGGATTTGGGCATGGCGATGTTGCATCGGCGTATGCGTCACTAACGTCGTGACTCGAGGCGTGCTTAGAGTCTTCGCAAGCTATACTGGAGTAAGAGTATGTCGTGCTACGGTCAAGTTGAAATCAATCTGAGGTGCAGCTTACCTCCCTGGCAACAACGTCGTTGGTAGCCGTCGCTACCCATTCCCTTGCGCTGCTCACTAAGCCATCCAGTGGAGGAATAAGATGGACATCAGAACGATGCTCGATGTACATGGTGACTGCCGAGAAGTCTGGCATATGCGCACAGCGTGGGTAGGGACACTTGTGGACTCAGTCACTAAGAGGCACATCAAGATGTTTGCTCGTCATCTAGAAGACCTCATCAACCACAGGGACTTGAAGAACAAAAAGTTTGAGAGTCCGGATGATATACCAGATGACTTTCGTCGACAGATCCTCGCGGAAGAATAGCAGAGGCGCGGTCCTGGCCCAGGTGCCACGAACAAGGCACCAGCCGGGGTGACTCCAATTACCATCAATTGGCCCGGGACACAGTAAGAGGTTGTACAGTCGTTGCCAGATGGACAGTTGTGCGGGAGTGGCATGTTTCGCCTCGAGGCGCAAGTTTGCGCTCGGCAAGCATGCGCCGAGTGGTAGATGTCGCCCTTGTCGCCTCTCCTTCCAATGTTACTCGTCTGGAAGTATGACCCCAAGACTCCAGTTGTGTCTGCACAACCGTCCAATTGATTTCGATCCCAGGATAATGTTTAGTCGGGTCTCGTTGTGAACGTTCAGTGACCGAGACGACGACGGTGCTGTCATCCGGGCGAACGACTTGACCGTCCTCACTCTTGTGCCGAACCAGGTCCTCTGCCCGGCCTTCCAAATATCGCTGCCAGTAGCAACCAGGCCCAAGCACAACGTCAGATACGAGACACAATCAAACATTGTTTCAGACTGATCTGCGCATGACGCGATGTTCCTACTGGTGATGTGGCCATCAAACTCGAGCACCGTTCGAATACACCATCGCCGCTACGCTAAGAAATTTATGAGGAGTTGCTTGGACGACCCAGCATCCCTCGAGTGTTCTGGTATGGCATTTATGCCATTGTTTGCCTGCGGATTTTGCCACCTACACGAACTAACTTACCTTCGTGGATTGTGTGACCGGAATCAGCCCGATTACAAATTCTGGAGGAACTTGTTCGATCCTCTCGCCGCAAAGGTTTCGAATATAATAATGTATCGATTAGTAACATGTTCCGGAAGAGGGCCCTTACGATGTGAAAATACCAAAAGCAGAGAACACAGGGGCTAAGCTGAGTGATCCCAAGTTCCCAACGCTAGGCTACTATAGTCGAGGCCCAAAGGGGACCCTGAGCCCGAACTGGCTTCTGAGAACGGGCATCAGACGGATACTCCCTGTGGCTCGCCCAGTGCTCGGGCGCCGTCCCCCGTTCTCTGCCGTGGCTCCCACGACGTTCTCCCGTGCTCGGCCGGGCCTCCTCGATGCTCCATCACGTGCCAGATTATAGTAGCCTCGATCCCTTTCCTGAACGAAAATAGTAAGGGATAAAGTAATGTTCGGGGTATATATAGAATATATATATATATATATACGCGTGTGCGCGTACGGATAGCCTAAGAGGTACCTACTGTGTATATTGTATATACGACCGTCAGAAGGAAAAGCGAGCGGCAAGGAGGGAGGAAAGAAGCAAGGATACGTAAAGAATCGCCAAACCCGAGCAAGAAAGAACAGCGAATCTGGGACTTTCGATTTCGAATTCCTCTCGCAGGTGTACGGGCGACGTATCTATGTACTCCGAATTTAATAGTATGCACAGGATATTCTTTCCTTTCCTTCCCTTCCATTCCATTCCATTTTTTGGTTCCTTCCACTCTCGCTTTCTTTTTCTTCTCCCTCTGGCAAGAATGTGCTCATGTCCTCCGCCCCGCCATTTGCCTCTACCTGTACCCGTACCTGGCGAGGCTGGCTAGTCTGTTGTCAAGGTGTCGAGTTGTTCGCCGGTTCGGGCAAGGGTGTGATATCATATCGCTCGCTCACATTTGGGGGAGAGGAAGTTATTTCCCAAAAGTGAAGCTCATTTTTTGGACCTTTTGCACGTATTGCCGTCTCTTTCGTCGGCAGGGCAAGTACCTCAGTCAAGCTTGATATCTTTAAAACCCGGAAGATAAGGATTAGACTCTCGTTGATCATCACGCCTCCGTCTTCCTCACTACCCCGATGACAACGGAGATGTCGTCCAACTTGCCCCCTTCGGCCGCTATGCCCTCGTCAAACGCCCTCTCCATGTACGGCGACTCGGCGTTGGGATCCATGGCGATCTCCCTGGCGGCATTCATCAGCCGTCGCGCGACGTAGATGACACCGTCTTTCTTGGCCTCCTCCAGCTCTTGCTCTTCCCTGTGGCTCGTCGGCGACTGTCGTCCTTCTACCGACCCGTGATTATTCCAGCGGGACATGCTCTTGCAGATGTTCTCGCAGATCTCGTGTTCCCAAAGGTTGTCCGTGACGCCGTCGCTCAAGACGGCAACCACGTCGCCGACTTCGACGTTGTCGATAATGTCGCACACGGCGTTCTGGAGCGGTGTGTCCGGAGAATTAGTGCCTAGTTGGCGCGGGCAGTCGAACCAGTGCCATTGTTCTTTGGAGTGATACAGAACGCGGCCACCGACCCCGGCGCCCTCTTCGCTTTCTGACTCGGGGGAGGAGGAAGAGGAAGAGGAAGACGATGGGGAATGCGAGGGGCGGATGAGCAGAATCTTGCAGTCGCCTAGGGTTGTCGCGAAGATAACCGGCGTGGGTTCTGTGTGTGGTGGTGAGGGCGGTTTGTAATAGAGCAGCGCGGACGCAGCCGTCGTCGTTCCGAGAATGTCATTTTTCGTGGAATCCTTATTATCCTTGCCTTCCTGGGAAGTCGACGAAGATGCAGAAGAGGCATCTTCATTGTCTGCTCGCTCGCGATCCCCATCTTCAAGCTCCGAATAGACCTCATCTTCACGATCCCTGTTCAACGTCCCCTTGGTGACTTTCTTGGTCGCGTCGTAGGCATCCTGCAGATTCTGGACTGGGTCGACGTCTCCCAATTTCACCGCATCCTTCCCATCCGGACCGGCGAGTGACTTCTCGACCTCGACATCCCAGAAATGCGCAATCAGTCGACTCCACAAGGCGGCGTGTCCCCTCTCTTTCTGCGCCCAGGCACCCACCCCGTCATTGACGGCGATGAAATTTCGAGCGGCGGATATGATTATCGCGTCGTCGCCATTCGTGATGCCGCGCACGAGTTCGCCGTTCACGGTCGGACGGCGGGGGCCCCGGGGCACGGACGAAGGGTTGTGTGTTGTCAGAGGGTCTGAGAAGGAGCCGGAGGGCAGCGAGACGAAAGGAGGCGGGAACGGGCGGGAGGGACGTTTGGCGAAGATAGAGTAGCCGGTTTCAAGGTAGAATGGATAGGATGGTCTGGAAGGGGAGGAAGAGGTGGTGGTGGTGGTGGTGGTGGTGGACGAGTCCGCGGACACCGTGCTCGCTGGGGGTGTGGTGGTGCGGCCTTCAGATATGAGATAGCGACGCAAGTGAGTGGCCGAGGTGCCAATGGCTCTTCTTGAGCTCGAATACTTCTCAGGTGGCCATACTCCTGCTGCTTGCTGCTGCTGCAGCTGCTGCAGAGATTGAGGGCGAGGTCGTCGAGGTACCCGCACAAACAGAACGAAGCAGCGGCTATTGTCGAATAGTCGTGCTACAGCATGCCTGGATGGTCGGGCCACCTGCTGAGCGAGCATGGAAAGGACCAGAGCGCTCTCATAATAAGAGACGCATACGTTCTGGGGGCAATAGAGAGTACGGCTCAGCAAAAAAGGATTGACAAACTACGAACGAGGTGTCAACAGGAAGGGCAAGTCACTATCAGGGGGTAGAAAGATACTCCGTGCTATTGAGCTATACACGTCAGAACAACGGACGGTGGGGGCAGTGGGAGGCGGTGGAGCCTCAGGAGCTTAGCGACCGGCAACTCTACGGCTGAGTTCCGGGCCCTTTTCTCCACACCGATATCAGGGATCGTCGTGCCGTTTCCTCCCGCTGTAAACCAGTATGTAGTATTTTGGCCCGCGAGCAGTAGAAACACGGTGACCATGGCCGAGAACGGTGAGGGACAGTAGGGAAACTTCAAATCGTGGAAAAGATGATCGGTTTCTTCCGCCTTGTGGCTGGACATATATACATGTATTTACTGGTTTGGCTCTTTGGCTTTTGGATATAAGTACATTATAGGACATGTTGTGAGTGGTGAGTGACTGTGCCGACTTCAAATGGAGAGCTTTTCCAATGACAAAATACAACTGCGTGTCGTGATGTCGTAGCAGCAGCAGGGTTGTGTGCGTTGCCGACGTGAGAACCTGCGGAGTGAAGACAATCGCCTTGGAAGAGATCAGAGGAGAGGAAGCTGAGCTGGGATATTGGATGCTGTACTCTCACACCACCGCCCTCTCCTCATCATGCCTGGAGACGAAGCGCTCTGCCTGTCCGATAAGCTCCTCATATACTGTCCAAGCGAGTGCCGAGCTCATCGCCTTCCTCCCCATTCTTAATGCAAGCCCATCGAAGAAACTCTTGATTCCATCCTCTTGAAGCATCAGCCGCACTGCTTTCAACGTATTCCCGTACTTCTGCGGCATCAACTGCAACCTTGTTTTTACGGCGTCGAATGGATTGGTGATGCTTGTGGCCAATCCTGCTGCAATGACGCCGCTTGAAGCGTTGATCGATGCCGAAGTGGTCGTCGAAGGTCGCCTTTGTCCTTGATCTGCGGTGGTGGAGTGTGACGTAAACATCTTGTTCAGGTGTGTCTTGCTTGCTTCATAGAAGAGCACGTACAGGCCTGCATACGGCGCGTCACGGATAGCCGTGGCACCAAAGCCGGAGAAGAAACCCTTGAGCCCTTCCTGCGCAAAAATCGACCTCGTTGCAGAGGCAAGGGATTTGTAGGCATACATGTCTGATTCGTAGCGCACTTTAATCACCGTCACAGGCATGATGATGAGTCCCGCAAACACTCTCGCCGTCGCCCCCGTTATGAGATTCTGTAGGTTTGAAAGCTTCGGCAGCACGGAGCTGCTCTTTCTAGGGATAGACGCTCCATCTCCGGACGCCTTCGCGGCGTTGTTGGCGAGGATCTGACGCAGAGAACTGAGCGAGGTGAAGTACAAGGCTGATCCGAAGCCGGTCCGCAGCGCTGAAGGAAGGGTTCCTCGCCAGAGGCTGGCCACGGGATGTGGACCGGAGAGGATCGATCGCAGGACCGTAGGGAGCGACGACGAGTGAGATTGCTGGACTCTGGTTTTCAGCAGGTCGGCCGGCTGCAAAAGCACAGCACTCGAGACGCCAGAGGTCAAGCCGGCAAAGAAGTGAAAGGTGGGATGCGCTCTTTTGGAGCTCTGGACTCTGTGCGCACTGCCATTGGACATGTTCCAGAGGATCCGAAAGTCGTGCGCCTGCACTTGCAGAGGGACTAGAGGTTGCGAGATGGATGGGCTGCTGTCCCGGACTGACTGTGCATGGTGGGTGCCGGGATGGATGAAGAAGAGTAGCTCTAACGCAGACCAGAACCTTCAAGTTGGAGAGGATTGTAGCTCAACGAGATGCATGAATAAGCATCCTGCACAAGAACGTCCTTCCTTGTTTACGAGTACGGGCAGTAAAGATACAAGTAGTCGCAGGCGAGGTGAAATGCTGCTTTCGTGAAGTTATTCCCCGAGATATTGCCGAGTACTATGTACCTAATACTGTATCTTGGTAGTATCTAGGACTCTCCAAGGACTCTCCTAGGCAAGTGCTCGTACTCGGTACAGTTCCCACAGTTTGTGTGCCTTGTACATCCATCTCACCGCTTATGCCGCCCACCAGACAAAAGGTCACCTTCCCCTGTTCGACACGACGCAAACACAGTCCTCAAGCACATCACCTTCCGCAAACAGCAATTCTCTCACTTTCCAGGCATAATAGTTTGGGTCGTGATGCTTCTGTTACTTGACTCTTTCGGCTCTGCATCAAGTCGTGCAAGCGAACCACAGATCCCCTTTCACTCATGTGATTCGTGTGCTTTGCCCACCAAAGCAGTCACTGCGCGGCCAGTAGGGTACACCTGGCCGAAACAGGAGAAAGGTCAGGCAAATGACTATGGTTCCTCTTTGCACCTGTGGCGCGCCACCCTTTGGCAATCCTTCGAAAGCGTCCCGCGACAATTGTTCGCTTAATCTGCTCTGCATCCTCACTTGTTCCCCCATACCTGTCCCACGAGCAAACTCAAACAGCCACTGACAGACCTCCTCTTGTGTTGAAGGCCTTGTCCGATACAAGACTTTCAGGATGTCAATGGTCTGCCCATGGCTCCTTGGGTCTCCGACTCGAGAGGATACGATCGCCCATGAGAAATCCGGCAATGCTTGACATGGCAGGCTTTGAAATCGATGATTCAGAGCCTGGAGGATATCCTCGTATTGTCCTGGATTGCTTCTTGAACGCCATCGCGTCAAGCCAAGCCACACCAGAACGAATAGCCTGTGGCAATGATTGCAGATCCCGGAACTCTGTGCAAGCAGATGTCCAAGTTCGTCCAGCCAGGGGATTGAATATTTTAGCGTCCAAGTTTGATCATGCTGGAGAGCCCAGGCATCCATCTGGGTGAATAGCGAGGCAACTTGATTGACTTCCGCATACCAAACATGGAGGGATTCCTGGCCAACGCTGCTTGCTTCGACGTCGTCTAGATACGACCCAAATCTGAGGCTCGTCATGATCATGGCCATTCTGACATATTGTTCCACTTGGAGTGAGAGATCGAGTTTGTCCCACCCGCCAACATGCGAAATGAAGTCCCTGAGACCGGCTGAATGAGGTCTATACGTCGTCGCTAGGTCCTTGCGGACGCCTCGATACCAGTGCAGATACCCATGCAGCAGAGCGATTATACCAGACAACACCTCCTCGCTGTGTCTCGTGTGCGGATCAGCTATGAGGGTTGCCAAGCGCCGGATAGCGGCGTGACGCCAGAAAATGGTGCCAGGACTGGCCACAAGCCCTTGGATCATATCGATGTAAGCACTCACTTGCTCAAGGAGATTGGGGAGTTTCACAGGGTATGAGAAGGACCAGGTAAGTCCGAGGGATGCCACACATGACTTGCCCCAATGAGATGATACAACATTTGTGTCCAAGGCCAAAGCTTGTGCAAATTTGAGTAAAGAGGCGGCTTGGCTGTTCAATGACACCGATAGACTGTCGAAGGGGTTAAGGCCAAGAAGGAGGCTGCTGGAAAATGGCTCAGGACAGAGTGAGGTGTAGCATGGAGTAATCGCTCTCATCCAATGAGGAGCTGGGAGGAATTTCGGGACAACTCTCTCTTTAAGAAGCCGGGAATTTCTCGACGCTCCAGAGCTCGCCTTACTGACACTAGCCACATCGTAATCCAGGGGTTTCGTCAATTATATCGGTATTTCATGATCTTCACGGGCAGATTGCGAGGCCGAGGCGTTGTTCAACCGCTGGAGTCGTCGCGATCTTTTCTGACTATGGGTGTTGATCAGCTTCCGCCGATGCTTACTCCCGGCCTGGTCGATCCAGAATAACTCGACCGGCGTGATAGATGGGTGTAGGGAGTCAATTTTGAAAACAACATTGGGCGCCATCGTTTTAGGTTTCAGATGATGCAGAAGGTGGCCCCCGTCATTCAAGGGCACCACAGAATCACTGCGTCTGTCTCTGCTCTTTGGCTGTCCAGGGAGAGACGTACCCGTAATGACAGGATCGCGGCTGGACACTTCACAGGTGAAGTCTGTCGCACAAGATTCGAACAGTAGCTTTCGTTCGTAGTAACAGGCAGGCAGTTTGCCAACTCTGATCAGAAAGTGTAGCAAAACGGTCGTTGCAGTTGCCCAAATACAATGTTCAGATTGCGGACGGCATTCCGTTGAAGGCGATTCGAAGGACTACTCACATATCTCATTGGTCAACAGCGCCATATCGAGTTGCCGCCATTCTTGCATCAATAGCCAAGCCCTGCTGCAGCTTGTGAAATGCGACTAGAGGCTGGAGCGCTGCAGTAGGGCGAGGAAATCCTCATTGGTAAGCAACTGACTCGAATGGCTTTGGGATGGAAAGGATAGGGCAGCAACCATGCAACGGCCTCATTTCTAGCCTTAGTGTCAAAATGCGGGCTCTTTTTCAGCGCATGCTATCTCCTGCGATTGAGAGACCGAGACTGCATGACAAATAGTGCAGACTCACTCTAGACCTCTTCGTGACGATGGAATCCTGGTCGGATAGGACAGAAACTTGACTTACGGAACACCGTCAGCAGTCTCCCCATATCATGCGGATGTAGCATTCCCGAGTGTCGAATCCAGCCTTTCACCTCTTGCAGATGATATAGGACACTTCGAAATTTCGTGTCTAGCCGCCACCGATGAGAGCGTCGGGGATTAGAGACTGATGATCACATGAGCGCAGAAGTCATTTCTGCAGTAGAACATCGATGCATTTAGACGATGGTAGCTTGTTCCGTCTGCGATCAGACCCTGGTGCCTGATTCATGTCCTTAGGATCTACCAAAGCGTAAGGTTGAGGAGGTCCAAACAAGCGAGCGGGTGATCCGGTTCCCTTGTGAGATTAAAACAGATTATCGGATGTCGAAGGTCGCCACTGATCATTCTTGGCCTTTTTCGTATCCCTCGGTTTTCATATCCTTCAATCCTAGATCCTCCATTTCCTCATCTGTCCTCTCATATTCCTCAGTCTTGACCTGTGGATCCTCGCCGGAATCCACATTCAACTGCACAAATGAGTTCGCCAGTGGATCCTCAAGGGTGATAGAGTATGGAAATTCGGCTTTGATAGCCGCATCGAGTTTGGCGAAAAAGTTGTCCCACCTTGACCGTGTGTCGGCCGTCATCGAGTCACCCCCGGCGAGGTCTTCATCCCCAACATCGAAGATCTGACCGTGAAGCTGGTCACGCACTTGGGTGAGTAGGCCCTCGACGGTAGTGAAACGGCCGCCAAGTGTGCCAGGCTGGACCTCCAACCCAAGATCATGGCTTTTTAAGACGCACGACTCTGACTTCAAAATATCCCTGGACATGTCTTCGATGCTCTTCACTTCCAAGGTGATCCGCTTTCCTTTCTCGGGGACCGCACCCCCAGTTTTGACATCACTGGTCCTAAAGCCACAGTAGTCACAGACTGTCGCCATGATGATAACTTCCTTGAAATGAGGAATATTAGTCTTTTTCATATTCACTGTGCATGGCTTTCCACAGGCGGGACACTCGGCGTGCAATTCATAAACTTCGTCGTTAACAATATCAACGCCTTCCATCCCGCCGCCATTGTCCGTGGTATCCTCATCGACCACGAGACCAAGCTGCACGTTCTGCTCGCGACTGCGGAAATAATCAGTGCGGGTGTATTTGGTGCCCTTGTCGTTAGGCGACGGTTCAATAAATGAATTACCCGAGATGTCGTCGAGCGAAACAGTGATTGGAAAACTGTTGCCTTGTAGCATTTCCCCCAGCTTTTGAATGACGGTTTCTAGAGAAGTATACAAAGCAGGATCCGCATCCTTCCTGGCCGCCTGATCACTTTCCAGGTCTGTTTTGATCTTCGAGATCATGCCCTCAAGATTTGTGAATTGGCCCGGAGCAGGCAGCATTTCAAGGCCGAGATCTTCGACGCGGAAGACGCCCGTATCAGCGCGGACAACCTGTCTCTGGAAATCGGCCATGTTGTCCAATCTAAAGGTAAATTTTGTCCCCTTCTCTTGAATCTGTCCTGCGCTTTTAACGGTATTGTTCTTCCAGCCACAGTGATCACACGAGAAGGACTCGAGAAGGATCTCCTTGAAATACGGAATTTTGATAGGAAGTATTCTGGTTATACCCTGGAAGAGTTAGCATATTTCTTCAAATTTCATGCTAGCAGACATACCTCATCGCGACAATTCATGCATAAACTCTCAATCTCGTAGACACCAACCTCATTGGGGTCGGCACGAATGACCGTAGGAGCCTCGGATTCAGCCATGTTTTCAGCATAAAAAAAGTGTTCAGGGCTGTGCAAGTGAGGTGTAACAATTCTGGAGTCAGAGAGATATTTTCACAATCCGGTGTTGTCTGAAGGCCAGGCGGAAAAGGACACTTCTCGAATCAGAATCTTTTCGAGCGACGCAGAAAGATCGACGTCTGCCAAGACGAAGGAGGGGCACTAATGCAAGGCCCGATATTGTGCAGCCTTGTTCAGCCTTGTGCAGTACAAGGCCGCGGAGCCTCGTCTATATAGCCTCGGCGCCCGGCTGGTGGCTCTGGGGTATCCCTCCAGGCATCCAATCCATCATTTCTTCATCAAGTCCATCAAGCTGAGGTTGGGCACACCTTGGGTCTGCATGCTCCTGTTTAGAAGGGCCTGCAATCCTTCCCGGTCTTTTCGTGCCTTTGCCCTTTTCTTGCTGCTGGACTTCGTCGCCTTTCCAAGGGCGCTACCTGCTGATTCTGTAATTTCCTCAGGGCGCTCACCGGAGACAGTACTATTGAGCTGCTCTTTCTTTGCTCTGTGACTCGAGCCCATGGTGATCACGGCCCTGGTGACGCGATAGCATAAGGAGCATCGCTGAGACTGTACCTTCCGCCGGGGCTTTCGCTTCTGTGGATGGCCCTTCTTGCTGGTCTTGGTCTTCGTATCGGTGATCTTTGTAGACGCTGTCCATCCCGGTAACAACAGGCTGCCACATGTCGTGCATGTGTCTCCTGGCCGGCGGTCTCCGTGCGATGACCCTCCATGCACAAGTTCTACGCTTTCGTGCAATAGCTGTCGGGAGGTGGATGGAGCAGAGAGGCATAACATGCGTGCAGAGTCCTGCAAAAACCTCACTCGGACTGCCTGTGGTTCATTCATTGTGGAATCGAGATGTAGCCGTCGGCGGCATGGAAGTTTTCACTCTCCTTGGCCCAGATCGGAATCTCTGTTTAGCAGATTTGGGCGCTAATCGGCGCCACGTTGAGCAAAGAGGAGGTGCGTCTGCAGCGGGGCAAATATGGTACAGTGAGTTCCTGCTGTAACACGATGGGAACGAGATGGGCAAGACAGGTGTCTTGTTCAAGGGGTGGAAGGGCGACGATATCCAAGGCACGATGGATTCTGACGCCAAGGCCCAAGGCCTGGCTCGGCCCCTTCTCACTAGCCCTTTCCCCGGCACACAACATCAGCCCCGCGCGAGTAAGAGTGAGATGCGGCTCCTAAAAGACTTGCGACATTGGGGAAAAGACCCGCAGTTACATTCATTTTCCTATGATGACGGGCGGCGACAAAACATCGCTGGGAGATTCCGACGACGTAGAATCTGGAAAACCAAGCGCCCTCTCTGATATTAGGCTGTTGCACGCAACGCGGCCAGTCGGGCATCCCTTCTAGCAGATGAGTCCTCCTCAGAGGTACTCGTTCGTCAACGCGCGCCCCCAAACGAAGGCCGAGAAGCGTCAGACTCGCACTGCAATCCGGTCGCACATCGGACGATGGACACAGGAGAACCAGCAGAAGACCGAGGGCAGTAGAAGTGCAGCGAGTACGAGAGCCTCGCCCGAATTATCACGGACAGACTCCCTCTCCCCGGGCGAGTCGGTGCAGTCACAATCACAGCATCATCCTCGGCTAAAAGTGGCAAGGCCGGGCGATACCGACAGTTCAAGCAGCGCAAGTAATTTCGATCAAGAAAGCACGAGCGACGACGTCGACGATGACACCGGACTTACCGTCACTGCTCCACCCCGGCTCCGTCCAAGGCTCTCTCCCGCTTCGAGGTCCACTTCGCATTCTTTTATTCAGGTGTTGGGATCAGGGGTGCTGGATCCATTTCAGACCTATCCCTCAGCATTTCCTTCATCGTTGATATCGCAATGCCACGAATATTGTAAGTTGGTTGATTTCGCTCTTGTTGATGTGGCCCATGGGGAGTGTGGCAGCAGAAGCTGACCGGTGCCACGCGCGATGTAATAGCATTGCAGGTAGTTTGGCCAGGCTTGACACCCCGGTCTGTGAGCGGCTCAGAATCTGCCGCTATCAAGGGCTGGTTTCCGATGGCACTCAACGATACGGTTGCGCTGCACTCGCTCTTGTTTGGTGCCCTCAGTCACCAAAGACTTAACCTGTTAAAAGGATCAACGCAACCTGATGACCCAGCGGTAATCCGCCTGGAACAGGATATGCGGCGATGCGAGGCTGAATCCATCACTTTAATCAACAAAGCCCTCCGCGATCCAAACAACGTTATCACAGATGCAATACTCGTCTCTGTCCTTGCAATGGCGACAAATGCGTGGGACTTGACCCTTCAACGCTTCCAGACTCAACCTGCCACTCAGCCGGTCTTTGATCCTTTGTTGAAAAGCCTTCAATGGCTGGACGTTTATGGTCTGCTCAGCGCTCACCCCATCCACGCGGCTGGCCTCGTTCAATTAGTCGCACTGAGGGGTGGCTTGAAGAACATCGAGACAACCGGCCTGGCTGCTATCATATCCTAGTAAGCTGATCTTTTTGAGTATCATTGGTTGTTGCCCTCCGTTCCCGTCGCTAACCGTCTGATTCTCAATGCTAGCTCCGGCGTTATTCAGGCGAGTAGGACATTGACTCAACCAGTCTTTCCTTTTATACCGCTGGCTGACGACGGCGATCGAACTGCAACGCTCTGGGGAATGCTGGGCACATGCCCAAGTGAACTTAGGGACGAGTTTACTTATAGTAGTCTGTTTAACCTGGGTCTCACCGTGGAGCTTGCAGTCGTGTGGGTTGCGATACAGCGATACGAACATGGCGTGGAAATATTCGTCGATGGTGCGCTTCCAGACCTGGATCTCTCTCGTTTGTGCGACCGGCGCAACTTGATTCAACACACTCTTTTATCGCTTCCCTCGCACACAGATTTAGCACCAGCTGCTCGACCACGGCCCATCTACGAACCGATGCGACTTGCCATGCTGATATACTCCCTTACTGTGATCTTCCCTCTCCCACCGCAGACTGCCCCAATAGCTCTCTTAACTCGGCAACTAAAAGCTGCGCTTCGAGAGTCCGACATGCGCTCTAGCTGGTCATCATCACATCAGGCCCAGCGCCTTCTGATGTGGATTCTTGTCATAGGCGGTGTCGCCGTCCGAGACGTAGCAGAAGAGCGGCTTTGGTTCGTTGCTGCCCTTGGGAGAATGTCGGCGCGGACCGGGATTAAGAAGTTTGACGATCTGAAGAAAAATGTTTTAAAGCGCATCCTCTGGCTGGACCGGGCGTGCGACGCGGCAGGGAGATCGCTGTGGGCGGAGATGCTGGAACTTGGTGGTTGATGGCATAAGATTGCTGATCAGAGGGCTGCCATCTGAAACAGCCTCAGAGACTTACAGGAAACTATTCGGTACGAGGATGAACGAAGTTGAATAAGCTGCTATTCTACGCACGAGAACATCTATACCCCGAAGAGGCCATGCTAGGGGCAAAGCGTCAATTACTCTTTCGAGGCTACGTGCAGATATATATTTCGTATCGCTGGCATTTCGGCCGCGGTCACTGTGCGGGAGATGGTGCACCGGTTCTTTGTTCTCTCATTGGAACCGGCACCTGGTTGTCTTCGGCCGTATAGGTCCTTTTCGTTGTACCTGCGGAGCCACACTGCACGCTAATAGGCGTCTGGTGGCACCAAGCTCGCCAGGCGACCGGTCACGCGTGGCTGCCGGTGCCAGCCTCATATGGTTGTAACCCGATTTGGTGCGCACTCCTCACCTAAGGGTTCCTTCCAGATTCAGCTTGGCGATCGAATCGAGATGGAATGAGGATGGCGCGCCCCGGACATGCGGCGCGATATCGCTACTCCGTATTTTTATGGAGAAATGCAAGTACATGCATCAAATTCGCCCTTGATCGGAGAACAAGTCCGATGGCAATCCTTCGCGCCGGTGGGCAACTCTGCAGGGTTGCTTACTTATGAGAAGCCAGCTCCGCCCAGCCTTGCTGACAGTTTTGTCACCCCGGATCTCGGGTCCATCTGTCTGCAGACTTCGTCCGCCCTAAAAGAAGGGTCTTGTTCTTTCCCTGTCGGGTATGTATTCACACGCTCACACATGGCTCCGCTCTGATACATGACCATGGAGGTGTTATCTTCTTACGACACAGCAGATGGCGTACTATTGGTAGAGCACGCCATATCGGGATGAACTGTGATGCCTATCAACCTACGTAGCAGTGTGCGACGAGGCTAGTCGCGAGGGTGGCGAATATATAAGCCTCGACTCAACTCGCTACCTGCACAGTCATCACCTGTCGCTGATCGAGAGATTTGCGTCGATGCTAGCGCCAGAATTTGTTTTGAATTGAGACAAGAGAACCATGCTTTCTTTTCATGAACGATCGGCGCGAACAGCGCCACAAGACAAGCCCGATGTAGTCCTTGCGAAGGGCGTGAGCGGCTCAGAGCACTGCATTGACTGCCGCCATGACTCGTACAGCGTGGCTGACGTTGGTGCCATGCCTTGGGGCGATGAGGAGTATGCCATGTGGATTCTTCCTGCGGTGCAGAGCCGAGAGCAGGCATTTGGTATGCAGACAGTATGCAGTCCTCCCTGGTCCCGTAGGGATCGAGTTGTGCTGATCCTTGCTCTAGGATCCACAGACATGGCGTGAGCCTGATTGGAGTGGAACTCCTCTTTCCACCATTCTCCCCACGAACGCCCCGCTTCAGGAGCCAGCTCCCTTATCTGTCGATGGAAGGCGGTCACGTTTGACGGCCCCTCGTGCTCAAAGTAGTGACGACGCGACTGAGGAAGTGCGGGCTCGGACGAGGTTGGTAAGTGCAGACAGGTCAAACGTGCAACAGGGAAAGCCCAAATTGACTGTGGCCATCTGTTGCCCCAGGAGCGCCGCCGGGCTCAAAATCGTGTGTCGCAGCAGGCATTCCGTGCGCGCAAAGAAAGGCACATCAAGGAGCTTGAAAGACGGCTCCAGGCATTAACAGCCGAGCACGAAGCATTGCTCAAGAACTTTACCCGCAGACAGGATGAGATTAATGGATTAAACACAATGATTGCGGACCTTCGTGTGGACATAGATATCCTCTCGGGTACTCAGACAGATTCTGAAGATAGAGCCCCGTTCAATCTGGAATAGGAGTGATCCCTGATACATATAGGAAGCGACTGAAAAGCGGATCATCTCCTGACACCGACACGATAAGCATGAATCATCACGAAGCCCTCTAAAGCAGGGCAACGAGGTTGCTGTCTGTGAAGCCGTTAACTCCATTTCGTATGAATCCTCTGCCCTTTTCAGAAGGAGGTTAGTGTAGATGCAGATGCAAATGTAAACGAAAGGAGCGGTCCACGCCTATCTCTTGGTACCTATTTTTGCCAGCCAAGGCAGCTGGAAATTGAACTCTGTCAGAAATCCGCCACCAACACTTCAGCCTGGTATTCATTTGACAGACCGAACCGAGCCAATGGACATACTTAGCATAACATTTGCCGGCAGTAGGAGTTGCCTGGGACTTCCTCAAATGGGTCAAACGTTGCGAGGCCTTGCCCCGGAGTTAGGAGATATCGCCGCCCTTGTATTGCCAAATATCGACTTTGTGCCTCCTCAGCATAGCGGTTCGCTTGTACCTGGGACAGAAGATGGGGGTATAAATACCTGCTATGAGCAGACCGGACGGGGGATCAAATGAACAGTTTCGGGCTCATTCTTCAGAGTTGCCTGTTGCTCGATCACCCAAGATGACAGCGACAACCCACCCAGAATACGACAAGGATACCGAAGCCTTGGATGTTGCGGAAGCATTTCCTGAAGCTATTCGAGGCAAGACAATCATCGTCACTGGAGTGAACCGCAAAGGCATTGGATTTACCACCGCGCAGGCTTTTGCTTCCCAGTCCCCTGCTCACCTCATCATTGCCGGACGAAACGCATCCAAACTTCAAGAATGCATGGATGATCTCAAGCAGCAGTGGCCCGAAGTTGACTACCGCCTGCTGATAATCGACCTCTCGAGCCAGAAAGGCGTTCGGACGGCAGCCCAAGAAGTCCTCTCGTGGAGCGATGTGCCATCGATCAACATTGTCGTGAATAATGCCGGTGTGGGGAGTATACCTGAGCGCACGATCACCGAAGACGGGATTGAGCTTACTTTCGCGACAAACCATATTGGGCACTTCTTGTTCACTGGCTTGATCATGCCAAAGCTCCTCGAGGCAGCAAAGGCCAGCACAAAGGGAGCAACTCGCGTGGTCAATGTCAGCTCGGGTGCAGCCGAATACAATGGTATCCGCTGGTCAGACATCAATTTCGACAAGAAGTCCACAGATCTTCCTGAGGATGAACGCCCAAACTATGCGATCCTCAAGTTATGGGGCATAAGCAATGGGCCAGATATGTCGTACATACCATTGGAAGCATACATTCAGAGCAAAGCTGCAAATATCCTTTTTGGAATTGGCCTTACAGCAAGATTGTATGAAACCCACGGCATATTGAGTGTCGGCGTCCATCCTGGAGTAATCAAGACGGAACTGACGAGGTACTCATCTAAAGAACAGAGAGATGCAGTCGCGGCAATGGCTCAGAAGGGGTTGTTCGAGTACAAAACCTTGGGCGCGGGGGCTGCAACGAGCCTGGTGGCTGCCACAGACCCCAAACTGGGCGCCATTGAGAGCAAAGACGGGAAAGAGGGATGGGGAGCATACCTGAAGGACTGTCAAATCTCGCACGACGCGTGTCCTCGCGCAAAATCGAGCGAGGGGGCCGAAAAGCTCTGGAAGCTGTCAGAAGACCTTGTGGGAGAGAGGTTTTCATGGTAATGTGATGGCGACATGGTTGATGAGAAGACGATCTCAGTAAGAGTCAAATAGCTGAATCTTCTATGGAGCAATTGGTGCTTCGCAGGCATTTGATGATATGTCGTCTCCATGCAATGGATTTGGAGGAAGGTCGAGAAAACAAAGGGCGTCAAGATTGCGAGAGGGTGACATGGCTTCATTATTATTAAAGCGGCAGAATCTGCCAAGCCAAACGCGGAAGTCTGAAGGATTCTCGGAACATTTCAATCCTGCCTTTTTCCCTTCATCGCTGGCTCTTTGCTCTCTCTTCCTGCAATGCAAGTAAATGTACAAGGTGCTCCTCTTCACGTCTCCGTTTTACCGAAGGCCATTCACTTTGCAGTCACGGGTCCGATGTTTGAATAGATGCGCAAACCCCGCACTTTTCACGACCTCTCTTCACAGGTTTCATCACTCTGGCTCCGAGTATCGAAACTTGAAGTACTTCTCAAAAAATGCGGTAGCCACAAGCCACGCTATTCCATCGTTCAAAAATTTGAAAGCGAAAGGGAAAATGTCGGGAGTCGAAGAGCAGAAGAAAGAAGGCGTCAGGATCGCCGTCGAGGGTTGCGTGAGTCCTCGTTGGAGTTGAAGGTGGCGATCTCTTTTTCTAATATTCTAGCTTAGGGTCATGGCACGCTCCATGCCATCTACGCTTCTGTAGAAGAAGCTTGCCGCGTGAAAGGCTGGGATGGCGTTGACTTGTTGATAATCGGCGGTGATTTTCAGGTCAGTATCACCGTGTGCAAATCCCCAGAAGGCTGATGACTGTTAGGCAGTAAGAAACCAACATGATCTTAATGTCACTGCCATGCCTGCAAAGTACAGGCGCATGGCAGATTTCCATGAATACTACAGTGGTGCCCGAACTGCTCCTTGCCTGACCATCTTCATTGGCGGCAACCACGAAGCGAGCAATCATCTCTTTGAACTTTACTATGGTGGATGGGTCGCACCGAACATCTACTACCTTGGAGCTGCCAACATTGTTCGATTAGGACCTATCAGAATCGCTGGGCTCACGGGGATCTGGAAAGGATACGATTACCGCAAGCCTCATTTCGAGCGTCTTCCGTACAACCAAGAGGACATTCATAGCATCTTCCACGTTCGAGAGTTGGATGTCAGAAAACTATTGTCTCTCCGGTCGCAAGTTGACATTGGTCTCTCGCATGACTGGCCACAAGGTGTCGAATACCATGGAGACTACCAATGGCTGTTCCGCAAAAGAAAAGACTTTGAAGCTGATTCATCTATTGGGAAGCTGGGGAGCGTGGCTGCAAGACAGTGCTTGGATCGACTGCGGCCGCCGTATTGGTTCTCTGCACATCTCCACACCAAATTTGCTGCTGTCTTCCAACATGACAAGGGCAACACATCCCCACAGGCGATCTCTAAATCCCATCCGACTGTCGGCAGAATCCTCGAAGAGTCAGATTCGGCGAAGACGCCATCAACGGCCTCGAGTGTGTTCACCCAACTTGGTAATGTGACCCCACGACCGGAAGACCAGCAGCAAGTGTCGGGCTGGCAACAATTTCATGCTCCGGCTCGACAAGAAGACGCCGAAGAAAGAGACGGAGTTCTCAGAGAGCGGGAGACCGAACCGCTTCAAGAGGAAAAGGCCGATGCCTCCTCCACTCCGCATTTTTCGTTTGATGAGACGTTTAAGAAAATCGGCAGAGGCGACGGCCTCGAGCGTACGGTAGTATCGACGACTCGAAGCCAGGTTCACTCAGAGGACCATGATCCTATTCCAAATCTCGACGGCTGCTTTTGCTCAAGGCCAGCTAAGAGGCAGCGCTTGGAAAGTGGACATCCAGACTCTATTCACGATGAAAATGACAATGATGTTCGACCAGATGCATCTGGAAACCAGATGGACGGTGCCAGTGCGAGATTTCTTGGGCCATCGAAACCTGCAGTCGCCAATCCAGATTCTATCGATATTGACATGAGTGACGATAGCGACACCACGGAAGTAGCTAGTCAAGATGCTGCCACGCCTCGAAGCAAACTGCTGTCAATCCCCAACGCAACGGCCAAAGTCACCGACAATGATCACTTGAAGAAGTCGTACAGCTCCCAGAGTCCATCAGAAGAGAGCGAGGACGGCGGTGTCAAGCTCAATGTGAAGGCTGCATCCTTCACACCAATGCCTAGTATCTCTCCCCTGCAAGGCGAAGCAACTCACTCTCAAGATTCGCCTACGCCTTCTGGGATTTCGTCCGAGTCGGAACTAAACCCACGCGCTCGACTATTCGATCCGCAGCCATCTCCCAACGGCGGTATTGAAGCCAGCTCGGTACAATCGATTATTCAAGCAGAACCAAAGAACGAGTCTCAGGTTGTGGATGGTAACGATGGTGTGCCCGAGGAGATCAGGGCCCAGCTAGCTGCCTTATCAAGCAAATTCCGTCCAAAAGAACCGACTGAAGTATCTCCGCCACTCCCATTCCCAGAAGAAATCACCAACAAAACAACGTACTTTCTCGCCCTTGGAAAATGCGATGCTTACCAAGAATTCCTCCAGCTTCTCGAAATCCAGTCTATGACTTCCCCTGAGGAAGAGATCCGTCGCCCGCTCAAACTCTACTACGACCCCGAATGGCTCGCAATCCAACGAGTCTTTGCACCCGAGCTTCAACTTGGTGGCATTGCAAAAGATAGAGTCCCAGCGCACCGCGGCGAGACCTACTACCGTGATCAAATTGCGAAGGAGCATGAATGGGTTATCGAGCATGTGGTCAAGCCAGGCAAGCTGCAAATCCCCGAGAACTTCAGCGTGACGGCTCCAGTATATGATCCGAGTCTGCAAGTTGCACCGGATGAGATGCCGCGCGAGGTGACGAACCCTCAGTCGAACGCGTACTGCGAATTGATTGGGATCGAAAACAAATTCGACGCGAGTGAAGAAGAGAGAGATTCCAGGATGCAGCAGGGCCCGAGGCCTGAGAGCGCAGAGTTCCAGGCACATCGAGATCGGCCGCGTCAGCATGGACAGGGCGGTGGGAGGGGTCGTGGAAATCACCGTGGGGGCGGCGGTGGTGGGAGAGGGACAGGAGCGCGAGGAGGTGGCAGAGCAAGAGGGCGCGGACGGCGGTATTAGAGAGGAGTGTTGGACTGTTTGGATGCTGCCAATAACAAGCGGGTTTTCACCAGCCTGAGGGCTTCGGTCTTTGCCGAAACAGCGGCGAGGTCAGAACCAGGCATTGCGTTGCACGACATTGCATTGCAAAGCAGTGCATTACACCGCGCCGTGTACGGAGTCCATGTACAACAACCGAATAAAAAGATAACAAACAAAGACCTACCTCAAAATGGTATTGTTTGATACCCAAAGAACAGAACGGAGCGGCAAGAAAAGAACTGGAAAGAACAGGAAAGGAAGGAGAAGACTGAAACGGGTTCATCCGTCTTTTCTGTTATTCTTCTTCTACTCTTCCAGCGTTGAGCGGCGAGAGAGAGCGGCCAGAGAGAGCGGCCAGAGAATATCATTCACGTCCATATATGATATTGACGATCAGGCATCGTTCATTCATTTCACGAGACAAGACCAACGCTAGACTTTCCGGCTTTGGTGCCCAGCTTGGACTTGGGCTTGGACGTTGGCATTTGATCCAGCTTGTCTAGCTTGAGGAGGAAGTGCTTCTTCCACGTCTCGTACGCGCGCGTCCGCTCTCCGCTCAAGAGGTCCATGAAGTCTTGCATCATGGTCGCCAGGCCCGGGAGCAGGACGTCCTCGGGATCATCGTCGTCGTCTTCTAGTTCCGTTTCTCTTTCCCCGGTTCTTCCTTGCGCGGGGTCTGCTGTGGTCCTGCGTCTCCTCCGCCGTCCCGACAGGATCGGGTCCTCTTCTTCGTCTTCATCCTCCTCATATCCCCTTCCAACGCTTCCTTCTTCGTCGCCAGTCTCTTCCGCGCCTTCGGCATTGGAATCAAAGTGAAAAACTTTCTCCGGGACGCTCCCCCACCAGTCCTGGCCCCGACAGTACCCTTCGCGATTTATCCTCCTGATCCACTCTTCCACGCCCTTCGCCCCGGGTTGGTACTCCAAGACTTCTACGGCCCTGGCGCACGTAAATTTGTACACTCGCGTTGTCATTTTTGCCGTTTGCATACGCGTCAACGTCATGATATAGAGTGCTGTCAAGAGACCAGCCACGGTTTCTCGAAAGGAGTCGTCGTCGGGTGCTGGGCCGTCTTCATCTGGGGGCCACAGACCACTAAGTTTCAGGACGATGCAGGTGCCGGTGTAGACGTGCGGAGCGAGCAGTGGTGTTGAGAATGTTTTGCAGAGTTTACGGATCGAGGGCATCGTGTAGCTCGGTGCTTCGCCATCGTTCTCGGCCTCGCTTTTCCTTTTCGCGCTTGTTTTGATCTTCCCGAGAAATTCGTTCCGTGCTATAGATTTCGACGGCGTAACTGAGTCAACCTCAACGGCTGTTCTCTTCAATGTCCCGTCTGCCGCCCGCTTCTTCCCTCCCGGGGTCGACTTGGGCGTTGTTGCGATGCCATCCTCATCCAACACCCTCTCCAAGAACGCCACCAACTTCTTGTACACGGCTGGCTTACAAGGTGCTCCGCCAGCCTTGACCGCTGGCAACCGACATTTCACCCTGAGCCTATTGCAAGCAATTTCACAGCAGGCATAGGCACGGGCAATTTCTTCCTCGGTTTTCAGATGCGACGCTCGTTGGCGGGATTGGGCGAGGAGCGACTCACAGAGGTGGACAAGTGGAGCGGGAAGTTTGGCGGCGTGGGTGGGCAGGAGGCTGCTGAGGGACTGTTGGATGGCGGAGGAGGAAGGCATCGTTCGGTGACGGGAGCAGTGAGAGTGAGAAGGGGAAAGCAGCGTTAGATAGGGGAAATGGTGTTTGCATCGGGTTTTCGCATTGACAGACGCTGGCAGAGAAGACGTCACCGTTCCAGACGCGTTGGGGGCGCGTCTCGGCGCCTCCAGAGCAGAGTGGGCGCTTCAGCGAGCGGAAAATTGCCGCAGCATACTGGGTACTAATTATCATCTGCAATACAAACACATCCATTTTCAGGACAACGACTGCAACCTCCGTAAAGGCGGATAGTTGACTGGTCTCGAATCACATTGCACATCAGGATTATGGCAAAGAGCAGGTTTGCACTCTAGTCGTTGGTCCAGCTACTTCTCCCCGAGTTTTCAGGCTCTGCCCCTGCAGCATGGAAAACGGTCAATTCCTGCCAACTCTACCCTTCTTCTCCTAAAGGTCTGAAGACTGCTCCGAACACATCCCCGGTCACTGCTAGAAGGCCTCGAGTCGCAACCTGCGCAGGGACGTTGTCGGAACCCGGGTAAACCAGATCTTTCCAAAACGGATGTTGACATGCGGTATCCCTGCATTACACCAAGAATCGCTGGAATCAGCTCGAGTCTCAGTAACAGCAGGGTCGTTCAGTTGAGGCTGAATGACGGGCAGGCTTCAAACCAGGGAATTAAGGGTTCAAAACGTACCGATACAGATCGACCTTAACGCCCTCATCAGGTCCCAGGGAGGCCCAGCCACCGTGGGACGTGATTATGGCGCATTGGTTGTAGGATGATGGGTCAACCGGTGTCCAGAAACAAGTCCCTCCCCAGTGCGGATATTGGCAGATGTAGATCTGGCGCCGGACAATTAGTGACAGGGCGAAGCCAAGGGGCAGGGAGAACTTACACCGTTGGTTGCTCGATCACTGAGTTTGCGTGGTGAACTGTCGGCGTTGGTGACGTTGAACTGGATGCCGTTCTTGAGCGCAGGATTGTCGCCGTCAGAGAGCGCTGCAACAAGAAAACCCACGGAGCTGATCAGCAAGCCGAGCAAGAAGGCAGAAACCCAGAAACGACGCGAACCCATGGTCGTTGCGTTGGGACAACTTCCGAGAGGCCTTCGAACATAATATTAACTATGGCGCGTGATGGACTTTCTTTAAGAGCTCTTGTGGTTCTTGGACTCCGCAATTGTCAAAGAGAAAAGGACACGGTGCCAGCCTGTGCTACACAGACAATGAAGGGAAAGGGGAAGAAATGAAACCCCTTGGCCTTGACCGCAAACGACGATGAGAACAAAGAAGACTTGGGGGAGGCGGATCACTCTGACAAACACAAAGAGCAGAAAAGGAGAAGCAATCACAACACATTTCGAACGATGTGTTGTATGATACTGGGTGTGCGTGTTTGGTCGTATGCCCTTGGCCGCCATGCTGCCATTGTCCATCGGATGGTGACAAATCTGAGCAAGGTGTGGAAATGCCCTCCTCTACCTCTACCGAGATAGACATCATCATGCCCAGGCACCTGCACAGAAAGGATCCATCGTGGCAATTGCACCCTGGCATTCTTCGACTTCGACTTTCTTTTCCCGAACTCTCCGACAGGTCCGTCGTTCGACTTCCTTTGCTCAACCTGAGTCCAGCCTTGTCCCACCCGACGTTCTGCCGCCTCGCAAGAAAGCCCGTGACAACGCTTCACACATGATATTCCAGTGGTAGTGGAAAAGAAAAGAAAGAAAAGAGAAAGGTAGTTGCAGGACTTTAGCGAATCACAATGTTTGGACATCCAGCAACACAACATTAGTCGCCTTCACGGCAGCGTGGCATGGCGCAATGCAGCAAAAGAGTGATAAGGAAAGCATCTTACTGGATTGATTGACTGTATCTGGGCTCTTCTACGGCATGTAGACGCTCATCTCCATCCCATTCGTGTAGGGCAGGGTCAGATTCCTAAACCCACTGCCCGGATCTCGCATATACTCCAGCAGATCCTTATACTTGGACGCCGAACCGATCGTGTTGTCCGCAACGACCACGGCTCCGCGCCGCATTCGAGGTTGACACAGTTTTAGCACCGGGAGAGCCATGGGAGTCCAGACTGTGCACCAGTGTGGAAGCGTCAGTATATAACAACAATAACGACACTCTCGACGTAAGGAAACCAAGAGGGCAACTCACTGTCCAGCAAAAGCAGGTCAATCTCCGGCAATCCTTCCTTCAGCGTCTCTCGAATATCTCCCTCGCGAAGCTCAATACAACCGGTAAGCTCATCGCCGACCTCCTTCCAGTGCTGCCTTGCCTTGTCGGCCTTTGACTTCTCGTACTCCGTCGCAATAACCACCCCTCCTTCACCCTCTCCGCCGCTCGCCGCCCTCTTGACGTTCTCACACACCGCCAGGGCGAGGTAGATGGTACTAACACCAAAACTTGTCCCGGCCTCGACGACCCGCGTGGCGCCGATGGCGAGGCACAGCTGGTAGAGAAACTCGGCCTTGTCGCGGTCTAGCGCGATGAACTTGTCCCGCATGTAGTTGTCGAAGCCCACCGCCTCAACCTCCGAAGCCTGCACCGCGTCCTCCTGCTCCCTGGACAGACGGTGCAGTTTGTCCAAAAGGGAGAGGACGTGCGGCGGGGCCCGCACCGGCGACGGCGATGGCGTTGGCCGATTCTGTGCCGAAGAAGCCATGGCGTTGCTTTGCTTTCCACGAAAAGAAAAACCTGACCGGAAAGGGGTACCCAGGTAGGTTCGAGGAGAATGAGTAAATGGTGCGAAACTTCGATGTTTAATCATGTACTTTCGAAATGCCGGATTTGGGTCTGAATGTTGAACTTCTGAGTCATGTTAACGGCTTTTTCGTACCTCAGCTCACCCAGTTTCGGAGGTCTACTAGACTCCCCAGACGGCGAGGATGGACTAGACACGGGCTATAATGCAATTGTTTTTTAGGTAAAAAGAGAGGCACAGACTCGCGTACATATGCCTAGGTACATGATTTCTCTAGCTCGAACTCTTTCTCGACGTGGAAGCGCGGCTTTACTCCGGGACAATGGAAGATGGAGTAGAATATCTGCTGAAGGGGAGAAGAGGGCAGAGTGGGACTGCACAGCCTTGCGTGGAGGAGGGAGTTCTCGGTATATGTGGACTACAACACGGATTGTAGTCATCGAGCCGTTCTTTCAGACTGTCGATCAAGACCTTGGACTTGGAATCCCCCAAACCAGTTAGCACTTCTACCATGGCCTTTAGGAACGCACGACCTCGCGCGTATACAACACTCTCGCGGTCGGAAGCTGCAAGGATCTCTTTGGTACCCTTCATGCCACCAAATACAGCATTTCCTGCAGAGCGGCAGTTCGAGATGGTGAGTATCTCACGGCGCACGATAAGGTGACGGTTGTATTGTAGACCAGCCAACCACTTTCTTGGAGGCCGAGTCCTCACGGCTAAATAGGGGAATTAGCTCTCGTTGCTTTGGCAGCAGAGGATGTAGACCAACGCTATCCAAACTGATGGGCCAACAGCGGCTTCCTTTTTAAATCTCAACGGATCGAGGCCGTGTCCAGCGTAGACGACGGTGGCCAGCTCGTCCTTTTTCCCATGATTATCGATGAGTTCGTAAGTCTCCTTTTGATGTGAGAGTCGTTTGGTGGAATCTTGAAGATGTCGTAGACTTGAAAGTTGAAATGCTTGTGAAAACATTCACCAAGCTTTTTGAGATCATCTTCGATTTGAAGGTGGGATTCCACTCTTTCAAACATGATCGGCAGCACTGAGGCCCTAGAGTCTCAACCATAGCGTTCTAGGCTATGATTGAGTAGCTCGGTGTTTTTCAAGCTCTTGACGAGTTCTTCATTTTTCTGGGATACCACAAGGCTCGAATCTTCCGATTTGTGAGGTCTGAAGGGTTCACTGACTTTCACACAAACGCTTCGGCCGATGTCTAGAGTTTCGCTTCCGAACAGCTTCCACGCTTGCGGATGGTTTGGAATAGATGGAGAGACTAAAAGATTGATTATAACTCAACTGTCGGATTGAGATCGAGACTGTCCACGTATAGGTCGTACATTCAGGCCTTTCCGAACCGAGAATTCGAAGGCAGAGAGCTGTTTTGGGTCGGTTGTTGACGCATGATGAATATTCTCTTGAGCCTCACGGGCCGGCACGTCCCAAGTCAATACGAGAACCTGCTTGTCTCAGCGGACGATGACCAACGGGGATAATTTCCTGAAATCGTTTTGCAATCGGAAGGTGAGTCGGCTCAGACCCCATTTGCTCGAAAACTGCCTGCCGACGGTGGCCGCTTGCTTGGTAGCTGTTGCCTTTTGATGACAGGGATGGTGGCTGCCGGATGGAGGACCCCTCACATTCTGGTGAAGAGCCAGCAAAGTTTTTATCTCAAAAGACCAGTAGTCCCCGGCAAATGAACCCATTGCATCACCTGGAAGAAGAAAACGTCCAAACTGATTTCCCAAACATCCCGATTAAATACTGTTCTCCTGTTCCTTTAGTAACAACCGCCAGTGAATATACAGCTTTAGGGTTCAGGACCCTCTCATCGCCCAAGCATAGCCACCACGTCTCGTCCAAGTGTAGACGGCTGCCGCCCAAGCGAAGAACTCAGCCCGGGTGAGCTGGACTCCTCAAATCAGCATTTCCCGCTGTTTTCAGATACATTCCAGATCACCGTCACTGGGTCCATAAACGATGACATCATCTGGGTTCTCCCTCGTCTCCCGGACCCATCTGAGACATTGATAGTCGAAAAGGTCAAGTTTGCCATAGGGGACAAAGGTGCCGTCTAAGCAGTAGCGTGTGTAAGGCTCAGACGCGCTCGCAATTCAAGCCCTAGCGCTGCTAGTCCTGTTGCATAGGGAAGGAACTCCATCACTGGTGGGAGGAGGTCGAATATCCCGGGCCCCAGAGGTGTTGGCATCAAGGTGAGCATGTTTGGTGCTGTGGGAACGGATAGAGCAGGAATAAAGATTGTGAAAGCTCTCAAGGAAGACAAGGTGGACACAGAACACATCATTGAATGCCCAGACGAGGAGACCAGGAGGACGAGCATTGCTTTGGGAAAGAGCGGCAAAAACAACATCTTGGTATATCCCGGGGCCAAGTACAAGCTCACTCCAGCCCAGCTTCGCACGGATCTTAGCGGAGGTCCGCCACATCTACTCATTCTGCAGATGGAAATCCCATTTGAAACCGTTGAACACGTGTACACGCCATTGAGAAGGCCGCAGCGGGGAAGATCCCGGTGTTGCTCAATGCGGCTCCGGTTCCATCTAATTTTCCGAGGGACATCTTATAGTCAACAGGCTCGAGGCTGAAGACCTCTTGGGCCGATGGTGGACAGAGAACACTGCATCGTTGAACAGTTAGAACAAGGCGGAAATCGGAAAAAGGAAATCGAGAGGGCAACAGGCTTGTGCAAGTCTTTGTTGGAGTCTGGCGTGAAGAACGCCGTTGTAACGATGGTTGGCCATGGAGGAGTAGCGGGTACAAGAAGACCAGACGGTGGATCAGTCTACATAGATTATAAGGCAGTAGAGGTTGAAGAAGTCGTTGACACCACAGGCTGTGGAACTGTCTTTATCGGAGCCTATACGGTCCAGTCCATCCGGCAGAAGCTCACTCAGAGAGGAGTTTTCGACATCAACCCAGCAGTGACTTAGGCGGCTAAGGCAGCAGCCTTGGCAGCAAGATCCTGAGGCTCTCTCAATGGAATACTATGGGGAGACCAGTTGATGAAGTGCGACTGAAAACGACCGAGTTGTTGTTATTTAGCGAGGTCGATCGTAGATGGCGTTTGTCATTGCCGAGTTTGTGTCATTAAATCGAGTTGTTTGAGAAGGACCCATGAAGCTTCTTTTGGCGTCAGATCTCTTGATAGGCGAAGGGTCTACCGGGGTATTTACATGAAAGAGGGCAAAAGAGGGATATTGTTGACAGCAGTTAACAGCAGAGCGCCACTGTGGCAAACCAATCAATCCACCAATGCTTCAACCGAGGCCTCTCTATAATAGCCTCGGTGCCACCGTTGATCAACAACGAGGTCTGGACAGATCTGGCCAGGTCCAGATCTATTCAGTGGATAGCTTCTTGCCACAGTGCAAATAGTATATAGACAGGCAGAGTCTCTTTGAAAAGCCAGGGGAGGGAACACAATCAATCAGATGAATCCACTCTCATTCTGTGTACAACAGATATGAAGATGGAAAGTGGAAGGAAGCCAAGGAAAAGTCGATGGTTCCACTAGCCCGATTAAGCTAGTCTCTAAAAGCTTAGCGCTGCTTGACCAACGGTAACCTGTCACCCTATTTAAACCCTCGCTGTCATTCCAGATAGATTCCTCTCTCTAGATCAATCTATCAGCCTCCCTGACCCCCAGTTTGGTTCAACAACGCTAACAGAATGCAGACTCCCTGCCTCTCAGTGCAATAATAAACGGTGATGAAGACTAACGAACTTGCTGGCTGGTGAGCATAGACTGATTTCACGATAAAGTGCCAGTCAGGGTGATATTCGTTCATCTGCAGTCTTCGCGCAATTCTCCAGGACATCCCAGAACGCATGCGTGTGCAACTTCCTAGGTATTCTTACGCCTTTAACAATACCGTCTGGCCCCGCCTCTGCCTTCTCGACGATAGTCCTGCCCACTTGTCCTCTCACTGAATCAAGTGGACTATGTGCACCATCTGTCACAACTCGGACATTGTATCGATCGCCATCATCCTCGTATATCCCGCTAGAATACCCAAACAACGCAGCAATGGCAAGCGGATCATGCAACGGAGGGCCCTCATACACGTCAAACCACTCGACATAACTCTGTGCAAAAAAGGCGAGAATCTCGTGGAGGAAGAGGCGCAGCTGACTCGGCTTCTCGGAGCCTAAGAACCGGTCTCGGATCTCTTTAGTTGCGAGGCATTGATGTGTCAGATCGAGTGTGACGAGGGTGGTTTTCGCTGATATGACGGGATTCGAAAAGACAGCTTCCGCGGCTTCGGGGTCACAGTAGATGTTGAATTCTGCCCAAGGAGTCTCGTTGCCAAAACCCTCACCCTGACCCAGGGTTTTGCCGAACTCTTTCGATATCTGAGGGCAGAAATCCCCCCCTACTGCCCCACCCATGATGCTCACACTGGCGAGAGTACGTGATTAGAGTCAAATTCTTGTCTTCTCAAGGACCTCGAAACGCTGTTGCCTTCCGGACGACAGATCTACAGCCATGTTCGACTTACCCGGCAAGGTGGCGGGCGACCTCGGGATAGGTCGAGAAGAGCAGGGCAGCGTTCGTGCAAGGCCCAGTAGCCACGTACCACGCTGTTTGAGGCGGCTCGGCCATGATAGCGTCGCGAGTGGCGACGAGGAAGTTCACATCCTTGACGATATTTTCCGCTGGTTGTGGAAGAAGACTCGTACCGCCCAGACCGGTGGGACCTGAATACGGTTAGCACAGGAGCATACAGCCCCGGACGCGAATTGATTTCACCGTGGATGTCGGGCGTCTCGACTTCTTCTCGGCAGAAAGGCTTCAGCGACCCAGGATACACCTTGACGTCTGTCCTGCCCACGGCGTTGAGGACTGCACTCGAGTTATTCGTGGTGTGGATTTGAGGAGCATTGCCATGGGTCGAGCTGACGCCGAGGAACTTCAGTTTTGGATGGTGTGCCGCAATGAGAATGGCAAATACATCCTGCAGTTTATGTTGGTCTCGTTGTCGCTGCTATGGTACAGGGAGGAATCCTACATCGTGCCCTTCGCCATGTCAACAGCCACCGTACTCCGACCTTGGAGGCAAACATGAATCCAGCTTACCTGTGTCAACATCCAACCAGACTGGTATTCTGTCTGTTCCGTCTGTCATCCCGTCGCTTTACCGTAATCTTCGGGAGCTCCGCAAGTCTCATCTGGTGAGCCTCTATGTTCTTGCTCAGGATATTTCTTTTGGGATATGTCTGTGCTCGTCTAGCTCGCGTCTGCCAAATTCAGCGCTCCGCGACTCATTCAAAAGTCTCGCTTATAGGCGACCTAGAAGCCTAATATTTCAGCAAAGACAGGAGTTGTGACAAATGGCCATTTTCCATTCTCGACACGTGGAGGATGGACATCCCCGCGTGCAGTACTCCGAAGAGGATCGTTAATGCAATACTGGACGCCGCGACCAGATCCTTCTTGTTTATCTCACCAGTTAGAGGTGTCATTCCACACACACGGCCGATCTCCTATCTTGGATGCAGTGAGCTAGCGCAGGTATCAGTGTGGCAAGGGTGTCTCGCCAATGACATGCAGTCTTTCTTCCAACAGAGTTCGGGCCCATGCCTGCCACTAGCTTATCGCGGGGTGAGACCTTCTTAAGCCGGTAAAGCCTGACGGCTCGAAGTCTAGACTCGATGTCGTTCAATCTCTTGGAGATAAGGACGGACAACGCGTGGCCGAGGCCTCCCTGTCCCTTGCATTGATATGTTTCATCAGGACCTTCACAACTCGAGGTGTCTGGCAGCAAACACCATCGGTATAATCACAAGAAAGAATCAGCATGGCTACCCACGAGTTGTCGTCGAGCAGCACCGAAGCAGCAGTGACTGATGATGTCCTCAACCTCGAGAGCTTTGGCTATAAGCAGGAGCTCAAAAGAGACTTCTCGCTCTTCGGAATGGTCGGCTTCGCCTTTTCAGTCTTGACATGCTGGACGGCACTGGGAGGTTCTCTAGTGGCCGCCATTGAAGCAGGAGGCCCGCCGGTCATCATCTACAGCTGGATTGGAGTTTCATTCTTCTCCCTCTTTGTGGCCTACTCATTCGCGGAGATCTGCAGTGCCTTCCCCGTGGCTGGCGGGCAATACTCGTGGGTTGCAATCTTGACGCCTCCGAAATGGGCGAGACTCACCTCCTACTTGTGTGGCTGGTTTATTGTCATTGGTTTCTTGTCTGCAGGAGCTGCAAATGGCTTCATCGGCGCCAGCTTCGTGCTCGGAATGGCACAGATTGCACATCCAGACTTCGTTATTGAGAGATGGCACACCTGCCTTGTTTGCTATCTCGTTCTGATCCTCGCTGCGGCAGTCAATGTCTGGGGTCGGCATCTACTCAACAAGATGGGCAAGATCATGATAACCTTCAATCTGCTCTCCTTCATCGTCGTTATCATTGTCATTTTGGCGAAGGATCAGCATAAAGCGAGCGCTGCGTTCGTCTTCAAAGACTTCAACAACAACACTGGCTTCGGCCGTTCTTACGCAAGCTTGCTGGGAATCCTCCAGGCGGCGTTTGGAATGACAGGATACGACGCAACCGCGCATATGACGGAGGAGATGCGCAATGCTAGACATGATGCTCCAAAAGCCATCATCTGGTCCGTCTGGATTGGTGCATTCACGGGTTTCGCCTTCCTCATTGCATCCTTCTTCTGCATCCGCAATCTCGCCGCGATCGAGACGTCCTCGACTGGTGTGCCTCTGATCGCCATATTCTACGAAGCTACCGGGAGTGTTGGAGGCGCTATTGGCCTTACCACCCTCATCACCATTATCGCCTTGGTCAGCTTGTGCTTCCTCATGGCGCAGAGTTCGAGGGTTGTGTTCTCTTTCGCTCGCGACCATGGGCTGCCTTTTTCCGGAACCATCAGCAAGGTTCATCCTACGCTCCATGTACCCGTCTACAGCATCTTGACCGTTCTTGTTGTCAACATGGCTCTGATGGCGATATACTTCGGATCGGTAACTGGATTCAACACCGTGCTTGGGATCTCAACGGAAGGCTTCTATCTTTCTTATATCATGCCACTCCTCGTTCGCATTTGGGGACGACTGGAAGGTCGAGAAGGAATCGACAGCGCCTACTCTCTCGGTCGCTTCGGTATGTTCTTTAATGTCATTGGCATTCTTTACCTGGCTTTCGCCGCTATCGTCTTCAACTTCCCCTCCGTCAGCCCTGTCCACGCCAACAACATGAACTACACTTCGGCCGCCGTCGGCGTGTGTGGTCTGATTGCTGCCATTACATGGATGACGACGGGACGCACTCGTTTCACGGGTCCTCAACGAGGTGGGATCTTGGATGGCCGAGTACCAAGGCATGACGAAGACATCCATCACGTCAAACCTGCTCCTAGCCCCAAAGGCCTCGAAGATTGAGAGTTTTACTAAAGTTTTGCGCTCACTTGTACAATATGCACCTTCCTTGTACAAGCACTTGTCCGGAATGGACTGGCGTATTTGTGGGATTTGGCAGGTAGCTCGTTCACCTCCATTGTATTGTACACCGACATCAAGGAGGCCCTTGTTCGGAATGAACTGACGACGACATGAATTGGTGGATTTGATGTTTTATGATACCCTCACCTTGTACTAGTATGATTGAGCGAATATGGTACGGGCACTTGACCGGAATGGTCTGGGGTACTACAGCGTTTTTTGCTATTTACAAGACTTTTGTCGCCCAGCTTGCGTCGTCGCATTCCGCGATGGAAACAACTGTCGACAAAGTAGCTAGTGCATTCCTTGATCAATACACTCATTTTGTACCATATCAATCATCTCATGTGCTCTCTGTCGCCATGATCAAGAAAAGGCCACAACTGTTTACGCTTTAAGATCTTTTCCCGCAACCAATCTTCCACCCACAAACACTTTCCGTATAGATCGATCGTCGCCCATAAACACCCACTTCTTCAACAGCGCCATATCGTCGTGCTCAAACCCGTTGGTATTGATGTTATCGTCCAAGCCCACGTCGACGAGAAGAGCGTCGAACGCCTTTCCGACCTCGAAGTTGCCCACTGTATGATCTAACGAACAGACCTCGGCGCCACCCATAGTGGCCAAATACACCAGCTCCTCAAAGTCCAGCTTCCAGGCTGGGTCGCCCGTGTGGATCGTCAGGTGTCTGGAGACGTTGCTTGCCTGCCTCATTGCGTTGAGGATCGAGATCGAGTATCCGGCCGAGCAATCGGTGCCGAGACCGACTTTGATGCCTTTGTCCAACAGCTGACGGACTCGACACCATCCGTCCGTGAGGCATGTGTTGCTGTTTGCATTGTGAGCGACGCCGACCTTCCGCTCTGCCATGACCTCAATGTCTCGCTCGGTCAGGTGAATGCAATGTGCCAGAATCGTCCGAGGTCCGAACAGGCCGTAGTGGTTGTACATGTCGGCGTAGCTCTCGAACCCGTCGTGGAGTTTGTGCATGTTCTCCACCTCCAGCGGCGTCTCACACATGTGTGCCTGCACCCGGATCGGCTCGCTGTCGCGACACAGATCGCCCAAGCCGGCCATGAGCTCTGGCGGGACGTACGATCCTGCTCGCGGCTGTATGCACGGCATCACGAGCTTGCCCTCCGGGTCGATCTTCCTGATATGCTTGACGACTTTCCTTTCATCCTCGATGCTCTGCTCTGCGTTCTTCTCCCAGTTGCCGTGCGTGCTGCCGACCAGGATACACAGCTTGCCGATAACCGTCCTCTGCCCGAACTCCAGGCACGTGTCGGCAAGCACGTTCGTCGCATCGGGGTGAATGCTTGAATTGTACGCCACCGTGGTACTGCCGTTCTCGAGCTCCTTCTGCACCATTTCGCGGTACACGCGGTGCGCTTTCGAGGTGTCCGCGTACGACGCTTCCATCGGATCCGTCCAGTTCTCGCACCACTCCTTCAGGTCGCCTTCCATGCCTAGCGCCATGTTCGGATACTGGGGAGCATGCATGTGCGTGTCGATGAGGCCAGGGAAGAGGAACTGCAACGGCTTCAGCGTCACCTTCTCGGCGTTTGCGAAGCCTGGGTGTTTGGCACAGGCTTCGGCGGCGGAGTCGACGTTGGCGTCGAGGAATTGAATGTTGCCCTTGTCGTCGACCCCCAGGCTAGCTTTGGGGAAGATTTCGACCTCCTTCAGAGACTTGCTGTGTATGATGCGTCCGAAGAAGACTCTGTTGAGGCTCTTACTCGACCCTGGCACCAGAGAACCGGTGTTGGATACTGTATATGGCGGAGGAGACGCCGAGTCACTCATGCTGGTGGTCCTGGTCCGGGAGCGGAACAGAGAAAAGGAAAGGCACCGCATGTCGACGGTTATCTCACTACCTCCACGAGTGGCGGGTTGTCGTCTTGTAGAAAGCAATGGCGAAAAATACCTGCCTACCTCTCTAACTGTGTTCGAAAGCTTCAAACGGCCAAGCTATATCAGAGGTCCCCTTCCAGTCAATAATTGATGGTTGAGAAGCTACGTACCCTCAAGATAAAGAGACACGTCAGCACTAGTGAGTTCTCTCGTATAGGAAGGTCATTTGTACGCCTTTCAAAGTCTCTTTGGCACACACTGGAGGAGCAGCACCGCATCGCACATCTCCGACGCAGCGGACAGAGCGCGAGCTCCAAGAAGGTTCCGTATGTTCGAAGCTGCCGAGCCATCCTGATTAATCGCACTTTTAACACATTATCTCTCAAGTGCGAGATACAGATATGAAGGCAAAGGCCACGACAGTGGGCCTCAAGGAGCTCACAGAGGGATCAGTGCCCTTTACCACCCTCGAAGAGGCATTCGGCGAGTCCTCGCTCGGCATCCTCGTGGTCAACAATCTACCAGCGAGGTACCTCGAGCTGCGGGAGAAGCTGCTGTCGTATTCGTCGTACCTGGCGCAACTCCCCGCCGAAGACCTGGATGCCCTCACCGATGCGGCATCCCACTACGAGATAGGATGGAGCCATGGCAAGGAGGCCCTCAAGGACGGACAGTACGACACCATGAAGGGTTCCTATTATGTCGATTGTCAGTCCTTCTTCCTTGAAAATCCTGTTGTCCCAGAACCGGGGAAACCGGTAACAAGAGGGGCGGGAACGAACTTGTGGCCTGCTGAATCTGCAATGCCGGGATTTCGAGCCACATTTGAAGAACTTTGCACGATGTTGATCAACATCGGAGTCCTGGTCGCCCGAGCCATTGATTCATATGCCACCACGAATATCCCACACTACCAGCATGGGTATCTCGAACACGTCGTCAAGACCAGCCACACGCCAAAAGCCCGTTTGCTGCACTATTTTCCGCCCACAGAGGCGCCGGCCTCGCCATCATGCTCACCCGTTGAATCTTCCAACACGTCGGATTCGGAGGATGATTCCTGGTGTGCCACCCATCTGGACGACGGCTGTTTGACAGCGCTGACGTCGGCATTATACATCGACGAGTCCAGCCCTCTGCCACCACTCACAGCCGGCTCATTTCCGTCCCTGCCGATCCTGCCCGCATCTCCGGACCCCAAGGCGGGGCTTTACATCCGATCGCGCGGCGACAAGGTGGTGAAAGTCGATATACCAGCTGATTGCATTGCCTTTCAAACCGGCGAGGCTTTGCAGATGATCACAGATGGCAGGTTCAAAGCCGTGCCACATTTCGTCCGTGGCCCCTGCGGCGCGAGCAAGGTCGCTCGGAACACTCTAGCATTGTTCATGCAGCCGGACATTGATGAAGTCATTGATAAGGAGAAAGGCATGACCTATGGCCAGTTTGTGGAGATGATCGTGCAGAGGCATTCTTAGTCGGAAAGAGGTTCTGATTCTATTTGGTAAATAGCTGTTTTACACCCGGCACTTAAAGTATTGTGCAGTTTTTAGTTGCTATGCCTGAAGGTGGTGATATCACCCTACTGAAATATCCAAATGTGGCAGTGTTATAGTTAAGGGTGTAGGCATTTAGGACCTCGTAGACGTAGGCGATCTTTAATATCAATGGGGCGAGCCTGAACATTTCCGCAGACCTCCCTGAGGTGAGGAGGGATGTCCTTTTCTAACCTGGCATAAATGTTTTGTGTTGTATGGATATTCTCACATCCTACTTCGATCAACTCGAGACCTAGTAGCCCTGTTTCCCGCTGCCCCAGGGGCTCCCAATCTTCGATCTCCCGTTGCGCCTATTTCTCCTGTATATGTTCTTCTATCGCGCCGAAGGCATCCAGGATTTCCGGTCCAGGTTCGTATTGACAACCGTCGCAAGGTCATCCGAGGCTCTTGCCGTCTCTGCAGGTTTTCACACAGGTAAGGTGGAAATGGAGAATCTGCCAGCATTTCAAACCCCGGAGCAGGCTTGGGTGTCGAAAGATCCAGTTCTTTCCATCGAGGCATTCCTCCGGCTAGCTCAAGAGCGGTTTCACACTATCTTCTCGACCAGTGGTGCATAGCGTGACGCGGAAGATTGAAATGAGACCCAATCAGCAACTATCGTAAGAGCTGAGGTAAATGGTTGAATGCAGATGCCCTGCACAAAGTGCTCACCATTGGAGACATATAAGGTGATGCATCTTCAGCGCAAGCGTTCAAAGAAGGGTCCAGAATACGGTCCCATAGTTTCGGTGGTCATTGAAGAGGCGGCTGTAGAAGTGTCGCTTTTCGATGTTTGCTTGGATCTGGTGGTCTGGGTAGATAGTCTGATAGCGGCCCTGCTGTGAAGGAAAGAACAGTCTATCGCAATTGGCCATTATCTGGAGATATGGATCACTGCTGTCTGTTGGCTTGCGATCGCATTTGAATCGACAAAGAGGGAAGGGGAATTGGATTCGGAGACATCAGAGACCCTGAGGTGCATTTAGACTGGCAATTGAGAACCCTTTGCGCGCAAGCTCGTGATGCCTGCAGAAGTGAAATGATTTCGGCGGTTCGTCGAGTGCCAAGGCGCTCCACCTACCGAGAGTCTTCACCAAAACCATGAATAGCCTCCAAATTAGTACTAGTGGATACTAAATTGAGCTACCTCGATAAAGGAGCCTATTAATTGGTGGTTGCGTATTCGGGTGGGTCCCTCCTTTAACAGAGGGGTTGCTATGACAAGTGAAAAACATGTTGGACATATATTTTACAGGAGTACTACACTTATTACCACCATTTGGAAGCAAAGTGTGCTTGCTTCCACACTGAAATACAGCTCTGAGTCTAGGCCTGTGGGTAGGATGGTGACAGTAGTGCTCCTGGCCGTCATCTCATTCTCAACACATCACTCATAGGCTATTTAGCATTCACACACTTTTTTTTTTGGGATTCATTTCCCAAAGGGTGACTATTTGTTATTTTGCTTAGTTGCAGCTATGTGTAGCCAACTTTTCTTTTTGAGGCATTCACTCGGATCCGCCGAGGCCGCTCTTTGTTGCCACAATGCTTTCTTGGTGCTCCTTGGCAGATCATAGACATTTCGTAAGGCACAAGTGCCTCACCGGCATCCTAGGTACATTCAGAGGCTTCATGCAGACATTTATAGAGTCCCTAGTAGCGCTGAACATAGCGTGAACGTCAGAAGAACGTAAACTGCTGTACCAACGCAATATAAGCTTGAACTTTAAATACGGTAGTTGAATACTGTGTCCTTTCCTGCCTATAGTATTTACCTTGCTGCAATTTTCTCCTCTTTCTCCCCCTACCTATGAGAGTGTAAGCACACGCGATATCGATTCCGAGTAAAGTCGCACAGCAGATTCACTTGATCCCGATTTTGATTCCACGTCCCATCGCAATCTTGTATCCCCTCAATTTCTGAAGCCTCTTAACCCTCGGCTATTTGGTATACGCGTACATGACGACATTCTACACTCACCTTAGTGCCATCCGTAGTATTCAACCCACTATACAGGCTGATAGACCTGAATGCCTCGGATGAGCCAGAAAGTTTCTTTGAATGCTTGCGGATTGTTGGCCACATAGTCTTGACAAGTTGGTGCCAACGCTGCGCACCCGGAGCCCGACCACTCTTCATTGGTCCAGTCTCCGCATAGAGCAGTGTTAATGACGATACTCAGGTTGGAAAAGTATTCGGATAGTGAGCTCCCGTTTGCGGACATGAAATGGGCGTCGGGAGTTCTCCAGGTTCCCGGACTGGGATTGCCACTGAAAGCGTCCGAAGGTACCTCATCACGCGCAAAATTCCAGATGGAGATCCAACCGGGGGCGAATTCGGTTGCCACGACTCCTCCGCCGTTATCGTTGAATGCCTTTCCGAAGGAGTTGTTTGAACCTGACACTGCACAGCCGGGATTTCCAGGAACATCAGCACTGCAATCAAGGCTTGTGAATGCCCCCCGCATCTGCATTTGAGTGGCATTCGCAACACTCGGATCTGAGATGTTCGAGATGGTGAGGTGTGCTTTCGTATGAAGGACCATCTTATTGACGGGCTGAAGCGAAATTCCTTCCATGATATCAATCTCCCCATCATCTGGCCACTTTGGCCCTACCAGCCAGTAGGCCGGCCATGACCCGCAAATACCTCCAGGCATATGCATGATGTCGGCGATATGCAAGGAATAGTTGAAGAAATCCTTAGATTGAATGCGTGTAGACTGCCTGCCATTCGGAGCCATATTAGAAGAGTCGACCCCAAGATAGATCACATTCTCGAAAACGTCGTTAGACGCGAAGCCTGCCAATCCAGTACTATTAGCCCCGGCCAAGTCCTGGTACTTAACGAACCCATGCGTCGGATCTGGGTCTGAGAAGAAGTCAAATTGATCGAAGAAGTCTGGGCCGGTGTAATTTCTTGAGAGTTGGTATTGCAAAGCTTGCGAAGCTCCAATAAAGAGTCCGACAAGTCGAGATGCGACAGACCGCATTGTGTCCAGAGTTTTGGGAAGAGAGTCCTCAGGTCTTGTGATGGTGCTGGTGGCGGATGTGGCAGCAATGATAGGTGGTTTATGATTTTGAAACTCGCTAGAAGGAATTTGGGGGATGCTGTCTGCCTGTGAAAAGAAACATACCTTCGAAATTGCGGTAGACATATAAAGCCTGCACAGAGAACAAAGACTGTCACAAGGCAGTACAAAGCACTGCGGAACATAGGAGTGTGATCTAGAGTGATAATGAGAGAGGTTCCATTGTCGAACTGCCTTGTCGAAAGCTTTGTATCAGACAAGAGGTCATCTGAACAAAGCAGCTGTTGTCCAAAGCAAACGATATCGCTCTTATGATCAAATGCGAAATCGGAGCAGGTTTATTCAGGGAATTTTGTTCCCTGAAAAGGGAAGCTGTTGCTTTCTCTTCCCAGCATCCACAACCCACTGTAGCGCACCACCGTTGGTATTCAACCCCATGTGACGCGAGCGGATATACGTAATTGACATATTCCATGATGTTGGTCGTTAGTTTGGACGTGAAGAGAATATTGTAGTGCGTGCCAAAGCCTGGACTCTTCCCCGCACTCAACTTCACCGACATCGAAGACGAGGGCATGTATCGCAACACCGTTAGCTGACAAACCGGGGATGGTAGTGAAGAGGAAATCAGGGAGCACATGACCTCGTGTTCTTCGTCTTCCTAGCGCGTCGGCGTGACCATCCACAGCCCAACTCGCTAGTAGCCTTGGCAGAAATATATATCCAGCCTGTGCCCCCAGGAGCGCCAACCTTTGGTTCCAAGTTTTCTTCACTTCACTTCTTTTCTCACACATATGAGATCCACTTTTCAGTGCTTTATATGTTATCATGGTGAAATATCTCATAACAATTGATCGGATCCTACCTGCATCAAGCAACCTAACTATAAATCCAAGAGTTGGGTTGCCACAACGCGGGCTCAAAGTACCACCTTGGTTACTACAGGAACTTGATTAGGTAACCCATCATTGTTACCCACCACACCACACCACAAATAAGGCCTCAGATCAGCGAGAGATGGGGGAGGGTGATCATGGGGTTGAGCGCTCAGGAGGAAGAAAGAGGAGGGGGTTTGAGCAGGAGGGGTCCGCGACGAGAGGGGAGAAGGATTCGAGTTCGAGTCCGGGAGTTGACAAAAAAAAAACATCCTTAGCGGGGTTTTCTCACAAGTTGAGTTTTTGCTCCATTGAATTTTTGAATCTTTTGCTTTAGTCATTATGGGATGGTGGAACTACTGTTGACTGTCTTGGCAGATACCCAAGGAACCTAAGGTGAGAGGTGCCGTGTCTGTGAGAAAGCCTACAGGGCGGCTACTTACACGATCAACTTAGAGACTACTTCGAATGTCTGGCATCTGTGATCTTCCCCTCCGGAAGACTTCCTTTGACTGCAATAGCTTTGTCCAAAATCTGTACCCCAACGTCCATTGGAATTCAAACTCTATGAGCGTTTGCGAAGAGACTGACAAAAGGCAAGATCCAGCCAGCTGCATTCCAATGAGAAGTTCTGCTCTTTGACACTCGGGACCCGCATGCTTTGAGGGCTGTATTCGAGGCAACTTGATCATCGCGAGGGGTGTCGAATGCAAGGCTTTCGAGACCGCAACCGCAGGTAAGCTAAGGAGTAAATAAGCGTCACGTCCTGATATTAGCTGTGCTTGTGGAGTGAGGTGGCTTACGAGAGCATGCAAGTGGCAGATGGGAATGATGGACCGTATCGAGAATTGGTCGCAGCATCATGCTCTCGTCGTGCCACGGAGTTGTATCCCTGCAGGTGTTAGGGGTGACCTCAACACAAGGCACAAGCCGAAATTTAGATGATGTTTGATGGATCCAGCAGCATTCATCTCATTCCAGATGCGTACTTTAGCCTCGCTGATAGTCTGTCATGGCTCCGCCTTGCGGCTTGCGGTTGACGTCCGGTGGCTCGAGATCGTATGTATACATGTTGCCCGGGTCAAACTTCTCTTTTCCTGCACCATAAGACATATTTGCTGCTCTTTGCTCTGGAGGTAAAGATGAGCCACGCGAGGTTGATGGGGGATCAAACTCAAATTTTGCCGCTGCCTCTTCCACCCAGACTTCCATTTGGAGCTCTCCGGCTTCAACACGGCGAACTGGATGTGTTTGCGGAGAGAGAGAGGTTGTTCCTTTATCATTTCCTTGTGATGCTGGGGCTGAAGACGATGGATCATTCGACAGAAATGGCTGTGGTTCGGCAGCTATCCACTTCCGCTCTTCCTGGTCGATCCGGCCAACAGGTCGGTCAGCCTGATCTTTAACTTCCATGGCCAACGTGAAACTGCATTCGGTAGCACCGGGTCCTTCTGGGAGAGGCCTGAGGCGCGCCGCTGATGTGCTAATCCGAGACAAGGTGGCGCGGAAGTTCGCTTCCAGGTCGGCCAGGTTGAGGTGGTGACTCAGTCGATCGTTGTCCTCTGATGGACTGGACTCGAATGGGATGTCTACCTCACCTCTAGCGACGGAAGGGAAGGAACGGAGATCAAATGTCCAACGCTCGAGGACACGGTTGCTGTCACACTCGTAGATGCAAAGCAAGACCTTTTCGACAACGTTCTTTTCGAGTTGGTCACGGATTGCGGAGACGGCATCGTTGACCCACGCACAGACAGCGGGGTGCCGGTTCTGACGAACAGGATAGTTATAAGCCCTAGCGGAGAGAAACGAGACTGGTGGGTAAAGTCGGCGAAGGTAGAGGATGTGGTGCGTTGTGACGGTGAGGAAAGATGTGAGTGTGTCTAGCAGGGCACGACGCGTAGATAGGAAATTTGAGACTGTAGTTGGGTTTGGCGGAGGGCCGGCCATGTTGATATTGTGCCAAACACTTTCGGCTAGGAGTCCGCAAGGAGGTACTTCGGCTCCGGGATGTGCTGAAGTAGTGAAGGGGGATACTACTGTGCAGAACGGCGAGCTAACGGAGGAATGGAGTCGCGAATGAAGTCAAAAAGGTGCAAACACGCCAAGCATCTCACTTTTGTTTTGAGTTTCCGTCTTCCGCTCCGCTTCCATTTCTTCCAAGGTTTTTTCCCTCTGGTATTATCACTCCAACTGCCCTGGCTCGCCCATACAACCTCCCGCAGAAACATTCTCTCATGCCATTTCCCAACCCGCAAGAATGCTACCATCCTATCCCTGAGGTGTTGGAAGTAATCTTGGTCCCCATTATGCGTCACGGATCATCCGTCCGACTCGCGGCCTACGCCACCTGCCGCATGCGCGTTCCTCCCGCAACACGAGCATTCCAGCTTCAATGCATGGCAGCGGGGCTTTGATCTGATGAAGATTTATTTGCGCGCCATCTGATTGATGGCGGCCGCAGCACTAATTATGGTTTCATTCTTCAGCTCGCGAATCTTGAGGTTGTCCAGCACCCGTCCGTTGTCCGGCAAGGCTTCAGACCTCGTCAGGTCCCTTATTGCTTTCTTGTCCAACGTATCCATTCTCTCATATCAGCTTTCTGTTCCCATCTAGCCCTTCCCTCGCAGTTGTTGCTTTCCTCGTTCCAGTCACTTATTTGCCCTCAGGTGAGGCATCCCATTTCTTCCAGAACGGCTTCCCTTGAGATCCTTGGAGTTTGGGTTTTGATTTTGCTATCCTTGTTGGCCATTAATACTGCCGCAGCCTATATTTCAAGTACCGTAGAGGAAAGAGGCTTAAAGCGGTCAACGCCGGGCAATCTTCGAGACATTTTTCGCAGAGGACACCAGAACTGCTCCGTCGAAGTCATTGTCACCAAAATATATCTCTTGGTCTCAGGAAGCAAGCACCATGTCGCTCAATGCCGGCTGGTAAATCGAGTCTTCACAGATCCACATGGATTATTATTTTCACGCGAAGACCACGCGAAGACCACACGGAGGGTGTATGATTACCTCACGCTCGACATCACCAATGCACCAACAAAAATCAATACTGTGTATACTGGAACGAGCTCCATGCTGGTAACACAATCCAACCAGAATCCCCAAGTCCCCCTAGCACATATAACGTGAGCACCCAGAGACTCTACTTCGACCAATTACTTACTGCCAAGGCCACTCAGCTCCCTCTTTCTCGTACGTGGAGAGTTGCTCGGTCACGCGGTCCATGATGGTCCTTGAGCAGCAAGGCAACAACCGCTTCAAGAAGCGCCAGGAAAACGTGTATCTCAGCGGGTCGGGCCAAGCTACAGATAGTTGTCAAAATGCAGTGGTTCACGATCTGGTCAATGGACAGCTCTTCGCGAACTCGAATGCGGGCGCTTTACAATTTGGCACCACATCCGGCACGACATATGCGAACTTTACAGCAACTTCCAATCCTGGAGACAGCACCACTGCCTTTTCAGTCGACATTCAAAAAAAAACCTCATGTGGAGTAATTCTGCGTTTTACAACAACAGGGCAAGGTTCTGTGTGCTCTCTGACAATTCAATAGTGGCTGTCTTTGGCGACCCAATGCTGGCCACCCAATGCTGGCGCCTAATGATTGGCTTTTCGTGAGCTTGAGCATGACAAGAGTCACTACATGCGCTGCAGCCGTGGGCGCACCAGAGTTGAGCGGACCTTCTGGTAAGACCGAATCATGCCAGTTCTTATGAGGCTGATGATCTCACAGGACCATCAGGGAAAGTGGGCTTTATATTCATCGATCTTTGTGCTGTGTATGGATCCTACAGAGCTCAGCTTTGGTCCGGACGGCGATTCGATGCGACTACCGAAGCCCAGTCTCTGAGAGCGCACAATGTTATGGGTGTGCTTATGCTGATTCCTTCTTTTTGGTAGTCCCACGGGCGTGCCTGGTGCAACTGGTAAGCACAAACCCTGCCCAACACCTTTTCGGCGTCTATACGTTCACGGATAGACTAACAATATCCGCTAAGGTGCACAAGGACCACAAGGTACCATCCCTCACCACAATTACATGCATTGCTTTGCTCGCGCCAGAAAGATCAAAACAACACTAGATTGAGACCAAACCATGCCACAGAAAAGGATTCCGGGCTTACCATTCTAAAAGGGGCATCTTTAGTGGAAGGCGTCGCATGATGACTGAGATCCTGATTCTCTATACAGTGCTTCTTATCGATCCTGCTTGGCTCCTTTACCCTCACTTAACATTCAGTGAACGAGAAATCCGCTGACTGAAACTTCGATCTACAGGATTGCAGGGAAGCCAGGGTATTCCTGGCCCGACCGGAGCTACCGGTAAGTCACTCTGGAAAAACGAATTCACGATTTAAGAAGCTCTTGTCTTCCATTTCTCGAACCTAGCCACTCCTTTTTGTTCTAGGAGCTGTGGGGTCGCCTTCGGGTGCGTCAGATCTTCCAGATGCCACCGGCCCGTCAGGTCCGTCAGGTCCCCAGGGTCCTCAAGGTGCTGTCGATATAACAGGTCTTTTAGGTCTTTTAGGTCTGTCAGGTCTGTCAGGTCCTTCACTGTCCGGTCTTCCAGGTGCCACCGGCGCAGCTGGCCCATCGGGTCCCTCAGGTCCGTCCGGTCCGTCCGGTCCCGCGGGGCCGACTGGTGCAACAGGACAGAAAGGCGCGGATTCGATCCAATTCGCCTCTCTGGGATGTTGGGCGCAGAGCTGCAACTCTGCCGGCACATGTGTCGCTCTGGGTAACTATAGCACAAACGGCGGCTTCAATTCTACACTCACAGGCAGTTCAACCGCCAATATCGATGCGCAATGCGCAAGCATCTGTATAACCGAGAACGGCGCCAACTTTTTCGGCACAGTCAGCGCTTCGTCAGGAGCCACAGCTGATTGTTACTGCGGCTCTGCAATCACTAGGTCTACGAGTTTGACGTCCAACTGCGTGCCGTGCTATGACCAGAGCGTGGGGCTCTGCGGGAAATATCAGATGTCAATTGCAGTCTATGCAAGGGCTTTCTAGGGTGACTGGCGATATTTCGGTCGAGGAATTGACATGGTAGGTTGGGGACTACTCTCAACGCTTTTCGCGGGAATTAGGGCGACTGTGGGGATTTTGTCTTCGGAGGTTGTTTGCGCCAGAACAATGTATTTTCTGTGTCGTCGCGACTTTTGATATGGAGGACTGGCCGCCATGGCTTTTGGTGTGCGAGATGTCCAACGACTCTGTCTCGATCGGGGACATGGAACTAATGTAATAATTAAATCGGCATGGCGAAATCGAAGGGAACCGCGTGGAAGATCCGGCTACATATGGGAAACGGGATCATAGTAAGAAGCACTGAAGGGCTACACCCTTTGCGACATCATAGATACGAACCGATACCTCGTAAAGAGCATGTGTTGTGCCACAGAATACACCGTACAGTTAGGAAAGCTCGGCCTCGAGGGTCCGAATTAACTGTTCGATCTAGCACACAATACTCCGGTGGAATCAGTGCCTTGGTACACGTGTAGCCAGCTGCAAGGCTGCGAGAATCCCCTACAAGTCCCCCGGAGGTTGTTCGGACCGTCGGCGCGTCTTGGCTCTACGGGGATGGTGACGTCGTGCAACGCATATGGGTGTATTTCCTGAAGCGCAAGTAACATTCAGCTCGAGTTGTGAAGTCTTTGTTAAAGGGACCCGAGATTTCCGTTCGAAGCGTCGGCCATGACAGGCTGTCGATAACGAAACATGGGGGAAAGGAGCCTGATCTTCTCCCAGTGATATGTTCGCACGGAGCCAAGGTGTCATCCATTTCGTGTCCTAACATTCGTACATTTCATTTGGTCTTTTTGATGTGTCCATTTGCACTCCCATTTACAGTGCCATGTGAAGTCCCATTCGCAGTCCCGTTGGCACTCCCATTGGCAGCAATAGTACCGTTTCCCTTCCTTTTCCCTTCTCCCGGCGGATTAGAGACTCGAACAACTTCCGGCAGTGTAAAGATGCTAGGCCAGACCATCTGGAAGTGTTCTTGATCCCCGTTCAGAATGTGTCGCAGGTGTATGCCCCATACAATGTAGCAATAAGCGCCAATTCCAGTCATAAGATGCCACCAGCCATGTCCTTCCAGGAGGAAGCCCCAGGGCATGCCAACACTCCGCCTCCAACGTATCAAGGTAGAACAGTAGAGGTTGTCAAGATTCCAGATGTAGAAGCCGCCAAGGAAGATGCTCACCCCAAACGCCACGAGGCACCACATGGTCCTTAGTATTTCCAGGTCTCTCTCATTCTCATACGCCTGTTGTTCTCTCGAGATGTCCACAGGCATCCCTGACCTTTCTCGCTCCAGACGGTGTCTCTCTTCCGACTTCCGCAAGGACGGTCGCAGACTCGTTTCCATACTGTAGACACTGCGAAAAACGATGAAAACAGTCAACAGAGCGTAGACAGTCTGGTGGAATACGGGATCTTGAAGGTAGTGGTAGTAGGCGGTGATGAAGGCGCAGAAAAGCACCAAGAAGACGCCGAGATAGATTTGGGTCTTTTTGGTTTGCGAGTAGGAGAGCGAGGCGTAGGCCATGAGACAAGTGGTGTAGATCATGTTGAGTTCGTCGACCAACTGCCACGGATCTGGAGACGGGGGAATGGGTCAGGTTCACTGATCAAAATGGGAAGCACTTGACCTTTGCGTTCGTGGGGACTCACATTTCAAAGTGGTATGGAACATGAAGCTGCCAAATCCAACAAGGAAATATCCAAAATATGCCACTTCAAAGACAGCATCATGCCCATGTTTCCTGCAGCTTTGAACGCCCTTATATGCTAGGTAAATGAACATCAAGTTGGTCAAGGTATTGATGATCTCGGCAGAGTAGTACGTGGCGTAGTAGTCCTTCTCATGTCAGTCCCGACAATTCGGTATGCTCTGAACCGGATAGATTGCCTTCGTACCTCCTCGCACCATTGCAGAGTGCTCGTGACGGGATGCCAGTACCCCGGCTGGCCTGGTGGGGGGTATGGAATGGAGGGGAGCCATGAAGCCATTCTGGCAACAGGGGGTGGCGCAGTACAGCTTCGCGGGTATCTCGAGGCTTGGGATCAAGGAGATAACATAGTGACAGAGAAGTACTTTCCGGAGTCTTTAAGAGGTATAGACTCCTGCCAGTTGCACGGAGTAAGGAGTTGACTGCGGATGCGGATGGAAGGGGTGGGTTTCGCAGTTGAGCATACGGAAGTGCTTACAACGCACAAAAATGGTCGCAGTGGAGCTGGGGCGATAAAAACTTGTTCAACTTGTTTATCTTAGGGGGCGGACAAATGACGTCGCCTGGCCCAATCCAGCCATGACAAGCAGCTAAGCAGCTAAGCGGACCGAAGGGGAGAAGCCTCAGGCAGATCATTTGCTGCCCTGACACGTGAAGAGGTGCCTGGGAGGTGCAGGCCGAGAGGCGAGCAGGCCCTGAACCGCCCAAGCCCGTCCGACGGAGATCCTAGCACCCGCTGGTGCCTAGACTGCGGAATGCCGAAGCCTAGGTAAAACATGACCAGCCGGGCAGGCGCGTGTCGTCCCAGCAAGCAGGTTATCCCTGGGCGCGGGCGCGGGCGCGGATAACTGTCATCCTTTACCCAGTAAGTTTCTCGGTGCTAGTAACCGGACTGAGGCTCAAAACCGAACTTCATCTTCAACCATCTCGCACTCAACACTCGTTCAACATGGCCATTCCCAATGCTGCATTGCAAAAGGTCTGTTTTTGCCGCGCGCCAATTCGTCATTTGCCGCTCACCACGTGCAGTTGCTTCAAGAAGTCGAGACTCAAGCGGTGCTTTCCCAGCAGAAAATCACGCAGACGCAGGCAGAGCTCAACGCCAAACGGCGAGATGCCCGACTCAATCAACTGACATCCAATGAGCTGAGATCCCTGTCTCAAGACACCAATGTCTATGAAGGAGTCGGAAAAATGTATGCAGCCCTCGGCCAAAGACCCAAACACCTGCTAGTTACCTGACACTACTGGCTCTCAGGTTCATTGCTGTCCCTGCGACGACCCTGAATAAGCGTCTGGCATCTGAAGCGGCCGCTCTGAGCAAGGATATCACGGAATTGGAGAAGAAATTGCACTACCAAGAGACGACATACAAGAACAGTCGACAACACATTGAGAAGATCTTGCAGACTGGTGGTCGATCATAATGTCACCCCTTCAACAACGACCTCCGCGCGTGTGTGGTTTCTACTAAAAATCAAAGCTGCCCGAAAGCCAATCCATCCATTGTACCTTGCCTGGAAGAGCCAGGTCACCAGCATTCCACCCTGCGACATTTCCCCCAGAAGACCGGGCTTTGATGAAATTGAATCGATTGGTTGTTGCATCGCGCAATGCCCGATGGAAAGACAAACAGGCAAATATGGCAAGAAGAATTCCGACACGAGAGGCACTTGTGTTGAATTCTGTCTTTGTAAGCAATGTCGTTACTCGTGCTGGCGGCCGAGATTTTGGACCCATTGCCTCTCTAGACATGTGTCTATGTGTCTGTCATAGGCATCTGCGTCTTTTTCAGACTCCCTGGCAAAGGATCTTAGCTAACCCAACAGACGAAAAGACTGTTGAGCAATCGGGAGATGGCCGCCATGGCCCAGCTAACACGATTGAGCTTGCCTCAGGCGGTAGTAGCTGGTAACTCTGACACCTGTGGGGAGACAAGTTCGAATTTACGGTGTGTCACGGGGACTATCGGACAGTCTTGGAGCCTCAAAAGGCGAGCAAAAGATCACTATTTACACCAACCTAAGCAGATCGAATGACGCATGCTTCGCCAGCCGTGAATTTCAGGCCTCCATGGCCCGAAACTTTCAGTGTCTCGTTACCGCCGATTGCTTTGGTCTAGGGGTTCAAACTTGGACGAACTTTTAGTGCATTCTATATACTGAACATAGATATCCGCCCCTTTTCCAATCGCCAGACATAGCAGTCAGGAATTCGTGTCCAGGAGAATTCTCAAACAGCTCTCAGACTATTGCACACGAGAGGACCTGCGGTACGACCTCGTGATTTGTTTCAGACGGCGTGGCCACGGCTATACGAGCCTGAAACCGCATTTGACAACGATCATTGGGTCGGCCGGGTTTGGACTGACTCAATTATTGGCAGCATACCATACCTGACAGCCGACCCTTTTCGTTCGCTGGCCCCCAACCTTGGTTTTGTGGGTTGCGATCCAGGCTTAGATTGGCAGCGCTGGCTTGCAGCACGAAAACGATAAAGCAAGCAGCCTCCCCACCACAAGCTGAATCAGAGTGCCAGATTTTTCTTCTTCACTTTTTGTCACTACCTCCAGGTGACGAAGACCAACACCATCGCTGCCCGTTTGGAGGCTCGTCTGGCAGTTCGGACCTTATCTCTTCGACTACATCGTTACGCCCGGAGACCCCATTGCAATCGGACGATTACCCCACCGCCACCTCCCCGACCATTTAATTCGTACCCTTGTGCTAGGGCTGAAAGAGCGCTCATTGGAGGGGTACGGCCACAATCGAAACATGGCCTACTCACGACGCTCGTCAGGCTCTGACCGTGAATATGTGTTGATGCCGGTGCACAGTGTTGCAGGCAGTGAATATGGAGGACGAGGCCGTCGAGTCTACGATCCACCCATTGAGGTCAACAATTTCCTCGAGGTGCCACAAAACCGCCCTCGTGCTTCGAGCCAAGGCGCAGGCGTGGCACCTACAATTGTCAATATAGGTGCTGGTGCCCTCTCCGAGCGAGGCGATCGTGACCGCGACCGCTCCCGCGACCGTGATCACAGCCGAAGTCGAAGCCGTCACCGCGATTACCGTCACCACCGATACCGAGACGGATCTTCCAGTTCCAGTTGCTCCAGCGACCGTTCAAGATCACGACATCGCCGTCCCAGCAAGAAAGAGAAAGAGCCAGAGCCAAAGCCAAAGCCAAAGCCAATCGAGGAAGACGATCTACCTTACAAATTCAGAAAAGAACTCGACTTCGCCCGTATGTCACACCGAGACGAGGAAGAGAAGAGGATCCAAGATCGGATAAAGAGGGATCGGGAGGAAGAAAAGAGACGATGGAAGCTAGAAGAGGAGGAAGAAGCCATACGCAAGAAGAGGGAAAGAGAAGCTATCCTCTATGAAGCCAAGTTGGAGGATGAGCGGAGGAAGAAGGAGCAGGAGGAATTGAGGAAGAAGATTCTCCGGGATGAGGAGGAGCGTCAACAGAAGGAGAAGGAGAAGAAGAAGGTCGAGGAGGAGGAGTTTGAGAGGAAGGTCAAGGAGAAGTTCATGAATGCTGGTATGCGCAGGCCCTATCGCCACTCTTACGATTACTATTAGTCGTCTCTGGCCACGCATAGATCTCGACGGGTTTTGCGATGGTTCCAGGATGAAGGTCATTCCTTTTGGGGGATGATTCTAGTTGATTGGTAATGGGTTGATTGTGGATTGAGCAAGAGGCTAATCTGTGTCGCTCTTTTGGGGAATTACAGGTTACAGCCCAGAGTACATCAACGAAGTGCTCCACAAGAAGAAAGCCGAGCGTGCCACGCTGGCTATCGACCTCCACCGTCCGACCTACATTAAAGTCAACCGCAAGTACCTCCTTCCCGACACGCTTGATCATTATGGGTTGCCTTGGGAGTGGGATCCGGTATGTACAACACCGTTTTTCTTACAGGCCACACGAGTTGCCTTCTCCCGGGTTTTTGCATTCGCTTTGTCCTCTCCTCCTACCTTTACCAGAGCACAGGGAGTTCTGCGTCACCAATTGGGCGTCGCTGTTTTGCTAATTCTCCGGCTTTGTCATTTACAGCGCGACGAAGAATTTATCATCATCAAGAAATACATCGACCATTCGCTGCAAGACGAATTATTCGAACACACGCGCAAAATCAAGGAGAGGAAACTCATTACCGGACCGTACATCAAGGAGACTAAGACGATCACGACTCTCACGCCGAACGAGCACAGTTTTGTGAAGAAAGGAGACAGGATGTATGTGGTCCGGGAGAAGAGCAAGAGTCGCAGTCCCTCTGGGAAGAGGACGAGCTGGATGTTTACCTGAGACGAATGAAGAACGGGTCAAGTATGAAACGGTATGAAGAGGAATGAGGATTGTGGTTTCCCGAGAGCGAAGATTTGGGGATCGGGTGTGACCACTGGGAACGGTTGCTACGACGAAGACGACGACGATGGCGATGATGGTACAGGGTGGACGACTTCAACTTATGCAAACGAAAGACGAAGTAATGAAATAAACGAATCGCACTGCATGGTGATCCACAGACCGGGTTTGTTCAGTTTGATCGGGGCCAGTTATATACTCTGCTCAGATAGTGATGATCCCATTTCAGGTTTTTTGAATACAGACAAACAGAATACAAGAACAGCGCAGCGAGATTGTACCTTTCGAATTTTTCCACGCATTGTCGTACAAGAAGCACGGAAGACAAATAAACTACGAAAGGATAAGCATGTACATGAATACCGCCAAGTCAGTCCCATCGGGGGATTCCAGCCTGGACCAGAGAAATAGTCCCGAGTACCGACTACTGTCGCAGAAATGAGAAAGGATGGGGGCGCAATTCCCAGTCCACTTTAACGCTTGTGTGTGAGAGATATGCACGGAGTCTTCCGTGATCAATACAGTAGGTACAGTACTTGGGTGCCTGGGTAGGGCATGTGTGAGTAAGCGGTTCAGAGGCGGTGGTCAGCGGGTGGGCCGTGGGCGGTAGTCAGTCAGAGTCAGGGTCAGAGGAAGCAGGAGGAGGAGGAGGAGGAGGAGGAGGAGGGGCAAGCGCATCATCGATTTTGGACATCAAGCAACATGCACATATGGAAGGAGGAGTCCAAGGAGGTATACGTACAAGCAGCACGAGAGAGGTACGCAGCTACATAGAGGTCAAGCTCAAGGTCAAGGCCGGGCTAAAGTTATTAACCTTGTTCTTATCAGACAGATAGATAGATCCCTAGGTACTGTATGTATGTACATACATAAGTACATAGGCACTTATCTAGACTCGTATAGTATACTGTACTTTGGACACCATCAGTCACTCGTGGTGGCGGGCACGAGATACTACTTGTTAGTAACAAAGTACAGTCATCTTGGCTGCCGAGCTTTATCCTCTTCGCCCATCTTGAGTCAGGCGACCCGGAAATCTTAAACATCCAAGGTTTGTGCCTGTTGTTTTGGGCGGATGAGTAAGGCAAGGCAAGGGAAGGGAAGGGAAGGGAAGGGAAATGCCCCGACCTAGGATCGAGCCGCTTTGGTGGTGGTGGCGCCAACCATGGAGAGAAGAGGGGGGGTGGTGACGAGTGAACCAGGTCAAGCCGGGGTTTCTTTTCTCATCAGCAGCAGCAGCACCACCACTACCACCACCAGAGGTCGAGAGCGTGGGAGGCCGTGCAGGAGCTCAACCGCAGAGAGGGGATGGACTGTGGACCACTGGCATTTCCTACTGGCGGCCAGGCTCGTCGGCCTGCAGGCTCTCTGGGTTTACTTAGGTACGTACCTTGTGGAGCTCGACAAGCGGCGGGCATGATTGGGGCAGCGAGGAGCTGGAATATTATGGAGCAGTCTGGACCTCCAACTATTCGCCTCTGATCTCTCTGGTCCTCTCGACCTCTCTGCCTTGTACCTGTCGTCTTGTCCCTCCCCTTCCTTTGGCCCTCTTAGCTCTGATCAGCGGTTGGACTTGGTAACTAGGGGGTGATCAACATTGTTCGATGAATGGATGGATGGTGGACGACTTTTTTTCCCTCGCAGATGAAGATCTCCTGAGATCTGCCAAAGTAGACCAAGTATCTATAAGATATATATTTACTCCGGTACCCGGTGGTACCCAGTACACGCGCTCGTCCTTACAAGATGGCCGTGGTACCTCATTCGCCACAGTAACTCTGCTCGGGACTGGGCCTGGGGCTGGGTGCTTGTACCTTGTACCTTGTACCTTTTGTACCTCCAGCCCAAACGGTACATACCACTGGAACTCCACGGGTTGATGGCTCGAAGCAAAAAAAGCTTGACAGAGCCCAACACCCCACCTGAGTGGCGATTTTTTCACTGCTGGGACATGAAACTCGAGCTCAGACTTCCCTGCTGGGTAGTCAGATGTCCTGATCTGGAGAGGTACATGCACCTGCGTGCATGGTGCGCGGCGCCGGGGACTCTGCCAGAGAAACGGCCGGTGGAGGCCAAGGTGAGGGGTGGAGAATGGGATAGGATAAGGATAGGATGGGTACAAAGTAGGTACGTGCGAGGAGGGGGGGAAGAGGGGAGGGGGGGGAGAGGGGGCCAGACGGGACACAGCCAGAGAAAAGGGTGGCGAATTGCGAAGAGAGGGAGAAAAGGGAGACAAAAGGAGGGGAAGTGACTTTCGAGTCTGAGAGTCGAGAGACGATTCGAGCCACTGACTGCGATGAATGGATTCAACTTCCCCCGACTGGCAGCGCCCGACGGTTTCACGGCTTTGCTTGTCCGTCTGACTAACCCCGTCTATCTCTTTGCCTTTCACTAAGGCTTGTGTAAACAGAGAACTGGTGGGAGAAGACACATGAACTGCTTTGTCCAATGCGTAGTCTAACAACTTTTAATGCTTTTGATTGTTGTTTCGTAACTCGTCATGTCTGATTATTTCTTGCCGTCTGGATCTGGCCATCTGCTGCAGGCACAAAGGAGAACAAAAACATGCAAGGCTATCATTGTCGATCCCTCTCGGTATGCCTCCCAATTCAACCCCAGCTGTGGGAGTAGAGGGTGTAAATGCCATGGAGATCAAGCCCCAAGATCCTTGTGTTCCATCCAATACATGTCCCATATACTCTCGTCATTTCCCCCTCGTTGTTTGAGGTCTCTCAGACAGCATGCCCTTGTGTCATGGCAGGATGACGTGCCAAATCCGGCCGGCTGAGTTCAGGACTCCGAGCATATCGCTCACTCTTGGGACTTTGGCTGTACTTCGAACTGGCCGCACCGGGACTCTGCGCTGTTCGGGCCAGGGGCTGGTCTTGCGGGAAAGGACTGGAAATGGCCAGGTGCATTTTTGGTGTCTCGGCCATGTTGGACCGCTCCGTGTTCTTGCGAGAGTAATACGAGGGCAGGGAATCTCTTTTGCCCAGGAAGAAGGACCGATAGTGACTTTTCCGACTCGGAGGTTTCGGAGTAGAAGCTTCCACGTCGGCTTTGTGGGATGCCACGGCGCCGTGAGACCGCACTTGCCGAGCGGTGAGATGCGCTTTGGTATCCCTGAAAATATAGCTCTGCGACAAACGTATTAGAGACGGGTTCCTCTGTGAATCCTTGCCGCCAGTTCACTTACGGCAAAGAGGTTGATAAAGCCCATCACAAACACAATGATTCCTGCCGCAATCACAAGCCGCCAGAAGGGCAGACCCAGACTTTCCTGACTTGTCGCATGTTTGTTGAGATTTCCGAGAAGACTGTTCCCCAAGAAAATCATGGCAGCCCCGAGCATGACAAAACTAGATCGAGCGCTGAAGAGAGGCCAATTCTTGGAGAAAAACGACTTGAAGAGAGAGAGCTCGGTGAGAATGAGGAATCCTGGAGTATCTTAGCACCAGGTTGCAGCCGCAACATCGCAGTGTGGAGCCCTACCGCTCATGATGACCCGAAGAACGTGCTCGCAGGCATCGAAAAAGAAGAACTTTGATACAATGAAGGTCTTGACCAGCATGACCGAACTCGCCGCTATGACGGCCAAAAGAGCGATTATGTTCATGACTCGCATGATGTTGAGCACAATGTAGCCGGCGCCGGCCAGGGTTTTGCCGAAGAAGAGCATGTTGCGGAAGAGAGGTGAAGAGATGTTGATTAACAAAAACTGGATTTCTTGATCTTGACTTTTGGGAAATTATTGCTGGGATAAAGTACCGCGATAGGGTTCAGGAGTTTGGTCCAAGAAGGTATTTGGAGGCTCAATTAACAGGCTCGAACGCTTTGATGAATAGAACAATAGGATGGCAGCAGGCTATTGAGCAGCCAGAGCATCAATAGAAGTGAATGTACACGGGGTAAAAACAGCAAAAGGCAGCAGTGACCAACACTAGAAGAGGGAGCGGCAGAAATGAACAATTCTTCCACGGCCCTTTTTGATCTTCCACTGACTGACCTCTGCGAGAATCCGAGTCTCAGAATCGCCGCTGCAATAAGCGCGAGCGCGAGATGAAACTGTAGTATCTGGGATGGATAACCCACGGGAAGGACGTGTCCATTGGCCAGATGGCGTGCACCGTCTGAGAATACTTCCTGCTCAGTTTCAGAAAGGAAGGCCCTCTTACCTGGGGCGTTATCCCGAAAGATCGAGCCAACTGATACCCAATTCAGGCCAAAATCATGCAGCAGCTGCAGATGCCATGTTTTCCTCAAGCTGGGGAGAGGGGATCAGAAAGAGTGGCTGTGGTTGAACGACGTCCAAAGGGGTGGCAGAATCTGAAACGCACTTGAGGCCCGTTTCCTTTTTCGTGGCCCTTGACGCCGGGGGCATTTCAGGTAGTGGTATGCTGCAGCCTTGTGGCCCTTTGGGAGAAACAGTCTGTCGCCGACCACAGCGGCACCGGATTGTTGACAAGATGATCAACAGCGCGAGTCAAGAGATGGTCGAGGATGTCAGTGAAGAAGCTGAAGAGAATGGCCTGAGGCTGAAATTGGCCCGAGCCCGGTGCGCGATTTCTTTTTGCCGACCAACAAACTGCGGCTCTCAGCGTGGCTCATCTCGCTCTCCCACAACCCATTCAAGGCTGCCACCAGCGGCCTTTTTTCCTTCCTCGTCTCTATACTACTCACCGACACAGAGCAACAACGCAACAACGGCTGTCTTTCGGACGCCCCGCGACTCGCGAACCTGAGACTCGACCCTCGCTTACCTGCCACAACCATGACTCGAGGCAACCAGAGAGAAAAGGCTCGTGAGAAGAACATCAAGGAGCAGTCTTCACAGGTTCGGACCATCTCTACCGAGCGTTTCGCCTCGATATAGCCGTGGGCTAAAATTTGTTGGCTACAGAAAAAGAAGAATACGCAGTCCGGGACCGAGTTCCAGCGGACAAAGGAAGCACAAGCGGCTATCATGCGAGAGAAACAAGCAAAAGGTGGGGTTATACCAGCATTGCACGCCACGTACATGAGAAGTCCATCTAACAGGTGCGACAGCGGAAGCCAAAAAGACCGAACCGGGGTCTGCCAATACAAAGAATAAATGACACGATTTGAAGCGCGCTGGAGGAGCAGCTTCGATCTGTGACTTGAGACGGCCACAGGAGCGCTTTTCGACGCTCACAACCACCTTGAAAGGCTTAGCGAGGAGTTGGCGCATGGCGCATTTGCCGAGGAGTGTTTGGAATCTGGAGTTGCCTGCGCAGTTTGGGCAGCGCTCCCACATCTTCGTCTAGCGTCGATCATGAAAGTGAACAGAGAAACACACGATCTGTCCCCCGTGCTCTTCTGTTCCGCATTGAGCTGCATCCTCATGTAATATACTATTACTGATCCATTAGTGTAATCCATGGAGGGTGCCAGGGCCAGCCCTCAAAGGGCTGTGCGGATGCGCTGTGGCCTTGTCAATGGCCAAGTGGGGGCGAGTGTACATCATGGCATGTTCTCTTCGCTCTATTGTCACGCGTTGTGGAATCCATCTACAAGGCTTGCTGATGCCTTGATCGTGGCCGAAATCATAGTCACGAGGCCGGCAAGGCTGTGCCATATTGGCCATATAACGTCACAGCCTCGTTAATCACCGGAACATCAATCTTCCGTATCCGAGTCAATCCTCTTTGATCCTCCCCGGGTTTCATAACCACCCTCCTCCCTTACTCCTATAACCACAGACCTCCAAAGACTCACCATCTATTTGTCGACATCTGACCTCTGGTAATGTGGTGTTAGATTTCTCATCCTCGGAGCAATGACGCTGTGGAGCAGGTAGGTACATTTTCCAGACCCCCCAATCCAACGCCATTTCCATCATTCCGTCGAAAAAACCCAGCGCAATCACAACGACCAGAAAAGATCAATAACATATCCGCGAGGGAACAATAAAGCATAAAGCCATTCTGGCCTCTCCTCTTCACATTCATCCTCCCCCGTGCGATCGAGTACTCCCGGGCGCTGAAGAGAGCCTACCGCACCAGACCGCCGCCTCGCCCCTTGTCGAAGCGGACCAGCCGCGGGCTGAACGCGCTCTTCGCATCCATCTGCGTCTTTCTGTACGCGTCGTGGCCCTTCAGGGGCGACGTCGTTTCTGAGCACAATATCTTCGTGGTCACGCAGTCGCGGCTGACGGTTCCTACGGACGTGCTTTTTGAGAGGCTGGCGCGGTTGCGCGAGCATGAGGTCCTATCTGTCGCCGACGAGGCTTTGAGGGCAAAATTGACTTCCCCAGCGTACGTTTCTGTCCCCCCTTTACCCTCCACCGGAAGTCTAGCAACCCTAGGATGACCACGTCCAACATCTCAATCAATTGATACTTACACGAGGCGCAATTTTGACTCAACTATTGATCGATTGACAGTCTCCGCCAACTGTACCTCCGCTTCGGGCCCGTGACGCTCCGAGACTGCCCATTCTGCCAGCCGGACGACCCGCTCTCGTACCTTTTGTACCACCTCCCGACGAACGTGCTGCTCCCGCACCTCTTGCACATCCTCGCTCTGGGCCTCGCGACCTCGGAGACTGTGGCGGGGTACGAGGCATCGACGTGGCGCCGCACGGCCGTCCTAGCCGCCCTCGTCCTCGCCGCCGCCGATCTATTCCTGACGGCGACGTACGCTCCGCCCGTGGCATCCAACATAACCGCGCCGGCGGGCACGTTCTGGATCGCATCCACGGCGCGATACCTGTCGCTGTGCGCATTCGACGCTTTGGCCGCGTTTGCCATCTACGCCTCCGCAACGGGGCGCTTCTTCTACCTTTTCCCCACAGCAACAGCCTCGATGTCCAATGCGGACCCGGACCTCGCGCGCCGCCGCACCGACGAGCTGCTCACCCAGACGAACCTGTCCCTTCAGATGGCCGCAACGAACCTGCGGGCGTACTCGATCGCGCGCAATGCCGTGGTGCGCAACCCGGCGCTGAAAGACCGCGACGACGCGTACTGGCGCACCGTGGTCGCCGTAGAGAGCAGCGGCGGCGGCTCGTCTGAGCCAGGAAGTGGCGGCGACGACGAGAGCCTGTACGAGGATGAAGAGGTCCAGGCTGCCGTGGCGAGGGCCTATGGGTCCGGAGCGATCAACATCGCGACTTTGAGAAGGGAGGCCGAAGGGTTTGTCAGGCATGCGACCAGGGGATTGGACGCTCCCGCTCCGAACAGATAGATGGATAGATTCCTGATAATAGATACATGGGCTGTCGGCTTACTTGGACGGGCAAGTTTGGGAATCATACACCCATTTGTTTCATTCATTGATTCGCGACATTTTTCAGCGTCATCATCATCATCATCATCATCATCATCATCATCATCATCATCATCATCCAGACCTGTGTATAAAACCCTGCCTGATCAATCAATCAATCAATCAATCAATCAATCAATCAGCCAACCAACCAACCAACCAATCAGTCCTCAGGCTCATCCTTGATGATAATAGCATCGTCGTCGCTCTTTTCTCTCTTGATAAAGTCCTTCTCGAGCACTCTCCTCCCATCTTTACCCATCACTTCAGTGGCAAACACCACCGTCTCCACGCCCGCGGGAACCCGCTCCTCCTCGCCCTCGGGGAGGGCATCGACGTCAATTTCCATCCCCAGGAGAGACTTCAGAATCACCTCTGCACCAGCTTTGCTCATCACCATATTCTTCTCCTTGCACCGCTCGTCGCAAATACATTCCGTACAGCCCTCGAGACAGTGGCATGCTGCAACCCTCGCGACGGCGCGTTCGAGCAGGATATCGATGAATTCAAACGCCTTTGCCGCTATCCCAGAGCCGGCAGGGCCACCTTTCGCATCGTAGAAGGTCAACCTGGCAGGTCTCTTTCGTTGAGTCTCCTTCTTTGCGAATTCTTTCAGTGCGTTTTTGCATTCGGTCCGCACGTCGCCGGGCATGCTAACAACAAACTGCGGCATAAGGGACATCAATGCGTGCTCTGCCGCGTGAATACCCGCCGCAAGATTTAGTCGCTTATCCTTGAGTATTTGCAATGCGTACTTCGGGATATCTAACCATAAGCCCTTGGAGTGAATGATGATCGGTGGATTTTCCACGGCGACCGCGTCGAGAATGCGACCTTTCTGGTCAACTTTGAAGAACCCGAACACTACCGCGTGTACTTTGATACGCCCAAAATAGGCTTTGGTGAGGGATTTGGCTGATACGCGGCGGACTTGTTCGGTTTCGATCGGATCCACGTCTGTATAGTCTCTTTGCTGTGTGGTCCAATCCACCTTGACGAGTTGAACCCGGGCAATTTTGCGTTCAGGCGAGAACTCTTTCACTATGTATGTCCGACCTTGGTGCAGGAAGATCCCTCCGTCGTACAATGTGAAGAAGGCCCGCGAGGCCTCGACTTCTTCGAGCACCACGTTCCGGCCGTGTGTGATGTCGACGACGGCAAAGTGATTGTCTTCGGTATCTCTAATGGGGACACATCTCGAGGGCAGTGGTCGAAACCTTTCGTTGCAGTGATAAAATCCCATGGGGTCATACGACAGCCGCTCCGTGCATATCTCAGCCAGCATCTTGCCCAAGAATTTTTCGTCTTCGTCTGCCTTGATAGGCATCTCGAAAGCAGCGCACTGTATATGCCCTTCCACCACAAGTTCGTTCTGTAGATCCACTTGGAGTTCACAGTTGGGTTTTGTGAAGATCTCGTCGGGATTCTGCATGTAGTACTGGTCCACAGCAAAACAGTCACCGACAAGAACAGAAAGCGAGTCTCTGTTCCGTCGACCCGCGCGGCCACTCTGTTGTCTCAGATTGGCAATGGTGTATGGAAAGCCCATTGTGACAACAGCATCAAGGGATCCGATGTCCACACCTAGCTCCAGGGCAGTGGTAGCAACGATCCCCATGAGCTTCCCACCAAACATCTCCGACTCTATGCGCCGGCGGTCTTGAGCTGAGTATCCCCCGCGATAACCCATGACCAAAGCAGCACATTCTGGTCTCTCAAGGTTTGTGAACTCGGCTTTCACTGCTGCCAGTAGGACTTCACATTGCTTTCGGACGCGACAAAAGGCAATGGTGCGAACCCCGCGAAGGATGAGATGGCAAATTAATCGGGCTGTCTCTGCGAATGCATCACCACGGCCTGACGAGGGATCGCCTGGGTCCTTGAATGGTGTATTCCAACAGATAAACTCCTTCCTCCCGGATGGAGAACCGTCAAAGTCGGTCAACTTGACTTTATCCACGCCGAATATCGTCTTCATATGCTCCTCTGGATTGGCGACGGTTGCAGAACAGGAAATGAACCTCACCCTGCGATTTCCCACCGCAGCACATATTCGCCGCAGCCGTCGCATGATGAAGGCCACATGAGCACCAAACAAACCATTATACACATGCAACTCGTCCACAACCACGAATTTCAGGTTTCGAAGGTATGTCCGCCAACCGCTCTCTTGGGGCAGAATAGTGATGTGTAACATGTCCGGATTCGTAAAGATTATGCGACCTTCATCTCGAATCCGATTTCGTTCACGCATGGGTGTGTCGCCGTCAAATGTTTCCACCATCATGTCCTCCAGGCCTGGAAGGTATTTCAGGAGCTCTTTCATGCTTCTGCGCTGATCCTGAGCAAGCGCCTTCGTCGGGAAGATATACAGGCCACGGCTTTCGGAGTCCTTTTCGAGTTCGTGTAGCATGGGAATTTGATAGATCAGGGATTTCCCCGAGCTCGTTGACGTTGACACAATCACATGGTGGCCGTCGTGCAGATTGTTGATTGCTTCGGCTTGATGCGAATACAACTGAGTGATACCTCTGCTGTTGTACAGTGCATTCACCAGGTTTTGCGACAGCTGAAAATGTAGGTCGCCATATATAGCTGGCTGAGGATCAAACACACGATGTCCATCTGGGACGATCTGGTGGGTATACCACTCGAGTTCACTAATTTCTTTGACAATTTCTGATATCGACTTTCGCTCCTTGGGTATGGCCTTCGGCAGACCATCATCCGGACCAGGTGTTGTAAGACGACTTGTGGAAGGAAAGGGCATATACTGCTGTTTTAAGTCTATTATCTGTTTAACAGGGTCCATTTGCTCTCCGGCACACTGATTGAGGAACGCATTGACGGCAGACGTGAATTTGGCATTGCGCTTCTCGATGAGTCTGAGCATTGATTTCTGGCTAAAGACGGGCATTTTGAGATCCTCGTTACGCAGCTTTTGGGTGGCTTTAGTGGGCTGCCCTGTCTTGGGGTCAACAACCTGTCTTTTCAGGTCGCCATCCACAAACTCGAACAGAAGAAGTTCTTTGGTCGGCTCCGGCCTGTCCCTTGGAGTGCTCTCATCCTGTTCCAAAGATCGGAAATGATCGGCTCTACCGTCTCTGACGCCATCTTCTTCGCCCATGAGCGTGACCATGAGGTGTTCCTCGTCAACATATGTGAAATTGATCGCCCGTGGCAACAAGGCCTTGACCTGCGCCACGTCTTCCTCGATCAAAGGTCTCTTGATATGGCCTTCCACTGCGCTCTTGATGTTGTCCCATGTGGTCGCGAAATGCTTTCGGGTGCAGCAAAAGGTGAACACAATATTCAAGGCGCGGTGCAGCTGGGAGAGATACTGGAAGTGATCCGGCCACGGAATCTCTGATTCAACCAGGCTTGAGGACGAACTTCGACGACTTAAAGCGGGCCTCGACGTGGCTTTCGGTTTTCTAGATTTCGAGCCTCCATCATGAGTTTTCGTGGGAATTTTGGTCGTGGCCGTCTCTGTCGGCAGTGGTTCCTGACCTTTGGAAGAGCGTTTCCGTTTACGATTGACGGGCACTCGAGAAACAGCTGCAGCCTGTAGTTTGGCCATGGAGGATGGACGATAGAGCCAGTTCAGAGGGCTGCGGTTCAATCGCCTTGAGCTGGCAAGACGAACAGCCAGATATCGACGGTAGCATTGGGTGTTGGAACTGCGGTGACAATGGAAAAGAGTGCAGGGTGCGGGCTGGGTCTGGGCCAATCGTGACGTACTTCTACAATATGCGAGACACGCGCGAAGTCACGTGGCAGCTTCTCCATTTTAATCAAGTTGCAGTCTATTTATGATGATGCCTCTTCCCGCTGTTGACCCGGCCTGTTGGTTTGGCCGCAACGAATCCAAACGAGAAGGATGCTGATGGAGCATCTGTCTCTGCTAGTTACACATCAAGACCCATCGTGCGCTGACGCAACCTACGAATAATCCTGAAGACAATAGTTAACCCCCCATCCAAGCGCATGTCAGTCGTAACCCTGGAAGACCGTTTCCATTCCACCAAGCAGTAACATCCTGTCCAATATGTCCATGGCGTTACTCCTTGACACCTATGCTCGATTGAAGGAACAAGAACGGGAGACAAGGCCCGACCTTGCCAACGTGGTCCAAAGTCCAAGAAGGTGCGTTCCCGAATAAAGAGCTGAAGGGAAGAATCTGTAACACATCCGTCCCTGCTGAGCTTGCTGCGCTGTGGTGAAGCTCGTATTCGTCAGTAACTGACCAAGCTCAAACAAAAGATGCCACAAGGTCTCAGTAAAACCCCTAGCATCCACATTTTTATAGTTGTTAGTACGAGATATGCGTTACCTGCCTCACCGCGGCGCCCCTACACCAGCAAAATCCAAGCCGAGTGTATGCAGCCGCGAACCAAATCCCGCCGTGAGGGAGTCGCGTACAACAACGACCCGTGAGTTGAAAATCAACGACGGAGCAAATCTCGACCAGCTTTCTTGCCAATGCCACTAGTAGTACTGTGAGGAACTAGAACAGTAGCAACGTGTGTCGCGGTTCGACCTTGATAGCCTCGGGCCGGCATAGAAGTAGCGACTGGCGGTTGAATAGCGTTTGCCTCGATATCTCTCCCAGCCGCGGGGGAGACAGGCCTAGCTCCGCCTGCAGGCACTCCAAGAAACTGGGGGTAGAGCAAGTTAATTGGCTGTAACATTGCTGGAGGAATTTGACGGCGCGCAGCGTTCACATTGGCAATTGTCTCAGAGCGATTCAAGCCTAGCATGAGCGGATGTGCTCCCCCAATGTTGAAGTCAAAGTTGAAACGCCCCAAAAGACCATCATTGATACCATTGGGCATGTTTCCAACAGGTCGAGCAAGGCCACCAGAGGCTGGCGCCGCTGGGGCTGGTCTGTTGAGAGCTGGAGGAACAAGAGGAGCGGGATTGACCGCTAGATGACGAGCCCCATTGAGAGCCTCAGGGTAATGATTATGCGCAGGGGGGTCAAGATCTGCCGGTGCAAGCGGGAATTGAGGTTGATGCCGAGCAAGATTCACGCGTGCTCGCCTGTAGAGGTTTTCCAGTTCCTGAATGTGGACCCTTGCCTCTCCTGGAGGACGCGCTCTGTCGTACCCGTGTGCGCTATCCATTGCTCGAATACCAGCCAGGATTTCTTGGAGCTCGCGATCTGGCTGCAGAGCTCGGAGACGATCGACACGGGCTTGCATGTTCTGAAGATATGTTTGACGGTCATTCAATCGAGCCGCACGGTTGTTCAAATCACGCAAAAAGGCATCGGCCCCAGGATGATTTAGTAGGGCCGAGGGGCGTTTGATGGGTTTGCCAGTATCAATCCGCAACTTATTTTCATCAAGCTCGGCATCCTGGGATTTGGCTTTGTTGATGGCACCTTTTTCTGCCTCGTTCGCTTCATTTTCGTGTCGATTGATCCCCGTGTCGTCATATAAGACACACTTGGCCCCAAAATGAGAGTAAGCATTGGCGCCGAGATGCGTTATGTCTGCATTGCAAATATAACACATTCTGCAGCCACATCGTGTGCAAGTCATTTTGTTGCATCCAAAATCCTTGAGGATCTTGGCTTTGCATGTTGGGCAGGTTCGAATGATGGCTTCTGATCGGGCCTCTTCTACCAAATGCCGCGCCGACAAGGTTTTGTCGCGATTATTCTCCTCACAAGTCTTTGGAGCATGACTGTCCTTCTTGCATTTTCGGCAGGTTGCACGGGCACACTCTGGGTTCTGGCAAAAGAAGATGGGGTCCTGTGCCACGTCGAGACAAATCGCTTTGTAGTCACAGCAGGGACACTGCTCTAGACCATCAATTTTGGCTGCCATGATTTCGGCCTGTTGTTTATTCAGTTCCAGCCGGTCAAAGGTGGTGATTGGGACCGCCCTGCCGACGTCTTCATGAGAAAGCTCAGCGGCACAGCCACTCGCGTCCATACAAAGCATCTCATGCTTCAGCAACCCCACCTGACTGTCAGCTAGCGCTTCGACACAGGAGAAGCAGAAGAAATGCGGGACATCTGCCATGCAAGGCACGATGCGGTTGAGGGGAGTCTCGGTGTCGAAGCAGCACTGGCATTCCATGATCGCGCCCGTCTTGATATGTTCCGCTAGATTCAGAGCTTCGGCTTCCTCCTTAGCCTTCTTGACCGCCTCCTTGATTGCCTCGCGGGCGACAAATTGTTTGGCAGCCTGCAATTCATTAACTTGGTTGGCATACTCTGCCGGGACGCGGTGACGGCCTAATGGGGCCAATTCTTTCAAGTCGAGGGGTGTAACGCGACGTAGATAAGGTCTGGGCTTGAGCGAATAGTACTGGTCCTCTAGCCTCTGCAAAGTAACGTACGAGTCGAATATGCTCTGCTTCTCCTCTACCACCTTGGCGATGAAGGGAGTGGGGACATACAGGAAATGCTTGCAAAGTAGAACGAAGGCGTCTTTTGTGTACCCTACCATGTCTTTTGGAGGATCTCTATCCCAGGTGATGGTAATGCCAGTACCGTCGACTGCAGCTCCTCTTCCATTCGCCGTTGAGGTGGCCACACGTTGTTTAGGATATGACTGTTCTTCCAAGATCTCGGTTATGATTCTTTCGGCAAGGGGTGAGGCCCCGATGTCGATGATCTCTTTGCCATCTTCGTCGACGTACTGGGGTTGTGGAAGCGCACCTCGAATCTTCTTTTCGACATATGCGCGTTCAATGTCTGGAAAGACATCAACCACACTAGCAAGGCATTTTTTCTCGAATACTGTTTTCCCCTCGCCTTCTGGTTCAGCGTCGCTTGAATCGGATTCGGTGCCATGGATCATATATGGCTTTCGAATTGCTTCTTTCAGTTTGGCCGCCTTTCTCTCCAGCTTGAGGAGCCGATCCGCATCCCACATATCACACAGCTCCTTATGGCCTTCCACAGTCCCGAGAACGACGGCAAAACGTTCGTAACCCGGGCCGCGGTACATTTTGACTTCGAGTCGACCGTCGACGTAGTACGGTGGTTGTTGCGCTGTCTTCTTTTGGTTCTTCTTCTCAGAGTTTGCCTTGTGCTGTTGTGTGTGATGAGTTGGGCTTGAAAGACTGGTGGCTAGTTTGGTTGCAGTGCCTTCTTTGTTGGGTCTCTGCTGCGTAGGTTGGAAGTTAGAGCGAGCTTCTTTCCCAGGCGTGACAATTAGAGCACAAGCGGGGCCAGGATTTGCACGTTTTCCACGATCCCGAGACGCAGTTGGCGGAGAGCTGCTTAAAGAGCTACCGGGGGTCCAGGTTCGTTTGAGGGCTCGAGCAGGATGGGCAAGACGGGATTCCAGTACAAACTCCATATCGGAGGTGTCGGCGTCGCTTCCCGAGCTGGGGGACAAAGTTCTGCTAGGTCGCTGTTGACGACGAGACTGCTTGAACGGCGAGACTTGAGGAGGCGGACCACTGTCAAAGTCGTCATCAGAGACCTCGATAATGGTGTTTTCGGTCTGGTCCAAGAAGCGCGTGGGAAATTCGTATGTCATGGTGTGAGCCATATTGCCACGGTCCTGTGGAATGTCATCCAGCCTGGAAATAAGTCGTTAGTGCCGGCATGATGTAGAACTGTGTAAGCCTTGTTTATAGAATAGGCTCTGTGGCCTCCGAACAGGCCGGGACCATTTTGACCATCACCAGCACAAGGCGGTAGAGCGGGAGAGACTCGCGCATGGGGGCGGAGCCAGAGACAGTTTGCTTACCGAGGGGTCATAGGCTGATAGGCCATCTTGAAGGTCAATTCATTCAGTTGGGATGGACCAAGGTTCACTCAGGCAAAGAGGCTTTGGATGTTTGCGGGGTTCAAAGTGCTGGTTGAGACTCTCAGCGTTTTCCGGTGGAGGAGCCTTGGATCGCACCACTTTGAATTTTTCCCAGAGCTCTCGACAACGCAGTTTTTAGGCTAAGGTTATGAAGTTGAGAGGAAAGAACTGTCGTTGCCTGCGCCAGTTCAGATGGTCGAGGCTGCGGCGAGGCGCAGTGATGAATTACGGGAAGGAAAACGAGGGACCACGGGGTGAGAGAGAGAGTGATGGCACCAGTGTGAAAGATTGAAGAGAAAGAAGAGAAAACGAAGAAAACGAGAAAGAGATTCTCGTGAGGAGAGACTTGTATGTTTATTTGGTTCGTGTGCAGACCCAACATGGTCGAGGGGTGGGAAGAGGCACCAGAGGTGAGGTCTGAAGTCGAAGTGCGCGGTCCAAGGCACCGACTGGCGAACGCACTGCACCAGGTGCTGGCAGAATTCAATTGGATCAACTGGCGCGCTGGCAGCAACTGGGCGAGTAGGAATCCATTGGCAAAGGGTGAGCGGTACCATCCCAAGACCATACAGTGACGGACGACATTGGCAGTTCTGAGTTCTGCAAGGGGTATACGCAGCAGAAGAGGCAGCAGAGCACGAGGCAGAAGAGCCAGAAAGAGCCAAAACAGGCGACAAGACCAGCGAGAGGCCGTAAAAGAGAGCAAAGAGGGGTAGTTCGCTGGAAGCCTTGTTCAAGTCCTGTGTCGACTTGTCCAAGGTGTCACGGTCAGGACAACCACCGTCCAGTCAGCAGTCTGCGGACGAGGCAAGGGGATACGACGGAAGGCTTGCGGTGAGGCTGAAAGGGATGCCTTGAGTCGCATCTTACCCTTGCCCCCTTTTTCTTTTCTTCAATCAAGCCAGAAGCTTCAAGTTGGTGCCCCAAGTCTTGCGCAGTGTACCGAGTACGAGGTACAGCTAAAGCGGTCAGAAGCGGTGCAAGAACAGTGCCGGTGGTGACGGGCCTTTCTCGGCTAAATCCAGGGGACGCAGCCACCGCAGCCTGCCCCCAACTGGAGCCTGGTGAGCCTCACACCCACCATCGAAGCCCCTCTTTGCCCCCTCGCAGGATTTTGCCAAAAAGAAAAAGAAAAAAGAAACAATAAAAATACGTCGTGCACCAAGAAGATGTTCTCTACACGCCTGACAGCTGAATGAGTCTATATTTGAGTCCCCGTTGCCTTTCCAGAGGATTTCCAGAAGTTTTGACACTGTTGCTTCTCACCGTAGGTCGATGCGCCTTGTGACAGGACCGCAGGAAGAAATTTACTCCCGTTCCTCTCATCCTCTACCGTCACTCACTCAGTTGTTTGCTCATTAGCACAGGCATAGCACAGGCATCGTTCGACATTAGGCATTATGGCTTCGACAGAAGTGCGGCCAACCCCGGATATCACAGCCTCAAAACCTCCTGCCGTCGACCCTGTTTCTCAACCACCAGCGCAGTCCCCAGATTTGAGACTTGTACCTGCGACCCCTCTCGAATACGTCCAGACCGCCTATCTCAATGCCGAGGAATGGCAAGGACCGCTTAGTATGGACCAATACCTCGAACGCGAAGTCATCCTCCAGGCAGCCGATTTGACAAAAGCTGGTCGTATCACCGGGTGGATTTTGACGTCTGAGGCTTTACCTGCAAACCTCGATGGTTCAAGACCCATCCTTGCCTGTTGTGAGAGCCTTCTGGTTCACGCGTATGTGGCCAGAGATGGCGAGGTGGAAAAAATCCAAGCACATGGTATTGCCTCGGTGTATACGCGTCCCGAATACCGCGGAAAAGGGTACGCGGGCAGAATGATGGCGGAATTGGGCAAGAGATTGGAGTCGTGGCAGGCATCAGCCGGTGCAAGGAATCCCTTTTCGGTCTTATACTCTGACATTGGCCAGAATTTCTACGCCAGATTCGGCTGGAAAGTTTTCCCCAGCAATCACATCCATCTCACTCCAATGGATCGAGCCATCTATAATTCAGCCAGTTCCGTGTTTCCTGCCGTCGAGGACTTGACCATGGAGGATTTGAAGCATATTCCAACTGTTGAGTACCTCGAGCATCGCTTGCGTGCGATATCCAACGCCAGACCAGGTACGGTTCATGTTGCGATCCGTCCTGATGTTGAGCACTTTGAATGGCACTTTGCCCGAGAGGAGTATCAGACCAAGGTCCTGGGCAAGAGCTTTCCAACAGTCAAAGGCGCGATTCATCGAGCCACTGGCCTAGCTTTGATCTGGTGTCGCGTTTATGCGGCCAAGGAATCAGAGTGGCAACTTCACATCCTCTATACTGTCATCCCCCCCTCGGTGGAAAATTCGGGAGATGCCGAAAACGCAATGGCGGCCTTGCTTTTGAGAGCACAGTTCGAGGCCCATGAATGGGAGATGGCAGCAGGGGTAGAGGTTTGGGATCCTTTGGATTTGGTAGTTGCCTCGGCTCAGAGGCTGAGAACAGAAGAGCAGGGCAAGGTGGAGATCATTTCCCGCGACAAGGAACATCTGTGCAGTCTCAGATGGGCTGCTGGACCGGCGGACGAAGTTGCATGGCTAGCCAAGGAGAAGTATGCCTGGTGTTGAAGGATAGGGATTTGAACTCCGAGCATAGCCGCGCCTTGTTCATATTGGGAGTTGGAGCGGATACGGAGATTTCTGGCCCCCCAGCCGATGTTGAGGTGAGTCCGATCGTCATCGTTCCTTGTTATCGTCGCAACTGGCATCGCTGGCGACGTCCACAAATCAAGGCCGTGAGCAATTCTTGAATATCACACAACTATGTAGCGAACCGACCTGCCACAGTAGCCGGTGCTCCAGCTTGAGGCCAGAGTGTTCTATCTACACGGGGTACGAGGAACAAAATCCTATATTCATTCCAAACCTCCTTGCGCCCTGACCTCACGCCAGCTTCTGGTGTTCATCGTATTCCACGGCGATCTCGCTCAGCGCACTATATCAGCGGAATGTCTAGCTAGGACTCCGTACATAGTTAGGCGGATGCTAGAAGGAGGTGCATTGTTTGGTCCTGTTGATTATTTTATACCCGGCATAATGCTGTTCTGGTAAGGGATAGTTGTGCCATATTACTTTCGTCTCTGACGTTGGCCATGACGATGTATTAATGACTGGGAAAGCCCGCAGCATGTCTAGAGCGTCTGTTTGTCCCTTGTCATGCACGGCGCACACATGCTTTTGATGCCCCCCATGAGGCAGACTCAGGCCCAAGGGGGGCCGACCACCTGGGCTTCCGTGTTCTTGGCCGAGACTCCCCTGAACAGAGATAGACACAATTTCTGACTGTGCCCATCGCGTCGCTGTCGAGGAGCCTTCTCAATAGCAAGGTTGTTGTGTCAGGGACTTTCAGTGCTCCTCGAGGAGGCCGGCCTGTGGAACAGGTCATAGAGCCGGGACCCACCGACCGAAAAGGGGTTTAACTGCTTACAGCCTTGCAGCTTAGATTCCTGATAGCCGAAAGGCCTTCCACTTCCGGCGGATTAGACGATGAATGAAGCTAACGGCAACTCTTTAAGAAGTGTCAATCCTTGCTGGTACTTGTAGACAGTAGCCCGTCGAATATCGGCTCGCGGCCTGAGCTCCAACTCGCAGACCGATAGGATAGCCTGAGCAACTGAATCGTCAGCTGTGAACACAAGCCCAGTGGCCTGATCGAGCCAACCGCGTCTATCTAGTCAGCCCACCAGCCAATATCCTTCAAAGAACAGTCTACTTTTCGGTGCCGTTATCCGGCTTAGCACATCGTGGCCACTTGAATCTCTTGCCTTGTCGCAAATCCCCGCATACAAGGTTTTGGAGATGGGTTCCCAGTACCGAGGTCAACCTCCAAAAATGGCTTCATCAAACAACCCTTGCTGACCAGGTCAAAGAAGTATAGACAGGTAGAGGGGGGCTGCTCAAGCGCTGTCTGATCGTTGACAAATATATATACTGTTCTTGTAGATCGTCATTTGGTGAACAGACCCTTGGACACACGACACAGGGTCGGGTTGTAAGTTCTCGCTTTTTGATATCCTCGGGTCCGATTTCTGGCTGCAACAGATCAGCTGTTTTTCTACGACCCAGATATGGCACCCTCAAAGGACGGCGAAGGCTTTTCGTCCAACTCAACAGGTGAGGTCTTCAACGAGCTCGGATGGATGGTCCAGAATGCCCGGGGATACAGGATCCACGAAGAACCATATAACACACCACGCAAGATAAGAGTCATCCACATCGGTGCAGGTGCCTCGGGGATCACGCTTTCCAAGTTTATGGAAGACCGATGTGAGAATGTCGAGTTGCAGATATACGAGAAGAACAAGGATGTCGGAGGAACGTGGCTCGAGAATAGGTATTTGCTCGCGCACTCTGGAACTCGAGTGGTGTTCTTGATTCGGAAGGGACAGAGTGATGATTGCTGACGTGGAAACTTCATCCAAAGATACCCTGGCTGTGCTTGCGACATCCCCTCCGCCTCATATCAGTTCACCTGGGAAAGGAATCCCTACTGGTCCCAGTATTACTCCGAGTCGCCCGAGATATGGCAGTATTTCAAGAACGTCGTCGACAAGCACGGTTTGATCAAATATGTCAAACTCGAGCACACCGTGACGGGAGCGTATTGGCAACCCGAGCAGGGCGTCTGGGAAGTGCATGTGCGACGACCTGATGGGACCGAGTTCGTGGATACGTGCAATGTCCTCGTCAATGGCGGTGGGATTCTGAAGTATGTTTCTCCGCTCGCCAGTTATCTGCTGCAGGGCGGTTGCTGATAAGGTTGTTGTGCATAGCAATTGGAAGTGGCCAGACATCAAGGGCCTACATTCCTTCAAGGGCATCCTCGTGCACAGCGCCAACTACGATCCCGAAATCGATTTGAACGGCAAGCGTGTTGCGGTGATCGGAATCGGGAGCAGCGGCATCCAGATTATTTCGAAGATTGCGTCGCAGGTGAAGCAACTGTATGCTTGGGTGAGATCGCCGACGTGGATCACGGCTGGGTTTGCCCAGAAGTTTGCTGGGCCGGATGGAGGAAACTTTCACTGTAAGTATTTCATGTCTTTCTGTTGTAGAGTCCGACGATAAGTCCCCTAATGCTGAGGGTAGATACTCCCGAACAACAAAAGCGATTTGCGGAGAATCCAGACCTGTTCCTGAGATATTCGAAGATGATCGAGTCCGAACTGAATGTCAGATTCAAGTTCATTCTGAATGGGACCAAGGAGGCCGAAGGTGCCAGAGAAGTAAGGCGATCCTTGTCAAGAGAACTGTGGAAGATGCTGAACCGCGTGACCAGTTCGCTCGAAATGAAATGATGCAGAAGCTTGGCACGACAAACCCAGATTTATTGGAGGCGATAATACCCAAGAACTTCGGTGTGGGATGCAGGAGGCCGACAGTAAGTTTGTTCAGGAGCATGCAGGATCACCCAGCTGATGGGGGTACTTCAGCCTGGAAACGGCTTTCTTGAAGCGCTGAACCAAGACAACGTCCGTGTCTTCATCTCGCCGATGAAAGAGATAAACGCCAATGGTTTTGTCGATAGCGAGGGCCAGCAACATGACGTGGACATTATCATCTGTGCCACAGGGTAAGCTCTCAGTTGCGTTGGCCTTTCAAGCGATGACTTGCCCCTAACACCACAGCCACCGACTCGGCTCGGATTGTTTGACTGACTAGTGGCATGGCAGGTTCAACACGAGCTGGATCCCAAGATTTCCTGTTGAAGCGAACGGGCACAGCATCGCAAAGATGTGGGCCAAGGAGGCCACATCATACATTTCTCTTGGAGTTCCCTACAGTATGAATCCCTCCTGGATACTTGCCCGTGAAAACCACTGAATCATGAAAAGTGCCGAATTATTTTATGATGGGGGGACCTTACGGTCCACTTGGTCATGGATCTTTCCTACCCATCATTGAGACACTTGCCAGCAACATCATCCAGTGCATCCAGAAGATGCAGAAAGATCGCATAAAGAGTCTGACACCCAAACCTGAGATTGCTGAGCAATTCAGGGAACACGCACAACTATTTCTGAAAAGAACAGCCTGGACCTCGGTGGGTGCACCTCTGAAATCTAAGTCGGAGCAGGACGCTGATTCTTCTCGTAACATAGGGATGTAGTTCGTGGTTCAAGCAAGGAAGAGTCGACGGACCGCTGCCAATGTTCCCCGCTTCTCGACTCGTGTATATGGACCTCCTGGCGGCTCCCAGATTCGAGGACTACCAGATTGAATATATGAACTCATTGAACATGTTTGAGTTCCTGGGCAATGGCTTTGCAACCCGAGAGTTTGATGGACGCGACTTATCGTATTACTTGGGGCTGTTGGATGGTGATGATCACCAAATCGACCTCGAGGGGGCTCTTCATGATGATCTCGCGGAACTGAATCTGATACAAAGCTGAGGCGATGAAGCTCTATTAGGTATATGTGCAAGAAGAAGCAGTAAATAGAAACAACAACCGAGATGGCGTCAAATGCATATTGCGCGGAGTGATGCTAGTAGCTTGCCGTAATGGTGAGTACGGTGGATCATATAGATCGACCGACATCCTCATTCCCGCGGTCTTGTCTTCACCCATTGACCCACCGAACTACGCACATTGACATTTTGTTCAAGCATCAATCAAACACTACCTTGCGGCCCGCAACTGCAACGCAAAAACCCGGACGTCGAAGTATAATGGAGATTAGAACCTGAGCCATGGGTGGCATGGGCGCGCTTAGGCCTGTCTCTGCGGACATTCCCACGAAAGGCGTGCTGCCTTCTGCTATACTCGGCATTTCAAGGAGTACACGAGTCAGCCTTACATCTGTTCTCCTTTTTGGACTCCCTACCGGGCGAACTATGAAACGCCTTCCTTTGCCTGGCTGAATTCCGACCCTTCTCAGTTGTGCCGTATGTCTGCGCCCATTCTTCTGCGTGTCCCGCTGCGGCTGCAGGTGGTTCACCCTAGCACCCCGATTCCCGCTTTCTCGCGCCCGGTAAGTGCTCTTGGCCTTATTCTCGACAACAGGACTGGAGGACACATGCAGTGTGAACTTGTGATGATTCGAGGTCGGTCAACCCTCGCTACCCTGGGTCCGTTGTTGCAGACCAAGTTCGGGCGCAGAAAGCATGTTGCGTCTGCGCCTTGTTAGAGTACTTTGAAGACGGGCTGACTTAGACCTCATCTTTCTCCCCTCGCCAACCCGCCCGGTGATGCCGTGTCAACGATCCATGGGTATCTGCCTGATAAAGCGGAACCCTGACGCTCTTTCACCAACTACTTCTTCTCCCTTTCGACGTGATGTTCCGTTCGAGGTACGTGGCTTGATAGCCACGAATTATATTTGGTTTTGCTCGAAATCAGTGCGTTCGATATGTCTTCCGTCGGGTTGAAAAGGGTCTCGCTGGGCGAGGCTGCAGCCTTAGGACGTCTGTATGACGCACGGACAGACTCCTTTTTGCCATATTCATTCCTGAACGACCTGCTTCCAGAGCCTGCAATCACCAGAGAGACTCGGTCGTCCTCACGATTGAGTGTTGTCGAGACCCATGATCTCAAAGACAGATTTGACGCTATCGGAGTGCATGCTGACCTTGGTGCCAGCATAATTTCCGGCCTGGTTGTTCCGGGAGGCTCTGCCGGCTCTCTGATGGATCGACACGAGAGCAATTTCACAGTCCAAATGTCCCTCCAACATCTCGTCACAACAGTTCACGAGAAAATCAATTTTGCAAGTCCCGGATTTCAGCAGTGTATTTCCCAAGAGAATATTCAGCTAGGCCAAGCAACACATGTGGTCTCAGAGACAACATGGGGTGCTCGGAGCATCCTTACAGCGAATTATCAAAGATCCGCTGGGGAAGATGAGAATGCTGTGAGAACCCTACTACGAGAAGAGTACGCCAAAATCGAACAAAACATCGCACAGAATGAGACCCTAATCGCAGACTTGTATACCATGCGTGACCTGAGTAAGTCACTTCGGATTCGTCTCCACACGGACCTGTTGAGAAGCAGTCCGTTCCAGACCGACCTCAAGGGTGCTTGCGAGTTCATGCGGAATATACCAAATCAGCTTTTAGAGACCAATGGAGGGTGGGGACAGCCTGTCATCTACACACTCCTCCCGATACAATGGCTCTCGCTGATATTATCCTTCGAGTCCACGGCCGAAAACATAATCGTCCAGCCCAGCGAGGATCATTTACAGGAGTACCTGAGAATGTTTGAAGAGATCAGGAGTGCACAGAGACGACTGAGGGATTACTGGTCCTATATTTCTCATCGGCGCCCTCTCGTGCCAGAGGAACATGTCCGCGAAGTTTCCGAGTCTTTTGATCGTGCAAAGAAAGCAGAAGATGCACTGAAGGTGCAATATGGCAGTACTCTCCGCGATGTTCGAAGCGGTCGGACAGGCTCGAAACAAATGGCGCAGGTACTCGACAAATTCAAGAATGGCCAATATTCTCCAGTGGAGCTTACTGCTGTGGCAGATGTATATGCCAGAAAGCTGGGTTTCATTGACCATGCGACAAGAAAAGGGGCAGATTACTTTCCAAGCGAGAGTTCGGCGCCCACGCCTCGCGGCCATGTGTATACTCTTTACTTCAGCCGCATCGCTATGGACGATAATACAACTTGGGGGCCGAATTCGCACCTGATTTTCAACTTGCTCCGAGACCAGGGCACCCGAAAGGCCGTCCGGATTGTGGACTGTGACCGGAGTGGGCGGTCTATCCAAAAGTCCAATATCACGTACCATCGCGATGGCACTCTGATCACAAATGACTTCAAAAGGCTGCAGGATTTCCTTAGAGACAAATGCCTGATGGGTTTCGATGAGGCTCATCTTGATACATGGGGAGTCAAGAAACCGATAGATCGGAAACCGGTCAAGCTGCCTTGTCCGGGACGAGGCTGTGAGCCACGGGCGCAGCTTCAGTGGATCTGTTCTCGGTGCTACTCTACCATCGACTATGGGCAGCGAGATCACTACTTGTATTGTGACTGTGGCCGTACCAAATACCGCTACTGGGGTTTCAGATGCAACGCACAGTGCCATGGACCAGATTTCGAGCGATATGATGACCGTCCACTCTTACAGTTGCTTGATGCCATGGATCCTTTTGAAGAGGTCAACATCTTGATCCTTGGCGAGACAGGTGTCGGCAAAAGTACGTGGATTAATGCATTCGTCAATTATCTCACCCACGCTACTTTGCAAGAAGCAATGGATGCAAGTCAAATAGAGCATGTCATTCCATGTTCGTTTGCCACACAAAAGATTGACGAGAATGATCCTCTCAAGAGACTTGTTCAGACCAGAGTTGAAATCGGCGCCAGGGACGAGCTTGAACACGATGCGTCCGATGGCCAGTCTGCTACACAAAAGGCCATGACCTACCCTATTTTCGTTGATTCGGTAATGGTCCGCTTGATCGATACTCCCGGTATCGGTGACACCAGAGGGCTGGATCAGGACAAAGCCAACATGGCGGACGTTCTGTCAGTGCTAAGCAACTACAAGGAGCTGCATGGGATTCTGATACTCCTCAAGCCAAATAACTCTCGATTGAACGTCATGTTCGAGTTTTGCATCAAGGAACTGTTAACCCATTTGCACCGCAACGCTGCTCGCAACATGGTATTCGGTTTTACCAACACTCGTGGTTCGAATTATCACCCTGGAGACACCTTTATACCACTCGAGGCTGTGTTGAAGCAGTTCCGAGATGTCAATCTAGGCCTGTTCCATGACACAGTCTATTGCTTCGACTCGGAAAGCTTCCGATACCTCGCCGCTCATAAGCAAGGGGTCAATATAGGCAGCTACGATGACTATTTCCGAAGCTGGGAGCAGTCTGCCACCGAGTCACGGCGGTTACTCAGTTATATTCGCCAATTAGAGCCGCATCAAGTGAAGAGCACTCTCAGTCTGAATGAAGCTCGACGCCTGATCCTTCAGTTGACGAAACCAATGGCTGAAATAGCACAAAAGATCAATGATACCATTGAACTGAACCAACGGGACAATGAACTCTTGCGGAACAGCAGATTAAGCAAGGACGAAATGCTCAAGAAGCTTGATATTCAGCAAAACTCGGTGGTGTTCAGTCCAGTGACTCGTCCAAAGACTGTCTGCACCAATGCGAACTGCATTAGAAAAGTCGACACTCCCGGCCCGAACGGGGAGGATACTGTGCACAAGAGTCTCTGTCACAACCCTTGTTGCCTGACTAATGTTCCCGTTGAGAGAGTGGGAACTCCAGAGTTGGTGAGGTGTGCGGCTTTCGCGGGCTCGCAACATTGTAAAATCTGCAGGCATCATTGGACAGAACACAAGCATATTCTGTACGAACACAGAGAGACAACAAAGACGATCAAAGATCCGAAAGTCGAGATGTTGTTGCAAGAAAATGCCAAGGTGACTACTGTTATCGAGGCAGCAATCAAGGCCAAAGAGGACACCATCGCAGAGTTCAGGCACGAGCATAAAGAGATCCAGAAGGCGGCAGTCCAGTTCAGCCTCTGGCTCAAGCACCATTCCATCACCCCATACAACGATGCCACGCTGGAATATCTGGACCATCTGATCAAAGAGGAGAAGTCCAAGGTTGCGATTGGTGGTAAGAGACAACGACTGGATGCCTTTGAACAGTATCGGCGCGAATACAAGGAGCTTGTCAACCTTTTCGAATCAAACTTTGATAAAGGCAGAAACGAAGAGCTCCTGGACGCGAAGGGCGTCGACAAGCTTGTGAAACAACTGTATTCTCTGAAGCATTATGGCGCGGACCTCCGCAAGCTGCGAGACGCCGTGGTCATCGCTCATGCGGCTTCAATCCGCGAGAGACCATACCATGTCAATGCGAGGAGAGGCTATGGGATTTCCGGGATTGGCACAGGATCTTTCCAGGCCTCGATCAGAAGTCGTGCTCCTTCAAATGTCGGAAATAAATCCTCCGCCGTAAGCTGGTTGCAATCCTCGGCGCCAGCTGTGACTGACGAGAAGCAAGTCGCTGAAAGAGGAAGTGAAGGAAGATGGTTGCCCGACAAGAGGCATGTAAGCCTGCCCAGTGGAAACAGCTCTGCTCCCCCGCCGTCCTATTTCGAGGCCGCTGTGGCCCCTCGGAATCTGCATGAGAGAATCACAAACAAACGCAGGGTGGTCCGATCGTTGAGCGGAAAACTGAGTGATAAGGTATCGTCGATTTTTCGATGAGTGGCCATAATCAGTACGACTGGCTGATGAAGGGTGAACTGGCAGTCAATATTTCGCCGGACCGGTTTATCCACTGTACTCTTGCGAGTGAGAGATGCCTTCTGGAAGTAATCCCTCGTTGGCTTGAGACCTGTCGGCTCCCAGCTGTGGAGCCTTCGATGCTTCGCGGGCGAAAGCGACGATATTATGAGTTTCCTATCAGTTCTTCTTGAATGATGGAATATTTGGCATGAATGGCTGTAGTAGGTCAATGTTAGAAGGGACTCTTTCTCATAAACTGGCATGACCGCTTTGCTTTGCGGTGTCACCAAAGTAGCCCTTTCCTCGACCACTGATGCAAAGCGGGCAGAAGTTCAGCAACCCAGACGCGTACATGTAGAAGTAGCCCAAGAGGAAAGATTCACATGCAACCAAGAGATGACAAGGAATGATAAGACCAAGACCGCGTATCATTTCTTGATCTCGCCCTGGCTACTGCGATGAAAGCAATAGGCGCATTGGACGTTGCAGCTGCTCATGAAGACATATTTCATTAAATCCTTTTCCACGAACGCATGCTGTCCACGTCCATAGTCCTACCACGCGCACATGACACGGTCCTTTCGATAATCCCTTCTCCCCGCCCACCATGTATTAAGCACCAGTCATGAACCCTCGTGTAACCGTCAACATATCCTGAATGACCAATAAACTGCCTGAAACCACGACATCCCCATGAGAGCGGATTCTGCCGACATTAGAGAAGGTTGAATTCCGGTGTTGTCTTTGCGTTTTCGCGTGCGTCGCGCAGGGCCGCCAGGGGACGGGGCTTTGGGAGCGTGGACAGCGCAGAGGGTGTCTGTGCCTTTGCCTTTTGCGGCATGTAGTAGACGGCAAGGAACGGCGCGAGAGCGGTAGCGGTAGAGGCGAAAAAAGTGCCGACAGTGAAGTGAGACATTTTTGTTTTGTTATGGCTTGAAAATGATTTGTTCTTTGTTTTGCCGATTCTAAGACGCGAATGCGTTCGAAATGAGAGTGGTTTTTTGATTTGGTGTACAGAGTACAGACTTGTCAAGCGCTGACCAAACGAAGGACGCAAGTGAAATCTATAAGGAATGTAAAAGCTCGAAAGGCGAAGGAAAGAACAAGTGCAACACAAGTTAATATAGGCAGTGGCGGGTAAAAAGGAGAAAAAGAAAACCACGCAGGCAAAGAAAATTTGACTTGTCGCGCACAGCGCGCAGTCTGGAAGCACCAGAAGCAAAAGGGGGGGTGTGCCCAGGCGGTCGCTGGTCAGGGGGCTACAGGCACCGAGACAGGGGCTGGAAGATGACACCCGTGAACTCCAGGCATCAATTACCCCGTACAGTAAGTGGGAGCGAGTGGCGAGCGAGCTAGGCCTAGTGGGCGTATATTTAGGCACAGCCTTGTTGCTGCACGAGGCTGCCACACTAAACAGGCGAAGCCGGCGGTGACATCACCCTTTAAAAGCTGCCCACACTGCTCTCCAACTGCCACTGATAACAGTGGCGAGTCTTCTTTAATGGTCCATCGTGCAAATTAGTCTTTATTAGTCGTGCCCACAGTCTACGGCCCTGCAAAACCCAACTCTAAGCATGCTTTCAAGGCCCAGATGGACTTGTGCGTCCTGTCTCCGGCATCAAGTGAGAAGCCAGCAGTGCCAGATCTCGACCTCCGGCCTGCGCAACGATCCTCGACCGATCAAACCTGGTCCTCAAGTGCAGCGCCACCCAGTTCAGGGTAAGCGACCATTCAGTGCTACCGCCCAGGTGCTCGAGGAAGCACCTAACCAACAGCAACAGGCCCTACCACTGGGTGATTTCTACACCGAGCTCCTATCAACGCCAATCCACAAGCATCCGCATACATTCTCAGACTTGCCCTCCTTTGTGCAACTAGGCGATGAGGAAAAGTTGGAAAGAGCAAGGAAGGTGTTTGGATCAGTACGGGGGTCGGGATATGAACGGCGGACTTCAGACACGCCGGACTCGACGTGGCGCACAATCAACGGCGTCGCTGTCCCTCCCAAACCTGCCGAGCCAGATAATTGCTGCATGAGTGGCTGCATGCATTGCGTTTGGGATGATTATCGAGACGATGTGGAGGCTTGGGCCGCCAGAGTTCACGAAGCGCAATCAAAGTCGCCAAAGCGTCGACGAGGAGCTCCAAAGATCGACATGGCAAGACCCGAAGTAAGCGAGGCTTCAGCAAGCATGGACGATGATGGCGGTGGAAGTGAAAGTCTCTGGACAAGACCCCAGGCAGAGGCTGATGAGGAGGACATTCTATTCCAAGGGATCCCTGTCGGCATTCGAGAGTTTATGGCCACGGAGAAGAGGATCAGAGACCGAAAGCATGCTAGGAAGGAGAAAAGGCAGTTGAAGGACGATGACTTCATGTGATTCTCTGTCACAAGGACACCTTTCCACCAGCTAGGTATATGGGGGCGGACCCCTCTTTTGACACGACAGCCAGCCGTGGTGAGAACGAAGTTGCGTTTTACGACCAGCTATCTAGAACTCCGCGGAAGCATGATTCCGACGCAACGGTAGCGGGACAACTTACTCAGAGCCCTTGATCAGAATTTATCGTCATAATTCCAACGCAGCATTGGGTATTGCAGGCAATGCTTCCATTGCGGCAAAGTGTGCAATATCGGATGTGCAAGATTATTCATCAGCCGAACCAAGAAGAACGAAGAACGAAGAACGGAAACTAGGATACAGAAGACGAGATATGATTCCTCTAAACCAACATACATGGCCTCACATGTACGATATTGACTATTGTTATACCCCTCACATTTGGTCGGTTGCCTAGATATGAAAACACGATTACGCTGATGTTATACGCCTTTCACAATGCTTTTCAACAGCAATATTCTGCCCAGGACACCAAGAGTTGAAATGACGATGGTCATCAGTATTGCATACTATTGGGGATTTTACCAGAGCCTTGGTTCACAGACACATCTTCTTTCGGGTCCACGCAATGATCATCAAATGACAAGAGATTGTGCAGTTTCCTGACCTCTCCACCTCTCCAACACCTGAAGCACCACCGCCTGTCCTAAGATTGACATTTGTCGGACCAGACGGTCTGTGGCCTCCATACCTAGGAGCAAGGTTGATTTGAAACTGGCGGGTGCTGCTTGCGTTGACAGGTGCACGAGCACTAGCATTAGAATGGGCGTCTACTACCCGCTGGCTGGGGCGCGATTGAATGACAACGATAAGCGCAAGGCGTGGATCTGGCTCCCTTTTCTCCCTTTCCAGCTACCGATGCAAGAATACAACATACTACGGGAGACAGCTCTTGGTTTCACCAGCAAACAACTGCGGCTGGCTACTCACGCTCTACACCACGTGAAGGTGGCTGCCAATCGTAGAGCTCCCTCCTCTTTCTTGCTGACTTCCTTTCTCAGTCTTTGTGTTTTTGTTTTTCTTTTCCGAATACAAATCACCAAAACCCAAATCTCCATCCAACCTCCAAAATTTCCTTCCCTTCTCCACTCTGGTTCTGGTTCCTCTGGAACCTCTGGCTACTCTAGCTCGTCCCAAGGCTCCCTCCGGTGGGACGGGGATCGAGAGTTCCTGTGGCCATAGTATTCAGGGTACCGCTGGCCATATTGACTGCTGCTGCTGGTGTGGCCCGAAACGTGGGAGTAATGCGAGCGTGAGCTTGGTGTTGAGCACCTCCTGGCCTTTGGCCTATCTGGGCGGGTTGACAGGGTGCTCCCAACAGTTGGTGTAGGGGAGGTGAGAGGCCTGACGCGTGCGGGAACTGCTGGCTCACGGCTAGCTTGGTGCTTGGAGCTGCAGCAACCCATGTTGATGCTTGATGCTTGATGCTTGATGCTTGTGGTGTGGTTGTGGTTGTGGTTGTGGTTGTGGTTGTGTTGGTTGTTGTGTTGTGATTGAGAATGTTGTTGAGTCAGGTTGTTGTGTTGGAGGAGGCCGTAGTGTGTGAAGTTGTGAAATCGTTTGTGATGTGCCGTTTGTTGACTTTGATGATGGGCAGCCCGCTGTGTGTATCGAGGAATTCTGGAGAGAAGAAAGAATGAGATGCCCCCGGGAGAACAGGGGTTTTATATATACTCGACAGCAGGTAAGACGGCCAAGGTGAGTTATGGCGAGCCATGAACAAAAGATTTCGTGCCAACTATACAGGCCACTCCGTTTCAATGGGTATCCAATCAGTTGCTGCAAGTCTTGTGAACAAGGTTTACGTGATTCACTGTTTCGCTGGTAAAGTTGTTTTCGGTTTCCTATCGAGAGCAGCATCACGATGGGTTTTCTACATATGTGTTCACAAAAAACTTTGGTTCGTGGCTGCGCATCTGGTCCGCGCGGCAGGGCGATCCCGCCTCAGTCTGCTCGAGGAGGAAAACTCTGATCTTGCACAGACCCATGGGTTCACGAGTTGATCTGTCAAGGGCGATAGGCTTTGTGTAATGATCTAGGGACTACTTGAAGTCTGATGAAAAGGAGGGAAAACAAGACCGAATTTTAGTTTTGCGATTTGGGGTGCCTGATTTCAATAATGCTCCCAAATCCCTCGACTGGCGATCTCGCCTACGTTGCCATCCAGATCACCGAAATACACGCTCTTTCCACCCCTTGGCCAGTCCACTCTTCCCAGGATCTCGACATGTTTGTCTTCGAACCACTTCTCCCAGGCCTGGACGTCTGCCGGCGACGCCACGGCCAAGCAGAAGTGTTGGTTCAGACGGCCCCGGATCTTCTCCACGCGATTCGTCGCGGCGGGATTTGGTGTTTGTGTTTGACGACCGGCATCTGGCGCGGCGGAGAGGAGCAGGTTGAGTACATCCTGCGACGGTCCATGGCCAGGAATCGTGCCGCGGTTGTCTGGCATTGGACTGTCTGAGGCGGTGGCTCCGAGTTGGAAAAGGAGCAGTGTTGTTTGGGACAACGCGAAACCAGACATTCGAGGCTGGCGTTGTTGGTACGTGAGCAGTGCAGACAGGAAGCAGGCTACTAACCGTGTTCATGAACGGTTCAACATCAAGCACATTTTTGTAGAACTCGGTCGCGGCGCCAACGTCCTTGACCATCAGACATGTCTCGAGAATATGGCTGATTTTGGGCGGTGTTGGGGAGATCGTCGAGCCCATAGAATGATCCGCCGAGTTGTGTGCCATACTGACCCTTGATGTGCTCAATCTTCTGATTGTAGTATCGCCTGGCCTAGATGAGAAGGGTGGTCGTTGCCCTTGCAATCTTCTTGCGACACAGAGGGATGCACGCTTCATATAGTCTCTTGCTCCCTGAGTACTTGTGTTTTCGCACACACATTCTTTTGCTCCGAAGTCGTCGTTGCGTGGTTTCCATGTCGTAATATGACGATACGCCAACTCGCTAGCATGGCGATGGGCTGACGAGGATAGGCGAGGATAGACAAGGATAGGCTGGGCAGACCCCAGATGTGTGTGTAAGCAGCGGAGGTCTAGATTCTGTCTCCTTTGCGGGGGTCTTGGAGGATTGGATAAGCAGCAAGACTCGGTCCTTTGGGTGCCTACTGTTGGTATATCCTTTTTTAGTTCAGCAGGTGTTGTCGATCCGCCCAAGGAGAGAGCGCTCCAGGGGCTTCCAAGTCCAGATGTCGCAATTTCTCCTGAAAGAAGGGTGGGAGCTGGTGAGAGGTGCTCCCAAGTGCTCCGTGCAAAGTGGCAGAGCTCTCGCTGTCAGACAGCTGCGTCACAGCCAGCAGACCACATCGCCTCTATCCGACAGAAATTTCCACCCACTTTTCCCTAGACAATAATAGATGATAGTGGTATCACTAAATAGCCCGTGAGCTCGAGATGATGCTTAAGGAATAAAATGTCCAGTGGTCACCTCCAATGTAGAGAGTAGAGGGGAGGGATACACTCTTAGGCCTAGCCTAATCGAGGCTAGACAGGATATCTCTTGGCACTGCGGCATTCCTCTCGAGATACTCGGTAGAACTTCTCTTCCTTGTCAATCAAGCAATCAACTTATTATTGGCCCCAGATTGGTTCAATACAAGCTAAGTCCACTATGGCCATTCTATCGCTGTGCCACTTCTTTTGTCATCTCGGTAGTCAGCCTTGTAGACGCCCAGGACGCCTATGGGCCAATGGAAGCCATTTTAGGCGATGCGCGAACTGCAGCCAATATACAGCCTCTCTTCCCTGTCCCTGACGGTGCCTGGATACAATATTGAACGGACAAAACTATGAACATCCCAATAGAGCAAGCAGGGAAAACAACCTTTCACCTTGGAGCGCTTCCTCCTGGGCTCAGCAGCGGACTCAAGAGACATGTGGCCGTCATTATCAGGACCAGCAAGTCAGGAGTCGAGGATCGGTGAGCAGCAAAGAGGTGACAGGCCTCCTTCTCCCGCTGCTAGTCTCTTTGGCCAAGAACCACAGAATAATGAAGTGCCGGACTAATGCTCTCTTCCATCGAGAAGGTGTCCGCGGCCAAGTGCCTGACTTCGAGGTCGATGATGGGTGGAAGATGCAGCTCTTTACCTCGAAGCCTACCATCACCTTCGGCTATTTTGAGGATGCATTTTTCCTCTCATCAACTGGAGCTGCAACATGCCGTCATCTCCAACAGTCGCAACGAGCCCTGTAATCTCGACAAGCTCTCTCAACCTGTGCTGGATGTCTACTGGCCCTTCTTCATAGTCGAAGCTTAGGATGAGTCAATGCTTGCTGTTCGAAACGCCTGCTCCGGCTTGACAGCAACCTACAACGGCGCTCTTATGATCTTTGCGGGAGCTGCGTAGGAATCACAGAGGCATTACAATGACATTAATTTTCTGTGGAGCTTGAGCAAAGCCGCCCAATCCTTCTCACTCGCCATCAAGGGCAGAACTATTTGTCTCAACACTCACAGCTCGGAAGGCTGTCTTCCCCATGCTTTGGCGGCCATCAGAACATATCGACTTGGCAATGACAAAGATATCGAGTCTGTGGCTACCCGGACCAGCAGCCTTTTGGTTTGGGCGGCAAACTGCAGACTATAATCAATAGGTGATATGTTGGCTGCCTTAAACAAGCGAGTGAAGCTCTGCAAAGACAACATGGCCCAGAACAGGCCATGTGATCCATCTGAGCTGGCCAGCTTTGACATGGCTCCCAGGAGTCGACCAAGCGTCATCAAAAGTGTGATAGCCGAAAACTCACTCCGATGGGCGCGGATATTCTAGTCTGGTCCGGGGAGAAGAAGAGCGGCATTGGACCGGAGTCACAATTGGTCTGCTTTGAATCGGGCAAAGCGGAGAAATTCGAATAGCGGCAATCGAGCATCACGACTTATTTCATTGACGTATCCTATGTATGTACGAGGCACTCTCTGCCCTTCTGGCAGCTTTGTGCCACCTTGCCACTATTCTAGAGGGGCGCTGTGATTACGACGTCTTGCGCGCCTGGAACTTTCCGGGGCGTTGAAGGTCTCCTTTCATCGTCGTCAGGGGGGAATGGAGACTCCACGAGCAGCCGCCGCTGGCATCGGCGGCCTGATTTTACGAAGACCGGGGTTGGAAGCTGGGGAAGGATGGGAGGACGAGTCCGGATCTGGGTCTCCCGCAGGATTTCCGAATCCTGATTGATTGGCTGATGGATATACATATGGAACCCCCTGAGGAGCTGATGCTCTTGATCAACCTTTTGGAAAAGGCACTTCACCCGCTATGCATCGCTTTTTAGCGACCTGCAGACGGATGTCTTGCTTGCGGTGTGATAACAGCATTTGGCCTGCATTGGTGTTGCATTATTGGTGGCTCGCTAAGCGCCAGGGGAAGCCACAGCGCCTTGACCCCGGTTGCGACCATGTCTGGCGCAACTAAATAACCACCATTACGCGCCGACCACGTTTCGGCCGGGGTTACACAGGATGCTGAGCTTGCTTTCATGTCTTGTGTGATGCAAGTGTACAACTCACCAGGCTCATTGATGCTTAACGGTGACAGTGAGCAACGGCATTCGCACGGTTCTTGTGGCAGCAACATGCGCAAAGGCTTGCGCCATCTGCATCTCCATTTGGTGAGGCCTGGCCTTGAAAGTGGGCAATACCTCTGGTGGCCTACAGGATACTGTACCGAGTGTATCTCTCCGCATCCCGCCTCATTGGGACTTGCAATTCCTGCCGAATTCACGCCAATGAAGCTTGAAGCTCGAAGCCAAATCAGCATATCACTCCCCACGGACGCAGGGGTCTCCTACCAGCCTCCCCTTTTCTATTTCATCCCCCTACTAGGAGAGGTGGCGATGCGTGCCAGCTTCTGCCCCGGCAGCATGAATGGTCTCTATCACGGGGGTCTATCACCACGGCGCTTGCAAGTATCTCATGCGCATGTATTTGCATTTGCGTGATGACGGTTTGCAGAGCATATGGGGTAGTTCTTAAACTCCGTCTCTCATCCCCAAAGCTAAAGAATGTCTTCTTCCCTTGCCACTGCTCTGCGACCTCTATCCCGAGGGCTCACTGGTCGCCTTGGGACAGTTCATCTCACTTTCACATTATATTACCACGAAGAAACCTGCTGTCCCGTCGTTGTCGATCATTGAGCAGTCACAACTATGTCAGCCGGCAGCGGCGTCAGTGCCGCTTCTACGGAAGGCGGCCTTCCTCCTTCCTCCTACGACGGGAGCCACCTGCCATGGAAGACGTTTCGTCAACAGGTGCTTGCGCAGCATCGAATCAGAGTCATAGACGCTGTTCCAAAGGAAAAGCTACCCACAAAGCTCCTGGCAATGATAGAATCCGAATTGCCCAATGTCGCTAAATATGAATCGCAGAAGGAGCAATTTCGCGATCAGGTCGACAAGGGACGAGGCTTTGGACCTTCACCACTCTTCCCCCCCAACCTGCTTCCGCCTATTGACGACGAACCACAACTTGCTCGCTGCATGGTCCCTTCTTTCGGCCGAGAAGCCTTGCCCGAGCGCGCGATCAATCAGATAGGGCCGCTCTACGAACTGAGCGTCCCGCGCAGTGGCCTAGGGTGCGGATTTGCTGGCTCCGCCCTGACAACTGAAGAGCTCGCCGTCCTACCTTCTTGGTTGGTGACGACCGGAACCATTGTCCACTTTGATACAGGGTACATCTCACCTGGTGCTGCACTCTATTGCCCTTTCCTGGTCTTCGAACGTACATGGGGCAACAAAGAACATCGCCTCGAAGCCGCTAATAATCAATGTGCCATCGGCGGTGCTTGGTGTGTCAGGGCGCTTCAGATGCTCTATGCCAAAGCTTGGAAAGGAGAGATGATGCCTGAACTACCCATATCCTTCTCTTGTTCGATCGACAACACATCTGCAGTCCTGAACATGCATTGGATCGACCACGGTCAGGTATATTGCATGTCTCCCCTTTGCAAGTTTGACCTCAGCAAAGACGATCACTTCAGCAGCTTCCTCGTCTGGATTGACTCTATCGGCAAATGGGGCTTGACCCACTTACTTCCTGTGGTCAAATCAGCTCTGGGACGGCTGCGCGCAAAGGAAGATACACCGCCTCCAACTCCACGTGCGGCCAAGCTGACTCTCGACACCGCATGTCCGAATGATTTGCTGATCAAGTCCCTCAAGACGACATTTGAAAACATTCCTTGGCGGTTCGACGATGACGAGTTCACGCCCGTTAGCAGTAGCACCGCGAGCTGGGGCAGTCCTATGGTTACCGACCTAACCTTCGGGAATCTTAACTATCCAACGGTGCCCGCCAGACCCCGTGGCGACACGCCAACTTCTGCTGTCCAGATGAAACAATACCTGGCAAATTTGGGGCCATACGCAACTCCTCCACCAGCATACCCTCAGAGCATCGAACTTGTTTGGCAAAAACGACTCAATCATGCTATGGATGAGATCCACGACCTGCAACGGCAAATCCAAGTCCTGAGGAACGATTTCAACCTATCCAACACCTCCCATCGTAGCGAATTGTCCGACGTCAAGTCGACGATGACCTCGGTGCTCCGCAAGGAAACCCTTACTCTGCGGAACAGATCACTTTCTCTGGGCATGCAAGAGACCTGGTCGATGCAAAATATTCCACGGAGCCCACTTGTCAATGAAGTCCTCCCAGACTTCGTGGTTGACAAAGCCACGATGTCTCCGCGGAATAGGTCACTTCACATTCCGCCGACCCCGAAACTCCTTTCGCCAAGTCTTCAATCTCACGGGCCTCCCTCGCCTGGGATGCCTTCCCCTGGTCTATCGTCACCTGGTATTCCCTCGCCCACCTTCTCAATCTACAGTGAGACCACCAACATCGTCACAGTCCCGCCAGCGCCGCCGAAACCGGCATCCTTGTTTAAATTCGCAAGTATCATGGTATCAGGACACATGGTTAGCATGTTTATCCCCAACGCTCTACTACGGATCTTCGTCTTGGGTTGCATTACCGACGTGTGCATTCTGGCATTTGCCAGCCCTCACCTGCCTAGCTCCGCGGAGTACCTGCTGTCTTTTTGGAGGGGGCGGTGATGATGGTCTGCATCCGCGTTATGTGCATAATGCACTAATCGAGACGTCTCTCTCTCTTTGTTTCTTTCCTTTGTACTTTCAGCGGTGGTGTTTGGTGATCCCTGTGAGCGGTTATGTCTACCATTTGCCCCTTTTTCGGGTACTTCTCAAACCTAAAAGTGGATACTGGAGGAGCTTGACAAAACAACTTGGGTGTTTGATCAATGACACGGCAAAGGAAGTCCCGCGGACCGGATTCATTGGGATCGAATCGGACACAGGATACTTCTCGAATAGGGAAGCAGAGGATCCTGTTATACATTGTACATTAGCAATCTTGACTGGTGTCGATTCAGTCAGTCAGTCGGAAACCATTTCTTAGAATAATGGAAAAATGTTGACAACGACATTGAGCTGTAGTCAGTGCTCTCCGAACACTTTCCAGTGGGTGAGCAGTGGTATATACAGTGGAGGAAGCGCGAAAAGACTGCAATGCGCAGGATCTTCGTCGCTGGAGGAGAGGGTCTGTGATGGATGCCTTCTTCGACGTCGCCAACGTCGCCTATAGGTACATAGGACTTGATAGGGTAATGAGGCAAGAATTAGAGACCTCCTCCCCAAACAGCATGCGTCCATGTATGGATGTCTCATCCCGCAGCACAACTTTCCAAGTAGCCATCCTCGTACCTACGTGCCGCTGCCCAATTTAGTTATCTTTCAACTGGACAGTTCCTGATAGAATGCTCCAGCCCAGATCAGCTCGTCACATCATCATCATCATCACCATCATCATCTTCAACCTCTTCGCCGTCGGTGTCGTCTTCTATTCTTGATCTTCTTCCTCGACGCTGCCCTCGTCAGCCATGGTCTCGAAATCCTGCTCGATCTCGCTGAGCAAGGTGCGGAACTCGGTACTGTTCCCCAGTGCCTCCTTCGCGCGGGCCCAGCAGTCGTCAAAGTTTCCTTCGCCCGTGCGTACGGCGACGACCTTGCCGGGGGTGAAGCTCTCGCGGAGCATGCTTCCCCAGACGGCCCTCCAGCTATCCCCCCCACCGAAAATGTTGTTGTTGTTCATAAAGGGGCCGAGCAGGGAGGCGAGGCGCGTCTCAAAGACCCACCAGTCCTCGTCGAATCTGTGTTTGGCGTTCCGGTACCCTCTCCCCACGTCGCCTTCGTTCCACCCCGTTTCTTCCCTCTCTCTGTGGTCGGCCGGCGCGCTGGCGTCCCAGTCTAGAGGAGAGCCCACGGCCCGCATCTCCGCCGGCGGCTTGGGGCACTCGCAGTAGACAAACAGGCGCTGGGCGGCACGCCAGAAGTTCGGAATATGCCGCGTGTGTCGCGGGTAGCCCTCGATCACCAGGCACGCGCGGTTCTGCAGGTGTTTTGTCTCTCTGAGGAAGGTGCCTACTTTCTGATCTAGCTGCCGGGACCCGACGTATGGCAGGGTGGCGTACCTGGGGCGGCGGTTGTTGCTGTTGCTGTTGTGCTCGAGGAGAAACCGTGCATCTGTTTGCTCCCCCTGCGCCACGTTGAACCGCTGCGAAATTCCCATGAAGAAGAAGCCGTATTCGTACGCGATTCGCTGCCCGATTTCGTGCGCGAATGACCCTGGTACTCCTGCCGTTGGTATAACGTGAGAGATGAAGCGTCAACCCAATCTATGCCTCTATCCATCCAGTATATCCGTCCATCCATGAAACTATACAGAAACGAGATCTCTCTCTCTCTCTCTCTTTCTCTCTCTTGCTTTGGGGAGTATTACTACCTCGAGGACTTTTTACGCAAGTTTGTGCCACAGAAATCAAAGCCATGAATCACATACCGACGATGAAGATGAGCAAAGGATATTTGCTGCTCAGTCTTGCTTCTGTTTCTGCCATCTTTTGGTCTCCTTTCCCACTGGTTTGGTTTCTTTCTCCTTTGCTGGGTCAAATTTGCAAAACTATACTAGGTATGTATCCAAGACTTGGACGGATTCGAAGGGAGTGGACGTTGGACAAGCGGAGTTTGAAGGACGACGACGAGGACAACGACAAATGATTATGACTAGATGTTTACGACGAAAGGCAGTACATCCGGGCTTTGAGAGGCGCGGTTGGCAAAAGGCGCGGTTCGACTATGGCGGATCGTCCTTCATCTACCGGCGTATACGTGTCTCTGTATACTGCCGCGCATAGACGACATCATACTGGCGAGTTTAAGAGGACGGTTCAGACTCAATCAGAGCGGACAACACGCGATCGGGGGCTGTGTGATGCGACCTTTGTGGAAATATAGATCCCCTGCCCCTCGAGAACTTGTGTGTTCGTCCAGACCGCCTGCTAAACGTTCAATTTCACCATCGTCAAGATAGAAGACACTCAGTCAATGTGCCTCCACGTCAAGACGATTCGCCTCCTCGCCGATAATCTTTGTTCCCTCCTCACTGGACATAATGTCGGTGTGAAGCCAGTGTCGGATGCGATGTCCAGCAATCATGAGCACAATGACCAGGCAGAAAGCCGCAAGCGACACAAAGGCCATCATGCCAAAGACCCAGCCGACGCCGACCTCGGCCTCCCAGCCGTCGATAAAGAACGGAATCGCGATGCCGAAGACCGTCCTGTAGAAGTTCATGATCGTCGCGGCCTCCACGGGGTACTTGGTGAAGCACTCGACCTCGTAGTTGACGATGACGGGCACGGCCACGTTCGAGGAGAAGTTGAGCAGGAAGTTGCCCACGGCGGCGACCATGTAGTGCAGGTGGTATTGCAGGGAGGCGCCGAACAGACCCAAGCCGACGTTCAGGCAGAAGAATGTCGGGAACCACAGCGCATGGAGACGGAATTCGGGCTTCCAGATCCCACCGGTCCTTCGACAGATCCAGAGGGGGAGCCTGTCGTTGAAGGCGAGGCCGTATAGTTGGCCAGTTATGCACCCAGTCCAGGCAGCGAAGGTGACTGTGCAAAGCATCAATCAGCAAACCGAGGCATAAAGGGGGCTGAGGCACTATGAAAAGCTCACTCACATTCTGCATTCTGATTTGGGGTGAAACCATACCCCTTTTCGCTCACGGGCGACTGTAAGAAGACCGCGAGCAAATTGTTGACCCCGACGCCCCTATAAAGATTCGCATCAGGACGTGGATATCCATAGCTGGTCTGCCAAAAAGAACTCACCATCCGAAAACGATCATCAAGAATAGCCCGCCTAGGATCCCAACAGGGTGGATTCCAATGCGGATGGGCATGGTAGCCAGATGGAGCTGAAAACGTCAGCAACGACATCATATAAACGAATGCAGCATACTAACCGCTTCCCTATTCGTCATCCCTTCGGCCACATTGGGGTTCCTAAACAGATAGACGTCGATGGATCGTCGAACGAACGAGGTGGCAGGTACGGGATACGCTGGCCTTCCAGGTCTCGTCCAGCCGGTTTCCTCCAGAAAGAAGAATATCAGGAGAATCACAAATCCTTCAAGTCCGACATTGTACCAGTATTCATCGGCCCAAGGAGCACCGTTGCCGACGATGAAGCCCGAGAAGGTCGGCCCTGCAAGCGTTCTGATATGCTAGGTTAGCAAAAAGAAGAATGCTGGTTGACATTCTGCAATGTCGAAATTCTTACCCAAGGAGGATCATCACATTGTAGAAAGCAAAGCATTTCCCCCGCTGGTGCAAGAAGAAGGTATCAGTGATGTAGCTCGCACCGACTGGCGATTCACTTGTGTTAGCAACAGTGCGAGTATTGACGACCGGCTCAACAGTCGAGCTTACCAGTCGTCGCGCAGGAGCCAGCTAAGCAGCCAAACAATCTGGACAGGACAAAGCTGTAGTAATCTCCAGGACCTGTGCATGTCGCCGCCCAAACAGTGCAGGCGAGTGTGAGCGCTGTTGCCCATAGGATGCTACCACCGCGGCCAATCCTTCTCGAGACCGGCGACCAGAAAAGAGGACCCGCGCACAGTCCGGCAGTGGCGGCAGAGACCTGATAAATGGGAGTCAGCGATACCGCCCAGACATCTGAACCTCCGATTTTGACAGGCATCTGTGTCTCACCGAATATGTGATCTCGACTGGAGTCTTGTTGTACAATGCCCCTTGCTGGAATACACTCGACACGTTGCCCACGGCCTGAAGAGTCCCAGTGAAACCGGCGAACGAAACGATGAAGAGAGTCAGGAGCTTCCTTCTCCTCGACCAGTTCTATCCAAAGACATCAGTCACCAGCACCAACGGGCAGGCGGGGTTGGAAAGGAACAAAGGGCATACCAGTGGATCGCGGGGGTCAGCTGAAGGCGCTGGGACCAGTGTGATGCCAGCCCTGTTGTGCGCAGCAGTGACCTTGGGGCTCTCGTGGTGCTCGGCGACTTCTTCTTTGGACATGCTGGATTTCTCTCCCTGAGCTTCACTATTCATTCTGTGATGATTTCGGTCTGGAACAGAACTTTCTTCGTGGTTCGGACGTTGAAAAGCGACCTAGAAAGGCTTCTGATGGCGGGCCAGAATACTCTCGTTGTCTTTTTGATCTTCAGCGCCATGTCTCAGAAGAATCATTGAGCCAGTTGTATAGGGTCTCCCACCTTCGCAACGCTCCACAAGAAGAGCTAGTCGCGGTGTTTCACGGGGTTCAGCATCGAGAATGCAATGTCCGGGTTTAAAGGTCCACTATTTCTGACCTCTTCCACTCATGTACATAGACGTTACATGGATGCAGCATGGTTCCCCGTGGGGAGATAGCGGTAACAGACTCCAAATTACCATCCACGAATCAAGCTGTAGCCTCCACATAACCGCTTCGGGTAGGTTCGATCTTGCTGGGCTGTTGCAGGAGTATTACGGTCTCAAGAGTTACACCGAACACCGGGCGGCTCAACAGATATTATGTGAGCAAAGCGCTATCGGGACTAATGAAGCGACCGAGAAACGGTACCTGCATGGTTATGTTGGGTGAGGACCGTATTGCCGGAATCCACGTATCCAGGATCGCAGGATCGCTTGGAAAGGGTCTAAGTTCTAGGGAAATGCTTGTCTGGCGAATTGTTGCATCCAAAACTCCCAGATCGATGTCAATGAATCGTTGCTTGTTTCCCTATTGCAAGCCCGAGTGCTCGGAACATGCAGACGACCATTCCGAGGACAAACTCTTCAAGCTACACGGTCGAACAAGGCGGCAAGCACGCTGACCGAGGTTTGCCTCTAATGCTCGGCGCAATTTGAGCATATCGGACTGCCAACTCCTGTTCCCGAGCGGTCAATGATGTTGAGTCAACTCCGATCAGCTTGTTCAAAGCCTGAGTGAGGTCTGGATAGGTCAGATTTGGAAAAAAGCTCGCAGGGACTGAAAGACGAACCTAGCATAATCGATCCAATACCCCAGTGTCTGGCGAACTGTGCAACTCCAAGGTAAACAACATCGCGGTTCAGGCTGCTAAGAGCAGTAGAGCCCTCAGAGCTGGCCTGCAAAATATGCATGGCTGCGGGCCCAACCAACGAGCAGACAATGAACGGCGATGAGTATGCAATGTAATCCGGTGACCACGCCTTTATCGCCCTAACAACTTCATGTGCATGCTGGACGCATTTTTGGGAGGTGGCTCGTTGTTCTTCTGCGCTAGGCGTCATGCCGGTTGGTGAGGCTGACGGCGACCGTGCGGTGTCTTCGCATGAAGAAATCGTGAGTGCTTCGTAGGTGCGTGCACTGACGTTCATTGGAAGTTTAGCATATACCACGTCTTCAGTAATGGCCAGGAGAGATGGCATTGGCTCGCACGACTCACCTTTGCAGAATGATATTCGTAGTTATGATCCAGTTGCTCCTCGCGAATGTCAGGTCGTTGAAAACAAAGATGCTAGGATTCAGTCGGAATTGGCTCGGCAAGTTCAAGCTGAAGCAAGTGAGAGCACTCTCTATCTCGGCCCTAGCTTGCGGAGAAACCACTCTCTGTGCTTTCAGATCGTATGCCAATGCCATCAGGAAGTTGGCAACGAGAAACCAAGCTCTTTCATCTTGGTTCGGCGAACCCTGCAGACTCTTCCATGCGGTTGCTGGAGTAGGACCCATTGGTGCGGATGCGATCGGTTGCTCATTGAACCATTGCTCATCAGAGCACGGAAGCAGGACATGCATTTTATTTCGATCAATCGTGTACGGCCGCCGGGCCACGGTGGATGCAAAAGTGTCAAGTTCCCAGACTGACCACCAAACACGTCGGAGTTCTTCTCGGATGACCCATTCTTCTGGCGATGCCCACTGATTTTTGAACGTGTTAGCCTGTTCGTAGATATCCTCGTCGATAATATCGATTCCCAAATCGTACGCCAGTCGAGTACAAACGCCTGTGAGTGTCCACCCGAATGAGTTGGATGAATTTGTGTTGTGGTAGAAGGATAGGAGGATGCAACCTTGCAAGTACTGTAAGGAAGGAGAGAACCCGTCTCCCTGAAGCCGAGTTGCATCTGCATAGATAGACTGAGCTTCTTTAGCAAACTGTTGGCCACGGCAAGGCGGCGCAACATTAGCAAAGCTGGCGGCATTTGAAAAGCGAGCTGCTAGAGACATAATGCCGTTCATAATGAGAGCAGTTTCCAGAGATAAATGTCGGCCGATCGTGTCTTCCCGTCTCCTGTGGAAGTACCGAGCATAGAATTGAGGTCGATGAAATATCGGTACGAAGCCACTCACACGGTCAAAGAAGATATCGACCCTGAGGTCAATTAGTCCAATGCTGAAAACGAGACTGGGCATTCTAACAATTGCCTCACAAGTTTGCCCGGAACTGTCAAGGTGTACATTTTGGATTCAGACGTCCGAAGTAGGGGAGGTCCTGCAGAAACCAGATTTGTCTCCGATGCTAATCGTCTTGTTTGAGACGCTTCTCGATTCCGATCGACATCCCGCGGACTAAGTGAAGCTCCTAGCTGAGTCTCAAGGCTTGAATATTGCTCACTCAAGTGTGAAAAATGTTGGCTAGGAAAGTCGACGTCGAGAAGAATTTCTGATAACGACGGGCTGAAGTTGTAGTGGAGGTTGTAATCATGGCCGAGCTGTGTGTTGAAATTTGATTTCTCGGTGTCTCTAGGATAAGCAATTTCCTCGGGGCCACCTACAGACAATGGGCTGGAAGTATTTGCAACCTGTTCCTGAATGGTCAATTCTGTAACCGTGCTTTCAACGCCATGAGCAGAGTTTGCAACGCTTCCCTCATTCTCCGCCGATCTGCTTCGGGGTTTTATCTTCACGCGAGCGGTTGTCGTAGTATCTACAAGGCCATCTACAGCACAGCTCACATTTTAGTCGCGTTCTTGACAAGACGTCACCGATGGTCTTACGGAAAGACACCTCTGGAAATCTCTCTGGACAAGTTTCCTTATGGCTTCTTCTCACGTAACGGTTCCCTTTGCCGCATCGCTCCGGTCGTTTTCTCTTGGTTGGGAAGATACATTGGCTACCAACCCGTAGACACAATGTACAACAAGGCCGTCTCATGTCACCTGAAAGGGTCGCGATGCGTCAGAGTTGAGAAGAGAGGAAACGACAGAGCGCCCAAGAACGCAGCTTGACAGGGTGTAACGACTAGGCATCGCCAAAAAAAAATTGGAACCCACATTTAGTCTTCTTTCTATACAAACAAAGGCATTAGCTGTTGGAAGAGTCCGTATTCGGCTATTCCCAGCTCACCTTTTGCACTCCTCACAGGCCCGACGAGGCCATAGAGGGTATTGGCAATGAATTTGGGGGTTCGACTCTTCAAAAGTGTGCTGTGCAATCAGAATATCGCCTGCCGGGTCAACATGAAATCCGTGCATGTCGAAAAAATGGGCCAGAATTAATTTTGAAGCTGAGTGTGGTAGTGTAGAGTAGTGAAGTGCGTAGGAGCAGAGCGGCATCTCGCATCGACAAGCTCAAGAACCTCCTCATCTTGTTCAGAAGATGCCGAAGAAGGTGAGTACGCCAAATGAAGTGTTCGCTTACAGGGGCAAGTGCGGAGAAGGACATATCCCATTTGCTGGAAGGTGTTGCCATGCGTGTACCCAAGCAGGATGAAATTCTCCTTGATCAGACTAAGCATCGACGGCAAGCGGGGGCTGGACTCAAAGAGGATTGGCACCGACCCGGGCATGGCTTGTGCAACGAGCTAATTAGAACCTCTCCGTCGCCGCTCGAGATCCACCAGAGGTGCCGATCTTCCCGTACCATGGGAACCACTTAAATGAGGAGAACAGCGGGGCGGCGCAACGAGTGTGAGAAAACAAAACATCGCAGAAGTACTTGCACTGTTGCAGGGTTGGTGCGAAGTAATTCTGAAATCACGAGTTTCGTCATGGAAGCAATACCAAGTAGATACATCAAGGTCTATCACGTGACGAGGCTGCAAAGCCCCTTTAGTCGTGGAGAAAAAGGGCGGGATGCTCGGTGGCCCAAAGTATTTGAGACAGATTGCATGTAGGATGTACCCCAGGGCAGTACATCCAATGTCCTTTCTATTTCCCTTGTTCCGAGAGCCACACTTCAAATGCTCGATTAGTATCTGCCACGGAATCGAAGCCCAACATCTTTCTTTGGTAATTGATATCGGCCCACCCCCACCTGGACGGCTTTTGCCAGTCCACTTCGCTCAGTTCTCTGTCTCGGGCTTCCTGTTCCGGCCCATCATGCATGTGATCTGCGCAAAGTTCAACATCAAGCTGTATGCAAGAGTTTTGGTTCCCAAAACTCTACAAGACTCACGAGCACTTACACATGTATCGGTTGGCCACGGCTCCTTTGACATTAACCGTTGTTCGCTTCTTCCGGAGCGACTCAAAGAGTCGAAGAACAGAGTTAATGCACGCTCGTTTCTCTTGATCTGGGACTCTGTCGCTGGCTTGTAGTCGGCCTAGTAGAAGCCCCAGCACCAAGCCGTCCTCTGCGGCCATTGCAGCCCCCTGCGCTTGATAGGGAAGGGTTGGATGGGATGCATCCCCAATGAGCACAATACTGTCCTTGACCCAAGTGCGGAGTTCTGTATCATCGTAAGTCTCGACCGTTATGAGAGAGTGAACGAATGTTTGCGAGAAACCGGCTGCAAAACTCCGAGACTGTTGGGGGATACATACCTTCATGATGACACAGCTTCCACTTCAAGACACTGTTGTGACATGATATGATTTTGGCGAGCCTGAGTAAATGTCAGTAGAAACCAGAGTTGAGCCGGTGAAGGGGACCACCAACACAGGATCCCAGCCTTGATACGTCATGCGCATCTCATCAATGTCACCAGCTTCTGTTCTAGACCCAGGAGGCAGATTATCAGGGCGACTGTTACCGTCAGCAGACAATCTGCATTGGATGGTTCCCATACTAACATGAGAACTAGGTTGAAGGAAGAGCCATTCTTCACTGGATAAAAGACGCTGTGCCGGTCTGGTCCCATCCAGTTGTATGTGCAGCGTGAGTTGATGAGTTCTTCGATCTGGGGATCCTGAAACGCTTCTAGTTGCGCTCTAGAAAACGTTCCACGGTATGCAAGGTCCCCGGTGGGCACTGGAGGAGAGGAATGCCCCAGAACTATATCTCGGATCGCGGACCAGAGGCCTGTAGAGGGTGATTGTCAGCACCCCGGACAGGATTTGAGGCGGTTCACATACCATCGGCCCCGACTATTACATCTGCATCGACAATTTCACCCGTTTGAAGGACCACGTGTGGATTTTCCATGGAGACTTTGATATCAACCGCTTCCGCGTTAAGTCGAAGTTTGCCCCCTAGTCGGACAGCTTCATCTAGGAGTACGCCATGATAGTCCGCCCGATGGATCACACTACAGATAATTCAGTAACGCCACCTCAACCGTGGATATTTGACCCAACTTACAACCATGGACCATTGAAATCTCTGACCATCTTCTCCCCACCTACCCTGCTACAGAGGATCTTGCCATCTTTATAGCGCTTGAGGTGGTTTGCATTTACTTGAACGGCTCCAGCGTCCCGAAGCTTTTGCTCGAGTCCAAAATGTTGAACGACGCGTGCTGCGTTTGGCGGAATCTGAATGCCGGCACCTATCTGAATGACACCATCAGAAATGTAGATAGAGAACCCCGAGCCCACGTACCGGGGATATTTCTGGGGCTTTTTCCAAAATTGTCACTTCGCATCCTCCCCGCAGACACGATATTGCGGCGGCAAGGCCCCCTGTGATTCATGAGATAGGCACCAAGGTCAAGACGATGGTCTCACCAATGCCGGCTCCGACCACCACAACCTTGAATGGCTGCTGAGTCTGCCAGGACAGTCAGCTTATTCCAGGATTATAGCCCAGAGAGATGGCGCACTGCGTTCTGTTTTCCGTTCATCGTTTCGCAATTGTGCTCACAATATAGAGAGATAATGGCATGCACAAATATAGAGAACCGAGCTTTAATTTCTGCTCCGAAAAGCGATGATGGATGGCAATGATATACAACTCTCAAAGGCCCACTGAGGGAAGAGGACCGTAAGACCCATGCTTATTCCGGGAGTTGAATTGTCGCTAATTATGTGCTCTCCACCTTGAAGGGCGAGTGGGTGGTGTGTTTAGTACCCCATAGTCATCGGCAGCTGGAAGTTGGTGTTTTGACGTGGGGAAACGGCCATCAGCTCGACCTCGGAACGCCGTGACCAACTTCCGACTCCCCGCCGTTCCTGTCTGGTATCTTCCGCATGCCATCACATCATTTGGATTGCGAAAGGTTGCGCCGTGGCGGTCCCAACCTGTCAGTCCGAGCTAAACCTGATGAGAGCTATTATATTCGGGACGGTCTCCATCATCGGGACTCGTGTTTCGATTTCCGCGCCGCTCTCATTCGCCCTTCAATAATGAGGTGTTGATGGATACTATTGGGCTTGTGATATTTACCACACACATGCGCGGCACGCTGGATCCTGCTCATATTCCGGCCAGTCTGCATATAGGCCTCTGATAGCGAAACAGCATCTGCCATGACGGCCACTAACGGAATCTGCCATGGTGAGCTTGGTTCTGAGATAAGATATGAATCTATTTAAGAGCTGACGCCTGCTACAAGATATTTCGACTCCGGTGCTCGTCGTAGGTGCCGGTCCTGCCGGTGCCACGGCCGCCCTGTTGCTCGGTCGCTATGGTATCCGGTCGGTTGTGATATCTCGCCATCGAGGCACAGCCAACACACCAAGGGCGCATATTTTCAACCAGCGTGCCATGGAGGTGCTCCGCGATACTGGAATCGAAGACATCGTGAAGACAGCCGCGTCGAACAAGGAGCAAATTGCGCATGTGGCATGGCTACACACCCTCAACGGCGAGGAGTATGGCCGAGTCCACGCTTGGGGAACCAAACCAGATCGCATTGGAGAGTACCTTGTTGCAAGTCCATGTGAGATGTCTGACCTTCCGCAAAGCGTGCTTGAGCCCATCCTAGTTGAAGAAGCCACAAAGCTGGGAGTAGAGTTTCGATTCTCTACTGAGTTCCTTTCGCAGATCCAACTACCAGATGGACGGGTGGTGACATCAGTCCGCAATCGGACGACCTCCGAAACTTACAACATCACTGCTCAATATCTAGTTGGTGCTGATGGGGCAAGGAGTTCTGTCATCTCCAGTCTCGGAATACCTGTTGATGGAAAACAGCTGAATAATGCATTTGGCGTCCACATCAGAGCAGATCTGAGCAAATATTTCACTCACCGTCCAGGATCTATGGTATGGATACTGAATCCGGACGCACCAGACTGGTCATCTCATGGGTCCATTAGGATGGTAAGGCCGTGGAATGAATTCCTTGTTTCGATGCACAATGCGAAACAAGACGTCAACTACGAGCCTTGTGCAGAAGATGTTATTCAGCGATTGCACCAGATGATCGGTGACAGCACGATCCGAATCGAGCTTTTGAACTTTTCACGATGGACTATCAATGATCAAGTGGCCCGGACATGGCAAAAGGGTAACGTCTTCTGCATCGGCGACGCTGTTCATCGGCATCCTCCAATCAATGGGCTCGGGTCAAACACTTGCATCAGCGATGCTTTCAATATTGCCTGGAAATTGGCGTACGTCTTGAGAGGCATAGCGGATCCTTCTATCCTTGAAAGTCTTACCCTCGAACGAAAACCGGTTGGTGATGGGATTGTGAGGAGAGCCAATGATGGAATGCTGATTCACAGAAAGTTGTGGACATTGATGGGCTCAACCAAGGAAGAGCGGGCAGTTGTTTCCGGGGCACTGCAAGCCGCAAGCGTCGAAGGCACGCGCCTGAGGAAGGAACTGCGCAGTATAATTGAGGAAACCGACGATGAATTCAATGCCTTGGGGATACAGATGAACCAGATCTATTCGACGTCTCCGCTCCTCTTAGTCGAGGATAACGACAGTCCGCCCGATCTTCATGGAGTGAACTTGCTGAAGCAACAAGTAATCTCAACCTTTCCCGGTCTTCATCTACCGCACGCGTGGGTGGTGAAAGATGGCCAATCTGAGCGGGTATCCACACTCGACCTGGCTGGACACGGCCAGTTTGTTCTCTTCACAGGCATCGGCGGCGAAGGCTGGTTACAGGCAGCAAGGGACATCTCGCGGGAAGACGGGGTACCTGTCAAAGGCTACGGAATTGGTAGAGGACTCGAATACTTTGATGCTTATTGGGATTGGGAGAAAGTCAGGGGCATCGAAGAAGACGGAGCCATACTGGTGAGGCCGGACCATTTTGTCTGCTGGAGATGCAAGCGTCTTGTCTCGAACCCCGGATCAAGGCTGAGAAAAGTGATGCATGTGCTTCTTCGTCCTCCGCAATAGATCCCCATTTCAAGCAAGTCACGACCTCAAGTTGAACAGCGCACTGAGAGAAGCCAAATGAGTATACTCATCCTTGAGATCTGTTTGCAAACCTGGAGCGTCCCATCCTCTTGCCGGAAATTATTCCATCACAGCCGCACCATGTACGAGTTACCACAGCATGCGATCTTCTCCTCTCCATCAAGCCCCGATGAAAGTGGGGAACCACCCTTGGCCGGTGAGAATTACATGGCCAGAGGGAAATAAGGACGGCGTTCGTCCAGAAAGGGGCCAATGCCGCGGCACCCCGTGGGGTAGTTAGACAACCCGCGCAGTCGCAGGAGTTTCGACCATCCACCGGATGTGCCGTGGATGTTCCGGGTCTTGGTCAGGACTGAAGCCTATAAGGATGGTGTGTGGATCGCGGTATTGCTTCCGTCTTAGTGAGATGCCCTCACCATTGTGCGGGCTGTGCGTCCATCAACGTCTTCGATCTTCTTTGACAAGGCTGACAAATTTTCAGATTGAACTCCGATGTTGAAAGCGTCTCTCTGTGAAGCATATCTCCCAGAAACAGCCGCTGCCGGGGCCCTTCTGGAGGAACAGAGAGAACCGATTTTGGCACGATAGTATCGATAATTCGTCCAGCAGATACAACAACCACAACAACAGCAGCAACAACAACAACAACGAAGATATACGATGCCCATCGCCCTGGAAGATGAGCGCGTCCGGCTCGTGAAGACGGTCTTCGTGATTTATTACCACCAAGATGTGCACAAGGCGTCCAAGTTCCTGCTGGACTTTGGGTTCGAAGTGGCTGAGCAGCGAGACGACGAGGTCATCTTCTTCAAGGGCTACGGACCAGACCCGTATTGTTACGTCGCGCGGCGCGCAGAGGACGGTGTCGCCAGGTTCGGCGGCGCCGCATACCTGGTCGAGTCGGAGGCGGAGCTCGAGAAGGCGAGCAAAATCCCTGGGGCGTCGGCCATCAGCAAACTCGACGCGCCTGGGGGAGGAAGCATCATGACGTTGACCGACCCCATCGGGCACCTGGTGCACCTGGTGCACGGGATCCGCGAGAAGCCCAGCGAGGCGGCGGCGGAGAAGAATCTGCAGAAGCTGGTGGTCAACTACGGCGACGAGAAGCGCAGAGTGGGCAAGTTCCAGCGCTTCCAGATGGGCCCTGCGCCCGTGCACAAATGGGGCCATTACGGCGTCAGCTATCCGCCGGGTAAGTACCAGGACATGGTCGACTGGTACACGGGCCACTTGTCCCTGGCGTTCAGCGACAAAGTGACCATCGGGGGCAAGGAGGCCGTGTCGTTCTTCCACATCGACCGCGGCCTCGAGTATACTGACCACCACTCCTTCTACATCAAGCCGACGCGGGGCGACGACGAGAAGCCCGACGTCGCGCACAGTGCCTTTGAAGTACACGACTACGACGTCCAACAGCTTGCGCACAACTACCTCGAGTCCAAGGGCTACAAGTTATCGTGGGGTGTCGGCAGGCATGTGCTCGGCAGTCAAATCTTTGATTACTGGTATGACGAGTCTGGGTTCGAGCTGGAGCACTATGCGGATGGAGACTTGGTGAATTGCGAGACCGAGGTGACTGTCCAGGAGAATGGGCCACATACAATGTATGTTTGGGGACCGCCTAGACCGGCGGCACGGGGGTAAGAACAGAACACATCCCCACAATCCTGCCCGGTTGTGGGCTGTCGTTTCATTCCTGCCGAACAAGGCAATAAGATGGACCATAATGTACCACAGTGCTCGCTTGAATCAGGCTGTCTCAATGTAAACCTCCAGACCTTTCTGATGGACAAAGAACGTGTTCCAGATAGTCAATTTCTTCTCGGGATCCACGAGTCGGAACTAACGGCATCATTTTTCGGTCAGCCAGCTCACGAGGGCCCGAGGTAATCTGTAGACGAGCAGATGAGCAGTGGAAGATAGACGACAACCTACCTTGAAGCGCTTCAAAAGAAGCGGCACCAACTTGTGCACTTCCAGCAGACTGATATTCTTCCCGATGCAGGTCCTCTTGCCGCTCCCAAAGGCCATGAAGCATCTCTCCATCTCGCCCTTTTCCTCCTCGTCGGCCTCCAGCCAGCGCTCAGGACGATACTCATCCACCGAGTATCGACGGCCGTAGACCCGCTTGTCCCTGTGGATGACGGCTGGATTGCACCCGACAATGGTGCCTTCGGGGAAGAAGTGGCCGCAGAGAGTGACTCCGCCTTTGGGGACTATTCGCTCCAGGATGAGGCCGACCGGCGTGTGGAGACGGAGTGCTTCCTTGATAACGGCACCTAGATATGGCAGACTACTTGTCTCCCGCCATTGCGGAAGGGGCGACAAGTCGGCCGAATTGAGTTCAGCCATCAGCCTCGCCATCGCAGAGGGATTGAGGAGCAGAAAATCTGTTTGCACATCCGGACATCAGCATTCATTCCCATATTGTCCCCACAGTCGCCGGCGCGGAAAACAACCCACGAAAGATTGCCCGTAGAGTGATTGCACTCGTGTCTGATCCTGCGTTGACGTTGCTGAGTGACCAGCCCAGCAATTGCGATTGCGGTATCGAACCATGGTATTTGTCAGAGGCCGAGATGAACTTGGCCGTGAAGTCGGTCCGGTCCTTGAAGTCAAGCGGAGACTTCCCTCCGCCTACACCAAGTCGTACCCGATCTGCTTCGTCGATCCGAGGCTTCAAGAACTTCAAGACAAACCGTGACACTCCCAGTTTGTCTTTTGAGAAGGCTGATCCCCAGAACCGGTTTTTGGCCAGCAGAAAATCTAGCCAGGGCATTTGCCCAACGATTGCCGTGTAAGCTCCAGACTTGTTCAGCGTCTTGATGATATTGCCGACGTCGCAGGATTGTTCAAGGAAGCCGAACCTGTTGCTGAATGTCATTTCGCCAATGACATCGAATGCGTACCACTGGAGCCATTCACCAAAGTCGCAAACCTTTCCAGTATCGGCAAACTGGGTTGCCAATTGTTCAACTAATGTTCGTGAAGTGCTGTCCACAAACGGTTCATAATCCAGCAGGCTTGTCATGGCGTACGCGTGAGCAATCGGTCGCTTTGCCGTCTTGTGTTGGTCCTCGTCGGTGATCATGAAGAGTGAGGCGACTGGTCTGCCATTGACAAGAGGCTGGGCTACTCGGTAATAATCTGACTGTTGAGCTCTTTCTGTCACTCCCTAGGTTTAAAACTAGATGTGATTCTTCAGGGCTGCCACACCTTCTGGAAAAGCCTTGATATACCGTAGATCTGCCTGATCTCCCTTGGATCTCCCACACTGACACAGTTTGGCCCTACCCGAACCAAGTCGCCATACTTGTCATGCAGGGCTTGAGAAACGAGCTCGAATCTGCCATTGTATACGGCCAGTAAACGCCAGAGATCAGTGAAAGAGGCAAAAAAAGGCCCAGGGATAGACCTCAAGCCGGACCTGAATCTTTGCTGTATGACGAACACACCGGCAGCGCAGAGAAATATCAGGCCGGCCACTGGTAGCCAAGTCCACCATGTGGCTAGGCCGGGACCAGCCATGTTGGGGGTGATTCGCGATGAATTCAGTCTCGGTTCTCAACGAAAAAAATGCTGCTGTATCGAGAGAGAGAGAGAGAGAGAACAAGCCGAGTCATTTCCTAGCATGACGTGCAAAAGAGAAGGGGGAGGCAAATGCCCGCTGCGTCAGCTATATGAGGATGATGCTTTGATTTCGAAGTCAGAAACATTGTATCTCCACATGACTCTGCCCTGAACGATGTGATGTGGGGGAGATAATCCAAGCAATAGAGACGGTGTTCCGGGGCCAATGGGTAGTGAAACGGCAATGGGCCTTTCCCGTGTAAATGCCGGGATTATTTCTCGAGGTTACAGAGAATCACGAACTGTAAGAACCCAGTTCTGATTAGTTAATGAATGATGTTTGTCGGCATACAGTCCATCACAGGAGATGAACCGAAACCCCTGGCCGTTGATTGTCTAACTACCTGGCCTCATCCTATTGTGGAGGAAGTGTGGCAGTTATAGCACTGACATTTTCCTCGCTGTGGCAGAAGCCACATCCGACGACCAGCGGCATCGAACAACACACATCATATGGGAATGGCTAAAACTGCATGCCCCTTTTCGTAACTCATCCAAATCATCCACCTCCAACTTCGTTCATAACTCCTCCATCCAATTTCAACACCTCTCCATTAACATATCCACATTTCGTGAGGAAAATAACCCCCATGGCCATCTCCTCGTCGCTCCCCGCACGCCCGGCAGGTACCTCATGCCCCTTGTCCTTGACCTTTTCAGCCGGCATGTGAGCTTTATTGCGCTCATCAGATTGTTTCATCGTCATCTCCGACGGGAAATACCCTGGGGCAATGCTATTCACGCGGACACCGGTTTTTGCAAATTCCTTCGACATCATCCGTGACAGATGCGCTGTGGCTGCTTTTGCCGCATTGTATGCAAAATGTGCCTGAGAATGGCGCATGAGGCCGGACATGCTGGAGATGACGATAACGCTTGCATCGAGATTTCGAGGTGCACGTTGGAGAAGAGGCAAAAAGGACACTACGGAGAAAAACACACTGATGACGTTGGTGTTGTACGTCGCTTTCCACTCCTCAACTTGTTCTCTCCACAGATTGTCTTTCATCTGCTTGGCATCGCTGGTGTCTGGATATCCCTTGGGGCCGGAAACTCCTGCTGCGGCGACGACAAGGGAGAGATATTTCTCCTTGGATTCCAGCTCGGCAGTTAACTTCTCCAGGGACTCCTTGGATGTCACGTCGCAAGGCCCAATCGGAATGATTTCGCCATTGAGAGATGTGTTGGATGACTGTGGGCTGTGCGTGCGAGCGGCATTCTCGAGGACTTCCTTTCTCCGTCCGGTGATGTACACTTTAGCACCTATGGCGAATTTCGGTCAGATGAGCTGGAATTATGTTATGATCCTTTCATTCTGGCGACATACCGTTTGCTGCTAGAGCTTGGGTGGCCATCAATCCGATCCCAGTTCCTGATTAAATTGGTCAGATTCAACCAAATCTCGACCCAGGCACTTCTTACCTCCACCTGTGACAAGGCAGACATGGCCTTGAAGCGAGAAGAGGTTGGAGATGTGCAATTGTCCAGTCGACGCCATCGAAGAGACCCTCAAGTAAGAACGCGGGTGCCGAGAGGGAAAATATTTTGAAATGTCTTTGAGGAGCTGAAATCTTCTGTGGAAGAAGACTTGAAGCTGCTCTGCAAGGCTCACAAGGAAACATGGCGAGAGGGATGGCCAAGAGGTCACCTCGTCACCTCGTCACCTCGTCACCTCGTCACCTCGTCACCAACGTGCCTGATATCGATGACGAGCTATGATGTCACGCGACCCTTGCCAGTCCCAGCCAATCACAGCCATTCCATGGCGATTGCCCTCCTTTCGCCCCTATTGTCCCCATCACACTCTCAGCCTCGCGAGAAAAGAGTCGACCCAAGGGTATTTGGCGGCCGAAAGCGTAGTTCGTAAAGTTATTGACCGGTGTCTACGCAGACTTCGTAACGTGAGCGAATCGAGTGGCTCGCGAATTTGTTGGACATGTCGGGGATACTGTTGGCGAGCAGCTCTATCTGGTCCTTTGGTAGTCCGTTGATCGGAGCTGCCGCTAGAAAACCACTATCAAAGCCCTCGTGCTGCGGCATTCAATGTGTGGAAAGGGGTGAGAGATCCAATTGAAGACCCTAATGCGATGGTTGAACTTATTCCGGTGGAGAAGGGACAGTGCAGGAAAGCCGGACTTCAGGAGACGAAAGGAGCCAGCTCGAATCTTGTGGAGATCTCCTAGTAATTGCCGACTTTACGATCTGCTCTCGCATTGCTTCGGATTGATGTCGAGTTTGAAGGAGCACCGGTCCACACATTCAACAGCAATTTATGTGGCGTCGTTTCAATTACGCCTGATGAAACCTTTGGTGCCATCCTGTTGCGCGATAAGTCCATGGACCTGCTTTTCGGGGCTTTAGGGGGCTTGAATGGACATGGTCCGTTTTACATACACATTCGACAGCATCGTATTTTTCAGCTCCATGGAAAGGAGTTGCCCGAATGCAGCCATTGAAAGATATCAATCATGCACATGAAGCGTGTGGACTGCCATGAGCATGGCCATTGCAACTGTTGACGCTGACTCAGCCCTCAAACTCCAGATCCGAAAGACATAAAAATGAGCTGAACCCCCAGGCTGATTCTGATGTTTTAGCCCATGGAGCAGCATAGAGAAAGATGATAGAAACTTGGACAGCACTGCGTCAGGCAGCCCATAGCAATGGATCTATTCACGATCCCGATCCCGAGATCTGCAAAGCTTTATAAGCACAATCATGACTAATCCATCAAGAGTCTAATTCGCGGTAAAACCTTGCATTTGAATTGCCATTTCCTCGAGCGACTTGCTTTCGAGGTTGGGCGGGTATGTAAATACCAAAGCTCTCACTTCGATGCTTTGTCTAGGAATGAATAAGGGAGGGATCGCAGGGTCCAAGAATGACGCATGTGGTGCACCTATTTATCATTAGGAAAAAAAAAACCCGTTGCAACAGTTGAAAATTTCAAGGCAATCATACAGGTGGCCGCTATCGTCTCTGCAGAATCGAAATTCTTGAATATCAAAACCTCATCCTTAGTCTGTCGGCTCATATAGAAGAATTTATGTCGTTCATTGTGCTGCAAGTACATTGTCGAGCCTGTGTAATGCCGTCTGACATGATCGGCCTCTACCATATCTGATGGAAATACGGTACTGCCATCGCACATTGCTAGAGGGTAGTCTCGAATGCAGTCGATGATTGGGCGCCACACGCTGGAAGATAGAATGTCAATTGCTCAGCAGCCTAAATGAGGGTGGATTTCTCCGCTTACTTGACGACACGAATGCGACTCTGTAGTAGATATTCAGCGTCCGAAGGAAGCTGCATTAGGATCCGTCGTATCACGGCCAGAGGACTCTGATCTGTTTGTTCGACGTCAGATTGACCTATTTGAAGGGGACCATTTCGCACACACCAACATGCACATGTAACGCCGGTCGTAGCCACGTCGTTGAGTCATTGAGGTCGATGACAGTGCCTTCGATTTCGGGGGCGTTCTTCCGTAGCTGGAAGAGGTCAGTGTCTCGTGGCTTTCGCGCTTCCACAAAGAACAGACCCTCCAGTCAAAGAAGAAGACGCGGTCAACATCCTCCACTTCGGCTTTGAGCAAGGCCTCCATCTCTGGGAGATACAGCTCTTCGACCTTCTTGCGATCTGCGATATGAGTTGGGTCAAACTTTTGCAGGCGATACATGAAGCCCTGCTCGTTCAGTGAAAAGTAATGTGGGGGAAAGTTTCGAACATCCAGGATATGGACCTCGACGTTATGGAAAGCAAGGTTGGTCGTGCGTTGATCTTGGGCATCTTCAGGAACATTAATGAAGACCTGGAAAGGTTTCTCGGTCTCGTAGAGTGGGAGCCACTTTAAAAATTTGAGAGGCGCAATGACAGCGCCCTCGTGGTGCGACATTGTGTGGGTATGTAGAAGTCGCGGCTTCCGCATGGACCAAAAGGTGGAAGTGTGCCTTGGCCCTTGGCTCCGTCCTCTTGAGATGCCTGGCGAAGAGTACCAAGACTCTTGTTATCAAGCAGCCAAGCTGCTTCCTTGTGTATTGAAGGGACACGAAGGATCATCAATCCCACCAAAGCTTCGATCAATCCTCACCAAGTCTGCGTCAGAACCAAAGCTTTGGCCAATGCTCTCTCCAAAGGTCACCTTCCACGGTTGTTTGCGTGTATCGAGGTCGGCGGCAAGTAGGGCTTTCCTAACCCACAAAGGGAACGGCGAGATCTCGCAGTTCCAAGAGCAGGCGGTGGTTTCGGAGGACTCGCTCGAGGGTGAGCTGGTTCGGGACAGTGTCTTGTCTGTGGTAGTGTCATGAATCTTTGTCAGCTTTCCGTATGGGCGGACGATTTGGACATACCTACCAGGCATAGCTGAAGGCACTGACAGACACAAGGGGAGATTTGTGCTCGTGCTGCGGTATCTTCAACTCAAATGGCAATGGGCTGCACTGATAGGTATCGATGTATGTCTAAGGTAGTTCCAAATTAGGGAGGTGGTGAGCCAAGTTGGAGAAAGTGTCTGGGGCTGAGCAAGGACGCCAAGGTTGGCTGGTGGGCTATTGTGGTGAGGCTAGTGAGGCCTAGTTAGCCACTAACAAGTACCTGGTACTTGGTACAAGCACATACCTACGTAGGCGCAAGTGCCACCACAAAAATCTTGCACAATGTAACCCCGCCCTGCCCCGCTCACGGTCTGGCCAAAATAAGTGGGTCACCCAATGTTTTTTTTTGAATGCGCTCCTACACCCTCTTTGTAAATACTACTACAGCGCATGCAATACTTTGTCATTTACCACCTAATTACCTATGATCCTTTAGTATACCTATATGCCACATATTCCTAATAAGCATTGGGACACTCCTAGCAGGGCTAGGCTTCAGGCGCAGGCGCAACTGATCCGTTCGAAATCTGTACGAAATGCCAATGGCAAGCCTCTCAGTCAACGTCAGCTTTTTGCACAACAACGCGTCCCTCAGACCTCTGGAAATCGAATCATAAATAGCGAAGACCCTCGACGATTAGCTCATAGCGAAATAAGATTGGAAACGCGTGGAAGGAAGCCAAAATTAACTGAAAAAGATGCACACCTAGCTAAGAGAATTCTTTGGCGAGAAGGCTTTAATGGACGCGCTTTACCTTGGGATCAATTAGTTATTGAGTCTGGACTTGATGTCTCTGGAAGAACCTTACGTCGCCATCTACGACAGAAGGAATATCGTCGCTGTTTATCCTACCAACGTTCCTAGGTATCACCAAAACTTGCTGCGCTTCGGGTCAACTTCGCTCGATTAATGCTATCTCGATATCCAACACCACAACATTGGCGAAACGTACGCTTTTCTGATGAAGCTCATTTTGGATATGGTCCTGTTGGTAGAGTCTGGGTTACCCGTAAACCAGGAGAGGCTCATTGTTCAGATTGCATTCAGCAAAAGGCGATACCAAAGGATAAAGATACAAAATGCGTTTATACATAGGGAGTAATTGGATATAACTATAAAAGCCAGCTATATCGATATTATACTGACAACTTAAATGGCAAGATGACACACCAAGTTTATATTACGTTGTTGACTTAGGAGTGTCTTTCCTGGCCGCCTGATACTGTTCTTGAAGAAGATGGTGATTCTGGCCATGGCAAGAGTAAATCGAATCCTGTTCGCACTTAGAAAACTCTACATAATTTACGACATTACTTCAACTGTTCTTACTCTCCTGATCTATCACCAATTGAGAATGCCTGGCAAGCACCAAAGGGCTTTCTGAGAAAGTTTACTCACTGGAACGACGAGATAGTATGGACGATTACACAGGAGGGGTGGGAACACTTATCGCAGACAACAATCAACGCCTGGGTCGACAGCATGCCTACCAGATTACAAGCAGTTATCGATGGTAAAGGCCAAATGACGGCCTACTAGTTAATGGGTATTTCATGTTATTTGACAAAGAATTGAACTAGTTCTAGTAGTAATTACTATACGGACTGTTTCTTGAGTTGAGACGAAAACATTGGGTGACCCACTTATTTTGGCCAGACCGTGCCCGCTTCAAGCTTCCCTTGCCCTCCCTGCCCATCTGGCCTACCCCCCCGCTCAGCTCCATGACCTCACCTAGCTTTCATTAACAAGTACTCGGTACTAGGCGGCTCGGTACCCTCAAGTGGCTACAGTAGCTGCCTAGCCAAGTGAAGATAACCTAGATGACCAGAACTAACACTAACCATGAACTACTGGAAATTGAATCTTCAATTAACCAATACCATATGCATCTTCAGTCAGAAGGCAATGCGCGTGCCGATGATGCCGTCACTGGTATGTACTTCGTTTGGGTCACGGGTAACTGAGACTCCCCTGAGCTGTGAGCTGGAGCACTGTTTCTCAGAAGCTGATTCTTTCCCCCTTTCCCTTTCCCATCCTTAAAACGCCGTCACTGCTACCAATGGGCCTCCCCACGAGCTGCTGCAAAGATGGTAAAGAGGCTGCACAATAGCCCGAGTCATATCTCTCTCGAACGACGGGTCCTGTGACTTCAGCTTCTTCGCGCCATAGCCTCCCTCTCGCTTCACTTCCTGGTACAGACAAGCATGGACCACGTTGCTATAAGCTTGACACTCCTGGTCGACCACGAAACCAGTGTCTAAGAGGTGGCGAGCAGTTAAGAAATCTTGCACATCACGGTCTGGGCTTGTTGGGCCACTTGGTTCCTGCAGACCGGCAAGACGCTTGCCAGAGGCCAGCTCTATCAATGCATAGCCTAGGCGAGCGAGAACTGGCTCAGGCAAAAGTATCCTGAGAGACTGAGGCGCCATTCTTCCGCCGGGCGCGCTTAATATATCGGAACCTCCGAGGGACTGGAACTGTTTCGTAATGAACAGACTGTCATCAATCAGACCTTGCTGTCGATTTGTGATTGCTGAAAAGTCGCTCCACGTCCAATTCGCGTCGATCCAAGGAGTCTGAAGAAGTTGAGTAACGCCCCATGCCAACTGAAGGGCCAGGTGGATCCGATGCCGACGTGCTAGTTTGATGTGATCTCCAGAAAACAAATCTTCCAGCGATAGAATGCACCGTGAGTCTCCCTCGACTATGGGCTTTGGAGACTGAAGCTCATAGCCAACGTCGTCAGTCGCTCGCAAGTACCCGAGGCTCTGCCTTTTGAGAAGAATATCTGATTCTTGCTCAAGCGAGCGAATGGACGAACATATGTCCACTATCTCATCACCGCTCCCTACTTCACATTCTGTCACCGACACCGAATAGCATTTCGGACTGAACACCAGCGTAACAGAGCTGGTGAGAGAGTGGTTGCTCTGCACGGATGACAGCGGATAATCTCCCTGAGAATGCTCGTTGTCGGTGTTTTGCGATTTTAATGAAGAGACTGATGTCTCGCCTGAAAAAGATAAGTTGCTCATGCTAACTGAAAGTGACTGAGCGCTGTCGTACTTGACTGAGGAGGTGTCGTCGTTGACGGAAAACAAAAGTTGCAATGGCGGCCTCCGAGCCAGAGTATTTTGATGTTCTAGATGCTTGATCATGGGAATTTGCAACCTCGTGGCGTGGGCACGTTGGCAACAGCATCGAAAATGACTTTCGACTGCTCGGAAGACGCCTGTGGCAAAGGTCGCGCATGAGGCAGTCGTCAGGGTAGGCACGGGCAAATGGCCTTGCGGGTATTTGCGCTCTGGAGCGGAATCGATAACCCGACGTAACCTCTCGTTGAGATGATGAATCCTCCTCACGCGCCTCTTGAGCCCTGAGCTGTCTAAACTCGACCTGAGCGCGGTGATCTTAGCCTTGACGACGGCCCTCATGTCGACCTATTGTTGTTAGCTTTGGGAAGATCTGGCTCCCAGGCCCCTTCCCCAGGCCCCTTCAGCGGACTCACAGGAACTGGGTTTATCCTCTCCAAGTATTGGTGAATGTGTTGCAACTCGGCATGGATGTCGATCAGAGTTGCGGCAATCGACTTGGTGGCTTCAGTGTCGCGCGAAGCCATCAGGCTCGTCAGAAACCCGTCATTCTCCCATAAACCGAATATCTCTGAATTCTTGTCCAAGATCCCCTGTAGATCAGTCCCTGAAAGCTGGGAGACGCAGAGATGTTGAATCCAGTTACAGAAGATGACTTTCTCGGCGCGAACCTCCTCCAGCAGATCGTGAATGATTTCTCCCGATCTCACTCTTCTGCAGTAGTCGACGGCATCGACGATGACCGGATACAGCCCTAATATCAGTCCGACCACTTCGAAGCCAGACATTTTCTTTGAAAAGGATACATTCGTACATTCACTCGCCGCTCCAGCAAAATGGGACGCTTCAGCCGTGAAAAGGTGTGAAAAGATGAGGTGCGGCTGAGCGTCGACAACGAGTTGCACTCCTGCAGGGTCTCGCCCTTTTTCTCACCCTCAGTTCAACCCCTCAAGCCACGCTCCGCCAACCATTCCCCCCCTCTACCGAAGCTAACCATCTGCAGGTAAAGCTGCCTGCAACTGACATGGGTCTGCGATAAGCGTGGGCAGGTTTACATAGGCCTGGGCCAGACTTTGCCACACTGTGCTGGCAACAACAGCTCGACAGCTTCGGAAGTGTTGGTCCTCCTCAGAGAGCCCCGCTACCCAGCCTCATTGTGCCATCAGAGGAGTGAACAACTTTAGCCATCTTCCGTCAGCAAAACATTACATTCATCTGGGTCAAACAATGGGCCCCTCAATACACCATCCTCGGAAGGAGCTTGGAGGTTACCATCAACATGCGCAGGTAGCTGCAGCGTACGAAGATTGCCGGCAGACCTTCGACCAGCTTTCTTCGGTTATGGAGGCGAACCGTCAAGTATGGGAGGGCAATGCTGATTTCTTGGAGAGCTTCAAAAACAGCCTGGTACATTGGGCCAACGTCCACCATGCCGAAAATGGCTCGCTTGACCATGCTCTGCGTAAGAGCTCAGATCTGCGAGATCGAGTTGTTGATCTCCTCGAGAGCCTCAACCACAAGCTGCAGAATGGCAAGTACCCTCGATATTCGTCGCTCTAGACTTAGCATGACGCTCTTCAATAAGCGAAGGGGCTTCGATTTTCCTGGGCTATGGGCGTTCAACTGACATATGCCATCCGTCCAGTCTTGGAGGACCTCCAGATCACCGCGACACCTCTACTCAGCCCAGCCCTCCTCGAGGAAAATTGGTCCTCCTACTTTGACCGGCAAAGCGACCTCACGACAGTTTCCAGATTGCCAGTCTCAGAAGAGGTGCTGAAAGAAAGACTTGCTCTGATTTCATCCGTCTTGGAAACGCTACAGGGGCTCAATGCGACTCTGAAAAATCCATTCCCTTCCGATATGTTCTCCAGTGACGTCCTGCTCGGCGATAACAAGGCTGACATTCAACTGGCTGCTCGTTTGTTTCCGAAAGCTCCCGAGCAGCTGAAGCAGAGGCTTGGACATGCAAATTGGCTTCGTAAGTGCTTTTTGAGAAGTCTGAGAGCCGACAGATATCCTGGAAGTCAAAAGAGGACGGATGCCACACTTCCACGGTCTGGCAGGACGCAAGATGGACTTGTCGGAACTCTTGATAACCCTAGAGGTAAGGATGGAGGGTTGCCACCGACATTCATGCTTAACGACCATAGGGCAGCATTGAGCCGACTAGCATCTATGACGGCGAGTGATACTGCTTCAAATAGCGGCACGGTGTTTTCAAAAGCTGATTCGGGATATAATACAAATGTCGCTACCTCAGTGACCGAGTTCGATGAGGGCCTTCGACCGGTAGCAATTCCAATCCCTCCTCCACCAACTCCACTGAATGCAGGTCGAAGTTTCTTGTGCCCATATTGTGCATTGCCAATAACTGTTGGCGGACCAAACTCAGGGACAGATCAAAGCCATGCATCCGAGGCTTCTGCAACCAGCCGGCGATTCACTCCAGGACATCCCTCTCATCCGGAGCACCAAAGGCTGGAAGAGCCTACGGTCATGGATGTCTCTACTAGCGCGGACTGGATTACACATTTCTTCGCCGACCTGGAGCCTTATGTGTGCACATTCCATCAATGCCTACAAGGCACAAAGACTTATGCAACGCAGGATGCTTGGATACATCATGAGCTTTATACACATTATATTCAATATGCTTGGTCATGCGAAATATGTTCCGAGGAATGGCTGGACGAGAGAGCCTTTGGCGAGCATCTAGCGTCGACTCACCATATACCGCAGGAAGGTATCTCAACAATATCGCAGCTATGTGTAAAGCCGTCAGACATGACCCCAAGTCAGATGCAGTGTCCACTCTGCCTGTTCGATTGTTCTTTCGAATCATATTACAAACATCTGGGTGACCATCTGCAACAACTCGCTCTTACCTCAGTTGAGACCGACATGCTTGGGACATCAGGCACTGCCTCCGTTTCCATGTATGGAGGAGATAAATTTACACTTCTGGAGGACTTCATCCAGGAGCAGTCTGAGAAGTCACCTCTTCAACAAAAGCAAAGGGGAGATTCATTGGCCACTCAACTTCAAGGTCTCTGGACAGAGCAATCAAATTTGGAACCTGGAGATGGTTCACCTTTAAAAGCCCGTGCAAGCCGGCCCAGGTTGGGTTCAAGGGGGCCTTCCTATACCTACATGCAGAGGGTTCGAGAGCTCAAGGTCGAAGAAGCGACGAAAAGCGCGGCCACCACTCCACTTGCGCAATGGAAGAGTGTTGAACCAACCGTGTCAGTTCATTCGGCTCAGGCAACAATCGGTGCACTCCAACCACCCTGGAACCCTGACTTCGTCGGGCGAATCGTTGATCTCGGGATGATTGACGATAGAATGAAAGAAGAAGGCCATATCACTGTGATTCGTGGGCCTGGTGGGATCGGGAAATCTGCAATCGCTACAGCTTACACGTGGAAATTTAAGAGCTGCTACTCGTACATATTTTGGGTCCCTGCGGAGACGGCCATGGTTTGTGCCGACTCCTTCTGCCAGATTGCTTTGAAAGTGATAGCAAATGCTGAAGAGGTGGCAGAGGAGGAACGACTGGTCAACATGGGGCGTGAATTCCTTGAACGAACAACGGGGCGGTGGCTTCTTGTGTTTGACAATGTGGACGAAGGATTTGATCTTCGCCGGTTCCTCCCATCAGACATGTCCAAGACGCACGGTTCAGTTCTCATCACTACACGAAAGACAGACCTCGACGTGTCACTTTTGTCCGACAAGACTTCTGCCATTGACTTGAATGCCCTTACCCTAGAAGAGAGCCGTGAGCTGCTTCTCAAATCTGCCAATCAAGGCGAACCCGTCGAAGATATGAGATCGCATCCAGAGTACAAGTTAGCAGGAGACATAGCTAAAAGAGCGGAGAAACTCCCACTAGCTTTGTCGCTCATTGCTGGATTCGTCCTGGCTTCAGAATGCACACTGGCATACTTCGTGGAGCTGTGGAATGAAAGGCAGATGTCGCGAAATGCACGAGATGCCTCCTCTGACGCCAATGGCGCTATGGAGATGGTGTGGAATATTGGCTTGAGAGAGGTCGAAACGGAGGCACGTCAACTTCTCAACATCCTAGCATTCTTTGACAGCGATAATATTCAAAAGGATTTGTTGGTGGGACCACATGAGGATCCGTTGCTTGAGATGCTACATTCACACTCACCTATGCGGTAAGCAATTCCAGCTAGGGTTTTCAAAGTCTAATCAAAGCAGATGGAACCGGATGACGAGCAAGCTATCGAAAAGGCGTCTTATCACAGTACGAAATCGCGATGGCGAAGAAGCCTTGACCATCCACCGCAAGCTGCAGGCGAAGATCCTGGAGGAGCTCAATCAACCCGATAACGTTGCAGAACGAGCCAAAGTCTTTGAAAGGGTCTTCTTGCTTATTCGAGGGCGGTTCCCCCATCCTTCGCCAATTCAGGTTCCTGAGCCCGAGAAATGGCCCATTTGCAGACAATATTTGCCCCATGTCTTGAGTATAAAACGATTGTGGCAGTCGGGGATTGTCGAGATTCCACCTTCAGTCAAGCTAGCCCGGCTTATTTCTGACGCCGGTATTGACCTGTGGGAAAGATGCCTGACAGTCGAAGGGCTGGAGCTTCTCAGATCAGCAGAAGCTATCCTCGACCAAGGCGGATTCCGAGAAGATCTTCTCCGTGCTAACATTCATGTTGTGGTCTCGCTCCTACTCCAAGACTCAGGGATAGCCCATCTGGCCGAATGTAGAGACCGCATTGCTAAGGTGCTCGACATTCGGGTCAAACATCATGAGAACTGCGATCCAGCTGAATACACGAAAAACGATGATATATTGCTTCACAACGCGTGGTCAGATTACGCTTGTGTCCTTTTGCAATACAACCAGTTCCGAGAAGCAGCGCGCATTTTTGACATGTGCTTCGAGAAATATCAGCGATGGGGACCCCCAGAAGAGATTCCGTATGAGTACGCAAAGTATTACCATCACAAAGCCTACTGCCTCATGTACGAAGGAAACTTTGAACATGCCGTTCCCATGGTCGAGCATGGATTGCATTGGGTGCAAGTTGCCACCGGACAATCAGCAGCCGCCAATAGATGGCGCTTCGACCTTGCTTGTTTGGTCCTGCAAAGTGGTGACAAAGAGCGTGCTCTGGATCTTCACAAGGAGGTACTAGAGGCTAGGCTAAGGTTGCACGGAAAATTCGGGTTGCTGACTTTCCAAAGCTATTACGCTGTTGGGGCAGCTCATAGGTGGTTGAATGAATTGAACGAGGCGGAGTAAGTGCATGATTTCTACGAGGTCTCTGAAAGGTTATTAATCGGTCACAGACTATATATGCGAAAGATTCTCGACATCGACCAGACTCGCCCAGGTATATGCACGGAGGCCGCTCTGGCGCAGGCTCAATTCAATCTTTCGCAGATACTTGCAGCTCGAGCAGAAAATTCTGGTGAGAGACCGGCCGAAGCATCTGCTCGCCTCCAGGAGTCAGCTATCCTGGCGCAGATGGCCCGGAAAGTACTCCTCAAGGCGCATCCCCTTGGGCCTTTGGAAACAAACACAGGTCAAGGTCAAGATGGACTGCTCACATCGAGTCCGAATACAATACCTCAGGACCACGAGCTAGCATTATTCGACCACCTTCAGCCCATTTTTGACGGCAGGTTTACCGGACCGCATCTTCTGAGATATCTTCGGTATTCAAGTTGAGGGATAACTACGTAATATCGCCTGCAAGTTGCTATAGGGTAATCACTTAGGAATCTTGATCATTGAAGGTTTAGAGTAGAAGTCTGGAAGGCTAGACTGTATTTGTAGGCTCAGGATAGAACCATCGAGAGAGATCTGTTTCTGCAGAAAAGGTTGAATTTGGAGTTTAGTCTTAGTGCTGTAAATTCGCAATGCTTTATCCAGACTTTCACGTATATTTATAGTAGCTTCAGCAGTTAGCAGTTGATTTGACATATGTATACGTTGCCCCCAAAAGCTGTTGAGGCAAATGGCCAATCTCGTCAAGTCCACCGAGTGGAAGCGGCTGCGGGCACGGCAGCGGCGCTCACAGTGGCTCTCAAAGTGTATACAGGAGGCGATCTTAGATCACCTAATAGATGAAATAGATACGGCCAGGCTGGTTATTTGTGCGTGCCTACTGAGGTAGGTTTAGGAATGGCTTTCTCGACACAGGCCGAATGTCTACCTAAATGGGAAACATCTCGCTCGAAGAGATAGAGGAACAGACACCCTGGATCACGGAGAGTACTTCATACAGTACATGACTGCCATTTACGTAGACAACTCGACATTTTCTTTAGTCCAACATATTCTCAGCATTGCAGAAAACGGAGTTCACCAAAAGAATTTCCCACTCCTACCGCCTGTTTTTAACGCTGTTGAGCCAACACTTTCTAGCCATCTTATTTCCGGTATTTTCAGCGATCTCTACTGTGAGTCTCGAGGAAAAGTCTTCTTAATAAGGGACAGGAACATTGTTAGTTTCATCAAAATGGCATGAAGAAATTATCCTGAAGATTAGGGTGTTTTTTTTTTTCCTTTGGGAAGGCCCCTTATAGGGCGCCCAAGTTGTCCACTCTTGCTGATGTTACTTCACATGGCTTCATGTAACTTTACCTATGGACTCGAGTCGTAAGTCCCTTGTCCATAGCATGCGCCGTCCACTGTCTGCACTGTGACATTTTTTGCAGCAACACTATCTGCCCCGAATCGCAACACATGGCCCTTTGTATAGTCCTGCCAGCCCTTCTGCTTTGGTCCGTTATGTGGATCCTTCATGAATGCCAGGAGGTAGTCCTGCATGATTTCGCTTGTGCGCGCTTCAAATTCAGTCCCCTTCCCATAGTCGTTGTACGACCCAAAGAAGAGCGGGAGATCATCTGTGTGGTAGGCTCCCAGCCATGGCAGAGGAGACAGGTTGGAGAAGTTCCCTGCAAACTCGTACCGGTATGTAAGTAAACCCGCTTCGGTCCGCAATTTTGAAGAATTGTGAGCAGGGCAAACGAAGTATCCTAGTGTCGCTTCATCTGCCAGTGTTTGGTTGGGTCCTGCCGTAAGGTTGGTAAATGGAACGAGAACAGTTCCTTCGTCGGACGCGGTTCCCACAATCGCTGGCACGTTAGCTATCAGACCTCTAGCGTATCGTTCAGTATAGTTGGAAAAGATGACTTTGTCGTCAGGAATCGGGACGAATGAAAGGGCTGGCGTAGTCGCGTTATCTGAGCGACGACCCACAAAGTTGACAATCGTTTCGACTGGTTTTTGACGCATGCAGTCGAGCTCAGCAGTCGCATTAAGACCTCCGCAGCCTAACTGAGACGCGACAAATGTGAAATTTGTGTGGGCAAAGTCATACGACACTAGCCCTAGTAACGCCGTTCCGGATTCCATCTTCGAATTTTTGAGATTAGCTTCTGCCTTTCAAACATGATAGATTTTACACAGGTTCGTTGAAAACCTTGATGCAAATCTTGAATTGGGAGGACTCACGACAAGCCCCTTCGCAATTGAGTTGTTGTAATAGGCGAAGCCGTGAAAATCGGTCGACGATGCACCAGCCGATTGCCCCTGTGTCTGTAAGCAGCGCAACTCCGCACTCATGTCGTTCTACACACCCAAATAGTAATCTTTGATGGATCTCCTCCAAAGGCTTGGATATTGTCTCGGACCCATTCGTGTCTAACGCCGTCAGCACCGATCGGTCATGCAACAATCAACAAGCGTACGCCATGCGTTGGTCGAGAATACCAAGATTCTGCGAATTCAAGCCGCGCGCGTTGGGAAAGCCCATGATTCCGAGACGGTAACTGAGGAAACATCAGCAAAGGATACCTCTGCAACATAAGAGACACAGACTTGATCGACACAACAATATGAGACTGGGTTCTCTGCACCCAATGATGCGGTAGCTGATAGGGAATATTGATGCCCCCGATGATGAAGCCACCTCACAGAGGTTAGCGTCCACTTAGGTAGGGTATGATTCTGTAGCGTTACCCCCAGTCATAAAAATGATCACTGGTAAGCCGGAAACATTCCTTGTAGGGGTCCAGATCGACAGGGACAGACAGTCTTCCCCTGTTGTCGGAGGCATGGTTGCGGGGGCCGCAGTGTCAAGCCCTGTAGGAATGAGATAACCGGAAAGCAGCTGATTGTATACATTGGGAGCACCCGAAAGGTACTGCGGACAGAAACGAGGGAAAGAAGTAGCATCAAGTATCGCGGATGCATTCGAGGTAAGCTGTTCCGGAGGTGCCCAGCGGCGAGATCCAACAGGAGGGAGAGCGTACGGCACATTCAGAAACTGACGGACATTTGGGACCGTGCCATTAATGATGCCAATGTAGGTCCCTGTGCTTGTTGTGACCTTGAGATTGTTCGGGGTGGACGTCTGTGCGATGGCAAATACAGCTGTGAGGAGCAGATACGAACTGAGATTGCTCAAACTGACATACATTCTGTCGGATCTTTGACGCTGAAGAAGCTACCAACAGTGTCGTGTGTCGTCCGAGAGAGAAGGCCAGACTCGTCGAAGTGAGACTTTATGTGCTGGCAACCTCGTACCGAATGGAGTTAAACATGCAGGATCCAACAACTTCCGCGTTTTCTCTTCCACTTTGGCTAGCGACGTGAAATGGCTCGTGGAGCAGGTCCTCAGTGTTCAGTCCTTTGACTTTCCAAGACAGACCATTACAACAGCTAATGATCGCACTTCTGAAAATTGACCAAGACGTAGGTCGGTGAGCATCTTTCGGCACTAGAAGGCCTAAAATGGGGCTATTTGCGTCGCGGTTTTAAGGTTGACGAAAGAGGTAACATCCTGATTGTAGCGTCGCCCTGGTTTCGCATAAAAGGGGAGCATCGGGGTGTCACGGCACATAAGAGGAGCACCAGGGGAGTGTCGGGATTTCTTGACAGCTTTTTGGACAAGCGATGCGAGGTAGTTGAGTTGCACTTAAATAGAGCTGAATTGAAATGTTTTAGCTTCAAGTTATGCATATAAAGGCCAAGAAATTATTCAACCCTCCTGCCCGCCTAGAGAATAGGGCGGCATCGCTCTTGTCCCTAAGGATGTGCTTGCTATTAATTTGCCTCATTTTGGCAGCAGGTTTAAGTACCAGAGCGATGGAATACGAGAGACAGCAAGCAGCGATTTCAAGAACTTGTACATAAAACCGCGAATCGGACGTGAGAAATCAAGAATTTAGCGGCAATGGACCCCTTTAAAGGAGAAAAAAAAAAAAATTAGCAACTGCTTAGATGAACACCCAGAAAGGAATATCACCTACAGAGGACATCAACGTGAGCAGGTTCTGCATTCTCGGATGATACATGCTTGCACCTGGTACTTTCTGCCGCGGTACCAGCCCCTTTATAGATTTGGACCTTGTCGAACGCAACCATACAAGTAGCAGGTGCTTCGCAATGCATGTGGATCGCCAGCAAAAGATGCGAACTCGATCTCTACCTCGCCGCACCGTAAATGGAAATGGCCGTCGCGCCACTGTTGGAGTGGTCTGACTGACGCAACGACGCTGACGTCGGCCACTTCTCCAACACCCAGGTCCACGGGCCGGAATCCGAGAAGCAGTCGTGATGGAAAATCGGGCAAGTTTGGGCATCCATAGACTTGGGCGACATATCTTCCCGGGCGTTCTCCAGTGTTCCTGATCGTTGCATGCACATTAAAGAAGTCCCTACCAGAGGCTGCGTCAAATTCATCCAAACGCATGTTGGAGACTGAGAAAGTGGTATATGACAACCCGAAGCCAAGGGGATACGCGGCTCGAACGCCGAGCTTGTCCAGGAGAGCTTGACCGAACCAGCGATCGTACTTTATCTCTGTAGCATCAGCATCAAAGTACGGTAGATGTGACTCGTCTTTGGGGATTGAGAACGGCAATCTGCCACTGGCGGGAACTCGACCGGTGAGAATGTCCAGCAAGCCATGGCCCCCTTGGCAGCCGGCATACCAGCTCACAAGTAAGGCTGGGACTTGATCTTTCCATTCTTCCATAATCACAGCGCCCCCGCAGACAATGGCGACGATTGTACGTGGATTGGTTTGCGTGACAGCACTTATCATTTGAATGTCATCAACATGAAGCCGGAGACTCTGCCTGTCACCCCCGCCGCCGGTCTTCCAAGCGTCTTCGGATTTGTCCTTTTCTCTCGGTCCTACGTTATCGAGGAAGCTGAGGACTTCCTTTTCTTTCTCTGTCACCGCTGGGGGAAATGTTGCACGCAGAGCTGGATCTTTCATCAGCGTAGGAGCTGCATATTCACCTTCGTCTTCATGAGTGTAGCCGACAACACAAATCGTCACATCAGCATTGGTGGCGGCTTGTTTCGCCTTCTCCACTGCGCCTGTATCTTCAAGAATGACTTGAGCATGAGGGAACGCAGATATGACCCCGTCGTAAACCGTGGCCACATGTGGTGACCAGACATGGGAAGAGCCCCGGTCGCCTGTGTTTGCAATGTTTGCTAAGCGGCCCACCACAGCTATAGTTGCTATCTTGCTCGGATCGATCGGTAACAAAGGATGGCCATCCACTGGCTCGTTTTTGAGGAGGACGGCTGAGCGTGCGGCTACATATCTTGCTAGTGCTCGATGTTCCTCCGAGAAGACCACAGACAAGTCCGGCTTGCCGTTTTCGAGTGTTTCGGCGAACTGGAGCTGCTTGCGTAAAATTCTAGTGCATATCTGGTTCACGGGTGCCCATTCCAAATCTCCAGACTCCAGTGCTCTTTTGATGTTTAGGTGTCGCTGCTGCTTGAATGGTGTTTCGATGTCCAAGCCGGCTTTCACTGAGAGGGTTGCGTCCCGCAAGCCCCAAATGAAGTCTGAAATCACGAAGCCATCAAACCCCCATGTTTGTCGTAATATCCCGGTGAGAAGCGCTCTGTTCTGGCCAGCCCATTCGCCGTTAACTGAATTGTACGAGGACATAACTGAGGCGACTCCTCCTTCAACCACTCGCCGAAAGTGTGGTAGGTAAACTTCGTGGAGAACGTCATCATCCACCTTGATATCAACCTTGAACCGAGCGTTCTCCATAGAATTCAGAGCAAAATGCTTGACGCAGGCCATAATATGTCGCTGCACCCCCTGGGTCAGAGCCAGGCCAAACTCTCCTAGAAGTATAGGATCCTCACTGTACACTTCTTGACTCCGGCCCCAAGCTGGATGCCGTGGGAGATTGATACACACTCCAGAGTAAAAGGTTGCGCCCTGGGCTTTGGCTTCTAGGCCAATAGCATGGCCTACTCGTTGTTCGAGGGAGGTGTCCCAGGTTGCACCACGTGCCATAGTGACAGGGAAGGCCGTTGACGCGCCCATGACAACACCGCGCGGTCCGTCAGAGAAATGAATACCTGTTATCGCAAGCCGAGGAATCGCTCCGAATACGTATGGAACCCGGTTGAACCGATCATAGAATAAGTTTCGGAAGCCTTCCCAGAACTCCTCGTCGCCGTCTAACAATGACAGACGCTCAGAATCATGCATCTGAGCAACGAGCTTCTCCGCAACTTTGGTGATGGGAGCACCGTCCCTCAATGCTCCAATTGCATCGCGGTATGTAAAGGCCGCGGTAAGACGATGCCCGTGTTCCTTGTTTTGCATTCTTGCACTCGTGGTGCTTGCCATCGTTGTTGTCGGATATTCTCGAGCGATCGGGAGTAACGTTACTACCCATATATTTTAGAACCCCTTGCTTGCACGTAGATACCTTCAACTTAAGACCTAGACGGACTGGACTCATTTAAAAGCCGGAAAGAGAAATAAGGCTTGGAGAGACCAACACAGCCTGGGTTATGGACTAGTTCCGTGACCCGACACTCCCCTATAGCTCCGAACTCAATGGGTCCTCAGGTTTAAGTTGGTCAGACTAGCTCCACTTACAAATTCCCTCCACCGCTCTAGTGATTGATAGTAGTGGCTATGCCAGTGACGAAGCATGCGACCAGTTTGACCATTCTTTGTTTCTGATGATAGGTTTCCTCTGAGAAAGTAAACTGTGTAATAAGCCAGAAAAGTTCGCTCGCGCCTTCTTTCTACAGCTGGGAGTAGAGAGCTTGGATACACTCAACAGCTTCCTGCAACTCTTTGACATATGGTTGCCAGAACTGAAGCATTTTGAGGGTGGCTTCAACCGGTCCACGCCATTGCGCCGGAAGCAGCCTCTGTGCAAATGGTCGCCTTGCAGCGGCAAGCAAGATAGAGGCACTTCGAGCACACGATCGTATCATGAGCCAGGTACCGTGATGCCTGTGATAGAATTGGATCCGGTGCATTAGCAATTTGTGCAAGTGGCATGAGAGTCCCTTCGCAGCCCATTCGCAAACCTTGGGTGACTCTGGTTCCGCGCCATCATGAATGAGTGCATAAACAAATGGCCATGAAATCATGTCCTGAACGTATGCAATGCGGGCCCTCAATATGAGTCTAAGCATGTCACTCTCGTTTTCATCGTGACTGGTAGATACTTTGAGAGCCAAGGAATTCTGCCATTGAACAGCTTGGTCCATCAGGCTGTCAGCAATCTCGGTCAGATCCACGAGACTACCGCCCCCTTCCACGGCGAATCCTGTCATCTCCTCCTCCACCCTGGTTCCCAGGCGCCAAGCGGATATTTCTGACAAGTAAAAATACCAGATGTATAGGTTCTCGCCTTCACAATCTGTTGGCAGGTTCGGAAATTGGTGGAGATGCTCGTGGCTGAAGCTCGCGCAGTCAGCCGAGGCCCAGAGCTCCCGGCACAGCTCGCGTTCTGATTTCCACGCAGAGCAGGATACGCTCTCAGCGGCTAACGTGTCGGCAGCATCGTAAGCCAGGGTCCTCTTAAACGTCCGGCACATTGCGAGAGCTTGCAAAAACATCCGCCAAGCATCGAAAGGCCGCAGCGAAGACATCAAAAAGACCCCAGCAAGGAAGAGACATTGCGCCTGCATGATACCTGTAGATGCTACAGCGTAGCCCAGTCGCTGTTCTGCGGCGAGGAAAAGTGCAGTAGCTTGATCCTGCCCGAATACTTTTTCAGGATGAGCTGGAGTAGGCAGAGGGTGACCCAAAGCGCCGTTGGCCAAGACAAGCAGGATCAAGGCCGATTTAGTGTCCCATCCTATCCCTCGACCTTGAATTTCTTGAGCCAGGGTCCGAATTTTCCCCTCATCCAAGATCGGATTTCTGCTGTGGACGTGAGTGAAAAACCGATGCACCAAGTCAAAAATTGGCACGCCATCAAGCACATTGCCGACCGCACGGCCAAATCCTTCTGCGCCTCCACAGAAGACCTCAGATGGCGAACTGCAGGACTGAGCATGTGGCGAGACCGAGAGACGCGCATGTTGAAAGACCGGCCATTTCAAGATTTGATCCAGATTCTGGTAAGAAATATGTGGGAGGCGTCCAGCTGGGAAAGGCTGTTGGTAGCATGACTCTCTGGGGATTGAGGAATTGGTAAAACGGGTAAATTCTCGTTCCAATCTTTCAAGTCGCTCGATGATTGCAAGACTGGCAGGATCAAAGGCGGATAAAGCTGGTGGGTCTGACACGCACTCAGCTCCTATGCTTTCACAAAATGAACAAGTCGGTTTTTTCTGGTCGCATTTGGTGCGCCGGGCTCGACAAACTTGGCATGCGATAACAGGGCGTTTGCGGGAGTACGCTGAACTTCCCCTACTGGTAGGGGCAGTTCTTTTGGACGTGCCCCTCGAGTTGGCATCGTCCTTCGTAGTTGGCAACATTGATAACCTCACGCTAGAACTTCGACTGGGAGTGTCGGGAAGGGAGAAGAATGAGACACCTCAAAAAGAGAGTGCCGCGAAATGTTGTAGTCCATTGATTGGGGGCTTTTTGCATTGCCCATGACCAGTCGATGTCCCCACTCTCCAGCTCCACCCGAGGGAAACTTCGGTATACAGGCCCTTGCAAGGCTTCATGTTCCCGACACTCCCCGTCGCGTCGAACCCCGGACATGGGGACTCCACATTATCCCCAGACTCATACTTGGTATCTCCAGACAAAATGACAAGGATTGGTCTTGGCAGAGTTTTGGGCGAGGAGGATAGAAATATTACATATTCACACCTACTCATGCCCGATGCAACAACTTCTCAGCTCCTGTTCTCCATCACATGGTCATCATTCCAAAATGGCTCACCAAGAAGCTGCCATGGTCGGATCTCAAAATTTCACAACACAATCGGAGGTTGACGTCAAAGCAGGGCGTGAGAAATACACCAAAGGAGAAGAGATCGAGACTTTGGTTGAAGAAGAACATACATTAACCTTTGTTGCCGTTTGTCGCAAATATCCCAAGATTGTCTGGTGGTCCTTTTTCTGGTGCATGACTGCTGTTGCTTGTACGTCTCCGTGCTTCACACACGACATGGTGTCATCAACTCATCCTTGTTGCAGGGGGCTTCGAGATGACGGTCAACAATGCAATTATTGGCGTTCCCGCCTTCCGTACCTATTATGGGTGAGCGACAGAGCATATCATATCATAGTCATGGTACTAACAGAAAGTCAGCAATGTCTTTGACGGAGAACCAGTCATTCCTGCTGAATGGCTCAGCGCTTTTGGCGTCTGCAGCTATTGTGGCCTCTTTTTCGGGGGATTCATCTGCAGCGCCGTTGCAGACAAATACGGTCGAAAGCTGGGGCTGGCCACTGGTATCATAGTTGCCACAGGTGGAATCATCGGTGAGATATTTAGCACCAACCGCGCCGCTTTCCTTGTCAGCAAGCTCGTCTTAGGCGTCGGTGTCGGTTTCTACTTGACCCTGGGACCTGTGACTTGCTCCGAGTTCGCTCCCACAGTTCTGAGAGGTCTCTCTACCGCTGGTGTGAATCTCGGCATTGGTGTGGGCGGACTGCTATCCAACTCTGTGACGAGAGGTTTCGGAACTCGTTTAGACCGATGGGCATTCAGAGCTCCCTTTACAATTCAGCTTCTCTTTTCTCTGTTATTACTTATCGGCACCATTTTTTCACCCGAGTCGCCCTGGTTCTTGGTGCGTGTTGGTCGACTTGATCAAGCACACAAGACGATGGAGTCGCTCTACAACTCTCAGAGGGAAGCAGACAAAAGAGTTGCAGACATCTCTGCCACCATCCAGACCGAAGCTCAAATGGAACAGCCTAGTTACGTCTCCGCCTTCAAAGGTACCAATCGCATCCGCACAATGATATCGGTGGGCGCTTTTTTCGCCCAGCAGGCTGTCGGGGTTATCTTTGTTCTCAGCTACGCGACTTACTTTTTCCAGCTTGCCGGTATGGAAGCGGCGCATGCATTAAATCTCGGTGTGGGAATTAGTGCTTGTGGCCTTGTTGGCAACGTTCTGGCCTGGTTCGTGCTCAATCGAATCGGTCGACGCCTCCTCTTCATTTGTGGCGTCGCAGGCTGCACAGTCATCTTATTCCTGGTCGGAATTCTTGACGTTGTTCCCACACAGTCTGCAAAATGGGCACAAGGAGCCTTGTGTGTCATCTATGCCTTCGTCTACTTCTTGACGCTTGGGGCGATCGCTTTTGTCCTGTTGGGAGAAGTATCTTCTCTTGCCCTTCGAGCACGAACTACAGCTCTTGCTACCGCTACCCAAGCTGTCCTTGGTATTGCTTTGCAGATTGCGATTCCTTATATGGTGAATCCTGACGCTGGCGTAAGTACGGACAAAGTGTCTATCCTTAACGTTGTGGGCTAACCTATGCTGCCAGAACTTGAAGGGAAAAGTTGGCTTCGTCTTTGGCGGGACATCTCTCATTGCGACCATCCTTTCCATTTGGTACATTCCAGAACTGAAAGGACGAACCTATGGAGAGATTGACCAAATGTTCTTGAGCCACGTTCCGCCAAGAAAGATGGGCTCCTACAGAATGAATTAGATGAATGGCACTGTCTACGATGCTGGCCAGCAGCAGCAATGGCAACCCCTGATCGATTCCAGAAGCTGCAAATCTCTATTTCGCATAAAAACAAACGATCAAGCCCGAGAGATCCCTGCGACGACGATCGAGAAATACCCCAAGTTAGGAATAAGTACTGAGCTATATATAGCACCACAGACAATGACCTGTCAGAGAGTTCCTTGTGTATTGCCCTGATGTTATAAACACTCCCATTTGGCCGTTCCTACATTGTTAAACACAGTACCACAAGCATCCCTCGCTCAGCCGACATCACTCCCTTCGCGTCAGTTAGCTGCAGGATTAAGCCCAGACCACCGAGCTTCTTAGATCGTCATAGTTTCGTGAGCGACGGTGCCAACGCCGAAGAAGATCCAGCAGGCACAAATGACGAACCCAAGTGGTTTCCAATGGAATCAAGGTCCAGAGAGTCGGTCAGTCGACTAGCGTCCTTTTGACGACTCCACTTGGGCTTATTTGGCATGGTGTCGGCGGTACCCAGTACTCCGTATCCCTCGGGGGATTCAGAGCCGAGCAGATCTGTGCTGGATTATCACGGGCGTCGTTGGTCTGGGCTGGCTGCTCCGTAATTCTGCTGGCTCAATCCGTCCTTGCATTTTTTTTTATTCTTCTTTCTTCAAACGATCGACTCATTTCCGTGACTGTTGCCGTGATTTTAAAATCCCTGATTGCGTTGCCTTGCTCATGGCCAAAAGGATCATTGTGACCGGAGGATCTGGGTATGCTGGTCGGCATATAGTTGCCTTTTTACTTGACCAAGGCCATGAAATTCTCAACCTGGATCTGGTACCGTTGCCAGAGCCTCTGGCTCAGCGGGTTCATTCAATGAAAGTCGACCTCAGCGATGGGGGCCAGGTTTTCAGTGCACTCTCATCGCACTTCAAATTAACCCAGCCATTTCATGAGCCCCTTATGACGCCTGCAGATGCCGTCATTCATTTGGCAGGTTATCCACGAAATATGCTTGCGCCGGACAGCGAGACATTTAAGATAAATGTCGTCTCGACACATAATGTCTTGGAAGCGGCGTGCAAGCTTGGAATTAAAAAAGTCATTCTCGCAAGTTCTATCTGCGTCTACGGAGTGACGTATGCTGAAGGGGATGTTGATTTTCCTTCTTTTCCAGTCGACGAAGAAGTGGATACAAACCCTATGGATGTTTATTCAATTGCCAAGGTCTGCGCAGAAAAGGTCGGACGAGGATATGCTAGGAAATATGGTATTGATGTCTACGCCCTAAGGATTGGCGCGGTGATCTGCCCAGAGGATTATGCGACATTATTTAAGGAGTATGTCAACAATCCGAGCGACTGGAAAGTTCATGGATGGTCTTACACGGATGCGCGCGATCTTGGCCAGATGTGCCACCTTTGCGTCGCTGTTGATGGGTTGGGATTTCAAGTTTTTAATGCAACCAACGACCAGAACACCACTACACTGGAGACCACGGAACTACTGAGGCGGGAGTGTCCTAACACGTTGTTTACCAGGGAGATGCTGCCCAGAGAGGCTCCAATGAGCAATAGGAAGATTAAAGATCTCCTTGGTTTCAGCCAGCGGCACAGCTGGAGGGACTACTATGCGGCGTGAGTCCACCAGCACCGGTGATTTGGCGTGGAACAAAGTCGATGTCTGAAGTCAAATATTGGGAGATCGCAAGTCACAGTAAAAATACGATCAATCATTCCACTCGTTTTGCCCCTACTTGCTTAATATACAAGTACGCTTCCGGTATTTTCTTTAATGCCGTTGCCAAAGAGCCGCTTTTCTAGCTTTCTGGAGATATTGCCGTAAAAGGAATCGTGTCGAGAAAACCCGCAATCCACAGACTCCACAAACGCTATATTGATTGGATGGCAAGTTTCGGTATATATCGGAAAATCGGCATTTCTCCAAGAGGTCGAGCCGATGAGAAGCTCATTGGCGGCACTTGCTTGCGACCCTAGGGGTAGCGGCCTACTTGTAGGTGGCGGCCTCAGGCTTGGGTAAAGACGTCTTGAAACGCATGTCTCAATTTACCACTCGGGACTTGTGTCTCCTTTCTCTATTCAGGCTCTCTCACCTTTTCCTTAACACCGTGAGGTTCAATAGGTGGGCACTCCGATGGCCTCCAATTGATGTTTGATTCCTGACGAGTATGCTATAGGTGATACCCTTAATTTCCTGGTGTAGCTTCTCCTTTGGGAGTTCAAGGGCTCACACGAGCATCAGACGTTCAAAACAAGCCGCCAGAGACCTCCATCACCACAGTCATCAGGCCGAGAAGCTCGAGGGTTCGATCCCAGGATTGCTCAGTCCACGCTCTCTAAACCAACAGAAGCACCAAGCTCATCCAGCACAGGATGTCAAACAGCGACGAGCTCTCGCTCGCTTTCGATGGCCGGATTGCAATCATCACAATCAACAGGCCTCGCAAACTCAACGCTCTCACTGGATCTCTCTATTTCGCCTTGGGGGAACTACTCCGACAAATTGATGAAAGGGACGACATTATTGTCACCGTCCTCACAGGCACCGGTCGCTTTTTCTCGGCGTAAGTGTAGGCACTCTGGTCTGTTTTGAGCACAATATTATTGAGGCAAGTCTAATATCGTAGGGGAGCGGATGTAAGTGCAGGTACTATGGAGGATGATGTCAACAGCAAAAAGAACCCTCGGCTTGCTGCATTGCACTCATTCGCCGCCGTGACACTAGACGTCACGCGAGCCTTTTATCAACATCGAAAAATTCTTGTCGCCGCGCTCAACGGACCGGTAGTGGGCCTCTCGGCAGCCCTGATTGCTCTGGCCGACTTCATATACGCTGCCCCGCATACCTACCTCCTCACCCTATTCTCCTCCATTGGATCTCTCGCTGAAGGCGCTTCGTCTCGCACATTTGTACAACGCCTCAGACTCGGCAAGGCCAACGAAGCGCTTATCATGGGCAAACGGATTGCGTGCGATGAGCTTGTGGCATCTGGGTTCATCAACAAGGTGATTTCGCCAGCATCTGGCAGGCAGAACGACAGTTCAGCCTTCTTGGAGGATGTCCTCAACGAGGTCAAAGAAAGCCTGGGCTCCCATCTCAACGACAGCAGCATCTTAGCAATCAAGGAGCTGATCCGCCGACCTGAGAGAGAAATCTTGGATCAACAAAATCTTCTGGAAGTGTTCGCAGGTACCGAACGTTTTGCTAAAGGGATTGTGCAAGCCAGTTTCAAGGCTCTCGCCAGCGGTGCGAGACACAAATTATAGCCGTATCCAATGGGGCCTCACCATCTATCGTGTTATATAGCTCGTCAGTAGTGATCTTAACCACGCACGCTGATGCTTGCCTACTTGCCAGTTTCTAATGTAATCGATCTGAAAGAACGAAATTATAATGGGTAGCGATGTCTAACATTGAATGTGTGCTCTTGCCTTATTATGTGCGCTCCACTAGTACACCGCAATTACTAATGTTATACATTTATTGGCAAATTTAGTTTTCGTGCGAATTCCTTGACCTTGACTCGCCCCGCGTTGTGTTATTGCCAGCGCAGTAATGCCGTACCCGTAGCCGCAACCGTAGCCGTGGCTGTACGGGTAGCCAATATTGAATCAGATCCCCAGTATAGACCGAATTAGTGTTGGGGAAGCGAATTCCCGACTCCATTGAAGCATAGCTTGGGCTGAAAAGCTGAATATCGAAAGTCGATGGTTAGACTCCCCGGCACCGGCAAGGCTTGATGAGAGAGTCTGCCAGCCCGAGTTATGCATTGACATAAGAGACACATCGTCCCACGGATAATGAGAATTTTATCGTGTCCACTCTCCGTCAAGGAACCTACTTTGTTGCGTGAATCCTTCAATCCGATAACATGGCCAAAGTACAAGCTTTCATAACCCTAGTTTATTCCTTAGCAAGACAAGCTTATTCATTGCACACGGCTAACACCACTCCTACGGTGTCCTGCAATCACTTAACATTGCCGTCACTACCAGGTCTCGAGATCTCCAGCATTCAAGCCTTCACTGCATACAACTGCACCAATTCTCTTGCTCCCGGCCTATCGCTTCACATTTGCAATATCAGTGTGAGCTATAATCACCAAGGAGAAGATGACATCACCTGGGTCAATGTCTGGCTGCCTTTGAACAATTGAAATGGGCGCTTCCAGGCCACTGGTGGCGGAGGTCTCGCGGCCGGACTCGGAGCTTACTATCTTCTCGGCGCAGCCCCCTACGGGTACGCCACAGGGACGACAGATGGAGGACTAACTTTGAACAACACAATTGACCCTCAGACTGGTCAGTGGGCACTGAAAAAGGACGGGTCTCTCAACGAAAGTCTCGTCAAGAACTTCGCACATAGGGCTATCCATGACATGGCCGTGATTGGCAAGGCACTGACACAGACATTCTATGGGAAGTCTCCAACCTACTCGTACTACACAGGCTGCTCAACTGGTGGACGTCAGGGCTATTTTGCTGCCCAGGTAAACCCGGAAGATTTTGACGGTATCATGGCCAATGCTCCTGCGCTGAACTCGCCTCAGATCTCACCCGGTGATTTTTGGCCGTCTGTGGTTATGCATAACTTGGGAGCTCCGCCTCAATGCGTTTTTGATGCATACTATAATGCCACCCTCGAGTACTGTGACCCTCTTGATGGGGCCAAAGACGGACTTATTTCAAACCTAGGAGCCTGCGACTATGATCCGCAATCCCTTGTCGGGAAAAAAATCAACTGTGGGAGTCAGACTATCACAATATCAGCAACTTTCGCAGATGTCGTTTCTCGCATCTGGGCGGGCAGCACTTCGAGAAATGGGGAAGCCTTGTTTCCAGGAAATCCTCGAGGTGCCAACTTCAGCGGCCTGGCAAACACCACCACAGCAAATGGCGTCATAGTGCCTGTTCCCTTCTCAGCTGCCGAGGCTTGGATCAATTACCTTGTGGTGCACGATCCCAGCTACCCTGCGAGGAATATGACATTCGCCGATTTCGATTACGTGTTCGGACAGTCAGTGATCGAGTTCTCCGGTATTCTGGGCACATTGTCACCAAATCTGTCGCATTTTCAAAAGCGCGGTGGGAAACTGCTGACATGGCACGGATTGGCGGATCAAATGATCACGCCTTACAGCACTATGTTGTACCGTTCGGCCCTTTCGCGCGAGATGTCTCTCACTCAGGCCCAGCTGAACCACTTCCACCGAGTCTTCTTCGCCCCGGGCGTGGCGCACTGCGCTGGCGGTATAGGGCCGCTGCCGACAGACCCTCTCGCCGTACTGGTGAGCTGGGTAGAGTCTGGCAAAGCCCCGGACACGTTGCCAGCAGCTATTGCTACCTCTCCATCTAGCAACATCACGCGAAACTTGTGTCCATACCCCCAACTCCTCACCTATGACGGACACGGTAATGTCAACGATGCGAGCAGTTTCTCCTGCATCTAGCAGCGTTTCCTTCTCATCGACGCAAAGACGCACGATGAAAAAAAATAGCTGTGGACTTCTCGATGCTTGCCCGAGCTCGAGCCTGATGGTGCACCTCCATTCATCAGTCCAAATAGTGAATATACGTGATTTTATGACCAAATCCTAGAGTTGCCATCGATAAAGGATTAAGACATGAAAATAGCCTCTACACCATCCACCAGACTTCTTTCTTGGAGCAGAGCATCCTCTCTGTGTTGTCATGCTGCTTTGCGCCGAAAGTTTCGGGGCTCAGTGGACCACTCTCCACGGGGTGTGTCAAAACAAATGTTGCCGGGGCAAGATTGCTTTACACTCTCGATAGCATCGTTGGATCTCAAAATACTCCAAGAGCGCACTCCAGCCGCAGTAAAGACCCCAGCGATATACTCAGTCACATACTAAGTCCTAGAGTAAGTTGTATCAATGCCTCGAGACCGGATGCACACATAAGTTTCCTTGCCCAATTCACTAGAAAGCCGCAAAAATCCGCCTACCATGTCTACGTAAGTCGTGACTACCAGTGAGAGTGGACTGACTTGAAGATTGCCATTATACGCGCCCAAAGTACGCGAGCGCTCACATATTTACGTGCTCTAGGTTGATGTGGAAGATGGCTCCCAGTGACGAACTTGCACGTTGGAAATAGCCGTTGTCGCGCAAGAGGTCATTCCTGACGGTCAACGATATTCAAAGTTTAAACAATTCAAATACGACATACAGGGCACAATTTGTACATTCGAGGACTAGCAGGCGGAGCTAGAGGAAGTAACAATGGTAGAAGCTCACACTTAATAATGGTGGCTTTCCGTGATTATCCAAAGTCTCACTCGCAGATGATCCCAAACCCGGAACTTTTTTTGGGAAATATGTTCCCAGCCACATCCTGTCATCACAACGCGACAGCAACTCTGTTGGTTTGGTACTTTTTGATGCTCGGTATGAAGAAGCAGGTGATAATCGCCAACACGCCGAAAGGGATACTGGTGACCCAAACCCACTTTAGGGACTCCGCGTAAGCCCATCTGGTCCCCAACTGAGCACCCGCTAGGGTCTGTGGGGAATATCCAGGCACTTGGGTAATGTTTGCCGGAGCAGTGAGAAATGTGGTAACAAACTCAGTGGCATATGACGCTGGTAAGCCAGCTTTTATGGCGTACTTCGCGATATTCTCTGGTTGTTGCTTGTTGAGCTTGTTCACGAATATATTGTAGTATATCGTGAAACCAATAGAGCCGCCGACGGTACGAATGGACAATGACAAGGCCGCAGTCGTCGCGAGCAAGGAATCCGGAACAACAATCAAAGCCACAGTGGCAGCGGGAACCAGGATACCGCCAACGCCGAAGCTTGCTATTGTTCCGAGGGCGACTGCTAGTTTAGGCGTTTCTGGCGTTGTAGCAACAAGACCGCCGATGAAGGCGGCTAGGCAGAGGTTAGACACAATAGCTCTGCTAGACTGGAAATAAACTAACTTACTCATTATAGTCGAAGAGATCATGAGGATATATTTTGCCGGCATCTTTGTCGATAGAAGAGCGTTCCAGAAGACAGCACCTGCTGTAGTTGAAATACCATAGCCTAGACCTTTCAAGCCGACTTGAACTGGCTCTGGGCTCCAAAGGGTTGAAAACGAGATCGGGAAGAAGTTGATTAGAGAGTAGAAGTCGAACCCCGCGATGAAAGCGACAAGGAATGTAAGTCCAACGACTCGTTGTCCTTGATAGAGTTCGCGTGGGATCATAGGATGTGGAGCAAATTTCCATTCCCAAGCTACCCAGGAAATGATGAGAAAGATACCGATAATCAGCTGTGCTAGGACGTAGCCGCTTGCCCATGGGTGAGTATATCCGCCGGATTGGAGGGCAACGAGGCTCCACCAGTTAGTCAGACATATCGACCGCTTAGCAGAAGAACACTTACAAAAGGGTGATTCCCACAATAGATAGGATGGCTCCAATATAATCAATACGCGCCAATATTTGTTTTTTAGACATCCCTTGTAGGCGGGGGTGTGATTTGGGGAAGTAGGTTGTTAGCAGGCCTACGAACACGATTCCGTTCCATATCCTTGTTAATGTTAGTCTTATATTTCATCAGCGATACTCAAAGACTCACAGAGCTATCCATTGCGTCCATCTCCATGTGACATATGTGGCAAGTAGCTGGCTAAAAGTTGTCAATAGGACAATAAAGTTCTGCTGCGACATGGTAACGCCTTACCTGTACATAACATAGGGTGTAAAGGGCAGGATTGACGCAGTCATGAGTGCCAATGTAACTCCACGCTGACGTACAGGTACGATATCCGACAGCCTAGTTGTGATTAGCAATCTGAACTGTACCATGGCTAATGATTGTCGTCATACCCAGCTAGAGCAGTCAACTCGCAGACGCCTGCACCAGCTCCGGAGAGAGTCATCCCGGTCACAGCCTGCCCAAAAGAGTGGGCACTACCGATCAAAGCGATGCCCACTATAATCACCATGGAGCCACACAGTGTGATATTGCGGCGGCCAAGTAGATCTTGCAAATACCCGACAAAGGGTGCAACAGCAGTAATGGCTAATGTGTTCGACACAGGAAGCCAGCTCCCCACTTTCTCGGCGCCCAGATCAGCTTCGATGAAGGCCAGGCACCCTCCGACGAAATAAAGCATGATCTGCGACCCTAATTGGCGTAAACAAGACGATGATATCGATGGCATCCAAACAACAAACCTGCGTATAACATGCCCAGGGACACTGCGGCCAAGGAGTGACGAAGAGTCCACGCAACCTTGCCATCAGAGTCGTCACCCTTGTAGGCATATTCATTGTGGATATGGACGTTGTCCGCAGCATCTTTTTCCTCCACTTCAAAGTGCTCCGCATTGGATTCTTTTAACCCGACATGGTTCTCTGGGGTAGGAGTTGCCGAAACTAGTTGCGACATGACTACGTGTCGTTGACAGGGCGTTCTGAAGTCAAAAGAGAGAACAACAGTGCGTCAGAAGTGATGAGAAACTTGAATTCTGGGGATCCCCATGTGGGAGCTTGCCGAAATATGAACCTGGGGACGTACTGGGGTGACTCGGTGTTGGCCAAGGTATAGACCGAGTTCCTATGGACTGATGCGCACCACCACCGGTATATTTCGGTTGTTTTCGGTAGAACGGTTAGCGCTGATATGATACTTTGCTCGGCGGCGCAAGTTTGATTTCCTTCACCATGGCCAGAATCACTGAATCAAATTGGCCGAGGTGGGCGACATTGCTGGGCCAGGCTTGCTGCTTTTTCTTGAGGCGGCGCGGACTCAAGGTTGAATGTTCACGTGTGAAGGTGGACCGCTATTCCGCCATTAAGAACATTGGTATGCTCTGAATTTGAAGGATAATAGACTCGGCAGCGCTCGCTCTTGCCTGGGAGCTAGGTGCCTCGCTCTCATTCCTCTTTCCAAACCCATTTTCTTTTTATGAAGCTTGACTACACGTGGGCTCTCTTCAGCAACTAGACGGTAAAACCGTGATGCCGACAGTCTGAAAGAGCTCCGCGCAGATTCGAGGCAATAACTCAGCTTTGAAACCAATAGATCTGAAGTCAACCAAGATACAAAAAGAAAAGATGCCATACCGATCTCGCTGGTCCATTCCGCTGCCGCAGTGCTCCTTTCCAACTTTTTTGTTCGGCTCCCCTCACAAAGATCCGGGTGACAAGAAAGCGTACGTCGACTCTAGGCGCCCAGAGGAGCTCTTTCTCACTCGCAAGGCATTCCGTCTTTGGTCGCAGCGTGTCGCGTTGGGCCTCCTCAAAAGCACCAATTTCCAGCCTGGAGATCGAATCTTGGTTTTCTCGGGAAATACCCTTGCCACGCCCGTTGCGTTCATGGGCATTGTTATGGCAGGAGGTGTCTTTACAGGGGCAAACCCGACCTTTACTCCCAGAGAGTTGGCATATCAGCTGCGTGACTCGGATGCGACTTATCTTTTCTGCTCGGACGCTTCCATCGACACCGGCATTGAAGCTGCCAAACAGGCCGGTCTGGATAAGAGCCGCGTGTATGTCTACAATGAGAGTGTGTTCTTATGTGACAAGGCCAGCCAACGGGGGTTGAAAGGGTGCAGGTCCTGGTCTGAACTGATCGCGCCGGCAGAAGAAGCTCAAGATTTTCAGTGGGATGAGCTGGATGTGAGTGAAGCTACGAGCATCTAAAGTCGTGTCCTGTCTCAAGAGACATGCGTCCGCTGACTGACATATAGGGAGACAAGTGCCACAAAACGATCGCCCTCAACTACTCCTCGGGCACGACCGGGGTGCCCAAAGGTGTTGAAGTGACACACTACAACTACATCGCCAACACACTTCAATACAACCATCTCCCCACCCTTGCCCCGAACTATGTCGAAATGAATGATAGATCCAGATGGCTCTGTTTCTTACCTCTCTACCATGCCATGGCCCAAACAATTTACATTGCAGGCGCTCTCCTTCGGGGGATTCCAGTCTACATTATGCCCAAGTTCGACTTTGTGGAGATGTTGGGGAATATCGAAAGATTCAGAATCACCGATCTCACGATTGTTCCTCCCATTGCTGTGGCTCTGACCAAGCATCTTGCCGCGAAAACAGCCGACCTGAGTAGTATCGAAACTATGAATTGCGGCTCCGCTCCGCTGGGAAGCGATATCTGCCGTGCGATAGAGAAGTTGTGTGGCGGCAATTTCAATATGAAACAAGGCTGGGGTATGACGGAAGTGACCTGCTCCTTGTTAGGGTGGGACCCGAACAAAATTTCCACGTCCTTTGGTGTTGGCGAGCCTAACGCTAACTGTGAAGCCAAGATCGTGAAAGTAATGACAGACTTCCGTGGCAATGAATCCTTCTCCGAGGTCACTGAGCGTGGCGCTGAGCACACTGGTGAGCTGTGGTGTCGTGGCCCTAATGTCATGAAAGGGTACTGGCGCAATCCAACGGCAACGAAGAATGCTTTTTCCCCTGACGCCGAGCGCTGGCTGAGGACCGGAGACATTGCTTACGTCGATGACGAAGGGTGCTTTTACATTGTCGACCGCATCAAGGAACTGATCAAGGTAAAAGCAAACCAAGTGGCTCCAGCCGAACTTGAGTCTCTGATCCTTGAGCATCCGGCCGTCGCCGACGTGGCCGTGATCGGCGTCCCTACCACAGACGGCGACGAAAGGCCCCGTGCATTTGTGCTACGGCAACCACATATCCAAGTTTCTGAGCAAGAGATTTTTGACTATGTCAAGGAGAGGACTGTGGCTTATAAGTGGCTGACGGCCGGGGTGCAATGGGTCGATGCGATTCCCAAAAACCCCTCGGGAAAGATCCTGAGGAGGCAGCTTCGAGAGGCTTCCAAAATTCAGTCCGTGCAAGCTAGATTATAGAGAGGAGTAGTGGGATCTCTGGCGGGATGAGAACTAGCATGTCCTACATGAAGATTACAGATAGTTGTCTTGACCTCTCATGCCCAATATCGAATGTTGTCAAAGTTTGAGACGTGTGCAGGATGCGGCTTAGTCTCGATTAACAGTAGCTTTTCCTTTGGGAAATTTTCCTCTCTTCTGACTTCGATGCGGAAGAGACTACTTTCCTTCCATGTGTGTGTGACTGGGAGAAGAAAGAATAGATTTTCCTGTCAAAGAAGGCACATACTGCTTACAGGCCTAATCAAGGTGCCAAACGATACTTTAGCCCGAAGATAATCCAGTTCAGGACTTGTGTCTTCCTGAGAGTCGTGGAGTCCCAGTGATCCCCAACCAGTTTCTGATATCGCGGTGACTTGATAAAATGTCCTCACAACTTTCACCTAAATTTCGATTTCTTCGTTGGTCGGTCAGCCTTGCGCGACCCATTCGGCGTGGTGGCTCATACCTTTGGGTGACTCTTGACAGTGGCGGACAAAGCTATTTCCAGGACCAAGATCTGAGCGAAACGTCGCAGATGTTAAGCAGCAGTCGCTTACTCGCCTGCAACGTCCATAGAACATAGCAAGATTTGGGACTATGATACGTCGTTGAGAAAGTCAGGAAACTCGTCGAGATCTGCTGTACTCTCCAGCGACTCAGGCTTCTGTATTGTGATTCCGCCATCACTGTAGGGATTTTCTGCTCGCTTCGACTCAGCCGCATTAGCTGGGAAGGTTGTCTCCAACATTGCATCGAAGGCGTCTCCTAGATCGGGCAGGTCCCAGCACTCATTTGAGATACAGGTACATGCGCAATGAGCGTTGCTTCCTCCGGGAGAGGCAAGCGGCCGAGGCAGTTCATGTTCCTCGGGATATTGTCCCTTCGCTAAAGCCTGCTCGACAATGAGCATCGTCCGCAAGAAGAACCGGGGCAACGATGTGAAGCTTTCTGCTCTATCACTATCGTTGGGCAGGAAGTCGCCGAGTGCATGAATGTCCAGGGGCAACGAGCGAGGAGTTTCATGTGCATCGAGGCAGGTGACAATCTGGCGGATGTGGTTCAGGACTCGGTCAACCCCTTCATATCGTTCTTTGAGCACATTCAGCGCGGAAAGATAGACGCTCAAGCGCTTGCGGGTATTAGCAAGCTGAAGCTGCCGATCCAGCTTGATGGTCAAAATATGCCAGACCAAGGGCATGGCGATATGCGCAACACTGGACCATTTTGTAAGCCGACGCTAACGGTTCTCGCAGCTCAGAACTCACATAGCAATGGGCATGAATGATAGCATCCTATGTTCAGCGATTTGCTGTAAACTTGCGTCGATGCCATGGATGGCTGTTTCGACTTCCCTCCCACCCGCTGGAAATTCTATATGCACCGGGCATCCCTTCGTGATCGAAACATAAGTAGCATGATTCCATAGTGCCATTTTGGCCGAGCTAGGCATTGGAGTCAGACTTATCCTAACAATGAACAGACCACTTACTGATAGTAGATGTAGGCGATGTTGTTTTGCAGCATGACAGATTTATCCACAGAGCCGTCGATGGGGCTGCTGGCTTTGGCTTTCGCAAACCATTGATCGAGGTGCTCTGAGCAGGCTTTTACTTTATCAATAGGCGTTGCCATCTCTCCGGAACCTGAAAAAGAAGGGTCGAGTGACAAGATTCCGAGGGCCTGTCTCAATAAGGCAGCTAGACCACAGAACATAGAAAATGACCTTGTCAAAGCCTGTTTCGTGTTTGTGTCGTACACCATTGATTCTTCTGCTTTGGTGTGAAGGATATTTTCCTCAACCTCAGAAAGAATACCTTCACCCGGATCAATTTGCATAGGTCTACGTAGTCCAAGTGCCAGGAGACGGTCTCGAAGCAGGCAGCAACACCAGAGCCTCTCCAGTTGAGTCCACCGTTGTAAAGAAGCTTTATTGAAACCATTGTGTCGATGCACATTAGCAGACCTAGCAAAATATATGGCGTTGCTTAACCAGTAAGTGTTGATCTTAGCATCAGAAGCAGAAACATATTGTGTGAGTAGCAAGGCTCCTTGAGCACTAAACAATGTATCTCTGTATGAGTCGAGGTGGAAAAGAGCCTATAAGGACACTGTTAATCTTATGTACATAGATTGTAGAGGATATCACATACTTTGGCTCGGCGGTAGAACGTCGCGCGAGCTGTTTGAAAGTCACCGAAGCCAAGCTGGTCAATGATAGAAAATGGAACAAACTGTGACATTAGCCAAGGTCTTCCGGGTCGATGTAAAAGAAACATACACTGCAAGCTGCAAACAGCATTGCCTGGAAGACGAAGATGGAGATCGTCATGGTTTGCATTGCTGATGTACTGGTATATGCCCGCCAGAAGTCACCTTCGTCCAAGATGGGTTGATGTGGATGGATATAACGAAAGTACGCCTTGACAAACTCGTCCAGAGAAGCTCTTGACGGTAATCGGTAACATCCAAGTCTCTCCAAATACTGGACATCCTCGAGCACGAGTTGAGATATCGCGTCTGCAGAGAGAAATGAATAGTATGAATAAATAACATCCGCCCCGTAGAGGCCCCGGTCTGCGCGTCGTTCAGGTGGCCTGAAATTACTCTTCTCGGAGTTCTTCATAATGTCGAATGAAGCAGTTGAATCAAAGACGCATGTGCTTGACTCTTGTGTCGATTGAACAGTTTTTGGCGGTCCATCTGGTATCTTGCAATCTAGGTTGTCGAGACTCGACGCCAAAACTACTGGCTCTTCCAGGCCGAGCACCTTTCGCGGCTGTGTGCATATAGGGCGTGCCTTGCAAGTGGAAAGGTCAACTCTCTCTTGATAGGCACCTCTGTGACACACACCGCATGTCAATCAAATTGTTGAAGCCCATGTAGGTGGGAAACATTGTCCAGTGGGATACTCACAGCTTTCTCACTCTAGACTTAACAACACAATTTGTGCTGTCCAGTTTACAGTTGGTGCATGGGACGCCATTTTGCGCCGCATCGCATCGAACCTTTCGTCTCCGGCAGAGCAAGCACGCCGCTCCAGCGCGTCGAAATCGATGGCGCGTCATACTTGACATATGGGGTCCTGTTGCAGCATCCGTGTCTTGAACGGAGCTATCGTTGGTAGAGTTAAGTGCGTTTCCATCGGCAGTGCTTGCCATGAGCAGAACAAACAGTGCGCAACCCTATGCCTTGAATGAGCAGCAAAAGAATAGCAGAAGATGTCGTCAGGCCCGCCTCGATCTAGGGAAGGAGAAAGGAGCAGATCATAGCGGCGTTGTCGCAGCCCTCTGGACCAAACTTTGCCTGCCACCCGAGTGTTGCACGCGCTCTGGTCGAAAGGGCTCAGAGCCCAGATGCGGAGGGCAAGCAGCTTACCTATGCCTTCAGCTGGAAATTGACCGGCCACATTACCGTCACGGGCATACAAGAACAAGCAGTCCAGGCTCGAAAGATCCGGTCGGATTAAGGGGTCCACCAATTTTTGCGCACCAACAGTTGGTCAGATTGTCATTTGTGGCAATGTGCAACCACCTCTAGTAGCATGAGGTACGACGCAATTGTACGCATAATCAGAGTTCTCTCGACCCGATTCAGGTCGAGTTTCTCCCATGGTCTGTCATCCGGCCCCAAAGACCCCACTTGCGTATAAGTCACGGCAATTTTCGGTATATCGGCTATAGTGGCGATCAGCCCACCTCTGCCATGATGCGGGTCGATGGGTCCAGACAACACGCGACTCACACAACGGACGCAGTCTTCCATGTCCTAGCTCTCCCAGGAAATCCTTCCCTCGGATCTAGTCTTGCACATATCCATAGACTCCATGTTAATTGCTTGGCAGCTTGAGGTTCAGTAGGGTCGTCCTCTCTAGAAACCAGGGGCAGCAAATCAATTCCGCCCCTCCAGGTGGCTGGAAAAGTAATGTCATAGCGCAAATTGAAGTAATGTTAGAGCAGTTGGCTTACAAGCTGAGCTTATAGACCAGTGAAAAGCCTACAGAATTAGCATTCATATCATGATTCTATAGTACATGTGGCCATTCGTTTCCCAATGCTTGAGTGTATAAGTCAGTAAAGGGATTAGTTGCATGGCTTTCCCGATTCTGTGAAGCAGCTATCAACGAAGATGGCTCCGATACGTGTTCGATAAAGTCCCGGTAGCCGACATTGGTCGTCTGTGCGGGGCTAGGCTGCAAGTTGTCCATCATGTTCTCGCCAGAGTCTAAACCATTCACTGCCATTTCAGCCGAGCGGGCAGCTGGTTGGAGAACCTTCAGAGCGTGCCCTGCGCTTGAGTAGGTATGCTGAAGGTGTCGAAGATAAACCATGCAATGCCGCAAATCATGCAAGGCCTGTCTGCGTATACTGTCGTCGGACACACTGCAGTCCTGGAGATGTACCACAACAGCAGCAATGATGTTGGCTACTGCTGTTGCATCCAAGTAGTCTAGCAAGCCCTGCTCGCGGACGTATGCAAAAGCACCGGATATTTGATGGGCTGCCCATCGCACGATCAGCCTGGCGTGGGACCAAGTCTGCGTTTTCGAGACTGTACCAGAGGCTTTTTGTCCAAATGCCTGCGGACGATGCACGGCGATGATGGCAGTATAGTAGATTGTTTGAAGAGTCACCTTCGAAATAATCAGGCTGCGATCCTGATCTTGGTGGCTCGAAAGTTTAGATGCCGCCTCATTCGGGAGCATCGCCATCCACAGGTCGAGATCGCGTGTGCAGTCCTCGATGTCCTTGGAGCCTCCCGGGCGATCTGAGTTCGGTGCCCCAATCCACTCTCCATGGCCATGCGAGCTGCTCCCTCCATACACCGTAGACACGATCCTATGAATGCAAACGCAGAGCCTTGCCTTTTCGACCAGTAGCGTCGCCAAAGTTATCAGTTTCGTGGGATTGTGCAAGTCTGCAGGGAGCACATGTGCGTAAGGGGCAGAAAGTGAAATTGCCGAAAGATCGCAGTCAGCGATGCCGATCATAGGCACCCGAAATTGGGATATGCGACAAGGTTTGCCTAGACCCATGGCCACGATGTGCTCTCGAACATAGCAACACCACCACAATCGTCTCTTTAGCTTCCGCTCATTACTGTGACCCTGTTGGCCGGCCAGATCGAGGTGCAAGCCGAGCGACTGGGCGATCGCAATTGCCGTACCAATCCAATACCACGAATCCTTATAATCTTGCACATTGCCACGGGGAGTGCTAAGAAGCAACGCGGACTGTATCAGCACTATCTTGTCATCCTCCGCGCGGAGATCGAAGAGCAACTAAAGACAATTAGTCCGAGAGCCCTCGTCTGGGGAAAGCAAGAAAAGACTCACCTCGGCCTTCTCTTGTAGAGCTGCACGCGCGGCTAGCTTCGAGGGGTAGCCGGCAGCCCTGACCAGCTCAACCTCAACGAAGGGAATAGCCGCAAAGATGACCGCAGTAAGTAGCAACAAGCTTGCTCCTTGGCTCGTCTCGGAAGGGCTTTTCAGCAAGCTCCTCAGAAACTCGCCCAGGTCTAGCACAGGCAAAACCGTATGCACGAATTCGATATAGCGAGACAAGCAAACATCGCGGAATGCAGGAGTTGGTAGGGTAAGCGCTCCCTTGTGCGACAGAAAGTCGATGTCGATCTTTCGCAACGACGCTGGCAGACGTCTCACGTTGACAGACTGCGCTGCCGCCTCATTGCCTAACAGCCCAACTGAATCTAGACTTTGTGATTCTGATGGGCTTGCAGGGAACTCAACCGTGACGTCAGGCAACCCGTCCCCATGCTGCTCAAAGACTTCGCTTGCAGCTTGAGGTTGGGCGACAGAACTCTGAGGTCTGACGGACGGTTGTTCTGCAGGCTGAGTGGATTGAGCCTGTAATGGAGTCGTATGCAGTAGCTCTTCAATAGTAACATGGTTGGCCGTGTTTTGTTCTTGGAGCGGTTGCAAAGGATGCCGGGTAGCCGTCACTGCTGCATCATTGGTTCCCTCACTGCCAGGAAGAACTTGCTTAGTCCTGAAGCATCGTCAGCAAGGTCTGTGTAGAGCGCACCGGGTTCCACAACAACGCTTCAAGAGGCCAACCTTCTGCGTTTGCTGGGCCCTAGCTCGCAAAGAACTTGATCTAGGCGGCAATTGGTGCATGGCGGACCGCCCTGGATCAAATCACAGCGAACTTTCCTCTGCTGGCACGAAATACATGCTCTTGTCGAACGACGCTTCCTCCGAGGAATGGATTGCTCCATGACTTCCAGGCAGGCCCCCGAGGATGCTCAATAAATTCGAATATGAATGATAGAAGCAGAGACGTACAGCCTCGGATATGAACAACGGGGCCCTAGGGAGACAAGGGAGGAAACATTACCGAGGAGGAAACATTGCCGAGGGAGGCGGCGGGAAAACAGGAATGGCTGTGACATTACCTCGTACCCAGTAGGGGCTTAGCACGCCCTAACTTAAGGATACTAACTCGCCGACTCGCAGAGTACCTAGTAAGTTGTGTTAGCGGATATAACAGGTACACGTCGGCCATTAGTCACATGGGCACCTACGACAGCAGCACGTGATTTGCAAAGTCTCGGGCTATTAATCAAATCCCTTCCCTTGGATTTAAGATGACACTCGTCTGCATTAACATTTCTATCTATATCGCAGTGCAGATGAGCCATCCCTATAGACATGCTTTTGTAGAACTCACTAATGCCATGAATGAGCGTCAGGCAAGGCGCCGCACTTCTCGAGGAGTGCGATTTCCCGAAGTCTTGACCTGGTCCTAACGGCTCCAAGTGGAGCCATCAAGCCTAGTCACAAGCATGCTGTCGTGTTTTCTTTGTTGGGTAGTTAATTTGCCAGCTCCCGGCTATCTTCGTTGTGATACTTGGGGTGTTCCTTTGGTCCGCTACTTGGTGTTTATGCCATGTTTGTCTGGGTGTCAATGTCAACAAGTCTCATATTGAACTGGGGCGAGGCTACTAGCCATGGGCATCAACTCGTACGGCGGTGGGATAGCCTCTTTACAGCACGCACACTCAACCAAAGGAAGTTCTCCCGTTCGTAACTTAATTGATTATTCTATGAATGATAGTCCCCGAGGACTATATAAGAAGAACCTTAGTCTAGCGTCGACGCCCCAGCCAATCATAAAGCTATCCACCACTTCAAACTTCTCCCATTACAATATATACCCCGTGTTATTTGTGCGCCGGATTTCGAGACCATTCCGAGAACGTTGTATATTTGACCACTGCCACTTGACTACATAACGGCATCCTATCCGTGTACTCGTTCTGGTAACCGAGGGACACCGGGAAACACGACCGCAGTCCAAGGGCATAATTATTTAGGACGACCCACATACCCTAGAACCCCAGACAGTCAACTGAAACCAAGCTTGCGACAAGATGGCGGTGCTTACGGCAACGAAACTCACAGCCTACAACTTGAAGTGTCTGTTCTTTATTGCTTTTGGAGCATTCTTCTATGGATACGATAGCGGTTGCACGACCTCCATCTTTGGCTATCCGCAATTCATTACGTTCTTCGGCTTCACCTCCACAACGCTAGGTGCCCTTGGCTCCTCCTACTATGGAGGAAACTTCATCGGCACCATATGCAACTTCTGGCTTCCTGACGCCATCGGCCGCATCCGTACCATCCAGCTAGCCTCCGTCGTCTCGATCCTAGGAGCGGCTCTTCAGATTGGTGCACATAACATTGGTACGCTGATGGCTGGAAGGGTGATTGGAGGATTTGCCTGCGGCATCGTATACAGCTGTTGTCCTCTCTACGCAAGCGAGATCAGCCCTCCCGCCTTTCGAGGTAGAGCTGGTGGCCTGTACAGGTAAGTAGATGCGACTACCCAGTATACCTACTTTCTTGGCGTAAGAGGTGCTGACGCAAGGTGTTGGAGTTTTAATGTCGGCTTCGCCTATATGTTCACCGAGTGGTTGGGCCTAGGCTTCTCATATATATCTGGCAACGCCGCATGGCGCGTGTTTCTGGGCCTACAGCTGGTTTGTCCTGCTCTCATGATTTTGGGCTCCCTCTACCTGCCGGAGTCACCTCGCTGGCTAGTACTAAAGGACCGCCATGAGGATGCCCTGATCGTGCTGGAACGTATCCACGGTGATGCCGACGGTAACAAGTCCTTCGCCCATGCCGAGCTTCACCAAATCAATGCGCAGATTGCGCTCGAGAAACAAGAACGAACCGGCATCACCGCGATCATCAGGCGGCCTTCCTACCGCAAACGCCTGGTCCTGGTCGTCATCTTCATGGTGGGCCAACAAGCCACAGCAATTATTCCCATGCAGAATTACCAAGTCATATTGTATGAGCAGCTGGGTTTCTCGAACAAGCTGGTGCTCATCCTTGTTGGCATTTGGGGCACCATCACAATCGTCGCCACAACCACGGGAAGTCTGCTTTTCGACTACACTGGCCGTAAACCTCCCGTGTATTTCGCCATGGGAGTAATGACCATCGCGACGATTATGTTGACTGCGTTTTGGGCGACGTTCGAAAGATCCGGCAGCACAAACGCCACATACGGTAGACTTGCCATTTTCTCCATGTTCCTTTTCAACTTCGGCTACGCCTTCATCATGAATTCATTCGGTTACGCGTACATTCCAGAGATCCTGCCGACGCCCGTCCGTGCTGTAGGCACAGCGATCATGATGCTTGTGTTCAACGGTATGATCATTCTGCTGGTCCAGGTCACGCCTATCGCTATCAAAAATATTACTTGGCGATATTTCCTGGTTTTTATCGTCTGTGATGTTATTTTCACTATAGCCTTCTACTTCATGTGAGTTTTCTTAGAGGTGTAGTCCGCCGTATTTGCTAATCCAGCACAGGTTTCCTGAAACTTCCGGAAAGCCACTCGAGGAGGTTGCTGCGCTATTTGGTGACCCGGTAAGAGTCCTGCGCCCTTTGTCTCCGCTCTTGGAGAAGGGTCCATCCAGAGATATCTCTGTTAATGGGATATTTATAGATTGCGGAAACACTTCAAGAAGCCGAGCTGCACATGCAAGAAAAGCCAATAAAAGTCCTAGCGGAGGAGTTGAAGACGTCCGAACACGAAGACAGTTCCCAGCATGTTGAGGTGCCATAACGTCCAGTATGAAGAGGGGGTTGAAACAAACACCTGAAGGCAGATTGAATGGACGGTGACAGCGAAAGATATGGCATGGCCACGAAGTATTAAGGAAAATAGGAAGGGATGTTAGCCGCAATCTATGTATTTACGGGTTCGTCAATTCTCAAGCGATTACCGTTGTTTTTAAAGCTGTTTTGAAAACCGACAACGTCGAACAATCAAGCCCGTGGCTTCGAAAAGTGGGAATCTCCTTCACCACTGCATAGTGCACGAGCGAATTAGCACGAAATTAGGGCGTTCTCGTGCTAGCTGGAATGTGTTACAGTCATTAAGTTTACCTTCAACCTGCGCGACGCTGATGATGACTAGACTATTTGCTGTGTAAGATGGCCAATGTTGTGTCTGGAAAATCATCTAACAAACGCGTGACACGGGACATTGATGGGCGTCAGCAACAAAAATCCTCAAACATTCCATGTGAATGGGGGTAACCATAGTATTGCTAAGCATAGAGAAGATCTTAGATTTTCGCCGAAAGCTCAGACCTCCCGACGGAAGCTAAATTTCCGTCCGTAACATCCTGCACACACACAAGCAAACCTTCGTTAACAGTTTCGCCTTCATGAAACTGGCATACCGAGTCGATAACTGCATTGTACGGAGCTCGTACTTCGAGCTCCATTTTCATTTGTTTGATAACGCAGAGCACGTCGTTCTCAGCAACCTTATCCCCTTTTTCAATAAGTATTTCAACGAATTGACCCGAGAATGGGAGACAGACATGACGGGGGTCGCTGATGTCGCCTAAGCGACGCGAGGGCGACGGCAAGCAAGTCTCTGTTGACGAATACACGGTGGCAATGCAATGCTTCGGAGTTGTGCTTGCAGCCGAAGATGACAAAGTAATATCCGCACGCACTTCCGTGGGGAATTTGTTCGTCCGTATCCGATCGATATTTATAAGATATTCTTCTGTTGTGGTGAGTTTTCCGTCTGTTGCTTCTTCCATTATGATCTTGAACCGATCTCCCTTCCTGAAAAGTGCGCATCAGCACTAAATGCATTGTTCAGTGATTCACCATGTCCAGATCCCGAGCCAAAGTCCCCTGTTCTCGAGTTGGAGTGTTTTGAAATAGTCTCCGAGCGTCTGTCTAGAATTGTCGATAGGTTAGCCTCCAGTCATCGTATCGAGCATGCGCCCCGAATGAAGTCTTCTGATTGCAGCACCCCTAGGAGAACTGGTATGTTGCTCTGAACGCCCGTTATCTGAAAATCATGCAATGCTCGGATAGCTTTCTGTCCTGTTGTCTCGGAGGTAGATGCTCTGACGATGACTTTAGCTAGCAAAGAATCATAGGCAGGTCCCACTGTCGTACTGTTGGCACGCCTGAGATGAGTATCCACGCGAATACCTTGACCTTCTGGTAACTTGTGATTGGAAATACGGCCCATGCTCAACGTGAAACCTTTTTTGGCGTCCTCGGCGGTCACTCGAAGCTGGATGGCGTGCTGTCGCATTGAAGAACTGTCATCCCACTGGCTTGAAGGTAGATCGAGATCTGGCAGAGGAATACCAAGCGCGAGAAGCAGCTGCGAACGCACAATGTCGATGCCTGCCACCTCTTCGGTGTCGGTGTGCTCAACCTGAACGCGCGGATTGACCTCAAGGAAGTAGGATTCCCCGGAGGATTCGTGCACCAAGAATTCAAATGTGCTGAGTGACTGATAGCGGATGCTGCGAGCTAGTCGTACGGCGCTATTGATCACTTCTCGAATAACACAGCGATCCTTGATCGTGGATGGAACCAGCTCAATCACCTTTTGGAACCTTCTTTGAATGTTACACTCACGTTTCCATAAGTGCGTGACCTCTCCGTAGCTGTCACCTATCATCTGAATTTCAATGTTCCGGAAGCCGCGAATAGCCGTCTTCTCCATGAAGACATTACCGCTAGGCGATTCGCCGCAGGCACGAGAAAAAGAGGTCTCAAGGTCCGCAGCTCCCTCGACCAGGCTGATGCCACGTCCGCCACCTCCGTCGACCGCTTTGATCATGACAGGATATCCCACCGAGTTGATGAAAGCCTTCGCATCTTGGATACACCTAGTCGTCGCGTCCGAGGCTGCAAGAACCAGGAAGCCATTGCGAAGAGCTAACGAGCAAGCAAGGGTTTTATCACTTGTTTCGCGTAGAATTTGTGCCGTTGGCTCAATAAATGTGATTCCGGCCTGTTCCAGGCGTTTCACAAGCTCAGGATTTTCTAACAGAAACCCATAGGGTGGATGAAGGGAATCAGCTTTCTGATCAAGGCAAATGAAGACTATTTTAGCAACGTCGACAAAGTCTTTCGGCGAGTCAAGAAGAATTGCCTCATCGGCGAGCGTCGTATGGTTAGGATCATCTTGAGTAAATATGGCAATCGTTGTAATACCGAGCTCGCGGGCGCTCAGAAGAACTCGAATCGCAATCTCACCCCTTTTGCCCTGTCAATTTCTCGCGTCGAATCAGTCCTGGATTGTCTGCTTAACGATTGGCGACGAGTAATCTGTTGATTATAGGTTTTGCCATTTGTGCGCGATCATGTCCATCACGGGTAGCTTGCTTCCAAGTTTCCCTCGACTTCCAAATAGGCACGGGATTTGGCGTCCGAATTCTCTCCCGACTGAAATCATAAATAGAGGAAACCTAGAGATCTCCTTGAGCCGTATTCCAATCATCTGGATCACTGAGTGTCGACCACATTTTGAACGACTTGGGCTGCTTCAACGAGTACCCACGCCCAACGCGTGCCCCGAGCGGTTTCGAGCAGAAGCTGGTATGGACGAACAAGGTAACAACCCCGGTAAAGACCATACGACTTCCAGGACGAATCCCGAAGTCTGCAGCCATTGGCTTTTCCGACTTCCGAGGTCCGATATGCTATGGCCAGGCGGGATCTACCAAGGAGAGGCAGTCAGGGGTTTTCGAATGCAGAAGATTATCGGTCTTTTCCAGAACGATATCTGGAGCAATGAAGGAGCGCAAAATGTTTCTCGATGATTCGAAATTAATTGCTTCGTCATACTCAACATGGGAAAACCAAATGACACTAATGCTACAGCTCAGATCACACAATCTGTCAGCAAAAAGGCGGACGCGAGATTAAAGCAGCTCACAGAGCAAGTAGAACCAAGCAGAAATACGAGCCGAAAAACACCTAAGTCAGCAGATGAACCGGCAGACTGGTCAGATGTGTTGGCAGAGTTCGACAGAGTACGCACATTTGCGCAGACTCCAAAAGCAGAGACCACTGGGAATAGGCGTCAGAAAGATGCAGGCAAACTCTGGGTCAGAGAGCGCATCGAACTATTACTCGATCCTGACAGTTTTCACGAGATTTGGAGCACTGCGGGCACTCACGTGGATCAAAGTCAATGCGCTCTCCAGGAATGCAATGGAAGCAGAACGACAAACGGTCACAGATTTCACACCAAGCAATAATGTTCAGGGTAGGTGTATATTCCCGACCACAAGGACGACACCGTGAGCTGACGGGAATCCAAGGTTCGGCGCTATAGGGGGTCGATGCGTCCTGCTCACCGCAGACGACTTTACGTTACGCGCTGGGCATGCTGACGGCGCCACTTTTGAAGAAGCTTTAAGGTCTGTAAGGGGGAAGTGTGTGTCAAATGTTCTCATATCTAACATTGTCACAGTATACAAGATCTTGGAGGTCCAAGCATTCATTGTGGCAATGGGGTTATCGATAACTACGCCTCAAACGAGAAAGGATGCTATGACCAAATCGCACAGTTTGTCACATACGTTCCAAATCATGGAGGGATCCTACCCCCGGTAACGTCCTTGAGTGACGCCGTCGATCGAGATTGTTCCAGCCTGCGATCGTCGATTCTGCGGCGACGTCAACGGATGTACCAGGTCAGACCTATCATTCTTTCAATTGTGGACAAAGACTCCTTCTTTGAAATTGGGCCTCACTGGGGACGGAGTGTCGTGGTCGGCCTTGCGCAGATGAATGGTCGACCTATTGTAACAAGGCAAAGTGGCTGTGCTGTGATGGGCTGTGCTGAGCTGGTAGAGCGGTGGCAGGGAGGAAAAGTTGTCTAGTCACATGTCAAACCTAAATGGGCTGGCAGAGGGGGGTGCGGAACAGTTTACAGTGCTGGCAGTGTGCCATTCATTACAGATTGAGCAGAGTATCATGAATTCCATGGCTTTTGGCGCCGTCTACCTCTATTCTTGAGTGTTTTATTAGTTCTGTCCTGTTCCTCGATGCTACCGCTGTGCTAGGTGTTCGTAGCCCTAGCCGCTGCCCTTCTGGGTGGTGTTGGTGGTGTTGTCTTGTCAGTATCAACCAGAAACGCGTTCTCGATTCCCGATCTGCTGGACAGGCCTCTGTGCGTTGTTTCACGTGCACGCCGAACCCTGAAGTGCTCTGTTACACTATGGGAATTGTTGTCAACAATTGCATGGTCGATGCCGGGGCTATGGACGCTGCGGGATATCAGAAACTATCCAAGCATCTCAGACTCTGTAATGTGATGGGTCTACCATTGGTCCAGCTGATCGATATTCCTGGGTTCGCAATTGGGACTGTTGTAGAGAAGTCCGGAGTTATGAGATGGGCCATGGAATTGTGTAAAACATATTTCACGACCACGATATCTATCTTCTCCGTAATCCTGCGACGTTGCTACGGCGTTGGAGGAGTGATTCTTTGCCTACGCACACTCCGTTGGTTTCTGAGGTGTACTAATTCCGAAATGAACCATCGTGCAGATCTGAGAAAGGCTGGAGACAAGGCTCAAGAGTTATATAAGCACCTTGAGGCTGAGTATATAAACCTTCAACATCCACTGCGGGTGTCCAGTAAATTCGGCGTCGAAGAGGTCATCGATCCGGCACACACACGCATAATTGTATGCGAGTGGACAGCGCACATGTACTTTCCTTCCTCCTGGCATAGCCCTTCTCTCACTGATTTGATGTCCTAGATACCAGGATACTCTCAAGGAAAGGTTGCAAGAACGCGCAGCTGGGAAGGCCAAGCCATCCTTTCGGTAGAGGCGTCATTTTCAGGGCCCTTAACTGTCGGGTAGATTTTCGTGAGACGATAAGCTAGTTGCATTGGCACGATCGCATAAGTCGAACAGGGTTGCCCTGCACGGAGGGCATCTGCATCATTCGGGGCACGATGGAAAGACATAGGTGATGGAAAGTGGTCACGAACGATTGAATGAGCTATGTACGAGCATAGGCACGGTCAGCTGTAGTACTATTGCCGTTCTCATAAATCTGCGGATCTCCAATTTTGAGCTTAACAACCTCGATTTGTTCCAATAGCTCGAGCTCACGACAACACTCATTAAAGCCGTTTGGCGGATGACACTGAGGCTCGACATTAGCGGAACTCAGCTCGCATTCCGAGGGGTCTCGGGACGCTGATTCTTGCCGAGGGGCTTGATTTGCCGAGTGTTTCTTAATGTCATTGTCATAAGGCTGTTCAACGTGATTTACTCGCACGCCTATCGCGATATGTCTTGTGGCATGTGACGACAATGTCAAAGTTTAGAACTTCATTCGGTTTCGACCCGTCGCGCGATGGAATCAGTCATGAAGTCTGCAGCGGCAGCTGTGCTCTCAGCTTCTGCTGCCGCCATTGCTGCTGCTGGTTTCTGGCTGGACTCCAAGTATCACATCAGGTCCGATATTGCCCAAATCCAGTGCTTGAAAGCAAACCGTACCTTCTACCAAAATCTTTGCAAAGTTCACGGGGAGTCTGACTGGTTCTTCTACCGCACGCTACACTCGACTCGCGGAAAGAACGATTATGACGAGGCCTTCATTTTCGAATCGCGAAGCTGGACTTATGCTGAACTACGGAGAGAGATTGGAAGATTGGCTGAGGTTCTGCAAGCTCTGGGGATTAGAAACAGAACAGTGGTTGCCATGTACGTTAATAACTCACCTGAATTTTGTTCGCGTGGTGGGCTTTGTATAAGATTGGAGCAATCCCTGCCCCAGTCAACACATCAATAACCCGAGAGCCACTGAAGCATTGTTTACGAGTCAGCGAAGCTGAGTTTCTGATAACCACATACGAGTTATTTGACGCTGCTACAACCAGCCTGGATACCGCAGCCATTGTGCCCGATGGAACTCCAGCGATGTATTACAATGACGCTCAATTACCCAAGCTCAAAAAGGTCATCAATTACGACTATGGCACCTACGACAGCATCTCGCAGTCTCTACCTGCCCTAGACCACAACACGCTCAAGCATGAGCGCCTGCAGCCGGTCACGCCGCAGTCGGCGGACTGGCCCAGCGAGTCAAGGCCTGTGGTGCGAGCCAGGCATACTTCGCAGTACTTGTTCACATCCGGGACGACAGGGCTTCCGAAGGCATCTGTATGGCCCGCAGCATACAGCATGATGGCATGTGGATCCCTCAGATGGCCGCTAATGTTCCAAAAGCCTCGCCGATTCTATATATCCACACCCATTTTTCATGGAGGTGCCGCGTACGTCTCGCTCTTCTCTCCTACGCATAGACTGACCGCTTTCTAGCTTTGCTGCCCTCCCTTCTACGCTTGCCACATCTGGAACAGTCATTCTGGCGAGAAGGTTCTCGGTCTCGAACTTTTGGAAAGACTTGCGCCGGAGTAGAGCTAATGCGATGTTCTATATCGGGGAGATGATTCGCTTCCTCGTCCAAGCTCCGCGAGACCCTCACCACCGAGACGAGAAGTCTTCTCACAGTCTGGAGCTGATATATGGCTTGGGATTGAATGCGACAGTAATTCGTGCATTTCGGGAAAGATTTGGAGTGCCGTGGATTGTGGAATACTACGGATCGAGCGAGGGAACAACCAGTGTTGCACATGGCACTCTACATAACGGAGACAAACCCGTAGGCAAAGTCGCCTGCTGGGGTCCATTGATGCGAAGCCGGTTCTTTGGACAAGACGCTTTCTACATCATCGAGGTAGACCTGGAAACAGGGGAAGTCTGGAGAGACCCTCAGACCGGCTTCTGCAAACAGTGCGCCTTTGACGAAGTTGGGAAGCCATCACACGTATCGCTCCGCCCATGCAAGGAACACATGATTATGTTGGAGAAGGTGGCAAAGAGGCCACAGAAAAGAAGCTCCTGAGAAACGTTTTTAGAAGCAGGGACTTGTTCTTCGGAATGGGAGATGCACTGTCTATTGTATGCGTCACCCCATCTTTACCGCCTCCCATCTTAGCCTTTTTCACTCGCTAACAGGAAGTTCGCCATATAGGATCGTAACGGCTATGTTACTTTTGTTGACCGTCTTGGGGACACGTTTCGTGCAAAAGGACACAATATTTCCACTGCTGAGGTCGAAGCAGCATTTTTGCATCACCCCTACGTTCGATCGGCGAATGTCTACTCAATACCCATGAACAAATATGGCTACGAAGGACAGCTTGGATGTGCGGCGATCACCTTGAGCCAAGGCCAAACCGAAGCCTCAGCTGCGCTGGAGAGCCTGAGGGCATTGGAGGGGTGGCTCATCAAAAGAAGGTGGCACAGCCCCATACGCAGTTCCTCGATTTCTTCGAGTCATGCCGACTTTCGCCACTGATGCTGTTGACTTGAACAGCAGTGAAGATCTGACTGGCGAGCGAGTGTCGACAATCATGAAAAAGCTCAAGACGGGCCTTAGGGCAGAAGGTATATTACATGCTAGCCCAATCTTGATGGACACTTGCTGATATTCTTGTGTGATCCTGCAGCTCTAGACCTGGATCCACTAGGTCGCGACAAACTCTTTTGGATCGAAAGAGGAAGCGGCTTCGTCAGCCTTGGCGGTGAGACCTTATGTGTGATAGCAGGAAGAGCGAGACTCTAGCATGACACGAGTCCTAACGGACATGTGGAATTCATGAGGGCCCGAGAAAGGTGGACATGCAAGAGGGTCGCGAAGCTTCAAGGCCGCTTCATTTAGGCCACTAATTAGGCTACATTGGAGTGGCTATTGCTCTTCTGGGCGGCCCTAAAATTTAAACCTCTTGTCAAAAGCTGCCACGGAGTACGCAGTGGGAAGAGCCTTGCAATTCCATTGAGATGTTGACGACATCCGACGTGAGATCAATAGAATCACGTGCCGGCGAAATGTGCTCGGCAGGTCTTTTCCTCGATTGCCGACTAGGCATCTGGCCAGAACGCTTTTTCTCGGACCAAGTTTGCCTTCGTCCAAGGAAATGGCCAGAACGCCAAGGTTATACCGGTATCTATTAGGCCATATCTCGGGGATTCCCCACCAAGCATGCATGCCCCAGCCCAGGGGCCCCAAAGTTCACTAGGTTTAGCTCGTGGGTTAGTTGGTCAATTAACTAGTCCCTCAAAACGCCCCCCTCCCACCCCAAGGGCCCTCAAATTCCTACTGAACCCCAGCAGCTCTCAGGATTTGATTCCTCCTTCCTAGCTTCCTGTCACTTCATCAATTCTCGATCTGTGGCGGAGGCTTCAACGCAACTCCGTTCAGTATCCTTGTGCTCGATTTGTACCTCTAAATCCCCATTCACACGGTGTTCCAAAGTGAGCGTAGCCATTTGAAGGGTTTGATCGCATGACAGTGCATTGTTGTGGTGAAGAAAAAAAAATGGCTTGCGGGAGCGGCTTGCATCTTGGGAGAGAATTGCATTTGAAGCTGTACCATGACGCGCAAGATCAATGCACTACGACCATCAAAAGCGTTGATTATGCCGCCAAAGGTCTCCTGGAAGACGCGTTCTGGACACAGGCGAATATATATCCTCCACTCCTTCGCAAAAACCAGATCGTTCCAGGAACCGAGGACTACTCGTTAACCCTGCATCTTGCTGCCTTAGCTCTAGGATTGCGCCATGCAGACTGTCGCCGCAGCGAACTGGCAAACTTCCGGCCAGAAGGTCGCGAGTCGTCCTTGCATCGCCTACTGCGAACCGTAATTGATAGTCAAATATCAGCCGCGGACACTCTCGATGTTATACAAGCCGTTGTTATATTATCCAACCTCGAATATTCGTCTGGAAGGTATCTTTCGGCGACGTCTTATCTTCATTATGCATTTGTGCGTATTTCGAATCCAGCCAACGATGGGATTTCTCACGAGCTGAGCTTTTCTGACGACAATGTACTCCTCCGACGAGCTGTGCTTAGAACCTGCGAGTTTCTGCAAATGCAATGGATGATCTTTCACCCAGAAACTCGTTTTGGACTGCACATACCGCCAGCGGTTACAGCGAGGCTGTCGCACAACTCCAAAACGAGCCATTCTTGGGTCAAATATGGTGGGACCAATGACACCTTCTCAATCCATCATGCCTTGCTCGACTTGCTCGCAGTTGTGCTATCAATCACGCAAATCTCTGCTCCTCCAGCAGGCAGCTACCACGAAACAGTCTTTGCTCAGCTTTGCAAACTGGAGACCAGGCAGGCACATTTTCGCCGAACAATCCCAGAACGGTTTCAGTGGTGCAAGGACACTTGGCGAACTGCGTCCGTCCCGATGTTCCTCCTGCATTTGCAACTTTGCGTGGTTTCAGTGCTGCTCTATGGAAGACTGGCGCAAGCTGCAAAACTCAACTGCATCGACGAACTTCCCCACTCTCTGGACGAAATATTGGGCAGGTACTACGGTAGACTAAAGCGAGGGGCTGATAAGTTGGCATGTTCCATCCCACGGTTCTTTGAGCGTTTCGACACCCACTTTGCCCCTGCAACCATGGTGATCCAACTGGGTGTCGCTCTGAACGCCCTGCTAGACGTGCGCAACGCTTATGGTGTCAAGGAACAAACTGCTGTCTTACCTGGGCTCAAGTCTTGTGTCGCAGCTCTCGACAAGCTGTCCGAACAGCATAAATTGGCCCGGGATTTGGCCAACCTAGCAAGCAAGCATCTCGCGTCACTCCAGTCACTTATCAAACACGCTTCCAAGTCCGCAGTGCCAGCCCCAGGGAAAAAGAACTCTTTTCCAGGGGATGCAGCACGTTCCTGGCAATCAGCAAGCCCACCAGAACTGACCATAAGTGATCCACTTGCAAATGCAGCTCGGCATGATACAAGCACTGTGAGAGCCCAAAGAGGGCCGCCTTTCACAATAACCTCGAGCGCGCCGCGGGCACAGTCTGTCGAGATGCCCAAACCTCTGATTTGGATAAGTCAAGCAGCAGTAATCGAAGATCCAATTTTTCCAGCGTATTCTCGAGAGATACTGGCACTTTTCAACATGTATAGTAATGAGAAGAATGACAAGCCTGTGGAAAGCTCCCGCGAGCCTCGAATTAGTTGGCTTGCCAACGACACCCACGAATGGCAGCGAAGGATAAGCCAACGAGACATTCCTGAGAAAGTTGCCTCGCCAACATTCGTAGCATCCGACTCCCAAACGAGCTTCAGCCCTCCAAATCCGATCGGAGATCAGGGTCCTACATCGGGAAACGTCTCGCAGTCACCAGATCTCCCAGCAACAGGCGACAATGATAACGAGTTTTCCGACCCAGCGGTGCTAGGATCACACGACTTTGACGTTGATGCTTTTTGCTCAGCCATGAACGGCCAGGATTTCAATCAACCAATGGATTGGATCCCAGAGCTTGATTTTGATTCGTGGATTGACTTGCCTGTGCCGGACATACTAGTTCCGCCGATATTCGGCGAAACGGGCACTCAGAATAGAAATGGAATGAGGGCATCATGAAGACCAAGTGCACAAGATGCCACCTCGGTGAAGGGCTCAGTTGCTGTGCCCAACGTTGTCAAACGAAATTGCATTGAAGGAAAACAAAAGCCCCTTGGTGAACTATCAGCGACACTGTCGCCAACGGCGCATTGGGAGACTAGGTATTTGTATATCGAATATAGCTAATGTATTGGGTACTTCTAGAATTCGTGCACAAGTCTACTAATCATGGCCAGTACAGTATCCATGTCAAGCGATACTCCATTGGCCACGATTAAATCCATATCATCCTTGTCTTACAGCCAGAGTCTCGCCATCCTCTTTTTCAAGTTATGCACCTTGGGAGCCGATATGCTCGGCCCGAGGAATCTTTGGGAGAGCCAGTGACAGCTAGAGAAGAGATGACAAACCCATCGCTTGTGCGCTAGTACCGGATCTGCAATGTTATAGGCCAAAGACTGCAACCTCAAAGAGATCCGTTTTTTCAATGTGGCTCGGACTACAACGACTTGAATATCTTCACATTTTATGTTGCCGGCTTGGCCTCCAGCCTCGGCTTTCACCCTAAAAAAGTCGACGTACACGTTCAACAGGCTTTTAAATGTTCTGAACAACAAAGTTTCCTTCGCAAGTTTCAGCAAAACTTACCACTGGCAAAACATTGGGCTTCAACTTGACAAAGTAATATCTGTGGACAGCCTCCAATCCCTCAATTGAGTTTTCGACAGTCTCGTCTTGTGTCCTGCTTCTTCTGTGGACTCTATGAACGATGGCAGCTGCAGGCATCACCCAGAAAACGCGCGACACTACCGTTGAAACGCCAACAGCAATCATCTCCCGCCATGGCAGAACGACCGAGAACTCGATGCCAGCCAAGGCCCTGGGCCTCTTCTCGGGCGAAGTCTGGCTCGATCTGATCCTTCGCTCAGACCAGGTGACCATCGGTCTGGTCAACTTTCTTCCCACTGGCAGAACCAATTGGCATCGTCACGAGAAGGGCCAGATCCTAAGAGTTGTGGGCGGGGCGGGCTGGCTCTGTGATCAGGGCCAGAAACCGCGACGCATTGCCGCAGGAGATGTGGTCTATTGTCCACCGGGTGTCGTCCACTGGCATGGTGCCGATGATGGAACTTACATGATTCACGAAGCGACCTCTTTCGGCACGACCGAGTGGTACGATGAAGTGAATGAGTTGGAGTATGCCGCAAAGGAATCATAGGTAGAAACTGAAAATCATCATTGGTTTTGGATGCGGCCGTGATGCAGCATGGCGTTTGCTGCCACTAGAAGACTTGTTCTCGGACACGAAAGTGGGCTGAGCATAGAGCCTTGGAGGCTAGACTGCAAGTATTCCACGATTGGCAGATGTAACCCATCCGATGTGAACCAGATTCCTGCCTAATTATCCGCGGCTTGACATTCCGTTGGTCGCTCTTGTAACGGTAGTTGCACGATACTATGGGAATCGTGTTACCCAGATAGTCCAAAGAGGCACCTCAAATGACACTTTCCTAGTGTCATTTGACCCTTCGTATTGCTGATTTTTACACAGCGTGAGGCACCTATTCAGGTGCCTGCCACATTATAATCTTTGCACTCCGACGCATATTATACCTGTTCACCTGCCATATCCATGGCATGAAGATATCCCGTCGAACTAACACGCAGCGGAAACGCTTGGCAGCGCATGGTGAATCCACTTGACATCACATCAGCCTATCATGGACGTCCCTCTCCCTTTGATCCCGCCCCTTGCACGGTGCGTCTTGGCAGAGCTGGGCACCCCAGTCCTGACCGATTCACCTTGCCAACGTCGCATCACCTCGGAGATCCATCTCTCCTCAATCATGCCACAAACATTGTCATGAGAAGTCAGAACCGAGGATTGAGTCTATCCGAGGAACGGACAGTTGGCGGCTTCAATATCTATATATTCTAGAGCTACGTCATCTTGAAGATGAACGGCATTTCTGCCTCAAACTCTACTGCATCATTACGGTAGCAATCATGAATTCGTACCAACTGTGGTGCCTTCTCTACTGCTCTTGTGGGGCCCTTTTCTACGGCTACGACTCGGGTCTAACGACCTCGATTATCGCCTACCCCGAGTTCACAGGATACTTCAAGTTCAAATCCTCTACCTTGGGCGCGCTCGGATCGGTGTACTACGCTGGGATCGCCATCGGCGCGGCCACGATCGCATACTTGGCGGACAAGTTCGGACGAAGGAGAGTCGTTCAGATCTCATGTGCGATTTCCGTAATCGGCGCTGCCTTGCAGACCGCCGCTGTCAACCTTCCTATGCTTCTTGTGGGCAGAGTCATTGGTGGGATCGCTTGCGGAATTATCTGGTCGTTGTGCCCCATGTACCTCAGCGAGTTGTCACCACCTCACCTCCGTGGTACAGTTGGATGTCTATACAGGTACGTGGACGCTGCACGGCATTGCTTCCCTGCTCTTGCCTCCGCATGACGAGCTAACCTGTGATGATGAATTTAGCATCACACTCAATGTCGGCTATGCTGGCAGCGAGTGGATGGGGCTGGGTTTCTCGTATCTGCATGGCGGTCAAGTCAAGTGGCGCATTTTCCTGGGGCTTCAAATTGTCTGCGCCGTCCTAATGTGTTTGGGGTCGTTCACTGTATGCGAGTCCCCAAGGTGGTTGATTGCGCAAAAGAGGGATGACGAAGCTCTACGGGTTCTGGAAAGACTACATCAAGGCAAGCAACAATCACTTGAGGATGAGAGAGAGCATAACAGAATTCCCTTCTACAGAAGAGAATTTAACCAAATCCAAGCGCAAATTCGCTTCGAACAGGAAAGCCCTCAGGTGGGAATTGTGGCTGCGATGGAACGACCGTCGTACCGAAAACGCATCTACCTTATTGTCTTCTTCTTCGTCTTTCAACAGCTGACGGCGGTTAATGGCCTGCAAAATTACCAGGTTATCCTCTACAGAACACTCGGGCTGGGGGGGAAGATGCCGCTTATCCTGGTGGGTGTTTGGGGCACTACATCGCTCATCATGGCCATTCCGTGCATGTACTTCCTCGACCGTTGGGGCCGTCGACCAAACTTTTTCATCTCCATGTCGATTATCCTCGTTTCCACCACTATGTTGATTGTCTTCTGGGCAAGGTACGAGAAGGGCCATAACACGAACCATGCGCTAGGAAGTTTAGCCCTCTGGAGCATGTTCATGTGGCTTGTTGGCTACGGCTGGGTAATGAATGCCTTCGGCTATACATATACCCCCGAGATTTTGGTAAGATGTTTTGTCACTTCTGGTGGACGTTGACTGGGAAGTGGCATCTGCTAACTTTTACAGCCCATGGAGATCCGCGCTACGGGCATGGCTTTAGGATACGCGGCCAAGACTGTGACCACAATCTGGGTGGTGCAAGTCACTCCCGTTGCAATCAGGAACATCAGCTGGCGGTTTTTCATCATCTTTCTTATCTGTGACGCCTTTTTCCTTGTGGTGTTTTACATCTTTTTCCCAGAGGTGAGCCTCTTTCCGCTACTCCTGCTGCACAATGCTTACGTTAGTAACAGACCGCCAATATCCCTCTCGAAGAAGTCGCTGCGCTTTTTGGCGATAATGTCGTCGTCAAGCTGGATGACGCTGAAAAAGTCCCTGGACAGATCGAGAATGAGATCGAATGCGCCAACCACAACGAGAATCCCGGTGCAACACAGCACAAGTCGATCGTCGTCGATCACGTCGAGGTCCTCAAGTAGGACCCATTAGGGGACACCAGAGCTTCGATGTCTTCGCAATGCTTGAGATCCAGTCGAAGACCAAAGTAATGTTGGCTTCAGCGCTTGCCTTGTGTGGGAGACGCTTTACAATCAAGATCGCAAGAGCCCTAAGCCAGTGGGATGTGTGGTGACACCGTCCTTGGGCTACAAGTATTGAACTAATGCGAGTCTAGTCTAAGTAACGTCATTCAATCCTTCATATTCTCAATCTTTGTTTGCAAGTTCATTTATCGGAGCGGGACTTAGCAGAGTGGAGATGGAGGCAAGATGCATATGTCTAAAGCTATCCGGGTAGCTTTATCAAACCAATACAGCTGCTAGGTGCATGTGCACGCATTTAGAAACACGCTCTGGCCTTGATCCTATATTCATTGGCTTGAACAAATTCCAGTGCCATCATTTCCTTCAGGTAAAGATCGCCGCCCTGCAATAGTTTAAGAGAGTAAAGTATTGTACTCTATACAAAATGCATCAGTTCACATTAAAGCTCAAGCTGATCTGGACAAAGATATTGAGTGACGACGATCCACTCCAGATCCAAATCCAATTTCCGGGGAGCCTTCGTCGTTAATAGGAGAAGGGCTGCTGCCCCAGTATACGGCATATCAATCAATTGCCAAATGCCAACCTCGCCAGTCACGATACAAGAGTTGCTATACTCCCCCAGCTCGTTCATACCTATATGCCATAGCTACGACCCGTTTATTTTTGGCCCTAGAGAGTCTAGCTCGTCGTTGATAAGTAACCAAACGACACTCTGATCAAGGGCCTACCGTCCATGGAAAAGGGGTCAGCAAACTGGGAAATAGAGGTGAAAGAACCACGAGAAGAGTCAAGATAGGCGCGTTGATGAGTACTCACCGCCGTTCTAGGGTTATCCGCCGCTTTCTGGTATAACGACACAGCCGCCTTGCCCATCGAAGGATAAATGCCGACATCCCAAGCAGCATCAATGCCAAGCGAGACGTCCTTAACCGACATCTTCGGCGCGAAGGTGAGCTTGAAGCCATTGCTGGAAGGAGAATCGGGGATCACGCCCGGAACGACGTGGTTGTGGTGCAATACCCACGAATCCCCGGACGACGCCGCGATACATTCGTACAGGGTGCGCTTGTCGACGCCCTGCCGGATGCCGAATGCCATTGCCTCGGCTGTGACAGTAGTGTTGCAGATGGCGACGTAGTTGTTGGCAATCTTGCTTACGAGGCCCGTGCCTAGTTCGCCACAGAAGTGCACTTTCTCAGGCATGCCCATCCAGCATACAATGTCGAAGACGCGTTTGGAGACAGGGTCGTATGCCGGGCCTCGTGGTCGACCGCACATGAACGATAATCTTCCTGCTGCCGCGCCGCCGATTCCTCCGGAGACGGGTGTGTCGACGTACACTCCTGCTTTCGCAGCGGTGATTTGGTGGCCGATGTCCTTGGCCGTTGCGACATCGATCGTGCTGCACTCTAGAAAGAGCCTATCGGGATCACCTTTGGCGGCGATGACTCCGTTCTGTTTGTCCAGGTAGACTGCTCTAGCGTGCTGGCCCATCGGAACCATCGACATCACGGTGTGAGACTTCTCAGCTACTTCCTTGGAGGAGTCGGCAATGATGACTGAGCCGAAGGAGCTGAACTCGTCTACAAAGCGTTGACAAGCGTCTTTGGAGATATCGTAGACATAGAGCGTAGCGGACGACGGCATCATCCTCCTCACATTGCCTGCCATGCCGAATCCCATGTTCCCGATGCCTGTATGCGAATCGTTAACCACAAGCAAATCACTCATAAGAACGGGGATCGTCACCGATGAATCCAATATCTTCCAACATCTTGACCTGGCCTATTACTCGGACAAGTTGAAGATGTGTCTATTGGGCAGTATCTCGTATCGACGTAGCGATAAAATTCGGTTATATTTCCCCACGTTTTCTTCTCAATAATCAAATTTAAAGGCGACAGCTCAGACAGTATCATTATAGTGCATACCGAAGAATAAAATGGCTTGCCGAGGACCGCCAGTGAAGTGGGTACCTGCGTAACTCTTCCCTGTGCCAAGTTCAGCTTTTCATCGTGGTCCGAGGTGAATCTCGATTTTCCGCGGTAATTGCGGTAAGGAGAATGCAAACCGATAGATATCAAGAGTTTCGTGTGGGCTGGTGCTGCTTGAGACAGGCGCCTCGCACCTCAAATCTTGGCTTCTAGAGGCTGTATTATAGGCGGTCCTATAGAATACCTAGGCATCTCCTACCACCTGAAATATGAATACAGAACTATTAGGTCTTTCTGGCCTTTCCGGCCTTTATGCTTCAGTGGTGATACACCGTGCCTTCGTTCAATACTGGACTAACCCTATGGAGAAGTGCTGCCAAGTACCGAGTACCGAGTACCTCGTAATGAACTAGATAATAAGAAGTATTAGACATCTCGTCCTACGCTTAATAATGTTTAGGAGAAACGGACACCGGTATCAGTTTTAACGAAACACAGTCCATACATATATTGATCTATCCTCGCTATTCTAAATCTCGCTGGCAACGATTCTCTACTGGCACAGCCTTGATCCTTCTGTGCATGCTGTCGCTGTTTTATGCTCGGAATATGCTCAGTTGGTCCTTCCAGCCTTGAGACCTCTCATCCACAGCCAGGATACTAACCCATTTTTGTCCTGACATGTGACCAGCCAAATCGCCTTTCTGCTACTCCCCCATACCAGGCTATTATCAGCACAGCACAGCCACTTTGCCTTGTTACACTATGACCTGGGAAGGAAATCTTACTCACCGTGACTCAACTACTTGGGTGATTTGCTTAGGTGGAATAGCGTTTACAGTCTTCTTAATGGGTCAGTAAAGGTGGTCAGGACGGACTGGTTTAGCACGACAGGCGGCTCAAGGTCTTTGATACACAAATGGTGACGGCGACGTCACAGATCTAGGATATTGAACTATAGGACTTTTGTGATTAGGAAAACTAAACGCCAGCAGCATTTGGTGGTGGCTGTTTCTACCAAGTATTCAAGCGAAGTCGCTCGAAGCTGCTGTCTGGAGACATTTCGGAATGCTTCCTGTAGGGAGGATTCCACGCGGCTGGCGGGGGGGCTGGTCGCTGCAACTGCAGGTGCCGCAATTTAGCCAACTAGGTTAGCCAACCAGGCAACTTAGGGTGGTCTTCGCTAAGAGATGCCATGCCTATGACGGCACCTAAGCCCCCTAGCCAGCCTAGTGGCCCCTGGGATCCCCTCCTTCTCCAGTCCCCACAAACTCAGGATTGTGACTCGGGTTACCATCATATCACATCCATTCCTTTCGTTCAGCTTCGCTTCGCTTGCTACGCATCAAGCAGTGCGCGTCAACTCCCAAGCCTAATACGGAGGGAGGGTAATAGATGTTTGGCTCTGCTACTTATTCTGTCTGAAACACCAGAACGCGAAACCCTTGCACTGATGGCATCGACCGAGGACACGCGCAGTGGGGAGACTGGCTGGAGCGCTTCCGATGTCACCTCTCCGGCTCAAAGACGGAAGCGAAGTTCAAGAGCCTGTCTACACTGCCGTGTACGAAAGGTCCGCTGCGATGTCACGCTAACTGGAGTGCCCTGTACGAACTGTAGGGCTGACGCACAGCCATGCGTTATTCCGAAGAGATCAAGAAAACAGTGAGCTCCTCCCGCTTCAACGGGCATGAAAGAGTTGAAGGTGTTGATTTCTTCATAGTCGGTTATTCAGCGACTCGTCGCTATACACATTGCAGCTTGGTGGTCAAGTTTCCCGCAACACTGCTTTTGCTACACAGGATCAAAACACGCGGCAAAGCCAAGAATATGCAGACAATGGGCTGCGAACATCTACCAGGACATCGATCACCCCGACACTCGAGGAAACATCACAGCACTATGGCCTGCAGGGCGAGAGATGGCAGCTTCTCCGAGAGCACCCGTCGCCTGAGGCACTTCCAACCACACGGAACGAGGCGCCTACAAGTGATATTCCACTAACGGCCGCCACTTCACAAGCTGACAATGCTCAACTTCCAGCGCTTGAAGTTCGATATTTGGCTTCTGGAAGGACGGCGAGCCCTCAGCAAACGCCTGGACAAAGGACAGATGTGGTACAAAACTTCCAAAGACCGAATTCGAGAGATCACATAATTCTGACAGACTATCCCTTCTTGGACACTGACTTCATGTCGCGCGTACCACCTGAGGACTTCGACTATCTAGACCACATTGGCTGCTTCCAGCTACCTCAGCGAAATTGCCTGGACGAGCTCGTTCGAGCGTATTTTCTCTACCTCCATCCACATTTACCGTTGGTCGATGAAGGCAAGTTCTGGGAGACATACCTCAACCGTCAATCTGTTGTTCACCTCACTTCTCGCGTGTCCCTATTGGTTTTTGAAGCAATGCTGCTGGTAGCATGCAGCGTGAGTCCTTGCTTGGTCCCGCTTACTCCATTTATCTGGGGGCGTTGGGCCAGAAAAGATGCTGATTTGGACAAAAGTTCGTATCCTCCTCTACGATTCAAGATATAGGCTTCCAAAGTGTGCGCGAGGTGCGCTCGGTGTATTATCGTCGCGTCAAGGTTGGTTTTGATGTCTCGCCCTAATTCACGTCCAAGCTTAATGTCTACGTAGGCCTTGTATGATTTTGACATCGAGAGAAGCGACCTGGCAAAGGCCCAAGGGGCATTATTAATGACCTTCCATGTGCCACTCAACAAGCCACAGATAAATACCTACTGGCTCGGCATAGCCATTCAGCTCGCCAGAGTGGAAGGCGCGGACCGATACTCTACATATGAAGCTAGAGACTCCGCTAAACACAATCAACTTAAACGAGTCTGGTGGTGTTGTATAATCCGCGACAGAACTATGGCGTTAGGACTTCGCAGGCCGATATCTATTTCTTCAGCATCCTTCGAAGAAGCATGGCCGCCGCTGACGGACGATGATTTTAAGAGCGAAATCGGGCGATCATGGGTGGGCAGCGTTCCGGCGAAGATGAAATTGCTACATTCATTGTCAGCGCTGTGCAAGCTTTGTGCTGTGCTCACCGACATTCTTCAATTACTATATCCGACCAATGGAGTTCAAGCCATTGGAGATCGTCTTGACTTTCTGAAGCGCATTTACACGTGCACTGACGAGTTGCATGAGTGGCATGACGGAGTGGTGAGCAACAGCGGACTACATGATCAACACGACAAAAGCTTTAATGTTGTCGTCCTCTTCACGAGTCTTCTCACCATCTACTTCCAGTAAGATGCCTTTATCCGTGTATCACTGACAGTATGTTACTAATCACGCTTCAGATCCGCAAAAGCTGCACTGTGCAACTATCGAATCAGACTTACATTGAACAAGCCTACGCAATACAACTTTGAACGGCTGCAAACAAAGAACGAACTTCAGGCTTCCCTTCGCGGCATTGCACAGTGCCTACGAGCGATCATCGATGCTGGGATGATAACCTACTCTCCCGTTAGCATGTGAGTTCTAAGATGTCTCCTGAGATGACTCAAACTAATCCACGCTTCAGGGTGGCTTTCCTCGCGCTGCCGTCAATCTGCTACAACCTGGATCTGAGCAGCCGTGCAAGCACGCAGAAAACCACCCACGGCCATGGTGCCAATATATACCAAGATTTTCTGCGAGTGCTCCAATTAAGATATGAAGGTACTGATAGGGCCCTTAACAACATGTCAAAATTAGTGGGTCATATGAACCTAGAAGATGCAACTTCGCCGTCAACTGCAAGATCTAGATCCGAACACACCCCAACAGGATTGAAGGGGTTGAGCCGCCCCTCCGAGACATCGGGTCCTGCCAAGAGCGCGAGCGGATTGGATATCGTGACCTCTGACCCGCAAAAGTACATTCAGATGAGCGACACGCTGGATTTCTTTCTGTCCCGTGGTCGGTTCCCTACGAAATACGATAATCCACCAGATCTTCTCTCATCATCGGACGAAGCTGATGGGTCACCTAGCCCAAGTTTAATGAACGACTTGATAGCCGGTAGAGAGAGAGACACTGTGAGAAAGACCCACAATCAGGCTGGCCCTGCGGAATTGTCCAGTCGGCCTGGCATTGGAGACCCCGCCTGGGCAGCCTCATCCATAGAATCGAATGACTTGATGGCATCAAGCGAGTTGGTGACAGGCAGTGCAGAGCTTTCCGCCATGCTTACGGATGATCCCTTTGGCCAAGCTGTCACCAATCCGGACGGATTCTCTTTCGAAGACTTCATGACCGACGGACCAAATTCGGGAATCGAGCGATTGCAGAACATGCTTTATACATATCCTGATTGGCCGTGACGGACTCAAGCTTTCATCTGCGGCATTGGCTGCCGCTGCTGGCCTTGTTCCCACCAGTTGAGAAGAATCACCATCGTCGGCACTTTTAGTCACTAATCACATATTTGCTCTAGGGCGTGAGTTTCGATACATAAGAGCTTTAGGGGAGCTATGCAGGATGTTGGCCCATATGAGTCAAATTTCAAAGCATCAATGGAGTTGGCACCTTCAGGACTTAATCTGGATATATACGTTGCACCAGAAAGCTCTCATTTACCATCAGGAAGAGACAGAACAAAGCAAATATAGCGGTGGACGTCTCTCTCCTCGGAAAAGACGACATATTTCAGAAGCCAGAGTCTCTGATCAAGGTCGAATAGTTCCCTTCATACCCGGGAAGGTCGTGGCAATGCAATTGGAGCAGTTTTCGGCTATAAGAAACTCCCAGGCATGAGGTACTTAGGGGTTGTTTAGATGCCTAGCGACTGACGACTCAGCTCAATGACCCACTAAAGATTGCGCCCTTTTGCTGTATCTATTTCCGTGTGGCTTTGCCGCATCAATAATTCTTCGCATTTCTTGTTGTTCCTCTTCCGTCAGGTCGATATCTCTGGAGGCCCAGTTCTCCTCCAGTCGTCCCGGCTTGGTCGTGCCAGGAATCGCAATCATTCCCTGAGCGGCAACCCATGCGAGGGCTATTTGAGCAAGAGTGCAGCCTCTGCGAGCAGCCAGCTTCTTGAGCGCTTCCACAATGGCTTTATTTTTGTAAAAATTGTCGCCCTGAAATTTTGGGGCTGAGAGAAGTAACGTCAGTATCTGATAGAGTAATATACCTACAAGAGTTTACCTGTACGACGAAAATCATCTGGCGCAAAGTCGTCCGGCGTCTTAAAGGGAAAGTCGTCGACAAGCCATCCGTGACCAAGAGGGCTGTAAGCCACGTACGCTACACCCAGTTCTCTAGCTGTAGCGATCAGGCCGTCTGATTCGTGCAAAGTCTCAAAGGCTGAATACTCTGCTTGAACAGCGTCGATTTTTGCGACTGTAGATAGTATAAGAGAAGGTTAAAAAATAATCACATGGTCTCTGCGACTCACTCGAGTTCGCCTTACGCAGCGTGTTGGCTGAGCATTCTGAAAGACCGATGTACTTGGTTTTGCCAGCCTTGCGGATCTCGTCCAGTGCGCCAATGGATTCTTCAAGAGGCGTTTCTAGGTGTATATCTTAGCAATGGAGACAAATCTTACCACCAACACACTTACTCGGGTCAATTCTGTGTAGATAGTAGAGATCGGGCGCGAAACCGAGTCTTTCAATCGAGCCCTCGATATATTCTTTGATGTGAGAAGCTGAATTCGTGACCGTCATATCCCCACTATTCAGACAGTTGAAACCGCACTTTGACGCCACTGACTGCGCATGAGTCGTGGCGTTTCCAATCAGTCAAATCTTTCTGTCACGTACGAAAAATTTTGTCCCGAGCGTTGTGCTTTCTAATGAAGTCACCAAGAAGTTTCTCGTTCACACCAGCTCGGTAGACAACCTGTTTCGTAGTCCTTCAACATCGTTGAAATCCACAGCAGCCCAACTTAGGACTTACCGCAGTGTCCCAAAAAGTGCACCCTAGCTCGAGTGCCTTCAGCAGTACCGGTTCGGCATCTTGCAGGCTCAAATTGGATCCCAACCCGAAACTGAGGCCCATCGCGCCAAATCCCGGGGAAGGAATTTGGCGGTCGGCGAACGACAGCGTTTTCACCATGACTATGGTTAATTGACGATAGTTGATTTCGTTCCGTGAGATATCAAGCTGAAGAGAAGTAGTGAGCAATCTCTGGTAAAATAAAATGAGGGAAATGTCACCGAAAAGCTGTTTTCGGATTTATTCACATGTCCGTAATAATGTCCGCGGAGCAGTGGCTGGAAAGGTCTACACAGCAGACCGATAACCAAAACTTTAATTTGAAGGGGTTAATACAGCCGAAACCAGTGGTGTCGATTGTCAAGAGCACCGTGTGGAGGAAATCATGGAGCCCGGGCTCCTAAGAACGTCATCTCGTCAGTACAGCAGCAATACTAGGTCCTGCCATTTTTTTTATACCTATTCGTCGAGAATGTGGTGAACTCGTCCTAGGTGTCATTCCATCAGAACCCAGGTGACCGCGTCAAGACCGGCCAATGAAAGTTTCCTCGACTTCCTTTGCATGCCTTAGCATAGCAAGCAAAAGTCCGAGAGAATTTTACAAACAAAACTTATCTAGACCGGAGCTTATAAGATGGTACATGGGATGGGTCGTCCAACTTCTTAATCAAGCAACAGGACATTCGTCTCCATTCAATCTGGATGGAACTCGGGAGTCTCGCTCCCTCGAGTTACCGTACTCCTACGAGCATCCTGTATGTTGATTACAGCTACAGCACCTCCCAGAGGCCGATGTGATACTCAGAGAAGATACATTTAGTAGCAAATCGTTTGAATCAGATCATGACATTTCTATCGTGCCGGTCGAGTCAGTAAAACAAACGCACACCTTCATCTAATATCCTTGCTTCAGACTCGGAAAGATCCCAGTGCTATCATTCCAGATTGAGAGGAGAAATCTATCTAGTTTGACAGCGACCCATGTAGCTCGGTAGGTGGAAAATTCTGCGGTGCCATCATGTGATGTGTTAACCTACCCTACAGAGTTAGGGCCATGCCAACATATTAACTAGAAAACTGCAATACTTCCTCCATTTGCGCTGACTTTGCTTCCTGTGACCCATCTGCCATCTCTGCCGCACAAAAATCCCACCACGTCTGCCACATCATCAGGGTTGGCCAGCCGTGGAATGGCCTGTCTACTGACCCAAAACCCTTGCAATTCCTCCCACAACTTCGGTCCAAACTGCTGTGGTCCCGACGTTTTCGCGAGACCCGTGAACACGCTGTTGGCGGTACTTCCGGCCATGAAGTCAAACGCGGGATTTTTCCCGCCAAATGCATTGGCATAGCAGCGAACCATCGCTTCATTCGCTGCTTTTGTCGAGGCGTAGATGGTGACTGAAGGGTCGCAGTTTAAACTCTCAGCGCTGCTGATGAAGACAATTCTACTTTCCCTCCTGAAGCATCGTCGCTTCACCAATTCGTCCACGATCATCGCCGGCGTTCGGATATTACATAGCAGCATTCTGTCTAATGTCTCTGCCTCGAGCTCAGCAGGGTATGTGCGTTCAGCCACTGCGGCATTGTTGACGAATATGTCTGTGTAGCCATCAAATTCGCACTGAACTGCATTTGCGATCTTGCGGTGTGCTTCAAGATCCGTCAGGGAGAGGACAAGATGCACCACTTTCGGAGGCTGCATGTCGGAGTGTGAATAGGCGGAGCTGACCTCGTCACGCAGTTTGTCGATATGCGTGCTGACGCCTGTGGAGGTCGCCAAAATGCCGGCACCACGCCTAGCAAGGTGAAGCGCAATCGCATAACCGATGCCTCGACTCGCCCCCGTGATGATCGCAACTCTGCCGGCGAGATCTTGCTCGCGGGCATGAGCTTGCGGATGCGGATATGGATATTCGGACATGTCACAAGTCTTGCTGGGAGGGAACAGCGCTCGTGGGAGCGGGGATTCGTACACAGAGAGTTTAACTCTGTATCAAACTGACACAGTGAACGAATTGGCAAACATGCAGGGGCAACATGGCTGTTAGATGTTAAAGGGCCCGGCCTGGCTTTCTGACTCCTATTTTACAGATCCAGAAGATGAGAATGGATAGATCCAATACCATTTGCCGTGAGGAAAAGCTGTCCTGCCCTGGGCGTTTCTCATCTCGTGTCGGATATAATGAGAAGACCATTTGAAGTGCGTCACGGAGACCGACATAATCGGGGATATGTGCGGTGGCGTAGACGGTCGAATACCCTCCGTGGAGCGCCTGGCGGGGTTAGCAGCGCATGCCGCCACCAGAATCCTGGTCCTGTTGTCGAAGAAGCTTGCCTCGTCTCCTTTTTTTACTCATTGCTTTATGGAACCGTGGAACACACCAGCGAGATCGGTGTCGAAGAGAGTGTTGGATCTAATTGTGGAAGCAAAATTCGATGACACTCGTTGGGAATTTCCTCAAACCCCACTTGGAATCAAAGAGATCAGGCACCTTGCAATCAGGCGTCATTCAGTGGAATGCCACTGCCGATTTTGGCTTTTTTGGCTGGGGAGTGATACTGTGCATGTTAAGAGAGTTCTGCGCCAGAAAAAAAACAGCAGGACGTACATCGTCTCCTTCTAGGTACGGAATGGCGAGTTCTTGGGAGAGATAGGAAGCGAGAGTGCTCTTCCCGGAGCCGGCTGGGCCGCAGACCACAAAAATCGTCTCGTCTTTCGCTTGCTCAGTAGTCATGCGCGGTAAGTGACCATCAAAGGTCAGTGTGTAGATCTGGTCTGAAGCGGGAGAGAGTGTGCATCGCCGGAGACGTTCTCCAAGCAGACAACACAGTGGCAGCGATGAGCTCGGAGGACAACGGGATCGGCAGCGCGCAAGCAGGGTGGAAGCAAATACTGAAGACGTCGATTTACCCAGGATGAACGGAGCTGGGAGGACGGCAACGCACCGGGTGGGAGAACGGGTATAGATTCGCATCCAAGCAAAGGTAGTAGCTGTAGTTGTACATACAGGATGATCAGAACAGCTGCGGGTCAAAGCAAAACTCCGGTTCAAGTGGCATCCAAGGAATCTCCAAGCCAATTCCGGGGAACACTATCGGCCAAAAACGTTGGACATCCGTAGTCGGACATGGAGAATTTCCACCCCAAAATGTCCGGATAATCTTGGATGGGATGGAAAAGCTCCGATCATGCTGTAGAAGCTGTTTCCGGTCAACGCCGGTCCTCATCGGATGGAGGAGTGATTCAGTATGCACTGGTATCGAACTGGGGTCTTGAGCCAAGGGGCCCCGGGTCGTGATCTTTCCGGTGCGCAATGCTCTTGCGATAGAAAACCTCGAGATATAGCAGTAGAAGCGACCAAGACGCGCCTCAGCATTTCCCAACTCCCATTTTGTTTGCTTGCCGCTGTAGTCGAATGACGACGGCAGTGAACAGGTACAAGATGGTTACTCACCCTCGTCGTCTCAAGATTGCCCTGATCGGCCTCGGCCGGCTAGGTGCCATCCGGGCTCGCATCCTCGCCTTCCAGCAGCCTCGCATCGAGCTCGTCGCCGCCTGCGACACCAAGCCCGGTAGTGGTGAATGGGCCGCGGCCAACCTTCCACCTTCTGTGAAGTTCTTCGCGGATCCTGAGGATTGCATGAACAACAGCGGTGCAGAGGCTGTCCTCATTTCCACCGCGACGGCTACTCACGCTCCCCTCATCTGCCGGGCTCTTGACCTAGGTCTCGTAAGTCTGCCAAAAATGGTCTATCTATATTCTGGAACCCTTAAAGCTGACTGCTGCCAGCATGTTATGAGCGAGAAGCCGATCTCGGTGGACATCATCACGACTGAACAGGTCCGCGCCAAGGCAGCGGCCAATCCTCACTTGAAGTTCCTGGTTCCTTTCTGTAGACGATGTGGGTGCCATGGGCCTCTGTGCTTGGGGTGTTTGAGGCTGACCTGTGTTAGACGATGACTCGTACCGTGCAGCTAAGCTGCTGGTCGAGAACGGTGCACTGGGCGAGATTCACGCTGTCGAGACCACCTGCCTTGACCAACAGGACCCTTCTGGTAAGCGGTTCCTCTGACTTTCGTACCAAGAATATCCTGGCTAATCATCCGATAGGCTTCTTCGTCACCTTTTCTGCGCAGTCCGGAGGCATCTTTGTTGACATGGGTGTTCACGATGTCGGTCTCTCACATCCCTGGTTGGATTACCTCGCTGACATAACACAGATTGACATCGGCCGCTACTTCCTGGATGTCAAGTCGGGCTTCACCAACCCCAGGAAGCAGGTCAACAGAGTCATTGCCATGGGTCAGCAGGCTGTCTACAACGACCTTGCCAAGTACGGCGACCTGCGACAACGGATGGGGTCTGGTTGAGTTTGCCAATGGCAAGGTCCTCACCACCCACCTGGGCCGCACACTCACCAATGGGTTTGAGGGCATGACCCGCGTGTGTGGTACCAAGGGTCACTCCGTCATCAATGGCAATTCTACATCGAACCGTGTCGAGATTCGTGACTCATACGGTGTGCGCACAGCCACTACCGCCGACGCGTTCATTCTCTACGATAAGTCGTTCATCAACGACCTTGCTGAGTTCGCTAGTGCCGTCCTCGACAACCAGCCCCTTACTTGCACTCCAGATGATGCCTATGAGGCGGCAAAGATTGCCACCGCATTGCAGTACTCGTTCCGCAACGGTGTGCCAGTCTACTTTGACGATAATGGCCTGCCTATCATGGAGGCTGCCAAGGTCAACGGTCACTGAGCTGGGGTGGCGATGGTTTTGAGCGTGGTTCATCTGGATTTTATGTTTATCTGTACGAATCAGGGCTATTCGCAACAACGAGCGCCAATACGACACTCTTCGACCAAGGGGGTTCATACTTCGCTGGAGTGCACATATCTTTTTCATCTCAATTGATAGATATATGAGAATTTTCACTTGATCAAGTCCTTATTTGAGCGGCATCTGGAGCAGCGTATTCCCACCAGGGGGTGCAATTGCCCATAAAGGGCTGGAAGGTCTATGAGATGCTATACTAGAAAAAGTTGAATGTTCACTCACATTTGGCTGGTCGTGGGGAGCTTCGAATATATCTTGCAGGAGCATTGGATCCCAGAACTCATGTAGCTGCGACATGTCAGCTCTGATCTTTAGCAGTCCAGATGTTAGTCTCACAAGGTCGTCCGTCGAGTCAGGCGTAACCAGAGGATGTATTGCGCTGAGCGTCGTCGTTTTTGCCATTCTCTGCCGACTTTGAGGACCCCCGAGGTAATTGTCGTTCGGCGGTGGGTTCGAAATATTTGTCGTGTGAGAAGAGGCCGGGGTCGTAGCAAGGGGAATAGTTCTGATAGTCTGACGTTCATGACCCGCCCGCTCGATGAGCCTGGTCCGCCAGCCGAGCAACTCTACATCCTCACCATCCTCTCTCTCCTCGCTACTTCTTCGCCGGTCCAGCTCAGCGTCTCGCTGTGAGTCGCTCTTTTGTGCGTGAGAGGCCATCGAGATCTTGGACGACGCTCGTGCGCGAAGCCTCACGAGCCACTGCAGGTTCCGGTTGTATCGGGGGGTACTGGCGCCATGTTGAATTAGGGAGGTGAATAAGCCAATAGCGGCATCAATCTGTGCAAGGACAAAATTGGCCATGGCATTGCCTGGATCGCGCAACACCAGCGTTCCTAAGCATAGAGCCGAACCGAATACGTGATACTAGAACAAATGTGAGCGTTTTCGGCTTCGGACGGAGGAATAAGTGCGTACCCAAAAGTTCCACTGCCTGGTGCTTACAGCCGGAAACCGTGTATGAATGTCTCTCACAATGCCAATAATAATCTGCCAGTATCAAATCACCGTTGACGGAGATTGCGAGGACGGCCTTACTGCGCAACGTTCTATCACTGTCAAGAATGAAGGTGCGTAGACAGACTTGACGCGATCAATGTCATCATAGAGGGCTTTTGCGTAATATGGTCGATGAAGGTTGATGATTGTCTCAGAGATGTTGAGTGCAAGATTCGTTTGCTAGTCGATGTCAGCTTAGAGTCAACCTTGATAGGATAGATAGATGGACTTGAAAGGAAATGGTCATCGACCTCCGGGATGGTTCTGGAGATGCTTCGTTCGCCGCTTCAACTTGAGGATACTGAGAGGGCATTGACAAGAATGCTGCTCGGCAACGTAAGGAGAAGGGGGTTTTGCGTTCAAATTCACAGCTAGAATGTTTCAGCATCCAGGGTAGTTGTCATTTGCAAATACATACAGCTTGAGATCCAAGTTGACGACGTCGGAATACGCTGGTTTCCGCACCTTCAATGCCATATGGAGAATCCTGAAGCTTGATCAGCTGTGACGCAAATTCCTGATTAAGGAAACACACTCAGCTGAGAGTTGTGATAGCTCAAATCGGAGTCTGGAATAGCTTTTTTCCCCATTCAGATTTTGTGGCTCAGAGGGGAAGGCGGTGTCGCAATGCTCGGGAATGATAGAAGATCTGTCTGACTTGAGCTCTGCCCAGGGCATGTGCGGGGCGAACCATACGGCCTTGAGAAACAATGTGCCTCGAAGATATCGGCAGCATTACACTCCCAAAACACCTTGCGCCTTTCCTCGACAACATTCTCGGGCAAATTCCAGCGACCACCGTCCCGATGCATACCCATCTATGTAGCTTATCAGCCTTGTGCCTTCACTTCAAGCGCTACGCTTACCGCTTGAACCAAACGCATGACCAGACCCCATAGCGGCCAGGCATTGTCACCGCGTCGACCTTTGTCCAAGTGCCTGTTAACCTGTCAGCGATGCAAGATGCTCCTTGCTAGCCTACCCACAGGTGCAAGTGCGCCATCAGATGCTGGAAATTGTAAGCGGCTGGCCAGAAGCGGTGATTCCAGGAACTCACAAGGGTTTGCACTCCAGCGATCGTGTTGTTTGAGAGAAAGTCCCCTTTGACCAAAGCACGTTCCGAGAGGTGCAGCCAATCTTCGGCAGATGAATCGAAATTGGGCATCTCAATGTTGAACATGGTGCCTTGAGCCAAGACGACAATCTCTTGAGGATGACCCGGAGGAGATAAAGAACGTCCCTCCGCAAGTGTATAGACACGATCAAACGTCGTTTCGAACGGTATTTTGGGAGCGACGTCATGGCTACACCCTGTCAACCGTTTGTCTGGCTTTTCGTCTCCAATACTCACTGCCAAGCACAATAGCGATAGTACGATTCGACTAGTGTCCACGCCTCGTCTCTTGGAGGAAGGCATGAAAGAAGATCCCGCGTGCTAATGCGAGCCGGCGAGGCGTTGAAAGGAAAGGCGATGGGAGTGTTGTTGGAAGTCTGATCAGGTACATAGGGATGTGAAGACTGGAGCATATCTGGAGAAGGAGCGCGAGTGATCACTGGAGTGTCCGCTACATCTTGTGTCTCCGACTAGAATGATTCAGTTTACTCCGCACCTTCAAAAGTAGATGGCAGGAAAAGTGGTATCGAATGTTCAATCACCCCGGAAGGATTTGTAGGAGTTATCCTGCAGTAGAGGAGATCGAAGTCGCTGTAAAAGGCCCGGGGAGTGTCGCAGTCGTGCTAGTATTTACCTTTTCGATGCATTCGAAAGGAGATATTTGAAAACGAAGCACCCAGCTCCTCTTGTCAATTATCATTGTGATGGAACGATCCTCTCTGGTTGTACACAGATCTATCTGTGGTATGTATGTATGTACGAGCTATCATTCTGAGAGATAACCTTCCACTGGTGCCAAGGCGCTAGTGGCTATGAGCCGTAAGGCGGCCAGCCACCCTCAGAATCGTGGTTCGGCCAATTACTCCCCGCCGCCTTTGCCGGGGGCTCACAATGGCGCCCGGCATCGGCTATCAGTAATGATTTGTTGCCAGCATGTTTGCCGACGCTCAAGCCAATGAGTAGCTTCGGTAACTATTTGAGCTGGAGAGCTGTTGACCTTGTTCCGCAGCAACCAGACTGTACGTGTCTGGAGAGCAAACATTCATTTTCCTTCTTTTCTTTCTTCACTTGAGTGCCCCATCATGGGCGACGACATATGCCGTGATTCAGCTATGTTGGGCGACAAGGTCCAAGTTGAACGTAAGGAGTTGGTAGAATTACGGATGCTCACCCACGAGGAGCAAGATGTCGAGAAAAAGCTCGTACGCAAGATTGACGTTCGCATCCTGCCGATAGTCTTAATGATATATCTCATGAACTACATCGACAGGTATGCTTCAGGCTTTCCTTATTCTCTCATGGACTAAGTTGACTTCACTAGAAACAATTACCCTGCCGCGCGTCTACAGGGTTTACAGGATGATCTGGGCTTTACAGATCAACAATACCAAACCGGATTGTCGATTTTGTTCGTTGGATATGTTCTAATGCAAATTCCGTCGAACATGCTTCTCAATTATATCGGCAGACCATCACTGTATCTCGGAGCTTGTACAGTAGCGTGGGGACTTGTGTCTGCCATAACATCTCTTGTTAAAGGGTATGGCTCAATTGCTGCCTGCCGATTCCTTCTCGGATTTGTCGGTACGTGGACCAATTTTTGTTTTCCAACCTCTGAATAGCATAGACTCCTAGAACTTTGATCTTGCTTTCTCTCCTTCCCTTGCAAATTTCCATTTTTTACTGATATCTGTCATAGAGGCTCCATTTTTCCCCGGGGTGATGTTCTACCTTAGTAAATGGTACACCAGAAAGGAACTGGCCCTTCGCATGAGCGTCTTCTACTGCGGCTCCTTGGTGAGCGGAGCATTTGGCAACCTTATTGCGGCAGGTATCTTGAGCGGATTGGCAGGAGAACGAGGAATATCTACCTGGCAATGGCTATACATCATTGAGGGTTGCGTCACCATTGTTGTTGGACTCGCTGCCGCAGTTTTGCTGCCCGACTTTCCCCACACATGGAAAGTTCTTCCTCCAGAGCAGCGCAACATCGCTAATCGGCGCATGGCAATCGAAGCCGCTGAAGCTGATCTGGATCAGGAAATGGGCATGAGTCAATGGCAAGGACTGAAACTGGCTTTCCAAGATCCCAAAACCTACGTTCTGGCCCTAGCCGACTGGGGTCTTGCGGTCGCCGGTAGCTTCCAGAATTTTTTCCCTACCCTGACGGCAACACTTGGCTATGGCCATATCGTCTCTCTGGTTCTCATCGCACCGCCATACCTGTTTATGGTCGTCTTCATTCTCGGACACTGCTACCTATCAGACAGATTGGGTCACCGTTTCTGGTTCTTCGTTTATCCCAATCCGCTAGCCCTGGTCGGCTTCATTATTTTTACGGCAATAAGTTCCTTTGGACCACGCTACTTCGCTTGCTTCCTATTTTGCTTTTCCTTTACAGCAATACCAACACTGTTGTCCTGGGCTTCGACTTCACTCCGACGAACACCCCTCAGTGAAGTGCATGAAGTAGTCTATTTTGACCATCCATGCCTAGAATAATGCTGCTTGGACTTTAAAGGTGAAACTTTTTAAGTTACTAGCGTTCTCGAGAAGATGTATTGCGATACATAGTTAGTCCTTCTGGCTATGAACTACTCGCACTACTGAGGAGAGGGGGAAGTAGGCTTGCAGCCACAAACCTGCGCTTTGGCATCTTTGACACGGGAGTCTTGCAGTCGCTTGGACTCGGTGTCCCGTGACAACGATTTGAGGCATTCGTTACGACGGTACTGGTAGGACTTACTCTCTCCCTGAAAGCTATCCTTATTCAGTGTTAAACTAAAGGTTGGGAAGTCACGTGATCCAGCCCAGCTACTCAGTACTATCTATATAGTCTACCGTAGTCCCTGTACTGAATAACGGGGGACAACCTTTTGATCACTCAACATTCAGCTGTTAACGACGAAAATACTGCACGGCGGGGCTGGCAGGGTAGAGCTAACAGGATAAACTACGCCGATACAAGTACGCTCAGGTCAGGTTTCTCATGTCCAATTGAATTGTGTCAGTTGAGTATTGTACGACGCTTTCCAATACGAGCAATCATAGTTAATACGTTGGAACTCTTTCTTAGTGGCTTACCATAATTTGTGTTGAGACTCCAACTCTGCCACATCGAGCTCTCCTGCCTAGACAGTTTAGCTGTTTGTGTTCAACTGTTTGGTCAATATCTGAGCATCTTCCGGGTTTCGATTGGCCATTTAGACTTTAATCCTTCTGTGAGCACTTGAGAGTTAGAGTCGGGAGGGATTGAGTTTGGTATAAAAAATAACAGAAATGCCTTACACTTTCTCGACAAGTGTCTTTGGTGACTGCATAACCGATGCCGCTGGCCACCCCCTACTTTTACCGTGTATCCAAATGACAATAAACACTCCATTGTCCTATGTCGCTACGACATTGCTGAAACGCCCACTGTCCGCTAATAGTCCCGGCATCGGAAGGGCGGCATGTGTCTATACTCGCGCAATCTTTTGTTAATCATCGCAAGGGCAGTCGAGGAATATTTTCGCGTTGCCGAGCAGCTGCCGGGTTGGCAATGCGGGTCAACCAAAAAGAGGCGGGGATGCATAATTGTTACCGGAAGATGGGTGTCTCCAGAACCGGATCCATTTTGCCCCTGCTGGGTCGGCTCCATCGACCCTGCTTGTCGGCGAAGCAGGACTTCGGGAGAATGCCTGCACAAAAACTTATATTAGGGCGCATGGAAGCACCGACAGACTCCACTAAGCAGAATACCCCAGACTTTATACCCTCTTCGAGGTTCATCTGACTTTTAAACACAATGGCAGACAAAGATGAGGTTGCGTGGATCGAAGAGCAAGCGGTCGCCAGCAAGGCTCACAACGGGCATGACTCCAAGGAAGTTGATGAGCGTCTTGAAGAGCTTGTCAGGACCGAAGTATCGCGTATTGAACTCACGCCGGAGGAGAAGAAGAGAGTTATTCGAAAACTGGACTTGTGGATAGTTCCCCAAGTTACCTTTTTTTACCTTTTGGCGTACCTTGATCGCGGCAACAGTGAGTTGTCCCCCCTTGCGCATGACCTCTCTTGGTATCATCCATTTCTCTTCGAAGTTAACTAATTTGGGATCCGTCAGTTGGAAACGCTAAAATTGCGGGAATGCAAACTGACCTGAATCTGATGGGAATCAAATACAACGTTGTGGTCATGGTCTTTTTCATTCCCTATGGCCTTCTTGAAGTACCAAGCAATATCGTCTTAAAGATGGTCCGGCCGTCCTTGTGGATCTCATTCCTGATTGTTGCTTGGGGGATTGTGATGACTCTCATGAGTCAGGTTCAATCTTACGGTGGTCTCATTGCGGCCAGATTCTTTCTCGGTGTTGCCGAGGTAGGGTCTCTTGTTCCATCTATTGTTCACGCTCACAGATGGCCATAGGCAGGACTCTTTCCTGGGATATCTTATTTCTTGACCATATGGTACGAACGATACCAGGTCCAAACGCGGTTTGCCGTTTTCTACGCTGGTGCATCTCTCGCCGGCGCGTTCTCTGGCCTACTGGCCTTTGCTATACAGCATATGGATGGTGTTGCTGGGCTCGCTGGATGGAGGGTGAGTGAATTAATGCCTTTTCTCTCATGGGTGAAATAGGATACTTCGAGGAAGGGGGAAAGACTTTAAAGCGGAATCATCGACTTTTCTAGACAGATAATCGTGCTAACTTCAAGCTCCTGCAGTGGATTTTCTTATTAGAGGGGCTATTCACAGTTTTATGCGGCTTGGTTGCCGCCTTCACCATCCCTGACAGCCCCCAACGCGCTAGGTTCCTCGAAGAGGACGAGAAGAAGTTTGTAGTCGGCAACTTGCAAATGCAGACCGGCTCGGGACAGGGCCGCGTCACCAACGATGAAAAGATCGATAGGAAATATATCATTGCTGCCTTCAAGGAGTACAAGTTATGGCTCGGTTGTCTCATGTGGCTCGGCAATGGAATTCCTGTCTACGGGTGAGGCTCCTGTTCTGAAAGACTGGACCAATTTTGCCAGGGGACTCACAGGGGTCAGATTCACTTACACAGCCCCGACGGTGGTCGTGCAATTGGGATATACCACCACAAAAGCTGTCAGTATACCCCTTATACTTGTCCTTGATCACTTGGGGCTAATCTTAAAGCCCACCAGCAACTCATGGTCGTTCCTATCTACGTCTGCGCAACAATTGTGACTGTGCTTCTTGCACTTGCTTCCGACAGAGTCAAGCAGCGATCTCCATTCGTGATTGGCGGTTTCCTGGCAGGAGCGTGTGGTTTCCTCGCTCTGATCATTATCCCACATCCCAAGTATCCTGGTGTGACATATGGCTTCCTATTCCTCGCCGCAAGTGGAATTTTCTGCCCCATTATGCCCGCCTTAGGTTGGTTCGGTAAGTTTCAGTTGCACTGACGCCCCTTAGCCACAAGTAAATTACTGACGCTGTCTATTTTAGCGAACAATATGGCCCCATCATCCAAGCGTGCTGTTGGTATGGCAATACTTTTAACAGTGGGCAATCTCGTCGGTGGTCTATTTGGCTCAAACATCTACCTCGAATCCACCAAGCCTCGCTATTTCCCGGGGTATGGGATCAGTTTCGCCATCATGCTAACAGCGGCCGCTCTCGCGTTTGCGTTGCGCATCCTGTATCAGCGCGAAAATACTAGGAGAGACCGTATGGATCCAGATGAGATTCGGGAGAAATACAGTGAAGGTGAATTGTTGGATATGGGGGATAAAAGTCCGTTCTTCAGATACACCCTTTAATGAAGAGGTTTGTTAACTAGCCTCATCTATCTATATGAATATTGAGATAGGGTATTATTGCTGCCAAATTCTGGTCGGCAATCACACCTCTATACTTGTGGCTGTACGACCTGAGATTGTGGAAGCTAGCCGAGACGATTAAAAGTCGGAAATTTTTATCCATGTAACAGAGAGTCAATCATCCCGTCCTAGCGGTTGGGTAGGTACAAATTTGAGGCATTTCAATAGCTGAGGCTCCTGCACGTGTCGTTCTTAAAAATGTTTGGAATCCAGCCTGAAAAGGGGTGGAGGTTTTTTCCACAGCAAGGCCTTTAGGGTCTTGAAGGCTTTCTTTCGGTCTTTTGCAGAGCATTAATGCTATTACCTTGTGAAGAAATGACCATATATCAATGGACTAGCAATGCCTCAGAGAAAGATCGTCGTGAATAAATGCCTCTCCGCCGCCTACTAGCAAAATGTCGATGCATACCAAAGCAGAAACGATGGAAGTAGGTGTTACGGATTCGCCAGTGGGAATCCAATTCAGATACCCGAAGAGTCGGGAAATGTTGCTAATTTTTCCTCGAATGCAGGTGAGTGAAAGCTCTCAATGAGCAAATGATGGTCTTAGAATCACTTCTCTTAACCCTCGAACGAGCCCCACTGGTATCAGAGATAGCATCGCCTCGCAGACGCTGTAAGCTGAATGGGATCACAGTGCAACCTTTGCCGTTGATACTGGACCTGTAAGCCATCAGTCTTTCCCCCTTCCCGATTCAAAAGCACCGAGCAGTCAACATTTCATGGTAGACACGAATGAGCGAACTTAGCGTGAGACATATTCTGAAGCATTTGTACAGGACCTTTTTCGAACATAACCTTGATGAGACGCATATCTCTTATGATCCCCAGACTGAGAACTGTACCTCAACCTTGGAATGTGTTCTTCAATGAAGACGGCATACGCTTTTCTTTAGTGGGTGCATGTTCATTCTCCAGAAGCCAGCCCTCATCAACGTGCATTCAGTGCGGTCGGTTCAAACGACCCTTTTTAAAATCGAAGTTTTCGTTGTTCATATTGAAGATGCTTCGGCAAAAAGGGCGACCCGAACTTTCACTATCGGCATTGAGCTGACTGAATGCAAGTCATTCGTTGGCTGAAGGCCATCAATCTTGAGTTGAGCACAAGATTTGAATTAGTCTTGCGCAACTCTCGCAGGTGAGAATATGTATAGGAAGAAAGCTCAATCATACTTTAATGTGTAACCTTTATCATCGGCTCTGATCACTAGTGTATCAAATCGACCAAGTTAGCTGTCAATGCAGTGTCAAAACCCAAGGTGCAGGTTTGCGATCATAATAAAGCTAGATGAATACTGCTCTTTGCCGCTATCGTAGTATGAATTTTTACTCTCCAATATGTATGGGCGTCTATCTCTAAGAAGAGAAGCACTATGTGCGGTAACAGTTATGCTAGAAAGGAGTGATGGATAGACGGGCGGACAATCTCGACCATCGATGTCAACGTTGCCAGAACGTCTTCTAGTAATGCCCACTCGTCTACAGAGTACTTCAAATGGCCTGCCATCCATGGTCGGCGCTGATGATGGCTCCGTTCAGATAGTCGGTATCATCAGAGCAAGCAAAAGCCACCAGCTTTCCCAACCGATCAAGATTAACCTCACCCGGATTCACTTCGGCCAGTTTTTGGCAGATCGCACCGCCCTCTTCGTTGAATCCATCCTTGTAAGCAACGCGAATGTTGGTCTTCATGGCGCCTGGCATGATGATGTTGCATCGAATACCCTTACTCGAATAGGATGACGCTGTGTTGCGGGTCAAGCCCACCAGAGCATGTTTCGCGGATACGTACGCCACACCACCACACCCACCCCTGAAGCCATTGATCGAGCCGACGTTCATAATCACGCCTCGATTGCTGCCCGCGGCCGTGGTGCCCGCTGCTTCCCCGTGGCGCAAAAACTCCTGTACTGCGTATTTAGACATTCTTGCCGGGGCTGTGAGGTTGGTGGTGATTACGCAGTCCCAGAAGTCTATATCGATGTCGCCAATGGGATCGAAGCGGTCCATGATCCCGGCATTATTGACCAGAATGTCCAACTTGCCATAGTGGTCCACAGCTTCCTTTACCAAATTCGGCGCCGAGTCGTGGAGTGATATGTCGGCCACAACCATGTGGAGTGCTCCCAAAGGGGACAACTCCTTGTGGCATTCCTCCAACATGGAGGCATTGATGTCGCAAGCGACCACTTTTGCGCCAGCATGCAGAAACGCTTTGGCAATGGCTTTTCCGAAGCCGCTGGCTGCTCCGGTGATGATGGCGACTTTCGAACCCAGTGAGATGTTCATGCCAGTGGATGCCATCATAAGTGCGAGAACTGAGGGCGAAATAATGGGCTGGCAGGACCCGGAATCAGATCTACAAGATATCACGAGCGATAGTGACTGTGCGGCAGATAATTTTGACTGCACCAGATCCCTAGGGGCTCTTTACGTCACTCGTACAGTCAATGGAGTTTTCCGGGCAGTTGGATTGCCTATATTGAGTGCCTCAATCTAATCTTTATGGTGTACATACCTCAGTGTTGATAATTCGGCGCAAGCCGTTCGCTTACGCTGACCCCCGGCAAGTGCAAGATTCGCCGACCCGCAGACCCCTGGAGCGGGATGAGGATCCACACAGTTTACCCGAGGGCGAGGGCCGACCGTTCACCGCGGGCCGGGCTACAACGAGGACATCCCCAAAGACCTCACCGTTGATGGCTTGGGGTCTAAAGCGGTATATAACCTTGAGTGATCTCCTGAATATGATCTTCCAAGTTTGCAAGCTTGACCATTGGCAGAATACCATTAAGATTGCGGACGCAATGGCAAAAAACGGGTTCAACCCTGAAAAACCCAAGCATGTCTCGACCACCTTGAATTTCCGCCTTGACCCTGCTTTCGGTGGCCACACAGCTTATAAAGCAGCCACAGCGGGCTACTTTCGTCTGAAGTTTGATGTTCAAGAAGTCACGATCCATGACGGCAGAGGCCGAGAAGGGGATTTCAGTCTCAGCACACACGGATTTCAATACCACAAACACTCACCCGCAAAAGTCGACTACCAAGATGCCGACCAGATCAAACAAGTCGTGTACCCGGAGACGATTGAGCTGATGAAGAAGGTGTACGTTCGCCGGTCCCTGGCTGTCCTCCGGCCTTTGGCGAGCTAACCCATGACATTACAGCACCGGAGCAACTGAAGTTCACATCTACTCGCACCTTGTCCGGCATGACTCTCGAGAGAAGACTGACGCTCTGATCAAAGCGCAAGAGAACCTTGCCAATGATGACCCAGCACCACAAGTGGGACCAGCGCGCTTTGTTCATATCGACGTGTCCGACGTCGGCGCCGAACAGATGTTATACCAGAACCTGCCCCCTGATATTGCGAAGAAGTTATCTTCAACCCGGTGGGCGATCATCAACCTTTGGCGTCCAATCAAAACTGTTACCAAGGATCCTCTTTGCCTGTGTGACATTCGTACTTGCCGGGATGAAGATCTGATTACCATGCCCGTGTTGCTCCCGCCCAAAGGCTCCGGCAAGCTCGCAAACGTCTCTCGAGGAGACGACGTGGAGATTATGGTCATGAAACACCATCCTGAACAAGAATGGCATAACATAAGTCGAATGGAGCCGGACGAAACTTTGCTGATTAAATGTTGGGATTCTTTGCGCGACGGGCACACTGCGAGAAGGACACCGCATACGTCGTTCATCAACCCTGCTACTCAGGATGACCCCGTCAGAGAGAGTGTAGAGGTTAGGTGTCTGGTATTTTATGAAGACCAGCCCTTGTGAACGACACTGCAGAGGCTTTTTCGACCCGACTCCGGGAAAATCAGTTACCCCAACACGCCTCTGGTCCTTGTGCGTAATAGCGGCTTCTATTTCTCGTCTCCTCTTTCGACAGCGAATGCTCGAAGTTCGTGCGTTTTCAATGCAAATCCCATCATCTTCCGGTATTCTACGACCCATTTCTTGGTCGCGCCGATGCTTCCATCACACTTCACACCGTAGCTAATATGATCCTTTGCATGAGGACGGCCGTACGAGCCACAATTGCAACTTCTATGGCATAGTCTTTACTATCACCATATGCTATTGCACTTGTCCCCTGGCCATTTCCTTCATCGCTTGATCCAATTCATCCATCTTAGCAATTTCGAAGTGCGCCTTGACCGTCCCTAGGGCTGCTATATCTAGTCTCGATTGCCCACTTTGTCTGATGATCAATTTTGTGGCACCCTTCTGAAATACTAACGCCGATTGAATTAGTGTGTTCTTCACCGTCAGGAATCGTCTTGCAAATTTGGAAGATTTGCAGCGTTGTGAAGAATAGAGTCCCTGAGGAATCGAGTCATTTTTAACCGAGCCCTAGTCTCGATGCGGGAGTCGATTCGAAATTTAGTATCACACTCAACCTACCCAGTATTTAGGCAAAAGTCTAGCCTAACTTAGTTAAGTGTCTCTCGAAGAAGAGGTATTTTGCCGAGGCGGCCAAATGGCAACCACGTCGTTGCCGACCTCGCCGAGAAGTTCCCTGGTCACAAGGAAATCCGGGAATGTTGTGCTCATGTCGACATGGTCCCCGCTCATTAGAGCAAGAGTAATGGCAAATGAACTGTGAAGACGGACCAGGGGCGCATTGCACAGAGCAAATACCTAATTCTTTGCACCGGATTACTGCATCGGAGCCACATCCCGGACTTTCCAGGATTGACCTCATATAAAGGGATCATTCACCACGCGGCCTTCTGGTCAGAAGACACGAACGTCAAGGGCAAGAAAGTAGCAGTCATCGAGGCTGGAGCGACTGCGGTTTAAGTAGTCTAGGAGTTGGCCAGAGAAGCCGACCAACTGACCGTCTTCATGCGCCGACCGTGTCTTGACTTACCGATGGGCCAATGCACACTGATCCTCCTGGAGTAAAAGAGCTAGAAGATATATTTTAAACTTATTTCTCGTGAAGGGCGTAATTCTAGGGCAGAATTTCTAGGCACGGTTAAAGTATGCGGAGTGTTTGACGTCTCGAATGAAGAGCGTGAACGACATTTCAAAAATATCTAAACGTGTGGAGAGTTTAGCTTTCTACTGACTAGCTACAATAACGTCGTGGTAGATAAAGCGGCCAACCAGAAAGTGTATAGCTTTTGAGCTAAGAAGATCAGAGAGAAGATCAAGAATCTTAAGAAACAGGGCTAATGGCTCCCAAGGAGGCGCCTTATTATGTCGAGACTCAGAGAAGCCCGTTGGGGCAGGATTACTACGAGATGCTGGATCACGACAATGTTGATATTGTGAATGTCAATGAGAGGCACTGAAGACGTTAAGTGAGAAGAGAATGTTGCTGATGGATTTCGATGTGGTGGGTCTTGCCATGAGTTTACTTCGTTTTCCTCGTCGTAAGTGTCTTTCCTCCTTCCCGTGGGATTATCATTTCGCTTACCGAAGGTAGGCTCACCCAGATGGGTCTCAAGAACAAAGATGGGGTGGATATTAAGGACGTGTGGCGCGATGGGATCCGGAGGTACCTTGGAATGACGCTCAATGGCTTCTCAAATGTTTCCATGGTGTACACTCCTCATGGTATGTCTAGCCATGTCCTTCAGGTCGATTCCAAATACTTATGATTCTGTTCTTAGCACCCTCGGCACTGGCCAACGGCCCCACCATAATCGAAGCGCAAGCTGACTTCATTCTCACGGCGATCAAGAAGCTCGAGTCCGAGGGGCCACCACTATCGAACCCACCAAGGAAGCAGAAGACGGATGGGACAAGATGATCGACATAATGGCTCGAATGACATTGCTTCCCTCGACGAATTCGTGGTGGAACGCGGCCAATGTTCCGGGAAAGAGGAGTCAGATGTTGCCGCATATAGGCAGAATTAAGATGTACGAGGCTCAATGTTTGGAGAAGTTGGACAAGTGGAAGGGATTTGAGGTGGGTTATGCGAAAGGAGCAAAGGAGCAGTTAGCCAACAGCGAGACGGAGGGTGAGAAGGTGAGCGGAGGTCGTGAGGTGGATGGAGAGGTCCAAGTTATCATCAGCGCTGTATCAAGTTGAGCGAATGGCCATGGGTTCTCGTCTTTCACGGTACATAGACGGTCTTGATGTACCTGAGCAAGGATGCAGGCAGCAAAATGTTTGCTCGAGTTGCTGAAAGTCTGACTGGACCGACTATGGTGAAATGCATAGGCACCTGGAAAAATACATCAACCCCCCCCCCCCAATCCGCCATCTGGCAGGGCACGCCTACCTATTGCTTTCCTTCCATTGAAGTGGGTTTTTCATAAAGGGTCTTGATCTCAGTCTTCTCGCGACGGAGGTTATGCAAACTATTAGGTACGTTACGGAACTATTCTAGAGGAGCCGAGAAAACTCATACCCGTTCGATGGTCCTATCAATCACAATGTGATTCAGACACCGCTGAAGTACGAATTTCGGACCATTGATGGATTGGCATCAAGCCACCATGCGTCCTGCCAGCCGGACCCATGTCCGCTCTAATCCCCTTCCTGTCTGCCAATTGCTCGTAATTGAGGTCCTTATACAAGCGCTTAAGATACTTCTGGAACGCTGTGGAAATCCTGAGCACTTCCTTGATATGATTCCTGGTGATCTTGGGGATCTCGTCAGGGTGCCCTTCACATTCTGCCTCGGCCAGCGCCACAACAGTTTGAAAGGCTGCCACACCGTGAGTGGATCATCCGTCAAGTCGTCATTGCTGCTTACCGTTGCGAATTTCTCTCCCGTTCCACTCTCGATCCATTACCTCTGCTGAAATTACGAACTTTTGAGCATCTTCGGTGATCCTGATCTTCGTTTCTTCAAGCCTCTTGATATTATTCTTCCAGATCTGTTTTCTGTCATCGTTAGTCAAGTGTTTGAAGAACAATGGCACATGAATCCTGGACACGAAAGCCTCGTCTAGCACTCCCAGTCGATTGGTCGTGAGAAAAAGGATTCCGCGATAGTATTCCAATGCACGGAGGAGAACTGGGAGGGGTCAGTCGTGAACAAGCAATCCAAGCTGTCTGCTTGCCTCGTCACCGTTTACTTACCTGAAACCAGACTATTCCGTGCAATGTCATTTGTTTCTCGGGCCTCGAAGTAAATATCTGCCTCATCAATCACCACGATGGCATTCCACAGCTCACCGAGCCTGAAGAATGTTGAAAGTTTTTGATCCAGCTCAGCCGTCTCAGTGCCGAGGTCGCCACTCGTGATTGAGAGCAGGGGACGCTTGGTGAGCTCAGCGACACATTCTAAATCCGAAATCAGCAAGTGATTATAGCATTGGAGGTGGAAAGGCGAACCTGCAGCACAGGTTTTCCCGACACCTGGTGGCCCATGTAAGAGAAAAACCAGTCCTTCCCCCTTGCCCCGGATGAAGTCTGCCCTAAATGGTTTGTCTTCCTTGTTCTCTGCTTTGCGGGCATTGTTCAATGCAAGTGATTTGATTGTGCTCTTGATGTCATCATTGATCACCAAATAGTCAAAAAGGTTCTCGTCGAATTTAGGTTCTTGGATGCCATCGATATCGAGCAGAACTGTTTTCATGGTTAAATACTTTTCCCTGGGGGCTAGCAGAAAGACTCACCAAAAATCCGCTCCTTCAGAGAAAATGCACCGACCGCACGGCATAAAAGCGAGAAGAAGTGGTCTTTGTTTGGTGGTTCGCCATTGGGATCCACATCTTCGTAATCTCTATATCGAGTCGGTGTCACCATCGTGCCCAATTTTGTACAATTGCTGCATTCACAGCCACGATTGCCCATATCGGCAGTTTCGCTGTTCCGGAATGGACCTCGTTTACGGCGGCTCCGTCTCTCATCATTGATGTGCCGGTCATCGGAGTCATCATGGTCATCATCGCTCGATTCGCTATCACTGTCATGAAGATTTATGACTCTCATTCCCTCCCTGCGAAGATCTTGGCTTCCCATGAAAGGTGTTTCAAGAGAGAGTAAAAAGGACTGTTCATCAATCATTACTCTTCCCTCAATCTGAGCAGGGTTAGAATCGACCGATCGATCAATACGGACACGAATATCGAAACAAGGGGGTTTCCAGATACCTTTGGTAATCTTCTTGGTACGAGGCAATTCCCTGAGTATTCCTTCAAGCATGGCCATCGAAGATTCCAACGCCTCTCCCCCCAAACTACGGTTTGTTCCTGGAGGGTTCTTCCATCTCGTGCGCTCTTCTCTGCCTTAGTATCCTTATGATATCCCTGCGGGTAAATAGGCAGGGACATAATTTCTTTTTCTCCATCAAAAGGGCGGATGAAGTGCCTGAGATCGCGCCTGTAGAAACGCATTCCATTGTAATCGATGTACCAAGTTGAAAGATGGTAAGGTTTCTCCTTGCGATCAACAACGCCGCCTTTGATTCTGTCTAGAAGACAAGAGTTTAAGGTCTTGGATACTCGGTCCTTGACAAATAGCCTCTCGCCTGGCTTGAAAAGCATCCAGAGATACTCAAATGTGGCGACTCCTTGGTCATGTCTGTGTTTCTCCCTTCTGACCTCCGGACCCACATACTTGTCGAGCAACCCGAGAAGGAGGTCAATGTGCTCGTTGCATTCTTTCTGGTATTCTGCCGTGTGTTGTGGAGGGTGGTTGGTCTTGTATTGTTCGAGCTTGTCCCAGTGATGAACGAGAAAGATGAATGGCTCGTTAAACTCAACCACGTCGCCTAATAGATCCTGGCCTGGATAATAATCAATCACTGCCCGAAGTGCATTTATCAGTTTGGAGGAATAAATCAGGAATCGCAAAGCTCCCTTCCTGCTCACAAGCGTGTCAAGGAAATTGTACTTTTGCTCTATGCTCTCCATTGGACGGGTCCGCCCAAAGTTCCCACCCCAGTGCCATTTTGTGAGAACTTCGATTACCCCGGGAGCAGCGTTAGTTGTCATTGTGATAGGCTCATCACCTAAGATTCTTCTTGTGACGGCACCTGTCATATCAACATATTCTTTGGTGTAACGGATAGGCCCAGACCAGACATCGGAGAAGTCATCATTAGGGCCTAAGAGCGAGATTCCACCTTGCCCCTCCCTGTCTTTAGATGCTCCCTTCCTAGGACAATTAGGTGATCCGCAGTTAGGCTGGCCATTTGTTGATGTTGGTAAGGTGGGGGTCGCGTGCATGCCTCCGTGTTGCATGCTTTCATGTAGATGATTCTGGGTGAGTGGCGTTGCACAATTTGGCGATGTTATTATTGCGAGCCTAGGTACTCAGAGAATCTTTTGTGAATTCAGTTCATTCAGCACGAAAGCCCCAGCGAGTAACCACACTTTGAAGAATGCTTTGGTTAAAGCTATTAACCTTTTGATCGGGTTGGAAATGCCTTAGTCAAGCCAGCCAAGGGAATCGGCGGTCTGGGACTTTGGGTTACCTACTGAACAAGTAGGTGTGACTGCTGAATAAATACACAACAATTACCGATCAATACAGACAACGTTTTCCAGGTGGTGCCATGAGGTGTGTTGGTGGCGTTCAATCAGAGTGGTCAAGACACGTGTCGCAAGCCACATTATCGCACGCGACGACCAGCCTACATGAATTCATGCACTATCACGAAAACTCATCTGACCATTCTCTCCTGACTTCTCGAGACTGAGCATGACCTAGAACGGCTCACAGATCGAACCACATATTTTGCTGCTCAGCATGGCAAAATACAGGAGTCGAGAGCAAGCGCGGCAGATGAAGAGACAGGTTTTCATCGCCTGATTATGAAACATCCTAAATTTTCAGACACGATAACAAGAATTCTCAGTCGATCACATTAGTAGACGCAAGTCAGACCTTAGCATGGGTCCCACAGCAGAACAGTCCATGATAATCACAGGGGGGTTCCTCCGACTTGAGAATGCTGAAAGCTTGGAAGAGCAGAGGAAGATTCTTCGAGTCGTCGAAGATGCCATAATTACCACGCCGATAAGCTCAAGCCCGAGGTGTCTTTGTTTAAAATGTTATCGAGACATTGGCTTCTCCCAAAAGTAAGTATCCAGCCACAAGATTTGAAGCGCGCTCACGCGAACGATTAGACCTGGGATGCAAGCGCTAAATGATGGCAAGAGTGCATTAGAGGAGAGCATTGAATTATTCAAGAAACAGTGGGTTGAATCAAAAGAAGACCGTCGTCTGAAGTTCTTCCGTAGCAGAGACAACTTCGACAAATTAAGCAAAGAAGCAACCTTTGAGGACTTGGTTGATGAACTCTATAAAGCTACGATTGTCTGGAAAGACAAAAAGAGCTCCTTTGCTGGGAGGATTACGAACTGCTTTAACTCGGTATGCCGGCACCTTAATGGATATCGGAATCTTTTGGCGGTGTTGCCACAGAGTTCTATTTACACTTCGCTCTTTTGTGGTGTCTCTCAAATGATAATACAGGTACGTTATTTGGGGGATTTGCTGACCCAACACGAGAGATGTGTCTGATTGATGAGGATAGGCATCGGTGAACCATGAACTGATTTGCCACGGCTTTGCAAAAGCCCTCAAAGAAATCAGTGATGAAATTTCTTCTGTGGAAGAAAATGCAATTTCAGAGAAAGATTTACGTACCCGAGCACTGGCATGTGACATCTATGCTCAATTTTTCGTTTTCTACAGAGACATATTGCATTGGTTCTCGGAACGGTCTGTGGTGAGATCATTGAAGTCGTTCAACCAGGATCTCTACTTCGATCTGAGAGAGTCAGTCATTGAAGTCCAGAGGATCGCGCGGCTGATCACTCGTCATGATCTTTGGCGACATGACGAAATCCAAATCGATATGCAAATGGTCACTCATCGAGGCCTTGCGACTCTCCAAGAGCTATCAAAATTGATAGTCAAACAAAACCGTCTCTTGCTAGACGACCGTACAGGGTTTTATCAGGGGCTCGAATATCTGGCAAAGATATTAGCCATCATGTTGTCCGAGGATCGACGTACTGAGCAATTCTGGAGAAAGATTGCGCTGATCAAACAACAATCGGGCTTCGTTTCGGAATTGACGGATGATGAGATCACCACGCGAGATTCCAGCGAAGCTGAGAATAACATACGGGTGAAGCAGGCCCATCCAGTTGAGAGTGATACACAAACCGTGGAGAAAAGGAGCAAGCAGCCTTGTCCGAGCCCCAATTCGGAAAACCACACGAAGGAGTTGTATCGTCGCGGAGACTTAAAGCTGTGGTCCAGAAGGATGGAAGACTACATAATACAAGACAACTGGGTATTCATCACAACACTGGAGTACCAAAACCCGCGACTGGAGCCCTCTACGATATCAAAACTGCAAGAGTGGGTCTCTTCGCCTGTGTCAGCATTCCTTTGGATCTCCAAAGACTTCGCCATCAACTACCCGTCTCCCTTGTCTATTGTATCCGCGAACTTGGTAGAAATGGCTGTGGAAATGCACTTATCAGTCTGCGCATTCTTCTGCAGCTGGCCAGCAGATTACCCGGGAGGAAGTAAAGAGGAGAAGGAGTACGCATGTGTGCGTGACTTCTTATACTCACTTCTTCGACAAGTGATCGACCTCCTGCCTCCACAGTTCGAAGTCGAAGGTGCTTGCGACATTACCTCAGAACGCCTGCTCGCGCTTGATGACCTTGGAAGCAAAAAGGCATGGGCCACAGGTCTTGATCTCCTGAAGAGCCTTCTGCCCTGCGTCCCTCAGCCAACGTTGATTGTTCTGGATGGTATCGAGCATCTCGACCAAACGTCTGTCGCAAACCTTGCAGCTGAGGTTTTGTGCGTGCTCGGCGACGCCATCTTCAAGAAAGCATCGGATTATAACAGCTCGGAGGGGAGCTCGTCGATGTCAAAGCATCCCATGAAGGTGTTCTTTACCACAGCAGGCGACTGCGACACGTTGTCTGCTCTTCAGGAAAATATGGAGGAGAGCCGTTTTGAGAGGGTGATTGAAAGGCATGATTTGAAACGACGCCAGCGGCGTTCCTTCTGAAATGCCAATGCAGATGTGCACTCCCTCGACTAACCAGCACCGATCCAAAGTCTGAAGGCCTGGAAACATTTCAGATTTGAAGTGAAATATCATTTCTGTCCAACAGGTTCTCGGCATTTTGGCGTACTGAGGTTTGGGTTTTCTCCAGCGACTGTATCTGAAAGGGACAGAAGCATAGTACAAATTGACGGAGGGAAGGATTAATTGGGGATCCCAAGAAGCCCACAGTGACAGGATTCTACGGCACTACTTCTTGACTAGTGATTTCATCAGTCTCGGGACCATTGACGAGCAAAACCGCCGCCGGGAGATATACAAGTGGCATCGACATAGGATGAGCCGGGTACAAGATATCATTAACTCTCCATTACAAGTCCCAGCAAAGTCGTGGACCACAGTAACAGATGATGATCTCATTTCCCATCTTATGTCCCTCTGGTTCATCTGGGCGCATCCGTGGTGGCATTGGGTGGACCAAAAGCAGTTCCTTAAGGCGATGCAAGCGGGTGACACTTCCAGCCTAATATGTACTCATTACCTGGTGAGCATGATCCTGGCAGATGCTTGCGTGAGTACGACCATACAAGTGCAGAATAGAAGCATTTTTGACCGACTCGGTCCATGACTATTTGCTTGATACTCTGGCGGAAGATGGGACAGAACCGGATTTGGAGCTATGACAACAGTTCTACAACGATGTAAAGAAGGGACTCGATGCTGAAGAGGGCCACTTCGTTGTTGCATACATGGCGGCACTAGGCGTACAATGGACATAGTGAGTTGACCTCTCCTGAAAACTTTGCATCGCCTGACAAGAGTCGAGCTGCAAGCCTCAAAACAAATGGCTAATATCAGCTAAGCAACGCTGTTCTGTTCCAGCAAGTCTTCCTAATCAAGAGTTTAGACAAATGGAGAGCAAAGATCAACAATGACCAATAGATAACGGAAGAACTCGTCGAGTCTGTTGACCTGTCACTCGGTCGACTTGAGTGGACGTTATATAACCTCAACCTCTTCGTTGGTCTTGCCCTGGAGCAGGTTCGACTCTTCAATAAGCCATCCAGGGCGAAACCAGTATGTGAGAACGGTGACACTTGCTATGAGCATGGAGAGTGGGCGCCCTATCCTATTCCACGTACACCCATCGATCGACACCCCAATTGCCATTACCTGGCATATATATGCTTGACAACATGGAAGGTAGAAATGGAAATGTCTTCGAAGTTCCAACTACTGCATCTCAAAGCCTTTATAATTGTGGTCTTTGACGTCGGTAAGTGTCTTCCGATACAATGGAAGGCCTCCTGCATAGTTGAGGGGCTCTCTTGGCTTTCCGGGGATGTTGGATCCGTTGTACCATGAATCGGTGGTATGACGTAGACCCCTGGCACTCAAGTCGTTGACAGTGATTCTCCATTCCTGTTCAGCATCATTCTGGGCGTCCACCCGCCGATACCCCATCTCGCGCATGTGTACCAGTAGGTCCACGAGCCAGTCTGCTTGTAGCTCGATGCAGGCCGGACCGTTACTGAACGCCGTAGGTGCCTGCGGACCGTAGGTGAAGAAGAAATTGAGGAATCGTGCCGTTGCCATTCCGAGATATGTCCAAGTCCCTTTACCCCATTTGGACGATAATAGTTCCTCATCGAGCCCTTTAATAGAAATATCCTTCAAACCACCCGTGATAGAATCAAAGCCAGTGGCTATTGCGATGACATCAAGCTTATGGAGGGTTCCATCGCTGGTACGAATTCCTTCGGGTTCAAACCGTATAATAGGGTATGTCTTGATATCGAATACATTGACGTTGGGCTTGTTGAACTCGTCATAAAACCCCTGTTCGAGCGCGACGCGCTTGGCACCGAAGGGATGCGGTGGTTCTATCGGCGCTAGCAGGTCGGCTTTTGCCAGATCTTTAATGCGAAGACGAACCTTGTCTCGCCAGAAATTATAGGCTTCTCGGTTAGCCTTGACGTCTCTCGTCATATCAAAGTAGTTGTTCATGAGGAAGCGAAAACCTCCCTATAAGAGATTATCAATGTCAGTAGATTCGAATGGATATCAAGGTCCGGGTTGTTATACCATCGTCCACAATTCCTCGTACAAAGCCTGCCTTTGCTCTGGGGTTTGGTCGAATGTCAAGGAATCCCTATATTGGTATAAGAAACCTCCATAGTTATTCCACCTTTGATTGAACCACTCTCGGTATTTTGTCTTATCCTCTGTCTGCTGTTCCGGAGTTAAGGACTTCTGCCTCATCGGACAACATAAGTTAGGTGTCCGCTGGAAGAGTTTGAGATCGCCAGTTTCACCAATTTCCTTTGCCCACTCTTGAGCGATCTGGATGCCTGTCGAACCAGAACCTAACACGCCCACCCGAAGTCCTCTAACATTTATAGGTTCGGTGGGCCAGAAGGAGCTGTGGTGCATAATGCCCTCGAAACTGTCAAGGCCATCGTAGTCGGGGATGTAACGTTTTGCTGCAAAGCCAGTACTTGCGATCAGGCATCGTGAATAATATATCTTTCCTGTATCGCACTTGATGGTCCACGCATCTGTCGTGGTATCGAAATCGGCAGAGGTCACTTTCGTCTTGAAGACGGTGTCCTTTTTGATACCGAGTTTCTTGTCAACATGTTGAAAGTACCGCTGTAACTCCTCCCAATCCGGAAACTCGGTGGTCCAATTCCAATCCTCGTAAACTTCAGGCAACGAGTAGCAATACACAGGGTATTGCGAATCAACTCGAGCACCTGGGTAGCGGTTCCAATGCCAGACGCCGCCAAGGTCTGATCCCGCTTCCACAGCTTTCACAGTGAAGCTTTTGTCCGCAGTTGGTAGAGTAGGTACACGCCAGCAAACCCAGCACCAACGATCAAAACATCAACATGCTCGTCTTTCGACGACGAAGAGATGGACTCATGGACGCCACTCACGGAATTCGCGCCATTCATAGTTCTCCTGTCAACGTTATTGCCATCATTTGGAATATGGCCTTGTTGGGGCTCTCCAATATCTCTGCGCATGTCAGTGTAGCTGAATTTGAGAGTGCAATAGTGGCCAAAGTTAGCACGCGATGATGGAGAGGCGATGCCACTTCATAGTCAGTCTAGCAGCAGGAGCCCAGCATCTTTTGATCACGGCAGGACATTGTTGGCTCCTCTGGAGCCGAGTTGTGCGGAATCTCAAACACGAATGTGCAGGGATCTAGGCGACCCCGGCAACTGCGCGCCGCGAACAGCACCTCTCCCGAAATGTTGGCCCGGCAGGAGTCGTGTGATCTTGCGTGCGAGGGTGTATGGAACCGACTAATGTCTCCCCGGTAATGGATCTCCCAGAGCATCAGCAGACCGTTATAAAAAAAATTACTGGTTGACTGGGTCTTCGATTCGAAGGGCCTCTGACCTGAACGTGACTCGATTACAGTTCAAAGAAATCCTTTGAGCGACCTGTTGCTTGCAGGAGAACAAGGTTCCATCAAGCCTTTTGCGATGTGTATTTGATTTGCTGATATAGCCGGGCATGTATCTTTCTTTTCTTGATCAAGTACCTTGCAGATTCTATCGCGAAAATTATGCAGCAATCCCAAAGAAATGTAATGCCATTTAGCGGCGTTGTAGAGCTGGGATTGTTTGCGAATTCTTATGATATCTCAATAACTGCAATGCTGATCTTACTCTACTTAGGCCTTATCTAAAAGAGATTGTTTTTGCCATGCTTGTGCAAGGCTTTCCCATGCCCGGTAACTGCACCTCCCTAACCAACGATGGCCCGGAGAGGTGGTGGGCTGCTACATGTGGTGGCACAATCCGCTGTTCTGCAAACGTGGATATATCTTCAGTTTTGCAGAATTTCGGATCTTGCCAGTACAATAAGGCATCGCCCACCGAGAGGGATATCATGCAGTTCGAGGAACTCGCTCTCTTTACTTGACTTGATTCCTTTGAATATTATCAAGCAACTTGTGACGCTGGAGAGCCAAGTCCCAGTCCCCGTACGGTCGATTGAAAGCGTATGCCTCGTATAGCCTTCCTACGTTCCTAGCCCGTCTCGGAAGGTCAGCCCAGAAGCCATCATCCAGCTGCGAGCTCTTGACAATGAGTTCCACTGACTCGGTGGCATGATCGTATTTCTTGACCGTGACCGGAAAGACCATCTGGAGACCTGCACTCTCGCAGGTAATCTCCAATTGACCCTTCTCGCCGTAGACATGCCATATCAGCTCCGGCTGGTCCTTGAACGGCTTTCCGGCACACATGTGGAACACGAAACTAGGATCTGGCTCACCTGCTGAACAAGCCTTCAGCCGACAAGAAATCGCGATTTGGTCCGGCGTATCTTTCTCTAGATGTTCAACCCGTCCATCACTGTGCTGGACATATATATGTGGCATAAGATTGTCCACCTGCGACTGAATGTAGGTGGGTTCATCATGGGCGTAGAACATGGTGTCCAAGATAGGCAACGGTCAGATGGTCAAAATGTTGCCGCCGCTTCGCTTGTCTGCAAAGTAGGCATACTTCTCTGGCATACTGACGTTCAAATTTGTGGCAACACCACATACAGAGACGCTGAAAATGGTCCCGAGGGTGCCGGACTCGATCAGATCTTTTATTTTGCGGATGGCAAGACTCATTATACCCTGCAGACCAATCATGGTTGCGACCCCTTTGACTTTAGCGAGACTGACAAGATCAAAAGCTCGCTCGAGATTAGCTCCCAGTGACCATTCCACGAAGATATTCTTGCCCGCTTCTATCACAGGTCTTGCGAGCTGGTAATGCGTGTCCACGCGCGTGCAGACAACCACCAGGTCGACATTAGGGTCGGTAGTTAACACATCGAGCGCCGAGAAAATACGAATTGATGGCGAGAGATTATGTGCTTTAATAGCAGCCTCCGCGGTCTCTTTGGCTCGATTGTATTACCATAGATCTCGTAATATGGCGATCCTACAAGGTATGGTAGATGAGCGCGGGGAGCCCAGCTGGTCGGAGTGGCAGTGAGGCCGATAAAGCCTAGACAGATCCGAACCATGTTACTAGCCCTGTGTGAAAGACAGCAGTCGAGAGCAGCTGCAGCTACCGCACGAGGGCTATTGTAAGAGATGTACAGAAAGACATTGATCTCCAGAGAATTCAGTTCTGGGCAGTGCACTCGCTGGCCATAAAAGCTTTGACAATTTGTTTGCTCCGTGAGTTGTTCCACGGGGTGCTAGGATAGATCGAAATGGACAGGTGTCATGGAGCACTTGTGTTGGACGAAGGTCCGTGATAACTTGATTGATTGAAGAGAGAAGAGAAATCTATCTACTGGCAGAAACCTTTGTGGGTGTAGAGTTCTGCTTTGCCGTCACGCGATCGGGAGACGTACCCTAGATGGTTAGGTTGGGCCTACAATTCGGTCCTCCAGCTCAACGGTCGCCAGCCATTTCGGCACCAAGTCCTTCGAAGATGGTGTTGCTGATACGCACTGCTTCTAGGTAACGGTTAAGTTGCCGAGAGTTCCCAGCCGCGACCTAGAAACGTGGCGCGGTATGAGGCTACAATGAGTTCTAGTTGACTGGGGCGGCTTAATTGGCGCACCCTTTTAAGTCGCCGAACTTGGGGACTACCATGGTTTTCTCTGCTCTTGATATTTGGAAACGCTGAGGAGACCTCACCTCTGTATCGCGAATCACAATATCGCATTATTTCGATCATCGCGAAGCTATAGTCCACATCCAGACTCCAGACCCGTCAAGATGCCACCTCTATTCTATCAACCACAAGAGCCGGTGGATTGCCTGGTTGAAGTGGATTCCAGCGCCCTCAAGGGCAAGACCTCCGTGATCACAGGAGGTTTGTCTGACTAAACCCGGTAGCCAACCTTTTCTCATGGCGCGATGACAGGCAGTAGCGGATTGGGCTATGCTTATGCCAAAGCGTTCGTGGAAGCAGGGTGAGACGCGGTTCCAGGCGCTACAAGCTTGTTTTCACTAATTGACATCAGAGCATTTGTGGTAATAGCCGACATTCAACCACCCCCAAGTCCATTCAAGGAGTCCGAGTACGTTGGCATCTTCCAGCTTGCCCGACCCTGCACCTTGTGATATGCTGATGAATCAGGGCGGTCTTCGTAAAGTGCGACGTGACCATTTGGGCCGATCAATTGGCTGTGTTCGAGATTGCGTCTCAACTGTCGCCAAACGGTAAAATAGACGTGGTGATTGCCAATGCCGGTGTTGCCGGACCCGATGTCTTGACAGGTGTGTTCTGTCCTCCGATGAAATCTGGAACCCAGAAATCGTGGCCTAAACTCATACATTGTTCAATGTCAAGGCCTCGACGACCCCACACCACAAGAACCAATGATGAAAATGCTCGATGTCAACGTAAAGGGCGTCCTGTATACCACGAAACTAGCCGGGTGGTACTTTCGCCACCATCATGACAATCCTCTGGACGGGTGCCTCATCCTCGTCAGTAGTATCATGGGATACATTGACACACAGAGCTCTGCTGTGTATGCTGCCGCCAAGTTCAGCGTGAGAGGCTTGATGTGCTGTCTACGACGGAAAGGTGTCTTCAGAGTAAATGCAATTGCCCCCTGGTGACTACACCCCAGAACTCCTCGTTATCATTGCGTTGTAACTTATTCGGCCAGGTTCATTGCGACTCCAATGATGAGTGAGGATTTCCTGGAGATGATTCAGACAGAACTTCGGAATATGGGTCTCGACCTCGCCTCGATCCAAGACTCCGTGAATGCAGTTCTACGCATCGCGACGGACGCGTCGATGAATGGTAGGTCGAAGCCCAGGACTGGAAGCCCAACATTTCTAACTATGATCATAGGCAGGTGTCTAGCGATTGTGCCTCGCCAGTTATCGCCCTCTGGCTATATGGATCTCGGTCTAGATGACATCGATGAAAGGACTCCAGCAGGCAAAATGCAAAAGGCAGCAAGCTCAATTCCGTACAACAAGTTTCGCCATGCACTGTCGTGATCTGATGGTCTGGTAGAGAGCGAAAACCCTCGTATGGAATCTCCAACGCCTCCTCTGGGGAATGCGCTAACCCTCTTGGTAGCACGTTCTAAAGGTCCTAGAGCCATACGACTGCGGAGCATCTAAAATTCCAGTAGACAAGGGCGCTAGCAGCAGCATTTTGATAGTCTTAAAAGTATTTATCTCGAGACGTTGCTGTGTGAGGCAACGCCACAAAAGCCTGAGGGTGCATCGAGGCCGAATGCGCTTCTTGGGACATTTCATACTGCCCGCACTTAATTTCGCTTTTAATCACGAAGCATTGAGTTTGTCCAACCTCAAGCCCTGCCAATATTCCTTCAAGAAAGCCCACTTTACCAGCTCAGCCCATCCTTTGGACTTCCAATCGTTTACCTGCTTCGGAAAGAAGTCTACCACATCCATTATCGTCCTATCGTGCGCGTAAATAAAGAAGACATCTTTCTGAGCGTCTGCATGTTGCAACTTTTCTATTGTTTGCATCAGTGCTGGAATATCATACGCGATGTTGCCGGTAAAGAACGGCTCATTCGCTTGTCGACCGCGTGACCGTTGAATATCTTCGAGGATATGACCAGGACATATGGCGTTCTGAATACTAGCGGGAAGGAATTGCCGTAGATTCATGCTTTCCGGAATTGGCAGAAATCGGGACGGACGAAGCTCTCCTCCGTCATGGACAGAGTCGGCACCCATTAGTATAAACGTGTCAGGAGTGGAGGTTGTGCGAACAAGGCCACATATGTGGGCGACCGTGTGGCCAGGGGCGTCCAGGAGGTAGAAGGAACCATCGCCGAAGAAATCACAAGCATTCATCTGACCGATCTTTAACGAGCGTGACCCTTGAAAGTCAATCTCTATCAATTTTCTTCCCCTAGGCAATGCAAAATCAGCATTCTTGCCAACAGACCGATGGATCCCGCAGTACTCAACTCGTAGTCACTTTCTAGGAGGATGGAGTCCTCTCTTGCGGGATAACCAGGCATGAATTCATCATTGAAGCCAGATCCAACGACCAACGCAACATTCTTGGGGAACAGTGCTGGATTTCCGATATGATCCCAATGATAATGGCTGCATAATCGGGCGATCAGCCAACTTGTCCGCAAAGCGTGACGATCACGACGATGCATGACAGCGTTGCGCTTACCTCCAGATCACAGCCTCGAAGCTAACTAGGCTGAACCCATTTTCCTCCAAAATTTGGGTAATATTCTTCTCGACAGTGACTTCCCAGCCCATCTTGACGAGCCGATTGGAAACGATTGGGGCCAGGTTCTTCCAGTCCTTCCGAGTCCCAAGATCGAAGAGGACTTTTCGTCCTTCTGCATTCTCGATCAGGAAAGACCAGACAGGACAATCAGGGACATAGGGAACTCCCTCGATTGCAGGGCCAAGTGTGTGAACAAAATTGACTTTGCTGATCAGACTTGTCGTGTCAATTATCTTAACCGAGGCTGCTGAACCGCCTGGAATCTGAAAGTCGGGCTGCGGCGCCATTGTCAACACCCCTGCTTGTCTAGTGTTTTGACAGTCCTGGAGAGTAAGTTGGATATATGCAGGAGGAATCGAAATTCCATGAGTACAGCCCACGCAGCAGAGTGGCTATGAAATGGACCTTTGCATACGCTCTGGCTCGGTCACATCACCAGCTACTCCTTAATTCGGTCAACTGGGTTTGCCGAGGAAGCCGAGATCAACTTGGAATCACCTACAGTGTCAAGCGAAAGCCTCCGTGCTCAGGTGGAGCAAGACGTCTTTTGGCTGTAGTGACCATGATCACGCTTGGCTGTGATGTGCGCTTTGAGTATACTCGAGTTACCGTCCATTCGCCCCGGGCAGGCGGCAAATTCGGCATCTGGACTCGGCCGATCTTAGGACCTACCATGACTTTGCGAAGATATTCTACCAAAATTATTGGTCGGATTGTATTGACGTACCCACATACTGTTGTAGAATCACAAGATATTGCGCCGTCAAAGAGTGAGCAAACAAGAGATGGGGAAGAGCCGGTGAATATAGAACATTAACGGGCCGTTGTGCGGTCTTCTGCCAACGGCTGCAAGATTAGGCGGCGTTTGCTGGATGGGCTGTCGCCGCTTTGTTCTGGAAGCCCCAACTCGAGCTTTCAGGGACTACCCATTTGCCGGTGTTGCGCCTTATTCCTGATAACGCGACTTCAAAAACTCCCCCTATTGCGCACGTGTCGAGCACACATTACCCGATTCATCCCCTCGATTTCTCCGAAAGGCAACGGAAACTTGGCCGTCACCGTCTGGGACGATATTACGATAGCATGGCAAACTTTTCGCAGTACCAGGGTCCTGTTGTAGAGTGGGAAAATTTTGTCCGAAAGACAGGCTTTGTCCAACCGCCGCAGCCGAACACCATCCCCCAAGAGTTTCGGTCTTTGACGAACGCGACTCGTGTTGCAGCAGCATAGTCTAACCTTAGGACTTTAGGTCAGTGGTTCTATGAGCCGTCTGAGATTTAGGGACTTTTGCTGATGGAAGAGACTTCCGGATGGAACAGGACTTCTTGACAAGGTTGTTTGGCAAGACTACTCCATTTTGACGAGGGATTGCCAGGATATAGTGGCTCGGGTGTACAAGCCTAAATGTGAGGTTGCAAACTCACTACTTCCAGTGTATCTCTATTTTCATGGTGGAGGCCATCTTTTTGGCAATATTGAGACCGAGGATGCCAGCCGTGCGCGAATCATTGCGGCGTATCCGAGCCCGGGCGTCATCGTGGCCAATGTCAATTATCGACACACGCCCGAGTTCCAATAGCCAACTCAATTCAATGATGTGTGGGACTCTTATGAATGGCTATCAAAACATATATCTCGGTTAGGTGGCGACCCTTCTCAGATCGTGGTTGGCGGGATTTCGGCAGGTGGAGGATTGGCAGCATCGGTGGTGACGAGACGCCATGAATTTGATGATGGCGGCCCAATCGTCTCTAGGATTCACACTCAAAGGCCAGGTCCTGTGCACCCCATGGCTCCTTCACCCGTCCGCCGAGTCCATTCTCCAGTCACGCTTCATCCTCATTCAACCAGAACTAAACGGCACCTATTCTCCCCTGGCCGGCTGTCAAGCTGTTCTCAGACCTGTTGGGTGCTGCGGCCTTGACCGACCCGTATTTCAATATAGCACTTAACACCAATGAAAAGATCAAGGGAATGCCGAAAGCAAGTTATCTCATTGCCGGGCAAGACCTGTTGAGAAACGAAGGACTATACTGTAACAGAGCCCTTCAGGGTTCGGCGTGCACGTGCAACAACGCACAGAGGCCTGTCCAGCAGGTCGGGAATCGAGAACGCGTTTCTGGTTGGCACTGACAAGACAACACCACCACCACCAAAACCACCCAGAGGGGCAGCTGCTAGGGCTACGAACACCTAGCACAGCGGCAGCATCGAGGAACAGGACAGGACTGATAAAACACTCAGGAATTAGGTAGACGGCACCAAAAAGCCATAGAATTCATGATACCCTGCTCAATACTGTAATGAATGGCACTCTGCCAGCACTGTAAACTGTTCCGCACTCCCCTGCCAGCCCATTTTGGTTTGACATGTGACTAGACAACTTCTCTCCCCCTGCTACCACTCTACCAGCCCTGCACAGCACAGTACAGCACATCACAGCACAGCACAGCACAGCACAGCCACTTTGCCTTGTCACAATACTACGCGGAGAGAATGAAAGAGAATGGGTAATGTTGCATCTCAGGTCCCGAGCTCTTCGTCGCTGAAGTATATCTCGAACAGGGTCCCCACCAAGGTTCATGTCTTCCCAGGGCTGCCGCACGGCTTTCGAAGGTTTACAGAGCTGCCTTCGACGGAGAGGTGGGAAGCTTTGATTGTGCAGTCCATGCAATGGCGTCTGTCTACGGATCTCCAATCCACGCTGGAGATGGAAATCCGACAGAACTTGGCGGCTGGTGAATAGTCCATATCCGCTGCTGTTTGACGGGCTGAAATGAGGCGAACCCGCCGAGAAGTGGTGTGAACCTCATCCAGTGCCAGCGGTATTTCGACTTCTCTATGTATGGGAACTGTCGTGGTCGACATGCTTCGAAAACAAAGTGCGCAATGTTCAGAAAATACTCAGGTCCAGGGAGGGGAGAGTCAAAGCTGAGAGTCAAAGCTGAGAGTCAAAGCTGCTGCAGCTTTCTGTTTATGATGTCCACTAAGCTGCGATAGTTTGTCAAGATTAGAAACTGCCTTTATCAATGATCGCAAGGATCTCTTGCGCTGCAAGGTGTGTCTAGTACAGCAAAGCGAAGATCAAAGTCGTGAGGTTCTCATAGCGATAGGTTGCCACTTTCCGATGGTCATCTCTGGATGCGAAGAACAGAGAAAACATGGTCAAGCACCGGCTCTTGCCCACATGCCCATTCGGCCAAGGTGAATGTCAATTTTTCGAGTTTTGTGATCTATTCCTCACTTAAAAGCCAAAGCCATGACCAACCGATTCCTCGTTCTAGAACCAAGAATTCCTCAATCATAAATGCTCGAGTATCGGGATGCCGAACCACCAATATCCCACAAGCCTCTATAATTCCTTCTGCATTTTACACCATCACTTGCTCACATACCACGACAGATCATTGGATTCGTCCAGTTCGTATTCCGTGAACCCATTTCCCATGAACCTAAATCGGTTCGGAGAGTTGTACTCGATGTTCCAGTCTTCTCCTCGGATATCCGAAATCATCCGCTTATACAGTAATGCGCTCCCAGGAAATGTAGCCGTGACCCTACCATCGACACGGTTCTTCTTATACCAACTCCGACACTGGCCTGTCCATGTCAATGTCTTATGGATCTCGTCTCCATAGGTCACAAAGTCATCCACAGCACTTTGCTTCGGCTCAACCGACCGGATATCTTCATTTGCTATCTTCTTCAGCCACTTGATCATATAATCGGCCGTCCAACTTAGTCCCTCGATCAGTGAGCCGTGACCGACAACAGCATTCGGACCCGTGAAGATGAAATAATTGGGAAAGTCCGGGCAAGCGACGGAGAGGTATGACTCGGGTTCATCGGCCCATTTGGCGGCAAGACTGACCCCGTCACGGCCAATGACAGGGTATTGAGGACGGTGAGAAACATCAAATCCAGTGGCACAAACAACTATCCCCCCAGTCAGTTCGTTAGAAATAAGGAAAAAATAGAATGTATGTGTACGTACCAACGTCAACAGGATAGACTTCTCCATCTACTGTGACGATTGAGGCTTCCGTGATCTCTTTAATAGAAGCCTGTTTGAGGTGGACATTCGGCAGTAGGAAGGATTCAAGATATCCTGAGCCGGGAGTTACTCGTCGACAGCCCAATTCCCACGTTGGTATCAACTTTGCGCAAAGTTCTGGATCGTAATTTAACTTCTCCGCCATTTGTTGTGCCGCGAACTCTTGGTTATCAATATTTTCCGGAGAACCTTTGACGAACTGTTATCTGGATGTCAGCAGGTTTCAAGGGGAAGACCACGGAGAGCTCTCCTTCGACTGACCATTTTAAATGCTTTATTCACCGAATCTATCAGCTTCTTCCGGTACTGGTGAAGCGCCTCGGGGTTTTCGCGGAAGAGTTTCTTATCTTCTTCGGTGTACTCAGGATTGCTGCCCAGGTCGGACTTTCCCAGAAGTTTGCCTGGGTCCATCCTGGCCACGATCCAGCTGGGGCCCCTTTGGATGCTGAGCACATCGGTGTCCTCGAGCTGGGCAAGCTTGGGTAAAATTTGGATTCCGGAGGATCCGTTGCCAATGATTGCGATTCGTTTCTTTGAATAGTCATACGAGTGATCCCAATTAGCGGAGTGCACTTTGTGACCCCTGAATTTGCCCAAACCAGGGATATCTGGCCAGTTCCACGCATTCAGAAACCCTTGGGCCGAAATGACAATCTCTGCGTATTCATCTCTTTGTACTCCGTTACACTCCACAATTACCTTCCATTGCCCGAGATCTTGCTGCCAGAAGACGCTGATAACCTTAGTGTTGAGTTGGACGTCGCGATCAAGGTCCCACTTCTTCACTGTCTTCACCATATATTCGTGGATTTCGGCTCCGGACGAGTAGAAACGGTCCCAATCCGGATTCGGGTCAAACGGGAACGCATATATGTGAGATGGCACGTCGCACTGGACCCCTGGATAGGTGTTTACCAGCCATGTGCCGCCAACGTCGGACCTTGCTTCAAAGATTGTGTTTGTCACTATGTTCTGCATTTCTGGGTGTTCATAACGGATCTTGTGGGCGAACATGAGCCCAGAGAAGCCGGCGCCAATCGTGATCACGCGCAACTTCCGCTGGACACTATATCCAGGGATGTTTATTAGCGGGACTACGTGCCTTGTATGGCCCGTCTTCTTCGTTGTCTCCGAGTGGTCATCGAGTAAACCGTTCGCGGACGTAGCTAGTGTTGCACCATCAGTCGACTCATCACTAGATGCCGTCCCGTTTGTTTTCGAGTCGTGGATGAAGGTGGTGGGTACCGAATCAAAGGCACCAGGCCCTATCGGAGGAGGTGAAGTGATCGGCTCCTTTATGACGACGCCGTCGTTAACGGCCGCTGGCACATCGAGCAAGGCCATGATGAGAACTACCAGATTATTTTGCGTGGAAACGTCAGTTACACTCAACGAGACTTGAAAGTGCAGTCGATACTCAGAAGGCTCAATCTGGAGCCATTTAACAAGCCAGCATTGGAGCTTTGTTTTTCCGTCGTGGTACCGGAGACCGCCGTAGAGCGTTGGGCTCGTTGGGATATGCTCGGTTAGTCAAAGTCATTACCGACCGGGGCGCAAACACATCTCAGCCGAGACCAATTCGCCACTGTCCAGTTCGACTTGCCGGTTTTCGCGAGGCGAAGGTTTTCTCAGGTCATTCCACTGACTCGGTAGGATTGCATCAATGGTGCCGGAATGGTCCCTCGTAGTGACTTGTTGTTTTCGTATGACTTTCTCTCCACGAACCACTGATGAATGCAGCAAGACCAGTAAACAATGGCGTCTTTGAGTAAGATACCTACGCTGTGTTCCAATTTCATTCTGCCTCTTAGGCCTTTAGTTTGTTCTACTCTGTCAAATGTACGCCATTACACTCTGCCTTCACGGAACCGTCACCCAGTCGCCTTGTATAATGATCTTAAAGACAAGGTAGCGTTGGTTACGGGAATCGGACAGGCTCAGCAAACAGTTGATCCCAGCCAATGGGGGAACGGCGCAGCAGCAGCCAAACTGCTAGCCAATAATGGGGTCAAGGTTTTTGGCTGCGACCTCCATCTTAAAGACGCAGAAAGGACCAAGCAAAGAATCCTGGAAGACAATCAAGATGCCATAGTGGAAGTTTGGGAGGCGGATGTCACTAAGTCCCACGATGTGAGCGCAGTGGTACAAAGGGTCCTGGACAAGTTCAGCCGCATTGACATTCTCGTCAACAATGTTGGGATGTCCCGTCCGGGAGGCCCAGCAGACATGTCTGTAGATGTAAGTCGGGTTCAGAACACTGTTCGCTATTTTTACCTGGGTCTGTCTGCATGGCAGTGCGAGGCCCGACCGTCATGCCCAGGATCCATTACTGACAGGCCTCGACAGGCATTCCGAAGCCAATTGGAGGTGAACTTGACCTCGACGTTTTTATGCTGCCACGAAGTTCTACCGATTATGGAAAAACAACGAGCAGGGGCTATCACGGTGACGAGTTCAATCGCTGGTCTAGGATACATCGGGAAGATGCACATTGGATATTCGACGACGAAGGCGGCACTTTTGAATTTTGCAAAATGTACTGCTGTGCAGTATGCGCCCAAAGGCATCCGGTATGACCGACTCCCCCGTATCAGGGTGCAGAATGACCTCGCGACTAACAAAAACTAGAATAAATGCTGTCATCCCGGGGCTCATTCGAACCCCATTAGTGGAAAGATTGGCAAAAGAGTATCAGGCGGGGAACTATGAGAAGCTGGTAAAAAGGCGAGATGAAGGAGTACCTCTAGGTCGACAAGGAACTGCCATGGAAGTTGCAAATGCCACTCTATTCCTGGTGTCTGATGCTGCCAGCTATATCACAGGCACCAGCCTTACTGTGGATGGGGGCGTGACTGCTGTGGTCAGCAATAAGGGCTAGGACGCAAGGAACTGGTTGAGGAAACAAAATGACGGGATCGAGCCAGAGTATTCTAGAACGGGTAGGCCCATAGATTAAGCAACAACCATCGGCTACCAAGGGCTCGAGTCCCAGGACTATATCACATCGATCCGTCCGTGAGAATGTCTTGCTGCATCTGTGGCAGGGCATCGAGGCAGTCAATAATGATAATGGGGAATGCACGACGGCCGCAGATTGGTGGGAGCAACTCACCGGGCCTCTGGAAGTATCGGATGTAACAGCAGCTCTGAGAAGATCACCATACGCGAATGCTTACACTAACGTTCCGACGAGGGATGTTACGCACGTCTCGAAAGAGCAGCTGACCAAGACATGGATAAGATGTATTTCATTTTCAGCGTCGCCCACACTATTTGATTGTCCACTTGGCTTATAAAGGTCCGTGGTGTCAGGAGACGCTCCGGCCTCCATCCACATTGAATGCTGAGCCACTATCTCAACTTGGTAAGCAGATTTTCTCGCAGCTGCACACAAAAGGACCGAGAATTGAAAGCAGAGCCAAGGCAGCGTGACCTCGGATCTCCTCGCTATTCCCATCATGTACGGGGGCCGGAAAAATTCTTCAAACTCGGAACATTCTCATTCCGCAAGGGAAATGCAAGGCCACTCACGTTATATAGGTTGCCTCATCAGATGCGAGGAAGCATACCATGTTTGCAATATCACTTGGCTGGCATAGCCGGCCCAAGGGAAGCGTGGCTAGTCGCTTTGCCCGACCTTCTGGAGTGTCTTCGCCACCTTGGACACGAGGAAGCCTATGGACAGATCAGCACAGGATTTTGTACTTAAGAGATCTGTCTGCATTACTGACATTGCCGTTTCTCCGATAGAGGGCCTTATCACGTTGAAACGAATACGGTGTTTGGCGTATGCTGCAGCTAGTCCTCGAGTTGCCTGATTGTAATGTTAGAGGTCTGCCAAAAGCCCTTTTCACCATTGTGGCGGCGCAGACTATCGTGCGGATTGAAAGTCGCACAAAGAACGCACCGCTGTCACCGCCCCCTTGCTCCCAGCGTACCAAACAGTGGACGGTCTGGGTCTCGCTTGGCTGATGCTTCCAATATTGATGAAATGTCCCTCAATCTTGTTCTCGATCCAGAAAGGCACGATCACCTTAGTGCTGAGATACAGCGGCTTCACGTTTACCTTGAACACATTGTCAAACTCACACTCGGAGACCAAATGGGGTTCTTGGCCGAGATGGACAACACCGGCGCAGTTGACGATGACTGAAGGAGGATGACCAAAGTGCTCGTTGCTAAGACGCAGCACATTCTGCCATGTCTCTTCGGCCGCCACATCTGCTGTTAACTGAAAGAACGTGCCATTTGGGCACAACGATGCGGTCTCCTCATTGTTCGAAGCGACGATGTCGATCCCCAAGACCTTAGCTCCCTCAGCGATGAGCTTTTGAACAATCTAGCGCGGTCATTTTGTTAGAAGCACATCTTTTTGAGGCACCCATGGTAATTAATAAGGGAGAGCAGAAAAACGCCTTACCGCTCGTCCGAACCCAGCCCCGGCGCCCGTCACAGCGATGATCTTGCCTTCAAGTCTACTCATTACACACTGGATCGACAAGATCTCCCACAGTCAAAAATTGGCCGTCACATGCAGAATTTAGGATCCGGAGTTTTGTTTGGTGGTTGGACTGCCAGGCCCCGTGTAATTCGAGACACTTGCAGACTTTCCGGGAAGACGGATGGCAACGTCCGCATCAAAGCTTGCAAGAACCCCGGCAGCCTTTGAATGCCTTTGGACCGATTAACAAGCCTAACCGAATGTGGAAGGTTTTTTTCCTTAAAGAGTAATATAAAGGATGGCACGCTATGAACTAATACGCGACTCGGTGTCGCGTCACTCTGGTCCGGCTTTCCAGTGCCGAGTATGTGGGGCTTAGGTTGCCGGGAAGGTGTCCGCCCAGTCGGCTATTAGAACAAAAGTTGCCGAGTCGGCAAAACTGATAGTCACGTGATGGTACCGAACGCTGGCAAGTTCGGTTGACAAAAACAGTAGTGGGCCTGTGACCTTGGCTTCGCGACAGGGCGACGCTTTCGACCCTGAGCTGGTTCCATCTGTTGGAGCCCAGAGAACGAACCTTGCAGGGGTCGACGACGAGTCTACTTTCCCTAGTCGACCAATAAACTTAATGGAAGGGCCTGGATGTGAGATTCAATTTCGCTCATCAGCGCGGAATAGTCCATGCAAACATGAGGTTAAAATACGCTCCCTGTACACCAAAAGTCCTTCCAAAGAGGTGGCGCAGATCTACCAGAAGATCCAAGCGCGCAGAGGGCCAGGAGGGCTGTTACCACTTGACTTAGGTTTGCTTCATTCACCGAAACTTGCAGATGGTGAGTTCAGACTCAGATGCTTAGGCAAACAAAATTTGACTTGTTCCTAACTAACATGCTCTTTCGAGGGTGGAACTCTTTGCTGGGTAACATACGAAAAAATGGCTGTCTTCCCGATGACCTTCGGGAAATTGCCATCTGCCGTCCTGCAATCATCAATCGTGCCTGGTTTGAGTGGAATCATCATGCGCCGATTTTGACCGCATCCCCAGGCTTTACAAAGGAAAAATTCGACGGGGTGAAACAGGTTGAGCCGAAGGATCAAGGCGCGTTAACCAACAAACAATGGGCCGTGCTTCGCTACAGTGACGCTATGACAAGACATGTCACCGTTCCAAACCTACTTTTCCAGGATCTGCAACAGGTGGGCTTTACGGACCAGAGATTGTCGAAATTACACTGACATGTGCGGCTTATAACATGGTGAGTCGGTTTCTTGTGGCATTGGACGTTTGAGAAGCCAATGGGCATCCTCCGCCATCGCTAGAAGGGGCGGTGGATTCGTGTCGATAACATATTCGTGCCACGAGCTTTGCTTCGTTCACAGGGGTCGACATGTCAATCTGCAAATCTCATCTGGTGAAGGGGTTTTCAGTTTCAGGCAGCCTCTACATATCGAAGGAGACTGGTGTTGGATCTTGGTGGATGTACTTAAAGAGGCATCGCTCAAAGGCAGTGGCCCGCCACTCCGGTTTTACAGGGAGCATTGCAGAACAGGGGGACATCAGCCGTATTGGCACGAAGCAGCCCGTCCATGAGAAAAAAGTCGACAGCAAAGGACTTGATGAGGCTTCTGGGGCGGTACGGCCCTTATTAAAGAAAGAATACTCTTGAGTCCTGTATGTACCTATCCCTGACATGGTATGCCACCATTCTCAAAAATAAACCTCGTGTCAGAATACATGATTTAGATTGCTCCGAAAGAATTCTCCGCGAAGTAGTCAAAGTTCAAAAGTGATGGGTTTGGGTAACATGGACGAGATTGTATATTGCATTATTTACAGGTGGCATTCATCCGATCTAATCGGTATCAGAAGTCGGCCGCATCGTTCCAACTCCCTCGCTTCGCCTATGACCCGTTTTGAACGCCAATGACTTTGACATCTGCTGGATCTTTGTGGCATTGTCCTGGAACTGCACCTCGAGAGATGGCTTTGAACTCTTCGGCGTCCTCTTTCATCGAAACTCCATGTACCCATTCCTCCCTGCCGGAGTACTTGTCAAGGTACCAGGTGTAGTCACGACCACCTTTAAATTCGAAATCGACAAAGCCGTTGCCCATGAACCCCCATCTATTGTTGTTGTTCCAATATTCAATGTCATAGTCTTGAAATTGCGGGTGCTCAAGAATTTCGAAGTAAGACATTCGAGATCCAGGCCACATAACTAACGGCCCGTCTCTCGTGCCCTGTTTAAACCAGCTCGGGCACGGGTCCGCCCAGCAGGTACGAGGAAGAAAAGTACTAGCGTGCTCAACGAAGTCCCGAACGGCCTTTTCCTTCGGAGATAGTCGCCGAATATGCTGTCGGCGCATAGTCTTGATGAGTTCGAGGAAATGGTTTGTTAACATGGATAGAATGGATAAGATCGATCCTTGAGCGACAGGAGTGTAGGGGCCTGAGTAGAGGAGGTAATTCGGGAAGCCATCGACACCAATACCTAGGTAGCTACTTGGGTGCTTTGCCCATTTCTCTGCCAGTGAAGTCGTCTTATCCAGACCGGTGATAGGGAATCGGGGTCGAAATGACGTGTCGAACCCGGTGGCACAGATGATCACGTCTACCGGGTAATCTATCCCCGTCTCAGAGTCGACCACCCCGGTGGGATTAATAGCTTTGATGTTCCGTGTGAAAACTGTCGTCTTTTCATTCACCAATGCTTCAAGATAGCCTTGCCCCGGTGTCGGGCGACGACACGCGACGTTGAAGTCTGACGGGATGATTGCGTTTAACAGATGTGGCTTCGACTTGAGGATAGCAGACATTTGAGCGTAGGCGTTCTGTCAGTGGGTCAAGCAGTCAGCATGGTCGCTTCGTTTCAGCTGACGGAACCGAGAGTCAACATACCGCATTTGCTTCGTCAGACTCCCGGGTGTTACGAAGTACGAGCCTGAACCTCTGATTAAGCTCACTTTCTATTGTTTTTTTGTAGCGGTGATACATCTCCGGATCGGCTTCGAATGCTTTCTTCTGGGCGGCGGAATCTGGAAAGTGGACGGTTTAGATCGCATAAATCTAGGCTCATTTAGCTTGTACTTACACGTGAAATTCGCCCCCCTTTCCCCAGCATAAGCCCGTCCAAAGGCTGCAGTGATCCACGTCGGGCTACGGACCCAAGTGTATAGATGATCGACTTCGGAGACAATCGATCCCACGACCTGGATGCCAGAGCTGCCCGCTCCAATCACAGCAACACGCTTGCCTTTGAGATCATAGCCCTCCTTATAGTGTGCGGTGTGAAACAGGTCGCCTTGGAAAGTCTCGATGCCCGGGATTTCAGGCCACTTCCAGGCGCTGTCGCTAAGCGTCAGTATCATGCTGGCAGCATGGAGAGTCCTTGTCACTCACTTCAGAAACCCTGTGCCGTTCAATAGGATGTCACATTCTTCCTCCAAGTGTAGAACCCCCTGTTCGTCCTCCAAGGAGGTCTTCTTTGCCAACTTTACTACCCACTTACTTTTCGACTCGTCCCAGTCGGCCCCGCATACGCTCGTGTTGAGGTGGATGTATTTCATCATCCCCTCGTCGTCGACCACTTGTTTCATGTATTCCCAAATCTCCTTGCCACTCGCGTAAAAGGTGGTCCAGGAGGGGTTTGGTCGCCACGGAAAGGTGTACCCCAGGCTAGGGACGTCGCACGCGCAACCCGGGTACCGGTTTTCATACCACGTTCCTCCTACTTCAGGATTTTTATCGTAGCACAGAATCTCGACATCCAGGCCTTTCAGGGCCGTGGGAGCGTAGTGGAGGAAATCGATACCGGCAGCACCAGCCCCAATCATGATGATCTTGAACGGCCTGCCGATCGGCGGCTCATTGATCATATGATCCGACACCACGTAGCCATTGGGCGATGGTTTGTCCCATTCTGAATAATGCACCGGTCGAACATCTGACGACGGATGGGAGCCTTGTGTGTTGCTCCCGATTCGAAGATCACCAGGCAAGTCGTACTTCAGAAAAACATCGTTGGGCTGGTGTTTGGTGTCGTCGTTGGTAGCCATCTTGGAATTTGAAATACGTTTCGTCGGCTGTCCCAAAAAAGGCGAATCTCCTCTGGACTGATGATGCAAGTCAGAGAAAGCCTGTCACGATTTGAATAATCTTGAAAGACGGATTATGAAGCGACAATTTACGATGTCGCCGCGAGTCAGGTCTTTCGCCAATTTTCGGCTCTTGATAATATTTGCTGTGATGGGCCATAGCGCACCACCGATCCAAGTAGGGACAAATTCCGAGCCACCGTTGCGCGTGCTTCGCGGCCGACCACATACTTTCTAGAGTTGGGTCTCAGGGACGAGACCCTGAACAGTCGAGCGAAGCCGCTGTGGTTTAGTCGAAGAATCTTGAATCCACGGACCGGTTGAGTCGGCATCTGCCATCCACGGCCCACCGGAACCGAGGTTCCCCTCCTTCGGCATCTACCAGTACCCAGTACACGATGCTAGATGGGATGCAAACTGGTACTACCGCTTGCCGAGACACCCTAGCCATAACGTGTATCGGCTTTGAGCTTAAAGACTTTTTGCTTTGCCCACAAGCAAAATGTTGAACCCCATTGCGGCTGCTACTTAGGCCTTTGGTCTCAGGCAGACCTCAACTTGACAGGGCGCGGCGCGGTACAAGTACAGACTCGACATCCGATCGACCACTTCCAGTCTTGGATTCTACTTGCTAAGTTTTCCCATCCGTTGAAAATGCTCCCCCTCCCAAGGTCCTCGGAATCGTGCCGAAGAACGAATGGTCACTGGCTGAATCCTACCATTCCGCAATCTCGTCCCATATTTTAAGGTAAGGTAGATATGGGCCCAGCCTCGCCAGCCTTCACCCCGCCCATCTCTGTTGTGGGGGAACAAGGACGGAGCAGGAAGACTGGGGTTTCGTTTGCCGTTCCTGCCTATACCAAGTAGTCCATCAGCCATCCCTGCCCTCCTCAAGCCCTAAGTTGGCAACTGTCTGCGGGCTCCTGTAGCAAGTGTCGCCGATCATTTCGTAACCTGAGACCAGCCAGTAAAATGAGCACTTAGAGCGGCTTCTCTTCTCAAGCTAAGGTAGTTTTGCAGTGGTTCCGGTCAGGTTCTCCACTCCATAAAAGCCTGAGGAACCCCAAGGAGCCCCAAGGAGCCCCGAGGAGCTCGCCGTTTATAACCACCCCACAAGCCCGCCGCACGTTGACCCGGGTCTGGGTTCAGTGTTTGTGTCTCTCTTGCTCTCGTGCCCGCCGTCTTACGGCTACACGAACAAATCCACATCCATGTATCTTGTTAGTATTGTCGATGCCGGCCCGATTGACAGTGCTTCCTTGCCATGGATCATGCCAGCTTTGAGGTTTCGCAGCAACCGGCTGTAAAGTCAGCAACTGCGCCAGCAGGCACAGGACAGTCAGGCACTGTGCGGCGCCGCGCTCGCCATGTCTGCCTGCGCTGCAATGAGAAAAAGGTGGGTGGTGTCTGTACCCGCTGGCATCTTCTCTCTGCCGTTGATGTTCGCCGAAGACGAGCTAACTGATTGCCGAAAACTTGACCAGATCAAATGTGATCTAGACTCGAGGGTTCGGAACCAAGGACCCTGCAAGAATTGCACGCGTACTGGCAGTGATTGCATGTTCGTGTCCCTATTCCCCTACTTCCCCTTTTCCGCGCCCTTCGAGCCTTGGAACTCCCACGTGCGCTCTTAGTATTACTACCTGGCAACCATGTGACCGTTGGTGTTTAGACTCCGTCGCCATGATAACAACGCACGCCGCCGGACGCTGGTCAACAAACAGCCTCCTCGACCTGAATCGGGCTCCAATCCGCTTCCTTCGCCACGGTCGCTGGATCAAGATCTCAACCTGACCTTTGACTTCTCCGTGCTCCAGGGTGGTCAGGTGCCTACGCCTCTCTACCCACCGGGCCGCCTCTCCGGCACGAATCAATCCTACAGGCCGGTTTCCCAGTCCGCCAATCCGTGCTCTGGCACGACCTTGCAAGCAGGAGCGCGGCAGAAATCTCTTCCTGAGGATCCTATATCTCCGGCACTAGGGCCCAGCGGAGTACTATCCAGCAGAGACAGGGTCGTCAGCGCCAACGACCAATCAGACGATGAAGCTGACGATGAAAGGGACGACCAAGCAGACGACCCAGCAGACGACCCAGCAGATGACCCAGCGGAGAATACAGCAACCTACGACACGGGTCATCAACCGGACAGCTGTGGTCAAGCGAGCTATCTCGGCGAGTCCGGGTATATGCCTGTGTTCTCCCAGCTTCGGTCCACCTCCAACGCCCGCCCGATCGAGCCACTGACCATCGACATTCACTACACCATTTCTCCTCTGAATCTGACCCTCCAGGTCTCTTATGCTGATGCGTTTACAAAAAGCTGCTATTGCTTCTGCCCCATTCTGGACAAAGCCACACTGAAGGACCCTAAATTTAGTGGGTCGCTGTTGCTCCAACAGGCCCTAGCGATGGTTGGAACCATTATCCAACCCTCCCTCCTGCACATCGATGACCCGGCATCGCACTATGAAAAAGCGAGAATCCTGCTGCATCGTGGCGTCGAGCCAAATCCTCTTGCTACCCTCGTGGCTGTCATGTTCTTCTACTGGTGGACTACTTGCCCTCCGAATGTGGTTAGTATGAATGGATCTTGGTGGTGGACGGGTGTTGCCATCCGTCAAGCACAAGAACTGGGCTTTCATCGCGAACCCAGGCCTGATCAGCGCATGCGCCCCGGTGAGACTGTGGGCCTGCGTCGTCGGATCTGGTGGACGTTGTTTGTGAGTAGCCAACCAACCCTAGCCTCGAAAACCCTTCCCTGTCCACTGCTAAATACTGGCATAGGCGCGAGAAAGACTCACGTCCCTCTGTCAAGGACGGCCGCCCATCATCAATACCTAGGATTGCGACGTCCGCGCACCCTCACCAGACGACTTTCCCGATCCTTCTGATCCTCGAGCTAGCATTTTCATACAATGGGTCCGTCTCTGTTCGATCATAGGCCGAGTGGGTGATCAGCTTCGTCGCAGTCCTCAGGCCAATGGTCAGGCCCACGGCCTCCTGAATGAACTCAAAGTCTGGGTGAACAGCTTGCCGTCCAATTTGCAGCTGCCTTTTGCCTCTTACCCAACAGAGGGGTTTAATCCTGACATCTCTCAACTACATCTGCCGTATCTGTCCAGTCTGACGCTGCTGCACATGAAGAAGTCATCGCGTAGTGTGCCTACCGCACATTCTATTGCAATTTTGGCAGCCTCATGCACGGCTCGCATATTCGAGGACCTCCTCACCCGCGGCTCATTGAAATTCCTCCAGGGCATGGCAGGCTGGCACATCGCCATTGCCCTTCTTGCTCTGCTCCATGCGCGCCAGACGAAGAGCCTCGAACTGGTTGCCGTTGCTCAATTCAATATTCTGCGGGTCGCGTTGAAGGAAATGGCGCGACGTTGGCCATCAGCCGGAATGTACGACAAAGGGATCGACAAACTTCTCGCGGCACAGACCCAGCTCGAACAGTCCGACTTGTCTGCAGACACAGATCCCATCACAGCTCTCGACAGAATCCAGCCACCCCAGGTGGTTGCTAATCCTTCTGAGACCATGCAAACTCCAGCAGGGGACCGAGAAGACATGTCAGCGTATTTTCCTTTTGCCACACCAGATACGAGCCCCCTTTTTGAGATCCTCCTGTCTCATGCGGAGCTGCCGCGCTTTTTGGGCGCCGACAGCTCCGGTGATGTGGGAATGCTCCTGTTTGATTTGTTCGACGAGCCATTCGGCGTGGGAAGTTTCGGCCAGGATAATTTTCCGTCGGTTTGGGATCCTAATCCTCAAGGTCAGATATTCTGAGTGCCGATATTGGAACCACTCATCCGCATCCCGGGCCAGCTCTCCGCTCGCAATCTGCGTTGATAGGTGGCAATATACCCAGTAGTCCTCGAGATCTTCTGTCAGGCTAGGCGCGGGTTGGTCATCGAATTTTCGTATGAACGCCTTTGTGTTACTGGTCTCATCGAATCCATCCCCGAATCAATCCGTCTCGGTAATATGATATTCAGGTTGCCCTGCAAGAACTAGTGGTTTTTCCAGATGGGTGGTGTAGATCTGGAGACGGCCATCTTTATAGGTGCTGCTGAAACTCTATGCGTCGTTGTCATATTCGGGTTCCTTAGCTCCGTGGTACTGCAGTTTATGCATCGCTCGGGCACCCACTGCTTCATCAATTAGAGCTTGTCTCTTTGCCGCATCCGCCTGTCCTTGCGCACTTTGCCCTCTATAAAGGAATTAGGAGCAGCCGGACGACAAGTGTTAGCCTTTAACGGAATGGTGTAATTGTCAACGTCAGCGCGGACGCGTGGATGGATGGCCGACGGTGCCGCTCCGTGATACACATCCGGTTTGGGATCACTGAGGTCTTTATCAAAAGGTGCAGGATTACTCAATGGGAGGTTAGCCTCGAACCGATGGTTCGTTTCCTTTCCAGCAACGAAGGGGAGCACCATGGACAACACCGTAGTCTCGCCAGAATCCCTCGCATATGCTCGTTGTAAAGCATCAAAGTCTACACCTGTCAATTGTGATGTTGACAGAGATGGTCGCGCAACAGGCAGTCTGCTCTGGATATTACTCAAACTCGCCGGCCTTCCCCTACGGCCATCCGAGTGTTTGTTGGGAGGGGGGGTAGATACGCCATTGTCAATCAACTTTTGCTCGAAATTGCCGTTATATAGCGTAGTCTTCGAGGTTTTAGTGGATTCTTTTGCTTGGATGAAGCCGCAGATCGTTTTCGGCTGTGGGAACTTGTAGGCTGGCTCATCGCGCCGTCAACCGAGGGAGGTAAGCTAGCAAACTATCATACTGACCGGCTAGCCTCCATAGTCCACATCTGTATTGTAAAAGTGTACTCCTCGAAGATGTGATAGATCATGACCACGGCGTCGAACAACTCTCTTGAGCCTTACTAAGAAATATGGACTTCAGCCGTCGGAACTTGAGAGCCCGGCACAGCAATTTGGTACCGGAGTCGGGACCCGATTTGGCATCATCTAGACATGTTAGCCGCAAGGTGCAAAGCTCGACATGTAGGGAAAGGGGATATAGGCCCTTACTGCCCACCCACCAATTCCCAAATTTTCTAAGCATTGCATGTACTGTCGATAGCTATGAAGGATCTTCAGATGATCCGACGGTTGGTCTCGGCCGTACTGAAAACCTATTTATGTCAATGCTCAAGTCCTTGAGGCGTTTCTACACGCGGGAAGACATAGGGAGGGGCCGATTCTCGTGTGAGGATGGAGGGTAGAATATGGTGCCTGGGTGAATCAGCCCCCAGAACGAGTGGCTCGAGCCTAGTAGGACTGCCAGACTCAATCGCCAATCTCACCGCAATTAAGGTATAGTCGACCACGCTTCTCCGGTACCGCTGTTCCGATGGTTGATCTCGACAGGAGATTCGCAATTCCTTCAAATTGGGTATCCGGAAAATACTCGGAAGAAAGACTCAAAGTTTTTGGCCACATGAAATAATCGAGGATATTGATTGACGAGGAGGTCGTTCGTCTCCCGCGAGCTATATTTTGACAAGGAAGATGTGGACGAGCTCGAGGTGTTAATACGAGGTTCATAGATGAAGGTGATTTCTAGGAACTAAGAGTGAAGGCGGGAAGATGTCGGTAGCATATGGCATTATTATGGCGACGTCTTTCACATGATTACCGATCCGAGCTAAGGCAACCATTCGCGCCCTGCATGAAAAAATATTGGTTGAGAAGCTGATCTCGATGTGCCTGAACAATATGAGAGCAACGTCTTGGGCTAGGGGGATTACGGGCAAGACGTGTTGAAGTGAGATCATCTTCCAGGACGTGGGACAAATGCATTCTCGAGTAAGCTCGGTTCGCCAGAAATTGGCGAAGGTGACTGGAGAAATTGCTGGCTCCGTAAAATGAAAGCTTATGTGTGGTGAGTTTCGGTGTTTTGATATGTGTAATGGTACCAAGGCTGGCCGGCGAGTATATCCCAAACACCAATGACGGCAGGTCTCAAAGGGTACACAGTAACAGAAGAACTACCTCATCAAAGACATAGTCGTCGCACATGACTCAATCGGGACAAAAGAGAAGTACAAAGGAGAGAGTACACCGTGAAAGAGCTCAAGCAGACACCGTGAGGAGCCCTCAGGACTCACCTGGAGAAAGGCAAAGTCTGTGGCAGGGCAAACGAGATATACCTTTCCCATCAGGACAACCTCTCCATGGATAACGTCGACGGGAAACGTTCAGCAATGGCTTTCCTGACACAGGCCAAATGTCTATGTAAACAGGAAAGAACTCGATGAAAGGATCTAGGGACGGACATCTCGGTAAATAGACGAATGCTGTCCATTTACGTCATCAACTCGATAGTTGTCAGTCTCATAAGAGACATAGCCCATGGGGTACCCAGTATTCGGGGGCTGTTTTAACCAAGACCCACTTTTCGCAGGCCGGGCCCCACACTTTAACCTGCTCAGAGCAGATTTTTGACCCACTCGAAAAGCCATCGTTCCTTCTAATCGAGAGGAACCAGAGCAGGATTGGAGTTGTTATGGTCAGTGGCATGGTTTCGCTTGTTTCCTGGTTTCTTTGCAGCCCAAATGGCACAGCGCAATGTATTCAGCAAAGAGTCGTGCTTTTGTCTCTTCAAGCTCGCTGACGTGTCACGGCCAGACCTCACCACAACGGTGCGTCCCACAACTCTGCCGTGGCCTTTTGTAGGGACTCTAATCATCGGTAACGTCTCAGCTTCCCAGCCAGAGCAATAGTCCCCCCCGCAGACCCTGACGACATTTCCCTACATGAGCGTCGGTATCAGCGAAGTTGGCTAGGAGCGACATTGGCTAGCCGGCCTAATCTCCTCGGGTTTCCCGAACAGGCACGGCTGGCAGTCGGTTCTTGGGGATGTTCACGATGCTCGTATCGACGATTACCCTTCCCTTGCTATAGGCTTTTGCTAAAGAAATACCTCGAAGCCAGGAAGCTGGGTCTCACCCCGGAAAGCAACAGTAATCGTATCCCCTTCGCAGTCCTTTCTCTACTACCGCTGCCGTCGGTATATTGGAGTGATTCTTTGTCCCCATAACTTTCGTCTCAGTCGATCCCGGCACTGAGCAGGTCGACGTTCGTGTTAGGTCAAGCTAGACACAGCTTCGACGTAGCTTTCGACACACTCCTAACTATCAGAATAATTATATTAGGACTAGAAATCAGTGCCGACGATCATCTATCGTTGGTGGGAATCAAGGCGAGAGACTAGCAGAGTTCTCTGGCTAATCGCACCCAAAAAGTAGATTATAGAGAGTACCCACGCAGCTCCCTATCGAAATATTGAGCTATCGATCTTAATGTTTTCATTATTCCAGGTAGGAGATGGGTAAGATTTCCCGTTCAGAGCCTACTTTTCCTCTGTCTGTTCTGCATCTGAAATTCATTCATCATCCTCCTGCCCTCTGCCTCGAAACCTTCCGCCTCGAAAGGTGTACCGAATTCCCATACTCCTGCCTCGATTGCTTCTCGCAGTGGAACCTGTTCCCACATCGCAAAAAGCTTTTTCTGGATGCGCAGGGCACGGGGTCCGTTCTTTAGCAGCCTGTCTACCCATTCTTCCACGGCTTCGTCCAGCTGATCAGCTTGGACGACCTTGTCGACCAGGCCCCAAGATTCCGCCTCCTGGGCTGAGATCGTGTCGCCCAGGAGCAGAAGCCTCCGAGCCCTCGCGGCGCCAATCTGCGCAGGTAGCATCGCCGCTTCAATTGTGCTGGGCACACCTCGTTGCACTTCAGGCATCCCAAAACGAGCGTCCGACGTAGCGATGCGCAAGTCCGCCGAGGCCATCACGACCAGGCCTCCCCCAAGAGCATGCCCATTGACACGAGCAATAACCGGGACGGGCAGGTTCCGCAGCGCTTTGCAAGCCAAATGGAGCTTGTTAATAAACGTCCGGCCAGCTTCGGCGTTGGAAAAGTCCTTCATCTCCGAGATGTCGGCGCCTCCAATAAATGCCTGCTGACCAACCGAACAAAGTCCTCCGGTCACAATTACGCAACGCAGATCCGATCTTTGAGCGAGTGGAGGGACACAAGAGAGAAAGGCATCGAGGACAGTTGTGTTTAAGCTGTTTAGCTTCCTCGGGTTCGAGACGGTCACCGTTGCGACAGTGCCGTTTGGGCGTTGAGAAAACGAGATTGTCGTGAGAGGGATGTCGCCGTGAGCTGAGCCTGCCATCATCTCCTCCGGAATGTGGTGCCCACGATATTCAGAACTGGGGACGAGATGCGGGCGAGATGAGGACGAGAAATAGGCAATCAAATATATTTAAATGACTTCTTGGCTTCAGAAGACGTACCTGTCGATTCACATTGAGACCATGGAAGTGGCCAGTTAGTTAGTTAGAGGCCCGGATATAAATCGGAGAGCTCTGGCACATGCAAAAGAGTGCAAACTACGGCCTCGGCACTCGCCGTCACTTTACTTGTTACAAGTTGGAGAACCAGTGGAATACTCCTCCGTATATCCTCCGTCCTCTCCGCCTTGAAGGCTTAGCTCTTGTCCTGCAGCGGAGGCGCACCATGTCCTATTGCATTGAAGAGGGCTGTATCCCGGACGTCAAGTCAGCAAGAGCTGCTGCTTCAATTTGGTATTTTGGCCTGTTTCTATCTGCTTCAAAAGCGGCTGTTCACAACATTGTGCCGACTGCCTCCACCAACGCCTGCATCCAAGCCAGCAATTCCGACGCAATGCTATCAAAGCTCACCACTTTGACTTCATCCCATTCACACCTCTGCTGCAATCCTCCTCATTTTTCGTGGCTCATCTTGGAGACTTTCCACGATCGTAGATGCGCCTCCTCCCGTTTTGAGACTTGGAGAGACGCGACCTCTCATCAAAGTCCAATGTTTCAGAAATCCCTTAAGATCGTCCATCTACTCTGGTTAGCATGGGGAGAAACGCCCTCATCAGAAGGGCGCGGCCTTGAAGCGGTAAAACCAGGAAATGCGCAAGTCAGAAAGCAGCGTTCAATAGGCTGACCTGGGACCAGCGGCGTATGTGCTTTTGGCAATCATGCCGACCAAAGCGTCATCTGGCAGCTTGGAGCAACACTTCGTCCCTTTTTTGAGGGTGAGGCAAGCTGTCAATCATCTGTTTCGCAACTTTGGGATCCGGGTGACCGGTTCTGTCATGGAAATCACGGTTTCTGTTCGTGTGCATCTGATTGGACCCAACAACATAGAGCATGATTGATCACCCAGCCAGAGCCAAGCCAGCCATGGCCCTGACACCAGCCTCTGTCTTGTGACCTCCGATGAAGCCACTCGCATGAACAAAGACTGCGCCATTCTCAACAGCATCGCCCAATAGAGCATCTAGCTCTTCATCCCTCACGCCACGCCACGGCTCTGGTAAGCTTTTTCGATTTTCAAAGCTTGAAAAGTCTTTGCTGACCGCCTGGATTCTCCATTTGGACCCAGGCTCCTCCTTTTCGGGATAGATCACGTAGAGAATCTTCTTCTGCGCAGGCAGTTTGTTTTCATCCTCAATATTGTAAAGGTGCTCTTTCCAAGGAACACCAGCGCGTGGCAGGACCAAAAGTTGACCGGAGGCATGTTCTTTGGTGCGGGACTCAAACGCTTCTTTGACAATGGCGCGTGCAGGAAGCCAGGCAGTAGCCGCGCCGTGGAGTTTGCGCAAGAAAACGGTACCCATAAGAGTCGATGCCTGTGTAAATCTATAGTCCTCCTCAGCTTGGGGCTGATCTTCAGTGGACCGTGAGGGCGCACCCAAGGTCAAGGGGTCTTCGTGGTTCAAGTCATTGACCAAACTCGCGAGTGTTAATCCACTGTCCTTGAACCTCTGCTCAATGCCTGCCTGTTCCAGTAGCGAGCCATCATATTTAGATACTCCGTTGTCGTTCGCATCAACCGCCTCAATGAAGTCATCGTACAGTTTGCGGTAGAGCAACTCGACGTCCGGGTGATCGATCGGGAGCTTGGTGTGTTGGGCAATGATGGCCTTGCCAAAATGCATGTACACCAGGCCAGCAGAGGACAGTTTGATCTTGTGGTCGGGAAATGCGGTGCTGAATGAACGTTGATGATGGTCATAGCGGTTCTTGGAGGCGTCATACTCGCCGCCGACATCAACAACAGTGTGGCAGGTCTCTAGGAGGGCGGGATCTCGAGTGCGTACGAGAGCGGCAGAGGCATACTCGGGAAGGAGACGAAGCATATAGACCGCCAGGGCTTCGTCGGCATGGAAGTGGCCATTGTGGGTGCCGATGATGAGGGGGTCGGGCTTGATCCGCTTTGTAGCAGTTTCGGCAGCCATTATAATGAGCCTCCGCAGCATACAAGGTTCGGAGTGGGGAGAGGAAGAGGTCAGTGTCGGTCTCAGTGTTCGTGGATGGGCTGTTGAAGGCATGAACAGCATTTGATCTCAGTCCAAAAAATCTGGGGAACATTGTCCCGGATTATTGTTCCACCGAGGTCCGAGTGGAATTATCCGAACAATCATGCGATGGGCGCAGGTGGCGCCGGCCTGCGCTGCTGGCTGGCTTCCCTCCAAGACGCAATCTGTCCTCATCTTTTCCATTTACTTTGCTGCCACAGTCACACCGCGCATCGACGGACCGCTCCAGCTGTTCTCTCATACAAGTACTCGTACATACTCCTACGACAAGCAGCCCGTATGAAGAGGTGGAAGGTCTGAGGCGGGGATCAACCGAGCCCGAACCTAACTGCGTTGGGCGTTACCGCCACAGCCAGAGCCCGGAATCCAGATCACAGTGGGGTTGAATTAGTTAATAGAAGATACCCAAGTGCGAGAATAACGACCAATCTGGATCTTGCGGTGAGAGGAATTGCTCAAAAGGAGGGCCGAGTTGTAGAAATAATTTCACCAGACTGCAGAGCCTTTTTGCCTTTTCAAGATACAACCAGCAAAATACCTGGTATCAAAGAGGCCTATTTCCAACCCCGGTGCCCGTCGTCGCTTGCCCTGGCACCTGACGTGGACTCGCTCAACTCTCTCTTCGCATCTTTCTTGGTTGCGCTGCGTTGCCTTGCGCTGCGCTTTGATTCCTTGGAAATCGAGCCCGCGTAGTGCACGCGACATCCTCTTTCCACCTCAACTCCTCTCCCTCATCTTCTCTTCTCTCCTCTTCACATCAAACCTCTCGAACCGCCACTGGTCCCTGGTCATCACCACAGCCAGAGCAAAATCTCCTCTCTATTGCTATCCGGAATGACATGTGAAAATCCAGACCTCGACACGACCACGGATCCCTCAAACCCCATCTAACGGAACGAGCAGCGCCGCAAGGCATCAAAGCAGACCGACCGATCAACAGTCCATAGACGCGGTCTACGCCAGTGGAAGTGACGGCGTCGTAACTGCGCTTCGACTCCTCCTTCTCATCGCCGAACCCCTCCTCCCACTGCTCTCCCCCCCCCAAGCCGACCAAATGTTCTTCCGCGCCCTTTCCGCCCTCCTCTTCCTCACGCTCATTATCGTATTAATTCCTCTCACGTTTGACGTCGGCGGACGCGATGCTGGCCTTGCCTTCTCCCTCTCCATCGCATCCTTCTACTTCTTCCTGTCGCTGCTACGAATCTCGACGCGGGATGAGCCAGGTTTTAGGAGGACCATAGTCGACATCCTGCGGGGACTCCAGTTGCTCGTCTTGCCGATCCTGTGCATCTGGGCTCTCGGAAGATTCTCAGTCGATGCAGACAATAGCTCGGGCTGGGTGGAAAGAACATTCCGCACAAGCAAGGATTTTCTCAAACCCAGCTCGTCGCTTTGGCTGTCCATTTTTGGAAGAGAAGGTCTGCTGGAGAATGTGACACTCGGTGGATGGGATGTCATGTTGCGATGGTCGTCGCCAATTTTTCAGCTTCTCGAGGGTTTCTGCAGTCTCCTAGTCATTCAAGCCATCGGGCAATTCTCTCGATGGTTGGTCAACAGGAGTGAATGGAGCGATGCCTGGCTTCTTGCCCTGCTTGCTGCTTCGGCCGGAGTCGTGTCAAGCTCGGTCTATTTCCTCTGGCGAGTCCTGCAGTTTCCAGACATCTCAAACCTCGACTCCACTCTCATTGGCATTGCCATTGCGTCGGCTATATTTCTCTGCGGCTATGGAGTGGTTTCTGGTCGTGGCACGGCAACTGAATCGTCTCTGCTCTTCGCCTACATCGTCCTGTGCATATATCAAATCTTCACAGACTACAAGCCCAACATTCCACACGCAGAAGCTGGCATGGCAAGCTCGGCCCCCGATTTTCCACCCTTCCCACCGATCATCATGTCTTCTTACACAGCTCTTATGGATGCACTGTCATCCCTTCCACGGGCCCTAGTTAACGCGCTTGACTTCATTGCAGCAGCTTTCAAAGCGGTCACACCATCGGTGCTCATCTCTCTGGGTTACCGACTGTTTGTCTTCTACTCTTCCACGCGCATCATTCCAGCGATCAACGAAAGTGGTGCCAGCGGGCTGAGTATCGAGCCGTCTCTGGAAGATTCCAATGCAGCGAACCAATTTTTGGCTTTTCTCTCGTGGTTCTCACCCAGTATTCTCATCGCCGTTTACACAAGCCTCCTCATGCAGCACTTCGCCACAACTATGGGTGGTTATGCCCCGGGTCTGACGGAAACCATTGGTGCTTGGTGGAGCGGCAACGGTCAACCAGTGATGAATGGCAATCTATGGAAATGGGTCAATTTGGTTGGGACCATGTCCCTCTATGCTATCGAGTTGTGGTTAGGCAAAGAAGACGATATGAATGGTGAACATTGGAAGGTTGATTGAATAAGGCAGGGTGGGAAAGAGTTCGATCGACTTTGCAAAATCGTCACGAGGAACAATATACGAAAATCATGCGAAGTGCCGAGCACGCTGTGACAGCCTGGGTTAAAGGCGAAAATGGGGCCCGGATAGATCGGCCAGATATTCAGGAGCCAATGCTCAATCCGTGACAATCGACTACCCAGCTCACTTCCAAAACCCAACTGGACAACTCTATGGATCGCCACAAATCGCTGACGCGTTGGCCACGGCATCGGGTACACTCTGAAAGAAGGACGAGATGTGGGAGGGTGAAAAGTCTGTCTGCAAAATGATGGGGAATAACACGGCCCCGGGGGAAAACCAACGCAGAGAGCATCCCACGAGGAGGAGCCCATGCAGTCGCTGATCAAATGATGGCCTTCTGAATTTTCACTCCGGGAGGATTTTGGCCGCCCGAGCAGTTCAAGATCCTCTCGAGGAAGGAGGGTACCCCGGGATGAAACAAGAGATGGAGAACGAACACGGCGCAACGGGAACTCGATCAAAGGAGATCCGACTTGAAGGAATAGGGAATATCTATCGTCCTTGGCTAAATGGAATGCTGTCCTTGATGTTGGATTGGCAGGCAGAAGCAGAACCCGGCAATTGGATGGGTTGTTGGACGATCGAGAATAGTAGCTAACAGCGATTCATACCTCTGCAAACATAATCTAGCAATACGAAACTATATCAATAAAGCCATGAGATCAACCTCACTCAATCGGCGGGCAAGCCCAGAGATGAGAGCAGTAATTTGCAGCCTACACAATGTACCTCTTCATGGTGATGGGGGCGATGGTGACTAAGAGCCATGACGTACTTCGATACTCGCATTTAGAGGTGGTCGGTTACCTAGTACCTATAATACCACAGTCCATCGAGGCACACAAGAACACAAGTACAGTTTATCCCGAGCGAGGAATAGTCGGAAGGGGAAAGAATGAATCGTAAATTTGATAGAAACAGAAAATGCTCTTGAGAAAAAGGAAGAGTACACAAGTCAAGTCATTGTGCCAGGGACTAGCATCCTCCCATCCTTACAGATAGTTACTCAGTTCTTATCCTTGCGTTGTCCTGTCTTATTTTGTTTTTGGCTTTTTGGCTTCTCTTTTTCCTTTTTTTTTTTTGGCAAAAATATTATTCCCCTGTGGCGCAATTTTCTTTCATCCATCCTCCCAGTTCCATGCCGATAACAAGGACGATGATCCCGTACATAGACTTGACCGTCGGGGCTTGTAATCGTAGGTAAAGCTAGCACGAACACAAAGTAGAAAAAGACCCGGGGTTCCGTAAGGACTGTTGGGGACTTATGTCGGCGTTGCGCTTCGCCTCCTTGGCTGCCATGTCAAATTGGGGGCAGTGTTCTCATACTCAGTGTGTCAAGGGATGATCGAAGCCGTACTCTGACCCTGGTCGATCCATCGATCGGCGGAGTGAGTGACGCCGATGTCTTCTGGTCCTTCTATGCAGCGCAGTGTCGTGGATGTCGTTATCGTCCCTCACTATCACAAATTTTTCTCGCCGTATCGCGCTCATCGTTCAACACCGAGTCTCCGCAGCGAGCTTTTTGTGCTCAACCACTTTCGCGACAAGATTTTGTTCCAAAACATGATGTGCATGCACACTAGCACATCATCTCCGAATCGGAATCCCTGCTTTCTGCACTGGCGGACTGATACTTCCCTCCATGATATTTCCCTTTCGTTGTTGCTGATTTCCGTCATTTTCATCCATACTCGCACTTCTCGCCAAAAAGCTGCTCTCCTTGACTGGGCTCCTGCTTGTCGCACCAGGCAAACCGCCGCCGGGGATCCCATTGATAAGGCCCCTATGGATACCGCCTGGCCCTCCGCCGCCAACCGGGGACAGTTGCGCAGCATGGCCCAAACCGTCCGGAGAAGTAGCAAGGCCGCCAGGTGTCCCTGAGGCAATAGAGTCAGAGCGTGAAAGGGTATGGGTGAGCGGAGACATGTGCGGGATCTCCTCGGCCTTGGGATGTTCGGTACCGATTGTGGTAACGCCCGTATCGGAGGCCTTGCCCGCTTTAGAGAGCGCGTAGTCACCAGAGTCGAAGTACTTGCGTTCCTACAGACAGGTTTCGATCAGAATGTTGTTCCTAATCGGGGGCAGGAAACCCCAGCCAGAGAACGGGTTACCTTCAACTTGTTCTGTAGGAGATCTTTCTTGTTGGGAAGTTTGCCATAGAGTCTGAACAGACGTTGCTCGTCTGCCGACAGTTTCTAATAGAAGCGTATTGTCAGTCTCATTGACCCCCACGATCTGGAACGAGTGTGGTGTGCCCTACGCTGATGTCAATCTTATTTTTCTGATGTGGATTCATGATGGGAGTCCCTTCGTGTATGTGTTGCTCCTCTAATTCTGGACTGCGGAGGATGTTGACAGTTGTTATGGGTATCTGGTGGGAAGGGAGCGACCCCTGCCAATCCAAGTGCCAGCAAGAGGGTGCGATCACTCAAACTCCTTCTTTGTTCTCGCCGAAAAAGGATTTGGGGAAGGTACAAGGTGGGAAGAGGTATTCGAGGAGAGGAGACAGGAGGTTGCAGAGACAGATATTGTCGGTGGTAGCAGTCAGAGGGATGATGCGGGAGGGGTCCTCCGTCTATCGACGGGGTCCGAGCGTCCTTGTCGTCGTTTCAGCGGAGAGGGATGGCAAGCAATGCGATGGACAGGGTGACGGCTTATGCTTCCGTAGCCTCGCACGAGCAAAAAAGTTGTTAGGGGAAGGCGTGTGGAAAGTGTCACAGGTTTGCCAATAGAGGAGGACTGCAGTTGGGTTTGGGTTGGTGAGCAGGAAAAGAAGTCGCTAGTAGTTTGTATGGGTGGGTGAAGGTGGGGTTCTGTGGACAAGTTGCCGTGGACTGAGTTTCCAGATAGAGAGGAGCGACTTGTCTGGGGAAATGCGGAAAGAGTGCACCGGCTCGGTCGACGAGTTGGAGTTCTGGAGCTGACACTTGGGATCGAGTTGCGCCAGGGTGCGCAGTGAGAGGGTGCGTGCTTGGTGTGTGTCAAGGGTGCGCACTACAACAGTCGAGACAAAGTGTAGCGGATGATGATGAAAGGCCGCTGCCAATCATGTCGCCTTGGCAGCTTCGGTTAGTCTTTGGCTGCAGCAGTGCCAAGACCGCGTAAACCTTCCCCGAGATAACCCCACCAGCCCCGAGCCCTGTCACGTGCCCCATGCCAGCACGAGGCCATCAATCATGTTTTTTTTTCTTTTTCTGTTGGTAGAGTCAATTTCCAAGTGGCTTCGACTTCGCCTATCGACGTCCTTGTCTTAGTAGGCGTGACACGGAAGTCATGTCCCACAACAACTACACCTTCGTCGTCGAGCATCTCGACCCTGAACTTGGCCCTTGGTCCGCCCTGGAGTATAAGACCATCGCACAAGAATCACGACAAGCTGGCTGCCACTTCATCCTATCTTCTCTTCCTCAATCCCTCCTCGACTCACGGGATCTGAGGGATCTAGTAACGCTGGGCGCAGAGGCTAGGTCTGAAAGCATTGAGACGTATTTCTCGAGTAAGAAGGACAAGATTTGTCTGCTCGATCCAGCCGCCAAGCAGGAAATGCATCCTGCCGATGCCGCGGAATTTGATGTCTTCGTATTTGGTGGCATTTTAGGTATGTAGCAATCACATCATGCATGGGCAATGTCCCTAACAATCGCTTATAGGAGATGACCCTCCCCGAGGTAGCTCGCCACTTGTTGTCGTTTCTGTTGAAGGTTATCTAATGGTCCTAGATCGCACCAGCGAGTTGCGAAAGAAGGGCTTTTCCGGCCGCCGCCTTGGTCCTGTACAGATGACTACAGACACAGCCGTCAGAGTTACGCGGATGGTTATCCTTGACCAAAGTAGGGAGGTTGACAAAATGCGCGCCAGATCTCTGTGTTGATACTCTATGACAGTTTCCCTCGATAAGATCCCTTATGTCGACTTTCCGGAGCTGAAGGTGGATGAGCATGAATTCACAGAGATGCCTTTCCGATATGTCAAAGATAATTATGGCAAGCCGGTCATGCCTGAGGTTTGCATTGACCGCATGTCATGAGATTTGTATCTAACTTGTGCAGGGGATGGTCGAACTCATCAAAGCAGACGCTGACAAAGCCTTCGATGATCTGGAGTTCGTGGACGAAGTCGACGGCATTGATCAGCTGGAAGTTGGCAAGCATTGAGATCGTGAGCTTGCACTGCACATCGATGTGCTTAAAAATACTTCGGCCCGGGCTCTTGATCGGAGATACCCGATGATCTTCGAGAGTGCTCCGTTCGATGAAGCGAGATTCGGCCCGACACAGGTTCAGACTTTAGTCATTTCAAGTTAAGTACCGTCTGGATGAGTGGCGTTGACAAAATACCCATGCCACGCGAACCTCAGACCAGCTAATATTCTGGCGACAATCCACAAATACCACAAAGCGCAATTCCAGCTGTTGCGCACCCTTCGACATTAACTTGTCGGCGCATAATCTTGCACCAAATAGTACTAGAAGAAAAGACGCTGAAATCGAGATGTTCTTCTTTTGAAGGGCAAAGGCCGGGCTAGATAGCACATCGGCCTGTCGCGAGATTTGACTTCATTCCGCAATTGGCCAGGGGCTTCATACCCAAACTCAGACGTCGGGCCATGGATCGACATCAGTGCGGATTTCTGATCGTTATTTTTTCAGTCAAGACACTGGGCGCCCAATGTCGTAAGTAAGGACTCTCACTTTGTTCTAAGCGGGCCGTGGTTGCCACGATCGAGTCGCGAGGCCGACTTCATGACTTTCATCGCCCTGAAAGATTTTCTCAACAGTCGAATTCGAATATCTTGCTCAGGGCTGGATCCTGCAGCGATGAGATGTGGACGTAGCGTTTTTCGAAGAGCAGAGCCACATCTTGATACTGTCTATAGCCAAAGCTCCGGGCCAGAATTCCGAATCGAACGGAAAACCATCGAACGTCTACTTGGTCAGCAGTATACAGCATCCAAAATGTAGGCTTGTTTCGAAGGACATGGGTCAGGGACACCTGCTCCACATAAGCTCCTATGCCGCAGACCCACAAGAGGTCCAATGCCCCCGGATGGGACTGATCAATCTTGTCAAGGTCAAATTCAAGCTTGCGCACGCATCTCAGTAGCATAACGTGCCACACTTGTATCGTGGAGAGCCAAGATTGCCGCAGGAGTGATGCTTCTAGACCGAAAGCAATGAATAGCTGCAGAGCCAGACAAAGACACATTTTGATCGAGGCATGGTGAACCGTCGTAGGAGTCGCACTGCCCGGGCAAGGTTCGACAGCTTTCGTGGGTTCTGTTAGATCACACCAATAGTTCAAGATTCGAGCTCTGACTGCTTGTCGCCGAAGCTGGGACCAGCGGAATAGCCTATTGATTTGTGCTAGGCGGTCGTCAGCCATCCGCTTCTTGAGATTCTCCACCTCCACCAGTTCACGTAAGGTCATGAAGATACAGGAGAAGTCGTCCGGTTTTGGCGATGAAAGACCAGGGGCCAAGTGGCTGGAGTCTTCTTGATTAGTCACTAGATCTCTCGGCTGGTCACAATGATCTCTATCCCACCACCACCCAGGATCCCAGCTTGAAGGGTCGAGAACGGTACGTGTACGTGTAGTCGCAGCCGCCCTGACAACAAGATAGATGATGATTTCTTTTCTTATCCAGTGAAGCCTGTCAACCCCTCCCATGGACTGGATGAGCTGCTTCAATCCGTGCAGGTGCAAAAAGAGTGCATCAAGGCGCGATCTGAACACGGATGCACAGCAAAATAATAGGACGACCCGCACAGCAACATCAAGCTCCTCACTTTTGTTGGATTCCGATACGACAAGTGGCTGCAATCCACGGATGCCCCGGACTTCATGGTCAAGTGCGTAGCGGTAATATAGGTCCTTCTTATGAGGATGCAGACGACCCATGACTGACCAGCAGTACGCAAAAAGAGCATGCATCACGGCTTCGTGGTTCAAGTACGTCTTGTAAACTCTCTTCTGTGCAGGTATTAAGACTCTGACCGCATTTGGTGTCCCAACTTCATCTGCCCAAATTGTCCTCAAAGATATTGGTTGGATTGTTGATATTACACTATACCTCAGTGCGGATAGAGGAATAGGTGTCGAAGAAAATGGGTCGCTGCTTCCTCCCTGGAGAAGCATTGACAGTGACCTGCCCTTGCCGACGGACAAAACCCCGATGGCTCTCGTCGAGCGTGCACGTTGTTGTGGCTGAAGGGGCCTCTTGATGGCTTTGCGATGGAAGAGTCTGCGCCTCTTTCCCTCAAGAACATGGTGCTTGTCTGTATCCTCTATCTGGCTGGTTTCTGACGGTACTTTTCCCTGTGATTCAAAAGGGTTCTGCATCGGCAATCTAAGTTTTGTGGACATGCAAGGCTGGATTGCACTTACCCGCCCATCAGAGGATCGTTCAGGCAGAAGCTGTGGACCATATTTTTGCAGCTCAAACAGTGACGAAGCTTGCTCCACCCGCTTTTTTGCTGAATAATGTTGAGCTCGGACAGCAATGATACTCTTCTGCTCGTAGTCGGAAGTCGATTTGAAGTTGCTGGGTGTTTTAGCATTGAGCCAAAGAACGTCCGGAACAATGACCGAGGGCTTGTTCGACTGCATCATCCGGTTTCTCGAGGAATTCCTCCCGCCTGAGTGGTTGAGCGCGGACACGGCTGAGACCCTTCAAGTGCGCATTGAAGACTCAACACCCGACGAAGAAGGTGTTCTTCATTCAATGCTGACAAGTCAGCCAGTCTCGATCAGCAATTTCAACCGTAAACTTAATCCCAGCGCAAACGAGAAGTGTTCACGAATTGAAAGTCATGTATAGGGGAGAGCATACACGCTAAAACCCCCAATTCAATATAAGCGAGTACTAGGGTAATCCATGGGTCTCCTTAGTGCTCCCATTCCTGCTTGTGCAATAGATACCGGTCAAGTATCCGAGCGGTGGCAATGCATACTGCGACCCCTAGGATGATCAAGGGTGCCGGTCAGCGTGCAGGCAGACTTCTCAACTTGGAATGAATTGTTAGATTTGTGAAATACGCCAAGACACTAGTAATTATGACTATAAAAGCAGCCTCCCCGACCAGATAGATTGAGAATAGTCCAAAACACTTTTACGCTTCATTTCACAGGTTTAAGAAATTAGCCAATTGAATCCAAGGTTTGAGCGAGACCCAGCAGACCGCTTGATAGTTTGATCACCACGAGACCTTATTAATACCTACCTATAGGTACTGTACATATACGGACGGAGTATTAACTACCTAATAGTTCGCTAGGTATGAATCGGGTACTTCGTAGTTGCTCGTAGAAAAAGAAGGGCTTGAGAAGGGCAAGGGTTACTATCAAATGCCTCTCCCTCCACCGTATAAGCCAAGCACCTTGGCATACGGTGAAGCACAAATAACCTCATCGCAATTGCGGGGACTTCCAGCGTCGCAGGCAACGCAAGAATTGGTGCAGCGAACTTTTTTTTTTGGCCGAGAGCCTCCCGCTCGCTGCCTTGTTCGGGCTGGATGGATTTTGAAAAGATGTGACTCCCACCTTGACCTGCAAAAGACTTCTCTCTTTTGCCCAATTTCGGCACGTCCTCTCATTCAACGCCCACGTCCTCTCATTCAACGCTCCATCAACTTGTCAGTTGTGCAACGGCCAAAATGGTGGAAAAGGTCTACGTGACGTACAATGAGGTTCGTTCCAATTCTCCCCAGCCCAAACGGCATGCGACCGACTTTCAAAGCCAACACTCTCCCGACTATGGACTCACGCCAGTGAACAGATCCACAAACTCTGCCAAACATCGGCCGAGAAGATCCTGAATGACTTCCAACCCAATCTCATGATTGCCATCGGCGGAGGCGGATACGTACCAGCGAGAATCCTGAGGTGGGCCACGGCTGGGGGATCGAGCGGAGGGAGGTGAGCACCAACTGACAGAATGAACCATTAGATCATTCCTCAAACGACCCGGTGCTCCTAATATTCCCATCCAAGCCATTGGCCTCTCGCTCTATGAACAACTCTCTGGTTCCGACCCTGTCGAAGCGCCTGGCACAAAAGTCACGCGGACACAATGGCTAGATCTATCCTCACTTGAGATGAAGAATCTCATCGGCAAGAACGTCTTGATCGTCGACGAAGTTGATGATACCCGCACTACGCTCGAGTATGCAGTAAAGGAGTTGGAAAAGGACGTGGAAATCGCCAGACAAGAACAAGGCAGATCCGAAAAGACAAAATTCTCAATCTTTGTACTGCACAACAAGGACAAGGAGAAGAAGGGGCAACTTCCAGAAGACATGCTCAATGAGAATCGGTATCTGGCGGCGGTCACCGTCCCTGATGTGTGGATCTGTTATCCCTGGGAGGCCACTGACATCGACGAGCACGACCAACTCGCCCAGGATTACGGCGTTAACTAGATCAAGCCACTGGCAGGATCATCGGTTTCTGGTATAGAGTAGAGGGTATGGTGATACCCGCAAGGTAGCCCTGTCGTGACCTCCGCGACAGAAATACATGCTCAATCCCAACGAATCTTCCTGGTGTCCAAACTTTTCCTTGCCTCATCCAGTTGTCCCATGAGTTCTGTGTAAGCTTCCTTTGTATCGTTGAATCGTAGAACACCCAGGCCGAGTCGTCCCAGCAGATATGCGCCCAGAGTAACGAGGGCCCAACAGGGGAGAACTGGTATGATTTCCACCTGAATTTTGGTCGGCAGGATGGAAGGCACCGGTGAATCCTCGGTCAAGAGCGGAAGGGCGAGTAGAAGGTACGCCTGTTACAAACATTAAGAAGTGCTCCCATGGGAAGCAGAGCAGAAACACCTACTGAGGAAATCAACAATGTAAAGGAAATGGTTTGCGCAGCGCGTCCCATGATTGGAATTCGTACAGGTTCGCACGCGTGGTTGGTCTAGGGCTTCCTTCAGAAGGGCTCGAGAGGTTTGACTTTGATGTCCACCGGTATACGGCTCCAACGATTCTAGGGTTGACGAGTTGTACTGTGTAAATCTCGATTGAAAAGGACAGTCAGGAGCGAAGTGCACTTTGTCGCGTCTTGCCGCAAGGCCTGCCGTAATATCTTGGCGCTCAGCCTTGTGCCCAAGCCAATTGCAACTTCCTGTCAACGACATCTCAGCCTTACCTTCTACGTATTTCATTTTGCGCCTAAGAGTCAGTGACAGAGCTTTAAAAGGTGCTAGCTGTTGGAACCTGCCGCTCTGTCCAACGCATTGATCCTGGTGCTTGCTAGAGGCTCTCTTATCAAAAGCAGGCAGAATAATTCTGGCTTCAACAAAGCCCAAACGCAAAGTGCTCACCCAACGATAGGAACAGACAACACCTCCGATCCCACGGGTACAATCGAATGCAGTATGGCAATCCTACCGCTTGGTGAGGCATGCTTCCGGCTCGCAGATATGCTAGAGCAACACTGGTCTAACGACCAGGGCTTGAATCGCAAGCATTCAGCCTTGATTTCAGCATTAAGATCCTCGTCAGATCTACAAGACGAAAAGTGTGGTGTCCTGACACTCATGCCTGCTCTTGTCAGCCATGTGGATGAGGTAATCCAGAAAGGACAGCCAGAAGAATTTAAGACTGCTGTCCTTTGCACTCTTGCAGATTCGACGCGAGAAGGACCGTCATGGCGGCTTCTATTTGGTCTTGAGGCTAAACCAAATAGCGCTGTTAACGACAACGAGATCAGAAGGGCATGCCCTCCCGACTGTATTCTCGAGATTGCAAGGCGCATTGTCTCTGGAAAGACACAGGCGTCAACAAGCGAACAAGTGAGGTCTGCCCTCAGAATTATCGCCAATTGTTGCGCAGACAACAATGTCAATCGGAACGTTATCATACAACGCGATGGCATTGAAGCAATGCTAGAAATGGCTAGACAGAGGCGAGAATGCGACCTTGTAATCCCAACTCTCTATAACGTCTGCGTTGACTACGATGAGCCCGCAAGGAATGCGGCAGGGGAGCCATGGGTCTCTCTCCAAGAGAAAACAGCAGAAGGTGCAAATGCAGACTCGGGGCCGGCCGCCAATGCCGCAGAACAAAGGCTGGGCACGTTTTGGTTCCCGGCCGAGAGATCGACATCGTTTGAGATTTTGCTCGAAACCAAGGATTACAGAGACTGCCCTGTAGCGACAGTGGCGGACCTGGTCGAAATGGCCAGCAGAGTTGCACTCTATGGGACCCAAAATTTCGTGCATAAGGTTGGTGGGCATAGGCTGGACGAGTCAGTCGAAATTAACACGACCGCCGACGTGGTTCATTCATTGCTGACGTACGGCATTGAGCTTGCGAAAGAGGATATTGACTGCCGTGTCTCAATTTGTCAAGCCATCCTCAACTTCCTCTCACAGCCAGACACTCACCACATTGTGGGAGGAGATTTACGCATGATTTGGAATCTGATTCACTTACCTTATACCATGAATGGGCTAGAATTCGAGATCGAGGCTGATGAAGATGAACACGCATTAGCCAGCTACCGAAAGGAAATCCTCAAGACGATCTACAGGGTATCGGCAACAGGAGCATATGAAAAAATTTCCGGATCTCAATCACCGCTCCTTCGCAATTGTTTTGATACCCTTGAAGTGGACAGGCCGCACGACTTCTTAGCCAGCATTTGTGTCCTCCTAGCTAACAGTGTCGTTTCCAAAGAACGCGCCCAGCAACTCATTCAGTCCTCACCTAGGAACGTCGCAAATTTCTTGTCCGACCTGATCACCAAGACCTCTGATTCAGGAGTTCTTCTTCCCGCTATCAGCTTGGCGACGCGGCTGTCACTTTGTCCTGAGGGCCAAGATGCATTGCACAAAACCAACATGATCTTGGCAATATCAGTACTGCTCACCTCACCTAGCAGCCATGTTGATACCTCCAAACTCGAAATGCAGTGGGACACGATCAGCCTTGTGAGGTTGATGATTAAGGGGCGCGTGGAATATATCCGTGATTTGGCATTCAACAGCGAAGCTTCGTCCCATTCCAATATCATGTCCGTGATGATTTCTATATTTGAAACGACAAGCCAAACAGAAATAAAAACCGAGATAGGAAGACTGTCAATTGAAATACTTCGCACGCTACTTTCGTCTACAAGGCAATCGACGCAGTCAGTTATTGCAGTTGAACAAGACGAAGCAGGTCGTATGGATCACAAAAAGGCCGAGTCAATCTTTCAATCCATCATCCCACCTCAGACAAGGCTCTCGCCGACAACCACGTCACCACCAAATCTAGTATCAAGAACCACAATTGCAGATACAATATCTTGCATACTAACACAGTCTATAAGTCAGTCCAGCAATCCACAGCAACGTTCTTCACACCAATCCCATCTTCTTCAAGCCGAAGCAGAAGCGTGGTTCGGTCTAGCCCTCCTCTCCACTTTTCCGTCGACACACAGCTCGATAAAAGCCGCGCTTGCGCGACACGACTTTCACCTGTTGAAACGGCTTCGTGAGATCGCCGCCACCAAGGACACCACCGCTTTGGATCCCGTTGGCCCTCACAACCCAGCGAACAGAAACGACGGGAATAATATCGAGGAGGAAGTAGCTGGGATCGAAAATGCGCCAGGAACAGCGAAGACGACGACGGAGAAGTTGGATCCGAGGTACGAGAATATCAAGGTCCTCGTTGCGAGGTTGGTCCGGCCGCAACAATCTCAACCCCAACTCCAGCTTCAATCATTGTGCCTCGACTCGGAGAGCCCCAGTCCAACTACAGCACAAGCGGGGATCGAAGCGGACAAACAGGTCCAAGCAGGCCTTGAGGCGGCAGCTGCGGAGATGGGTCTCGACTGGGTGTTGGTTTGACGGGTCTGTAGTTAGCAAGAAGGCGGGTAGCCATGAGAACTTTACAAACAGGCTTTCTCCTTCTCCTTCTCCTTCTTCGCTTCCTCAATTATACGAACGGCTAGAGATGAAGTCGTGCATAATCTCATTCATCTAGAATCTCGACTCTAGGCTCCTTGTCTACTCAATGCTCATATTGAAAAGAGCGACGCCGAAAAAAACAGAGATGGGCGAGAAAGAGGTCAAGAATGGACATAATAAGTATGTATGTAGTTAGTCGAAATAAAGCAGTAGAGATTCGACCGACATATGCGATTCGATTAATGGATTTCCACCCCCCCAGCTACCCGGTCACTCCTTTTTGCCTCTTCCATAGTGTGTGTGTGTATGTTGGTCCTTGGACTCGACTTCAGCCCTGTTCTGAGCCTCACTCACTGAACACTTGTTTCCATGAGCCCATCTTTGCTTGCGGCGGAAACATACTCTCGTCAAATCATGAACGTCGTCGATAAACGATAACAAGACAAAGAGAAATATGGAAATGCATTAAAAAAAAAATAGGAACAACATAATCGTCGTTATTGAAGTCGTCAAGAGATCTGGGAACTTGCGTCCCACGTCGTCAAAAGCCATACCCTGTGTGACCCCCGTCCCAGCTCCCAGGGACAAAGGGTTGTTGCCCAATTCGCACGGTGGCTTGTTGCAATACAGCTGCTGGCGTCGAGATCGGGACTTGCGTTGGGTGCTCCGGCATCGGGCCTTGAGTAGCGGTCTCGAATTGCTGGTGCATGACCAGATTCCGTGCTTGTGTTTGCATTTGCATAGACATGTGCAGTTGCGTCAGGTTCTGAGGGTGATAGTTCAGCGATGGCTCTGGTCGTCCAACCAGAGGTGACAGTGATAATGATTCCTCTGCTGCTCTTCGCTCCCGGGCTTTTTGGCAGTGCTTGCCTTGGTGCCTTGTAGCGAGTCAGCAACGGCCACTCCAGGACACGATCTTCATTCAGAGATCTGTGGTGGGGACAAAGGGGAGCTTCTCAACACGGGCAAGATGCAGGTGTGATTGGCAATTTCCAAATGCGAGAGATTCGATAAAGCATAAAGCGGGAGACAGCAGACTCACCGGTCTCTCAAATCCGCCCGATTGAACGGTTTGTCACAGTCGCCACACCTGTAGTCTTCGTAGTGCTACCAGAGCCCACAAATTAGCCTTGTAGCCCGATGTTTGCCGTGGCGCCATGTAAAGTCGTCGAACATAGTCAACTTACCGATTTGATGTGTCGGTTCAAGCAACCTGCAAACACGTATTCCTTGTCACATCCTTCTCTGGGACACTTGTTCTTCGGGCGGTTCTCGTCGTGACACTTGAGGTGCCTTCGGTAGTTTGCTGCCTTGGAAAACACTTTGGAACAGCTTTGGCATACGTATGGTCCTGCCTCGTGCATCTTCATGTGTATGGCGAGATTCCCTGCCTCAGGGAAGGTCTGGTAACACCTCGAGCATTTGACCTGATCGCCATGCTCACGCATGTGTTCGCGCAGAAGGGCTGGTTTGTCCAAGGTCTTGTCACATACAGGACAGTTGACAGGAGGACCCCTGACTCTTTTCTTCTTCAACCCCGGTTCTTCTGATGGCGAGGGTTCAGTCTCTCCGGTGGGCGAACAATTCGATTGTGCAAGAAGTCCTGGTCGATGCAGTGAGTTAAGATGATGTACATTGTAGAGCTAGACAATACCTAATGCAGCTGCGTTAATGCAACAGTCTGAATTTTCAAGTGACTCAACTTACCTGGCATCAGCGTGGAGTAGTGGCGTCCTCCTGTCTCGTCCCATACTGCTGAAGGGCTCGCCTCGGAAGAGTAACAGGTGGTAGAGGTACACATTGGAGACCAAGCATCAAAGGTCGAAGCGGTGTGAGTGATGTTTGGCTGAGTTACTGCGTTCTGCATGGTTGTAGCTGCCACTGCCTGATAGCACACCTGCCACGGCTGGGAAAAAGCGCTTCCATCGCGGCAGTTCAAGGCACAGAGGCCCTCAACCCCATTGCTGTCGATATCGAACGCGGCTGTTGCGCCCTGTTCCTGACCTGGAACGTACAGATCAGAATAGGCAGTCGATGGTCCTGAGCAGTCAAAGCGAGGGCAAGCGCAGGAGGGGTCGACGCATGATGGAATGAATGAAGGGGACATGTGATTGCCAAAAGATGGACCGAGCATATCCATGGTGAGCAAATACGTCCACAAGAAGCCTCTGGAGCGGGATCCTAGCTTTAGCACATCCGCGGGGATGGCAGCCGTTTAAGATTGTATTCGACTTAATAACCACCAAGTGACTGCCCAGCCCCATGGAGCTCATGGCGACCCCATGACAGCGCCTCGAGTCGAGTCTCTATCATCCTGTCCTGCATTCCAAAGAGCTGACTGTGTCGTTGTACCATTGGCATTACGCCACGAGCATATGCTGCGGCCCATGCAGCCGCCCAGGCATTCTCTGAGATTTCGGTCAGACTGCAACTCTCTATCTAGCGCAACGGCAAGACCGATACGATAGGGTGGCCGATGCAAGAAAGGATTTAGCCGCGGGGGGGGGACTCTGAGCCATGCCCTGCCATAGCTTGTCCTTCGAATGACGGCGGTGGAGCATTAGCTGCTTAGACTTTTGACGCGACGACGGTTCGCCATTCAGCGGCGAGCAATTCTGGACACCATTGCGTGAGCCGGGCCCTCCCCGCCCGCAGACATGTCGTAACAAAGAAGCTTATAAGCTAGCCTGTCTCATGAAAGACGTTTTTGACCGACGTGAAGGCGTCTCCGCACAACTAGCGCATGATTTTATTGCATGTGTCAGGAGGTCAGTCCCTCTGCTGTCCAGCGACCATTGCCGTTAGCCCATCGACTTGCTCACTCAACTTTTGAACCAAAGCAATCAACTCCATATTGTCAGTTGTGACGGCGCCCAAGGCAGACTTGGTGGTGGACGCGGCGGCCATATCGGGCGTCACGGTGATAGATGTCTCATTAAGCGCTCGTCGTGTCGTCGGTGACTTGACAAAATCTCGGGCCCCCTCAAGACTGAGCCGGCCTGCACTTAGCGGACGACTAGTGAAATGCGGTGCTCGAGAGAATGTAGGATGGGTGCGAGAGATCATGGTCCTAGAGTTCTCATACGCCCAAATCAGTGCCACAAAGGGTATGTGGGTGGCCTTTAGGACGAAGATCCTGATTCGACGAACTTCCTCTGAGGGCAAGACAAGTCGAAGCGGACGCAGCACAATCAGAGGGAATAGATTGAGCGGGGGCATGAAGTAGGTCAGCCGTCGGGAGGTACTGCTCTCAAGTACGTAGATGGAGTATTGGAACAAGTACTCTTCTCTCGCATGAGCCATGACCTAGCACAAAAAGAACAAATTAGCATTCGGCGCTTCTTTAGTCCGAGTCCGTGGCGCTTAAATGGGTCGATCGTTGGGTGGCCGTGGCCGAGGCCGTGGCGACAACCCAGTACATAACCAGAACCATAGCCAACACTTACCTCTGTCAGGGAGTTAGATACCAATGATACCAACGATGTGATGAGCAATATGTTGGTCAAGCAAACGAAAATCAACCTGCGAAATATGGGAGTCAGCCTTGAGTACCGCCAAGCACCTACGGGGACGTCTGCTGTCGACACTGCTGGAACCTCAGAGCCCACACCAAGACCTAAGTCTGTGGGGGATGAAATGAGGCTGTGGCAGCTGTTGGGGAGGCAGTGTACGCATACATCAAAATATATCCAAATAATGGCGAGATCTGAGCCGGTGAAGTCAGTCAATACCTCCGTCCAGTGGTTGGCCGCTTGCATACCTTGACAGCCATGTCGAATCCAAGATAACTCGATCTGGTGGACTAGTCAGTCATATTTCTGAAATACAGTGCCATTTTCATACCCAAAGAACACCTTGATCAACATCCAAGACATTTCGTTGAGGGACATCCGATCTCTGGCCAACATCGTAAAAGTAGTCAAGAATCCGAGATATAGCACCACGATCACAGGCAGGAATTTGCAGAATGCTTTTGTCTATGATGTCCTCAGTGTATGCTCTAGCGTGACAGAGGGGGGTGCTTACCATCTCCTTCAACACTGGAATCTTCGCCGCACATCGTCAGTTTGCCTTCACCACATGGAGGTGCATATCTTACCAGGCTTCCAAAGTATGGATTCAGGCTCATAACGGAAAATATCCTGCCCTTGTCAATATTTGTAACATGGCCATCCTCTTCGCCGATGCTCACCTTGGCACAAGGAACAAAGCCACCATGGACAAAATGTCAAAGGCCACGTCGATGATATAGTCGCTCTTTCTGAGGAGGCCAACAATTCCTGAGCGAGCTGTCAGTTTCAGCAGTACCAGGCGTGGGAGAAATCTCTGGACGGACGTGTAATCACAAATGCCGCACTAACACCGATGATCGCAATATCCCACAAACTCCAAAAGTCCGTCTGATAAAACATGAGGCCGGCGTCTTTGATCTCGCCCAACTCATCATAGGCGAAAGCGGCGATCCAGATGTATAACACTGTCTCTGTCGCTGTAATATGGCTCGGATCCCTCTCGACCAGAACAGCATAATAAAGCGCCAGAAACGAGAGGAAGAAGCTAATTTGAAACGCCTTTTGGTACTTGGGCACCCGCAGACGGGTAAAAGGATCGGCCACACGCTTGTTGTAAACTCGGGGCTTCTTGACGGCGTGCACCGAAAGACTCTCCCAAAAAATCACGTCGCCGTTCCAAATGTCCTCGACGATCTTTTGGACAGGCTTTTGTGAGAGGAATTTCTTGGCGTCGGCGATGGCGGCGATTTCCAAAGCGTTCATGCCCGCCATGGATTCATCTAGGTTGGCTCGCCGTGATGCATCGCCCTCGTCACCGAGGAACGTGCTTGATGTACCAGGCCCAGGGATGTGGTCGAAGGAGGCGCGTTTAGGAGGCCGCAAAATCGCCCCGTGTTCGGCGGATTGAGCATGTATGAGGGGTGAAGTTTCATCCGCGTGATCTTCGTCGACATGGCGATGGCTGCCCCTGACACCATTGGTGTGAGGAGGAGAGTCCGAGAGGGATGACCGTGCGTTGTCGTCTGTCCCCTGGGGTAGTTCATAGAGAAGGTAATCGATCAGCTCCTTCTCCGACAAGAAGGTCAGAAACTGCCACGCCACAAGCTCACAGGCGAGGGCTCTGGACTCGTTCAAACCGCTGTCTGAGTCCGCATCGGCATTGGTGAAGAGATACCTCGCCGCCAGCAATGCTGCAACGATGGCAGGATGGTGACAATCTCCGCTTAAAGACGTGATGAGAGGTTTCAATGATTGGCCAGCGCTCGTGGTGCGAAGTTGTTCGTAAGTATAGGCGGCATCGATGGCTTTGGCAATGTATGAGGACAATTTGAAGACGACGTCTGAAAAGCTCTCTCTCGAGTCGATGATGGGAACATCGTCTTGGCTCCAGGGCAGGTACTTGCTGGAGCGGGGCGTTTGAGGGTCGAGGTTTGCCATGGAGGCGTTGACGTAGCTTTTGAGATTGAAACGAAGGCCACGAGCGCGCATAGAGATAGCAATGATCCTATCCGGTGAAGCTGCTCTGCGTCATGACGAGAGAAAGGCAAATATATAGCTAGCTTGGAGGTTGTGATATTGAGTTCGAAGGTCGTCATGGGCACTTCAGTGCATAAAAGGCTTTGAATGAGGAGTTGATACAAACCGCGAGGGGCTATATACTTCCCCGTAAAGCGGCTGCGGCGGATCATATTCACACTACTGCAATTTTAAATGACGTCATCTACGGTTCCTCGTACATGTGTCCATATTTCCAGCAACAACACTCTGATAATCCCAGAGATGACCCATTTAACGGCCACACTGGCTTTATAAAAATGTCTGTATCCCTCACTTGGAGTCGATCGACTCCACAGTCAGTAAGCCGCCATCTCTTTTTATGATCTCAAAAAGATACGCGGAAGTCCCTGTGTGTTTGGTGCCCGGCCCTCCCTGTCGCCTCGACGGAGATCAACGACCTCGTTCATGAAGAGAAAGCCCTCTGAGCCCTCTCACCCTTAGACGTGACAATTCCAATATAAAAAAGCTCCATCCCTTCCGTTCCAACTCTCCCATCGAATATCAAGTCGATATCCTCACTCCAGCCCTCTCATTCCCTCTATTTCAACCACAATGTCTCTTCCAACCCCCTATGCCCCCAACGCCACCCACACCGTACCTGCCCGCTCATCTGTGGCCGTCCCTCTGTCTGCCTCGCAGAAGCTGACCGTAACAAACACCCATGGCACCCAGGTGATCGACTTTTGGGCGTTCGAAGTCCCTCCTGGCGCACCATCGAGTCCCGCTGCTACCAAACAGGAGTTGACGACCTACCTGTCCATGTCACACACGCGGGCCTCGCTGCTCAGCCTGAGCCCCATTGCGCCGTGCACGCTGTCGACGAACCAGCGCACCCCAATCCTCAAGTTCATCAGTGACAGCTCGGGCTGTATCCACGACACCCTGATTCCGGCGTGCGACATCCACCGGTACCACCAGCTGGGTGTTGCCCAAGATCAATACCACGCCAATTGCTCCGACAATCTACGCATGGCCCTGTCTCGCGACACCCCGGGCTACACCCTCCCGGCGCCGTTCAAGACGCCGACATCGACCGTGCCAGACCCGCTGAACCTGTTCATGAACATCCCCGTCTCGCCTCTTCCCCAGCCGCTGCATGAGAGCAACAGTTCCGCCGGCGGGGCCTTGAGTTTCCAGCCGACGGTATGCGAGCAGGGAGGCCAAGTCGCATTCGAAGCGCTGGTCGATTGCATTGTCGTCATGAGTTGTTGTCCGCAGGATCTGGTGCCGGAGGTCAACGGAGGGGTGATAAATGACTGTCATTTCGTTGTAGAGGGCTAGTTCCTTGCGGAGCTCAGGGTCACGGCCGGTTGAAATCGAGGATGACGGATGAATGAATGAAAGGGTCTGATATTCTCCTATTATGCCCAAAAAAGAGACTTGAAATTCCATGCTCGGATGCATCTTCGTGTGTCTCATATCATATCTAGCCCTCCTGCCTCCCATCTATCTATTAAAAAGAAGCTCGCTGCTCTCCTACTCAAATTCGTCGAGTTGGTCGTCGAATTACTCAGCTGCAAATTCCCAATCTCGCACCAATTGTTGATCGGCAGACAACTCAGATACCTGCACCATGAACACGTGTCCCGGTACTTGTAGAAGTTGTTCAGCAGCACGATGAATGCTACCAGGACCCCGATCAACGCTCCCAACCGAAACAGCCACCATGCCCACCACAATGGCTTTCGTCCTTTGAAGAACCCGACGGGCTGTTTGGCAAAGGCAGCCACATTAGCTGGCGCGGCGGTCGTAGTTGGCCCGGCTCTGGGAGCAACGGGAGATGATGATGAGTGAGCCAGCATCGGGTCCTTGGGGTTAATGCTCAGATCTGGCTCTGAGCCGACATTTCGGTAGGAGCTCTTGTTGATGCTGGTAGAGTCGCCAATGCGTTGACGGAGGATATTAGGAGAGTGGAGAAGGCAGATTCCCGCTGCAAGACCCATCAGGAAGCCTCCAATGTGAGAAAAGTTGTCCAGACCAGGCAACAGTCCGAGAACAAAAGAAATGATAATATCCACCATAATCCACATCAAGTCTTTGACAGGATGGCGCCGTTCATTCCAGCCGTATATCAAGTCCAGGAGAACCAAAGCGAGAATGCCGAAAAGACAGCCGGATGCTCCAGTCGATGCAATAGCCGTCGCCGCAAAATTCCCGCCCAAGACAAAACCGAAGATGCCCGAGCTGAAATACACAATCGCAAATCGAATGCTGCCAATCGCCTTTTCCATTTCACGACCCATGGTGAGTTGCAAAAGCAAGTTGAAAGCAATATGAATGAGACCAGCATGCAGGAACATGGGAATAATGAACCGAAACCATTGGTTCGGATGCGCGTTACTGAAGCCAGAAAACCCGCACAGCGCTTTGAGATCGCAGTGATTGCTTGGCGAATTTGGATCGGACGTAGTAGTATTAGGACATGGCCAAGTAGGAGGATCGGGACTGTCTTGAACACCGGGAGTAGTGCGCATACAAGGTACAAAGCGAGCGCCCATATTAATCTGCACATATGTCGAAGGACCGATCATGGGATTAAATTGAGGTTTGATCATGATGGGGGATCCTGTGATGATCGCTGGTCTCGGTCAGCACTTAGCCCCCACCTCCTCATCAGTTGCACTCACAATTCTTGATAATTTCAACAACAAAGACTGTGATCTGTACCAGACTCAGGGTATACACAACCCAGGGTATCTTGCCCTTGAAGAAATTTGCAAATGATCCCTCCATCTTCCTCCTCCCCTTTGAGTCTGGCAGCAATTGTGGGGAATTTGTGTCGGGAGAGGGCGGATATTGTGTGGATTGATTCCGCCAGTCGGGCGCATCCTGATTCGTATAAATTTTTGACTGGTGCTTCAGAGGTATCGAGTCCGAGTGTACGGACTGTCTTGTAGGGTCGTGAGGTTCATAGAAATTAGACATAGGTCTCGCGCTATACGCCTGAGAGGGGCGTGACTGATCGAGGCTTGAGGAGCTGTTTTTGGGATTATAGGCGAAGGCGATATGCGAGATCGGTCTCTCATTTTGCTGTCGGGAAGACTGTGTCGATTGGGCCATATAGGACTTTTGATAGTAATCGTTGGCAGCCATGGTTTGTGTAGAGTTTTGTGAGAGAGTGTGAGTGAGCGAGAGTAAAAGAGTGGAATTGCTATACCGCAGGAAGTGGAAGGAGAGCAAACGAGTGTTGGTTATTCACGGCCCAAGAGACTGGACTCTGCGAGGGTCGCAGATGAAGCCGAAGAGGCGAGATTGAAGCTAGATTCGAACCACCATCATTCCTGACGAGCTCTGAATGTAATGACGGAAGGTGCTCAACCCCAGTGATGTGATGAATATAGCAACAGCGATGGACTCGGCCCTATGGTCGGAACGTTGACAACCTGAGAAGCTTGACAGGTGGCCAAGAAGTGGATTGATCAGATCGCGGAAGGAGAGAGGATGTGTCTCCTGGTGAAGAAGCAAGGAGCAGCTCTTCTGGCGGAAATTTGAGGCTGAGAAGGGATACGATGGATGTATTACTCGAGCGAAAGCGTCTGTCGTTTAGAGCGCGAGGGCGTTCAAAAGAGTGTGGTGTTTTCAAAGAAACGCGGAAGGTGAACAAACGACAAGGGAGTGAGTGAGTGAGTGAGTGAGTGAGTGAATCAAGGTCGCAGTTGAGGGATCTTGGGATGATGGATGATGCGGTGCCTGGACGCACCCACGCACGACAACGTGGCTCAGAATAGGGCTTCGGCTGCACTGGTAGATGCTGGGTGAGAGACGATGGGCGGTGTTTAGGCGGAGAAAGGCTTAGGGGTGGAATTAGGTGTGTCTCAAGATCCAGGAACAAGCCTAGTCCAGCCTAGTTCAAGGGGCCACAGCCCGCACCAGCCCCAATCCAGGCCGTCACGCGGCCTTGGAGGGCGTGTGAGTGGCTGCTGGTCGACAGAAGCTCCTATCCTTCAATCGGATCTACTTGTTACATCAGTAGGTAAGGACCCTTGGACCCTTGTACAGTATTTGCGTGCTTCAAAAATAAGCAGACTCCACTACTTCTACTTCGCCTTACGCCTAACCCGCAGACAGAGAATGTCTGCGCCTACATAAACCTAAGCAAGCCCAAGTAATACCGACCTCGCCAAGAACTTCGGAAACGTTATAAAGGAATACAAAGACGAAGTACGAGGTACCGAGTACCAGATCCACGTCATGGCTTCTCATTCAGACGAATAACTCAATGGGAATTAGACGCGATTTCTTTGTTGGACATTATATTAGTCTATTATGGTCTGTTGGTAACAATATCTCTTTTTCTGTTCATGGGGCTCGTGACGCCTGCAAACGGCTCAATGCGAGGCAATCTTCCGAAAAGAACTGCCAGAAAATCGGAGAAACAACACCCCAAGTCAAGCGACATGGTGATTCTCGCCCCAACAACAAGATATACAGCTCGTCGCCAACGCCGTGCTCAAGCCCTGCTCTTCGTGATTTTCCCCACACAAATAACCTACCCTCATCTTTGCTCATATACAATCCGGACAACGGGTCGGCTTATTCCATTTGGCTCGTGTCAGTTGTCATCAAACCAGAATAGCGATCGTCGGAAGTCAGAGATAAAGTAAGTCCAAAATGGTGTGTAGCGAACGCATCGAATTCAGCCGCGGCCAAAATGTGAAGCATATCCTTCAACTGAGCAAGTGAAGGCAATGATGAGAGGACATTTCCAAGCGTGGATTCGTTGAACGAAGCTCGAGCTGGACGGACGCCGCTTGGGTTACGTTTTTGGAGAATCCCGCATGTTGATCTTCGTCGAGATCGGGCTCGATTCGCTCGAGGGTCACCACGGGTCGAGGTGGAAGTGACTCGATTTGTCGTCGGCGTTTCCCTCCGAGATATGCGGTCATCATGCAACGTTGCTCGCCCTCTTGTTTCCCAAAGCCAGTGTCCACTTGGGCAGTCAGTGATGTTGCTGGATCAGCCGCTGTCATGAGCAAAGTCGCGGCGCACTGGAAATGGATCCAGTAATGTAGTATATTAACCGGCAAAGTGTGTTGACAATAAATGGCTGGAACTCCCAGAAAAGCGCGTAGAGCAGGCCAGTGAAAGCGATGAGGATGACTGAGTTGAAGACGAGTTTCTCGGTCGGGGTCATGACATAGAGCCCGAAGGTGACTTCATATTGGTAATATCGTAGGCGCAGATAATTTGACAGCTTGCCCGGCATAGAGATCAGTGGCTTGCGGAGAGAGGAGTCGTGGGAGGAGGGAGAGCTGGAGGCGGCCAGGAGTTGGATGGCGGCCATGGCCATGGGGGAGGAGAAGTAGTTGGCCGAATTGGGAGGAGCCGAGTCGATAAAGAGCGGGAAGGGCTCGAGAGAATGGTGGAAGTCGGACGTCATGGTGAGAAAGGAAGAGGAATCGAGAGGGAAAGTCGGAGGCAGGTAGCCAGCAAGCAGGTCCCAGGTAGGGGCCGATGGATGGGTGCGATGGTGTGGCTTTGTACGAAGCAGCTCGCGTGTCGCAGCGCCTTTATCGAAGATTCGGGTGTGGTCACGACGGTGGTGACGGGGACCTGCTCCCGTCGGCACAGAGGATTGCCAGATGAGGAAGTGATAAAGCCCAGTCCAGCAGTGTGATTTGCTGCTGCGGCTGCTGGAATTATGGGACGAGAAGGCTATTGCTTGATCGATGCGCAGACCCCAGGTCCCGGATTGCCGTGAGGAATGTGGATGTGGTGATTTTAACGAGGCTGGAAAGGGAGAAGTGATCAGCTTGGGTGGGTGCGCGGGGGGAGGGCGAGTGGATGGATTTTGCTGACGGATCACAGGACAGATACTCTTACTGCACTGGTTAGGACCTGGGTGTGTACGGTAGCTCGAGGGAGGTGGACGGCGAAGGAAGCACCTATAAAGAGGGCAGAGGGATCTGAGGAGAAAGAGTTGTCGGTGGTTCTTCTATCTGATTTATTTGGGGCGATTTGGAGGGGGGAGCGTGATCACGATACACCTCGATGACCTCGTACAGCCGCGGCTTCCAATGCTCATGCGCCAAAAAGAATACGAGGGGAAAAAAGATGCCAAAGAACAACAGGACGCAGCTGGCCGGCATCATTCGGATTTGCGGGACTCGCTGGATGACAAACCATTGGTTCCGCCCCCGTGACCAAGCAATCAAGCGACCACCACCAACTAACTAGTAACAAGTACAAACCACCATGGAGCCAATATTCTTCCGGAAAATGCGGCTCAAGGTTGCGCAACCCCCCGAGCCAGCATCCGGTATCCTCTTCGCTCTTCTGCCCTTGGCGGCTATGGCCCATGTACTGGGTACGATGATGTTATCACCCTCTCGCCTCGGTCTTGTCCTTCTTTGCCCTCAGATGATGTCCAACTGGTCAAGTGTAAAGTTACCGTTTCCAGCACGCTGACTACATAGGTGCCCAACAAGCCCTTCGTCCCCATACGACTTCATCATGACTCCTCTCAGAGCAGCTGTCGGTGGCTGTTAATCCTTCCGCTTGATCCGGTGGTCGGGCACGCCTCTCTCCTCCATCAGAACGATTGTTCCTCTTGGCCCCTCGATCCTTATGCTCTTCGTCCTCCTCCTCCTCCTCCTCCTCCTCCTCCTCCTCCTCCTCCGTCCTCTCGTTCTCAATCCCCGGTTAGACCGGCCATTCCAGCAAAGAGGAGGTCCGGAGGGAGCATCTCGTCCACGAGAAAGAAACACCGTGATTGAGCATGATGTTCAAGAGTGGCCTCCATATCTGGGTTGCCCCATCTCAAGGTCCCATCTGATTATTCGAGGTAATACTTGGTGGGTATAGCCGCTACGCTTGTTTCGTCATGGATTTTGAACCATTATCCTGAAACTCGCGCAAGATCCACCCCCCGTTAAATCTTTTCTTCGACGTCAAACCCCCTTTCTATTATTCTTCCCGTCATGCTCCCAGTGGCGGCAGATTGAGGTCAAATTCTTCTTGTTCATGGGCAACTCTGCCCACGATGCAATACATTTCATTCGACGCAATCAACCCCGGAATTCGATCCGAAAGGCGGTGCGTCTCCAGATGCGCCAGGAACGCTTGCAACCCAGTGAATGTGGGCGTCACGTTGACCGTCGTCGTCGCTTTCTTCTCTCCGAAACCTCCCAGCCTGGCCAGCTGCGATGACACTCCATCCTCAATCCAGCCTTTGGCTGCTCCCTCCACACAACAGAAATAACAGCCAAAGACGTCGCCGTTATTCATCGCGTCGCCAATCATCAACTTCTTGGAGACGTGGCACTTGGCCAGGAAATTCCACCGGTACTGGATACCCCCTTCAGAGTACCGTACTTTGGTATCGTACGTCTTCTCCGTCTTGACCGAGCCTCGCCCGCCACTCGGCAGCGCCTTCGACACAAGCGCCGGGCCTTCGAAGTTGCATTTGGTGCATCGCCAGAAATATTCCTGTCCTTTGGGCCCCTTTCGGTGCTCGAGAGAGAACCCCTTTTTCCGTGTCCCAAGTTGCTGCCTCACTGCGCCTTTGCAGAACCCAGCAAGATTTGACTCGCTCGGTAAGTTGAGCTGCGATCGCGCTATTTGCAGTTGAGGTGAAGCCGATGCGAGTCGCATCGTAGATTCAAGCGACGCACTCTCCGACGTCGACTTCACCGTAATGCTGTCCGACATGTTGTCTATTGGCTGCCCCGTCGGCGAAGTCGGGCTGTTAAGGGTAGTCATCTGCTCATTGTCGGCGAGATCGAGCACCTTCGTCTTCACATAGCGAGGCAGGCTGTTGAATTGCGTCTCCCGTGTCGAGGGCGCAGGTTTGTGTATCGCATCAGCGATACCCGGTGGCAGTCCCTTGCGTATCGTGAAGGATCCCAGTCTTGATCCATTCGAACCGGTAGATCGAATCGAGAGCGGCCGTGGAACTGAAGGGATGGTGGCTACCTAGAAAACAAGAAAAATTTAGGTCCAGCTGGCGCAAGATGTGCTGGAATTCGACTTACTCTTTGCTGGGGGAGCGGCTCCGCGGCAGCAGGTATACATTCGGGCCGGATGCTGCTGGTCTGGGGCCTCGAGACGGGCGAGTTTGTGATCGGTTGTCCATGCAGCATCTGCTGGTTTTGATAACCATTCCACATTGATTGCTGCATTTGCTGCTGTATGGGGGAAGGTAGTTGTTGCCAGAAGTTTTGGTACTGATTGTCTGGTGCTGCTCGAGCTATAGGAGGGCGACTCCGAGAATCTAATGTTGCAACGTATTCTAATGTGCTGTAGTCAGGGTTCAATGGAACAGCCGGTCGTTGATTTGATGGCACATTCGTGGACGTATTTTGTTTTGTCACTTCCTGCTCTGGTGTTTGCTGGGTCTCGAAGGACTGACTATCTTCAAGTTCGTGGACTGGAACGGGTAGGCCGGGCACAGAGGCCTTGATATCACCTTCAATTCGAGGACTACGCTGAAAAGAAGTGTTCTGTGGTACATGACTATGCTGTCCTGCAACTGGCGATTGATAAAAACTGGACTCTTTCGGGAATTTCTGTCCCTTTTCATCAGTCGTAAAGACCGGCCTGGACAAGTTCTGTCGATACGGCGGAGGAGCCGCATTCGTGGGGGGAGCGCTGTCCTCCAGTTGCTCAAACAGACCAGAGCCATTGGGCGTAGTCTCGACAGAACCTTGACTCGTCTGTCTCTGCATAGAGAAGGGAAGGGCCGGGACATTATCTTCACCTGGCGTACGGCGCTTAGGCGGCTCGCTCGTGTAAGAGAAGGTGGAATTCATCGAGGTTCTTCGTTGCGGCGGCAAACCACCAGATGGTTTGCGGTCGTGACCTACGGCTGTCCTTGAGCTGTAGGTGGTGTAGGATGTGGCTGATCGATCGTCGTATGGTCTTCCGCCGAACGAGGAATGCGTACTGCGGCTGCTTGAATAGGCCAGGGACCCCGGCAACTGGACCTTGTCTGGGTCATCGACATATGGACGGGATATTTGTTTCATTGCCGCGGTTGCCGTCGACATACGCTGGTAAAGCTGGCCAAGGCATACTGTTGCATTCACCCGACAATCGTCCGATGTTTCCTTCAACATGTGGAGGTTCAATGTCGCTTCATCCATGAAAACCTCTCGCAGGTGTGAGATGACTGCTTGCTGGAGATTGATGAGAATGTCCTTCATCTGTTCTCGGGCAATGGCGTCCCCTCGAGCGTATGTCTCGCCAAAGCGACGAACATCATGGTCATACAAGCTCTGCACCGCGGTACATCCTAGTGACAGAGAGTCATCGAAATCTTTCGTCAACTGCTCTGGTAGGATGAACTCTTCCGACGTCTCTTGTTTGTGTTTGAGTCGCTGTACCAGCTTTGAAGCATCGCGGTATGCTGCAATGACTGTTTGCGAAGCAAGTTAGTGAAGAGTTCCGAAGACGATTAGCCCGAGTGGATGCAACAACCATAGGCTCGAACGTCAGGCACGTCGGTGACGCGCCGCACTGTTTCGGATCGTGATATAGGAGTGGTTAACCACCGATGTTGTACAGGCGGATCCCAGAATAGTATCTCTGGTGTAGCCTACTCGAGGTAGCAACCCCATGAGGCTCCGTGCGCGCATCCTCCAGCAGTCCGGAGAATTGACCAATTTAGGCAAGACGTCCGTCGTATGCAAGTGCTCTTGAATGAGGGATGGTGACCAGGTTGTGGGTCGTTCTTTTCGAGGCAGCAACAACATCAAAAGGCATGGAGAGGAACAAGCTAAAGAAAGCTTAAGCTCACCTGCTTGAACACATGCCTCGACCGACATAACATCCATGGCTTCCGGCCTCGATGCTCCAAGGCAATATTGGGTGCCAGAGTCGACGATCGGAAGGGAAATAGTGATCCAGTATCAGCTCATTGACTCGGCTTCAGGAGTTTTGACGCAGAGGAGAGACAGGACAGAAAAGGGAGAGAAAGCGAAAAGGAGGGCGAAAACATCAGCAGGAGAAAAGTCTGAGAGTCTGGGAAATGACTCGCTTCTTGAAGGCTGAGGCTGAGTTCAGGCTATTGGCAGGTACAGATCCTTTACGAGAGTCCCAAAAGGCATTTCGCACTTCCGGGTCTGCCACCCTGCAAGCCGGCTGCCTGCAGCGATAATGGCTCGTATTGACTTGTGCACCGTTCGACCAAAGCGATGCAAGCGAGCCCCCGTGCTGGATCAGTCTCACAGCGGTAGGTGCTGCGGATGGCGGGCTGTACCACGTAGCTCTTTATCGAGAGATAGACAGTCAGACAAGTCGTCAGCCAGACAGATGAACGCGGACTGGGAAACTGGCGGGGTCAGAACGAGATAAGGATTCAAGGCATCGAGCCAAGTCGATGGGTATTCATGCGCCATTTGACCGCCGGATGGCATAGTTCGCGGTTCAACCCCAGGGAGGCAGTCAACGCCGCGAACAGCAGACAGCGGCGAGCGGACAGCGGACAAGGCTTGCCGGACGGGGAACCCATGCGTGATGGGGAGGATGGGTTGAAGCAGGGCCGAAGATGGAGTTTTTCCCACGCAAGGGGCGGCCCAGAAACAGGGCGGTTCAATTGGCCCAAGGCATCTTTGGGTCGACCTTGGCCTGCAGGTGTAAAGCCTTGGGAACTTGGGGGACTTGGGCACGGAATGGCGTTCAGCGCTCTCAATGGCGCGAAATGAGAGTTTGAGCTGAAAAGGAAGAAAACAGGGTGGAAGTCGAAGAGGCGTCGAGGCGTCTAGACCGCGCCTCCGTCTGCGGACGGCGGGCTGCGGGCTGCGGGCTGCGGTCTGTGGTCTGCGGTCTGCCCCCTTTTGTTTTGTTTCCTCACCCGGCTTTTCACCCAACTTCCTTCAAGCTTCCTTCCACCAGGCCATGATCCCCCTCCGCTAATAATGGCTGGGGAAATTGCCAGTTCGTCAAAACTCAATCATTATTTCTCCGGGCGATCTACTGTATCAGTCCACGTGCGGAACACCCAGATCCTAGTCAATCTCTGTTTCCCCCCCTTGACAGATCCTGGCACGACGTCCGGATCAAGCTTCACTACTGCCACGCCGCTCGATGAAGTCCGGTCACTCCGAGCAACAAGCAATCCCCTAGTTCGACTGTATTGTGAGCCTATTCAACGCTATCAATCCTTTTGAGTCAAACACGTCGTTGTCGCGAATCGGAGCGAGTGGGGGCTTGACAAGCGAAAAGGACGAAAAAAAAAAGGGGGGGGGGGCAGATCGGCAACATGGCAAGGATGAAATTCCTCGTGCACGCTCAACTCCCATTCCAGTGTATTTATGGGGCATAAAGACCCCCCAGATCCATGCAACGCACTTTCCACGCCCTCATAATTGAGCCTTGCCGGAGAGCAGGCGCTGAATAGCTGCATCAGTCAGAGGCGTATACCCTGCTCCTTCTTTTTCGATCCAAAACATCCGGTCCTTGTTTCCCTCCGGTATCAAGAAGCCTGGGAAGAAACAATCAGCAATTTGGTACCGAGGTGTGTGGTTAATGACTGAGGCTCACCATCTTTCCGGAGACCGGTCTTCAGCTTCTTCATGATCGTCGAGACTCGTTCACTGCCACTGTCCCCGCTCATACCACCAGAGTCCTGTGGGGTGCCGTCGTGGATCAGGATTCTGACGAAACGCGGCACCGCATACGCCGGCAGAGCGCTTTCCGAGGTACGCAACCAGTGTTCTAGTTGCGACATGATCTCCTGGCGAGCTCGACCGGATTGCTCTGGAGACACTCCCTGCAAAGTGATTGCTGCGCACCCCAGCTGCCCATCATACCCATAATAGTTCATCGGGATGGCATACACATTGACGGAAGCAATTTGGGGATGTCGACTGAGCCATGCCTCGACCTCGGTGGTGGAGATGTTATGTCCCTTTGCACGGTAGGTGTCTGCCAGCCCACGTCAGCATATTGGGCATCGCGGTATCGGGTGAAGATGTCTCGTCGGCAAGACCTACCTCCAAGCCGGTCTCGAAACTGGATAAACCCATCCTCGTCCTGCAAGAAATGGTCGTCTTAGCATGCTCACTCTCCAACATCAAGCTTGAACTTACAATCAGCAAAGCATCCCCAATCCGAGTATACTCGTCCCCTCTCTCAAAAACATCTCTCAAGCTTTTTTTCCGGGTGGCTTCCACCCCGCCCTCTCCAACATAGTCGTGCCTCCTTTGGATGGGCGGAACGATCTTGCTTATCGCCTCACCAACCTCTCCAGGCTTTGCCTTGATGCAAAACCCCGTCTTGGGATCCCTCACCACTTCTCCAGTCTCAAAATCGGCTTTGATTATCTGAAACGCGCTCTGGCCGAACCATTTACTCCGCATTATGGGTCCCCAACGGGCTACCTTTCCCACTCCGAGATCATTCTTGTTTGAGTTGAGGAGAGAGATGGTTGCCTCACTTGCCGAGTAGTACTCTACGATCCAAGGAATCCCAAACCTTTCTCTAACTGCTCGCCATACACTGGGAGCCAATCCGAGACCAAAGGCCAGATCAACCCCGTGGTTCTTCTCGTCTGGAAACCGAGCATCGGGAGGAGACTGGACGAGATACCGGAACATCTCGCCGATATAGAGGATCGCATTCGCCTGTGAACGTCGGACATCGGCCCAGAACTCCCGGCGTGAAAACCGCCGAGCAAGAATTACGGTCCCGGAGGACGCCAATGCGCCAGGTAGGGCGGCGAAGGAAGCGGTCCCGTGAAACATAGGTAAGCAGATATACCATCTTCTATGGCTTCCCTGCATGCCTGGCCATCTCTGCGGGTTCCCGCTCAGGCGGTTATATCCAAGCGGCCAGATCAGAGCTTTGGGCATTCCCGTGGTCCCGGATGTGAAGAGATATTGCGCAGCGTCGGTAGGACCGACTTTCGGTCTCTTGTGTTTAGGGAAATCGCCCATTTCCGGGGTTACAGGGGGCAACTCCTCATGCTTCAGCAGAACATTTTTTTGAAGATCAGCTCGGATTGGAGCGTACGAGCTATAATCGTACAATATAACCCTTGGAACAGGCGATGACGCTGGCGTCGGTGAGCCTGGGTGACTCTCGTCTCGCACCAAAGCTTTTATCAAGGTGCCATACAGCTCGTAAGTCGTGATGCAGAACTCTGCCTCGCTAACTTTGAGACAGTGCTTGATATGGGTCCCAGTGATGGACGTGTTCACTGGCGCGGCGATGGCTCCGAGCTTATAGAGAGCCCACCAAGCGATAACGAACTCTGGCGAATTGTTGACGAACATTCCAACCACAGTTCGGTTCTTGATACCAAGCCTTTCGAATGCTTCGGCAAGTCGACCAATTTCCTCACGAAACTCGCGATAGGTCCAGGCGCGACCCTCAAAGACAAATGCTTCCTTGTCAGTATGGTGGTTTTCCGCATACGTCGAATGCAGGACATGATAGAAGGACCAGTCATCTTCCCCATGTTCTTTGTACAGGTCCTCGACGAACCTCTGTAGATGCTTGGCTCCTTGAAGCTGGGCGATGTCGGTTCGAATTGAGTACTTGGCGTCGAGATACATGCTGATTCCCGTGGCGGCTACTGCCGCGGCGCCGGCAGCTAGCAGTGCCATTGCTCGTGGATGACTGTGAAGAAGCGTTCAAAGGTGGTCAATGAAGAGATATCCTAGTCGTGAGGAGGCAAGGGACATATCCCTGCACCCAAAAAGCATCTCCTGGATGACCATTTTGAGACGAGCCTCGGATGTATTGAATGCGTGGAGACAGGGATTCGACTGAATAGCCGGAGTAGTGCGGATTTCATACCACGTCTCCATCAGGATAGAACGTCCTGTCCACTCGGCATCGTGTCTACGTGGGAACCTAGGTATGTTGGAGGCTTTTCCAGCCTCATCTGTAAGCGACATGGAGACACATGCGGGGAGGAACAAAATTGCAAGCTGCAAACTGGACAAAACGACGAAAATACATCTGCGTCTGCCGTCCCAGTACTCTCCCCTATTATTCTACAGAGCCTCTGCGGTGACACAATAGCTACAGTAGCGCGGTTTGCCTCGCAGACGACGAGGGCGCGTTTTCAATGGACTCAGTCTGCCGTGGATATTTTGTAGACCACCCTTTTCGCTGTTCTCTGAACCCTGGATGCCTCTGTTACCGTTACGTCGAGATGGACGAAAGCACAATCTACAACGACTCGAAGCACAGTCTTTTAAATTTCACGGGCCAGTCCTCGTCCGGGGTATCGCCTTTGGAACAGGAGGTCTTGGACGAATATGAGAGATTATCGAGAAACATGAAGGAGGTGAGTTTTTGCTTACCATGGTCTTGTTCTTCTCCTTCCTCCTGTTGTTTTTGTTGTTGCCTTTTTGATCCTTTTCAAATCCTGGGGAATTCGCCAGGGGAGAGCAGAGAGCAAAAGGGAACGAAACTGCCCCCGTCGAGTAGGGTAGCTGAGTGAGTAGGTAAGAGAGGAGGAGGGACGGCTCTCGAACTTATTTTCAAACCCGTTCTCTTTCTCTTCCTCGAACGCCAGATATAGTATCTGACCATCTCTTATCTCTGCTCAGCTCTCGTCGACGCTTTCCGACCTCTCCAGCGGTCCCATCACGCTCGAGATCGCAGAAGGTCTTCGCCTGCTGGAACGCAAGGTCGCCAGCGTGTACACCTTGATGAAGGCCAGTGTGTACAGTATCGTGCTGCAGCAGGGACAGGTCGAGGGTATGGAGGAAGGCGTAAGGGACAGACAGGACGACGATGGAGGAGAGGCTGGCGAGTAGAAGAGAGAGAGGCACACAGGGCTTGGTTTGTGTGATTGTGTTTGGTATCCATGAACGAGAATATTATGGGTGGACGGGACGGATTCAATGACGAACTACACGAACTACCTAATAACCCATGAGGAGGACGTGTCAGATCAATCTGCATTGTTAGAATGGGTGCCCTTCGCCGGTCGAAATTTGTTCACCCTGGTTTTGTACAGAACATGACGCAGACTCAGCGGGGAGTGCTGCATATGTTTGGTCCGGGATGATGATACTATACAAATCCCCCGTCTATGTTTGGCCTGCGTAATACACTTTGCGAACATCCACCAACTTCTTGCCTCTCGCCCTCGCGATATCCTCAGGGTGCTTCTGGCTCAACAGAGCCTGCACTGTGGCCTTGACCGTATTCATAGGATTCCTCGACCGTGTCACCCGGGCAGCCAGATCATAGATGCCCGCGCATCTGCAAATCTCCCAAATGTATTGTTGACAACGGAGTCCGAAGCCTGCGAGTGAATCAGTTAGCATTGTCATCTAGGCAAGGAAGCGGGCAAAGTGTACCTGGTGGTCTTGCATATAATTCCAGCTCGGTGGCGCTGACCTTGGCTTTCAGATCGCCGTAAATAGTTCGATTTTCGTACCGCAGAATAGGAGCCATATTCCGAATGGCACGATACTGGCTCTGAACGATAGCTGCAGATCCTTCCTGCGATTTTCCTTCTCCTACGCCGATGAGGCCCTGACCATTTCCCGCAATGCTTAAAGCGTACATCTTTTGAATCTTGCCCAGCCTCGTCTGATTCACAACGCGGTGTTGTATGACGGTCTTGACTCTGAGTTGCAGGATCTGTTTCTCGCTGTATCCGGTCATTTGCATCAATTGCAAGAGAGCAGGCGAAACCACTCTCTCCTTTCTCCCACTTCCCTCCTCGTCTCCTCTAGATTTCTTCTTCTGGGTTTTGGCGGGCTCCGAAATCCTCGGCAAGTCTGGAGCCAGCGCCGTTGGAGGACTCCTCTCCGCTTCCTCGCGTCCGACTGTCATGCGTAGGTTCTTGTCAAACTTGTCCCATAGCTCCTGGTCGTAGTCGTTTTCGTGTTTAGGTTCAGGAATCTCGTTGATGAACTTGACAAAGTCGTCTTCCAGCTCTTCATCTGTCTTCAGTCTCGACTTGTCATCGATATTGGTCATTGGTGCCCGCACTGGCTTGTCCACCACCGGATCGATTTTGGTCAATTCATCGTAGTATTTTAGCTTCCAGGGATCTGTCCGCATGCCAGTCTGCTTCTGCATTTTGTCAAGGTCGATGAGTTTCTGCGCTGCTTCGATGGCCGCACGCTGCTCTGGAGAGTATCGATCCGGGATCGTGCCATTTTGTACTGGAGGAAATTCTTTGGCTTGTGCATTGAGATCCACCTGGCTAATCTCTGCCTTCACGCTGGGGAAACGGGGTTTTCGTTTTTGGTGGACAGGAGACGAATGGAACTGGCGACGAGGGAAGGACTTCGGACGAGTGGACCGTGAAAAGAGGCAGAATAGGCATTCAGAGGACCGAGCGACACTCATAGTGCCAATGCAGCTCAAGTCTGCCAGACAGAGTTGATAGGCAGTGTGGAAGGTAAAGAGTGCAAGATGGATTGCACGCAAACAAAATTGCTGGGCGTCTCAATCGAGCTGGAGACACGCTAGTCTCTTTCGGTAATCTCGAGCGTGCCGCCTCACATTCTTCTTCCTCTTCCCTGTACCGAGTAGAAATGTAATTTTTCCTTCAACCACCCCCGTTCAGTCCCTCTACTCCGACTGATTGGACCCAGCTGCTCGCATTCTTTGCGGCATAGCACGGTTCTAAGTCACCCGAAATTCATTTACGGGTCAGGATTCGTGCAGCGTGCGACAATGGTCTGATGACAAGGCTGGCTAGTTAAATATTCGCCGATCAATGTCAAAAATGGAGCGACTTGAGGCCCAACAATCAACAGTCACGATCTCCTCAATCTCTTGCTAAACACGGAATCACGATCTTCTCGCTTGATCAGAATCATTGCCTGACCAGATCAAGATGGAAGAAGCTCCCAGGTTCATCATTGGGCACCATGACCCCAAGAGACCTATACCAGTCTCGATGGAGACCGTACAAGATGCTCATGCCGCAAATGTGAGGCCCGGTCTTTATCGATCTGCCGTATGTCGGCTGACTTTAGACCAACAAGTATGACATAGTGACGAGCCCCATCACGACGCCCCATTTCCATTCCCGGGTGTTAACTCTCCTCTCTTCATCCCTTCCCTTCCATTCAGAAGAAGACATCACCAAAACCAAGAGTGGTTCACCTGTCATTATTCCACCACTGACTCCGGCGGATACTCCATTGACGCCCGATGAGTCTATTAGCCAGACCATAGGTATTACAAGTTCCTGGATTGACCTTGGTTCTCCAGATCCGATCATCGCGGATGTCTCTCGACAGGTCCTGCAACTGGAATTGGCCTATGCTGCCTTCTGCGGGCTCACGTATGTCCTGATTCCAGGCCCTCGTCTTCGTGGTCAAGGCGTGTCTGACAGCGGGGTGGCTCAATGTGCGAGAGTGATCTTGGATGCCCTTGGCCAAGCTCCCTACATGCAACTATACATATGGTTTCCCATGATTGACCATTCCAAGGAACAAGTCGACCAGCTGGGCAATCTAGCCCTGTTTGTGCGTCCGCAATTTTTAGAGCAGGACGAGGCTGAAATCGAAAGGTTGGATCTTTTTGGAACCTGGGAGGCATGGAACCTGATCAGATCGATATGTAAATATCCTTCTAGGTTGTGTGTAGGTAAGCATAATACATTTCTTGCAGTATCGGTCGTCGTCTTTCTGCCCGATCTCTGACGCTGACAATCTCCAGCCTTGGCTATACCAAAGCTGCTCCCTCCAGTCCCCATCCAGTCAAGATGGTATTCCGAACCCATCCGGCTGCTCACCCTCGACAAGCAAATGTTTGCTAAGAATGCCAAAGGCTATCCCGTGCTGACTCGCGCTCATCAATCCTTCATTCTGAGATTTTCCCGGCTCCGTACAGCACCATGGTTCCTTCTATGTGACGTGGGGACTATTCCTAACAGCACCACGAATAGCAGCATGGCCAACCCAGCCGCGGCTGAGACCAACGCATTCCCTACGCTCGCCGAAGCAGCACAAACTCCAGACCTCAAAGACCCGACTCCCCACCTCTCGTACATGCGCAACTTGCAAACCAAACAACCACCTCAATCGCTTCTTGATCGCTTCGGGGCTGGCTATCAAGATTATCTACAGGCGCCGTTGCAGCCGCTAACTGTCAACCTCGAAAGCATCACGTATGAAGTCTTTGAGAAAGACCCGATCAAGTATGCGTGGTACGAGCGCGCCATCGCCCGCGCCTTGCACGACTGGATTGAACAAGGAAAACCGACCTCCAACCCGGACGGACGCGTTGTTGTTGCTGTGGTGGGAGCGGGTCGTGGGCCACTGGTAACTCGCGCACTCAAGGCCAGTCAAGACGTCGGGGTGGAGATTGACATGTGGGCGCTGGAGAAGAACCCGAATGCGTTTGTTCTTCTTCAGCGCCATAACAAGACAACGTGGCGTGGCCGAGTGAATTTGGTGAAGTCGGACATGAGGACGTGGAGGGGGCCTATTGGCGCTAGAAGTACGGCAAACCCGACTCGAATATACAACACCTCGCCTGACAGTGGTGATGATGATGGCAACGACGGCGACGGCGACAAGCAGAAGAAAAATGCGGAACAAAAATCAACTGCCCAACCGACATTCACGGGCTCACCCACCCTCGATACGACCTACCTTCTTGCGACGAGCACCCAAACCACCACGCCAACACCGTACAAGATCGACATCCTGATAAGCGAACTCTTAGGATCCTTCGGCGACAACGAGCTTTCCCCCGAATGCCTCGACGGGGTTCAGCACCTCCTGAACCCAGTCCATGGAATCTCCATTCCGGCATCATACACTGCGCACATCACGCCGATCGCGGCGCCAAAGCTCCACGCAGACATATTGCATGGAATGGGCAGTAATCCCAACGCGGGCGAGACGCCGTACGTGGTCATGTTCAACGCGATCGACTACTTGAGCACGAGGCTGTCCGCTGGTACAGAAGCCGAGCCGTCGCGCGGTCTGTCGACAGGTGCCGTTCAAAGTCATCCAACTCCAAGCGAGATGCAAAGTCCTACTTCACCACCCGAGACCTCAACCACAGTGGCGACGCCTTACTCGAGAGCGCACACGCGTCAACCCCAGCAACCCGTTGTTCCTCATCCTCCAACGCCGCCAACGCCAGTCCCCGTCATACAACAGACATGGGCGTTCCTGCACCCAAACCCAGCCTTACCAACCCTCAGCCCGTCCACCATCGGCACAACGACGACAGAACTCTCCCTCACCAACAGCCACAACGCCCGCTCATGCCAGCTGACCTTCCCGATCCCGCACCGGGGCACGTGCCACGGCCTGGCGGGCTACTTCGAGACCGTGCTCTACAAGGGCGTCGAGTTGTCGACGAATCCCGACACCATGGACCAAAAGAGCGAGGGCATGATCAGTTGGTTTCCGATATTTTTCCCGCTGAAGGTGAGTCACCTACCTACTTACTTACTGACCCTCCCCAACCAGCTCCATCTGATTTGAATACACATGTTAAACTCCCACTTTTTTGCACCGAAATTCGCTAAAACTAAGGGGGGAAATTCCAAAACAGACACCGCTCTTCCTCCCCGACAACTCGGAAATCAGCCTGACAATGTGGCGCAAGACGGACGACCGCAAAGTCTGGTACGAGTGGCTTGTCGACGTCTATCTCTACGTCCCTTCCTCTTCGTCGCCCCAGACCGCTCATGCGGCGCAGCAGCAGCAACCGCTGGGACAAGCTCAGAGCATGAATCTCGACGGCAGCAGCGGTGGTGGCGCTGGCGGCGACAACAACAACAACAACAGTAAGGGGAAGAGGAAAGGCCTCCCGGCATCGGCACTCATGACACCGCCAGCACCGCCAGCACCGCCAGCACTACATCTATCGACCGGAAGCGCTTCAGCACCCACCAGTACAGAGCGAGGCACGCAACCGCCCCGCTGTGCCGCTGTCGCAAGAGGTCGCCGGGTCCGGGTCGGAGGGAGCGAGCTGCATTCCTCGGAGAAGGAAGCCTGTTTGATGTAAATGGACGCCGTGCGATGCCTTGGATGCCTTGCAGTGGCGCTGTGTTGCAGCTGTGATGCGGTCTAATGCTCCGGGATATGATACGAGGGCGAAGCGAACCTACGAATGTGAAGGTCGTGATCAATGTGCTCCCAACGAAGACAAAAAGGGCCTTTCTATTTACGAGCAAAAAGGGTTTGGCCATATTTCCCTGCTTACTTTTCCTTCCCTTGTTTTCAGAAATGCCAGCCCATCGCAATGATAAAACAAAAAAAAAAATGGTGCCTCCCTAAGCCTGCGGCCTGGGTGTGCAATCTAGCTCCTCGATCCCTCGACGCCGCTTTTGGTCGGACACTCTGTCTCAGCCACCTCTTATGCTTTTCAATACCCTGCCCCCCAATTCGGTTGGCTTGCTTTTTCAATAGCGGAAACGATGCCTCCGATAACTCCTAGGTGTCAGACAAGCAGGATCGTGAACCTCTCGATAAACTGCCAGCAACCTGCACCGTCGCCTCATGCTGTCCTTCCTCCATTGACACGCCCGTTCGCCTCGCGGTTACCACTCTGTCCATCAGTTGGCTTCTGTTCGACCTTCTTTGCCGCCTGAGCAGCGTTGTGCATCTTCAAACCCTCCACCCCATTTAGCAACTTCTTCAGATCACCTTCGCCGGTCCCATTTTGCTCCCCTGTTATTTTGACCCCGGCATTAGGAGTACTTGTACCACTGATCTTCGCCACATCCTCCGTCAGGCCTCTCCTAATAGCAAGCACATTATCCACAATAACCGCATCGATCCCCTGCCTCACTTGTCTCCTCACCATGGCACTGTCATTGTTCAGTGTCCCGTAGCTCACACACACAAGCCCGCTTTCCTTCACCACTTTGACCAGTCTAGGCGCCGCGACCAGAGGTTCGGCAGCGCTTACTACCCCAAGCAAATTCCAGCGACTCGCGAAGCGGATAGCTTCTTGTAGTGAAGTGGCGCGGATATCACCCGCAGGACTCGTCCCGGAATCTGTCAGGAATAGGACAGGGATGCTGGGCTGCTTAAACGACAGCAGAAGACAGATGTCCGGGTTGAAACTCGAGAAGATGATGTTCCTTCCCTTGCCCAAGTCATATACTTTGGTAAGGACCGTATCAACAAACGAGTTTAGTTCCACGGCGTATGTGTCCATGTCTTCGTCTTCACTTTCGAATAGCATTGGATATTTCATCTCAATATTGAAACCCACATCTTGTGGAATTTTTTTGAACATTTCCTCGAGAGTGGCAAAGGGCGCTTGGATATGATTGCCTCGAGTGTTGCCCTTAAAGCCTTTCTTCTTGAAGTCGCGGGTATGTTTCATCCGCTCGTCCATCTCGAGAGACTCGTTGCTGGTGGCTCCGCTCACAGACATGGATCTCAGTCTGGATGCTCGTAAATCCCGATCGACGTTCTTCACACTGGCTGATTTCGGCTTTTCAAATGGTACAGGTGACGCCGGTCTGGAATGGCGGGGTGTTCGCATGTCGTTCACGTGGAGGAATTGTTCAAGTGTGAGAGTATGCACGGGTGCGTCGATGCCCGTCTCACTGACGAGGAAATCATGATAGATGACAGGTACGTGGTCTTTCGTGAGTTGCACATCAAATTCGACGTACGAGGCGCCCAGGTTTGCCGCGGCGATGAAGGATTGAATGGTGTTCTCGCCTAGCTGAAGAGATCGTCGACCGGCGGCAAAATTCTTGCCCAGGCCACGATGCCCAATGACCATGGTCGACGCCATGCTTCTCCAGTAGGTTTGATGTTCCGTTACCGACATATTGGGATGGTTGAAGGGGGTAATGACGAGGAAATTAAAGGTGACAGAGCCAATAACCTCAAGATCGCTCGCCGCAACAATGGGGACGGTCACATCGCCTTGTAACGACATCCTCTTCGTTCCGACGCTCGACTTGACACTTGATAGCAAAGCGACAGCACGCCCAACGACGCGTTCGTGAGAGCCGGCGTAAGTTGGAATGAGGTCAAAGTACAATTTGACTTTGGATGGATCGGCCGCGTGAAAGACAATTGGTTCTGTCGCAATATTGTCTTGGACTGGGAGGTCAATGACTTCGGGCTCGCCCTCGGCCGCTTTGGCTGAGACGACAATCGAAAGGGCGGTATCGAGCTGGGTTGAGTGAGCACTCGAAAGTGGTATCCGATCAAGATTAACCGCACGAATACTTTTACGAGTATCCATAGTGCCGAGACTGACCAAGATCATGCTCTTGTCTGTCAAATATCGATGACCAAAGGTCTTAACAGCTTCGGTGGTTTTGATTGTTGGCCCATTTGATCCCAGGGCATTGGAGTTTCGCTCGGTAAGGGCTGACGACAACGGGGGAGAGGTCGAGGCCACTGAAGCATCCGGCTCGGCATCCAGTTCAGGCATTACACTGTCGAGTCTCTGTGCAATATCGATGTGACCTCTCAAAGCTGCGTGCTCCTTTGCATTCCAGCCTGACGAATCCAGGCGTTCGAGATCAGCTCCGTGGTCGATTAGCAACTCCACAATTGGAAGATGACCGTCAACACAAGCGATGAACAATGGTGTCCATCCGTAAGCCTTTTCAAATAACTCGATATTTGCCTTCTGCTCATCTGTGCCGGCGAGAAGTAGTCTGGCACACTCCACATGGCCGAACCTAGCAGCCACATGGAGCGCCGTATCACCCAGCTCGTCTTGGTGATTGATATCAACCCCTGCTTGTATTAGAAGCCGAACGATTTCAATAAAATTCGCTTTTGTGGCCAAAGCCAAGACGATGGACAATTTGGCTGATCTCCGCTTGGGAATGAAGCCCATACTCTTCTCGGCGTCAAGTAAAGCCTTGGTAGTCAGAGGGTGACCGCCGATGGCGCTGAGATGTAAAGGTGCCCATCCTTCATCGTCCTGCCACTTTGCCCCGTCAATGCCCTCTGCGACATCGAACAATTTCCACGCTCTGAGATGCTCAATGATGATCTCGCACATGACCCTAATGCCGTATTCTGCCGCAAAATGCAGAGGTGTTCTCCCCGCACTATCTCTCGCCAACAAAGCAGGTTGTTGTGAAGGCTTCAGGTTCTCAAGCAGGAATTGCAGGAATAGAATAGCCTCGTCCTTACGCGTAAAATTTTGCACCCGCTGGTCTTCTTGCAAGATCGAACGCTTCAGGGCGGGGGAGGGATGCGCAGCAGGGGTGATAAAGTTGTGGAGATCTGCCTCAGCATCGGCCAGGGGTTCGGTGGCAGGTTCCTGGCTGGCATGCGACTGTTTGCGACCGATCGAAACTATCAGCCGATGGATGCAATTGCGATGATTGATGTCGTCGTGGGCGTCCAGAAAGACAAGGTGACGCAGCAGGCACGCTGTACAGGCCCGACTCCGAGAAGAAATTGCCCTCTGGAGGAGATTGTTCAACAGTAATTGCACGGCGGCCTCCGAGTTTTCAGTCCCGTGTTTTGATATGCTCATGATCCACTCTTCGAGGCTCTTTGCATCATCTTGACGAATCTTGGCTTCGACTTTGGCCAACTGCTCGACAGAAATGTTCAAAGAAGGCCGGGAGGTTGTACGTTTCAACGACCCCGAGGAGATGGAAGCAACATCGTCAGCGGTGTTTCTAGCAGCGGCCGCAACCTCTCCCAGCACAGAGATCCAATCGTTGATTTTGTTCAACGAGGTAAAGAGCTGGGTATTCGTCGCAAACGGCGACGGGTCCACCTTCAGTTCCAGGTATTTCTTCTGCGCATGGGCCGTGGGGATCCTTTTGTCCAACTTCTTTGTGATCTTGATAAAGCCCCTTCTGTTGACTTCTCCGTACCACTGTAACTTTCTCAGATCGCCACGCAGTTCCAAGAGCGCCGCGAGGAGGTCTTCGCCTTCGTCGGCATCGAGCTGCGTCGCAGCTTGCGGAGAGGTTCCGTACCTGTCTTCGAGTAGTTTCAGACGCCGTGAAAAATCTTGGAATTTCTTGTTGTAAAAGTGGTCTACGTCCTCGAGGTTGCGATCCAAGGTGTAGAAGAATCCTAGAACAAAACATGAGTTTCACAACGGTTGATTCTCATCTCAACCCCATCCTACCAGCCAGATCAGGACTTTCTCCGTCTTGCTTCTCTGCTCCTGAGGCAGCGGCCTTGATGAGCTTCTTGAGCACCTTGTAGTTGATGTAGGAGGATGCCCATTCCGGGACTTGGTTTCGAGGCAGATTTCGACCAAACTTCATGGTGTCCGAGATCTTCCTGGCTTTCTTGTTCAATATGGTCCCCAATCTCAGACCGACCTCGGCGGGAGGAAACGCGGGATGAAAGCTAGGTGCGAGAGAGAATAGGAGCCATCGAAAGCACAGGAGAGATCAACTACAGTGGAAGCATGATTCTGATTCGCACACGGAGGACAGCAATGAAGGGATGGAATCGGGAGCACTTGGCCATGCTCGTTGGAGGGGAGGAAGGGAGGAAGGGAGGAAGATGGCTCGAAGTACGGGGTAACACGTGGAAGGGAGGCGATGGCAAAATTTTAAAGCAACGGTGCCCGAGCTCTGTGTCACGCCGCTTGAGCTTTGACGCTTGCCTCTTCGACTGCGGGAGGAAGGATTTTGACTGATCCTGTCGGTTTTGTGCGACGCAGCTGATGACTGAAGTGAGTGAAAAAAAGATGGACTCGGGCAGGAGGGAGGCGTGGTACAGCCGCCAGAATTCATTGGCCCCCGCAGTGGAATTTTCTGCTGCTGTGCTGATTGGCGGATCCAGACCGCCTTCCCCTGAACGTTTGACCGCCAGTGCCGGTACTTAGACGCCGTTGGGAACCGTGGCGAGGCGTCTAAACGTCTAGGGCCTAAGATGCTCTTGACGCCTGTATCTGGTAGATCATGCGCCCTCACAAACCGCGTGTAAAGCCTTGTCAAACCCGATCGAGCACAAAGTGGAAAAGGTTTCCGCACGCTCATCCATAGTATAGCGTGTGATTGTGTGGGGGAGAGAGAGAGAGAGAGAGAGAGAGAGAGAGAGCTGGTAAAACATACTCCCTCCCCTTGCCTGTCTGCAATGGTCCGCTGTATATCTGTACATGCGCTATTTTTGGGAATATCTCGAAACGCCGAATATGCTTGGAGACCCTATAACTCACAGCGTTCTTTCATCTTCATCAAAAAGGACGAGTGAGCCGCTTGACCTTCGTGTCTCGTGACATATTTTTATCCTTTCCGAACGCCCCCAACGCCCACGCAGCACCAGTAATTGGCCACGGCGAAACGGGCAGCAAGCCTGCTAATGATTCCAAGAGCAAAAGGTTCGTCACCGCCCACTCTGTGGGGGTCCACTGTCTTGCATCACGATCGCATCTTCATCGTCGTGGTGCAGTGTCACGCTGTTGAATTCCAGGAACGGATCCGCAATCTCGCCTCCCGGTGTCGCCAGAGACGAATCCAATGGCACCCCTTTAAGTCGACTTGCCGGACCTCCAATGTCAACGCTGCCGCTATCCTTGACTGTTCTAAAATTGACCGTGTCGAGAGCCTTGCCTTGGTGGGGGATCATGGGCGGCTTCATATGGCGGAGAAGAGCCCATGTTATCGGGCGGAAAAAGGGATGGTTTTTGACGTCCGAGGCGCCTGCCCGAGAACCCAGTCGTTTGACCTCGTCTTTGATCAAAAGCTTCCGGATAAGCGACTTGCAGAGGCTGAGAGAGGTCAGCCCAAGATCCAGAGAATATCGCGGGGAATTGCACCTACTTGCTTACTTGTGTCGCGTGCGAATGGTCCGGGAAAGGCACTTCGTCCCGGAGGATGTTTGCAAAGGTTGCGTTCCGGTTTTTGCCTTTGAAAGGGGTCGTTCCAAACAGCATCTCATAGATCAGAATGCCCAGAGTCCACCAGTCGACCGCACTCGTATGTCCATTGCCTTTGATCACTTCCGGAGCAATATACTCTTCCGTGCCGACAAACGAATTCGTCCGGAAGTCGGCGATGCAAGACTTGGTATCAACTAGAGGATACCCAGTGGGATTCGACGCGTTGCGAGTGCCCAAGATCATGGTCGGGGCACCACCGGAATCCGACTGTTTGGACAAATCAAAGTCTGACAACATGATATGGCCTGACTGATGAAGGAGAATGTCTGAGAAAAGAATTCAGCACGCAGAGCGCAGTCAGAGGGTCGAAAGCACTCACTTTCCGGCTTCAGGTCACGGTAGATGAAGCCCATCAAGTGCAGATACTCCAATGCGGCTGTAACCTCTGCCGCATAGAATCGGGCATCTTCCTCGCCGACGCATTTGTTCGGACGAGTCTGCAATGCCCTGAAGAACTCACCCCCGCTACAGTACTCCATACATAGGTAGAGATGATCTTCGGACTGGAAAGAATGATATAGAGTGACAATGAAGGGATGATTGCTCGTGGCCAAGATCTCTTGTTCGGCCAGCGCTCTCTTGATCTTGTTACGCTTGATCATTTCCTTTTTGCTGAGGACTGCCAGAAGTCAGGACACGTCGGTTTGCCCCCGCAGGGCGCAGGGGGGAGGTATCGAATTGGCCGGACAAACCTTTCATGGCATACAGCCGGTTCGACTTCTTTTCACGGACGAGGTAAACCTTGCCAACATCACCCTTGCCAATCAACTTGATCTTATCGAAACTGTGAGGACCCACTTCGACATTGCGGACTTTGATCGAATTGGAGCTGTACGTTCTTCGAAAGGCGACCGACTGGCGAATCTGTCCTGGCAGCGGGATTTTGCCAGGTTTGGGCGGGAGGCTGTGGGTGCTCGAGTCCTCCTGAGGAATCATGCCCAGCTTTGGTGACGAGCCATTGATTACCGCCAGCGGCTCCTTTCCCAATTCTGCAGTCGACGGTCTCTCGGTAGTTGGCTTGTTCCCAGTGAAAAGACCCTGTGCATTCGGGGCCGACGCCACTCTTCTCAGTTTCCGCGCCAGTTCTTCCTTGCCCGCCGTGACCGCCTTCTCTTCCACGGCCGTGCCGTTGACATGGACCTTGGGTGTGTCTGGAGGGGAGGGGGGGACGCTGCCTTCATTGTGGTGGCGCAAGGCAGGAGGCCCTTGATGGACGAAGTAGGGGTTGGCGTGAGCGGTTGGAGAGGCGATAGCGTCGTCGAGGGGGTGTCCCTCGCTGGCAACGGTGGTAGATCTGTTTCTATTCAAGCCGGGCAGGAAGCGTGACTGCCTGACGGGTTTGGATTCCGTCTTGGGGGTGGGCAAGCCGTCGGAGCCTATCGAGGTCTGACTTCCACCGCTGTTTATGCGGAAGAAGTTTTTCAACTTGGTTGTAGTGGGAGTGTGAGCGCCGGAGCCCGGGTCGCCGTTCAGATGCTTCTTGGAGGAGAAGGACAGGGAGGAAAAATTGCGTTTCTCGGTGGTGGCGGCCATGATGCTGCAGGGTGCCAATTCAATGGATCCACAGAATCAAATGTATGCAAGGAGTTGAGCCCTCTGGACTGGGTAGAGAGTAGTATAGAGGGGGGGGGGAGATAGAGAGAGAGAGAGGGCCGGTTCAGGACCGACAGAGGAATGGGGCGAACAAAGAGCGGACTTGGGGCTGTTCTGAAGAGGTGAGGTTCGGATAGAGCGTTTGGGTTGTACGGAGGACGGACAAGAGACGAACAAGCGAGGGAGGATCGGGTGCGGGCAGGGCTATCTGTGGTGCGCCATGTCAGGGTTTTGTCCTCGGATGAAGATGGACGACGCTTGCCCGGGGCAAACGAATATGGTGGTGGTGGTTGATCGCCAGGAGGTTCCAAGTGGTCTCCCTTTTTCCTCGGTGTAAAAAGAAGGAAAGTAAGAACTGAGAGTTAGATTTTTGGGGGGGGTTCAAGGTGGAAGTGATATCGGCTTAGTTAGGTGCGGTGGAGGGGGAAGCAGGAGAGGAAGGAACCTTGTTGGAGAGCGAAGGCGGTAGGCGTCTGGACTGTGTGGTGGTGGTGGTGTTGGTGGTGGGTGTTGGTGGTGGTCGTAGGAGTAAGTAGCAGTAGCAGTAGCAGCCGCAGTCGCAGCTAGCAGTGAGTGGTCAGTGGTCAGTGGTCAGTGGTGAGTGGTTGGTGAACGGTGGAGATTCTGCTGCCCACCAGCCGCAGGCTCGCAGTCGCCGTCGCTCGGTAGAAACCTTGAACGCTTTTTCTCTTTCCCAAGGCGAAACCTTATATCTCCAACCCGTGGAGCGAGGGGTTCCTTTTATCAAGCACCGTTGATGCCGTGGGGTGCAAACAACAGTGCTATACGGAGTAGCTACCGAGTTCTGTAGGTGCCAGGACGGTACCTGGATGTCGACGTGTCTTTGCCTGTCCCTACGCCCCGTGTCTGTTTGTGTACTGGGTAGCCCACCAGGCCGAACAGAGCATTGCCTACTCGGTACATTCCATTCATTGTCACTCGGCCAAGCCTAGCAAGACGAGACACCACACTACCATCTTCACGAGGTTCCATCTACTCTCCCTTGGTTTTGCTTCACCCTGCTCTTCCCGTGATGATAATGTCTCAAATCGGAAGTCCTCCCTCGGCGTATCGTCACTGTGCATACTTGGTATGCACATCAACTCCATCTCCTGCCTTTGCTGCGGTTGATTTCTCAGCACGAGGATTTTCCATCTCGCCACCAGAAGAACCACCCATGGTTACCACCGTCACCAATGGGCCCGATCTCCATTTCCCATGGTCCTATCTAGTCTCGTTTCTTGCTCGACTCCGTCAACTGCCACCTTCCTCACCGTCCCGCCAGCTATCCTGCGTAGGCCTATATCCATTGCCCGAGCAGGAAAAGACAGGACGATTTCAAGTTACATATTATTCAGGCCTATCTGTATTTCGCAGATATCCTGCTGGCATTTGCTCGCTATTGTCGGTATCTTTCTCTTCACTGTGTTGCCTTCCAATGTCACCCAATACTTGAATACATGTGGATATTGTTCAGTTGTTCTCAGGTCGCCCGTCCCCCGATTGATCCCAGGCCAAGGCACCTTTCCACAGTGTCCCCATTATCATATTCACTAGGCCAAGCCCAATGACAACGTTTGTCTTCTCTCTGTCTTCCCATATTCTGTGACACGATACAACCAACCCTTATTAGGTACCAAGCAATGTCACCCACTAGACTTGTCCAATCCCTGTGTTATCATACACCCCCTGAAAAGAAACAGCCCCTTATTCAATCGGATTCCTACCACCCAATTTGTGGCAGACCTTCCATGCCCGTCGAGTCTTTCTTACATTTCCTCCTTTTTCGGAACTTGGGCCAGGAAACCATCGTTGCCTTCCATGGGGACACCGCGAGACTCGTGAAGATATGACTCATAAAATCCCTCGGGAGATAAGAGGACTGGACGCGGCGTCAGACGTGGACTGGCGGCTTTGCTTGCCGCAGAGAGCATCGATTTCGCCGAAAGTCTCTGGCCCTCACTGGTACCATCCAACAAGTGTGGCAGACGGCCCATCGCATGAATATTCTGGATAGAAACGGATGACACGCCTTTGCTGCTCAGAGCCTCCGATCCCGTCATTCGGCCGTTCCTCAAATGCTCGTTGGAGACCCATCCAGCTCTGTCTTCTCCTCGCAACCACATCGAGGGTGAAGATGCCGATGATTGCTTAAGGATTGACACACATGGCTCAGAACCAGCTGAGGGCTCAGCTGCGGACCTGTAGTCTTGGCGAGTAAATCCACGGACAATGTTCTGGCCACTGGAGGTTGTCAGTTTTGATTTCAAGGCGTCAAAGAGACGTTGCAAGGAGCACATACTTGGTCGCATCCTTGGCCACATTCTTATAATCGCTGCTATTACCGTTGGACGCTTCGGAGCTGTGGCTCAGCGACCCTTCTCTGGCGTTCTCTTTCATCTGGCTTTCGTTGCTAAGGAGATACAATTAGCGCGGATCATTCCTCTCGATTCCGTTGCCGGAAGAACATACCTTTCCAACCTGAGAGCTTCGAACTTAAGAGTGTCGACAATTTTCGGAACACCTTCACAAGCTCGTACCTCAACAAAATTGTTCCACATCTCCTTGGTCACGATGGGCTTCTTTGTCCAGTAGCGCTTCTCAAACTCGTCCATCTCAAACGATGGTGGACGCTGTAATCCACGACCCCGAACCTCGGTCACTGAACCATCTGGCAACCGCACTTTGCTCGTTACCCCGGGAGGAAGTCGCATGGCATCTAGCTGGAGCTCATAGCAAGCTTCCACAGTCGGTGGGGCACGACCAGGCTTAGTTGGCAGCCACTCCTCACTTTCTGAGCTGATTTCGACCATCGCCTTGGCCTCCAGGGCCTCAATAAGGTTCTCCTGAGGACTGACTGAATGGGAGCTTGGCTCCGGGGTGATGATGACTGCGTTCTCACCGGAGCCCAGAGGAGAGATGCTGGCTTCACGTGACAATCTTTCCAACATCTGACTCTGTTGGCGTTGGATCTCAGGTGGCGGTGGCCCGAGGCGGAGGCCCCATTCGTCAACCTCGATTGACTCAGTCTTTGATTCAAACTTCTCTTCGGCGTCCTTCTTTGGGCTTGGCAATTCCTCTGGAGGTGGCACAATTGGAATTGGACGACGAGCACTCCTCACATCAAACTTCGGCCTCTCAATCTCGAATTGCATGCCCTTGGGGACTAATCCGTTGCCAGTGCTGGCGGCTAATGTTTCAGGAGACGGGTGGGTCCTAAGCGGAACGTATGTAGCAGCTTTCACATTGAGAGTGCTGCTTGACGGACAAGTGGCTTTTTCCGGAAGCGCTTTAGAGTCGAGCCCCAGCTGCTTCGCCCAGTAGGTCATCATTGTTTTTGCTTCTGCTCGCAACTGGACGATGGCAATGCGGTGATCCCTCAGGGATGGGTCCGAATCCGTCATAGCGCGATGGCGATCGATGGCTTTGAGTTGTCGATCAAGTTGCTCAAAGTTTGCAGTGCTTTCAGCAAGCATATGCTGACCATATACGTTTTCGGGAAGTTGAGGCTCAGTGGGAGTCGTGGTGATACCACACGAAGGTGGAAGACCTAACATCTGGGCATTGGGGACATATGGTATTGGGAAGGCCAGGCCAACAGGGTTGTTGAAGCCGCCCAAGGGCATGGCGCCGCCTGCGTACATCGGAGGATTCTGCACAAGGTACGCATCCCCCAGTACCGCTGCATAATAAGGTGCAGATGTCACAGCTTGCAGGTAATTTGGCTGATGGTGGACACCGTCATAGGCGAAGACATTGTTTGGGGCTATGATATTGGCATTGGTGGCTGTCGTGGTCTCGCAAGCGTCCGCAATCCCAACATTGCCAGACACATAAGCATGTGACTGTGGCAGCAGCTGATGGGCGTTTTTGTCCGTCACAACTTCTTTTGCCTGGCTCTGGGTAGCGCTTGGCTTGGTGACCCCATTTATTTCGTCGCCTGCGTTGCTCTTGCGGTCTGCTTCTGGGCCTTGGTTGGCTTGTGGCAAGGAGAAGACGGGAGGGCGTGTTCGCTGTTCCATTGGCACGATCCGACCACCAGCAGTGACGCGTTGGTGGGTAGGAGAAGAGTGTTTTTTGAGGAATCGAGCGAAGCCCTCGTCTTGCTGGGCACGGCTTTCAGAAGGCGGGATGGTAGGCTGTCGTTCGGGTGCGTTGACGATGCGGTTGCCTCGATAAAGGATGACTTCTTCCTGAGAGCTGCTAGACTCTTGTGACCAGCCACGAGGCCGATCACTGGAAGTTCGTCGATTGGACATGACGCAGGCACCTAGTGGAGGGACAACCCCGGCTGGATTCGAGTCAACATTGTCTGGGCTTGCACTGGAGGCACATTGAGACTCACCCCGAGCTGCGTCGTATGTAAATTTGGACAGATCAAAATTGGCAGGCCTGGATTGAGGAGCAAGTTCGAGCAAACGCGACACGGTGTATCTGCGCTGTCGACGGGCTGGGCTATTTGTGCTTTGGTTAGTCATATTGACTCTATATCGTGTTTCGATTTCAAGCGCAAGTGAGAGTGCAATTGAATAGCCAAGGAGAGACCAAAATGAATTGCCACAAGAGCTTGGGACAACAGCAAAGCCGTCAAGGGAGTCATACAAGGGCAAAGGTGAGGGTGATGCGTGCTGCCTGTTTCAGGGTGTGCCGATGACCATGGACACGAGGACAGTCGCTTCCTTTCTTTCGAAGCGAAAGAGCAAACAGCAGGAAGAGAGGAAGGTGCGAACAAGGTCCATACTCACCGAGCAAGCTTGCGCGGAGGATTTCCGAGATAAACAAAGTGTGCTGTTGATGAGGTTGGAAGAAGAGAAACAATCATTGACGGCGAAATCGAAAAAGCTTTGCACCAGGAGAAATTCACAGACAGGAGAGCAGTGAATGAATGTTTGGGTACCAGTCGTCACCTCGTGTTTACTTTGTTTGAGTGATATTAAGGGTGTGGCAGAGCGCAATCAACAGAGTACTCTGGCACAGTCATTTCTCAGTCATAAGGCTTCATACATGGTTGTGCGGTGCCACTGGAGGCGTGAAAGGGTTGATAGGCATGTCGTCTTCTTCGTAACTTGGTCGTCGCGGCCGCATATCAGCTGGATTGAGGACTCGCCCCTGCGCCTCTTCTGCCTTGGCTTGGTCCCTGAGTTCCCAGCTTCCAACACGTTCATGGCCTCTAGCAGGAGCTGGATAGGCTGGGTCTTCGCTAGCCACAACAACAGCACCTGCACCACCCTTGGAGATTGTGAGATCTTGATCGCTGGCAAGTTTCTTCCCACCTTTGAATCCTCCCAACTCGGACCTGCGTTTGGTGTGGACCCGATGCAATCTCACCCCTCCAAGCAACATCGCCATACCAAACAAGAGAGCAGCCACCGCGAGAGTGACAACAGCCCCAATGACACCAGCCACCGCTGGGGACAAGCCATGGTGGCTGGGAGAGAATCCAGTGGTCGGGTTGAGGTTCCCGTCGGTCCCAGTGAATGCCGGGCAGAATACACTAAAACTATTGCAAGTTGTGCACCAATCCTCCACATTGAATATCATGAAGTTCTCCAGACCCGAAATGAAATCTGCTAGTGTGATGCTCGTCTGACTCGGGCTCAGTCCGAAGAGAGGATACTCCACGAGCGAAGCATAGGGCCCGGTTCCGTTTTGATAGAGGAATCTAACAAAGATATTCGACGTGTCTGGATAGGTGTCGACGCCTTCAGCCTGCAGGCCGTAGAGCTCGAAAATAAAGCTTGCACCCGGCTCCGGGACGTTGTAAAACGCAGCATTCTGGATTGAGACTAAACGAGCAAGAGCGGCGAATGCGACCATGGGCTCGAAGCTCCCAAAGAGCAGAGTCATCTTGTCCGAAGTCCCTTGGGTGTTGATGGTCGTATAGAAGGCTTGAAGGATCCGTGTAGCCAGTGCGCGGCCGGCTATGGCTCGTATGTGGTCGCCAGGAGTAGATCCCGAAACCTCAATATCGGCATTCAGGGCAAAGACCCAGTCATCAGAAAGGATCTTGGCTCTTGTTAGATCTTCCTCGGAAAGAAGCTGTGCTGCGCTAGTATTGTGGATCGAAGCATAGTTGAGGTAATCATAGATGTAATATGCATCATAGTAGCCCACAGATGCGTCCGAGAAGACTCCATTCAAAAATTCTGGTTGCAGACTTGCATAAAACTGTGCGGTGCTGTTTTCAATGCTCTCGAAAGCTTCGGTGCCATAGTAGTCATTTGTTGACGCCACATAGGCGGGGCAATTACTCATCCCACCAACCCAGATCGAATTGAGATCGTTGCTGGAGACTGTATTGATGTTCGGATACTGATAACCATTCAGTGGGGCCACCAGGTTCGATCCATTTTGGATCGTGCTCTGACCAGCAATGTATGTATAGTTGGACGACGTCTGCAGCGGCGGATACAACCCTTGGAGAAATGCTTGAGCTGAAGCGGACACATACTGATCGTCAGTCGACAAAATGGTCAGTTGATCGTATTCAAGCTGATAAGATGCGATTCCAGAGATTGTCGTCGACTTCGCTGCACCGTCGACCGGAACCAGATATCTCTGGCGAACTTTGTCGCCGGCCTCGAATAGTTGCTGAGCACCAAGAGGCGTCAAAGTGGGCGAGAGGGGAAGCACAGACGGTGTCCTATCGCCATATCTATTGAATGTCAGCACAATCCCCCATATCCTTCGGTGCAAATTGAATGTCTAACCTGGTGTAGATGAAGGTGCTTAGGACCTGCTCCTTGAGGAGCGCTTGGGCAGTGGCGGTGAAGCATAAGGCAAGGAGATAGAAACACAAGGTACCGAGGATGAACCTTGGATCCATCTGAACTAGAGAATCTAGCCTAACATACGACAGTAGGACCGAAAGCCAGCTACCAGGACTGACCGAGAAGCAGAGAAGCAGAAGAGAGTCCGAGACCACTGCGGGGTGCGGCGCGCATTATGAGGTGACTGAGGATGAGGCTGCAGGTCAAAGCTCCAATAGCTCGACCAGTTCGACCAGCTTATGACAACATTCGGGCTCGTAAAGCAAGCTCCAACAAGGCAAGCTTACTCACGATAGGGCCGAGTCTCATGATCAAAGCTGAGTTCTGGTAGCTAACATTGGAGGCGTTTGTATGGAACAGGGAGGGAGAGCCGGCAAGCAGGAAGAGAGCCTCCAGAGCAGCGCTTCAGGGAGTGGAGATGCTGCTCAGGTCGGCATTTCGATTCGCTGGGCATCAGCTGCAGAGCTGCGGGAGGCCAACAAGCCTGATAGCTCCTTGTAGCTCCCCTTACTTGCCATGCCGCTTGCCTACCTAGCGAAGGGTGCGGGCGATCAGCGATCTCTGCAAGGCGCCCGAACAGGGATAGAGGGGGGGGAGAGGCCGTGTTCAAGGTCATTGGACTGGACTCCTGTCTGTGCTATGTTGTGTTGTGTTGTGGTGTGTTGTGGTGTGCTGTGCTGTCCTGTGCTATGCAGATGTAATTTGAGGTCCAGGAAAAAGAAGAAGTTTGCGCAATCCGGAGCCCAGAGTACCCAGTACAGGGAACAGACAACAGCGTGCCCAAATGGGCGCAACTGGACGACGTGCTGTGCGAAGAACAGGCAGTACTGGGTACTGTACGAGGTATGTACTAGGCACAGTATGTAACAGGACTCTTGATAGCGATAACGGAATCCCTCGGCCGGCCCCCGGCTTCCTCATCGTGTATAAAGAAATCCTGGAGGCTGGGAAGATGTCGATATACTAACAGCTAGCATCAGACCTAGTAATTTAGGGTTGTAACCCCTCAGTGGATCCCAAAGCGTCTCCGTCACCATCCGCCCACACACTCAAGGCACTTACCCAACTTGCCCAACTCAACCCAACCGCACAAGATGCCCACGATGCCATATTATCCATCCCAACTTTTCCGTTATCAGCACGTGATGGCAGTTTCTCGCACCCGTTGCACCTAGTATGCGAACCCTTCCCAGAGGCAGGCGCCCCAAAAAGGCCTCAGATAAACAATGGCACAACTCTCTTCGACAGATCAGCCTGTGCAGACGCCTAAAACAGAACCTGCGTCCCGCCATGATGCAGGTGAGTATTGGCCGTGCAGTCCATCCGAGCTCAAAGTGACCATCGTTCAGATCGACCCCAACCCCCTTCTGCTTCGAAGTCTCCCGCCGCTCCTGCAGACATTGACGACAATCCGCGAAGCCCCAAGCGGCGACGGCTCTCCGCAGATGAGGAGCAGCAGATAATCAAAACAGAGGTTGACACATATGGCGCCGTAGGACAGCCTGTAGCTGCAAAAGATACCACAACCCGGGGGGGTCAAGATGGAAACCTCGAGACAAACCCTCCTCAGCAACCACCTCTTTCCGCGGATGGGGATCAGCAAGTCGTCAAAACTGTGGTTAAGGTGGAAGGTTCTGAAGGACAGGCTGCGACTGTGAAATCCGCGACTATACCCGGAGGTCAGGATGGAAAACTTGCGACACCACCTCCTCAGCAACAGTCTCCTGCGGCGAACACCCGCCTGGATAATCTGCCTATCCTGGACAAGCAGTCTGCACAACTTTTGTCCTTCCTGTCTCGGTTGACACCGGCCGAAGCAATGGGTTTGTCGAGCGCACCAAGTGCCCCAACCACCAAAGAGTACGCCGCCTTGCGCGCTTCGTTCGATCGGACCAGAAGGTTCCTCAGTCCTGGATGGCCCTTTCTGTCGCCACACGAACTGGGATTGCGCGATAGCAGTCAAATCGAGATCGTCCGCAGGGCCAACCAGGCAATCTTCATGTCCAGCATTTTCACAGGGGAGATAGGTCTTCGCGACATGGACAGGAGTTTCCTCGCCGTGTTCGTGCCCGAAAACGGTAAATTACTGAAGGCACAGGCTTCTATGTACCTCGAATTGAAGACCCAGGGCTTCATTACCGCCTGGAGAACAGGCGCTGCTCCGCCCAACGTTGTTATGGCCGACCTCTTCGGTCCCGACCTTGACAAAGCGCTGTTGGCGAGAAGGCCCGGCACAACCGGCTTGGCTCCTACTGAGCAGGAATTCCTCATCAGGCTTGCGTCCCGTCGTGACATTCTGCAGAGCCATGTCAGGACCAACACCCTGGATCAGCTCCCCTTGAAGTATAAGTGGGAAGATTTTAGCCGAGAAGTGTCCTCATATCTCATCAAGCATATCGAAAACTCCTCCAATTCTGGTGAGGGTGCCTCGAACGAGGGCAACGACCCCACTAGGAGCCTCCATCGAGATCAGATGGAAGGGCAATTCTCCATCCACGGTCCGCCGCTCCCTGTCTCGGCAACCGACTCCATTCTTTCATCAAAACCGCAGATCAGGCATGCGACTGAGCCGCCAGACGAGGGCGATTTTGTGGCGCAGGCGGCGAGGGCTGCAGAGATTGCGCTTCGAAGCACTCTGGGTTCGGCGTATTCAGACAAGATTCCGGAGGAGCCTGCATCGAAGCCCCCGACGGTACAGCACGACACATCTTCGACTCGTCCGCCTGCACCAGTTTCCGAACCTTCAGAGCCTGTCCCGGACACCACTCCATCAAAGTCACCTGCAACCGAACAAAAGCCAACCGCCGAAGAGATTCCTCACGCGTCCCAGACTGCTCCTACGTCAGTTCTGTATGAGAGAGCCCGGTTGGCGGCCACAAGGGCCTCGCTTGCTCTCGAGAAGAAGTCGTTGGCGCCGAGTCAGAGGCGTCCGTGGACCACGGAAGAAGAGAATGCTCTCATGACGGGTCTGGATCAAGTCAAAGGCCCTCACTGGAGTCAAATTTTAGCCATGTATGGGCCTGGAGGCACGATTAGTGAGGCGCTCAAAGATCGAAACCAGGTACAGCTCAAGGACAAAGCGCGAAACCTGAAGCTGTTCTTTCTCAAAAGTGGCATCGAGGTGCCATATTATCTCAAATATGTGACTGGCGATTTGAAAACGCGTGCTCCAACCCAAGCCCTCAGACAAGAAGCCAGGGAGCGCGACAGGCTACTGGCCGAAGAGGATGAGGTTGTGTTAGATGACTTGCCAGGTGAGGGCGACAGTGAGGAACGGCTTGGGGAAGACGTATTTGACTCTACGTTCAATCAGGAGTCACCTCTTACCAATGGAACCGGTCAGGGCACTCCTGCAGACGACTCGAAGAAATCCTTCGAGCCAAGCATGGCAGATGTCGAGGCCATGATAGCCAAGGCAACGGCACAGACGTCGCAGTCCATCCGGTCGAACTAGCCATAGTACCAAAAGGGAAAGGCAGAACTTCCCTCTTGGAGGAGGCTAATGCGATCATTTGGGTATCGCCAAGTCTTGATCGAACTCCCAACGTTGAAGGGGAGGTGGTCATGGTGTGATTGGCCGATACGATGCCTTCTCGTGGAAGCGAGAGCGCCTAAGAGCTGGCATGGATCTGCCCTCGGTGGAGCTAGAGATGTATCTTGGAGATAAAGAATGATCATGTTGTAGACTCCATGACCAGCTTAGATACTTAAGCTATTCCGACTTCCTTATTTTTGACGTCTCGTTTTCTCCCCCGGTGCAATGCAACGGTCGCAAGGCTGAAGCGCTAGCAAGGTCAACCCTCGGCTAAATGTTGACCGACATTGCATCGTGGATCTCCCTGCGACGCCTTTGAAGAGTCTGGGCCTCCACCTTGCATACAAGCGAACACCTGCACCCGCCTCCCCCCCCCCCCCCCAATCAAGACGTTCCTTCGTGTCCCAAACTCTACACAGTATATCGTCACACCACAACTGCTGCGTACATTCTTAGTCGGATATTCAGATGATAATACGACCATGTCATCCCCAGGCGAAGCAACAGGAGGCGACACGGCCCCAAGAGACATTGACGTCGACGCCGAGATGGAGGACGCCACTACCCAAGATGCGACAGCCAGACAGGATGAGAACGCTGATCATGATATGACGACACAGACAGACACACAGCAGCCTGGCGCGACGGCGACAACGGCGTCGGGTCTGCCGCATCATAACCGCAAGGATGTGACGTTGCGAGAGTTTCTGAGCAAAATGGACGATTATGCGCCGATTGTGCGTCCCTCTCTTTTTCACCATGCCCAGTCCCTTCTTCGATTCGAAAGATCAATTCAACTGCTCCTCTTTTATTGACCTCTGCTGTACTGCTGTACTAGATCCCCGATGCCGTGACGGCTCATTACCTCACCCTCTCGGGCCTCCCACCCCCATCTCCCGCCGACCCAACGGGCGCCAGCACGAACACCACCCCCCTCCCACTCGCTCGCCTCCTCGCTCTTGCAACCCAGAAATTCGTCGCCGACATCGCCGCGGACGCCTACCAATATTCGCGGATCAGGAGTTCGAATAACGCAATAAGCGGCCAAGGAATGGCTGGCATGGGCGGGGGAGGCGCGTCTACGTTTACAGGCGGCGCGTCTGGCGGATCTGGAGGCGCAGGCGCCGGGGCAGGTGGCGCGGGAGGAAAGAATCAACAGAATACGACGCTAGGAGTGCAGAGGAGCGGGTATGGCGGGGGAGGACAGGGTGGGAGCGCTCAGGGCAAGACCGTCTTGACAATGGAGGATCTGGGCATGGCAGTGCAGGAGTATGGAATCAATGTCAAGAGAGGTGAATTTTACAGATAACTCCACCAAAACGGTGACAAGGGCAGGCATTGGGAATTGGGGATTTTTCATAGTGGGTTTGTGGTGTGCATAGCGCATGGGAGTCAATGTCAAGGTACTGGAACGGACAACTACTCCATGAACATCGGCTGACAGATGGTTGGGCTGAATTGCAGGACCAAAGGATATCATTCGAGCTTCTCTTCATGGCGCCAGATACGAGCCGGTATGATGGACAAACCAAGACCACAGCTTTTAATGAACCAAAGCGTATGCTCCCCGACGAGTCTTCCCATCATAGATGTTCCAATTGAGTCCGTGTTCATGTGAGGGAGACATGCGCCTCCAGCGTTTTTGCTTCTCTTAGCTTGGGACTAGCTTTTGGGAGGAAATGCCGAAAGCCAGGTATGTTGCGATCGTCGGCTCAATGCGGAGGAAATCTTCGCGTTGGGCGGGTGTCGCATAATGACTTCTGAAGTCCCTTGCCTTCTCCTCGACTCGTTTACTTATTCTTGCTCATCTTGTATGTAAATCGTTTTCTTGTACTAGCGTCCAGTCAGCCACTGTTCTCGGCTGCTCTCTTTTCTCCAATTGCATTGAGAAGGGAAAGGCCTGGGAGGGCGACTTACGGCACAAATTCGCCCAATTTCCGCCCGACCATCTCCTCCGTGATGTACACATCTTGATATATCTTGCCGTTGTGCACGGCGAACTTCAAGCCGACGAAATTGGGTAGGATCGTGGCGGACCGTGCTTGGGTTTTGATGGTCGGGGGTGTTTTGCCGTGGACGACAGCAGGAAGTTCGGGGAAGACGAGGTTCGGGCCTACATATATATCGTTGAGGGCAGTGAGCATTCGATACACAGGTTGTAGAATATCGCCTCAGTCGATCATTTTGGGCAGTGGTAGCAATCAATGCTGCGCTCATGCGCTGGTGGACGGTTGGTTTCTCGTACCTTTCCAAATGGACCGCTTCAAGAGCAGAAGTGTAGCGCGCATCGTTACCGCAGGAGCATGGCCAGATCTTCTTCTCGACTGGGTGCGAACAACGCCGAGAAACAATCAAAAGGCCCTTACGAGGATTGATGGAGGGATAAAAAATAGTATGCGAGTACAGACCAATGGACGGAGTCGACCAGGGAGGCTTCTCTTGCCCTTTTCCGCCAGAAGCCAAAAGCCAGAAGCCAGAAGCCCGAAGCCCGCAACTCACTCGCGACGAATGAATCCCCATAAAAGTCTCTCTCCACATGCGCATCCCAATTTGGATCTCGCACTCGCGATTCGGAATTGAGTCGTGCCTTCTCTCGGTCAGGACTCAGGAGTAATTACTCCTCCTCGTTAATTTTGCGATCCTGGGGGAATTGCCCTGAATTTCCTCCCTTTTCTTTTTCGGGAATTTATGACAATTGGATTTCTGTGCTCCCTTATTTTGCAAAAGTAGGACATTGTCATGACCGCACGACAATAGCCATCGATAACTCTTTCTCTCGCACTTCCCGCCACGGACGACGGACCTCGCGAGACCTTTCTCTCTCTCCTCGAACGACCCTCTCGACCCTTTCGGAACCCGCGTCTCTTGCGAATCGCGCTCTTGCTAGGACACGGTATATCATCATGGCGCAAAGCGCGGTGGGATCATATTCGAATCCGCTGAAGAAATTCAAGTACGATGCGCCACATCTCTGCGGATATCATCGGTAGCATTCGGGGCTGACAAGATTTCCACAGGCTCGTATTCTTAGGTGAACAGAGTGGTACGTGTTAATGACTCCTGCTGGGTGAACCCATCATTGCGAGCATGGGGACTGTCATTCTCACGCAATGTTGCAAAAACGCAGTCGGCAAGACCTCCCTCATAACCCGCTTCATGTACGACTCCTTCGATACCACGTACCAAGCTACCATCGGTATCGACTTTCTCTCCAAGACAATGTACCTCGAGGACCGTACCGTCCGCCTCCAGCTTTGGGACACCGCCGGGCAAGAACGCTTCCGCTCCCTCATCCCCTCCTACATCCGGGATTCGTCCGTCGCCGTCGTGGTGTACGACATCTCCTCTCGCAAAACATTCGAACAAACACGGAAGTGGATCGAGGACGTGAGAGGGGAGAGAGGAAATGATGTGATTGTGGTTCTTGTTGGGAACAAGACCGATCTGGGTGATTCCAAGAGGGAGGTCACCACCCAACAAGGGGAAGAGGAGGCGAAGAGAGCTGGCGCCATTTTCATGGAGACCAGCGCAAAGTTGGGCCACAATGTCAAGGCGCTGTTTAGGAGAATAGCGCAGGCCTTGCCGGGCATGGAAGGCGAAGGGGAGCAGCAGCCAAATCCCCAGAGTAAGCACATTCCCACGTTCCGAGTAGAACGGGGTGGAGGCGCTAACGCGAGCGCGCTTGTCGCAGTGATTGATGTGTCAATAAACAACCAGAAACCGGCCGAAGAAGGGTGCGCTTGTTGATCACGAAGTGGGATTCCGAATTCGCATCCAAGCTACACCTCCTGCTGCGGACGCGCACCGTGGGCTCAAAATGTTGTTGGATTAGCATATGAGTGAGCCCACATCGAGTCCCGCGATCCGGAATAGACGTGTCATGATGTTTCTTGGAGGGCTTGAACCAGAACGGTAAGAATAAGATGCTAGCGAGCATCGCCTGGGAGACCTGCAGTGTGTCCTGTATATGTGGGCTGTGTCTATAGTGCGCTTGTCATGTTAAGTGTGGATCAGCGATCTATGGACAGTGTTCGCATTGAAGGGCGAGTGTGTGACAGAAGAAAATGAGGGCCTTTTTAGCATAGCATGGCGTTTTGGCTGTTAACTCCCAACATAGCAGGAAGGGAAGAGCGAAGGGAACTTCTCGACTAATCATCGAGTTAGCTGGTTGTGCTGGCTTGTGTATTGCCAGGCGAGGGAGAACTGTGGGTGTAAAAATGATATGGGACATCGGTCACTTCAATCTTCAAATCATCATCATCGCCACCGTCACCACCGTCCTCAGATCGTTGTGTTTCGGTCCGCAGTGTACATCGGATCATTCTTCCTTAAACACACGTTGCAATCCTTGCGCACGAGACCTCCAAGCCCTTGCTGATTCTTGATCCCTTCATCTCTGTTAAGAGGAATATGCGTGCACGATACCGCTGACCATGCAGCCATTTCACCCCGTCAAATGCGCCATCACCACGGGCCTAGGTTTTGCACCATAGTCCCGGCTTCGTGGTAGAGGTGAACCGTACTCGGCGCCGATGAACCACATCCCGCTGCGGCAATCTCTCCCGGTCCGTGTAGATGGGCTTAAGAGCGGATCGCTCGTGTCCTATCTCACGGGGATATATACCCATGCCTAATCGAGCAGGGGGCCTATGCGCCGGGTGTCGTCCTCCTTGCAAAAGGAGTATGTAAACACGTGGGACAGGCTGTGAGAGAGTTCCAGATTCGCCACGAACTGAACAGCGACAATCACATTCTCACGGAGATTCCACCGCATCGTGGATCCCGTGACGGTCCCTCCTTTCACATCTTCATCAACGAAATCGTTCAGTGGTTTGGCTAGAATTCATTTTGACAATCGAAGGTGGCGGTGCTGTTTCCGCTCCGCCTTTTTCAAGGCCATGTACATATAGTATCTCGGTCGAATCATGAGAGACAGACTGCCGTGGAGACACAGAGGTCCTCTACTATACTCAAGGCCTGACACAATATACCGGTTTAGTGCCATGTTCCGGAGTAGTCTGTCACTTGTCAGGTCAAAGCCCTTGCTAGATTTGCCGCTATAGGGTCCCTACATCACATTTTGGTCCTCACGACCTCTGGCATAAGAACCTTACACACAGCTGGTGGCATTCTAAATTGCAAACAAGGTTGATGAAAGAGAGAACCATGAATCCCCATCGACAGCGTGAAATAAATGCCGAGGCTCTAATGTGTCTATCAGAGCGGGCCTCTCATCATCACAGATCTACCTACGAGGCACCTAGTTCCAACGTCGAGATCTCGCATGAAAAAGAGCCCCTTGTGAACAAAAGCTAGTCAGGCCTCATAAGAAGGCCGATGAGACATCTTGTCGACTCGCACTCGTTATAACGAAACGTCTCTCCCCCCCAACAGGACCTTTGGTGGGTGTCTCCCTCTCGCTCAGACGCAGGAGACCAACCGCATACGGTAGGTATTGCTAGCGCAGGCAAGAAGGGACGAACCTAAATATTAATAGTCTCAAGTAATAGCCTCTCCAGGGCAGCCTTGAGGATAACGAGATTGGAAGGCAGCTGTGTCCTCAGATGGCGGCGATATGCTACGCTGTGGGCGACGAAGCCAGCAGACGCTGGTCCTAAAATGATAGGCATCGCTAGGGCCGGTACGGGAGAGTGAAGAGCCCTCCCAATAGATATGGCCCCCAGGGCTTACGGACCTACAGCAATATGGAATTGAATGAGCTGTTATGTTGTTAGTCACGTAGACAGCGTATATAAGGTCGAAAGGAAGGGTGGAGCCATCTACGGACCACAGTCCGTCCAAATCTTGACTCTTCGCTTCGAGATGAAGCTCTGCGCTTACGGTTCGGTCCTCGTCCTCCCGGTACCATCCGGACAGCTCGCTCCCTGACAAACACCTGTAGGCTTTGCTCACCATACCAGTAAAGCCCTCTTCCATTTCCTTCGATAACATAGCAGGAAACCGTATTCCTCTTAATAGTATATCATCCTCCGAATCATTGGCCTGAGCCCTAGCTCACCCCTTGAGCAAACGGACACGGTGATCCCTCCAAGTATCTCTTTCCCTGGCTGTGGTCCGCCACACAAGGCCCACCTAAATCTCATGATCGATCTTTGACGCTCCTGCTGGCGCCGGAATTAGCCTGTCATCTCTCCTGCTTTGGCTCCAACAATCCATTCCCGCCAGGATCTCGGCGATCCCAAGCAATTACACTTCCTCGGACCTCCACCGTGTCTAGGGTACGGCCCGCGTCGATATGTCGTCCTTGTCTTGGACAAACCGCAAAGGGCATTCCGTGTGCCGTCGGATATCACACATTTTAACACCACGTATCGTCTCAACTTTGATGTGGCTAAGTATGCAGAGGGGGCGTAACTGACGCTTGGCGGAGGGACTTGGTTCACGACACAAAACACCACAGACGTTTAGGTTGTTGAGAGGGAGCTAATAGTCGATCCATGCTTAGGGTAAGAGGCCGTCCTGGCGGTGGTAGTGGTAGTCCGTAACCCAACGCCCATTGCACTGCGAAGTCGTGATTGTCAAGGTTTCGGATGGGTTTTTTGGGAAGGGAGGTTTTTATTCACTGCCGTATTGTGTAGACATGATATTCATATACCTTGCTATAAACATGTACTTCCTCCAGCTACCATACTCATACTGAGTCGTAAACACAGTGCTTAGCACGAAACATTCGGACCGTTCCAATCACTGCCAGACTTACACTAGCCAGAAGGATCTTTCCCAGCCAATCTCTGAGTAAGGTACCGGCCTGCCCTCGCTGAGGAGATGCGGGACTGTGTATGGTGACCAGCGTTAGTGGGAGATACATACGCAGTCTCGCACAGCAAATCTCGTGTCCCGCCGAATAGGGAGTCGCCTGTAAAATCATATTACAACGACCTATGTGTGATGAACAAATACATATTGGTCCCTAAAGCGGCCCTAGACATGCTTAACTTGCTCCGAAACACTGTTGGCATTGTGATAGAGTCAAATCACATTTTCCCCATTTCTGGCAGCATGTCTGACGTGCACGGTTGCGTGGAGGCATGCGTAGCGACTACTCATACTCGGTAGAGCCTACTGGTCTGATCTGTGAGTGTCTGGTATGTAGTTAAAGAAGGCCATGGTCAGATTCAAATATCGGGTCAGCAGCTATCAACGCATACAAGCGGCCAGCGTTGCGTTCTTTTCGCAACAGAGCTTTGTAATCTATTACAACACGAGGTACTGTAAGATGAGGTTATTTGCATTGGGGTAAACATACTGATAGAAAGGGTACAACAAAGGGAGGAGGAGTGTCGTCAGTCGGCAAGCTGGGACCATTTTGCGTCATTGAAGTGTAACAACAGAGCAGTAGTACGGGGTAGTATGTGCGCATCTAATAATACAACCTCAAAGGGAAGCCTCAAATGGTATTAATTCGTTGCGTCAGCCTCGTTAGGAAGGGATTGGAAAAATGGGCCGGAACGAACAAGTTCCAGGTGCCCGAGCCCGGGTTTAGGGGAACAAATTTCGGGGCCGTGTGTCTCTCAAATACAATTTGTTCGGGGAGGGCGATGCTGCTCCAGGGGCCCCCATTGCTCTTGCGCCTTAGGCATCGTCCCCTGGAGCCTTGTGGCCTGGATGACGCCCATAATGCCCGTAACGAGCAGCTCCCGTGTGTTAAGCTTTGGCCTCTAGCCTCTTTTAGGAAGGCATTGCACGTGCCTCGAAAACTGACAGGAATCTCGACATGAAATTCCCTCAAGCACCCGAACATCGCCATCAGCTTCATCTGCACACCGGCTCCATCTTCTCGCCTTGGCTTCTTTGGTTGGCGAAGAGGAGCTTCTCGAGCTCCTAACTCTCCCTGCGAGCGGCCTGGGCTAACTGGATTTGTTAGTCATTCACCTGACTCGACTTGGGGCCAGCCTGGCGATTCGTTACTGCTCGTCTCCTTCCATCCTGCTCCGCCAGGCCACAGTTTTACGAGTACGAATTGAGGCCTGCCTGGGCGGGCTCGATATTTCTATCATTTCTTACAACACCTGCTTGCTCCCCTACAACCATCGATTGACACGCGACCGCCAGTAGACACTCCACTCCGAGTGTCTCGACATTCTCTTCCATCATTCCACTTTCTCAGTCTGCGCGTTCATTGACGGCTTTCGAGTCGTCAAATGAACCTGCTTCGTTCGCCTCTGTTCCTCTTCCAGACCTTGCTCTTCGATAGGAAGAGAATTTCCTCCTAAATGCCTTTCAAGCCCTTCGCACATCTTGCCCGTGTCAGTGTTGCAAAGGGAATCGCCCATACTTATGCTCCGTCTGTCGTCGCTGCTGGCCAGTCACTAGGACAATTTCAGAATTACCCTGTCACCAAATTCGCAAAGACCGCACAACTCCAAAATGCCTTCTCAAGTCCGTCGGGTTCTGGCGCAGGTGCGAAGGCCGGCTATAATACTCAATCAGGGGGCGGTGATGCTGGGTTAGCCCAGTACTACGCAGCCTGGCAACATGCGCAACAGACCGGTGATGACTCGGACTGGAAGAAGCATGAGTTCGCCCGAAGAATAGGTTGGAAAAATCAAGAGAGGGTTGTGCCTACCTCAAAACATCATCGGGTCGAGTCTTACCGGGCTGTCGACCTTCTTCGGCCCTCTGCCCGCCTCACCGTCTCGCGCGTCAATAGTGAACGAGCCACTCCAAAGATTCAGGATGCTGAGGAAGCTTTTGCGGAATCTGAAGCCCTTGCAAAGGTAGATGAGGAAATCGCAAAAGAGATTGCCTCCCGTCAAATAGAGCACATCGCTCCTCATGATGAAGCGGTCGGTAATCCTGTTGCGAGCACACGAGCCCCGACACCTTCTATTCAAGAGACTGGCGCAGCCGAGTTTGAATCTTCCACCAGCCTCGAGCACACATCACCGCCTACCGATATCACTTCACTTGCATCGGAGGAATCTGCCCTTTCCGACCAGATCGTCCAGCTTGGTTTCCAGCACCGATATAGTGAGATTCCGGCTCTCTTCGAAGCAATCATCAAAGATGGCCATGTCCCGACTGTGGAGGCTTATAATCATATCCTGGTATCCGCCATCAATCTGAGCCATGGCTACCAGCCATGGCCCAGAGCTCTCGAGGTCTACGGTGACATGACGAAGCGGGCTGTTGAACTCAATGGGACATCCTACGTGATCCTGCTACGGTTTTTGGCTGCCAGGAGCCTCGAGGCGTACCAAGTGCAGAAAAATCTTGGTGAACGAGCCACTCGATATGGTAGTGAGGGCGCTTTGGTCTTCCCTTCTGCTACCAGACAACAGCAGCTGTACGCCGCTGACACATCGCTTGCGTTTGCGACCAAGCTGTATAATATTGCTCGGGGAACTCTTGGAGATTTTCAACTCTCGGCCGCAGTATACAATGCGCTGGTCAAAGCCTGTGCCCAATCCGGCATGGTTGAGCATATGAATTCTCTTTTGGCCGATATGAATGCCCAAAACGTTCCTCTCGCGCCACAGTTATACACGGTTGTGATCGATGCGCAGGCCTCGGTGCAAGACATCCACGCCGCCCAAGGCCTTTATGAGGAGTATCGCGATCTCGCCATCAGCAGAGCTGCCAATGACCCTCTGGATTTGAAAGTGTATGCTTCGTTGATTAAGGCTTATTACGCTTGCGGGCTTGCTGAGACTGGCTTACGTTTCTATGAGAAGATCCTTCAATCCTTCAAAGGCTCAGTAAACGAGCAAGCTTTGTCGGATAGTTTGACAAGTTCTTTCGTACTGGATGGCCTTGTTCAGCATCACATTGAAAACCAGGCATACTCCACTGCGATCTCAAGCCTCGATGACTTCGCTCTGTTGCCAGCTGTACGAGATGAGGCGCTGTCAAGAATCTCTACTGCTGCAGCTGATGCCTCAATTGTCGACGAAGCGGTCCGATCCTTTGATGCCGTCAGTCCCACGAACTTGAAGGCCGAGGCCGTCATGGCGCTTACTGCTTTGCATCTCCGGAGTGGTGAAATCAACAAAGCCAAGTCGACTTGGAATAACGCTCGATCTCTTCCGATTGTTCCGAGCACCGACTTTACAGCAATGTACGCCTTGGCATTAATCAGCTCTGGTTCCATCGAAGAGGGTGTAGCTGAAGCTCGGTCAATGTTTCAACGCATCCGCTCCTCGGCCAGCACAGAAGCAAGCCGTCAACTCGCTGTAGCAGAAATCGATGAGGCAATCGTTCTTTTCGGTGAAGCCCTTTCGAAGCAACAGGCCGTGGTCTCTGCAACAACAAGCATCACGTTGTTGCGAACTATGATCGAAAATGGAGGCCTTGTGTCCCCAGTCGCTCAGCATGCGATTGCAAGCTTGGGCCCAGAATGCGTCCACCAACTCAACGCTCAAGATATCGCCTTGGCCCTTCATGTTCAAGCTCAAATGCTTATGTATCACGAAGTCGTGGACGCCGCCCACCCAGCCAGGTTTTCCCATCTTCTGGAGACTGTGCTCCACCGCGGGATTCTTATGGATCCATCAACAGTCCACGTGGTGAGCGAAAGCTTACCCAAAATTGCTACTGCTCGACCGGATCTCCTCCAACGCTGGCATGAGCTTCTTCACCCTGCTTCTCCCACTCCGGTGACATTGCCGCAATCGCCCTTGTCACCACATCCCGCCCTCGTTGATCTGTCAGCGAGCGATGCTTATGATCCCTATGCCCACACCACCGACTACCGTGCCTCTAAAGCGATATCCGAACTGGTTGAGAGCACCACTGGGCGTATCGAAAACCACCTCAACGACGGCCTTTCCCGGTTGAGAAATGTTCGTAGAGCAGGCAGAAATCTCCATTATTCTGCCTACTCCAAGTTGATTACCGCCGCTGGTAAAGCCAAACAACCGAACTTGATTCAAGAGATTCTGAGTATGGCACATGCCGACGTCCCAATGTCTTTGCAGATTCCATCTGTCCGCGCAGGCTGGATTGCCATCTTAGACTCTATGATTGCGGCTTGCTTGACTGTTGGTGACCGTCAACAGGCAAGCAAGTTCCATCAAGACCTTCTGGATATGGGAGCGGCGCCCTCTGCAAATACCTTTGGCATTTACATCACCACTCTTGAAGGTACTTTCGATGAAGCGACCGAGGCTGTCAAGATCTTCCAACGTGCCTTATCCGAAGGAGTTGTCCCAAGCGTTTTCCTCTACAATGCCGTTATTGGCAAACTCGGTAAAGCTCGACGTATTGACGATTGTCTCCGCTACTTTGGGGATATGGAAGGTCGCGGCATCCGGCCGTCATCTGTCACATATGGTACTCTGGTGAACGCTCTTTGCCGAACAAGTGAAGAGCGCTTTGCCGTTGACATGTTTGATGAGATGGAGGCGGCACCCAATTATCGCCCTCGACCTGCACCTTACAATTCCATCATACAATATTTCCTCAATACAAAGCGTGATCGAAGCAAGGTTCTCCAGTACTACGAGCGGATGAAATCCAAGAATATCAAACCTACCTCTCACACCTACAAGCTGCTCATTGAATCGTACGCATCTCTGGAGCCTGTCAACCTCGCTGCAGCCGAATCTATTCTCTCTGAAATGAAGCAATGTGGCCTTCAACCAGAGGCGGTTCACTATGGATCTTTGATTCATGCTAAGGGTTGCGTCATGCATGACATGCCTGCTGCACGGGCCGTCTTCGATTCCGTTTTGCAGGATGGAAATATCCGTCCGACCGACACATTGTATCAGAACCTGCTCGAATCAATGGTCGCCAATCACGAAGTTGGGAAAACTCCCGAGATTCTCACCGATATGGCTCGACGTAGGGTCTCAATAACCCCCTACATCGCGAATACGCTTATTCATGGATGGGCTGGAGTGGGCCAGATTACAAAAGCCAAAGCGATTTATGAGCAACTGGGCATGGACAAGCGTGAGCCCAGCACTTACGAGGCCATGACACGAGCCTTTCTCTCAGCGGAAGATCGTGCAAGTGCTAACGCAGTGGTGCAAGAAATGTTGAAGAAAGGGTATCCGGCAGCTGTCGCTGACAAAGTGCTTGCATTAGTGGGTGGTAACACGGCCTAAAATTCTGACACCAAAACTTCCGGTCGAGAGTGGCGATGATCGCTTGCCTCGAACGCTCCTCCTTTTCCTATGTTGATTGATAATGATACCCGAGGAAACGAGCCATGAATACATGGTGGATCTGTGCATCTTGGCGTTTGGGATCGGTCTGTCCATTCACCGACAGCGTTGTACATGGGGTTGTGTGGCTGGCGCATAAGGAACATGTTCAGCAAGCTCTGATGATTACCTTCTGGCGGAAGTGCTGGGAGGAGCTACTCGGGGCCGGTTTTCCCAGGGGAAACGGTAAAAGGGGGGCTGACCATGTACAACAGAACACCAAAGAATAATCTCTACTCGCTTCTTCGATAGATGATCTAGATAGCCGAGGTTTTGTCTAGATTCTATATGTAGTCCTCCAGATATTGGAGTTGACACGCGGACTACCGGCAAGAGCTGGTAGGAGGAGGGCTGGTGAAGAATCCAACTCTCTATGTTGAAACCTCCCTAAAGATCGGTTTCGCGTCCACTTGCTGTGCACTTGGAACCGTCCAATGCTGCTGCTGCGTTCGTCCATCCATCCTCGGGCTCGAGGTCCCCATCATCACGGGCTCAATCTCTCGATCTTCCATTTCGCCTCGCCACCTTGTCCAAGATCCCCTCCTATGCGTGTATACAAGAAACGGTCGTGGAGTCTACTTTCCCGCCCTTGCCAGAACTCGATCGTCTCTGGAATGATCCTCAGCCCACCCCAGAACGGGGGGACAGGGATGTGTTCCTGGCCTTCGAACCGGGCCTCGACTTCCCTGACCCGTGCTTCGAGGGCAGCTCGGCCGTCGTCCTCGTCCTCGTCCTCAGCCACCTCCTGTCCGGCTTCGGCTGCGGCTTTAGGGTCACCGTCTGCTTTCTGCTGTGTCGTTGCTGTTGTTGATGATCGAGGCTCCAAGACGCTTGTCTGCTGGCTAGCCCACGCCCCAATCCTCGAACCCCTAGCCCTCGTATCAAAATATAGCTGACTCTCCTCAGCACTTACCCTCTCCACCACGCCCTCGACCCTCACCTGCCTCTCCACGGGCTTCCACCAGAAGCACAGACTTGCGTTCTTGTTCGTGGCGATGTCCCTGGACTTGCGGGACGTGCCGAAATTCGAATATATGACGAAGCCGCGCGCATCGAGCTCCTTCAGGTAAACGATGCGGCTGGACACACGGCCGTTCGGCAACGAGGCTGTGGATAGATTCACGGTTTCGGGCACCGCGGCCTGTAGCAAGGGGTCGCTGAACCAGGAGTGGAATTGGACGAATGGGTCTGGCGAAAGGTCCGAACGGCGGAGCTTGGAGTGGCTGAATTGAGCGGCACGGGGCGGCTGGTCGCGTTGGAGCCCGTGGGAAGCGTCCGAAACAGGATGGCCAGGGGCGACTGGAGAGATGAAGGGCGTTAGAAGCGGTTAGATGTCTGCGAGCGTCTCGTGGCGACTTGATTCGCCGAGAACGCGTCCAAAGTGGGATATATGTTTTTCAAGTTGGAGAAGTGCCTCCTGTGCATATCGTGTCATATCAGGGAAGGTCTTGAAAGGAAAGACAACGATGGCAACATTTCTTCTATTTGCAACACCACTTTTCTCTTGTCCCTCATCTATTGTGTTGGGTTGGGTAGAAGTGGGGTTGGGACGTACATATCAGCTTGCCCTTTGGAGGCTTGGGAGGAGCTGCTTGATGAAGCATCGCGACGGAGCCGGGTCGAGGAAGAGAAGAAGAACGGGCTTTGAAGGCTTGCGATAGCATGTGACGAAGGGTGAGTGAGTTGTGAGTACCTACAGGAAGGCAGCTACATCGAAATATGCCTTGGGCACCGATCGAGGTGAATGACGGACCGGACCGAGGAATTCGTCATTTGATTCTGATGCGCTCGCACCGCCGAGCCTTGTACTCGGCGAGTCGGTAGAGACGCACGTGAGCTGCCAAGGCTACGATCACGTGGTTGGTGATGACGAGGACGGGGACTTTCGGCCCCCTTCAATTCGCGTTCCACCTCCACCTGGCATCCATCTTGTCCATCCTTCTTTCTCTTCCCCACCATCCAAGTCTCAAGATCACGCACCCAACTTGGAACTCGCCAACCTCAACAGCACCAGTGGCAGGGCATCAAATCAATCCTCGTGTTTCAGCTCTGTATTTCAGCCCGATATCCCAAACGCTCGGACACGATTCACCGCAGCCTATCCCTCAACCGTCTCGCTGTCTCACCATATTACCCAAACATCTGGCAGCCGTGTTTGGGCCTCGACCAGCTGTTCATTCGTGGCGCAGGCCTGTTCCAATCCTTCCAATCCATCCAGATCCCGGCCCAGCTGGCCTTTTGCCCACGCAAGTCAGGCACCTGCATCCGGCCTGCGGCTCACCCCGAGGCTGTCTCGTGTCCCCTTTGTTTCTGCGACGTCCCCCCTATCGCAGGGTCTAGGCTGTCCTCCCTCTAGGCAACTAGCGTCTTATCACCCTATATCTCAGCCTGTCTCTTCCAACGACTCTTCTTCCATATGCCACCCACACTCGAGAAGATCGATACCAATCCTCCCCCATACACGGCCAAACCCAAGACTACCATGGTATGTTATTCCCCAAGCTGTGTTGCCGTATCTCTGGGTCGAGCCTCCTCCGCTTCAAGCTGCCTCAATTTTGAGGAACACGTCAGGGCTAACCTTGGCACGCCTGACAGACTCCCGTCACCCACAAGCACATGTCCGACGAAGAGGTCAAGGCATACAAGGACGTCTTTGCTCTGTTCGTACGTAATCACCTCCTGATTCGAACAAAGGCATCCAAACTTATTCTTCTTGTAGGACAAAGATGGAAGTGGTAAGACTCATCTCGCCTAATCTGTTACGTTCTTCCTGCGGCGGAATTTCAGCCTTGTGGCGGGGTCCATCCATTCAATGGTCCAGAGCCCATTGTCTGTGCACAAACTAGTGACCATATTTGATGGTTGGGAATCACAATGCCACCGAGGTCTGACATTACGATGGACTAGGCACGATCACGGCGCATGAACTCGGTGAGATCATGAAGTCACTTGGCCAGAACCCCTCCGACTCGGAGTTGCAGGACATGGTAAGATTGCCCATGTCTCTGGTTTCAAAGGTCGGTATAGACTTTGGTCAACCCATTAATCCATCGCATTGCAGATCAACGAGGTCGACGTCGACCGCTCCGGCAGCATAGATTTTGAAGGCAAGCAAGCCCTCCCTTCAATCACTACCTTCCTTCTGCTTCCCATCCTTCCAACTCCCAATGCAATCAATCTGACAACATCCGTAGAATTTCTCAAAATGATGTCCACGACCGTCAAGGCGCAAGACTTCGCCCATGAGACCCGCGCCGCATTCAACGTCTTTGACAAGGACGGCTCTGGGACCATCTCTGCCGATGAACTACGTCAGGTGATGAAATCCCTTGGGGAAAACTTGACGGATGCCGAGATCGACGAGATGATTCGTGAGGCGGACAAGGATAATAACGGAACAATAGATTGTACGTGTCCCCCAATGCTCCCCCACCTTACCCTGGCTGTCCCTCCTCGAAGTTTCCAAATGTTCTTTCTAGCCTCCTGCATCAAAGAGTGAAACAGGATGTGGAGGCTGGCGGCGCCAAAATGGAAACGGCCTGTTGCCCAAATGGCATGAGCTGCCAGGTTGCATTGTTTGAAATGACTGGGCTTTTGAAAACATTAAATGTACCATGTGCGCTAATGCCTAACCCCGTGGCGCAGATGAGGAGTTTGTGCAGCTTCTATCGCCCAAACCATGAACAGAGCACAGGCGGAATCAACAAGTCTATGTCTCAACACTGCACAGGCTGTATCCGCTGCTGGCGGAGACGATACACGTAGCGACGACGATATCCAATGTATGACGGTTGAGATCGACACCTTTCCCAGAACACGGCAGCACCACTGCAAGCTCATATCCCTTCAGCGTATTTTGAACACAGTTTTCCACGCAACGCCTCCCCCGTTCACTTTGTTTTGTCCAAGATGGAGAGTGACGATTTGGCCAGGCAAGTGGTGGGAGAGTCTCTTACCACCTTTCTAGATGAAATTCCTAGTTTGCGGCGATCGTAATGGAAGCGGGGACTTTTGTGCGAAGGATAGGTTTCAGAGACTAACTAGTTATAACGGCAATGGAAGAACGTTGAAATCTAGTTACATTCTGTATTGATGTCTCCTCTGGCGACACATCGAAGCTCTGCCATGTAAAACCTAGAGGAAGAATGGTTTCCTTTTATCATCTGTTTTGCGTAGCGGTTGAAAAATCATGGGGCTCTACAGTGTTGAAACGATTAGTTCGTATTTCCGAAGTTCTTACAAATGGACTCGAACTCGAACTCGAATTTCACTTGAGAAACATTTCTGCTTTGTATTTAGTTTAGGCTCGAGGAGCCACACATCATGTGTGTGTTTGTGTGTCTCTACGACAACCCACCACCCACCCATGCAAACACCCATCTACCCACATTCCAAGCTCCGTGCAAAAGTATCTGGACATACTCGAAAGCAGGTCCTAATCCTCATCTACACTGAGCACTCACTGTAGAGCAAGAGTAGGAGCAGGATTTCCATGTCCCAGGCCCAGGTTCATTTTCAAACCCCCGCAAGTTACGAGTTGTTTCCTCTGTCGCAGAGAAGCTTCCAACCTCTTCTTGTTTCTGGAACGCTCAAATGAGCATGTGAGGACAGAATCAGAAGAGAATGGTTGGCAAAGTTCTCAATCGTTGCCCCGAGGCCATATTGTGCCTTCAAACTTGCATCTGCAAGTCATTGTGGAATGAAACTCCCGAACAAATACAGTACTAATCAGATTTCAAGCCATTATTTCGGAATTTCCAGCGACCGGTGCACTACCAGCGTCGGGAAAAAAAGAAGAAAAGGAGGCGATGTTGAGTCCTCTTTTCAAGGAGGGTCGTCTTTTGTGCCATGACCTGACTTCTCGCCTTGCAGAAGATGCCGTTACAGAAAATGTTCAATCAATGTGCCTTCGATGCTTGTCTCGACCGGGGTCCGCCTCTGTTTCGATAACTTTTGCCGCCGAAAGAACCTGACGAGCTGGGCGGGCCGCTTCCAAAGCGTTGCCTACCGCCATGATACGGCGCCGATGACCCTCGCACGGGCAACTCCTTCTTGATGGCTTTTGACGAACCAGGGAACTTTATAAGCGCGAATTGGGGCCCGTTGGAACGGTGCCGCTCGACCCAGTTAGTGACCATGAAGGGAGACACTGACGTAACCTCAGGTGATGGAGCCACTGCCCTTGAAGCAAAGAACGACGACTTTGGCAACATGGGCGTCTCCAATGGAAACTTGATGGTCGGTAATGAACCTAGCTCTCTGTCCTCAAACAGGTCATCCTCGCTCTCGACAGCCTTTGTTGTGACCGATGTATCGTTGGAAAATGTTGTAGGCCCCACTTCAACAGGGAGCGATACCGAGGCAGCGGGAACTTGCATATGTTGAACGTCAAGAGGCTCTCTAGTCGACGACGCAACTGCAAGAACTATTCCAGCAGGCTGAGCAGCTTCCCGAGCAGGGGAACTCTTCTTGCCTAATAAGCCGTTGAATCGTTCTTGCCACGAAGGATTCTGCACAATCGGAGTGGAGACTGCTCGGAGTGGTGCTGGCGGAGGAGGAGGTGCTGGCATTGAGACTCTTGCTGCCCAAGTCAGTGGCGTAGTTGAAGCAAGTTCGGGCTGAATGTGCACAGGGCTTGGGGGTGTGAGTGGCATAGCCGGCGGTAATTTGACAACAGGCTTTTGCGGAAAGTGCACTACTGGTCTGGTGAAGTCTCCGTCGAAGGCAGGGTGAAGGCTCGCATATTCCTCGGCTGGGGGCGGGGATGGTGTTCTCGGCGGTTCAGGATGGCTATAGGTAACTGCACGGCGATCATGAAGAGGATGATGCGGCCCGATGGGTTGAGGGAAGAACCTCGATCCACGTCCAGGAGGTCCATTAATCACACGTGGGCCGACATCCGTCGTAGGCAACGATCCTACGGCACCGAATACGTTGGACGCTGGCACGGATGACTGTGAGACGCCCGAAATTGATCTCTGTGCTTGATCGCCGACCTGGACCTGTCTCCAGGTCTCATTGAAGGTGTAGGCAGGGCCTTGCCGAACACCGGTCCGTATTTCTTCCTCCCGCCTGGCCATCATCTCCCGCTGTATTTTCTCACTTTCTGCACGTTCTTGCTGACTTGCAACCGCATGGAAGTTGTTCCAGGCGTCCACACCGTTTGGCCTCTGCCCGTTGGGCAGGCCGTTCATGCCAGGGTGAACTTGTTGAGACTGAGGTGGAGCGATAGGAGCAGGTTTCGTCGTGGGAAATAGCGAGTCGGCCTCGCTATCGGCCGCTAGCGGCCCCTGATCTGGGGAGGTCACTGATTGGTACGAGTACGATCGGTTATCTGCGAGAATGTGGTTGACGTGTTGAATCTGCGGCGAGCGGCCGGAGTGAGGCGTTCGACCATTCATCCAGCCCGCTGCTGTGGAAGACGTCCTAGACAGATCTTGTGGCGAATATCCTGCCAGACTTTGATCGAATGTGCCATTTCCGAGAGCCTTGTTGTTAGGCAGACCCCAGAGGTTGGCCGTCTGGGGTGGACGATGATCATGGCGCACATCTCCCCATCCGCTTCTTGCATCGCTGACGACTGCGCTTGGTTTCGGTAACTTGGGGCTCGGCTCAGAAACGGCGGTTGGCTCTTGACAACTCGTTCGTCGCGTATCTGGTACGGTCCTGACGCCATTTACGGTGGGAGAAGGAAGCTGTAGTGTCTCCTGTTTGGGCTGATCGGCTGGGCTCGTTTCGACTTTTTCTCGAACGGGTAATCTCTGCGACTCCGGTGGTCGAGGTAGCGACGTTGCCATCTTTTTGATCGAGTCCAAGGGATGCACTTTCATCATGCCGTACTGTTGCGGTTCGCCAGAAGCCAGCGGCTGAGGTGGTTTGGGTGGAGAGTGAGTGGTAGTTGCGGTGGTGCTCACAGATGGAGCAGTGACCTGCGGTGAGGGCTCACTATCCTTCTTCACTTCATTTTCGGGGGCTCCTTTTTCTTTCGCCGCTTCCTCTGACTTTTTAGCAAGCTTAGGGTCGGGTCCAAGTGACGCCAGCTTCAAACGAATACGCTCTTGTTTTTCGGCCTCCAGCCGTTGCTCTTCTTCTATCTTGCGCTTTCTGGCCCGTTCAATGTTCTCTTTCATCAAAGCTCTCTGTTGAGCTCGTTGAGCTTCAATGTCAGCATCTGTTGCGGAGGTAGCGCCGACAGACATGTAGTCGCCCATTCCACGAACCTGATACGTCGGTGTCTGAGTTGCAGAAAGAGGACCATCTCTTGAAGTTGGTCGAATTGCTGATTCGGCATCATATCTCTGGGCGTCAACACTTGGTGTAGGCAACTCGCCCGACTTTATGGACATCCGTCGACCAAACTGCCCGCTGCCTCCAGAAATAGTAGACGACGCCCTACGTCGTGCTTGGTCGGTGCTTGTTCGATTGGTCTGGAAAGCCGGTGAAGGTTCTGCGGGAGCGTGCACATCAGGTTGGTTTGGCCTCTGCAACACAGCAGGCGCTCGAAAACCTTGATCATTCCTTGACATTCGTCGTCGGGGTTCAGACACGGCTTCATAGCGACCAGATCCCGGCACGTACAACTCTCGTTGCTGACCTGGTAATGAATCCCTCCATGAGCGGTTGAAGTCATCCGCGGAAATCTCTTTGGCCGGCGACGGCGCCTTCAATGATGATGGGCTGTGCGTGTATGCGTGGCTAGGAGGAAATCGGCTTGATGGCGGTATTGGCTGAGGATTGATTGAAACTGGCGAAATCTTGTCAACGGGCGGCAACGGAGCCCATGGGGATTTCGCAGGGGCAGGCGCCGGAGTCGCCTTTGTAATGATTGACGGCCTTTCAGCGGGGCTCCTAGCTTGAAGAGTCGCAGCCTTCTGCGCCTGTTGCCTTTCGGCACTTGCGCCCAGTTTGAGAACGGTCGCGTTAGGACCGACAGAACTTGCGAACTGAGGTGCGGAGGCCTTCGAGGAAGTGGCTGGCGTTGACTTATCTCCGGATTCAGACGGAGTCGCTGGTTTCTCTGAGGTTTGAGGAGTGACATCGGCATGAGTCAGTGTGCTCTTGGTGCCGTCATTCCACTCGATTGTTTCTGGAGCCCAATCGTCTTCGTCGTCATCAATGTCTGCCCACTTCGCCTCCTTTCCTTCACTGTCTGCTTGAATTCGCGAGGTCAAATGGATTCCGTACTGCTGCTTAAGCTCTTCGTCGGTCAAATGTTTCGTCGAAGGCTGCGGAGTAACTATGACATGATCAACATCGGCTGATCGGAAAGCTGGCGGATAAGGCCATACCTCTGTTTTTGTTCCACACCTGCATGGGGTCCGGGCTTGCGCTTTGATAGGGCTTCGCCTTGGACTGTAGCGAGCTTGTGGTTTTGGCGACTAATCGTGGACGGCCTGCCTGAGCAAGGGACGAGGCTGAGGAATGGGGTGTAGAGGCTGGATTCGACATTAGTTACAACGTGTGAACAGCAACAGCGCACGTACTTTTCTCATTAGCTTTCGCCGCGGCGCTCGCGGCAATGACCTTGGGGACCGAATATTTTGCAAAGCTGACAGGTTTGGCAGCGAATTTCTTGAAAGGTTTGGGCTCTGTGACTTTGTCACCGGCTACACTCCCTTCGGCGCGGCTGGTATCTGTGTCTGAGCGGGCAGAGCCATCCTCGAGTTCTTCCATTTTGAGACTTGACACGGTATGGATTCCATTCTCTTTTGGCGCAATCTCTGCTTCCACCTCATTGCTATCCTTGCCAATATCGTCCCCAGACACTTTGATATCAGGTGTGGATGTGGTCGCAGGTGCGTCGGAAGGCGAGAGATCGCCCACCGACTGAGATTGGTTTACCACATCTTGTGCTCTCTGCTCTGCCATAACAAACTCGGATCTAGAGAAGGGCAAATAATGGTCAGGTTGACTGGTTGGTATTGATTTCGGTGGCGTGCGAGTACCTGTTACTGCGCGTAGTCTGCCACGGTAGCCAGCCTGTCGGTTTTGCCCGATAACGCACGATGGCGCTTTGAGGTCGCGGGAGGGTCTCGGGTACGGGAATCAAGTAGAAGGGGTAAAGAAACGAATACAACACCTCAAAGAGGGGTACGAGGGTGTAGGAGAAGAAGAAACGGTGGTTGTTGAGTCAGTTAAGATAGGAGAGGCTGCGCATTTGAAGTCGACGGCCCGTCTGTCGGGGGCGCAGCAACCTCGCCTTGGCATTCTACGCACCTCGCCGTCAATACGGTCCTTTCCGTCATCCTTAAACCTCTTGCAACCTCATTGCTATTTGCAAGTCTGCACCTACCATTTGCTATCCCGATGCAACCTTTACGTCCTAGGCTTTCATCATGGCATCCTCATACTCATCCCCGAAAACGCCCACCTCTCCTCCATCCGAAACCTCTATACAACAAGGAGCCATGCCTGCACGCCATCGGTCAGCTGGGCGAAACGTACACATCTACGACTTGAAAGATCCTACTACCACAATTGGTGGCCTACTTCTCCTACCCGGAGTCGCAAATGCAAACCTCTATACAATGATAGAGATCATTATTATATTTGGAAGCGATTTCTCTCTACTAGACGTGAATGAAACGAAGATAGAGAGAAACAGCCATCCAGTTCAACCCGGAAACTATCATATTGTTGCTACTCTTCCTTTCCAGCTTAATGACGAGTAACCCATCAGTCGAATGATTAGTCGAGCTACCGGAAATCGTGTTGTCACCTTCGCCGAGGCCGTTCATTCATAAGATCGTCAATGTATCATATCCGGGGACCCCATATCTACATTCAATGAAGCTGATAACTAGGTTAGCTTTGAGGCTGCGCATATTTCCTACTCGCTCACGAATTCCACTGAATTAGTTAGAACTACGCTCGATGGATTACAATTCAGCCAGTAAAAGGGGGATCTATTAACTCGGTACAGAATGGATTATTAGTTCGCTCCGATGTACCGAGTACATTAACTATTTGACTTATATGATATCTCGATCAATCCGGATGACAACTACAAGATTATCGCCTTTCAGCCTTCAACGAAAAATCTTATAGCCAAGCATCTTGATGGGGAGTTATTTACTCGCCCTGATGCACCCATTGATCAGCTTCTACGATGGCACTTTCGGCAGTCTGTTTTAACGAATATGAAGGGTGCTGGAGAGCCGCGCTTCAAACATGACTTCCCGCAGGTGAAAGAATAGAATTTGAGCTGTTCAGCCGTCTCGGTGCTCAAATGGAGTTGTTTCCGTCGACAGGTGAACATTAGGGGGGATAGGGGGCCGACCAGGAGTGCAATGCATAGAAGTTTGCTGCTCTACCAAGTCCACACTCGCACCACTCGGTCATTTGTAGTATTGCACGCTTACATCGCCAAGCGTGCAGTGGCAACAAACAGAGCATTGCATTCTCTGAGAGCCGCAATCAAGAAATGATATTTGCACTTCCCTGCGCTTCACCAATTGCGGGACCCACGCGAACGGAGCTCACCATAGCTTTGAACTCCAAAGACGGTGGAGAACATGGAACTACTTGTGCAAAAGGGACACGAAGGAGAAGCGATCTGTAGAGTGCATGGGAAGCAAGGAATTCTTGATAATGCGCCTTTCCGCGAGTTCAACTGGTTTATTTCGACGTTATGTACAATGTCAATGACCTAGAATCTCCCCCCTTTCAGTGCGATTTGATCAGTGGGCGTTGTTTTTGTGGTGTCCTACACGGGCAAGTCAGTCAGCAGCACCTCCAATGCTTTGCGCTTTAGCACATACTCAGATGGAAATAGTACTCCATGCTGTAGCCCATTGCCATGATTCCGAAAATGACGTGCCAGATGGCTGTTACCACAGGATTAGCGATTCATCGATCTCTTTGTAAGTATTATACCACGCGATAGGCACGTACGAGCTGCTGACGGATTCTTGCCGAAATATTTTGCTTGATACCAGCCTAGCGGTCCGCTCGGTGCTCGTTGTGGTGCAGATCCTTTCGGAAGCTTTTCGTAGAATTTGGCTATTCTCGCCATCCGTACGGCATTTTTGGCAGCTCCGATAGCCTGTACTCGCTTGTCAGGCCCTGTTCATCCACTGTGGTCTCTTCGCGAGTGGTCTCAAGCGATTTAGGTAACGGGGGACAAGCTACGCTACCCAATCGCTTCATGCGAAGGAAATTCGGTAGGTAGGTTCAGTGGTCGACTGCGGGCTTACCTCTGGGTTGGCAACCTATTCAATCCACGTCAGTGGAAGCAGTACAGACAGGATCAAAGTCGAGGTTTACCTTCGGAGGAACCAGGGTTGACACGGCTCGGCGGATGACGAACGACATTTCGAGCTGTTCAGGTTTTTGGTCAGTACTGTAAGCGCCAGATGTTTCTCGACACCTTACATGCGTCTCAAAAGCCTCCGGTAGTCTTGTAAAAGGGTGCTGAAGCTGTTGAATGAACTGATCCTGAGACTAGGAGCTCCTTCGTCAGGATCATTGCCAACCGATGCGCAGCCAAGACGCCTGCTTTGGCAACTTAGCCGAACCAATGACACGATTTGCTCGTTGGCCGTTCTTGGCTGTTTTCAAGGGGGGGTGACAACGGTTGTTCTTTATTCCTCTCGCCACTACCAAGGCACCTCTGCATGACCACAAATAATCTACCACACCACAGATTCCTCAGCTATTGCTCTAGAGTATTTGCATGACATTAGCCATCAAAATACACCCTCGTCTTGTGATGACCTTTCCGTCCATGAATGAATATTGCCCATCCATCTCTATGGTGACCAAACTTTGTGCTGACCTTCGTCCCAGTCCACTTCTTCCCCTGTTTCCGTCCCAATATGTCGACTGGGTAAGCAGTCATGGCAACGTCTCTGGGCCTCGAGGCCCGGGTAATGTGCGGGGTAACTGGTGTGGTGCAGATTGGGGATCTCCTCGCGCAGACTCCTGTGACTATACATCGCTCGTGTAGTTGGAATACCAATGACAGGTGTCTGTCTTGGAAGGCTTGCCTTGCGAGCAGGGACGGGTGGTGGCATCAATCTTGCAGGAGAAGCTAGTGTTTCGCTATTGACCGGGCCACTTCGTTGAGATGGACCCGTGCTGGAGATGCGGTTTGTACCTGTCCTTGGAGGGAAGAGCCTCGGGAAGAAGTGTTGAAGAGGTGTCCGTACCATGGGAAGATTGGCACAAATAACACCAAGGCCGGCCTCGATCGTCGTCCAAATTGTTGATACAAGAGAACCAGCCGTGATGTCATCGCCGTAGGCCGAAGAGTACAGCGTTGTCAACCTTGAGATCGATGCGGCGCAGACAATCACGCCCAACCCGAATATACAGGTCAGAGCCAATTTCTGCCGCATGGGCAACTTGAGTTTGAATATCACGGGCGGCACCATTAAAACAAGGAGGAAATCTGTCAAAATGTTGTACACGGCGTTGCTATACCACAAGGCATAGATGTCGACACAACTACCGTCGATCCTCCAGCGCTCCCATGCTCGTGGTATTGGATTGCACTGAAGAATTGTTGCGAGAGTGAAACTAATGCAAGCACAAAGCACAAAGGTGATCAAGCTCCAACAAGTTCGAATAAACCAAGGGCGATCGGTGAAAATGCGGAGATATAGGAAGAGCATCGACAGCTTGGTGCAGTTCATGGTAAGCTTGTAGAGTATTTGGAGGAGAAAGAAACACTGCCACGGCAAGGTCAGTGGTGCTGGCCTGGTTCTATGAAGTCGGGTCTTACCTTCAGGGCTTGCGCAGCTTGGCTTCTGCTGAGGAGCTCGAAGGGCCGGCCATATCCATGGTTCACTGCGGCAATGGAAGCACCACATTGGATCACAAGGAATATCTGCAAGATGGTGAGACCGAGCTGAATATACTTGAAAATATCAACTCACCAAAGCCAGAATAGTTGATGCATCGTCGAGGCCGAGTTTGCCCAGCATCCTCATACGCCAATAGATCCGGTTCGCTACAAGAACGAAGGCTAAAATGGGTGCAATCATCGACGGAACGACCAAATGAGCTCCCCGTCCACCTAGACCAACAGTCGTGAGGGGGCAGTCCGGGTACGGATCTGCCGACATATTGCTACTGCGGGAATATTTCTGGCGATCCGGCTTACTCTTTTGAACAATGGAAGTTGAAGCAGATCGAGTTCGATCAAAGTCTCGCGCTGCTGCTGATATAAATGCTATGTTTGTATCGACCAGGACGGTCTTCTAGGCACCTTCGGCAGGGACACGGCTGAGCCGTCGCGGAAACTGGGTAGAGATCGGATAGGGAAGGGATATGACCAAGCAGCAATCAGAATCAGGCCCCGGATATACCCAGACAATGATGAAAAGCAGGCCAGAGCTCACACGAAGAACAGGTCTCCCGACAGAGCCGTCCCTACAAAGTCAGCGTTTCAACACAGCTCCTGGAGGACTGGCTTTCATTTCTTTCACCCTACGTTGTCGGCCAGCGAGAGATATAGAGTTCGTCTCCAGGTGTTGTGGGGCATGTCAAATGCATGCAAGTCGGCCGTTCTGCGCAAATGGATATACCATGGGCTGCCACGCGAGAGTTGACGTGCGGGATTGCCGGTTACCTGCATTTAAAGTATTTAAAACTCTTTGAATCCATCCCGTGCGTCAGAAGTCAGGATGTTTGTAGAATGTTTGAGAGCAGGCGGATTAGAAAAGGTATCCTCGTATCCACGCCACGGGTCCATTCATGCTCGAAGTTTGCCCCGACTTGCGCTTTGCAAATAGGCCTAATGCCCCATTGCTGCAGAGGTTGATGGAGGCAGGGAGTTTGAAGATGATTGAGCCTCGACGGGCAATGCATCATGGATATCGATGACAGCTGCAAAACGGTCGAGAGGACTCGAGAATGAATTGCACGCCACGCAGGTTGCCGTGGGTTGCGTCGTACAGGTACACTCGCACAGCCCGAGGATGTCATTTTCAATCGGGACCAGGCTGTGCTCAAAAAGGCCAGCAGAATGAACGAAAGCCAAGGGGCCGAGTTTGGCGCATGCAGGTCCAGTTGCTAGGTTGTTTCCAAGATTGACACGGGTTTTGCATGGTTGATGAGCTCGGCTCGAAGTTGAGCGGGAATCTCGACGTCACTTTTGAAACATTCCCAATCGCCAGAGTTGGAAACTCCGTCTGGCACAATGAACCTGTCCATCAGCGCTCACTTCTGGTACATAAGACAAAGGCAATCGTGATGGACTATATCCCGGCTGTCTGCTTTTCTTGTACTTGATGCTCCCCTTGTCCCCTGTCCCTTGTCCCTTGTCCCTTGTCCCATGTCCCTTGTTCTATGCGCTATATGCAGGCGGATTGAGTCCCTGAACGGGCTGGGCACGAGGAGGGTCCCCTCGCTTCATGAACTCCTGGCCACAATACCAGGACGGGATCACAGAGATCGAGCTGGTAGGTGGCATTGCGAGCGGCGAGGAGACGAATATGGCTCCTCTATGTAACGTATGACATTTCAAATCTCTCGAGTCCCGTCCAACCTCATGTCTGTTTACTTGAACCACAAAACGTTTGCTCCAGAGTCCAGCTACAGACGAAAGAGCTGTGCTGAGCATGCTCCTCAGGATGACGCTTGAACTCGCTATCAACCCTTGCACCGGTTTCTTTGCTCTCATTCTTACATTGCAAGTTCTGCACGCTATGGCTATGCCGTTCAATCTTGCCAACGTGAGCGGCGTCCGCTCGAACAGCTGTGTTTGGGAATTCAGTCCGACCGTAAGTTTCTACCTATCCTCGAGAGATTCTGCCGTGTTTGAAGGACCTTTGGCTATCATAACCTGCCCTTATGTTCAGAGGTTGATGACCCTTGGCAGATTTGTGGTGAGGATGTGGGTTACCAAGAGCTTGCTTATCCAGAAAACACTGTGTGCATGCCTCTCACAGTTGGGATGAAGAACGTCTGGACAAACGAATGTTCAAGCTGGTTCGGTGAGTCTTAGCGAGTCATTGCTGTCCTTCCGTGGCAACTCCTTCCGCGAGCCAGCCCTTTACCTTGGCTCAACGAATTGGCGTGACTCAAAGCTAATGGAGTGGAAATGCGCAGGAGCATGTACAATGTGGATACAGCCTGATTGCACTGGTGAATGGTCGTTGAGAATCGAAGATCCAGCAAACACTCATTTGGGAACCTGCTTTTCGGAGTATTACTACATCATGGCAGTCTCTTGTGAGCCAACATGATAGGGATACACATTTTCGGGAATGACAGAAGATTTTTTGGGGAGGGGACTCGTTCAGGAGTTGCATCTGCTTCGACCTAGACGGGGTTGGATGGTACAAGGAGAGGGGAGAGCATGCTAATATGCACCAGGAAGGACATCAGACTAGCTAGGATAGAGGCATGAATCATTTGGTCTTCAGGTATTTTGTGAGAGATTCCAAGACAAGGCTGCTTTCCTTTCTTCTCGCGTTGATTGGCGAGCCTTGTCTCGAGCACGGACCACCTCGCCACCACCCCGACCAGAAACAAGTCTTCTTTGAACCACACTTGACCACATCCTTTATTCTTCAAGCTTTTCCTCCTTCGTCTGACATTGCTCCCAACCCGTCGTCGCCTGACGCACCACTTAACAGGAGGCTCCATCAAATGTCTTGCCCTCTGAGTGGAAATCCGCAGATGGCTCTCATCGCCACACGCATCGTAGCCATCGGTACTCGGTATCCTTGAACGGCAGCGAACCTCCAGTGCTCCAAGGAGACCACAGTTGGCGAGATCCGCTAACGTGAGTGCTCGCGGATGACATGCTAAATAATATACACCTATCGATCGGGAAGCTTTGATGTGGACAATGGCTATTGAATGCAAACCGATATCCAATGTTTGTGCGGGCAACCACAAACAGTTTGATCGTCTTTGCCTCATCTCTTCTCAACAAGGGCATGACTCTGTTCGTTTCAGAGGCCCCGTGAACCAGCACAACTGCTTATATATACATGAATGTACTGACTTGGTCTTGGTCAAGAATGTCCGGACACTCAGGATGCTTTGCCGGAGGCTGGATCTCATGCCTTCTCTAGTGCGACCAAACCAGGGAGCTGATGATGCGTGCTCAAAAGACATTGGCATTTGTCACAATCAGGGTCGCAGTGACCTTAAATCAACAGTTTGCCAAAACATCACTTGGATTGAGAACGACCAGGCCTGGGGAATGGACGGGAACTGGATATATGTTCGCAAGGCGACCGTCGACATTGATTTCTAGGATGCCCACCATCTCACAATACCGGTTCATATCGGGGAACGGCTGGCGCCAAATCGAGATTCCTTGAGGAAGCGGCACTGTCACCAACCGCTCTTCATTCATCACTCGACGCGTCTCGAGAATCTCTTCACCTTCACGTGCGCCCTGGCAACGTGGGTTCTGCAACCCTTTGAAGGTGAATGCGATGACTTCCTGAACGTGGAGACTTGGGCAGTACATCGCGTCTCGCGTCTCACGTCTCGCGTCTCTTAAATATCCCCAACCTTCGGCCATAGCACCTTCTCTCCCACACTTCTCAGTCTCGAACACTTGCTTTCGAAACATTCTCACTCACACAGTCACACAAGTCTTTACAATACTAAAACTTAAACAAGACAAACCTTAAAAGAACTGAAATCACATCCATCTCTCCTTCTCTCCCTTCTCCACCGCTCCACCCTCAAGTGCAATGGTGACCAATGATACTTCAGGCCACAGAAAACGCGAGGAAGAACCAGTACAAGGTCTTGAAAATGCCTCAGTCTTTTCGTTACCCTTGGGCTATATGTATATGAGCTCCTCCCATCCTCAAGCCTCTTTCTTCCAGACTCAGAATCGCGAACAATACTTGTTACAGACGCACAGCTTTCAACAACGACATTCCCTCCCGATATTCAACATCCACGCAAGTCACTTTGTGCCTGATGCATGCGAACATCGACCTCAAGCAAGCCTGAAAGTCCACGCTGCTGAATTTCTTCCAAGTTCGCCAGACAGCAATACCCCTGTAATTAACTCCAGAATGGACGGGGTTGCAACAGAATTGTTCTCCGTCAACCAACCTCCTCCTCATATCAATAACTCTACATCCGTCATTCACCACACTCTTCCTATGCTGCCGACTTATGAACTTGAGCAGCCTTCGAAGCTCGACTTTGATGTTGAAGGACTGTATCGTCAGCCCAGAGAAGAAGAGAGCTCCGAAGACGAAGAACAAGAACCCCGATATTATACCCAGGGTTTCTACTTTCCTACATCTTCGAACAGTTGCGACTACACCCCTGCTGTCTTCACAGCCTTCCGGGACCTCAAGAGGTTTCCTCTACCTGAGGCTGCCGAATATGAAGAGCAGACTCCTGAGCGAAATGAATCCAGAAGACGAGATTTCGTCCTGCTCATGCACGACGAATTGAAAGGAGTCGAGGACGAGGACAGCAATACCGAGAGCAGGTCTAAACAGACCAGAAATGGGGGTGAGGCCAAGAAGGAAGACAAATCCAGATGGATCCTCAACCCTCAGGGGGATTACTCGATGTTCACAATTAAGGAACTCCAGTGCTTGGGATGCATCCATCACTTTAACTATCTCGGTCGACCTGTCCTCGGCAAGTCGGCCACAGCTCCGGCAACTACAATTGCCATTCTAAAGTCGCCAAAGCACCTCAACGTCACCACTCCCAATGGGCTTTGGAAGAGCACCATTATGGAGTGTGCCACGCGGCTGCTGGACCCAGTCCGCTACTTCGGCAAGACGGAGATCCTGGAAACCCTTCGTGGGACCGATCTCGAGAATGCTTGCATTGGCCAGTGCGTGAAAACCTACAGTGAGCACGGGTGGTGGGTCTATGACGAGTACGACGATGAAGAATACCCTGTCGAGCTCGATTTTCTCCAACCATCGTTTGGGCCTGGTATTATGTTCAACGGAGTCACCAAAGGCCTTGCCCATCGCATTGACATAATCACTGCTGCTACCCAGGAGAAAGAGAAAGCGGACGCAGCCTGCAAGGCAGCATTCAATGCCAGGCTTGCGCAACCCCGCAAGCGATCGGGACTTGGTAAACTCTGTATCACCCATGAGGATGTTCAAGAGGTGCCGACCTTTACTTCTCAACGACGGACTACCTCGTCACCCCTCCGGCACCCAGTTCAGCCCACCGTCAAACTAGCGCAGCCAACCGCCGGCCCATCAAATGGTGTTGTCGTTCCCGATCGGTATACCACAGGAGGCTCGCTACCGTATGAAGAATGGAAGCGACGCCTGGCCGCGACAGAAGACGAACCTGTTGCGGCATGTTGGGCCGACGACGAAGACGAAGACGACGACGGAGAAGAAAACGTTGTTCCGACTCTTCAATATACGACAGGAAGCTCGCTACCACGCGAAGAGTGGCAGCGACGCCTCGCCGCAATAGAAGATAGACCTATTGCTGCTTGTTGGGCAGACGACGAAGATGAAGAAGAAGATTCTTCTGCCCAGCCCCAAACTGAGGCTGGAGCCCAACACATCAACATCAACAAAGCAACTGTTGATGAAGAGGTTGTAGACACGGAAGACCTCTATGACAATGATTGTCAAGGCGTGTCGTTCTCGTCAACATGTACAAGTGTCGATCACTCCCGGGCTTCGAGTGTCGTCCCCGTTGAGACCCCCGAGACCTCGCTCAACGTATCAGACAATGAAGATGTTGAACCAACGGCCGCCGCTGAAGACGAGAATATTCAATCCCGTCCTCCACCAGCCAACCGCCGTGTCCGCTTCGACTCTTCTCCGCTTACGTCCTCGCCAACAATCACCTGGTGTCTTCCGACCGAAGTGTCGCGCTTCTCGTCGACATCATTCGACGACGACTCCGAGGCGGAGAGCCTCGAGCAGAGTGGCGCAGGGGGGGAAGAAGACGACGAAGAAGTCCTCGGCCCTGTCCCCCATCTGCCAGCCTTCCAGCGCACACGCCAAGGCTGGTGGCACGCCAGCTGGCGCACCACGAGGGCAAAATTGACCAAGAGCCGACCGGCCAGGCACAATGCGCACGGGGTTTCCACCAGCGCCAATATCGGCGCTGCCTATGTCGAGGTCCCCGAGTCAAGACGCGGGAGCAACAGGAGTGCAACTAGCGCCCTTCGCAAGGCCAACGCAAAGTCCAAGGGTCTTCTAAAGAAGGGCCTCCAGAAAATCAAGGGCATCTTCACCAAAATGCATTGAGGCCAACGACTCTTTGCTGGCAGGGTTCCCTCGACAACCACCACCACCACCACCAACAATTTTCACGACGATACGACACGACACGACCAGCACTGCCTCTAGGCATTGACGACGGCTTTATCACGAACTTACTTCAAACGCGATCATGGATTATTCGGAATTTGGGAGGTTTTCCTGAAGGGGTTTCGGAATGGTATTTCGGCGCAAAGGGAAAAAGTTCAAGGGATTGCGTCGGCGAATGCAAGGGTACATGGGAAATGGAGCTAAGGATACACACGGCTTGAATGCGCAAATCAGCAGATTCACCAAGTGCTGGGTTCTGCTGTGTCTTGCGCGACGATTTGCAATTGGGGTTTTCAGCATTGGCGTTCCGGAATTGTGCAAAAGATTTGGGCTTCTTGTATGGGAACATTGACTAACAGAACAGAGGCTTCAGAGCGTTGGAAAAATTTGTATAGGGACACCCCAACATGGAAAACCGGCTTTATGGACAGTGCTGTTATGGATGAATTGATCGACCGAAAGGGATGATATCTTGGGGCACGGCATCGATACGATACCCCCGGTAAATGGGGATTGGCATTCTGTACAGATAGCATCAAGATGCAGACCTTGGGCTTGAAAACAATCATGCTCAACAATTGAGTCGATACTTGAAGGGCTTGCCGATGCAGCTTGGAAATCTATCTGACATACTCGGTACGAGGGTACAATACCCCGTAGAGCTGAATGTCACCCAGAATTCGGAGCTCCTCCTGGGTGTCTCCAAGAGCCAGCATCACCAGGGACTTCGAGACGGACGCAAAAATTCCATACTTCGATGCACATCATGACTAGGGATGCAAGTGCTGATCGGCTACTTGCCACGTTTCGCTAGGTCCAGTTTGCGAAAGCTGTCTTGAAGCCTGTAGCTTTCCAATCCATCCGAAACTGCGGGAGACAGGCTGCATTGGGATGGGGTATTCTGGCTCTCGAATCGTGTTTATTCTCTTTTCAGGATTGATGTGCAACCTGGCGAGCTGGGCATTGGAACGAGAGAATTACCCCCTCGCCCCTTAGGTTTGCTGCAAAGTACGGAGTACCTGCATTTCACTTAGTCCAAGCACCTGCATCCTGACATCAACGTGCAGCAGGGAGTTGCATTAGGGTTGGAGATGAGTATCCAATGAAGTGTTGAAGGTCTGCCCGAAGAACAGGTCATCCATCAGTAGCTTTCCGGAGAAACCTTGATGTCGACAAGGACGTTGAGGTTGACATTACATATGCGCTCGAATTCGAGGACAGAACCTTGTCGTGAAAGATAGACAAAAGATCGATGCTCTAGAGGAGGTGATCAGGTTGGGGGCGAGGATCGCGGCGATCTCAAAAAATGCCGTCAAGGGCAAGAAGCGCAACACAAGCCTGGAGAGGTGACTGGTCAGCAAACCGAATGAAGCCAACTGTTAACGGAGACTGGCACCGTCTTTGTTCAACGTTGTGGGCTTGATAAGTTACGGTCTGGTGTGGGTGGTTGCAACGCCATGTAATTTCCCCTCCACCAGGGCATCCACTGCGTCACAAACACCATCGAATCTTGACTTCAGACCATCCTCAAACGAACTGCCCTTCTGCCGCAAGTCTGGCGAGGTTTCGGGGTCTCGGCTGGACAAAGGTACGAGCAAGACGCTGCAGATGCTGATAGGTGGAGGCACAAATGAGGAGGCAGGGAGGGGTTGCGGTATGCAGCAAGCCGAAGCTACACAGCAGATGCTTCTTCTTCAGACTCATGGGCAATTGTACGAGGTCTGAGGTACCGAGTGCCGTGTACCTATACCCTCGAGTTGACACTGTCGAAAGCAGGCGTGCCCGAGAATCAGAGGAAAGGCGAAGATTGTCGTGTTTCAAAGAGGGGAGTGCAGTCAGGGAGGAGTGGGAGGCATGAGACTCGCAGGAGCAGAGGTCAAGGTGAAGCGAGTGCCGCGAAATTGCAAAGTGAGAGGAACAGGGCAAGCGCTGCAATTAGCCGGGGGCCACCAAGGGCCACCCAAGCACCAGCCAGGGCTTAAAGTGTGTGCTGGCGCGAGAGGCTGGTCCTGGTCAAGCGTTAGGACCCAGGCCTTACCTGCACCGGCTAGATGCCCCGGCTGTCGTCCTCTGTGTGCCGATCAACAAAGAACGCTGGGTGTCACGATCGCTCGGCCACGCTGCGCAACCCACCCTGCTGCGTGCCCGGCGGGTGCCCAGTGGGCGCCCAGTGGGCGCCAGGGTGGGCAGGAAGCGGTTAGCACGTCTTTGGAGGTCGCAGTTGCACCACTTGCAGCTGCCCAGGTGTGTTGTCGCCGTGGCAGGGACGCTCTTCTGCCGGGCTCTGCAGTAGCCACCGGGCAACACTGGGTCCCCAGTAGCCCTGCATCCCCAATCACGGCTGCGTGTTCTGCCAGCTCCCCCGATCTCTTACCTCTTTCCACACTCTCTCCATCTGCATCTTCTCACCTTGCTTTGTTTTTGCCTCCAATCCGCTCGCAGGGTCTCTCTTTAATCCGGAGCTTTTTCGACAGTCCTCTGACCAACAGTCGCTCGTTTCGCTGTCCTTCTCTTCTGCGTCATTCGACACGTTGGAAATATACAACTTCTTTCAGTTTCAACTCTTTCCTGTGCCTATTCCACCACTCCACCCTCCCCGTGACCCGAACCTGTCACAGCCCCGTCAGAGCTCGACGACCTAGCTTCCAGCTTCCAGCTTCCGGCCAACTCGCCGAGCCTTGAGCCTTGTAACGTGGCAGAGGGGGACCGATTGCGACAACAGCTAGAGCGGTCGTGGGAAGAATGGTGAGTTCAGCATGAGCTGGAGCTCGAAAGAGGTGGTTACATTTTGGATATTCGCATTGGGAAGCTTCAGTTGACCAATCCCTTCACCAACGGTTTACGGACGACCTTTCCCAAGAGCATGAAGAAACCCCGTTACTTGGGCGCATTGGCCCTCATTGCTCCCGGCGTCTCTGCGCAGAGCTGCATATCACTGGCTGGTTCTAAGACATGCCCTGCTTTCAACTCTTCCTCAATATCGACAGATTCTGCTTTAGTTGCCCTATAGTGAGTGATCTGCTTTCTCTCTTTGGTCCGAGGAAGAGAAGCCCTAACGTGATCCCAGTCCCTTTCTTGCTTTTGTGACGTCGACAGAGAGCTTCGATACCCAATTAAGTCAATATGTGGATGAGCAATATGTACAGACAAAATACATCAATATCTTCGGTTGTGACAATGTCAACCTGGGCAACACCTCCAGCTATTACGCCCGTTATACGATCAGCTTTCTCTGCAACGGCATCGTGCAGAACTCCAGGACGCCCTGCGGTCTATCCCCCGCCGACTCTGAGCCCCTTTGTGCCGATTCTTGTGCCGAATTGGCGCTGAGTGAGGAACAGATCGTCTCGAGCGACCTATGCGCGGGTCGCAATAGCGACTATGCCGACGAACTCCGAGCCGACTTCACCAATTGTGCTTTGCCAGCCAATTCTATTAGTGGCAGCTGTATCACAGGGGAGTCGAACGAACCTGACGACTGCGGGTTCGGCGGCAATCTGATGGGTCTTTGCAGTTTTTGCCGCTCAAGTACCCTCAATGGGACGGACTCCTGCTGCTTGACTTCCAACGCGACGGGTCGATGCCAGGATGTCACGCTTCCAGTCTTCTCCACCATTTCAAACCTGTTCTCGTCTACCGCCAGTGCTACGTCTTCGCCTACCGTAAGCCCAACAGCGGTTGCTAGCCATGGAGGCGGTGGTTTGAGTGGTGGCGCGATCGCCGGAATCGTCGTCGGGTCTGTATTGGGGTTCCTTCTCCTCCTTGCCGTGATCATACTCTGCTTCATATGCTTTCGTCGCAGGCACAACGATAGCAAAGCAGGCAGTGTTCTCAACCAGCCGTCGCCTCAGAGGAAAGGTGTTGTCTCCGCGTCCTACAACCAACCCATGTCGCAGCAAGGATATGAAGTCTTGCCTGGCGGACGCGTCGCTCGCATGTCTGCACTGCAAGATGATCAACCAGGCGTTGGACCTACAGTCGGACCACGAAATTACACGTCCCACACTGACCCGTATGGCGAGAGCCCCGAATCGCGCGAAAAGACGGTTGGCGCGGTCAAAACTAATGGCTCACCCGGCAGCGACTCACATGGATCGTCTCCGGGCGACTTCTCATCGCCGGAAGGAGTTGCAAGTGGACAATCAGAGCAGTTGCCGTTCTTCAAAGACTACTACTCTAATGATGATATTCACCCTGGAGATAAAGTCTCGGTGTTGTGGGCTTATCAACCTCGAGCAGGAGATGAGTTTGAACTGGAACGCGGTGACATGTTGAAAGTCGTCGGCATCTGGGATGACGGCTGGGCAACTGGAGTGCGTATCAACGAGCGGGCGGAAGATTACGATGGCAAGCATAAGGTGCAGCGAGACAGCGGTGTCTCGAACGGATCGACCACTCGAGAAGAATCTCCTACCCCGCCGGGGGAGATCAAGGCCTTCCCCCTTGTCTGTGTCTGCCTACCCGAAGCCTGGAAGAAGACGGTAGAGGGTGATACATCTACAGAAAGCGGCTCAGGTGCTCCTCCGATATGAGAAAATCGGCCCGGTCTCCAATCATGCTGATTTTACGACGACATGCAGTTAGCAAGGGCGTTTTCGGGATGGTGGCTCACGGTCCGGCGAAAACTACAGTACTCAATAATCCAGTAATAGATCACACAAAATGCACAACCCTGGAGTCGGTGTCGACTTGGATCGCAGAACAATGTCTTGTCAGCAGCGCTTTTGTTCGGTACCCGTGTTGGATCTCTGTTGGTTACGCGTTGTTGTCGGTTTTGTTATCTTCTATGCCTTCAGTTGATACCCATTGTGTACAGCCCCCGGCCGGCTTGGAGTACGTTATGCTCTATGCTCGATGTTCAGTGCTCAATGTTGACGTCGCATGGTTACGAGCAAGCGCGTTGGTTTAGTGAAATGCTTTCTGGCGAAGTTGTGTTTCCATTTTCGGTGTGCTTGGTGAACAGGACGACGAAGGCCGCATTTGGGAAAGGTTTGGAACAAGAAAATGAAGATGAGAAGAGACAGCATGAGAGCAAGACTTGTTTGGAGCGACGACTGGCAAGAGGAAGTCACTTGTGTTGATATACACTTGGTACTGCGGCTTGGTCGAGTCGAGAGAGAAGTCCGGAGAAAACATGACCAAAAAAAGCCAATCCAGCACGCAACGAAAGACAGGGATAGAGTCGAGTCGAGTTCCAAGCCCCCTGGTGGTCGGGAGTGAGCCATGAATACAGAGAGCGTTTAAATAAAACTCCTTTTGCCATTGTATCCTGCTTTCCGATGTACGGAGTATTCGGTACTGTATTGCTATTCGAACTCGATCCGCTGTGCAATATTTTGGTGAACTGCAAGGCTGCTATAGGAAGAGGGGGATAAAGTCTTCTCACCCCGCGTTCCCTCTGAAAAACAGAAGGAACCTTCTTCAGTCGCAGCACCTGCCTCTCTCCCTCCCCCGTGCTCAGCAGAGGTGAGGTATGTTACATACAAAGTCAGTTCGTTCGCGGCGTTAGAGTCTAGGGGGTGTCTTTCATCTTTATCGAAGGAGAACAAGCACAACAAGCGAGTCGGAGGCCAGGAAGAGGCAAGGGCCACCTGAGCATCTAACATCTATCTCCCTTCGACGCTATAATGTCGTACAGTACCGTATGCCATGTCTTGCGCACGCCATCTCCACACCACGCACTCCTGCGATGCGGAACTGCGGTTTGGTACAGTGCTGTAGGTTTTGCGGATTTTTGTCAAAATCATTTCATTCCATTCCATTATGGTAGTAGTTCCGTGCCGTGTGTCGTGTGCCACGTAAGAAATAAATAAAAACAGGTATCCTCTGGTATCTTCTGTTCTGTTGATCCGTCTCAGGGTGGTACCAATCCTTATGCTGTATCCTCGTCCCCATTCCCGTTGTGTCCGTCCCATATCGCCTTCCTCTGTCCGGTTCGTAATCCTCCCGGCCACCGCTATGCCATGACCAAAACCGCCTGGCTGGAGACGGAGCAGACGGAGCAAGTCCCGAACCGCTGTGGACTCGATGAACGCCCAAGAACGCCACCCGATTTTTTCCCTTCGTTTCCGTTCCTGTTTTCCCGCTTCTGTGCAAAACGATTTGATTCCCTTTTGAAAAAGATAGATGATGAGCGCCAAGAATGAATGGAAAAGGCTGTATTTCTTGTTCTTGAACGACAAGAATCATCGTGCAGCGAGAATCTCCCCATCCCGACAGACCGTCGCCGGGGCGACAGGGCCCATGTCCACGAGTCCACCCTGGTCGCACATATAAAACGACCTTTCCCCGTTGCAGAACAACGCACCGTTGGGTGTGCAAGGCCCGTCGTTCTCGCGGACGATTTGGCCATTTACGCAGGTCGTGCCGGGGGCGACGGGGCCCATGTGGATATATGTCGTTCCCGTTGTTGTGGCGATGCACTGGGAGAAGCTGAAAAGGGTGTTGCAGGTGAAAGTGCCGGGGACGCAGGGGAGGGGGAGAGATGTGGCAGAAGTGGAGCTGGTGCTGGTGCTGGTGCTGGCGACGCGGGCCAAGGTCGTAAAAGTGGTTGGTATTGTGTCTCTCGTTATAGGGAATGTGAAGAAAGTGCTCGTCAAGGTGCTTATAGCTGAAGTCGTGAGGGTCGTACTTGTAGTCGTCGAGTATGCTACAAAGTCGGATTTCGCAAGGTTGGATGCCGTGGTCGTGGCCGCTGTTGTCGCCGTCGTCATCGGGGAAGTCGTAAAAGTAGTAGAGTCAATCATGGTTTCTGTACCGTTCGTAGCGAGGTTATTTCTTGAAGAGAAGGGGGATGAAGTGGTTGTCATGGTTGTTATGGTTGTCGTCGCAGTCGTCGTCGTTGGGGAAGTCAATAAAACATTAGAGTTAGTCATGGTTCCTGCATCGTTAGTAGCGAAGCTAGTTCTTGAGGAGAAGGGGGATGAAGTGGTTGTCCTGTCAGCTAAAAGCAAGGAAGGGAATGTAGTTGCGGTTGTGGTTGTGACCAGAGTGGTGGAAAGATTGGTGAAGAACATCGCCGCTGACCCAGACCCAGTAGTAGTTGTGGATGGGGCCGTGCTTGTAGTTCCAATTGCCGTAGTCGAGGACGAGGGATTAGAGGTTGTCGTTGCGGAAGCGTCTAATAACGTAGATCCAGCGGTACTGGAAGCCCCAGAGTCTGAACTTGTGCTTGTCGAAATAGCGGCACCCTGGATGGTAAAGCCCGGACCCGGGCCGGGAACAATTGCATCCTGACCATAGACGACATCGTTACCGGGATCTGGAAAAACCACTTCTTGCCCTTCGATGGTCTGACAGCCATTGCCAACATTGCACACGAACATGTCCGGTAGCTGATCCATGGAAGAAGCTTGTCGTCTGTAGGGAGAAGCTCGGCGGTACCGCTGGTTCGGTCCACTGATGATCTGGACTCTGGCGCAGTTTTGATACATCTCCCTGTTTCCAACGAGATTGAACCAGGACCAGGAAAGCAGAGCCGAATCCGAAGAAGGCGCAAAGCTGGGAACCGTGAAGTTGTAGTTGTGTGTCAAGGGGCATCCGCCGATCATAGACTTGATGACTTTGAACGAAACTCCATTGTCGTAAGACAAAGATAGTTGACAAGAGCCTCCGTCGTGTTCGGTGGTCCCATTTAGCCACATGTCGTAGGTGCCGCCGGAAATATAAGTAGCTTTGGTCACGTATCCATCTGTGTCATTCTGATAATTCTTGCAAGGAAAGTTAGAACCGTCCGCCAACAGCGGGGATGTCATATCATAGTCTTTCTCGTCCACAGGGACGTCGGGGTCAAGGGGACTTCTCAGGGGGTATGGCCAGCTCATCTGCATATGGGCTTGAGTGCATATAGGTAGCCATACTATGGAAGAGAGGGCAAGGGAGAGGTGGAGGAAGCGAGACATATTTGTTCTCGGATGGGAAACGGGGGCAAGAGGCGACGAGGCAAAAAGGGGAGGTTCGAAGATAGCGTGACGCGTCTGGGTTGGTGGAAGAGGGATGTATAACAGGATCAACACACGTATAGCAGGGTCGCTTGCAGACCAAAGGAGCTGAATGCTGTTGCTGTGAAAGAAGCGACCAAGCTTGATGATGAGGTGGATGAGTGTGTGCCTTTGAGCGACCTGATGCTTCCCTTTTGTATATTCTGGCCGCCATCACATACACGTCAAGGTAACCACACCAAATAATGTCCTTCCTGCTTCAAATTTCTTGAGATGGCGCACTAACAATGCCTGCTGAACAAAGCTCAAGGATAAGCTTGTGTGGATACAGCTTGCAAGGAGGTAACCCCAAAAAATGACGAGGCTCAAGCGCGGTCTGGTCGCCAGTACCCCAGAGAATGTGTCCATCTCCTGCCCCATAGTGACATTCTTCAGGCCTTCCTTGAGCTCTCGGGTTCCAGCCTGCTAGCTTTTGTTGGGCAAGCACGAACCACCCCACAGTCGTTGTCCCGGTGACAATCGAGCACTGTCCGCCAATCTCAGCCACCAAAGCTAACCGGCTCTCGGCTCAACCATCGTACAACTAAAGGAATCTGGGGGATGTGACTGTGTACTGGGTATAATTTAGGTCCCTCGGGTTTGAAGCGCCAATGCCCATCGTTGCTCGAAGAGGGGTTTGAGCTGGTTTTGCTTGTCAACGATTGCGCGATCCGAGGAACGAGCGCGTCCTGTCCGCCTGGGGGGATATTGAGCCGAACCATGGAACATAGCAAGCTGTGGGGAGCTCTTCTGCTGGTGAGAAGCAAGTTCCAAGTCACGACTCACTGATTCTCTTCGTATATAGTACAAATTCTGTGACTGAATCAGCCTTGTATCATGGCAAAAGCGATCATCTTGGAAGGACTGATTCCCATTTCCGCGGTTGTTTTGGTTCCTGTGGGCCAAAAATTTTTTAAATTTTTTTGCCTAGCTGTGGGAAGAAGCTCCACGTCGCTGTCGACCTGTAGATTAGAGGTAGACGTAATCCCCCTCATCGATCTCGGCCACGAACGATAATGCACGAGCGACATGCGCAGCGCACCTACTATCCGGCAGTGCTCCACGCTGTTGCCGGGACGACCGTCTCGACAATCGAATATCCTTGTCATTCCATCTCAATTTATCGTAAATTCGAGTCTTCTGGATGAAGAAGGCATATGCTCCAGTTCGGCATGCATTGTCTTCCAGATCGATTTGATTTTTCCCATTCTGCCCATTTCACGCGCATCTCCTTCCGTTCTTGATGATCGGTAGCATGGGCAGTCCAGGTTGCATCCCGTCCAGCGGTCAGGAGTGGACCAAGCCAGCGATAGATGACAACAATGAGCCAAACTTGTCGTCTCCCAGATGCATCAGGTGAAAGACTTTCACGAGCCTGAAACATAAATTGTGTCTTGCAACCTCGAGTAAAGCAGGTGCCTTTACACCTTGCACCAGCGCGGCCGTCTCTAAACTCTCGCTTTGACTCGTTGATACACGGTGGGCCCTTGACCCCTGGTGGGAGGCGCTGGGTATTAATGCATGCCCTGCAAAATTTGCTAAGGATGTAGGGGTCACCCAGCTTCAAATGAGGGCAAAGCCGGAAATCGATCGCTTGGAGCGCGCTTGAAACGTCCTTGACCTGAAACACTTCTTTGTACATGCCACTACCACCGGTTGTTCTTGTGTTGTATAGAGGCGACGGCGCTTGAAGGAGGGCAACTTTGGAGATCAAAAGAGATTCTGCTTTTGAATTTTCCAAATCCATGACTGAGGTGCCTTTCTCCGGTCGGTCAGCAACAGACCGGTTGCGAATGGAGTTTCTGCACCTCGAACAGGGTTCAAGCGTCTCAACCCGAAATGGCGACTCCACACCGGCCTTGATGTTGCGGATCGTCTTCTGGTAACCAAAGTGACGGTGCGGACATAACCAGACCTGTCTGCAATCTCGGAAGGTGGGTTCCTGCTTGATCTCTGGGATAGGAAAAGTAGACCGGATATGCAGCGTTTGACACTTGCCGCACACCAACCTATCCAGTTCAGCGGGGTCCTGATCGCGTTCAGTCATGCAGAGAAAATCGAACAGCTCTTTCCCTGTCAAGACAAAAGATGGTGTGCTGTACAGATGAAAGAACCTGGAGCAACTATGACGGAGAGCGACCTCGCTGCTGGGGTTCAAGTATTGCTGGAGAAACATCAATAGCTCTGTCGGCAGTGACAGAAAGCCCGACTCGACATTGTTGAAGATTGTCCTTTCGGACCACCTCGTCCCAACCGAGGGGGTCTGTTGGCGAGGTGGTCGTTCGATAATTGCTGTGTCGGGAGTGAAAGCCAGTTTCGAGACGAGCTGTTCGTCCGAGGGTGTCAAAGATAATGCTTTGCTGGGCCATGGCTGCAATTTGGCCCGATTCTCTTCCACTACTTCAACTGGGTCAGGTGCGGACTTGGTTCGTGAAAGTTTTCTGCGAAAGTTGGCGAGAACTGGCATTTTGTAGATGTCCTTGGTGTATGATGCGCCGAGATATCAGCAGCGGGAAAGGCGGAGTTGAATCTTCCGAAATGGACGAGACAGAAAAGCACACAGTCAGTCAAGCAGGTCTTAGACAACCATCACAGACTACGGAAGTGGCTTGATGGATTTTGATCAAGTCCGTCAAACACAATCGGCGGCATGGAGACATGGATTGGTGCTGACTCTTCGCCACGGCTGGGAGATGGTCAGAGATGGTCAGAGATGGTCTGGCCATTTCAGTAGGAGGAGGAGGCGTTCTCAGATGGCCCTTGAGCGGATAAAGGGTTCGCGGTGTGGTGTGGTCCGACAGCATTGGGACCGTCCAAGGACTGTTTCCCGCAGGACAAATCAGAAGAGCCGGTTGCCACTGGGATGGGGTAGATGGCTGCAAATGGCTGGTAGCGAGGCCGTTTATCGATCCCTGCAGCGGGCGAGACCCTGTAGATTGGCTCGATGGTCCATGGGCGGCAGAAAAGGAGGATTAGCTGCTGTACCACACCATGCAATGACGAGCTGGCCATTTATTGGTGCCAATGCAAGGAGAGGGTGTCTTGCCTTTCCCCGATCGAAACAACGCGGGTGTGAAGATCGATCTCGAGAGTCGTGTGGACGAGGTGCAGCTGGCAGCTGAGCGAGGAGCAACAAATGTCAAACACAAAAGTCGATGACGTCGTGGAGAGGAGCTTGGATATGCTGGTCACTGCACTGCTGCCACCTGCAAGTGGAATCATGTACTGAGTATGTAGCTCGGTCACTCTCTCACCCAAAGTCAAGCCGAACCGCTCAATAGATACATCGCATGTTGAATTCCTCAGTTGCTCCTCTGTGTTCAATCCGAAGCGCTAGCAAATATCGCCTACTTGGTCTCAGACGCTTTACTGCCCCGACAATTACACCCCATGTCCGCCCTGGCTTGACACCGAGATCTGTATCGTTACCGCCAACTGCGATGGTCAAACGAAAGAGGTCAATCAAGGCCACCAAGATCACCAATGTCACTTCTGCTAGATCGGCTCCTGCATCACCTCGACGAACTAGTCCCAGAAATGCCTCTATTGCGGCCTCGGCCAGAATTGACACTAACCCAGACAGTTTCTGTCCTTCGCCAGACGCTGAGGAGCCTGAGGTTGACAATATGAAAAGCAAGAAAGCAAGGACCGGGAAAGAGGTAGTCGGTGGACTTTCCGAGACACTTCCCGCACCGACCGTCAATGTCAAAACCTCGCCGAAAGGAGGGGACGGGCTTGACAAGGAAGATCCTGAAGCTGAAGGAGACGTGGAAGCCAACCCTGAAGAACTGAAAGAAGCCCTGTCCCGACCGCCTCCAGTAAACAGCTCGTACCTCCCATTGCCGTGGAAGGGCCGCTTGGGCTATGCCTGTCTCAACACCTACCTCCGTGCTGCAAATCCACCAGTCTTTTCGTCACGAACGTGTCGCATCGCCTCGATCCTCGAGCACCGCCACCCGCTGAAAGATCCTACCCAGCCCGAACATCCAACCAAAAATCGACCAGACAAGGATCAGCCGGCGGACATTGCTCGGGGGCAAGAGTATGTGGAAGCCTTGGGTCTCGCCAATGCGCGGGATATTGTTAAGATGTTACGCTGGAACCATCGCTATGGCATCAAATTTCTCCGGCTCTCGTCTGAGATGTTTCCATTTGCCAGCCACGATGTGTACGGGTACCAGCTCGCCCCCTTTGCCTCAGAAGTGCTTGCAGAAGCCGGTCGCGTGGCTGCCGAGCTCGGTCACCGCTTGACGACCCATCCCGGGCAATTCACACAACTGGGCTCACCGCGAAAGGAGGTTATACAAGCCTCGATCCGCGACCTAGAATACCACTGCGAGATGCTCGAGCTGTTGGAGTTGCCGCCACAGCTGAATCGAGACGCGGTGATGATCTTGCACATGGGTGGTGTCTTCGGCGACAAGGCCGTCACTATCGCTCGATTCAAAGAGAATTACGTCAAGCTCCGACAGGGCATCAAAGACCGTCTGGTTTTGGAGAATGACGATGTTAGTTACAGTGTGCATGATCTGCTGCCTGTGTGTGAAGAACTGAATATCCCACTTGTGCTGGATTTCCACCATCACAACATTGTCTTTGATGGGGACAAGGTGCGTGAAGGTACACTGGACATCATGGGTCTCTATGATAGGATCACAGCCACATGGACAAGAAAGGGTATTACGCAGAAAATGCACTATTCAGAGCCTGTGCCATCGGCCATTACAGCACGACAGCGCCGGAAGCACAACCCGCGACCTGCAACATTGCCGCCCTGTCCGCCGGACATGGATCTAATGATCGAAGCCAAAGACAAGGAACAAGCTGTCTTCGAACTCATGCGCACGTTCAAGTTGCCCGGATTTGACACCTTCAATGATATGACACCGTACGTACGGAACGACGAGAATAAGGCATGGAAACCTCCGAGGAAGAAGAAATCCCCCAGAAAGAAGCGCCTGATCGAGGACGATGAAGAAGAACTGGTCGACAATGATGAAGATGCTGACAGAGAAGTTCCACCACTGCCTCTGATCCCAGATTCCGAGATCAGCATGGGTGGTCCCGATGGACGAGTCTACTGGCCTCCAGGCATGGAAGAATGGCTGCGTCCAAAGAAACGAGACGTCAAGCCTCGAGATCCAGCAAAGGCAAAGACGACGGCCGAGCGAGCGGCGCTAAGGCGGGCCGAGAAAGCTGCGTGGCAGGCTGCGAGAGAAGCGTCGGCAGAGGCAGATACGCCAGGCTCCGCGGCCCATGCGCACACTTTTGAAGTTGTAGACACGAATGCGATTCCTGGGACCAAGCCTAATCTCGCTAGAGCAAGGAGTGTGTACGGTGTGGTGAAGGCGAAGAAGAGGAAACCAGTCCGGGCTCCTCATTTGGGAGGAAGCGTGAAGAATAAGAAGACCGCAAATACAACTGTGCTGACCCCGAGTACAAGCGACCAAGAATCTTATCCCGACGACAAAGGGAAGAAGGACTCGCAAGACTTCGAGATGCCGGACCTTACGGATGCGGAGGAGGTGGCTCCGGCTGTTACCAAAGTCAATCGGCGCGCACCAACGCGAACTCTGAGCGGAAGGAGTGCTAAGCGGAAGGCCGTCAAGTATGCGGAGGGTGATGACGACGAGGGCGATTGATTATTTTTGAGTGATTGTTTTTAGTAGGATTTATGAGAGATGAAGAGATCCTCGGGGGGAGGGAGTCATGATCAGACCTGTGCCAACAGGACCTGCTGCCGCTATATTGGTTGAGCATCTATCGGAGATTCCAAAAATTCGGTGATCATATCCCTGATGGCATTTTGGAACAGTGGTCATTTCAGCAGCAAGATGGTCGAATGAGGGATCGTGACTGTAGCCTCGCAGCAGCTGTCCGAGGACCATTGTTACCATTCGGCGCTCCGCCATTGTTGCTGGAAGGAGAAATCGTCCTTTTTGCTTTCGGGTGTGATTCCCATTGGAACACCGGCCATTGGTGAGCGCTGCAATGGTGCGAAGTGAGGTGCAGGAAGATGGGTCGAATAATGCTTCGTCACTTTGGGGGACAGAGGACATCTCCTAGCCCTATCATCGTCACCTACATACGTAGTTGCCAGATCACTGCATACATAGATGGGAGGAAGGCGGTTCGGGGCATCAAAGCCCGAGGTGCAGCGGGCAGGGTGTCGTTGGAGCTCGGGACGCTCTGCGTGTCTGTACATTTATTGTCTGCAAGGGGCGCCGTTCGTTGTCCGATGGCGGCGGTCCGTTACGTGTGCCCTTGCTTACGAGGTATCGCCCTGTGCACGGCGTATCCTTCGGCCTCCTCGGTAGAATGGCCGGTTGGGAGGGTGGCCCTCATGGATTCGTGGGGTGGTGGGGGCGATGGGAATGAGCTGTATTTCCTGCGCCAGTTTACCTCGCATCGAGGACCTTGCTAAAGTATTAATACATTCTTGTAAAGGAGAGTGACTGACTTGACTTAACTTCACGACATGTGCGGCTGGCGGCCCATCGACATGGTTTGCAAAAGAGGGAGTTTTGTGAAGTTGGGTCTGGCTCGTGGCCGCTGGGATGGATGGCGCTGGGCCTGCTCAATGAGGGGATGATTCGCCGGAGCATTTCCTGACCTCCTAGTTCTCTCCCCTAACAAGTAACGAACTCGGTACCCATTTCTGGACTTGTCGAGGAATTTGCCGACCCATCGGCGGCAGTTTGGCCCGGTGTGGTGGCAGACGATGCCCGCTGGCCGTGTGCCAGTCGTTGTTGATGGTTTGCTCGCGGAGGAGTAGGTATTTGCAGAGTCGTCGATAACGTCACGATTGTGGAATGACGGTCGGAAACCATGTCGTTGTTGCATCATAGCCTATTTACCTGCTCCCTCGTGTCATTCTGCTCATTCTGCCCCGCGTGCGTGTTTGCGTCTGGATAAATTTGAAACTTATTTTCTGGAAAGAAAAGAAACGGATTTCTTTACCCAGCCCCCTTCTCTTTTCTGTTTCGCGTTCTTGTTCCTCTTTGCACGCGTGTTTTTCGTACACCTTGGACCTCTTTTCCTCCTCGAATTGAACTTCTGCCATATACCGTCTGCAGTCATGGGCTACCCCGATACTTTTGAAGGGTTCATGATCAGGGACCAGCAGAAGTGGACCGAGTTTCACAAGCAAGAGGTAAAATCTTCTCGCAAACCCGCCGGGAACCACGCTGACCCCGAACGCTGCAGTTCAAACCCAAGAAGTTTGGCGACCACGATATTGATATCAAGATCGAGTGCTGTGGCGTCTGCGGCTCCGATGTGCACACAATCAATGGTGGCTGGGGAGAAGCACCGCTGCCCATCTGTGTCGGCCACGAGGTAGTTGGTCATGCTGTCAAAGTCGGAGACGCTGTGAAGACTGTTAAAGTTGGAGATCGCGTGGGGGTTGGTGCTCAGATCTGGGCCTGCCTCAAATGCCCCCAGTGCAAGAGTGACAACGAGAACTACTGCTCACACGGGGTCGATACATATGGTGCTCCTTACCCGAAAGAGGTCGATCCAGACGAGACCATCTCCCAGGGCGGGTACTCCTCCCACATTCGGGCCCACGAATACTTCGTCTTCCCTATCCCCGATGCTATTCCCTCGCACCTCGCCGCTCCCATGCTTTGTGCAGGATTGACGACTTGGAGTCCCCTCGTCCGGGCAGGCATCGGTCCAGGCAAGAAAGTGGCGATTGTTGGCTTGGGTGGCTTAGGTCACTTCGGAGTCATGTGGGCCAATGCTCTGGGTGCCGACGTCACGGTCATCTCACATTCTCCCAGCAAAAAGGAGGATGCTCTGAAGCTGGGCGCAAAGGAGTTTGTGACAAATACCGAGAAGGGTTGGGCAGAGAAATACGCCTTTGCTTTTGACTTTGTGCTCAATACCGCCGACATGACCCACACTTTTGACCTGCAAGAATACCTGTCGCTCTGCAAGGTCAACGCCACATTCCATCAAGTTGGTCTGCCAGACGAGGCCCTACCACCTCTAAAGGCCCAGATGTTTATGAGCAATGGCAGCTCCATTGGTGCGAGCCATATTGGCAACAGACCCGAGGCCTTGGCCATGTTGAAACTAGCAGCGGAAAAACAGCTCTTCCCCATGGTCGAGACGGTTCCCATCTCGGAGAAGGGATGCGCAGAGGTGGTGTCTCGCGTCGCGGCAAATAAGATACGATATCGGTTCACTTTGACCGATTATGACAAGGTGTTTGGATCTCGTGAATGAGGAAGCTGGCAGCGCTGAAAAAGGTCACAACAGTTGTCCAGAAGCTAATAGGAAACCATCGAGAGGTGCCGAGGCGGCGGTCCTGCTATTTTGTTGTACATCTAAACGCATGTCCAACTTAGGGAAGGCCACTGTGACACAGAAAGTGCCTGTCAAAAAGCAGGTGTTTTCTTTTGCATGGTGTACCCATTCTGTTGCCGCAAAGTCTGGTCATCTTCATCAAACGCAGCACCTAGTCCCCTATTATGTAATATTGTCTCAGACCCATCGGCTCAGTTGCCTTAAGGGGGCAGGGCGCACTGGTTGGCATTCTTCGAATTTTGTGATTGGCCGACGCTTTAGCTCCCAGGCTAGCCAATAAGGGCGGGGTCCATCGGGCCCTGATCGGGTCTGAGGACTGAGGCTAATGTACCCAGTACCCAGTGATACCGAGTACCCGCCGTTGCGATCCGGCTTACCTTCCCAATTGCACCTGGCCCTACAATTGGGTTAGCACCTTGGCAAGACTAGACAATATCCCTCTATTGCCCTCTCTTACCCGTTCGCCGACTCGCCAGCTAGCAGGAAGAGATCAGTCCCTAAACAAATCGGATTCCGTACACAATCAACAAAGTGTGAAGAAGAGTCCTTAGCAGTGTATCTAGTTTACGCCTGAAAGGAAACACTGATTGCCCTACACTAATTGATACTAGAAGGTGTTGTAACGAGCTCATTGACCATTATCCAATCGCATGGAGAAAAGTCCAAATCTCGTACATACCATGTCTACATATACGAGATCATGCACAGTCCAGCCACACACCGGCACCTTCAGTCGTGATCCTCTGGCGTCGCCTCATCTGGAAATCAGGCAGAGATGGTCATACAATTATCTTGGACCCGTTATTGGCTTGTTGTTTACGCCAGCCAGTGCGGTCCTGTCAGAACACCAGGAAAAGCCTGTGGAGATTTAATTTTGAAGTCCCATCGCCCTGTGTGCCGCCTGCGAAGCTCAACAAGTGCGTACAATGTTTTGAAGATACCTAAAGATCTGTGTGAGAACGGATGAGTCTAGATCTTCAGTTGCAATTGATGAAAGGCAAATACAGTCGGCACCAGCAACATGTCTCAACAATACACTCCTCCTCGGACTGATGTCCTGAACTTCTTCATCTATACCTTCTCTGCCGCGGCGGGGTTACTGATTTTGAGCGGCCAGGATGTCAGAGTTTCACCATTTTATCAACATGTCATCTCCATTTTGCTGGGTTTCATTGTGTTTTTCCTTCCTGCGAGTATCTCTCTACGATTACTTCTACGGAGCATTCTAATGTGCCTCCACCATGGAAAAGTGCTAAGAAGGTCCTACTGGCAGAGGCAATTCCTGACATTGCAATGCTTGCTATCAGGCCTTCTTGGTCGTCGTAAAATACAGGTGCGGGCCACACTCCATCCGCACATCGGGACCGCCAGATCTACCCTGGCGGCTGAGTGAGACGTCTTACGAAGCTGCACGAAGCAAAGATTGTGCCATCCGCTGCCACATTCAACGATGATGTCTTCCTTGGCATATTCGTATTCATCCTCCTCGCGGTCACTATCTGGCTTATTGTCTACATCCACATATGGCAAGCAATCGTGCACCTGCTGTTGATATTGCACGTAACTTTGCTTTGCTATTTCGCTAGCGACTCTGCAGCTCTGACGAATCTGCTTTTGGGGGGTTTTCATCATATACGCGACGAGCTTTTATGGTATACTCGGAGACCACAGAGTCGAAAAGGCGGTATTCGCACCCGCATGCTTGTGGGGTCTTAGAGGGCTTTTCGAAAGAGCAATCAATGGTAACTACGACGCAGCAGTCAGCGATGACTATCTACGGAAAATCGAGAAAGGAAGAAAAAAAAAACAAATGCTAGCAAACGGAGGTATGGTGAGTTCTGCCGGTAACGCTCATAAAAGTATCACTCCGAAAACCAAGAGTTGTGGGGGGTCAGGAATAAATACCTCGGAACGTCAAAGAAGGAGCAGTTTTATCAGTCGAGACGAGCAAACTGACAAATGTGATCCCAAAGAACAACCAAAGCACGGTAGGGAAAAAGATCCTTCTCGCTGCGATCGTGATTCTCAAGAGTTTGCAAAAACACCAGAGCACGATAGGGAACAGGATCCTGCTCTCCACCAGCGTGAGTGCCAAGAACAATCAAAACAGGATATTCAACAGTATCTTGCTCGTTGCCAATGCGAAGCACCAGGCGATGAAATTGAGAAACGAATCTACTGAGTTCCCCTCTCTTTTACAATCATTACCACTCATATCTACAACGCCAAACAGTGTCGCGTTTGAGGAACAATCTGCTCTCTCGTGCCTAGAATCTGTTGATTCGAGCTTTCCCACGAGACTTCGTAAAGTCTTTCTCGACTTTACACGCTCGGGTGCCACGGACGGTCAATCTCATCCCAAACTGGCGGCATATCGGTCCATGGCGGATTTGCAGTTTAATATCTTCGCCAACCTCAAGCAAGTTATTTGCGAACCCGTATTACTCCTTCAACAGCCGTGGCATTAAGAATGACGGACGACCATCTGGTATTTGACATCGAAGATAATCGGCCGCCTGTGGAGTCAGGTCCCTTTCTGATGGCATTCGGAATACTGTACCAGCCTTTCTTGGAGCCGTTGGAGAGGGTTGTTGTTGGGCAGGTCCGTGACTGGCTGGAGGGCCGTTGGCGGGTGCGAATCCGAGGGGGCGGTAAGGCAACTGAGTGGTTGTGTCAGTGTGTCAAGGTGTCAGTCCTTCGGGCGGCGCTGGAGTCCCTGGCTCCAGAACCAGGGCAGCAGGGTCCCTGGCTGTGCTCGGACCATTCCACCTGCATCTTGTTGGTTAGCAGTGTTCTTTAGCGGGTGAATGTGCAGCGTCTCTAATCGCCCCCTTCCAGACACTTGAAGTGTTTGCCACACCTCCCCCGATTCCCCAGGAAAAGGACCCTGTCAAATGTTCTCCCTCCTGTTCTCCGGACTTCAGCACCTACTGCAAAGTGATCCGACTTGGCTTGCGAGCGCCGAGGTGGAACGCCTGGATGGGTCTTCGTTTCGAGATGGGAAGATCCCTGAAAGGCAAACGCTCGGACACTGATTGAGGGCGGGCGGAAGCGAAAAGAGCAGCTTGTACCTCATAGGCGTCGATCTGGTGGTTCGCTTCGCTTTCTGGTCAAGAGAAAAATCCGGCCACTGCAGCTCCCGCGTCCCGCCCAATCCACCGCAGAGCAGGACATTTTGTGGCGGCTCATGATCAATGGTGAGAGGCCCAAAACAGGCGCCTGGGCCACCTACCTAGGCAATGAGCTTACCTAGGCCATGGATGGGTAAAAGCCACCCGCCAGAGATCAGAGCTTCAACGGTTAGTGGGCTGGGCCTGCGGGTGGAGATAGGAGCGAGAGGAGCGAGGGGAGCAAGAGGAGCCAGAAAAATAACATCCTACAGGCTGCTCCATCGTCTTGGTTTGTGCAGGTGCCAACCCCCCCAATTGTCAACCCGCAACTTTCCACCCATCTGAGCCTATCGATGACATCCGTTGCAATCTGGGTACAATCCTTCCTCTAATGACATTATAAACTTTGCAAACCCGTCTCGCCGTATTTCCTTCGTGGCCTCAACCAACCTGCGACCAAAGCTCCCTTGGGGCATCATCCTGCCTATTCCAAGCCAACCCGCCTGCTCTTGGATTTGATCTTGGACCTGGTATGTGGAGGAATCATGACAATATAGTATCGAATCGCTGGTGAGAGGTGGTCCGTGACTGCATACGCACACCAGGAACTATCCTTGCCGCCCCGGCAACTCGGACCTTAGCCTGCGCACTCGTCGATCTCTGTTCCTTCTGCTCTGCACCTCCGAAAAGTCTGCTTCCACAATTTGGTTCCAGGCTCACTGTCTTCGTCCGCCGGCTTTGACACCTAATATGTGGTGGAGAACATTCGGGATCTTACCGACTATACATGAGCGGGAGACAAATTTGCTGCTGCGGCTGGCGGAATGACCCTCTGACATCACCATGGAGAGTGGTTTGAAGAAGTTATGGACTCGACGGAAGAGCAAAGGGAACGAGGGAAGACAGGAGTCGAGAGTGGGCAGTCTGAGAAAGATCCAGAGCACCGAGCACATCCTCCGGTCAATCACTACAAGCCCGGGCTCAAACCACACCCGGACTACCTCGACAGACAATCAATACAAGCCAAGTGTCAGTCACAGGGCTCAGTCTGCGCTGGGTGGTGGTATCGCAAGACCCTCAACCTCTTGGTCACGACCTGGCACGGATGGAAGCGGCAGTTTAATGAACGCCGTCACTCGAGCGGCTGACTCCGTTGCCAAAGCAGAGCAAGAATATCAGTATCCTGCAGATAGATACCCAAAAGACCAGGTCCGACCCAAAACCCCTCGCTACGTCGACATCTTCTCCCTCTCAACCTCAAATAGCCCAATCCTCAGACCTGGGTACAATGAGGACGTGGCCGAACGGAACTTGGATTTGGCTCGAGTTGCTCTCGAAGGCACTCACGAGTATGTACCTTCTTCCAAATTCCAAGAAGAAGTTGCCGCCAGGAATGCATATCCTAATCTCCCTGGAAGCGGTAGCGTTGATAGCTCCCCGTCTGCCCATCAAAGTGGGTTTCATGGCAGCCAGTCGCCTGTTCAGATGAGAGGGATATCTAGCCCTGCGAGCAGCCACCCGCGGTCGCCGCAAAAACCTGTGGAGCGGCCTTTTCCCCGACATACTCAAAATATCCACAATTCGATCGGGACGCATTCCCGACAACAAAGTCATCAATCTTGGGATTCTCAAGGACAGTTGCACGAATTGCCGGCTTCAAGACATAGTACGGAAGACCCCCGTCAAACACAATCACTTGCGAGCCCCGCAACGACACTAGCGAGCAGTTCTCACGAGCCTATGCTGGCTCATGGCCATCCTGGACATCTTAGCAGGGGTTCGGGAGACTTCCAGGCTCCCGTCTTTCCCAATGGTGCTCTCAGCAGCTATCAACTTTCGACTTCAGAAGTGACGCAAGTGAAGTCTAATGAACCATTTCCATTGCACCGTCAGGGAATTGTCACCTCTCCAGACCACTCTACGGATTCACAAGGCCATAGTTATTCGGTGCGGTCGCCCTCAAACTTAAGCAACGCGTCTTCCGTGAAGCGCACAATCAACCTCCCCAATCGAACAATTATGGATTTGACCGGTAATGATTCAGAGGTTTTCTCTGAAGGCTCTCCTCCGTCAAACTACAGCTCTTCTCCCGTCCTAGAACATGCGAAAGTTGATACAATGCGGAAAGGACAGGGAGTCGCTACGTTCGGGCCGTCTACAGAAGACGGGGAAACCGACATCGAGTTGACCCAGGCAACAAACCATTCACCTATTAGGGGGGAACAGCCAGCTGCTGCTGATGTTCCACAATCTCTTCAACCACAGCCAGAGTCACATTCAGAACAGCCCAGGTCAGAAAACCCTCCTGCTCGTTCTCATTTTGCCATCGGTTTTTCACCCATTACCACTATTGCATCCGCATCGCCTCGAGCAAGCGTTATTTTGGAAGCGCCAAATACATCTGACAAGACAGAGGAAACTCAAACCAGCTCTAAACCGGTCGAATTGCAAAACGACCAGGATGTCGCCGGGGTAGCTGCACACCCAGGGCAGCATGTGCAGCGCAACGAGCGCAGCCCTGATCATCCTTCGAGGAACAAGGTCAAAGAGATCGAGAAACAAACATCGAGACCGAAGATAGAGAGTGGAAACGAAACTATCGCTGGAGCCGATAGTGGGAAGTCCGTCGAGCCTGAAATACAAGAGGCACCAGCAATTCCGCCATTCGAGCCCGACCATGATATTGATCCGCTGTCATCGCCTCGTCCATACATTCACATGCCTCCAGAGAGTCTCAACTCGATCGAACCTGTTGATCCAGTTCGTCCCTCCAGCGTGAGCACAAGGGAATTTGCAAACACTCCTAGCAGATCAATGCTGACAAGTGTTCCCGAAGAAGTAGAAGTCAAGAGCAACGGCCACGCAAAGCCGCCAAGGAAGTTCGTGACTAGGACACGACCAACAGGCAGTCATCTGTACATTGACGATGACTTTTCCGAGGATCAAATTCGCTCTATTCCCGGGTACCAATCGACCTTTGACGAAAGAGAATATGCTCAAAAGCAAGCCGATGCTCGCGCAGCTCTCATTCGACTTCAACATAGTTTGAACGAGGAATTTCTTACACAGCCATCCCCTCCGCCAGAGTCGCCATCAACCAGATACAACCCTCCGAAACATAGTTACTCCTTCAGCGATGGGAAGCCAGTCGCACCGTCTTCCATCTTTTCACAGGTCAGACACTCACCTACCCCGGCAGATGCGATCGGCGAGGCTGACACACGGTTTGAGGATGGTAGAACGGAGACACCTTACCATCATTTGACGACAGTGTCACACGAAAGGGAGGCTGGAAAGGCTCGGAGAAAGAGATCAACCCGTAGTGCCGCTGCATCCCAAGAGCCTTATGAGAAGGGAAAACAGAGAGCTGAATCAGAGCTCAACGGGCCTGGTCCGTCCATCATCAATGATCTGGAGAGTCCGAAGCCACCTCTACACCTGCCGCCCCCCCTTCGCCTCAACGGCCATCCTATCAATCATCACCTGCAATATCAACCACCAAGTCCAGGCGAGGTCTCTCTATCAAACTTCCCAATACCTGTGTCTTCTCCCCGGCAATCATTCATTCGACCATCAGTAGCTGACGACGCTGAGAGGCAACAAACTCCGACTCCAACCCAACAGCACGCACCTCAGCACCCGCTGGCTGGTAGCGCCGCTGGGATGAAAGAACGCATCCTGCGCCGGCAAGCTAGCCAACGGAGTCAGGCAAGCGGCGGCTCGGCGTTTAGTATTCCTTTTCATATGATCCCGGATCGATCGAGTAGCAGACGAGATCGGTCAGTGATGGAGGCCGACGATTAAAGCCGTGGGATTCTTCTCTTTGTTAATGTTTCAGCCGCAAGACTTGAGCTTTGGTTATATCCGGGAGGAATTTGTTCCTTTTTGACGTGTTTTTCTTTTCCACTGCAGTTACTTCGCAAGCGACAATAGGTGGATGGGATTCAAGAAAAAGTTGTTCTTGTTTGTGCCATGCATGTACATATCAACGACCCGTGACGACGCTTGAGATAAGATATCGGTCCGATCTAACTTGTTTGTGTCCAGATCCTGAAATCTACATAATACTCTAAATACAAATACCCCTCCCTCGCTGTTGCTGCGGCTTCCGGTCAGGCTGGAACATGGAGAAAACGGGGGACTTTGTACATGAATGAAAGGTCTTTTGGCTCTTGTCGATGCCTTTGAGTCATTCGTTCGGGATGGTGGTCGCTGTCCACGCACTCAATCGTCGCTGTCGCCGTCGTTGAAGAGATACCACACGCGCGAATATCTATTAATGACAACAAACACCGTACGGTTCCTAAACTTAGATCCTTCTGCCCTCTCGATACGTATGGCTATTGCCGCTGCCGTTGCTGCAGTTCTAACGCAAGTAGGCTTGCCGTGTCCGGAGGGAGGTATATGTAAGACCTAGCCTGCTTTACGGGGCCGCAAGGGGCATGATATTGAGGGATTCTATCGTGCTTCCCGGATTGTGTCGCTATGGATGTACTAGGCAGCTGGATACCCTGTGTAGGTAGGTCGGGAGCTGCTCCATACTCGCTAGCCGTGGAGAGTGGTCTATTGCTCTGGGGAGGTAGTTCAAGTTCGAGTTCGAGTTCGAGTTCGGTATATTAGTTCTTGCACATAGATAATAGTCCAAGGGCATGGTCACATGTACGTGTATTACGCAGTAGATCACACATGCCTCTTGTCGTCTTTCTGGGGTCTGATTCACAGTCCTCCGTGTGGAGACTTTTATGCTGGAAATGCATACGTCGTGATTCCCTTTGTCCTGGCGAGGTGAACACCAAAAACATGATGGATAGATAGATGAACCCCCCCTTGCCCCTCATGTGGCCTCTATTTAGATCCTCATCTGTACATGGACACATTACGCACAAGGACTCCTATATGTACTTACAGGCCCCAGACCCTCATCCAGCCTTCTTGAGACTTCACCCAGCCTCTTTCGTGTGTGCGGCCGCCTTCCACGCCCCTGCTACTCTCCAGGACTTCCTCCTCGCCTGGGAGACGGAGCCATTCATCCACACAGTCGGGTATCTCTTCCTTGACGTGACTTACCACGACGAGGGCCTGGGAGGGCATGAGACCCGTGAAACGGACGCTGTGTCCTTGCGCAACTGAAACAGGGGCCTCGGTAGCGGTTGAGACGTGCAGGCTCGGTGCCTCTTGTGTCGTTGGTGCACCGTGTGGTCTTATCTTGTTCTCCCCGAATTCAAGCCACAACATGGCCTTGTCCCTCGTGTCCGCAGACAAGCCCGAGAAGGATTCATCGAGGATGATTATATCTGGCTGTTTAATGATGGCACGAAGGAGTAGGAGAAGGCGCTGTACGGAAAATGGGAGCGTACCGAAAGCGTGGTTTTGTTTGTCGGTTGCCCAACTCAGATCTGATCCGAAATGGGCACCAGAGGCATCGATGGCGTCTTGTCGAAGCTCTGGCTCCCACCAGCTTAGAAATCGATTCACCATGTCACTTCGCTCTGGGCTGAGATTGGGTTTCCCTGCGTAGGTCTCCGCCCATGCACTTTCTAGCACTCTCCTGACAACCAAGTGCTTGGGGAAGAACTGATGGATTTCTGGAGAAGAATGCCCAATTCGACTCTGGATCTCCCACAGACTCAACCCGGGGATTCCTCGCTCGGGATCAGGTAATCTTGTGCGGCCGAAGAACTTTATCGGCAGCGAGTAGGACTGTGGGTGGTCCGAAGTCAAGAGCGAGAGAAGGGTGGTCTTTCCGGACCCGTTAGGGCCAAGGAGCGCGAGGCGGGTGCCTTGGCTAATTGTCAGATTCAGACCCGGAGTGGTGTGCCCGGGTTGTGGGGGAGGATGGCCGAGAACGGTTTTGGATCCGTATTGCACGATGATGGACGAGAGTTCGATGAGAGGGTCGCTGAGCTGTCTATCTCTTTCACCGGGGGAGGGTAGCACGGACCATTCCTGCTGTTGGCAGGATGCTGTGGGTTCCAAGGCAGATCTGGAGGGGGTTGTGGGAGTAGCAGTGACGGCGAGGTTAAGCAGGTCATCAAGAGTCTGTCGATCACACTTCTTTATCTCTGTCCCATTTTCGAGAGACCGTCCGATTTCTCCCCTGTCTTTCGGTGCAGGACTGGATTCTTCAAGCATTTCTGGATGTCTTGATATCCCTGTCTCGCTCAAGACGTCACCCGTCACGCCAGCCGGGGGAAGGCCATATTCCCTTGTGATTTGGTCGACAAATATTTGGCTTGCGGTTGAGGTTTGCGACCCAGAAGCTACATTCACCCACCGACGTATATCGAATAACACTTTCGACTTTTCACCCATCAATGCCACAGTATGGTTATGACCAAGCACGACCAGATGGGTTATCCACTCTGGTATCGGGTCTTGAGGGCGTAGTCCGAGCATCAGAAGTGGGCTTGATCGGTACGCCAGCTTCTTTAACATAGGCGACAGGGTCACCAACGTAGGCGGATCAAGGCCCATGAAGGGCTCATCGAGCAAGAGAAGGAGTGGTCTGCCAAGTAATGCCTTTGCGATCCTAGTTCGTCTGGTCTGTCCATTGCTAAGGTTGCTTACTGGCATGTTTTTCAATTTTTCCAACCGTAAATCGCTCATGACTTTGTCGAGGAGGTGGCTGTCGACACCTTCATCTGGAGCTCTTTGTCCTGGATTAAGTTCTGTGTCGCCCTTGAGATATTGCATGACCGTCCAATCTGTTTCCTCCCGTCGACTCTCGTAGCGAGCACTGAGGTATGCGCCTCTTACTCCTCCCGATCCACCAGCCAGTTGTCCTTTCCCGCTATTGAAGCCCACATATTGAATCGCGCGAGAAGGAACACGCAGGCGGTGGTCCCTCCGATCATCGATGTAGCCGGAGGCCAGGTAAGGGTAGGACCTTGCATTAGGCGGCACACAAATGTGTGAACCCCTTAGGATCTCGAGAAATGTCGCGCCATCCGATGCACTGATGACGGCCCAATGCTCACTTGTCCTTTCGACAGGGTGACTTTTCTCGTAAATCGTAGCAGGTAGCTCGAATGTCAGGTCTGGGAACAGAGGTGGATTTGAAGAGTCATGGCGATCGGCTGATGGGTGTTCTCTGTAGAATGTCCCATTGCGAATCTGAATGAGGTTGAGTCGGCCACATTTCAAGGATTGCCTGAAGAGGCAGATAGCTGTCCTTCGCATGTCCGCCGCATGATTCTGTTGTTGTTTGTAGAGCTGGATATGTGAGATTTATGAGTTGGGAAATCGGAGAATCTACGTAGTTCCGACGTCTCATCTCCAATTTTTGGATGGGGACTCGGGGAGCAATCAACTACTCCGGAGCTCAATCAAGCCAGAAAAGGAATAGGAGGATCCAGTGTTGGTTTCAAGGTCATCATTCCAAGGCCAGCTCTATAACCAGCTCTAGATATCTGTTACATGCACGCATGGGCCCACCTTCGCGCCTTCGCTATGCCGGAATTCATGTAAAATGGCACCAAGCAAGAAGCCCTCCGTCCCTCCCAAGCTCATCCGCCCAAACCCAGTCGTCCTGACTGGCACTGCTGGGCCAATTGTTCATCATCATCGATCCTAAAGGAAGTATTCATTCCGTCCACCTCTTGATGGTGGAACATGTCGTAGCTCATCCTTGACGGCGCTAAAGAGCTTGAATGATGGTTTCATGTCTTCGCCAATGTCGCACACCGATGCCAGGTTTCCACATCTGTAGCAGTAATTCGGGGCACTCCATACCGTCACCACGTCTTGACTCTTGAAATGATATTTGTAGCCTTCATTGACTAATTGATGCGCTCTTGCAATGAGGTTGAGGCCGTTGACATGGCAGAATTCCTGACTGACTCGGTCTCCAAACAGCCACCCGGCTCCTCGAGGCGATACTGCCCAGGTTTCAACGTCTTCGGGGTCTGACCATACGAGATCACAGAATGCGCCTTCATGAGGGATTTCTTGTGCTCGTGCAACGACTCGCACCTGATCGAGCGTTCTAATTTCTGGAGAGAGACCGCCGTGCACACATAAGACTTTGCCATCTACTATGGCTCCTAGCGTCATAAAGTCAAAGACTTGACAGCAGGCTTTCCAGACTGAGGTGTTTCCGTATTTCTGTACACACTCTTCATAGAAGCCGTACACTTGGGTGATCTGGCGAGACTCGTGATTTCCTCTGACCAACGTAATCTTGTCGGGGTATTTTGCCTTGAGGCATAGTAGAAGTGTGAGTGTTTCGAGGGAGAAGTATCCACGATCGACATAGTCTCCAAGGAAAATGAAATTTGCGTTTTGTTTGCGTGAGATGACATTCCCTGACTCTGATCGCTCGTCTTCGATCTCTGAGTGTTGTGATGAGGGGACGTCTTCAGCATCGCTGATCTCGCTGCTCTTCTCGCTTGGCGTACCAGGATGTTCTATTCCTCCAAGTTTCAATTTCTTCTTCAGTTTCGGGTCTGTAATAGTAGAAGGTGGTTCAATGTCTGCGGAAGTAATGATGTTTGCGGGTGTGACAGGTGTTTCGGGTGCCGATTCATTAGGCATGCCTCCTGCAACTCGGAAAAGTTCGAGTAAATCGTAGAATTGCCCATGGATATCGCCGCAGATCGTGACCGGGGTAGACACAGGCTGGATGTTTGATTCTGATGATTGGGTCAGATGTACCTCAGGAGACTGCGGCATTGGATGTCAAACCTTCCATCATGTACTCCTTGACGATCTCGCAGAGCTGCTTCATGTGGTATTCTGAGAGATACTTGCAGTTCTTTGCCGCCTCAAGCCACTCGTCGGGTCCTGCCGATCGCTTGAGATGTGCTGGCCCTGGGACTGGGACCTTAATTGCGCCCATGGTGCTGGTGAAAAGGAGGTGATTTGGCTTGGATCTGCCCGTTTGTACGTAGATTCGGTGCCCAACTGGCTGGTTGGGGCTCTTGGGAGGTATCCAGGTGCAGGAGGAGTTCGGAGGGCCCTCACAAGGTCGACGTAGTTGAAGACCTTCGGCTTGGGCAGGCCGAAGAAGGCGCGGCGGTCGTTCTCGTTGACTTGGCGAGAACGGCGGCGGGCTGGTGGAGGAGGGGAGGTAGAAGGCGATGAAGAGGGCGAACCCTCAGGAGATTCTTCTTCGAAGACGGGAAAAGCTTCTGGAGCGTCCGCCGTCTCTACGGCGACGTTGGCGGCGTCCAAATTGCGGCCAGTGGTGGTGGAGGCGGAGGAGGGTGTGGTTGGCGATGTGGTCGCCGCTGCAGACATCGCGGCACGTGAGTGGTAGTCGGCAAAAAGTAAATCCGATCCGAGAGGACGAAGGAGATATTTATGGCAGGCTAATGCCCCTCCTACCGTCCTGTATTCACTATTCACAATATTACTTATTCACTTGCAGTCACATTGACTGTATGGTGACATTGTCTCTTCATGAATAGGGTGGTCGCGGTGACTCATTCACGGTCCTACAGGCTCAGATATCGATCTCTCATTGTTGTCTTACTTTCGACTTGGATTTTACAACAATGTCAAGTCACGCTAAGAGTCGCGCAGCAGCAGGCGTCCTGCCTGTGAATGCTGCGGCCAGGAAGAATACAGCTGCTCAGTCTGCGTCAAAGTCGTCTCCAAGGACGCCGGCACCCAGGCTGAGGCTGATCATCCGACGATTACCCCCTGGACTAACAGAAGCTGAATTCTGGACAATCCTCGGCGACGACTGGAAAGTCGGTAATGGTAAGGTTGAGTGGGCGGCTTATAAAGACGGAAAAGTGTCTAAAGAGTTGGGCGCATTGCTCCAAAATCAATTGACCCCGGGCTGACTAGATATAGTGCTGCAAAACCTTCGCGACCAGCCAGAGCTTATCTCAAAGTCAAGGAACAGTCACTGTTGGATTTGCTGTCCAAAGCGGTCAGGGAATCATCATTTCAGGATGCTAAAAACACTAGCAAGGATCCTTGCCTCCTGGGACCACCGTCTCTGGAGTTCGCACCGTACAATAAGATGCCTGTTCCTCGCATTCGACACGACGGTAGACAAGGCACCATCGATCAGGATCAAGAATTCATCGATTTCTTACAAAGTCTCACTGAGCCGATCAACAAACCAGCATCGAACGGAGCCGAAGCCACCGATGTCAAAGCAGACACGGTTACCATCACTCCACTAGTCCAGTATATCAAGGAGAAGAAGGCCAACAAGGCCAAAGAAGCCGCGCAGGCCAAAGCAGCGAAGCGGGAAAGTAAGGAGGCCAAACCCACTAAGAGTGAGCGTACTCCGACAGTCATCATCAAGGGCAAGAATACTCCGAACTCGACTGAGAAGGAAAGGGAGCGAGTAGCAAAAGCGACCCAAGATGCAGTGAAGGCGGCCAACAAAGCAGCGGCTGCTTTGCCGGGGAAGCAGACAACATCAGCAAAACTCGAAACTAAACAGGCATCAGCAAAAGGGACCCAGCCGCAGCCCTCCGCATCCACAGCATCAACACCTGCTACCACACCTGCGAAGCGAGAGCGCAATCGAGAGCGGGACAGCGGAAGGGCTGCTGCCCGCATGCTGCAGAGGGATCTGGGGCTCCTTGCGAGAGAAAACACCTCCCAACGCACTCCAAAGACTCCATCGTCGAGCACAGCTACCACAAATGACACTGTAGCTTCATCGTCCACAGTGAAACCGTCAACTCCTACCACTGCAGCGATGTCCTCAGAGCCTCCTGGAGAACAGTCCAAACCAACAACCCCAGCTCCAACCACCACCCCTGCAGCTCCTCCAACCGGTCCACGTGCTGCACGAACTCCAAATGCCACATCCACAAAGCTGGAACCACCAAACGCACCATCAGCGTCTTCGGCTCGACCTTCGTCCGTTCAACGCCAATCCAAAACCTCGTCTCCTCCGCAGCCCACCTCCGGCGCAAAGTCCGCTTTCCTCAAGCACGCGAACCAGTCCCAAGGGATCACGGAGGATCTTCTTCAGCAAGTGTTCAAAGAGTTCGGAGCGATAACCCGCTGTGAGATTGATAAGAAAAAGGGACTAGGTTATGTTGACTTTCAAGAGCCCGAGGCATTGAAGAAAGCCATGGCAGCGAGTCCGGTCAAGGTTGCGCAGGGGCAGGTCGTCGTGTTAGAGAATAAGTCCCACCATGGGAAGCGCGGAGGTGGCGGAGGCGGAAGCGGCCAAAATCAGACAGCATCTGGACAGGGAAAAGCAGGGGCTGCATCGTCATCTCCCGCAGCGGTTCCCCCCGCTGCAAACTCCCCCAAACCAGTTGGTGCCGCTGCACAAGCCACGGCGGCTTCACAGACCCCCACTGCTGCTGAAAGTCCGGCGGCTGCGTCCACCACAGCCATGCCCCCAGCAACACCAACCGTAGCAACCCCGCCTACAGCGCCGCGAGGGACCGCTCGAGGAGGCGGAAGCGGCGGTCGTTCGGGCGGACGCGGGAATAGTGGAGGAAGGAGAGAGGGTGCCCGTGGTGGCAGCGGGTCTGGCCAAGGCCAGGTCGGTGGGAGACAAGGCTATCGTGGTGGTGGCGGAAGAGGAAACTTTGGAGGTGGCAGACGCAGCGGCGGAGGTGGAGGTCAAGGAAACGCAAATGCAACTGCAACTGCTGGCGCTGGCGCTACCGCTACCACTACCGCCACAGGGAGCACTGGTTTAAGGGGTGCTGAGGGAGCTCCCAGCGCCGCCCCAATCCCAGTTGGGAAGGAAGACGGAAACAAAGATTGAGTGAGCATCGTCATGACGAACAATGGACTGAGCTTTGCGTGGAGAGTGAGAGTGCGAGTGCAACCCACTTTCGGTATACTCTCAAGTCACTGGTCCTGATTTTCCAAAGTCGCGAGCAGGACGAGCGCAGGAAAGAGAGCGTGGGAATGAAATGCTCGGATGAGAATCAATTCAACGGAGGTCAGCTCAGAGATAGATAGATGGCCGTCCAGCCCTTTCTTGAGCACATGCTTTGGCTTTGATATACGGTGGAGCCAGGACTCCGATACAGGACACCGCCCGAACCAGATTACGTTCGTTATTACATGTGGTAGAGTACAGAATCTATCAACCTTTTGTGGTGTCCTACTGATCCGACGTACCCGATTCCAGCTCCCCCCTTAGGAAATTTCCATGCTGTGGCTTTTCTTGCCCCGGTGCTCTCCGTCCAACATCTAACAACAGACTGTTTCTTTAACCTCCCAGGTACATTGATCGCATCATGTGAATGCTGATATACATGCCCTGACTTCCTCATCTGAGCTTCCCGCCTACTAGGCGGAGACAGGTAGGCCGGTAGATAGGTAAGTTGCATTGGCACCCTGATCCCTTTGCCAGTTGAAATCCCATTGCCTAAATGCCACAGTTCACCGCCTCCTCCTCGTCGGTCGCGCTGGCTCAAATGCGTCGTCGTCATCGTCATCAATCTCCTCATAGCTCTGACTTCGACTCGCACCGGTGCTCCTCCCATTCCCCAGGATGCTGTTCTGCGAAGTGGTAAAACTGAGGGTTGATTGCTTCTGCTTTGAAGCCGCGACGCGGGCTGGTGGCTTTTTCGTCGCTGACATCGTCGATGATGCGAAGGAGGCGGGTTTAGTTCTGGCTCCGCCTCGGGTTGTCGTTGTACTTCTGGCGGCCGGTGTTGTGTTGCGGGCCCGAGTACTTGTGGCGCTTCTACTCTTTTCGGGGACGAACATGGCTTGGGAGTCATCTTCGTCGTCATCGTCCATGACGACGTCGCCGTCCTCCTGGCCATCGTCTTCATCGTCTGGAATTGTGCGTTTCCGCCACCGCGAGGTAGTCGTCGTTGCGGCGGGTTTCTTTGCTGCGGTTGTTGCTTTGCGATTAGTTGTTGTCGCCGATGAGCCTGCTCGACCACCCCTTCCTCTCCCTATTCCTCTCGCTGCTGTTGTCCTTGGGGCGGGTGTTTCGTCCTGGACATCTTCATCCCCCTCGCCGTTTCTACTTTCCAAATCCTCTGAATCACGCAGCAACGCCCCAGGAGTCTCCTCCCACGGCCCATCTAGATCGCTATCCCAATCATCCGGCTTCGGTTTAAACCTCGCTTTACTCTTTGATGCCTTGAGCATGCCCTTTGCAAACATTTCCTCCATCATTGCACGCTGCTCTTGAATCTGGGTGGCCAGATCTTCATCATCGTCGTCATCTTCATTCGCGTCCGTTTGCAATCTGACTAGGTGCTTGATCTGATCTGCGAGGGACTCATTCACGAAGATTTCCATGGCATGTTTGTCGTCCTTTTCTACGTATTGGTTCACAGCGTCGCCGAAATAATTTTGGGGGAGGATGGTGAGGGACTCGGCTTGAAGGAACTCTCGGACAAGTTTGTCAACTTTGATGATTTCTTGACCTTGAAATCTGGCCATGATCTCCTTGTCTGCTTCAGCATCTCGAGCCGCGCGGGCTGCTGCGTTCTTCTTCTTGACATGGAATTGCACCACGTCGTTGGTGTTGGCGACCTTGTCAATAAACCTGTTCGAGAAGCGCTGCGGATTTTCGATGTCGAATTTGCCGATGCCGTCCGCCGAGGTCGTTTCAACGCGCAGTCTGATCAAGGGCAATGGGCATTCTTCCTGCTCTTCATCCGGGTATTCTCTTTCTTCTTGCGCCTCCAACCATTCTTCCCTGGCTTGCTCGATTAGTCCGTCCACGATCTTGATCATGTGGCGTGTCAGCTCGGCACGATGGTCATCCTTGGATTTAGCGATCCTAACGGCTTCCTTGTCGGCGGCAAGGGCAATGTCTTTGTACACGAATGGCCGAACAGTTTTCAGTCGAATTGGTTCGCATGTCATTTCCCGGCCGGTGATGGTAAGAATTGCGACCTGTTTAGGAGCAGCTTCACCCGGGATTAAGCTTGTGGCCACAGAGGAGCCGGGTTGCACAACCTTGAAGTTCATCTCTGGATTCAGTCTGGGCTCGATATCACACTCGTGTTCATGACCCCAGATGACAAGATCCAGGAAATCAGGTAGAAAGTTCTCGGGCAGGTATGATGTCTCGGCATAGGCATGGTGGTTTTGATGGACGCATATCAGATTGTACCAATCGCTCATCTGCTTGCTTGGCCGGTGGAATTTGACCTTGCCATCCCTGAATGTGCGGTAAAGTCGCTCATCTCGAACATTAGAGAGCCCGTACAGGGCTAGTTTCGTGCGTCCTTTCTGTATTAAAACAGGCTTGACCACAATATTATCACTCTGAGGCGTTTTCCCGTAGTAGTTGACCAGCCCGGAAACGGCGAGCAAGTCCAGGGCAGAGTAATGGCCCTCTCCGGTCGGATCATCATGATTGCCATGGATGGAGAAAACTGGGATTCCGACATTGATGTTGGCGTCTTCGTAGTTGACATGGTCGAACGTGGTGTCGAAATGCTCCGACTCGTCAGAGAGCATTTCGAGCTCGCAAGGCTTGTCGCCCAGACAGTTAAGTCTCAGGGAGCGCATGACATTGTACATGGATTTGCGTGAGGGCTTGTTCTCGTGGAAGAGGTCACCGGCGAGGAGGACCATATCGACATCTCGATCTTTGGCCAGACACATGATTTCATGGAACGTCTTCCAGGAGTCGTCGCCTCGGATTGGGTCTCGTTCGTGGGCCCCGACATGGTTGTCGGTGGCAACAAGGATGGTAATTGTGTCTGCCATGACGTCTGTGTTTTAACGAAGCAGAGAGAACCTGAAGAAGGAGTGTCTGTCAAGAAGAGTGCTGAGCAGAATGACGGCTTTGTGTTTTCTGGGGAGGCGAGGGCCGAGTGTCTATCTTTTTGGGAAATGGCGTGTTTGCTGCCTGTTGAGCGGAGCAGAAGTGAGCAAATGAACGGAGCGGAGGCACAAACAGTCCTGTGCTGGCAGACGGTGATAATGATGATACGTATTCTGACCCGAGCTTGAAGCAGATATATCACAGTATGGCAGCGCGTGCAGGGATGCAGCAGGGAAGTGAAGTTGTGGTCATTAGGTGGTCATTAGGTGGTCATTAGGTGGCTGTTAGGTGGCTGTTGGGTGGCTGTTAGGTGGCTGTTAGGTGGCGGTCTGGTGTTATTAGGTGGTCGTTAGGTGGCAATTAGGTATGGGTGAAGATTACGGGCGAAGAGCGTCGACGGAGCCGCGTCGCCACGTCCTCCCCATCCCGCCAGGATCAACAGTGAACTACGCGCCTCACCCTGAACTTCACCCTCGACGTCGCAGCCAACCCTCTCGACACATTTTGTTGGTTAAGCAGATGAAGACTTGACCATTCTTGGAGAGATTCTGGATCTATCGAGTTGTTCATGTTCATTGCTTGGTTGGGCGACCGACGGCGATCGATTCACAACCTAGAGCGAGAGCGACGCGACTGACACGACATTCTGGACATTTCACATGCCGCAGCAATCGAAATCTGATCCGGACCAGCTTTGTCCCGCACACTCTTGTTGTTCTCTGTCACAGAGCCACTCTTCAACGACCGACTACTCTTATGAAGTGACACTGTTGATCTGATTCCCTGTTTCCGCCATCCTCCCTCGCCGGGCCTTGCTGTCGGCCGAGGAACGACGTCGGCGGATGCAGCAGCAGCCTTCCGACTACATAGCTACACAGATAATCTCACCTGACGCCCAAACACCCATCACCTAATACCTCACTCAGACATACCACCGGCTTGCACTGGTCACCACACTTGTCTCGAAAATGCCCAAAGGTCCCAAGTCCATCGGCGTCCTGTGCGCGGAGCTGGGCATGGACGGTGTTGCCGAGTCCAACCTCCGCAAAGATGCTCAATCCTACCTCAAATCCAACATCGACGACCTTCCAAATGCACCCGATGAAGCTATTGAGCCCGTCGCCTCTGACTTTCTCCAGTCCGGAGGTGGTAACCGCCACTTCTCATGGGACGCTGCTCTGGTAAGCTCCCCTCTATTCGGGCAGGCACATCGATATTACTAGGCGCCCTTAGATTTGCGTAGCGGCTGACCTAGACATGCAGAATTATCAATGGGAGGCAAGCGAGCACCGTCAGACCATCCTCAACTACGTGACCGAGATTATGAAGATGCAACGCTGGTATACCATCGACCGCCTTCATAAGCGCATCAATGGTGCCGCCAACTGTCCCGGCTGCTTGTTGCACTCTCCAAAGCAAGGAAGCCCGGAGACCGTCGACGGCGAGGGTGCTGTGGACCGCGTCATAGTTTATGCCAACGAGTCTTCTGGTGGTAAGTAAACCCCCTATAGTGGCTTTGAGTCACCAGCCCGTTCGACCAAAGGGAGAACAACAGGCTGACAGCCATACCTATTTCTCCCGCTAGAATCCGATGCCGGAAGTATTCATCACGCTTCAGGCAGAGTTGACGCACCCCCACACAGCGAAAGCAGAAAGCGGCAACGTGCCAGCCGCGACCGCTTCAGTATTTCCGAGAAGAAGCAACGCAAATCAACGGGGCCGCAAGAAGAGACAGGCACAGTCGCCGGCCTGAGAGAAGAATCTCAAATCCAAGTCCCGCCTCATAACAACACAGTTTTCCCGAATGCGAGACCTTCAATAACCGGCTCAACCGCGCACGCGGGCTTCACACCAGTCAACCCAGCAGTCGTCATTCAAGTCCCCAGTCTATCTCAGCCTGAAGCTCAATCCCCCGTGCTGGCTCCTTCTCCAACGCTCAATTTCAAGGATTTCAACCTCTCGATGCGCTACCGCGGCAAGCAGTGGCACTTCAACAGCATCGCGCACAAAGCCAAAGTTCTCGAGCAGATCCTCCTCCAAGAAGAGAAGGACGTCGAAGCCTACCCAATTTTGGCGTTCTCAAAGGGGGTCAAGAAAGCGGCGTTTCGAGGCGATGAGGACTCCGATGGAGATGACAGTGCCTTGAAAGATTACTTCCGCTTTTACACGCATTTCATGAACGACAGATTCCCCAGCAACGAGAAGATATTGCTGGAAAATGGAGTGAGGCCTTCGGCGTAGCTTTAGGCAGAACAGAACAACCTGGGCTGCCCGCCATGTACGGAATAAATTGATGCAAGCAGGATCTACGGGCTGGTGTCGGCAAATGGTTGTTGGATTAGCGTAGGAGTTGAGGCCATCGTCACGATTCCCAATGGCTGCAATGGCTACCTGCCTCATAGCTAATTAAAACCCCTAGTAAATGTCTCCATTATTATTAAATATCCCTCTCTGTGGACTGCTGGCCCAAAACGGCTAGCAGGCTTCCGCCCCGAGATTGAACCATCAGTCGAATTAATCTGTGACAACACGCCTCAATCCTCAACGCCTCCTTTCTCTCTGATCTCGCTGCGATAGACAACTGACTCTCTCAAAACCCTTACCCGCGCAAGACTCTTAGACTGATCCAACCCTTGGCTCAGTCTTGACGATCAACCCAGCTTTCTCTTAGATCTTTTTATGCACCCTGCGCCTTCTGAAGCCTCCCAAAACGCGACTTCAGTAGAACACACTCAGCAACTCCCTTCACCTCCTACGCAGCATGGACTTCCAGACATCGAACACCAGGCCTCTGGCGGCCTGCTCTCCACGACTAGCCCCAGAGAGCCCAGTCCAGATCCGGAGGATCAATCTGACAATGTCTCCGTCCATTCCGGAAGCACCCAGCGTGGACGGTCCTCCAACTCCAGATGGATAAGCAGTCGAGATAGTTCCTCTCAAGGTTCTCCTGGCAGTCGTATCGACGAATATGAAAGGGCACACACGCGGTATCGGAAACCATCGGATGGCATAATCTTCCAGGTGATCCCATCTGCGAAAGACAAGAATCCGAGAGTTTCAATTGAGAACTTCCCGAATGGTAATTACGAGGAGATGATTAATTCGAATTCCGGCACTGACAAGCGACAGAGGTTCTCACTCACATTCTCTCCCACCTACCTCCAGAGACCTTGTCTTCCATGAGCCTCGTGTCTCAGCGCTTTCACAAATTGGTCACCACACCTCATGCATGGCGCATTGCATTTGCGAGGTACTTCCCTGGGCAAGAAGCGTTGGGCGCTGGGCCAGGCAAGGCTTCACAAGAGTCGGTGTCTGATGTTGACAGAGCACAGCGCAGGTCATTCGCGCGGTTATCAGCCCTTTCCTCATGGAGAAGCGAATATATCCTTCGAACACGACTGCTGCGCTCTTTGGGCCGCGGCCGGCCTGCAATCGAGGCAATCTCTCGCTCTGGTGCATCTCGCCATGCTAGTAGTGCGGCCGCTGCTGCGGTCACCACTTACGCTTCCGGCTTGTATTATCCCGTCAGCCATCTGCACGCTACGTTTGGGGTCGGCCTCAACAAGAAACAGCCCCTGTTCATGCATGGAGCAGTTGAGCAAGGGGGTGTCACTGTGAGCGACCCGGCCAGTGGTAAACCTGGCTCTTGGGGTCTAACAGATTTCGATGCTTTCAAACACTTTGCGGATCAGTTCCCGGGCGAACTGCCGTATGGCCTCGGCTCTGGGAATATGGTTGGGATGGCAAATGTCATGGATCTCAGTCAACCTTATGGTAAGGTATATGGAGAGGCTTGTCCCGGAGGACGTGTCTTCTACACTTCGACCAGCGAGCAACGGGGTCGGTTCGTATCCATGTCCTCGACGGCCAACCTTGCGCTCGGAATCCCTGAGACGACTATGATCGGTTGTGCTGTTTGCTCGGTCTGGATCGCAAAGTCCGAGTCGGTTCTCAAGGCTACTAGTGGTATATTTGGTTTCCTTGCAGGATTCTCGAACGGTGTTTTGGCAGCCTATGCCCTTGGTGTCAACCCCGTCCAAGATCGCCGGTACGACAAAGGGGAACTCACTGCTAAATGGGTTCTTTGCCCAGGTGTGCCAATCATTGCAATTTGTGTCGATGAGAGGGTATCCACTCGAAGATTGTCTGCAGGTCGAATCTGGGCTACCGTCTTGAACGCTCTCGGAGAGGTCTTTTACCTCACTGACGCCCCTATCAGACCAGATTTTGTCGGCAAAGCGTCACCCGATGAGCTCGATCGCCTTGCCTGGAAAACGGGGAGATGTGTACAGTGGTCGCTGGTCGAGGCTACGCGACGAACAGCGAAACCAGACCCCTTTGGCACGGCAAAGGTCGATGGCAGTTATAGTCCAAACATCTCGAGCGATGCATGCGGCTTAAGCAAAGACCAGATTATCGCTGAAACGAAAGAGGTCGAAGGATTTCTGCGGCACAAACCAAAGCATTTCCAGAATGTCTGTACCGGGTGGGATATGCAGCGAAGATTGATCGCTGATTTTGCGGGCGACGATGGCCACAATAAAGGGGAATCCATCTTCGTCGTAGATTGCGGTTTGTACGGGAACAATGTGGCTTCGGTGCGCCGTTTTACTAGGTGCATGACGAAGAACACCGTTGACTCGGAGCTGGACAGCTGGCCAACCCTCCAATCGGCCATGAAGCAGCCCTCGATCTTTGGTACGGGAAGTCCAACCCAGCAGTCTCCATATTCCTCCCCAGCGCCGAGAAGTGTCCCGCGATCGCGGACTTCTAGTCAAGACGACGGTGCGGGCTCGAGAACGAGAGAGGTTTGGCACATTTCAACCTTCTCGTTTGCTGAACATCGAAACATCCACATCTCGGCTTTGGCTTCTGACGAGTCAGAGTTCGCCACTCTGAACGTCAATGAGGATCCCTTACTCGGAATGTCTGGTGGCTCCAACACTTCCTCGCCTCTTGCATCCCCTCTTGGCCACACGGGAACGTTAAGCTCGACCTCGGAGATCCCTGGCCATCGTTCACGGCTTTTTGGAATCGGTACGACGTCAGGCATCGTCATGCTTTGGGACATGCGCGCTAGCCTGTCTCCCAGCCCTGAAGTTGTCAACGCCGTCTCGCCGGTCAGGGTTATTTACACAAAGTCTCCTCAAATTGCATCACTTGCCCTCACTTCATTGTACGTTGTGCACGGAGGAAATGAAGGTCTGGTTCAAGCATGGGATGTGCTGGCGTCCACAACTGAACCAGTCAGGACACTAAACTCTCGGTTCTCGGACCGGGCAAGACGTCGTATCGCTCAAGCCGAAGCTTCTGTGCAAGGCGTGGGAAACAATTACTACGCTGCAGGCGCAATCGTCTTGGACCCTGATCCAACAGTCTTGCGGGGCATGGTTTCTTTGGGCTCTTATGTCCGATACTGGTCTTACAGTTCCACTGCCGCCGATGCGTATAAGACGCGCAAGAGGGGCCAACTTCGTCGGCGGTCGGAGCGAGGCAGTAATTCTACACCAGCCGGCCAAAAGGTCAGCGCAACCGGACGCGGATTGATCAAGGATTACATCAGCAACGAGAGGCATGAAATGGAGCGAGAGAAACTCGCAAGGCAGAAAGAGCATGAACGACTGAGCGGCAGATTTGGCACTGATATTCTGGGCGAAGGCGCGAGTGAGGAGGAGCTGCTGGCCTATGCCACCATGCTCAGCGAGGAGGCATTTTCCAGTGAGGAGAGGAAGAGGAAGCAAAACTACGGCGGCGGTTCGATGGCCTCACCCAGTGCATCTCAGAGCGGCGCGGACCATGCGGCCGATGCCGAACTGGAGGAAGCCATCCGTCTAAGCCTGTTGGAAAACGAACAGGTGTCGTCTTCTCCAACAAGGAGCGCCAGTGACTTCGACGTTCCCATTAGGTATGCAAAGAGCTCAAGACATGGCACGCCCTTGAGAAGTGCGAAGGCCGGGAGCAGCAAAGCACAAGCAACGGCACAAGAGGAGGATGACGTGGAGTTTGCATTGCAGTTGAGTCTCGCTGAGGAACAAAGCCGTATGGCCAGGGACGAAGACTTTCCAATGCTTTCCAAATCCAGTAGTGGTGGATCTGAGGGAAGTGGGAAGGGGAAAGGAAAGTCCAGACGGCGTTGAGGAGAATTCTATTCTTGCATCCTTGTTGGGGCAGCAGCATTTCTTTGGATGAGCTGGGGGGTTCTTGTTTGGCACCACAGATTTTAGCCTCTATGGCGGTGGGACTGGATTCATCCGTCAGGGCCTTCTATTCTTGATTGACTGAGTCTTTCTTCCGGGGGATGGGAAGCGGTCGGAATCCAGCTAGATAGTATTTCTTCTATTCGGACCCAAACACAGATTTTCGTGGCACCTGGATTGATTCTACTCGATACCGCTAGAGAGAGAAGCCGGTGAGTGGATGTCGAACAACGAAGCCGGAGCCGGATCTCGGTTGGACACGGTCCGGCCTCTGGGTCAATTGTATGCAGCTCCAGCTTTTCCCCGAAATCGTTTGTTGCAGCCTCGGCCAACACTCCGCACGGCGCACGCAAACCTTCACTTCACCTGCGTCTGGCGATCGCAGTCAAGTGCTCACCATGCCCTCTGTGACCACCAGGCAAGCTCAGCAGCGATGACGGCGCCCGTCATGTCCCTCGCTCTGCTGCGGCGAGCTTCATCATCATCCCAACCGTTCTGCACTGCCATCAAGAGACACTTCTCCAGCACGGTCGGCAGGGAAGCTTCATGGGGCTTCATTGGCCTCGGTGCCATGGGTTTGTGCTCCTTCCCCTGACCCAAGCCACCATGTATGCTGATCGAGTCTCCTCAAGGCTACCCCATGGCGAAGAATCTACGCGCAAAGATCCCTGAAGGTGACTCGATGACCGTGTACGACGTCAACACTACCGCCTTGGAGAGGTTTTCTCAGGAAGCTACGCCGACGGGGGTAGTCGTGGCAAAGAGCCCTCGGGAGCTGGTTGAGAATGCTGTGAGTCAATTACTTCCGGTTGTGTGGACAGACCTGCATGATGAGCACTTTTGTTCTATCTATGATCTAAGTTGGGGGCATTTCCCTTTCGCGGGATTCGCCCCTGCCGTGATTTCCCTTTTATTTTATAGCCAATCCTCTGAAGCAATCCGACCCGTCGAGTGAAGCCAACCTGATGCTGCCCAGAAGAATGATGCACTAACGACCGTGACGCCACGACGGTTTAGGACAACATCATCTCAGCACTCCCCGAACCTCGACACGTCAAGGGCGTCTTTGAAGAGATCCTCGCCTCCTCCCTTCCCCAAGCCCCCACCGAGCAGTCAAGACTCTTCATCGACTGCTCCACCATCGACCCTATCACCTCTCGCGAAGTCGCAAAGATGGTCAAGGAGAAAGCTGGTGCCGGCTTCGTCGACGCACCCATGTCGGGCGGCGTTGTCGGCGCCCGCGCCGGTTCGTTGACGTTCATGGTCGGGGCCGAAGAGGCAGACATGCCCAAGATCGAGAAGATCCTGCTCCTCATGGGCAGGAAAGTGTGGCACATGGGACCGCAGGGGACAGGGCTGAGCGGGAAACTGGCGAACAACTATGCATTGGCGATCAACAACATTGCGTGTGCCGAGGCCATGAATTTGGGTATGAGATGGGGCATTGATCCCAAGGCGCTGGCGAACCTGCTGAACTCGGCCACGGGCAAGAGCTGGCCCAGTGAGATCAACAACCCTGTGCCTGGAGTGATCGAAACAAGTCCAGCCAGCAGAGGGTATGAAGGCGGGTTTGGCGTCAGTCTGATGAACAAGGACTTGAGGCTTGCTATGACCGCTGCACAAGAGGCGGGCGCGAAACTTGCGCTGGCGGAGAAGGCGAAGGAGGTATATGACCAGACGGAGAAGGAGTACAAGGGCAAGGATTTCTCGGTCGTGTATCGCTGGTTGGGCGGGAAAGAATAAACTGTTCCTGCATGATCGTAAAGTCGTCCTACATGCCTATGTATGTATCTATGTATGCATGTATGCATGTATGTAGGTATTACCGGACAAGGACAAGATCCGGACATGGAAACTATGATTCCTTGGTAGTATCCAGTGCAAAAGGACGAGTTTGTTGCCATATCAGCACAAGCACCGAGTATTACACGCTGGGTATGTATTCCGCGTGTCTTGGAGTTGGAGTTGGACTTGTGGATTAGGTACTTAGTGCTGCGTCCTCGCACTCATCCCTACGTACATACAGGATGCTGTGCTATTCAATATCACGGCTGTGCTCCGCTTTGTTTCCGATCTACAACATCATACCCCGTACACAGAAAGCATAGGCGGGAAGACCGTGCGGAGTAAATATATGGTACATAATATGCAGGACGAACAGATATGGACCTGCATATAGAGGATAGAGATGCAGCATCTCGAGTCAGTCCGGCATCCTGGACATGGCCCAAGAGGGCATTGGAAATGCACAATTGCAACCCAGCTGCTTGATTGATTTCCCTTCCGCGAGCTTCTCGTCCTTCCTATTTGCCCCCTTTTTCTTCTATGCATCCATGCATCCCATCCAATCTAATCATGTCTCGGATCTCGATTAGCGGAGACTTCCCGCTAAGCTCTTGAGACCAGACCAAAGCACACGTTTGTTTGTACCTTGGCTCCAGCGGTTTGAAGGAAAAAAGGGGGGGTTCAGCCACCCCAGGCAGGGAATGTCGGCGGGCGCTGCCAATAATAGGAGTAAGAATGCGACCGCGGAGTGTTATAAATGCTGCAGAAGGCTGACGAACAGCAGTGATCTCGGATGGGGGCCGAGTCTCACAGTGCAGACATTTTGCGTTGTGCCACATCTGGCGGGCTGCGAAAAGGGAGTAAGATGGTTCTTGGGATGAAAAGGGCTTGTTCCGTGTGCCCTCTTCGCCAAAATGTGACCGCGTAAGGTCCAACTGCTGTGTCATTTGGGCCCGTGCAGTGTTCACTCTTCTCCAAAGATTGCGTGACACGCACACCACCATTCCTCTTTGTAACAAGTAGGATCATCTCAGGGAGAACCCTGGGCCGGTCGGAACACGAACCGAGGCGATTTCCGAGAGTTGCCAAAGATTCAGATTTCGAGAAACTTTTAGACGTCATATCGTGGTACACCCTCCCTCCCGAGCTGAGAGTTCCTACTCAAAGCCGAAGATTCAGGGGGCTGCCGCCATTGTCATTTCAGCACTTGAGCAGTACAATTACTAACAGGAGGCGGTGACGCAGACCTGGTTGTAGCTGCCAGAGCGAAGGCAAGAACTCAAACCGGGTGTTCTTGATTCATCGTACGTTTTGTCGAAGCCTCTTGGTCGGTATTATTCGTGCTCCGAGACTCTGGGCCATCGATTGATCGACACTCGAGAATGACTCGCCTTGTTGTTGTCGTCCATCTGACTGACATGGCGGTAGTAGGAGCAGGGTTGCTCGGAAACGGCTTCTCGTTTATGGCTAGTCTGATTGTCAGACTGTTAGAGTTGAGCGTGTCTTTGTTCGGTTCAGAAGCCATCCGCGTTTATAGGATGACATTCCGAATAGCCATGGTAGCGATTCGTGAATCCCTCTCTTCGGATTCTCCCCTTTCCTTCCTCCTAACCGCCTCGTCGTAAGCCTCCTTCGCAAGGTCGCGAATGGTATCCTCGAAAAAGAACATTTTCAACTCCTTTTCCAACTTCTTCCATTGGCGAGCCTCGCCGTACTTGTCCAAAAATTGTCGCATGACCGTCGTCCAGCCACGGGGACGGATCTGGCCATGTTGTATGACGGTTCCGATCATCATGTTGGTCCAGAGATAACACGGGCGTTCCGGAGACTTGTGGCTGGGAGTCTGGTGCAGAGCAATGTCCGCTAGAGCTTTCAACGCTGTCTCATAAAAGCCAGTCAGATGGTCTTGGAAATGGATGACCCTCAACAGGTAGCAATATGCTACCAGGCCGTGGGAGAGAAACCTCTCCGTAGGGGTGGTTTGTAGGGTAGCGAGTCGATGGAGATCTTCGAGTGTCGTTTGGATCTTCCTTCTCGAGGTAACGCCGAATTCTTCAACTCGAATCGTATCCGACAATTTCGCTTTGACAGTGGCGAAATGGGACAAGAGCCGGATCATTTGGAGCGAAAGCACACCCGTCAACCCAATATCACAGAAGCCTTGGGGGAGCCTAGACAGCATCTCACAAACTTCCGGTTTGAACGGATGTGCCATGTAAACGGGGAACTCTGAATTCTGTAGAATTTGTCCCGAATACCGAGTTGACTTGTCCGGGGTAGAATCTGCAGCAAACAGAAACGACCATAGTGCCTCATAGGCATCGACATTGGCCTTGAGCAGTCGTTCCCACGGCGAGGTGCCCTTGATTCCACCCCTGAGTTTCATCATCTGCCTCATGCCGGAGACGTGCGCATAGGCGCCCGTGTGGTCTCCCAAAATATAATCGATCGTGCCCAATGTCGCCACGACTAGGATCGTAGTATCGTCCGAACATTGCTGAGGGTTTTGGAGTCGAGCGCGCAGTTTGGTCATGACATTGCCTCGGTGCCATACAAAGTGTCGGTCGCCGCGAGCCGACTGCCCCGAGGTGGCGAGGTATGTGGCTCGACATAGAGCGATCAGTCCTTCAAAGTAGATCTCAGACGTCAACGCAAAAGGCCAGAGCAGGCTCACGTAAGGATTAGAATGGCCGTCGAACGCAAAGGCGGTGCCATGCTGCGGAGCCCAGACCTGGACATCTAGATTCAATCAGACGAGATGGAACGAGAGATGCCAGTCATTTGCACTCACAATATTGGGCCATGTTGCCCACGCATCCGGTGCTTGGGATTGGCAAGGTTTGGAAAGGATCAAGCTGGAGTCCATTGGTGGGAGACTTCTTAATCTGCAGTTGACTGGCGATGGCCTTCGACAGGAATTCTTCCTTGGCCCTCCTGACCTTTGGATCCAGGTGCTTGAGAGAGATGACATTGCGACGCGGTGATCGAGGGATCCGTCGGCGCTTGATGGCATTTTGCTGCGCCCACGATTGCGGGGTGGTGATAGACACAGTCAAGACGGGTTCTTGCATGGTGACCAAATCCTGTGTAGTCCGTGTGTATCCCTCCCAATTGCGACGCAGTGCTATATCATGTTCGCTCAAGTGGAATGGGCGCAACTGACTTGAGGGCCGAGGTGAAGAGAAGGACGTCCTTTGGCCATATGAGTCGGGGGGGGAAAAGGGCGTCCGAACCAGTTTGGATTTCACTTTGCGCCCATCGGCCCTTCTAATGGCCCAGACAAAGAACCTTCCTGCGCCACTTGGACTTTTGCTGCTTACTTGATGCGCGGGATCCAAGCACCACAAGGGGGTGGGTGGTCAATCACGCTGAAATTGTGCCTTAGCGGTGAGTGTGGGTGTGGGTAAGTCAGACGGTTAATGGCTGTAGTTGAGTAGGGCAACTGAGGCGGAAGCGGGAAGCAAAGAAGGTGAGAATCATTACTTACTTGGTTCCTAAATCTCTGGTGTTTTCGTCGTTGACCCATGCACAGGGTGAAACGGGGAGAAGAGGGAGGCGAGAGGAGGCGCGTACGTAGGTCCTCGTGTCTCCTAGACGAGTGGCGGTTGCGGCTCCTAGGTACTGTAGAACAACCAGCCAAAGTGCCTAGGCTGTCGGGCGTCACCCCCGAATCAAGCAATCATCCAGGGTGGCTTCAGAGGGCTGGGTCAATGCTGATGCTCCTTCTTACTTAGGCTTGAAGGGGTGACCTATTTCCGCGGTGGGTGGCAGCGGTAGCTTAAAGAACCCTCTGAGGGCCCCCGCTAAACGAGCCAGTTAAAAACGGCCCTGATCCGAAGGGGCCACATGGCTTATCCGGGTCTCTTAGCTAAGGTTATATAACACGGCCTAAAGTAAAGAACTACTGTATCTTACTAGGGCTCACTAGGCTTGGCCGTGATCACCCACCCCGGGTAAGAAAAAACGGGATTAAATGGCGCCTAGGCCTCGGTTGATGCTCTCACAGTGGCACCGATACTTATTCACCAATCATGCCTAGAGTGGCTTGGGCGACGCCCTCTTGCTTGAATCATGAGCTACCCTCGCTACCGACGAGTAGTTACCTTGCATGCCGAGTACATATATTCAGCCCTGGAACGACGGGGGCAGCACTGACCTGCATTCTACTCAAATTCTTTCCCTCACAATCTCCAGGTCCCCATAGCTGCTCCCTACTGTGGGCACGCTGCGGCGGTATACACGGCACAGCAGCTGCGGACAAGTATCATGGCCCCCCCCCCCTGATGCCCTCCCAATGGGCATCCCGCTATGCCTCCAGTTCCAAGGTTTGCCCCCCCTCCCCCCAATGCCTGTTCCCCTTATCCAGTACAACGCCCCCCCTTTCTCCTAGTTGCCTTCATTCCTTCGCTGCCCACTTCCTGCCGTGTTTCCCAGCCATTCACATGCCTTGGTCGTGCCTTCCATGTATGGGGGTCAAGCAGCTCTCAAATGCCAACCTCAGCATTCAACTCACCGCATCCCAGAGTGTCTCTGTTGTCCCCTGTCAAATTGTCTGCTTGTCTACTCTGTACCTCATACGAGGTCCCATTGTCTGTATTGTCTGTATTGCCTGTGTTTTCTCTCTCGACCCCTTCCTTTCTGGCCATGGACCCTCGATGACCCGGTCAACATCATGATTCTGCGGCCCTCGAGAAAGCTCGCGGGGCCAATGTATCGTCGAAAGTCCGGGCTGATTGCGGCTCTACTCACCCTGTTTCTCTTCCTCCTCTTCCTTCAAACGCGAATTCACCATGAACCTGCTGAACCGCCGCCGGTCGCTCGCCCTGAATCTGCCCCCGAATCTGTGCCTGTGCCTCAATCAGATGTCGAGGCGAAACCGCCAGCCAAGATCAAGAATCCCCTCCTCGACAGCCAGGCTGCGTTCTGGCGAGATCTCTATCTGATTATCCTGAACAATGATCCCAATTGCAGGAATCCTCCCGACCTTGTCGTGCCCCAGAAGCTCGATATTGGCTTCGATCCCACCCACAATCACCCTCGACCTGATATTCTGTACATGGACACCGCCGACATTAAGCGCATGCGTGAGGCCCATTCGAACTTTGTCAATGATTTGACAAGCACTCCTCCCAAGATACCATATGAGCCGGGTACTCGTGGCATTGTCATGACCGGGGGCTTCAGCCAACTTCCTGTCCTGGTCATCTCAATCCTCATGTTACGACGAGCCGAGTCTGAGTTACCAGTCGAGGTTTTTGTTGCCGACCCGTCTGAATGGGACGAGCAGATCTGCAATGTTGTCCTACCTGCCCTCAACGCCAAATGCCTCCTCTTTTCCGACATCTTTCATGCTGCCAACACGGGCGTGTCGATCGATCGGTTTCAGTTTAAAATCATGGCCATCCTTTTCTCTTCATTTGAAGAAGTCCTTTTGCTTGATTCCGACGCCTTTCCTATACACAATCCTCTGCCATTGTTCCAAGAGGAGCCCTTCAAGAGTAACGGATTGATTGTCTGGCCGGATTTCTGGTACGCCTCTGAATCTCCGTACTATTTCGAAATTGCCAAAATCGACAGGATCCCCGCGTTGAATGAGCGAGCTGCCGTCGAATCAGGTGAAGTCATGTATTCCAAAGCGAAACACCATCTGTCAATTATGCTCGCCGCATATTACAACTATTATGGGCCTACTTACTACTATCCCTTATTCTCTCAAGGGGCCCCCGGTCAGGGCGACAAGGAGACGTTTGCTTGGGCTGCCACTGCACTTAAAGAGCCGTTCTACGCTGTCCACCAACGCGTCATGGCTCTTGGTCGACACGACACATCTGGCAACTACCTTGGTAGTGCTATGGCTCAGCACGACCCTGTCGCTGATTATACGTTTACAATGGCCCATGGCCCTCCCCACGAGCGAGTTCAAGATGTTGACACCGGCAAGGACAACCACTTCGATATCCAAGCTAGCGACGTCAAACCATTCTTTATCCATGCCAACTTTCCCAAATTTGATCCAGCCACCATATTCGGCCATGAAATAACAGGATTTTCAGGCCAAGTAACCGGCGCCGGAGGACCGACTCAAGACTCCAACGGCACCAAGGTCCGTTGTTGGATGGACGAAGCTCGTGCCATGCAGTTGTTCGGTTTCGATGTGGAGCGCAGGTTCTGGGAAGAAATCAAAGGCACTGCTTGCGAGTATGAGCACCAGTTTGGCACATGGAAAGGCAAGCAAGGAATCTGCGAGCGGACCCAGAAGTACTGGAACGAAGTGTTCGGTTCAGACCCGGCACTGGAAGATCGCCAGAACATGGGAACCTCAGTTGAATTGCCAGCTCCGCCCTGAAAGAACCGGGGGTTCGCAGCCACATCCAACCCCGTCCGACCTGTTGGCGCACTCTACCCGAACATGGAAGCACGGTTCCCCCAAATTGAAAATAGTGGGCTCATCAGAAAAAGCATCGGTGCATATAAGGGGTCAAGAGGTTTTGTACATTTTTGGGAGGAGCAATCAACGTTACGCTGAAGGTATCGGTGCTTTGACCCGGACACGACGGGGTTTTTGCAACGAGTTTATGACCAAGATACAAGATGTCCACATGGAGTACACGATACCATGTATTAAAAGAATGATATGGAATAATAAATTACTGAGCGACATCACACTGCCGGGTTTCATGAAAGCTTAGAGGACCAGATCGGAATAGTTTGGGCACGCTGTCAAGAGGGTTTGATGTAATAGAGTCTATCGTTATTTGTGAAAAGTGAGTTGTAAGCAGGTCGGATCTTAATCTGAATCGAACAACCCGTTAATACTGAGTGAAAAACGTTCCTTGAAAAGACCTTGCTTGTCTTAGCCGACATCATTAGAGCTTCATTGGATTCCATCACACGGCACAGATTGCTTGTGAGATATCTTGTGTCGTATACGGAGTACAGTGAATACACGTCTGTCCCTGCTCAAGGTGGCATTGAACTTTGACCTTCACCTACATACGAGGCGTGTATAGAGTTGCAACATGCCTCCCTCCTTGCGTGAACAGATGGATGGATAGATGAACCGGTGAATGGGAGAACGAAGGAACGAACGAATGAACGGATGGAATAATTTGCAAGAACTTGTAAGTTGTTGATGTATTGCCCATTCAAGAATACCAGGCAGGGCTCGAAACCAATTCTCTGATGTGAGTGAGTGATCCAACCAGTCAACCTCAACGAGGGTTTCTGAAAGAGGAACCCACTTATCCACAAGCACAACACAACACACCCTGGGGATCTTCGCTATGTGAACGGAGCCGGTAGCATTGCCTTGGTCTCTTGAACATACCCTTCCCCCCCTCCCTCCATCCCGTCCTTCTGTTAGGGCGCCGACCAAAGAAGATTCAATTTCTCCGAAACCTTGCGCCAAATTCTTGTTTGACATGTCAACCAACAGCCGATAATGCCTGGATTTTGAGCCACTATTAACACAGCGCACAGAGACAGTCGAGTCTTCCTCTCACAAGTACATGTCCACCCAAAGGTTGGTTGCCCAAACTATTGTCCTCTAATATGACTCTTCGAGTTCGGTGCTCCAAGCAGCATCACTGCCCTCGACCCTCACGGCGCCGGAATGTGCATTCTCATCTGACATCTCCCTGAATCTCTCCTGTGCATGTCGGTACTGCGAGGTCTGATATCCGGTGTGATGATTTTTCGCCGGTGGCGGCGCCATCTGCCCTGCAGCAGCAGCCCCTCCACTACCAGCACCAGCTGCTCCAATCGGTCTCTTCTGCCCGTTCGCGTTGTAGTTCGTGCCCAATGCATTGGCCATGTGGTTGTGGGTATGGGCTTTCGAGGCGTAGTAAATGTCCCGGATATCTCGTTCGGGTTCCATATCTGAGCCGTCGGAATATGTTTCCCAGTTCTCGCTGCCGCTGGCTGTAGTGCCAGTAGTCATGTTCGATGAGGTGTTCGAGGTTTGGCGAGAGACGATTGTTGAAGGTGGCCCTGAAGGGTTATGTCTTATGCCCTGACTGTGGCTATGTATGGAATTCGACGAAGAATGGGAAGGCTGATGTTGATGTTGATGGGGGACATGAGAATGATAGAATGGATCGGCTTGATGAGATGGTAGAGCTGCGTACTGGGTGTGCTGCTGTCGGTCACGATTCAGGAGCGAGGCCGACATGTACGACATTCTCTCGCGATCGTCATACACGTCTTCGGGGCTCATTGGTCGCACATAGCGACTGCTATCACTCGAACCAGAAGAAATGGTGCTTGCTGGTCTATTTGAGGGAGGCGGTGGAGCATGAGAAGTCATGGCTGGAACTTGAGTGGATTCTGGAGGTGGGACAAACAGGTCCCTCATCTTTGGTGGAGGTGCTCGTGGTGGTCCCATAGTTCTGGCATTCTGGGAATAGTTTGGTTGTGGTTCTGGCTGCGCGTTATGAGAGACTGGTTGAGGAATGGCACGGCGTTCTGGCGAGTTCTTCAGATTTCCGAGCGGAACGCGAGCTGGTATCTTGGAGGGAGACTTAGGTTGAGACGAGAGTACTGCGGTTGTGGAAACCGAAGTTGGTGCCGCTTGTTGTCTGATTGTGCCAGGCCTGCTGGTTGTGGGAGTCTTCGCAGTTGCTGACCGCGGCGGAGGCCCTTTCATCACACTGGCTGGTCTGGCTGGAGGCGCAGTTTTTGCAGCAGTGGAAACTGGTTTTGAAGCTGTTGCCGGGGCGGGAGTCTTCGATCTTGGAGGCAGACCATTTGGCGTCTTTGATCGAGGCGGCGGTGCTTTGACTTCAACTTCTTCGATCTCATCCAGCATTCGCTCACCCTGAACCAAGAACGGCCGACCGTATTCGTCCTCGTACTTCTCTAGAACCTTGGTCAATTCAGCTATGACCTTTGGTAGCTCCTTCGCAATCCTCTTCCTCATCTTCTCTTCTCTCAGCAACTTTCCAGGGTCGCGCTTCTCCCCCTTCTGGGGTTTCAGCATGAGGCGTGAAGCGTCATTGGCAGACGCCGCCAGCGCTTCTCGGTCGGCTACCAGAGACTTGTATTTCTCGACCATAGCCAGGATAGGTGCACGTTGCTCTCTTAGCGTCATGAGCCTCTCAATTTCTGCTTCGTGGGCTGAGAGCAGAGCGTCGCTGTAGACGTCTGAGAAAGCTGGGGTGAAATCGAGCATCTCTTCTTCGGAAAAGTACAATGAATCCCAAAGTTCTTGCAGTCTGACGCGAGCATCCTCGACGAACAAATGCAGATTCTGTCTCTTCAATTCATTGAGTCTTGTAAGTTCGTCCTCGAACTCATTGATGGTTCTTAGTCCACAACCTCGGTTGGCAGCCAGGAATGCTTTCCGATCCGGTGCTTCGATTCCAAGGCGGTCCCACAAAGTCTCTATGCTCCTCTTCATCTCGCTTAGCCGCTTCTCCCGGCTCTTCTTCTCGTCGAGGAGTTTATCGCGACGGCTCTTTATCCGATCAAGGTCCGCTTGGTGTAGACCTAGCTGCTCAGGCGAGTCGCGGTAATGTCGGACAATCAGAGAGTCCGTCTGTGCTTGGGGGATGCCCAGTTCAGACCACAGTCTGACAATTTCTTCTGCGGTTTGTTGCACAACTGCAACCCTTTTGTTATATTCGTCATATACCCTGGTAAATTCTTCATCAAGTGTTGTGACGTAGGAGGGAGAGAGGTCGAAGTTGGGAGGACAGCTGTTGGAAGAGGTAGGGGGTAGTCTGATCTTCACAAAGGATGATTCGAGATGCGAAGAGTATGATTCGAGAGCTTGCACAAGTTTCTTGACTTGTTCGAAACGCTCTCTGTGTAATCTACTGATAACATTGTATTTCTCTTTGAGGTCGCGTAGACAGTCGATCAGGGGATATGTGACTCGCAGGGCGTTGGTGTCCAGGTCGTAGCCTCTGTCCTTTTCGTCTTCGAGCGACTGTTCCATCTGTTTGATAGTCTTGATGATGTTCTGAGCTTCTTCGGTCATTGCATTCTTCTCACTGACGATAATGTCAGTACGTTTTGCACTGTGCAACACTGGAGGTTCCTTCATACGAATTGACCAGACGGAGCTGGTTGTGCAGAGCCTCGGACAGAGCTGCAAAGAGCTCTGTTTCTCTTGATTCGCGTTCATTCCGAGGGACACCTATCTCGTCGAATATAGCGTGCAGTTGCCCGATGATTGTGTTGACTTGGGTGGTGAGGTAGCTGGTGTCCATGGACGGAGGCATGCTTGCGACTCAGGCTCGTGGCCGAGCAGGTCTGAGAGATCGTTCTCGATTCTGATAAAATCAACCGAATGCTTGCATCGACGCTCTTGAAGAATACGAAGAAGCTCGCACTATGGAGAACGGAGGAATGGTCAACAGATGGCCATGGCGTGCTACCGAATCAGGTTGGAGGAGTGGACAAGTGTGGACAATGCCATCATCTCGAAAGATCTGGTTGTGTTGATGCGCGATTGTTGACAGAGCAACGGCAGGCGAGGCGCGCTTTGCCCTTCACCGCCTTGCAGCTCCCTAGTAATTCTCCGAGGGGAAGCGGCAGAATTGTTTCGCTTCAAACAATTCTAACAGCTGCCTGCAACTCCTAGTATCTCAGGCACAGCTTCGCTTCATCCATCGCTCGCGCATCGATCGGATCATATTCGAGCTTTCATACAGTGTCTCGAGTGTCACCTCTTTAGACTGCCCCGCCGCCATGTCGACCCTCTCAGCCTTGCGCAACTGGGAGGCCGAAAACAATGTCATCACCATCGACCCGTTCGAAAATGCCCTCTATAATCTCCCAGACCCCGCCGCCTACAGAACCTTGCAAGACTCCGCTCCATGGAAGAAAGATCCCAATTATTTCACTCATGTCCGCATATCTGCCCTGGCCCTCCTCAAAATGACGACCCACGCTCGCTCTGGAGGTAGTCTCGAAATCATGGGTCTAATGATTGGCTACGTCTCCGGTCGATCTCTCGTCATAACAGATGCTTTTCGGCTTCCGGTCGAGGGGACAGAAACACGAGTCAATGCGCACGCGGATGCTGATGAGTACATGGTCAACTTTGGCATCGCATCTAGAGAAGGTGGAGGTCAGCTGGAAAACGCCGTGGGGTGGTACCATTCTCATCCGGGTTATGGTTGTTGGCTCTCAGGCATAGATGTTCATACTCAAAAGATACATCAGATGGCCAACGACCCCTTTGTTGCAGTGGTGATTGACCCAGACCGGACCGTCTCCGCCGGCAAAGTCGAAATTGGGGCCTTCAGGACATACCCCGAGGGTCACCAGCCGAAGGACAAGCAATTTACAGATGACAGCGACGAGTATCAAGCAATTCCTCAGGATAAGATACAAGACTTTGGTGTCCATGCCAATTCTTACTATCCACTCGAGGTCACTCACTACAAATCCACCCTCGATACCCATCTGCTCGGTCTCTTGTGGAACAAGTACTGGACATCGACGCTCTCGCAGTCACCCTTGTTCACCAATCGCGACTTCACAAATAAGCAGATCGCCGACCACGCAGTCAAGATCAAGGCGGCAGCCACCAAACAGAGGACTGGTGCAAGCATGAGCCGACGAGGCCAAGAGCTGGTTGGACCGGGAGACAAGAATTTCAAGGTTGTACGGGATGGTACCCTGGAGCAGATTGTTCGAGGCGGCAATAAGATAGCAACGGAGGAGATCGCTGGACTGTTGGCAAATGAAGTCAAGCAAAAACTGTTCTGGGGAGTGGTCCAGGAGGCCAGGCACAAGGCAGCTCACCAGACGGCCCCTACGACTACAGAAGTGTCGACAGCGAGCAACGGCGGTTGAGAAGCTGCGCCATCAAATGACATGTTGCCGGAAGAGTTGGATGGCGGTACCGACTGAAGTTTGGGACAGTCCAGACCGTCATACAGCCAAGCGACGTGGCAGTCGAGACCTTTCTGAAATTAGCAGGCCTACACTATGTACCCATAGATAGGCTGATGCTCTGAGTTTTGGCAAATGCAAGGGGGCAGCGGCCATCCGGGCCTCGACGGGATTATGGTGACGACGTCTTTATGACAGGACGACTTGAGACGGGATGATATGTGAAGGCCGTGAGCGGAACTGGCGTGGTCCAATGTGAGAGGCCTCCCTCCCTCCACCCCTAGGCCTGACGACGTATGTACAGTAATCCGATCGAACTCAAACTGAAAGTACTAATGCATCGCTGCCCCCATGGGGAAGCCGAAAGTATCTTGGGCATCGAATGAGTCTAAATGAAGTCATTTGAGCGTGCCGCAAGGACTTCCATCCAGCCGGTCTGCCATGATAGGAGGACCAAGGATCATTAATGGACAACTATCAACCCCGTCCTGCGTCCTACATAGGTACGAGGTAGAGGGCATCGAGATTCTAAGTACGCACAAGCCCGTTCGTTGATCTTGCGAGAACTCTGATCTTTCTTTGACCAATTACTTTTTCCGCTCTTTCCTTTCTGCCGCCTGACGAGAGGAACTTCCCGTCATCGCTTCTAGGTCCAAGGCAGGGGAATACTTCGGTACCCCATGTGTACTAGCAATGGCTCATCCACCACTACTCTGGACACTTCGTACCCCGTACACTACACGTACCTACCCTCCCTCCCACCTTTCCAGTTGAGCGATCTATGGACTCCATAATCAGGACTCCTTGTCTCGCTCTCTACCTACATAACACAGCTGACATCAGGGGCACGAGAGCGCCATGCTGACGCTGGTAGGGTGGGGTTTGAAGTTCTCTTTTTTTCTTGTTTCTTTGCTCTTCGCTCTTTTACCTGGATCCTACGTATTATCCAGATCCATCCGTGCAAAGGGGGCCCCGTGTTTTGGGGGCCGGGGAAGGATTTTGGGGACTTTGTCAGGACCAGCTGTCTCCAGTGGAGTGCCGCCTACTTGATGTAGGTACATACGTGTAGGTAGGTACAGTAGGTACAAATGTAGGTGCCGAAGCAAAGATCAGGGCTAGTAGATTAGGTACATAGGAGGAGGACGAGTTCGTCCTCCGTCCTGTTGTAGGCTGGACAAATTGGCTCCGGCAAATCATTTTCGCTTCCACTTCTGATACTCCCTTGACACTTCCTTCATCCTTACGAGTCCTCTGTCGTCGAGTCAGGCCCCATCATGGGTACAACCCCCTTAGCTATGTAGTCCCTTCCTTGTCATCAGCACCGAATCGCTCCTTTCCCGGCAACCCACTCAGAGCGGAGCCTTCAGTATTAGGGAGTGACAGTTCCTCCCAATGTCGGATCTCGGAACCTCCCACCACCACACCTCCAACTCCGGAAGCGACCTGGGTTTTCCGCACGGTCTCGAACTCGGTAAAGTCAGTCTCAGGTCAGTGGCGGAAGATTCCGAAACATTCCACGGCAACCTCCATGCCCTGCCGCCCTCAAAACGAGAAACAAGACGCAGAGACAGAGGCAGCGATACGACTTTTTGGCATGCTTGTGACTCGAATAGGAAACCTCTTGTAGCTCGTAATCCTGGATGGGGGGAGTGAGCCTTCCTTGGCTGCATCGTTGCCGTCTGCCTCCCATTGTTCAGGCTCTCATAGAGGTCAAGACTCGAGGAACACCAATGCCGCGGGGATACTGTTAGGCCTGGTGGCCCCTACGAACTTCGGCTTGGCGGAAAGTTTCTCCTCAATGTTCTGGGTGCTAGGAACATGTACCCCAGAGTCATTGTGAACCTTGATTTTAGCACATTGAATCGAAAGGTTCCATGGCCTCAGGAATTGACGTATTCAGAAAGGAGAATGCTCAAATCCCACGGCCGTCAATAGTAAGTCCATAGCAGACATGTGTCAACGGAGATCATGCTCCATTCCTACCCGTGCTATTCACGGTCGGTCATCTCACGAGAAACTGTTGAGAGACGATATAGATATAGATATAGATATAGCGGGCGGAGGATTCCAGACCCCAAACAGTATCAACGCACAATACCTCATCCCATCCCTGGGCGCAGCGGTTCCACGAAGTATACACCCTCCAGTTCCAACCTCGATCTGGAATATCGAGGAACCATTAAACCCATGCCGCCAGTCATCCCAAAGCGGCCGTTACGATTTCTTCCATGCCATCACATCCTTTCCGTCTCTTACCATAATATCCTTCTTGATCGGCAGGCTTGTCTGCACGACCGAAATCCGGCCAAACTGTTGCGTGTTCATGTCGGCAAGCCCTGCGGCGACGAGGCTATTCACAAGCCGAACCGCTTGTGGCCCTAGCCTTCGTGACCCATTGCGGTTCGAAGTTGCATCACCACTTCATCTCCACCGCAGCAACATGAAATGCCCACTGACTTCCCTGCTCGTCATCGTCTTGATGGTCAGGGAGTCATTTGTCGAAAAGTAGTACCAGATAAGCCAAATTTCCCCCGCCCGCACCCGCCCTTGTCGATTTGGTCGCTCGCCTCCCGCGAGATGACGGCAAGAAACCAGCCCAACACAATTCCCGCTCAATTGCTCCCACATTCTCAAGGTAAGACAAAACACGCTGGAACGCAAGACAAAGCCGACAAATAAATAGACAACACAAGAAATTCTTTTTGAATTACAGAAAAGTTCTCCACCACCAACGAGGCTGATCAGAGCCTCACTCGTCGGGGGTTTGTAAGACGATACTGAGAAATGTCAACCACGATGGAACCTTGGTCACTAGCATCGTCAACCTCAATAGTGTCGCTTGCCAGACCGGCTGGATGGTCATCAGATGGAATACCAGGTGCACCGTAAAACCCATGTGGTTTCATACCCTCCAAAGACTGGCCAAGCGCAAGTGGACTCGAATCTCTTGTGGCACCAATTTTGGGTGTAGGTAGGCGATCTAGTGAAGGTTTAGTTGATAGAGTGCCGTCCGAATCACCGCATCCATGATTGAAGTCTGAGCCAAAGTCATCGGCTTGGGAAGCTTCTTGGCTCTCCTCTTGAACTTTCTTCAGAGTCTCTGCAGTCGCACTAGCCTGGACAAGGAGCGCGTCGAACTTCTGCAGCATAGACTCAAGTTCAGTCTTGCAGTCACCGTCTCGGAGGAATTGGTGAGCGGCCGTCTCACACAGTGTTTGGATCTGCTCTAGCTCTTTGTCCACCCGAAGAAAGCTCACTTCTTCGTTGGAGGCGGACGGATTCTGAAGAGGAGCCCGGGTTTTGCCTGCCAGTAAGGTGGAGGTACTTCGAGATATCATAGAACTTCTGATGTCGTCCAGCATGGAGATACCATGGCTGCTGCGAGCAGTTAACGTGGGAAGTCGAAATCCTCTGGCGGCCGCAAGAGCAGTCTTGCCTTTCCGCAGGTTATTCCGACCAATTCCGATCTGCTTCACCATAGTGTCGAGCTGTTCTTGTAGATATCCATCGTAATAGACGACAATGTGATGTTTATTCCTAAACTTCTGGGGCCCAGAAGCACCGGAGCGGATGGAAGGGCCTGGCTTTCTTTTCCTCCGTACCTCTGCGTACAGATATCTGTTCCCGGCCTCCAGAGGATTGATATGCCTGGTTTCAGGCGAAGACAAGCCATCAGCACTCTGGACCATGTGGTCGTGGTCATCGCCTTGTTCCTGGTCTTGAGTATGGATCGAGGAAATCGAGGGAGTCTTCCTTCGTTTCGGCCTGGCTTGGTTCACTAGCCGAGAATACTCTGCAGCGAACTCGGCATGTTTTTCAGTAGCGTGGACAGACAATGAGTGAATGCAGGCTCGCCAGGTAGGAAGATTGTCAACAAGATAGACGAAGCTCGAGTGGGCATCCATAGCTTGGGCCATGGCGACCACAACAGCAGAAGAGAGGTAGATTGGCGTACAAAATGGTCGAACAGGTTCAAGACATTGTTTCGGTCGCCCCAAGTCGTGCGAGGTGGTATTGCACAGACAAGAGGACGCAGACGGTGGAGGGAAACGAGATGTTTGATACGGTGTGCAGGTACTCGAGGTTGTCGAAGTGGCCGGCCCGCAGGGCAGAGCTTCGACGATCGCAGGAGGTTGCAGGTAAGGTCGAAGTACAACACACAAGTCCCAAGATTCAAGCTCGACAGCTGGACCAGACGGTATAGATATCGGGAAGAACGAAGGGGACGAAAAGGCCAATGCGACAGAAAGAGGGCGGCGGGTGGTGGACTCGAGGGGATTTTCGGTGGTAGTATTCGGGAGAGTGGCAGTTGGCGAGTGGAAGGAGTACGGGCTCGAGGAGAAGATGCGGTGTCAGATGCGAGCAATATTGTAACGCAACGTGGTTGATGGAGATGATGGAGCAAAGGCTTTTTCCGGAGGCAAGCGTCAAGCGTCAAGCGTCTGTGCACCAGGGTTCATTCCGTACAGGACCGTCAACAATCATACACTTGCAGCAACGACGCCGACTAGACCAGATTCAGCAGTCGCAATAGTGAGATCAACAGGCTGCTCGCTAGGTGCCTGTACAAGTAGTGCCTGGGCCACGCTTGGGCAGTCCTGGGCAGGTCCAACAGTTGCAAAAATATGGGGAGTTAGGCTTGCAAAGCGCAAAAAACAGGTCAGACGCAGCCTGAGGCCGCAGCAGCCTTCTGGATTCTGAGTGGAAGTCACTTAAATCTCTAGCGGCCTGGTGGCACCGTCCGTTCAGTCTACTTACTTAGTAGGTAGGTATGTGCCACTCTCAAGGGGGGACACCCAGGGCCCTGGCGAGAGAAGAGGCACCATGGCGAGGATCCTGGTGCCCAAGAAGCCTAAACCAGGTGGTCGAGGGTGCCCCGGATCCTCACCCACCATATCAGTTACTGCCTAAAGTAACCTAGTGAATTTTGATTTGGGCTGGTGATGCCAACCGACGGACCACCGTTTTTCTCCGTCACTCCTCACCTCGTTTGCATCCAGGCTAGAATGGCTTCATCCAGAGTGCGTCGACTCAATGGTGATGATCAGTCACGCGTCTGAATAACCTATCTCGGTCAAGTTCTCATTTCTCCTCCCCACCGAGTGTGGTTCTCACACTGGCCACTTTCGCCATCGCTTGTCGGCTCCAAGTTGGCCATACCAAGCACAGTTGAGCACGCACCCAGCCCATTTTGAGCAGGGAAACGACTCGAGTCGAGTCAACTGTGCTCGACTTCGATATTGCTCCACCATCTACTCCATGCCTCCTCCCACCTCCCGTTCGGTCCGTCTCGCAGCTTGCCCTGAATTGGTCTTTGCATCCAGGCCGAAGCTTGCCTCAACACCCAAGAGTTATTCCCGTCTCCATATTTGACGCCGTGGGAAAGCACCTTTGAGAACCAAGATTCTTCTCAGCCAGGGCCAGTATCCTGTGGCAAGAGGCTATGCTACCAAAACTTTCGGCTTCGGGGATGCTCAAATTCAAGATGGAACGCACATCGTGGGGGCTGTCGAAAATGGGCAACTCTCCCTTCTTGCTGCATCCCGCCCATGCACCCTTGTGACAGCGGAGACCCCCAGCAAAGTTCGGATAGGAAATCAAAACGAGAGGGGTGCTCATCCGATCGTGGCCAGGGAGCTATTGATCCACCATTCGCCGTTTACTGGGTACTTGGCCCTGGGTCAAATGCGTCTTGCGGCCGAAAGAAGTACCAACCAGGTCCCTTGGGCTGCCATAATCTGCCGTTGCGGTACCGGATCTTGGTCTGCAGGTGAGTCGAAAAGACAGCAGGAAACTGCCCATCAAAGTCGTGATGGCCCAACACTTGCAGCAATCACAGACTGAACCATCTCCAGCCGCCAACACATGTCCCGCCTGACTGAACAAGTTGTTCGACTTGCAGGGTCGATCAGTACACGAACCAATGGTACCTACAACCGGAGCAAAAACGTCATCTTAGGACGCAGATACACCTACCTATAGTTAATAACTGTGAAATATGTGCACCCCGCCGAGGCTGCTCTTCTGGACAATTGGTTCCTGCACTCCGGAATACCTGACCATTCGCCTTTTGGACCGCAGCTGTAGGTGTCACAGAACAGGAATCGAATGGTCTCTGACATACGGAAGACATCTACTTCGGAGATCAAGCCCACCTGACTCATTGTTCGTCTCACCGACTCTCTCGACTCTTTCACAGCTTCTTCTTCATCGCTAATACCGTCTGATCATCATCATCTTAGGGCATCCAATCACGTTTTGGCAAGTGGTCAATAGTTGAAGCCATCCCATTAACGATGGTTCCTCAGTGCGCAGATCATAGCGGCCGGTGGTTGCAGGGTGGCCTCGACGGGCACTAGGCTTCGCACAACGCCGCAATCGACAGCCCCGTAAACGCCGGTTCATCATTCTGGCTAGTATAATTTGGACATCTGCAAGTTTGCTCAACTCGTCCCGGGCTTAGGGCTTGTGAAACCAGAACATGGCTCGAGGATTTGACTCTATATCAGTATTTCCGTGTTCAACGCCTGAGTTACGCGGCAGACCAGTCTGAAGTCTACCGGAAGGGCCTTCTTCGCAGGAGAATGAGTTTCCACCAGGGGTCACCTTGGACAGTTCGGAGATGAAGTCCAACTAGTTCCTGGAAGTGAGCGAAGATGGAACTGCAACAATTTCGACTTTCGAGTCATGCCATGTACCCAAGACCTATGACGGAGACTCGTTTGCGTCTGAAGTTCCTTGTTCTTAAAGCAATGGACATGATTGCCGTTGGTTCCTTCAAGTCCTTTAGGATCCCTCGCCTTGCAAAGACTCCCTGAACAGTTTACCACAGAGTAGCGCGTCTAAGGTCCATCCACAGGGCTGCTGGGCAGTCGCCGAAAGCCCCTGCCGACGAGCATGCTTCCAGATGATCATCAAACACGCCGGTGCAAGCCTCGTCTAGGGAGGATCTCAAGCCACAAGCCCTACAACTACTCCGTACTTTGTGCTGTCACGCACCTCTCACAACGCCCTTCCCCCGTCTCGCCCTTCAATATATGCACGTCGAGTCAACGATGTCTGACCATTACCACCCGCCTTGGTTTGATGATCTTCATCGAGCGGAGTCAAATTCCATTCGTTGGCGCTGCTCTTTCTGGCGGGGTTACTGTCTACGTCCGTGCCTGACGATTATGCGGATCTTCAAGAATGTTTGGTTCTCGACCAAGATACAAAATGCGGAGGACAACTATTAGTCCCTTTCGGGCGCCCATCGTCTTCAAGCCAGAACCTGCCATGGCTACAAGGAGGACGGAGGAGGTACTTACCTACCTACTCATGTACAGTAGGTACACCTATTGCTCCTACTACTAAACGGCCCCTGTCTTTCTCAACCCACTACCTGCAAAAGTCAAACTTAAATCAGTTCAGGCCGTGTTGACTTTACGCCACCGCCAGTATTTCACTTCATTCACGCTTAGCTGCAGGCGAAGAGTTTCACTTCTCTGAGCCTGTCCCCCCACAAGCCCACTAATCTATCCTGGCTACACACTTACCTACGAACTGAACAATATCCTGTGCCACATTGAGAAGATCCCTGTCTCGATATACGTACATATTCCAACCTTGTACCCAGTAGGTGGACAGAAAAGCCCTTTGATCCTGCAGATCAGCGAGAGAATTATGTGGTGATACAGATGCGCTGAAGATCAGGACAATTCCCTACGGACCAACTTATCAGTACCTATGTTCTAGGGACATAGTTTAAGTCATCCAGCACTGCTACATAGGCGAATCTCGCCGATCTGGCAAGAAACTAAGTATTGTTTCTGGCGCGTCGCCTCGTCCCGGTTCCGCACCGTACCGTTTGCGAGAGCCGGAGGTCGGCGAACGCTGGATATGAATCACAGTAGCTTGCAAGCCACCAGCCACCACAGCCGGAAATCAGCCAACCGAGGCTCGCAATACCAAGAGGTATAGAGGAGGAAGGAGTCAACAACCGGTTCTCTGTCCTTGCGTTCATTTCAAATCATAATGTGTACTTTGTTCAACGGCCTTTGCGGTTGGGGGTTAATTCGCAGGTGTTCTGAAAGCTGTAAGTAATCCGGAATTCACGATGCGCATGACATGGCTAGGGGGCCTTGAAGACATAACTGTCAGGCACCACCAGACCGAGAAAGAACAAAATTCTGCAGCCTTGTGGGCTCAGATCATCACCTTACAACGATCACCTGTCGCTCCGGCAGTCTTTTCAGGCCAGGGCCAGAGAACGATCTGGAATATGTCGCCAGCTGACGGAACATCATGATAAGCTTGAAGACTTATCAGAGTACCGAGTACCGAGTACGCATATAACTCAATTTTGGTACATTTTAGAATGCCAACGGTGTTCCGAGACCAGCGCTTCCAGATCTGGGCGATGGATGACATGTCAGCCCGTTCCTGGACTTTCGCGTTCTGGTCCTGGAAAATGTGCCTCTGTCCCCAGGAGAGAAGATCGACATGAAATCGTCCGCCTCTACGATTCCATCATGATGGCCATGCGATTAGGTTCGTGTTTCAGCGAAAATATGGGAGGGATAGCTTCATGGTAAACTTCCGCGGTAGTCTCGTACGATCAACAATGCCGTGCTTCTCTCGGAAGGCACTCCATTGAGTAGTAGTCCGACATAGTTCTGTGGCGCAATTCAGATGGAACAGAGTGCTCAACATACCCCATTGACTATTTATTTGTTTGTATGTGTGCATGGTTCCATGCGGATGCTTCGCTCTTCATGATATCCACACAGGCTAGCAAAGCTATTCAGATAGGTCTCTCGCCCATCTAAGGTTGAGAAGAATCATCACTCCTATTTATATTCTCATAGTTCCATCAAGTTCTGGTCTTCACAGACTGTTCTATGTTCCTCAGGAGCGTGAGACTTGAGACTTGACTGCTGCAGGCAACGCCATGGCGTGAAGCAATCCAGTGCACGCTTGACAAATGCTCTCGTGTGTTACTTTATTACCTTCTTGGCCATGCCGGCACAATCCTCAACTCGATGCCTATTGTCTGCTGCATCGATCCGCCTTCAATGTGTTTGCTGTCTAGCGAGAGAGGTACCTATGATTGCATGAAACACGACAGTGGTACTCCGTAGAGCTCCGCTAACGTGGCTGCCAGCGCCAAGGCTATCGCCGCAGCTCCATCCCGATCTCCAACTTGAAGTCATTGATTGCGATAGCACTTGTGCCACGGATCGATGAGCCCAGTCTGCCCAGTTTGGTTGCGCGCAGTCCTCGCCATCATATCTCAGCTCAATGTCCAAGCCGCAGTTGATGTAGCCAACCTCTGCCCCTGCTCCGAAGTTATCGACTCGTCATCATGTCCCTGTTCGGTTCCTCGCCCACTGAAAGTGCGCCACTAAACTCCAAATCTCTGTTTGGCGACGAACCGGTGCACAAAACATCCACACCATCTCTCTTTGCCGACGATGGAGGCGACTCGCCATGGTCAATGCCTACTCCCAAAAAGTCGGCGCGCCAGAATCTAGTCAAGAATCTTCTCCCGGCCACCGACGTGCCCGAGAGCTATGTCGATGCATATGATGCCGTGTTGCATGCGAACGAGAGGACGGGAGTGGGCATTGGTTTGGCAGGCATCAAGCGCCTTCTACAGAGCAGTAATCTCAGTGAGCAGGAACAAACAAAGATCTTGAATTTTGTGATCCCGGGTGGCCAGGAAAGTGCCAATGGGGTCGGCAGGAGCGAGTTCAATGTTTTGCTCGCTCTGGTCGGATTGGGTCAGGAGGGTGAAGATATCACCCTTGATGGCGTAGATGAAAGGAGGCGAAGTGAGTCTGCGATGCCCCCAAACTCCCGCACAACACTGACATTCTCCAGAATTGCCCGAGCCCAGAATTGGATACTTGGATCAATTACGGGCAAGCAGCGCCCGGCCGCAGGCCCCCTCTCCCCCAGCAGCCAAAGCCACCCCAGTCAGACCACAAAAACCTCGAGAAGACTCATTTGGAAACGATCCAACGTCGGATCCCTGGGCGAGTCCGTCCAACCACAGACTGCCGCCCCCCTCCACCACTGCTCACACCATGTCTGTCAACGGCGCCTCTGACGATGGTGCTAAGAGCATTCCCAATGGCATTGCAAGAACAACAAGTGCCTTCACGACTGGAGCTAGCCATGGCAGTAATAACGGGAGTCCAACAAATGAGCGTCCATCCGAAAGTGCAGGTACTGGGTGGAACAGCTACAACGGCAGTTCGGGAGGCTTCTCAGAGCAACCCACTCTTGGTGGAGGGTTCGGGGATCCGGGAGACAACGAGCAATCAAATCGACAAGATCAAGAGCCACGAAGTGCGGTGGCACAAAGTATCAGTCTACCACTTGGGACCGGCGAAACCGTCATCATCACAACACTGCCGGAAAAGGAGGGAATGTTTATGTTTCAACATCGAAATTATGAAGTCAAGACAACTCGGAGGGGCAGTACTGTTGTGAGGCGATACAGCGATTTTGTTTGGTTGCTCGACTGCTTGCAAAAACGATATCCTTTCAGGCGTCTCCCGCTATTGCCTCCCAAACGGGTCCAAGGTAAGAATTCCGCGCTCTGGCAGAGATTCTGGCTGAATCGAATCTCTAGTGAACGGAGCTCATCTCACGGCAGATGCCACGGTCTTTCTCGAGAAACGCAGACGAGGACTGGTTCGATTTTCGAATTCACTTGTTCAACATCCAGTCTTGAGTCAGGAGACCCTTGTGGTGATGTTCCTGACCGTGCCAACAGTATGTGTCACCATCCACTACGCTGTTACCGGGACGAATAACTGACAATGTTCTCAGGAGCTTGCAGTTTGGCGAAAACAAGCTACTATCTCTGTCCAAGAAGAATTCACCGGTAAGGCTTTGCCGCCCAGTTTGGAGGACAGCCTGCCATCTAATCTTCCCGAACTTTTCGACCAAGTACGACAAGGCGTGCGCCGCTCGGCAGAGGTCTACATTAGTCTTTGTGTTTGGATGGAACGATTGGTGAAGCGGAACGAAGGACTTGCTCTGGACAGTTTGAAGTTCTCGAATGCCCTGTCTCATCTCACCGAATGCAGCAACGATACGTATGCAATTGATCCGAACGATGTGCCGCTCCTAAATGAAGGGATCAAGTCGACAGCCAAACACCTTGCCACTACCCAGACATTGCTCGAGGACGAGGCCAAAGCTTGGGATACAGGAGTGCTTGAGGATCTCAAATCGATCCGTGATAATTTTGTGTCTATGCGTGATTTGTTTGATCGACGAGATCGGTATGCCAGGGACAACATACCTCAGCTAGAGCGACGTATCGAAGCATCCGAAAATAAGTTGCAACAATTACGACAGAAGCCACCGGGACAAGTGAAGCCAGGAGAAATTGAGAAAGTGGAAAGCAGCATCATGTCTGATAAGGAGAGCATTGTACAACAACATGCTCGCGGCATCTTTATAAAGGAATGCGTGAGGGATGAGATTGTGACATTCCAGACGACCATCTATGCCATCAGCCGTATGCATCAAGACTGGAGTCAAGAGCGGGTCAAGTATGCAGAACTGCAGGCCAGCAACTGGCGCAGTCTGGTCGACCAGTTGGAGAGCATGCCGGTTGCAGAATAAGTCCCCCTCTCACCAAAGCGGAGGATCTCAGAGGATCGAGGAGGCGGAGGAGGACTGTACTTTTTCATATCATTCCCACCCAAGGACTCCTATATTATCGGGCACATTGATGGGCAATCAACGCCAGCAATACATAATCTTTGCACGCCATTCCTTGCGCCAGTTGTGCACGCCCCTTGGTGATTGTCACATTTCGAGAGACAGCCTTGTGTCGCCTGGAAGGTTGACAGGAGCCACTGGAACCGCAGCGTTATCAGAGTCTTGTTTGTTTGTTTTTGCTTGGTATATTTGCACTGTTTGACCTGTTACCTCCCGGCACCACCGGACTGAAATATAAATTCCTCGTCTTTCCGAGGACCTTTTTCACTCTATCATCTCTGAAGAAAAGAATCCTGCCGAGAAGTTCGACGTAATGACGGACCGTGTATTCAAAGCCAGACCATGTCTTCTGCTGGATTTACCGACAGAGATCCGTATCGAAATATATCGACGTCTCTTTGATGCCGCGCAGTTGTCGGTGCATAGTGGTCGTTCAGACTGTTGGGGGTGCCCATCTTCCATCTGTTCGTGTGCCTTTCCATGGCAGATTGTGAACACCTGTCGCTTGGTCCGATCTGAAGCCATGCCGTACCTCTTGTCCTCGACAACTCTTCGGATCTGCGGGTCGCCCAAAGATGTGTTGCCGCTGCCACCGAGCCATATCTCAGCAATCCCTCACATCGTGATCTTGGATGTCCGAGAGTTTTCCAAGCAGCCTCTGGAACTGGACCAGTTCTACAGCTTGAGGACACTAGAGCTGCGCAACATCGACGTCTGGTGCAAGTATCATGATGAAACTTACCTGCAGAGTGCGACGGCGGACGAATTCATGATTAACCTGGCTCTGTTCAACCTATACAGGATTACTCCTCGGCTTACCTGGCTATGCCTTGATTCGCGGAAGCCGTTTGAAGTACTGCTGTGTTGTCAATATATGATGCCATCCACAACTCAGGAGACGATTGTATGTCCCAAATTACCTGCTTGAAGACTTGTCTACTGACCCGGGATATAGCACGCCGTCATCGATATTAGTGAAAAGGTTTTCCGGCACAAGTCCAGAGGACCAGCCATCCGTGCCAGCAAATGTATGGGGGTGCTTCCACCGATTGACTATCCTGTGGGGTGATGCTTCACCCAGAGTCACGGAATGACCACCAAGGCAGTTCGCGCTTCCATCCTCACCACAGCTCAGATTCAGTCACGCCTCCCGGATTAAGGAGCTTCAAACTTGAACAGCAGGCCCGTTCCTTTGTCTCGATGCTTCCAATATATTTAATTACGCAGTTGAAGTCACCGAGATTGTTGAAGTTTTCCCGTCTACGCCGTTCTGGTTCTGATCTTTGTCTCGATACAACGCCACTTGGTAGGTCACACCTGCCCTACTCCAATAGAGGGATTCTAATGATTAAGCAACAGACTTGGAAAATTCACCACCACCGAGCCGGCGTAAGGTTATTGGTTCACATAGAGTTCGAATCGATAAACATTGTGCAGGACGAGGTATATGTTGATATTTGTTCTTGGCAACGGTGGGCCTGTAGCAAGTCCCAGACTATACCTAGTTGGCGACGGAATTGGAGAGAGACTCTTGTTGTTCGCTGTTGGCCCCATGTGTCATATATGGCCTTTCATCGTGTTGTACCTCTGTCTGTAGAGCATTGATCAGGCTGAGACTTTGGACCGCAAGGCAGCCAATCAAATGAAGGCACCCATGTGGTCTTGGCGGTTTCAAAGTGTTTACCCGTTTCAACCCATTCAACTCATTCAACCCATTCGCGTTCTGCAGCATTTGTTGAAGCTTCTCCCATCACCAGTTGGGTACAACTTTCTTCATATTCCTCGTGATTGATTCTGTGAGGATTCCGTCCGACCTCCAGGCCATTCGTGAAGGCAGACGCTTCCTGGGCTAGATGACAAGCCCGCCCTCCGCTGTGACCCTGTCACCAGCCTCAGCCTCGTGCTAGCGACAATGGAGCAACAGGTCCTCCATCTGCTCCAAGCAACGACGCGACCAGACACAACCGTCATTAGAGATGCCGAGCAAGGTCTCCTTAGTCTCTACCCCCAGCAAGACTTTCCTTTCGCGCTCCTGACCATTGCTGCACACAACGACATAGAGCCCGGCTGTCGCAAGGCCGCATTGACAGCTCTGAAGAATTATGTCTCTGCCACGTGGTCACCACAGTTTGATGAGACATTCACAGGAAACGTATACCTCAACGACGAAGCCAAAGCCAGGGTCCGTGACCGAGTCTTCACCATCTGCACGCTTGGAGGCGATCAAGTACCTAAAGATGCAGCCATCCAGGCACTTGCTGCGGGTGTAGCGAGCAAAATCGCCAGTGTCGACTTTCCGGATGCGTGGCCTTCGCTTTTACCCTCACTACTCACAATCCTGAATTCTTCAACAGACGATGCGCCAATCCATGGCGCTTTGCGCGTTCTCTCCGAACTGATTGATGAGGGCTTGACGGAAGAACAGTTCTTCTTCATCGCACGGGACCTGGTCAATGCCTTACAGCATGTTGCTGTGGACAGCGCCCGGAGCTTAATAGTGAGGGCGATGACTCTCAATGTTTTCAGGGCTTGCTTTGAGATGCTGGAGATGGTGATGGCTGATCATGGAGCTGCGGTGAAGGTGTTCCTGAATGAGTCGTTGAAGGCTTGGATGCCGTTCTTTATGGAAACACTGAAGCAGCCGCTACCTCCTTCTGTGAAACCTGAAGATGCGTCCTTCCGGGGCCTTGTAGCGCTGAAAGTCCAGGTCGTCAAGGTACACTGCTCACCAAAGTTATGAGGAAGGAGATGTCAAAGGCTAACCCAATACCAGACGCTCGACAAACTCCGACAAGTCTATGCACAAGCTCTCTCCCCGCATGCGATGGCCCTGTTCCAAACTATTTGGGAGGAATTGTCAAGAGTTGCACCGGTTTATGCTGAACTCTTTATTGACGGCACCGCCGAAGGCAAACTTGTCGACAGCGATAATCTATCTTGCAGCTTGGACGCGTTAATTCTTGAAGAGCTCGATTTCTTGCAAGTCACAATCAGAGCCCCTCCAGTACGCAAAGAGCTCACAGCGCAAATGCAGCAACTCGGTGACGCGCAGCATACTGTCCCCTGGCTGCAAGAATTGATTCGCGTATTGGTCCTGTATGCCAGGATACCAAAGGAGGAGGAAGCACTATGGGAATACGACGCCAACTTGTATCTCTGCGAAGCAACATCACTTACAGCAAATTACACACCCCGGGCAGCATGTGCGGAAGTGGCGGTGCGAAGTTTAGGAGAATGGTTGAAACAAATTCCCATCGCGGCAATGCTGCATTTCAAGCAGCATAGCCCGCCGAGTCAGACTTCGGGGTGGAAAGAACGCGAAGCACTTGTTTATCTCCTCAACCAATGCCTGAAAGACGTCGACGAAATCTCCGGAAAGCTCAGTCCTCAAACATCTTCAGCAGTACTGGAAGGACTCTCGGGTACACTCCAACACCCCAATCACTTCATGCGTGCGGCTGGGCAAATGGCCCTGGGATGTTTCTTCAAGGTGGCTACCGGCGACCAGTTCGTCGAAGCTGGCGCCATTTCATTCACCAATGCTGTAACTGCCTCATCCATGGACGAATCTGACGTGGTCAAAGTCGCGTCTCTGAGCATTTTGCATGAATACCTCGACGCCCTCCCTCAAAGCATGACACGGCCAATGCAAAACGCAGTTATCAACGTGGTGGGTGAATTTATCTCCTCGCACGATCTTCGCGACGATCTCGAAGATGCCGACGACGTCAAAGCGGCGTTAATCCAACTCCTTCGCGACGCTATCATGCTGGACACATCTACCATCACCGCTGAAGGAAACAACGCCATCGACTTGTTCTTCACGTTGGCATCGGACGGCGCGTCGAATTTCCAACTCTTCACTCTCCTCACAGAGGCATTCGAGGGAATCGTCTCGTCGGTGTCTTCTTCAGGACAGGAACCGTACGTGCGACTATGTGCAAGAACCATTCCATCTCTCACGGGCGCATTCGACATTGCCAACATGACCCAGGAATCCGCATTGACGAATCTGGCTGCTGAACTCGTCTCTGCACTCGCTGAGTTCGGTTGCGACCCTCTACCTTCTGGCTTCATCCAAGCTGTAATGCCGAAGTTACAACGTGTGCTAATGGAAGCTGTTGAGCCTGAACTTGTGCGCCCAGCCACCTTGGCGCTCAACCACATGCTATCAAAGGGCACACAACAGTTCCTGTCCTGGACTGACTCTCAGGGGAAGTCCTCGATTGAGGTGACATTGACAATCATAAACCGCCTACTCAACTCCCCAGACGTAGATGAGAATGCGGGCCAAGAAGTTGGCGGGCTTGCGTCATCTCTGGTCACAAAGTTTGGAGCTGATAAACTCGGGCCATTCCTGATGGACTTGCTCCGCGCAGTGGCTGTCCGTCTTGCAACTGCGGAGAGAATCCAGTTCGTTCAGAGCCTTTGCATGGTTTTCGTGGGTCTCTGCCTTGCGGCTCCCAAGGAAGTTCTCGATTTTCTGAGCGAGGTGAACATCAACGGCACGAACGGGCTGAGTGTGGTCTTGACAAAGTGGCTTGAGAATTCTGTGCACTTCGCCGGGTTTGACGAGGTGAGACAGAATGTGGTGGCGTTGTCAAAGATATTCGCATTGCGCGATCCCAGAGTCCACGCCGTGAGCGTCAAGGGCGATTTGATCGTGGACGCTCGACCGGGCGGACGCATCAAGACGCGATCACAAGCGAAGCTAAACCCCGATCGATGGACGCAGGTCCCAGCAGACCTGAAGATTCTGAAAATCATGGTCGACGAGCTCGCCAACGCCGCCACCTCGAGGTTTCCCAGCCTTGCCGCCGCCCAAGCGGCTGCGGACGCCCTGGACGAAGAAGACGAAGATGCCGAAGACGCAGACGAGTGGGAGGACGTCGGATCTGCTGGGGCTCTGGATCTGGCCAGCGCAAGCGTCCGAAACGAGCTCATGTCCCTCATTGGCGGCGGTGCTAGCGGTGGCGATGCTGCGGGTGACGAAGGACTCAGTCCCACGGGGTCGAGAGCGCGGGACGAAGAGACGGCCGAGTACTTGTTGCAGTGGTTCAAGAACGAGGCTGGACGGGACGGCTTTGCGGCGCTGTTTGAACAGCTGACCGAGGAGGAGCAGGGGAAGCTGAGGGAGCTGGTTGCTTGAAGTTTCGTCTGCCTTGACACCGAGGAACAAAGATAGAATACGCGGTGGAAATTCGAGCAAGGTCTGAGTGAGGACGCTTGGAATTGCCCACGTTGTTAATTGCATACCTTCTCGGCAGCTACTCAATAAAAGCGAAGCGAATGACGGATCGATTGCTCGATCGCTTATTTGATGTGTTCTGCCTGCCTCTCTGCTGGCTACTTAAGTGTCTGACTGCGATGGCCGGCTAGCCAGCTAGGCGGATGGCACGACGCATGGATAGACCATTACGTACAGGCACAAGCCACGGAGCTTACAGCGGTCTCTTTTCCCCATCACTTTCTCACTGCAGGAGCGGACCTCTGTGCGCCGAATTTCTCGTGCCATTTTCTCTTTTTCTGATTCTGGCTCTGCGCGTCTTTTGAGAGGCCAACACCACCACCACCACCACCACCACCACCAGCGGCGAAAAAAGGAAGTTGTGACGAAGCAGCACCCGCTGCCTCCGAGGCATGGTGGCTCGATGCGAATTTTAGGACCTCCACCCCTTCTCCGTCTCTGATCACGTCTACGCCATCGATCGATGAGATCAGACTGGCGACATCGCATTGGACTGCCCATGAATCTGGAAGGAGCTGTGCCCACTCGTTGACGAAATCGTCCAGGCGGATGATCCTCCTTTGACCATGCGGCTCTGGAGAGTCCGGAAGCGAAGATGCCTGTTTCCGCGCGTGTGACAAGAGGAGCCAGCGTCCGACGAGCTCCCGGCTGAGATCAGGGTTCAATTTCAGTCTTGTGCTGAGCGGGTGCTCCTCATTTACCGAATCCAGACTCAGATCTGGATCGAGCAGTGTGGGAAGATCGCGGAGCACGGCGTCGCTCCCATCTTCCACCGCATGCGTGAACCGGCGTAAGATAGCCGCTGTGACATTCAGAGCTAAAGAGCCTCCTTCGTCTGTCGCTTCAGCTGCTTTCAATTCATCGAGCACAGCACGGAGGTCTTTCCCTAGCAGAACACCGTCATTCTTCTCGAGGTTGACACCTGATATGGTGCATTGTTGCAGGAATTCTCTCCAACGCCGTAAAAGCAGAGTTGCGGTGGGGATGTACACCACTCCCCTCGGTTCCTCGCTCTTTTGTGTTGTCGGCTGGGACAGGGCGAAGATGAACGACTTCCTCATCGTATCCTGGATAAGCCTTGTCGGGGCCGGGATGTCGTCAAGCACATCTCTTAATGACACCGACTTTAGTCCATGAAGTCCGCGTTCATTGCCTAGACCGTCCTGATCAAGGAGATCAGCATCATCGTCCGGGTCATGGTATACGGGAACCATATCAAGAATCCTCGTCTCAACCTCTCGTCCATCCGGTTCGACCTCGATTAACTCGAGGATATTTTTGACCTGTGCTTTCGTCGTGATTCCACCTCTCCTGCTATCAGCCACAGTTAACTCGTCTACATCATGCGAGATGGCTCCGTTGCTATTCGCTTGGGCTTCTTCTGCCCCGGTCATAGGCGTATCGCCATCTCTGTTGCTGTCCCTTTCCCCATGGCCCTGCCGAGGTGGTTCATGAGGCCTGGAGCATGTCTGAGTGACATAGACGCTGTTACTCGTGCTGACTTGCTTGACAGCCCAGATCTTGTCGTCGGTGCAGAGGTGGAGGAATCCCTCTCGCCCCGCTTCTTCCAAGCCAACTCCACTCGCCGTTGTAATCTGGGAATCGGGGCCTCTGTTGAATCTACTAAGTGGTTGTTGTTCTCCCTTTGTCGGACCGGTATTCGCCGCCACGGAAGATTTGAACCACAGCTTCCTCCTCTTGCTCGGGCTCTTGACCTGTGTCTCGACCAGATCTAGCAGCTCCGGTGGCAGCTCGAGCAAGCGGAGACTCTGGTGTGGAAAAGTCGACGAGACTGCGACGGGAGGGAAGGTGTGGGGTTGTGAGGATGCGGACATGAGGGTGTTCGTGGTCTTAGTTTGTTCCCGTCACAGAGAGATAGGAGAATGTCGGATTATGGCCACAGAGATGGCCAAGTTAATAGCGGATGTCGACCATTAGCTGGTGAATTCTGCCACTGGGTACATGATGCCTTGTGTGTTGGTCCTCGAATTAGATCAACGCGTCCAAATTGGGACGCGTCGAGACATCTTAATTGAGGGCGACGTCATTATTCCACTTCGCCGTCTACAACACCACCACCACCACCCGATTACTGCTTGCCCAGAAGAAATGGGAAGAACCCAGGTCCATCATCACGCTAAGATGATGTATCTGTCTGGACTACTTGTCCGACGTATTCTCACAGTTGCCCTTGGGTCACGGCATCCGCGACCATGGCAAATCCTTTTCCTGGTAATGATAACCTCCCCAAGCAGGGCAGCGTTGGCCGCCGAGTGTCCCTCAAAGATATTGTGTACAGGTCAAAAAAAAAAAAAAGAGCCTCAGCCAATGTAGAGGTTGCCCAAAATCCTTGAGCCCCGAAATGGTTGACACAGAACGCCCCCCCTAACTCTCGTCCATGTACGCGCATCATGCTTTGCTCAAGATGGTTGGATCGCTCGCTTTCTATCCCATATCCCATGACCCATGATCTTTTTGCTTTTTCCTGAATTCAATGATCCTCTACCCGAGACCTCTGTATCGTTTAGCTCGGCAGGTAGCCACCCACCAGCAATGGTTGTTGCACAAAATCCATTCTTCGTCCTTTTCAAGTGCTGTCCTCGTCCGTGTCTTTGGCGGCTGACGCCTTTTTCTCGCCCTTTTCACTGTTCGCGTTGACCATACGCACACCTTCTTTCTTTGATTCTGCCGCCATGGCCTCCTTGTCCTGCTCCCACTGAGAACCCACTTGTTGGAACTCATCCTCAAGCTTCTTGACCTGTTCGGCGTTTTCTTTTTCCTGCTTTTCCCGTTCGCGCTTCTCGCGCTCCATTTCCTCCATGTGTCTGATGTCATCCACCGACGGTTCGTACAGATGCCACACCGTGTAATGCGGAAGACCGACGACGGAAAATCTCATGCGTCTGGCCATCTTTCCGAATCCTTCTGTCTCCGCGTGCCTTTCGAAGGAGAAGGCGGGAAAGTGTACTCCGGCACGGAATACTCGGGCTTTGGCGAGGATTGAGACCCCGCCAACACCATCAAGTTCCATCTCCACGTCGGGGTCTCCGTAGGGGTCGCGGAGGTATGCCAGATGAGGCCGCCATGTGGCATACTCTGCGTAGCCTTCCACAATGACAGCGTCTTCGTCGAGGGACTCGGCGAGGGCAATGGCAGTCTCGGATTCTTGCCAGGAGTTGAGGTCGTATGGCTGTTCACCCCCAAGCCAATCAGGCAGCGGCCGCCAGATATCTTTTCCTTCCGGTTAGCTTTGAGCATGACCTAGTTGTGGGGTAAGACTCACTCGGCACAATCACATCCTTGTCATGTCGCATGAGATCTTCAATGATGGTGTAGGGACACGTCTCGACGTCGGCATCGCGCCAATAGACCCAACTGTGATATGGTCTCAGAGCCGCGCTGAGCAGCCAATTCCGTGCTCGCGCCATCAGTTTTCTTCGGCTAGCTTGTGCCGCAAACCCATGTCTGCTTTCCACATCTTGACCGACTGCCTGCCCAAAATCCTTGTGGATGACTGAAATCTCCCCGTATGGCTGTGAAGGATCGGGGTCGGCCTGTTGTGCTTCAAGCATTTGGGAGAGCAATTCTTCAGTGTTGTCTTTGGAATCGGAAACAAGAAAGGCCAGGTCGATGAGGTGATGAGGGTAGGTGAAATTTCTTAGATGGGCGAAGAACATGGGCAAATGCGGTGCGGCATCGCGGAGGGGGGTGCATAGGAGGACTCGCTCTTCCCTCTCCCAGCCCACCGAGGTCCCCTGTACATCCTCGAGGTCATAGTATCGTAATGTCTCAATGTCGTCGTACTGAGATGAAATGCCCGAACTCGTCGATAATAGTGACAAGGTGGACGTGGAGGGAAAGAAGAAGTAGAAGGCTAAGGAGAACGTGACCAGGAGGACCAAGCCCAGACGGACCAGACGAGACCGGGTGTGAAGGGCTCGTTTTCGAGGCTCGAACCTGCGATTGAAGGAAGAATCTGGCTTCTCGTCCTCGACTAGATCAGGCATGCCCCAAATATATTTGCTCTCGAGGTCAGAGCGGTCGTGATACGGGTGGTAGATATCGTCATCTCGTTTCTTGTTGGCGGCGTAGCCATTGGTAAAGGCGTGATGCCTGTTCATCCCTCCAACTCATCACACCCCGTCAGCCTTGTATCCCCGCTGGGATGCAGCTCTTCCACCAGTGATCGTCTCGGAGGCACTGGGTCAATCGGGAAATCGGGGGTGGCGGCGGAACGAGGGAGGTGGGAGGTGGGAGGTGGGAGATCTTTGTTGACACGTGGAAGTGAGAGACTCGAGAGGGCTGAGATTGAGGTCGAGCCCGCTAAACGAGGAGAGGACAGGGTGGAAGGAGAGACAGGTCTGCGGGCAGCAGCGAGAGAAGTCGGATTGAAGGTGTGGTGGGTTGCTAGAAGGGGGAAGCCGGGAAGGTTGAAGCCAAGTGTGAAATGTTGAAATTCCCAGTACGTGGGATCCGGCAACTCGTGTGACAAAGATAAGTGAAGAAGCGAGGTCTAGATGGCCTCGCACTGGGTCAATGGAGTGGCTGGGCTGAAGCAGAAGCAGCACAGGAAAGCTGTCACATATTCACAATTGATTTCGGCGGGAAAAGTCCACAGTCTCCTCAGCCCATAATCATGCGCGCACGGTTGCAGGCGCAAGTTGGGGGTGCGCAGTCTGCACAGTCCGCTCACTCAGTGTCCGCCGCCCGCGAGCCCGCAGTGTGTATGACATGACGCGGCCGGCAACACTGACGAATCGCATGAATTCCAGGTTGCTATTTTCAACACCTCCAGATACCGATACCGATACCGATTCAGATTCAGATTCAGATGCAGATGCAGATGCAGATGCAGACGCAGATGCAGACGCAGAATGCAGAGCAAGAGCAGGTTCTTTGTGTATATGAACATACTCCCATCGGCCAGGTAAAACATCTACTCACATCGCGGTGTCATCTCGACCTGCGACATCTCGCATCTCAATGGAGGCACTTGGATTGTCAGGCCGCCAGCGCCGTCTAGGCGTTTCCTCTTGCGCCAGAATCCTACAGACATGATCAATACCTATTCAAATCTATCTGCAGCAGCCGAGACATCACGATATCGTCGATAACTGCAAGAATCGCTGCGTCCATCTCCAACACACCAGACACAATGTCCATGCGCGAGCAACTCCTCGACACTGCCAAAAAGTACCTCGACGCTCACAACTCGCGCGACTTTGGGTCCATCGCAGCTTGTTGCAGCCCATCCTGTACACATCGAGGCGGGCCGTCTTCAGTCAAGGGTCCGACACGCAACAACGACGAGTATGTCGCCTTCAATGTCGAGGTCTTCGAGATGATGCACTCCTACCATGCAGAGATGACAGATGCCATTGTCGACCAGGCCACACGCAAGGTTGCCTTGTTCTTACACGCCAAGGGAGCGGCCGATGCGGGCCAATATGACAACGAGTATATCATCACTCTGACCATGAACGAGGACGGCAAGTTGGTGCAGGACCAGTATGATTTCATCGACAGCCACACCATGATGCAGTGGATTGGGAAGTTGGGCCAGTCGGGAGAAGAGATGTGGGAGAAGAAGTGAGAAGGGTCATAAAGAAGAGATGCATGCCATGGGGGACCAAACTCGGATTCAAAAACAAGTGGTACCGTCTCTCACGGACTATATACCGCAAGAGTGTTCAATCACGTCAAAAGAGGCCGGTATTAACATATCGAATACCATTCACAGAACAGGATGAATGACAGAGGGCGGCTATTCCTCAAGATAACCAACGTGCTTGATGTGAATGAAGGACTTTTCAGTGTGCCACTTATTTTTTGAATCAAGCTTGCTTGACAGGTACGTAGCAACAGAAGGACAGAGGAATAGTGAGAATGCAATGACATGCGTGACACTGCCGTCATCCGTTCTCTCCGATTTTGTCTTTTGTCATTGCCATTCTTTTCCCTCCACTCTCCTCAAGCACCCCATCTCGGTGCCACTTTTGTCCATCCATATCTGCTGAAATAAAGCCTGTTCGTTCGCCTTCTGCCTCTCTTCCGATCCATTTTTCTCTCTTGTTCATCCCACATGTCGCTGCCGCCGCCGCCGCCGCCACCAGCGTCACCACATCCGTCTCCTCGGCAGACGGCAATTGGACCCCATATCCATTCGCCATTAGCTCTCTACCAAGCAGCTACCAAGCAGCTACCAAGCAGCTACCAAGCTACTCTAAGCTCCATTGCCAATGCTGACGGCGAAGCGGCTGGCCTGACAGCCGATGCCAAAGCTTTTATTTCATTCCTTATTGGATCCCCTGTGCCCATTTGTACCCCTCTACCGTCCCGCATCCCGCACTGCTTAGCCTCTCCCGCCTCTCCTAACGCCATGAATCTCCTCCTGTTTCTCCCGCTTAACCTCACCAGATCTTGGGCCATCTTCCATGGGTCCTTGTCACCACTGTGGCTTTCCCGATTCGCTCTGGTTGGCTGGTGGGATGGTCGATCGCCAGCCTTTTTCACAACTACCACGCTGCTGTCGTCACCATGCTGCGTGCTGTTTACCATCCCTACATCCAGAGTACAAGGGTCGGTGTGGTCTGTCTCCATCCTTTGCCCTCGCATGGCTTGACTGCATTCCCGTCCCTCTTCAACCTTGTCAACCTTCGCTCCCTGTCGAAGCTTTTCTTGCCCTGTTACATTGCAAGCTTGGTATTCATCCCCTCCCCCCCCCCCCCCCCATCAAAGCAAAAGGTTGGGCCTTAAAAGTGCATTTTCCTCGCTACTGAGACTCTGATCTCTCTGTATTCTTCGCCCCAAGAGTGGAAAGCTCTGGTCGAATCTTGATCTGCGCCTCTGTAACGGATATTTCCAGCAGTCACATGCAGGCGACAGCGCGTCTCAGTCCGGATTCTCTATTTTACACCTGTTTCATACGGGTCATTCGCGCGTTCAAGTGGCGGTGATCAATTTCTTCTCCTTGCTCTTCAACAACAACTGCAACGGGCATTGGAAAGCCACTGGCGCCAAAATGGCCGACTATGAAAAGAAAGAACCTGGCTTCGGCGAGGGCAACGTCCTAAAGCCTGATGATGCCATCGACATAGAAATGAGACGCGATTCCACCATGGTACATGGTCGCAAGATGAGCAGGATCGGTCCGCCCCCCAAGATCGGTTCTTTGCCCGATACATCAGGCTCGGAGGATGAGTACGGCAATTTGGTTGCAATGGAGGCCAATGATGCCATCAAATATAGGACTTGCTCCTGGCAGAAGGTTGATCATACTGTTCTGAACCATATGTCCCGGGAGTGCTGACGACAAGGCCAATAGACTGCTGCTCTCCTCTTCTCCGAATATATTTGCTTGGCCATCATGTCCTTCCCATATTCGTACTCGGTCCTTGGTCTGGTGCCGGGGATTATCCTTACAGTCGTCCAGGCTGCATTCGTTCTCTACACGTCTCTGGTTGTCTGGGAATTCTGTCTCCGTCATCCTGAAACAAGAGACGTCTGTGATATTGGACAGATGCTGTTCTGGAATTCAACATGGGCCTGGTACTTTACGGCTGTCATGTTCATTTTGAACAACACTTTCATTCAAGGGCTCCACGTCCTCACTATTTCGCGCTATCTGAATACCATGAGCGGTATGTATTTCGATCTACCGTGAAAGACTTATGCCCCGTTGAAGAGATTAAATTATGTCTAGGCCACAGTGTTTGCACCGTTGGCTTTGCGGCCATTGGCGCCGTTGTGTCATGGGTTTGTTCCATGCCGCGCACCTTTAGTGCTCTGTCGAAACTCGCCGCATTTTCAGCCTTCTTCACATTCGTTAGCGTCATCCTCGCTGCTGCTTTCGCCGGCGCAGAAGGCAAGCATGGTACAGCTGGCTACAATCCGGACCCGAACCACGTCAACGCGTTGGGGGTAAAGCAAGGCGGCGAGCCGCTCGTTCTCGCAGTCCCACTGGCCGGGACAACGTTCGTTTCCGGAATGAACGCTTTCCTGAACATCAGCTATACATTTATCGGACAGATCACGCTGCCCAGTTTTATTGCCGAGATGAAGAACCCCTATGATTTCCGCAAGGCGCTTTGGCTGGTTACCATCTGCGAAATCATTCTTTTCAGCCTCGTTGGCGGCATTGGTCAGTCCTTGTTCCTGATAATTCCCAGCACCTTTCGACCCGGTGCACACCACGCAGGCAGCCAGAGGAAACTGCAGTTTGACACTAACACAATTCTGTCCAGTCTATGGCTATACAGGCACCCAGTACAATACAGCGCCCGCGTTCGGCAGTCTCGGCAACGACATTTACAAGAAGATATCCTTCTCGTTCATGATCCCGACGCTCATTTTCCTCGGCGTGCTCTACGCCTCTGTGTCCGCGCGCTTCGTCTTCTTTCGCCTCTTTGACGGCACGAGGCACAAGAGCTCGCACACCGTCGTGGGCTGGCTATCCTGGGCCGCCATTCTGGGGGCGACGTGGGTTCTGGCCTTCGTCATCGCCGAGGTCATCCCCTTCTTCGCCGACCTCCTTTCTCTGATGAGCAGTCTGTTTGATTCTTTCTTCGGCTGGATCTTCTGGGGCGTCGCGTACATGCGCATGCGGTACGCGGATTTGGGACCGGGGTTTTGGCGGAAGAGGGGCATCCGTGGATGGGTTGGGTTTCTGATGAACATATTCATCATTGTTGTGGGATTCTACTTTTTGGGCGTGGGCACTTATGTGAGTTCTAATCCTCCCCAGGGTTTCCACAATCCTAGGCTCGCCTCGGGGCTGTTCTCGGAGACCATCAATCTATACCTTCACGGCTTGAGGACATTTGACTAACGTGAGAGATCGGACCTAGGCCTCCGTCGACAGTATTGTTTTGGACTACGAGAACGGAAACGTCAGGGGCGTCTTCACCTGCGCCGACAACTCGGTCTAGCCACAACACCCTACCACAGTCCTCCGTCCGTACAACCCCTGAAGACCGGACGGAACAAATCAATCAACTGGGAAATCACACGACCCTTTCCCTCTTCCCTCTTTTGCTTTTTCCCGAGGTGGGCAGAATGTGAAGGTTCTCTGGCGCCGTTGCCCTTCCACTCGCATTCGTTCAACAAAAGGGAACAAAAATCAGACCGGGGAACGGGAAAAATGGAGCGGCAACGACATGACCTACGCCCTTATTTCTCACCGAGTGTAACTGAATTCTCGAAACCCCACCAAACCGAATCCCTCATCACTTGTTATGGGGCGACATGGTTGGTGATGTGGTTATGCGGCTACGACACAAATACACACGCACACGCCGACATGCACGCACGCACGCACACAGGACGCACGGAAACACGAATGATTGTTTGAGTAATTAATTGATTGCAGATTGATGCTAGAAGAATACTCTAGAAAAAGGTGCTGACCAAAACTACTGGAATGAAATAAAATGGAAAAGGAAAAAGAAAAAGAAAAATCGAAAGAAATACGTTCAAATGTTCGAAGCAATAAATGAGAGCTGTACGGGCTCATAATCCTAAGTAGTGTGGTGCGTACGTGTGTATGTGTGCATGTGGGGGTGTGTGGGGGTGTCTTATTCACTCGCTCGCTCACGAGTGTGCTATCGAGGATACTTAGAAGAAACGCACGCTGGTAGGTAGGTTCTCGGTATCCGAGATATCTCGGTATGTATTTTAAGGGCATCAGGGGCATCTAGCGATCCTCGTCCTCATCGTCCTCGAGCATCTTCGCGTAATCCTCGACCGAAGCAAACGTGGGCAAATTCTTCAGTTTCTTCGACCTAGCCTTCTTGGCCTTGTTGCTGTCGACAGCGACCTCCTCCTGCTGCTTGCCCTTCTTGGTCTTCTTGGCGGCGGGGGCTCGTGGTGGTGGTGCGTCGGCGTCGGAATCAAAGCCCGCAAAGTCTGCTGATCCGTCGTCGTCGTCCTCGTCACCCTCGTCATCCACGGCGACGTCCATGTCCATGAGATCCTCGTCGTCGTCGTCGTCAAAGAAGGCAGGATCGATATCGACACCTTCATTATCATCATCTTCGGGTTCATCCTCGTTTTCCAGCCCGCTCAAGTCTTCGTCGTCGTCGCCTTCTCCTTCATCTGATTCCAAGTCCGCCAAGTCGAGGTCCACGTCATCGTCGTCCTCGAACTCATCGGCCTCCAGATCTGGTGCGCTCTGCATCATGGCCTTCCATATTTCGTCTTCATCATCCGCTTCGGAGTCGTCTGTATCACGTCTCTTTTTCTCCTTCTTCTGTTTGTCTCTATTTTCGCCCTTGCCCTTCAAGCTGGTGAAGTATTGATGGAAGAAGACATCCTCGGCGGCCACTTCCTCGCTCTTCTTCAGCCTGAATTGCTCGCTGTTCACCGCTATTTGCTTCTTCCCATTCGCCGTCCCCGCGATGAGGACAGCCTGCGAATTGTCCGTCGCCATGGGTTGCATGATGCTACTGCCTTTAAGACCCGAGCTCGATAACTTCGGGTTGCGGTAGACAAAGCGGTCGAGGAAGTGAGAGAGCGTGTGTAGGTTGAGGTCGGGTTTTCCGGGGAGTGATTGGTGCCGCAATACGTGGTCAGCGCTAACGGAGACAGAAGGATGGAAATGTGCGAGGAAAGGAAGGAGTTCCCAGAGGCACGCGTTGTCTGCGTTAGCATGTTCTGGAGCGCGTTTGTGGGCGTCGTAGACATGACCCCGTTGTAATTGCTCTGAATCTGAAGGACCATTCGTGGCAACTGGATCAGCTTGGTTGACATCGTCTTCATCTAGAACATCCCGAAACACCTCCACATCATCCCCTTCGTGATCTTCTGGCTCATCAATCAAGCTGCCTAGTGAAGGAAACGTCTTCTCGAGGTCCTGGATCAGGAAAAAGGCGCCATAGATGAACGACGGTTCATGCAGGCTCAACACCTGCACAAGTCTTTTCACAAATGCCTTTACTCTTTTCACGCTTAAATCGGCCTTCAAGGCACGATGTAGCAGGTTCAGGTAGAGTTGCTGTTTTGACGCGGTGATGAGGCGCTGGTCCAGAAGAGACTCGTACAGTACACGGTAGAAGCGGTCGCTTGATGCTTTGTGTTGGGAAGAGTGGGATATTTGTTGGATGAGCATGAGGGATTGGATGCTCGTATTGAAGTTTGCCGAATGGGCGATTTTGAACAGCGTGTCGAGATGGTTGGTGAAAGCTGTGTTGCTGCTGACGCTACTGTTCGTGTAAGGGTATGCTCGATTGACGCCAGTGAGGATGGCGGAGATGAGTTTCTCACGCAGTTCTTCAATTTGAGGCTGGGCCCGTTGGGACTGGGCCTTTTGGTTCCTTTTCTTGCGGCCTTTAGCTTGCAAGGAATCCGTGTCGACTTCATTCTTTGCGGTTCCTCTGTCGGTTTTCAAGAGGTTGGTAAATAGTCCAAAGTAGATGTCGAGGAGTTTTGCCGCTACATCTTCTTCCTTCCCACTCAATGCTGTCTGGTTAAGAGTAACGACAGCATAATATTTCCCATGCAGGGTCTGTCCGGGCCTGAAGATGAAATCGGTCTCGATGGCCGACACGACTACCATTTTCATAGCAGGGTGGGCTAGCAACAGTTGCATCAGTAAATAAGAAGCCTGAGAGGCGATTTTCTTGACAGGATCCCCCAGCTTATTGATAAGTAGACGCAGCAGGTTTGATTCCTGTTCCGGTCTTTCCTTGAGTAGCTCAAACACGTAATTGACGGCTCGAGCTTTGGAGAATTCAATCTCGTCATTGCACCATCCCTCAAGGATTTTGAGCACTTCGAAGTACTGCTCTTTCAGCCAGCTTTCAAAAGCCCACGACACGAGATGTCGTTGCTCAAGGCCCCGGGGCAGTTTATTCCCCCTTTTCCAGGATTTGAAACTCCCGAGCACAAACGGGATGGCAGGCTGGGCTTGAAAAGCGTAAAGCTTTCTCGACTCGGGAAGAAGTGAGCCTTGAGCGAACAGGTCTTTGAGTGCTCGGAGCACATCAACAGCTTGGGAACGACTCCGCTTTCGAGCGAGCCCGATCAGGGTTTCAAGGGCTTTGATGTTATGAATGGGTGACTCTTGCACGGCCAACGTCAGAGCTGATATTTTGTCCGACAAAGTTCCCGATGAGATGACAGTGTTGTAGAAGGCATTGGCTGGTGATGACTGTTGCATTTCCTTGAATTTCTGATTGTCCTCATCAAGAAGAGACTTGGCATATTCGTGGAGTTCGTCGATTGACCCCTTGGACACAGTGTGTTTAGGAGAATCCGCTGTGTCGACATCTGCGTCCGGGCCATTGTACCAGTCCGGCTTTGGTTCACATACAAGCCGAATTTTCTTGCCTCGTCCGCTTTTGTCTGCCTGTTGCTCTTGAGAAGCATGTTCTGCGGAGAGGAGATTTCCATCAGTTTCATTGTTTGTCTCGGGTCCGCTTGAGGCTTCCTCATCGTCGGTAATCTCCCCTTGGGCGAGAGCAATCTCTTTGAGGATATTTTTCATTCCCTTGTCTAGATTCTCTAGGCCTGACTTCGAGGTGTCCCCTTCGACCTCCGACTCGGAGTTGGCGTCTGCGAACAGTTCCAAGTCTTCAGCCGTTCCACCAAGAGCCTTCATTTCCTGTTCCAAGACGTCGTCCTCTGGTTCTCCTCCATTTTCATGAGCGGAATTGTCCTGCCGGACATCATCCTTGTGTTGTCGCACAAGGATCTTGCCATTGCGATCACGTTTTTTCCCTCGCTCTGCCACTGTTTGGTCACCCTTATTGCGACCATTCTTCTTGTTCTTCTCTTTGACATCGCCGGGGTCGGAGAGTTTGTAGCGTCGTTGGATAGTCTTCCGCAGATCGTCGACTAGGGAAGGCTTGTTGGTAGGCTGTCCAGGCCCATGCGAAGACGGGCCACCAGGACGCTGTTTGGGATTCGACATTAGGCTCGCAGAATCGCTGCTGGTCACTGACCAAGCGTCGCACCTTGCAGACAAAACTAAATTCAGCCAGTGCAGAAAATCTCCAAAAATCCGAAGGGCTCTGGGAATTTCTCGGCCGGATTTAAAGGCGCCAAGAGAAGGTAATCCGAGGGTTTGGGTATTAATATCTAGCTCGCTACTGGTACATAACCTGCAAGGGCGGCCAAGACATTCGTCTCCCTTTTCGATATCATTTGCATGTTGCAGACGAAAGCTGACATGACTGCGCGGTGAAGTGCCATGCTGCTGCTGCTGCTGCTGCTACTAGCAGTGCTACACTAGCCCTTGTGTGTGAGGCTATCTCTGGCCTATATTGTTACAGGGTTACGACATGAAGCACCCCCCTTGCGAGAGGATGTTCTAAAGGACAAAACCTCAAGGAATGCCCGCTCGGCCTATGAAACTGACAAGGCAGCAGAAAAGGGTTGGGTGATGGACAGTGGCCCGTCCTGGGCCAATTGGAGTCAATCCGATGAAGAAAGAACTACAAGGCTGAGTGGACCGATCCGAATTCCCTCTCAAGAACCCGTACCACACCGACGCATGGAGCCTCCAGGCCCTGGCTCATAAAGTATGTTATCGAAACTACACAATGTGAGGGTGGGGGAAGGGGCTAAATTTCGAGATTAGCTGTGTGGTATTCCGTTTCTGGTTCCCATTTTGGCTAACGATCCCCCTGAATCTAGAGGTAGAAGAGGCGTCTGGATGCCTCCCGAAATCAAGTGCCATCCGCTACAAGGCTTGGGAGTGGCATATTCCTGCCATGAGTAGGATCGAAAGGGAGATTAGCTTCGAGGAAAATGAGGACCCGCAGAAATCCACAATAGCAGAGATATATCACTATGAGATCGTGACCTGGTTTGAGCTCTATCCAGAATTTGAGCTATGGGGAAGTGACGAGAGTGATCGAGAGTAATGGGTCTGACGAGGCCGACGATGCTCGCCCCTCTCGGCCTTCCACCTATCACACCAACTGTGTAGACATTAGGATGTTTGGGGGCTTTCCGGTATTTCTTGTCGACATATTCCGAGAATTTGTCAAGTACTTTCTGCACGCATTCAGCTTTCCAGCGGTAAGGCGCAGAACAGCGCAATTTCAAACCTGAGGCGACCACGAGAAGTTTTGAGGGAGGTCGTTGAGTGGGTCTTGGTCAAGATAACATGCGATAGCTGACGGCTGTTGATCGTGCGTCGCTCGGGTCTCAAGCTTAGTTTCTTTTGTTCTTAATGAAATTTGGAGTAATGTGGGCAATCCTGATCACAGTTTGTGATCGTTCAGCCGCGAAAGGAAGCCTTACGGGCTGTAAACCTATTCACGGTAATCGCCGAGGACCTTTCCCGTATGCCTTAATTCTGGCTTCATAGTTGCTCTCGCATAAGAGAGAGATTCCGTTGCAATGACCCATTTCAATCCAGAAATTCATGAAGACTTGGAGTTGACCATTTCAAAGTCCGATTTCAGCACTCCCGAGAAGCACAAGACCTGTCAAATCCCCTTGAATCTCCACTGATGGGTCAAGTGGGCATGAGCGGCCAAAAGCCCCGAAGCATACCGCAATCCGGTGATTATAACAACAGAAGTCTACACTGGCAATGAGTATGGAGTAAGATAACTGAGCGGAAAGATCATCCAGCTCACAGTGGGGCGAATGGCGCACGTCCGCTTTCAGTAGGTCAGCCTCCTGTTCAACGGGCGTCTCAAACCCTATCATCACTGGAAACACGATGGGAGAGAAGACGATCACTCAAGGTTCGAAATAGTTTGGGTTGTAATACCCGTATCCCGATTTCGATGGCAAAATGTCTGGACCAGCCATTAAGAGGCAGCCCATCGCGATAGGATATGCCTATTATTATTTTGATTCATATATCCCATGCAGGTTGAGCCCGGGCACTAGCTAGATTTCTGCACGCCATATTTCTATCGTAAACTCTGGTTCGTTCCGTGTCCCGCATTTTGAGGACACTAAACAGCATGAACAACCCTGCATTAGTACTGGACGATTAGGGAAAGTATGAGGAGGCTGCGCAGATGTGGCGACAGACGCCGTAATTAATGAACGAATTGCTTGAATCACGGAGTTACAGTGTAGTGGTTGATACGAAAGGAGATATGCATTTCTGCTCCCATCTTGCAGTGCCTCAAGCATGTACTTACGTAGATGCTCTTGCACCGGACTATCCGATCGCCCTGTCTATTTACAACGGTTTCCATCTATTTCATTCACGTCTCTGTCCATTACAACATGGTCCACTGTTTTGCGACATCACCAGTCTTTCCAACCGCCATTGCTCACAGAAGGAGCCTCATGCCCAAAAGGGCCACCATGCTTCCAAGGGCCACCATCGAATTTCCTGCGGCCAAAGTGTAAGCAGCTGCGTTGGTGCTAGACGTTCTGGGAGTTGCTGCTGACCCACTAGCGGTAGCCGATGCGCTCGCGGAAGAAGAGGTCGACGTGCTGCTCAGGCCGAGCGTGTCATTCTCTTTGGGGACACCCTGCAGAAGTGTGACGTTTGCAATCTCAGGATAAGGGACAACGCCATTGTCTGGGTAGGCCGAGCAGTTTGCATTCGCAGCAAGGGGGCAGCTGTAGACATCGGAGCAAATGGTCTGGAGCTGAGGTCCCGCTGATGGAGGAATCACGGCTGCCGGGGGGATGCAGCGGTAGGTGAACGTCTGGTCGAGCGCCTCTCGAGTAAAGTTGACGTCTGGCTCTTCGAATCCGATTGACTTTCCGGCAAGCACAATCTGTTCATTGAAATAGCCAGCTTCCCAGACGTTGGGGTCCATGAATCTTGAAACCATCAGTGCTCAGTTATCGGGTCAGCGTGACAGACGCTTACTTGTGCACCTCCCACATGCTGGCAACGCCTTGGTAGTGGGGGAAGTCAGGGACCCCCTGCTGGGAGCATCCGTAAAAGTCGCCAAAGTACTGATACACGTGGGTAAGGAGTTTGCTGCAAAGTCAGATGTAAGCAAAGTACAGATGAAAGCTCTTTAGGGTGCATACTATTGATTAGAGGTCGTGGTGTTGGCTGGCTTGTTGGCAAGCAGTGCACCAGCTCCTCCATCATCCAGGAAGTTCTTTGCAACGGGCTTTCCATTTTCGTTGGTCGAGTAGTATCCACCAGTGAAGTATGGGAGAAGGTTGACGTCGTGGCCTTCGTAGGTGAAGGGGCCTGCAATGCCGTCCACCTTGACCCCCACGTTAGGAGTAGTGTAGTTGCCCAGAATAAAAATATGGGTGATTAACGCCATGAGTTCTTGTTGGTTGGCGGGTGTGTTCTCTTTCCCGAGCACGAGAGGAGTATAGTAGTCGCAGATGGATGTGGTGTTGGGACGCAAAGCTGCAACAACGCCGACAGCTACGACGAAAGAGAGGATGTTTGCGGACATAGTTGACGGCATCGTGAACGATGATGGGAGAATTTCAATAGGGAGAGTCTGGCTACTGTGCTTAGGAAGAGTACAAGATGCTGAAGAAGAGAAAAGAACCGATTCTCGACGAATCCTGCAGTTTTAAATGTCGGCGGGCCAAGGACATTTCTGTGTAGCTCTCCCCAGATAGCGCAGCTCTGAATATGACAAGCCACTGCATGCAAGATCCGAGGGCTTAGTTATCCAAGGAGAATCCATCAGACAGGGTATTTTCGAGGGCTTCCCGAAATATAGCAAGCAATGCACACTCGCAACTTCCATTGTCCAATTTCAGCTCGTGCAACACTTCCAAAAAGGGACATCGGGCGATTTCATCCTTGTCCGAGCATCGCGAAAGAGCCAATTGTGCCTGGTTGATTAGCCAGCTGGAGATCGGTGAATCTGTACCAAGAGGGGCCCTGCAGGTTCGGGCTACCATCAGTTGCGACGGATGTACCAGGAAGCGTCATTGCCAGCTTCATAATCTTGGAGCTCGCGGAATGTAAACAAGAACAGAATCTCTCCGCATACCTGTAGTCTCGCGACGGCCTATCACAACCAAAGTCCTTTTGCTGACATATGCAGCGCGGGGCTGATTCGCTCCATTGAGGTCCACATAAGAGTGCAGGATCTCAATCAGAGGGGCGAACCCGTTGCAACAGGGCAGATCGAGGCCAAAATGAGAATATTGTGCTTTGTAACCAGGCAGACTAGACACGGTCATTCAGTTGTGGAGGCAAGCTAGACACCGACTAGAGACGGACAGGAATGAGCTCGAGAAAAACAACGCAAAGCAGCGCTGGCCAGTGCCAAGACATCGCCAAGGCCGCTCCGCTCCGCCGTATCTGTCGTAACTGATCTGCTCTTCTGCTTCTCTGCTGCGCCTCTGCGAAATAAGAACAGCTTGGTGCTCCATAGGTGGGCTACCGTTCAGCATTCAATGTACAGACCAGTAGCCTCTTTTATGGCTCAAGCCATGGTACTCGAATCTCCTCAGCTTTAGATCATTCCCGAAAGAGAAACGATGTATATAGCCAATGTCAGAAGCTATGGTAGCGCAGCTAGGCAAAGCGTTAGTGGTTACTTCTCCATGAGGGCGATACTGCAGCAACAGGGCTCTAAACATCATAGGCAGCCAGAGCGGTTACCGTGTCAATGGCCGTCTTCCCGAGAGCGCACGTGGCCCCGCTGCCGATCCAGGAGTCCGAGCGAGGCAGCATTTTCCTGTGATGGGTGCCAAAGCTTAGTTAGAAGCAGTCGACGCACGGTTGATGGCTCAGTCTCAAAGCGGCGCGTGAGGAACCGTGACCTGCGCGAGATGAGTCTCTCAACGTTGACATTGAACGTCCTAATAATCTCTCTCAGCTCCACGTCGAGAGTCTTGACGACAGTCTCAATTCCGGCAGCTTTGACTGGTGAGGAACTTAGAGAGCAGATCCATTGGCATAGCCTCCATAAATCACGAGTCCGTACCCAAAATATCGATGTGACCAGTCTCGAAGGGCCTCGAGGGTCTATGGTACGAGACGCTGAGCTCCCTCCAGCGAGACGGCAGTCCTGGACGACAGGTTGCATGCCCTCCATCATCCGTAGTTTAATCAGCAAGAGCGTTGGTCCTTTTCATCGGAGTCGGAGACGTAGTCGTGAGCGATCGTCGCCCCATTGTAAGCCAATGTCACAAACATTCAAGCTCCAATTCCGTTCTCGAGGCCGAATCCAGTCCAAGTGGGGAGTTCGCCAATAGAGACAAAGCATCTTTAGATGTCGGAAGCTTTTGTGAGACTCTGGCTATAGCCAAAGCATGAAAAGACGCAATGAACAATTTATGAACACGAGAAATGATGTTGTGTTGGGTTCAGGGATGATATTCTATGGCGAGCGATCCGGGCGAGGCAAACAGCTGCCGCCCGAGTTATTTCGCGCGACATTCAACGCCCAGTGACTAGAGACACTGGTCATAATTTTTTACTGGCATTGGAAAAACGATATCGGTAAAAAAATCCAGCTGGCTTTTGTTCCCGCATAGACGGAACGACACAGGAAGTGGCAGCGGGCGCGATTAGGTCGCCTCCTGTAACGTAGGGCACACAAGGCGCCAAAAGATCGATCGATCGTTGTCCATGAATGTAACAGAGGGTTAGCGTTCGAGCATGACTTAGGTGGGATGCGCGCGCTTCGTCAGGAAGCATCGAACCGAGTGCTTTGTATATGCAGTTTGCTACGGCCGAAAGTCGAAACATGTGTCTCTGGTCTGCGGCAATTGAATAGTCCTGCATTATGTGGTCGACATCAAGGGAGAAGTTTTCAAAACAGTACCTGGCTCCGCAGCCATTGACTCCGTGGCCTGGCCGGCATCCGACAACATTATTTGCTGTAGCTGTTGACAGAGCAACGTTGCATCAGAAGGAAAGGGGGTGTGATGGGAGATCTTCGACGACCGGAACTGCCGTCGAGTCGCGCAGCTCATACTTCTCAATGCCATCTCGGGGACATCATGCAAAAGCTGTCACCATGCGTGAGCCGACGATAGAATGAGCGATGGTGATTGTGGTGGTGGTGGAAGGGTTTAAGAGTCTGTGAATGGCAGTGATATATCGAAGCAGACCGGAGCCCATGAAATATCAGAGATTGACGCTGACGAAGGCATGGAATGGGTAGGTTATGATTGGCTGCTTCATTTACCGTTCTTGGCTTTCTCATGTGTATTTGATCTGCCGCTTCGCTTCGTCGTCTGGCGTCTGCACACCAAGCAGCCCAAGACACCTCGCCTCGGGGCTACAAAAAGTCAGCTCTGCATCTCCGCAGGACAGAACAGCCCCCGCCAGCCAGTCAATGGCAGAGACGGTTTTCAGGGAAGTGGAGTTCCGAGTCAGATCTACCGATCCACCCCCTTGTAACTGTCCAGAGTGACAGGTTGAAGCCCAGGTTTGGATGGCATTGTGCGCGAAGTACCTTGAAGCCTCCGTACCGAAAGGTTCTACCTATGTATACTCGTACAGGAACATCGAAGCGCAGAACGGACCCCGTTCATGGGCTGCACCTCGAGGTGAGAGATTCCCTGCTAACCTTCGAAGCCACTAAGCTCTCTCCATTTACACGAGTATGACGGTCCTTTGTCCGCACCAAACACGGCGTTCTGGATCTGGCAAGGACTGGAATATCGTCCTTTTGGCATTTCCGAGGCCTCGGCTCCGACAGATGGGCAGAGTGTTTCCTGTTCTGGTGCACGCGTCGCGCCTGTACGAGGTGATCTAGTTACTACTAGCCTTTCGGCGGTTGGCTGGGAGGTTTCAGCATCGCAATACAAGTGGCAAAACAATATGAGCTTGAATCCCCTGGCGCCATTTACGTGGGAGTAAATAAAGGCAGTGGCATGGTCCCCGCAATGCAGAAGCATGGCGGCTTCGATCGGGCACCAGGACATGCGAGTCTACCTGCACCGGAGCTTTTCGAGCCGTCCACTTGACGAATCGACATACATGCTACGCGCAATCCCCGGGCTTCGCTCACAGGTGAGAGGAGAGCTTAGTCATTATCTTCCGCCCCGTGGAGGTACAAGATTCCATGAGCGGATGTCTCCAAGTCAAAGCCTCGATCTTTTGCGCTTCGTTGATCATGAGCCTAATTCCTATGGCTAACAATTCCATCCGCCACCAGACTCGAACGTGTTGCTAGACTCTGACACTCATATTTGATTTTTGGGTAGCAGTGAAACGCTCTGCTCTCTTATGCTTGCATGCGCTATCTGACAAAACTTGAAGTTCCTTTGGTGATGGAACGACCGGCGATTGTCTCGTCATGCCTTTCGATCGACCCAACGCCGCTGACCCTGCGCCCGACTTCAGGTTTGTTGACGATGGAGCCCTACAGTCGGTCAAGACTAAGCATAGCGAGACTGCGGCAAGACGAGCACACGCGGCCAGAGTCGCTCACCAGCGCCGACGTGAACGGCAACAGCGGGAGCAAGAGACGACATTGACAGGGAAACGAGGGTTGGTGTCTGAAAGCGAAACCCTGTACCTGTCTCCCAAGTCGGAGTTCAGTTTCGTTCAGGAAGTTGGGGATGAGGATGCTGGGAGTGGCCAAATCGAGAGTTCAACAAAGCAACCAGTGCGACAAATCCACCATTTGCCTACACGGCCCGCCAACCCTGTCAACCGCGACTTCACTGTTGCTCAAAAGACTCCGTCTCCTGCGTACACTGGCGCAAGCCTGGACCGCTGGCTTGACCCCGTCACGATTGATCCATTTAACCAGTTTGGTGCGGAAAGCCTGCCACGCGCTTTACGGCATACTCTCGACTACGCCTTTGACGTGTATTGGCCCGCGAACGTCAATAGTGCCCCCGGCGATCGGTCATATTCACTCATACTACGCAGAGGAGCTGCATTGTATCCTCATGCTTTCCATGGACTTGTGGCTTCTGCTGCAATGTTTCTCCAGAGAAGTACCCAAGACCGCAAAGTTGCGCTTGCCTGTTCTGCCTTGGTCAAGACGAATCGGGCAAAGGCCATCCAGCTGATCAATGAGGAACTTGATCAATTACAGGGCGGAGTACCGTCTGATGATCTCGTCATGGCCATGGTCGCCGTGGCTAGAGGTTCTGTCGCCCACTCAAGGGTTCCACCAGCCAGCTCGGTCTCAAAATCCCCATTGGCAAGAGCACAGAATCTTCATTTCTACAGCACTCAATCACTGGACCCTGGGTATATCAAGGCCTTTTTTGGCATCATTGATCTTAAGGGTGGACTGACTGGCGTGGAAACACCCTCTCTTGCGACGTTGGCAGAATTGTAAGCTTGTCCTCTTAAGTTGCTGTTTTGGAAACGTTATTGATGAGTTGTATGCAAGTTTCGATCTCACGGTCTCGACATTGACAGGCCAGCAGCCGAAATACGATTGGAGACATCCACGGCAACCATTGCTTACTTTTGAGATTGGTGGGCTGATAATCGACCCTATCTCTGTGATGCTTCTTAAAGATCTCGGTTCCGGCTTCGACAGGAATGTCCTTGGGGCCATCTATCCAACGCTCAGCATGATCTGTGAGCTTGTTATTGCTCTAGACCGACTAGTACGCAAGGCGGTGCCAGGACCTGCAATGCATGATTTAGTTAATGCCCGCAATGCTATTCAGCACGCGCTTTGCCGCATCCAACGTTTGGTCAACCCGGTAACCCTGGAACAGGCCATTCAAGAGACCACGCGAGCAGCTCTGCTTTGTTTCAGTGACATGGTCATCTTCCCTATCCCCACGATCACTGGTGTTCGATTGCGACTTGTCACCGAGCTCTACGCTGCTCTCTACGCGTGTGAGGCATTCGAAGCGTGGCGCCAAGGGTTTGAAGGGTTCAAAATATGGGCCACGACCATAGGCGCAATAGCAGCAATCAATCTGCCACTCAAGAGCTCATTTATTGACATGCTGAAAGTGCTCCTCTACATGCGCTTCTGGGCGTGGGAAGATCTCAAGATGCAGCTCGTCAACTTTATCTGGTGGGATCATTTCTGCGACGAGCTAGGGCAGACTGTGCACGAAGAAGCAATCCGGATAGCTTCTTTTCCAAGTCCGCCACCAGGGAATCACCAGACATTGATTTCTCATAGTGGACCAGACACACAGCCTCATTCTTGATTTCGACCATGGTTTGCTGATCGAGAGTATCACCGGCTGGTTCTGAAGTTTCTGCCACCTTGGGCACCGTTGAACTCGTCACCAGCATCACTGGTCCACGCCATCCTCCACAGGATCACATCCCAGCTGTGAAGAGGACCCTGCAATGGAGTTTTGTTTCTGTGGAAGGTAGGGACTTGGCGGTACCTGCCTGGGATTGGTTTGCTGGGCTTTCCCCAGCGGCAGTAAAGCACAGCGACGACGAATCGTTGTATACGCTTCCTGCCACCGTTGCCACAAAGCATACGCAACCAGTCTTCGATGGCGAGATCCAAATAGTGCCGAGCATGTTGAAGAGAGCCTCCTCAGTGCCGGGGGGTTATGCGCTGCTCCTCTGCAGGAGTGGCCAGTTTCTCGCCGGCCATGATCGTCTGCGGTTGGACTTTCAACACATTGACTGCTGGAGGAGATCGACACAGAGCCAATATGAGGCGAGCGGTTCAGAGGATAGTCGGCAGTCAAGACTGGGGATTCAAAAGTGGCCTTCAGAATTCAATCTGTCGTCGAATTTGAGGTGGGATTTGCTAGCAAGTGATGATCGACAGGTGGTGGTAACTTACTGGGCGCAGTATTGGTAAATGCACTGCTGCAAACGCCAATCCCGAACCTCTTATCTGTGAGCCTATCATCGACGTCTCATGCTGGGATAGCTGACCATTAGGCTGACTAGAGACTGAGCTTCCCGAGACTCTTTGGTTCTGCCGAACAGGAGGGAGCTATTGGTGATTCTCTTTGATGAAACACGGGTGCCAATCAAGACAGGAGCGACATTGACGACGCATTTCTCACGGGCCTCTGCCCCCGACTTCGTATTTGGCGGCCGCAAGCATCACCTGAACCAACTAACGGACCGAGGTCTAGTTAGTGGAAGAATTACTCGCAACCCCATAGGTGCCCAATGCAGCCTATGCTACTGTAGGCTGTTTGCTGACAAGCTATGGAGTATGTAGCGATCCATTGTACGATGCGTCTGGGCACTGAGTAGCCAGCAAGGATCCCTGGTCGTCCCACACTGAACCCGCTGTACCCCGGCCCCGACCACCCGCAGCAGCGTTCAGGGCATCAGCGATTAGTTGACTGCTTAGGCTGGTGAGGCACTGCTACTGCGTACTCCTTGCTGTGCAGTTCAGTCCCATCCCCCAAATTGGTGGTTGGCCTCTCTACAATGCTTCTCTATGCAAAAATTCCTCAAGAACCAGCAGCCGCTGTTGAGTCTACGGGGTCAGACGCATCTCTTCGGTCTAGTTGTTCTCATCAATACCCGGTTGCAGGCATAGGTTTATTTGGTCCACGCAGCGGCTAGAGAGTAGCTGAACAGCCACCATGCCGACATTCTCACGGACACCGAGGAGTAGAGGTTGTACACAGTGTATACAACGCCACGTGAAGGTCAGCCAGGGACATCCCCCCCCCTTCTTACCAGGACATCATTGACAGATATTGCATCTTCAGTGCGACGGAAGACCAGAGTATTGCAGACAATGTGCCCGCTTTGGACTCCCTTGTTCGGGCCCCATCCAAGGGCCCATCATACTCGACATGTCTGCCAAAGCCAGTCGTCCACACAAGAAACGGCGAGCAAAATCTAGCGGCCTGAGTGAGAAATCGATGGGGCTCCTTGCTTCCACGGACGATAGGAATACTGTTATACTAACAGAGGCCAGCGACGCGAGTCCTTTCACCGAGGATGATCTCTCAATGGCCTCGAGCACGTCGCCTCAAGCTTGGGGTATGGATATTGCTGCACAGGAAAATCCTTCACAAGATCAAAGCCTTTCACTGGTCATTATGGACGTACCGGACAACAGCAACTTCTTCGAACAATGTTTCGTGGAAAGATTTGTCGAACAAAGCACGAGTTCGAGGCTGGGAGTGAATCCGAACCGACCGAGATCATGGGTATTTGCCCTTCCAAGCTTGCTATCAAACACCCAGACACCCTCTGTCAGATTCTCCATTCGAGCCGCCAGCTTGATATACTTTGCGGTTGTCCAGGACAACAAGACCGCCGAGCTTGAGGCTGTGCGTTGGTATCTTGCCGGTCTCGAGAGCCACCGTGGATTTATACAAGGCTGCACCGGCACTGGTACAAAACTATTAACACACGAGCCAACTTCAAGCAGCGCGGACATATCTGTGCCAATGATGTTTCTCTATTTTGAGACGATGAGACGGACGTCTCTTGACGCCTGGGCTCACCATATTGCGGCGGCCGTTAGCATAGTCGAAACTCGAGGGCCGGATCATTACCGTGTCGGTCAGGATCATGCCATGTTTAGATCACTTCGCACGTATGCGGTACGTATGCTCACCAGAAGAAAGACTTATCCAGCCGAGCTACTTCTAACGGTCCTCACAGGCTTTTAAAGCCCTCCTCAAAAACGACCCCTGCAGCTTCGCTTCACAAGAATGGTGTGAAGAACCATTCAAAGATAGTACCAAGATCGCCTACGAGTATCTGATTGATATCCTCCTCTCCGTTCCTTACCACCTGAAGCTCACCTTGGCACCTGGTGGCGACTTTCGGGATTCCATCCACAGGATAGCAGACCTCGACGACTCGGACCGGCAAACGCTGGAAAGGGAGACGCTTGTTATCCTACAGCGCCTGCAGACGTTGTGGTGGCATTTCGCGCACGACACCGGCTTCGGTGTTGCGCAGCTTCATGCAGACCTGACAGACGATACCGCCGTCGTCGATTCACTCACGATTCCACCTACTTGGCAGTGCGTGTTTCCCGACACCCTAACTGCCAAGACGGTCTCGCTGTACAACTCCATGATGGTCGTACTCTATTCTGTGCTGATGTCTCTCGAAGAGTGCAAACCATCGTCCTATCAGGGCCTGTCGCCCATTCAGCGTTACCGATCCGTGATCGATTACCACTCATCTTCGGTGCTGGTGGCCGCGTCGTATCAGAACTGGCGCCATCCTTACTGTGGCGATGCACTGCGGACGGGGTTCTCTCTGAAGATCGTGTCGTGGCTGGGTACAGACGAAACGCACAGGGCGGAGGCACACAGAATGATGGCTTTGTGGGGGATGGAGAGTGAAATTGTGGGAGGATGAGACTTTTTGGATCCGCAAGACCAGTGTTATCTGGATCTCATCCCGTGGAATGTCCATGTCTTTCGTTGGGACATCTACGAGACGGGCAGTACGAATACCGCCGGACTACCTCAAGCCATGTACATATATATATCATGCTCATGTCCATGTGTCTATGGGAACCGGCTACCGAACAAATCATGTTTCTTTCCCCTCTTTCTTCTCAAGTTCTTGCCCGGAGATCCTCTTCGGCTTGGACGAGCCAGCCACCGATGAATTTTTGAATCTCCTCATTGTTGGCCTCGATGGCCATCAAGTGGCCATTCCCCCTGATGCCCCTTTCGGCGAGGTAGACGTGCTCGACGGGGACGCCGGCGTCTCGGAGGAAGTCGGCCATGAGGTGGTCGTAGCTTGTATGGTATGAGGCCTCGGCGGTGACGAGGAGGACCGGGATAGCGGCGAGGTTGGGCAGCTGTCTGGGCGGGTCTTTCTGGCGACATCCGCGCACCCTCGCCCGGTCAACGTCGTCGGTCTTGGGGGAGTTCGAGGAGGACGGTTTCTCGTAGCTGAGCTGCGTGGGGTCCTCGGGCAACGCGGGCGAGAAGTGCAGTGGCGTTGACGTGATGCCGAACGGATGCAGTAACGTGCCGACCAGCTGAGGCCGTCCGTTGAATGGCGCGATGTCCGGACATTCGAACGGCGGGCCGTGCGGCTCCAGCGCGACAATCCCCCTGATCAGCTCCGGGCACTCGTCTGCAATGTGCCAGCCCAGCGGGCCCGACTGGGAGTGTGTGACAAGGTACGCCGGGCCGGTTTTGGCGAGGAGAGCGCGCGCGGCCTGGCGCACAAGGGGTTCCATCACTTTGTAGTTTGCATTGTGCCCGACCTGGCTGGCGTAGAAGGCGTCGAAGAGCGCATCGCCCCTCTTCCCTGTGCCCGGCCACTGCGTGTGTAGCTTGGACGAGGGCCAGGCGCCGGGCCCCGGCGCGGTAAAGGCAGATTGTAGCTCTTCGACGGTGTAGTGTTTCAGCGGGCCCATGTCGACGCTGTGGTACTGTGACCGGCCTACGCCGACGAGGTCGACGACGTAGCAGTTCCATCCGTCCTGCGCCTGCAGCAGCGCCAACCCCGGCCTCCCATCCGGCGTGACTTCGAAGTGCGTCCCCGTCTGCGCGGCGCCGTGGATGAAGATGACCGCCGGGCGGCGACGAGAGGCGTCGGCTTGTTCTGCTTCAAGACCATCGCCACCACCATAATGCCGCACGCACATCTGTCCGCTCATGTGCGTCCCTTCGTTGTCCCGTATATACTCTCCCCCGACATAAAAGACGGGCGGGATTGTCCATTTCATCTGTTGCGGCGTCGGCCGCATGATGAACAAGGTTGGGAGAGTGTTTTTGTCCTCAAAATGGAAAAGGGTCAAGTGCATGCAATAAGTCCTCACACCTGGCTCGCATACCTTCCTGCTTCTGCTTTTATGACCAACACAACCCTTTCTTTCTGGTCGGACGTGGTAATCACGGATAAACCGCTTGGAGCGACCCCCAGCGACCAGTTCGTCCTCGTGGCGCCTCGACTCTTTTCCGCTACAGAGCCCACCGCAACGCTGGGGTACTTGCAATGCTTGCCACGACACCTGCCAGGGTGAGAGAGCATTGCCATAACCTCGAGAGTCCCCCCCATAACCCGAGAGCAATATCTGCGGCGACTGGAGCAATGATAACGGCAACTTGATGCCGAGCCCACTTGAGATGCAATCCAGCAACAGGAACCACCCCAGTTCGCCAAAAAGGGTAACTCTCACGACTGCTGCATATCATGGTCGCTTGAGGCGCGTTTCTCTCCCGCTTGTCAATTCCGCCGTGCCGAGGTTGATAGCGGTGGTGCTTTGAGTTTCCTTCTGGGGCAAAAGTTTCGAAAGGGACGCGAAACCTTTTGGAGGGATGTTCTGTGTACCCAGTATACGGTATGGCATTCCCAATGTGGAGGCGACAAACTCGTTCCAGGCCGGATGGGTACGCTTTCAACATAGATAGCTGCTGTTCGGCCGCTTAAGACTAGCAAGGAGCCCATGCTGGACCAAAAGGATCGGACCAAAAAGCTGCAACGCAAGGGAAGTGGATGAATTAACAAGAGAAATGAAGTTCCGAAGCAGACTGCATGTGATATTAAGCGAGAGAATCTTGACATCGACATTTATTCAACTAGCCAGATCTAGCAACGGGTTACGATTTGACATGGCCATCCTGTGTAAGGCCTCCCGTTGGGAATATAGAGTCTCCGCGAGGGACTGACAAGAGCTACTATGACGGTATCCGGATGACTCCCACCCCGTCCTCAATCGAAATCTTGGTCCCAAAGGGCCTTGAATATTCCACCATCTGCTCGAGAATGCTCTGGGCCAGTTCTGGCGATGGTCGGCGTGGCGTGCCCACCTCTGACCCTGGCCGATTCAACCCAAGATCAGCAGGGTAGAGGAGCACCTGAACCAGTTTCCCGCTCTCGTAGCTGTTGGCGGCCAGGATGGCCTCCAAGTTTTCGGGCCTCTGCAGCCACGCCCAACGGGACTCGTTCGTCTCTCCGTCACCGATGACGGGGCCCGTCAAGGTCACCGGTTGTCGCTCGGCGTCGTCGCGCCAGGAGCGGAATCTCTGGTTCTGAAACACGAAATTGTTGATCCCATAGAAGATGGGTTTTCCTTTGTATATCTCGACGCCCCTCAGTGTGTGGACGCCGTGGGCGAAGAACAGGTCGGCGCCGTTGTCGATGACCTCGTGCGCGAGCTTGATCTGGTAGTCGGCCGGGTAGTGGTCGAACGAGTATCTCTGGAACGAGTACCGGTTCTGGTGCCAGTGGATCGTGAAGGCCTCGAAGTCCGAGAATTGCTTTCCCGATCGGACTTCGCGCAGGATCTCCCGCTCGTCAACCTCGTTCATGTCGTACGAGTACTCTCCGGGGCCTGGGGTTACCTTGAAGTGCACGTCAAAGGCGTCCAGGGTTGGGCCACTGCCCTCGTCGCCTGCTATCTTGCGAAGCTGAGCCATTTGGGCCTCTGTGACACCTTGATAGACCTTTAGCCTCAACGAGTTGTTTTTCGAGGTAATGGGCCCTTTGGAGTTCAAATGGTGCTCCAGCCGCTTTTTGATGGAAGCGACCTCGTCCATGGCCGCGTCGACATCTGCGAGTTGGAAAACTCGGCCGAAGAGCAGTAGGCTGCCCTCTGGACGAGCTGAATCCTTGTCAATGGGATTGGGAACCTCTTTTCCCCTTTCGTAGAGAGACTCCTCCATCGCATGCAATTGTTCAAGCTGCTCTTTATTGACGAAGATCGGGTCTCCGCGCGGCAAGCCGTATATTTGAGAATAGTCCTCGACCTCGGCGTAGGCGCCGACGAAACCAACTGTCCCTTTCGGGAGGGCACGAAATCGAGCCAATCTAGCCTCGGTGAGATTGTAGTCGGTGCCCACATAGTCGATGCCCACGCGACGAAGCTGCTCAAAGTTCTGGATCAAGCCGGCCTCCCCGTTGTCGAAGGTGTGGTTGTTTGCCTTAGACACCATGGCGATGCCCATCGAAGCCCAGTCATCCGCAATCTCGGCAGGGGCTTCCATGTGAGAGATGGGCCCGCGGAACGTCAGTCGGTCGACGATTGTGTTTTCGTTGTTGGCCAGCGTGATATCCGCCTTCCGCATCACTTCGACGAGTGCCTGAATGTCTGGATCATCGCGGTTCGCAAAGGGCATCATCTGGATCAGATCACCGACGACCGCGACTGTGAATGGCTTCATGATGCGCATGGCCAGCTCGGCTTCCTTATCTCGGAAACATCGAGGAGGTCTCATTGACAGGGCGTTCGGCATCTTGATGGCTGATCGCGGAATTGACTTCCTCGCCGTTGAAACTGCCTAGGTAGAAACAGCGCGGCGATTCGGCGTGCGTGTCGAGTGATCGTTGCCAGATATCACACTCCTTGAGGTCGAAGCAGTCGCTCCCTCACGTCGCGCCATCCTGCACAAATATATAGACCCTGCTATCGAGCGACTTGCAGGTCATTGCATCCACAAATTTCGCAGTCTGACCTGCCAGTCGGAGCGCCCTCTGCTCCGTGTTGTGCCGTCCCTCCGTTCGCGGAGACCCTGACGCCTGTGCCGGCTTGCCAGTTGGGAGGGTCTAAATAGACAATGTCGGAGATTCCGACTCTGAGACAGGGCGTTCCGCCTGCTCCGTTTCTGAATAATTGTTTGCACGACTATGAAGCTTTGAGAGTCTGGTCAAAACGACATGCTGGTGACCTGGCGCTAACATTAAGTTCCCCATATCATGCGGGTGTCGTGGAAAATGCCATTTTGGGTCTAGTCAAGGTGGATTCCGAAGCCGGAACGGGAAATGTGTGAGACGCCTGCATCACGATTAGCATGGGCAAGTGAGCAAGCATGGGCCGATCCATGGCAACGGCAGCAGCCAATTCCAAGGCTAGGCAAGACGAAAAAGCTCTGCTGGCCAGCCAGACCGTCCAGCCACGTGCCGCTGCTCTCCACGCGCTGCTTGCATTCCGCCAGAATACGAGGCGCTTGTTCCGCCAACTTGAATTTCCGGGGAATCTGGGGGATTGGCGAAGGAAAAATGGGAAAATGGGAGCATAAAAAGGCCCCTGTTCCACCTGCAAGTATCTCAATGTTTGAAAAAGAGATACCAACAGGAACGGCAGCAGCAACAACGACAACGCCATTCAATCCTTCACCTTTTTGGACGAATCAATCCCTCGGCCGAGTCGCTGCCTCGTGGTTGCCGTGCCGTCGTGCTGTGTGGGGGTGTGTATATGAAAGCAAGGTGACACCGCATAGGGAACTGCCTTGACTCGAGCAACAAAACAATGGCTTTGTCGGTGGAGATGGAGAAGCTGGAAGGCAAGGAGGAGATCCGCGTCGAGCAATGCGTGGCCGACGATCCCAAGGAGGTCTATGGCTTCGTGTACGAGGACCCGAAGACGGTGCCCAAGAAGTCTCCAGAAGAGCGCAGGCTCCTCCTCAAAGCTGATCTGTTGATCGTCGGCATGACCTCGTTGGTGTTCCTAGTGAATCAGTGGGTGAGTCGTACCATACGTGCCTGTTGGGTACATACATACCATGCCCTGCCCTGCCCTGCCCTGCCATAAAGGCACATAATGGCACACTACTGCTCCCCAGTACCATGGCGAAGACCTTTTTAATTGACGACGAAGAACAGGATCGAGGGAACATTGGCAATGCCCGCGTCATGGGCTTCCAGGAGGACTTGCACATCAGCAATGGACAGTTCTATAACGCCATCTCCCTCTACTGTCTGCCTCTCTGTCTCACCCTTCCTCTCTGTATGATAGTTTGACGGGCGAATTGCTGACCATTGTAAACTAGATGTCGGATACATCCTCTCCATCCTGCCCGCGAGCTTGTCTGTCCGCTTCCTCAAACCGCACAGACAGATCGGCGGCTGTGTCATTCTCTTCGCCACGCTTTCGTGCTGCATGGCCGCTGCAAAAAACGCCGGCACAGTCCTGGCCCTGCGCATCATCTTCGGGTTTGCTTCGGCTTTTCTTCAAGCTTTGACGCTGTATATCAGCATGTGGTACAAACGGAATGAAATGGCAACACGAACTGGTGTGTTTTCTTCGTTTTTGTTCCCTTCACAATCTTCGTTCGTTCGGTCGGGGCATGCCATCTAAAGTTGAGATGTAGGCATCTTCTATTCCGCCGCCACCATTGCTGGAGGCTTCAGCGGTCTCATCGCCTACGCGATCCAAAAGAACCTTGATGGCGCCCTCGGCAAACCCTCGTGGTACTGGCTATTCATCATCGAAGGCGTCGCTGGTATCATCGTCGGTCTGGCCTGCTGGATTCTTTTGCCGCCATCCCCAGACCAGTTAAAGAAAAACCACTGGATCTTCAGCAATAAGGAAATCGAGCTTGCCATCAGCCGAATGCAGACGTACAACGTCGCGCATGCAGGCTTCACATGGAAGCAGATGTGGATTGCTCTGAAAGACCCCAAGACGGTTCCCTTCTGGTTCATAAGCGCGGGGATCTCCCTCGCGTTGGCTTCGATTAGTGCCTTCTTGCCCAGCTTCATAGCTGAGTTTGGTTACTCCCATGGTAAGTTTGACCAACCGTGCAATCTTCCCAAAATTTCCTGTGCGGTGTTGACATACCTTCAGTCCAAACGCAGCTTTTTTCAATCATCCCATATGCTTGTGCTTTCGTCACCTTGATTGTGGTCAACGTCGCCTCCGACCGGCTCAACCTCAAAGGAGTATTCCTGATGGGTCTCCTGTGTACCAGCATTATTGGATACGTCATCCTGATCGCTGTGCACAATGTCAAGGTGAAGATATTTGCGACATGTTTGATTACTATGGGCACTTTCCCTGGTGTGACGCTTATGGGAGCTTGGATGAATATCAACACCGGTGGCTTCACCAAACGCGCCACCACCTGGGGCACGGCCGAGATTGTTGGCCAGTGCTTTGCCATCCTCGGATCCCATATCTACACCGATCCCCCACAATACGTCAAGGGCCACTCGATCGCACTAGCCTTCCAGCTCCTTGCACTTTTGTCGGCTGTTTTCAACTGGTTCTGGATGCGGTGGCTCAACCAGAAGAAGGAAAAGGAGGCGTTCGAACACGCAGAAGCCGGGACGACGGACCCCAACCTCCACAAGACGCTTGAGGACATCCAGGACTATCATCCCTCATTCAGATATATACTGTAACGTCTACACCCGATGAGGCTGGATATACACAGGGCTATAGGGTTGTTTTTCGGGGGGAAAGGCTGACTGTGCTGCTATGTACATACCTTCGATCAGTGTGATCTGCCATCTCGATGGATCCAAGACGCCCATCACCATGAACCCGGAATATGGCAAGACAGTCTTTGCTCCGCAGCAGCCTACACCGCATATGCATGTTTGATTGAAGCTGTGATTATCGCCTGTGTTCATCAGTGGTGTGGGAGATGCTTGGGGAGGCGTGATGTGAGAGAATAAGAGAAGTAACGAGGATTCGCGAGAGATTGATGATGCCGCACATGCTTTGGGGATTCAGAAGCTGAGAGTGCGTCGAAATCTCATGATAGATCTGACCATTGACCATGGCGCTATAAAGGCCTCGATGGGCCTGAAAGAAGATGTGGACATGCAGGATCCCAAATTGAAGTGGAAGCTAAAAATCGAGGCTGTGCCAAGAATGATGTCATGTGGTTTCAATTACGCGTCGTTACAGCACTCGGAGTTCCAATACTTCGCCGTAGCGTCCTGTGTACTCCCAAAACTGTGGGACACTTTGACACTCCTCTGCACTCATCCACCTCCCTGCCCAGCATGGTAAATTCGAATTCAAGCATGTCGAGATGATGTCCCTCAGCCTATCTGTGACCAAGAATAAGTCCCCAGTTTGGAGCTGAGCTGGTGCAAACTTCATTATGCACCAAGGAAATTGGAAATGAGGGGAAGCGAGCGAAGCCCCAGCGGTTCCGCATGATCAAAAGCCAATCATCCGATGCTGCACTAAGTAAAGAACACGGGTGGTGTGAGAAACATGCGACCCAATAGGGCCTGGTAAGCAAAATGTCCCCCCGGCATTAAATCTGAACAACGAGGCTTTCCTCTTCACCGAAGCTTTCATATATTTGGCACTTCCCCCTCTCCAGGCCTGACGAGATAGAAAGCCCCGTGCTCGATTGAGGATGCTTGCCACCGTCGTGCGAAGCAGTGCCATTGGAACACTCAGAACACTTAAAACAGCTCCAAGATTCCGATACATGTCCACGATGATGAAAGCACTAGTCTACAACGGCCCGGGCAAGTGCGGCCTGGAGGATCGTCCTATCCCCAAGATCCAGGAAGCTTCAGATGCGATAGTGAAAGGTGAAGTCTCAACTTCTGATCATGAATTACATGGCGGCTGACTTTGCTCACAGTGGTCTATACAACAATCTGTGGGACAGACACGCACATCCTGAAGGGAGACGTGCCGACATGTACACCAGGTCGCATCTTAGGACATGAAGGTCGGCGGACCTCAGACTGTGAGAATTTCCCAGTGGCTGACGAAGGCAGGTGTTGGCGTTGTTGAGGAGCCAGGCGCTGGAGTTTCCCGGTTCAAGAAAGGAGATCGCGTCCTCATCAACTGCATTTCCAGCTGTGCAACCTGTAACTACTGCCGAAGAGGGATGCCCAGCCACTGCGTAAGTGCAGGATGGATCCTCGGGAACACGATCGACGGGACTCAGGCCGAATACGTTCGAATCCCGTACGCCGACAGTGGTCTACACCACGTTCCCAAAGGAGTCGACGAGAAGGCGCTTGTCATGTTGTCCGACATTTTCCCTACGGGACTTGAATGCGGGGTGCAGAATGGCAAAGTTCAGCCCGGCTCGACAGTCGCCATCGTTGGCGCGGGTCCCGTGGGCCTTGCAGCACTGATGACCGCCAGGCTCTACTCACCCAGTTTGATCATCATGATCGACCGGGATCCCAACCGTCTCAAAGTCGCAAAGTGGTTCGGGGCTCATCACACTGTGAACAGTGCAGAAGCATCGCCTCTGGAAACTGTCATGAGTCTTACGGACAACGTCGGTTGCGACACTGTGATGGAAGCCGTCGGCATCCCCGAGACACTGGAACTGGCGCAAGATCTTGTCGCGCCGGGCGGGACCATTGCAAACATTGGCGTGCACGGCAAGAGCTGTGAGCTGAAGATCGAGAAGTTGTGGGTCCACAACATCTCGCTGACTACGAGATTGGTCGACACCGTTACCACGCCCATGTTGTTGAAGCTGTTCGCGGCGGGAAGCATCAATCCTGGACAGTTGATTACACACGAGTTCCCGTTCACGGAGATGATGAAGGCATACACCACGTTCAAAGCTGCTGCTGAGCACGACGCGTTGAAGATGCTGATTACGATGTAAATACAGGTGTGAGGATTGGCTGCGACGTGCTTTCAGAACGCGTTTGAAAAGCGTAACGGTTGTGTTCTTTGCAGAGGGGTTCATTGGACATGGTATATCATGTTCGCCACATGCCCACAGCTCATGGATTCGATATCAAGTCTTAAAATCCCAGTCCCTTGACGTCAGGATCTCCCATCAGGGCGCTTTTGACTTCTTCCTCTCCTACTCGCAATCTGACCTTTCCTGCTCTTTCACCTCTACTCCTCAATTCCATAGCGATCACGCCCGCCTCTACCAGCGCCATTGCTGCCCCTCCCAAGGCAAGAATCCGGGGCATGACGGAGACAGAAGCGTTCTTTCCAGATACGCCGTCGTCCGCAAGCAGGAAGTCATGGATCGTATTATTTTCGGCGACATCAGCTATCCGCTTCGCTTCGACGACGATGTCCCCCATCGTGGACTCTGCGATGCCCGTGCGTCGACTGCGTGCAGATATCGCCGCAAGGAGGAGTTTTGCGGCGAGCGGTAAGGATCGCAGGTGCTGCGCAACTGGAGAGGACGTGGCTTCGTTAATGGCTTGTTTGATCGTCGCGATCGTCACCCTTGCTAGTCGTTTCGGAGGCTCTTCTTCCTCTCCAGCGCCGTTGCCCTTGTCCTTCGCAATGTGCCTGCCTCTACGAGTAGGTGTGGTTGCTGGGGTGTCGTCGCCGTTGCCGGCATCCACAATCGACGCGCTCTGCTTTTCCTGAGATTGCTCTGCGATTTCCACCGCTCGACGGCAGATGTCGAGCGCCCGTCTGGCATCGCCGGACACGGCTGCGACTTTCCGGCTCGCGAATTGTACAGCGTCTTTGTCGACGATGTTGCCGGGGACCCCTTCTAGCCTCGAGGATATGATCTCCATTAGTTGTGTATGTGTGTAGCCCGGAAACGTTATCCTCGTCAGCCCAAGTCTCGAGCTAATTTTGTTGGACAGCGTCCGCTCTGGTAAGTCCATGGTGTTGGCAACCGCCAGGACGATCAGTCTAGAATGCCGCATGGCCGGCCAGTTGAAGAAGTTGTACATGACACTTTGATTTTTTGTCACAAGCTGATCAAGCTCATCCATGAGCACGACGCAGGGAATGCGGCGTGGCGAGGGATGCGAGAATTCTTGCTCTAGAAGGCTCAAAGCATGATGCGGACTGACTCGGTCGCCCTTAAGCGCCTCCCACAGGAGTGAGTACGATTGATGCGGTTCTGTGACTTTCATACCGTTGATTTCGACAAAGTTGAAGTCGTCGAGTTCTTCGTTCGAGACTGCCTCGTGGAGAGATGCGACCACTTCCCGGACTGTGGCGGTCTTCCCGGTACCTGGTGTCCCCGAGATGTAGATGCATGCGCCGGAGCCGTCCACAATGGCGGAGTAGAGATGAGAATAGACGGTGTGAAATTCTTTGGAGCGGCAGGGGAGGGATGTCGGAACGGCAGAAACATGGAGGGTTGCGCGTGCGTGCGAATAAGGCGTCGACATATACTGCGAAGGAGAACGCACTCGAGTTCCTAAGGGGGTGATTTCAATAGGCTTCTTGATCATGATCCGCTTGTGAGTCGGCGTGCTGTATTTGGAAGCCTTTACCGAGGACTTTGGGGTCGAAATTGTTGCGGTCGTCTTCCTTCTCTTGTGAGGCGTTCGGGGCTCATCGTCGATTTCCTCTTTTTGATGGACATATTCAACGTCCTCCGATTTCAGAGTTTGCTTCTTCCGACTCTTCGTCTGCTCTTTGATCCAGTCAATCAGGTCCAAGAGATCTTCGGGACCTCTGTAGATCTCTTCCCACACGAAATCCTCGGTGAACCGTACGGTTCTCTGTTTGACCCCTCGCCGACACAGAATGGTCTTAGCATATCGATTAGCAGCCGACTTGGACTTCGGTGGGTCCCCGCCGGGATATTTCTGGAAGAAGGCCTCCTTTGACAGGACCGTTGCCTTTCCATTGATAGCAGTCAAGGGGTTCATGTTGAAGTCTGCGGTGATGTAGGATTCGTTGGGCAAGACATCGCCCGAAATTTTGGAGCGTTTTCCGAACATCAACTCTTCCGGTGTGCAGAACCATTGGATGCAGACACACATCTCGTCATCCCCGTCTTCGTTGGTTTCTGAGAACGAGCACGCAAGTCCGACCCAATCCTTGCCTTGCTCGGGAGACTTCAGCAACACCGAGTCCCCTATCCGCACCGAGAAGGCACCCATCCGCGCTCCAACTATGGCTGTCCTTTTCGGATTAAGAGCATTCGCTTTCCGCTTCCTTGAGGATATTGTCTCGTCGCCCTGGGGCTCACTCTGGTCTTCATCTTCATAAATCCATTGCCAGGGATGATCTTCATATCCGAGTTCATCGTCGGAATCTTCGCGTCGGAGGCCCCCTGTGGTTGAGTATCTCTTCTGCTTAGGCATTGGCGAGAGGCGCAAAGCTGTCGACTGCAAGATCCCTTCCTCGGAATGTTATTGCTTGTATCCTAGGTTCGCTGTCCGATGACTTGTGCGCAATCTAGGGGCTAGTCCACGGAGGCAAAACGCGTTAACGCGTCAGCGCGTCTCTATCGTGTTAGGAAATCAGCAGTACTAAAAGCGCTAGCTATAAAAGGTTAGGCTTTCTTGGCATGGCTACCGCGATGATTCGCCAGCGACCGTCTTCCACAGTCGTCGTTCTTTCATCTTCGTTCACTTCACTTTCAAAGGGACGTTGATGACAAGGAAGAGATTCGACTGCTCTCGCGGAACTCTCCTCTCTAATCGTTTGACAGTCATTGTCACCATCGACCTTCTATGCTAACTACGGTTGAAACTCAAGAGCTCACAGTGACCGTCTTGGACCATCAGGCTAGATCTGCAAAATCAGATATGCAAAACAACGTCTACAACTGACCGCCTCCTTGATGATCTGACGTCCTGTGGCTGCTGCCTGACGGCTTGTGTCGTACCAGATCTGATCCCAGGAGTGGCCCGGCTTTGTGTCTTGGGACAGGCGGGTAAGACTCTGTTGTTTGCTCTATGCCATTCGCCTTGTCACAGCTAGATCCACGGTATAAAGTCCTGAAGGAAGAAGAGTGCCCGGAGCTTAGAACTTTGCAGGTTTGTCACGTGGTCGTTTGGACGATTTATTCGCTTTACCGCCGCCTCTTCTGATTGTTTGAGAAGGCACTCCCTTGATTTCTTCACGTGTCTGTCTGCGTCACTGCCGGTTTTCACTATCATCGTCACTTTTGATCATAAAAACCCTTTCTGATCGCTCACGGCCTCGTCGCCTCTGCAGTCTTTGATGAAACACCCAACTACTTTCATGCTCAGAAGCAGCAACAACCGTCGTCATGAGCGAGTGAGGCTTCCCGAACTGGCGCTTTTTGTTTGCGGGAGCTAACTTGTCGACTTAGCCATGAGGGTGAAGGTCTTAACCTTGACAGTACGTTTCTACCTGAACGTCTCGCTTCCAGCCTCCTCTCTGACATGACGATTTGGGATCTGACTTCTTGTAGGATGGGAAGAGGCCAGCTTGCCTGGCGACTCTGTGTTTTCATATGCACGGTCCGATGTGTTCAACCAAGGAATCGTGACTGGTAACAGCAATTTCTATCCGCCGACAGGACCGGGACGCCGCTTTGATCCAAGGAGAGGCCCCCTAAGTCGACCTGTGAATGGTATCCGTCCGGTTGACGTCCGCGCACCGCAGCAAACAGCTCTCTTTAGCCAACCCAGAAGAGATGTTATCCCACCAAGGCAAATTCCCAGAGTCATTGTACCAGCTAAGAGTCCTGCACAAATCCAATGTGACGAGGGTCAACCACCGAATGGCGAATATGAGTTTGCTTCGAATTGGAGACACTTCCGAGCGATGGCGCTGAGGATCGATAGAGCAGCTCAACCACATCCGCTTCAGGTTCTCCGAGAAATCATGGTCAAAAAGGGTTCCTATGTAAGGAAACCGGAGGACGAAGATGTTAAGCTCTTCATCTGGGGTGATCGACATCAGGTGGCAGACACGAAGGTTGCGCTGGCGCAGTGGGAACGTGACGTCCAAGAGTCACTCTCGCAGCCGAAATCAGCTGCTTGGGCTAAATACAAAGCATTAGATGGCCGAGCTGAACATCGAGCTGATCGGCAGAGCCGAGAGAAGGCGTTCGAGCAGGCGTTGCGTAACGCGCAAATTGATTATCCAGTCGAAGCTGCTCTTCTGTGGCCCAAAGACCTGGACATCGAGGAATTTGAAACGGCCAACTCCGAAGCTCTTGATCAAATTGGAGGCAGCTTCCGCTGTCGTATCACCTTTTTAGCATCCAATACTCAGCATGTTTTGATAGGCGCCCAGTCTGAAAAAGACGCTCTCTCCGTCATGTCAAGATTGTCGAATCTGATCAAAGAAACAATCTCTCGCAGAGATCAGCTCCTCGCAGTCAACTTGGTGCATCTCCCGGCCGACGAGACATTCGGAGACCAAGTTGGACTTCTAAACAAAGATCCGCAAAGCGGTACTTTCTTGCCCACCTTGCACGGGAAGCCAGTCGCAGACAGGGAACAATGGGACCAAGAGAGACGTCAAGTACACATCAGCAATCGCAAGAAGATCAAGAAGGCAATTGATTCTTCAATCAAGGGGCTCAGAATCTCACAGCATCACGTGCGCATGAGAGTGGTCTTTGGTGAGTTAGGTTTCATGCTCTTTCAGAGGCCAGCAGAAGGGGCCGAGACATATACGTTTGGTGACTTCTACAACATGGTCACGAAAGGACGAACTACATTGGCTTTGAATGGCCTTGCTATTCGGAAAGGTGACGTTACCGACCTACCAGACGTGTTGAATTCGATGGGAGTCTTCTCGGAATGCACAGAATACTACGGAGCCTTCTTCGACTTCCCAGGGACATCCCAAAACAATATCCTTCGGCTCGAGACCGTCTTCTACCCAAGCGGCGAAAACGACACGGAGAGTCGCGAAAAGCGATGGATTGAGGTGGGCGACAAGGTTTCAAGACTTCAAGTCAGTCTCCTCAATTTTGAGAGACCAGACTATCAAGTCACCCTAGATGCTTTTCCTCTCCACGCGGACAAAGCCACTAAAGTACACATGTCAGCGTTCCAAGCCAATATCACAATGGAACGTCCGCCAAACGGAATCAAGACTCTTCCGCGACGACGAGTCAAGTACCCGCGCGGCCAACGTGGGCTGCAGCGTGTTGCAGAGCTAATCACCCTGAGTTGGAGGTTCAAAAACACCGACGGTGTCTTCGAGCTTCGCCGCAAAGATACCTACGATGAACTACCAGGTCGAGAAAGTCCTGCTCCAGCAGAGATCAAATGGCATGCATTGTACTATTATCCTCACTGGGATAGTTTAATGGGAGAGTATGCAAGCGTCAAGCCTGGAGAGGATATCCACTGGGTCAAGTCTGTGACGACGTTCATCCCTGAAGGTGGAGAGCAGTACGGGCCAGCTTTACCGAAGGGCTTCAAGAACTTCATCAGCGAAGTGGAGGAGATCCAGGATATTTTAGCGGAAGCTATTCGCCGTGTTGTGAAGGGAAAAGGAAAGGCAACGGAGGTTGATGGTTGATAGCCGGTAGGCAAATGAAAGGAAAGAATCGAGTTGGAGAGAGGACCTTGAGAATGAGCGACGGTGAGGACGAAGAGATTTCACCGATATCAGAGGCTGTGGGTGGGCGGTTTCAAGCCTGGCTGACCCAAAAAAGAGTCTCGGCATTTTCTAGGTTGCACCAGTGGGTTCGCTTCCATCGAGGAAGCACTCCTTAGAAGGCAGTCATGGGGTTGACGGACGACCCTCCATAACACCCATGTTATTCCATACGAAAATGTCCTTCTGTTTTCTTTCAAATCTTCCTATAATCTTCAAGATTATCCAGCTCCCTTGGACCCGCTGCCGCCTGTTCCTCCGGCCTGCCGTCCAGCACCAAATTGCATGGGCTGTTCCTCGACCATTTTCCTCCTGAGGGCATCTTCCACGACCTTCAAACTCTCGGTCTTGCCGCCCACGACCTTCTCGATGTCCTGCAGATTCTTGGTCAACTCTTCAACCTTGCCCTGGTAGAACTTTGTTGCGTCTGGGGGTGTCTTTTCCACGAAAAAGCCCGTGCCCACGTCGACCATTACCGTGGGGGATTTCGACGACGTTTGCGAAGAAGATGACGACGAGGAGGAAGAAGTAGAGAGTTTGGGCGCCGCCAGCGTGCCGGGCACGTAGAGGGACATTGTCAGGGGGATGAGCAGGGGCGTCTCTGTACAGAGGCGCCAGTTTCTCGTTAGCATTTTTACTCATTCGAATATCCATGTAATTTTTTTTGGTGGTCTCCCTCTTCTTCTTGCCTATTGGCGCGACAGCGCAGTTGGAGCCTCTCTCGCAAACAACGGCGCGAGAAGGGAAGAAAAGAGAAGCGTAGACAAGCCGAGAGCAACAAAGCCTGTGGGCCCGTGCAAAGAGTGTCTCGGGCAGGAGGGTTGGTACAGTTGTGTGTGCAAAATAAAATAGGGAGAACCCGCTCGTACCTCCACTTCTCCCCTGCACGCCATCCTGTATGCTGCGTATGCAGTCCTTGAAGCGCGATTGCGCGGCGCGCAGTCTCTGGTACGAGGAGCTCAGGTGCTCGAGCTCTTGGGACAGCCGCGCCTGCAGTGCAGAGAGTTGCTGTACGGAGAGTGTGTTGATGTCGACGGGAGTCTGCGCGGATTGAGACATAACTGTTTTCTCTCCTGGACGTAGTTCTCTTCTCGATGATTCTGCTGATGCTCTCTGCGTGGCAGGTTTTGAGCTGCGCTCTGGCTGCGGTCGCAAGGGTGCTCGGAGGGAGAATTAAGTGGTAGTGGTTGCTAAATAGTTTTCGAGCTTCGCGCCGGTTCAGTCGTAGACCGATGGGTCTGTTTTTCCCTCGATTGGAGGCGGGGAAAGTGGGCGCTGCGGGATATGAAGTTCAGCCTTGTGGACAAGGCTGTGAAACCTATCGAACTGTTCCCCTCTCAAAGAATATTTTCCAAAGCTCCTCGGTACTCTGTACTGCATATATATATCTTACATTGATGCGAGTGGGGTATCCTAGACTACAGCATGAGTATGCCTCACTTCTAAAAGTACATCAAAGCTGCTTCAATAGATCATGCACGAGCCCGACGGCATCACTGACGTTCACCTCTTGTTTGACCTTGAGTCTTCGACACTGTACCTCCACCTTCCCTTGCTCAAATCCTTTACCCACAACCACAATGACGGGGTACCCAATGGCATCAGCATCCTTCAACTTCCATCCTATTCCTTGCTCTTGCCTGTCGTCGAGGACGACATCGACGTCACCGAGGCTGGAAGAGGACAGTTGATCGCAAAGCTGCTCAGCAGCGCGTAACCTCTCCGCATGTGACGATTGAACAATGACAACAGCTTCGAAGGGCGCAATCGCTCTTGGCCAATTGAGACCAACGTCATCGGAAAGACATGATGCAACCGCTGCAATCAGACGAGACACGCCGATGCCGTGACAGCCCATCTCCACGGGCAATGCCTCTTTTCCATCACCTTGCCTAGCGACAAGATCGAGTTTGGAACTGTAACGGGTCCCTAGGTGGAAAGTGTGGCCGATCTCGATCGCTTTGTCCACTATCAGTCTGCCGGATTTGCATTCTGGGCAAGAGTCTCCGGATTCCTGCTTCAGCAAGTTTATTCCACCATTGCTGTCGTTCTGCGGAGCCTCAATAACGTAGGCGTCGACGTTGCGACTCATCGGAGGAGAAGCAACAATATGGCTAATTTCATCCAGCCGAAGGCGTGAGTCAAGGACATAGTATATCGATGGTCTTTTTGCAGGGGCATCCGCTGTGCCACTTGCTACGAGCTCCTTGAAACTCTCTGTTGGTCGCTCCAGCCCTGTATCTATTTCCAAGAAACCGTTAAGGGCTGCCTTGACGGCGTGTGCATTGATGGATCGTAATGGAGCTTTGTCTTCGGAGTTGCCGTAGGGGAGTAATGGTACAATAGCACGGACCAAACTCCGACGATCTGTGCTGAGAAAGTTCTCTTCAAGATAGGCTTGGCTAGGGTTGCTATCGGTAGCACCAACTTCAGGTACCTGAAGCGGTTGAGGTGGATACACCGGCTGCGAAACAAATTCTTCATTGCGCGCATAAGAGCATTCCGAACATGTGATCACAATGTCTTCTCCGGCGAAGTTGGGGAAGTGATACTCATGGCTGAGATTTCCTCCCATATCACCTGACACGGCTCTAGCCTCGACGTATTTGATCTTGAGTTCGTCGAGAAAGTTGCGGTATGCGCGTCTTATTTCGTCGTATGTTACGTGAGCATGTTCTGGGGTCGAGTCGAAAGTATAGAGATCTTTCATGAGAAATTCACGGCCCCGAAGTAGTCCGCCACGAGGCCGCTTCTCGTCGCGGTATTTTCGGCCAATCTGGTACAGACGGACAGGGAGCTGCTGTCTTGTCTGGATGATGTCGGAGAGCAAGGTGGTGATCTCTTCTTCGTGAGTAGGCGCTAACAGCCACCCGGTGTCCCTCCGGTCTTTAAACATGAACATTTCACCTCCACGTTTCAGACGTCCTGACTTCTCCCACAGCGCCTGCGAGGAGATAGAGGATAGCGAGACTTTAGACGCTTTGACTGATCTCATATGCTTGTCGATGAGCCGTTCTAGCTTCTCCTGAACTCGCAGTCCAAGGGGCAGCATCTGGAATATGCCAGCATAAGCCTGCCGAAGATAGCCAGCCCGGATCAGCAGTTGAGTAGCGTCTGGAGCGACATCGTGCTTTTGCACGTTGACTGTGGGAATCCAGAAGTCGGATATTCGTTGCCGCGCAGCAGTATGATTGTACCGAACACCAAAGCGGCTCCTTTGAGCAGGACGGGGCGCCACTCTCTTGGCTCTCCAGAACGGAACTGGAAGCTTCATATCTGACTCCTATCCCACTCCGACAGTTCACCCAGGCGCGCTACTGTTATTTCATTGTTGGTAACCCGACATGTTGTCAAGTCGGTGCTAATGACTCGAGGTTTCTGGATGAGGTTTTCTGAGCTCGCAGGTTGCACAGCAGCCTATCAAGCTGCGCTAGCCAAGGAGCTTAATTGCTTGCCAAGCGAACTAAAAAGCTTAACCTTTGGTTCACCTCTGAAATCGTTCACCTTTGAAATAATTGACTGCGAGGCTGGCATAGTTCTTTTCAAATATGGCAGCGGACAGCCATACTAGTCGTGCATTCCTGCAAAGTCGGAAGATGCAATGGATGATAGCTTCATCGGTGCCTATCTATCTACCCGTTCTAGAGACAAAATGGCCGTGAAGATGAGGTATGCTTCCAAAAATCTCAGACGAAATCTCAGAAGAAACCAGTTCCCACTTCCCGCTACATGCTTCATTCATTTGTCCCTTTGTAGATCGGTGGAGTGATACCACCCAGGGATGAGATGGACTCGAATCTGATAGGTTCACCAAATCTTGTCAATTGTTGGCGGCATGGCTCACCCATGGCTTGCCAGCCAAATCCCGTGTGAATCTTGTGCGTGTGTCAGGACTGCAGCAGTTGATGTCCGCCACATTCGACAACCGCTCACATCTTGACGACCTCATAACCCCCGACCTCTCAGCTTCTCAGCGACTTTCCATCAAGATAAAAAATGATTGTCTCTAGGCTCATCATCACCCTACCCGCCTTGTTATTCCCTTTCCTCGCCGCGGCATATCCTGCTACCGTTGGCAAGCAGGACGTTTTCGTCAACAATACCGTCCACTCTGTTGAACCACCTTCGCACATACTCCAAAAGCGATACAAGAACAAATCCTGGGACCCGCCATATAAAGGAAAACCACCCGCCTGGTCCTCACAAGAGGACGCAGCCTTCCCTATCCCCAGCTTTGAGCGTACTTGCGTCACCGACGCCCGCGTCGCCCTCTGGAAATGGCGCTACCTCTGTGACCGGGCGTTCGACGAGTCACTCAAGACGACAAATCCACGCACCCGGATCCAGTTCTGCTTTCATCCCTCTCCCTCCGCGGAACTCTGCTGTGACACGGATGGCAACGCCAAATACGGCCAAACCTGCCTCTCCTCGCCGCTGTGGCCGCAGGACGAACAACAGGCAGCATGGTGCAGCAACAACTGCCGCCTGTCGTTGGGGCCCTGCATCTTCGGGGAGTACGCGGAAATAAACAACCCAGAGAACGTGTGCAAATGCCAGTTCGAGAAATGTTATATACCAGACGAGTTCAACTGGATGGGCATCAATCCCGAGACGGACGGCAGTGGATACCCCGGCCTGAAGGTGGAATCGTATCTACACGAGGTGAAGACCTGGTATGCGCGTGGCCTAGGATCTCACCTGTCACCCGGCGATCACGTTACCAACACCGATCCGGAAGGAGGTTTATGGCTCTGATTCCAAGTTTGTCCTTGAGAGCCGAACTGGCCCTCTACGCTTTCATGGTGCGGCAAAACGAGAGGTTAGGTCGATTTGGTTGGCGATATTGCAGCTACCTAAGCATTCAGGTGTCTCGAGGGAATATCCGCTATAGAAATAGAATGACGCTCATGTAATCAGTATCCTTGGAGGCGGACGATGGCGATAGAGTTAGTAGTATCCCAAGAGATTTCTTTGAATCAGAACCCTACAAATCCACCACACGACATCAACTTTCCCAGGACCCAAAACACAGCGCAAGACGCTGAGCGCATGCCATTCTTGAGACATAGTAGTAACTCACACAGCACGTGCAACCTGGCAGGGCCCTCCACCCAATATCAATGTATATGTACATATATAATTCACACTCGCAAAATGATCTCCAAGAACAGCCTTCGACCTGGGTGAGCCCACTTGTGAGCGAGGATCCATTCCAAACAGGGCAAGCAGTTTCTTCAACCAAAAAACCCCCGGCTGTGCCTTCGCGGGCGCTGGTACTTCGAGTACCAGGTTGCGGCGTTTCTGACCTGGGTTCAGTTTTTGCAATTTTTGTCGGCGGATATATGGGTTGTTATTTGCTTTTCTTTCCTTTTCTTTTCCTTTGACCTTTTTGAGCGCAATACTATTTGATGAGAATATTTGTGTGGGGGTGAGGCAGAAAACTCTGCATTTGCTGTCTGGTCATATTAGCGATGCTCAGAGAGCACCGTCAGCATTGCAAGAATGGCTGGAATGGAGCGGGTCTGGCAGGCCGGTGGACAAATTCTCTGAGATTGGGTGCAAACCCGCACCAGAGTAGTCCAAACAAGATGAATTATGCAAGGAGGCCGATCATCAGCTAAGAATGAGTACTCGAGAGAGAGGTCCCTCGACGACATAGTCGCAATGAAATCCACCGCGACCTCGACGAGGTTGTATATCTCCTTCATGAATGGCTATTAACGCCATTTGAACCATCAATTCGCTCCTTCAACTCACGGTACTCCTCCTGTGCTTCTCTCTCCCTTCTCATCACAAAGTTCGCTTCATCCCTAAGCCTCTCCAACCTCCTTGCCAGCGCACCCTCTTCACCAATCTGCAGGGTCCTAAAGGCATCCAACTGCGCCCTCTGCTCCTCAATTTGTTCATAGACTGTGGCAATCTTCTGCTTGAGGGTCTTTTGCCGCGCTTGATACCCTCCTAAGTGCAAGGATAATTTTTTCTCGAGTTTATTGCCCGCTTCTGCGGCAGAGAGGAGGCCCTGTTGTGCGGACTTGAAAGCAGATAAGTATTCTCCTGCGGTTGTGTTCGCGGTGAATTTGAGTGGCAACGCGTTTCTTTCATTCTCTGAACTGGCAAGGGCTTCCACGGCGGCAACGTAGGCTTGGCGATCCGTCTCGTTTTGTGTATCTTTCAACTGCTGACGAGCTTTCTCGAGAAGTTCGTCAGGCAGGGATACCAACTGCGGAGGTTTGCCAATCACCTTGGAACCAGCAAGAGGAAACTTGCGCGCATCATTTGCCATGAGCAAGGCAGCTTCTCGGGCGATCATTGCTCGGATTGGATCAGTTATGGATGTAGCATCCGAGGCGAGTGCATCGTAGTCGACAGTGGTGGGTCGAGGCAGGGCTCGTTGATAGACTTGAGTCTGTCGTCTGAACTCTGCAGCTGCTGCCGCTTCCCGCGCTTGACGCTCGCGCTCGTCGATTTCATCTTGGTCCTCCCTTTCTAGAGCGGCACCGCCGGTAGCCTCTTCCTGTTCTGATGGCAGCACTTCCAGTTCCCACTCTGTCTCTTTGGGTTTGGGTAGAGAGGCGAGCTTCGCTCTGACTGATTGCCTCGCAGCATTCTCGGCTAATCGTATATCCCGTGGAGTTTGCGCAACAAACTGTCGCTCGCCTCTTTCATTGATTGTCAAATTATCACGGGGAGTGCGCAATGGAGTGGCCCCGGGGAATTGTCCCACAGCTTGCGCTTGACGCAAGGGTGTCGCCATTGGATTAGGAGTGACCATTTGCTGCCTTCGAGGAGCAATCCCCTCAAATCCTGTGGAGCTAATGCCCTCATGCAGCGGAGCATTCTCCCCGCCCAATAGCGATGATTGGGTTTCCGTCAGTGCTCTGATGTTTCTAATTTCATTTGCGATATGGTCTTCTTCCGCAGGCGCTCGAGGAGTTCGAATAGGTGTCGCTCCGATCATATTTGAATAGTTGGAGACCAGCCCTCGTTGGTCTTCGTCCTCTTGCCCGGCTGCTTTCACAGCCCGATAACCCGCCATGCCTATCTTGATGATTTCTTCCAGCTCGCTCTCGCTGACTTGAGGCGCAGGCAGGTTCAAGGCTCTTCGCTTGCTTTGTTGCTCAGCTTCCCGTAGTCGTTGCATTTGGCCAGCTCTCGCTGCAGCTGCTGCCATTGCAGACGAAGATTTATCTTTGTCTTGTTTCTGCCGTTTGGTATCGACAATATCTTCAGAATCCCCTTGTCTCTTTCGTGCTAGCTGCTGTTTGCGGGGGTCGAACATTTGCCGTTCGCGCTCATTCTTGGCCAGCTCCTCCTGCGTATCGTGGAAGCCCGGCGCAGCCTGCTTTTCAAATGGAATGTCTGCGTTGTAATCCATCTGACCCTTCTTGTGGGTGGTGACCTTGATATTAATGCCGGCATTTTTTAGCTCTCGCCGCTTCTGCAGCACGGCAAGCCTCCGTGATTCCTCGAGTTGTCGCTCGCGTGCTTTGCGCTTCGCTTTCTTCCCTTGTGTGTTCGCCAGCCGGGCGCGAGCCTCACTGAGCATTTCTTTCTCATCTTCGTCAAGGTCGATGGTGTCCGGTCGCGCAGGCTTGGATTCTGGGTCGGGGTCAAGTTCGCCGGGACGCAGTCTTCGAACCTGATCGCCTGTCGGTGCTGCGGTTTCTCCACCTTCTGGGCCTCCAAGGCCCAACTCATCGTTCTCGCGGGCCTCCGCTTCGTCGAGGAGCTTCTGGTAGCGTTCGAGGCACTGAGTAGCGGTTCTTCCAACAATAGGCGCAATTGTCCGCCATTGCGTGGGCATCAACTTTGCTAGATGTAACAACTTCTCATCCTCTTCTTTGGACCATTCGATCTTGCGAATGCCCGGGTCCAGCCATTCTGTCCATCTCGCCTTGCACTGTTTCGGGGTTTTCCGCGCTAGTAGCGACGAAACTCGAGCCCACTGGTTCAGTCCATATTTTGAGACAGATGCTTTGAGGATTTCATCTTCAATGTTGGTCCAAACACCTCCTTTGACGACTGGCATCTTGCCGCCGTGTATGTCGCCGCAGTGGGTAAGGACAGTGCTGGATCAACTGCGCGAGGTGGAATTTGCAGAACTTTGGCGCAGGCAACTTTGATGGAGGGTGCAGACGGAGGTGTACAACACCCGCTTTTAGCGTAGATCCATTTGTAGTTTAGCGCTGTCATTATAGTCTTGGCAATAGTTTTGAATATTACATTTCCGCCCCCAAATTTCACTTTTCCTTCTCTACTCATCACCACCACCGTCACCACCACCACCACGCCGCCGCCGCCGTCGCTCGGTAAGTGATTTCCTATTTATAGCCCTTTCGAAGCCTCATATCATCTATTTCTCAGCTCAAAATGAGTCTGGTTTGTATATTTTAGCCCAAAAATAGTGGTGCACGCTAAAAGCGGGTGTTGTACACCTCCGTGTGTAGTCTCGCTCTGATGTTCGAGCATCTCGAGAAAATAGTGGAGTCAAGCTTCGGATCGGAAGAACTTGGTGCCGACATAAAACACAGCCACGAAGCATCTTCACCACCTTGCCATCCTGGCCATCCAATCTCACCTCCAGGCCGTTCATTTATGGCTTTATTCTTATAAATCTGGCTGCATCTACTCCTTCGTATACTCACCGAATTGACATGCAGACCCGTCCTGGCCTTCAGCCTAATGCAGCATGCACGCTCCTTTCCGAGGGCGACTTGGCTCTCCAGCCCAATCACTTCTGCTCACTTCAACCATGGTTTCCTTGGTTCTCGTGAAAGAGTCTCATGAGCTGAATGCCAAATCTTGATATACGGGAGCTCACGGGGCTGGAAATGGGCAACCTGAGGTTGCCAAGGTGGGCTATTTTCCCTTCCCTATGCTACTTTGCTCTCGTTTTGTTTTGAATCGCAGCCACCAGACAATGGGTGAAACATCTCTTCTGGCCTCTCAAAACTATAGCAATGATCTTTCGAAGCAGTTTAAACCATTATCCGGAGTGGTTACTTTGCCTCCGAGTACAGCACTTCCCTGCTGCTGGATAGAGACGCAGGATCCGTCAGGCTCGGGCAGGCTTTTTTTACCGCAATCCTGCAACGGGTCAAAGATCGTGGACGAAGCCACTTGTGCGAGTCCTTCCGCCTGGCTGGATAAAATCTCAAACACAAGATGTGAAGGCCATTTTCATTCCCCTAGCGACACAGACGGGCTCCGTTGAGCGGGCTGGACGGGCCCTTTAGGCACAGCCACGGTCTATCACAACAGCGCCCGGCAATATAACAGCTCGAGCGAAAACGAACGTTGTCCGAAATTAGCTAGCTCCAATCCATTCACTGCAAAATGCCCTGGCCACAATGAGTATGAGTGCTGAGGAGACTAAACTGCCTGTACCTGAATCTGAACATGCCTACACACTCCATGAATTCACGGAACCGAACAATCCTCCTGAAAGTATCCTCGGAAATTCACCTCTGCTCTTGCTCAAACAACTTCTGCGATGGAACAGGTCACCATCTTTGGGGCAAGCCTGGCTGCCAGACAGGTCAAGATAGTTGGACAAACTCTGGGTCGCCGCAAAAAGATGCCAGAAGCCTCCAAGAAGGCTGTTGTTCAAGCCGGCGCCCTCAGCATCAAGACAGGCCGAGCGGTCAAAAGGTTAATGGGTGAAATGATCGATGTGGCTGACAAGAAGGGCAACTATAAGCCGAAATCCAATCAGGTTGTGCCTCTCGCTGGGCAAGCTCGACCTGGAGTTACTTACCAAGCGCCCACGTACGATATCAACAGCAGCAATAGATCGACAGCTTTCAAGATACGGAAGCGTATTTCTAGACATGGGGCTGTCGCTGGGAAAGGGTGGCAATGGTATCAGGAGACATTTCTGATCAACAGCGCATGTCCTTCCCACTTCGACCGGCCCCTTTCGCAGTCTCTGCGCATCGCAAAGCGCCCTTGATGTACTCTACCAGCTTTGCGCCGATGCTAGTATACGAATGTCATCGACATCGATGAATGCCAAATTGATTTGCGGATGTTAAATGCCAGAATACCTTAAACAGTCAACCCTGCTCCCTTGTGTTGCGCTTGTCCACTTTCCTCCCGTCTAGATGATGCAAATCTGCCGCCCACCGTCGGTCGAGTAAGTCCCCTTTGAAGATCCACTGCTTGGAGTCGAGGATTCTTCATCCTTTTTCACCGACTGCAGCCTTATCTCGGGAACGCGGCCTTTCGCAGGCCTTGTCACGATAGTGCCTAAGCTGCTGTCTCGTTTGGTAGCTTGATGAATCTCACATCCCATCGGGAAACCGGCTCGCTATTCTAACTTGATCGTTTTCCCTTGGTCAGTATTGCTCCTCTCCGCCTTCTTCGTCTCCTCCTCATCCTCCTCCTGCTGCTGATGGCGCCGCCGCGGCTGAATGAAGATTGCAAAGTGTCGTGGTGCCAGAAGTCCGTATGCAGCTGAGACAAATTCTCATTTTGTCTTTCAAAGTCTTCAGCTGCCTGTCAAGCGAATTCGCGTCGATCGGTTTATGATTCTCGCACCACTGGTTGATATTTTGCTCGATATAATATCGTTGCGTGTGACTTGTAATCGTCTTTATCTTTTCGATGATGTGAGATATGGGAACCTCGATCATTTTCAATGGCCCGTATTTGCGGTTAAGTTTCTCGTATTTCTCACTGCTTTCTTCACCCCAGCCGCAGTCACATCGGCCATTCATTCCTCTGATGATCAACTGACCAATTTCCGCTCGCATCTGGTTCCTTCGCTCTTCTAAAATGTCTGAGAAAATTAGCTCGCAGTTTAATATGCACATATAACATGTGCTCCATTCAAGGCCTTTCATACAGATAACTTTCCAAGGTATAAATTGACTGAGAAGATCATTGTCCAAAAGTGCCAAGTAAGTTTCTTTGAAGGAAATGGTGAGGTACAGAGCCACCTTTGCAAACAAGTCGGCATCGTTAAATAAGAAGGCTGTGGCTATAAAATATCCCGCGGCTTTCAGACTTAGAAAGTCTACCTCAGGTCTCAACCACAGCCCACTTGCGTATTTGAGGGCAATATGAAGATCGTACTTGTCGGTCACGATAGCGATTTGAAGGATTCCTTTCGCCGACATTGTCGAAGCCGCCGGCACGAGATCGTTGCGATGGTGGATCACGCAACAGATGATGCTGAAGGCACGGCCATCGTCCTCCGGGAGGAGAATTTCTCGCGGCAATGCCTTGGAATGGTCTTGATCCGTATTCCAGCAGGGTTCGAACATGGTGCTGAAGACTCTCGAGGCACATCGGAGAATTTGCGAATAGACTCTCAGCCGTATCTTCTCCGGCCCAACGATCAGAACGACATCGCCATCCGGAGAGATGTCTGCGACCGCAGACGACCTGCTGCTACGCTCTGCTACATCCATCTCGGGGCCTTCAAGGCCGGATGGATCGCGAGCGACACGGAAGAGCGGCCAGCAAGCTCTATACCTGTGACTTTCGTGCGCGAAGAAAAACAACAAATGTGTTAGACCTGAGGTCGCGGTAAGCGGCTGAGCGGTGAAGCTTGACAAGGCCTCCAGAATCCTTTACGACACCTGAGGCTAACATAGGTAGCTGGTGTCCTTGAACTGGAATGTGGTGATACGATAGTGATGGGCGTGACACGTTTCAGCTCAGCATGCTGTCTTTTCTGTATGTATTCAGGTATTTATTCGCTGCGTTTGTTGTGTTTGCTGTGTTTGCCGCATTTGCGATGATGTGAGGGCTCGGCATCGAGCTTGCCTTCACGTCCTTGTCTCGACGATGCTAGTCCTCATCCGCCACAGGATATTCTTTTCCCAGCTTCAGTTATAGTGTCCAATTTGAACGAATGGTGCCTTGACCTGGGTCAATGGTGAAGAGACTGAATTACGTTTTGAAAGCCTAAATGAGTACAGAGAAATGAGCATGGGGCATCGTCATTTTACTATCAATGCCCTCCGTGATATCTTCGCCCTTCGTACTCAAATGTCTTTCAACCAATCTCGCAACTCGTAGCAGTGGAAGACCGCAGCGAACCTCCGCCCACGGAAGCTGATACAAGTCCTTTCAGCATATTTATCCTCGTGAGTGCGCCTTGCTGTGAAGGCCTTCGCATGAAATAGCAACATGGTCTCCTCCTAGTTGGTCTAAACCATGTCTAGACGACTGCATCTTTGCCAGGAGAGTACGATTGCGGGCTGGTTTCTCTCTGAGCAGCCAATCTGTGTCCATCTTATCAGTCACATTTCAATAATACTATGCAAAACCAAACCCAGAAAAGTCGATCAGCAAATAACAAATCCGCCACTCACTTGTATTTCTCTCTCTTGTGCAACCACATGGTTAGTATAGCCAACCCGATCATCACCGGGCCACCGATAAACAAGACGGTTGCGAATCCGGCCGTATACTTTGGGGCATGGATTTGCTGCCAGATGATCAGAGGGAGCCAGATCTGGATCACGTACGCCATCTGGTTCATGCCGCCGGTGACCATGGCCCGCTCTTCATTGTCCGCAGAGCAGATTTCGTGAGCCCAACTACGAGGAAGAAACAGGTCAGTGTTCAGTGCAAGAACAACAACCATGTGCGCAGATCGGGTACTTAGTTCTTACCTCATGATGATCCCAGCAAGCGCGGCGCCGACTCCCATCAGAATGTAGCATGCCCACCGCCAGCCGTCAGGGATGTCCCATATCCAGAGTGATATGTAGCAGATGATGTTGAAGATCTTGGACACTGACTGTTAGACTCGGATCCGTGAATCTGCAGAAGCGTGAAGGGGGGACTTTGGTTGTTTGCCTCAGACTTACACCTCCAATGATTATTGAGGGCCATCTTCGACCTTTCAAGACAGAGTCGGACGTCCAGGCAAAAACCAGAGTGCAAAAGACTTGCACTCCGTACGTCGAGGTGGGATAGTTATTGATTTGTGGTATGCTGTATTTGGGGGTTGTTGAGTCCTTTAAAAACTGGGCAAAGACTGGTTGTCCAGAAGCACCGCCATTGTTCCAGCAGCTTATTGGAAACACTTGGTGTTAGCCCACAGACTGGCAGCAAGAGGGTGGAGATGGGTCTTTGCTTACACGTAAAGGGGTATGAGGCACCAGATGTGCCATGAAGTCAGAATCTTCCAGAACTTGGCTCGCGTGTACGGCTGACGAGTCGCTCGCCCTTCAAGTTGTATCCGCTTTCTTGCCAGAGCGATATCCTGTGTTCAAAGGGGAGATTAGAATATTAGGCCCCGCATGTCATTTTCATCCTGCGGGACCAAGAACCTGAGCCCTAAACTGACCTGTTCCGTGAAATACCAGGCACGAGTGATGTCTGGAAAATCGGGTATTATGAAAAACCCAGCAATAGCCACAGGGAGCGAGATGACGCCGTCCATGATATACAGCCTGTGTTTCTTGCGGTTAGGAGAGAGTTGTCAAGAAGCATAACCCACACGTCAACATACCATTGCCAGCCACGAAGACCTCCAACGCCGTCCAGGTGGTAGACGGCAGCCATCAGATAGCCAGAGAACATAGTACCGATGGGATAGGCAGCCTGAAAGATGCAAGACCTCTTGGCTAATTCATCCGATCGATACCAAGATCCAATGATGTATATCATGCCAGGATAGAGTGCACTTTCGAACAAGCCTGGATCAAAGTCAGTAACGATGTCTGGATGCGAGGATCTCAAAACGCATGCACATTGCAACAAAATAATCCTTGAGGCTTACCAACGAAGAAACGGATGGCGTAGAATTGATGAGCATCTCGAGCTCGAGAAGATGCCATGGTGCAAATAGTCCACAGGAGCTATAAACTGTGAATGATTGTCATGCGCAAGAAAAGAGTGTGTTGCCCGACCTCCATGCATGGAATAAAGATAGATGGCCTCACGCGTGTGAGAATCATATTGGTAGGCAGGCCGCCAATAACATATCCCGCAGAATAGCACGTCTGCATATAGTTCAATTGGTTGCCGTAAAGGTTGAGATCCTCTTTCCTATTCTTGCTGTTAGACTGCACCTCTACCAAGACCGTCCGCTTTTCCATTCTCACATTCCAGAAACAAATGCATTGTTCAAGTTTGCTTGATCAAGGTATTTAATAAAGTATCCTGAGATTCACTGTCATCAAAATGCTTGTTGCTCAACGTTTGAAAGACCTTACCGAGACAGCCAAAAGTCAACAGAGCGCAGTCGAGTTTGAACACGAATTTTCTTTCTTCTGGAGACTTGTCAAGTGAGTCCCAGATGTAACTCCTCCAATTCCTCTTTGCTGTAGGGGTTTCTGGGACCAGGTCCTCCGCTCGTGCTTGGGGGTCACAAGAGGGGGAGCTCTCGAGCTCTTCGACGTGTGGGTACGGTTTCGAATCCATGATTGAACCAGAACCGGGTTTCTGTTGCTGCTTGGGACCGCGGTCTGGAATAAAGCTGCGGTGTTGCATCTAGCAAGGGAAGGGTCTGCTATATATATGGAGGTGAAAGTGGGAAGGGGGGTGGTGGTTGGTGTGGATACCTGCGACTCTATACCCCATTTCGGCGAGGCTGCTTGTATGCGGGGGCCGGGGAACCGTCTGGGGGAACTCAACACTTCTGACTATACTGATTCTGTCGGTGAAATGGCGTGAGTCTCGCAGAAACTCCGAACATCTGATCTGCAGATTCGGAGCAAGTGCGAGGTTCCACACTCCCAAGGATAAATCGGCAACCCCTTCTCCACGAGGAGTTCGTGGAGATGGACCAGAGGAATTGTGGCGAATTTACATGTGGTGATTTTGTTGAGGACAGAGTCCAGTACATGGGCTTATTGATTGATTAAATACGTGAAAAGTGTGAAAGAGTCGGAGATCTTGATTGGTATTAATCCGGAATTTGTTCATATGGGCACAGTATATCCGAGAATGAGTGAATACATTGCTTCGGATATCGAAGGACTCGACGCTTCATGTAATGGAAAAGCCAAATGGGTCTATAGACGATGTGAGCATCCAGTCATCTTCAATCCCAAAAGCATCTGAGACGCTCTCACTGATTGAACCGTAGGAATTGTCGTCTATAATCGTGGTGATGTGGAAAGTATCGTCTCCATCAAGACGTGGTTGGGGCAAGAGTTTGGTCTTTAGCCTGGAGATCATCTTGCTCAATCCAGTTGCAATGTGGCGACATAAATGTCTTCGACTGGCTTGGACACTTGACATCAAATCCACAACGGCTTGAACAAGGTCCAAAACTTGACGTCTCTCGATGTTGAGCGAGGCGGAGTTCCAACTCCACACAACCTTGAGTAGAAAGACGGCTGCGAACGCTATCATGGTGTGCTTGAACAGGGTTACATGGGCCACGGCATTGCGGATATCAGGCTCATGAAGAACCAAGTTCATGGTCGACATAGCAGAAGCAATAGCTGAATTGGCCGCCTCTCTGCGATCTAGAGAGAACTGATGGTTTGGTGATATGGCCCGCAAAGCAAGAGAATTGAGTTGTAACTTGGCGAAATGGTAATGCAGTACAATGCCTTTTGATGGATAACTACCAACATATGGGTTCGGCGCTGACCCGTCAGTTTTCTCTCTAGTCATTTCAGCCCTGCAGAAATATCTCACCTATTCTAGGTTGCCATTTCATCCGCCACCCTTCCACTTCTAGGCAGAATGCTCTTAAAGTAGTGAAATCCTCCTCGTCCAGTGGTTGTTGGCTGTCAGACCCAAAGGTGTGATATGTGTTGGTCAGAGTAATGAACAGGGCCACCTGAGCCATCAGTCTCATATCTGCTGGCCCGGCTATTGGAGCATTCAGAAAGGCTTCATAGCCTTTGATTGCCGCATTGTCGTGTATGACGGGAGGACGACCATATGCAATGCTGTAGTGATGGTCACAAACGTAGAGGAGATACCATAATTGCGCTCGCTCATACTGATCAGGCTCACCTCGTTGCATCTTATGGAAAGCTTGGTGGAGATTGAGCTCGGTTGCGATGCGAACAGCCACACCGGATAGTTTCCAGCTGAGATCCGAGAGCCAAAAGGCACCGATGCAAAGAGCGCGAATATCGTCAAGGTTGTGGTCGCGACAAATGATGGACCCAGACACCAACGACACAAACTCGGCGTAGCAAAACTCAAAGATCTCATCCCCCTGAGGAATGTGCAGGGCTGCCACGGCGAGGATGGCTGCACAAAGGAGCGAGGAAGATCTCCGAGCAGACTCAAGGTCCCGATGAATAAGAGCGATTCCTCCCCACAAGATATGATTCATGGTCCTGTCAAAAAATGAAAACAGTTCCCTGGCCACATGGTGAGGGAGGGCGCCGCGAGATATCAGATCATCCTCCGGGGTCCTTGTACTCCTCTGCTGCGGCACGTCACTTCGAATGTTTCTCAGCTTGGTAACCTCGAACAAACTGCGCATTGGTGCAGAGACAAGCTCTTGTTCTGCTGCTGGCTCCTGTGAGGCCTCCCGAGTTCTACTCTCTCGATTGTCTTTGGCAGCACCAGCGGCAAAGCCCAGCCTGAGACGATCGCGGTTGCTCATCTCCAGAGGGCTGGCAGGGAATGAAGACAATGGCGGCATGCCATTTCGTTGGAGTAGTTCCGTCACCGCAGCTTGAAGTTGGATGATGTTGGTGTCGGCCCCCCTCTTCCAGCTTCAGGGTTTGATGAATTAGGGCTAATCGTCACACGGCCAGCGATGATGGATCTCACATACTCTTGGTCGTCTTCGATTATTCTCTCGAGCTTATTACTGCTGACGCAACGGTAGCTATACTTTCTGCATCGTACGCAGCTTGATTGTCCAGGAGACTGGTCACACCGGACCTTGTGCTTCTTACATTCTGTACCTTGGTGACTATAAGCATTGTTACCCATCCTTTAGTTTTGAAGAAGCTGGAGAGCACTTACAAGCACGGCTCTTGTAAGGAATCATCCTAACATACCAGAAGACTTCAATCAGAAGCTCACGGCCAAAATGTTCTCTTGCAGTGGCGTTGTCCTCATTTCCCAAATTGCTGGAGTTTGGACTGGCAGTGAGGTAGTCTGGCGCAATGCTGTCTAGTTCCGGAAGGTCGCCGTGATCGACAAGAGAAAGCAGTGAAGATCCCTACCTAGAGCATCTAAGCAGTATCTTGGGATTCAGGCGAAAACGGATACCGGCTTCTTCACTGGACCTGTGCGTTGCGACAAATCGGCTTCCGCCCGGGCAGAGCTACCAGTGGGAGGTGCTCCAGAGCCATTATCGAGTCCCTTGGAGCCGGCGTATGTATACGGACTTTAGGCTAAAAAGGTCAATCACAAACCCTTTCAAATTAGACGATTTGGGTGCTTGCAGCAAACCTGCGCGACGCAGGTCCCGTGAATTGACTGTCCATTCATGTCTCTCCGCATGATCCGTGCGATGTTTGCCGAGGTCATTGTCGTTTGAAGCGAGTATGCAGGATCGGGGGAAGTGCGAAATCACGGCTCGGGGTGGCTGTTGTTGTTGCAGCGGGAGAGGAAATGTGGTCAACGGAGGAAACCACAGCAGCTGTGGTCAAATCAATACTGTTCTGGTGGAAACTTTAAGTAGCCAAAAGTGCGAGTTCGAGGCAATTTTCCGGTGGGAGGAGCCCGAGCGACCTGCTGTACGCGGTACATATGTAATAGCTGTGAACTGGAGGCTGGAGCTTAGTATCTGTCCCCTTCAAGCTGCCAGTAAAGCATCAAGATGCCACTCAATGTGCCGATTACCATTCATGGGGACAAGAAGCTGGGACGATTTAAACCGATATACAGATTCTTCGGGTGTGACGAGCCCAATTATGTCTACATGAAAGACGGCGAAAAGTTGATCCGGAAATTGGGAAAACTTGGAAATGACCAAGTCTATTTCCGGGTACACAACCAGTTCACCACTGGCAAGGGGGTCCATGCCTTGAAATGGGGAAGCACGAACGTTTACACCGAAGATGAACATGGAAACCCCATCTACGACTGGACTATCATCGACAAGATCTACGATACCTGGCTGTCTCGAAATATCAAGCCTTACGTCCAGTTTGGTTTCATGCCTGAGGCTATGTCCACCAATCCCCAGCCGTATCAGCACTCATGGACACCGACGGCTTCGTACAAAGAAGTCTTCACTGGCTGGACATATCCTCCCAAAGATTACGAGAAATGGGGAGAGCTTGTGTATCAGTGGACGAAGCATGTGGTTGACAAGTATGGCAAAGCCGAAGCAGAGAGTTGGTACTGGGAGACCTGGAACGAGCCCAATATCGGCTACTGGCAAGGAACCCATGAAGAGTTCTGCAAGCTCTACGACTACACGGTCGAAAATGTGAGGAAGGCATTGCCCACGGCAATCGTGGGTGGTCCTGAGACAGCCGATGGCGGACCGGACTATCTTCGCAAATTCTTTGAGCACTGCCTGCGAGGCCAGAACTATGTCACTGGGAAGACAGGCTCTCCCCTCGATTTCACTTCGTTTCATGCGAAAGGGAAGCCCGAGTTCATTGAACAGTCTCAGCATGTTCGCATGAATGTCGGTCGCCAGCTCCGTATTATCGACGAGTCTTTCGGCGTCATTGCAGAGTTTCCAGAACTCAAAGACAAGCCTATCGTTATTGGCGAATCCGACCCTGAAGGTGCCGCAGCCGCTCAGGGTCCGCAGCTCGGATACAGAAATGGGACCATGTATTCATCATACACCGCAGCTAGTTTTATTCGAAAACAAGACCTTGCAGCCAAGAAAGGCGTGAATCTCGAGGGGGCTCTGACCTGGGCTTTCGAGTTTGAGAATCAACCATATTTTGCTGGATTTCGAGTTCTCGCAACCAACGATATCGATCTGCCTGTTCTCAATGTGTTCAGGATGTTTGCAAAGATGGGCGGGTCACGTCTTGAGACAAAAAGCGATGCACAAATCTCGTTGGAAAGCATTCTCGAAAACAGTGTGCGAGAAAGATCCGATATCGGGGCTGCAGCAACCTTGGATGAGGGCAAGCTCAGCGTCTTCGTCTGGCACTATCATGATGACGATCTACCAGGTGAGGCGGCAAAAGTTGACATCTCTCTGCAGGGGCTGGAATGGAATCCAACCCACGGCGGCAAAATGAGACACTATCGAATTGACGAGCACCACAGTAATGCATACACAAAGTGGAAATCGTTGGGTTCTCCACAACAACCGTCTGAGGAAGAATACAAGCAACTGTCCGAGGCTGCCAAATTGGCGACACTGGAGGAAGAAGAAACTGAAATTGGCACGAGAGGCTCCGGTACAACATTGTCATTCTCACTGCCTCGGCAAGGAGTGTCTTTGATTATACTAGAAGGAGTGTCCGGGGGATGAAACTATATTCATAACCACCACGAATAAAATTTAGGTAGTGAAACAAACTGTTAGCTAATTCTCACCTATTCTATCTGGCAAAAGCCTCCCTTCGATTTAGCTTCAATCCCAACACTTGTTCCAGCAACCCTGACAGCCGTAACCCAGTAGGCCATCACCGTCGCAACAGCCTCACCGGCTTTGCACATTGTAGGTCTTGAATTGCGACGATTCCGGCGCTAAGTACCATCGCAGGTCCCACAAACAGGACAACCTTCTCGTACTTACCGGCTCTGTAATCTACAACGACTACACTTTGTTCCAACAGCGCACCCCCAATCGGTCCTGCAAGCACATTCCCGACACCCCTCCCGAAGTTCAACAGGCCGAAAGCTGTAAAGGCGGCGGTAGGTTCACTACTAACTTTCGTGCCTATTATACCTACAAAGCAAAGCAGTATATCCGGCTCCAAAGGAGCCGTAAATGACAGCGAGCACTGCGAGAAGTGGAAGGCTATGCGTTAGGCCCCAAAACGAATACGCCGCAATGCCAGCGACCATCGTTGAGCTAGTAGTGAGGATGTTGAGTGGCGGTTTTCGATCGAAAAGGTAACCAAAAGTTGTCTGGCCCCTGACCTGGGATACGCTCATGATAGCTAATAAGAGAGCACCTTGCGTGGATCTCATTCCATTCGCTGTTGCGTACGAGGGCAAATATAGTGACGGGAACAAGTATCCCAAGCCCAGTGCAAGGTTGCTGGCACTGTAGACCCAGAACAGATTCGTCCTAAGGAATGACCAATCGGTCCTGCCAGGAGCGATTGGTCACTCTCTGGTAGGCGGCCCTTGAAACCTAGTAGCAACGGCCCAGTCAAAACGAATAACCCGTTCGCTATACTTCGAAGTGTCGTCTGGAAGCCATATCGCACGAGGAGTTTTTCGATCGCGAATGGGAATACCGCACCGGAGACGCCAGAAGCAGCACATACAAGACCGTAAGCCATACCCCGTCGAGCGATCCAGAACTCGTTGATCGGGAACCGTAGGCCATACATGACTCCCAGTGTGAGCACGAGTGTTTTGTTTGTTGTGGCGAAAGAGCCTGCGATAAGACAAAGGAGGAGGATGGACCCTGCGCTTGCAACCAGTGCTACTATTTGTTACAAGCTTGAGCCTGCCGCGACATACAGTCAATCCACACGATCCTGCATCGCCACCTCGCGAACCGCTTACTGAAAGGGATGATAATCGGGGCGGCCATGTAGGTCAGGCCAGATGCCACGATGCCGATGACAGAGACGTAAGGGTCATCTTTGAATTGAGGAAGTTGAGTGTAGTAGTTTTGGAAGACCCCAAACGAGAGCGGGAGTCCCCAGAGTAGAGCTTCAAAGACAAAGGCAGATAGAAGCAGTCGCCAAGCTGCCATTGCGGATCGAAGTTGGCTCGTTTGAAAAGTGGTTGTTCTCGTGGGAGTGGCCGTCATTTCATTACTCCCATCAGCCACAACGCAGCCGAGGTATCTGCCGCGCACATCTAAGAGAAGGACCAATTGGTCCACAATATCTCGGACAGTTGCAGATACACGTACGCGGGGTCACTATTTTAGTTAAGCGAGTCAATAACTTGCATGTTACATACCCAGTACAGGGTAGTTCTCCTACCAATCAAATAGCTGCTGTGTTCTGTTAAAAGGGTTAGACAGCCGACATACTAGCCGGTTTAGATCTAGGCCAGTGGGTCTTGGCACTGCGGTAGCCTCCTCACCTGTCACTGAGTATTTAAACCTCGTGCTACTCAGATAGATTTTCAATCAACCAACCTTTTCATCTTACAGAAACCATAGTAAGTCCCTGACCTGCTGCTATAGGCCCCTCCTTGCATCTTCTCTTCGTGCCCACACAAATCCCTTGCTTACCTGCGTCATTTACGAGCCAAAGTCTCCATCTATTAAGAGGCATAATCAGCGATCTCGTGCCACAAAGGGAAGCTGCCGCCGGTCGTGAAGTGTCGAAAGTTTGGGCATTAACTACTATCATGCCACTTCCTGTGGTTGAATGAAGATCTGGAAGATCAAAAAGCGATTGCCACAACGCATAAGTTGAGAGCATAAAGTCGTCGAGGATATCGAATGAGGCAATCAGGGAACGACAGATTGGGATGTCCACCAGGCGGAATGCCGAGAATCGTTCCCCCGGCACTGACAACAGGGCTCGACCTGCCAGTCATCAGTGACTGTGGCTAAGAGGGCGCGAGTTCGTTGAGCTGACAACCCAGGTATGGCCTGGCACCGGTCGGGAGACTGCATGGAAGTAGACCTGGATCTGGTTTGCTCAAGCATTTCACGCTCTGCCGCATGAAATGGTCTCTCCAGTGTCGATATCACCACCAGAGAGCCCCCTTCAGGCTCAACCGCTTTGAGGACGGTGCTGGCTCTGTAGCAGAAAGTGTCCTGTTTGTCAGCTAAGTATAACTGGGATGCATACGTGGCCGTCACATGAAAGATCTCGCTTTCAAGAGACTTGGTTAGCTCCACACCAGTGCATGAACTCGCTCGGGCAAGTACTTTGCAGACGACAAAGAGGATTTCCAGCATTCCTGAGGTAATATCTTCACTCACTCCGAATAAACCCGAACTCAGCTCTTGAGGTTGTTGTCGCCCGTAGTGAACCAAGTCCGTTAAGTTGCAATACTCAGCGGGAGACCATGCTTGCGGTGGGTAATTGCTCATGAGAAATTTGAGTAGCTATACCAGCTAGAATTTCCAACCAGCGGTGCACACATCGTTATCTGGAAACAGCCTTTCCTCCCCTCTCTGGGCTCGCCAGTAGTTTGTTGCGGTAAAGAGTTCCCAGCAGTCCTGGATGACCCAACCCCAATTTCTAAGGAAATCTTCTCCTACTTCCCAGTTGCGTGGATCCCATGGGTCTCCCCAAACGATCAGACCTGGCCGTTCACCGGGGCGTCCGCAAATTTCTACCATGTCGTGGCACAACGCATCCTCATCAAAGGATGGATCAGCTCGCAAAATGTTATCCCTCATTCTTGGTATTGGAAAGAGATCAATCCATGGATGGTGCTCGACGAGGTTTTGAAGTGTTGTCGGCTTGAGATATCTAGGGCAAGTCGACATTGCTGGCGACTCATCAACAAGACGGTCAAATCCGATTTGGGAGAAGGGAGAGACGGCATCTCCTTCAAGCCACCCCAAAGTGAATCCGAGTGCGCGTGTATTGTCCAAGAGGGCCCGAAACACGTTGAATTTGACCAGCGTGAGGAGAAGATCGGTTCGCGGTGAACCAAGGAGGGAATGTTGATGTACGGCTTCCTCGAAGCGGGCTAACATTTCCCTTACCGCAGAAGCACCGATATTACAAATTGAAAATGCCTCCGTGGAAACTGGGTTGGACGAGCTGGATTTTTTGGGTCTTCCGTCCCGATATTTTGGCTCTTGGTATGGCACACCATGCTTCCGGACGCTGATCAGGTCTGGAGCGTTGGCCTGCCGAACCTGGCGTCGTCCTATGGAGCAGAACACCAGCTTTAGCATTACTAATCAAAGACTGTGTGGGAGCAGCCGCCAAACTTACTCCATGCTCTCTGGTGCAAGCGATTTTGCAATTTCCTACGCAGTGCGGGATCAGTGATGCCAGTCCAATCTTCTTCCAGATGCCGTACTTCGACTTGCTGATTGGGAGGCAGTATGGTGGGGAATGAGATCAGGTCAACGGTCTGATGCATATTTGCTGTCGCCATATTGGTTTTTTTTGGCCAGATGACAGTCCTACAAGACTAGATGTTGGCTGAAGCTGTGTTCGATGTGGTTCGACGTGGATGAAGGTTGGTTAGCGGAAATGGTCATCTGATGACGTAAAATTCATTGTACCTGTAAGGTCTTGGGTGGAGAGAAAGCCAATTCAGAAACCTTTCTCATCCGTTCGGCTGCTTCATCCAATGGTAGCCCGGATATGAAGCAAGGGAGGCTGCAAAGCTGCAGGTTGCTTATGACTTGCAGCCCTTGGCGGTGAAATAGCGTCGTTCATACCGAAAAATTGAGGCTTCAACAAGCATCGTGGAGGCGGTTTTGGCTCTGGCAGGTTGTGCATGATTCGAGCGGCGGCTATGGAATCTTTCAAGCTAATGCAGACTGCTTATGACCTTACCGTCATGGGCCGGGAGGTGGTGGCGGGTTGCATCAAAGCCACCAGTCAAAATTTCACCGAGAACCACTTGGCATAGTTGTGGTGGTTGTTTTCAGCATGTGTTCAATGACTCCGTGAAGAGCCTTGAAATCCGAGTGATTCTTACCAGCTGCTCTAGCCTGCTCAACAGAGCCTCCAGCAATGCCAATATGTTGTTGGTCCCTGCCCAGATGTTGGGTCAAGTGCCAAAGTATATAGCATGCTTTGCCCTTTAGTCCCAATATCACTGAGTATAGTTCACTCAATCTCCTTCTGCACGAGCATAGGTTTACCCATATTTTTGGATATATTGACCTAAGAACTAATACGCCCTGCTACGAACACCCTGATGGCGTTCTTTGCACCTCCCCCAAAGCCACTGACTCCGCTGGCATATCATCGTATCCTATCACCCACAGCATCAGTCAAAGTCTCTCCTTTGTGTTTAGGCGGCATCAGCATTGGCAGCTCCTGGAGGGAAATCTTTGGGAAAAATGAAGACCCCTTTGCTCTTCTGGACGCTTTTTTTTCTCTGGGAGGTAATTTCATTGACACATCCAACACATATAACTCGGAGGATTCCGAGAGACTGATTGGGGAATGGATGGAGCTCCGAAATAACAGAGATCAAATGGTAATTGCCACAAAGTACTCTGCCGGTTATCGAGCCTACAAGCGGAAAGAGGAGCCAATGCAAAGCAATTTCACCGGGAATTCTGCAAAAAGTATGCACATATCCACAAGAGACAGCTTACGGAAGCTGAGGACGGACTATATTGACATACTTTATGTGCACTGGTGCGAGAACGTTCCATTGCCATAGCCGATACTAACTATTTCTAGGTGGGATTTTGCAACTTCCGTGGAGGAAGTTATGACCCATCTTCACGCTCTTGTTATGGCCCGACAAGTCCTTTACCTAGGGGTATCAGACACCCCTGCCTGGGTCGTGGTTAAAGCCAACGCGTGTAAGTGTTCTGTCCCATCGTCTTGCCGCGCCAGTGACCTGAAACTAGCTCCATAGACGCTCGCAGCCATGGTCTTACTCCATTCTCTGTTTACCAAGGGCGATGGAATGCTGCGTTTAGGGACATGGAGGCAGAAATCATTCCCATGTGCGAGGACCAAGGCATGGCGATTGTGCCTTGGGCAGCCTTGGGTGGCGGCCAATTAATGTCAGCAGAACAAAGAAAGCAAAAGGAGCAGGATCCAGATGCTCGACAAGGTTACACCTTCAGAGAAGCTGACATCAAGGTCTCCGAGGTGCTAGAGAAACTTGCGGAGGATAAGTCTACGACGCCGCAGGCAGTGGCAAGTCACCGGCTGCCCTCAAATTCCAACACCGGAAGAAAGCTAATCTCTGAACCAGGCTCTTGCGTATTTGTTCCAGCAATCCGCCTATGTCTTTCCTATCGTTGGTGTCCAGACCGTTGAGCATGTCGAAGCTATGCCGGAAGCATTGCGCGTCAAGCTCTCCAAAGACGACATCAAGATGATCCAGAATGCATACGTCTTTGATCCTCTCTTTCCGATGAACTTTCTCTTCAATTACAGGGGCGATCAGCCATACAATCTTGCTCTTACTGCTGCAAATAATCACCAGTACCAAATGGCTGCCTGGATCAATGCTCCCCCAAAACAGCCGGTATGTAAAGCAGCAAGCTAAATTTCACAGCTTCTCGAACTAAGATGGTACTCTACTAACACACGAACAGCCGTACCAACCCTAAGTATCAACAAATGAAGCTAAGAATGTGCATTGCCTCCCTGTTTCAATGTCGGTGGATTTCTTTTCGGCTAGGGGAAAAAGGAGGGGGAGTTGGACTGCCCTGGCTAAAGTCAACCAAACACCTGAACGACGAGGCCGGTGGAGAGCCTCAATCTTCCTCCTGACGTTCAGAGGGATAACAACCGCGAGACACGCGTGTTTCTCTCAACAAGATTGCTCTTTTCTCTAGGTCTTCTTAATTGGGTGGACTGGCGGCGAAAGTTATGCTGTTGCTGGATGTGTCAGTTGATTCGAGTCAGGGATATCTCATGCACTCCCCCACCGACTCCCCAACGCTTGGTAGCTTAGGTATTGTGGGCCTCGCACAAGCGGAAGCCAGTCGATTCCTGTCCAATCCAAGGATGCGGGGTCCAGATGGGACAATGCATGTCAGCCTTTCTGTGTCAAAGTCTGCCCCTAAGTCTGCAAACAACAAGCGCTATGGCTGCTGCCACCCCTCTTAGCCGAGGTCTTGAAGTGAGCCAGCCACGCGAGAGGTTGGGTTCAGGTACAGGATCAGGGCTTGTAGGCTGGTCTGCGGTGAATAAACAATCGCTGGATGTTGCTTAGACTTCCGTCTGTCTGGAAGTTCTTAGAGTGCACAAAATCTTGCGCGTTTGGCCGTGCAGGCAGGTAGGCTTCGAACACCTAGAGCTCCAATAAACAAACGCTGTTCTCGAGGCCTACGCTGCCCGTGTAGTAGTTTGGATTGTTGAGCACACAACCACACGTTGGTCTTTTCGATATGCCGTACGAAGGATCGAAGCTGAGTCCGGGTAAGAACCATATACTGCAGTGTGCTTTCCGGGGCTTTGTGCTGATCGTTCTCAGCAATACCCGACAACGTAACTATATGGACATGGTTATTCGAAACCACACACACATCCCCTGGGGTCAAGCCATCAGGAGGCTTTCGCGACGCGTCGACCGACCAATTCCTCTCCTTCGATGATATTCGACGCCTGGCAGTTCGACTGTCTAACATATTGTACCACAAATACGGCCTGCGCGCAGGAGATGGCATTTGCGTATTCGCGTCGAACACGATATGGTACCCTGTCACGATGTTTGCGGCGGTTCGGCTGGGGGTGGTCTTCACGGGTTCTTCACCGGAATATGGTCCGGACGAGGCCGGCTATATCATGAAGGCGTCGAGAGCCAAGCTGGTATTCGCGGATCAAGGCTCACTCAAAGCGGTCGCCCAAGGTTTTGACAGGGAACGAATTGTCCTTCTCGAACCTGCCCGGTCACAGTTACAGGATTTTGGCACTTTACCTTCGGTCAAGGGACTACTCGAAGAGGGAGACGTGGGTGGAGCTGTGGCGCCTTTCACAATTCCTCGCGGAAGCAAAAACGACCAAATCTGCGCGTACTTGAGTTTCACCTCTGGCACGACGAGTCGGCCCAAGGGCGTAAGCGTGCTGGCCCCTGGTCCGTGCAATGACTAATGTGGTGCAGGTCATGATATCCCACAAAAATGTGATTGCCCAGATCCTGCAAATGAAGTCGCTTGGTCGGCAGGATCTTCCAAGAGTTTTGCTGGGAGTTCTGCCACTGTTTCACAGTAAGTTAAACGTCCAGGAGTATTGGTGCAACATGCGACTAAGAGCACGCTAGTCACCGGACTCGTCCAGATCTTGCAGCTGCCGATTGTGCTCGATCAAGAAGTCGTCTTGATGCCAAAGTTTGACATGAAAGGCATGATGGACACGATTGCCAAATACAAATGCGATGAATTGTGGCTTGTTCCACGTAAGGCCCCTTTGCAGCTCGGAATTTGGAGCACTTGAGCTGAGCTTACTCTTCGGTCAACAGCCCTTCTAATCAGGCTGGTCAACGATCCCATCGCAGCTGGACATGACTTGCCCTTGGTCAAGCAGTTCAACACTGGGGCCGCGCCCCTGGCCCAGGAGATCGTAGACAAACTTGCGAAGCGATTCCCGCACATTGCGATACGACAGGCATGGGGAATGACCGAAAGCACGAGCGCTCTTACTCTAACACCACCCGTACTGCAAACTTATGAGAATGCTCACACCGTAGGCGCCGTCGTCCCGGAAACGGTGCTGAAAATTGTCGACCCAGACACCGGAAAGGAGGTCAAAGAGGGCGACAGCGGAGAGGTGAGTAGATGTGACAATGAGACGATGGTATTCTGAATCTTATACTGATGGCTCCTTAGATCTGGGCAAAAGGCCCTCAGGTAACCATGGGTTACCTTGACAACCCAAGCGCCACGTCGGAGACATTTGACCAAGAAGGATTTCTCCACACGGGTGATATAGGCTCCATGCTTCCGAATGGTCTGCTTCTAGTTCAAGACAGGCTAAAAGAAATGATCAAGGTATGTTCAGGGCCCGATGAACTCAGTCAGGGTAGCTGACACCGCGAAGGTTAAAGGAGTAGGAGTGGCTCCAGCAGAACTGGAGGATCTCTTACTTGGCCATCCGCTCGTCGTGGACGTTGCTGTCATTGGTATTCCCGATCCGTACTCGGGGGAATTGCCCAAGGCATTCGTCGTGCTCAGCGAAAAGGCGAAGCCTGAGCCTCAGACCGCACGAGAATTGCAAGAATTTGTGCGCCAAAAGAAAAGCCGGAGCAAGTGGCTGGGGGGTGGTGTAGAGTTCGTCGACCAGGTTCCCAAGAGTGCTTCCGGCAAGATTCTACGGCGAATGTTGAGAGATCAGGAAAGAGCGCGTGCGAAGTCATCTACTGTCAGAAGTCGGTTGTAAACCTCCTATTCCGCCGAAAGGGTCGGGTCAATAAAGCGAGAGGTTTCGAGGGTAGACTTGGCAAAGACTTCGGGGGTAATTAGACTGCTGTCAGCATCGCACATTTACACCGCGAAACCTCTTGGAGGAGCGGGTTGTTGAGATAGAGTCCCTTGATAGAGTTGGACCTGCTTGGGAAAGCACAGCTGCGCATATGTTATTCTCCTGACGACCTTACCACTTCCATAAACAGGAAAACCCGCCAAGAAGGGGTATATAAGCTTATCGGCTCTTCGAAGAGGTCTTCAAAATTCATGTTAGAAGGTCCGAGGCAAGGGGATCTCAACGCTCATGAGGAGGGCAGTAACGTCATTGAAAGGATTACATACCACATGTGCTTAAGAGATGTAGCAGGTAACCTCTTTGCAGAATATATCAGTCTTTTTTCCTCTATCCTAAGGTGCAACTTTACCCCTTACACGCCTGAATAAGTCCCCGTCGAGTAGGTCACGAATGTCCATTGTCAGCTGCTGCGAGCACTGGAATGGTGAGGATAAACCAACAGGCATAAAGAGAGACGCGTTGGCGAAAGAGAGGTAAATCTAGAGCGTCACCTGTGGGGCACCATCTCTGTATACATTTCTTACTTCAATTTTATTTTTTTTATTTTGAAATGGACTCCGTATGATTGTTCTTAATAGCTTAGCGGAAGAGACTCAATGCAGGCAGAGTCCAGGGCTTCTAGGGGAGAGTTTCCACTTCCCAGCCATTGCGACTGAGTTGTGAGATATAGACTGTGCAATAGCAAAGCAAGTTGGGGTTTTGATACGCCTTGACGAAACCCAAAATCTAAGCGAAGAGGAGGAGACGAGGCACCATCGACACCGCCTACCTATCTCGTTTATCCACCACACTTTGGTCCGTTGGTCGCCGCAGTATGGGCTGGTGGGCGAATGCTCCCGCCTATTTCAGACCCCATTTCAGACTAATGGGACCCCTGCAGACGTTCCTTTACCCGCCCCTTTTGACTCACCAGCGCCCTACTAGTGCCGGGTGGCCACGAAACCGGCCCATCTGGCTGGCGGCTACTGTGACAAGCCGAAGTTGTCGTGACGCTTGGGACGCACGAACCCACACGAAGAGTCTGCCTCACCGAGAGCCACCATCTCAGACTTGACCTGATGTCTTGCTCGACACCTAGGCGAGTGTGGCCTGTGTTGAATCCGCACCGCCTAGTCAGATAACACATCACGTCGACGGGTAGTAGTTATGGACTATGACCCAGGTACGGGAGTGTTTTCTGATAGACCAGAGCTCCAAGGAGAAATTGATGAGAATATTTTGGCGTGTGTGGAACCCTAATCATGACAGCTGTCATATTTTCCGATGCTCCAAACTAGCGGCGTTGCGGCAGGCTTACCCGAAGATTCTAGCAACATACGAGCTCAAGGCTCTGGAGCGAGCTACCGGACAAGTTTCGAGAGACCCTGATCGAAGATGCGAGATCGCTAGTGGATGCGTATAGCGAGGCCTATGAAGGTTGGGTTGAGGCTTCGAAAGAGAACTTGAGTCATGGAGGACCGTAGTATAAAGGCATGTCCATGTGGCGAATATGTTGGGCAGTCCTTTTAGCTATACTGATACCGAGGACTATCTCCACAGTTCCCGAACGTCATGGATTTTCCTCTGCCTCGACCTTCGAGACTGGTGCAGCTCTTGCTTCTCTTCTCTGCCTGCGCTTGCGAATTTGCTTGCCAAACGCGTACCACATCTCTCGTCCTGCAAGGATGCAGAAGCCACCCAGAAGGAAGGCCGCCACCGCCAGCACACTGGCCAATGTTGCGACAGTAAACCATGCGCCCAAGTCACCGAGTATGTCCCAGCTTGGTCGAGCTTGTAGCCCCACCTGCATACTGCCCAGTACCAAACTCCACATGCCAAAGATGAAAAGCAAAGGTGCGAAGTACTTAGCGAAGTGTTCTGCGTACGGCCACGTCGCCTTGCGGAAGTACAAGCGTCTCAACAGCGGTTTGGCCCAGAAATTGAGCCTTGTGAGTCTGAGTTCCCCGTAGTGATATCTGCCGGAGACTTGCCAGTCCTCGATGCTTCTAAAATCTCTTATGAACGCCGCCCAGGTTTCGAGGTCGAGGCATTGCGGGACGAGACACTCTCGTTGTGCGATTCGCAAATCTGACTCGTGCTGGATGAGGTGCGTATATGTGCGCACGTATCCCAGGGCGGCCTGCAAGATCTGCTTTGTGTGACATCGGCCGTTCTCCGACTCTGCTTTGCTTGAGAGCATGAGGTATGACCAGAAGGCATGAGAGAGAAGGTAAGTCGGTAGCGGCTTGACGAAGACCCTGTCGCTGATCCAGACGAGATGGAGCTCGGGGTCCTCGGCGACGACGATGTTTCGCCCTCGAACGATTTGCGCGTGCAGGGCGGAGACATGCGTGCTCATCGGTGTCGCCAGCAGCCATAGCCAAGGAGACATACGATTTAGTGACGGCGTTAGGAGATCTTTCTCCACGAACGGCAGGATCTCGTCCTCTTCCAGGGAAATCAGTGGGTGACTTGGAAGATAGTGCTTCTGCGTCTCGGCCACTAGTCGTCCATGATCGATTGACAGGCTGGCGCAGAGTTCATGCTCGCTTTGAAATGGAATAATGTAACTTTTCATGGCCGTTGGCGAGAGAGGTTCGCATCGGAGTGCGGGCAGGTTATCTGTGTTGTCAGTATTGTACTTCCAGCAGAGCTGTTAGCCCCAAAGATTTGAAAAGAGCCAGCTGATGGTGACATATTTGTATGGACTCTGAGGCTGTGTTGGCGAGTCTGAGACTCGGGAGGTCCGAGGAGAAATGGTCGAACCAGGAGTGGGGGCAAAGAGCAGAGAGACAGGCAGAGACACAGCTGCAACGTTTTGAGTTCGGCGCTTGAAGCCCATCCTCCTCGTAGGCTTAGGCTGGTGGGCGCTCTTGTGGCGGCTTGGGCGGCCCACAGGGCCAGGGGACCCTGGGCGGTTACGTATGAGAGGGCTGTGGTGGATGAAATGAAAGCTTGGGGCAGATCGAAGACCGAGCTCTACTACACGGCAATGGTGGGCTTGCGCTGAGCACCCCAGCACTTGCTCACTGAGCAACACGCCAGGAATGAGGAGCACCAAAGGGCTGGGTGCAGTATCCCAACCCTCACCGCTCGGAACTACGAAACCATGGCAACGAGTCAACTCCTGCAGAGCACGAGTATATTCTCGTATATCCTCGATTTGGGAAGATCTCCTTCGGGGTCTCAGAGTTCGACGATGGTTGCCGAAGACGTACCACAACTGGAAACAACTGTCGACGAGAAGAAGAATTCTCAGGATGCGCATCCAGAGTTGGCAATTACTGATCTCAGTGATCTGGAACCTGTAACCGGTTATTCTGCATTCAGCATATGGCAGAAAAGATGGATAGTCTTCATCGCTGCCTTTGCCGCTTGGTTGTCGACACTCACCTGGTTCGTCTTCTTTCCAGCCATCACGTCGCTCGCTCATGGTCTTGGTACTAGCATCCAGAGTATCAACCTTACCGCGACTTCTTACCTGGTTGTAGCAGGAATAGCACCAACCGTCACAGCCACTATGGCCGATAAAGCAGGGCGTAGGCCGGCGCTTCTGTTATCGTTCATCATCTTTCTGGCGGCGAATGTTGGGCTGGCATTGCAGAATTCATTTCCCGCACTTTTCGTGCTGCGAATGCTACAAGCGGCGGGCGTTGCAGGGACATTTGCCATTGCGTATGGAGTCCTGGCTGATATTACAACACCAGCGGAGAGAGGCTCTTATATTGGTGTCGTCGCCTTCTGGTAAGATGATTGCATACGACAGCGGCCACGGAACGCTGACAGAACCAGCACAAATTCGGCTCCTAGTGTTGGCCCAGTTATTGCTGCCGCTCTCAATGCCAACTTGGGTTGGCAATCAATTTTCTGGTTCTTGGTCGCCTGCTCAGGCACCTGGCTCTTGACCATTGCTCTCACGTAAACTGAGACTCTTCGAACCATCGTGGGTGATGGCATGGTCGCAATCAGCGGCTGGTATGCTGTCCACCTCCACTGCATGAGACCAGCATCTGCCAACACTAAGGGGCCCGCGAAAAGAGCACGGAAAAGCACCACGTCGGCGTTTGGCGGCGTCCTCACGATCTTGTGCCAGAAGGACAAAGCTCTTGTAATGTCGGCTATTGCAATTCTCTACATGGTTTGGAACTGCCTACAAGCCTCGCTATCCACGATGTTCATTAGGGTGTACCATTTCAACGCCCTGCAGGCAGGTCTAATATACATTCCTTTTGGCGTAGGGGTAGGCTGCGCAGGATTCGTGACGGGTAAGCATTGAGTTCTGCACACCATTTGCACCGAGGCTGACCATTGCCATAGGGAGGATTTTGGATCGAGACTACAGGTACATCGCGACCAAGCACGGCTTCCCAGTAGACCGCAAGAAAGGAGACGATCTCAGCGAGTTCCCCATCGAGAAGGCTCGTTTTCGTAGCACCTTCGCCCCACTGGCCGTTGTATGCTGTGGTCTGGTTGCGTATGGCTGGTGCTTGCATTTCAAGGTGCATTGTGCCATTAACCTTGTCCTTCAGCTATTACTTGGTATCAGCCTTTAGGTATGCTTCACGACCCTAAATACTCTCCTAATGGACTTGGATCCTTCGCGTACTGCTATAGCGCAGGCAGTGTCCAATCTGTTTCGATGCTTGCTGGCAGCTGGCGCTCTGGCAATCTTGGAGGTCTTGCTCGATCGAATTGGTCCTGGCGCCACTTTCTCTGTCATAGCCGGCGTCGCTGCATCTTGCTCTGCTATCTTTCTCGCCGAAAGATCGCGCGGCCACGACTGGCGGAGGGAGAGAGAGGGCGGAGATGGGGTCAGGCGCTGACGTAAAGTGAGCGAGCGACTTTCATGCATTCAATGGTGGATGAGCGTCGCACAAGACTCCACAGCGAAGTTGACGAGAAACAACTCTGTGCAGTCGTGATTGGGTTCAGGCTAGCGAGTCCCAAGATCTAGTTTGATCCCTGGATAGGACACCCGGAGCTTGATTGGTGCAGGCACAGGCCGTTGTTTTGATGAAAGAGGAGCAGGACAGAATAGGTAGAACAATCGAAACTTCCGATTAAGAGTAGCTAAGAATTGTACAAGGTAAGTAAAGTCACGACCGGTCGTTCAAGGGGCTCCTGCAGAAGGTACCGAGATGCAGCCACTGGCCTCTCTACAAGTAGACACCAATTCGGGATGCACCTCGCCTAGCCGCCTCCTTTGTCACGCTGAGTTATTGGCTCGGTCTTGCAGATGGCGACTCGCAGTAGCAGCACAACCACCCCCGCCACCGCCACCACCACACCACCGCTTTCTACCGCTCAAGGCGTCGCGCCTATCTGGCCCTGCCCCGTCCCGCTGTCACCGATGTCTCCAGGCTCCAGGTTCGTCAGGACGATGTCCAGCACTGATTGGCTACTACTAACATTGCACTCTTCTGTACTCACTACTCGCTTTCTCCTCGAGAGCGGGGCTCCATCTCTGTCTTGGGTTATTTTTGGCCACGACAACCTCACCTAGCAGCGGCATCAAAATCCTCTAACCAAAAGCTCATGTTGGCTGTTGACAGATGCCTACACGCCCCGTCGCCAGCTAAGTCTGAGGGAGCATGCTCTCAAGAGACGCCATGTTTTTTCGGGTATGGCTTTCTCTACCTGGGGCTGAGGACTGTCTGTTCTAACCAACGTGCTGACGTTTTCCAGTTTGGGCGGCGGAGGACATTTGGCCGTAACGAGAGCACGAATATCTCGGTACTTGAGGACTCATTAGCAAACATCTCTGTATCGCCTTGTGATAAGAATGACCTCAACCACGACGATGGCGACAGCAATGACTCTGTCAGAACAGGTCCGTTGGGCCTCAACCAACTGAGTTCCCCCCCTGAAGCCTTGGTTGAACTAGTCTTTGTTCACGGCTTAGGAGGCGGCTCACGCAAGTCGTGGTCTCATTCGAAGCACGAGGAGCATTTCTGGCCAAAGAGCTGGCTGCCACGAGACCCCGACTTTCAGAATGCTCGCATTCACAGCTTTGGCTACAAATCAGCCAAATCGGAAATTATTTCCACAGTTGCTGGCATCCCAGAATTTGCGGAGTCGCTTCTGACCGCTCTGCGGGATAGCCCAGTCATTCGGCGCAGTCAGAATGCTATTGTCCTTATCGGACACAGCATGGGAGGACTGGTGATCAAGAAGGCAAGTCTTGCGTAGACTCTTACCAGACTGCTATCTGACTTTGCCAGGCGTTTATCCAAGCCCACGCTTCAGAAACATTCAAAGGCCTGGCAGGCCGCATCCGGAGTCTCTACTTCTTTGGAACGCCACATGCCGGATCAGATTTCACGCAAACGTTCCAGACTCTTCTCAAGTTCTTCCCGATCATCCGTGAGACGGAGAATGTTGCAGATCTTGCCCCGACTTCACGCCTGCTAGAATCTCTCAACGAGAGCTTTCCACGCGTGGCAGAAAATATTGAAATTTGCTCATTCTGTGAGACCCAGCAATCAGACATCCTCGGAAAAAAACGTTACGTCGTACCGAAACATTCAGCTCGCCTTTATTACAAGAAGGAGGTGTGCTATTACCTGGATGCAAACCACAGGGAGATGTGCAAATATGACAAACCCGCGAATCCAAACTACATCAAGGTCCGGAACGCTCTGTCAGCCTCTGTAGAGACCATTGTACGGCAATACACGCTTCGAAACCAAGCCGCTCACACCAAAACGCTGCAGTCCCTGCGTGAGTTATTGGACGTTCTGGAACCCCCGGAAGATGATTTCGAGGATTACTATGAGTCCTGCCTTAGTGAGGATGCCTGCTCCTGGTTTATCTCCGGTCACTCGTACCGCGCATGGCGAGATCAAATACGGAGTGAGGTAAAGATGGATGCAATTGTTCCTAACCTTATCTTGATCGAAGCCGAGCCTGGAGCGGGTAAATCTGTCCTCACTGCGCAAGTGATCAACAACTTGCAGGCGCTGAATTACGAGTGCAGTTACTATTTTTTCGACTCCCAAGATCAGCAGAAATCGAGATTGAGTCGCCTCCTTAGGTCACTGGCGTTTCAGATGGCTCTGCTTAGCCCAAGTGTGCGGCAGAGATTGCTCGACCTTCAACAGCAGAATGTTACAATCCCAAGTGATAGTGACAAATCAATTTGGCGCAAAGTATTCACGAATTGCATATTCCAGTCTCCGCTGGAGCGACAACACTACTGGGTCATCGACGGCCTCGATGAATGTCAGCAAGCCACCAGCATCCTACAAATGTTCTTGAGAATTGACCCAGGTACACAACTTAAGATATTTATGACGACGCGGCCAGAGGAAAGTATCCACAGAGAGATATTGCCCTACAGCAATAAAGTGACTCATGTGCGTCTCTCAAAGACCGACACATTGCCCAGCATGCATGCTTACGTTGAGGCACGCACACAGCACCTGAGATTGCGCAGAGAGGAAGACAGGGTCGAGCTTGTCAGATCTATCCTAGACAATGCGGACGGATCATTCCTATGGGTAAAGCTGGTTTTGGACGACGTGAGCAAAGCAACCAGCCCTCAGCAAATCGAGAAATCCATTCAAAATATTCCCAGGGGCATGAATCGTCTTTACACAGACATCGTCGAAAGGCTCAATCACGAGATCCCACAGGAGGAAATACCTGCAACAAAAGCATTCCTGAACTGGGCGCTATGTGCAAACCCTCCACTGACAGTCGGGGAGCTGGAAGCGGCCCTGAAGCTAGAGAAGCTGGACAACTTCGTCGACAGAATGTGCGAAAAGCTCCGAAACTTGATCGTCATCGACCACGGCAACAAAGTGCGTGCGATTCATAAGACTGCTAGGACATTCCTCTTAACATCGGATATCGAATCTGACTTTGTAATATCGTCAAAGAATGCCCATAAAAGAATTACAGACTTGCTTGTCAAGCACCTTCACGCACGCCTGCGTGGAATCCGGAACGCAAATCATCTAAACCACTGGCATCAACGGAAGGCAGGGCTTGATAACTATGCTCTTCTCTATTTCAGCGACCACCTTCGCAGAACACTAGATCACAACGATTACAAAACACGACTACACGATGGCAGTTCACGAGGCCACGATCGCGACACATCACCAGAAGATCAAAATCTATTCCTCGAAGTCGCAGAGTTTTTCGCCGACTGTGGGAACAGTTGGATAGCGTCTATCGCTTCGACTGGCTCGCTGGTTCCGCTCATCAAGACGTCGCAGAACCTCCGATATTGGCTCCAAACTCGGGCGAAGAGCACGCCGCCGCTCGGAGAGCTTGCCCAGAAGACAACAAGAATGCAGCAGTGGACTGTAGACCTCGTCCGACTCGTGGCCAAGTTTGGCAGACACCTCTTGGAGTTCCCAGGCGCAATTTACGTATTGGTGCCATCCTTCGTACCCAAGGAAAGTGTTCTTTCGATCGACAGACCCCGGCAGACACGGGGTCAAAACAAGGTTTCAGTTACTGGTTTCAGCAACGAAAGATGGGATGACCGTCTCTGCAGCATGTTCTACCAAGGAACCACATGCACAGCAGTAGCAAGCGGAAAGCAGAGTTTCGCGGTTGCATTGAGAAATGGAACAGTTCATGTATATGACAACGTCACCTTGCAGATATCAAGGACTGTGCGTCATGGCGCTGTTGTCAAGCTACTGAAGTACGATGACACAGGCTCAATGCTACTCTCGGCGGGCTTCCGTAGAGTCAGAATGTGGGTGATCCCAGAAGGAAATCAGATGTGGGAAGTGGCAGTGCGAGACCCTCTGTTGGCGGCCGAATTTATTGACGAGAATCGCACCCTCATTTCTATTTCGTCGCAACATAAACTGATCAAGCAAGACGCCGCGACAGGCGCTATAATCAAAGCCACCCAAAGAAGGCCAAATGTTTTATTCGATGAAGGTGAGGAAACGCTTCCTTTCTTCCGACGCGAACTTCACTACGCTGAGTTTTCGGCACAGGCCGCCATGCTTGCAACAATGCAGCGTGAACGCCCTATCCAGCTCTCAGATATTGAAGACCGGTATGAAATTGGCATTGTTGAGCTTGAAATGAGCGACGACGGCGACTACGGCACCACCGAACAACCAATCACTGCAATGGCATTCTGTGCAAACCTTGATGTGGCACTGCTCGCTATTGCGTACCGAGATGGCATCCTCGCAGTTTTCGACCGTGATCTTCGTCTCATCGAGAAGAGGGGAGACAACAAAGCTGTCAGTCTCATAGCTGGGTCTCCTGATGGTCTAACCTTGGCTGCTGCAAGTGTTGAAGGAGTCATTACTCTCTATGACTTTGAGCATTTGATACCCTTGCACGTGATTTTCACTTTTTCCTATGAAAACATACGCTCTCTCGTCTTCAGCGGCGACGGCTATCGCATAATTGACATTCGGGATCGACAAGCGAACCTCTGGGCACCTGCAGCTTTGGTCAGCCGTGTGAGAGAAGATTCAGATAGTCTCTCGAAGTCCACGCTGAGTCCGACAGTCGCTACGAGCGACTGGACAGGACTGAAAGATGGTGTTGTGGACATTACCGCCGTTGTCCCGATCACAAACTCTGAGCAATTCATTTGTGGCCGCGAAGACGGTCGCATCGTGATCCACAGCACAGGTGACGCGAACAAGGAGAAGCTGCTATACACGGTCGCGGACAAGCAATGGATAGACAGACTGGTGTGGAAGGCGAAGAACCGAATCCTTGCATCCGTCAGTGGAACTTCGACTGTTACGGTCTCTGTGCTCGCCCCTGACTGGTCGGTCAAGACCGTTCTTCTACGGCACGTCTTTCTCCACCCCGTCTTACAATTACTCTTCCAAGAGACAGCCGAATGTCTACGAATGGCTGTAGTCACGACGAGAACAGTCAGCCTGTGGCTTGCGGAATGTCCCTTGACAGAGCAGTGCTCTCTAACGGAGTCGAGAGTCCAAACCTTCGATAATAATGGATTGTTTCTCGAGGATGCACCAGACCCGACCAGCGTCAGTCACTATGTAACCCTCGTGGAGCCAGACAGGCTTCGAAATTACAGCTGGGAAGACCTCGAAGAAGTCGGGTCTCGAAAACACCTTTCGTTCTGCCTACCGGCCGGTCGATCCCCGACAGATGCAGCCCAAGGCGGCCAAGAAAACATTATAACCTTTGATCGTGCAACCAGCTTGTCTGGAGAAGGTCACCGAATACTTCTCAGGTCCGTTTCCTCACAGACCACAACACTGTCACCCTCGGCATCGACGCCAACAAAATCGTGCAATCGAAAACGCTGGATTCTAGACCTCACACAGCCCAACCCCGCTACGATTGATACCCTCTCGCAACCCACCAGCACAACTGGCGCAGCACTTCGCGCCAATCTTCTTCCAGTCAGTCACCTGATTGAGCACGTCATCGGCATCCGCAACGAGGGCAAGCAGCTGATATTTCTATCCAAGGCTCTCTGGGTATGTTCTTACGACCTTGTTCTAGCCTCAACAAAAGCGAGGAGACTGTCCACAGATCACCGCGTGGGCGAGTACACGCGCCACTTGTTTATCCCCGACGACTGGATCAGTAGCAACTACAACAACGCGACCAGCCAGCTGTTGTTCGTCCTCGGCGGCACCAAGGAGGATTGTCTGGTGTTCGTCAAGAAACATGAGATCGCAGTCATCAGGGAGCCGTTTTCCCACGCCGAGAAGATTCGCATCTCGTGAAAGGCCGGCAGACGTGGTATTTCTTTGCTGCTTATAGTCTACAAGTAAACAAGCGGGGAAATGTTTGGATACATCTTCACTCCGCACGAGCAGCAAGGCTGTGCATCCCCACACTGCTCCGTACAACAAAACTCCAACGTCGGGTTACCGAGGAAAGTGGGATCTCGCTCTAAGCTGAATTCCCCCACCCCAGCCCGCTCTCATCCTGTGGCACCGAGAAGAGGAACCCAGAAGACTGGCCACTGCAAGCATCAGTCGTGTTCGAGCAAAGATTTGCAAACCATTGGCATATTTCGCAAAAGGTACAAAACTCGGAATATACATTCTCGTCATCAGGTCATCAGGTCATCAGCCGGTTCACGCCGTCATGAAGCTCCTTCTTATGCTGTTGAAGCATCCTTTACGCTCCCTTATCTTCTCCTATTCCTTCTTTACCCAGATCCTGCTGCTACTCCTGCGACGGGCCTTACTTCCACACTTCCCGATATACCAGTCTCTTAGGATACAAATTTTTCGAGCGTATCTGGCATCAGCCGCGCTAACCTTCCCCGACCTGACCCATAGGCTTCCAGTGGGCAGATTGTCTCTTCGACGAGCTCGCAAGATAGATGAATCCGTCCCCGCTTACTTGATCCCTGGCTCTCGGGATCTTTCCGAATTTGTCCTGCCCACGACAAAACAGCAACAATGTGTGGTGATTTATGCCCATGGCGGTGGCTACGCGCGCGGCGAAGCGAGAATGTATGTCAACTACATGGAGCGATGGGTCCGAGAAGCACGCAAAGCCAATCTTGACCTCCTCTTCCTGAGCGTTGAATATCGTGTGTCTATCTGTCGTGATGGAACACGACCCAGTGAGCTAATACGTCGCACAGCATTGTCCGTCAAAGAGAGTCATCCGGCACAGAGGAATGCATTCCTCGAAGTCTACAGATATGCTCTCGACAAGAATATTAAGCCTGAAAATGTTGTTTTTATGGGTGATTCAGCTGGAGGTACGAACTGGACGCTACTCATGATCTCATGCTTCTGCTGATTAACTCACTTAGGTGGAGCAAGCGTTCTTGCTGGGCTGGAGCTCAAAGGTCACAACCTTCCGCAGCCTGCGGCAACGGTCCTGATATCGCCATGGCTTGATATGAACGGGAAGGCCTACGAAGGAGGGAACGGCGCAGTCGAAACTGATTACTTCATAGTGGCTAATCAAGCCGTTCCAGCACTCGTCAAGCTATTCATAGGCGATATTCCTGCCGATTCACCGGAGGTCAACCCTCTTTATCATCAGCCCGAAGCGCTTGCAGGGTTGAGCCCGCAGTTGATCTTGACTGGAGGAGCGGAGTTTGCTCGATATGACTCTGAAAAATGGGCCGAGCTGTGTCGCGCTGCAGGAGTGGAATGCAAGTTGGTCATCGAATGGGCTCAATTGCACATCTATGCAGTCGGATCGAAGTTCATCTCCCCGGCTGTTCGCAAGAAAACCGATGGTCTGATCATCCAGTGGATCAAGGATCATGTGCGGGCGTCAGAAAAGACAATTGATGGCTCCACATCCACGGACGTCTGAATCCGGGTCCGGCACTGGAAGGAATTGGGGCTTCGTGGGAATATCCCATTCGTTAAGATCATAGAGTAGTCTTGGGTTCTTTTCGTAGAGCGCATTAATCAGAAGGCTGCAGATGAACGGGTACATCTTTGAGGAAGAGCTCAGGCATGTTATTCACACTTTGTGACTGCTGATGATTATGCGAACTGCCCGCAAGGCAAGATGGATTCCGAAATCATTTTATATCGTGTCACATGGCACAGGGCAAGTGGACAGCCCAATTGAGGGTGGCCAGGTGGATTGTCGGTGGAGAATATCAAGTAGAAACCTCCATCCGTCGAGCGCTCGATCTTCCTCGGCATTGAAGTAGCTCAATCTTCTCGGATATATCCATGAAACCACGTCTTCTCGTTATAACTTTGATTTTGCTTCAATGAAATTGATGCTGGCCTTGTTATGCTCTGCCACAGAAAGCAATTGGCCTGTCCGTTTGTCTCTCATCTCACCACGAATCGTAGACAAACGGGCTCCTTGCTGCAACACCTCACACTCGATGAGGAGGTCCATGTTCTGCCGCACAGGTCGAAGGTATGTAATCAACAAAGTTCTAGATACACCTCCAAACCACCAAAAGTCTCTCCTTGCTAAAGGTGCGGCAGCCATTGTCGTGCACATGTCGTGAATCATCGCCACAGCTCCGCCATGCATGTTGCCCATGCGATTTGTAAAGAGAGGAGCGGCTTTCATCTCGAAAACAGCGGTTGTCTTCCCTAGTGTGCTGGAGGCGCTTACAATCTTGATGTGGTCACGCATGAAAGCTTGATCAAATGTCTAGAGAGTAGAAGAGACTGAGTAAGAGCAGGGCCCAAAGAAAGGCTAGGTTTTATATTTCCCACAACGTACCTGCATGTGTGCCGTAGCGGCATTTCGATATGCATCAATGTACGCCTCTATCCTCTCCTTAGGATCCGGAATCGTAATATCAAATGCCATTCCAGGAGTCTTCAATAACTCTGTCGTATAGCGCTGGGCCTTCGGGGCCTTGGGGTCCTCCATTTTCAGCTTGCGCGGAAGTGAATTTCCAGTGGACCAGGACCGTGATGGCGTCTCTAGAAAGAGTCTATGACATTCCGGATGATACTAGAGGGCGCGAGGCCTTCATCGTGTCTGAAAAGTAACCGACTGCACGGCGCAGCAGGTCCTGATATAGAAGTCACGTTTCGTCAGCTTCTGACCACCTAACTGTGGTGCCCGGCGAGCCGGCAGGAGCTGAAATAGCCGAGGCAAAGCCAAAGATGGTCTTTCAGTGTTATCCGTCGTTTCTGACTCGTTTCACAATCTCGCTGCCCAACCCACGAAGGGAGATGGAGCAGCCCTTCGCCGTCCAAGATTTGTACTGAGCATGAAACTAATCCGATCTCAGAGAGAACATCTGACCCTTGCCGACGCCGAGCCAAATATTGGAGTTCGGTCAAGATTCCCAGCTTTCCCCCGAGAGCGGCGCCGAGCCCGAGACCAACACTCCAGTGCCCGACGTGGAACTTGGAAAATGCCCGGTTCAGGGCTTTCTGCTAATATACGTCTCTTATCGGTATGGATCTACCATCGGGTAAGAGGTATCCTATTCGAAGTTCGACCTAAGGCGACAAATGGCCGAATGGCGAAATCTATGGCGCCCATGCCGAGGGGATGTGGTGTTATCAAGAAGGTGATCTTCTAGAAATACTCGTTTATGATGTTCTCTAAGGTTCAAATTGTCAATGATATCCCCAAATACTCGTTTATGATATTCTCCAAAGTTCAAATTGTCAATGATATCCCAACATGGTACATTCCGTCGACCAGTTACAGGTAGTCACGGCGGCTGGCGTTAAAGAAGAAGCCATGAATACTACCACACTCAAACCTACACTGAATGGTGTCTTGGAAACCTCTCTGCAATCCTCAGCTGCAGAAGGTCCGAAGATGATCAATGGCAGTATCAAAGATCCATGCAATAATTACCAGATCCGCGAAAGTCCCATGGGCACGAAACGCAAGCTGAAGGTCATCTTCATGGGCATGGGATGCAGTGGGATCAATTTCGCCTATCAGCTTGGAAAGCAGATGGAGAATGTTGAACTGGTGATCTATGAGAAAAACAGCGACATCGGTGGAACCTGGTTGGAGAACAGATACCCTGGATGTGCATGCGATATTCCCAGCGTCTGTTATCAGTACAGTTGGCATTTGAAGCCGGATTGGGAACGCTATTACTCTGGGTCCAAACAGATTTACCAGTACTTCCGACAAGTAGCTGAGGACTTCAACGTGCTGAAGTTCGCGCGTCTGAACCACAGAATTATCCGAGCCGAGTGGCTCGAAGCTGACGGCCAGTGGAAAGTCACCATTATGCGCAACAATGATCCTACTGATACCTTTGTCGACTACGGAGATTTCTTCCTCAATGGTGGCGGCGTGCTCAACAACTGGCGATGGCCTCAGATCAAAGGCCTAAATGACTTCAGCGGTCCTCTTCTGCACACCGCTCGTTGGAACGAGAACGTGGAGTTGCAAAATAAGCGAGTTCTTGTCATCGGTGCCGGCAGCTCAAGTGTACAGGTCGTACCGACCATCATCGGCAAGGTTGATCAGCTCTACGTCGTTGCTCGGTCACCAATCTGGGTGACGGCAGGCTTTGCACCGACATATGCCGGCCCGAATGGCGAGAACTTTTACTATTCAAAACAGACGCAGCAGAAATTCACAGACGATCCGCAGTTCTACTTGTCGTACTGCAAAGCCATCGAGTCCGAGCTGAATATACGCTTCAAATTCTATATCAACGGCTCCGAAGATGCAAAAACAGCCAGGGAATACTCAATCCGCGAAATGCAGAAGAAGCTGGAGAAGAAGCCCGAGCTGATGGACAAGTTGATCCCGTCTAACTTTGGCGTAGGGTGTCGCCGCCCCACACCCGGCAATGGATTTTTGGAAGCATTGACGCTGGACAAAACTACCGTTCTCACAGAAGAGATTCAAGAGGTGACACAGACAGGATTCATCGATGGCAAAGGCCAAGCGCATGAAGTGGACGTAATTATCTGCGCGACCGGGTTCGACACAAGCTTCCGACCGTCATTTCCTATGTTTGTCGACGGTAAGAACCTCCAGGAAGAATTCGTAAACGGCGATGTCACAGGCTACTTAGGCCTGTCTATGCCTGCGGTCCCAAACTACTTTGTCTTCATCGGGGCTTACGGCCCGCTGGGCCACGGTTCGGTGATCCCCATGGTGGAAGCATACACCAACTACATCATCCAAGTCTTGCAGAAGGTGCAGGTCGAGGACGTCAAGAGCCTGCGTGTCAATCGATCAGTGGCAGAGGCGTTCACGCGCCACGCGGATCTGTACCTGAAGCGGACGGCATGGTCTGGTCCGTGCAGCTCGTGGTTCAAAAATGGCATCTCCTCCCGCAAGCCTCTTTGTTGGCCGGGTTCACGAGTGCATTACCTGACGATGCTGCAGAAGCCCCGCTTCGAAGACTTTGACCTGGACTATCTGTCAGACAATCGTTTCAACTTTCTCGGTAACGGGTTCGATGTTCGCGAGTTTGATGGAAGAGACATCACTTGGTATTATGGTTTGTTGGACGGTGAGGATAAGCAGCCTACATCATTTCCAGACCCTGTCTATTGAAGGCGAGTGCGGGAACGAGACAAACATCGCTTTAGAACCCCAACCAGCAGCTTTGAAAATATATATATATATATATATCACCATCTCACCCTAGGTAGACTCACGCATCAGATTTGCACAGAAATCCTCGAGAACCTTCAACAGCAATTTATTTCATAGACCTGGCCTTCCAGTATGCTTCATTGGCTGCCAAAAGATTGCCTTGGGTGCAGGCATTGTGTAGGATCGTTTCTGGTTAAATCATGAGCACAACTGAACTGCCAAATTTGGGTATACCGGTTCTGATACTCTCTGCTCACAGAAAATCGTTGAGGGGATCCATGATGTCGCTAGTATGCTCCATACCCAGCAGATTCTGCAGCCAGTTGTAGTTATCCGTTACCGGTAAAATGCCAAAAGCGTCGTCCGCCATCGACATGGAGAAATCTGCATCGGTACTCGCGGCAATTGACCCACCTTCCCAGTTGTCCATGCGTCCAGTTGGGGCTTGCTTCTGGAAGCCGGGAGTTCCATCTTGAGGGTTGGTTTGGGGAGTACCTTCAGTTCGATCCTTCGCCTCATTCGGTGACGCTGTCGTAAGACCGAGGCCTGTCCGGGCCACGACGGCTTCAAACATGCGTAACGTCCAGATCAGGCGACTCCAGTATTCGCAGCTCTCACGGAGATATTCAAGTTCGGCGTAGATCTGCGTTTTCGTGGCGAGAAGTTTTCGGGAACTGGTAGTAGGGTCGAGAGCGATTTCGATGCGCATTGCTAGTATTGTGGATGCACATGTCATGCTACGCGGTTTCTGGTCAGCAAGTGCGCGAACACGGATGGCGGCGCAGATATAATTACGCCGATTAGACATACAAGGACAGAGGGCAGAGGTGAAGCACCTCATGCATAGAGGCACGTTGAATGATCGTAGAGAGCTCAAACATGGCACTCTCTTGTCGCTGGGCTACTCGCTGCATAGAAGCAGGGTCGTTCTGAGTCCGATAGTGATCTTTGACGGCTCGGCAGAAAACGGCCTCGAGACGGAATCCCATCGCGAATAGGACCAGGACCCATATATTATCCGAAGACCACTCCTGAAAAGTACCGATCTGCATCTCTGGGGGTAATTGTTTCCGCCAGGAGCAGATTTCGTTGCTGACATGGGCAATCTCCTCAGCACTCGGTATTTTGTTTGGTGTTTTGAAGTCTCGGATGAAAAGACCACCTAAGGCAAGGGAATTAGCCCAAAAAAAAAGCCGAATTCGTAAATGATGAAGCGGCTAACTTATTATTGACAGTTTGCTGTACTCGACCATGAAAAGTTTCTGCAGCCGTGGTATTGGACAGAGGATATCCCGAAACTGTACCGGGATCTCCGTGTCTTCTTCCCAATCTGACTCAGTCAGAGGAGCGGTGTCACAGTATCTGTCATTAAACCTCCTCAGATTGTCGACGCCTGAAATCGTCAGAAGCGTGTCCCGGTTGTACAAAACCCACCAGATACGGCGAAACAGCCTTTTCGTCCGGGCGCCCAACGTTTCTGAGACGTAGTTTCGATGAAGTCCCATCTGAGTGGCGATTCTGACTGCATTGCTAAGCCAGTAGCGATAGTCTTTGTCTATTGCGTACGAAAACGATAATGAACTTAGCATGACGGAGCCCTGGAGTAGATGGAGCTGGCTTTTCTCACACCCAATGTCGTACAGCAGTCTCGCTTTGGAATATAGTGACCGTTGAGCAGCTACTCTATCCGTATAGCCAGCTTCTTGGAGAAGTTCTTTAGGAGCGTGAGGAACTGCATTTGCGAGGATTGATTGCAAGAGAAATGACGAATGGCGATCGGCTCGATAGTCTTGCATAAACTTCACACGGTCCAGGATAGGTGCGTAAGGGTAGACACAGGCAAAATACACACGAACAAGCGCGTCGCTAGTAATTTGTCAGTCTTGCAGTGGGGTATGTGTGGCCAACATAAGGACATACCAAATCCGAGGAGGAGGAAAATCAAGGGCACCTTTTGCTGCTATGTATGCCATATCGGCATGGTCCAGACCCGGAAAAGGTTGATGAGTGCAGACCTTGGACCCGTCGTTCGCGACAACAACCCGAACCAGACGATTTGGCCGCTGCCGGCCCAGAACTTCGCCAAGTATTGTCATCGAATTGATCCCTTCGTGCAGCTCGATCACCTCTCGACGATCCAGATTTTGCGCTTGATATGAAGGTGACATCGCCGCAGCCCTTGCTCGGGACATTTCTTGGCAGATTCGAAAATGGACGTCTTCCTCTCTTGTTGGCGCGTCACCACCGCCACCCGGTTCAGGTTGTTCGTCCTCGATCGAACAACCCATGACTGGCGACTGCCGCAGGTGATGCCGCTGATCGGGTGTCACACTAGTCACTTGTGGTGAGCTATATAGCCCGGACATCGACCCTGCATGTGGATGTTCAGGTGGTACCAGCTGGCCCGACGTCTGTTCCGAGAGATATTGGTACATGTAGAACGGCGGTGTGGTTTACCGAGAAGGCTTACCCCATAGTCTCCCGATGACAGTCCCTTGTCAACATCGACTGGCAACAGCGCTGCGGTCTGTAAATCCTGGGTTGTCCTTTGTCTCTTAAACTTGATAGCACTGGAAAGTCAATCTCAAAGTTCGTATGAATAGATAATGTGCGCGCGAATAGCCTACCTAGCGACACCTCTGTGCGAGCTATTGGCAAGCACACAAGTGCTTGCTTGATTCCGGCGCTTGCATCTTGTGCAGGGAACTCCGACTTCCCAGGCATTGCATCTGACTTTGCGGATATGGCAGTGCAGGCAAGCACGTGGCTTTTTAGCCGGGCGAATGTCGAGGTTGGTCAGCCCATGTTGTTCTTGAAAAAGCGAGGTCATAGTGTCTTGACGAATTCCTAATGAGATTGCGACACAGACCTGGAATGCGATGGCAAGCAAACAAATCTCAAACCTTGAGGGAGGATGCGAAAGGATCCCTCGAAATGCGGAGAAAAGAGGTGGCTAGGAACAAGGCTTATTTTCTTGGCATCACTACGATCCATTCTGGGGTACCTCGTAGACTTCTGGGGACAAACTAACCCTATTGAGGAATAATTTCAGCCTCGTGCCGAGGTTGTAAGCCAGCGCCTCAGCACCCCGCTCCGTTCCCACTTTCCTCATACCTCGTAGAAATGGCGAACCTCAGTGAGAACTCGGCACCGAGCCTTGGCGCTTTAAATTCCCAGAGCTCGGCGTCCCCTTTATTTCGTGTCTTCTAGTCCTTCGGTCTCCGGCATCTCCGCTGGGAGAGCGATGGTCACTCAGAAATCCCGGCTCTGCAAGGTAATGAACTCCTTGTTGCGCTATCCAATTGCGAGGCTGCTAAACATAATTGTCGTTACAAGGTACATGCGTCCGGAAAAGTTTTGGTGATGGATTCATAAGCCAACATACCAGAGGTGCTACACGATTCAAGTCTGCTGATTGCGCACATGAACTGAGCACCAGTCTCGACTCCTACACTCAGTAACATTGTGCTATCTAGGTTCATCCGACACCGGAGGTGCGTGGTAGACCTTTCACTGAGACTCGCAGAATGTTCTCAAATATAGAGAAAGCCTGGGCGGTTCTCCTTGTCGCACCCGTTGTGGTTTTACTGGCATGTTTGGCCCAGTTGGTATGTACGACAGTGAGATGGAAAAATGCACCACCAGGTAAATGGAACCGAAACAACCATGTTAATCATCTCCGCCATTCTGACCTTCGGGCAGGTCCGCCCACTCTACCGATAATCGGTAATCTTCACCAGATACCAAAACGCGACCTTCACCTCCAGTATCAGAAGTGGGGACAAAAATGTGAGTTGGTAGCGCCTTCGAATGTGACAGCAAAGCTGAGAAGTTGGCTTCTTCTCTTCAGATGGGCCTATTTTCTCACTGAAGCTTGGGTCCCAAAGTGTAGTAGTCCTAACCAGCGGTGAGATGATCAAGAAAATGGTCGACAAAAAGAGCGGCAACTACTCTGATAGGCCAAAGCTATACATGCAAGATATCTGGGAAGGTTCACGGATTATCATGCGGGGCTACGACTCCCTCTGGAAAGTGGAAAGAAAGCTCTATCACCAATTCCTGAATATCAACAAGGCTGGAAGATATATCCCGTACCAAGATCTTGAAACGAAGCAATTGATTGTCGATTTATTGGAAAACCCGGCCAACTTCGAGGACCTCATTACGAGGTCGACGCTGAGTATAGCAACTAGTATGGCTTATGGGTTCCGGGTCCTCGATACCAAGAGTGAAGTTATGCAAGAGTTATTTAAGAACACTCACGGCTTCTTCGTCATGGTCAACAGCAGTAAACTCCTGGATTGGTACCCTCAGCTCCGTCCTTTACTTCGACTGATGCCTTCATGGCTTTACCCAATGGCGAGAGAAGCAAAACAAATATTTTATCGCGAGAAGACACAATTTCGACAATTATATGAAGATGCAAAATGCGCTTCACAGATGGATAATTCGTTGCCAAGTAAAGACTCCTCCCAGGCTGGATGGACAGGCTGAACCATACTAACTAACGGGATCTCACATAGGTTTTGCAGCGGACATTAGCAGAGCCAAGGAAACCTGGAAAGGCACAGAGAACGGTAGCCTTCTTACAGACCACGCGGGTTCTTATATCGCGGGAATTGCCATGGAGGGTGCTGCAGACACCACGAGCAATACATTGGCTGGCTTGATAAAGGTCAGTGTCCGGCCCGCCCAATACAAGTACTAATTAAATATCTAGCTAACCTCTCTCCAGGCTATGATGCTATTTCCTAACGTTCAACAAAAGTGTCAAGAGGAGCTTGACGCAGTGGTTGGCGGTGGTAGACTCCCTACCATTAATGATTTTGAATCCCTGCCGTATATCCGGCAAACTACGAAGGAGGCATTGAGATGTAAGTGTCGGGACAGAATTCTCCCTGATTTTTCTGCGACCCCCTCGCACAAAATCGCTCAGGATGTACGCACTTAGGGCTCCCGACTGCTATCAGCGGTGCCATCCCGCACGCAGCGCTCTCCGAAGACATCGTCGATGGCTACCGCATTCCCAGCGGTGCAACAGTTGTCATGGCCGTATGGTCTGTAAATAATGACTCTAGCCTGTTCCCCAACCCACGCAAATTCGACCCGAGCAGACATGATCCGAACCTCTCGTTTTCAGAAGCAGCTGCAGCCCCGGATTTTCGGGACCGCGACAATTGGACCTTTGGTGCTGGAAGACGTATCTGTCCTGGCATCCACATTGCAGAGAGAACTCTCTTCCTGGCCGCTGCTCGGTTGCTATGGACGTTCGAGATTCGAAAAGCCAAAGACGCTTATGGGCGCGACATTGATGTGGACATGGATGAAGTCACTCAATCGATTGCCGCTCGCCCCCTTCCTTTCCCGTGAGTCGATCACCGTACCTTAGATTCTCATTGCTTGACTAGTCAGATTGACTGATAGTCCTGGTACAGTTGCAACTTCGTCCCTCGCAGTGACAAGCACGTCCGAGTGGCTCAGAAAGAATGGGCGGAAGCGCGGCAATTGCTGGATGAGCATGGAAATTACAAGCATAATGTACTTCAATAGTTCTTGAAAGCTGGCTCCTTGGCATGTCTCGTTCGTACATCTTCTCCTGGGATGTTGGCCCTTCGTCACTGGCACTTCAATCCAAAATACTACTTATACATTCTGCATCTTAATCTTTGCTTTGCTGACCAGTTTAAAAAAGCCGTTCTTGTCCCGTACGAATCGCAGCACGAACTTATTGCTGCAAATCAACGAGACAGAAATTAAGCCTAGATCACCCCCCTGTGCAGCACCAGTCCTCCATCACAGGGTATCACTGCGCCATGTACGAAGCTCGATTTCGGACTGCACAAAAAAGCCATGAGCCAGGCGACATCCTCAGGCACTCCGAGGCGACGGACCGGCGTGATTGCGACCAGTTTTGGCGGCGCGTCGGCAGGGCTCGTCTGGCGAAAGAGCTCAGTGTCGATCATGCCCGGACACACGACGTTGATTCGAACTCCACGGGGGCCGTAGTCCTGCGCATCGGCTTTGGCAAGCCCGATCAGCGAATGTTTGGAAGCACAGTATGCTGACATGCCGCTAGATGCATTCATCCCCGCAAGGGATGAAACCGTGACAATGCTCCCTCGCGTTTGGCCGTGACCTTCGAGAGGTGGCTGTTTCATCATTTGTCGGATCTCAGCTCGATGGCAGAGCCAGGTCTGGACAGGTAAGACTGGTTAGCAGTTGCGTGCCATGGCTTTATAATATTCTGAAAGGATGTGTGTGGGATAGTAACGCATAATTGTGCGAACCACACCTACTCCATGAGCATTGACATTGATCACTTTATCGTACGTCTCTAGGTCGACCTCAGCGATCCCTTTCCGCTGGGGAACCACACCAGCAATGTTGAGAGCATAATCCAGGCGGCCGAATACCAAGACACAAGCATCGACCATCTGCTGCACAGAGACCTCGTCAGAGATGTCAGTGCGTTGGATGTGGACAGCCGTCGAGGGATTGATCCTTTGGATTTGATCCTTGGTCTCTTCTAGTCCATTATAGTCGATGTCCGCCAGCAGCAGCCTTGAGCATCCTTCTTCTGCAAAGGCTATTGCGGTGCCGCGTCCGATACCTTTGGAAAGACATTGGCGACGCTTGTGCGAACGGATGTGGGTTTCTTACCTGAGGCTGCGCCTGTGATCAGACAAACACCAGGCAAGTTGAAGGTCATGTCGAGGATTGTCAACCTGAATGAAACCTTCTCTGCGAACACATCTGTCGCCTGCACCTTATCGTTCAAGTGATATGATCATTGATCCACCAACAAACCGGAGATGGCCCGGAGACCGCTGCGGAGGGAGATAAAATGCTCGGTATCGGCACCACATTATAATCCCGAGTACTAAGAGTACGCCGAGTTCTTTACGAGACCGAGGCCAGTGGGCACGCAGGCCCCGCTCTCGGGGCATCATAAGCGTATATGGGAATCTTGTAGTGTAATCAAGGCTTGGCAGTCTATTAAGAAGAGTCTCACACGGCGCGGAGTATGGCTCCCTTCCAAAAAGCTCGCCATGTCTATTTTGTCAGGTGTTGCACTGGTCATCGGAGCAGGCTCTGGTAAGTTTAAGGCTTTGCGTGTCGCTAACCAGCACTCATTATCTTAGACGACGGCAGCGCTGTTGCTCACTTACTGGTAAAGAGTGGCTGTCGCAGACTGATCCTGGGTGACCGGGATGTTTCAGCGCTCGAGAAGGTAGTGGGCGAATGTCGTAACTTGGGAGATGCCAGTTTACGAATCATCAGCGAGAGATGTAATACGAATGAACCCTCCGATATCGACCGGCTCATTGCGGCAGGAGTCAAAGAATTTGGCGAAATAAATTGCTGCGCGAACTGTGAGAGACCGAGGGGCATTGAAGGCAGGACAACGGAGACGCCACGTACACATTTCGTCCAGGACACCGAGGTTTGGCAGAGAGGAGTAAGTTGACATGAGTCGTGATCCATTAGTTTGCATGTCCGCTGTAGAAACTAATCAATGCGTTCTTCAGATCTGGCTGGCGATGAGAGCAGAGATCCGTCAGTTTTTGGCCCAGAAGGAGCAGGGAAACCTCAGTCTATGCAACATAGTGAACGTGGCCGCCGCTCATGGATTCGCGAGCGACAGAGGTTTTCCAGGATATTGTGCTGCGGCACACGGAATTGTGGGGATGACGAGGGCAACGGCCATGGACTATTTGGCCAAGGCTATTCGTGTCAATTGCGTCTGTCCAGGCCCCGTGGAGCCTATTGACAGCGATGCTATCTCCGCAAAGGGCTCATTACCGCCGGCACCGATAGGGCGGTATATTACTACCGCAGAAGTGGCTCAGGCTGTGGTCTTCCTTCTTGGGGATGGCGCGGCTGCTATCACGGGCATTGAGTTACCGGTGGATGGCGGGTGGTCACTATACCATCATTGACCCAATTCTCTGTGGTGAGTGGATTGATAGGGGTGCCTCAACCATCCCACCCTCGCGTTGAGAGCACAGAATCCGACTGAGTAAGAGCACAGATTGATACTTTCTCGCTTTATTCAATATGCGTGGTTAATCAGTGCGAATCCCGCTGTCTCGGTCTGGACTTGCGTTATCCTTATTACCGATAGCAGCTTGGCTTTAGCTACCATGTAGAAACACACCTTGGCCCAGAAGGTATAAGACGATGGCGCTGTGACGATTCTAGACTACAACTCCTTTACCTAACCTCCGCGTAAATGAATAGACCACCTCGACCCCGAGGGCCGATTGCCTCCAGGCTAGAGTGAAAATATGTCAAAATCATGCTCAGAAGATAGACTTAACTTTCCGAGACTCAATGGATGCCACCACACTCAGCGGCGAGGGTAAATTGCCATCTAGAAAAACACCATGCCATATTTCAAGCGAGAACGATCTTGCTGAACTTGTCTGAAACTGCAGGACAGCCTGAGTACCGGAGCCTCATTCCCATCAAACATGACAGCTACTCATACCTTAAAGCAGGGCGTGGATACAAACTTGAAACCTATCACAGTCAATGACAGTGGCTGGTTTCAATGAGCTAGGTTGGCTGGCAATTTGCTGGTAAGAGTAGATCTCTAAATCGGGGGTCGTCTAGTAGTTACTGTCGCAGATCAGTCTCGAATTGAGAAGTACCAGAGGGCCAAAGCCCGACGATGAGGAATCTAGCATTCTCCTGCAGACAGGTACCGGGGTGTTCGATTGTCATCCTCTGCAAATCGTAGCTAACCAACCTCATTCTGAAAGATCTCTTCAAAGGAGTGGAGCGCGATGCGTTGATGGATGCTCTCGCAGGAACCTCGACCCCCCGAGATCGAAAGGGCATCAGAAATTACACGGGGCCGCAGCTTGCTTTTATTATCGTTCAATTCAGGCTTTTGGATGATCGATTGTTGCACGTCTGAGGCCAGGAATCTTCTACATATTCGTCAGACAATCCGCCGCCATTCCCTTTCATTTGCAGGTTTCTCACGGCCATCATCTTGACCATCAAGACTGAACACGCCCCTGCACTCAACACGGTCAAGAAGAACCTAGAAGACCAAAGATTGGTCAATAGATCCATCCCTGGCAACACAGTACATCAACTTGTTTTTGCAGCTTTTGGCCTGGTCACAGCACTCTTCAAACCTTCGCTCGCCCCCAGAGCCGACAATCTCCAACTTGCGGAGCCACAGCCCAGTACGACTCTGCGGCGAGCTGGAACGTGGCATTCCAACGGCAAAGACATAGATGAAGATATCGTGGATATCTCTCTCTGCGATCTCTTGTTTCGTTTCTCTGAGAGCAACGAGGGCCCCGTACCGCGCCCTATTTCGCGCGACACGAAGGCCCCGCCACTTGTATTGTTGAATCTGAGCTACTATACCCTAGCGGAGCTGGCTGGTTTGCAGATCGAATGGATCGATTCCATATGCGAACACTTGGAACTGGATACTAGAAGGAAGACTCTCAAGCTGTTTCGCACCGCCATGCAGCCAGCAGGAGCCGAGGACGGAGATTTTGACGGAGAGAAGCGGCTGCGGTCGGCCCACTTCTTTCGAGAAGTGGTCTATTCGTATGGCTCTGTTCTTAGCGCAAAGTCGTCACAGCAGTTCCAAATTCTGGTCCGATCAAGGCAGCGGGCGATCGCAGCTCCCGGACCACAACGGCGACCCTCTGCTCGAAAACCTATACTCTACTGAATGGTCGACAGCTCTCATTGATGATATGGGTATCGGAGATGTTAAGTTGTCCTACAAGCCGGAGACGTATTTCCCGTTTTTCGCCCGTCGATTGGAAATATTGCAAGAATTCAGCCTCGCGCAGACGCCAAGCTCGTGGAAGCTTCTATGGAAGGATCGAAGAGACCTCAATCGGTTCTACACCTTGTGGGCTACTCTGATATTTGGCATTCTTACCTTGAGCATGGGACTGATTCAGATCTTACTCACTATCGCACAGGTTGTAGCAGGCTTCAGGGTCAACGGCGGAAACTAAATGCTAGTGAGACCACAGTTGCAGGATATCCCTCTACTTCGTCACGAGGAGTCTCGCCAGGATAATTTGTGTCTCCCGGATGTCCTATAATTGAGACAAAAGATTTGAATCTTTCGACAATGCCGGAGTCGAGTGGATGAATCAGGAATAATACGGAGTCGCCGATTTTGGCACTGATTGCAGGATTATAAGCGGCATTGGGTTTGGTGTCATTACAACATAGACCAAGAACTGGTGGCAGAAAACTTCCGATGAGAATCTGAATGTCACAATGTCTCAAGATCTCAATGCCCTAAGGCGACTATTCTACCCAAGGTCAAAAACAATTCTTACCGATCTGCCTTGTCCCAGACCTGTCTCTCAGCCTAAGTCGAACTTCCAATCATTGCAGGAGGTGGTGCGAAGGCCTCTGGGAATGGGTGTTCCCATGCCATCATGATTCGCAGCAATGCACGCTCATCTCGTGGACGAGCTATAACGTTTAAACCATGAGCTCTACCATTGAGGCGTGCGAAGCCCAATGCTACCTTAGCCACGGGACAGCCAGCAGCGGAAGCGACACTGACACGTCGAGAGTCGGCAGGCGCCATAATGACATCAACTTCGTTTTGATGGAGTGCATCCTCAACACCGTTGAGTGCTTCTGCTCTCACTCTTTTTAGTAAGGATTTGTATTCGGTTGCATTCATGCCTGGTTTCAGGCAAAATTCGAGTTGGCCTTGACTGGGATGCTCTGCGAACTCGGCAGCACAGTGTAGAGCTCTCGGTTCGCCTGTATGATTTAGCTCACTCGGTGGTAACTCTTGGTCGGCATGCTCCCTGTTAAAATCAACAAAAAATTCGAGGGTTGGAACTGTTGGGTTGTCAAATAATGCGAAGTGAGAGGCATAGACTCCTTGAACTTTGCTCCTGCGGGAGTTGTTAATGGAATTTGGGCACAAGACCGCCTATACGCACCCACGATGTCATCGAAACTGTTTGACGTCTTGACCAGATCTATGTTACGAGCCACGCGCGCGCCTGCTCTTTCAATCTTGCGTGCCGCAGCATTGCTCTCTGAGATCTGTAGTTCTTGGAAGCTGCATGAAAAAAAGAGGATAAGGCTGGGCTACTTACTGATTGCTGTTTGAAGTCCTCATTTGGCTCGGTGACGAAATCAGCGGGTTGCCACTCGTTGAACTCAATGAAGCCCACTCGCAATCCTTTCCACTCCAGAGACAGATCGCTTCGCGGAATTTGAGCCGATGGAGGGCCCAGTACAAAATTCCAGAGATTGAGGATATCAATGGTTGATTTCGACAATACACCGAGAGAGTCGAGATCAGGATTTCCCGGTTGCACTCCAGAAGTGTCGACAAGAGCGGGTGTGGCTTTCAACCCGAATATTGCCGCGCGACTCGCAGGTTGCACCTGTTGTACACAGAACAGGAGTGGATCTATCTGCTTGATTGTGTTCTGCCCCCCTGGCTATTCAAAGAGACTCTGCCCGTTTATATACACTTTGGCCTGTAATCTGAAGGGCGTTCCTGAAACCTCCTATTCCGTCGTCATCCTATCACAGATCAGCGAGAACAACGGCGTTGAGGTAAGTGGCACGGTTGGTGAAACGCCTAGCGGTCTCAGGTGGTTTGCCACACGGTGGCTATCTCGGAACCCTGTCAACGCCTTCCCAGCTTGCTAGGTAGGTATATCCAAGGTATATCTTAGAAATTAGTAGAGTCTAGCCTGGCATACAATTTGGATTAGACTAAGTACTGATAGAGCAAATCGGTGCCTACTTGTACCAGTATGTGATTAGCGCGTCTTTAGAGCTCAAAAGGCTCACTATCATAATTGCGTAAAATACTCGGTACGTCATATGATGTTTGAATAGAGTATGTAGACCGAACAATTATTATGTGCGCTTAGTACGCACCGCTTGCGGGGATGGGTCGCGAGGAGTTCTTCCTTGCCTTGGCATTTGCGGAGCACTTTTTGCAAGTGTCTAGCAAAATATTTCCCACCCTTGCGACGGGACACGCTCTCAATGCTTCAACAGGCACTGATCTTCACTTGCATTTGATTATTATCTAGCATAGCAAGCCATGCCTCCCACTTCAACCTCCATAAGGGCGCCCTCCCAGCCCACCCAGCCTTCGCGCAAAGGCAAAAAAGCATGGCGCAAGAACGTCGACATTTCCACCGTTACCTCTGGGCTCGAAACCCTCCGCGAGGAAATAATCCAGCATGGCCGGCCCCTGGCAGAGAAGGAGGAGAGCGAATTGTTTACACTGGATACAACGGGCTCGAAAGAGGAGGCATTGCGACGGGCAAAAGAGGCCAAGACGCACAAGGGGAAAATTTTGAAGATGGATGAAATCCTGGGAAGGAGGAGCGCTGTTCCCGCATTGGAAAATTCAAAGACTAGCAAGAGGCCGCTCAACGCTGTCGTGACCGACGGGGTGCTTGAGCCCTTGAAAAAAAGGCAGAAGAAAGACTGGGTGAGCAAGAAGGAAGTTGCCCAGCTGCGAAACAATCTTGATAAGACGTCCCATTTGGAGATTGACAACATCGACAACGCCACCTCGACTTTCGATCTTTGGGGCGACAGCAACCTGTCCGACGCCGTTCAAGCAGGAGAACTCGCACCCGAGCCTACTGCTACATCCAACTCCAACGCAACCAAACAAAATGAATACATCCCCAAACCCCGGGCCAAAGTCGCTCCCTCTTCCATCCGCCGTCCACCTGTCGCTCTGACATCAAGCGGTCTGCCCACCCAGGCCGTGCCAAAACCCGACGCAGGACAGAGCTACAACCCGTCATTCGAGGACTGGGATTCCCTCCTCACCCACGAAGGCGAGAAAGAAGTGCAAGCCGAGCAGCGCCGTCTGCGAGAGGCACAGGTCGCCGCGCAAAAACAGGCGCGGATCGACGAGCTCGCAAAGCAGCCAGATCCGCGGCCGGAAGACAACCAGGAAAGCGAATGGGAAGGCTTTGAGACAGAGGACGAGCATGATCACCAGGAACTTTTGAAGAGGAAGAGGCCCGAGCGGAAAACGCCTGCCCAACGGAACAAAATCAAGCGCCGCAAAGAAGCAGAGCGGCTGGCCAAGCACCAGGCGAGAATGGCAGAGCGGCACAGAAGGGGAGAGGACATGGTGAGGGCCTTGATCGAGAAGCACGAGCGCGGTGAGGAACTCGGCAATGCCGACCCATCGACAGCTGCAGCCAGCGACCCGGAGACGGTGGTGCTACGGCGGAAACCCACGCTGGGGCCCTCGAGCGCCTCGATCCCGCCCGCGCCGCTCGAGCTCGTCCTCCCAGACGAGCTGCAAGACTCGCTGCGCCGGCTGAGACCCGAGGGGAACCTGCTGTCGGAGCGGTTCCGGAACATACTGGTCAACGGCAAGCTGGAGGCGCGGAAGCCCGTGTCGTATGCCGCGAGCAAGAAGAGGAGAGTCAAGGTCACGGAGAAGTGGTGGGCAAAGGACTTTGCCCTGCGCGTCTAACTACTCGTACCCAGCTTTGTAGTTAGCTGGTCGTTGATAGAACTCAAGGAGCTGCTTTGTGATCTCTGGAAGCCAAATCTGAAATGGGTATCATTCATTAATGCAGGTTTTCCCAAAAAGTAGCGACTGTTTCCGTTCTGTTAGCCTTGGGGGTATCTTTTCTGCTCGTTCCCCAGAAGAGACCGGTCGTCCCGCCCGCCCGCCAAAATGCTTTGCCCTGCCATGCTTGTGTTCATATTTGTCAAGCTGAAGCAGCGGTCCCTTCCACTGCTGGCTTCAGACTCCAAAATATACGCAAGCCAAAGCGAATCTCATTTCATTTCAAGATCTCAACACCCACCCAACACGACTGGTATCGCGTCGTTCGATTAGTAATAAATTTTCTCTTCAAAGATTGGCGGCTGTCCACCAGTCTCCTCCTCATTCCAAATGATCTTTCCCGTCTTCTCATCGAAGCTGGCTCCTTCATCTGTCATCGGTGTAACCTTGTTGGTGTGCAGGCATTCCTGCCTCGAAACGCCCATCGGATCACGGGGCACCCACAACAGAGGTGCAACTGCATTACAAGCAGGATCTTGATATGCATCTCGTTCAACTTCTGGGGAATACCGGATCTCAGCAAACTCCTGTGGCACAAGTTTTCGCAGGATAGCGTAGCTGGCGTAAATGTCCGGTCGGAAGAATCGTTTGATCATAGAAGCGTGCTTGTTGCCTCCAGGTGGCATTGTCTCTTTCGCTACCCGTAGCTCCTCAAGCTGGTGCTTCTCGTGCATGGTTGCTCGTGATGATTGGGCTTCCGGTCCGGGCATTAAGGCGGATTCCGTGTGCAGGAGGGCGGCTTCTTCGGTTTCAAGAGAACGAGGAAGGTAGTGCAAGAGCGGATTGATGGCCGCGGTTAGAGAAATGTGGTAAAGGACCATTAAAATCAAGAACAACACCATGAGTACCAGAGGTGCCGGGGCGGCTCGGATCCCGAAGAGACCGATTAGGCAGATGGCTGCCAAATAACAGCCGACCAAAGTATGTTGAAGGGCTTTCGCGTAGACAAGGCCTTTGGTGTCGATGACGGAGCTGTCGACGAAAAGGAGATTGTAGCGGTACGCGAAATAGAAGAGTGCCTGGCCTATGGCCGCGAATCCGAGCATAAGAGGCGCGATCGGGGCGTATGCTATCGATATCACAGTCATCAACCTATTTTTCAGTCAATGAGGAGAGCGAGATCATGCGTTCAGGGGATATCTTACTCGACGATAGGGAAAACGCTACCCCAGCCGACGGAGGATAGGCTTGACCATCGGTTGTACATCTTCCGAGGGGTTTTGTCGAGGATCTTTGAAAGTGTGTTATATAGAACCAATCCAACGATGTTGAGTAGCTGGCCCGAAGAGAACACAAGACCTTGAAGGATGAAGTATGAGATGTAGAAGTTGGAGGCCAAGGGGAGGTTCTGAGCCAACAGTGTCGTTATGGACCCTGGCTGTTTGATGATTTGTGGCACTGCTGCGCTGGCTGCGCTGGTCATTGTGGTCACCAGGAAAACTTGGATTAGCTGGAACCAGAAATATGACTCGTGGCAGCGTAGTTCAACGAGCGACAGTGTCGGTATGCCAGCAAATTTGCCCATGAATCTCATGATTACTGCAAGCAGGCATTAGCACAAACCGAACTGTGCGTGATGATTGAAGAAACGGCCTCGACCGTCGTAATAGGCTCTCGAATGTGAGAGACGTAGGAGACGTACCTGGGACAAGCGACATGAGGATGGAAAGCATGACAACTGGCAAAAGATTCGTAATGACACCCAGAATGACCTTTGGGCAGCTGTTGATGAATCGAAGGAAAGGTGCAACCTCGGTCAAGTAGGATATCTGCGAAATGGAACCTACAACGGCGACTGGAATAGACCTAGTGAAGACGTCAGAAATGTCCACCACAAGGGCAGCCTAGTCACAGAAACTGGGCAGTAGTTCAAAGAAAACACAATCAAAGGAGAAACCCAGCATCCTTCTGCAGCCTCGAGGCGCCCACCCATCACCAGAGGAGAGACGCTGTATAAATCTAATATGCCGGTTTCTTAACGCTGAAAACGGACAAACTTACCAAAAAACGATCAAGGCGGCGACAAAAGCCAAAGAGATAATGTTGCGGATGGTGAGTGTTTTCCAGGTTATGCCGAGATTCGACCAGACGACTTCTTCTGGGCTGAGACCGACCACACGAGGAGACATATGCAAGGGCTGGTGGTGGGTGACCATTTGAAAAGCACTCTGCGCTTGAGTTTGATTCCAAAATTCCACGAAGACGGCATTCTTTGGCACGGCCTCGCCTGCACGGTATTTCTCCTGCTCAGCCTCGATCAGAGGATTCAGCCTCGCAATCTCCTCACGGCACCAATTGATGGTGTCCACTTTCTTGCCAATCAAAGGCTTTAGGCGGTGCGTTGGTCGGTCCTTTGGTCGGACCCATCGAGCAGCAGCAGCGCCAGACTCAGCTGCGTACTCATCTTCATCGTAATTGGCCGTGGGTGGTTCAGGAGCAGCATTCTTTCCCTTGATAGATTTCAAACGTGCATCGTTGGCCGATTTGATCAGTTTGGTCTCAGCCGTCTCCAGTTTAATGCAAGTCTTGTAACGCTCCTCCACCATTTCCTCTAATTTCTTTGCGTCCGAAGCAACCCAGACATTCTTGAGTTCGTCACCAAACATGCGGCGGATTTTGGTTTCGTTGGCGTATTCGTTGGGAACAGCCTGGAACAGCACCGTGCGCGAAGAAATCCTGGAGGCGTACAGAGGAGACAAGAGGTACGCCTGTCGCAAGTTGATGTAGTAAATCATTTCCCTAGTGACCAAGAAGAAGATAAAACCGATGAAGATCCACGCAATAAAGGTATGCGCCAGGTAGCGGTTCTTATCCACGATATTGCTAAAACTGAGGATGTTAAGTTGCGTCTGACCCCCTCCACCGGTTGCGTTCACGGGGAATAAGACTGGCCACGTAATAAGGCAGCCGACCAGGCAGATCACGATCGACATCTTGAGATAGCGCAGCAGAAAGTAGCCGTCGAGGGAGTTATGTTGGAGAACATACTCATCGGGCAGCTACTTGAGCCGATTAGACAGAACGGCCCTTGTGAATGAGGGATACTTACTCTTCTCATAAACGGAATCCATCCAAACAAGGTATTTGGGGGCGCGGGAGTTCGTTCTTGCGGACGCAGAGCGCCCAGGTAGGTCCTGGGGGCATATTGTCGAGGAAACCGAGTTCGCAAGAGCAGGAAGATGCCGAAATAAACGAGGGCGATGACCAAAGTGGGCACTAATGTGGATATGAGGCCTGAAAGCGAGGGAGAGCTGCTCCTGCTGGAGCCAATGTTCTTGTCGCCGTTCGCATTGGTATCAGGAGCTTGACGGGCGCTGAGCACAGCATGGAGTGCGTCCATGGCAGATTGGCAGATTGGCAGACTGCCGCAGCGCACACGATCGCGTGTGGTGTCGACCTTGACAAAAAGAACTCGCACGAACGGGGAGGGAGGGAAATGAAAAGCGAAGCAAGAATTAAACAAGGATTATGGAGCAGTCGAAGTCTCTCGCGGCGGACGAGCAGAAGTTGGGTATAACAATGCGCCTCTGGAGATTGTCCGGCTGTATTTACTATGATGTCGAAGTGCCGCGTTTGTCGACGCATCGGGCCTTGTTTTCTCGCTGAGATCTTCAGGTGTGACAGGCCCAGATGACGCCGACGTGCAGTTGAAATGGGGGTCGCAGGGGGTGGCCATTGGGGCTGCCGGGGCTACTGGGGCACCACAAGGGAACTACGGGCCACTACGGGGCAGCTAGGCCCGCTAATGGCTCGCCAATGCAAATCCCAGCTATTCTCCCCTGTCCGCCTGGGCGCAATTGTTTGTGCATAGTCCAGCTTCTACTGGGTACGCATATTCGTCTCGCCCTCTATCTTTCGCCTTAAAACCTTAAAGGCCCATGTTGATTTCCCTGGTAATTAGAGGCTTGCTGCAAGATGCATGGTAGATAACAAAAAGATGCTCGTCCCAGAGTTGGATCTTAGCTTCTCGTCACCTACTCGTTTTCCCTCAACGACTTTGATATCTCTCGCGACTTCATGCAGGTGAAAGCATCCGAGCTGACACAACAGGATTTTCATCCTCGATCTTCGCTTCCGACATCTAGATTTCGCCTAGCAGTCGAGGAATCCACCAAGCGGCCCCGCCAACCGAACTTCCAACGCACCAAAAGTCACCTTGCCAGCTGAAAAGGAAGATCTGGGCCTTGCTTTTCCCCTTTCCTGAAGCCACATCTCGGAACTCCCCCGTGTGAAGGGCGGTCTGTGGCTGTGCTAGAAATCTCTGTGGCCAGGTCGGCTGACCGACGCATCATCACCGCTGGCATGGCCTGCAAACACTCTGAAGTTACGTGGGAGCTTTGTCGGCGGCTTACGACGTGCCTTGGCTAAAAGGGGTTTTCAGACGTCCAGCTTGCGAAGGTGAGGTGATCCAGAGCCAACATTAACCAGCTCACCAGGAAACGCATACCTACAGAGCGGTCAAAAGGGATTCGTAAGGGGTACTGAAGAACTTCTTTGCTTTTCTGTGTTGTAGATAACTCCGATCAACAGCTCTATTTCAGCGGCTACAGTAGTTGTACAAAATGTTTTCTCCACGTTCGAGATAAACCACCCCTTGGCCACCCCTCACTTCTCGATAGCTAGCTTAAACAAGTCACCATCAGTGTTGCGGACAGTTCTTCTATTTCAGCTCTACCTATGTAGCTCCAGCTTCAACATCTTGCCGCATGATCAAAATTACCATTCAAGGTTTCGAACAAATATCAGGCACACGCCCAGATCACAAATATTTGTGCTGTGGTGTGATACTGCCTTGCCAGTCCCTCCTCCCGTGTTCTTCGGGATAGAGGTAACTGCCCCTTCTAAAAGGTGTGGAAAAAAAAAAAAAAATGGAAAACTGGACCATGTCCAGCTTGAGGGAGTGGTCGCGGTGTGTCGCGGCTCCGAAGAAACTCCATATTTCGCCGTTTCGCCATGTGTGTCAGTAACTGTGCCAGTCAATCTCCCAAGTCAAGGTCGTAAGGTCATGAATTCACCCAAGATCCCAATTTCTCGAGATCTCTACAGCCATGGCTTCGCCATCGACCCGAGCCTGTCTTCGAAGATCCCGCCATACAAGCCGGCGATTTCGTCGAGATAGTCTTCCACCTTGAACTTGTAGAGTCCCTTGCTCAGAATCTCTTGTTCTTCCTCATCCAGTAATCTTGCAGTAGCACCAAACTCTTCGGCGACCTCGTTCACTTGCGCCAGTTCTCTGCCAAAAGGATGGCTGCTATCCATAAACGAGTCGGCATTACTTCGGACGGTAGGCTGGGCAATGTTGACAGGAGGCGGCGACATACGCTGCATTGACCGTTTTTGTGACAACTCAACATGTGCCTTTTTCGAATGAGACGGAGCTCGCTGTGGGACAATAGGTGTAACAAAGGTTGGTGAAGCAATGGCGGGAAGAACGGGAGTGGTCTGTTTCATATCGAAGAATGATTTGGTGTCGTCGGTCGCAGGTGTTACAGGAGTTGCTGGGCCGCTGCTATCAACGGAAGAGCTGTCATTGGCTGTGCTGGTGAGAAAGCTGCGGTCAATGGTCGAGAAATCAGAGTCGTTGACCGACGAAACCGACCCTGACGACGATCCGGAAATGCTGCGAATGTCTGGGGCGGTCAATGCCTGGACGTTTGTTGTCGAGATCAGCTCGGTCGGCAAAGAGATGAGACTGCGATCAATAGTGCCAGGAGCATATTTGACTGTTGTGCCACGTTGCAATGCCCCTTGGTCCACAAAGTTGCGCTTGACGCGCTTGGTGAATGCGCGAGAGATAGACATTGTGGATGAGTTCTTGGAGACAATTGCGAGGGATGTTCAGGTATCCTTCACGCTCGGCAGCGGGCACGAGATCCCAGAGGTGTGTGCGCGCTCAGTAGTGCAAGGGCGAATAGGTGGTTTGTGCGTTTGTTTATGGCGTTTCGGTTTCCCCTTTGGTTTGGTGGTTGCAGTTGTGGTTATGTCGTAGAGTATATCCTCCCGATATCTCCAGATCGAATTGGAACGTTTTCTTTGTAAGGAATGACAGTGAAAGATTGTTGGAAGGCAAGACGCAGTCCGCTCAATTAAAGCAGTGTTGTTTGATGGTGAAAGGTAACGGCGACAAAAGGCAGCCGTAAGTAAATACTCGGTTGGTTGGTGAAAGAATGGATAGCTTCGACCTGTGCGGTACCACGACGAATCGACCGTCGAGTAATGAGTGTGACTTGTGATGGAAGGCGAGTAGGATGGAGGGTCAAAAGAATGACTGAGTGGGCGAGGTATTTGGGAAACGAAAGACTTTTTTTCTGTCGGGATTGGACGTTGGGGGGACAGAACGGCAAGGGCGACAAAAGGGTCGAAGCTGCAGGAGAGAGAAGAGAGGAAACGAAGAAGATACGGATGCAACGAGATGGAGCAACTTGACATTGATTGACAGCGCCTGCAGCCCCAAACAAACAACAGGGAAGGGCGAGAGAGGGCTCGAGGGCATGGCTAGTGGGTCTAGTGGGTCTAGGCTCCCCTCTGTCCCCTGGGTTAAGTGCCTAGGTGCCTAGGTAGGGCCTGCTAGGGCTGAATGGGCACCCACTGGAGACGATGTGAAAGGCTCTTACTGCCCGCAACCACGTAGCATCTTGGTTTGCCCCCGCTCACTTGAAGCCATGGCGCCCAACATCTCCATCTTCTCAGTGGCCACCCTCCACGCTACCAACTCCTCTATGCCCCTCACAGCCTAGATCATTCCCAATTACAGTGCAAATCCTTCCATTTGCCAGGGTTCTCGATTCTCAGGGGCCACGCGAGAACAGAAAAACCCGGACCAGTCCTCCACAGCCAGTCAGAGCCGCCAGATTGTTTTCAGAGCCGCCGAGGAGGTGATGTGAAACGACGACCCTATATTTCCTGCTCATGCATGAACCACTCAGGACACTGCCAGAGTTCACGTCAGGGCGCTTCTTCAAACTTCAGCAATGCGAAGTGACTTGGCCCCCCGGATTCGCCTGTGAAGTCAAGAGGGGGAGAAGATGAGGGAAGATTCAGAGAGAAACAAGACCCGATCCTGACCTCTACAAGTACGGACGTCTTTGATGAACAAGAACAAACGTGCTCGGTTGCCTCCAACTGGCTAGGGGCATCGATCTCAGCTCGAGTGTTATAATTGCGACATGCGCCTCTTTTTGTTCGTGTCCATTTCCAATTTAACAATGGGTATGACAAAGACCCTTGGATGGCAGGGCAGACTGGTCCTAAGCCCATGCATCATACATCTGCCTTGATCTACCCCAGCTCGACCTGGACAGATCTCCAACGCCGCCGTTTGAGAATATGGCGGTACGGGAGCACAAGCAGATGGCTAAGCGGAAACCGACCAAAATGCTTACCTACATCGGATATGCCTGTTCGGAACAGTCGTTTCAGAGACACACCACTCCGGGACTGGGACTTGGGGACCCTCCTGAATCCTTCCGAATCGAGCTCGCCCAAGTTTCATGTGCCCGATGTTTCGAAAGGCGAGTTCAAGACCAGCTTCCCCGGAGGCAAGGAGGTTCCAACTTCTAATACACGTGTGCGTAAGAGTATGTCACCTTTTCCTTGCTTTCATGCGTGGATAAACTACTCGTAGAGTCAGATGATTACTGAGTATGCTGTTGATCTCTCCACGCGACGCGTAGTCTTGCCAAGCCCAACAATTAAATCTCCGAGGAGCACCTTGTACGAGCGTCAGCCTCGCAAAATAAAATGTCATTCTCCGCATACACGGCAATCCGCAAAGGGATTTCCGGTCCCCGCGACTACTCGTAATCCTAATGCTCATGGAAATAGTAACAATATTCAACCTCGAAGTCGAAAGTCTCGCTGAGAGAGGGAAAGGGAGGGAATAAAAGACAATGGTCCGGATTAAACACCGTTACCTCCTCTTCAACATCCTCTATCCGTTCCCCTCCACACCCGAGCCCTCGACTTCCTCAGCTACCTCAGCACCACCACCACCATTGGCATCAACTCTCACCACGAAAGACGCAGCTCCACCGCCGCCGCCGCCATACATCCTCTTCCTACGCCCGTCGCCGAGCCACCTCACGCCGGCATTGCTGGTAACGCACCTGCGCAGCCAGATCCAGACGCTGTTCGGCGACCACGGCGTCTCCGTGACGCAGTCGTCGCTGCGGCTCGTGTACTTCTCACCCGCGACCTCGACGGGGATCCTGCGCGTGCCCCGCGCCCACTTCCGTCTCGTCTGGGCCAGTCTGACCTTCCTGACGAGCATCCCCGCACCTTCCTCGCTTCCTACTCCTCATCCTTCTGCCACCGGAGGGACACGCGCAGGAGGGAAACGAGGAAGAGGAGGAGGAACAGCCGACGCAGCAGCAGCAGGAGTGCGTCAGGAAGTGGCTTGTGTGGTGCGAGTGGTCCGGGTGAGTGGGACGATCAGGAAGAGTGAGGAGGAGCTTCTGAGGAGGGCGAGGAGAGAGGTTGTCAGAGTGAAGCTGCAGGGTCGAAGGGGAGGTGACGAGGGAGACGATGCGGTTCTGAATGCCGTGTTTGCCGGTGGGAACGGGAAAAGGGCCGCGAAGGGAAAGGAGAAGGCTGATGCCCTGAGGCTGATGGGTGACGAAGAAGAAAGCATTGTAGATCTGGACGAGGAGGATGAAGAAGACTTCGACAATGATTCTGGTTGAGAAAAGACATCCTCGATGGAAAAATGCTTGGTTATCTGCCAGCAGGGCGAAGCACCCGCTCAAGCAGGACGCGCTCACAGAGAGTCAAATGCTTCAACTAATCCAGGAACGCGTCACAACCGAACCCTTCCTCCGACATCTTGGGGCTCCGAGTTCCCTCATCATGGCCGTTGCATTCGCAATAGCTCTCACCGCAAGGGCAGCGACCGAGCAGCTATCTTGAAAGCCCTTCTCAAGCGCACTTAACGCCAGCAAGGTCACGAATGCTTCTTCCCACTCCTCACGACTTTTACTCCACCATCCTTTATCGGCGGTAAGCTCATGTCCTCGTCTCCATCCTCCTTCATTCTCATCATCCCCTCTCCGCTCTTCATCCACTCGTCTTCCCTCCGCTTCTGCTCCTCCTCCCACTCCTTTCTCTCTAACTCATCGTACTCTTCCCTCCTATCGATCCACCGTTCCTGGACATCCCTGACATCCATTTTACCAAGTCCCTCCCTGACAGCGACCTGCCAAACAGAATCATTCGCGCCCTCGGCGCCGCCAAATGCATACCCCCCCGCCCTGTCAATCGTGTGCAATAAGCTCATCATACTCTTTTTATCTTCGACTGCCAATGTCTCGAAGCCGACTAACCCATACTCTTCGACGAGTTGGACAATCGCCTCATTCAACGCCTGGAATTTCCCGCCGTGCTTGAACATCGGCGACTCTTCCTCGAGATAAGGGAGCAGGTACGATAGGTCTTGGACTTCGGTGTAAAAGTCCAGATTAAACGGTAAAGGAGGGTATTTACTGAGATTGTCGACTTTCGTGAGGACGTTGATATGTGTAAAGTCGAGTTGGAGCATGCTCCGTAGGGACAGCAGGAGAGTGGAGATGTACAGCGAGGGGAGCGTTAGGGCGTACGAGTCAATCAGGTTGACCACAACTAGCTGTTAACAAAAACAAATGAACAAGCCCGTCAGCCCATGTACTTTGCTGTCGGGAATGAGAGATAGAAAGCAAAATCAGAAAGACAACAAGCAGGAAGGAGAAAACATGGCGGATATGGAGAGGGGTAGGGCCAAAACACACACACGATACCCGATCTTCTCTAACCTGGCAAAGATCCTCCTCAGACTGCCGTGGTGGGTAAACAGCTCGACCTGTCCGGGACAGTCGAAGAGGATGTAATCGTCGCCGAGCCGCTTGAGCCCTTCCTCGAACCAGCCCGCAAAGTTCTCCTCGAGCTCTTCCAGCGCGTAGAGCACGCCGCCGTTGGGGCCGAGCCCGATCTCCTCGTCCCGCATGATCGTGTCGAGCGAGATGAGGTCGCGGATGTCCAGGGCCGGCTCGTAGGACGCGTACGAGGACGAAGGAACGGGGTCGTTGGCCGGGTCCAGATTCACGACCGAGCACTTGCGCCCGATCGCACCCATGAACTGCTGCATGCCGTTGCAGTAGGTCGACTTGCCGGCGCCCGGGGGGCCGATTACGAGTTGTGCAAAGGGCATTGTGCAGGGTAAGGAGGTCGTAGAAAGGAGAAAGAGAAACAGTCACACCGAGCGCTTCTTCAGGATTCGTTTATAGAGCTCTGGACGGTTCGATGGCGTTGGAGATGGTGGCGGCGCAGGGTGTAGTCGGTCAATGAGGGGCCGTCTAGAGTCCTTGAATATTATTGCCCTCAGCTGGTGAATCTCATGAGCTTGCAATAGTACTTGGAGCCTATCGGGTCGTGTCGGTCTGCGCTAGATGGAGGTATCCTAGCTATGGAGACTGCGGGTGAGATGGAGGGACAGAATATCTGCGGGAGGGAGCGAGAGCAGCGAGAGGCAACGCAGATACAAGGCGGCGAAGGCGGTGTTGGAGGGCAGAATCTCTTCCGACACTCCGCCAATCAAATCGCTCGGCTGTTCACTTCTTCAGCCTCGTCGGCGTCTTCTCATCCTGCTTCGCATCCCGAACTACAAAGACGCCTTTCGCACGATAGATCAATATTTCCATCGACCCGGGTATCAATAGAGATACATCAGAGTACAATAGCCTCCCATTTTTGTGCATCGATGTTGTCAGGATCGATCCGGCACAGGCCGTTTTCAGCACCAGCATCAATGGCTCATCTTGGCGGAAACAAGGCCTCAGTATCAGTCGTGCTCGATTGACGACCCCTTCCTTCTAATCTCAAATGAGTTTTCAACATTTATGTCCCACTTCCACCCTCCCCCTCTCGCGTCAGACCAACCTTCCACCCCTAGGCGGAAGAGAGCGAACACTTCACTCACCCAGCAGCTTCGCCCATTTCCGGCTTGCCTCAGTTCAGGGACATCGGCGTGCGTCGTTCCTGTTTCATTGCCAAGGCGAGCACTGTCCAGCATTGTGATGCCCATCATTTCAACATCAGACCCTTGCGCTATGCTCTTGTCGCGCTCAATAACCGTAGCTTCATCGCCTCGACGGCGGGTAAGGGTGGACAATCTAGCCAACGTGCTTTTGATGAGCGCTGACTTAGGTGACTCTGGCCCTTGAAGAGTCGATTCGCCTGAACTCGTCCTCCTGCTGTCATTAACGCTGATTGACGAGGAATTTTTGACAAAATCACTATGAGCAGGACGCTGAAACTCTGCTTTGACTTTCTGCTCAAACAACTCATCCCTGCAATCTTTTGCTTGGCTCTGTTGCTGAGCGCTGAAAAATGACAGAGGAACATATGTCAGATCCTTCTTACTCGGTGTCGCATGTATGCTTCGTAACACCCGAACTGTTAGCAAGGTACATGTTGGTGAGGGACTTGAACCGTCGCCCGGTCGACTTGCAACCCGGAATGCTTTAGCGGAGAATTTGGCCTGCATCATGGTGTCGTAGTCACCGATGACATCGACGAGCTTAACGAAAGTATTGTAAAGCTGCCATCGGATTTCGTCGCCAATTTTTGATACGCCTGACTGGTTGAGAAGTATCCTCAGAATCTCACCGACAGTGGAATCTTCAAAACGATCTAATTGGGCCAGCTGATCTTTGGATAGATCACGAGATTGCATCGTGACATAAGGCAAGTGGTCTTGAGAGGCAGCTGGCACCAGGATGTCGAAACTTTTGTACATACTCGGGCGAAGCATGAAACAGGCTAAATGCACACCGGGTGGTAGAAGATGCCTGGACGATACGCCCAATTTCATGCGCTCGATTTTAGCCACCATGTTGCCACGATCGACTTGCATGCTCTTAGCCAGTGGTTCCGCGATTTGCTCAATGGTAGCAAAACGGTATCCCAGGGAGGCAAATCTAGCTACCTCGCCCTTGTTTATTTGTCGATGGACGAAAAAGTACTTTCCTCGAGCCACTGTGAGCGGCGATGAAAAGCCTTTCTCCGCATCTACCTCCTTTTTGTAAGATCTGGCTGATAGCGGCCTGATGTTGATCCTCAACGGTGTGGACGCAGATGTTGTGCCCGTATCTAGATGTTCTTCAAATAGAACTCCTAATCTCTCCAGCGGTTCGTGGATGCGATTGGCTAGCTGCTGGGCCGCGACACAAAACAACTGCTTGAAGATTGGAGCAAAGTTGAGGGAGCTTGCTATGGCGTCGTGTGGTAAACTTTGGGAAGTATTGCTGGGCCGATATTTCCTCGCTGTCGGGTCGTTTTCGATATACTCTTTCATGCTGGGAATGAGGTCTCGCAGCGTTGTCCAGCTGCGGGATGCTTTAAAGATCCAGAGGTAGGCTGGATGAGACCTGCTGAGCTCGTCTTCTCCAAAGGTCTAACACGCCTCGTTATTATAAGCAAGGCTTGAGACAAGAGGTGCCTACCTTTTCAATGTAGTGATTTGTTATCTTTTCGCTAGGCAAGGTTCCTTCCTGGGTGACCATCACTTTGCCCTCATCATCGAAGTACGCGCAGGCCAACACTAGACGTTGTGCTTTGATTCTGGCAGTGAGCCTGTTGCGACCTCGGATGAAGGCCACCACAAGAAGGATGACACAGGATCCCATTGACTGGTAGGGTGACATGTCAGCTTCAGTTCCTGCGAGACAAGGGATTGGACTAACAAGAGCGGCTGCAATGACTGCCGTTTGCGACCTAGAGTTTCCATGAATACTCAAATCGCCTTTCCAATGGTATATTGTGCCAACCGCTGCGGTCCAATGCATGCCCGAGACAGCGGTGGCCAAAATGACGCCGCATAGGGCTCTTTTCCACCAGCCGTCTTTCCACGCGTCTCGTAACCGAAAAAAGATTCCGAGGGCGATAAAACTAGCCAACACGGCGATGATAGCGGCTCCAGCAACGTTCTGAGCCCGGTAGGAACAAACATAGTTCTCAACGCCGTATTGGCCAAGATAGTGCATGCCACAAACAGCGGCTCCAGTGAGACAAGCGGCAAGTGCAACGTGAAGCTGACGAGCGCGGGTGGGCATTCCGAGAGTGTAGAAAGCGAAAAGAAGGACCAGGATTGGCATGAAGAAGGAGATTGCCGTGAATCCAGGGTTGTAGAGTATCTGACGTTCGGGGTCTCCGTCTTGAAGCACGATAGCTCTATTACCGACGAAGTGCATGCCCCAGATGCCGATGGCACCCATGGTGATGGCGGATGCTACAAGGAGAAACCTGCAGATTGGTTAGTGGTCAGGAAGTTGATGGGAGAGGGGCGAACTTGCCAATTGTATGCTCCTCTTGTTGATGTACGCCTTTGTAGGAGTTCCAGGGTGGTGGTACACCCTATGAGCGAGGTGAAAAAGGAGAGAACGATATGGCCAGCATCATAAGAGACGGTGGTTTGGGAGGGATTATGGGGGCTGGCTCGGACAGCAAATTGATGCAGCGTGAAGAGGGCACCGTGATCCATTCGTCAAGGAGGATGAAGGCGCCCAGGTTCAATAATGATGTGAGTGTCGACCAGAGGTTCCCGGGGAGGAAGTAGTAGGGAAGAGAAAATGGAAGCGGTGAAGTGAGCGGAATATTGTGAGGTACAAGTGAAGGAAGAGCTAGCCGGAGGGCGGTCAAAGGAGCAGAAAGACTAGAGATGAGGATGGCGGACAGACAGCACACAAGGTAGGATTCAGGGTGCAAATGATAGCATTTTCAAGTGCGGGGAGGCATCAGTTGCAGTAGAGGAAGAGCAGTAATAGAAAGAGAACAGCGGCCTGGGTGGGAATTGAGGCTGCATATATCCCCCAGATGGAAGCGACGATGCGAACTAGGCCTTTCTTTGTCGTTCATATAGGGCAATGTGGCCAGGACTCAGGAAGCCGCATCCGATCTAGATGGCTAGTGCAGCTGAAGCCTGGGCGCCATGGTGGGATCCAGGATCTGGGGATCACATACAGCACCAACATGGGAGGAGGGAGAGAGGGGAAAGGTGTCTAAGGCCTGGGCTGGCAGCGGTCGAGGGCGACGAGGACGAATGAGGGAGACAAGTGGCGCGTCGGCACATGTCTGTCAGATATAGAGGGGGAGATGGAGGAGACGAACATGCACCAGCAAAAGGGACGAGCATCAGGATGAGGATTAGCACCAGCATCAGCATCAGACTGAGAGTTGAGCCTACAACCAAGACCAGGTCTGAGGTTGTCAAGGGACGGGCTGGACGGGCTGATAGGTTGGACAGGTTGGACAGACAGCTGCCACGCCTGCAAGGAGTTGACGAGCTAGTTGGTGAATGCACTGCAGGTCCACCAGCCTTTGGCGCATTGCGAAAGGCAGCAGGCATGTAAGGACAAAAGCACAGTGGGTAAACGGTTTCGGGGTAGAGCAGAGCAGAGTAGAGCAGAGCAGAGTAGAGCAGAGCAGAGTAGAGCAGAGCAGAGTAGAGCAGAGCAGAGTAGAGCAGAGTCTGCAGAACAAAAGAGGGCATCGAAAGAGACAGTTGAATCTGAGAGCAAAGTGAAAGAAAAGTGAAAATGAAGTGACAAGTGTCCTGACTCTTGTGGAACTCCATGTCCTCAATAGTTTAGACTAGCAAGCCACCTACTGTACCCAGTACCGAGTAGGTGCTCGGTGTTGGCTAGTCCGCCGCTAACCCATATCGGGAACAAGGCCCCGATCTCCTCCTCCACCTCGATCGCGAGATTCAAGTTGCTCCTTTTGCTCCAACATCTTCTCCTCCCATTACCAGCACCTACCTCAATGTTGCCCAGATTTTTGCCTCTCTGTAGTTGCGCTGAATCTTTCTGCTTGTTTGCTGGGTGAGGCTGAGCCGCTGCACCTCAAAACCCCCAACTAGTATGGGATCTCTCAATTTCTTGAGCAATGCGCGTCTTCTACTTTCCTTGTCGAACTTGGACAGCCACTGACTCAGTACGCAATGGCTGAAGCCCCTGCGGCCATGGGTATTGTCGCCACTTTTGCAGGGGTCATTAGCGCTAGGCTGACACGCTCGCGAAGCCTCTATGATTTCGCCCATATTCTCGGTTTAGCATCCGACGTCGAATCACCCGCAGCCGATGTCAGTTTGTTTTGCGCTGTGCTCAAGCAAGTACAGTCTACCTTGTCCCATACCAGGGCATATCGACTTTCGCTGCCTGCCTTAGCTACGGCTCAAGATATCATCGACCAAGGCAAGATCGTCTCTAACGATCTGGGTAAGGCTGTCACCAACTTACTGGGCGGAAAGTCAAGACCCGACTTCTTGATCAGCGTGAAATGGTATCTCAAATAGAAAGAGCCTTGCTTGTTCCATGAACAACTCAAAATTTGTGGAACTACCCTACGTCTAATGCTCAATACCATAGTGCTTGCTCAAAAGCTTGGTAGTCGACGGTAAGCCAATTCCTCTATGTCGGGAACCGAATTGCGTTGATAATCAAAGCCTCTCGTCGATCGGTGAGGATGATCATGACTCCCAGGACCGGTTAATGACACGTTCGTTGTTCACGACTCAACAAGCGGCTACTGAGCGTCTGGTAACCGTCGAATACCGGTTATTAGCTGAAGGAAGACAGAGCAGAAGATAAGCTGTTGACACCACCGCCGGGTGAAACCCTGCAAGGCGAAGAATATCGGCTGAGTCACAGACGAAATGGACCATCTGAAGCCATCAATGACTTTGTGCACGGCATAGATATGCCTCATGCTGGGAAAGTTCGGCCTGTCTCAACGACTATAGGAGGACATGTCAATCGCCTTGGCCTTATTCGAGACCATCGATCCTCCATCTGGCGGGGGTGGATGATCACCGTTACTTCATCTTGCAGACCGATGAATCGCTTCGACAATGGCTCCCAGACGTCTTGGTGGAAACATCAGACAGAGGACAAGAAGATCTGTGCCGTCCAAAATATCAATGTGATAACCTTCTTCGCTTCTCACACTTTCACACCGATTTCATAAAAAGCTCAAGTGCAAAATAAGAGTTAAACGTCTCTTCCCAAAGTCCCAGCCATAGAAGATTATTATAAAAACGATACAAAAATTGTCCAAGGTAGTGAGAGTTGCAATAGTGCTTAAGCAACCGCCTAGAACTTGAGCCCTCTGGCAATGCATCGCTGCAGAAACCTGGGTCGACTAGACGCTCCTTTTTGCGGAACTGATATTCTTTGTTGGCGTGAAACGCCGCCTGGAGCTTCCACGAACTGGTAGCATTCATAATTTTCGTGACAGATGGCCCCCATATGTTTCATGCCAATTGCTAAATGTAGGCATTGGTGATCTCTGTAGTTTACGTGTAGAGCTCTGTACAAGTGGAGAACCTTTCGTGTTTGGATCACAGGGCTTTGAGGGTGTGAAATACGCCAAGACGCTAGTAATTATGGCTATTAAAGCAGCCTCCCCGACCACATAGATCTAGAATAGTCCAATACACTTTTACGCTTCATTTCACAAGGTTAAAGACCTTCATTGGGGCTATCCACTCCCACTTTTTGTTGAACTAGCCTAATCAGGCAATATAACAGATCTCTTGGCAATGCGGTACCTTGCACCAACGTGGGTATTTTAGCCATTCCTATTTATCACTAATAGAACTTCTCTTTTCTTCTGAATCCACCAATCAACTTATTGGCCATCGATTGATCCAACACTCTTCCAAACCACACCGCTTCCGAAACTAATCTCCGGCGTTGACCCCAATACAAAGTCGATAGTATCAAGCCATCTCCTGCTATTTTCTGCTCTCTTTGGCCTTGTCAGCCCCTGGCAGAATCTCACACCTTAGCATGCTCTCGCTAGGGAATCTTCTCAGTACGGCAGCTCTCCTCCACAACGCCGTAGCTTTGCACCGAATATATGAAGAGTGGGAATGATCACGAGGGTGGCGGTAGCGACAACGGCGGCCTGGCAACCGAAAGAAACGTCCCATCCCGATTTTTGGCCCCAATCCTGAGAAGAAAGTCAGAATCATACTCGTCGCCAAGAGATAAACTTACCAATTGAAAGTATCTGTATGGACCGTCAGCGATGTGTGGCGAGTAAAGAAGTTAGAAAGACTTACCCGACAGAGAACCCGCCCAAAAGGCGTGCGAAATTGATGAGAGACGAGACTTCGCCTGACGCCGAAGGGTAGTTATCCAGAGTGTAAGCGGTAATTGCGACCGAACATAACATTGTACCAAAGGCCATCATCCCCCAACCAAAGACGATGGCCACCCAAAGCCAATGATTCCGAAGAGCTTCCCCTATGATGACTAAACCGGGGACCATGAGAATAAGGCCGACGTAAATCGTTGGGAGACGATATTCAGGCACAAAAAGCCCCTTGTGACGGTGGAGACTGCGTCGGAAGATGCAATCGTTGAAAAAGTGCCCGAAAATTTCTCCTGCAATGATGCCGGTGATAGGTGCGAAGAATAAAAATCCCACGGCGTTTTGGCCAAATCCATATCCACCTTCAGCGCGGGCAGTAGCGAAGAGAATACTTGAGGTCTGGTTAATACCAACCAGCCACATGAACACTGCCATACTGGATTTGTCAGCCACAGGTCATTCATGCAGTGAGGAGCTTACTAGTAAATAAAAACGAGGACCATAATCGGTTTGACAGCCACCGTGACAATACGCATGCAAGATCTCCTAACACTATCGAAATAGTGATGATGGACCCTGATCTGCCAAACGCCCAGTATTCTGCTCAGCCGAGTTCCCCGGTCTGGCTGCTCAGACATCTGAATATCGCGCCGATACCAGGTCTCGTCCAGAAAAGCGGCCATCATAAGGAGATTTGCCCCACCAACAGCAAATGGCAGCTACTGGACGATCCTCCAGCTCCCCGTCTGAGCAACAATAAAATTTCCGAAGAGTGGGCCGAAGTAGGGTGCAAAGAGGAATATAGCCGCCCAAACGCCAATTTTGCGGGCGTGTTCGTGGAAGAAAAACATGTCCTGAATGAAGGCTAGACCGGCTGTAAGTGCGGGTTGACATGTCAGGCCAACGAGTGCTCGAAGGGCATAGAAGGTGTCAAAGGATTGTGCACGGGCACATCCTATCTGCAAAAATGTGCTTATCAGAATCGACCAAAAGGCAACCGGTGCGCGGCCCCAAAAATAGAGGGCGGGAATGCCCAGGATGCCACCGATACCACTGACATGACAGTTTTCAGCGAAGTCTCCCAGATGTCTTTCTTGTAGGTGATACTTACGCCATGATGATATTCAAGTTTCCCGAGTAGTTCACCTGATTCGGGGTGATGTGCCACTCTGCTGCCTGGGGTATCAAACATGGAACACCCGATGTGGCTTGGAAATCTGCCATGAAGGCTGCAACAGCAAGAGTGATGAGCATGCACTGTTTCTTCGAATTGGGCCAGTTGAGGGGATCTTGTGCGTCGTCGGACGGCTGCGGAACCAAAACTGTCTGCAAAATGTATCGTTAGCGGCTGATACCAGAGTGTCGCGAACGTTGATTACATGTCCATCTTTTGCCAGCCTAATCGTTCGCTGGAATCCCTCTGCATCGCATTTGGCGCCAACGTCTAAGAGGATGGCACCATTCCTGGGATGGTCGTCTCGGGTTGTCTCTTCAACATGGGCAGGTTGCCGACTGTGATGCAAATTGGGAAGCTCATCCCAAACTTCAACTGTGGAAGGAGGTTTTTCACCTATTTCAGCCATCTCAAAGAGCTTGACGCTTATCTGGCTACTCAGGCAAAATACTCTAAGGTTGGTATCGACTTCGTTGCGGGGGCTACCCCGGATTAGATACATTTACCTCTTACAAACCCACCGTCTCTGGGGAAACCCGCAATAGAACCAAGGACCGCCTAGACACCGATTTAACCGAGCCCTACTCCGTAGATCTGGAACATAACTCAGGATATGATAGGAAAAGAGCCCCTAGCTATTGTAATGAGTATACATGGCCCAATGAAAAGGCCGAAAGAGCCAATCGGAGTTCTAGATTCATCGGGGGTGCCGGCGTCTAGGCATGCTCCGGGCCGGCATGTTTCGAGCGCCGAGCTGAAATTAACAATTCCCGTACAAGGTAGAAATTAGTTGGATGTGATTGTTACGGAGTCAGTAAATACCCGCAAGAGCACCACCGATTGGAGCGGCCGTGATCGTCTGTATCTTGGTGCGGTCAGGCTTTGAGGAGCGTGGCCAAAGATTCGCACTATTCTTTCCACTGAAGACACAAATTGAAAACTTTGGAGCGTCAAGCACAGCCCGGGCCTATTAGATCCAAAGTCGGCCTTCAGATTCTGCTCAAGCACCAGCATTTTGCCGAGCCACACTCTTCCTCGGTGGTACCATCATCCACGCCAACGAATTTTATTGCTTTGATTTCATACCACGAAGAGCATCCCAGAATACCTATGGCTGAATTGAAGGAAAGAGCGAGAACTTCACAGCCTACGGAATTCGATCCAGAGGACTTAATCAGATGACCGCAAGAAGGTGAGAGTGATTGTTCACTTAAACGTCGTGCGGTATTCGGTCCGCGAGGGTTGGATCTGGCTGCCTTGGGATCAGACGGAGTGCTTATAGAGTCAACATCCGCGTCAACTAATGCACTGGAACCCCTTAGTTGGGTTGACTCTTATGGTTCCAGGCGCCCTCTCAGGAAGCCGCGTAGTCAAACTTCGTTAACAATGTAACTGGTGCCTTCTGTGTCATACTGTTCTACATGAAGTACGGAGGACAGCCACAAGTAATGTATCACCTCCCTGAAGTTAGCATTCTATCCGAACACACCATCAAGTAAACCTACTTGACTCGTTGAACCACCACGCGTGGAACTGATCTGTAACACGCTCCTACAATATCTCCCATATATTCTTAGAATTCTAATTTTCTCTTATAGTCTCTTCCTCCAGCTCTATTCGATTGCCGCACTCGGCTAGCAGAAGATTTGCGAAACGCGCCTTGCATCTCCAGCCCTGGCCTCAGCAAGTCTGACCGGTGGCTTTTCAGCCATTAACAATGAATTACTCTCGAGAGAAATAAGATGGTCGTACTCGGTGCCCCCAACTTCAGCCGTTTGACGTAAGGAAATTCGTGTTTGCTTCTCCGTTCGCCGTTGTTGGTATTTAAGTGCCAAGAAAAAGGTCGCTCTTGGCTCGGAAGGAGACATAGAGACATATCCCCGGGGTGAGTGGTCTGATTTGCTACTACGGATTGCAACTAACACTAGTGCGTTACGCGCTAGTACCAATCCCGACAGAAGGCTCTGGACTTGACTTGGATCATCAAGACGGACGACTGATTGCTCTATTCCGCTGAGCGAATGGGCCGATGGTGGGTCGGGAAGTAAAATATTCGCAGAGGTCTCTAGATAAGACCTCGCCGGCTCTCAAGTGTCTTTTGCATATTTGACTACCAATCCAAATCCTGACCGACAAAGCGAAGATCGTTGGAAGCGCTTCAGGGAGGACGAGGCTGGCACACCTGCAAACGATGAACCACCTAGACCAGATTGCAAATGTCCAGTGACCGTCTCCTCCCTTGGCCTTGAGATTGCATTCATTTGCGAGCTGAGAACGACTTACGATAATATGCCATCGCTACTGTACCGTGGATTCACGGCTTTCAGCCTCCCAACGGTTGAGAAAACGAGCGACGCTCTTAGGTTCGGCATAATTGGAGCTGCGAAAACTGCGTAACTCTCCCGTCTTCAACGTTTATTCAGGGCACAGATGAAACTGAACTGCCCCTTGATCGTTAGTCACCCCTGCCAATTCGCATCCTGTGGTCATTGTGGAAGCATCGCGACGAGAGATGGTGGCGGGGATGGGGGATCCGCGAAAAAGCACGGTATCCCCGATGTCAGAGACTCATCTCAGTGATGGGCTTCACCCTTGACTGCGAGCTTCACAGACTAGTGAGCACTCATCATGTGTGTACTGAAGGGGTTCTCGATGACCCGAACATCGATGCCGTCTTTGTCCCACTGCCCAGCAATCTGCATATCGAGTGGTCGATCCGTGTTATCCGTGCTGGTAAGCATGTCTTACTTGAGAAATGGCCACCTCTAACCCCATCGAGGCCAATATCCTCCTCAACCTGCTGGCAATGTCCCGCCCTGATGCCCCAACCCTGCTGGATGCCTTCCACAACCGCTTTTATCCTTTCATTCAGCTGTTTCGATCCTTCATCAACCCCGCCGATGTCGTGCATGTCCAGATACAAAGCATGATCCCGCGGCTTCTAGGATCTAAAGGCGTCATTCCATTTTCCGAACGGCGGCAGGGGCGAAGCCACGAATACTGTGTGGGACCTCAATGATCTGGAAGCCCTCCGAAGCCAGGGTAGCGCATCGGGAGTTCGTGGTCAACGATAAGGCGCTCCTCTCCGCACAGGAAAAGGTGCTGACGCGACAGGTAACGGCTTCACGGATTCATGCAAATTTTCATCTGGCACCGTGTCGGCGTGAAGCACTCCTATGTGATCTGAAACGTCAGAGTCGTCGCCATCGAGATATGTCTCTGCAGAAGAGGAGGGTTCCTTACAGCCGTTGGCGGCTTCCTTTCTGCGGAATTGAGACCGTCTGGCGGTATTATTAACGCGTTCGAGATGCCTCTTGAGCCTAGGCTTTGCCCTCAACGTCTCTGCTATTCTGCCCTGGACGTCCTTGTTAGGCTGCCAGCCTTTTGGGCGTATAGCCTTGTTCAGGTAGGCGCATTCTCTAAACCAGTGGTTTTCGCCGCATACACAAGGCTGTGTTGGCTTGTCATTCTGCGGCCTGTGGTGCTTACCTTGGAAGGTAGCAAAGGCTCCGTGAGGGGCCCTTCCAGGTTGCGAGTTACGCTGGCTCTGTGTTTTCTGTCTGGCCTTGCAGAAGTTGTCAACTAGGTAGGTGATTGTTGGAGGACTATTGTCTGGAGCATCTAGCATCATCTGACGTTTGCCTCTAGCCCAGTCCTCGTCGACATTACTGACGGCGGCGATGAAGTCATATTGGGCCCTATCGCCGTGAACCTCAGGCAGTTTGAGTTCCTGGGCCTGCTGACAGACAGCCTGCCATTGGCTGATCCATTTATCGATATTGGTTCGCTTGCGAGCCTTGAGAAGGCCTTGATACTTATCACGGCAGTATTGCTCTCTGGTCGACTTTGATGGACATACTTGCTCCTTGAGAGCTTTCGTTCTGTCCCAGTTGTTGTTGATGGTTGGCCCTCGGAGGTAAATGAGGAAGACCTTGTCGATAGATTCGATGATAGCATCGAGCATTTTTGCCTCGTTACGATGGTAACGATCACTAGCCGAGGTCTTCATCTTATACAGTTTCCAGTCTTCTGTGGAAAGATCTTCTGTCTCCTCAGGAGGCTCTGGCCTAGTGGCCAGCGAGGGGTCCATATATTCCCAGTGCTTCAGGCGCTCAGCCATATCCCTGATCACCCAGAGCCAATCATCCCAGGTCTCTCCGCCGGTGAGTGTGACAGAAGTGGACTTGATTCGCGAGGTCTCGGAGTTCATGATAGTGGTTGCAAGGAGTTGCGGAACGAGACAGGTGGGTTGCAACACCAAGGAATGGAGCGATAGCGAGGTCGAGAGCGAGACAGAATGATAGGTTTGCAACGTGAACAGAATTGCCGGCGCGATCTAGAACCGCACCGGGCTCATAACTGTTGTACACAGGATGAGAGTGGATTCATCTGCTTGATTGCGTTCTGGACCTCTGGCTATGCAGAGAGACTCTCTCTGTTCATATACGCTTTGGCCTGTAACCTGAAGAACATTCCTGAAATCTCCTGTTCCGTCGCCATCCTACGATGTTGAGGTAAATGTAGGTGGCGCAGTTGGTGAAACGCCTAGCGTCTCAGGTGGTTTGCCACAGTGGCGATCTCGCGACCCTGTCCACATGTCGTCTAGCCGCCAAGGCCATGTCATCACGGGGCAAGGCTGCGTGGGCTGTGGGCTAAAAGGCAAAGTTGGTGAAAGAGACAGGAAGGAAGACCACTGCTCAAGAACCAAGCATCTCCATGCGTCTATCATTAAAAAAGAATACCACTAATTTTATGTCCTTTTGGGGTGGTCTTATTTGGGGCCTTCTTGCTCTCTCTTGCCACCACCGCTTGGAACCGCTGTATCTTCATCCTCACTATCGCTCGCGAGATCATAGTGCTGCGCTTCCATATTCCCATGTCGCCGCCTCGATTCCAGGTCGTCCAGCTCACTCTCGTCGAAATCCCCTGCTTCCACATCTCCGCGACCCTTGCGCATCGAGCCGTTCGCGAGAGGTACACTCATATACCCCTGACTTCGAGCTTTCCTCCTTCCTCGCCATACCCACCAGCCAAACAGCCCTGCTGCAATAAGCACGATCACCAAAGCCGCCTCACCACTGCGATAGTAGGCCTTGAGTTCGGCGTCTTTGAGCTTCTGGCTCTCATCTTCCGCCGGGACGGTGCTGTTGGCTGGTGCTCCAATGTCCGTTTCAGTGCCCACCTTTTCACCATCAATAAGGCTGTCGGTCGGCTCGCCACCAATACCCGTCGTGTCCACACCCATGAACCGATCAAGCATATCCCGGGTTCGTCGAGGGTAGTCGAACGGCACCATATGACTTGAATTATAGAATTTGACATAGGTGAGATTCCGCGCTTCTTGATAGACACCGGCCGGTTCACCTTCGAATTCCCAATCGCGCTTCGGTGCTATGACCCCAGGAGAGAGCTCAAAGCCCTTGCCCCCCAGCCATTCCATCTTGTTGACGAAATCCTCCGTTCCAACATGGTTGCAGATCAGGTCGTTGGCGCCACTGAACAATAGCACGGGAACACCTTCCTCGAGAATGCCTGGGAGCAGTTGAACACTTGGTTTCGAGTGACTAGCTCGGAACGAAGCAGAAACGGCGCCTGAACATTCAACCCACCCAGTCCGCTTGTCGGGGTTCACATGCAATGCTGCAAGCACATCGTCCTGTCGCAAGTACGGTGTCACCGTCTCCAAATCCGGAGGCCAGGCCATCCCGCAAGACGGCCACTTGTCTTTAAGGGTGACGTCGTACATGTTGTAACACATGCCATTTACCTTGGACACATCCAGAATCGTGGATAAAACAGCCTCACATGCACTGACGTCCACCCTTTCCGTCCCGCCGGGCTTGGCAAGTTCCGTAATGCACGATGACTGCACCGCCTCGACTCGGGCCGCATCAGGAGTCCCGCCTTGGATGAGATTGGCCTGATAGGCAAAGGTGAGGTAAGATTGGTATTGCTCCGCGGGTGAAATCCAACCATTGCCAATCAGAAGGCCTTTGATGTTCCATATCCCTTTCCCTTGACCTTGCGCTTTGGCGTTGCGATCCAAAAGAGCCCTGGTGATATAAGGGATGTATTGTCCGGCATATGATTCGCCTGCGAGATAGAGGTCGTCGTTTTCATACTGGGGAAACAGCTTAAACCATTTTTCCATAAATGCGAGGAATTGATCTGCCATCTCCTGTAGTTCATGGAGGTAGCTGTCCGTATTCACGTAGCTGAAGCCAGTGCCGACGGGGTTGTCCACGAACAAGACGTTTGCGAACTCATCCCAGGAGCCTTCATTGTAAACCAGTTTTCCTCCCTCTCTTACCCGGTAAGGGCCCAATTCCATCAACGCCCCGTCCATCGAGCTGCATCCCGGTCCACCATTGAGCCAGATGACGGTTCGCGGTCGATCGGCGATGTGTCGGTTCTGGTAGTGCCAGAAAAACATGTGTCCGTTGTGTTCGGGATTGACTTCAACATGTCTGCTTACGTCAATATCTCTTTTTCTCGAAGTGATGGTGCTGCATACCCGGCGTGCATCTTCAGGAGAGGACCATCTGGCTGTCCAGGCAGCGAATGAACAAAGTAATCAGCTGCGGTTTTCTCCGCCGCCCATGTCGAAGAGATAATGGCGAGCAGGGCGCATGGTGCCCAAAGCCTGGCCATACTGTAGGAGGAACTGCGAGAAAGGTGCTACCGCTCAGCTGACATCTCCGGGAGAGGTGGGCGAGGGAGGCGCGAGAAAGGAGAGAGGGCGCGGAAAGGCAGAGCTCCGTCAATTATTCGATCTCTGTGCCCGCGGCTTCTTCGACACTTTCGCAGGGAGAATGATCTGGTAGAGGATGATCTGTCTTCAGGACAACTTCAAGCAAATTGCCAAAGACGCGATATCGGGAATCGGCCGAAGGAGGGCGCAGTCTAGATCAAGTCAGACTTGCTCAAGGAAGATGTCCCAAATGCCGTCGGACCCGGGGAGTTCGCTTGGTGGGAATCACGGATTAGATAACGTTAGTTCTAAACAACTCGGGACGATAGAGAAAAAGAGAGATATTATCTCGAATGTAATTGACAGAGTTTTATTGAGAAACTGAAAACAGGACCCCAGCAAATCTGAACTCAAAGGCCCTGAAGCCCCTGGCTGAGCCAAGGTGTTGACGAAGCCTCCAGTCGCAGTCGGCGAGTCGGATCAGCGTTGCTTGGCCTGGTCAGTGTCTGAGGCGCCTTTTCCGCGCGGCACCAACTCGCCGCCTCGCAGCCGCATCTGCACGCGCCTCAGATCCAACATCCCCTTAACCACTGTTCATTTCCAAGCCTGAAACAGAGTCTGCCAGAAATTCCATCCCACAGTATGCTGAAAGCAGAAACTTCCATACCTGCTCATATCGGAACCCAGTCCATCCGTGCCTCCTTAGCTCCACAACTTAGTCTGGACCTCTTCCGTATTCCTCACCGTCGCTTCAGAAAAGGGCAGAAGAAGACAGGACATGTTGACATGAATATCCCCAGAGACTCGAGGTTCCTACCAGATATTCGAGGCTGTGGCGGCATTATGACCAAAACCAGCAGGCGATAGCGAACACCGATGATCCAGGCCAGCTGCGGACGCGGACGACTTGTCCAGTTGGTCGACAAGGTAAGTCCGTGGCTGACCATGACGACCATGCCATACCATCACCTTGGGACGGCACAGATGAGGGCTCCTTGAGCGACCAGCTGCTGCGAAACTGGCACAAAGTGAAGATGGCAGAGATAGTCGATATTTTCTGTCGGGCATCCCAAGCTTAATCGAGGATCGTATTGTTCTTTTCCACCACACCCTGATTCATTCACTGGTAAGAAAGGCAGAAATTTTTAATTGCTGCCCACCCATTCGCTCAATGGGGCAGTCACCGTGAAGAAATATCATGCGGCTGGGAGGATATGATTCCAGATCGGGACCGGTGAGGGTGAATACTTTCACTGATGGAACTCGAAATGTTTACAATGTCACTGCTGTCTTTGCTCTCACCTTCTCTACAACCCAGATTTCCTGGCAACTTCCATTGCGTTGTTGCCTGTGTTCCTGTATCCTTACTTGCTGTCATCTGAAAAAGCCAGCTGTGAAATCAAGGCTCGACATCAGCTCAACCTCTATCAACTGAGATAGGTTCATCAATTCGTCGGTGCAAGATGCCCGGCTTCAGTGCGCCTTACATGGGCTTGCCTGATCCTGAGAAGAGACCTGTGGAAAGCATGGAGACTTCGGTGAGCCAACCCGCCACTCCTGAGCGCCGCAGCAGGTCTTGGTACAAGAAGCTCGGCTTCAGGGCCAGCGGCACTGACGTGAGTGGTCGTTATTCCCTCACTTCGATGGACCTGAAATCCGAAGCAAGAAGCAAGGAAGCATATCTAAATAAACCACTCCCTGCTCTTCCGCAACCTCCATATTTCGAGTACCTCTTCGCGGATGCGGGTCTCAAGGCCATGAAGTCTAAGGAATCAATGAAATCATCATTCGAAGCGAACAGCAATGCACAGGGTAGTCTCTCTCTCAACCATTTCATTAACCTTTCTGACCAAGATTTCTATAGCTACCACTTCCAATGGCCCGGACGGAGGTTACATCCTTGACACCCCTGACATCACCCAGTTCGCCTTTGCACATGCAGGCGTGGACGTTACAACCAAGGGTACGGCGTTTCGCCGGAAATTCTTTTCCTGCCCGTAGCTAACCAACAAACCAGACATCGTTGACAATCATTTCGCATCTCTTGGCACAAGCCTCGAGGGCTATCTTAATATTGACATCAATGAAGAGCTGGAGAGGGAAAAGGCCACCGAATCCTTTTTCGGCGGCGTCGAGGCTAGAGAAGGACCAAGCCCCAACCATGTTCCCGTGGTCGACGAAGACGGGTTTGACGATCGACGGGAAGGTCTGGAAGACTGGCCTCAGCTTTGGCAACTTGACAAAGAGACTCTCACCGACTACGAGATCCCAGGATCCGAGAACTTCTCAATCCAATTCACCGAGACGCCAGCCCACTACAACGACAGCGACAAGCCCATCCTCAAGCCCAGGTCACAGAAGACTAAGGAGCAAGCCCGCCTCCAAGATCCTTCTTTTCCAGATTCATACCATACTACCGGGCGTACCATCAACGCTCTGGCTGTCCAACCAGTTCAAGCTCCTCGCCCATTGACAATTCGGAAGAAAGGTGAGTGTTCGATTTGCAATGCTCATCCATCTGAACACTCACATTATCTCTAGCCAAGAAGAGAAACGCTCGTGACTCGTTCGTGACGAAATCTACCGCAAGTGATCCAAACCCCGATGGTGAGTCTCTTACTCACCTTCACATTTTCTCATCCTATAACACCCCGATCACTGACACATTTCCAGACCACAACATCCATCTCCTCTTCACGAAGAAGATCCGCGTCGCAGCGAAGCTTGTTGACGAAGATGTCAACAGCAGCCGCGCGGTCTCAGTGTGTGGCTCCATCTCTGACGATTCTTCATCCGCTCTTCCCCTCAACGGCCGAACGAGCAGCAGCAGCTCCGCCACCGAGCTCACTGATGTCGATGATGACAGTTCCCATGCCGCTCTAGCTCTCAAGCGCAAGCGCCTCACCGCTGGATTGACTGGATACCCGGGCCAATTCGAATCCTACGAGGCTGACTACCTCCGCGTACGTGCCACGCGTAGCTCGACCCTCGGAGCCCCGACCCCATTCACAATGGGCGACCCGCTCCACCCAAACAACGAATTCACGCACACAAACTTCGTTGCGGACCCGACATACCCGTCGAAGAACTATACTAAAGCCGACCTGGACGCTCTCCCCGTGCGTGCTCTCGCGCTCACCCATGCAGAAGGCTGTGCCGCGCACGCCGCCGCCGTCAGTGCCATGCGCACCGACATCGAAGAGACTCTCCGGCGCGAAGTCCACCGTGAGTGCGCAGCCGCGCGACTCGAGGGCGTCTCGGTGGGCCAGTACCGATACTACCAGGGTTTCATGAGTCTGGAAGAGTACGTCGCGGCGCGCATCTGCGTCTGCTGGGATTTCTGCTGGTGCAGCAAGTTGTGCACAATCTACGCCGATGTGCTATGCCCATGCAGCGAGTGGATTGGCGTGCACGGCGATGACTAGATTACCGGGCGGCGCAGAGTGTTAGGAGCCAGAGAATGAGAAGGGGAAATAAAAAATCTCAGTACCTCCGCCAAGGAAGTTCGACGGCATGACGCTTCAGTCACTCAGCCACTCAGTCAGCTACCCATCCACACAGCCAACCGATCGGGACGGACTTGTATATGGAATGGTGTATGTCTCTATGCATGTACTGCATGGGCCTCCTGATTTCTTCACCTCACGAAACAATCAGGCAGCCTCCTCAGAAGGAGAAAACTCGACCGAACAGGGGGACCCTCAAATCCAATATCACCCTCCATCCCATTAAGCACGAGATTTTGAGCGGGAAAATCTCGAAGCGGGAGAAAGAGAGAAGGAAAGAAAGAAAGAAAGCAGAAAAGGAGGAAAAAGGAAAGGAGCAAAAGGAAATGCCACAAAAAAACCCCAACAACAGCAGCGCAAAGCCGTTCTCAAAACATGCATATCCACCGCCCCTTAGAGATATGACGCCCCAACTTCCTGTGGACTTGTATGGGCCTGCGCACCGGCAAGCTGAATTGACATGGTCGACATTGCCAATTTGTTCGCCGGTTCGCTGGTTGGATTTGTCAGAGCAATAATGGAGGGATGAATGGACAACGGCATGCGGCATGAGGCATGGACATCGACACCTACCCACCCAGACGTGCAAGGAACGCACGCGTGAGTAATTCCACTAATCAATCGATCGACCGGTCGGAAAGGGGCCATGCAAGGGCCAGCGCAACATGGCAGCGCAGCACATCACCGACATGACATGACTGAAATGGGCGATATGGGTTATGGGATGAGAAGATGACAACGCACTCCTCTCCCCGCCCACTCATATGGCTAACCACAATATAATGAAAAGGGCAGTGAGGGAGTGCAAACGAGAGAAAGAGAAAAACATAAAAGGGAGCCAAGGAATCATCGTCATAGTCCAATTGAAGAGCTATCAGATAACCGTCAAATATTCAAGCTCTTTTCTCTGTCTCTCTTTCTTCTGATATCTTGAGCTCATATTTCTCAAGTATTGACTTGAATGATGCAGTGCCCGCTCCAGCTTCAGCTCCAGGCCCAGCTCCGGCTCCGTCGTGATAAAAGCAGTCACGTCTCTTTTGAAGACCACCGCCCGACCTTTCAAGCGTCGTAAATCCCCCGTCTGCTGTGCTAATTCCACTCCGCTCTCAAAGCCTTCTGCTTAGAATCCAAAGCGAGCAATGCTGTTTCCTTTCCTTATATACCGCGTATGTCATTGCCTCTTTGCTCGCACCACACCTCTAGGTCTAAGCCAAGAGGCCTGCCAAGAATCGCAATGTATTTCCCATGAAGCCTGTGGAGAAGGAGTGAGCTATATGAATGAGTGAAAAGGTGAAGAAGAAAGAAATGATCAAAGCCTTACCTGGGCGCAGAGCTGATGAGTTGATAGGCTCCTGTTCTGCGCGAACACCTATGTTGGAGATGCTGTCTTCGGGCCGGATCTCGACATGGTCAGTTAAACCCTGTTGAAGGAGCCTGCCAGCAGAGTCTACAGTCGTGGATATGGTAATGGCAGACAAGGTGGGCGTGGCTGAGACAACAGAGCATGACGGATCCTGCTTACAGAGCATGCGGTCGACGGTTCCATTCGAGACCTGGGCCGGGTCTTCAGAAGAGGGTGTGAGGAACGCCTCGGACTTCAGGCTCTCGACGGAGACGCCACTGCCTGCATCGGCTCCTCCTTGCTCGTTGAATGTGAAGTCTCCGCTCAATGGAGTATTTGGGGGAGAGTGCTCGATACTGGGAAGTGGCCTGTCCGAAGGATGCATGCTGCACGTGGTCTTCACTTCGGCCACAGGAAGAGACTTTTGTCCAAGTTCGTCGGCGTTATTGGGTGGTGGCGCTTTTTGGCCGGCCGTCTTGGCTTGTGTCGCATAAGGAAGATTCCCAATGTACAATCGTCCGGCCACAGTAGTGGTTGGAGCAAGATGGGCTTTGGGAGGCAATGGCCGTGACTTTCGGTTTCGCTTTGCCTTCGGCTTCAAGTCGTCTCCAGAGTCGAGCATATACAACTCATCATCTTCGGACTTGATCGCCTCGGCATCGGCCACATAATCCTCATCGCTTTCCGCAGACGTGATCGTTGTAGAATCTTCATCTTTTGACAAGCAAAATCTGATGTCATATTTCAACTTCTTTCCCCGAGTCCGTCGTCGAGAAGAGGGTGTCTTGACATCAACATGACCGTCGACTTGAGGTGGTCCTGCATCATGCACATCGTCCTCGTCATCGACAGCATCCATCTTGCGCTTGCGAATTCCGCCGTTCTTCTTCTTTCCCTGACTAGCGTTCGGTGCCGGGGAAGGTTGAATTGATTTTGGTGTAGCTGGTTGCGACGGGGTTGTGTCGCCATCGATCTTCTTCTTGAGTCGTCTCCAGCGCATTTCCACAGCACCTCTTGTCGAACCCGTTGCCACTGCCACAGCGTTCCAGTCGATCTATCGGACATTAGTCGAGACACAGGGAGAGAGCTGCCGTCACTGTACATACCTTTCCATTAGAATTTTGCAGACAATGGTACAGAAAGAGGACGGTATCGTCAGCCTGGAAAGGAGGAGCCATATTGGTGCACTGGCGTTGGGTTAATTTATCCAGGAAAGGAAGATTGAAGCGCTGGGGGTGGAAGGGAAGAGTGTTGTGCTAATTGTACCGTGAAATTGAGAATGAGGGGGCCAGGGCGATGGTTTATAACACGGATCCAGGAGTTGATAGTCAGGTGAATAGAGGACAATAGAGGACAATAGTCGATCCAAGTCATTCGCATGTCAAATCTGATCTTCCAATTCCTAGGAGCATAGAGCCATTGAGGCCCAAGTGAGCTGGAGGTAAATCCAAGTCGGAATGGGTTTGATTTACCAGAAGCCCGTGGTCTCGACTCAGGTGAAGAGTGAGCATCATCTCAAGACGCCTCGTATCCTTTATTGGAATTTCCGACCATTCATGTATTCATCTCAACGTCATTTATTTCTCCCTGTCTGGTGTTTTTGAGTGCAATCTGACTTCTGGTCAAAGACTCCAGTAAGGCCTCGTTGAGAACCGTCCTAGCTCCTCGGGCGGCAGCAACGGCAGCATCAACCAGTCCGTCGAATCCAGTTGATGGAGTGGCGTCTTGGGCTGATATAGAACCGTTGGACCATATCTCGACTATCTCATCCCTCGAGGACAAATAGCCGACTACGCAACTCGAATGTATCTCATCGTGCTCGACAGCCGCCGGGTCCAGTATTCGCAGAGATTTCGAGTCAGGTCCAGGGACGACAGCGCCAACGCCTGCGGCCAATAGATCCAAACAGTCAATCTTTGCATCCGCCAGCGCCGCCATAGCCACGTTAATTGCTGCTGCGAGCAGGTTGAAAAGTCCGAGCCCAGCAAAGCGATCTCCTTCCTCTTGGTCATCTTCTCCCTCGAGCACTGTTACTGCGATATCAACAGCACTTTTCGGCCATCTGTCTGCCAGGAGGACACCTTTCAATGCATTTTCCAAGTGTAATCCGAGGTCTTTTTCGGTCTGGGTTGGAACGTAGCCTTGTCGGACACGGGTCGCAAAGGGGGCAAATTTCACCGATGCGGTCAACTGCAAATTCGGCGAGAATGATGCGGTTCTCGGTAATGGTTTCGGCCCATGCACAGAGCATGACAGTTTTATGGTGGAGGAGGTAGGTGCAAAGGCAGGTCTCGCGTACGGAGGAGTTTCGAGTTCGAGATAGGCTGATCCGCTGGCCGACGGTACGAGTCCGGTCTGTAGAACTATCCTTGATCAGTATAGACTCCTAGTGGGCAAAGAGGAACGTCGTACACATCTTGCGCAGTTCGTTTGGTTTCCTCAGTCGTCGTCGAGGTGGGTTCGCAGCCTGCGCGGAAGGCGCAAATGCCGGAGGGATGGTGGTGCCTGCAGGCCCATTGATTCTTCGTCTGTCACTCATGACATGGCAATTTCAGCGGAAAAATGAGTGGACGTCCTAGGAGGACCAGGACATGTGCTGCATTTGAGAACAACATCGGCGGTGGCATTCATTTCTCCTCGCCAAGAAAAAAAGTGCCAATCCTGCAGCACGGGAGATAAGCAACACGTCCGCAGACGGCTCGTCAGGCTGCGTATATTTTATCGTCGATCGCGACGAGCCAGACAATGATCTACTATTCCTAAGCGAGACATGAAGATGCCAGATGCCAGATGCCAGCTCCAGCAATGGATAATGCATCAAAGTCGACTTACGGAGCGACTTCAGCAGTAAGGCCATCATACATATGGCGGCAGGCTAAAATCTTATCCCTGGAAAGCAGCTCTCGAAGCCGCGCGGCACCACTTAGCGGTCGGGATCTAGGCGCGTCCTCGATCGAGGACGGCAGCCATCGAATTTTGAAGGCTCGTCTCGTCAACGTCGTCAGAGTGAGTCTAGTTGCACTTTATCCTGGAAAGACTTGGGAGATGGCTTACCGAGAGCTACTCTGAACTGCATGCCTGTTTGTACATTCTTGTGCTGGAAACATAAGCCCTCTGAAAGCTGGAACCAATCGGCGCTAGACGCTGAGTGAGAAGACCCCCGGCCCTAACAACGGACAATAGTAAAGATCGTTCGAACGAGACTGTCGGCAAATCTTGGGAACAGGATGGCTGGAGCATCTCGGCCGCCTAAAAAGGGTCTCGAGGGATGCATCGTGCCGTCTACGCTTCAAAAGCACCCGGTTATGCTGCCTATAACCGAATCATACGACTCACTTCATATTAAACAACCACAAGATCTTCTGTCTGTTGTGGAGTGAGGTCTTTCCAGAAGGTGTCACGTATCCACAGTCCAAATTCTACAAGCATGCCAAGTTTCACTCATACCGCTGCCTGCATCACCGTGCCAGAGCCGGTCTCTTTACAACTAGACAACCTGTTGCATATCTTAAAGGATACACGAAAAATCAAGATCCTCTCGCCTGACCGTGTCAATGGCCAAGGCGTTCAGCCCACCGAACGAGAAGCGAAACCCCTCCTTGACGAGATCCAATACCTAGCCGATGTTCTTGTGGGCGCAGGTCATCCAGCGGATGCCGCAGCCTTTCGGGATGTACGTGAATTGGCAATATTATCTACTGATTTTGGTGGATTAGGCCTGCGACCAGATTGTGAAAATCTCTCTGTACAGGACACATCTGAGCTACTATTCTTGATCTCTGCTCATCTGGAAGCGGTGAATTCCGCAGAAAGAGCCAGGTCACAGTTGCATCCATTGTCGTGGCGGCCACAGGAACGTCGGGGTATGACACTGGCCGAAAAAATCTTTGCCGCCCACGACATCGACCAGAGGGGTGAAGTCAAACCTGGCGATGTAATTAGAGTGGATGTCGATTGGATCTTAGCGTCTGAATTGTCGTGGAAGGTGAGTGACGCAAGCCCTCGAGGTTTCGTTGAGGTGTGTGAGATGGTCGCCACTAATTGAACTTGTCTTCGCCAGGGTATGGAAAGATGGTATGATCAACTAGGTCAGCCGGGAATTTATAGAAATGACCGCTTCTGGCTCGCAGGAGACCACCTAGTCGATCCCAGAGTCATCGATACCCCGAAGATCAGATCATTTGTCAAATCTAACGAGCGTGCGAGGAAGGAGTTCAAAATGACCGACAGCCAGAGGATGAATGTGAGTTGCCTTTCCACGTCTTATCCTCCTCACCTACAAACACCGATGCAGTTTTGTCTAACAACAGATATTCTCCAATCTCTTCAGTACACGATAATGCATACAGAGTTTTGCCGTGAGCGAGCCCAGCCGGGCATGTTTGTCATTGGATCAGACTCACATACCTGCTCCGCTGGGTCAGTCAGCTGCCTTGCGATCGGCCTCGGGGTGGCGGACGTTATCTTACCACTAATTACTGGGGAAACCTGGTTTAAGATACCAGAGACGGTGGAAATACGTTTCATCAATCAGCCCAAACCTGGTATATCGGGTAAGGATGTGATCTTATACGTCTTGAAGGAGCTTAAGCGGAACACTGTTGCGTCAGACCGTGTCGTTGAGTACACAGGCCCCGGAGTGCAGTATTTGTCCTGCGATGCTCGTTTTGCAATCGCAAACATGACCACAGTATGCTGGCAGTCCCTCTTAGGGTTAACATCTGCTTATCAAGCTCAACAGGAATTTGGGGGCGTTACTGGAATCTTCGTCCCGGATGCGATAACCCAGACATTTATCAACCGCCGCGTACAGACTAAGCATCGATCCAATGCATTATATTTTCGGCCTGATGATGATGCTACCTATGCAGAAACCCATATATTGGATCTTGCCCAAGTTGAACCGTTTGTGGCACGATATCCAAAGCCGGATGATGTTGTCCCAGTGACTGAAGTGGAGGGTTTGGAATTGCAAGGATGTTTCATCGGCGCCTGTACCACCACCGAGGAAGATCTGGTGCTCGCAGCACTGGTTCTTGAGAAGGCGATGAAACTTGGAGCAAAGCCTAGAAGTTCCGGAAAACGCAAGGTTGTGCCTGGCTCAATGCCTATCCTGCATAACTTGCGAAAACATGGACTTATCGACATATTTGAAAATGCAGGGTGGGAAGTCGGAGTTCCAGGATGCAGCTACTGCGTTGGGATGTCTGCCGATCAGGCTGGGAAAGGCGAAATATGGCTAACAAGTCAGAATCGCAATTTCGAAAATAGAATGGGTCCAGGTAATATCCATGACCTGTTCTTCACTTTTATGCGAGATTGAACTCACAGATTTAGTTAGGTGCCTTCGGCAATCTGGCTTCAGCAGTCACAGTCGCGGCAAGTAGCTTTGACATGAAGGTTACAAACCCGGCATCACTGCTGAATCTCATTGACATGAGTCGTGTGGATGCAATCTTGGACCGAGAAAGCAAACGAGATTCACCCGTTGGTCCGGACTTCGTCGAGCCTGGATCGAGATCAAGTGTGCACAGGACCTCGGATTGCCAACAGATGCTTCCAAATTTCGCCATTCGAGAGAGTCGCGAAGCCAAGCTCACGCTAATGGCCAAGAGCAATTCATATCCCATGCATAGCGACCTTCAAGTCAACGTAGATACAGCAACAACAGAGTCGATCACGCCAAAAGCTCGAAAGCTTGAGATTGCATCCTCAATAATCAGAGGAAAGGTGGCACGACTAGGAGACTTCATCGACACGGATGCGCTGGCCCCGAATGAGGCAATATCGAAGCCGAACATCACACGAGAACAGCTTGGGACATATTGCCTATACCATACACATCCGGAGTTCCGTCGGCAGGTCAGAGAGCTCGGTCACAATATCGTTGTCGCCGGCGAAGCCTTTGGCTGCGGAAGCAGTCGTGAGGATGCAGTCGGAGCTCTACAGGGTGCCGGAGTTCAATGTGTGATTGCGAAGAGCTTTGCTTTCATCTACGGCCGTAACCAGTCTAACCTAGGTCTTCTCGGATTTGAAATGAAAGATCCACGATTCTGGGAGGTCATTGCGGATGGCAGAGAGATGAAAATCTATCTTGATCGTTCGCTCCTGCAACTGGAAGTGGATGACAATGGGACCTACGAGACCTTCCACTTTGGATTGAGCCCGATGCAACGGCGACTGATGGAGTGTGGTGGCGCTGCGAAAGCATTTGGCCGATGGGGAAAAGGTCTCTGGGAAGCCTTGACATCGCAGACGCCAAACCATGACATTAAGAATCCGCTGACTGCTTCGGACTTTGGGACACTGGAAGAGGATAGAGAACAGGCAAAGCTGCAGTGGTGAGAGAATTGTGAATCGTCTAACTAGAACTTTCATACCCGGCTATAGCGTCTTTCCTACATGCCCGGATGGTAAGCAGATACATAAAACCACTTGAGTCTACTCGCCGTTTTGTATTTCAGCTCTACTGTCATTTACACATGGCCGCGAAAATTCTTGTGTCAACAGCCAATACACCCTCTCATCCTTTCAACTGGCCCCTAAAATTCGCCGCCGCCACGGCCATAGAACTGTCTCATGCGGCGGCAGGTCCGCCATGTTTCAGGACTTCCAAAACTCAACACTCCGTTAGGGACGTGAAGATGATTCGCGCGGTGCGGTGGTGTCGGCGACCTGCTGCACCGTACGCCGATTGGTTGCTCTCCATCTACCAACCACTTGTATTAAGAGCCTTGGGGCCAAGGAAGATCCATTTCGTCAAACCCAAAGCGTACGGGCATACCTCAAGCAAGCAAGTTCTATAAAATTGAGAGCTTTCGAAAAACCAAGGTTCCATTGTCGTTGAGCGGTGGTCGTTCATTTTCCCAGGCTGGGCTCCACTTTCTTTCCCACTTTGACTGCTGACCGGCCACAGAATGGCACAAACAAATGGACATGATCGTCCACAGCCTCCCTCAACAGGGGCAGCGCGGCTCCGCGAGTTGATGGCGGGAGGAAAGATAGTCGTCTGTCCGGGAGTGTATGACGGATTCAGCGCCCGAATCATGATCGAAGCGGGCGTGGATGCGATGTACATGACTGGCGCCGGCACGTCCATATCGCGACTGGGAATGGCCGACTTGGGGCTTGCCACCATGAACGAGATGGCTACCAACGCAGCCATGATCGCCGGCCTCGATCCGGTAGTCCCTCTCATTGCCGACGCAGACACTGGGTACGGTGGACCGTTGTCGGTGCGACGGACCGTGCAGGAATATATCAAAGCTGGTGTCGCCGGGTTACATTTGGAGGACCAAGTTCAAACGAAACGATGCGGCCACCTCGGCTCCAAAGAGCTGGTCGACGAAGAGGTTTACATTTCACGGATCAGAGCTGCTGTCCTGGCCCGGGCGGCGATTCCTAACGGAGACATTGTGATCATCGCGCGCACCGACGCATTACAGGGGCTTGGGTACGATGCCGCTGTTAGTCGATTGAAAAAGGCCCTTGCCGCCGGAGCAGATGTCGCGTTTCTTGAGGCCCCGACAAAGATTGAACAAATGCGTGCTGTGTGTCAAGACTTGGCACCGGCGCCGGTCCTGTTGAACATGGTCACCGGCAGTATCACACCTAATATCAGTGTCGACGAGGCTCAAGAGGTGGGCTACCGAATAATCATCTATCCGGCCCTTGCACTAGGCCCTGCTTATGAGGCAATCAGCGCCGCGGCCAACGAGTTAAAGGGGACGGGCACGGTGAAGCTAGGCAAGGTCATGGTCGGCGGTCCGAAAAAGTTGTTCGAGACATGCGGTCTGAACGAATTGATAGCCTTTGATCTGGCTTCTGGAGGCTCGGCTTATAAGAACGGCGTCTGAGAATGAATCAGAGCATTCCTGGAACACGCACGCACTTGGAGTGACGACTTTTGAGCCGGGTTTGCGTTGAATCGACGATTATGCAATATATACTCTTTTCCCTCTGGAATTAAATCTCAGACAGCAGGAACGTTGCTAGCAATAAATAGAGTCTCTACACGCTCGCTTCCCGGCAATTCATATATTGGGATGTTCATTTCTTGAGCATCAGGTAGTGATGCTCGAGAAAGACTCCATGTTGACCATCTTAATGGCAAAGAATTGTGAGCGACGCTCGAAGAGGAAAATTCAACTACAGTCCGGCAGCCACATGTTTGAGGTTGTCCTCCATCTCTGTTCTTCTCTCTCTGTCCTTCTCTCTCTGTCCTTCTCTCTCTGTCCTTCTCTCTCTGTCCTTCTCTCTCTCTCTCTCTCTCTCTCTCTCTCTCTCTCTCTCTCTCTCTCTTTCAAAGGCTGTAGAAATCATGAGAGCTTCACGTGCACCGCCTTGCATTGAGTCAACTCGAAAAGCTCTTCGAGGCCATGCTCCCTGCCCATGCCTGACTGCTTGTAGCCCCCGAATGGAATGCCGAGAAAGTGGGTGGTAACCGTATTCACCCAGACATATCCAGCTTGCATCTTCCTGACTGCTTTCTGTGCAGTCGCAATGTTGGAGGTGTATATCGCGCCCGTCAATCCGTATTCCACCGAATTGATCTGCCGCCATACTTCTTGCTCGTCTTTCCACTTCAAAACGCACATGACTGGCCCGAACACCTCTTCCTGAGCAATCCGCATGTCATATCGGACATCCCCAAAGATTGTAGGCATCATGTAGAAGCCATCTCGAGGCGTATCTTGAGCGGCTCCGCCTAGGACCAAGGTGGCTCCCTCGCTCTTACCAATCTCGATATATTTCTGAACCCTATTTAGGGCATTTCGGTCCACGAGGGCTCCCATCGTAGTGTCGGGGTCGAGTGGATTGCCGGGTCTGTAGCTCGTGCGGACCTTGTCTACCACAAGTTCGAGGACCTTATCATACAAGGACTCGTGCAGGAAGATGCGTGAGGTTGATGAACATGACTGGCCGCACCAAGCAAAGTTCATACCACGGACGATACCCTCGACAAGCTGTGGGATATCCGCATCTGGGTAGGCGAGCAGAGCGTTCTTCCCGCCCAGTTCAAAAGTGGTCAATTTCAGAGTGTCCGCACCAGCCCGTTGGATCAAACGACCGATAGGCACGCTACCGACCAGAGTAATCTTCCGGACGATTGGATGACTCGACAGCGTTGCGCCGCACTCTCTTCCACCTGCCAGCACATTGACGACTCCGGGAGGGAAGAGGTGTCCAATGAGTTCCATCATACGTAGCGCCGAGATTGGGGCTTGTTCTGCGACTTTAATCACCACGGTATTCCCCACCGCGATCGCACTAGCAAGCTTCATCCCAAGCATCATGACCGGGTGATTGTACGCCACGATTCGCGCGACCACTCCTAGGGGTTCTCGAATCGTGTAGTTAAATGTCTCCTCTGATAGGTGATGTGTGTCACCCGTCACGGCGGGTACGAGTCCCGCGAACAGATCGAAGTTGTCGGCGGTATATTCCACGTCCTGGCGCATGATTGCCACCGGATTGCCTACATTCCAGGCATCAAGTGCGGCCAATTCATCGGCATTGTCGCGGATCACTTGGGCCGCCTTGCGAAGGAGCTTACACCTTACAATTGAAGGCGTGGTGCTCCATGCAGGGAACGCCTTCTCTGCTGCTTCCAGGGTAGCCACCGTGTCCTTTGCACCAGCGAAAGCGACCTTGGTAATGGACTTGCCCGTACATGGACTGATGACGTCTCTGTATTCGCCATCAATGGGTTCTCGAAAAGATCCATCATAAAAGAGCCCAGTATTCTTGGGTAGGTAGGCGTCGACATGGAGCCCATTGGTTGTTCCAGCCATTTGGAATAACTGATTAGTAGTCTTGGATAGTTGAATTTGGACAATTCTGGTGGAGAGTGGGCGAGGAGGCTTGCTTTGACCTGATGTTGTATACCTCACCGGGAAGACCTCGAGTGCGGCCTAACTGCTTGCTACTTCCTGTAGGCCAGCGGGTCAAAACGAATGGTGCAGAGTCAGGTAGCTGTTGTTGCGCACAGGATAACTACAGCAGCTGTTGGACACGATTGTCCAAGCAGCGACCAGTCCCGGTCAGCCTATGACAGCGATGCCGTATCTGTGAACATGGACCAGCTGGGATTGGTCCAGGACTGTCCCTCGGCCCCGGTTCCCCAGCTTTTTACTGCTTGGGGCCTGCCCAATAGCATCTCGTTGTTGCGTCGCCGTTTTCGTCCCGACGAGAATCTGTCCAATCGCAAACGTTCGCAACAGATACATTGCAACAACCGCCTCAGGACGTTGAAGCATCTACATAACCATTTAATTGCATAGACATTTGGTACAGGGTCACTGTGAGCAAGCCACCAACACCGTCGCAATTCTGGAAGGGTTTCTCTGAGTAGTGGCCAAGTCTGGTCCGCATTGTTTGCATCGCCCCACCTATTTATAAGACCATCCTGTGATTCCGCCGAGTCATCAACGAGATTGAGCCTGATCACCAGGTGTTCCTCGGTGATATCCCCTTGTGTTCCCGAGTTATGGACAAGCTTGTAGCGGTGTCCCGGTTGCAAGGCCTAGCGGCGGTGGTCGTTTTGTGCCTTGCGCTGCTTTATCTTGTACGTTCATCCTGGAGCTCTGGAATAACGTATGTTCGATTGACTTTTGACAGGCCCGGGGTCTCAAAGATCCCCTTCGCTCGATACCAGGACCGTTTTGGGCCAAACTGTCTGGCGCCTGGATTATATTGCTGGATCTTTCGGGAAATCGAAGCACAACGATCCACGATTTGCACCTGAGACATGGCCCTGTCGTGCGAATTGCCCCAAACCAGCTGTCGTTCTCGTCCACTCGAGCCCTCAAGGATATTTACGGAGCCAATTCCAAGTATACCAAGGCTGAGATCTACGAATCATTAGGTCAAAAAGGCATCTTTACGACTCGCGACCGGGACGAATACCGAGTGGCCAAGAAACGAGTCGTTCCAAGCTTCTCTCAAGCTTCAATCGCCCAGATGGAGGACATGATTCACGGCCATGTGGCAAATCTAGTGAAGTGCTTGGACAAACGGCTGAACATTCCACTAGACGTCCTACCGTGGTTTCGAATATTTGCCCTTAGTGTTGTTGGTATGGCATACTTTTCTGAGCGACTGAAGATCCATGTCTTAACTTGAATCAATAGGTGACGGCTTCGCGGGTAAGAGCTTCGGCGGCCTCGAGACGGAAAAGACGCCTCAGTTGCTGCTCGATCTCGATGCCGTGTTCCCCTCTCTCTGGGTTTGGTGGATGTTTCCTACGACTTCCAAAATCTTACAGTACGCCCCAGTCAAAGCCATCCGCGACTTCCTCAGGGCTGGCGATGATTTCAATCAGGTGAGCACTGCGAAATTCTGCAACACCACTCGACTGTGGCTCAAGTAATAACAGTATTGCGGCAATGCATTCTATGAATACTTACTCCACGTCGATCCCGCGGGGCGACATGATTTGATCGCCAAGATGCTGAACGAAAGGGACGAACTCAAGGGAAAAACCTCAGACATCCCACGGGCCTTGACCGATAAGGGAATCATCGACGAAGTCACGAACCTCGTTTTTGCCGGAACCGACTCCACAGGAAACACCCTTTCATACTTGTTCTACGAATTGTCGAATCAACCTAAATGGCAACTGCGACTACGCGAGGAGCTCAAGGACGTGCCAACCTCTCACAGGTATAACGTCGTGGCCGAACTGCCGATACTTGAAGCCGTCGTGCAAGAGATACTGCGGCTCCGACCAGCGGCACCAGCCAGCTTGCAGCGTATTACCCCCGATACAGGAGGGGTAATCGACGGCGTGGTCGTACCCCCAAAGGTAAGTCCTTTCTGGGCTTCGATGCCCTTTCCACAAAAATACCCTCGCGAAATCGGGACCAGAATATCATCATGTCTCCAGACTAATTCGAGCTGCAGACGATTGTTTCGTGCCAGGCATTGACGATTCAAAGAAATCCGCTTATCTTCCCGGATCCAGACACATTCAACCCGCAGCATTGGCTAGATGTCGATGGACCAGAACAGTTGGAGACCATGCGCAATCACATTACCGTCTTCGGTAAAGGTGCCCGGGCGTGTTTAGGGAGAAGTCTAGCGACAATGGAGATTAAGCTGGCCACGGCCGCGTTGATCACACGATACAATGTTGAGATTGGCGGTGTAACAACACATAATGATATGGAAATGGCGTGCCACTTTGTGCTGGTTCCTAAAGGGAAACAATGTATTCTAAAGTTCACTCCAGTTTTATAGCTTGAATCGAGAAAACTTCTGCAACTCAAGTGGCAAGATCAAGAATGCGCGTGACGTTCTGGGATCACTACAAGCGTTTTCCACAAGCCGGACACTCTCAACGAGCTAAGTTCATCGTCCAGTGGCCTGGTGGAGCGATGTAAGTCGAGATAATCGTAGCATGTTTCATCTGAGCAGAATGGACTGCGTCTTGTTGTTCTCGGCACAAGTTAGGGCTGCGCCTGTCCCTCCTCCATAAAGTCATGACATGCAACAGTGATGACTAGCGTTATTGCACACATGATTGGTGCAGCAGTCAGTGATCAGGGTACTCATGGCTTCCCACAACAGTGTTCACCAAGTATCTATACACGGTGCCCAACAGCGCCCACAAAAGCATTATTAATAGAAGGCCTTGGGCGGTAATTGCTGGCTACACATTTTCTACGCAGTCATCTTCAAATCCCAGCTCAAAGATCAGACACCAACATGTTCAGATCAAATTATATATCTATATCTCCAAATAAAGACTTGACTTGGTTACCGACATGTTCTATTCTGCTCTGTCGGCCTGTGCCCAAACTCAAGGTCGATCTCAGTCATGACTCGTGGTTGGGTCCCACGCACATGAGGCATAGGAAGTGGGAAATTGGAGTTTTCCCATGTCCTCTGCATCGAGCTGAAAGTCGTAGAGATTTGCATTCTCTTCGATCCTTGAAGGTGTCTCACTCTTAGGCAGAGGCACATATCCCTTTTGTAAACTCCAACGTAACAGGATCTGCGCCCAGGTCTTCCCATGCTTCTGGCTCAGATCTTGTAAGACTTGTTCATCTTTACGCTCGCCCCGGATGACAGGGCAATAAGCCTCAAGGATAATATTTCTCTTCTCACACCAGTCGACGATATCTTGACGGGGAAGCCAAGGATGAAGTTCCCATTGGCCGACACTGATAACACTAGAGCTACCGGTGCTTTTAATATACTCCTCCAACTCCTCTAGGTGATGAATGCCGTAGTTCGATACGCCGATAGATCGAATCTTGCCCTCTTTTTGCGCCTCACTGAGTGCCTTCCAGGTCCCTAGTCGAGCTTCCTTGCCTCCGAACGGGGCGTGAATTAGATATAAGTCGATATAATCGAGACCGGTCTCAGAGAGAGATGCCGCAATCGAAAGCACCGTCTTCTCGTAGCCCATGTCCTGAGGGTGGACTTTGGTGGTGAAGAAGACCTGCTCTCGGTCGAGGCCTGAGGCCGAAATGGCTTTTGCACAGGGTTGCTCATTCTCATAGGCACGGGCTGAATCAATGTGTCGATAGCCAACGCGTAGTGCGTAGGTCGTTACCTCTTCGCACGTGGCCGGAGGCGTCTGATATACACCATAACCCAGGACGGGAATCTCGTGACCAGATTTCAAACGATATGTAGTATTGAGGGTGAACTTGGAGGGGTTGGACATCGCCATGTCGTACGATGAGTACTTCGTTGGAATTCGTGTGAGATCGCTGACCAGGCTCAATCTTTTAATTTGTTGGAATTGCGAAAGGTATCTATCTACACGACGAAATGTTGCCCCAAACCTTCTGCCCACGTTCACCGAGAATGATTATTTGGAGGGTTCGGTCGAGGCTCGGCCGATTCCAGTCAGGACGTAAGCTTTCGTAGCGCGGACTCCCTCCCAACATGCTCAGCTGAGCGCTCCAATCGGAGAACCGCATGCGCATCGGCCTGGGCGAAAAAAGCGGCCAACATGAGACTATAGGGCTCGCAAGATACATCTTTAGGAGACGGCTGGCGATACTAGGCCTGCTCCTATAAACCTTCTAGATGACCGAGAGGGCCTCTAACTAGCCCGGCGCCGCTTTCGCAAGCGTGTTACCCTCCAGCGACGGGCGGCCGCTTCAATAGAATGCGAGCGAGCAAGACGCAAGGGACCGTCTGGCCTCCGCCCAATCAAAGACTCGGGCAGCAATCTCCCCCTCTGATTTTGCGGAGTGCTTTGGATCCCTTCAACCCAGAGTCCGGGGAAGGGGAGTGCAAGAGACCATGACTCCACTCCGCCGATGCTGCAAGTCGCCTTGTAGCGCTCTTCTACCTCGGGTCTGGACTCGGTCTATGAGGTCGAGCTCGAGGCAGTCTATATATCAGACATGGTCGTAGAGACTTCGAAGATAACGTACTGTTTTCTAGCATGCCTCTCAGCTCCTGATACTGTCGACCTATCTATAGCACCCTAACACAGTCTCATAGATAGAGGCTTGCTCCTCAACATTGACCAGATGGCGAAACGTTCCAGCCAAGAGGGTATCCTCAGCCGACAGAAGGTCAACATACACACCGTTGTTGTGCTGGTTCTCCTTGGGTTTGGCTCCGTCACTGCTGGTTACTCTGCAGCTGTGATGGGAATCACCTCAGGTAAGAGATCCATTCGACCTAGATATCGATTGCCCTGGAGCAGTATTGACGGCCAGCAGGCCAACCATCCTTCAACGAATATTTCCATCTTGATTCACGTTCCAATGGCGCAGACCTCCTCGCCACCATGAATGGGCTGTTCTCGGCCGGCGGCGTGATCGGTACATTGTTGCTCCCCACCATTGCAGACAAATGGGGCCGTAAATGGGCGTGCGCTGTGGTACGTCGTGCCTTGCAGTGTTGTGTCGTTAAGCCATTTTTCTGAAGTTTTGCAGTCTGCCATTCTGACCATCGTGTCTGGTGCCCTTCTGGCTGGCAGCGTCAACGTCGGCATGTTCATCGCGTTCCGCTTCATCGCAGGCGCGGGTTCGTTCATGTCTCTTGCTGCAGTGCCTCTCCTCATGAGTGAAATCGCCCCAGTCCAGATGCGCGGTGCGCTGATCGACATTCACGCCTCCATGTTCTCAGGCGGATACGCCATTCAAGCCTGGATCGGGTTTGGTTTTTACTGGTGGACCAGTGAAAGCTCCAATGCATGGAGACCACCAATTGCCATTCAATGCTTTTGGCCCCTGATCTTATTAGTTGGGCTTTTTTTCGTCCCAGAAAGCCCGAGGTGGCTGATGATGCAGGACAGGGCCTCCGAGGCTAAAGAAATCCTGTTGAAGCTCCATCTAGACCCCACTGATCCGAACAACGACGCTGCCCACGCAGAGTTCTACCAGATTCAGAAGCAGATCGCAATCGACAAGACTCTGGGGAATACGTGGTGGCATATCCTGAAGAAGCCTTCTTACCGAAAGCGAGCCCTTATCGGGTGCGGTATCACGGTCATGACCCCCTTCTCCGGTATCTATGTCATCAATGTCTACGGCCCGACACTGTACAGGTTGCTTCAATATTCCACGACCAAAGCACTCCTATTCCCGTCACTATGGTCTACTTTCAACTTTGTGTGCAACGTCATCGCCATCACTCTTGTGGACCGCTTTCCACGCCCGAAATACATTGCTTTCGGGATGTTTGGATGCATGGCGAGCCTCATCGTCGAGACGGCGTTGATAGCCAACTTTGTCCCGTCTAACAACGGCGCGGCTCTCCAAGCCGCAGTGGCCATGTTCTTCATATTTTCGGCCTTCTTCAATCTATGTATCGATGGCACACAATTTTCGTACCTGGGAGAAGTCTTTCCCACTCATCTACGCGCCAAGGGTGTCTGTTTAGGCATAGCCCATATATCTTTCCAGAACATTCTCTGGCTACAGGTTGCGCCTGTGGCGCTGCGAAATATTGGGTGGCGGTTTTTCCTCTGTTTCATTATCCCCGGGACGATCGCCTGCATTGTCATGTGGATTTGGTTTCCGGACACCAAGGGCCGACCGTTGGAGGAAATCGCGGCGCTTTTTGGCGATGTCGACGAGGTTGCCATCTACCAGCATGAGATCGAGATTGACGCAGCAACGCACACCATTCGAGACCTCCACCAGGAAACCAAAAGCGCTGCTCAAACTCATTTCGAATGTATCTCACATCATGAAACAACGGGCTCCGAGAAGTATTGATAAGTCTTGCTTCACGTTGCACTCGCCACACATAGCTCTGATCAGTATTCCGAATACATATCTACGGCTTGAATAAGCTGCCGCATCTTCCAGTTCTTGTTCATAGATACAAATGTCACAGCAACTTCGAGGCTTAACGAAAGGTCTTAATGAGGGGATCATCTACATAATAGATGGTAGTAAGGTGGTCACGGCACGGCACAGAGAAGAATGGAAGATCGCTCCAAAGTCTGTGGATTGCAATATGATAGATTCTAAGCTGGAGAGAGAAAAGAAGGCAAGTGCGGTGGCTCGACCTTAAGGGTTCAAATACTCGAGGGATGCCAAGAGGTCTCTCCTCAACACCCTGCCAAGCATTCCTCTTTAGCCCACATACCTACCCAGTCACATGACTGAATAGGGCTTATTCGCTCAGACCGATGCCTTGGCAGCGCTGGACAACTGTACTGGGTACGGCCGTCTAACAAGCTAGTTTATCACGTGACCATGGTTGGGCTGGGGCCTAGTATCTGTGCCAAGTCATTGGCCCACCTTCCCTAGGTCCCCGCACCAGGCCGCATAACCGGTCGACCTGGGTGGTTCGTCACACTCGGATCAAAGGGTTTTGTGCCAGAAAAGCCCTAATTGTCATAGGCAGAACTGACCTGCCACCCATGTTAACCTCTCATCTTCACCTCACGTTGTTTCGCCGAAATCTGATGAAGCACTGTCAATTACCTTGATTTCGTTTGATGATACGCCTCAGCTCCAATCCACCGTGCCCTACCCTAACTTGCGTGATGGCTGTGCAAGCTGTGTCCCAGCTGGGTGGAAGTTATGGCAGACCACTTGCTCCCAGGGCCGCCACCGATTCAAGAACTCGCATGTCCCAGGCTGGCGTTCTGAGCGCTGGTGATACAAATCGCCGTAACAAGCGACCTCGCGTTGTTGCCTGCCAACAGTGTCGGCAAGCCAAGGTACACATTTCAGCCCAGAAAGAGGGGATGATCTCGCCCCGGAAGTCTAGGCCATCTCACAGTTTGTTAACTTGAGTCGTCTTAGTTACGCTGCGAGGGGTCGGAAGGCGGCCTTCGACCTTGCAACAGATGTCAGGAGCTCTCGACGCAGTGTGTCGTCGACACCCAGTATAAGCGCATCAGTAAGAGAACGTACGCTTCCCTTGGGGGCCAACCCATAAGCAAGGCCGTGGCAACCACGCTGACGAGTCGTTGCTAGAACTTTGAGCGAGATAGCAACCCAAGTTCAGCTGCTGAGAGCAGCTCACACCGACGACTCGGCGGTCCCCAGGCGCATTCAAGGGGACACGGCCAACTTGCCTCGCTCCCAGAACGCCAGCAACAGATCCATGGGTGCTCCCGCCGCTGCTCCTGTCGCGAGCAGTCCAACTGCCAACCTCAACTGGAACGGTGGTTCGTCCGAAGACTATGCTGCTGATTCAAGTGGCGACGCAACACTTAGCAGGCACCGACTTCCAGTCCCAGCCTTTGAACCGGCATCGGCGTTCCCAGCTTCGAGGGAGCAGACCATCCGATCCATCACTGTCAGTCCGGCAGAGATTCAGCATTTGTTTCAGGTGTAAGATTGACCTCTTCAGCCACTGTCTGGGGGTTTTGCTAAGGCTCGGCAGATACTTCACTCACTACCATCCACTGTTTCCCGTCCTCCAAAACCCCCCTTCAGCAGACCCGGTTGGCGAGGGCTCTAGGCTACTCTTCTGGGCCATCATCCTGACCGCAGCCCGCCACGACAGCCTCCATTTTTCTCTGCTGGACGCATTGCTGCCGGCGGTCCAGGATCTGCTCTGGTCGACAATAGCACATCCTCCTCACACGCTGTCATCCCTACAGGCGATGTCGATTCTTTGTGTCTGGCCCTTTCCCACCTCATCTATGCCCCTTGACACCACGTATATCTTGGCCGGCAATCTCAGATCGGCGGCAATGCATGCTGGAATGCATCGAGCAGACAATATCTCCGATTTCTCCCGATTACGGGTTTCTCTACAACCAGCGGAGCTTCGCGAGCTTGTCAAAGTGTGGTGTTGCTTCTACGTCGCCGTGGAAAAGTAAGTGCCCTTGACCTTTTCAGTCTCGCAGAAGCTCGTACTCTCACATTTTCGCGTGCAATGTCCCGCAACAATGTCCCGCAACAATCTATCTTCCGTCGAGCTAATGCTGAAACTCCTTCTTCAGTGCGGCTACCATGACCGGACAAGAGCCCTATTTTCACAAAGACGCCACTATTGAGCAGGCATCTGAAGCAACGAATCCATTGGACCTTCCCGAAGCGGTCCACTGCGCAGTCATGGCTCAACAATTCTGCAACAAGGTACATAGAGCCATGACTGAAGTCGAGAGGCAACAAGGACCAGTCCCCCAATCATCGAGAGTCTCAGTACTGGAGGACTTGGAACGTGATCTTCAGACGCTGGAAATACAACTAGCCAACGCCAAACATGGCAAGTCAACGACCATTTATCACGACTATTTCTGATATCTAATCATATCAACAGAAATTCACCTGCTTGCCGCGCGGTTTCAACTCCGAGCATACTGGCTGTTCCACGACGAAGAGTCGGCTGCTCGACGGAATGGTGTTATCAAGGCCTATGAAGACGCTACCAACCTTGTCTCCGGTTTTGCAGTCAGACACAGGACCGACAGTCCCTTCAAGTACTTACCCTTTGCACGATATCAGCTATGCTTCACGATAGGGGTCTTTGTATCTAAAGTCTCGTCTTCAAGTTACCGGCCATTCCTGGATGTCGAGAAAGGAAAACGAGCCTTGGACATATGTGTCTCATTTTGCAAGCAGTGCTCCGTCGAGGACAATGATCTCCCAGGCCGAACCACCAAAATCCTGGCGCAGATCTGGAATCTTCACAGAGAACAGCCGGACACAGGCCTTGACCCTCCACGTCTTTCAGTCAAGTGTCGCCTCTTGGTCAGCATTGTGTTTGACTCTCTGTGGCTATGGCGTGCAAAATACGCTGGACAACCAGGCAACGGAGCGCCCAAATTCCCACCTCCATTCATGTCACCTGCATTCACAGATATTTCCAACACGGCATCCCCAGGTCTGAGACACCCGTCCGCGGTTTCGCCGACACGCCACGGAACTGAAAGCACCACGGATCAATCTCCAGACCCACTCAACCTTCCTGTGCCATCGAGGGTGGTCCCTCCAATTCGTTCCACCGCCGAAGGGCCTATGCCCGACCCTACACAAGAAGCCTTTGAAGCTGTAACCGAAGACGATGGTATTATGTGGGACATCACAATCCTCAACTCCAACCTGATGTCTTTTGACGAGCTCGATCCCTACCCTAACCATGCAATCGAAGACGACAGCTGGCTACAGTCACTGAATTAATGCGGAAACTGGGCACCCAATATCAAGCAAGAAGCAGCGACGTTTTGAAAGCGGGACGAGACACGAACAGTCACGGCACGTCTTGGTTACGAACAGGCCTCGCAAAGTTTGGTCTTTCTACGACATGATGCCTCCGTCCACTGTGAACAAAGCACCCGTTGTGTAGGCTGCATCGTCACTGAGCGCAAAACAAATGGTCTTGGCCATATGTACAGGTGTGCCCCGGTCCTGTAAAGGGATATACATGGAGGCCACCATCGACGCTGGTGCCCCATCGGACAATCGATCCATCATAGGAGTTTGCGTGATTCCACTGTCGTCGCGTCAGTCTACAATGTATATCCGAGTACAAAGGACGAGGAGACGGGGGGTGGGCAAGACGTACGGACAAATTGCATTGACGCGGATGCCGTTGACGCCCACCTCTCGGGCGGCGGTCTTTGTGATGCCCACCACGCCGTGTTTGCTGGCGCTGTAGGCGCCAAAACTCTCTCTCCCAGCCAGGCCGCCCACGCTGGAGACGTTGACGATGGATGCTCCTTGATCCATGACGCGCAACTCGGCGCGAAGACAGTAGAACAGACCCGTCAAGTTGATGCCTAGTATATGGTTCCAGTGCTCGTTGGTGGTGTCGACAATGGGCGCATAGACGGTCCCGTCCGGGCTGGATTCCACTCCGGCGACATTGGCGGCACCGTCCAACCGGCCAAAATGCTGGACGGTCGCGGAAATCCACGCATCGACGCTGTTCGAGTCTGCGACGTTGACCACCGTCCCCACCACGTCGACTCCTCCTAGAGCGCGGATTTCTTCGACGACCTGGTCGAGACCTTTGCAGTTCACGTCGCACAAGGCCAGCGACGCCCCCCGAGCAGCGGCCGTAAGCGCCGTCGCGCGTCCAATCCCCGACCCGGCGCCCGTGATCGCAATTACCTTATCTTGGAGCTGTGCCATGTTGACGAGAATCCAAGGGGACAGGCTCTGTCAACTGTAGTTGGTCCTGTCGCATCGGCCATATACTAAAAGTGTGCGAGTCACGCTCTCGCAGTTGACCGCGCGACACCAAAAGATCTCACGGCGATGCAACCTGCTAGCAAGAGAAAGCGGTGCGTACTGTACTCTACTTGAGTAGATGTGAAGTAGGGTCCGATCGGTGCCAAAAAAAAAACAACCAAAAAAACAGGTAAAGAATTGTCCAAATGTGTCAGATTGACTCGGCGGCTTCATTAATTGGTCGGCATTGTGCTTCTCCCGCCCGAGTTCCGTCCAATTGGAGAGGAGGAGAGCAGATAGTTCCCGGCCCGAAAGCGGATCTAATGATTCGTCCTCCCGACGCCGTTTCAAGCCAGATGATGATTTGGCCGAGATCAAGAAGCGGTGGCGCTGCATCAATCAGGGCCGGGGTTCGAATGCATCTGGTAACTATTAGGGAACGGCATTTGTGTTAAAGGGGGAAGGGGAAATCCGGAGAGAACGGACGAAATTGTCATGCCTAGGTGACAAAGTGTTTGAAGCAAAAATGATTGCGAGAGGGGCAAAGTTACAAGGTCTAGAGCAAAAAGACCGGGCCTCTTCTGACCATGTAGACAGCCTCATTTCTAACAAGATACCCAGCATCACATGACATGACACACTAATTGGACCAATTGATCGATTTCCTAGGGACGGACGTACTACATGCGTACCTACGTACCGACCGAACTGAGGTCAAATCCTCGATAGCCGTGTTGAGAGCTCTCCAAGCATTTCTCCTTGTAGGCGGGCAGGCCGGCCATATAGAGCAGGGCTTCGCGCGGCTTGCCCGGGATGTTGGCACCGAAATACCAGCTCTGGGCCTGGTGGAACAGGCCTCGGCCGCCGATGTCGTCGACATGGGCTTTCCACTCACTCTCGGCTTCTGCCGTGGCGTTGATCGTGGTCAGGTTGTTCTGCATCATGTATCGGAGGCAGTCGACGATCCAGGCGCCTTGGAATTCCACCGAAACGGGCCCTGCAGAGAAGGCCGTCGGGGCCTGCGGCCCGTAGACGAAGAACATGTTGGGAAAGTCGTGCACCGTCATACCCAGGTACGTGTAGACGCCGTTCTGCCACTTTTCCGTAATGCGCTGGCCCGACGCCCCGCGAAGGTCAATCTGCGTTATGCCCCCAGTGATGGCATCGAACCCCGTGGCCATGACCAGAGTGTCGAGCTCGTGATTCACCCCGTCCGACGTCTGGATTCCCTCGGGCGTCATCTGCACAATCGGGGTCCCCAGGAGATTGACCAAATCTACGTTGGGTTGGTTGAAGGTTTCAAAGTAATCAAGCTCGAGGCTGATTCGCTTGGTCCCGAACGGGTGGATCGGGTTCTTGGGTGCCAGTATCTCGGCCTTGTTGGGACCCTTGATTCTGGGTAATGTCTTTTCGCGCCAGAACTGGTATGCGACAGCATTGGCAGCCGGGTCGAACATCATGTCGTTGTAGTTGCCCAGCTGGAATTGCAGCCCTCCGCCGCTCCAAAGTTTCTCGTAGACCGCGAGTCTTTCAGCATCGGACAAATCGGTCGTCTTTCCCTGCACGAAGTCGTAGAGGAATCCGCCAAAGGTAGTCAGCTGTGTCTTGCGCGATTCGACAAAGTTGTCCCGCAGGGCTTGGTTTTGTTCTTGATCCAGCGTGGGGTTGCGCATGGGGATGGCGTTATTCGGAGTTCTTTGAAACACGGTCAGATGAGCAGCCACCTTGCCTATTTCCTGTATGGCTTGGACTCCTGAAGCGCCGGTGCCAATTACTCCCACCCTCTTGTTCGTCAGGTCGACCTTCTCCTGTGGCCAGTGGGATGTATGATGTATAGTGCCTTTGAAGCTGCCCAAGCCCGGGTATGGTGGCATGAAGGGCTTGGCGGCGAAACCGGTGCAGAGGCACAGAAACTTGCTGCGGTAAAATTGCTGCTCACCGGCTTGGGCAACAATTCGCCACTGTGACATGTCCTTGTCCCAATGAGCACTTTCGACTCTCGTGTTGAAGTCAATGTCACTACGCAGCGCCCAGACTTTGGTAATGTGTTCAAAATAGGCGACCAGCTCGTCTCGGCCCGGGTATCGCTGCTTCCAGTCCCATTGCTTCCAGGTCTCTTCGGCCGTAAATTGATACTGAGGTACCTCCAAGTCTACACGGGCTCCAGGATAGGAATTCCAGTACCTAGATGGACATGTCAGTAACATGTCAAGAAAGTTGTACCCCCGTAATCAACTGACCAAACCCCTCCAGCCTTGGCTCCCGCCTCTAGAAGTCGGACAGAGTATCCTGACTTTCTGAGACTGTTCAACAAATAGAGGCCGCTGAAGCCAGCTCCCACAATTAAAACATCGTAGTACTTGTCCAGCGATATCGAACCCATCGAGCCAGTTGCGAGATTGAGGGTATGAAAACAACCTAGGCACGAAAGTGCAACTTGGGATGGATGTTGTGCATGGCTTCGCAGTCGGGAAATGGCCTTATAAGGTCACAAATTCTGTACGCTTTTCTGTGAAGATGGTAAACGGTATACAGCCTAGCCGAACTTTGACCTATCAACGGAGTTGTCGCTTGGACCGCTGAAAGTGGGTCCAATGACCCCAGCTTCCTCCACAGTTCCCCACTACATAAGGAGATGTCGGACGTAGCTGGGCCACGCTAGTGCCGGTGCGAAAACGGGGAAAGCATCTTCCCAATGACCAGGCGGAATCAAAATCTTGTAGCACGGGAAGGGTGCTCACGAATGGATGTTGAGCTGAAGGCTTCTCGGATGTGATGTTTATGATATATAACAGACGCAAGTGTACGCTGACAGCAGACGATGATATTAGAAAACACCTTCTCAATTTGTATTGCCCGATCCTCCTATTGATCCGTCCTAGTTGTCTTACGAGCAAGTCGTTAGTGCCTTCTACCTGCTTAGTGAATCGCCAGTAAGCGAACTACACCGATCGTATGGCCCGTCGACGTCGGCAACCAAGGAGCGAAATTGAACAATCAGATGACGTTCTTCAATTCCTGACCGGTCAGGAATCTTGTCAAATTATATGCAACCAATGTCGTGGGCGTCTGCGGCCTCCCTCCCGCCGCATGCGGGTTTACAATGGTGTTCTTCGTCTTCCAAAGCGGGCTGTTCTCTTGCAACGGCTCTGTCTCAAACACATCGAGTGCCGCACCACCGATCTCGTCATTGTCCAGCGCATGCACAAGTGCCTGCTCATCTACACTTGAGCCGCGGCCTACATTGATGACCCAAGCATGTTTCCGCAGCAGGTCTAGCCGCTCCTTGTTCAGAGCGTGCTTAGTCGCCTCGCTGCCTGGTAGAATCATAACCAGCGCATCGGTATTTGGCAGAAGCTCGACCAAGGCCTCTTCGCCGTAGACTGGGGTGCCGTTACGCACGCCGGGGCTACGCGCTATACCCTTAACCTTGGCACCTAGTGCATTCAGCCACGGCGTCAGCATTTTAGCGATATTTCCGAAGCCCCAGATTAGGACCCTGGCGTCTTGTAGCGTCGTGAGCTTGCCTTCGGGGCGGTCTGGCTGGGCGCCGCCTAGGTGCGACGGCCACTGGCCTCGTAATTGGTAATCGCGCATTTCAAATAAGCAACGCGCGGCGTTCAGGAGCAGTCCCAGCGTGTGTTCGGCCACCGTGTGGTCGTGCAGACCCGAACCTGTAGTGATCAAGATCCTGGAAACGTCGAAGCCCGCTTCCAGCACGTCGTTGGGACCCGCGGCCAGAGACTGGATCCAACGGAGCTTGGGGAGGCGCCGCGCCTCTTCTCTAAGGCGCGCCGCTGGGTTGACCCAGGTCACAAGTATTTCGGCATCGGTGTTGTTCTGGGATGGGCTGTTCGACGTCGTAAAAGATCAGTTCAACGGGAAAGGTTAGTAGTTGCGAGGTGTTGATGACCAGAGAGTTGGGGTAGAGGAGCTTCATGGTGGTGGTGAGGGTGGTGGCGATCGTCGTCGTCGTCTTCCTCAAATCGGTGGCTAGTGGAGGAGGAGGGCAGGGCGATAAGATCTCCATGCCGATGTATATATACGCGGCAGCAGCCTCGTGTGGACCGCCAGCCTCCCTCTCTCACACACTTGTCCAGCGCCATTCTCGGCAGTTGAGACGATCGAACCAATGATGATAGAGGCATGCAGTTCTAGTTGTCAAGCCTCAAGTGGCCGTTTCTCCGACTCACGTGGCTGCCTCGCTCAAGAGGTCTCAACCACTCGGGTTCAAAGATGGGAATGGAAACCATTCCATCAGCATGGCAATTTCGAACTGGCAATTCGGTGGTCATCCCCTGCAACAGCCTCCGGCCGCACAAGTTCGATATCATTTACAAGTGTCGGGGAGAAGAAAGTCAGCGGCGTTAGTCAGCCATTCACAAGATGATGGTCAGCGGCCTGTATACAAACCCCGTTGACAAATCCATTCCGTGCCACTTTGGACTATGAGTGGAGAATGTCGTGTAGCTCATGGACAACTCGATTCGGTCACTCATGAGGTGCACGGGACTTGCGGGTGTCGTGACTCATATCTTTGACCCGGAGACCCTGACTGTGTACGTGGTCGTCAAAGGATACTATAGACCTAAGAGTTCAAGAAAGCATTCGAGTTTAGAAGGTCTCTGCAATAGTGGCAAGGAGGTGATTCGAGTCCGGGACTAACCATGAACGGCTCCGTTCGGGGTTGTGTATTTGTACCGTCCACGTAAACAATCAGGCCCAAGTCCACCAGCCCGATGGGGGATTCCTTCTGCCACAGAGGGGTCAAGAGCGGATGCTATAACGGTCAGGATAGAGTTTTACCATCGAAGAAGACTAGGCTTACCTTGAGCAATTCTCTCGTAGACGCCGAGGATGCGGGGCGCAGAGAGGAACCCGACGGCGTCTGGGCTAGAACGCCACCGTTGGAGATCATCGAAACCGACGGTACCGTCCTCCTTGACGTACGGAGTACTTCGGCATCAACTCCATCACAACAAATGTAGCTCGGAGACCGCGATTGGCACCTGTGGGCTGTCCGATGACTTGACAATATTCTTGACTGGCTGGACGTGGGATCAGTCTTCGAGCTCCCTTCCCGGAACGGAATATTCACTGATCTATAAGAGTATGAGAGGGCTATAAAAGCGGCGCGGTCGGGGTGAGTCGCGCGTGTTGCGAACAGTTTTCACGACGCTCCGGCCACCAAGGAACCGCATTGGGGCGCCTTTTCCTAAAGAGGCAGTGCTTGGCTAAAACGAATGAGGGTGCAGCTGGCAACTATAGCCGAGGCGAGGGAGCCTAAGGGGGTCCCCTGCTGGGGGCCCGAACTTGCTTCGGGGGATCGGAATCGAGGGAGTTGTAAAAGCACCGAGTATCACTTTTTCCGCTCCGAGACAAAATTAAACCCCTCAGAAATCTGAGGTATAAACCTCAAGTTTCCGAGGTGTTTGACTGCAGTTCGTTCGGAATACGTGCATACTGCATTGTTCCCATGAGAGGAGTCACCACAGCCTCATGGCGGGTGCCTCGCGAACCCTCTCTGACTTGCATCGCCACTAGTCCCATTTCGGGCGCAAATGAATATGACCATTAACCATTTCGGAATTTCAGCTCCATTATATTCTTGTTGGCCCGACTTCTGGGTCTTGGAGCGGATACCTCAGGCGACCATAAGGCTCCGTCGGTTGGAGCAGAGCCTTATGAGCCAGCTCTTGCCAGCGTTGGTTAACTGGATAACCTTTTGGTGTAGGATTTTTGATTTCGATTGGACGCCATAATCAAATCTATGCTCAGTATCGCAATTTCCCCTGCCCCTCTCAGCTATTGGATACGTTATCTGTAGCAGACCGGTTTGGTCGCTCTCCGCAACTTCCTATCTATCCGCATTCAGCCTGAAACACAGGTTGGGCTTACTAGCCGAGAATGATGCGTTTTGTGCGAGTGTGAATCTTTCCCCAGAGACCCTTTTCAACTTTCGCTAACCCTCTTCTGTACGCAACATTGCCAATCCAATCTATCAGCATGATATTGTGACTCCTAATGTGCTTGCACGGCCTCTGATGGACGATCCGCTTGTTTTCACGCTCCGGTATATAATCGCGGTGACAAGGTTCGTTAGAAGTCGCATCGGCATTCGAAGAGAGAAGAACGAATTCGCCGGATCGTTCTCCGTTCCTGTCGAAGTAGTTGCTATCGACCAGAACCATTGCGATGTTCTCCCCTGATGGGATGTGGATACTGGCTGATACCCACCGAGCTTTTGGCCACCGCGGCAGCTGTATGTCTGAATTAGCAGCCTGCTGCCCATCAATATTTACCTCTCTTCGTATACATAGCTCTGCTACATGGGCGGTGAATTGCAGAAACCCGTATTCCATGATTCTTCGTTCAGAAGCAGACATAGCTATTGAAATATCAAACTGTCGGTCAACTTTCCATCCGGAGAGCCCATTGGAAGGAGTCGGTCCGGGATAGTTTGCTTCAGTCTGGAGTGGTTCATGCCAGGAGACCTCTGAGACAATCAGATCTCCACATCGATCGATAAATCGAATTTTAGCCGTTGTTGAGAGCCATGACCACGATGGATATGGGAGGTGGAATCGGTTTTCTTCCTTGATCCTCCTGTGTCGAGAATTACGTTTGTGCACGTTATGACATGCCTCATCATAGAGTGCCCCAATTTCATGCCAAAGAAGTGTGGTGTCTAACCGTTCATACGGTAGACCCCATATAAAACCTTGTGGGAACTGAGAGTTTAGCATTCTGAGGATGCTTATGAATGCCCAAATCACGTCTCTTTCTTGCGAAAACCTTCTGCCAGAGAATTGACTGGCATAATCGCAGTATTTCCGAGTGCGGCAGATCGTGTCCTCCGGCACTTGGGAATGGAGTGAGTTGGTCTCGTCGGCTAAGAGACATGTGGTGGGCGATTCGCACCATAAGTCTTCTCGCCAGATGTCAGTTTTACAGTTCCAGTAGACCTGTTCTTCCGTGAAAACGAGAAGACGCCTTGCAAGCATTGCCTCCCCAAACGTCCATCCGCGGGAATTCCACACGCTGTTGGCCAGGGCTTTTCTGATGGAATGCTTGACTGTTATGAAAGGAATTCCATTGACCGTTTCACTTCGCTGATATGGATGGCGCTTGCTTTCTATCCCAGCAAGTCCAGCATGAACATTATCACCAGATGCGGCCACTATCACGAGACTTGCACAGTAGAATATACGATCCATGATCGCGAGTTGTGCCAGCTTGTCGTTGTCGTCATCTTGTACGATGCAAAGGGTGTCAACCCAAAGATAGCGCTCGCCAATATCCCGGACAAGCTGAATAGCATCATGAATAGTCCTCCCGATCATCGAGTCCTGTAAGCTGTTTTGTGATGAATATCGTAGGACAGTGTCCCTTCTTAACATCGGTGCTGTATTGGAGCCCCACACATAAGACAGCGCGACGTATCTCTGCCGCTGAGTTGCGAGAATAACCCTCAGCTCTTCGACGTCTATCAGGCGGATTGTTTGTTCCTCTATCAAGTGACTCTTGTAATCTTCCGTAATATGGTATCCAAAGAGATTGCATTTCGTATGCTGACTTTCGCAAGAATGAATCCAATACTTAATGAGACTCAGGTCGACGGTAGGAAGTACAGTACGACCTCGAATCAAAAAGTGCTCGGTAGAGTCTTCAAGGTCGGAAATTTTCCCCTCGGGTTTAAGCTTGTCACCAAGTTTGCGGCAATCTGATCTGATGATTGTTCCAGTCGCTTTCGTTCTGCGCTGAGATAGATTCTGGGTTAGAGCTACGTCGATAAAGACACCCAAACACTCGGCGAGTTTTGCGAGGTCAGGACCTCCAACTCCTGTTGTTGGCTCTATCTCCTCAAACTGTCCACATGATCTCTGTTGCTGGGCGAGCAATAGTCTTCTGCTAATTGTGATAGTCTGTTTGCCTATACTTCCGCTGCTCGATTGGCTGGCGCCAACAGCGGAAAGAATGAGGCGACAGCCAGAGCAGAATGACTCAGAGGAAACATGTGATGCGAGATCAGTATGAAAATGCGCATCCTCTGGTTCGTGAGCACAGCCCTCACAGGTGAATCTATCGAAGTCAATCCCCTGGCATTGGGCGCAAAGTTTGGATGAGTTGTCACAAGATCTGAGCAGTGCTCTCTTTGCAAGGTCCGTAGAAGCCATAATTATCGAGCAGGAGATCTCATCCGAAATCAAATACAAACCTTTTTCCTAGGAAAAGACTCGATTCGCAGCAGCACTTTCCTCTTCTGCAAGGAGGACCAACAAGTTTATGAGAGAGAAAATACGTTGACCTCGGTGCCTGGAGAAGCAGGCTGTCATATTTCTACATTTGAGGCTAGATCAACGGAAAAATCTGTCTCGAGTGCCCTCAGCCTCTTACCAGCCCAGAGCCGTGGCCGCCCCCAAGTCAGGCGTCGCTCACGTCTCTAAGCGATAGTAACCGACATCCTGCTGGTGCCTGATAATACGTGGGCCATTTGCGAAATATAATTATCCAATGATGCTGCTGCGGCATTTTCTTGGGTACCAACGCATATTGAGGCGCAGTGCGTTGCAGCTATTTCTGCGTTCATAATTCGTTGTCAAGGTCATACTGAGGCGGGTTACTTAACCCGCTAGGCCATGCATGAAATATACGGGAGCAAGTTCTGGTATTGTAACAGAGCACTTTAGGGTTCGGCGTGTATGTGCAACAACGCACAGAAGCCTGTCCAGCAGATCGGGAATCGAGAACGCGTTTCTGGTTGACCCTGACAGCGCAACACCACCACCAACACCACCCCAGAGAGGCAGCAGCTATGGCAGCGAGCGCCTAGCACGGCGACGACATTAGGAAGTAGGAAAGGGCCGATGAAATACTTAGGAATAGGTAGACAGCTTTTAAAAGCATAGGATACCGATACTCTGTCTAATAAAATGCAAAGAATGGCACTCTTCCAGCACTGTAAACTGTCTCGCACTCCCCCCCACTAGCCCATTTTGGTTTGACATGTGACTAGACAACTCTCCCCTCTGCTACCACTCTTCCAGCCCAGCCCAGCATAGTCACTTTGCCTTGTTACAGTATATGAGAGTACTATCCTTCAACAGATAATGAGTCGGGTATCGTGCGCGTGGATTGACCACAACACGTGGGCGTAGTTGAAGCCCAGCGCTGCGCAACGAGCATAACCACGTGAATGACATGACCTTGTGTCCTACTGTCTTTATTCTATGAGCAAACTGCAGCTGAGGCCCAAAAGTGACCCTTTAGCCCGAACTGGCTCCTGTGGATTGGAATCGAGGTAATGCTCCTTGTCGCTCGGCCGCTAGTCTGGTGTACACTCTCTGCACTTCCTCCTGCTCGCTGTGGCTCACCCAGCGCCCCGTCAGGCGTCCTGATGCGCCGTCACGTGCCCAATTTATGCCCCCTCACTCCCATACCTCAACGGAAACGGCAACGAGCGAAAGCCAGTTCGGGACATATATAATACATAATCTTGTCTTGAACGTACGGAGCATGACGTTTTCCGCTCCGAGACAAAATCACACCCCTTAGAAAACTAAGGCATAAACCTCAAGTTTCTGCGGTGTTTCATTGTAGTTCGATGGGAATGGATGCAGATCGATCTTGCCCGGCCGAAAAGAATGAGTAGGTCTTGCTAATGGCTGAGATCTTAATGTCGCCCAAGGAAGTCCTGCGCCAGTGCAGACCAGATCGATCTTGGCTAAAAAGTGAGTGAATCTTTGGTGCTGATGACTTGTTAAGCCGAACCGATTCTTGACATGACCAAAAAAAGGCCAATGGGAATTAAACCCACAGATAATCAGAGGAAACATCTTGACATGAAGATGGTCCGTATGGGGATCGAACTGTATTTTGTGGACAGGTTTTTCGTTGGCGAGTACGAGGTAGTCTTGGTGGTCACGCGAAAGGTGCCAGTTTAGGCTAGTAGGCTTCCTTCTTGTTGTGATATCACTTCCCTACTTCCAGAGACTCGCCAACAGATGAATGACCGACTTGGGGCTCCAAGTGGATGGTCTTTGCTGCGTCGATTTCTTGCCTCTAGACAGAAGAAGAGTCCTCAAACCGTAAGTCTCATCGAAAGAGTTAGATATCCGTAAAATGACTAAGAACTAATGAAGGGGGCCACAAAAGGGTACAGCCGACGCAGCAGAGCAACAAGACCATTATGACCACAGTCCGCTCCTCGATCTTCCCAACGAGCTAATCCTCATGGGTGCGAGCTTTCTAGACCAGGAGTCTCAGCTCCTGCTGAGCCTGTCGTGTCGACGACTTCGTGCTCTTCTCAATTCCCACCTCGACTTGATGCTTAATGATGATAGGCCCACCAAGGTACGGTTTCCACAACTTCTGGAACTCGACCACCCGGTATATCTGACATGCCGCTCCTGCGGCCTTCTGTATCCCTGGCGGAAGATGGACTTCTTCCAGTACGATTGTCCGCGTGCCTTTGTAGGGATCGTCGACAAGATATGGCAGAACTTCGAGCAAGCCGTCACAAGCATGATAGTCGGCTCAGAGAAATTCGAAGTGTTCAAGTGTTCCTTCTGCGAGACTGGCCATCAAGTACACGTGAAGAAGGGCGAGGGGGTCCGGACAAGGATCGTTCTGAATGTTTAGAGAAACTACAGACAAAGGCACGGAAACAGGCTGTCAAATGAGCAGATCTTTCATCGAGCTCCTGTGTTGCGGCTTGATGCCGATACAGTCTCGCAGAGGGACGTACGAGCGGCTTTTGAGTCCAAAACGGGGTGTACTCTAACCATTGAAAACAAGGTCGCAAAGCATGGCTCGAAGACAAGGTGCTGACATCTTTCAACGTGCACGCCTGGCACACGTGAAAGTTTCGGCAATTTTGACAACTGTAGAACCGATCCTCTGCTTCAAAGATTCGGTTGCAGCCGTCACACTTGACGCTGACTGAGGATTTGTCGTGTCATGTATCCGCTAACGATGCCATTAGTTCAACGAATGAGACGAGGTAGGATACATTGGAGAGAAACCCTTGACAACAGGGTCGGGAAGAGCTTCTTGGAACCAAGCTGCATTACGCAGCCACCAGTCAAGGGCTGATCAGAGAGACTTGGGTCCGACGCTGGCCAGACGACCGCCATCTTTATCGACGTCCAAATGCAGAGATGCCGGAAAAATGTTACTCCGTTACTTGACCCCGTGCAACGCTTAGCTCGCCTACCTCGCAATTCTCTCGCACGAGTCCGAACTTGTTGCTCTGAAGACGGGCGCAAAATCGCCAAACTCTCATCTGTGTAGGAAATAGGCCAAGAGGAGGATGAGTAGAGGGTGATCGGAGGCGGAAAAGAGGGTGAGTCTAGGCACAGGTGGTTCTTAAAGCGGCACGCAGGGGGTGAGCTCTGCCAACGTCCAAGACCCTCGACGCCGTCTCGTCGTCGGTGGATGCGAGAATCTGCTTTGAGATCCGATAGAGCGAATCTATTCTCCTCGGCCACCTCCAGTTTACTTTCTTGGGAGGGGATCCCAGGGCCTCAGACAATCTCACCCAACACTGCCTCCCCGCCCTCTCCCCCTTTTCTTGCCTTCAAGCTCCATGGCGCACCCCATCACGAACTCGTCCCGGTGACCTTACTAATCCAAATCTCGGGATACACATCAGTATAATTCGCGACATCCTTGCCGGACACCTCGCTCCCCTTAGCGAGCGCCTCCTTCAAATCCTCGACCTTGTCCCACTCGATAGTCGCCGTGACCATGTACGGCGGCGGCTTGTTGTCGAGCGAGTCTTCGGCCTTGAAAGACGCGACCGTCCACTTGCCCATGCCGAACGGCTTCCAGTCGCGGTCGATGATCTCGCGCATGTGCGTTTTCAGATAACTGGCGCCGACATGTTTAGCGGTTCGCAGAAGGCAACATCAGTCTCGTGCTCGAACTTACTAGTCCATGTCGAAGCGGGCGGGCTTGCCCTCTTTTGTGGTCGACGGGTAGGCGACGACGCAGACGATTTTTTCGGCCATGTTTGCGTTCTACGTGCGTCGATGTCGGGTGTGTCGCATTCACAATTGATGTAAGTCTGAGAGATCTTTTACCAGCCGATCTGGACATTCGATATTTACCCTCGGCTATCTCATGGACCTCGGGCAGTAGAGGTCAGTCTCCCCCCTCCGGAAGCACAGCAACAGGGGAAGGCGTTGGCTGCTCTATCGCTTAACGATCGATGACTGTCTCTTGCGAGGTACGTATGTCTGACGATGTGTGGCAATTGTAAACCAGGTGCAGCGCAGAATCCGGATATGTTTTACCGCATCACGCAACCTCTCGGGATATAGGGACTCGAATGAAGCCGATGACGGCCATATTCTGCCATTGCGGTTCAACAACAAGCTATACAAACTCTTCAGCGCTCCAACCTGAATTCGCCTTCGTCACCCAATTCTTCCACCTCTTGTTCTACAACCCTTTCAATCTCACCAGCAACACTCAACAACCAATGATCCCTCTCCGCTGCGGCATTTGAACACCATGCCCCTGCGACAACTCCCAATTGCCCGACTCTCTTAAGCCTGGCTCTTGTGCGGCCTCTTGACCTTCCGTCGTCACCAGCAGAACCGCCTGCGTCAGGTGTCGAGCTTGCTGGAGCTGCTATCAAAGTACGACGAAAGTGATGAAAGGGAAGGTAAACTAGCCGAGAGAGCATATTGGCACTGCCAGTACTTCCTCGGTCACCGCACCGATACCAGCATGCCTCGTGAAGCCTGTGCAGGGTACAGATCGTGGCCAATGAGCCCAATCTTGCAGAAATACCCATGGGACGACTGTGGAGAAACTTACAAGCAGCCGTTTTGTTCAGGGCCAATACCAGGATTATGGAGCGGCTTGCTGGTACCTCGAAGTGGTCGAGAGCCGAAGAAATATATTTCAGGCACTCGTGATGAAGTCGCGGTACTGAGAAATATACCAAATGATCATGGTTCTACCCTTTGGACGGCACATGCTATTGATTCTCTTGAGCTCCCACATGAACTGAACTCAGAAAGTGCGAATTGGATTTCAGGGGATCGACAAAAGCCCCTTGGCTCAAAAAGCCACTTCTCTTCGAGGAAAACGAAAGTGGTCTGCTTTTCGAGAGCGAGTGTCTGCTCCTCTCCTGTCCTCGGACAGCCTAGAATTCGAGTGCCGAGACACCGCTGGAGCTTCCACTCAGGGAGATATTCTAGCACTGGCTTTTCTCGTCCATTTCCCCCTATGAAGCATTGTGTGTAGGTAGTCTTTGCCAGCATAGCGTGAGACTACAATCAACAACCCCACCAATCCCAAAAAGATTGCGAGACGTCTCTTCAGTCGTGCAACCAAAGCAACCGTGCCCTTCTCCAGCCATGATCTTGGGAAGAGGTGCGGAAAAGGCTCATTCGGAACAGGGACATTCAGAATCTTGCACAGTGGCTCCCACCCGTCCCGGACGTTGAAGAAGAAGAGCTGATTCGGCGGCACCACACTGCGAACGTACTCGGCATGCGCGTCGTAGAGTTTCTCTTGGTTGGCCATGGGCCAAGGTTCACATGGGGGCATGCCAACAGCTTGCGGCACCCGTCTCCAGAACTCGTAGGAGAAGACGCAGAAGCGCCTCAGACTGGGGGACAGCCAGGACCAAGGGTACAGGTCGTGAATGCCCTGCCACAGTGTCGAATAGCTGGCCCACCAGGATTCTCGCTCTCGCACAGTGCATATAACCTTTGCATCTGGATACAGCTGCAGCAGCTCCTCGAGGAAGTAACAGCCGGGTTGGTCCGAACTTGCTACACAGCCTTCGGTCAATTCGGCAAGGCGATACTGTACAAAGGTGCGATCGACCAAGGTCTTCATGGGGCAGTGCTCCGCGAGCTCCAGCAGTCGTCGTTGCATAGCGGCGTTGCCGGCGAAGGAAGCAGATCCCCCATCGAACACGGGACCCTTTAGAAGAATTTCAAGTGCTTTGGTCATGGACGTCGTCCCAGTCCGAGGCAGTCCGCCAACTATGACATGTAGAGTAGTCGGCTTCGAGTCAGCACCGGTGTTCGCCATATGCTCAAGGGATTCTTGTGCCTGGATGTCGTCGATGTCTTATTAGCGACGGCGTCGTGCAGCTTCGCTGTCCTTGTCAATGCTTTTTCTTCATGTGTTTCCAGGCCCACATCAATGGTGGTCTTGAGAGACTAGGTCATATTCAGGGTAAGAAGAGACCAGGTGAGACGAGGTCTTTTCCGCACGGCAACCCACCAATTAGTACATTCGGCCTTACGCGGAGTGTGCATCCACAACTGACGCAACAAAAAAGTCTTATTTTAGTCAATTGGTCAGTGAGACAAATAGTTAATCCCAGTCTCCTTGATACGCTGTAATTCATTCTATTTTGCAAAACTACTCAACCCACGGAATACAGGATTCGTGTCTCGTTCTCCCGTAACCAAAATCGCGTCGATAAATTTCCGCCCCGGTCCCTCAGCGATAGCTAACGTGGACATGGTCCCTTCCAAAATCATACGTTAGTCTGGGGATAATAGTCGCGTATAGGCGAGATCTTGCTCACCAATGATTCGCCGTGTTGTCCCCTCTATCGCCGTTGACGCAATTCGGAATGACTGTGCAGGACTGATATCGCCATTGACTCCAAGGTTTGACGCTGTCCTGACCATGATGCCAGATTCTCTGGCCCCACATAACGTATTCGAGGGAGAGGCTGCTGGCGTGATTCATTACCCATTCAGCGATTGGCTCGCCCGCAGTGGTTTTGACCTGTTCGAACAGTGTAAGACTTCGCTGGGTGCGCCGGCATAATCCTTATGACAGGAAAACGGCCAATAGAGGATAAAGCAGAGATACTCACACCACCATCGGCAACCATCATATCTGTAGCCATGCCCCTGCAGTGATCACTGGAACTCGGATCGCTGCATGTCCGAATACAACCTATGCTCTTGACCTTACCTGGAAAGGCCGCAACAATGTCCTTTGCGCCATCGATTCCTACCTGCTTACATCCCGAACTCGTGCTGGGGAATGTTGGTGTTGGATAGCCGCTGCCCGCTGGCATACAGCATTTGAAATTGTCCGGGCCAGGACACTTGTTTGTTTCGGTGATCCCGGAGCTGCAAGAAGAGCTGAAGCGACAGTTGCCTTTGTTGCCTGTGCCACATGATGTTTTCGTGCAGCACTTGATGTCCTCTGTGGTGCCCGGACAGGCGTTGGAGATATATTTGCCCCCACCGGTCGAACATGATGAGGTCGAGATGTAAACTCCTGGTGTACTACCGGAGCTAGTATACGGGCCGTTTACTTCGGAGCGAGGAAGGAGGAGCGACGAGGTATTACTTAATGTAGTAAGGAAGGAAAAAAGCAGGAAGAAACAACCGGAAAGCATTTGCGGTGAATATTCGGCGATGGTAAGATCGTTGAAAAATATTCCTCGACTGATTCTGGGTGGTGGATGGTGGACTGGACTTACATCTCATACACCTTCGTCAGGATATGGACATCCTTATATACCTCGATGCTGCATGTTTCCCACTCTAGGATCGCGATCTTGAATACTGCCTTGAGACTTTGTGGCACAATCGATCATAGCTGAATGGCGTGAAGGTCATTCGGAAATGGGGACGGCGGGTATATCTGTGTCACTTCTTGTATCAAAAGCGTTAATGTCAAAAGATGATCATCTCCCAGTCCTCAAGTCACGCGAGACTTGTTGCCTGAAAGTTCCGTGTTGAAACCGAATACGATTCGGCTCGATGTGTACAGACCATACGTGCCAATGCTTGGCCGGCGAAAGGTAAGGCTGGATCTTCAGCGACAGGGTACCAAGGGCTACACAGCCAAGCACATACAGCCCTCTTTTCATAGATATTTGAATTGCTGCCGGGAAGATCTCATCTGCATCTTGAGACATGACCATTTCGCTTCATCTTGGAACCAGTTCTGCAGATCATTTGCCCTATTAGAGTGCTGCGCCGAACAGTGTCCCAAGAACTTTGACAAGAATCAATCTCTGTCCCATTGCTTCTGAAGAAAACACTTCTTTTTGATGTGTTCCCATCGTGTGAGGTTTCTAAGGAACATATCTTGCGTATCGGTGGTGGCGCAAATTGGTTACATGCTATGAAAACACTACAATGGCCAGATAAAATCTTCCAGCAAAGGTAGCGCTCAGATTAAGAAAAGGAGGAAGAGGGGTCAAGAGGATTTCCTACAGGAGACCTACCTGTGTACCCAGTACCTCGTACCAACTCGTACTTATCCTTGTAGCTGTGGTAACTAGCGAGCTGGCTAGCCTCACGGGCTAACCTCGTCTGGTTGGTCTGGTCTCTGTCACGGGATCGCGGCTGCCAAGCCTCCGATATTTATCCGACGCCGAAACAATTTTGTCGCTTCAACTTTTGCTGCATCTCTCAACATCAGCTTTGTCGTTCAAATTTTGAATCACGAAAATCCCAATCGGGGCTATGATCATCCTCGATCGCTGAGGTCACAAATAGCCTTCCCCGAGCTTCTGTATTAACAGGATTCTGATGTGAGTTACACCTCGTATCCGTATCGTTCTCTCGTTCCCCTGTGTTACCTGATGAATTTTATCATACACCAAGTTCCGGCGACCCTTTTCATGAGCCTTGAACTCAAACATGCACTACCATCTGACCATTGGACACAACGGAGCTCAGTCAATGCCCATGCTCGATATTTAGCAAACTGAAGCTGATATGTGTCTCTATAGGAATGTCAATCAATCGCGGTTGAGACTGTTTGGTGGGTAGTGCAGGAGGTAAGATCTCGGTGATTTCTTTTCTTCTCTTCCCTCACCATTCCTATGATGATCAAAGGTTCTTATCAAACAGTTCTGCTTCTGATATCTCTTGAAGAGAGCATTACCAAAGCTTACCATATTATCTGACTTTTACCTACCTCAAAACAACGTTTCGCTCTATTCGAGGATTTTGCTTGGAGCTAACCAATGGCTTGCTCCCAGGGACACAATATGCTGCTCTGCCAGTATATACAGAAGCATGTAAAGTACGTCAGCGGCTTCATGCCCAGCCAACTCCACCGATATCTCTTGCTTCCCAGCTTGTCGAGCTTTCTGTTCATGATGATACCAAGTCTATCCATTCTCCGAGTTCTCCCCTTAAGAGACACCTTTCCCCCAAACGCGACTGCAACCTACCGATCGTGGCTATCGTTATGAAGTTGCGTTTCGGTCATGGTGCGTCGTTCCGGGGAAGGGTATGAGGTCGACGGCTTTTCTGATTCCCTTATGCGCCTTTTGCCGCCCATGGAAGTCTCGGCACGGTGGACGTGTGATTGTTCTAGGCATAGCATGGCTAACTAGAGTTTTATATAGGGTTTGTTCGATAGTGATATACTCTTAGCTACCCTGGATTCACTTGGGTCACGGCCATACTGTCTGTCGTAAGACCTGCGACTAACCGTAATGATGTTTCGTGCTGCATTCATTCATTCATTCATTCATTCATCAAAAGCGTCAACAAGGCCGACTGCGGCATGATCTCTGTCCTCGTCCTGCTTCATTACAAGACCATCGAGTTTCATGACTAACCGATCCACCGTCCTTGCCTGCCAGGGGATGAATTTGGTGGCGTTTCCGTTCAACTGAAATCCACTTAGACTCTCCTCGAGATTGCTAGTCATCAATCCAACTCCCGTCCGCTTCTCCTTCTCCATGTCACGAATTTTGTCCACGAGATCCGAGAGTGAAGTCTCTATCGATTTTCTTGTGCGGTCCATTTCGACGAGAACATCTCTCTCATCTTGTGCATAGTTTGAGAATGCGTCAAGCACACCCTCGTCCTCTTGGAGGTCCAGCCCCTCCCACACAGTCTGCAAGCGGGAAAAAAGAGCAATGAAGTGGTCAACCTGATTCAATAGTTCTTTCAATGTTGCAACGAAGGCAACATTCGTAAGGAATAGAGCATTGTTAAGGGCGTGCAGATATCGGCGATGGGCGTCAGCCATGGTTCGCGGATCTGTTGGAACCGTGGTCGCCTCACGGTTGGATAATCCGGTTGTCCTCTGGGCAGTTGATGATCCTGTGCCTGGCCTCGACGACTTTGCTGATGACGGGTAGAGTCTATCATTGCCGTCCAGCCATTTCCAAAATTGCGCCCAACTACTCTGGATCACTTCCCCTTGCAAAAATGCCTCGAGCTCATTGACCGTGAACAAAGCTCTGCTGGCAGTTGTCCAATGCGCCCTTGTCCTTGCCGATCTCCTAGCGTCTCGTACTCTCCGAGCTGCCAGTATCCTCCTCCCGGCTTGCGAAGCACTTCTAGGAGGCCCGATTGGAGAAGGATAACATCTGCGATGTGATGACAGCTTCCAGAGTGAAGACAGGTGCAGCCCTGCCCGATGGATAGAGATCAAATACGCATTAATGAATGCATACAACTGAACATCACTCGAGGACAGGAAGAGATGCAATGGCGAGGATGTGGGGATTGTGAAGTGTAGAATGGTGGGTGTAGGTAACAGCGTCGACACGAGACCCTGACCAAACTCATTCCTATCATCAATTGCCTTGAGAGACAATAATTTCTTCGCTAGGCCGAGAGTGTCGTCTTCAATGTCATCATCGGCTTGCAGCGCTGATAATTCTGCCATCGTCTTGTTCAGTATGCCCTTCAGTTCAGCTTCCTTGACTGCCAGTTCATCGAGTCTTCCAATCTTTCTGACCGGTCGAACAGTGTTTTGCGTTTGTTGGTGATTGGCGACCCTATCATCCGCATGATTGATCAAGGACACTGCAAATTCACCTTGATTGAGGAGCACGTAGCGCAAGATGACAAGAAGTAGCTGCATAATTAGCGGCCGAGGCAGGATTTGAGACAGGGCATTCTCCGATATAGATTGATTGATGGAAGACAGGGTACTCTCCAACAACGAGAGATTCAATGGGTATTGTAAGGACTCGAGCAACGCCAAATGTGTCGGTAGCAAAGACAAAGATGCATCACTCGACCCGCTCAGTAATGGTCCAAATGACACTGTTTGCGAATATAACTGACTCAGCGCGCAGCCGGCTGAAAGCAAAGCACTGCTTGCTCTTGGGTTCAAAAACTTTGGCGTCAAGGAAGGGTCGATCATGTATGAGTCCATGGCCGATGATGGCTTTGGATTTGGCCTGATGCAGAAATCCTCCGCTCCAGAAGTTGGAAGTCTCCCATAAAGCACCCACAGCGACGCTGCTCGCATCCATGCCTTCTGGGCAACGGTCAAGAGAGCAATAGCCATGTCCTCGATATCAGAGTAACCAGTATGTGTCTCGTTTTCCAGTAAATCCAAGATGCTGGCTCCGGAAGGCGAACAGGTCTTCGCATTCTGCTTGAATGGGGGGTCCAGATGTAGGACTATCGACCATAGCCACTCCAATCGTCTCGTCCATGGTGCAAATTCAGCCACAAGAGTACTCAAAGGCACAACTTCATAAGCTCCAACATAAGCAGCATCTTTTTGCAGTATGCAGGATTCCACCTCTACAATCTTATCCACAAATCTACCCAAGTGGACGTCTGCTATTGAAGCACTGACTGCTCGACAGACCATTGACCGGTGAGTTATGGACAGCCTCGAGGTGGCGCCCTTGATCTGAGCGTGTAAGTCATGGAGATGAGCTAGGGTCGCTAGCATAGCCCGCTCTGGGGGCGAAACATATTGGTTGAATGTCTTTTCGTCGCCTGATCCTGCTGGAGCCCGCACCTGCGACCAGATCGGTGACTGGAGACCGGATAAGGACAGGAGGATCTCGTGAAGCATTTTGCCCGTCTAACTCGAGGACGGGGCTGGGGATCGTGGCGCAAGTCGAACAGAGCAGGCGAGTCGTGCTGCCGCTGAAATTTGAGAATTAGCCGCCCGAACAGCTCGAAGCGACACATTGAAAGGGACAGAAGCCCATAGCGAATGTGAAATCTGGAACGCGGAGCTGAACCACGGTCAAAACGTGTGAAAGGAAAAGGCAGGGCGCGTCGGAGTCCGTTGCTTTGGTGAGATAGCTACCATCAAGTGAGCCTTTTAACGACAGAAAGCTCGCAGGGTTCTTTACACCGCGGCGAGAGAGCCCTACACAATTTCAACTCAGAAGCTCGTGGCGGGCGGTGACCAATCTCTTCGTGGCTACCGCAGGCGCCGTGGTCGTGGGGAACGCAGGCGGTCACACGACTAATTCTAGGTGGCAAGTGTGCCGAACGTCAGCCTGGTGGCCTAACTATTAAGTGGCTAGTGCCCAACTAAGACTGTAGGAGTTACCCAGTACTTAGCACCCCCAAGAGGCCTAGTTATTGCCTGCGATTGCATCACTGCCTTGGGTGTCTGCCTTCTCACTAATTACTCTCTGCATCGAACAACCAACTGCGGTTCGCGAATCTTCTTGACTAATATAACAAACAACCTTACGTTCGCCTTTGCCTCTTGCCTGCGCCATCGGCTTCTATCCTTTCTCCATAAATCAGCCTCTCGACGTTTTGTCCTCCTCGTCACTCATTTCGCCTCCCCCCTCTCATGCGCCTCCCCTCCTCCATCTGAAACGTCTATCTGAAGAAGCTGCTTGCGCTCTTCGGATCAATTCTACCGCAATCTGGGTCTTGCTTGAGGCAAGGCCACTGTCACCATTTCACCTCACGCCGAAATCCCAGACTCTATAAAGGCCGGTAGCAAAAGAAAGGCTTCCTCAGGAGACCTCGCCCGGCCAGAAAAAAAAGTCATGACGGACTCTGTGATGGAAGTTGACAACCCTGGGGCTGCCATTGTGGAGCTCCAGATTCTGGAAATCGATGAATCTCTCTACAGTCGACAGCTTTACGTACTAGGCCACGAGGCAATGAAACGCATGGGCGCCTCCAATGTGCTCATCGTCGGGCTGAAGGGTTTGGGCGTTGAGATCGCAAAGAACATTGCTTTGGCTGGCGTCAAGTCTCTGACCTTGTTCGATCCTAACCCAGTTGCCATTGCCGACCTCTCCTCCCAATTCTTTCTCCGTCCGGAAGACGTGGGCAAGCCCCGAGCAGAAGTGACTGCTCCGCGCGTGGCTGAGCTCAATTCCTACACTCCCGTCGCCGTCCACAAAGCCAAAGCCTTAACAGATGACTTGAGTCAACTCAAAAAATTCCAAGTCGTCGTTCTCACCACTATGTCTTTAAAAGATCAACTCACAATCTCCGACTACTGCCACCAGAATGGTATTTACCTGGTGATCGCTGACACATTTGGCCTTTTCGGTTACATCTTCACCGATTTCGGGAAGGACTTCACGGTGGGCGACGTCACCGGAGAGAACCCAATCAGCGGCATAGTGGCAGATATTGATGAGACTGGTCTGGTCTCCGCTCTGGACGAGACGAGACATGGACTTGAAGACGGCGATTACGTTGAGTTCGCAGAAATCCGAGGAATGGAAGGTCTTAATGGAGCACGTCCTCGGAAGATCACCGTCAAAGGCCCGTACTCCTTCTCTATTGGCGATGTCTCGGGTCTGGGTAGATATGAAGGAGGCGGCCTTTTCGCTCAGGTCAAGATGCCGAAAGTCCTTCAATTCCAATCATTGTCGGAACAGATCAAGAAGCCGGAATTTCTCATATCTGACTTTGCAAAGTTTGACCGACCAGCAATGCTTCATATTGGCATTCAAGCTCTCCATACTTTCAAAGAGAAGACGGGTTCTCTGCCCCGTCCACATAACGACGAAGACGCTAAGGAAGTCCTGGAACTCACCCAGAAATTGGCAGCGGAGAGTGCCGAGGAGGTGGATATTGATGAGAAATTGATCAAGGAGTTGAGCTATCAGGCGCAAGGCGACCTAAGCCCCATGGCTGCCTTTTTTGGTGGTCTCACCGCGCAGGAAGTTCTAAAAGCGGTTTCTGGCAAGTTCACACCAATTGTGCAGTGGATGTACTTCGATTCTCTCGAGTCTCTACCTTCATCTGTGAACCGAAGCGAGGAGCTTTGCAAACCCACAGGTTCGCGGTATGATGGCCAAATCGCGGTCTTCGGCAAGGAGTTTCAAGAGAAAATTTCCAACGTGAAGAACTTCTTGGTTGGCGCTGGCGCCATTGGTTGTGAGATGCTCAAGAACTACGCGATGATTGGGCTGGGTACCGGGCCTAATGGTCACATTACTGTCACGGATAACGACTCCATCGAGAAGAGCAATCTCAACCGCCAATTTCTCTTCCGAGCCAAAGATGTTGGAAAACAAAAGAGCGAGGTCGCTGCAGCAGCAGCTCAGGCAATGAACCCCGACCTCAAAGGGAAGATCACGACAATGACGGACCGCATCGGCCCTGACACCGAAGATGTCTTCAACGAGGCGTTCTGGCATGACCTTGATATCGTGACAAATGCCTTGGACAATGTCGAAGCTCGTACATATGTCGATCGGCGATGCGTGTTCTTCATGAAACCACTTCTGGAGAGTGGCACCCTTGGTACAAAGGGCAATACCCAAGTCATTCTTCCGCGCTTGACTGAGTCATACTCGAGCTCTCAAGACCCGCCTGAACAATCATTCCCCATGTGCACACTTCGAAGCTTCCCCAACAAGATCGAACATACCATCGCATGGGCTCGAGACCTATTCCAGTCCTATTTCGTGGGACCACCGGAGACCGTCAACCTCTACATGACACAGCCGGACTACATCAATACCACATTGAGACAGCAAGGCAACGAGAAGATGATCCTGGACAGTCTCAAAGAATTCTTGGTTACCGATAAGCCAAGCGACTTCAATGACTGCATTGCCTGGGCCCGGATGCAATTCCAGAAGCAATTCCACAACGCCATTGCACAGTTGCTATACAATTTCCCTAAGGATTCGAAGACATCGACTGGGGCCGACTTCTGGTCTGGACCAAAGCGTGCTCCGACACCTCTCACCTTCGACCCTTCGGATGAGACACATATGGGATTCGTTGTCCATGGAGCAGCTCTCCACGCTTACAACTATGGCATACCTGTTCCTCAGCTCAAGTATGAAGACTATGTTAAAGTTCTAGACAGCATGATCATACCCGAGTTCAAGCCAGACGCAAATGTGAAGATCCAGACGGACGAGAAGGAGCCAGACCCCAACGGGCCAGCGCCGACGTTTGCGGATGATGCGGAAGAGTTGGACAAGATCGTGGCTGAGTTACCCACTCCCAAGAGTATGCCCGGTTTCCGACTCAATGTTGTGGAATTTGAGAAGGACGACGATACAAATCACCACATTGACTTCATCACTGCGGCGAGCAATCTCCGTGCCATGAACTACAATATTCCAATTGCCGACCGTCACAAGACGAAGTTCATCGCCGGCAAGATTATTCCTGCTATCGCCACCACCACCGCCCTCATTACCGGACTCGTGGTCCTTGAGCTTTTCAAGGTAGTGGATGGCAAGACAGATCTCGAACAGTACAAGAACGGCTTCGTGAACCTGGCATTGCCGTTCTTTGGATTCAGTGAACCGATCGCCAGTCCCAAGGGCACGTACCAAGGCAAGGAGGGCGAAGTAACTATCGATAAGCTCTGGGATCGATTCGAGGTCCATGACGTTACGCTCACCGAATTTTTAGCACATTTCGAGAGCCTTGGATTGAGTGTGACGATGGTCAGCTCGGGAGTCAGCTTGCTGTACGCCAGTTTCTACCCACCCAACAAGACCAAAGATCGCCTGCCACTCAGGATGAGCAGATTGCTTGAGACCATCAGTCGCAAGTCGATCCCGGAGCACCAGAGGAACATCATCTTCGAGATCACTGCCGAGGACACGACCGAAGAAGATGTCGAGATTCCTTATGTGATGGTGAAGTACAAGATAGATTGAGGGCGAAGTCGAAGCTAGCTAGCATGCTGGAACTCTGATGGCGCGATTGAAACGGCGTTGGGCAGCATTGGGGGCGGAACTCCAATACTAGGCCAAGGCTCCTGGGGGATAGATCGTGTTTCTCTCACCACTGTACCACGACTGCAGGAATATTTTTGAAGGTGGACGTGGTATGCATACATTCAGCAGCCAGACCAGAATGGATTGATCAGACATAGCCAACACGAAAACCTTCGGGCCGCTGTAGCCGCAAGGGGGAAGCCCCTATTGCCGCATTGTGTGTCACCAATGTGTGCCTCTTACTGCATCTTTAGTCAGGATGCGTGGTTTAGTCATCCATGGCCCTCGTTAGTGTCCCTCCGTGACGCCTCTTGTCGTTCGCGAAAACCCCCACCATTGTGTCATCGACACTGTCGGCTTCCGTTCCGCATGTTGTCCATGGATTGAATAGCTGCACATGGCGCGACGAAATACAAAAGGTGCTCCCTCTTCCCTCTACCAATTCGGTTGCTCCAACTCAGTCGGTCCATGTCCAGCGTCCTTGCACGGGCTCGACTGCAGCTAGTACATCTGACCACGAAATCGAAACCGCAAGCACCGCCTTCGCAGTCGGAATCCACCATGTCATCGGTACGGAGCAGCTCTCTTTTTGCATCCTCTATCCTCGTTCTTCTTGTCTCCATTGTTGCGGTATACTATCTCGAACTGGGGCTGAACATAGACTTTCTGTCACAGGGCAAAGAAACCATTACAGACTGGGTGAAGCCGGGCGACAGCTCGGGCGAGTTCAAGAGACAGGTTTCGTCGTTTCGGAATTGGATCTCGAACGATCCGAATGCTGAGTTTCCTGCGGAGAAAGGAAGATACCATTTATATGTCAGCTATGCATGCCCTTGGGGTATGTGCGAGCCCTAGTTTGAACGTGAAAGAGGACGGCATTGTTGACAAGGGACGAAACAGCACATCGAACACTCATCGTGAGGAAACTGAAGGGCTTGGAAGACATCATCCCTTTCACCAGCGTGCATTGGCATATGGCCGAGAAAGGTATGTCCTCCGCCTCGGGATATGGCATCCTCACACACAGTTACCTGACCACTTTGTCAAGGCTGGCGCTTCGCAACTCCCAACGAAAACGTCCCTGGCGAAAATGTCACTCCTGACCCGCAACACCCAAACAACACCCACCTGCGTGATCTGTACTTTGCTGCAAACCCGAATTACGAGGGTCGCTTCACGGTTCCCACCCTCTGGGACAAAAAGAAACAAACGATTGTGAACAACGAATCCTCCGAGATCATCCGCATGTTCTACACTGCGTTCGACGACATCCTACCTGAAAAGTACAAAAACGTCGTGCTTTACCCGGATGATCTGAAGGACAAGATCGAGGAGGTGAACAAATGGACCTACGACGACATCAACAACGGCGTCTACAAGTCGGGCTTCGCAACCACCCAAGAAGCCTATGAACGCAACGTCCTCCAACTCTTTAAATCGCTCGGCCGCACCGAATCCCTCCTGGCCGAATCCTCCTCCCAGGGGCCCTACTACTTCGGCTCTCACCTTACAGAGGCCGATGTACGGCTATATACCACGATCGTCCGCTTCGATCCGGTCTACGTGCAGCACTTCAAGTGCAATATCAAGGACATCCGAAGCGGATACCCGAACATCCATCGATGGTTGAGGCATTTGTATTGGAACATCCCGGCGTTTGGGGAGACAACGCAGTTCGAACATATCAAGAAGCATTATACCAAGAGCCACAAGCAGATTAATCCGTTTGGCATCACCCCGGTCGGGCCCGTGCCGGATATTCTGAAGGAAGAGGACGAGGTCAGTGCTGTGAAGAAGTAGACCAGGATGGCAAAGTGTGACAAGAGCAGAAAAAGCAAGCACAGTGCGCGAGAGGCTAATGTCTATTGAATATAGCTATCTTTATGGACGAGGTCACTGGAAAGATCAAATGTTTGACTGCCCGAGCAACTCCTTTATCGATTTTTAATAGTTCAACGCCGGTTCGCATTGGCGACTCTGAACAGCCCCCTCCTGCTCGCAAGCGTCTTCTTTGCTCGAAACCTTTGCACTATTCCCGGCAATGCCGTTGAGTCTTGACTGACTCCAGGAAAGATCCTCATCTTGCATGGCCTGTTTGTCGGCGAGCCCTTCCGACACTTGAAACACATGACCCAATTTCTATCCATCTTGCACCCACCCGTTTCCTCCCCCGCCAGGTTGCCTGGATAATCCATCCATCTCTATCTCAATTCCCCAATGCGGCCACAACCCCACCGGCAATGACGCCAGGATTACTACTATTCCGACTATCGATCTTGCGCTTCCAGTTCTCTATCTCGGCGACGGCGCTGACGACGACCTGCTCGAAGAGCTTCTCGTCCAGCCCCTGTCTCCAGATCTCGATTATCCCGCTGCGCAGCTTGTCGCGCAGGACGACGGTGCAGACCGTCGCGCCCGTGCGGTCCGTGCACTTGAGATCGGCCTGTTGTTCATCCCCCCGGGTGACGGTCCAGAACAGCCGGCCGAGGCTGGCGCTCGTCGTGGCGGCGCCTGCGCCTCCCGCTGAGCCCCCCGTGGGTTCGAGGCTGTCCTTGTACGTGATTTGGCGGCCCGTAGCCGAGAAGGTCAGGTCGATTTTTCCGGGCCAGGTGTGCCAGTTTACCGTGGCCACTTGGGAGCTGGAGGCGGTGGCGATGAGGGTGATGTCCGGCCTCGAGGAGTAGATCAGCGGCCGGTTGTAGGTAGCTATATGTCGGGGTGGTGGAACCCAGGGGCGTCAGCGAGCGGGTATGTTTTTGAGGGGTGGGTTGGAAAAGAAGCATATAGGGTTTGCCTGGATGTTGTTGAGGAGGAGGAGGAGGAGGAGGAGGTAGCTGTTGAGGCGAAGGCTGAGCGTATCGATACTCTTGAGCCAAGGGAGGGTAGCCTTGCGGAGGAGGGTAATGTGGTGGAGGATAGTGTGGTTGACCAGGGGGATAACCTTGAGACGGATACCCCTGTGGCTGTGGTGGCAACTGATGATATGGACTTGGTGTGCGAGGCCCCGGAGGAGGTTGTTCTGCATATCCTGGATATTTTTGCGACATGGTTGGTGCCCCTTCTCTTGTCTCTGCTCTTCACTTCTTCTCTGGCTTGTTCCACCTTTTTTCTTTTCCTCTTTCCTCGAAGAAAATGCGTCGTGTAACTCACGAATGTCAGGCCCAAGTAGAGTCCCAAAAACCAAGAAGGGAAGAAAGCGCGTTGTCCCTTGTTCTGTAGATAAGAGAGCGAGGAAGAGGCTGGGTGACAGAGAGGGTGAGAGATCAATGACCGGCCAGCTTACCTACATAGGCAGCTGTGTATGGGTATATCAAATAGCAAAATCCAGTCTCCTAACTTACCGTTCCAGAAACCACTTAGATGCAGGTTGCAGCTACTGCAGCTGTCGATAGAGGCTTCCACACTCCCCACAGCACGATCTGTAATCGTTCCCAACATCGAAACGCCATCCCACAGCGGCGACGCGTCAAATTGTATGTATGTATAGTAATCCCAGCAAGTAAGAGCGCTCACCATGGGAAGAGGGAAAGCGGGTGGAGAGAGGAGGCATATTTGGTCAGTCTGATTGCGTGATCTTCTGTTTCATACCCGAGTCTAGCGCAGGCGAGAAAATACCAGATCTAGTAAATGCAATAGTAGTGGCGGACGAAGGGGGCCGAAGCGGTGCGCAGGGGGGAGGCCCAATGTCTCTTCCCAGGAATATTGGCATATACTGATATGCAGGTACTTGGGCGGTTCTGCACTCGTTTTCGATTGCTCGCGATAGCAAGAGGGATTAATCTACTCCGTACGTAGCACAAACCAAGTCATGGCGCTCTTATTTTTACTCAGGGGTTCAAGCTAGTGAGGCTGTCAATTAAAGGGGGGAAGCCTTGCTAAAAGCAGCCGGGGATTCTCATCGCAGAGAACGACGCAGCCCCAGGAGAAGACTTGAACCTCCGAGGCATCGACGAGGCCATCAAGAAAGCAATCATCACCCTTCCCATCTACTTTCATATTCTCAATGCCGCAGCTAGGTTGACGATGAGTCTTCTGTTTTGCAATCTCAATTCTTCCCACTTACAGAGCACATTGGCCTCGCCAGGGGTATCCGGCCACCAGGCAGAGCTGTAGCTGTCACAGAGTAAAACAGTAAATAAAGCCCGAGACCAAGTCTTCAACAATCGGGTTCGACATTGAAACCTAATTTATACGCGGTGAAAGTTTCGCCCGTCGAGGTTCGCTGTAAGTGCCTAGTAGCAAGCCGTCACAACTTTCTCTCTTCCTCTTTTCCAAATATCGCCATGATGAACCGATCATCAACTGCTATCAATCATCAATCATCAATCATTGTCATTTCTCGTAATGTAATAAATTGCGTCCGGCACGAGCCTCAAGTCCAAACCACACCCAATCATTGCCATCTTCTCAATTCTTGCAATGGTGAGCACCATCCTGTTTTCCCCCTTCTTCATGATCGGATCGCACTTGATGTTTTCCAGAAGAGTGTCATCTTGAACACTGTCCTATCCTGAAGAGTTTGGGATGCCAAAACTGCCCTCCCTCAGTTGATAGCAGTCGGTGATGGTCTTTTCCCTAGGGCGATCGGATGCTGCTCTAGTGCGCGAAGGTTTTGAAGGCCGAGCTGAATTAGAAGGTGAAGAGAGTCCCGGGTCAGGTGTCGCCGTGAGACCATGATTTCCAGACCAGGGAGGAGAGCTGTAGGATTCTTTGCGAAATCTCGAAGGTCTGATTTGTTGATTCTCTTGTACTTGCCCGTTGCGATCCGGACGACCAGCGAGCTGGCTTTGCAACGCTTCAAGTTTCTGACATCGCTGGCTGTCACAGGGAATGGATAGAGATATGCTGATGCCGAAGTCCCCGTCCCTCCTCCACCCCTTCCACTGAGGGAATCAAAGAAAAATCCCAACATTTGCGTCTCATTAAATCGTTGTTTTCAGAGCAAAGAGTATATTGCTTTTCATCTCTCTGCCTTCTTCCTTATCAATAGGCCACCACCGTCAAGAGTCAATCATTCCCGTCGCTGATTTTTCTGTTTCCACCCGAACCTTGTCATACCATATATGATCGCTTGTCGGTCGTATACTTTCGGACGCTTGCTTGTCTGTCGCTATTTCCAGTTGATAGATGGATTGATGAGTTATTTTTCTCCTCGGATTTGTATTTGCATATGCGGGACGTTCACCCCAATCAATCATCGACAATCCCGGGTATACATATCTAATATGGCTATGAGACAGGGGGCCTTCAACTAGTCAGGAAAACATGCTCCAACCACAAGGTCCGGATGCTACGGGGTCGGAGGCAGTGCCTCATGGACTGCTCTGCCTGCCTTCAAAGCCATACAAGTACATGCTTAGGACTAACAGATTGATAGCTCTTTCTCGTTTGGATGGATAGTCGTGCATGGTCCTTTCTTAGTTAGTGGCGCAGCGGGTGGCGTAGCGGGTGGTGTGAGCAACCCGTCCTTAGGACTGACAAATGGATAACTCTTCCTCGGTTGCATGGGTGGTGGTGCGTGGTCGTTCTTCGCTGGCGGCGTAGTTGCGGGCGTAATTTCGTTGTGTCTAACCAGATGGCTACCTGTTCGCGTCTCCGGCAGTGGTGGTTTGCAACGGCTCCTTGAACAGTCCCGTCTGCGTTGCGCTTTTTGGATTCTCTTCTTGTTGGCCGCTCTGTCAGCGAGATATGTAGGGCCTGATTTAGCTTTTGCCTGGCAAAGTGCCCACTGGAGAGCATAATTTGGATGTTCCTCTGTGGCGGTCGTAGGAAACTCTAGAGGCGAGATGCGCAATCCCTCTTTCATCATGTTGGTGATCTTGGTTATCTCAGCGTCCGTCGGTAATTTTGGCGTGAGAGGTGCTAAATCTGGGAGACTAGCCTTCGCCAACTGTTGTCCCTTCGCTGAATATGGCAACATCATGTCTTTTTCTTTGGCTACCTCTTCCAGGGAGGGTAGGCGACCATGTTCGATTGAAAAAAATATCACGACGACAGCCGTCTTCATTCTCTCCAAGAGGCCTTTGCCAATGACGGGCTTATACGGGATACAAAGATCTCCAATGAGCAATCTGTCGAGCAGGTCCCAGCATTCTTGGTTGAGAAAAGCACTCACAACATATGAATCCACAACAACCTTGTCCGCTTTGTCACTGTTTGCTCTCACAGGGACTAAGAGGAGACCCTTCGCATGCGCATAAGGTCCGTCATCCGAACAGTTTAAATGGGGCATTCCGTTGAAGGCGAATAATTCCCAAGACGATCCCAACTCGGGCACTCTCTCAGTTCCGTAGAAATACGGTTCTCTCCTCATGGCGATACACAGAGGGAGATTGCCTTTCCGGGCGATTTCAAATCTCCGGAGAGCGTACCATACATGGGCCAGCTCATGCACAAGAGTGATGGCGAGACTGACTAACATCAGGTCCTTGACATCATCTTCGAATGTGTCAAAGTGGAGGTGGGTGAAGAATGTCGTGAATTTCGAATTCAGCTGGACAGCAGTGGTTGCCATTTGTTGTTCACAATTCTTTGGATATACCCCGAAATAAGTAGATGCATATACATCTGTACGACTATCCGGGTGATAACCAGTAAAGAACTGGACATTGTGGAGATCGTCCATCAGATCTGGGAACGTTCGAGATCGGTGCTTCAATTTCTGGAGATAGTCATACACGATTTTCCCGTCTTCACGAATATCTTTTCCTATGTCCCCAAATAAAAGTATGTTGAAGAATTCAGACGTGTACTTGCAAAACCGTGTTGCCAGCACAAGCGCAGGCCGGATTCGGTCATAGAATATGTCGGAAATAGTCAATTTAGGATCAAGCCAGGCATCGATGGGTCGATCGAGCCCCCTAATTATGTCTAGTCGGCTGAAGTTGGACCTGTTGAAGATTCCGTAAATCTCGCCATCCGGATCTGGGGTCGAAGGCGTATGACATATCTTCTCGTGTCTCGCAGAAAAGGCTTGTTGCCATGATTTTAGATCTGGGTCCGGGAAGAGATCTCGGGCAGAAAATGAATCCATGTCTGTAACAGTTGCTGGATTCAAGGAATAATGGACTTCCGGCTACTTTTCCGAAGGATCAAAGCTCTGGGGAGAGTCTTGTTGGTTTGCCGAGAGGCTGTGCGTATTCCAGCGTGACGGGTCCCTGGGAGACAGAGTCAAGTGCTATATATAGCAGAAGCCATGAAGGAAAGAGACTTCGAACGTCACAGGTGTGCGAAGGATAGAGGAGAGTCGTCTTCTCCGATGTTGCAAAGATCGAGAGTTGGGTCAAACGACCGAATGGCGTTTACGCCGTTTAGTTAATGAGTAACTGCGCGAGGTAATCGAGGGTGACAGACGAATTTTTGTCGGGGGGCTGGTTTTGTGCGAGGGGTGAAATCCGAGGATGGTGAATATACATATATATGCGGTCACGGAATGAGCCAGGGATAAAAAGCAATGTGGTGTTCCAGTGGCCTTCCACGAGGACTTTGGGGTACTTCGTATTCCATGTAGAACACCATGTCGTGATTGGGTACCCAGGGTACCCAAAGGTCTATCAAGACCTGACTCCTGAAATCTTCCAGATTGACCCACTCGATGTCACACAACCAACGTTTCGGAGGGAGTGACTGAGGAAGATCCTGGAGTCGGCAGCGGGTCGGTCGCGGGAGTATCCGCGCACCCATCAAGGCGTTTTGATCTGTATGGCATCTTTTTCTCCCCCCAGCACCAAGAGAAGTCAAATTGCAACTCCACATTCTCTCAAGTTCCTTCCCCATCGTCAGTCAGGAATGATCCTTTGGCAGAACGACAGGAAGCCATTCTGTCCTCAGGGGCTCCCAGATCGCCGTCGTCCTTTCTCCAAAACGTGATCTCAACAACATGACAGGACCCTATCAGGCCGGCGTTGTGCTACGCAGTAGCCCTGCGGTCCTCTCCGGCGTCTATCAGTGACTCGGGCAAAACGGGAGTCAAAACTGTAGGTTAGAACCCCATTATCAAGATTTCCTGCACGCCAGGCATGAAAGATGAGAAATCAGTGTCGACCCTTCCAAAGAGGCACGATGACCCTCTGGTTTCGCCGAAGAAGAATCGTGGTTGATATGGAGAGAATTCGCTTCGATAGTCGAAACACTAAAGCGAGAAAGAGGCGAGCTTCCTCCCCAGGAAAAGACGGCCGTGTCTGACAGACGGTTCGTTGCGCTCAGATCGTTCGCAAGGCGATCGTATTCGCACCCAGGCCGAGCGGTTGCAAGAGGGCAATAATGGTGTGATCGAATATGAAGAAGGCACAAAGAGTTGTCCCAGACATATAAAACAAGGGACGCTCTGCGCGCATGTGCGCAGCAAACGGCACGCCAAGACGCAATATCTGCGATATCCGTTGTACAATCTAACTTTGACTCCACACTGCGAGGATGACTTTGTCCGATAAACGTCTCGAGACGGTCTTAAGCGGCGAGTTAACAAGGCACCCATCTTTTCTTCGACGCCTGATGCGATCACATTAAGCTTGCCCGCTGCTGTCGCTAGTCTTCTTGATGGCAGCTTCCTCGTCCTCCCCGGGTGAAGGGGTTTCAGTTCCGGCTTCGTCGCCTTTCTGAGGAGCGGGTTTCGCTCTGATATCTTTCCATTCAACGCCAAAAGCAAGCACAAATGCAACGATGGCTGATGCCAGCGAAGCATACTATTCGGTCATCCGTTAGCTGATGCCTTGTTTGCATCGACAATATTGTTGTTTTCTGGTGCGATACATGGAACTTACAAAGACATTCGTGATTGCTTTGTTGTATGCCCATAGTACAGGCTCTAGCTTCTCGGGGAACGAGCTTAACGTCGTCTTCCGAGCATGGCCTGATCCGGCATTTAATAATTGCTGCACTTGCTCGTCATTAAGACCCGCACGTCGGTGGAGTGACTTGACAAGCTGGTTCTGAAAGATTGCCAGGGCAATGCTCTGAAACACAGAAGCTCCGAAGTACTGGAAGAACGCCACCGTCGAAATGCCGACAGGAATCTGTTGAGGTTTTGACGCAAGGGAGGCTTGAACTGCGAGCAGTGGTCCTTGCATAGCTACTCCGCTCATGCCTTGGAAGACTAGGTACGTGATCCATTTTGCATGGGGCGTTGAAGTGGTGAGAGTAGTGTAGAGTCCTGCCGCAATCGCCATGAAGCCGACACCGACGAATAACCAAGGGTTATAGTAGCCAGTACGATTTACTGTATCGCAAAATCAGCTCCAATGGTCTCATCAGATCTCAAAGTTTGGTAAATTGACTCACTGATTAACCCTGAAATAGTAGCAGCGACAATCTGAGTGCAGACCACCGGGAGAGTCATGACGCCGCTACGGAGTGGACTGGCTCCCTTGATCACCTGGAACCATTCAGGCATGTAGTAAATGTTGATAATATAAGCACCAAACATGAAGGTGCTAAAGAGACAACTCAGTAAAATCGAACGGTGGAAGACGATCGAGAACGGGATCATGGCATCGTCACCTTTGCGATACTCCCACATGAGGAAGACCGTCGCAGATCCAGCGAAGCCGCACAACAGCCCTATCACGGTGGCCGACGTCCAAGGCCGCTGGTGGCCACCCCATTGTAGTGCCAGAAGAATCATAACGATGGTTGGGATGAAAATTGCGCACCCGACAATGTCAATTTGCAGGACCTTCTGCCCCAAAGGTGTTTTGTCGGAAGCTCGTATCGGTGGGTGGAAGAACAAGGCCAACGCGACTAGTGTTACCGCCCCTACGGGAAGATTGATGTAGAAGCACCATCTCCACGATACCTTCGTCGTTAAGGCGCCTCCAATGATTGGACCGGTGATAGTGGCGACTCCGAACAGAGAAGAGAGGGCGGCAGTGTAGAGGGCACGTTTGGAGAGTGGGGTCACAATGGCGAGGATGGACAAACTGCCAGAGAATATCCCTGCTGCCCCAGTCCCAGCAACCGCTCGGCCAAGGATGAACATATTAGAGGTCACGGCTGCACCACAGAGCAGTGAGCCTAGAAGGAAGACGCCGACAAAGACGAAGAAGGTCCATTTGAGGGAAAACGTGGCATACAGCTTTCCTGACAGAGGCTGCAAAGAGCACAGGCAGAGAGGGTAAGCTGCTCCATACCAGCCGATGTCTGTGGTAGCGTTGAATTGCACTGTGATTGCCGGGATAGCCTGAGCCGCAAGTTAGTCCTGACGAGAGATGTACATTGTCGGAGTGTAGGACGCACCGTAGAAATGACAGCGATGTCCAGAGCAAACAAGTAGATGGCAAGACCAAGGCCACCGAGAACAAGGTAAAGTCTTGAGCCAGTCAGATGGTGAGCAGTCTCCGAGTATTTGCTGCTGATCGATCCCTGGCTTTTCGAGATGGTGTCAACGTTCTCAGTGATTGAAATTGACATATTGGTGTCTCCCTCGACTCTTTTAAGCGGGACCATGTCGTTGTCTGAGCTGATGCGCAATTGATCGTCAAGTCCTAGAAGAGTGACAGCCACAAGGGTCAGATCGAAAGGGGGTCCTGATAGACAAAGTAGGCTTTGTTACCATTTTCAAGGAAGCAGAAATGAAAGGTCGAGGTCAAGATATAGGAGGGTTGAGGCTCCCCTGACCGCGGCCCTTTCGAGCATTGCACAGGCAACAATCTCGGGCACAAGCGGCGATAAGACGAGCCGGAGAAGAAGTGGACGCCATCTCCTTTTCAGACATTGATGTGACTGGAACAAAGTGGGCGTCGCAGAATCGAGGACTTGAAGGACAAGGGCGGGCAAAGGAAGGCAAGGTGAAGTACGGAGGACGGAGGACCTTGTATGGAAGATGTGTGATACGAGGAGAAAGCAAGAGAAAGGAAGCGGCAACGGACAAAAGAGGCCCCGGTCGTCTATGTCGTTGTATTGGTTAGGCCACGATTAGAGCCGGCACGTGATGCTACACGTGATAAGACATTCCGGCTGGAACGGAGATGTCCAACTCCTTTCCCGTTCCCTCTGTTGCCAAATGCATTTGTCCCTCGACATTTCTGTCAGCGTTCGCCCCTGTCCCAACAGTGACTCCAGACCGGAGCGGCAATGAACGGAATCGGCAATTCTGGAGCAAGACGGAAGGCTTGTGTTCGATGCGTTAAGGCCAAAGCAAAATGCTCCTTCAGTGGCGGGCAAGGTGTCTGTGACCGTTGTCGAAGACTGAGACGGGATTGTATGCTCGAAGAAGCTCCCCGGCGCCCGAAAGAGAAGCAATCCACGTATGACTGCCCGCGAAGAAGCCGACCCCGACCTCCTTCCCTTTTCATCGCACTCACAGGGGGCTAGGTCAGGTCTAACGGAGCAGTAGGAGAATCAAAGCACTCGAAGAAAAGGTCAACGATCTTCTGACATTGCTCACTCCTGACAAGAATGTTCTTGGAGATACGAATGTTACAGCCATAGCCACTACATCAGCACCACTGGAACAAGTGAACAGTGACAATGTCTCGTTTGCCTCGACCACGAATGTGCACAGCACCAAGACCTGTGCACCACCGACCGCGGACGAGAACCGACAATTCGACGTGATTGATAGCGGTGTGCTGACAATGGCAACTGCTAATGCCCTCTTGAAGAAATACCAACAAGTTCATTCGCAGTTCTTTCCGTTCGTAATAGTTGCTCCAGAAATCGATGCTGCTACATTACGGAGAGACGCCTCTGTTCTTTTCCTGGCCATCACGACGGCGTGTCTCGAAGAAGACCATGCGGTTCAAAGACGGCTTGGTGTCGAGCTGAAGAGGATGCTCTGCGAGCGGATACTGATCAGAAACGAGAGGAACATCGAACTCTTACAAGCGCTGCTCGTTCACCTCAGCTGGATCCATTACCACTTCCATCCCATGAACAACAAGCAGTCATATATGCTGCTTCAAATGGCGATCGGCCTTGTTATGGACCTTGATCTTGACCGGTGTCCCGCGCATCGTGATCAGAGAGTGGGGAGTAATTTCTGCAAAATGAATCCAGAAGCGAAGTTGCCAACACAATGCCAGAGGACGACGGCTGAAACTCGCGCCCTTCTGGGTTGCTTTTACCTTTGCTCTTCGTAAGTACAACTCCATGTATGGCCTTGACGAAGCCGGTCTCACCAAATCAAGCATGGCAATGACGCGCAAGGAACTCGTCATGAGGCACACCGAGTGGATCGAACACTGCTGCCATGTTCTTCGGGCCGCGCAGGAGACCGCCACGGACGTGTATGCAATAGCTTTTGTCGGCGCCAAACGCCTGGCGCAACAGATTACCGAGAGATTCTCATACGGCGATCACACCTTCATCCGATTCCAGAGCGATGCTGTGATACAGATGTCCCTGAATGGCTTCAAGAAGGAAATTGCAGAGCTAGGAGCGAGCTTTGCATTCTCGGCCGCACAGGAAAATTGTGAGTTGACCAGATTTTAAAAGTGTCTTGCCTATTCCTACTCCCAGTACCCACGAGGGGAAAGTGATTGCTAACGACGTGGGATACCGTTCAAAAAAGATGTGCTGATGGCTGAGCTGAGAGCTTTGCCGGTCATTATGCACGAGGTCGCCTTATATCGCGATCCGGCAATTGCATTACAGTCGACGATTACCACCTCCCATCTCTGGGAGCTGCTGACCTCGACCCGAGCCTTCTTGGACTATTTCCTGAGCGTACCGACAGACGCGCTGAGACATCTACCGGCCGCGTTCTTCAGCTTCTCCGCGTACGCGCTGATCGTCCTTTCGATGATTGCGCGCCTTCCCTCGACAAGCGGATGGGACAGCTCGATGGCCAAACACGAGGCGGACGTCCTGAATATCGCGCAACGTGTGAAAATCAAAGTCGGCGACGAGCTCACCCGGGCGGGCCACAGCGTGAGCACAGAACAGAAAGACGTCTGGGCATTCTTCGGACGTGGCATGGGCGGCTTGATGGCGTGGCATGAGAGGTGTGAGAAGGAGAGCGAAGGGACTGTAGCAGCAACAGGAGGCGGAGAGAGAGACTACGAGCTTCCGATCAGCGAGTCTGGTGCACCCTTGACCACGAGGTGTGCCGTGGCGGACATGATGACTCCGTTCAACGCATTGCGCTTCCGCAAGCACGTCCATCCGAGCACTGGTGGTGGTGTCCCGAACGGACCCCAAGGGGAGAATCCCAATGCTGCTTCAGGCGGAACTGCATTCATCGGCGGCGGCGTTGGTGGTGGCGCCGATACCCAGCCCACAGACATGGGGACCAGCTTCTGGGACGACGAGGTGTGGCAGTCCATTATGGATGAGTTTTCGATGTTCCCTACGAGTGCCGGCTTCCCCACTGGACCAAGCGTACAGCATCAGGTGGAAAGATTGCGGTGGTGAGCAAAGGGCTGCCCTACAACGGCAGACAGTATGCTGTACCGAGTAGTGTCCCTGGGTTTGCTTCAAAGGTGCAATTCCGCACTACCTAGAAAGTTCTCTCGGTGTCTCGTCACCTGCTGAGCAGTTGTGGTGCATGAAGAACTAAAATTACAAAGTAGTTCGCAGAAGAGGATACCGGTCCATCACAGAGGAACGATTCTATGTTCCTTCCACGGTCCGAGGCCTCAGTAACAATATACCTCACCACTTGTTCTCCTGCCAGTTTCAGTATATCATCTGGTAGCCCGCTCCTAGGATTTGCAGGGCCAAAAGCAGGTGCCTGGAAGGCGTTCGCAACCTCGATCGGGTTCAGTGTCACCTTGTGCCCCAGCTCCCAGGGAACCCCCCGTATGCTAGCAGGACCAACAACACACACACGCACCAGAGTAGATGCGACCGCACCAAACATCTAGCCTAGTTGCGTCTGGTAATATTCCTCGGTTTTATACCGAGTTGCTGGGACAAAAACTCCGGTTGAGTGTGAGTATGAATCCCATGGCTCATCTGTATCTGCCCGACTCTGACGGTTGGATAGATTATGTGCAATGAGGAAGGTCAGTGTGTTCACTCCAACCATAAGGTCGATATTGACCTCATGGCTTGGCCCTAGTTGAATGTATGTGCTGGTGGAGCGTTGGAAGAGGATTCCATCGATGATTGTACCCTTTTTGACGATGGCCGCAAGGGCAGCAATGTTGAAATACTTGACGTTCAACAAGACTGATGCAATACTGCTACCAAAGGCCCAGCCAGGTGTGGTGCAGATGCCGCGGCCATCGTCGCACCTTTTCATTGCTCTTCTCCACCAGGATACAGCAATCCCCTGTGCCACTTCAATCGCGATGCAGACGCTCGCACCACTGTTGCATGTGGGCAAGATGATATTGGGAGCGATTTGCTTAGACCAAGAGGAGGCGGGTGTCTCGTTGGAGGCGACTGAAATCATGGTCGCAACTACAGAAAATACCAGCACCATCAGGAGACATTGTAGAGGACACGGTGCGTCAGTGACCCAACACCGGATACAAATAACGCTGCACTATGTGAAAGAGAAGATACGTTGACTTTGCCTAGGGAGTCTCCATAATTTGATATCCAAAGGACGAGGGCGACTCGATCTCATCTCCTCCTGATTTGGGCCATTGACTCCTTGCCAATTCCTGACAGACAGCCTTCATCGCAGCTGGCTCCTCAATGGGCACGATATCACCAAGTATAGACCACGTCAAACAGGCTCGGGCCAGACTGATTTGGAGGACTGCCAATCGCAATTGCTGTCGATGGGAAGGCGCTCACTTGTCGCAAATGTAAATTGGCCACGCGTGGATGGCGTCGTCCAAATAGTCCGCCGTTGAAGACTCTGATGGCTTTGATGGCTTGCGAGCGAAAGAGCAGATCCCTGCCGGTAGCTGTCATGAGGTGTATCAGTATACATTCCTGTGCAAAAAGCAACAGGTGCGCTGATTGAGTGAGGAGAGCAGAAATCATGAGGGTGTTCACACAGTGGCTTCATCCTTCAGCTGAGTCTCCGCCACGCCAGTGCAATAGCTCTACATTCAGGGGTATTCAGAACCAGCCCTCGTGGCATCGACTGGTGGCTCTGAATAACAAGCGCCACTGCTCCTGCTGTCATTTCCATCATAGTCATGGCTCATAGAGCACTTCGGCGTCACCGGATGTCGCATGTCACAATCCAGAGGGTAGCAATGAACATTTTGGTCGCAATCGACATCCCGACTCCCAGAAATGCAAACCTGCAAACGGTTGTCCCAAGACGGTACTGGTAGACCTTGCAGAACTGACTCCTCTAGGCCCGCTATCCCAAAAGAGACCACACTGGGTTGGTATTGTCCCATGTTCATCTGTCTTGACCATTGAACTCCACCAGATGCCTAACAATATCAAAAATCCCACCATTGTCCTCTCTTTCAACGCCCACCTGGCCGGCAGGAGAATCGATTCTCCTCCTCAATTCATCATCCAACAATGCCCGTAACCTCGAAGCCAGAACACCAATCCTAGCCCACCCTCTCAACCTCAACCATCCATCGACTATAACCCCTCGTCCCGTTATATCGACCTCGATTGGCCCGCCAAACAACAACAGCCCATATGGGTTCAACGGCGTCAAATCCCGAATGAACGTTTTGCTCGTTTCCATCTTGGCGAAGTAACTCACAAAGTTTGCGTTGCCAGAGAAGCCTTGAGCGTCGAAAAGAACGCTGCTCGGGTGCACAAACACCCTCCCGTTTTCCTCGTTGAAATATTTGATCGTTTTGGCATCTGGGTCCAGTTCCTTTGCACCGCTCATGGATGCGATGTATTTCTTATCGGGCATTTGGATGCGTGCGATTTGAGGGTTTAGTGCCCCTGCGATTATGGCGCGCAGGAGCATGATGTTGCTTTTCTGTCGGTTGTGAAGGGATGAATCGCTGCGGTAACTGGCAGTTAACAGGCCAGTTTCAATGAGGGAATCGAGCAGCTGTCGTCGGGTTGAGTCAATGTCGCGGAGAATCTGCTGGGACAACCATTTCGACGAGCACCAATTCCGCACTTCCCCGTATCGCGAGGTCACAGATACCTCTTTCCACTGTTCCCATGCTCTGTAGTCGACAATGAGGTCGCCGTCCGAAGCGGAGAAGGACAATCTCGCCTCTTTTGCCTCATCTCTCTTGTCGCGCGACGAGATAAAAGGGCTTTTCGTTGCCAAGATGGCAGCAATTGTCAGACAGGGTTCCACACAATCAAATAAGACACCGAAGATGAGAAGTTTCGCGCAACGGAGGTCAGCGGGTACCATCGCCAAGTAATTCCCGAGACCGGTCAAGCGATCATTCTCCAAAGCACCCATACGCTGCAGGGTCTTCAGTGCGGTAGCGACAGCTCGACTGTCAGGCGGCGATATGGTGCTTGCCAGAAATTCTTCCACATTGCGCGCTGAACCAGTCGCTTTGACCGAAAGACACAGCTGCTCCAACGGCGTTCTGACCATTTCTGGTGCTGAAACATTCGCCATGTTGGCTTCGACATTCCTGGTGAAGAGCTTGTAGCATTTCCCCGCGCGGACTCTGCCTGCTCTACCACGGCGCTGTTTACAAGCAGCCTGGGAAGCCCAGACCTCTTCAAGACGCACGATATTTGTGGCAGGATCGTAGTGAGTCTCCTTGACTTTGCCGGTGTCGACCACGGCGACAATGTCTTCAATGGTGATTGATGTCTCTGCAACGTTCGTGGCGACAACCACTTTTCGTTTTCCCGCTGGCGGCTGTCTGAACACCAATCGTTGCTCAACAGGTGTAAGTGAAGCATGGAGCGGTAGACTATATATATTCGGCATGCCGGCAAGACTCCTAAGACAACGATCGATTTCCAGAGTGCCTGGCATAAAGATGAGAATACCCCCGTTTGAGCCGTCCAGCTGCTGGTCAATCTTTTGCACAAGAGAAGCGATCAGCTGGTAATTGATTCCAATTCCAAGGCTTTGGATTGCTTTGCCAATATGAGGTTCGTCGTCTGACTCCTGCTGTGATTCTCTTTTCCCGTTTCCCACGAGCCGCACGACGTCATCTAGGTAATAGTCCTGGACCGGGTATGTACGCCCTTCGATGTGGACTCTGCCAACTCGATCGCCACCAAAGTATTCAACAAAAGTGTCAGCATTGAGTGTGGCGCTCATCAGTACAATCTTCAAATGGGGTAGTGAAGGTAAGGCCTCACGCAGCAAGGCCAGAAGAAAGTCCGTATCAAGAGACCGCTCATGGACTTCATCGATGAAGACGTGGCTGACGTTCGCCAGGGCCGATTTGATACTGGGAGAGCTCTGGAGACGACGGAGGAGAACGCCCGTGGTTTGGAATGTGATTCTCGTTCTCGAAGAGACCTTTGACTCTCCCCTAATGATATACCCCACCTCCTGGCCTTCTTTGTCGCATCGCTCCGCGCTGACACGCTCCGACAAGGAGAGAGCAGCGACTCTCCTGGGCTGTGTACAAATGAGATTGACAGAAGAACCTCGCATATTCTCGATAGCGCTGTCCAGTATGAATTGGATTGCTTGGGTACTCTTTCCTGAGCCCGTTTCCCCTGTAATGAGAGTCACTTGCGAGTTCTCAACTACTCTAGCAATCTCCTCTTTTCTGGACCATGCAGGTAGAGTTTGCCGAGCTGCATTCATCGTCCGCTGTATTTCTGAGCTCTGACGGGTTTTCCAAGCCTCGAATATCGCCTGGTTAGATCGGTTCTCCTTAGAGTATATTCTTTCTGCCGTTCTCGTGTGAGTCGAATTGTTCTTCACTTCATTCTGGGTCTCCACTAACGACTTTCTCATCGGGCCAGGAGCTATCTCCAAGTCACTCAGCCTTCCAGGATCTTCGATGATGTTTGGCATCGAGCTCTCTAGCCATTCCAATAAATTGAATACCATCGAGTCACCGAGCAGATGTTCTTGGGCATATCTGACCGCTTTTTTGGTTGCACTCAGGCGAATGTAACTCGGTATTTGTGGTGCTTCGATTGAGATGACGGGTGGCTTGTTTGGATAACCGGAGGCCGGGCAGCGAAAGTGAAACGTGCCTGAGAAATTTGAACTAGGGTCAGCTCGGATAGAGCATCGGCCTGCATCTGACAGCTTGAACCTCTCGTCAAGGATGGCCTCTAAAGCCGTCATTTCCTCACCCCAAACGTGCGTGTTGCTTTCCGGCTCCACAATTGACTCGACCTTGAACGGCACAAGTCGTGACTGTAGAGCCTCTGCTGCGAAAGTTTCATTTCCCTCGTTGTCGCGTAGGGCTTGAAGACATAGCTGGCTCGGATATCCTCCTTCGCTCAGTCGCTTTACCTTGGCGTCCGTTGCAAGGTCGCTGGTAATGAGAGTGATTCCTGCATTGTAACCAGGAGGAAAACTCCATGTGGGTAGACAATCTTCGGGAACGTGGATGAGAAGCCACTCTAGTGTTTCCTCCCGCGTGCCACAGTTTTCGAGAGCTTCTTGGATGTGAGAAGGTTGAAAGCCAGATCGTGACAGATCGGACACAATAGATTCCCTATCCGCCTTGGAAATGTGAAGTCCGTTCTGGTTCCAGATACTTCGGCACCTGATCATTGACTCAATCCGTTTCCGAGCCTCCGGTCCTAGCTCAAGCCGCGGTGCTCGGTCCCATGCTTTTGACGTCCCATTATCAGATCCCGGACCGATCAAACTTGATGATCCAGTTTTGGGAGGTTGTCGCGCTTCTTCCTCTTTTCGTTTCTCTCTGGCAGCCTTGATTTCATGTCCCTTGGATTCTGCAGCGAAGGGGTCTGCATCATATTTCCATGCCCTACCATCTTTAACATCTTCTTCTTTCAGACGCTGGAAGTCGCCTTTCCAGAGGTCACGATAGGTTGGGGGTAATGCCATTGCCAAGTTCTTCATGCTAGACACGCGAAACAGAGCATAAGCCGCCGCGAAATGGCGGGCTTCAAGGGCTGTTGGCTGGTCTGCGAGATGGGCATGAGTTGCAGGAAGATGGAATGGGGGGAGTTTCGTAATAGACCCCGTCTTTGGATCTGTTCTTGACAGCACAACCCATGACCGGTGAAGCTTTTCGCCACTGCTGCCTGAAGGAACTTGCCGGCCCTGATACTCGGGCTTGTTCCATTTCTCTCGCTGGCAGTGCTCTGACAACAGATTAACGGGCAATTTGCCGGTCCATGAAGCTCCTCCGATAATCTTTTTCACATCAGGCCGGGGTGGAGCTCCGTCAGGTTCTTTCTGATCTTGTTTCTTTTTTTCATTTTTCTGCTTAGTGAAAACTATATGATCACTGTCTGGAACTGCAGGTGTTGCTTTTTTGGAAGAGCTACTCTTGCCGGGGGCAGAGCCTTTCTTAGGTGCCATATGGATCGAATTCGCGAGGTGACGGCTTCACAAAGCTGCAGAAGCCAGCAGCTCAGGGACAGGCGATATATGCCAGCGACTGACTTCGACAGTCCTTACCGTCAGCACGATTCCAAGGACTTCAGCAAGCGCGACGATTGTACAGCGAAGCACTATCACAAGTAGAGTGTTAGGAATCAGGTATTGATATCGGGCACTTTGCCATGATGGATTTTCATCTTCAGCCGCGATCCGGTGGAGGCCAATGTTCAGAATTGGATTCAGTTGACTGAATGAGAGCACAACTCCTGGCAAATGCGGTCGATAGCAAATGAGGCGAAAATTATGCCCCTTCTCGGAAGACCTGCCCAAAATAATTGCCAAGCAAAATCCTGACCAGGCTGTCATTCAGCTTTATCTGACTGGAATCCCCTCGCCCCCTCTTTGGCAGCCTCTCCAGCATTGGACTGTCGACTTCCAGGCACATACCGCTGGCTCAAGAAACTTGTTGTATTCGCGTTTCCTCGAGGTAGTATCTGCATTATCTGCCCTAAAGCATGTGTGTTGCCTAGTGATTATTGACCCCACTCTATCACGCCGAGCAACGCGGTGGTTTCCCTGACAATGTGGTCTCCGCCACATCGCTCTCAAAAGCAGAACACAAGCTGCGATGATGATGCCCATGAGTCATTCCAATATTCCTACAGAAGACCGAGAGGAGGTCATCCTCAGCTTCCTTGTTTTTTTGTTCTTCCGGTCACTCTGCCATGGATGCCAATTACTTTGTCATAAATTCGTGTGTTCTCGTCAATGATTCCCACCGAACACTGAGAAGCTCTAAACTGGAGACGACTGAATACTGACAACCGAGCCACAACATGCCTTCGATCTGATGATAGCACGAAAGCTCATCCAGCAGAGCGCCAATGATGTACTCCCAGCATGAAGACGTCGAAACTCCGCCTTTTGAGCGGACGAGTGTCTGCCGTTCGGCGAAAGACGGTTTAAATTATGATTTGTTCGAATGATGTTCTCCTCACATGCGAAGATAAGGAACGCTGTCGTAGAATGAAATCATCGTGGACTGAAGGAAAGATGACGGTGCAACCGCGTCTTCCAAGTTGAATCCTCTCTGGATTTCGGTCTCGACGAAGGCTGATGCTCTCTTGTAGCGTTTGTCGCAATATTTGTTGAACACTGCATTGTGATGTTTTCGCGGATCCTCACAACATTCCAGTAATAGACTGATCAGTGGTTTGAGTTGGGAGTACGTGTAACTGGCATAGTAGACATGATGAGCGGTCTGTGTCGATTAGTAAGGGTGGATTATCTGTTTGAGCCGCCGACTTACCCATGTGCCTTTCCGGAGCATGATGCGTGCGAGACAATGCGATGCCGCCGCTGTGAAGCTCGGGGGACTGCCGATGAACCGTTCATCCATCAAGGTCACTTCAAGGAAATATTTAGCGAGCGTCCTCGTTTCCAGGTCATAGTCGTCGGCCTTGCTAATCCGGCGCAAGAAACTCATGGGCCCGGGCCAGCCAAGTTCGAATTGAAGCATGGTAAGCATAAACCGCTCGGCTTTGAGAATCTCATCCACACTGTAACCACCATCAACCATGTATACAATTTCCTGGACCGACGGACAGTTGATCTCTTCGTATTTTGCCGCGATGAAAATGGCCGTTGCACCGACAAGCTGGAGTTTGCCGAGAGAAACAACCTTGCACGACAGGAACCGGTCGATGTAATTAACGGTAAGAAAGAGCGTCTCCGGTAGCAAGTTGAACCGGAGGTGAACTTGGACAAGCCAATCCATCAGAACCGCGCGCATGGACCACTGAATCTCATGCTGATTGTCCATGTAGTGGGCGTTGGGAAGCATCTTCACCTCGAGCTGTCTCATGTAGTCAAAGATCTCCTCCCCATATTCGGCAACCATGCTCGTGTCGTAGCTTTCATCTTCCACCTCCTCAGGAGAACGAGTGGCCTCGACCAACTGTTTTGCTGCAGCAATCTCCTTGCGGGCACGTTGGTTCATCTGCGGGAACAGGACAGTCGTAGCTCCGCCAGTGGTGTTGTCACCGCGTGATCGGAATGACCTGGCGGTCACATAATCGTCCTCTTCGTAGTTGTCGTCATCCTCTTCATCCCAGTACTCTTCCTGCTCGAGTCGTTGCTGAATGTAGGAATGGTGAGGACTCAGTGGAGGGATATTCTCGACAGGATTCACGAGACTTGCCACAGAAATCTGTTGCGATTCCTGTCGAACAGCGGTAAGATGGTGTTCCATGGACGGGAGAGAATCTCTGGGGAGAGGTCGATCGCAGAGCTGTTGGGAACGTTGCTGAGCAATATTGTCTGAGGCACTGCAGCCTGCATCTTTCACTTCTGTCTCGCTGGGCTCGCTCGATAATGCAGGACCTAAGTTTACACCTTCAATGCCAGGTAAGCTGGTATCTGAATGCAACTCTTGAATGTCTTTCACTGGCTCAGTGGGAACGGCAACAGACGGCGGTGAAGGGAGAAGGCACAGGCGAGACTCTACTCCAGCATTCGCTGAGCTTGGGCGCTTCCCTGTTCCTATCACATGCCCGTTGACTGGCTCACTCGACGTTATTTCCGTCTCTTGAAGCACAGCAAGACGATTGTCTTTGAAGATGGTGGTATGGCGTTTGGTCAATGTCTTTTTCGTCGCGGCAGGCTGCAGTGCAACTAAGGTTTCTGTAGAGGTGGGATTTGAAGAGGCTTTAGATGTTCCATAGGTAGTTGCTCCTGCAAGAATGGTTTTCAGCCCTTTTTGCGCGGGCCGGAGCAGCGCAATCGACCTTCTTTGCTCGAGGGGCTGGCTAGGTTTCACCAGGGCCTGGAGACTTGGCTTGGTCTGGAGTGTTGAATCATCTTTGCTCGGCCTTCCAGCAACAATATTGCTCACGTCCCCAAATGCAGTTCGCTTCGCTGCGGCCTTGAGCCCTTGGGCTTCAGCAAAAGTAGTTGTAAGTGCTGGACTCGATTTATTCCGATGATGGATTGTTTTGGTGACTTGGCCTTCGGGAGGGACATTCTCGTCGTTTCTGACGCGTATTGGCCGCAGTGGGCGCTGTGGCTATCAGAGAGGTGTATGTTAGCCCTGATGTTCCAAGACAAAGCAGTGTGGATTGCAGTGTCGGCAGAGCAAACCGCAGATCGACACCAAGCGAAGTGGTAGGTACGCAGCAGAATTGTTTTCCTCACCTTCACGTCCATGCTGAGCAGTCTGAATGCTTGTGACAGGATGTGGAAGTATTTCGAGCTGGGAAGGGCGATTGGTTCGTGACGCCCCTAGATTTTGCAAAGCGCGACGGAGTCGGGCACATTCAGTCGAAGAGAAGGGAAAGGAAGGAAGAGTGTCGTGAGAGGGTGAGGACGGTCCAAGACAAGGCAGGAGTATCAATGCAGAAGCTATGGCTGTGGAAAGGAGCACAGCATACGGGTTGGTCCTGGCAACAAACAAAACAGCATTATTATTATTATGGGATTATGCAAGGTCAAGGAACTTGCATGTAAACATTATTGCGATCGGCCATTGGGCTTCCGCCCACGGCTCTTGCCGCCCTTAGCTTGCCCCCAATCACACTAGTCCATTTTCAGACATATAAACACTTCGCGTCCTCTAAAGTGCTGCACTTTCAGCTTTTTTCGACTTTGACAGCGCCACTCGAGGCAAATTAGGTAGCAAACTAGGTCTTCAGTACTGATTAACGTGGTATAAGAGGATCATGTACATGTTTCTCCTAATCCATGCCGCAGCTTGTGGTGAAAATTGGAACAACTGCATTATGACGTCAACGCGTCGCGCAAATCGCGAGATCACGTGTGAAGGTGTAGAGACTGACAAAGCTGTCGGCCCCGACTCTCATTCAACATATTGATTAAGTCCCTCTCGCATTCTCGTAATCCTATCATCAGCGTGAAGAAAGGGTAATTCCGTTGGTGCATCGCCAGTGGAAAGAAGAGCCTACTTCAAATGGTCCCCCGGCAGGTGGCGAAGGCCTGCAGGGCTCGGACTTTCCTTCTAGGCGCTTACTCAATCTCCAACGATGTCATCGGACCGCAAAGGACCCAGAACACGGATGACATACGAGGTACTAGGTTGTTTGATACCGCACAGGATTTGCGCTGCCCGGCGCTCCATGTTCTGTCAGGTTGGCCAGGCAATGTTCGGGCTGATTTCGCGATATGGTTGACATTCAGAGCGATGCTGTATGATGACTGGGAGAAGCATTCCTTCCTTGTGGGCAGACTAACACACTACCGGGTAGGTTTCCCGTGACCTGTTTTGGTTGCTCATTGCGCTCCCATAGTTGGGTGAGATACTGGTCCAAAGCACACTTTCCAGAAGAAGCCCGAATTGAATATCCCGCGGACATATGTGCGACTCGAGATGCGACCAACCCGAGGTTTCGGAGTTTGTTGCGCAAACTCTGATTTTGGCGGTCCAAGCATGTCATTTGCAGGGCATGTGATGGCCCCAATCCCATTGATCCTAATTGCGCCGAATTGCGCTTACTACAGGCAGACTCCTATCTAGAATGTTTCAGCAACAGAGCCCATCAGTCGGACCCAATGGAGAACACCTGGGTCGCATTAGCATTGGGTCCTTTCCAGTTGGATGATATAGCCCATGCGAATGGAATGTGGGGGATGCGACCGAGAAAAATTCGTTAATCTCAGGCAAAGCTAGCGAGCTGAAAAGTAATGCGACCTCGACCCTTGACAACGACCACCATGACGCTTCTAGGAATAGCAATGGCATCCGGTTCGGAGGCTGCAGATTGTTGGACATGTACATACATATCATTATATCAATGCACAAGCACAAGCGCCATCACGTTATCAAGCAGATTGCGCCTCGTCTGAGGTCGCCGCCAGTTCCGCCATCCCGCCAAGATCCTGGTCGGTATGGGAACTTGCAGGTTGCAACATGGCAGATCGCGAAACGATAGCCATGTCGTTGCCGCCGTGGCGGGCTCGCAACGAGTCAAACCCTGAACTAAGACGGTCTTTATCAGCGGAGCCCAGCAAGCCATCTGGGCATTTGGTCAAAAGGAGCGAGGTTGACAGTGGGCAAGGGCTGCACGGAGAACCCTGTGAACATGGGAATGCATCCTGTGGCAACCACTGCGGCAGCCCACGTTCGAGTGGTCGAGGGGATTGGTCGAGTGACGGCGACGGATGCTTGCGTGTTCTTGACGACGGCCTCTTAAACGGCCTCAAACGGCACCACCAGACTCGTTGCCAGTTGGACGCTGGACTCCACCGCCAACACGGCTCAGCAAAACTCACAGGTCGCCAGCCTACAGGCTCAGACCGCTGACGCTTGCTAATCTTTGCCATACAAGTAGTGGCCATACAAAGCTCGCCAAATCCGCTACCGCTCCGGCCGCCTTCTCGAACATCATTTCAATCACCGAGCAGGTGAGGGGTTGGTCTTCTTTCTTATTCTTGTTACTCTTCGCAAGTTAGTTTCCAGCACATCGCCGGGCCAGGCTCGCCATTACTGCACTCACTTTGCCGAACCCTCAGCTCCAGCTCCGCCCGCTGACTGCCTTATGGTTCTACCCTCATTGCCCACCCTCCGTGATTGCCTGGCCTCGGCCCCGGCCCATACAAAAATCAAGGCATGCTCTCAGCCTGCCAGTCCCGAATGGCCAGCAAAGACACCGCTTCGGGTCGTCACCTGGCACGGTTAGCTCGTAGCCGGCAAGACAAGCCGTCACAAGATGGTGCTCATGAGCTCGAGACTGCTCAACTCATTCTGGGAAAGTCGTAGGCAGTCGGAAAAAAGACACGCAGTGCGCAGTGGAATGTTCTATCTCGTAGTCACCGTACTGTACATCAGACACTGAGGCTTCCTTTGCATTTTCGCTCTTGTCGCCATCGTTGACTTCCTTGTCGCAATTGATTGACTTTGGAATATATTTGTGACTTGTTCGGAATAAATCACCTTCTGCACAATACACAGTGCTTGGACACAGTGCGAAAAGCCACGTTCTTGTGGTACGAGTACGTACTGGCGTTTTGTTGGACCGGGGGTGGGCCACCAGGGCCTCGTTTCACACGCCCGTTGACTATTGCAGTATCCCAAGCCTCAGTCCTCAGGTCTCAGTCCGCACCTTGACTTCCTTTCTTCCCTTGGACCTCTCTCCTCCCACTACCTCTCATTTCCACTCATCCAACCGCTTCGAGCGCCCATCTGTGTACCAGCGAGAGAGGTTCATCGATCTATCTTTCCTCTCGTGCACTTTGTCGCCTGCCGGATCCCCCACCGTCACCGCTGCGAAACATTACTGCAGTCACCATGCTCTAGCCCTCGACGATGCCTTGACGGTAGAGCCGGATGCTGTTGCAACTGCCGTTGCGCTTCCTCTCTTCTATCTCGTTTTCGTCTTAGCATCATCGCAAGTGTTCGCACTTGTCATCTGAAGCCTCGACCTATTGTAGGTTGCTCCAAATTGGACTGGGGACTCAAGCCCATTGTCCTCGCAACCGACCTTCACCCTGCCTAGTCACCATGCTGAATTCGCCCACTCCTCTCAAATACCATAACCTATCGCTAGGTGGACTTCAGGCTAATTATTCCATTCAGTGCCTCCTTCGAACGAAGAACGTGCCAGGTCTCCTCCATAAAGCCCCCTTCGCCCGAAGCGAACCCTTGATGAGCCCTCCAACGGTGGCAGAGGTATAACAAGACAATCACCTATATCAAAACCATTGAGCGCTATGCAGGTCTCCAGCCTGCTCTCGGCCGACGACCACAAGACTTCGAAGATAAAGATGCCTCCCGCCAAGTCCATCTCCTTCGAGCTCCTGCTGGACGAGGGCTCCAAAACAAGGGCAAGAATTCCTCTGAGAGTAGTGCTCAATACGCATGACAGCACGGAGTCCATCATTACTACAGTCAAGAACTTCTATGGAATATATGATGGGAATGGTGTGAGCTTCGAAGACGCATGGGGCAACACTCTCATTGCCTCATACGACAATCTCGGCCATAACTCTACCGTCTATGTGCGCATTGTGCCGGCTCCTCAGGCAGCCTCGAATCCGTACACACATGGCTTACATGCCGGCGAGGGTGGCTACGAACCTAGACGTCGACCCAGTTTGGGCGAGCCCTTTCAGATGTTACCACCTCATATGCGCGAGCAATCGCACTCGCCCTCCAGGCCTGCTTCGAGAGTTGCTCGTAAGCGAAGCATTTCTCCATCCCAAGGGAGAGGTCGTCGAAGTGCGTCGCAACAGAAAGGACCATCCTATGCCAGCCGGGGCTCAAGCGCCAATGGAAGCTACCATGAGGAGAACGGATATAGTGACAGTGAGGCCGGGCGCAGCTCAATCTCGGGATCCAAGAAAGCTAGAAGCGAGCAATTTGCTAGCTCTGACATTAGTACTGCGAACGTCCTTCAAGATGGTCGACGTGGACAACCCATCTTCGACAGTTCGGTGAGTTCCCGGCTGTCACCTTCTCTCGGCTCCTTACTGACTTGAAATTCCAGACCCTTCCTCTTTTTGTTCCTCCCCAGGTCCCAGTGACTGCTTCCCAGTCCTCTATTTCGCCTCAGCGACGTTCGCTCCCACAGGAAGGCCCTTCACCCCTGCATCCTCCAGGCCAGAAAATTTATGGACTCCAACACGTCCCAATACTCTCTCCGCAGAGCTATGGACCTAGTCCCAATCCCTTTGGTGTTGGCGACCGGTCAGCGGGCGCGGAAGCCGTTACACCTATGCCCCAGCATGGTCACCGGCTGCGTGACCGATCTAGTATGCAGCAAGGGCATGGGAGACAAGGATATACCGGAAACGGAATCCTCCCAACCCCGGACCCCACCGTTGCAAGTTGTATCTCAGACGAGGACGTGGCACGTACACTCATTGCCTTAGGCGATGCATCCAACTACTCTCATGGGCGGACCTCCAATTCGACCATGGACGAGACCTTCAGTGGTGTTGCTGATGCGGCTTCATCAACTGGTGCAACAAGCGACAGTGATGAGTATAGCGATGCAGAAGGGGGCCTCCCCAAACATAGGAAGTATCTTGACGATGAGGATGAGGAGTATGCTCAAGACAGCACTAAGGGTGATCAAGAGGATTACGAAGGTCTGCCCAAAACCAAGAAGATCAAGACCAAGATGCATGATGGCCCATCTAATGGGTATCGACCAAAGACGACACCGTCAATGAAGCATGGGAAATTCTCTAAAGTTCGGCCAAACTCCCTTCCAAAGATTGCTAAACATCCGACGCAGCCGGGGCTTATGAAAGCACCGTCTGCACCAGCCTCCGCCGGCCAGGTCAGGAAGTCATCTAGTTCAAGCCTCAACTTCCAGCACCAGCTCGCTGCGGATGAGGAAGATCTGTCTTCGAAACCTCGATGTCAGCGATGCCGAAAGAGCAAGAAAGGCTGCGATCGCCAGCGGCCTTGCGGACGGTGCAAGGATGCCGGCATTGGAATTGAAGGGTGCATCAGCGAAGACGAAGGAAATGGTCGAAAAGGGCGATATGGCAGGCACATGGGGGTTCCGGTCAAGAAGGTTGCCGAGGGACTTTTACCCGAACAATCAGACTTTGTCATGGCTGCACCAAACATGTTAGCTGACTCAATTGGGATCCAAGGCAGTCCGGACAAGAATAAAAAGAGAAAGAGGTGAGTAGTAGTCAATGGGGCGGGCTGAGATTGTGTCAAAGCAAGAGTACAGGGGGGATTCGTCAAAACGAAAGGAAGCCAAAGGGAAGAAATCAGAGCCACCAGGGAATAGACTGGGAATTAAGGGTTGACAAAATTTTTTTGGATCCAAATAGGCCGCAGGGCCACTGTGTGACGAGATTGATGGACTGACAATGATGCGACCAGCTCCTTTTGTGTTTTTGAATTCGTGGTTGTTGAATGTTCCTTGACTCGAGAAGGGGTTGAGCAAAGCTCGTGTTGAACCAGCTCTATGGGGTTTCTTTTGTCTTGTCTCGTTTGGCGGAGGAAATGTGCGCATCTTTGTGATCTATTCTTCAACGCAAGGGGATTATTCCTTAACCACCGGGCTCGGAAGAATTTATGAATGTACGAAATGAGAAGGGTCCTGTATTTTCGAATGCTAACAGGAAAGTCGACTGCCTTTCAACTACCATTAGTATAAGTTCCCGATGCAGCCTCGTCGCATCCGATACCGTGGAGGGCTGAAGGTATTATTACCCCACCCACGTGACAAGGCTCTGAAGTATTATGTAATTTTTGCGGGGAAATTTCAAGGAAAGAATACCTCTAGAAACCAAAAAAAGAGTGAACTGAACAGTCAAGTTCTCGGATAGATGTTGCCCAAGCCAAGTTCTTTACAATACCTTGCGAATTCGACTTGAGATATAGAGCCGGACTCACTCTACTGGACGATCGAGTTGATATTGACCTGATCAACTCACTAATCCCACCATCAGGCGAAATCGGCTCCCACAATTGCTCCTCTCTGCCCTCTCCAACGTTTTCACTTAATGGCCTTCGGACGCGTAAGTCGGTAAAACCTCTTCGGAAGGCGGCGAAGCCCACCACAAGTCACTTGCCATGCCGGACGGAACAGCATCCACGCCTCCGACCGCAACTGCCAGGGCTACTCCTCGCGGCGGCAGCGCAAAACCGAGACCTCGCGCAGGAATCCAGCGGAAGACGAAAGCTGAAAGAGATCAGTTCGCGAAAGAAGAAGCCGAACGGCAAAAGGCCCGAGCCGCTGAGCATGAGGTTGCAAATCGCGGTGCGAGGGGAGGAAGAGGGGCGGCTCGTGGAGGCAGAGGTGGTGCCGCAGCTGGCCAAAGAGAAGGACCGGTGGGAGGCGGAGGTGTTTTTGGGGCAGGATCTAGCACAAAACCTACCGCCAAATCGAGAACAAGCTATGAAGGATACGGCGAGCTGCTAACAGGTCATCAAGATGTTTCAGCGCTGGGCAAGGATGCGACAGCAGGCTACGAGAGGTCTGGTCAAGCAGGGACTTCCACTGGTGGTAAAGGCGGCACATCAAGGACCGCAGAAACCCTCGATGTGGACACGGATGATGAGCCCGATGATGAGGGTAAACGAGACATCGAGCGCATCTGGATTTCTAGCGACGAAGATGAAGAGATCGTCGCATCAACCCTGAGAAAAGGGAAACAAAAAGCTACAAGCACTGGCAAACGAATGCCTCGCATAGGGCTGGGCCTGCGACCAGTCCGTGCACCTCGAACATTGGGAGAAGAGGAAGAGCAGGAAGGAGACACCGCAGGCTTAGCCAGCAAGAAAAGCCGCAGCGCTGTGGGGCCAAGAGCCGACACTGACACTCAAGAGCTCGATAAGCAAAATGAGCGAGATGAAGGTTCCGAGGACGAGGACAATGAATTACTCCAATTTGTCAAAGAACAACCCTCCAGCCCCGAATTGAAGAAACGGACGCTGAAAAAGCAACTTGCTGCCGGCAAAATCGGTCGGGATGTCAAGGGGTCTGCGACAGAGACGATCGAAGAGCGTGCGGAACGAATGAGAGCTATGCGTGACGTCCACAAATTGAGAGATCTATTCGTGACAGCACCGGCAGCAGATGCGAAGATGGAGGTCGACGACGAGGACGACGAGGAACAGCCCGTGACCAGTCTCAAGGACGGCAATCTGTTTCTCTTCCAGCTCCCACCACTAACACCCTTCCTGGTCGATTCCGCCGCAATGCAAACAAATGAGACAGTAGTCAAAGTCGAGCCGACCACTGGTGATGGCATCACGACTATCGACCTCGACGCTCCTGACGTAGGCGCAATGGCCTCAAACACCATCACCGATCCCGAAATCAAAGCTGATCCCGACGCCCCGGCTAGACCCAACCTGCAAATAGACAGCTTGCTCACGGCGTCCGAACCAATTCGTCTGCCCGCGGGAGTCGTGGGGAAACTCCATGTCCACAAATCCGGGAAGGTCACCCTGGATTGGGGCGGGACTGATATGGAAGTCCGCTATGGCACCGAAGTGAACTTTTTACAGGATGTCGTTCTCGTAGAGCCGGGGCAAAATCAAGAAGGCTCGGCCCAGGAAGGAGACGGGGCCGCAGACAGAGAGGACGAGTACGGGGACAGTGATCTCACCAAGGACGACGACGGTGATGATAATGATAGTGGTGGGAGGGAAAAGAAGAAAAAGGACATCAAGGGCACAGCCTATGCATTGGGCCAAGTAAAGAGGAAGATGGTCCTAATACCGGACTGGGCCAAGTTGTACGATTGATTTTTTTCCCTTCCTTTTTCTCGATTGATCCGACGAGTGTCTGATTGATTGACTGGCTGGATCTACCACATCTACTGAAATGGGATGAAATTCAGGTGAATGAAATGGATGGACGGATCAACGCACATGATCCCCCAATGTCCTGGTTCTTTTTCACGAGGGAAAAAAAAAAAAACAATCACCAAAAAAAAAAAAAGAAACATGAAATCGATTCGACTAATGAGAGGATCTTTCAAATGATAAAAAGCAAAAAGGGAGGAGGGATGGCAGGCAAATTGTGTAGCTTCCTGGACCTTTACCTATGTACCTGTACCAACCTACGTGGGGTGCTTGATTGCTCGATACCCCCGCTGGGAAATTTAGCATAGCGTGGCATGGCATAGCGTGGCATGGCATAGCAACGATGTGGGCAAGAACTTGGAATCCATGTACGGAGGATGTATCCGTTAAAACAAGTATTTGGCGACAAGTCAGCCTATATACAAGTATATGCTCCATCGTCCTGTGTCCGAGATCGTGGCTCCCTCCGCCGTACCCAATTCAAGCCTGTAACTGTCGCTTGACCTCGCTGCCAAAAAGATAAAAAAGTCCTTCCCTGAGGATCAGAATGTCGAGAGCACGAGAAATAGGCTCGGTATACCGCAGAGAAGTTCCTCGCTTGACTCGCCCGTCGCCAACGCCCTTTGAATTCTCATTCCGCCCTCAAAACAGATCCAGTAGTATATATGCAATTGTTCGTCTTCGTGTTTCAACATCGAGTCCCCCAAGCCCAAAACCGCCGCTGGGCATTTTGTTGTATATGTGTGGGATTGCTGTCATTTACCATCCTCAAGGATTTTGAGTTCTCCAAAGTTTCGTCGTATCACCCTCTATTTACAGATGACTCACGCACATTGTAGCAATGCCCACAGCCAGAACAGCCAGTGTCCCTGCGTGGGCAGCGCGGCGCGCATCGTTGGTGGCCAGAAGTGAGTCTGCCTCCTCCTGCTCTTTCTCGGGTGGCAAGGCATCCACGTAGGTCGTAGCGGATAATTCGGCGCCCTCGTCAAGCAAAACAGCGTGTTCTTCTTGCCCCATTGTCGGCTTCCCCATCTCCTTGTTGGACAACAACTCCATCATCTCCTTGCCCGCTTTCTTTAGCTTCTCCATCCACGGTGTGGTCTCTGGCCCTCCAGTATGTCTCTCATTCGTGTTCCCACTGCCTTCCTTCATGGTGTGACCCTCTGCCAAAGGAGCCTGGGTCGGCAAACTTCTCTTGCTCCTCACCTGGCCCACAGTGCCCGAAATGGTCCCCAACCCGATCGTGCCTGGACCAGCGCTAGTCCATTGATCCGGAATTGGCGCGAAAGTCTGGGTATACACAACAGGCACTTGCGTGAAAACACCCACAGCAACTTCGCTGTTGATGTAGTATGTCGTGATCGGACTAATTTGATTGATTGCCGTAGGAGCAGCGGCGGCGACGCCCTGGCCCGTTACTTGACGGACTTTTAGTTCAGGGACTGCGTTGGCGTCGAGACCGAGGGGGAGGATATGGTAATCATTTTCTTCTTTGACAGGAGACGGCGTAGGTGTAGGCACTGAGGATGCAGGTGAAGGTATAATGGAAAGTGGTGCGAGAGTTGCGATAGGAATCCAATGGACTGTGTCGAACTCAGAGGGCAGAGGCTGAATGTCGTCATTGTCGATGGGTGGGTGGATGTCCAAGGGAACGAAGGCACGGGTTGTGCTGTAGATGAGGGAAGAGAGAAGGAAGGTCGTGACAGTTTTGGTGGACATTGTGCCGCGAGAGGTGGTTAGATATGAGTGAACGACGTGCTGAAGGTGCAGTAATTCGCTATCGCTGTCTCGATTCACAGCATACCCGCCTTCTCGGGTAGTCGCTGGATTTGACGTCGTGTGTGTATCTTCGATAGGATTGCTGGTACAGAGTAGGAGGACAGGACAAAACAAAACCCCAAGTCAATGTGAGAGCAGAATTAGAATGTCGCGAGGCGGAAGCGAGTACTGGGTAGCTGACATCAAGTCAAAGCCTCCACGGTGGTCGGCGACGGCGCTGAGAGCGGTGTTGCAATGCGGACACTCAAGTCGGGGGCTAACAGCTGCTCACGGCCATGCATGTAACCAAACAAGAGGCGGTAGCTGCTGGTGAGGGACCCTGTGAGCAAGAAAGATGAGGAAAGGAAAGAGGCGTACAGGGCTCAAGCGAGGGCTGTACAGGACAAACAGGAACACAGAAGAGCGAGTGCTGACGCGTGGCAAGGAAGCCGGACGATGGAGAGAAGCAACAAGCGAGCAAGGTCGGAGGACGGGGAGGATTAGGGATTGGAGGCTTGGAAGAGTTATACCTAATTAGGAGGTGGAGCTCAGATTCGACCCAATCGGCTTCAAGTTCTCCTGGGATACAGCCGAACAGCCAATCGAACGTGGAGCCCATGTCGGGAGGTGAGATGAGGACTCCGGGCTATCAGACTAGTACGTATACGGATTAGTAATTGATATAAATTGGTATATTTAGTACTACAAATAGTGCGTTTGCAGTCTGTGGCAGAGCAATGCTTCAATTTGAATCAATAACGAGGTATACTGACATCGCTTCTGTATAGCGCAAATCAAGACACTCAACAGTGTTTATTCTGAATGGGCAGTTCAGCTGCAAGTCGGTGGCACAAATCCAACAGTCCATCCCATCGACCCCATGATCACCACCAGCAATGCCAATGCAGCCGCTACGCTGGCAACCCCATATATCCAACCATGTCTTCGACGAAGCCCTTGAATTTCCGCAACCCACGTGCTGACGGTCGTGAGGCACCCGCAAAACCCTTCCATAATTCCTTGAAGCACCGCACAAGCGTTTGACCCGGATGTGGCGATGGTGCTCGAGTGTTGCAAATCAAAGGCCATACCGAGCACCGCCGTTCCAAAAATATTGACTGCGAATGTGCCCAATGGAAAGGACGGTATAACAGCATTCATGTGCTTAGACGCGTAGAAGCGGAGAAGACAACCTGGGGGTGCAAACACCAGTGGGAACACCGCGCGAAACCTCCAGTGTATGTCATTCCCCGGCGGCCAAATCGCCAAAAAGACCGCTCCCAGCCAGCAGCCGAACCCGACAATGACGCCCAACGGATCCAAGACATTGCGACAGAATTTGAATGGTAATGTTGGCGTGACTGGTTGAAGTGCTAGAGCTAGTTGTGCGCCGACCATCAACCCTGCTAAAGAGATAGCTGGGTGGACAATCAGGATGGCTAAGAGAGCCAGGAATGAAAAGCCACCATTCCTGTGTGCGACAATCGGATCCACATGGTACGGTGCGGTCGGCGAGGGCGACTCGAGATCATTTGTCAAGGCCAAAAAGCAGTCGCGGAGGAAGGAGGAGAAGGACGTGAAGGAGCCACAGAAACCCGTAGCAAGGCCGATGTAGAGCGGAATGGTCTTTTTGACCTTGATATGGTCCAAAGCAGGTGCTCTGGGATCTCTTGATCCCCATTCCTCTCGAAACAGTTGGCGGTCTTCGGTGAGAAAGCCCAGGAAGAATGAGCCTCCAAGGTTGGCCCACAGGACTCGGCTCGCAAAGGGCGAATTCGGATACAGTGTAATGGCTTCGACCCCTAGGCGTGCCAACGTTCCAAGGAGCGAAAACAAGACCAACCAAGAAATAATGTATACCTCTGTCGCGACATATGAAGGGGTGCACTCTAGGCCCTTGGTCCCTTCCTCCCCCTCCTCCTCCTCCTCTTCCCCATCCTCTTGTTGTGCCTCCTCTAGACTCCTGCGACGCGCTCCACTTTCTTCATCAGTTGGCTTTTCCCCTGGTGCAATGGGTTCAGGTGCCGCTAGTTCCCCCAGTGCTTCACTGCGATCTGATGTATAGGGTCGACTGAGTCGACGTTCCACGTCTTCTAGCGATGGGCGTCTAGGGTCCTCTGGTTGGGCCGGGGGCGGCACAGCCATCTCAGTCAACTCCTCCTCATCACCGCCTCTTCTCTGCCTCTCCCCAGTCCTTCCCACATAGTGATTGTGCATTGTCGCCACCCCGGGTAGTTCTTGGAGCTTTCTCGCACCGTTCGACGGGCTATCTCCAGTAGAGGAACCCCGAAATTGATGGTATCGACTCCGATCTGACTCGGTCACGGAAGAATTGAGGCGTGAGGCGGTCGCTGGCACTTCGAGACCATCTGCATCAATAGCAGGATCATGACAGGGGCGGATTGGAGAAGAATGGGAGAGTTATCACGTCCATGCCCTTCCCAAGGGTCCATAAGTACTCATAATTAGAGAAGGAAAAGGCCCAATGTTTGAGTGCAGCGGAGTAACTGCGGATTCGAGAGCAAATTGCCGTCCGAACCGGTGAGGGAGAGCGCCGATTAAGCCTCCCATTGATACATAGATATGTACCGTGACGCGCTGTAACAAAAGTCTACGCCCGCATCCGTCTCCTACCAATTGGTTACCAGAGCTTCATTCTGTCTTCAGGCACATATGAGTGGGTTGACCAAACGTCTGGGACTCTTAACTTCTCAACAACTTGAGCTTGGACTGAAGGGCGTGTCCGCTAACACGAAGACGCCGCGGGCGCTGGGCATCGGAATCCGCAGTCCAACATTGCAGAGCCAGAGCGCATATGCGCCCCTTGATGCCCCTCTTCCCTGCCACTCCCCCCCCCCCACCATTCCTCATTCCTTGTGCAGCTATCAAGCTGTCCTTTGGTTCGGGACTGTGGCGGGTGCTTCGAAATGAGACTTGTGCAATCTAGAGATTCATAGTCAAAAGGACCCACGGCCATTGTTGCATCCTGCTCCAAATTCTACATACGAGTACAGTTGCATCCGTACTTTCTCTGCTTCCGCGTCTATCCTACTTCTATCCTCTTGTCGCATCTGCCTTCTCTTCATAGATATGGCCTCGTCTCTACCTCCCAATGTCCATCTCTCAAAACACCCTTGTCTTCGCGCAAAGCTCAGCCAGCTGAGATCCAAGGGCACCAACGCTCGCGAAACAAAGACCCTTGTCCATGAGATTGCCTTGTTGCTGGGGGCTGAGGCGCTGGCCCAACTCGACGTCGATCCGGATGGAACAGTGAGTCCCGTGTTTCTGTGTCCTTGGGAGCATTCGCGCTGATCGGGATCCAGACTGACCCATGCTTTGATGTAGGATGAAACCCCCATTGGATATGAGTATCCTTACGAGACCATCGACTGCTCGAAGCTCACCGTTGTCCCCATCCTGAGAAGCGGACTCGGTATGGTTGAAGGTATGCTACTTGATCTCCAGGAAATGTCGCCTTGGGGACTGATGCATAGCGCAGCAATCCAAACTCTTCTGCCTGATTCCGTTTCGGTCCACCATCTCGGCCTGTTCCGCGAAAAGATGACTCTGCAACCTGTTGAATACTATAACAACCTCCCCCAATCCCCGGGATCGGTAGCGAGGCTCGCTATTGTCGTCGACCCCGTGTGCGCGACAGGTGCGACAGCATGCGCCGCTATCCAAATCCTAAAGGATTGGGGTGTCGAAAAGATCATCTTCTTGTGCGTTTTGGGCGCCCTCCCAGGTATAGCAAGAGCCGCCGCGGAATGGCCAGAGGGCACACAGGTATGGGCAGGCGGTATGGACGATGGCCTGACTGATAAAGGCATGATTAAGCCGGGCCTGGGTGACGTTGGTGATCGTCTTTTCCTGACTATAGGAAAATGACATGTAAGGGCCCAGATTTCCCTCCCTTTGGAGCTGATGAAATTGCTGGCCTAGGAGGAGGTTCGTTTTTCCTGGATTTATCGGGTACCTTTGGTAGTCGTTGTATTGTGAGTCTGCACCCTCTCTTGAATGTTTGCGGGCAAATGAACGACCATCTTGTCACCTAAAGCAAATGAGTGCTTGATGTCCAAACACTCGTTCCACTGTGCCTTCTTGTTTCAGAAGCCCTCCAAGCCATCTTTTTGCACCATCGACCTCCTTCGCTCCAAATTTCACCAAGATGAAGCCTCTTGTATATGCTGCGGTCCACAAGATACCATCTTGCTTCTCGCGTTGTCTCGCTTGCTCAGCCTGGTCGACTCCATTCGCTTGGGTTATGCGTTCGTTCGCCGCCCAATCCTTAGCTCCAATGCGAGGTTGACTTGTAAACTCTTGCGTGAAGAACTCTCCGAGTTTCTTGAAGACAGGACCATAGATGATCAGAGTCCCAAAAATGCCCATGTTGTTAGACTTGTCGAATAGCCCTGTGCTTCCAAGTCCGTCCTCGTGGAGCATTAGTGCGTCGCGAAGCAGCAGTCTCCCTTTCGACCGCTCGTCGAATTCTCTGACCTCATTCCTGCCTTTCCAACTCCATAGCGTCCAACTCTCGCCCCTCGCGCGGCGGCCTTCACTCACCCAGTCAAGCACCAACAAACTGCTGGTGGCATCTGGTTGCACATAGAAAGTCTGTTTCTGTTCGTAGACACTCTCCGCGAACGGCTGAGTCGGATCTGGCAGATAGCACAGAGAGGCTTGGGATCCAATCCTGACGTCCAGTTGTTGTCTGCTAACGACCGACCTCTGAGGAGATTTGAAGATCTTTGTACTGCCTTGCGTGACGAGAACTAGCCTGGTGGCATCCTGCAATTCGACTCTCAGACTGATCTGGTCTCCTCCCACCAATCCGCCTCCATAGGTGAGAAAAAAGGCGACAGTCACGTGCTTTTCCTCGCTCGAGTGGTGAGGGTCCGGAGCAATGAGTTTGAGAGGGTATTGGTATGTACATCTCTGGAGAACTTGCCTCTCAGGTGGGAGGAGGGCCAGAAGGATTTCGCCGCTTCCTGCTCTGGAGGACGAGGCCGCGAACGGCGAAATTGGCAGAGACATACCTCGCATTCGCACACGCGACAAGCAAGAGAAGAAATGATCAGCCCGTCAAGTCTATCATTCTGTGTGACTGCTTTGGATACCGATCGACTTCAGGATTTGACAGAATAAGGGAGCCAATAGCTCCAAGCCCGAATCTCCCGTTGCAGGCGGTTGTTGAGATCAGGCTGCGTCTTCCAGATCAAGGATACAAAATCTGCTGGTGCAACCCACTGGCAGGCTGGTGTAAAGAGAGCTATGGGGGGATGGCATGGTGGGGTTCCATGTGTCTCCCTGAGGATGCCTGTATGCGGGCTCCCAATTTCTTGCATTGATGGGCATTGTATCGCTACCCATTACCCATCTAGGTACAAGTAGGTAGGTAATTAGGCTAGGGAGACTTAACTAAGTCGCGGCCCACTCAGCCCACTAGTGGGCCGCCGGGCCTGGGTACCTCGTACAGCCTGCCTAAATCTTCCCTCTGCCGCCTACCGCCACCTCTGCACCACTCCACTTCAAGCCTTCCTGCGCGTCACGCGTTTTCCCTACTTGTCACTTGTCGTGGGAGCTTTACCGGGTAACCAGTTCAATATCCCATTGCGCTTGAGTCGCAACCTGCGCATTTGCGCCCGTCTACTCGTTCGTCGGCGTGACCTCCAACCCATCCAAAGGCATCCCCTCTTTAGCCCGCCATTGGACTCGGAACCTATTCTCCTTTCCGAAACCCTGGAACGTGTTCATCCACCCCTCCAGTAGGACATCATGGAGCTCACCGCGAGCGCACAGAATAGCACACCACAAGCCACTCACAGTTCAGGCAGAGTACTGCGCAGACGCGCCGTCAAGTTGCACGAACATCGCGACAGCAGTATTCTCTCAAACGGTACCGGTAAAAGGAAACGAGTATCTGAAGCAACCAACGGTCAAAAGGAGGACGAAGACAGTGAGCCCGAAGAAGATGAAGAAGACGAGGATGAGGATGAAGAAGATGAAGGCGAGTCAGACGAGGAAGAACTGAAAACACGACGACGACGACGACCGCAGAGAGCAAAACAAGCGACTGCAAAACCAGCCACCAAGCGCACAAAGACAACCTCTAGACCGAGCACAACTCTCGCCATTCGCTCTGCTAATATTCAGAACAGACCTACATCAAAGGCATCAAAATCAAGCACAGCCCGCGCTCGACCCAGCCAAGCGCATCAGCAAGGACTTTACGCCGAAGTATTCGGGAGGGGCCAGTCGCCCGAAGACGCCGCCTCTTGGTGGTTTGAAGAAGTACAAAAGGACAACGTCAAAGCTCTGCAAGACCTGGTCAACTTCATCTTCAAGTGCATCGGCTGTAACTCCGAAGTCGACCAACAGGATATTGAAGACCTCGACTCGGTTCCTAGCAAGCTCGGCGATGTTATTCAGGAATATGAGCAGCAAAAGCCTCCAGATTACCCACTTATCTCAAAACAGAAACAGTATGCAGGGTTTCAGGACGTGTTGGAGGAATTCTTCGGGGCCATCATCAAGGTACTGCATACGTCCTCCGCTTTCTATGATCAACGCGAAATATATGACAACATCCACAACTGGGTGGCGACCATGTCAGGTGCGAACTACAAGTCCTTCAGACACACTGCGACGATCATCTCCTTGGCCATGAGTACTGCTCTCTGCGAAGTGGCAGAGGAGTTGCAGGCAACCATGGCGACATTGAAGGCCCAGCTTAATGCCGAAAAGAAAAAGAAGAACCCCAACAAAGGCCGAGTCAAGGCCATTGAAAAGAATTATAGAGCTACCGAGGATAAGCTTGAGGTTATCGACACTCAATTGCGAGACGCCTTTGATACCGTCTACGTCCATAGGTACCGAGATGTTGAGGAACGCATTCGCACTCTCTGTGTTGCTGCGCTCGGCAAATGGATGGTTCTCTACCGCAAAATGTACCTCGACGGTGAATTCCTTCGATATCTGGGCTGGGTACTGAACGATACAAGTGCCCATACTAGAATAGAGGACATCAAGCAACTGAAGAAGTTGTACAGCAACAAGAACAACATTGCCGCTCTCAGAGCATTCACTGATCGGTATCGGTCGAGGCTGGTGGAGATGGGCGCGAGGGATGCAGATATCAGCGTAAGGGCCGAGACAATTGAGCTGCTCGATAGACTCCGAGATGCGGACTTATTGGAACCTGATGATATCGATACCATTGGACGATTGATCTTTGACAGTGAACTACGGATCAGGAAAGCGGTTGCCAAGTTCTTTGTCTCCAATATCGAAGATCTCTATAAGGCCACGATTGAGGACTTTGAAGAAACTCAGTATGATGCCGCGTTCCCAGATGTGGGAGACGTGAAAGACTTTATGGCTCCCACGAAGTCTTGGATCAAGTTCAAATGTTTGGGGTCAGTCCTTGCTGGGTACAACAATGATGAAGAATCACTGGACGGAACGGCTGCTCAATCTTTGCCTATGAACTCGATTTCAGACTCCTGCTATACGCTGGCTACCCAGTCAATCTTCCCTCATATGCCAGAGTTGCACAAATGGGAAGAGTTGGCAGGTTATCTCCTCTTCGACCACTCTTCAATCCCATCAGCGGGCGATGATGATGACGTCGACCTCAACATTCAGCAAGCCTATAAGCTGAGTGCGGGTGAAGATGCCATCATTTTGGACGTTCTGTATGCAGCGGTCAAATCATATCTGCAGTCCATATTGAGAACCAACGCCACGAAAGATCAAATCCAAGAGAAACAAGAATCGGCAGCGCAGAATCTCACCACTCTCCTTCCTCAATTATTAAACAAATTTGGCAGCACACCACGGGCTGCGTCATCCATTCTCCGCATCGAACAGCTGTTAGATATCGGATTGATCAACGAGCTACAGAGCGGCGAAGCCAGCTACGCCGCAATCCTTGATGACATCACCAAACAATTCACGTCGCACTCAGACAAACAAGTGCTCGCAGCGGCCAGTGCAGCATTGAGGAATGCTCGAAGCTACGAACCGAGCAAAGAGGCCGCAAATGCGAAGGTACAGGAGATCTGGAGTGAATCCGTCGCAACGCTGGCAAATCTCCTCCGAGACAAGGCTGTCGGGACACGGGGAACGCTTGACAGACCTTCGCTTGCTGAGGTCGTGAACACAGTCATTCGTCTGGCCGAGCTCGCAGGTGTGCATGACTGCAGCCATGTCATTGAATGCAGATTGAGCACTGGATCGTCAAGGAAGGGAAAGGACAAGACCGGCAGTCAGAAAACTCTCCTCAGCCTGTTATTACAGCTCTTACACCGGGGCGAGCCAGACGAGGATACCACGCCTGCCTTTGCGGAGCTGGAGGATCAATTATGCGGTGCCCTCATCGAGCTCTTCTCGCGTTATTTTCGCTGGAAAATGTTCGGATTGAAAAAGGCAATCAACGCCAACGATGAGGCGCAGTTGTCGACTACATCCTTGACAGAGTTTGCGAATACGCGGACAGTGTTTGTGGATAGCATCGCTCCAGTGATTCGAATGCGCAAGCCTCTTGACATGGTGCGGTATCAAGCCATCCTGAATGTGTTGGAACTATTCGCCCTCTTCACCACAATAAGAAACATGAGGCCGGAGAAAGGTGACTTGGATGATGACATAGAGGAGAATCTGCGGGGTCTCATCACGTATGTCCCAGAGGAGATCGTCAAGGAAGTCATGATCACGCATGAAAAGATGGAGCAGTCTTTTGCGAAGCAGACGCATCGGAAGATCGAGTCCATCAGTGACAAACGAAGGGCAAAAGGTTCAACCGGCAGGGACGAGGAAGATGAAGACGATATCGAGAAACCACCTGAAGATTCGGACGATGAACGGGACGACTTAGATGATGATGAAGAAGAAGACGAGGGTGACGAGGATGACGACGAGGTAAAGAAAAGCAAGAACGCAAAGAAACAAGCGGCCCTCCTGGCAGAACAGAAGCTGTGCGAGTTGACGAGCAAAATCATCTTCATCCTCGTGGGTGGGGCGATCAGAGATGAAACGGCCGTGAGGGAACGGTTAATGCTGAATCGTACAAAGCTGGGCAAGAATTACTCTGTGTTGGTGGGATATCTGGATGAGAAGAAAAAGTCAGCGAAGAGGGCAGGTGGGAAGAACCTGGCAGGAAAGGAGAAAAATAGCAAGAAAGGGGGTAAGGAGACCGAGAAAGCAGGCAAAAAGCTTGTCTCGGAAGAAATGGTGCCGGAGGACGATGATATCGAAGATTCCCAGGAGGATCAGGAAGAGGCGCAACAACAGCACGACTTACAGGAAGACGAGATTGAGGATCATGGGAGTGAAAATGACGAGCATGACGCCTGGAAAGAAAAGGGAGATCAAGGAGAAAACGAGGACGACGACGAGATCATGGGTGATTGATGGGATGGAAGGGACTCTCTCTCTCTCTCTCTCTCTTTTGCTACGATTCGGATTCGGAATTTACTATTGCCCAAAGTACCTAGCTGTGTGTTCCAGAGCGAGTTGGGAAATTCATTCCCGGGGGAAGATGATGATATCGATCGGGTTTAGAATCCAGTCCAACTGTGTACCATACGCGATAGCACCAATAGTGTCAGTTCACATCTACATATGTGCTCATATCGTGCTTCTCTCCTGGAAAATTCACATGCTACGACTACATAGACACCCCGTGGTCCAGGTACTTTAGGTGCCGTGAACTGGGTTTCTACAGGGTTCAACGTCCTTTGCACTGATTCTCATATTTTGTATTCTCTTTTCTACGCCTTACACAACCATCGATCGGCCTGTCTGTCCCGTTCGTCTGGCTGTCTGACGAGGTTTCTCTCTCCCATTGACATCGCCAGAGAGTCTGCCTAGGTCTTCCGGCTTGTTGTCCTCTGGTCAGATTGGCCGCGACTTCTTCATGATGCATGCGCCTCAACATTTCCCGGATTTTTTTTGCACGGTCGGTTGGTCGAAAGACCCTGCACCGCTGCAATATGTAATTTTCCCAGTAATACTAGTACAGCATGTGAAGCGCCATATGCAAAAAAAGTCTTTTCGTCAATGCCTGCTTTTCGGTGCGATACTGACGTTCCATAATTCCTTGTGCTACTGCAAGTTTTTCTCCGTCGATTGTCCATCCAATGCTTCAGATGCTGTACCCTGTCGAAGTCTAGCAGGGTAAGCTCCTCCCTCTGAGGCTCAAAGTTGACCCCAGGCTTCTCCCAGCGGGGGCGACTCTACTCGGCCTTGCCACGACTCTTTGGCCTTGCACCACTCTTGACCCTCCTTGCCTCAGGTCGTTGAATGTGATGGCTCGGGATCCATTCCTCGTTGTATGCTTTGCCGCTCGAGACAGCCGGGCCATCGGAGTCCGACGTAACACCACTATCAACCTTCTTCGCCATGTCGCTTCTCTTGCCGCCCTTAACGGGCTTGCGCTTCTTGGGAAAGTAAGGGACAATCCAGATGGTATAGAAGAAGTAACCGACTCCAACAGCGCACGCGAGCAGGAAGAAGTACAGGAAGAGACTGGGCCATGTCATTAGTCAAGGCGGATGACAACGGTCAATGGGAAAAGGGGGTTATACTCACAGCTGAGGATCAAAGATGCTCGCGTCTGGCTCGACAACGGTGACAGTGCCATTGAACGCCTGCAGAGTGTAGAACGCATTCTGCGAACTAATGACGGCAGCCAAGTTGAGTCTCAGATCTTGTGGGTGAAGGTTCGTCTGGAAACGGTAGGGCAGTGTCTGCTTTTCGCCCGGCGGGATCTCGACAGCATATTGGGCCGTAGTGAGGTTTCGAACAATGCGAGGATTCGTGCCATCGAATGTCCATAGACTCCCCCCGACGAATTGAACCGTGACCGGCTCAGGCTCTTCGTTTAGAAAAGCGAGACGTGATTCGTAAGGTTTGCCGTTCGTGATCTTGATGCCGAAGATTTCCGCGTCAGGAAAGGTTGCTTCGACCGAGACGGCAAGGGCGGGAGATTGAGAGGGATTTTCGATCTCTTCTTCCACCTCCTAAGCACCACGTGTTAGCAGGTTCAATGGATAGTGGGGATGGCGCAGGTCGGTAGCTCACCGCATCAGCTTGGGCAAAGATGCCTGTGGCCTGAAAGCCAAAGAGGAGGAGAGCGAGATCCAAAAAGCGACCCATTGTAGCGAAGTGCAGAGACAGTCCAAGGGGGGAAGGGAGAGGTGGTTGCAGAAGTGGCCAGTAGGCTAAGAAAAGAGACAGAGTTGTATTTTTGCCATTGGGCTCAATCGGGGCAAGGTGAGCTTGATCCTCTAGCCCTCGTAGCCCTCGTCGCCCTCTAGCGGCGGCGGCTAGGCGCCAGTTGGATAGTCGTCTAGCCGCCACACTAACCATACTAGCCATCTTGGTCATGTAAGCGCCTGCTCACGCGCCAAAAGCACCTGCTGCAGCCTGCGGCAGCCTGCGGGCCACTCAGCGCCCATACCGCCTTCTTGGGGCTAGTAGGCGGCCCACTGATACCCACCGATGGCCACCAACGCGTCGCCCCCAGGAAAAAAAAGGTCGCCATGCACCTGTAGTCTGTACTTTGACGTGCGCTTCGCTGCATTTGACCATGCAGGCTCTCTGTCTCGCATTCACCGCCAACAAGCATAGCAACACAAAATCGCACGACTCAAATCTCCCTCGTCACGCTGTCCTTTCCTCTCCTCCCTCGTCTCTATTGCGGTCACATTTTCACCTTATAAATACCCAGCCATTTTGATCCGAAACGTCTTTGACTCTCACGCAAATGCCCGACATGGCGCGTTACGATCCGTTTTCACCTACTTTCGACCATCCTCTACTTAATTCCAGCCCAGATTACAGTTCGCGAAATGGTTCCTTGAGGTCGAGTCGTCCCATCGGCGACATGAGCGCTGTCACAAACCAGATGTCCTTTCGCGAACGCAATAAACGCCTCAGGAGCCTTGAAGAGGAGAAGAATCAGTTGATCGAGGTATATATGCCATATTGTTAGTGGTAGCCACAGCAGGCTAATGACAAATCTTAGGAACTGTTGTACCAGCTCGACAGCACCCAGAATCAGCTTGATCAACTACAGTTCGAGAACAGCAGAGAAGCCCGATATAACAGAGAGGGTCATCAGCGAGAAGCCGCTCTACACGAGCAAATGGTTCAGGTCAAGGCAATCATGGTACGGCTTCAGAGTGTCAATCTCATGCACGCTAGCAGCTAACTCCTCTAGGACCGAAATCCCTTCATCACGATCCTCCTCGATGGCGATAGTATGATTTTCGCAAAAGAGTTATTGTCCAAAGGTGAAAAGGGTGGTAAAGAGGCGGCAAATTTGATTTTCGATGCTGCGACGGCCTTTGCTGCAGAGCATCTCCACCATCTCGACTCTCCCAAGATCCTCACCCGAATTTATGCCAACATTAAAACATTGTCCGACACCTTGACCAAACTCAAAATCATCGACCGTCCGTCGTTGTTTGACGACTTCGTACGTGGCCTGAACAGCACTCAACTGTCCTTTGATTTTGTCGATGCCGGAACCCGACCCGATAGCACGAAAGAGAAGATCTTTGATCAGTTCCGGACCAACCTCTATGATTGCCATTGTCACCAAGTCATTCTTGGATGTTCTAGTGACGGCCGTTATGCAAAACTGCTTGAGGACACGATAAAAGATACCACGATACTGAATCACATCACTTTGCTTGAAGGTGTACCATTTGAGAAGGAAATTGCCACCTTGAAGGACAATTTCAAGACGGCAAAATTTGACAATGTGTTCTGCGTGACGAAGCTGGTAGCCCCATCTGGTACGTCCAAGGGGCCACTACAAGCAGTCACCGCCACCTTGCCCGCGCTGTCGCGTGTCGAGTCAAATGGCACGAATGGGTCGGTCTCAGGTTCAAGTACGCCTGCCCTGACCTGGGCCACGTTGACCGCGCAACCCTCAGGGTCGACCTCGAAAGCGCCCAGCACCACCCGGACGTCGACACCAACTTCAATGAAGAGCCCCGAGGCTGTTGTTGCGAAGCCGGTGAGCAAGACGATCGAGAGAAACCGCCATGGGCAACGCATCGACAAAATCGACTCCAGCATCCCGAATCACGAAATCCAACGCATCAAGAAACTCAAACTCTGCAATATTTTCTACCTCCAGGGCGCATCATATTGCACGAGTAACAATTGTTCTCATTCGCACACTTACCCTCTTTCAAAGGGCGAACGTAATGTGTTGAGAGAGGTGGCCCGCATGACTCCTTGTTACTACAAGCTGGATTGTACTGACCCCGAGTGCATCTACGGGCACCGATGTCCGCAGAATAAGCCAGACGAGCCAGACTGCTGGTATGGTGAGGATTGTCGGTTTTTCGGATGGGGGCATGGGATCGATACCAGGGTGGTTAAGACGACCAAAGTTTGAACCGACTACAAGTTGGTGGGGGTGGCGGCGGCGATGGCACTTTATTCACGACTCTGGTCTCTTATCTCTCGGTGGATGCTTCGCATCAATGGCGATGTGCAATTGTCTCAATTTAACCCCTTTTTATTTTATCCTTTCCATGGTCTTAGAGAGCAGAAGCCTTCCACAAGGCGGTCAGCATCAGCAGTATCTGGAATGTGATTCGAATCGGCATCATTTTTCCCCGGCAAAGGTCTTGTCTTGCAAGGGGTGGCAATTCCGAGATTCTCTCCCATGGATCCTAGGTACATTTCGGTCCGGAAGAGTCACTCAGGGGGTAAGGAAGGAGGACGGCGCGGGGCGATAATATGTACTCATATGAAACGGTTTCTTCGGGCCAGAAGGGATAGGCTCTTGAGGGAAAGGGAGATAAAGAGACCTTCAACCCAAAAGGAGGGAGCTGGGGCTGGAGCTGGAGTTGAGCTTGGTTTCGGCTTGAGTCATGAGATACCCGCATCTATCCATCCATCCCTCCATCCATTCCGTTGCTCTGCTTGCGATGCCATGAGTCGATTCCTCCATTACAGCCGATACATGTCCATCTACCATCCATCCATTCATTCATCCAGCAAGCCAGCCAGCCAGCCAGCCAGCCAGCCAGCCAGCCAGAAGTGTGTGCGTGCCCTCTTGTTCTCCCCTTTGCGCCCCAAGTCACACATTTCCGAGTAAGCAGTTCCAATGTTCACTCACAGCTCAGCCCAACTGTCAGTCCGGTGTCCATCACGCGCTCCTCTTCCCTCTTCTTTCATTTTTCTGTCATTTTCTCTCTTTGTTGTCCACAGACCCTCTCCTCCATTCCAAAACCACATCCGGGGCATCACGCCAGCATTGAGCATTAGGAAGCTGGGAAGCCAATTCTCAGGTTTGGCTCTCTTCCCTATGATTCCCGTCGCTGTTCAAGACAAGGGCCGTTCCCGTATCAATCACGTTCGGTCAAGATTGAGAAGGACAGTTTTTGTTTCTCCCCCTCTTTTCCTTGGAAACGAGAGTCCCAAAGGGTGAGGGGATCCTCTGTGTTGTACAGAAACCCCCTTAGACAGCTGTCAGAGGGTATAGAGTAGTGTTGTAGTAATCAAGGCTGAGCCTTATGGAGAAGGAGAGGAGGTTCTCGGCAAATCGTAATGAGTCGTAGTAGTAGTAGTAGCCATGGTTGGATAATCAGGAAGGGATGCGCAAAGTTAGCGGCGTCGGTCCATCTGTCTTTCATCTTCCATCTTGTTCTCGTCCTCGCCCTCGCCCTCGCCGTCGATGCCGTGGCCCACTCCCGATCACGGAATCCAGACATCGTCTCCATTTTCATCTCCAGCAGCCAGCACAACGGCATTCCCTGCCTCCAGTGCATTCTCTAATTCCTTTGTTGTCAGATCCCGCTTCACGAACCCGACCCTCAAGCCTTGGATTTCCTGCACCCGCAGAAGTTGACGACCTTCGGCTTTCTCGTGGACAGACAATGCCCCCCGGAGTCGAGCCCCAAATGGCCCGTTCAGAACTACAACTTTATTCATGACCACGGATGAAGCAAATCGCGGTGTTTGCTTCAAGTAGACACGGGGCAGCCTGTATCTTTCAGCCGTCTCGACCCAGACTCGGCCCTCTATGAGATCCATGAGATCATCCAGCTGGCCCCAAGCTTCCATCTGTGAGCCATCCGGTTCCTGGAAACGCAAAAAAGTAGCATCCTCAAATGGATATCTCAACGTTCTGGTGGCTGGAGCCAACACTAGTTCATTTACAGCGGAAAACAGTGGGTCTGTTACGAGTCCTCGTCTTAATGTAAAGAACGAGAGCCGCTGCAGGTTTTGAAGTCTGCCCTTAGCGATAGATGATTGAGCAATGGAAGCGAGATCTCGAAGATTGTTGGCCGCAATGGGATTTTGTAAGGGGGGTCTAGCATAGGAGAGGCGGCGGGTACTAGATTCGATGGTGTTGATGAGTATCGTACATCCCATTGCATCGTTCCTGGGCCTGACGTTTGTGTCCTCTGGGAATTCGACAGGGCTCGTATTAAAAAGCTCTCCACACAGTCTGGAAACCCGGAGACGCAGGTTGGATAACGAGGGCATTCTCTCTCTCAATGAACGACAGAAGCAGGGGTGCACCAAGGGTGGCAAGCATTGCTGAAAATCGGCATCACCAGCGTCGAGTTCCAAATGCTTCAGCGACTTCGGCAACGCTTGCAGGATCTCTGGAATTGTACTCTCCACTGCCTTGCACAATGGCAGGCGCACTCTTGCACGCGCTGAGGCTACCAAACTGAAACTCTCCAGTCGTACCATGGCCTGTACGATCTGAGGTATGGGCTGTATGACTTTCTTCAGACTGGCTGCCGAACAGACATCGAGCAATCTGTCAGGATTGCGGTAAGGCCATTCCGTGTAGGAAATGCGGATGCTAAGGGAGCGAGTGAATGCTTGACCGGCAGACGAGGATTCCACAAACTTTGCGATCTGAGCCCTTGTCAATGATATATCGGTATAGAGCAACTCATAGCCTATGTCACGCCAGAGCCTGCAGACAGTGAACGTCTTGAGGAGGAAGGGTTGAGGCCGAGACACATCGAGATCTGTTTTGACGTGAAGCAACACTTTCCGCACCAGTTCCGCAGGAAAGTTGTCGGCCATGACACTGCGCGGCGGCAAGACAATGGAAAGGGAGTGTGGGTATACAATGTCAACACGCCGTGATGTAAAGCCGCGCGGAGAGAGAGGGAGGGATGGAGGGAGAAAATAAGCCGAAGGGGTTTGAGCAAACCCAGGCAAATAGGTGGAAGTGAGAAAAGTGAACGAGCACCTTTCCGTGATTGCTTTGCCCACCGTGTGAAGCCTACCAAGCGCAGCCCAGTAGTTTCAGGATTGTACCGCGCCTCGATGGCTAAAGACGTCTCTTCTGTTCAGTATCGTCCTGGAAAGCACCCTGCACAGGTGAGTGTCCGTGACAGCCTCCCATGTATTGTCAACAAGTTTCCGTCTCTTGAAAAGCCGTTTCCATTCCCGGCGTCGATCAACAGTGTCGTTCGGCAAGCACCGAGGCAAGGCCTGTATTGGCGCGACGAGTTTGTTATGAGACAGGTTGCGTGCATATTCTAGGCGGGCTTCGACCATCCGAAGAAAAGCTAAGTTGGACAACACGGAATCTCAGAAAGGATAAGTAGAAATGAAGCTGGAGCGGTAATCCACTACTGCGGGGGTGGTGCTACTCAGTACCCAGTACAGGCTCGCCCAGTGCTCGTACCTATCGGGTCCGCGAGTGCCGAATCGCTTCGGGCGCTTCGACGTTTTACCACCGCTAATGGGGGCTGGTGGGCTAGTCACTAGGCCACTAGTTCTTAGCTAGGCCTTGCGGATACTTAAGGAGCCCCATGTCGAATTTCGATGCAGGGGGGGGGGGGGGGGGGGCTACGTGGCCTTGTGGGTAAGCAAAACACACTTCAAGTACGAGGTAGACTTCCGGACGAGGCATTTTTCGAGAGGCTTGCCTACGGCGGTGCCTACTCCATGATCATTACCATCATTACCATTATTACTGTATGTAGGTATATAAAAGTTTTATGGTGTTTGGGGAGTTTCTATGGGTCAAACTTGCCATCTTCAAAGGCCTTCTGCTCCCTTTCAATCTCGAGCATGACCCACACATAAGAAACAGCTGCCCAGATGGCGATATAAGAGAAAAGAACACCCAGCGAGAGTCCGAATGCGTAGTGGAATTCCAAGGTCCAGATGACGGCCGACACGCAGCCGATGTACGTACACACGCCCAGTAGCCACCACCAGGTCAGGTAGCGGAACATGAGTCGAAAGGCCTTGTTATTCTCGTAGCGGTCGTTGTAGCGGACGCGGAATTCGCGGTCCTGCAGGCCGTCGACGGCGATGAAGTCTTCGGCGGCGTAGTAAATGAACGGACGCAGCTTGGTGCCGCGAGGCTGCGAGTTGATCCCAATGGGAATCTTGATGGGGAGGATCTCGGTGATGAGCATCAGGATGCCCAGGAATCCCATGATGAAGGTCGGCGAGTAGAGGTAGAGATGGGGGAGCACCAGAGAGCTGCCGACGACAAAGGGGATCAGGGCCAGGATCATGGCGACCCCGTACACCCACGACGTGGCATCCAGCTCCCACTTGTTCCTTGACAACAGAGGGGCGCAGTCTTCGGTGTGCACGAACAGTCTGTACACCCGTGCAATCAAGATCCAAAGCTCGCCGGCGCCAAACGAGATGATGGCGTAGCCAAGAATGTTTTCGTCGTATTCAGGTTTGAGGATCGGACACTCCCGTGGAGTGCTGTTGAATTGCTCGCGGCAGTCTCTCTCCCAGCGGTGTTTGCGGGAGTTGTACCATGTGTAGTAGATGATGCATGGGACGATGATGTCGAAGAGTAAAATGGCCGGCAGTCCGAGCGTGATGCCCAGGTGCTGCATTGGGTGGGCTTCTTTTTGCATCATCTTCGTCTCTTTGCGCTTCAGGCGCGGGAGTGTGCGAGTGGATGAGGCATATGTGGTGGCTCTGTTTTCGAGCCCGGGTCGTGTTGCTCTCGCGGTCGACTCGTTGTCGGCATTGGGTGAGGGTTCAGAGTCGGGTTTTTCGTTCAGCTCATCACCGGGCAGCCCCAATGTCGTGCCGCTGTCGGGAGTGTCGCTCGAATCCTGTTGCTGTTCCTGGTCTTGTTGTCCCAGGATTTCTTTCTCCGGATCAACCACCGGCACCCCGTCACTGTTGTCCCGCCAGCTCACTCCTGTGACAGGCCGAGTTTCTGGCTCGTCGTTCTCCATCTTCAACTCGTATTTCTTTTCGCTTTTGTACTTTCACCAATTTCGAATGTCTCCACCTTCAACAGCAACCTTATGGTACTCTCCCGATCCTCGAAGAGACAGAATGCACATAGGAAATTAGTAGGGGGGCACGCTCATTTAAGACAGCATATCTCCTTAAAAGGGGGAGCGGAAACGGAGCGTTGACTCAGCCAACAGCATTATATAAGTCATGGGATTTGCGGCAGAAAATTTGAGCCTTTGGCGCGGAAGATCGGGCCCATGATCCACCTCAGACGCTTTCTATTCGCGCTCTTGGACACTGGCGAACGATGCCCCTGCAGATCTGCGCGCCGGGGCTTCCGCTTCAAGCCTCGATGCCCTCTGGGTGCCCTTCTTCTGCCGGCAGCTAGTCCGCGGCAACGTCATTGTTTACCTGTTCGAGGCAGTCGAACTCCAGTCCGGCTTTGAATTCAGCCACGCTTCAAAGTATTAGGCGCTGCTCCTGACTCAGCAGTCGGCGGAGGAAGCGATCGAGGCTGGAAAAGGAATCTGTGGAATAGGCCGTCGGTGGGCTTGATGATATATATCTGGTCCGGGAGAGGAGCAGGACCTGTCTTTTGGTCTGCACAGACAGTGAACAATTGAACCTCATACCGAGTACACGTCTGGAAAACACTGTGCACCGCAGTACGGAGTAATGGGTCTTGGTCCCTTCCACTGGCACCACCGTGCACATATGTACTCCGTGTTGCGTTTGACGCTATGAGTCAAGGGGACGAGTTAACAGATTGACGAGTCTGCTGTTGGCCGGTTCGCAGAGCATGAGGGCCTTGGTAAGGCTTTCATCAGCCTCTTGGGAGCTCTGGTGGAAAAATATGGAACCCGTTTCAGGACCAAAGCCCAACGAATGATGAGTAGAGTGTTAATAGCTAAGAGGCCGTGGCTGTTTTAGGCGTGTCGGACAACCAACCGCCTCCGTGCCGCTACGTCATCCTCATCGGCCTCGTTTCGGTCAATTCTTCGACAGCGGTATTTTTACAGAGCACCAACAATCAGGCAGGTATGTACCCAGTACCAAGGGTCCAAGGTACCAAGGCCCTGTAAATATGCATTCACCAATCCATGAACGTGGCTACATTACAGAATATTGTCCGTTGAAATTCTCTGCTGCCTCACAAGGCTGTGATCACGTCCATCAGCAACGATCGCCTTAGTTTCAGGGTCCTACCGTATCTGGCATAAACTGAATGTGCGCTTCTATCAAGTGGCTGCTGTTATGGCTACTGTTATCCTCTGGCTCTCCTTGTAGTGCGTCACCGCCAGACACATGACAATGACCTCCTCCATCATCGCACCACTTGTCAGGCACGGCGCCAGCATTTCCATGCTCCCACCGCGCTTCGGCCCCTTGTAGTTGGGCTTGTATCTGGCGATGGCCAATCCCTGGCCGTTCAAGAGCACCATGTTCAAGTCATCGAGTTTCTTCCGTGGCGTCCAGGTCATCTTCTCCCCGCCAAGTTCCGGGGAAGCGTACGAGTACTGGGTCTTCATGAACCCCGAAGACTCAAGCGACAGCGCCCGCCCATGCAACCTGATGTCGATCCGGGTCGTCAAGCAATGGAAGTCGACTGTCGCGACTTCGCCATCGTTGGAGTTAGAACGGATTGTCATCTGCGGCTTCCGGTATCTCGCATCCACAGTGTAAATGACCGTTGTCTGGTCTGTGTCCAGCACCCGGATGGTCGTGTGGTGGTTCCAATAATCCTGGTACTGGACGTGCAAAGTACGAGATTCTGGGCCTGGATCTGTGCCATTGAACTGGAAAGGCTGCTGTGGCTGGAAACCTGCCCACTGGTCGTCTTCGTCTTGGATCGAGTCGGATCCGACTACTTCGGTTTCCTGATGGCTCTTGAAGGGATTCTTCATTTCGTCGTGCTTGGGTGACTGGTCTTTGTTGGTAATCGACAGTCTCTTTTGCTTCTTGAGAGATCAGAGGAGAGCTTGCAGGGAGCGAGTCCCTTGCTTTTATGCTACCAGTAGTCCATGATGAAGTACTCGGGGTCGCCACCGGAGCGCTGCATAGAACCTATTCCGGACTAGCTTCAATAGCAATGGCAGCTTGGCAGCAAAAGGTGTCTGTCAAACTGCTCGCAGCTCCTTTGGGACTCACCCCGACCGCGCCGCTTTTACTGGGTACTGGGTATATCCGCCCACCTCACGACGCACCCTTCCCCCACCTTCTTCTCACCTTCTCCGTCACTTACTGCTGTACCCTGCTTCGACCCGCCTATTGCCCGTTCTGTCTTGGCAATGAGTTCCTTCCTCCTTGCGAGCGTCTCAGGCCGTGGTCTCGGGACCACAAAGTATGGCATCACATAGATGATGAACACCTGAACGGTTGCCAGTGGCCACTTACATGTTCCCACCCCCTGTGCGACTCGAACCATGGGAACTGTTCTGCGTTTCAGTTTTACCTCCACGACGTCCATAAACTCAGCCGGTCGCGACCGACGGCAGGAGCCAAATCCCGGGGGCAGTTCTCAAATGAGAAAGTATCCCCTCGCCAAGGCACTGGTGCAGCACAACCACATCGAAAGCGAAAGTCGCCGAGCGATTCTGAAGCCGTCGAGTGGCAGCCGCCACAGTCCCTCGACTCCATGACTACACCGATGGCGGAACCACTGACCGGCCCTCCTCTCAAGCGCCCACGACGAAGCCCACCTCCCACTTCAATTTGTCCCTCTGCCATTCAGATTCATGACGATAGGTCCAACGATGACGACGCCCAGAGCACCACGGTCTCTCCCGCTCTTTCTCCGCAAGGTCTCCTCGGCGACGACGATGATGATGATGATGACGGAATATACCTCGATTACGAATGTGGTCCATCTCTGTCTCATTGTACCACTCTCCACGAAACAACTCGTTCGCTGGAGCCAGCCCACTCTGACGACGGCATATATCTAGACGTTTCTGATCTGGACGCCATGTTCACACAATATCTCCGCTCACGCCCCTCTTCACCCCAGCCTCCCGCGTCTCCTGATGATGCGCGAAGTGAACACTGAGCAGTGAAACTCTGGTCAACGCTGGACTTGGCCCTTCTCGTGACACCCACCATATGGATGTCGAACCCTCTCCGAGACCGCCTCGGATGGCATACTAGCAAGTCAGGGGGACCAAGATCGGTCGGACATTGGCCAAGCTGTGAGGCGCCTTCGTATTCGACTGCGAGTGAGCCAGCCGAAAGCCACGCTCCGCCTTATACTGCGCGTGGCGCGTCAGCCTAGACAGGGAGCAAAAGCATGGAAGATGGGAGTGGGCAAGAAGAGTGGTAGACGCAAGGGGAGGGAGGGAAGACAAGATAGAATCTGAATCTCAAAGCGATGAATGCTACATTGAATATTATATTGGGACCATAGGACGCCGAGATTTGGATCGAGAGGTCGATATTTGGACATCTTCTCTGATAGTCAGGTTGCGTTTATGGTCAGATGCGGCGGAATACATGGACCACTCCGCAACATCAAAATTTTTTGAAGTTTGGTTTTTGCATTTTGGTGTGAGGGCACCGCCACGGTTTCCAATCCCCATACACATTTACTAGGAGAGAGAAAAGGGAGTAGTCGTATCGCATTGATGTTGCGGAGTGGTCTATGCCGTAGTTAAGGCCGGCCCTCACCTTCGGAACTCAGGGGTTCGTCCACTACTTCTCATCGCAGGACAGGGCCCGGGATGGGATAGAACATGGACCCCGGACAAGATTACAACGAGCCACACTTCAAGATCTAAATGGCCCATCGCGGACAGTTGCTTCATACATGGCTACCACACACAGTACAGTAAGAAGATACAGATACTCGGTTAAGTCACGTAGCCTTTTCGGGTCCCCTTTGTTCCCTTGGGGCTCTAATCTGCCCATCCCCCGAGAAAGACAAATGATATTCGATTTAATGCATCAAAGCACAAAATTCTCACCAGACGAAATAAGAAATTAACTCCATATAGTGTCCCCTTCCTACCGGAAGTATTCGACCATGTCCGGAGCTACATAAATCCAAAAATCGCTTAAGAGACTAGTAGACTAAATAGGGATTAAAGGGATATATATACGTAGTTATTTTATAGCTTTACTTTATAATTGACTTAGTTCACGATCATACCTATACGTTCTTAGGTAATATGATGTTAGACACAGCCTTAAGGACGACCGGTCACGAGTTGCACGAGCACGACTCACCACGCTCATCGGACACATGGGAGGATCCACAGGAGAACAAGGCTGAGTCACATGACACGCTCTGCTGGCCCTGCCGGGCATGTAGTAGAGCGGATAGAGCGCACATGTTACGGATGCCAAGACGCCATGGCACTAGAAAACCATATGTATATAGCACGGAGTCGCAGGTCATCCCTTTAAAGCTCCTCAGCTTCGAAGTCGCTGTCGTACTGCGCCTATAGATAGGCAATATACTTCTTAGATAGCTCGCTGCCAAGCCATCCCTGACAGCACAGAGCAAAAGCATTATATATACACCCTCATTAACCCTAGATAGTTTACACTCCCTTCGTAGCCAATTCATATTAGCTATTGAACCATACTGTTCTTAGTAACATCGACTGCTCATACCTTGCTTACTTCACATCCAGTTCTGTTGTACACAGAATGAGAGTGGATCCATCTTGTTGATTGTGTTCTGTGCCCCTGGCTTTTCAGAGAGACTCTGCCTATCTATATACTATTTGTACTGTGGCAACAAGCGATCCGCTGAATAGATCTGGACCTGCCCAGATCTGTCCAGACCTCGTTGTCGATCATCGGTGGCACCGAGGCTATTAGAGGGAGGCCTCGGTTGAAGCTTTGGTGAATTGGTTGGTTTGCCACAGTGGCGTTCTGCTGTCAACAAGTTCATACTATCAAGGGCCTAATACTGAGAAATCTACCCCAGTTAGGACACAGCAGCAGCTCTAACATACGATCACTTCGCTCTTAGTATATTTACTCGCTCTGTACTTAAGCTCCTAGGATATCTACTCTTATACTTCCCTCTTCTAAGGACCCCTACGTGTAGTGACACCTATGGTGGAGCGAAACATAACATCTAGTATGGTTAATTATTTTAAGAATCTTAATCTCTTTATATCTTATTTATTTAGGCAAGCCGTTACGGCAAGCGGAACTGACGACATGCACGAACCCATCATTGAAACGGCAGAAGCAGTGCGGCACAATTGCTTCAACAAATTTTTCCGCGTAGAGTGCCTCCGTGATCTAAACACGAGTATGTGTCTCGGCCATCGACTCGAATCGGGTCTGCGCTAGAGATGCAAGGTGAGAGACAACCAGTAATGGGGCACAGACTCCCCACAATCCGATCGCGGGGGTTTCGTAGTTCAGAATGCAGGAGTCCACAATAATTGGGCCATTGATCTCTGCCTTCCTCCCAAGTAGCTGTTATCACATTTCTAACGAATATTTACGTGCTGTGGGAAACCAGATCAGCTGGAAACAAGCACGGGTTCGTAGTACGTCGGCGTTAGGACCCGCGAAGGCTGAAGGGAAGATGTTGGAAAGGTGGCTGGCTGAGCATGACATGACGAGAACATAGAGTCACTCCTTTGGGACTGTGAGAAGAAGGGCGGTCACATGGGAGGATCGTTTAACTTCCAAACCTCGTATTCTTGGTCCTTGCACTTGACAGCGTCGGAGAGAATGGAAAGCGACGCGCCGACGCAGGCATTCTTAGTTTTCATGTCTAGACGGATTCAGCAAAGAATTCGATTCTCAGCACCTACTTCTGGCCTTTGATATCAATAAGGGTCTCTTCCTTCACTTGTGATCCGGCGCCTGACACCCCGAGCTGCAGCTTCACCTCATTTCACTTTACATTGACTGCATTCGTGGAGTAACCGAAAGGTGAATTCGGCAAGCGTTTGCCCACTCGCTCGCACCTAGGCAGTTTGCTCAGCTTCAGCATTAAGTTTAGCCTTATTGTCAACGTTTTGAAGTCTTCTTGCGATCCTCGAAGTAGACTTGTCGTCGAATGCCGGGGTCAGAAAGGCAGAAATGATCATCAGTCCACCGAAAGTGATGGATATGAGATAGACCATCGAAATTGACTTGACGTAGGCAGTGGTCGTTCCATCGCTGACAGCCTGGAGTATTGAAGGTGTCATACCGGGAACTGCTTTTATGGCCGAAGGATCTGATCCGCCCACCGCAGTGAATAATGACGGGAGTGATGATTGCGGCAGCCCGGATGCTAGCGCGGCATCTGCCACGTAGCTTGCAAGGTTTGATGTCAACTTGTTCGTGTACTGTCGATGGCGTTAGAACATGACAGTAGTATGAAGGATCAAGTGTGTAAAGACACTCACGACTGTGACACAAATGGATATGGCGATGGTGGAGAAGAAGTTGCGCAACATCATTTCCAATGCACTGGAAATGCCAACGTCAGACTCGTGCACCATCATGGGGCCACCGGACAAGACAAGGATCTCCATCCACGCTATAGCGACAACGATCAACAAGGTAAAAGCGACTGCCATTGCTTCTCGATTTTGGTCAATCACCGCCATACCACCAACGAGGGCTGTAAAGACGAGCGAGCAAAAGATAACTTGTTGCTTAGCATAGCGAATGCGATTCGCAAGCATGGCGGCACCAAGCTGTCCAATGACATTCCCGCTAGTCAGTGTAGACTGGATCTGATTAGTTTTGCGGTTCTCCTAAAAAATGTGACATCTTAAAAGCTCACCGACAACCAGCCGATCAGAGTTGGTGACTGTGTAAACAGTGCATGTATCTGACCCGGCCAGAGCACGCTGAGGGCATAGAAGACCATTGAGCCCGAAGAGCTACACATTGTCATCGTGACAAAGCCTCGGTTTCTGAATAGGTACATGGGGATCAGTGGTTCATCGCCAGCAAACTTTTCTTCTATACCCAAATTAGATGTCGCTCTTCCGTCTTTGCCGCGTAGGAAGCTCACGTACCATAGATCAGCAGAATGACGACTCCAACACCTCCGCTAACAATCGTGCCAATGACAGGTCCGGACTTCCAAGCTGTGCAACAAATGTCAGTGCATGGTGCTTCGAATTTGACGTGGGCAATAACTGACGATATCTTTGACCACCCCAGGATATCCCCAAGAGAAGACATGCGCCACTAATGACGAAAAGCACAAGACCAACAATGTCGAACTTTCTCAATGCCTCTCGAAGCGTGCGTCTTTTATGTAAGTCCTTGAAGGCAGGTGGGAAATAGAAGCATAATTGCAACAGCCCTGCCACTCCAGACAAAATGGCATTGAAATAGTAGCACCATCGCCAGCCTTGCTCGGTGTGGGCGACAAATGATCCAGCTATGGTTTGTCAGTCTTCTCGTCAGCAACAAAAGATAATATTTGCAGCTGCGCTCACCAATTGCTGGCGCTAAGGCGAGGACTGGCCCTAGCATTGCCGCATTGCACCCAATGGCAGTAAAACGGTGTTTATAGGGAACAAGTTCGGCGATGGCAGCGAATGGACCGAGATTCTGGACGCCTCCTCCTAATCCAGATAGAGTGCTCTTTTCAGGGGCACAAGGTCAGTGTGGAACTCGGATCAAATTTCAAATAGATTGAAGGCCTTACTCCGGCAATAAGCATAGACACGTTGGACGCCCGTCCACAGATAAGGAGGCCAATCAACGCAGCCACATTACCACAGATGTAAAACCAGCGTCTCCCAAAAACATCTGAGAGCCGACCCACAACAGGGAAGATTATGCTCTGGCACAAGGTGAATGACAGATTCACCCAGATGATATTCGGATCCGGGCCTAGGCACGGTTAAACTAATCAGCTTATCGTCGACTATTTTGTATCTGGCAGCGTTACCAATGTCAGGGTTGATGGCCGTGTACAGGATGTTGGCAGGCATCACAAACCCCAGGAAGCTGGCGCCGAAGCTGAGTCCAAAGGACTGAACTCAACGTCAGTAAGATTTCTTCTGTGACCAGGTGCTGAGGGAAGATATCTACCAAATAGGTCGCAATGAATTGAGGACTCAAGTAGTAACGGGGCGGCAACTCGTTGGTGGAGTCGCCTCCAATGGCGGCTTCAGCGACATCGGAATCACTGGCATCACCCATGTGGTCGTCGGCAGGCGTGACATATTCAATCACATCGTGCTCTGCGATAATATCGCCTAAAGTCTTCATGGTGACCAGCAACCGGATCCAAATGAAACAGCGTCAAAGTGAAGATTAGTGAGAGAAAAGGACCAAGCACCCCCAGGTAGAATCCTGGTCGTATAGATATCTACAACAGACCCCCGATTGAAGCTTCGATCCATATTCGCTCGGGCCTCGGGGAGCGCGGTAAAATGCGAGTTGAGATCTTTCAGTTCGTTAATGCGGAAGACCCTTTAACCCCATGGGGTCGGCGAAATGAGTAGAGCGATGCTGGTCGATGACTGGGCGTTCTGAATCTCGCTTTCAGGGGATAGGAGAAGTTTTGGGGGGGGGCGCAACTTGTCATCAGTACCATATGCAAAGTTACCTTCTGCTGTCAATTAGCCCTTTCCAATTTGTTGTCCATGAGAAGTGCAATCACTGGCAGGCGTGGAACTGTCAACGATTGACACCGTGAAACCTATATTCGCGGTGTATATTTCCTGTGGGTACATGTGTGTCATGGACAGTTGCAACAATAATTACATCGGTCTTTCGCAATCGTAGAAATGTGCAGCAGAGTTTCTCCGCAGCATAATGTGTAAAATTGTGGACTGGGATGGGTTCTAAACCGCTGGGTGATATTTTTCCACATTTGCCAACCTTCGCTATCTCCGATCCGCTTCGAGAATCCAACAAGCAACGATAAAAGGAAAGTAGGCACAAAGAAAACATCCCATGACACTGACCTCTGGCTCTAGTTTACAAGATCAATGGACTAGTCTGGCTCTTCTTACCCTGGGTGCCTGGCGGTAGAACACAATGTAATCCATCATATATCCCCAACAGGGGCTGTGCGGACCAGGCGCTCTGCCCTGTCCCGTCAGCAGTCCGGGGTAATGCCCTGTGAACTCTGAAGTACACGGTCTTTGATTACACGGCGATGCATAAAAATCGTCGGAAGACATTCGTCCCGTTGTATAGTAACTCACCTGGATATAAATTCAGATTTCCGTGAAAAGCGATCTCTTCACTTGATCTGCGATCTTTCATATCAAGCACATACTATCACAGATGCCTGTTATCGCTGTTGCCGATGGAACCGGTAAGCTTGGCTGTACTGTTGTTGACGCCATTGTCGAACATGGTGGATACGAGGTTGTCGTCCTTGCCCGAGCAGTGAGTTTGTCTACAGTTCAATGGCCGGACAACATGTCTCTGATTCATAGGTCTCAGGCCAGCAAAGCCAAACAAAAGGAGCTCGGCGTGCGTGTAATCGGCGTTGACTACAAAAGCGTGGAAGCACTTACTGAAACGCTCGAGAATGAGAACGTCGACACAGTGATAGCTACATTCGACTCGGCTGCGCCGCCTGACCCGGAGCTAGCCCTTGTCAAGGCCTGTGATGCATCCAGCAAGACACGACGCTTTATTCCCAACTGGTGGGGCATCCGATATACTGCAGAGTAGGTCATCCATCGCCAGCTCCGCCAAAGGGAATTGCACTGACGGGAGCCTCAGAGTCGCGGCCATCTTCCCCATTGCTGCATCGAAGATTGCAGTGCTGGAAACATTGGAGAAGACAAATCTAGAATTTACCACCGTGATCAATGGCTTCTTCGCGGATTACTACGTTCCAAAGATCCCATCCCGCATGGGGCCTTTCACTATGGCACTTGACATCCCCAACAACGTTGCCGCAATCCCTGGGACGGGTGACGTTCCTGTGGCATTCACGCATACCATGGACGTTGCGCATTTCACTGCTTCTCTACTCGGCCTTCCAGAATGGCCGAGAGAGTCATATATTGTGGGAGAGAAACTGACTTGGAATGAGTTCCTAGCTGTTGTAGAAGAGGCCAAAGGTTCAAAATTCAATGTTAGCTATGATCCTCTCGAGAAATTACAGAAAGATGAGATCACGGAGTTGCCCGGACACAAGACCATGCATGCCTTTGTTCCGAAGCAGGTATTAGATGGTCTTCTCGCGGTCTTTGGCATTCTCTTCGAGGAGGGGTATTTCGACCTCAAGCCCGTGAAGAGCATGTCTACATTCAAGGCAAGGACAGTCCAACAGATGGTGAAGGAAAATTTTCATGATCAGCCAGACTCTACACAGAGTACATGTGACGTCGCAAATTATCTGGGAAGCAAATAGGCTGGGTGGGATCAAAAGCCGTATGCAGACGTAAGAGGCAGTATCTGTGTGCGGACGAATACGAATTCGAAAGGTTGGGCCGACCAAATTCGATTTCCTGGACTGTAGAGACAAGCACTGAAACATGACACATACCGAGCAATGCCCTTGCAAGATCGGGGAAACCCAGCCCTTTTCTTATCGAATGGGGTTAGAGGAAGTCAGTTGGAATCCCATCGAGGGCTGCAGGCAATAGCTCCGGAGATAGACATGGGCAATTCCTTCATCAGTAACGCCCCAAGTCGCGCAGACTTTCTTTCTTCAGTAGGGGGAGCTCATGGGTGAACATTCGACTCCAAGAATGGAAGAAAGTTGTTTTGCATCTCCAGAAGGGTTGGCTGTCATGATTTGTGCTCATAGTGCGAGACGTGTTGCACAGCGGACAGAGGGTCCAAGTGCAGGAAAAGACGCGGGGTTTTGTCTTTGGGGCATCCAATATGATACCTTTGCTGCCGCTTTCATTGATGACCCAGGTGTTACGAAGCGAACTGCACAGTGCCATATCAAGAGAAGACAAAGTACCCATTATTTTCCCGGCTGGTAGACAGGAGCAATATATACTAGAACCATTGGAGCAGAAATTCGAATAATGAACAACCTTTCCTAGGCCGGCGCATGACCATGCAAAGTACATCAGGTTCGGCTCCTTGGTTGGCGTGAGTATCAGCTCTATCTAATTTACATCTGACACAAGCATGTCAAGAGATGGTAGTTGTGCATATGGGGCTTGCTTCGGGGTTTGCCCTTGGTCCTGATAGCTTCAAGCTTGAGATCTCTGTTCTTTGTGTGTATTCATACTCCGTAGCTGTGTGGATTTCACGCACGGCACACACCGCAGGTACATGACCAAAGGTTACTGCACTATGTTCCGACGCCGTCCAAATTCTTTGTCAGACTGTGCCAATGCCATCATGTTTCGTTCTTTGCCAATTCGCGACTTCTTGACGAGCACAGCGGGACAATCCATCTCCCCCAAGTAGAGGTGGATGAGTTGTGGTGTTCGGCTTTCGAGAACCGCCGGACACTGAAACACTTTTTCAAGCTCTTCGAACTCGCGGACTTGGTAATACTTGGAAGTCTGACATCCGAAAAATTCCAGCATTAGGCCGTGATCCCATCGAGCTATATCATTGTGTTGGAGAGTTGGCCCGTGGATGATGCGCTCCGTCGTATAGCCATTGTTGTCTAGAAGTACAATAGTGGGTGAAAATCCATGTCGAACAATAGTCCCAAGCTCCTTGGAACTCAAAATTAGCACTCGGAATCCAAATGCAATGGCGAGGGGCGGTGTTAGGTACCTGGACGGTCATTTGAAGGCCTCCATCGCCGGCGAGAAACAAAACTCGGCCGCTCGCCCCCTGCTCTCTTCTTGCGCACAGAGCACCAAGCAGTGCCGGCACAGCATACCCAATTGCACTGAAGAACATCTGCGTAAGGAAGCTATTTCTGGCACCGAGCCTCAATTCGAGAGCTCCATACTGCGCGGTGCCAACCTCGGCCACAATGCAGTCATCTTCTTTGAGATGACCGCTGAGGCATTTCCACAACCTCGCGTGATCCAACCTACCCTCGAAATGCATTCGGGTGTTCTGGCTAGCGGAAGTAGATGTCTCATTGCCCTGCCAACTCGGTCAGCGGCTCGTTTTACATATTTGCTGGGGAGAAGGCAACAGACACCCATTAGAACTTGTTTCTTTTCCATCAAGGCTCGAGCAACCCTTTTAACCACCGGAACAAAGCTGAGGTCATGTCTAATGCCATTGACTAGGATCCAATCTGGGTGCAAAACGATACTGTTCTCCGGGCTCAAATTCTGGGTCCAAACTCCGGTGTTCGAGTCCGATAGAAGTGGTCCAACGTGGACCACTTGGTCGGCATCCTCAATCCTTGTCTTGATCGAGTCCTCTGTCGTCAGGATACCATTGTAGATTCCTCCATAATTAGCCTTTGTCTCATCGTAATGCGACTTTGCCAGTGGCGCGATGAACGTCTTGTTCTCAAGTCAGGAGTGAAGAAGGTCATATTCTTGGGAAAAACTTACCGTTGCGTTCCACAGATCTGAGATCTGATTGACTTGATCAAGAAGTCCATAACGTTGCGAAAGGACGTCGACCAAGAGGGCTCCAGTCTTTGAGGATGACATAGCAGTTACAATAGCGTCCACGACCGCACCCTCTGCCTCTTCGCGCCCGACATTGATAATCTCTGTGTTCAAAGTTTCGGACTCCAGTCGATCGGAAGGCACAAAGATGTCAGGAGTGTCCATTGGAATAAACAGGTAAACTGGATGCCTCGTTTGATAAGCTCTTTCAATGACAAAGTCAACTTCTTCGGTGAATGTTGCGTCGTTTGTTAGGAAAACGGACGCTCTTCGCGCTGGCTCTGACATCTTTTGGTATATCGTATGGTCCCAACCATCGTCGCCTAGGGTATGATGGATTTTGGTACGAGCCTTCTGTGCTGCCCGCGTGGTGGTGCCAACAATGTGAATAATTGGCACATGTTCACTGTAAGCTCCTGCAATTCCATTGAGGGCGCTCAGCTCTCCAACGCCATACGTGGTGATAACAACCCCCGGCGTACCGTCGCCTTTGGTGCGGGCGTAGCCATCAGCGGCGTATGCTCCATTTAGTTCATTGCAGGTGCCCACCCACTTTAGACCTTCAGGATAGATATAGTCCAATAGATTCAAGGTGAAATCGCCCGGACAGCCAAAGATATGGTCAATTCCAAGCTGTTTCAGCCTGCGAAAAATATAGGAACCTAGAGTTACTTGCTTCATGGCTACAGCTGCGAGATGCTTGGTTGTTGACTAGTGACAGAATGCTGCGTTGTATTGATGGAATTCCACGTACCACAAAAGTCGAAATCTCACACAAACTATCTCCCGAGCCATTTTCCAATGAAAGGCGCTTGCTTTCAATCATGACCTTGGCTCCGAGACTGTACACATTTTTTTTTTCACCGGCATGCAAGGATATGGCTTGGAGCCACACGCTGTGTAACCAGATATGTTCGGCCCGAACCCCACCACACACCCCTCTTCGATCCTGAGCCGTTTCTTCCAAGAGGAGCTCAAGAAACGACGAGCTAGTGACCATTGGATACGAAGCGGACTGTTCTTACTAATTGGAGCTATTGGCATGGTGGGACCTGCATTACTTTACCAAAAGATCGCCAGGAGACATCGGCAGCGGGGCCCCAGCCACGAGATCATGGACACTGGCCATCCCAGCCTATTCGCAGCTATAAAAGTAGGTACATCGTATTTTGCAAAAGTTTCTGGCCATCACACAGCATATTTGCCTTCTCCCTTGTTCGAGCAGACTCCACGTCGCGCACCTCCCATCACCATCAACATGAAGCTCGCTTTACTTTTCGCCATCCTCCCAGTCACCTTGGCCGCCTGGTGTCCTCCAAAGCCTGCGAATTCCTGCGAACAGAAGCAAATCTTCGATTTGTTTGTGCGACGATTGCTCATCGAAAAGGACGTTGAGACTGCTTACTACGAGCACGTTCATCCTGACTATGTTCAACACAACCCAACGGTCCTCAGTGGCATTGAAAACAACATTGCAGTCGTGGGCGACATCGTGAAGCATGCCAACTTCACTTTCTATCACACCTCAGTTGGCAACGACATTGCTCTTCTCCATCATCGCGTCGACTGGGAGGACAAAGCCCGACATCCGACATATACCATGGCTGCAGACATATTCCGAATGGACGGTACTTGCATCATGGAGCACTGGGATTGCTTGATGGAGGCCCCTGAGTACGGCATCAACCCTGTGCCCTGGATCTCGAAGTAGTTTCACTATTTCAGCCTACGGCGACCCAGGGCCTGCGCCACCTTGGCCATGCCTCAACCCTGAGAAAACCAAATGTACATAGAACTTGAGGCTGGGATCTGACTACACGGTTAACCCAAAAGCCATCATTGGCATGGTGCGGCGAGAGATTATAAGATAGTTAATGTACCACATGGGCTCTCTACTGCCTATTCTACTCCGATCTGCTACAAGAACAACTCTTTCAAGGAATGGGATTATATTGCGGCGATCGTTGTTTCAGCGCAAAGACTTCGCAAGCCGGTTGAAAACTAGGCTTCCTGACAGAGCAAGACACATCTCCTTATTGTCGTATGATCTTTCTTAGCTTCATAATCAAGGCTCAGGGACAAGCTCTATATAGTTGCCATCTGGATCTTGGATGAAGACTACCGATTTCACCATCTCCAAGAAAGTTTCATTCCGTCCCTGCGTCTGAGTTTCCAATCCAATCAACGACCCAACTTCATCCAGTCCCGCAGTCGCATCGACATCTTTGACAATCCTAACATCAAATTGTCTTATATGCGCCACGAATGCGGACATGTCTCGAACTCCAAGGGCCAACTTCAGGAAGCCGGGACGAGGCGGGAATTTGTGAGCCGCAACTGGCTCAACTGCCTGGCATGAAGAATGAGGACAACAGACTCTAGGTGATAGGCATCTGGAACTTACAGAATTGATCAGCTCTATGGTAGTGCGTTCCCGCTGTGAGCCATTCACGACAGGATAGCCAAGCAACCATATCTCGAATGAGTCCTCCTTTACATGCATGGTCTCTTGGAGGCCAAGGACCGTCTTGTAGAACCATAATGATTTTTCAACGTTCGAGGGACGTATGGCAACGCTGTGGATGAACAGTCCCAGACGAGCTACTTCTGCCGCCATTGCATTTGGGATCGTGACTACCTTCGCGTCACTCAAGGTGTAAATCAATCTCACTCCCAAGGATCTCGAATGAATAGATACAAAGGGGATCTTTCTTACAGCACTTGTGAAGGACTCTGGCATGTGAAGATGACACGGGCCTGGAAATCACCAGGTGTCTTCTGGCGGCTGACGAAGAGGCGTGGCAGTGGCTTGCTGTCAGTTTGGCCGGGGGTGGGGGCTGGACGGGGCTATGTACTGCTTATCCACTATTTGTCCGAACCCCTTAACTCGGCCAAACCGATACTCGATAAATGCCCGAGCTAGATCTTTGCCAAGAAACACTCTCAACCGCGACCGTGGAGTTGCCTCGCGAAGTCTTGGTGGGCTCGGGTCACAGTCCCTGTTGTAAATGCGGCGAGGTTGAATGACACTGTCTGCTTGCCTGACCCCTCGGCGAACCACAGGACTGAGACCCACTTATGGTTGAGAGAACAATGAGCTTCCCCCTTGGCCCCTTGGTGGAACGGGAACTGGAGCGGACGTTCATCTCAAACGAGGGAGAAGTGGTGTGTCCTATTCCCATATCGCAGGTCGCGACTTACAAGCCTCAAGGCTTATCAAATATCCGTTGGTCTGATTCCGACTTGTTCATCACTGTCCACTCCCCCATCATATCTGAAACCAGTCTATTCAGGTAATCATGGGCTCTCTTACTCTGTCTCAACCTCACGGCCGTCGTTTGACCGGTGGAGATTTGGTCGCTCAATGTCTCAAAGCACTTGGGGTTGAAGTCGCATTTGGCCTCGGCGGAGGTCATCTGGATGCTGTCCTGCTTGGCTGCGAGGATAATGGTATCAAACTTTACGACACTCGACATGAAACCGTGGCCGTGCAGGCAGCGGAAGGCTATTACAAAACATCTGGCAAGGTCGGCGTGAGTTTCGTTACAGCAGCCAGCGGGTACGACTTTGAAGATCCATCCTGGACAAAAATTTGGGCTGATACATGACCAGATTCTCCAATGCTCTCCCAGGACTGTCATCAGCTTCGGCAGACAACAACGCGATCGTCCTCATCACGTCGTCGCAGCCTCAAAGGGACATTGGCACCAATGGGTTACAGGGTGCTCATGACCAAGTGGCTTTAGCAATGCCAATTACTAAGTTCGCTCATCGAGTGGTGCATGCCTCTGAAATCCCTAGAGTTATGGCTCATGCTTTCAGAATTGCCGTTGGAGATGGACCAGGTACGCATTCTCTTACGTGTAATATCGAACACGACCATTGATTTCTCGATCCAGGCCCCGTCATGCTCGATATCCCCATCGAACTGATGATGCTGCCGGTTGACCAGGAAAACATTTCCTGGGGAGCGATCGCAGATCCGCCCACATATCCGCCCGGTCCACATGAAGACGCCATCGAAGCGCTGGTCCAACTATGGAAATCCGCTGAAAGACCCGCGATCATAGCCGAGGTCATCGGACGCGGTGAAGGCAAGGTAAGATTCTTTAGCTCCACGCCGTGCTACTGAGGTGGTGGAGCTGTAATCTGATCACCTGCCCTTACAGTCTACTGTCATTCTAGAAGCTGTAGCTGAAGCAACATCCACTCCCGTGTTCCACAGCCTCAACTATGGTCCTGCAGTCCCTTACAAACATCCTCTGGAGGCTGGGCCAGCCAACCAGCTGGCACTGCTCCTCGGGTCCTCAAGCCCACGACCAGACTTGATCATTCTCATGGGCGCCAGGCCGAGCACTTTCACGGGCGCGAGAGGGGGCTTCGTTCTTCCCAAAGCCGAATGCAAGATCGTCCAGATCGATCCTGATGGCCGGGAAATCGGCAAAATGCACAGAGTCGACTTGGGCATGCAATGCGAGCCGGAACAAGCATTGCGAAAACTGAAGACGATCTTCCAGGCCAACAAGCTACCACCTCGAAAGGAGTGGCTCGACATTGCGCTAAAGCTGAAGACTAGTCCTTTGAAGAAATTTGAGAACTCAGCCCCTTCCACAAACGACGCATTGCATCCCTTTCACGCCATCTATGAGATCGCCAAGTCATTGGACCCAGGCGCAATTTTCATTTGTGATGGTGGCGAGGCATCCTGGTGGGGTTTGGATGTTGCACCAACGAATCAAGCACACCTCAGCATATATGCCTGTGGCATCATGGGATTTCTCGGGAACGGCTGGGGCTACGCATTAGGTGCTGCTGCTGCGGCGCCTAGTCGTCAGATTGTTCACATTCAAGGCGATGGATCGGCGGGATTTCACATCGCCGAACTCGACACCTATGCTCGATTCAAGCTCAATATCCTCACCGTTATCATGAACAACAGCTTGTGGGGTATGTCATGGCATGCCCAAGAAATGAACTGGGGGGCCAAGTTCGCCAATAGGCCGATGTCCATTCTAAGCACCAGGACCTCTTTTCAGGCCGTGGCTCAAGGGTTTGAAAATGGAAGCGACAGGATTACGCGGATCCATGATATCTCGGGAGCAGTGAACAAGTTTCGAAATCAGGAGGGCCCCTATCTCCTTGACGTCGTGGTTTCCGAATCACCCACGCACCCTGGCTTGGAGTCCTTAGTCAAGGGCAACATGGACCCGTCGAATCCGCCCTATTTTTGTACTTAAATTTCAGACGCAGGGTGTTGCTAAGGCCAGCGGTCATTGAAGCTGGGGGAATTCTTCTGATACTCAGCGCGACAGTGATTGAGATGGAATCAGAACCCACGCATAGTCATCTTGATATTCACAGGCCTCAGTTTGAGTCTCGGTGTAACTTGGTCAGGTGCGACGCTATCTCGAACGTGAATAGAAACATTCACAAGGTGAGAAGCCGAATCAGGATTCTCCTTTGTCAGTTCGATCAAGTTTGGCTATCCAAACCGAGGTGCTGACCCCGTAGGGCAGATGCGATCCACTTTCTTTAGTATAGGTCCTCAGCCAATGCCGCTTTTCTTCGTTGGGCCACCGCAATCGAAACGCTTCTTGCAGTCCATGCTCCCGGGGAACTTGCCACCGCCTGACAGAACATGCATTCATTTGGCCTATGCATGAGTTTTTCCTCGTATAATTGTGCACGAGGAGGGAGTGCTCCGCCAGGGGGGTTATCAAGGTTGAACGGGTGTGAGGCTACGAGCACCTCGGCAGAAATTCTGCTCTTCTATTGCTTCTGTCATAACCACGTCCGATCCTCGTGGCCGCAGTCCACTCTTCACAACCGTGTTTCAATGATCCTTCCGAGTTATACCACGAACGGCATCATTGTGGTTTGCCTTCTCCAAATGCAAAATGAGCTTCCTGGACGGGTTTACCGCCCACGTGGAAGTCCTCGCAAGGTAAGATGGCTGCGATCAGTCGCGCAGGTTGCTCCTTGGACGAGTTTGACCAGCGGTGTAAGGTGGCCCGCTGAATTATGTGATCCCTACCAGTACAATATCAGAAACTGATACAATCCCCAGTTCAGAGTAATACGAGAGGCTGGATTCTCACCGATGAACCTTCGCCTGGGGGAGAGGGGGGAGGGTTGCTGAACACTTACCCTGGATAAAGTCGAACCTTCCCTCCGCTCTCCAGCTCGTGATCTAGTTCGCCCATGACACAGATGGAGATATCCATGGACACCGTCCTGTGCCAGTGACCCACGGCACCGGGAATGACGTCAAGCACGTTGAGATTTACCCCCTGGGTCGTGCTGATACCATTCTTGTTGGCGGATGCTGGCATTGCGAAGTCTCTGGCCCGGGTGTGACTGGAGACGGTGTCATTGCTCTCGAACGCCTTGATATCCTCATCATCTTGGAGACGCGCGGGCAATGAGGACGTCGCATATGATCGGGTAACACATCCAAATCCAGGGAACTCGGCGTAGACATAATCTGGCGCACTCGCGTAGGTACTCCGTCCAGTCACCGGATCGTGAGTGGCAATGTACCGTTTTGACGGCCGTAGGCCTGACGGGGCAGTTTGAGGTTCTGACATTGTGAAGACTCCTTGACCCAGCGGATAACTTGCAATGGAGGACAAGAGTTCTAGAAAGTGACCAGGTTCATCGGCACATGGAAAATGGCAAAGGACATCTAGTCTCGGCCAAGTGAATGTGGCTCTAAGAATTTTCTGTTCCTCCGAACCGCCAGGGCTTTGGATTCGGTCAATTCCATCCCCAAACGGGACCAACCTAACCTGCCGGCCGATGAGCATATGGACTGCTAGTGACGGTCTGTGCGCTTGTGTTCCGGTCTACAGCTAATACGAAGGCGAAACAGCAGGGCAGTTAGTCTGTTGCAGTTCCAGAAGACAGTAAGGCCCAGGTTTGTTAGGTACCTGCTCTTGGTAGAAGAGAGCAAAATACCTTCTTCGAATTGGTCCGCCGATGCCCACTGTCGAGATACCTTGTTATAAGACAACCTCCGGTCGCATTACTTCAGTGTCGATCAGAATTGGGTAAATGGTGGCTGAATTTTAGAACCTGGCCTCGTAGAACTTTCCGTCTGATACTTTGGCCTTTTCCCGCTTGATCATATCCAAGATTGTCCAGTCGTCGGGAATATGTCCCTCCGACACGTTCGTGGATCGGAATGGTGTCCCATGCAAGACACGGGACCCGACTTCCTCGTACTTGTCATTAGCGTATTGCGCGGCGTTGTGACACTGAAGCCTTTTGGGCGGTGCATATCGAGTCTTTTACTGCCGCATCCCAGTCTGTACGGTTCCGTCGGTGGCACGTGTCACAGCCTCAGTCTTTGTGTCAGAGAAGTTCGTTCAAACCTGTAACTTCCAACTCTGGTGTAAGCTGGCTTGCTTATGAGATTCGTAGCGTACCCTGTACACTGAGGATCTCGTACGCCCGGAGTGCTAAGGGAATATTCTCTCCTCCTGCGCGTTCCAAGAGAGCCGCCACCGTTGGGGCGCCTCCGAAAGCTTGAGCACCGCCAGTGGCTGTCGAGGGCAGATGAGACCTTTCTTGGAGACGCACTCGCGGGCTGGATCTCTTTAGAGAAGTTTATAGTGGATCAGATTCGACCACCACAATATTTGATGAATCGAACACCGCATGCTGGTATAAAATTGACATCTCCTGTAACCCACGAGCGTGAGTCGTGTGCATTCCTCCCGGCACGTAGCTTCTGACCCCTCTGCGACGACCTACCCCGTCTGCTGAAAACTTTCATAGCTTCGATCACCTTGATATTTGCGCCACTGTTCCGGAGCCGATGGGAGCGGCGAGACCGCCCAATCAAACCGCTGATAGATCATTCAACGCAGACATGGTGGAATTTGGGCGAACAACATCAATCTGCAAACCAGAGACGTTAGTGGGGACCAGCCCATTAGGTGTTTCGGCCCCTGCTCGGTTCTCCAGTCGGCAATCATGCGAGGGTCAAGATTCGGGTGATCCGAACATGGACATGGTATTCTTGGGACGCATGCGGGATAACTCCGGACTAAACCAGTAACACAGCAGTAGTCACAAGCATTCTATAGACCTGGCTGACACACGTCTCCATTTCGCCGTCACCATTTGGCCTCCCATCATAACCTCTAACCTCGGTCAAAGACCTCTCGATGGGGAATCAGATGCGTGTTTCCTCCCGGAAAAGGGGGACTCGTCGCAAACAAAGCACTACATATGCCGAGCGTCGATCAACGCACCTGGATACATCCACTTACTCTATCCTGCATTGATAGCCGATGGGGAGTTGACATTGCGCTTCTTCCCCATGCTCCCCTCACTCGCCTGAGGCAGTACTCAATAAATACGCCAAACGAACGCTCTCGTCGTCCTATCCGGCTTTCTTGTGCATAACAAGCTACGCAGTAAGGATGCAAGTCTTTGCAAGGAAATTCCCTCCCCGGGGGGTTACTTCGTGTCTTGGAATACCGCGTTTGCGTATGAGAGTGGGAGATGGTGGAAGACACACCTTGCACACCACCGCCACCGAATTCCTCCAAAACAATCAACCAGACTGGACTGACTCAATGCACCAAGTCCGCGAAGCGATTTCCAAAATTTGTCGAAAGTACCCCGACGAATATTGGCTGGACAAGGATGATAAGCATGAGTTCCCGCTGGACCTTCATCGGGATTTGGCCAAGGATGGCTGGCTTGGTATCTGTATGCCCCAGGAGTATGGTGGTTCCGAGTTGGGTATTTCTGAGGCTGCAGTTATGATGCAGACAATATCGGAATCTGGTAGTGGGATGTCTGGGGCTTCGTCCGTCCACATGAACATCTTTGGCCTCGAACCTGTTGTCAAGTTTGGTACTGCGGAACAAAAAGAACGCATACTAGTACCACTAATTCAGGGTAAGGAAAAGTCTTGCTTCGGTGTGACGGAACCCAATGCCGGACTCGACACATTAAGGCTACAGTCTAGCGCCAAAAAGCAAGGAGACAAATACGTACTGAATGGTTCCAAAATCTGGACGTCGACGGCCCAAATAGCGGAGAAGATTCTTATCTTGGTCAGGACGACGCCTTTGGATCAAGTCAGCAAGCCAACACAAGGACTATCTCTCTTTTACACCGACTTGGATCGATCGGTGGTCCAGGTAACAGAAATTCCGAAACTAGGGCGCGCGGCTGTGGATAGCAACGTTATTTTCTTCGAAAATTGGGAGGTTCCGGGGGCTGAGCTTATCGGAGAAGAGGGTAACGGCTTTAAAATGATCATGTACGGCATGAATGCTGAGCGAATCCTCATCGGCGCCGAGGCATTGGGCCTGGGATTTGCAGCATTACGTCGAGCAGCAATTTACGCACAGGAGCGTACTGTCTTCAATCGGCCAATCGGAAAGAACCAGGGCATTCAACATCCACTAGCAGAGTCATGGATGAAGCTGGAGGCAGCAAGACTGATGCTCTATCTTGCAGCGCGCCTCTATGATCAAGGCCATTCCACGGGCGAGTACGCAAATACAGCGAAATATCTGGCAGCTGAGGCGGCATTTGAAGCTTGCGAAAGAGCGGTCCTTACACATGGCGGAATGGGGTATGCTAAGGAGTACCACGTGGAGCGATATCTGAGGGAAGCCATGCTCCCAAGACTTGCACCAGTCAGCAGAGAGATGATCTTGAACTATATCGGCGAGCGAGTGCTTGGTTTGGCCAAGAGCTACTGAATGACAGTTGGCCGGGTGTTTTAATGGTGGCAGAACCATCTCTTGATTGTTAGTGACATATTCTTTTTGGGGGTCAGGGGGGCGGCCAGCGCGACGTGTGATTAACGGCATCTCACCAATGGAGGCGGACTAATCAAGAATATTCTTTTGTGGTTATAGAACTGAAGTAGACATCATCTTGTGAATTCTTAATATGTCCATCTCCCGCCTCGGCTCTGCAGGGCTGCTGACTGGGCCATCGCGGCAGTTACAGAGCAACACCACATCGCCTTCTTGCATTCCCAATGACTATTGGGGCCATGAGAAAATCTAATCTCGAGCAGTACGTGGGTTCCCGGTGACCATGTCAATCACGTGCGGCATACGTGCTCGCTGAGGTGCACAAGGAGAGCGGAAAACTATTCTGATCATAAACCGTACGGCTGTCCTCTCGTTGAGCAGCCTCTTTGGCAGCGCATTTTGTGAGCGTAGTTTTAATGACCCCTTAGAATCATCGGCAGCGAGTCTTAGAAACTCATATTGATGAGTATTGCCTTAGGCTCAGTGTATGCCTTCAAGGCATACTCGCCGAATTCCCGACCGATACCTGACTGTTTACGGCCACCAAAACATACTTGCATATTCATGTACGAGACACAGTTCACGCCCACAACTCCAGAGTCGAGCTGCTCAGAGCAGCGCAAAGCCCTTTGAATATCGCTGGTAAATACACCCGACATCAAGCCATACTCGGAGTCATTTGCCCACTTCAAAACCTCCTCTTCTATTTCAAAGGTCCGAATTACTGCCACTGGACCAAATATCTCTTTCCTGTAGATGTCCGCGTCCGGTTTCGGGTTTAGAAACACAGTCGGCTCCATATAGCAGCCGGTTTCTCCGTGCCTAACGCCACCAACAACCAGTTCGGCCTCCTGCTTGCCTCGATCAACCATCATTTAGACGCGCTCAAGCTGTCCTTGATCAACTAAAGGACCGAGCTTAACAGATGGGTCCTGTGGGTCGCCCAGATCATCGGTAGCCGCCTTCATCATCTCCAGGTATCTGTGGATGAAATCTTCGGAAATGGACTTCTGAACGTAAACTCTCGTAGCCGCAACGCATACTTGACCTGAACGTGCCAATATGGCGTTGATGGTCCATTTCAGGGCGTTATCGAGGTCAGCATCTTCAAAAATGATGGCCGGGCTTTTCCCGCCCAATTCTAGCGTGACTCGCTTTAGGTTACTTTGGGCGGCAGCTTGTTGAATGAGCTTGCCTGTATTTATGCTGCCGGTAAAGCTGATCTTGTGCACCCTCATATGTTGAGCGAGGAGTGCCCCAGTGGAGCCATCACCTATGAATTTCAGGTATAGTTTAGCTTCATGCCGCGAGGAAAAAACCAAAGACATCGGAAAGCAGTGCCTCAAATAGAAGGCTCTTGCAGAAGGGCAATTCCAATTCAAGTCGCACAAAGACCGAATACAGCTGCATGTCCTCCCTGTCGGTTGTAATTGAAACTTACCGGGCAAAATCTGTAGGACGCCAGGTGGAAAGCCGGCTTTCTTAAATAATGGGCCCAGCGCGAGAGATCCCAGTGGAGTCTTCTCAGAAGGCTTCACGATCAGCACATTGCCAGTAGCCAGACACGGTGCTGCTTTGAAGAAGAACGTGGCAATAGGTGCGTTGAAGGGATTGATTGCGGCACAAACTCCCAGCGGTTCATGTCGAACGAGTTTGACAAAGCCTGCGGGTATTATTTTCAATCAGCGACGTATATTCAAGATGTGACCGGCATTTTTTCAAGCTTACCGTCGTCGGTGGGGAAATAATCGCCCTTCTGCTTGTCCGTCCAGCCCGAATAATACAAAATGCAGTTCACCATGTAGTTCTTTTCGCGCGTCGGAATTATTGAGACTGGATTGCCAGAAGTCTTTGAGTCCAGAGTGAGTATTGGAATAAGCTGGTCTTCCAGAAGCCCGGCCAGTCTGTGTAAACACTGCATTCTCTGCGATGCGGTAAACTTGCTCCAAGGTCCTCGGAAAGCCTCCTCAGCGTGCTCTACAGCAAGGTCTACATCGTCTGAATTGGCGATCGGGATCCCATCAGCGACAACGCTGTTGTCTTTTGGATTTCTCACGGTAAAAGTGTTGGACGACGAGGAGGAGACGTATTCGCCGTTGATATACATCCTCGTGAAAGACCATGGGTCCAGGTCGGGGGCTGACGAGGTCGAGTTCATGGTGGTAGCCCTTTTAATCGATGCGGCGGGCTTCGTTTGCTAGAGTTGATTCACTTAAATCCAAAGTCATTTACCAAACGAAGCATAATTGTGAATCACATGTGATGTGTTGCCGTGCCGAAAAGAAATAGTGCTCTGTTAGGAAGAGCGCCTGGAAATGGAAAATGCAACACCGTAGCCCGCCGTGTCCGAAACCCTCATCAGTACGTACTGCGCTCTCATGCCCGACAAGGCGTCGGACTACACGACACGGGAGCGAGAGTATCGCCGACCTGACAAGGTTAGCTTGAGGCAGCTCTGCAATGACCCTTAGGCAACGAGGACTACACCACCGAGGGCGGACCCCTAAAAGTCCGGAGATTTCAAGTGAAGTGGGTTCTGGGGCAGGAGTCAGTTTTCAGGTTGAGATGTCAGTTATCAATCTCGCGGGCCCTGAGACTTATATCGGTACGACCACCGCCTCGACTTGCGAGGGGATAAATACACTTTTACTTGCAAACTCCACCCGCAATGGGGCTCTCCTGGATCCTGCTCGCCATCCTTGGCGTCGCCGTAGTCCTGCGAATACTACGATATGGTCAACGATCGAAGGGATATCCTCCTGGTGAGATCCTTGAGGCATTGAATTGAAGAATTCGTAGCTGAATTTGCTCTGAAAGGACCGCCCACCTTACCATTCATTGGGAATCTGCATCAACTCCCAAGGAGCGGCTTACTCCATGAGAAATTCCAGGAATGGGCAGACCAATGTCAGAAACAATCTGAATTCACTCATTCATGACCACCTAAACTCACAAATTCAGATGGGCCGGTGGTTAGTATCAAGCTTGGGAGTCAGACCATGATCCTCTTGAATGACAGAACAGCGGTCAAAGAGCTCTTGGATAAGCGAAGTCAGAATACATCCGCCAGGATGGATATGTTCTTGGGTGAATTTGGCGGCCACAACCAAATTCTAATGCGCAAGTGAGTAGTCTCCACATCAGAAAGCGAGGACGTCACCATTGATATCCCCGTCAGCAATGATGAGACCTGGAGACGCCAGCGTCGAATGTATCATCGGAATCTGAATGGTCAGAACGCGGACGTGTATCTCCCGTACCAGGTACCCACACCTCTGGCCGATGTGAAATGGGTACGTGTTAACCTAGGCCGGGAAGGACTATGAATCGATTCAGCTGCTGGGAGATCTTCTGCAAACCCCCGCGAAGTTTGAGGACAATCTCAAACGTTACACCGCTAGCATCGGATACACCATCGCATATGGAATGCGCATAAATTCGATTGAGGAGAACAAAGCGGCGCGAACTCTGTTCGAGGTGAGTACAGACAGCAAATAGTAATGCGACATCTCTGTTACTAAAGGGCCCGGCCCAGTGGACGGCAGGTCAGGTGATAGTCGGAATGGGGCTGGCCATCACGGACTGGTGGCCCTTCCTTCGCATATTATTTCGAAACATGCCAACCAGAATCATCCCCTTTCTCGGAGAGATCGACAGATTGAACCGTATAGAGTCCGACTTGTGGGATGAACAGTACCAAATTGTTCGACGCAAGGTTGAATCTGGACATGTCAGACCCTGTACGCAGATTTCAACGGGGTTTCGTTGACCCTGGTCATCCACCCTCAAAACGAGGACCTTCTCTGACGCCACCAATAGGCTTTTGCAGAGACATGATTGTTAGCAACGATGTGAAAGAAGGGTTTCTGTCCGAGAAGGATCTCAAATTTAACGCTGGTCACGCGTGGGCCGCTGCAAGGTGGTATCATCCAGCTGAACTCGTGGGTTAGAAAATGCTGACCAGATCCCAGTGATACCCAATTCACCTCACTTTGGTTTTTTGTCAAGGCCCGTTTCGCCCAACACCAACCGTCCCAGCTGCGCTGACTTTTTTTTTTGGCAGGCTATGCTGCTCTACCCGCAATGCCAAAAGAAAGCGCAAGAAGAGATTGACGCCATAGTGGGAGCCGACAGACTGCCAAAGTGGTCCGACTGGGATTCCCTCCCATATACGCGCGGTGTGTTGAAGGAGACTATGCGTTGTAGGGCCTCTAGAGTTTGCCGCAGGCTTACCAGTTTCTATGCTCACCCTCAAATTTAGTCTATCCAGCCACCATTACTGGAGGCATGCCGCATGCAGTGGTCAAAGATGACATGTACTTGGGATACACCATTCCAGCAGGAGCAGGGCTGGTCAACAACGTGCGTTAGCGTCTATCCATAAATCCCCAAGCGAGACATAACAACAAAACAGGTGTGGGCGGTGAACAATGCCGTTGAAAACCCGCGCAATTTCGACCCTACTCGCTTCCTCGAAGATTCACAGAGCTCAATGGAGTCGGCCGTGCAGGCGGATGCCAGCAAGCGTGATCATTTCACCTTCGGCGCAGGACGTCGGATCTGCCCAGGCGCCCATGTTGCTGATCGGGGCTTATTCGTTGCCATGACCAGGCTTCTTTGGTCGTTTAATTTCGAGCCATTTCCCGGGGAGAAGGTTGAACAAGATGCTTTCCAACCCGGATTTATTACTTCTCCAGTGCCCTTCAGGTATGCACCCTCTTTTACTCCGTCCGGTGGTGACTTGGGAGTCACCGTCCTAGCACGAGTTCGCGAAGCTAATCAGCAGAGCTTGGCGTGCCCTCAGGTGCCAGATAAAACCACGGAGTGAATTGAAACGATATCGAATTACAGCACTCTGGGAGCAGTCAAAAAGCTTCCTCGACGAGAACGGTGACTATATTCAAGAGTTCTACGATAAGATGGTTCGCGGTGAAGGTGTTACAGTCTGAAGGAAGCATTGCGAGAGACTTGGATCTAAATGTACCGATCATCAATGTCAATATTGAACCAAGCGCAGAAATCGTCTTTGATACCGAGGCCGGAAACAGGTCATGTTCTGAAGAAACAGCAGCGGCTTTGCCCGGTATAATTAATTTCGTTCAAAATCGTCCAACACCAGTCTGTTAGCCCGTAGGTGGCGTCTCCGCGGCCCTCGAGTTGCCACTAGAACATCCTCTGGGAGGTTGAAATATGCTGGCCCAAGGCAAGCACAAACCTTGAGCTTGGCTTCGAAAATCGGATAGCAACTCCTCCCACTTTTGGCCACCCTACGCTACTCGGCCCCTCGCCCCAACCCCCGCGCCCAGACTCACCGAGAAAAGAAAGTGACCAATCAATATATTGCCGAGAGATGAAGAAACTCCGGCCAACCAGACCTAATGCTCTTCGTCGGACCGTATGGCTACGGCAAGTGAGGCGAGACACCCCTTGGGGCTTCCAGCGCAAGGTCTTGCAAGGCCTTAGGAATGGACTTTTTGAACAGGTGGAAGTCGTGATGGTTCCGCTATAACAGGCCTGTCATGGTAGACCTCGCGCAATCATCGACAACAATCAACGTCTTCTCGCCAAGTAGATCAGAATGTCGAATCTATTCGAAGGAAAAGTCATCGCCGTTACAGGTGCCGGCTCAGGTATGGGCCTTGAAACTGCCAGGCTCCTTTCAGCACGAGGCGCCTGTGTTGCCATGTGTGATGCCAATGAGGAAACACTTTTGAAGGCTCGAGATTCAATACTGGAGACGTTGCCTCTGAACAGCGGCTCCAGGCTGCGAGCCTCGGTGGTGGACGTACGTCAACGGAAGCAGGTCGACGACTGGATGCAGGATTGTGTCGACCACTTCGGCAAACTTGATGGAGCGGCGAACATAGCAGGGATATCTTTTGGAGGCATACCCATCGAGGCCATGACCGACGAGGTATTCAAAAGAGTAATCGACATCAACCTGACCGGCATTATGCACTGTATGAGGGCACAAATTCCAAAGATTTCACCCAACAGTGGAATCGTGAATGTCTCGAGTCTAGCAGGTTTTCTCTCTTTCGGAGAAGACTCACCTTACGTGGCTTCCAAGCATGGAGTCATTGGACTTACGAAGGCTGCCGCACAAGAAGTCGGGGACAGGGGCATTCGTGTGAACTGCGTCGCACCGTAAGTGTTTTCAAGATATCGCTTACAGTTCACTGCCAGCCAGCGTTTTATTCTTTGAAGCGGCTGACACAAGATCCAGGGAATTCACTCAGACACCGATGCTGGAAGCAGCAGGCCTCGTTGATGTCAAAGGGCTCAGTCAGCTTGCAATCAAGCGAGTAGGAAAACCTGCTGAAGTGGCAGAGCTTATAGCTTTCTTACTATGCGATGCCGCATCCTACATTACAGGTAGCGTAAACTTCATCGATGGCGGCTGGATGAGTTCCTAGGAAGTTGCCCCGGTAGGAAAATGCACTACAGACCCTTCAGTCACCAGAGCTTGGACCTTTCCTAATCCCGTACCGTGCAAAAAAAACACGTGCGATATGCTCGTATTTGGAGGCCGGAGACTTGGTGATTTCCCAGGTTTCGAATTAGATGATAAGCCTACCGTAGGTATCGCGCTTGACGCACGGAGAAAATGGCTGCCGCCTCGGGTCTGATCTGCTGAGTGGAGCTGCCTTTTTGGTTTGGTTCGGCTGGCCGTTCCCCTCGGCCCGTTTGATTCTGACAATCATTTGATTTAGATGCCAACTAGACCATCTGTTTCTGAGAAAACCATGTCCGGCTGCATCCTTCATGCCCGACAGTGAACTCAGAGATCATAGTTGATCATGGACAAGACTTTGAATGGGAAGGTAATTGCAGTCACCGGCGCTGCGTCGGGGATAGGAAAAGCTACAGCTAAGCTGCTCGCATTAAGAGGTGCGACAGTGTCCATCTGCGACATCAAGTCATCCGAGTTGGACCAGGTCGCCACGGAGATAACGAACGCTGGAGGCAAAGTATTATCCGCTGTGGTTGACATTCGAGATGACTCTCAAGTTGTTCAATGGATTGAAAAGACAATTCAGCAATTTGGTCTTCTCCATGGCGCCGCAAACATTGCCGGAGTCGTACCGAAGAGGTTCGGCATCGATCGGGTGGAGGAGTTGGACGAAGAAGACTGGAACTTCACCATGGAAGTCAATCTGATAGGACTTCTACACTGTCTGCGAGCTCAGATGCAGGCAATGTCGCATCCCGGCGCGATTGTGAATATGTCGAGTGTGATAGGGTTGACCGGCATGGACAGAAATGCGGCCTACTGTGCTTCAAAACAAGCCGTTATTGGGCTCAGCAAGTCCGCTTCGAGAGAATTGGGACCTCGCGGATCCAGAGTGAACGTGATAGCACCGTGAGTCCTTGGACCACCACTTCCTGTGGGAGATGACAGTATACTAACGGGTCGTGTGAGTAAGGGGTCCTATTGATACTGCCCTCTTAGCCGACCGGTACGTTCCGGATGATTTGAAGAAAAATACACTGGCACCCCGTGGCTCCTTGAAGCGGGTAGGAAGACCTGAGGAGGTAGCTGAGATGGTCGCCTGGCTACTTTCCGACGCGTCCTCGTATGTCACTGGCTCAGTTCAGATCATTGACGGAGGATGGATGCATTGAGCCCCAGGATCGATCACTGCCCTGGATTTTCGTTGTTGAGCTCTATAGAATTTGAGAAATCTGGGGACAACATTCACTACGCCAGGCATCATTGGTCTGATGACGAATACGGTACAAATCACCCCATTCTAGTGGTTACTGTGAGCACGAGTCTAGAACTTGTGCTTTTCTCTTGACATGTTGGTACACCTGCCATCGATGTTTGTAAGGAAGCTTTCATCTTGACCGATGATAGATGGTCCCGAGTAATTCTTCACTGGGGCGTCAGTTTGTTTCCAAATTGGCAGGTTGGAATACTACATAACATCACCATAGGTGATACATCGTACCTCCGAGAGTGACAGCTCTTCGACGTGAAATTCCCTCAGCCGATAATCAGCCATTGTGTCGAATGTGGAAGACAAACGTGGAATACGCTCCTTGATGTAGGAAACACGACAGATTGAGAAGTCTTTGCTCCAGCAACCACACATTTTGCAAATTAAAGCAAACCAAGGTACCGAGGTCACTGGTGAGGCCCCTAGTTCGGGACCAACAGCGCACTCTGTGCTACTCCTTTGTCTTGGGTACTCGTTCCTCTGCTCTCACCCAGAGACCATGCTGGACAAACACGCCATGGTTTTCATACTGGTCAAAAGGTTTCATGGCATCGACGGCAGTAAAGTTGAACCTCCTGATAAGCTCGAAAATTGCCTTGTGTAACTCGATCCTTGCAATCTTTTCCCCCATGCATTTATACCTCCCATAACCAAACACCAAATCATGTGCCTTCTCCATTCGTGCTAGCCTCTCAGGATCTGCATCAAACCAGCGTTCCGGCCTGAATTCGGAGTAGTCCGGGCCATAGGCTGAATTGTTTTTGAACACGTTCCAGCCACAGAATCCGATGGTAGTGCCTGGGGGGAGATACTTGCCCTCATGGTAGTCTCCATTTGGGCCAACCACACGCGGCAGTAGACCAGTTCCAGCTGGGTGGTAGCGCAGAGCCTCTTTGACGCAAGCGTTCAAGTATGGAAGCGTTGGACCCTTCGCGGCCGATATGATTTCCGTCAGAGGAACTCCTGAGGCATCGCACTCTGCTTGTAGTCGGGTGCAGACTCGTGGGTTTGTGATGATGTAAAACAAACCGGACCTCAGCACGGTAGATGTCGTGTCCGAGCCGGCGAAAAGCTGCAACATTCCTTCGTCCGCTATTTCACCCTGCGTCAGACCATTTTTGATGAAGCTTTGGATCATGTCCTCCCGGACGACTTTGTTTTCTCCGAATCTCTGGCCAACGATCTGACCCACTACGCCCTTGATTTTGCCCACACCCACCTTGGCTTTGAGCGATGGCATCATCATTCGTTGCACAATCGGGTGACGCATCAGATAGATGAAGAAGGGGATGGCGCTGACAAAGTTCATCAAGGGGAGATTCTTCGCGAGGGTCGTCACGTACAAGTACATGTCTTGGTCATTTTTGAGCCAACCTAGTGGTTGGCCCAAAGCTAAACAGGTAATAGTGTCCAGTGAAGTACTGTGCCGCGGCTGCTAAGTCAAACTTCTTCAGGCTGCTACCATTGCTGATGTACCGATCCTTGATGAGGGTGATGAGCTGCCAGAGAATGTCGTCCATGTCTCTTTCCAATGTCGGGTTATCTTTGCCGGCGTACTGCCAGAGTTAGTGGCTGCTAAACGCCGGGACGTGAGCGCTGCTCAAGGACATACTCCAGCCGCGACCTTCTTCCGCATTTCCACGTGCTTGACTTCATCGGGCTCAGAAAGCAGATTCTCCCGCTCTGCATCAAATTTGAAGGCTCTGTACCAGTCGCCACGGTGATACGTTGACCGAGCCGCATTAATCCTTCTGATCAGTTCTACATCGCAAGTAAGCAACGTATTGGGCCCGATGCGGGCCAAGGAACCTGACAAAATTGTCAACGCTGAGCTCCGCGTGGATGGACGTTACTCTCAACACACACCGTATTCGGTGCACACATCCCCGAGGATCAGATGAAGTTTGTACGTTGTGACTGCCTTTGCGTACCAAAGGTTGGTGAATGCCGCGAGCGGTGGGCCTTGGAATTCTCGTAGCCGCCAGTACGCTCTAACTGTTGAGACGGTGTACCAGATGAACAAGACAGCACCTGCCAAAAGAAAAACCGAGTGGATTGTCCAGTCATGATCCTTGATGGCCGAGGGTAAGCCGGCTAGAGAGTTGAAATTGCCCATGGAGTTGTCATACATCGCCAACAATTTCCCTTTCATCTTGTCGACAAATGCGGACGAGACTGAATTCTCAATGTGGAACACAAGGCACTACCTATATGAGATCGCCGTGGTGTGCTCTCCAAACCGAACATATTTTCGAGACCAATGGCATTGAGTGAGAACGTCATGCGGTCCTTAAACTCTTGGATCCCCCGCAGGACGGAGAAATACAGGAAGACCCCAGGAGTTCTAAGCCGACCAAAAGGGGGAATTCTTCATTCGCGTCCCACATGTGTCTGGACACGCTTGCAAACTACGACCGGCAAAACCTTTTCTCCATGGGTCACAGAGGTTGATCGAGTGTAGCCCATAAACGGTACGCAGAAGTCAACCGTAACGAGAGTCAGATGCAAGTAAGACTAAGTAAACAGAGACCAATTGACCGTTGTAAATACGATATGTGCGGTTATTCAGGAGATTGGGGTTTACGTGCTTTGCTGGAACAAACGACCACACCGTAGCAGCTCTCGGTAATCTCAAAGCCGTGATCATCTAATGGTCTAGCTGATCTGATCCAATCGCGACGCAAAGAACTGCGTTTCCTGCCATATCTCGACAGATGCAAACCTCCTGCCACTCAAATGTTGGACTCGCACTTTCTTCTCAAGGTATTGGCTACCGGCGAGTTCTTGGTCCCACAGATTGTCGAATTTTGAGTGAAGTTTCCGACTCTCCGCTTTCCAATCTTTGTAGAAGGTTTTCGGGATCAATGTCTGCACCTACTGGGTTCTCGACCCATTGCGGCGAGTTCATGAATTTTGTAGCGTCATTGGGGTCGTCGAAATTGTCGATTTGGGTTTCAAGTTCGTTTCCATCGGGGTCTTCGTAGTAAATACTTGTAGTTGGCCCATGATTGACGCTCCAGACGGGGTAGATACCAGCTTTCTTTCGCTGCTGATAAGCGGTGAGAAGGTCGTGTAAAGAGGCATATCCGAATGCAATATGGGCGAGACCAGAGCGCATATACACATCGCCGGGGGGGTGTGGTCGTGTGCCCTGACGACCAATGATGGCTATGCGATGGTGTTCATCATCGTAGGTGATGAAGCAGAGGAAGTCGTTCTTCCATACGATTTGGCCTCCTAGTGAAGTTTTCCAAAAGTGAATCATGGAACGAAACTTCTCGGGCACCGTGCGGATGACAACGTGGCACAGCGCCTTAGGGGAGAATACACTGTCTGCCTGCGAACCCATCTCCACAGTAATGATCCTCTGAGTAAGGCGAGTATGTACTCTGAGGTGCTTTTGGTGAGTCTGAAGTGAGATACCGGCTGACAGGAAGTGGAAGAAGAGATTTGTGACCTAAAAATCAAAAACATGGGAAACAGTGCTCCGATGTTGTTGACCATCCACAGGCGCAGCGGACCTGTTAATGTCAGCATCGCCGTACTCGGCCAAATTAGAGCGTGATTGCATACGCGATATGTGATCTTGGCCGAGCGTATCTAGGCATACGTGTCCTGAACGAATGAAGATGAATGCCCTTCCCTGCCGGTCTCGGGACTATACTGTATACTGCGAGGGCCAATGTTGTTCGTGGAGCTGGACTTGAAGAGTGCTCGGCGTTGTATAGGCCTATCCGCTCCGAGGCTGTGAGAATCCAAGCCGCTTCCATAAACGTGGGCAGAAAGCTTCATAGCTGTTCGATTAGGTTGCTGGCAGTCAGGAGGCTCCATTCAATCTATCTGGTGTTCCCGGTGGAATTACTCGGTACATAGTGCCGTATTGACACCCATAGTGGATCAGCATATGTACATAGTAACAATGAGACGCGCCGCGATGGAGGCCTCACCATTGGTCAAGTTCCGGATCCCCGAGTGGCACTGTCCCCCGGTGCCCAGCCACACGAAGCTCAGCAGGTCTGGGGCTCGTCCAAATGGCCCCGCTGTCGAGGACGGAATATTCACTGATGAAAGACCTCCTCGGTCAAAAGGCGCCGCCTCAGAACCTAAGCCGAACCCCCCAATGCTGCCGCCCGGCGCCTTCTCAACGGGGGACTAAAAACCCCGACTTGCCTAGGCCTAGCTGCTTGTTGGCGAAACCTCCAAACGAACTTCGTGTCTCCGCCGAAGCCTACCTAGTTCAAAGACAAGTATGCTAAGTTGCGAAGGATCGTAGACCTCGAGCGATAGATAGTAAACCTTACAACCTCTTGTTATATGTCCATCGGCACTTGGACTTCTGTGGCTACTACTCTTGATCCCAGGTCAAGCTGAATAACATGGCGCGCTCTGAAAAGGGTCATTTTCTGATCATAGGCGGCGGCTTTGCTGGGCTGGCTACCGCGATTGAACTGAAACGGAAAGGTTTCAGTGCAGAAGTGTTTGAAACAGCTCCCGAGCTAAGTCTTATCGGTCTGTGGTCTATGATATTTGTGCAGCCGTGTCTAGGCTCATACATCTTATAGGCGATGTAATCCAGATAGGATCAAGCGCAACTCGCATCATCTCGAAATGGGGCGACACACTGAAAGGCGTCACAGAATATTCCAGCCGCCCGAAAACAATGAGCATTTACAATTCGGCTGGCGAACTAGTTTTCGATTCTCCAATTTTGGCGGATTATGACGGCTTTCCCATCCTGTTTTCGAACAGATCAGGCGTCCAGAAATGCTTTTACGAATATGCGCTAAGCATTGGGGTCACAGTCCACTTGAATACGCGCGTCACCGAATACTTTGAAAACGATGAGTGCGCGGGAATTACCATTGGCTCCAAGGAATTCAAAGGAGATGCCATCATTGCCTGCGATGGCATCCACAGCTATGGTCGGCGCTATGTCACGGGTATCAATCAGATAGCACAGACCAGTGGCTTTTCTGTGTACAGGTCGTGGTTCCCGCTAGAGCGATTGAGCCACGATCCTCTGACCAAACATTTTACATCATCCACCGAGGAAGAATTGATCATGTGGGTAGGACGAGACACACACACCAATCTTTTGGTTTTGCCTAAGCCTCAGGGCGCTGTCGTCTTCGTAACACACCCGGTAATGTTGCCTCCGGATGCTCAATCAGCATTGGACTCTTACTTACCCCGCGCCAGGATACAGACAATGAGGCATCAGAGTCTTGGAGTCGAAAGGGAAGTATGGAAGATATGATGAAGAATGTGGAGGGCTGGGATCCTATCTGTCGTGCTGCTGTGGCGGCCGTACCACAAGAGGTGCTGATTGATTGGAAGTTGCTGTGGCGAGATCCAACAAGGAAATGGGTTTCTGACAAGGGTCGTGTGGTTCTTGTTGGAGACTCCGCTCACCCTCATCTTCCAACATCTGGCACCGGAGGCGTGCAGGCCATCGAGGACGCCGCCACATTGGTCGCAGTCCTGGATAGCTTGGGAAAGGAGAAGATCCCGCTGGCATTTAGAGTCTTTCAGAAGTTAAGGTGAGTTGTTGCCTCCACGAAGCCCAACGCTTCGAACGTTTGCCAACAAGTCATACCCTAGGTATGAACGCACCAGTCTCACCCAGAGAATGGGTTGGGAGACTCGACACCGATGGCATAAAACCGACTGGGAAGCTGTCGCTAAAGATCCAGCCATCATGAAGATGCCTCAGCCTACATGGATTTACGGCCATGACGCTGAGAAGTACGCATATGATCGAACCGCCGAAGCTGCTGAGAGTGTGGAGAAGGGCACCGCCTTCCAATCTACCAACATCCCAGAAGGACATGTTCATGAAGACTGGACGGTTGAAATGATGCTGGCCCTGGAGCAGGACGAAGTCCAGAAGAACTTTTACAAAGTTGCCAACGTTTAAAGTTGGGTGCAGAGAAGAAAATTTCTACCTTTCTCCAGATGCCCGGGTATTCTAAGCTACCATAGTCTCCAAGTCTTGAACAATAAAATCATTCACAACCATTACTTTTCTGAAGATCTCGTTTGCGACATTGTAGGCCTCGCATCCGAGCGGTCGAGCAGATACATTGCGAATGTCAACATACGTGTATTCGGTATGCAAAGTCATTGCCGGGAAATCGGCCTCCGGTTTAGGTTGCCTACCGCTTCGGGCATGGTCGCGCGCTGGGCGCACAGCCGCTTTTGACGGCTATAAGGACCAACTCGCCCGTCTCAACTCCCTCATGCCTTCCAACTTATTTTTCCTCTCTCGACTCTGCCCTCCCTGACACATCTGTCGGGTCGCATCTCGACACCGCTTGAATGTCTCACCTCCTGCCGCGTCAGGCCTCCCATCCTTGATCTCCCCTCAGCTCCCTCGAAGTCTGCCTCGAAGTCTGCCTCGCGGTCTGAATTTCCTCCCGTGCCGTATCGGGCCCCTTTCCATTCGATCCAAATTCTGCCTCGTCTCGATCATCCTCGCAATCTGCGATCGTCACACCTGCCCCCCCCTCTTGCGAGGAGGACCGTTTTTGGACCCTCCGTGCGCCGGATCCTTCTATGGCTCCCTTAGCTTCGCTAACCACGCAACGCACCAGCTCAGCTGACTAGATCCATCACCTATGCATGCCTCGACGAAAGTCTTGGGAGCATGGGTGTGACTGTCGACAAGTCAGCGAGTCCCCTTCTGCCATCTTGTGAAAGTTGACCCATGTGACGTGTTCCCTCAAGCGTCTGTTCCAGGCCCAGCAGTCCCCTCCCCCTCACCCACAGCAGGTTCGACTTCGTCGACCATAGCAAAATCGAATATCCTCCGGGGCGCCGTGGTCGACAGTCAATTCTCCACGCTGCACCATTTGAAAGGGGAGGGATGCTGGGTCTCGACTTTGTGGAGCGAGACATTGAAGGTGGCTGGAGCGCCGCGGATCCTTTGGCTCGAACCGGCGCACAGAGCTGGGCGTCTCACCCGGTACATCCAGTCGCGAAAGTGCCGCACAGGGTGGGTAGCAGAATGCCTGCATGGCTGCCTACGCTCCGTCTCGCGAAACGCAGGTTGACGGGGGCTGAGTCTTCGGCTTCAGCTCTCGGTATTTCTGCGGAAGAGAGTCATGATCTGTCGAAAGGGACACGTCAGCATGTTGCAGATGGTTCCTCAGCCGCTGTCTCTTCGTTTGATCTGAAAGAAGTACGGCGCCTCCCCTAGGAGGGGCTTGCGAACGGCACTTAGGGAGGAGGATATAGTGGGATTGTTGGAACAAATTTCGCTCCCACGGACGGAGATGTTGGTTCGCTGTTGTCCCTCATTCTCGAGACCACTATCACCGGGTTCAATGCCATCTTCGGGATAACGGTGGCCCCCGATTCGTATTTTTCGGTGGCATGACCCGTTCTACTTCGTTTCGGCCATGGTATTCTCCCTCTCTCGGCCCCACGGGGCCTGGACGCACCGACAGCAGCTTTGGGAAGCCAAGGATCAAACCTGGCAGCTGTGCGAGACTTGGAATTGCGCATTGTGAGAGAAGGGAAAGCATGGAGCGCATTAGGCCGTGGTGACTGTCTATATGAATAGCCCCGGTTCCCTCGCCGTTCTCTATAAAATCCGTTCTCTTGCTCCACGCTCCTCGAAATAGCACACTTCAATCATGGCGACTTTCATCGCGTATCAACCACGAGCAAATAAAACGTCCTTCAGAAACCGCGTCTTCGGCAAATCTTCCACAGTCGGCCTCCACAGTCAATTGTCGATCAGAAATAGCTCCAAGTATCCGCAACAGGAACGGCCTACGGACAATACGGGTTTCGTCGCTTTGGTGGATTTAACTACCTCTGCCCGGGACTCCGCTCGAGAATATCTAGTGGAGCAAGAGATTTTGGGACTAACAGCTCATGATCCCGACAGACGCGGCGTTCAAGTTGCCAGAGTCCGTAGCAATGACGCGATCGACAGTGACGTGGTTGAAGAAAGCGAAGAATGTGACAACCACGACAACATTGACGATAAAAGCGAAATCAGTAACCTTCTATCGCCCACGGCCATCTTTTCCCGAAGCGACTCAGGGTTTGGAGGAAGTGCCGGCCTTAGCAGCAAGGCTTCCACATCACCCATTTCCATTGACAGGATCGGCGAGGTGTGTTGGCAAGAGGACGACTGTTGAGAGTCGTGCCGGTTTTCCGCTATGGCTGCAGCAGGTAGTCCGCCCGGAGCCAGCCAAGGTAAGTAATAGAGATCTTATGTCTACGTATATTAGCCACGCATACTGATGTATTTCTCTAGACAACCCGATTGTGCTGGACGACGTTCAGCAAGTTGACACCCCCAACAATGCTGCCTTTGACGACGAAACCCTCGCCCTCAAGGTTACGGACGGTATCCCTCCCAACGATTCCTCCCTTTCTTTGTCTGAAGGAACTACAGAACTAGGCAGAGAGGATGGAAAGGAGGATACGGGCTGCCTGATAAAATACAGTATAAACAATCCTGCAGGCGACGGGAAAGAAGGAGGAAGCGAGAAATCATACAAAGCCAATGCTCTCCACATTCATATTCTCAACAGAGGCAATGGCAATGATAAGTGCGGTGACGCTGGCATAGGTTCAAATGCACCTGCGTCTGTTGGCTGAATCTATGATGTCTTTGCTAAATTTGAAGAGACCTTTGTCAAGGCGAAGCAGAGGCAGAGGATGGCGGTTGCGACTCTCCATGGCTGCCTAGACCGCGACGTTACCGTAGGCTCTATTCCACGCCTCGCCGGCCACGAAGAGCATCGGTCAACTCCAGACGATGGCGCCCTGGACATAGAGTAGCTTGTAGGAGCAGCGAGCGCTAACGTTGACCGCAATTGCTTGTCAAAGTGGGATCGCCTTCCGATCGAACCAGGAGATACTTATTGAGGACATTTCTATAGTGGCCAGCGACCGCTGCTCAGGTGGGTTCAGTATCGGCGTCTTCGACCTTTTAGTCTCGCCCGAGTTCTAGTATAGGAGACCACAGAAGGAGTCAGTGCCTTTACGGAACCATCGCCATCATCGCCTCTAGTGGCTGCGCATAAGGCTACTGAAACTAGTCCCGGTGCTGGCATCCAAGGAGCACCGACTCGAAAACGGACTCAATCATCTACCCAATCCGCTATTCTCTCCAACGATGGTAATCCTCCAAAACGTTCTTGCCGCGCAACGAAGGAGACGTGGAAGGTAAAAGAGGCCAAGGGAGGCACTGGAGGAGGCGGAAGCCAAGCGGTCCCAGACCTCATCGGATCGACGCAGAAAGAAACTGGCTCCTTGCGTTCCCCTAGATTCCGCTACAAGGGGAGTAGCTGGCGAGGTGGCGGACATTGAGGATGTCTATCTAGGACAGGATGGCTCCATCAAGTGTCTTATCACATGGAAGCTATTGTCGATCACCGTGGAGAACCCCTGTTGGCCAATAATTAGGGAAGGGACGTGAAGGTCTGCGCGGGAAGAGGTCTAGCCACCAGGAAGTGCAGAGATGGGCTGTGTGATCAAGTGGCAATCTAGGAAGAAATGAGGATCGGCTGGATCCCTTTTAATCTGGTTAGGAATAGGGGCTGGAAGATTAGCGGGAAGAGGTCAACCATCGTTTAGTACACAAGGATTTATAAATTCATTCTCGTTTTGTTCTGTGTATGAATCAATGTAGCCAAATGGCAAACGCCTTGTAGAGTGGTCCTTATAGGGCCTTTGTTGCCAGGGACTAGGCTGGGTTGATATCCAGAGCTAGTGAGCTGCGACAAACTGAACAGCCAAGTCCAGAGAACATGTGATTGGTGGTAGCGAGTTCCTAGTCAGTCGCGTCTGGTTAATGAGTGTAGCATTCATTCGCCTCAGATCGAGCAGGAGGCACAACCAGAAGGTCAGCGATTCGCGCAGGCTCTGAAAAAAAGAGGTGGACACTAGAAGGAAAAATGCCCGACTGAACCTCGGCATGGTGTTCCATCTAAACAGGCCACCTTAAAGACCGCCATCAACAATACTTGATAGAATTGATCACCGTCCTCATTGGCCACACAGACTATTGGATCTGACTGTGTATATACCATTTCCAATGCCTTCTTTACTTCGGAGAGCCACAGCTGTATCTTGAGCTGCTCGACTTTCAAAGAATGAAAGTCGTATATTTTCCTGCTTCAGTTTTAACTTCCTCATTCGTGCGGTTTCCAGATTTCCTCCCTGCTGTTTATTTCTCCGGGTCGAAACGCGACCGATGGATCCGGGTACGTAGGTGCTACGCTGCGCGCGCCTGCTCCTGCCATGGTCCGGAGGCTCAACGATGGCTGGCTACCAACAACTTCAAGGGAGGATGTTCACCACAATGACTTGACCTTGAGAGGTCGTTACGGCATTGACCTGTGTGTACAATGGTGTTGGCCCCCGAGGCATATTCCGCCCCCACCATATACCTCGCTGGCAAGGCCTATCTAAGTTCAGCCTTCTTCAACCTCGCAATATGCCATTGGCGCATATTGACTTTTCTGTGGCGTTTTCCTGTCTCACTCTGTTGCATTCCGTCTCAATCTGTTGCCTATTAGTTCAGGGACAATGCAAGGGATGCTACCCCTTTTTGCCTTGCAGACAGGTATATAGCTTGGACGGTGCCCCCGATCGATGGGAGGTACCAGAGCCAAATATTATAGTCGAATTGACATCAAATGGTCCTGCCATTTGAGTGGCGCAAATCTGATGCTCAAGGGATTTTGCCTCAAAGAATAGAGCATACTGACCAGCGCGTAATCTAGACCGGCATAGAGACATTGGGTTATTTAAATCGTGATGTATACCACCCTCTTACTCTATATCCGTAGGAACATACGCATCAAAGTACCCGGTACTCCTCCCCTTCTTGTTGGACATGGGCTTGGCACTGCGCAACACTCTCGCCAAATTAGGTTTAGCTTAGTTTCAGTAGATAGCGAGATAGATCTCTGTAGAGAGTTCTCCTGCAACTCTCTACAAATCAATCAATCAACTAAAACCTTTTCTCTATCGTGGTGCATCATCCAACAGAGATCAGCCACTGGGTCTCGCCATCAGACCATTGCCCCTTTTTATTCCGTCTCATTTGTTGCCTCAGCTCTTGTTCTCCAAGAAGGCGTTTGGCTTCGCGCAAGACGAACTCTGGAGTTCTGTCAAGGGATATCGCCAAGTCCACGGGAGATTGACCTCGCCGGATCCACAGTTCGATCTCTTCGTCTCTTGCCTTTCCAGGCAGTCTCTTGATGAACTCAATGGTCTTAGGTTTTCCTGTTGGATGCTCGAGAGTGATTTCGATGTTTTTGTTGCACTTAGTATTCTCTAGAATCTTGTCACCTTAGTTTAGAAGGAGCCTCTACGTAACGAGTCCCGTAATAAATCGTTAGAATGCGTCTATATACTTATCGCTTGTGGCGTATCTCATCGTCTCGGCGTACCTCTGTAAGACACTTATTAAGTCCTCTCGGTCGGGGATGGTGAAAGTCTACGCTACGTCTGCTAGTTCATCGTCTTCATAAAACAGGATAGAGATATATTCAGTTTTCTGACTTGTAGCTAACGGACCCATTCGGAGAGCTTCTAAATCGACATAGACGGGTTACGCCCAATCTGGACTCGTGCCACGGAGATAACAGTAAACTGTCTCGGGCTTTCGAAGAGCACATGTGTCGAGGTACTCGGGGTGCCTCCCAAATCGAAGCCTGCAACGGAAACTATGAACGTAAGTTACATAGACGGAAACATTAAGCGCCGGAAAGCCAGGTGTGTGACTCGACAACTCGGCGTCCACGTCTACACACATCTTCGAAATACAATGACTGACGTCCTGAGCCGCATCCTGAAACTGATGGAAGAATTGATTGCGCAGATTGGCAGACTTTCGCGGCCTACCCGGCCATATTCGTCTAATATGCTTCGAGAAAGAACGATTGATATTGGAATCCCATGTCAGGCAACGAGCACGTTTCAACTTCGGTGCAATTTGACCAGATGATTACCGCGTCGTTGGGGTCTGCAAAATAGGACATTATTCGGCTGAGGCCAGCGATCGTCTATCGTTCCCAGCTACTCCGTTTGTATAGTACCCAAAGTCATCTGGATCTCTGGACGTGATTCAAAACAGGCCCGGAAAATCTAATGCATTGGAATGAAATCAATTTCGCTTCCAACCATTGAGAAAGGGGGAAAACCCCCTCGTGGTCGATTCAGACGACAGACAACTCGGTAGGAGGTGCGAACATCAAACCTCAGCTGCGTACATGGCAACGATTAGGCTTTCTAGGACCAGTATGTACTGGACCATCAGGCGGTTCATACTGTATCTACGGCCAATTCGTCAGCCCAACCTCGAAATTTCAAGCGCTGTAAGGGGGTTGGCGAAGCAAGGTGAAACACGTGGTAACGGACTAATTGGTCAGACTTTGTTTCGGTTTGAACATCTCCGAAGAACGACCATCTGATTACACATGCTCGCCATCTGATTGGCCAGCCAGAATCGACGAATTGCTCGACGTCTGGCCGGTCGAAACATCGACGATGGAAGTTGATCTACAGGACATGTACAAGGATCTGTGGCTATATGTTGAATAGGAAAGGGAGCCTTTTGACACATCGCTCAATGCGAGATTCTGCTAGTCTTAGGCCAGGTGTCGCAGAGCAAAGCCTCACTAATATCATCATCTTGCGAATCGACATCAATGTCTTCCGAGCCCGTGGTCTCGAGACTGTTGCCCCATTGTGACGACTCCTAGCCCAGAAACTTGGACAGTTGTGGACTTTCCGACGACAAAGTCATGCTGTCCACGTTCCCGCTGGACGGGAGATCTGGTGGCCGGTTTGGGGGCAGCGCGAACCATGGGCTCTCCACCACATTAGAAGAGGAACAGGTAAGCAAATATAGGTACGGGAGTATAGGTAAGCGGACCTGGGTATGTGAACTTTTCCGACCCCGTTGAAGGCTAGGGGACGTCCCTATGGAACGTACCCAGGTCACGCCTACCCGTATTCGCGTACCCGTGTTCACTTACCCATATCCCTCTTCCTATGGTATCTCGACTTGAGAGGGACCCCACGCTGTGAATGTGGTCTAGACAATTTTGGGCTAAGCCGGTTCGGGCTCTCGCTGCTTGACCACGTAGAAAGAGGAATATGGGTAAGTGAACACGGGTAGTTTGGCGCGTGGAAAACCTGTCAACTCGTCTTCCGCACGTGACTGGGCTGGCACGGCTTTGCTCATCTTGGGCTCACTTTCCGCTCCTGGTGAGCTCTCGAATCCTCAATCAGAATGGAACGGACACGTGCTCTGAACCTACTGCGCCACAATAAATCAAAAGGGACGAGCTTTTTGTGCTGGGGCGTAGGAGCCAAAGACTTAAGCAGCCAAGCAACCCATCACACATCCGATGAGGTCTAGGCGCTTGGTGGCGGCTTGGATATTCTCCCAAAAGCGGCTCAGCGTCATACACCAACAAACGGCGTCCATCAGCACGATGCCGCGGCCCGCAAGGCCAAGCAAGAGAGGCCCCCTTACCGACAGTTTTTCTCAAGAGATACTCGCTTTTCGTCGAGCTTCTGTAGTAACTAGAGTGCTATCTCGCCCATAGCATCAAAGCCTAGAATTTAAGGGCCACCAGCTCGAGGTCTCAGTTTCTCACTTTTCTCACTTGCCTCCGATGTTTTAAATCCACTTCACCACTTCTAACCTTATCCCTAAGCTTTGACGAGGACTTGTGATAGAAAGTACATGTAAACGTAGTGCGATCCGACCGTTGAACGGATCCTGGTGCCGTCTCCAAGTGTCTTGCCTCGTCTTCACTCGGCTCAACAATGCTCGCTGAGAGAGTTCTTGTGGCTACAGGTGTAGCCAAATTTGCACCCTGGCCAGGCTCGACATCGACGTTTTCTCCATCTCGGGTTTCAGATTGACGTGGGTCATATTGGCCCGTGCTCCTCAAAACCAATGCGAGGGGCTGTCCTTCAGGCAAGACGGGGGCTTCAGTGGTCCTCGAATCCCCCGAGATGCGAGCAATAACAAGTGGGATAGACGCGTCGGTTCTGGCGACGTTGTCATCTTCGGTTGGTGTCTTAGGCCAGGTACCGAGTCAGCCATAAGAGATATTGATAAGTACAAGGCTGACGCTGCGTCAGAATGCACTCAAGAAGTTCTACTTGCCTCAATGCTGTCACTGACTGACGGCGTGGAGACACCTCTAGATTTGACTCGTGCAGAATTGGGAGGAGGAGAGCTGGTGCTGGAGGCGGTCGAAGTTGTCTTGGATCTAGAAGATATGGTAGAGCTCATGTAGCGGGGGGGGGAAGAAGTCGGCGAGGCCATGATGCGAATATCGATACTCAACTCTTTAGCCTGTTCGTCAGTTGAGAAGTATGACCAACCTTTCAGAGAAGAACCAAGTGCAACATGTAAGAGATATTTGTATCCATCCAGAGAGAATGAGAGATGGGAGGATGCATCCTGTACGACCCTCGATGAAGAGTATTTCATGTGATTTATGAAGAGAACGACAGACTGCGACTGATTTCGGGCTCAGACACGTCGATCCGGGAAGGTCTAAACGATATCTAGTTTAGTGCGGCGACCGGTGTGAAGGTGCTTTTGTAGCTGCATGCCCTGACTAAGCCAGTCAGCTGCCAGCTGAATCCCCGCACCTACTTGGGCATTGTCATACACCCACAAAACATCCTCGAGTCTCTTGAAGTTCGAACAAGATATACCGTCTCAGAATTTTGGCTTTGTTGCAGCGGACGCGCCTTTAGCAACCCATTTAATATTAAACAACGATACAATTCGGAACGTACCCTATGGCCACACGAGGAGCCTCTCCCTCTTACCAAAACGCTCCCACCGAGGCGGAATGGAGTTTTCATCAGGATGATATCATTCAATATTTCGAGAAGATGAAACTAAGTGAAGTGCGCAAAGTAATGGAGCGGGACTATGGGTTCGTAGCAAGGTAGGTGGTTGAGCAGCCGCGCCCCGGACCTCGGCACCGGCCTCTCACTGATCGTGTCGTAATTAGCAAGAGAATGTACGAAACGAGACTCAAGGCATGGGGCGTTCGCAAAAACACTTCAGCTATTGAAAAGAAAAATCTTCTCAGTCGGATCATAGTTCAATGTGCCAATAATCAATCGAGGAAGATAACCGAGATTGAAATATTACCAACGGACCTCCATAAGCTTGAACGATATGTGAATAAGGATTCCACCAAACAATATCCAGAAGTGCCGCACAATAATTGCCACATTGTTTTCGATGCTCGGTACCCTGGTCAACGGAGCCCGGCACACGTTCGAGTGAAAATCGCCATTTCTCGAAATCATACCAGTGGCAGACCAAAGATGAGAATGAAGATCCTATCAAGGCAACCAGATCAGCCTACGAGCCCCGGAAATGGAAGCTTTGACTATGATATATCGCCTTCTTTCCTCGCAGAGTCTGATGTAGATACAACTAACCCACCATGCAGCAAGGTTGTACCGGAAGATACCACTTGGAACGACCAAATTCATTATTACTGGATATACGAAACCAGCCTGCCACTAGACTCTCTACCCATCTGCTCGGATGAATTCAGTTTTGCGCTAATTTTACAGAGTGTCAAAAGCCACCTTAAATCACAATTCAGTCGTCAGGCAACAGACAGCATCGAATATAGAGATGGGGCATTTGATTTAACCGCAGCTGCATTCTGGAGAGACATAAAGTACGCGATTTCTCTACTTAAGAGACAGTCTCTCAAAGCGTGGGAAACGTTAAGAGAAGCTGGAAAAAAGGTGGATTTGACAATCAGTCCTGAGCCAAGATGTTTTATGGGTGAGCTATTCGCCACAACGTCACCCGTCAACACGAAAGTGTGTCCGGGGTTGCGTACAGTACTTTTGCAACTTCTCTGGAAAGAATCGTATAAAAAATTAGGAGTACAACATCCGTTTTCAATTGTCTGCTTTGAGCTCCAGAAAGGCGACACCCATCGAGGACAATCAGAACAGGCCATTAAACTGGTCCGAGATCTGTTTGCTCAACACCTGGATCCTTTGCACCCAGAGACTCTCCGATGGAAGCGAGCGGAAATCACTTTACTAAGGCGGGATGGTGAGCTCGATTCAGCTCGCCGACTGTGCCTTCAGCTCCTGGATGAAACAAGGTCAAATCCTAACACCTGTACGAAACAATCGAGGATCGTGTTGAATGAATTGATCAAGATGTACATGGACGCAAAGGAATATGACCTCGCCGCGAGGTGCTGCATTGAAGGTATCGGTGACGCAGTAAAGGAGCTAGGGGTAAACTTCCCAGACGACTGTGCTGTTCGGATGATGGAAGACATGGCGGACATAGCTGGACTGAGAGGCGATACCGGAGGTCAGGTTTTCTGGCTTCACCAGGCAAAACTAGGAAGCCAGAAGACGCGTTCTCGATCATTCACTACGGGCTTTATCGACGAAAGCTTGCAACAGCTTCAGCCTACATCTCCTGCGCAATTGCAGACGAGAGGTGCTCCTGTCTAGATGACACACCTACTTTCTCGCGTTCGGCCAAGTCTTCGGGCCTTTGCATTACTATAATCTATGGTAGTATGGATTATGCCCCTTCCCCTTGGCCCCTTCCCTCTCGTCCTCCTCTCCTTCCGAGTCCTTATCGTGTCTTCCAACTTGGCCCTCCACTTCATAGATTTCTCTATGCGGCCTCACTTGGTTGGAAGGACGATCCTCCCTATACTATGGAGTGCGATGAGACGCAGTCTAGCGATCTTGCTTTTCGCTTTCGTTTTGAGGAGTCGATTTGGAAAAATCCTTGTTCAATCCTGTGTCTCTGGCTTAGCGATCTGTATCCTGGTTTCAATGTTCTTATCCTCACTCACGTCAGATGATCTGGTCGGCGACAGTGATGGCAGCAAATGATGCCGCGCACTGTGTTTCTTCCGAGTTTGAGCGGCTTAGCCGTTCTAAAAGACGGCGAACTTTTTGCGGGCACCCAGCTCCTCCGTCGGAACTGACTGGCTGCTTGTCTGAAAGTTGATTAGCGGCAATTCAACACTGCTGAGGGCGGAATAGTTGGGCTGACATGGAGACAAGTATTGATCAGAACTATGCATGTCCGCAGTTGAAGATTCTAGGGGCATTATCTCGTGTAAATAGTTGATTCTTGAAGGAGGGTTATCACCCTAAGAGATGCATAATATCGCCATTCACGCGATGTGGATTCCGGCAGCTATTGACCGCACAGCCAATCATTAATACCCAGTATTAATCTCAATATCACGTGTCCAAAGCCGTGATATCAAGTTTACAAAGAGGAGCTGATCTATTCTTAGTGACAAGGTGAACGAAGAATTCCTTCACCATGGCTTCATGCATGTGTATATTGTAGCTTCCGATGGGGTAGACCGAATTGCTCGGTGTGTAGGGGAGCTGACTGGTCGCACTATTTTCCTGTCCTTTTCGAGGTCTCACCACCAATTTCAATGGGTTTGGGGAGTTGACCAATGTGTTTGGAAAGTACGCCAGTGTGTTTGGAGTACACACTGGTCAACTCCTCAAACACACTGGTGTACTCCGTACTTCAGAGGGCCGATCTTTCCCATTGAATCCGGTGGGGAGGGTCACGATCTCGAGAAGGAGAGGAAAATGTTGCAACCTCGGGGCCGATGTGGAAAAGGACCGGGAAATGGGTCTTGGCACCGAGGGAAGAGACCTCCAAAAGCGGCGGCACTGACCGCCAGATTCGGCGGGAAATTTCCCTGCAACCCGCGTTGTGCTGTAAACATTCTTTCGGCTAAAAATGTCAGCCAAGACGAAGTGGAGATGTTGCAAAAGTGAAATACGCCAAGACGCTAGTAACTATGGCTGTAAAAGCAGCCTCCCCGACCATATAGATCTAGAATAGTCCAATGCACTTTTACGCCTCATTTCACACAAACGTGACCAATCGCAGCCTTACTGACGGCTGTAGAAAGCGGTTCGTAGCCTTTGAACCATCAGCGAGGTTCTGAGACCTGAGGACTTATGAATTAACAGGAGCTGTGTAACCACCTCACCGCCTATACCGCATGAAGCTACACGCCTAGTTGCACAGCCATTTTAAACTGTTAGGCAGCACGAGAGAGTCTTCGCACCAAGGTGCACAAGGTGCGCAGCAACAAGGAGGTAAGTCAAAGTCTTTGTTGAATCACGTATATATTATCAGAGCCGGACCGCTTTTGTATACTTTGACTCTACGGGAACAGGTGCTAGCTCAGACCGTAGTCGAAAGTTTTGTGCTTCGCCTTTCTGCTCTCGCTATACTGTGTTGCCAGCTGAGGACCTTCTGCGGATCGAATATCTCCCAGAGCACATTCCGAGAATGCAACCTTTGGCTGAGACGCGCGTAGAAAGCGTCATACGTCTCGTGTAGAACATCTTTCGGAGTGGTCACCGCCCCACTGGGGTGTAAGAATGACCAGCCGTTCGTACATTCTTTTGCACCGAATTGTATCAACTAGTATAGTTGACCAGTTTGCCATCATTCTCGGAGATTAAAGCACCCCAGTATTCGTAAGTATAGAGATCCGGCAGGAAAGCGGACCCGTTGAAGCCCTGTAAATACGGGTCGTCATAGCTGTCTACGTTTATGACCACTGTAGAGCCTGCCTGTGTAGGACGTGTTATAGCCGGCTTCCTTCATCTACAAGAACAGATTGTTGGCATTCAACCTCTGGGATACGAATTTGTCGCATCCGCCATAAGGGGAAGCAACATCCGTGGCCTTGTTGTTGTGTGCCGCTTGGCCCGATCACAGTGGCGCCCTGGAGGGACAGCACACAGGAATAGTGCAAAAGTGACTATTGAAGGTTGCTCCCGCTTGAACGATGAGTTCCTGTAGTGTGCACATTCGTCAACCATGACCCGTTGATCAAGCATCCTGAAAGGCTCTATGGCTGAGATATGCCGCAGCTACTGGGTTGTACTCGCAACATGCATAGCAATGATCGCATTTCCTCATGCGAAAAGGAATCGATTTTTTATTGTGCCAATACTAGAAATCTCCACCTCTACAACATCATCCTGCTTCAGCCATACGGGAGGGTCCATGAATGCCCCGACGCCTGCTGGCGTACCAGTCATGATCACTGTCCCCTCACGAATCGTATTGTATCTGCTGAGGTGCGCCAGAATATCGCCAGCCTTGAACCGCAAGTCATCTAATCCAGACCGCTGTCGCTCCTTGCCGTTGACACGGGTGATCAGTTCGAGCTGGTCTGGGTCGACAACATCGGTGGCCACCAGAATTGGCCCGATCGGTGCGAACCCGTCGGCACTCTTCCCGTAATTCGTCCCAATACCAGGAACACGCTGCCACTGGCGGCTAGTAACATCGTTTCCAACTGTATAACCCAAAATGTAGTCTGCAGCATGTTTCGACTCAATAGCCTTGGCATCTTTGCCGACGACGAAGGTGAATTCGCCTTCATAGTCAATTTGCGGGTGAGACTTGCTGACACGAATGTCCGAGTACGGCCCCACCAGCGCATCTGGCGGCTTTATGAAGCTCGTCGGATACTCGGGGGTAGGGTACCCACATTCAGCGATGTGTTTGCTGTAGTTCAGACCGACGCCATAGACCAAGGGGCTTGCTGGCAAAGGACAAATCACCTATACACACTTAGGACCGTGGAAGACATCGGCTTCTCACCCACCTTGGCAACCTTTGCATGGGAAGGTGACTCGCGGAGGCTCCAAGGTTTATCACCCTCATATATTGCTACCTGTTGGCCGACCAGATTGTCTCCAGCAGGGGCCTCGCCAAAGAGAATATTGCCATCTGGGTCTTCGAACCGAACCAGCCGTTGGAAGGGAACTTTCATACTGACAATGTGAAATCGACCCAGCCAAGTTTTTGCGTTTGGCACTTCCACGCTTCGTGGAAGGTAGAACGGAAAGCGTGATAGCAAATTTATTCATCTAACTTAGTAGGATAGAGAGTTGCGCAACTGGCCTACTTGCTCGGCGGCCCGCCATCAGAGCTGGCGCCTTTAGAGCTCGAGATTGCTTACCAACCAGATCCAGCCCATTGGACATGGCAGGACGCCCGAACGAAAAGGGTCGGGGGAATTGTGGGTTCAGCAATCCACTACCCAGTACATGGATCCGTCTGGTCTTGGTCGTCTCCCTTGCTGACGAAACAGCCATCCAATCAATCATGCTTAAAACTGGAGCATCAAGACGCACCCAATGCGCGGCCGAGAAACCACCATGGCATCCGATTTCTAGCTAGTAATGATTCGCTATCGTGCTGGGACGGGGGACGGGGCCCCCCAGAAAAGTTTCATCTTCGCGGGGTACTGTAAATGCGGTTTGCAACTTTGCGCCACGTTTGCCATAGCCTTCCAGGACTCTGTTCCTCGACCGCTTCGATTCTTCTCTCTCCTCCCCCGGCTAAACGAAGTCTACGACCTATATCTGTCCCATACTGCTTCCTTCAGGTACTTATGAGATGGCAGGATACCAGACGAAGAGAAATGCTGTAGGAGAAATACGGGCCATCGAGCAGAAATGTACGGTGGCATGCGCCAGATGCAGGTCACGAAAAGTTCGATGTAAGCCATCGCGATCTCGACATATGGTTCTTGAAACACGGTGACAGACGCTGATATAATGCTTGCAGGTAACGGTGGTCTTCCGTGCCCAAATTGCCTTGTGAGCATGGCGTGATCTTGATCTGTCCGGGCTTAGAAGTTGCCTAACACACTACCTCCAGGATCGATCGCTGGAATGCAGTTATCCACAGATACAGCGTCGCGGCCCGCGCCCGGGCAAGAACAAATCCAAGCACAGTGACGCCCCTTCATCACATTCCGGTGTACAGCACAAGTCAGGTCCCGACTTCACCAAGGATGGTGTGAACCCACCGGCGAACAACAAAGGGAGCTCAGCCCCCGTAGCTGGTGTTTTATCCCTCTGCGAGCAAGACCCGCCACCCGGTTGTGCGTGGCTCAACTTTACACAACACTACCGGCCCCCGGCACAGGTATGTGAAGACGCCATCATGCCTGCAACGCCGACGGACAAATCAACCGCTCCAAGTGATTCAGATCCACAACAAGACGCCGCCAAGCTGTTGGACTCTGATACAAGCGCAACTCCATATGGCGTCCAGGCTCTTCCCGACGGAGAGGTATGTATACCGCGACGGCACTCTCTTGGCAGGCGATACAGATGCTGACATGTCCAGGTGAGCTGCGAATACCACGGTTAGTCTGCACCCGTCATAATGAACGATGGCCCCTTTCGCTGATCGCCTAATCTTAAGGTCCTGGCGCCATGATCTCTATCTGTTCCAAATCTGCCGTGACTTGGGTCTGCCAGAAAGCTGGTAACGCCGACTTTGAGAGAATCACCGCAAACTTCGCATCCGCCATCTCCAGACGCCTCAAAGTAGACCTTAGCCAACTCAGGGAACGAATTCCAGAACCACCCCAGGCCGTGGCTTGGTCGTACTGCCAGGCGTATTTCAATAGTGGCTCAGGACTCTGGTTCCAATCTTTAAATCAAGCCGCGTTTGAAGCGCGACTGGCCTCTCATTTTCGAGATGACAGCCCCGGAATCGGACACGACCCCTCGTGGTACGCCCTGCGCAACATTGTGTACGCCACAGGCTGCCGCAGCCTGAAATCCAAGCAAGTCTCGGCCGATTCCCATGACATGCAACGACAAAGCTGGAGTTATTTTTGTAACGCCATGTCGGTATATACGGATTTGCTATTCTCTCATACTGGGCTTTCGTCAGTCCAAGCTCTTACTCTCATGGTTGGTTGGTCCTGGTGGATCGAGCGAGCTAGTGCCTAACCTGGTGTTCCAATGAACAGAGTGCATTCATTGAGGGTATCGCATGCCCTTCGCTCGAATTCATGCTATCCTCCAGTGCTCTGCGACTAGCCGAGTCCAAAGGTCTACACCGTGGTTTGTCGTCCACATGTCTTGAGAAAACGACCGACATCCAAGCCGCTTCACATACGTGGTGGGCCATATACACCCATCATTGCGTTATTGTGGCTCGATCGGGAAGATCTCTGGTAAGTCAAGACCACGGTCTAATCCCAAAAGCGTTTCTTAGACTGTGTTCTTGTCTAGCAAATTGATGATAACGCCATCACCTGCCCGCTGCCGACCCAGCATCCTGGTGACAGCTGGAGCCAACACGCTACGATTATTGCCATGGCAAAGCATGCGCGAATCCTTGCCTCGGTCATCAAAACCCTGAATGTGATTCGTGCCTCCCGGTCGATGTCGGCTACAACGTTCACCATGATCCAGGAGCTGGATGACCGGCTTCGAGAGTGGCGAAGCGGTTTCCCTTCTTTTGTCCAGATGGACCCGCTGCCTGCTGGCGTCGCGCTCCCGAAAGGAGTCCACCAAGAACACTGTCTATACCTGGTCTACTCGTACTACGCTACACTGATTCAAATCCATTCAATTGTGATGTCTCCGTGGAATGCAGTTTACCAGGATAGCGCAACACTCGACCCGAGTCTTCGGCCTCAGATCTTCAGAAGTGCAAGTATCGTGGCTGAGGCGTCCAGGAAAATCATTGCCCAGCTACGACATATGACAGTTGGTCTCGGAACCCTGAAATGGTGAGTCTCGATCCGACGCCAGACAGGCTGTCACGGACAGGAGTGATATCAATTTAACCAAAATCGAAAACAGGGCCGTGTTAGTCTATCCAATGATTGCGATGATTCATCTGTTCATCTATATACTCGACAATCCCAGTCTTCCATCGGTCGATGCGGACATCTCGATCATGCACGAAGCCGCCGCTCACTTCAGTTTCCTCGAGTACCGGCTAGGCAAAGTCCTATCACTGCCGTTCCCGAGAGACTTAGCCAACCTGATTCGGGTTGTTGTCGCCGACCACAGGGAGAGCAGCAGCCTCCGGGTGACTGGCATGGAATGCGGCTCCTTCGACCTCGAGCCAGGCTTTGAAGGCCAGCAGAACGTAAGACTTCAACCAATTGCATTACTCTGCATTTCGTTGCTGTGCATTGTGTGCTCACGGTCGACATGACTAACACCCTTCTGAACAGGACTTGCCTGAATTGGGGAATCTCGAAACTGCCGACTGGGACGCGCTGATCCCTTGGGAGGAGGTGCTCGATGGTCTTGATGGATGCGACATGTGAACGGAAGTGGTTGAGACGTGGTCAGCTCTCCCGAAGCCACGACTGACAGGGTGGTGACACTTGCACACCACGCTACTATGCGGCCGACAAAATCCCAAGCAACGAACAGGCTGCATTCTGCTGCCTTGACCTCCAGTCTCACCATGGCTCACTTTTAGATGCAAGAGTACTCGAGTCGACGGAATCGACAAATATCCAACCACTTTTCGCCAGAGATCCCCGTTCCCAGACTGGATACTAGCTTGACCCGTCTTTCTGTCCGCCCTGCGCAGCGCAGTGTCTTGTAGCCAGACCGAGCAGGCGGACGAGAATATCCTGTTCCGCACTGAAAACCTAGTGTCGGAGGACTTGATACGATCAATGTTGACGAGCGATGAAACCCCTACTTTTGGAGGGGGTGAAGGGTCATGAAAGCGGCACCGGTCGGGGTGAGTCGTATGCACCCGCTTAGGAAATAGGGTGACACCGCCTTGTTCTTACAGCAACTCACCAAAAAGTGAGAAGCCGACAAACTACTGACGATGGTGTCCATGACATAGACAGACTTCCAGGCTACGCCGCACACCGCACGGTCAGCGAAGGGTGGGCCAATGGCAGACCGAATACCACCTACAAAATTTTTGGCGGCCCCAGGAAAGCCCCAGCAGGAGGGCTGTAGCACTTCCAGCAAAAGGACGAGGCCAACGTAGTCAAATCTCATAGTGCTTGGTGGACTGTCCGGGATTTGTGCAAGTTCCTGAAGGTCGGAGGAATGTAAAAGAAAATCTGTTAAGTACTGCCAGGGCCGAAAGGATTGCCATGAGATGATAATACCACCTCCAGCCTCGCTCGGTATGCGCCACCAGAGCATCCGCTTTCAAAACATTGGTCAGTCTGAGCCTAGTCTACTGAAATGCCAGGGGTCAGGCACAGACAGCCGGGGCCCATAAGCGGACCAAGAATCGCGAAGAAACAACCAGCGGCAGCATATCGGCATTTGAAAGTCACCAACAGGGCCCGAGATTTTGAGGTGCCGATCCTAGTCCGGCAATAATGCTCTGTATCATGGTCATCAGCAATGAGATCAACAACTGAAGTGTTGCCTGAGGGAAAGACTGACACCGCCAGTGAGCATGTTGACGTCGCTCGCTCGGCCGCAGACGAGGAATCCCGCCATGGCAACGACGTTACCAGTGATGTAAAACCAGCGCCCACCGAAGATATCTGGAATGCGGCCTGAGACGGTAAAACAACAGTCTGGCACAGAAGGTACACAGGAGGGACCCAGATGACATTTCCACTGGGGGCCTGCGTTTGGATGGAAGCGGTTAGCCCAGGTGGTCCCCACCTCGGGAACTCGATATGACTTATCAATGTCAGGATTGATCGCAGTGTAAAGGATATGGAGCAGTGAATGGATGAGGGACAAAGTGGTGTCCTTCTGTGTGCGCGTTTGGCCGTCTGTGGACCTGTATATGCTGTTTGCTAGCTTGATGAAGCTTCCCCGGATCGCTGATAGGACTCGCACCACCCTTGCATCACCCCGTCGAGAAACACACGAGTCATCCTATGTGGAAGGTGAACGATTGGATCAGGGCCTCACTACAATTCATAGCGAGTCCGAATACCAAAAGCCTAGGGTGCGGGAGGTACAAAATCATTTAGTTGGTGGGAAGAGGTACAGGATATACACGGGCGCAATCCGATAGTCCACCCTTGTGAGCGTTGAGGTTTTCTCTTCTAGCATGGACGGCGGAAAAATGATGAGGGCTTCTCCCGTCTTCTTCACATTCACTGTGTTGTCGTTGCGTTCCTTCATGCAACCCCTGGCTCTCCGGGCGCTCCACGGCCACTGGCAAACTATGGTAATCCATGCACCGGCGCTACTTCGTAATCACATCGTGCCCAAAGATGCTTGCTACGCTACAAGGGGATCAAGATCTGCTGGGCGGGGGAAATGTGGAGTTCTTCACCTCTTTAGTCCTTTCGATCGGCTGGAATTTTCCCGGCCTTTGGTAGAGTGGTATATTTCACAATGAATGTTTGATAAAACCCTCTGGGAGGCAGTCTGGGTTTGGGGAGGCATCACTACTTTCAAGTAGGGAAGGGCCTCGAGTGTTCATTTTCATTTTCCAACCGCAAATTCTCCTTCAAAATGAGTGCCACCATGAAGAATGTCTTGGTTATTCTAGGTGTTGGCGGTATGGGGAAGGCATGCGCTCATCGACTCGCCGCAGGCCGTTCCGTTTTCATCGCCGACTACTCCAAAGAAAACCTTGACGCTACAGCAGAAGCTCTTCGTGCTGAGGGCCGCTTAGTTCACACTTCCATCGTGGATATTGCGGACTATGAATCCGTTTCCAAATTCGCAGACTCTGCGGCGGCAGAGGGTCGTATCGAGACCATCGTCCACACGGCAGGCGTTTCGCCCATTGCTGGAGACCCAAAGACTATTTACGCGATTGATCTTCTGGGCACTGCAAATGTGATCGACGGTTTCTATCGCCACGCGACGCCTGGGACAACTTTGACATGTATCGCCAGTATTGCCGCCCAGGAGACTGCATTGTCAGGCCATATCACGCCCGACCTAGAAAAGCACTTGGCCACGGCATCCCGGGAGAAACTGCTCGACCATCCCGATCTTGCTCCTGACAGCCTTCGGTACGAGTCTTCCTATGGCATCTCGAAGAGAGGAAATCAACTGCGTGTCGAGATCGCTTCTCAGCAATGGGGAAGGAGGGGCGCCAGAATCAACACCGTGAGTCCTGGGGTCATCGCGACGCCAATGGCTCAGAAAGAGGCCTCATCAGCCGGTGGAAATCAAACCTTCTTAGAAAATATGATCGTAACAGCGGGCCTCCGACGGATAGGAACTGCAACAGAGATAGTAAACGCTGTCGCTTTCCTGGCGAGTTCGGAAGCCTCTTTCATCAATGGAGCGGACCTCCGAGTAGATGGTGGACAGGCTGGGTGGATGCGATGGCACTCAAAGCGGATTTAGTTTACAGGAAAAGAACTATGGGATATTACGCTTGATGAATCTTGGCTTGCCATCAAGAATTGCTTCTGCTTCCACAAAGCCATCCCGTTTGTCCTAAACAGATCGATTACCCCCCGCAGCGTTCTTGATGTGTAGGAGACAGCGGTGGAGATCTAGACTTTGAATCGAGAACCGGAAGGACAGAATCTTGCAACAATGCCCATGGGGTTGGAGCTTGTTGCATCGAAAATTATGCCTCTCGAAAAGGAAGATATCACGGCTCGTAGATGTTCTCACCCAGGAACTTTGCCTGGGGCTAAGACGGCTCACTTCATGATTTGTGGCAGCCGCGATATTAGAGGCCGGATCCCTTGGACAAGATGACTCGTTACAGGAGAGTGCATGCCAGACTGCTACCTGGGATACGGAGTACTGAATACTAGGACCACTTGCAGGTGCGTCTCATTCTGCATTTAGCCGAAGCGAGCGATGGTCTACATCGGAAGCTCGTTTGATCCAGCATTTGACCGAGGGTCCGGAGCGACCAGAGATGACTATGGTGGGGCTTGTACACTCGCGATCGCGCTCGGCACGGGACATCATTGGGGATCAATCGCACCAGACTATGATCTTCGGTCGGAGGCATTCTGCCAGGTAGATGCGCCGGCTAGACCAGGGAGAGACAGAGGGGGCCATTGCAAGTCGACGGTGTTTCGGAAGATGCACCAAATGAGATGACACCATAATAGTTAGCACCGCCGTGTTAGGGTGGCTGCCCTCTCCACCCCATCAGTTGCAAGTGCCTTCGTCGGCAGGATCTCGTCGTCGACCTCTACTGGTGCCTTCATATTACTTTTTGATCCACAAGCTCAGCAATTCTCTCGCCGGTATAACCAATCTCCTGGAGGATCTCTCTGCTGTGTTCTCCGAGCAGGGGTGGCTGCCGGCGGATTGTAGGCGGTGTCTCGCTGAACTTGACTGCGGATCCTACTTCCTGTTAGCTCAACCTATTCCTCCGGACTAGAGAGCCAATGCTTACCCAAAACTGACACCGTCCCCGATATGGCACCATCGAACTTCATCTCGTGGACCATTTCTCGGGCGTGAGTCTGTGGATGGCTGAAGACTCTCGCCATTGTGTTGATGGGAGCATAAGGCAAGCCACTGCCTTCGAATATCTGCATCCACTCATCGGTTGTCTTTCCAGCAAAGGTGGCCTTTAGAAGGGGAGTCAAGTCATCCCTGTGCTTGACACGGGCGGCATTGGTGGCGAAACGTGGATCCTCGGGCAATCTTTTGAGATCCAGCACGTCGCAGAGGATCCGAAATTGCTTGTCGTTGGTGGCACCGCATACAAAGTATAGATCTTTCGATTTGAACGCATCGTACGGAACGATGGTGGGATGTTGTGATCCCCACCGCTCCGCTTCCTTTCCTGCATTGAGCCAGGTCGAAGCCACATTGGTGAGAAGCGCGATTTGCGTTTCGAACAAGGATCCATCGAGCTTCTGGCCTCGCCCCGTGTGTAGACGTGTGTACAGAGCAGCTATAATAGCGCCATGCATGAAGAGTCCAGTACACATGTCTGTCAGGCCAAGTCCGGGGCGAACTGGCGGTCCGTTGCGCTCGCCGGTCAGATGTAGCATGCCACCCTCGGCACCAGCAATGATGTCGTACCCAGCGCGCAGGGCATATGGTCCGGTAGGCCCGTATCCTGAAACACTGGCATAGATGATACCAGGATTCAACTTTCGGACGACCCCGTAGTCGATGCCGAGCTTCTCCATCACTCCCGGGCGCATGTTCTCCACCAACACATCGGCGCCTTTCACCAGCTCGAGGAAGGCTTCTTTACCCCGTTCGTCCTTAAGATTTAGACAGATAGAACGCTTGTTGCGGTTTACGGCGACAAAATAGTTGGACATGGGTCCAAGGCCGGATTTCCATTGCGTCCCCTCGCCTGCTGCCCGTCAATGTCTTGTATCATCACCTTTCCCGACATCTTCGACTTTGATGACTTCGGCGCCGTAGTCTGCTAGGATTTGGGTGCAGAATGACGCAGCAAGCACACGTGAAAGGTCAAGCACCTTGACGCCGGTCAACGGTCCGTTTTTCCAAGCCTGGGATTCCGGGGTCGTGGTTGGGGTCGATGCCGAGTATGATCTGATTCTGGCTCGAAACGGTGAAAGCTGTCTTGGCGGCGTTCGGCAAGCGGCCGTTGCAACTAAGCGTACCGCCCAGTTGGGAGTCATAAGAAGTGTTGGAGGAAATGTTGATCTTGAGAGAAGAGAACCTTGTGACATGGCCATAGTTGATCCATAATCTAGAAGGGACTTGGGCCGGTTATAATCAAACCATAACCGGAATCTCCGACACCATGGCGCAGACTCTGGAGCTCAGAGTGCCTGTAATTCAAAGGGGCTACCGTTCCTACTCCTCGGCCCTTTCAGCAGCACTCGGCGTAAGTGCCCACCCGGTCTAAAGTGGGTGAATAGCCGGGTAGACCCTGAAGAAGTTCCATCTCGGTCAAACCGCCCTCTTTGCGTCGATGGTCTTGCAGCAAGTAGCAGTGACCATACCAGCAGGAACCAGGCAATTTGTATGGTGTATCTGTTGCCATGCCCAACTGCTCCTGAATTTGTTTGTTGTTATCTGTTGCGACAAAGAAATACCTGTCAAGGCCACGATGAAGGTGACTTCGTGTCGGCCGAATTTACGCTTGACCGTCATCGCCTCAGGATGTTGTCGTGCGCCGTTACTAGGCAGACGGGATGCACGACGTATCATCGCCAGGAACCTCTCGTCGAGCGTCCGCATCATTGAAGTTGGTCCTCGTGATGGGCTGCAGAACATCAAGTCCAAGGTGCCGCCGTCTGTCAAGGTCGACCTGGTCAACCGCTTGGCCGCAGCGGGCTTAACGGATATCGAGGCGACTTCCTTTGTATCTCCAAAATGGATACCACAATTGTCCGATGGCGAGCAAGTCATGGATCAGATAATGCCTCTGACGGAACAGAAGCCTGTCCGGCTCTCGTTTCTTACGCCTAATCTCAAAGGCTTCGAGAGGGCTCTTGCGGCGGGCGCGAAGGAGATGGTTGTCTTTGCATCTGCAACAGAAGCTTTTAGCAAGTAGAATCAAAATGCAACCGTCGATGAGGCATTGACGAGAGCACGAGGTGTGGTTGAGCGAGCCAAGATACACAATTTATGGGTAAGGGGTGTGGTTTCGTGTGTCTTTACCGACCCATACACCGGCCCAAGCGATCCAAAAGATGGAGTGAACGTTGTTAAGCAATTCTTTTGACATGGGCTGCGACGAAGTCGGCCGGGGAGACAATCTCGGCCAGGGAACACCTAAGAAGACTCAACTGTTGTTAGAGCTTCTTCTGAAAGACATACTGCCCGACAAGCTCACTGCCCATTTTCATGATACTTATGGCCAAGCAGTAGCCAATGTTCAGAGAGCTTACGACATGGGATTGAGGACCCTTGAGAGTGGTGTTGCCGGTCTCGGTGGATGCCCATATGCACTTGGGGCCAAAGGCAACGTTGCTACCGAAGACATTGTATACGCATTTGAGAATTTCGGGATTGATACTGCAGTGAATCCGTCAAAGCTTGCAGCCGTGGGCGATTGGATTTCTCAACAAGCCGGTCTACCGAACAACAGCCGTGCTGGTGCAGCTCTGCTGGCGAACCAGAAGCAGCATCAGGCTACATCACCATCCATGCCTGATGCGACATCCCCTGTTAGCAACTCGCCGTACGTACAGGTAGAGCGAGAGGACTGGCCTGGATGGATAACGACCATCACCCAGGCAGAAGGGTATACGGTGTCTCAAGCGGGCAGTGCGATCAAGATAGCCCTGAGCCGACCTGAAAACGGTAACGCTGTGACCGCAAATGTGCTGGAATCATTGACCCGCAAATTCCAAGAGCTGTCCGCGGATCCATCGATCTTCGACATTGTTCTTGCTGCCGAAGGCCGATTCTTTTGCACCGGCATGGATCTGACCGGCGACAGTGGAGGCGACATGTTGTACACAGAACAGGAGTGGATCTATCTGCTTGATTGTGTTCTGTCCCCCTGGCTATTCAGAGAGACTCTGCCTGTTTATATACACTTTGGCCTGTAGTCTGAAGAGCATTCCTGAAACCTCCTATTCCGTCGCCATCCTATCACAGATCAGCGAGAACAACGGTGTTGAGGTAAGTGGCGCAGTTGGTGAAACGCCTAGCGTCTCAGGTGGTTTGCCACACGGTGGCTATCTCGAGACTCTCTCAACAGATACCTACAAGTACCAAGCTCGCTAGATCGATCTTGGTCGATATTACATTACTCAGAACGTGCTCAGCCGCACGACTTCTACGTCCCGGTATGGGTATCCAGAGAGCAGTGCCACACAACTTTTGGCAGATGTGGGGAGCTTGCCTGCAGAGCCCCAAGCTGAATGCCCTGCTAACAGTGATTGTCACCTTGAGCCAGTCACAACGGCCTTACTACGAAACATTCAATGTACATAGTAATAGGGCTTACCAGGCGATGACCTCTTTCGCCATCGCCTGAACAAGTTGTTAACCAGTCAGCGACCTTTAAAGTCCGTCGTCTGGTGTCCAGTACTTGTTCCACCGTTCGTCTGTGGCGCTTGCCTCGACGTCTTTCTTGTCATAGAAGCGGAGATCAGTGCTCAACCGAATGCGACCGTGAGGATCGTTGTTAGCCGCTGCCGTATGAATCGTCTATGGCAAATGGAAGACCACATCGCCAGCCTCGAAATCAGCAACAAGCCAACGGAATTTCGTTTGCTTAGCGAGGTGCTCATGATCTTGCTGGAAAACCATTGGATCCATCGAGAGGACGCCCGCGGCGGACATGTTGCGATTGAATGCCGAGACCTTTTCCTCGAGAGTGAAGTCTTTCGCGCATACTTTGAAATCATCCTCGATGGCCTTGCCGAGATTGGTGCTGCCTTCCAGATAAACAAGACCTCCTCCTGTGGCCGTGACGTTCCCGATGGGCACCCAAGCGGTCAAGAAGAAGGCATCACCTCCGCGAAGGAAGAGCTTGTCGTAATGAACGCCAGTGCTTTGACCACCGGGGATATTGTGCCGAAGCATGGTTCTCTTGGCGAGGATTTCTTCTTCCCAACCCATGATAATGCGGACCATTTCACGCAACTTGGGGTGCGCCACGAAATCCAGGTAGGACTGCTGCACATGGGCTTTTACAAGACGCTGCAGTTCCTCGGTACCTATTGGACCTCCACCACCAATGCCATTGTGCAACGAGATGTCTTCGGCCATGTTGTAGATGCCGTCCATTGGATCTGTGTCTGGCTTCTGCAGGCCCAGGGATTTGAACTGGGAAAAGTAGTGTTCTCGCGTCTTCAGAACGTCATCTCGTGGTAGGAGACCCTTGACAAAGACATACTCATCCTCAAACAGGCGACGACGAATCTCTTCAATGGGGGCCTCGCTTGAGGTTTCGCGGAGCCAGCCGAGCATGGACTGGGGAATCGAGCCTTGGATGGCACGCACATTTGGAGGAAGAAGTTTGGTATCTGGTCTTGAATCAACTCTTGCCATCGCGAGTCCTGGTCAGGATGAAGTTTGTCTTAGACCTTTGACCCAGTCGAGTGTGAGATTCCAGGAGCCGGAGAAGGAGCGATTGCCATCTTGCTAACGGACGCCAGTGGGTGCCAGTCAATTGAAGTACGTCACAGATCCAGGGGAGAAATGCAGCGATCTTTAGGCATGAGGAAGTGGGAGAGTTTGGAGAGTCACCATGGGGGAGGAATTGGCTGGGTTGGACTAGATTCTGGGGCCATTCGGGGCGACACGTCGGGCCACTTCGGGGCCACTTGGCCATTTTTAAGCTTAAGCGCAGGCTGGTGAGGCCGCTGCGGCAGGACTTGGCCCGTTGCTACATACCCAGTACTCGCCGCTGCCTCTCACTCCCTCTCCTTTCTCCTCACATCTCATTCTCTCCTCGTTGCTCGTATAAGCCAACAGAGTCAGGGCTTCCAGGAGCACCACCAGCACCCTTTTCTATGCTGACAAAGACAATCAACCTCATATGAAAGCTACAAGATTCTGTTCCCGAATCAGCAGCCGACAATTCTCGATCTCTCATTGACTAGAGAGCCCTTTCGAATATAACCTCAGCGCGAGATTGGCACTCCGGTCCACATGTGACCTTGTGTTAGCACCAAGTAGACTATGCCGTGGACAAAGTTGAACAGCGTTCATAATGCTGATGCAAGCCATTTGCAGCAGGATTTGTAATACGCACAGGCTCAAGTTTCTTCCTGTCCGGGATCCGAAGCCACAAGGCAAAGAGGTAGGAAGAGGGCTGATCCAATGGTCCAAACATTGCTCAGTCTTGCGCCAGTACAGGCCCACCAACACCATCATTTGAACATGGACGCAGACCATGCCACGCGTTTCCGCAAACAGGTACCAGGAAAGCACTCCCCTATTGCCAGTGTCGGAACCTCTCTCGACCAAAGTATTACTCTTCCTTGACGTCGTTAATTGACCTAGAAATATGGATTGTGAGCCGTTTGTGAGTCTCTTCGGCCTCTCAGAGTACTCCAGCCAATCAAATACTCCAATTGCATGCCCATATCGGGTAGTAGTTCTAGATGTCGTTCGGCTCAATTGCAACGTCGCAGATCTTTTTGAAAGGCCTGAGAATGGGGACTGGCGGTCTGCGTACACGGGTTTTCAGATCTTGTCGCCCCTGTGTTTTAATTCGATGAGATATCATCAAGAGATCCAGGTCGTTCGTGGTACCGAAGCATTCAAATCCTTGATAACAGCTCGCAGCAGGCCCCTTTGGTACGGTTCGAGGTAGGAAAAGCGGTCGAAAAGTTTCGCAAGCTCATCCTCCCGAAAGGGTTTGTGAGTTGCTCGACCATCCGCACGATCCATCCGTAGAATTGCTGTGAGAAACCACCCTCGATCGCTTGTTCCCGCAGACACGGCACCAACGAGAAGGACCCATAGGTGGGCGTCTCCAAATTCGATCCAGTCTCTTGGTCTGATACCTTCGAGTTGAAGTCTCAGTTTCGAGGCGAGGACTTTGCATGTTCGTCGTCGACCAGTAACCGTCATTGCCATGAATAACCACACGATCAAGCCAATTCTGATGGCATCCACTTTACCATCGTCAACTTCGAGTTCCAGAAGTCGGTGCCTGAGTGCACTTGTTCGGAGAAGGAGCCAGTGAAGAATTGGTTTGGATCCAGCCGGCGCATTTCGATCTGACGGCGGTGGTCTAAACTGCCGCTGCATGGTGTGAATAGTGGTGGTAAGGTCTATGAGCACGCGCTGCATCTGCGTTGGCAGAAGGTTTTGATACCCAGGTTCTTGAACCCATTTCGCGGTGGTACCAGAATGGACGTGAACAACGTCCACGTGCTCCAGCTCCAGTTCGCCGGGGTCGAAACACGAAGCAGGAAACAGAGGCTTCTGGAAAAGTTCTGCTGCTAGATAGCCGTCTCCAATCACTATCCATTCCCGCAGTGAAGGGTCTATTCGTTCGATGCCCCCGAGCTGTGACAGAAGACTTCTGGCCGCTGTGAGATGAATGAGAGCAGAGTTAAGTTCGTATCGGTAAAAATCTGTAACGGCCATTTGATGTATGTCAAAGATAAGTCTTTGGTTGATAGGGGGCGACGATCTGAGATGCCGGCGAACAGCGTCGATTGCTTTCGTTACCATCTGACTTGTGGTGTCATCGTCTCGGTTCATCTGCTCGAAGTACTGCATTTGACTTGCCATGGATGCCAGCAAGGTGTAAAAATGCACCTCTTTCTCGAGGCATCCCTTGACCAGCGTTAGGACATCCCTCTGAAAGGTGTAAGTATGATCGTCCTGCACTTCAGAATGCCACGTCCTAGGATGGGAAACATGGATGAAATATTGGAGAAGACTATGAGCTTTGCGGTCGACGTTAACCACGGTACTTGCGAAAGGATCCATGACGTGCAATTCATCTGTCGGCACACGGGGGATGCCATGTACTGCACAAGGCTGTTTGGAAATCACGAGGCAGTGGCACAGTGCACTGGGGTCTAAGGATGGCGTCACTGTAGATGGCGGTGGTCTTTTGCGGATCCAGCATCCGCCCGTCTACGGGTGGTGCCAGATTTGACACCCGGGTTGACTTCAATAAATGGTGGTTGCTCGCTCTTGCTGGCGCCGTGAGTAAGCGACGACTGTCGGCGATGCATGCTGTCGATCTGGACATGACGGTGGATCAGCCGCCTTTCCTTGTCATCGCTCCTGGAGAATGACTGGGATTTCGGATCTTTGACGACGAAAAGATATCGAGAGACACCCTTGCTGGTCTCTCCCATGGCGCGAACCTTTGCACATTGTTGCTTAGAGACTGCCTAATTGTACCCAAGTGGTTGAAACGATGTGGGTAGTTCACGTTCGATGCAAGATGTATAGCGAGCACCGCCAGTCGCTCAGCAAGGAAATTGCCCACTCGGGAAGGGGATTGTTGGGCTCTAGGAGCATGTGGGATTTGTGAAGGAGAAATGGAGCTCTCAGATATCTCCCTAGGTAGGTAAATGATTGGAAGTACGAGCAACTGAACGAGAAGAGCGGAAGATTGGTGTGCGTTATCGCGATGCGAGTTTGGGAGCCTGGGAGCCTGGGAGCCTGGGAGCCCAAAGAGCCCTGACTCGGAAGAACATCGGCACACTAAGGTGAGAAGTAACACAAACCGATAGAGACCTACATAGATACCCCAGTAGAGGTCAGCTCGCGAGATGTATAGTGAGACTTGGGTAAGTTCCAAGGATGCAGTTTTCCTGGTTGGTGTCGTGAGATGCGTGACCTAGTTTGTCTGTTCAACGATGAATTAAGTGGAACTGCAAGGACTGAGTACAAAGGCGTCAAGCGAGCAAGCTCAGCAAGATCACGTGCCGGCCAAGAGCGCGACGCGTTCGAGTACCCAGTACCGAGTCATTTGGGCTTGAATGAGGCGCCAGGGTGCGCATCCCTCATCAACTCGACACCACTGACACCACTGACCCCAGACGAACAGACACTCCTTGCCATGACACCGACACTACTGACACCAGTGTATGTACTTTGTGCCCACTGACAAATCCTCCTTTCGACGATTCATACACAAACTGCCCCCTGTGTACCCTCGCCACCGTCTTTCGCCGGTCAAGTGTCCGCCGCCCGCTACCAGCCTCCAACCTCCACATTTTCGACCCCATCTCTCTCCAGCTTCGACCGAGGTTATATGTCGGAAATCGTTATCCACTCTGGCGGTCTCGACAATGCCTATCGCTCCAAGACCGGAAGGGTCCAAGAGGATGTATATCTCCAGCCGCCCTATCAACTGGCCAAAGTGCGGAGGACTCGGCTTTATGTTGGACGCCGCCCTGACGATTCATATTCTTCGAAAAATTCCTCCATTTCCGTCGACTTTACTCGGCAACCACTGCAAAGATCTCTAAACTGATCTACTCTCACTCAAGAATCGGCAGCAAAAATGCCCTACACATCTCCCCACCCTGCCTTGGATATTCCCAAATGCAACATTCTCTCATACGTTTTCCCTCCTGAGAAGACTCCCTCCAACAAACCGCTATGGATGGACGCAGAGAATCCCTCCAACAGCCTCTCGCCAGCCCAGATGCTGTCTTGGGTCAAGAGGTTCGCGGTTGGCCTCGATCGACTAGGCGTCAAACAGCAACAAGCCGTCATGGTCTTCACACCGAACCATCTCTACGTTCCCATGGCGTATCTCGCTGCCGCCGGATCTAAGCGCTTCTTTACCGGTGCCAATCCCATCTACACCGTCAATGAGGTCGCCCACCAGATGAAAGCAATTGAAGCTGCGCTTGTGCTCATCCATCCTTCCCTGCTCGAAACCGGTGTGGCTGCCGCCAAACAAGCCAATATCCCATTAGATAGGCTCTTCATATTCTCCGACTCCGAGAGTCCAACCACAAACGGCATCAAGGATTGGCGTTCAATAGTCGCCTCAGAGTCAGAGGCTGAGTCGTGGAAATGGGATCCTCTCGAGGGGGACGCTGCCCTGGAAACCATTGCCGCCATCAATTTCTCTAGCGGAACGACTGGCCTTCCCAAGGGAGTGTGCATTACGCATCGTAATCTCGTTGCCAACTCTGCGCAAACAATTTTCAACAAATACCATGGCACTCAGTACTCCGAGCAAGATCCCGGACCTGAGCGTTGGCTTGCCTTCCTTCCTCTGTATCACGCCTATTCCCAGTTATGGACCATCAACATTGCCTGCCGACTTCAAGTCCCTGTCTATGTCATGCCCAAGTTTGTGTACGAAGACTTTTTGAAGCACATTCAAAACTATAAGATAACAACACTACAATTAGTACCGCCGGTTCTTGTCATGTTAAGCAAACGACCAGAGACAGCCAAATACGATATCGGCAGCCTTGAACAGATCCTTTGTGGCGCAGCACCGCTGAAGAGCGATTTGCAAAATGAAATCATGACGCGTTTCAACGTGGTTGTGGTCCAAGGCTGGGGTATGACTGAGACTACGTGCGCCGGCATTATGATGCCGGGAATGTCCAAGGATCTGACTGGCTCGATTGGTCATTTACTGCCCAACACTGAGGCGAAGCTCATCGATGATGAAGGCAACGAGGTGACGGCAGAAGGCGAACCGGGTGAGCTCTGGCTGAGAGGGCCACAGATGCTGCTAGGTTATTGGAGAAACGAACATGCCACCAAAGAGAGTAAGACGGAAGACGGCTGGTTTAAGACCGGCGACGTCGGCGTCTGCAAGGGCGAGAAGTGGTGGATTGTCGACAGAAAGAAAGAACTCATCAAGGTCAACGGATTGCAAGTGGCACCTGCTGAATTAGAGGCAGTTTTGCTTGAGCATGATGATGTTGCAGATGCAGCTGCCGTGGGGATCGTTGTCCACGGCGAAGAGCTACCACGAGCCTATGTGGTTTTGCAAGAGCGTGCCAAGGACAAGACCACAGAGGAAGATATCAAGGCTTTCGTGGCAAGCAAGGTGGCTAAGCACAAACGGTTGGCTGGGGGCGTCAAGTTCATCGATGAAGTGCCCAAGCTAGCTAGTGGCAAGATTGTGCGCAAATTGATGAAGGAGTGGGCGAAGCGAGACGCAAAGGAGGTGGAAGGTACAGTGAAAGCAAGACTATAGAGGAGGAATGGGCATGCGCTACCGGTGCGTGTGCGGGATCAAAATGTCGACACATCACCAGTCTGACTCGACAAAGAGATCAACGCCCAGCCTCGTTCCGCGGGCTACGAATTTCAGCCTGAAGCTCTCACAGCGCGATCTGCTTCTGTGAAAAGCGCCTGGTATGGTTGCAAGAAATGGCAGAGAGATCGTCCCATTATCCCCAGTTCAGAGACTCGAATTCTCCCGCCTTTCTTGCGAATCATTGCCATACAAGCAAAACCACTTGCCTTTTCGAAGCCATGACTCTGGTGCAACGAAACACGAAGGAGTATTGACACCCAGCAGAAGGTACGTTCAAAATGATGATAAAAATGGGTTAGAGCATCTGCGATCTGGCTTTAGAAAGAATTGAGCAATCATCCCAGCGGTTAATACTACACTTTCTTTGCCTCCGCATTGATCTGTCCTCCTACTTTCAGTTGATCCTAGCTAGTCTTCCTTCTTCACTCTCGGCCGGACCACCGTCCTTCGACCCTGGAAAACGCCTCTCCGCCTCTTGAGAGTTCTCTCCTTTTGCTTTCACCTTTCCCTTACCTTTTCTTCCTCGCCGTGAAAAAAAAAATTCTCTCCATGCATCATCCTGAAGTCCTCGCCCACTCACTTACCAAATCCTTTTCTGTCAACCTCATCAGCCGTCGTTCTGAGCCACAATGATGGGCTACTTCTACAACTGTCGAGTCCGCGATGATGCTGGCCAGGTCCGTCGTCCAACTGGTTACGAACGAGTCGACATTTCCTTCAATCGGACGGTGAGAGTGCCCGACAACTCGGGGAAGTCCAGCCTGCCTCCAAATTTGGGTAACTTTCCTCTATACCAAGTCAAACTTTAAACCAACTCTCTTCCTCAAGAGGTGGTTGCGAGGGGCGGAATGTTCTTGCCGATGTAACCGTGTGTACCTTCTTCTTCTGCTAAGTTGGAGCTAACTTATATCTCAGAGCGGGAAGCATATGGATCAACTTCACTGTCAATTCGCCCTTCACCATCAAAGTTTATCCGGGTTCCGTTAATGCATTCGCGGGCGAACCGGCTGCCGAGGAGTTCTTTACAAAACAGCGCCGCCAAGTCCTTAGGTCTCAAGGAAAGATCATTCAAGAATACATTATCTTCCCGGGTTCGCGTTGGCTAGACGGGATTGCGTCTAGCAGTGGTGTAGTCAAGCAGTTCGTTGCTACAAGACTAGGAGAGGTTTGCACGGTCGAGGCTCAGATTACAAGCCATGAAACATCCGGGGGATTGCAGATTGAGATTACACCGGCCGTTGTGAGCCCTTCAACCCAAATTCGGGTGAGAGTAGTTCCCTGGAACAAAACGATCCACTTGGGTGTCCCTTCGGACTCGAACTTGAGGTACATTGCGGATATGGTCTACCGACTTGCAGGTATCAAGATTGAAATCCAGAGGGTCTTCTATCAAGGTCAAGAAATGCTTCCCAGTGGGCATCGTCCACCGATTTGATGGAACAAAGCTAATCGCATCCAAATCTAGCTGGACGACTCGCTGGCCAGGGGCACTGCGGACCGGTTCGCATATGCGCTCTCAAGTATCAACATCTCCCATGGAGCCTGCGCTAACACTGGTCGTAGCTTGAGACGGTTTACTTGGACGAGGTATTGACGGGAGGGAGACCTGGACCCATACTTCCCCGGAAGACTATTAAGAAAAATGGGGATTGCTGTCGGTGGGAGAATCAAACAGACACTCATCAGGGACTCCCGGCCACCAGGCACCTGGTATGAGACCGCTACCCCTGCCTTCAACGTTCAGAGACTGAACTGAACGCCGATGTCTTTGAGAATGTCACGGGTGTCCCAGCGCCAACTGCCCCAATCACGATGGAAACCTACGCAGAATTCGGCCTGTTCTGTTCAGGCTATACGAAGAAATAAGCAGCGTACACGGTTCGTTCGGCAAGGTTAAATTGATCTGCGAAATCAATGACGTTGAGGACCGTAGCTTCGCTGTCCTAGCCAAATAGTGGTTTCAACAGCCAGGAGCATTGGCGGGTTGGGGCTTATGAACAACGAATAGAACATACCTGGTTATCAGGAGGATGTGCTGGGAATTTTGAAGTAGGTATGAATTGTGCTCGTGATTGAGCGAGAGAAGCCATGGTGATGCATGTATCCAAGTCATCAACTCTGCTGATCATCAAGCATAGCACACCTTCAGGGCAGTCAGCTACAGCAGAGCCCATCAGTCATGACTCATTCTTGCGACATGCTTCTCTCGCAGTGAAGACCTTGCTAGCAGTCTCAAGGCATGAATTTCTCTTCTCCAACCCTCGTTCCATTCTGGTTCTGTCCACCGTTGTCGCTAGTCGTCTTCTTCTCCTTCGGCCTTCCTTTCCTATCCACCCTCTCATCTCTAGGGTCAAACCCACCATTTCCCCAAAGCGCCCACTCGGGGGTCTCCTTGCAGTAGTCTTCCGGTGTAAAGTCCCGTGCACTCTCTAACAAGTTGAAGAACTTATCATAGTCGATGAGGGTGTGCCACTTGGCATTGATGAAGAAGCGCTTGCTCGCGATCAGCACGCAGCAGCTGTGTGCATGCTCGGCCGCGATGCCGTATTCTAGACCTCTCTTTGCGAGGGCCTTTTCCAAGGCCTCGACGAACGCGACGACTTCCTCGTAGAAGGGGACGTTTTGCATCGTCAGGCCCGCCCCGGCCGAGGAACTCGTGCCGCAATACTGCCAGGGGAAAGAAAGATCTATTAGCGCATGGCTGACAATGGACGGATAGGGAGCGGCGGAAACACAATGAATGGCCCGCTTCAAATAGAAGTCATTCCGAAAAAGAGTCTTTTTCAAACGAGATGAGGGAAAAACTTACTGTGACGCCCTTAATTTCGACAAAGCAGGGTAGGCCTTTAGCCACTAGGTGGGCATACCCTTCTACTTCATCCTCAATGTTGAATCCTTTGACGAGCGTAAGCCGGAACACGGTGCGTTGCTCGAAACGCTTCTCCCGCAAAAGGTCCAGGCAGGAATTGAACCGTTCCCAAAAATCCCGATGTAGAGGTCTGTCGATCTTGCGTAGACTGTCTTTGTTGCTGGCGTCGATACTGACGTACAGTTGTGTGACGCGGCGCAAGTCACGCAACTGCTGCGGATGCTGGGCGTTGCAGACGAGGAAACTGGATATCTTCTCACCGTGCAGGAGTCCCACAAACTCATTAATGCGCGGGTAGAAGATCGGTTCGCCCACTAAACTCAACGCACAGTGTCGAATGCGCATCGCCTCTTCAAACCTTTCGGCGCGCACACCGGGGACGCCACGCATCATTTTGATTTTCCTGTAATGGCCTTCCTTCGCACCCTCGAAGATCAGTTTCGGATCATCAATTTGCCAGCGCCAAGTCGTCGAAACTGGGTTGGTGCCGTGCCTCCAGCAAAAGACACACTTGTTACTGCACGAAAGTGACGGAGTAGTTTCCATGCACAGATGGGAGGCAATGCCATAGAAGGAATTCTTGTAGCAGGATCCACGACCCCGAAGCGCCGATTTTGTCCAACGGCAGATTTTCACCCCTGAATGGGTGCCCACAATTGTGTACCCCTGTTTTATCAGAGCGGCGTGAGTCGGAGATTCCTTGGGGACCATGGCCTTCAAGGGCGTGGGTGCTGATGGCGGAGAACTGTAGGTCGTGAAGTCGATGGCCATTGGAGCCGCGTAGGAATTGGCCTTCCCGCCCACATCCTCGAGATCGGTAGTGTTGGCAAGCTTTCGTCTCTTATTGCGACCAGAGTCAGGGAACTCAACCTCTTCATCCACTTCCTCTGGCTCATCCTCGTCGTCGCTCTCCAGGGGTTCCCCGCTTCCAGGAACTCCTTCACCGAGGGCACCGGTCTTGCTCACCTCCTTGAGAATGTTGGATACGCCACCTATCCAGTCCTTCAGCGATCTGTCGAGATTGCTCTTCACGTCACCGAGTCCCACAGGGTACGCCCTCTTCCTGCCAGTTAATTTGGCCATCCACTTGTCGACCTCTACAGCTTGTGAGCAGAATCCCGTCTCTTCCGTGGGCCAGCCTTCCTTATCACCGATACCAAAGACCGTGTATCCTGCCAACATAGATAAAGGTGCGGTATCGATGCGGAAGTCATTGTGTGTCTCGTCTAAATGGGAAAGAAACGTGTTCAAAATGGTATCGATATCGTAGGATGGTATCAAAAGGAGGTAGAAGTACAAGATACCTGCATCCGGCGCAGGTGTTTTTGGTCCTGATATGAAGTAGTCGTCGAGATCAATGTAAGAGATATCATGTATTTGAGGCCTAAGGATGGCGGGCTGGGCGATTGAGACTTCCTCGAGGTCCGCAGCTACATTCTTTGAAAGGCGTTCAGTAGTTCCGGTCAAGGAAGAGAAGAAGATCAATGGCTGTATGCGAGACGGCTCTCTTCGTCTCTGTAGCGCTAGTTGACCTCCTCTCGATTTTGACGGCTTGCGGCCTGTCACAACACGGGGTGCTGCCACCGTTATTAGAGGTTTTCGAGCCTGGCCAGATGTGAGTGAAGGGGTGTTTCTTGGTGCAGTTTCAATCCTTTTATCCTTCGCAATCTGGAGACGGACATCATCATTTTGTGAAAGCCACTCTGCCTTCTCCAATGTTGGCGAACCGCGCTGTGCGATTTTGTAGGCATGCCTGCGCAGCACGATGACTGCGAGAACGCTTAGTCCGAGAACAATTGACAAAACGACGCGGTTCTCATGCCACGAAATCAACAGCCGGTCCAGCCGGTCAGCCAAAATGACTGGCGCCGCTCCAGCGTCACCGAAATCCATGGTTACAGGGTTGGCTGGTTACAGTCACTCGAGACGTTGAAATTCTCTCGGTATGGAGTGGGATGCGCAGGTCACGTTCCTCGAGATCCTTGGCATCCGAAGCGAAGGACCCACCCAGACCACGCCGCTTTTATACCTACCCACTTCGTCCCTTGGTCTCTTCCTCATCCGGCTCACCCACTTCTCACCTTCCACCTATTACCCAGCACTCACCCTTCACTCACCCTTCACTCACCCTTCACTTACCCTTCACTTACCGTCGTCTTGCCAGACCCCTTTCTTCTACGGTCCTCATCTAAAAGGCACCTCCAGGTCGCCCTTGTTCCCTCTCAGTGATGGCTCAGAGCTCCGGTCAAGTTTGCTCGCCACGATTGGACTATCTAGTCATCTCACAACGCCCTCCGCTGACTGCCTATCCTCGGGGTTCCAGCACGGATTTTTGCGGCCAAGAGCGAAGAGAAAGCCCTTTTCCTTTCCCCGGAGACGCGTCTCATGGTTGCAGAATGATTACAAAACGATCCATTGTGACCCACTGCCTTGGACTTGGTCGTTCGTGACCGGGAGTTGCACGGAAATTCCTACACCCTGTGCGTGAGGGGGTAGAATGATGGCCAATGCGTCAATAGATTGTCCTGTCTACTCCTAAGCATGGTTTTTTAATTTGGGCCATAGCAGCCTTCTCGCGTTCGCGCCAAAGATCCCCTTCCTCGTCTCGTCGTTGAATATCTCCAGCGCTCGCTGTTCCATGATTCCGCCCAGCCGATACACGGCCTCGGCCTTGTAAAAGGGATAGTCCGTCCCGTACAGAAGCCTTGAGGGCTCCGTGAAGCGCAGCAGGCCGTGAATCTGATCCGGGAATGGGTAGCCCGCGAGGTCAAAGAAGAAGCGCGTTTTGAACAGGTGTTTGACGTCGTCGCTGGTAATGGGCAAGCTGGGGCTGACCGTGCGCGGCATGTACCCAACACACCGCTCGATCACAGGCGGTAAGGCAGCGCCGCAGTGAGGGACGACGAACGTGATGGACTGGTATCGCGCCACAGTACCGGAGAGGATCAGGTTGCTGACGGCACGGGTGGTGTCGAAGAGGAATTCGAGCATGGGTCGCGGATACTGGGTCAGAGGGGCGACCGCTTGAGGAGCAACGCCGTTGGCGACTGGAAGATTTACTCGACAACAGGTCGGATGCATAAAGACCACGGCGCGTCGCGAGTTCAACTTCTCGAAGACCCTGTCCAGCGCTGGGTCGCCTAGGTACACGGCGTGTGCGTTCGTCATGACCGAGAAGCCCACGGCACCGAGGTGGTCCAAGGCATGGTCGATCTCGGCGAGGGAGCCCTCAATATCCGGAAGTGGTAGGCTTGCAAAGAACGCAAATCGGTCCGGGTGCGCAGCACAGATATCAGCGAGATCCTCGTTGGTTTCGCGAGTCAGCCTGCGAGCAAAGGCGTCGTCCCCTGGCTTCAAGTGCGTGCCAGGTGAGGTGATGCTCAATATGCTCTTCGAGATCTTGGCATTGTCCATGGTCGCAAGGTGCGCCTCGACGGTCCAGCCCTGGAGTTTGGTTCACTGTCAGTCCAACCGGTGGGCCTTGCTTGCCCAGGATTGGGTTGGATCTCTTCTGGGGTTGTTGTCGATGCACGGAATCCGCCTCGGTGGCTTGCTTGCTTACCTGTACCATCGAGATGCCGTCAGTGTCCCCATAACCCAGGTCCATACAATGCTGCCGCCATCGAGCAGGGATTGCATGGCTGTGGGTGTCGATGCGCTCCATTTCCAGTTGTGTTAACCAATTCACGTGGTCTCCAGGTCTACCAGACAATATTGGAACAGTGAACTGGTCTTGTTTGGCTAATCTTCGAAGCATCCCCTCCAGAACCAAGAAGGCCAGGTGGTCGCTCTTCAGATACTAACGGATTAAAAGTCAGGCCATGGCGGTTGACCTCGATATACATACCTCAGCAGCAATCGATCATTGCTTTGATAGCCAATCAGGCTTACCCTTATCCTATACACTAAAATGCGATGCCCGAGCGCCAATCTCCGACATGTGCCAATCGCCCAGATCCACTCTCCTCGTATGTTTAGGCTTGTCGTGAAGCACGGCCAACCTCGTGGGTCGAACACAACGGTGTCTCGAGGAATCTTATGCATGATCGAACATACCCTACTCGTACGTCGGCAATACCGACCGGGCTATTGGGATTTATAATCTCTTTTCCAAGGCAAACGTGACGCGCTAGGATGCCAATGACGGGAACGAAGCCGCGCCATTAGCAAGCAGGTCGTCATCCCAGTCGAAAATCCTGGCATCGAACGAGAACAGATCCTCCGGGCTGCCGGCATCGCCTATATCCACGAACCGTAGCTCCTGGGGATGTGCGGGACTAGGGTACAGCAGCCTCGCCAATTCCGCCTCCTGTTCTTGGGTATGTGCCGTCGAGACGGGTCTAGACCGCGTGAAAATGGCATCGAGTAGTGGACCCAGCAGTCTCTCGTAGATGGCCGCATACTCCAAGACTTCGGTCCAGCCTTGGCTCGAGATGGTCAGTAGGTTCGAAGTGAAGAGCTTTGTCATCTCAAAGATCTCGTTGGGGCTGAATTGCAGCGCGATCGCCTCGAAGTTGTGTCGTAAACAGAACAGCACCACCAGGGCCATTTCGAAGGTGTGATGAGCCGCAAGCCATGGCTGCGGGAAATACCCCGACAGGATCTGCCCGCGACAGCTCTTGGCCGACGAGCATGCGGCCTCGAAAGCCGTGGACATGCTCGTGGAAGATGGTAAGGGCACGCGAGATGAAGGTCTGTGCAACATTACCAGGCCGTGCATCAACGCAAACTCGGTCCATCCGTCGTGCGGGAGATCAGAATGATACCATTCCCACAATCGTCGCTCTGTTATCGCCAGCCACTCCTGCCATGTCTGTTGAGGGTCCAGCTGCCGGCCTTGGAAGTGGACTTCGATGATGGTGGATTGCACTCGTCTATATTCGATCCAGCGGATAGCCAATTTCTTGGTTGCTTGTCCCTGGTGATCGAGTCCATGTGAAGTGATGCACCGATCTTCGAGCACCGACATGACGCTCGTGTCGATTGCCGGGTCCGGAATGGACAGGGGCCTCTGGAGCGCCGCACAAATGGAGCGATCCATACAGTATGCGGCCCAAAAGATACGTCTGCGTAAATCGATAGTCAGGGGGTCCAAACCCATACTCTCCGACACTTCGCGATGCAGACCCAGCTCGAGACAATTGCGCATGGCGAACCCACTGAGGATCCACACATTTCCCAGCTTTGGATTAATGGATGCGTACTGCAGAATCAGCAACGTGACTTGGATCCAAGCCATGTCTGAAGGATACGCCGCATTCTGCGAGAGGTGACGAATCCCTTCCTTGAAGAGCGCTTCAGAGAAGGCCATGCACCGCGCGCCTTGCCCTACCTTTGCACTGCCCAAGGTTGTAGACACGGAGAGAATCAGGTAGATGACAAGGAAGTCGTAGTCCAGTCTTACCGTCTGTGGGCAAGTCTCTCTTCCTTCAGCTCGTGGAATCTTCAAGAGCACGCGGTCGAGCTGTTCCCATATCGTCGGCTCGTACAGAAACGGTTGGACGGGGAGCATGCGCTGCACGTACTTCTTGACCAACGTGTGGACGACGTGAGATGGCAGGCTTGCCAAGATCGACATATCGACCTCAGGTTCGCTATTGCGATTCTGGGCCGGTGTCTTGCTTTGGGCCTGCTCTTTCGCTTCAGGTGAGAGCACTAGCGACGGCGTGAGTCCCATCCGGACTCGCCGTACAACGTCTGTCAGCGACGGACCGACTGGCAAGGTCGCATTGATCATCGACTGGATTTCGGCGCTGGCGATCACCCGCTCCTTGGTCGCGTCTCGGGTGCTCGATGTTCTCCGATGGTGCAAGGCTGTATTCAGAGCGGGACTACTCCTCGCATGCTCGACCGCGACGCATTGCTCTCTGATCTCCGCCTCCAAGGAGGAGATCTGCGGTGGCTCATCGATCACAGCAGCCGTAGCGAGGACAGGAGGGTTTGTGTTTGAAGGCTCGTTGTGATCGATCTCTTCCTGGATTTCGAACTCGTCGCAGCCCAGTTCTGCTAATTTCAACTCAAGGCTGGCAATCTCGTTCTCGAGATGGTGTACGATACTTCGCGGAATAGCAGCGCCGCGGGCTGAGTTGAAGCCCCTGCATTCTGCGCCCACAGCGACGCACTGGGAACATGCCGGTAGCCGTCTGTCGCACTTTGCACATATTTTCGTCAGTCAAGATCCACAGTTTCAGAGACTCACTGGTTCCATCAATCATGTAACAAGCAAATGGTATGAAATACCTTGGATTTCCTCTTCCGACACCTGACGCACGACAGCACGCTGCGTCTACAGGCGGCAATGTTCGGTGTATTTGGCATAGTGGTCGAGGTTCTCCGGCCCATATTTGCGATAAGCATAAGAGTACAACGGCCAAAACGGCCCTCATATCTGTTATGTGCTCGGCGCACCTCCCCATTTTGTCAAGAGTCTATCCCTTCATAAGGTAGGCCCCTCGCTATCTCTAGATAAAACTCTGCACTCATTATACTCTAAAATTAACTCAGCCCTACGTTCTGGCGTCAATATCGTTCGTTCTTGATCGGTATCTGGTACGAGCATATCGGAGATTCACGACTTGTACGAGGCTGAGGCTTCAGTCGACGGAAAATTGACGACGAATTAAGGTTCGCAGAATGTATCCGTTTTTCACCGGATTGGGAAAGTTAAGCGACATTGGTGCGTACCTTGCCCCTGATTTGCTCTGATTTATCATCCACCAAGATCGGGCCGAGTCGAGAAAGTCCGACGCTCTTACTTCGATACGATTGACCAACATGATCGGGTTTCTCCTGCAGACAGACTCCGGATAGGCATGAGCGCAGTTGTGTGACAATATCGACTTTCTCAGAAGCCGACATGGCCTCCCTCCTGTGGAATTTTTACTACCTTTTTTCTTCCAGCTTCACCCGATCGCACTGCGATGCGTCGCCGGACAGGTTGGATTGCTCCAGTCAGGATGAGATTGAGGACGCATTTACTTTGGCCCGTTTCTCGTTTCGTACATCCTCATCTCATATATTAATATTCACATGCATTACTCGAGACTAGTATTAGAGTCGCGGGACACTCGTTGCTTAGCATTCGCCTCGCCATTCTTGGCGTGCTCCCTTCCCATGACTTCGTGTCTTTGACGGTTGAATCAACTGCCAGACATGGACTTCTCGTCCGTCCCCATGAGATTGCAGATTGAGCGAGATGCTGGCACCAGGCTGAAGGCAAGACATCCATCCCCGGCCACCGTACAGCACCTAACAAGCGTCTAGATCATTGTGGTGGGCGCCGGGCTTGGCGGGCTTGCGACGGCAATATCATGCCAGCTTGCTGGCCATGAAGTCACCGTCCTCGAATCCGCGGCCACAATGGGTGAGATTGGGGCAGGTCTCCAGACGTTGGCAAACTCATCCCGAGTTCTCACCTCTTGGGGAATGGGCGAACAACTCAGCAAATGTGCAACGACGCCGCGGCTCTGCAACATGATCGGATGGCGAGGTGAGGCCATATCAACGTGGGATATCCACAAGTCTACACGCGAGGAATGGGGCAGTCCATACTGGGATCTGCATCGCGTCAGTCTGCATCGATGTCTCTGGGACCGAGCGGTGGAACTGGGTGCCGAGGTGCGGGCCAATTCACGAGTAACCGATGTCAGGATTGCAGCGGACGGAAGTTATGCGACTGTGGTGGTCCAACAAGGCGAGCAAGGGACCCGCGCCTCCATGGACGCAGATCTCGTCGTCGGCGCGGACGGCATCAGAAGCCACTGTCGAGATCTACTGGTTGGGAGAGATGACCCTCCGGCCAAATCGGGGGATATGGCGTACAGAGTTCTCCTCAATACCGACGACATGCTAAAGGACCCCGAACTGAGAGATTTCGTGTTGGATCCGCAGGTCAACTACTGGATTGGGCCTGAATGTCATGTCGTGTCGTATGTCTTGAGAGGAGGCAAACAATTCAATATGGTCCTCCTGGTCCCCGATGATCTACCGGAGGACGTCGTCACGCAGGAGGGGAACGTCGAAGTTATGCAAGCTTTGTTCAAAGATTGGGACCCGAGGTAAGATCAATCCAGGGGCTGCAGCAGGCTCCCCCTGGTCAGACGTACACATGTACGTTGGACTAACCACTCAAACCCAACCTTAGAGTCCGCAAGATTCTGTCTACCTGTTCTCAAGTCAAGAAATGGCGCCTCTGTACCCGAACGCCCACCCCAAGCTCCCCGTCCTGGTACCACCCTAGCGGGACTTTCGTCCTGCTCGGCGATTCCGTCCACGCCACTCTCCCTTACCTCGCGAGCGGCGCCGGCATGGCCATCGAGGACGCCTCTGTCCTAGGCCTCTGCCTCTTGCGCATATCCTCCAGCTCCACGCCCCAAGAGAAGCTGCACGCTCTGAGAGTATATGAGACGTGCCGAAAACCGCGGACCCAGCGGGTCGTCGAGAAGGCGTATGAAAGCCAGTACTTATATCATCTTCCGGACGGTCCGGAGCAGAGGGAGCGGGATGGAAAGATGAAGGCCTTTGAGGACGCATATCGCACTCAAGGGAATGGAGCAGTACCCCAGGGCCTGAAGCAGGGGGACGATGCGTTTGCTTGGAGGAGCGGTGGGGTTGGAAAGTGGTTGTTTGAATATGACTGCGAGATGGATGTAGAGAGATGTTGGACATTGCTCCAGGCGGAGGGAGAGGCTGCTGCAAGGACAGCTGCTCGCTCAGACTCGAAGAAGCTCGGCTTAGGTCTAGCGGCAACTGCAAGACTGTAATGCACGACAGCCATCTAGCGAATATTTTGTGGCCTTGTACGCATAATATTTTCGTCACAGATCATTGACGGACACTGTGTTGCTTTTGGAACAGCAGCAATCAATAGGTGCCGATGAAAAGAAAAGATCGAAAGGAGAAATTAGAGCCTGAAGATCTTGTATAGAATATTGCGCTTCTTGTTCCTCCCTCCACTGCGAAGGCATGCTCTACCTCCCAATGCACCTCATTGCTATCTTAGTAGAACACGGTATTTAAAAAAGACATGAGACCTCCTGTCTATCAAAGCGTCCACAGAGTCCTCCAGCGCTTTCCCTCAGGATCCCCTTCCAACCCTCCCCGAAGGCCTATCGTCCAATATACTTCAACTCCAGGCATCTCAAACCGGGATAGATGATAGCCGTCCATGACGCGGCGACAGGCAGGCCAATCTGAGGACTAAAAGTTAACCACGACATTGTAATCCGACAGAATGGGCAAAGCTAGCAGAAAGTGGAGGTCAGTGGACTTACATCCGCACCGTCTCCGATCAAGGCAGCGATCGGGCCTGTGTAGTAGTCTTGGTCCATGCACATGATGGCCCCGACCCATCCGATCACGAAGGTTGTAATGGCAGCAAGTCCAATGGGGAGGAGTTCGCGAGTATTCCATGCGCTCCAGTCGTACCCGTTGCGTTTTCTGCGGAAAATAAATTCCTCTTGCAGGGTCATGGTGATCCAGATGATGGTCCAGTACCCAATCAGCGAGAGGAAGTTGATGAAGATCTGGAGCAAGTGGGCGCGACCCGCGATCGCGGTCACAGTGAAGATGACGGTGGAGACGGTACACCAGAACACACGTGGGACGCGGGCGAATCGCGGGTCAAGTAACTGGAATGATAGGGCAGCAGCATAGATTCCTGCGACGTTGTTGGCGACAATACCCAGAGCCAGGAGGACCGCGCAGAATTTGCCGAATTGGTTCAACGGCGCGAGGCCCTCGACGTACAAAGCGCCCGCGGAATCCGCGAAGGCGGCTTTCCATGTCGGGTTCTTGCTTAGACCGCTCCCCAGGCCGATGCCGATTAGTTCGGGGAACATCTTGCCCAAGCCGAGACCCACGGTTGTCCACAGGAAAATTTGCCAGCGCGAGGTCTTTGGGGGGAAGTAGACGAAGAAATCGCACGCACAGGCGGACCAGCCCAGGGCACCGGAGGCGCTGAGGAAGAAGTAAGTCAATCGGTGGCCGGCGAGGACGGAGCCCTCGCCTAAGCTGGCCGAGCTGGTGTCGAAGAGCGGGCCGGCCGTGCCCACCATGATGAATAGGACGCAGATTTGGGGAAGCCAGGCATATCTGGGAGGTGGTTTTTTGGTCAGCATCGACATCCCGGGATTTGTCGGTATTGCTCTCAACGAACCTCTCATAGATATGAAACCACTTGATGCCGAACGTGATGATGAGCCAAGTTCCCAATGCTGCAACGATAACTCCGATAATGACGGACATGCCTCCACCATTGACAGCGGATAAGATCAAGCCAGCAACCAGACAATCAACTAGACCCCACCCGATTTGCACGACGACGTTGAAGAGGGCGGCTAGTCGAGATGGATACCACCCCATCGTGTAGCGTGCGTTCACCTGGCCTCCATGTCAGTTCCACCGTTCAAATCAGGTCGAGCCTCACTGAGGAAATCGAAGCTGGGGAACATACTAGCGTCCGATTCCCAGACATGGGTCCGAAGGTACCAATGTATGCCGTGCACATGGCGCCAAATATGTTTCCAAATGCGCAGATACTGGTCTCCTGTTCAGCGCGCACTTCTATCGCTTCCCAAACTGCCAAAATCTTACAGCATGGCGTCCTTCAAGCCGAGGTGGAACTCGATCGGACCGAGAACACCGACGGTCATGTTGTTGGCAGTGCAGTTGGCCGAGAACCAGACGATGCCAATTTGGAAGAAATCCTTCATCGAAACCTTGCGTTGGCGACTGCACTCCGGCACGCGTTCGATGCCGCGAGCTTCGACGCTGGCACGAGTCTCCATCCAGTTTGCGAACTTCTGCCACGACGTTTTCGGCCCGCTATCTCCAGGGACTTCTATTGTCCCCAGCTCCGCAAACGAGGGGTCAACAGGGCGCTGGTCCGCCTGCATCGACGATTTCTCTTCGTCCATGATTTGCGTCGAGGTCCCCCTGGCGTCCATCTTCGCCAGGGACATGACTGTTACCGAGCTATCACGAGAAGAAATTCGAGAAGAAAGAGCAAGGGATTGAGGGCTCTTTCGAGAAATAGGCTTGGAAGACGGCCATGTCTTTGGTTTTGTAATATAGAACTTGTAGCTAGGCTAAGAAAATGCGTGAGTGTGTCGTTTGTGGCTTATCTGGGAATAGGTCGTGAATCTCCGAAGCAAGTGCGGCCTAGAGACAGGACGCACTATTGTTCCAGGCTTCGTTTGCACCCTTTAGTATCTAGCCAACTGCTGAGACTGCTTTGGTTGGAATTAGAAGACTCTTAGATACTTAGATACCTTATCGACACCTTCCGCGCCACCGGCGAAGGGAGCGACCTGATGAAGCGTCATGGTCATGGTGCCGTTCAAGTGCATTGGCACTCCGGGTTGACTTCCCCCAGACGCGGTGCCCGAGCCTTACCATTGTTCACATCAATCCAGTCCAGAATCGAGCAGCAGGACTTATCATTTAGCTCGGCCGATGGCAGGGACACGGCAGATAAAGGAGTAAGGTGGGATGAGGCGATAAGCACAGACATAGGACTTTCCCGAAAGCATGGCACGTGAAGGGAGAGCCTGTGCCACGATCCGCACGGGGTTCTCCTGAGACTTGAGTCGAGGATGGGGGCTGGCACTGAGCGCTGACAAGACAGAATGACTGAGAACAATGCACATTGCTGTTGCCAACAGAAAAGGAACCCGAATAACGCTTTGAGGCAGTGAATGTGTGGGAGAAAGGCGGGCATCTAAGGCAGCGAGGCTGGTTTTAGATGGCGGACCAGATAGGCACGTGACTACAAAGCCTCCAAGCCTTCTCGAGAAGGCGGAGGAGGCGGAGGAGGCGGCGCTAGTCCCAAATAGTCCAGGTAACCCTAAGCGCTCTTGTTAATAATATCATTGCCTCGTCTGTTCCCGCCGAAAGCCAGCGGCGCTTTCTCTGCTCACCACCCGTACAAATCAAAAAATTCATCAACGCATATGAGCGGAGAGCTGTCTGGCCCAGCCCCGTGACAAGTCATGGAAGAGCTGCATTATGCACTGCAGTCGCTGCCGTCTTGTCAACGGTGTCAGCGGCTGAGAAAGAGATGCGATTCCCAAATGCCGGCCTGTCGACTGTGCCAAAAGGCCAAGGTCGACTGCACCATTTTTGACCATGCACTACAGCAGACGTTGTCCCGAAAGTACGTTGTCTGCCTGGCCAAATGAAGGCCCCTGTCTCTGATTCGAGGTAGGTATATCCAGGCTCTCATCTTGCGCCTGGACAGCCTCAAGGCAAAACACGCCGCTATCACACTAGAGGCTGATGCTGGCCGGCAAGCTCTGCCAGAGGGTATTCCGAATCAGTTGAAGACGCATCAAGCGCAAAGCAATTTCCCTTGCCTCCCGGGATCAGTACCCGATACTGAACATGGGGGAGACTTTAACAACCATTTCCTTGTTCCCAGCGTCAATGGGTCGACTTCCCGATTCTATGGTTCGAGCTCCGTGTTTGCGCTTGCAGTCGAGGTTCTGGCATTGGCCTCCGATAAGAATCTCTTCAGCCCTTCGGGTCCATCGGAGCCTCTTCTTTCAGCCAAGGACGGCCACGACCGTGATTTGGATTCCGTAGCCCCCACTGCAGTCTTTGATACTGGAAGAGATTTTGTGCAGTCACTCATCGCAGATTACATGGCATCCATCAATGTCATACATCCATGTATTGACGAAACTCACCTGGAAGAGGACCTTGATAGGTTTTTGGCAACGAGTGGAGCTCTGGAGTTCGACGCAGACAAGCTGCAACGGATCGAAAAGTATCAATGCTTCCGCATCGCCATGATGTGTTCCATATCCTGCGTCGCTAAGGCGCGGCACAGTCCAAGCCTCGTGGCGTACGGCAATCAATTCTACGCACAGGCTGTGAGGTACGTTGAAGAAGTGACGGCGGAGGTCTCTCCCCAGTCTCTCGAAGCCCTCCTCCTTCTCGTGATTTATTGTCTCTTCAATCCCCGCAAAGGCAATATATGGAAGATCCTAGACTTCGCCTGTCGCTTGAGCGTCCAATTGGGCTATCACACTGAACAAGGGCATTCGGTATTGGAGAGTGAAGACAACAAAACCTGGAGGAGGACAGCCTTTTGGAGCCTCTTCTCCATAGAGCGATTGGTAGGGCAATGTTTCGGTCGACCTTCAGATCTGCCCAGCTCTATCGTCACCACAGAATATCCGACCGTACTCACAGATCCGGCACTTTTGGACGACGAATCAAGACAGAAGGTGTCAGCCGCTCAAGTATTCCACTTAATGTTCCTTCGCTCAGAAATCTACACGGACATTTACCTTTCCGCTACCAGCCCCCTCCCGAGGCTGGACTGGTTCCTCGAGCAACACGCCGCGTTGCGACAATGGCACCAGAATCCCAGCCAATGCTTCCTCATCAACGACAGCAAGAATCCCGCGGGAGTTGGCGAGGTCACGCGCGATATCATGTACCACGCCTCGGTTCTCTTCCTCTTCCAACGCCATCTTCTCGAGGCCCTGGCCACGATTCGGCACAATAATCCACCACAGCGAGACCTCTCCCAGCCAAACCACACCCTTACTATCACCTCGGAACCCTACCACTCCTCGAAGATTCTTCTGAGGTTATACACCCTCATTATCCGCTCGACGGCGTCCAATTCACTCCTATCCATATTTCCCGTAACTTTTCTCGCGGCGTACTCGATCTTCCAAGCGGGCATGACGCTTGTATCATACGCTCTTCTCTCTCTTGAGTGCGCCATCGAAATCCAAGGCCCCTCCTCTCTCAATCCTGAAGGCCGCCGAGATTTAGAGAGGGAAAGAAACGAAGAGACGGAGCTTGATTTCTCGGACCTGCTGAGCCTGTCGAACGACTGCCTAGTACTACTTTCCTGGTGTAAAGAGCAATGGCCTGGTATGGAGGGCATGGTAGACGCCTTTGCGAGATGTAGTGCTGAAACAATATGGAAGGTGCTGAGAGTGCAAAAATGATGAGATCGACGCTGCTGCATCAGAAGAGAGAAGACAGAGATGGCATCTGCCACTACACCCAATGACAGCCTTCGAAGTTCATCCTGAGCAGGTCTCATGATGGAAGATGTGATTTACGAACTTCGACAGACTTTAAAACCTGTGCAATAAAAGCGAGGAGTCATTTATGCTTTCGTGACTTCTGTGTTGTGGAACGGGAAGTCGACCTATTTTGCTATGCAAAAAGCCTGCCGCTCAATACGATCAGAGTGGGATTTTGTGGTTCGAGCCGGTCGAGCTCCGGACTTGGAACGAGGAGTGACGTGTCGTGTGCTATGCAGATGAAGACGTTGTCGATCTCCTCGAGCTCACACATAGCCTTAATACTCTCCACGGCGAGTTCTTGGTCGACGAACGTCGACTATTCCCCGCGCGACAGTTCGAAGAAGGGACTCATACGTGACCTCTCCATGTCGAGGTGTGAAGAGCGGACTTGATTCCAGGCATCAGCGCCCATCACCACGAAGTTCCAAGAGGGGACCATGAACCTGGCAAAGCTCTAGCTGTAATCCCAATGATCGATACCGACCCTGCAAAACCTCACGTCTTCCTTATAGCAGACTGCTACTAGTTCTTCTCTGGGTGGGGGAAGAAATTGCCGGGGAAATGGAAGAACGAGGCGAAAACCAGGAGCCTGGAAGCCCTCCAAAGAACGGTTCATCTGTGCACATCCATCACATCTCGCCGACTCGGCCTATTGTCACTGTTGTCGAGGACGACTAGTTTCCTCGACCGAACTTGGCGCTCGGAACATAAGCGAAACTTGGGATCCGAATCAGTTGCGTATCGTCCCTGGGCGGGCATTTTGGCAGGTATGCTATCTCACCTTTGAGACAAATGCTGTACTACAACTCGAGTTTTTCAAGTAATGTGCCATTTCGCCTTTGATCATCAACCCCTGAAAGCTCAGCGCGAGCACTGAGATTCTGATACGATCAAGCACCGCTGGCCTTCAGCATGCTTTGCTGTTTTGCCTCTTCCGCTAGCAGTGGATCCAGTCCTTTAAACACTCCAAACCCAGCAAGACTGCGATCGCCGTGCTCACCACCATCGGCGGAACAAAGAAGTAAACGTAGCAAAGCAGCATATTGGCGAAATTGCTGACAAACAAAATCCATTTCAACCTGCTCAACAGCTCCTCTAGGCGCTCTTCTTCCTTGCCTCTTATTACTACATTCCCATCACCCTCATCTACCTTCTTCGCCTCTCCTTTCATCGCACTTCGAGACGCAAAACGCTGTGCCGTGGTATGACCAGTGGTGCTTGGATGAACGCTCAAGACCCACGATAACGCGGCGCTCATGGACAAAAACACCGTAGCGCCTAAGCCAAACCCCATGTAGAAATCATGCAAGGTCCTCAAGCGGCCCATGAAATTGAACCGCACGGTCTGCATGGCGGAGAAAAGGGCGTTGCCCTCCACGCCGAAGTCGTTAGGGAGGAGGAGGCCGCCGATCGTGTGAGTGGTTGCGAAGAAGATGAGCAACGCAGCAGTGAGTTTGTACGTGTTCATCGCAAGCAATCTTGAGAAAAGCGATGACTGCAACGGAGACAGGGTATTTGACGACAGCGGTTCTGTCGAAGTAGGTTTGGGACGCACGGATTGGCGAGTTGAGACAGGCATGGCTTCAAGTGCTGGATCCCTTTAAGAAATTGGTGGCTAATATCAATAGAGAGGAACTTTATATATATCACGCTTTGAAGAGCGAGTTATTTCAGGGAATACTAGGCAGATTGTGAAGAAGACGATCTGGCGTGCGGTGAGACGAAGGTTAGAGCTGCATTCAAAACTATACCCAGGGAGGTGTAGCTGACTCCTCGTATTCGTATTTCTTTTCTCTCTCCGGGCTGTGTGTTCCCTCTCTTAGATTGAATTGCATATTTATGTACTCGGTACCTGTTACCAAGACATTAATACATTATATGTCGCGCCTAAAATCCCCAGTGGACATGGATAATGACGTTGAAGACGATGGATATTCGGACAAAGCTATTCGGCGGCTATCCTTAGATAAACCCGCTGAGTCAGCTCACAGCTAAGTATTCGAACCATTGTTCAGGGGCTGGCAGCCTCGTGCTGCAGTGGCGGCCTAATTTCTCCAAGAAACGATCACTCAAGCACTGAGAACTTCGAGGAGGAATGCGCCGTCTTCGACCCTGTTTCCTTTCCATTTATTCACACTGTATCTACAATGGTCTAATTTATAGCGATGAACTGCATTCAACCGAGCGATCCCCCCCCCAAACAGGAGACCCCTTTTCACAACTCCATAAGCGCTCCGTCATACTGACATGCTGAATCTTCTCTCTATGTGCATCTATCTTGTGTCGACTCGCCACCCTATCATGTACATATATATCACAAGCTCGCCGAAATTGCACGGCTACTTCGGCTGCGAATGCTTGGTCCCCACTTATACAGCACCCACGGAATGGGCACCATTGCGGCGGAACAGGCTCCCAAGATGCTGGTGGCTTTTCCCGTGCCCAAGGACTCGTACACTAAAATAGACACCTTGGTCAGTATGCTTGATCTATCTGCTCGATTATTCTACACTTACTTTGCACGGCAAAAAGAGGGAAAGCCGCTGCAAAGCCATAACGGGCGAATGCGTTTGCGGCTCCAGCTGACGCACCATATGTGGGTCCATAGATGTTTACCAGGTAGCTGATGGCGGAGGCCTACAAAGCAATGTCAGTTCTGGTCAACGTCATGGATAGTATTGCCTTACAAAGATACAAAGATTGCCCCAAGCGAATGGGATCAATGCACAAACGGGGCTCGCCCAATGGATATCTGGTCTGACAGTCCAGGCAAACCAGAACAGGCCGATCGGAATTCCGAAGCTGCCAAAAATCGCTGGCACGAGAATATCTTCGAGCTGGTTCGGCCGCAGCTCCTGAACACCTTTTTGCTTTCTCTTTAGAACCAAGTCTATGCCGATACCCGTGGCAGTGGCACAGAAACAACCGATTGCGATGGCAACAAATGCAAGCCCCGACTGGCCCTGATTGAAGTCATAGGTCCTAGACAGGGACCAAGGGACTGCCGGAAAGAAGTTGTACAAGATGCCAAAGCTAAGGGCCACGTAGAGACTGAGAAAGAGGACGATCGGCTCTGTCACCTGCATCTGGAGCGGCCTCCCTAGAGTGGCGGACACCCACGCCTTCAAGGCCTTGAGCATATCTGCAGCCTGGATAGACTCTGCCTGAGACTTTGCATTGGTGGTCAACTGCTCCCTTTTAAGTTTCTTCAAGATAGCCTTCTTGTACGTCTCAGACATTCCCAATGCCCAGATGTACGTCAGCAATGCGAGGAAAATGGAGACCCACTCAAGCCACCTCCAGCCTTTGTTTTCCTGGACGAAGCCACCTATTACTGGGCCTGCATTTTATTCTCGTATCAGTATTAGATTATCATCAATCAAGCCCGACATACCTAAGCTAGGCCCAAGGTTGGGTGCCATCACAAAGACTGACGCGGCTCGATTCCTGTACCGTGGCTGCCATATGTCTGCAATCGTTCCTCCACCGACACTTAAAGCAGGACTTCCAAAGAACCCAGCAAGGAACCGACAGATGAGGACCGACGCAAGACTGCCTGATAACGCAGCCCCCATCGCAAACAGAGCGGCTATCGGTAAACTGAGACGGTAGATCAGAAGCCTGCCGACCGTCTCGCTCAGGGGAGCTGCAATCATAGGTCCAAACGCCAATCCCAGACAGAACAGCGACACTCCTAGGAGGGAGACAGTCGAAGAGACATGGTATTTCTGCATTACTTCTCTGTAGCCGGACGAGTAGATGGACGACATAAAGGTGCTAAAGGAAAGCCATTAGAAAATACCCATCGGATCAGTTATGGTTGGATGTGCATACATGGTGAAAGCATACATTGCGCAGATGCTCGTGTGATAGAGTTTCTTGCAAAGACTCCAGTTGTTTGGATTGGCAGGGCTGGCGTTCCACTGAACTTGTTGATCATTGCCGTGGTCCGCCATGGTGGCCGGCTTGTCGTCCATATTGAGAATGTACGCATGAACTTTTGTCTTCGTTGCTCTCCAAGACGGTCCTGTACCAGGTCCGCCAAGTATTCTTTCCTCTACTCGAATAAAAAGAAATGGAGGCCAGAAAGCTGATAAATCGACCCTCGAGCCACGTCAACACTCCTGTCTAACCAACCTTCCAGCAATATGTCTACGCGCCTCAGAGCCCTTTCACCCCGCTTCAAGCCCCCGGTTCGGCAACAGTTATGGCCTGTATTGTGGTACAGGCCCGGCGAAGTCTCGGCGATGGTGCCATTAATGATTAGTATCGCAGGTGCGGGGAGTGACCGATATGCTTCGAATTAGACATCCGCATCAGTTGTCCCGACGCGTCCACTGGTAATCTTATACCGATTCGGCAAAGCCTCGATCGAAGCAATTGATTTATAAGCACTTGTCGATTTCAGCGCCGTTATTCCTCCACTGCGTTGCATACGGCCATGCAGAACTTCAGAGCAATTCACAGGTCCTGAATTCAGAGAGATCGGAAAGCGAGATTGATAGATGCGAGTAGTTCTTAAGAGTAGAGTAACCAATGCTACCTGTCTGATCTGTGAGCATATTCTTAGGCGACCAGCAGCCAGAGTGAAGCTGTGAGTATGGCAGGTCCTTCATTCCAGCATTTCAGCGTTTCAGTGCTACATGTAGGTTGTCGTAAGTGCCAGGAGTTACTGAACAAGCATGGCTTGCAACGTCCACTCAAAACTCATACATTCGCCCCTTTTTGCTCCTGAATGGTCGCCAGCCACTGTTTGAGAGTGATGACTTCCTCGAAAAGTGTTGGCCACACAACCTCTCCAGCTTCCTTGAGCTTGTTACTGAAACCTGCTGTACAGTCCGAGAGTAAAGTGACTTTGTAGCCCAACTCAATCGCCTCTCTGGCTGTCGCCTCGAGACAAGTATTCGCCACCATCCCCGCCATGATCAAATGATGTATTTCCCTCTGGCGTAACTGATAATCAAGATCCGTGTTGCGAAAAGAGCTGGAGTTCCAATGTCTGCTCACGACAACGTCCCCATTGCTGGTGTTGGGTTCCAGTCCCTCGACGATCTCGGCGCCCCAGCCAGCAAAGACCCTTTTGTCTCTGTTGCGAACGTGATTGGTGCGCATATGTAGCCAGCCGGCGTAGGTGCCATCTTGGGTAATTTGATGAAGGCCATAATAGATCGGAATATTCGCAGAACGGGCTCCGTCTACAAGTTGGCGGATGTTGGCTAGGGTACCGGTCGTGTCAAGGCTTTCTTTCAACAACCCATACAACTTCCCTTCTGGGTGTAAGAACTCGTTGAGTGGATCAACCAACACTAGGGCTTGACAGTGAGTCATCTCAGCTGCAGAATTGACACGATTGAGAGGCAAAGAAGAGCTTTGACCCAAGGTCTGTTGATTGAGAATAAAGGGCACGCATGGAGTTGAGTCTCTGAGCAAACCTGGGCTGACTTGGCCACCTTATACCCCCGAGGTGAACAATCGACGAAGGACCGGTTATTGAAATGATTAGTTTGTCAGCATATGTCAGAATCGCCGAGGCTGACACTGGGAAAGCGTGAATCGAAGCTCTTTTGCGGCTTGTTCTGTATGAGGAGTCCTTTTTTGAAACGACTCAGCGTCTTGGCGAATTGAAGTGCGCCATCATCTCTAGCGGTAAGTCTTGTCTTGATAGAACTCTTCATTTCATTGCCTATACCGATCAGAGCATCGACTGCTCGAGTCGGCTGTGGCTCCTCGCTGCACGAACCTGCACGGACCTGCACGAACGGAATGAGCCTGAGTTCAGTGATGATTTGTCAGCTTATTCGCCTTTCCAGCTGGATACCAGCAGCGCCTTTTATGAACCCACCCAGTCGTTTTTCCAATGGTCAGCAACTCATGGTATAGAAAGTGAAAGTTCCTTCACTTTCATAATTGCAAGCAGAAACAGAATGCGGTCAACTGGCTCCTATTATCTTCAGATTGCATTTGGTTCAATTTGGCAAGGCTGTCAATGTAAAGGGGTGGCCTCGCTCGGTGCCTCGGTGGAAGATCGATGCTGACAAATCACCCCTTCTAAATCTGGTCACGTGTGACCACCTGAGGTACGGGTCTGATTTATCTGAGACGAGAAATGCGACTCAGCAATTGATTGATCCTACGGAGTAGTAATCACCAGACTGAATTTGAACATTTTAAATCACGGCTCTGATCCGGGATCATATTCCCTTTCTTCGACCGTCCTTGCCGCGTGCTACTAATCTGGATGCGCAGTCATGGTCCCTGGCGGTAGTGGTAGACGTCGACACAGCGCAAAGCGCAGAAAGATTGACGCGACAGATACGGTCACAATTGACCTAGATAGAGAAAGTGGCCTGCTGAATGATGCTATGAAGGATCCCTTGCTAACTTCAGCAGTCAGATGCACGGAAACCGCGCGTGGAGCAGCCAGCCAGATTGCCAAAATCCCCTCCTCCATCGAGACCGCCGACCCATGCGGTGCCAATCGTCCGTCCTCCAGACGCGCCCTTCCATACTGGCGCGATACAGCTCTGGGTTGTGCGCAACTCAGAAGGCAAAAAGCAGCTGGTTTCAGAGAGGGTGCCGGGATGTCGACATTGGAGGAGTAGGTGCCACTCGAGACTCAGAGCCATGGTCAAGAATATGCTGACACAGTCTTTGAGTCGGGGACCCTAACGTGTCTTTCTGTTTCGAATGCAAGAAAGAGGGTGACGTGGTGGGATGTAAGACATGCAAGAGGTCATATCATATGGATTGTTTGGGTGAAAATGCGCCAGCAGGAAATACGTCGGCGAATGCATCCTACTGCCCGGCTTGCATCGAGCGTGGTTGGAATGTGCAGCCTCCCCCGGAAATCCTACCGCTGACGCCCGCCTCATCTCGTGAAACCAGCCCAGCGCCACAAAGTGCAAGAGATACAGCGGCCTCAGATTTTCGCCAGCAACCTGATCAAGTGGCAGCGGGACAGCACGAACGCCATGTGCACACTGATCCGGACCAGTCTACCAAGAATCTGCAGACTAGCTGCGAAAGCTCTGCTCCCAAAGCCTCTGTCACAGTTCCTGACCAGATACAATCACGACAGCAGCCTTCACAAGATTACAATACATCATTCGGAACACGACCCAGCCAGGTCGTGTTAAGCGAGCAACAACACCAGGAAGCTCTATTGAACCGGCTAAGACGAGACTGCTCCTCAGCGTCCTTCCGGTCCCCTATGCCCACTGACGGTACTGTGAATCAAACAACTGCCGCATCTAGGTCGAACCGGGCAAAGTCCAGGTATCAAACCATGCCTGACGAGGTGGACCAAGCGCTCACGGTCATATATCGTGAACTGGAGTCCATCACAGCTCTAAGGCAAGACATTGCAGAGCTTCAAGATCGAGTCAGGGCCGCCGAGCAAGCACGTCAGATTTCGGAAGGCCGTCTGGCTCTTGAACGCTCAAGCCGAGAGGCCACTGCCAGCAAGGATGCCGAAATAGACTCTCTGAAGCAGCACCTTGCTGACCTGACGCGGAGCCACGAATTGCTCGTGCAAGAGAATAATGCCCTGAAACAACGCATGCAGGACGAACAGACGTTCACTAAGGCGAGGCTGGAGGAGATGCAATCCCTGAAGGCGAGTCTTCGCCGGTTGCTGGGTGATTGAAAGCGTGCAGCCCCAACCTCGAGCAGCGCCCTCTTTATCAATGATTCACAGACTATGCCTCCACCATTGGGAAGTTGAAAATCCACAAAGGATAGGCAATGATACTTTGGAAAGCCTGAAGAAGCTGCTCCGACCAGTATTTACTCAATTGCTCGGGTGTGCTTCAGAAACACTCCGTGACAAACGAGGGAGCCGGAATTCCAGCTGGAGTGTTGTTGAACAACCAAGCGAGGGCCGGCCACTACGTCTATCAGGGTTGGCTGTGCTCGGGTGCTGGGATGACACTGACAACGTGGTAAAGTCCTTTCTTGCCATAAAATCTGTAGACCGTCGACCGTACTCGGGAAGACCTTGAACCTCAGCAATGATACATTAAGCAGGAGTTGCAAGATTCCCTGCAGAATTTAAGGCCCTCGCCGACGACGATATCGTACGACAAGTTAGACACCCTTTAAAATTACACCCAATCAACTCTACAACTCCAAGTCATTTCTATCGTTTCCACTAACATAGCCAGCTCAGATAATTACCGCATCATCTTAATAAGTTCGAAGGCTCAGGTTTGCGCATGCTTGGACTCAGGGCGAATGCTCCATGAAGAACATTTAGCAAGCACCAAAGCGCAAAGCGCTGTTCAGGGCACAAGGGCACATTGATAAGAGGAGGCTTGATTGGTAATCACGGATGGTCCCCTTTAATCAAGACTTGCTGGGTTTGACGGTTCCAATACTTACCAAACCGATGCGACTTTCTTTTTTGGTTCTCTATCTATGCAACCCTCGATGATAGGGGTCCATTCACCGCTTTCGGCCTCCACGCCGGTGTTACGATCTCAAATCAAGGAAGAGCCAGGCACTCCATCTCGACTTGTGCCCCGAAGGGGAGTCCAACGACTTGCACACACGTCCTGGTCTGAGAGCTCACGGGTCAGCAATCAACTTTGAAACCTCGTTCACCACGATCTTTGGCGCCCAAGATCTCCGAGGAAGAGGAGAGTGGGGTTTGGAAGAAACTCAACTGGCTGTGGATCCTCAAAGGCGCCCGTGTACGCCTCGTTCATGGCTTCGAAGTTGCGCATGTCGGTCACGAAGACGTTGACCTTGACCACCCTTCCCAGTCCCGATCCAGCCACCTCCAGAACGACTTTCATGTTCTTTAAAACCTGACTCTTCAGCGTTGGGGAAAAGCAAAAGCCGCGTCAGTCCCAAATAGCTCTCCTTGGGTGGAAAGGAAGAAAAGGAAGAACGATCATCAACACACCGTCTGCTCCTTGATGTCTCCAGAGACGAGGTCACCGGTGTGCGGATCTATGCCAACGGTCCCGGACACATAGATCGTATCTTTCGTCTTGATCGCCTGGGAAAACACGGGCAGCGGCTTCGGGGCAGCGTCGGTGAAGACCACATTGTTACGGCGCACATTGACACTCTCTGTCGTCGACATGGCTGAGAGAGAGACTGACGACGCTCCGGGTTGGCACACAGTTCGTGTTCTTAAATCGAATGTCTCTCGTCGGTTTGACAGAAAGAGTGTCTCTCCTTTCTTTGAATCTGTAAATGTGTCTCACAGGACTAGCAAGCGATGAGGCGAAGACCACATCCGCCGGGTGCGGGCCGCTGTTCTGCGTATTCGATGGGCTGCGTATTCGTCAACAACCGGCCCCGCTGCGTATAGACGAAAGCGTTTTCTGGACCACGATTTGTCATCGGCGTTTTCCGTTTCTCGGTGGACGCTCTCGCCTTCGAAATGGGCCTTCTTTCGTGATATTACTTTACTTCGCGGACAAAGCTCCGATTGCCATTGCCTTTTGTCCTCCCCAGATTGAACAGAAATCTATAAGGACTTTCGGCCTCACAGTCTCACTAGCAGTAGAAAGAGGCCTGTCAAGAGAGACAGAGAGAGATACGTCCTCGATACGATATGAAGGATAACCTTGATGGGCTCGTCGTGCAGATGACGGCCTTGACAGCCTGCAATGACAACGACAAGAGCGGCGAGCTTGCTCGAACCCCATTCGGCAGACCGATGAGGGACAAACACTTCCTCTTCGCAAGGGATTATACGAATCTCAATCAAGGTATTGTCCATCTATATCTGGCCCTTGGAAACTCTGTGCCACCGACATCCCAATCCTAACAATCAACTCCTTCGTAGGCTCCTTTGGCGGTTATCCTCGCCCGGTCCAGAGCACCCTCCGTCGCTATCAAGAAGCAGCAGAGGCGGAACCCGACATGTTCATCCGCTACACCTACCCTCAACTTCTGCGAAAAAGTCGCGCTTTGCTCGCGGACATGCTGCATTGTCCCGTGGATGAGCTGGTTCTGTGTTCCAATGCGACTACCGCAACGAACACGGTACTCCACAACCTCCGCTGGGAAGAAGGCGACAAGATCGTCTACACTTCTGGTGTTTATGGGGCACTGGAGAAGCTCATAGATTATCTCGTGGAGACAACTCCGGCTGAGAGCGTGAGGATTGAGTTGGATTTGCCTCAGAGCGACGACAAAATCGTGCAGCTCTTTCGCAAAACATTGATAGAAGAAAAGCTCAAGTGTCAGCAAGCCGGGAAAGGACGACTTCGGTTGGGCGTCTTCGACACAATAGTCAGCATGCCAGGTCTGCGGGTGCCGTTTGAGAGACTAGTGCAGTTGTGTCGACAAGAAGGCGTGCTGAGCCTGGTAGACGCCGCACATGGAGTGGGCCATATTACTCTGAACCTCACTGAGCTGGACCCGGACTTTTTGGTTACCAACTGCCATAAATGGTTGTTTGTTCCCAGGTCAGTTGCGGCCTTTTTCGTGCCAAAAAGGAATCAGCACTTGATTCGAACGACCCTTCCGACATCTCATGGGTTCCAGCCACAGAGGAGCAACCAAATACATGATCCGATGCCCACCTCCGAAGAGACAAACCCGATGGTGAAACAGTTCGAGTACTTTGGGACCATTGACGGAGCCCCATACTGTTGCATCGAGGAAGCAGTTCGTTTTCGCAACGAGGTCTGTGGCGGAGAAGCAGCCATTCGAACATATTGCACGTCCCTTGCGAAGAAGGCCGAAGAGGTGCTTGTGGAAGCTCTGGGGACAGAGACGTTCGACATTCCGGACACACATCGTGTTTTCTTTGCGCATGTTCGACTGCCAATATCCGTTGGGGAAGGAGCTGGATACGATGTCCTCCCAAGCGACGTCCCGGCCATCACCCAATTCATGAACAAGGAGTTTGCAGAAACGTATAGAACCTTCTTTTTTGTGTTGTTCTATCGAGGAGCATGGTGGGTTCGCATGAGCGCCACAGTATATGTTGATTTAGAGGATTGCAAATATGCGGCCTTCGTCTTGAAAGACCTGAGCAAAAGGGTATGTAGGAAGGAGTACTTGTCGACCAACGTAGCAAGGGAAGAGAGATGACTTTGTGCAATAGCTTTTGATGCTTCAGATCAGAGTTGAGAAGATGATCCGCGGCGAGCGGTATGTCGACTGCAAGAGCAACTTTCCCAGTGACACTGGCAAGGAGGAGTCGGAAGTCGGAAGCTGGTGCCAACATATTGCCGATGGCAAAAGTATCTCACGAAGTCCTTGGACCAGCTTCCATCTTGAGACGACATTTCTCAGAGGATGTTGATATAGGAGGGAATAGACTCCCTGACCAAAAGCTTCTGACTCGACTCTGTCCAAACTGACCGCCCGAATATCGCCCAAGCGTGAATTCCGTTTCCGAGAATAGCCCAACAGACATTATTTCCCTGGATCATACCTTTGTCGTCTATATTCCAACACCAGCCACCTGGCGCGCATCTAAAACGGCGTCCGCGATTGTAGACATCTAAAGCCACGATTCCCCAGCCTGACGATCCTAGTGTCTGATCTCTTTCTCTAAGCCGGCAGCGCGGCTCCCAAATCTCTAGCCCATCCCAGAGCTCCTTCGCTGAAAATCTCCCCGCTTGCACCCAAGGCATTCCCGCAATCAAGAAGGAGAGTCCGCACGATCGCTTTATTCGGATCCCGTTCCTGCACGTGATATATGTGGCTGGTGCACTTCTCACAATAGTAACATGACACGTTCTTGCCACTCGCACCTCGGTATTCATATACCCTCAGACGTTCACGGCCCTGAGATATGACCAAGTCCTCGCTGGGGATGATGTAGTTGCATGTGTAGGGGGCTCCAGATATCTTTTTGCAAGTGTCACAATGGCAAATCACATGTGTGGGTGGTTTTCCGGTAGGTGATCTCATGTAGAAGTCGATCAACCCGCAGTGACATGCGCCTCGATATGACTTGTAGTTATCACTCTCCGACTCAGGTCCATGTGCAGGACCAAGTAATGATCCGTTCACGAAGTCTTGAGTTGGACGACATGTCAATATGGAGCCCTCGATGCGTAACAGAATATCATCCAGACGTACCTACAACCACGGAGTCCTCAATCAAAGGGGCAGCATTCACACTAAAAGCGCGGTGAATGGGATCCTCTAACAGATAAAAGTCTCTGTCCTCGACATTGGCAAACTCCAGGACGATACAATGCGTCATTCCCTTTGCGAAATTTTCCCAACTGTGATTCTTCCCCATGGACATCAATAAAATATATGGTTTTCCGGTGGTAGCAGGCTTGACACATGTTGATTTCAATTTGGTCAAGTCTGCGAAGTGGTGCTCCAGTTCTGTCCAAGACACCGAAGAGTGATAACGGAACAGGACAATGTGTGTAACTCGGTGTTGGTCGGATACTGCCATGATGTAGCAAAATATTAGGGAAACGTGATAATGTTAGGCCTCCATGTTCGCCGCCGTAGGTGCATGTTTATATGTCCTGACATGTCTAAACGATGGTGCATGGCGATTTGGAGTATCATTCGCCGCTAATTTCCATTTTCAGACACGAACGTCTGCGTGACGCTTTTGGCGGCAGAAGAGCGTTCGGAATAACCTACTCCTATAAGCAGATCTAGAAAACAATGGCAGTGCTTATACTCCGAGGTTAGCATTCTCTAGATGTAGGAGATCCCATGGCACCATCAGCTCTTTGGCCCACAGGCGGCACACAGTAGATTCCAACAAAAAGAAAACCCTCCCGGTGCAGGACGACCTTGTGGAAGAGGGCAATTTTACCTTCAAGTCACGTACTACTTCTAAAGTCTCCGAATGAATGACCAGGAATTGTACGTGTAAGCAGTTTGAGGTTCGGAGTTGTGAAGAACCAAACGGGCTCGCTCTGCCAAGGCCATTGGTGCCTGACTCGCGGACCTGCGGATGGATGACTCGTGTGCCAATGACGTGCTTTCACTCAGTCCTTCAGCTCGTAGATCCTCATTTTGATTCAGGGCGGAATAGCCTACAACCTGTGAGTGTCTGAGCATCGCACAGACTGCCGCAAAGGCCTCGGACAATGGCGGACGCGGATGAGGATGTCATCCCTCCAGCCTCTGCCTCTGGTCCCGACGACCTCGAAGACGAAACCCAAGATTTCCGCTTCCTCAGCCAGTTGATATCCTCCTCAAAGACCGGTCAAGCCATAATCCCCAAGCGCGGTATAAAGGACTTCGAGCCAAATCCCACGCGGTCGCAGGCCTCAGCCCTTGATGCTTCTCTCCTGGCAATGCACACCGCCCTTAGCGCGGTGCGTGTACAGACAGCCAAAAACCACGTCGTGGGACAGTATCTCCCTGACGAAGACGATTGGAGATGGGATAGCGATGAATCGACAGGCAGAAACGGCCGGTGCGTTGTGGTGTACAAGTTCAAGAGCCCGCATTTGAAGGTGATGGGCCAAGCGGACAGGAATAACTGGGTTTGGCTGTTGCCTGAAGAGGCGCTGTTTCTGTTGGAAAGGGGGAGCCTTGATATCAGATGGCCGGATGTCAACGATGAGAATAATGGTGTGCTGACTGGAAAGGAGGATAAACCCTGCAACGTCGCCGCCGCAGAGGAAGATGCTGCAGCTCAAGAACCACCCACCGTCGCGCCAGAAAATAGGACGGATACTACAACGACTCCGAGCGTGGAGCCTTCCCCAGGCGAGCTCCCGATGAGTCTCCAGGGTGCCTACGCCAGTTTCATCGGCAAAGATGGATTGACATTAGAGCGCTATACGGTTTACGCAGGGCTCAAGAGAGCGGGGTATATTGTTCAGCGGGCCCCGACCTGGAACGATACACATCCTTCCCAAGCGAATGGACACGGCTGCCAAAGTGTATTGTCGCCCATTTCACCATCTCCACCGTCAGCCTCCGCTTCTGGCAGATCTCAATTTCGAGGGACAGTTGCGACCCTCGTCAACAGGTTGGTATCCTGGCTCTTAAAACCTAGTCAAGACAGGTCTTGTCCTTCACTCGGGCCCCTCGTCGCTCCAGGCCTGTACAGGAACTATGCAGATATATTTCGCGCGCTGGCATTAATTCCTTATCACGAGCCTTCTAGCACCAATGCAACTCACAACTCAGATCCTGTGTCCTCACCACGACAACAGGCCCCCGAGGCTCCTTTCCGCATCCACTTCCACGTCTGGAAGCCCAACGTCTCTGCAACTTACAAGAAGACCTCACCACCGCCAGAAGACTACCGAATCTGCGTGGTCGACGCTCGTTCGACGCCCTCGATGCCATCTTTGTCAGAAATAGGCCCTCTTCTGGATGCTCAACCCGAGGATTCTCTCTCCAGAGCGCAGGCGGGCAGATTGGAGACGAGGCTCAAATATGGACGAAAGAATGTGTTATTGGCGGTGGTGGACATGGGTGTCGTGAGCTATCTGAGACTGAGTGACGCATGTTTCGGAGCCGAAAAGCTGTACGAAGAGAGAACCAGGGCAGGGACAAAGGGCCGATCCAGGAGACCACACGGTCAAGGCCAGAGCCGGAGGCAAGGACAAGGCCGGAAGTAAGATGAATTCATGATGACTACGCAACAGCGCCTCGCTAAGTGCTTGTGGCGTCTTTTCTCGAAGGTTTGGTTTCTCCAAGATGGAGTTGCTCCGTGGCAATGTGAGTTCGAGGAAGAGCGAGGGTCGGACCTGGACGAAAGGAACAAATAGCTTCTTTCTACCTTTGCCGCTGCAATGATTGGATGCGCCCCGCAACTTGCATGAACGGACAGGGGAACGGCTTTTCTGCGAAACGGGCATCTCAGGAACAGGACTGGGCGCATAGATACTTAGACATGATACCCCACTACCAAATGATATATAGACGGCGTTTCTACAACAACTAGACGAGACGAGACGAGAGGACTCGACAAATGCAGTGCATGTACAGACCATGGTCCCATGTCTCGCTTTCCATGATCGATGATCGATCCGTCGGCTGATATACGGTAAATTTAACACCCAAAATCCAACAACAAGGCTCAATTATTATAGAACAGAGATCCGGAAAACCATTCAGAACAAGGAAAGGAATGGTTTGAGAAAAATCTGTCTCCCCGTGAAAGAACGTCCGCGTTTTTTCACCACGGCGAATAGGGCGAGCGGACTGCCTGATGATCTAGGGAATTTCGTCATCTTCCATCTTCTATAGACGTCGGCCTGTGGGAGCGTAGGCAGGTTCTAGTGTCGCGACGTATATGCTTGAGATGGGTATGGGATGTGAAGCAGGATGAGAGAAATTTTAGAGGGGAAGGGAACTAAACGCAGCTGATTTTTTGGTCTGGGAAAGCGAGAGGCGACGAAAGTGTTGAGCTGATAGGAGGAATTTGGGGAAGGGAGAGTGGAACAAGAAGCCAACCGAATATCAGTGGTGTTTTAAGGCGTGTCTGGGGAAATGGGGAGCAATCGTGCTGAAGATATTGCGACTGTCACGGGTCAGCTGTTCCTTTTTTCCCCCTTCTTTTTTTCTGTTTCCTGTAGTCTCATACAGCTCAGGCTCAGATAGACCTTGAGCTCTCTCAACTCCCCCCATTTGCGGGTTGCTCGAGGGACGGCGGGAAGCAATACTCAACATGCCTTTAGGTTTTACTTGGAAACACACTTCATCTTCCATTTATGAGTCCTCGCATAAGTCGTCGCATGGGACCCGAGCTCCACTGCTGCTGTCCTCTCGTTTTCGTGAAAGGGTCATCCACGACACGAGACGGAGTGTCGGACTGGATCCTCAGTGCTGGCACTAGACTCATGCAACTCCCAGTGCTGTACTGGGCCGACGGATGCTCCCGCGTTTAGCAGAATCCCCCAACAACATCGGCATCAGGGCTGAAGAACCAGAATATCGAAGCCCCGTCTCCACCGATGGTGCGGGAGATTTCGCTGGGGGGAGATAGTCCTGGGATTCGTAAGTCGTGCCACGATCTCGCCTTTGGGGCTATCTTTCGGGGTTATATCCCATGCTTCATGCGTGTCGCCCAGGCTGTCTGCATTCGTCCAAAAACACCATCTCGATTTTCTGTCGATTCCAAACTGAACCATCGTGACTCATTGTGGCATCATTGAGTCAACAGCAAAAAGTCGGCTGCCATCAGTAGCTCCAGACAGAGCTCCGAGGGAATATCCATATCTGGCACGCCCCCACTGTTCCGATATTTCTCGTTGTAGTAAAAGTACTCGACGACTTTCTCGAGGACGTTGCCGCCGATGTTCTCGAGGTGGCAGATCCCCGTCTGGGCCTCAGCGAAGTTACCTACACAAGGGCCTTTGCATTAGCTCCATCGGTTTCGGAAATTGAACGGAGAGGAAAACATGCAACGTACTCTGCGCGTCAAGCATGCGCCTGAGTGTGGGAGACACGCAGGCAGCCGAGCGGCGGACGTGGAATTCAAAGCCATCAGACGAGACCAGCGTCACAAAGGGCGAAGGGACGCCGTTGGCAGCCATAGGTGACAGATGAATTTGAGGTGAAAGGCCAGAAGATATTACTTGAGAAGTGCGTTACCGAGGACCGGGTCGAAGGTTCAGCAGAAGGAAAAGAAAACACACAACGTGAAATGAATGCGTGGTGAATTAAACCAAGGTGGTCAAGGACGGCAGAATTAGGTAGAGCACTAAAGCGGCGAGTCTTCGAACAGCAGAACGGGTACTAAATCTTCACCCAAACCACGAGACCACTCAAGGGCATGGATTCTGCCCGCGTCCATATCTGTCTTCATGTCTTCGTTCGTTTCTTCTCTTGTCATTGGTATATCTTCTGTTGAATTATCCCCCCGGAGGAGATCACGCCCGCCCATGATCTGTTCCAATAGCAAGCCGGCTCTTCCAATAGTGAGCTCCATGTCCAACAAGCTCGTCTTGAGATCACTCAAGCCCCATTTGCTCTTTCCCTCTGAAGCGAGCACTAAATGCCCTTTTGAGTCTAAAGTACAGGAGTAAGTGCTGGCAAAATCTCACCTGCTGTGAAGAGAACGTGTGAGATGTGAGGGCGAGGCGCATGCCGTCCCACTGGCAGTCATAAAGGACCATCGACATGACCCTCCTGGTCCTTCAGATCTGTAGGACGCATTGCCAACGACGCTCATGTGGTCATTCCTTTTTCTAGATGGGCCTAGTCGTCACCCGCGATCACAAGCGCCCCGTCATCCTCGTCAATTACGATTGCTTCCGTACCCCGATGATTCGTGAATTCCGCCGATGACATGCCTTGCAATTTCTTTGCCTGCGTAGCACTCTCGTCTCCTTCGTCGTCGAGGGGTCGCTTCCGCTTGCCTGCTGGAAGTTTAGCCGTGCTTGAAACACCGTTCATAATAACCAAGCCATCCGCATCATCATTTTCGACCTGGTCACCGTCTGGGACAGCTTGCTTCTCCGGTTTCCGCGGTACCTCCAATGCCTCGCCTTCCTTCTCGACCAGTAGAACGGCTTTGGTTTCGTCTTCTGGCTTCTTCACTTCGATTGCTATTTGGAGGTCGACTCGAGGATTATCGTTCTCGTCCTTGACAAGAATAAAACCCGCGTCCCCAATATTCAGATCGGATAGCTTTTTCTCCAGATTGTCTTCAAGGTCTGGGTCATATATCAGGCCGGCCTCACTCATGACGGTTACTTCCTCTCCATAGCCTAGTCTGGTTCGTAGAACGTCTTGGACCAAATCTCCGAGCGTGGCTTTTTCAATATCGACATGCACCCTTGCCATGGCAACGCTGCAAACAGGACACTCCGGGTTGGGTGGATCCAACTGATCGGTCCGCAGTGAACCAATCCCCAGCCAGAGCCACCTAGTCCGGGCATAGTCGTCTTTCAATACCTTGAACGCTTGCAATACGCAAAGACCGGCGACCATGGCATTTGTGGTGGCAATTGCGGGGATGATATTGCCTGCCATCTGCTTGATGTCGAATTTTGACTTAGGTTCGATGCCGAAGATGATCGCTCGAAGGTTACCCGCTGCGGCAACAAAGTCCATCGTATCATCGTCATCTTTGTCGAACAAGATCGAGGGTTGCGGTTCTCCAGATTTCGATGCAACCGCCTGTTCCTGTGATAGTCGTGTTACCAAACGGTCCAGGCTATCTTTGAACACAACAAAATTCTCGACAGCAGACCATACTCGTTGGCCATTCTGGGCGATTGCCTTGTCAACCACGCTTGCTTCTTGCTCAAGCGCGTCGTAGGAGAATGGTTCCGGCGGTTTCTTGTCTCTCCACATATCCTCCATCTTCGCCAGTCTTTCGATATCCTCTTTGAAGACTTTGTCGAACACGTGTTTTCCAAAGGCGCCTGAACCCATCAACGCTCTGATTTTCTTCAGGGCCTGTGCCTCCTCTTTTAATTTTTTGATCTCTTCAGCATTATCCGCATCTTCCGATGAGTCCAATTCAGCTGCCTCATCTTCACTCACACCGAATAACTCCGGCAGGAGATAACTTTTAGCCCATACGATGCAGTGGATCGGTTGACTTGGCGTAGAACGGATCGTGCAGACAGGGTAGGAAATGGGAGTGGTCTTGGGAGTGCAATCGTAGCAAGCAGTCTTGCCCTTCTTGATAACCTGCACTTGACCTCTGAAGCCCGTAGTGCCTGATTCGACCAGAGGCACATCGACAGCCAAGCACATTTTGTTGACATGCCGTCTGGCGTCCATGTTGTCGAGCGCATTGAAGACAATGTTGAAGCCCGAAAACCACTCCAGGTTGAATTTTTTGTCTTTTATATTGGCATGGTGCGCGAATAGTGTGACATTTGGGTTGAACTTCTGAGCGATGTCCTTCGCGACCAGGGCTTTGGGTTTCTTGATATGTTCATGTCGGAAGAGAAACTGACGGTTCAAATTGCTGAGATCGATCGTGTCAAGGTCTATGATGTGTATTTCGCCAAAACCGGTGAGGACGAGGTTCTTGAGCAGCTCGCATCCAATGCCGCCTGCGCCGACAAGGAGGACGCGGGACTGTTTGGTCGGAAGGTCAAATTCAGGTTTCTTCGGCGAATGTTGAAGAGCAACTCACCTCTTTCACGAGTCGTTGTGTTGCGCCCAGAGACTGGCGGGTATACTTGTCGCGAGGCATCGGGCTGGCTTGGAAAGAGGATGGAGTTGAGAACTGTTAGAAGCGAAAGTGGTGCGCTTAGGAATCGAAGGAGATCTAATGGAGGCCGACCATGTGAGAAATCTTTGACACAAGAATGAAGACACGGCTGAAAGTGAAAAGGAAATTCGAAGTAAGGTGGGACTCAACGCTCATTGACGCCGGCAAGGAGGAGGCAATCAGATAACAGAGCAAATTCTTGTCGGGGACAAGATACGGATGTGAGAGATAGGTCTATGTTTTGCTCCAGGACGGCCAGTATTTGAAGCCGCTGCGCTGCAGGCCGCAGACGCAGCAACGATGACTTCTGGGTTTGCGATGGGATTGTGATAGCTGAACCCTGTAGCAGCGGCTTTCCAGAGTTGCTCCAATCAGGGGCGGCTTGAAGGCTCCTTGGGGGGTCTCGATTGGGGACGCCTGGTGCCCCTCAGGCTAGTGGTTTAGGCCTGCGCTTGGGCTGGTGGGCTTGCGTTAGTGGGAGAATAGGGGCTAGTGGGCTTAGGGTCCCAAGTGGTCCGCCCAGCTGCACAATCTCGTCATGCACTGTGCAGCCTGCAGCAAATGTCGCGTGGGATCAGACCTCCGTTTGCCTCCATTTGGCCGGGTGAAAAACATATTAACACATTGAACCAAATTTTTTTTTATTCCGGCAAACAACTGATCGACAAGAGCCAGGGCACGAATGAGCTTCTTTACCAAGTGGTCGATGAATAGCATATCGAAAGCAATGATCAACATCAATGGCATGCTGCAACAATAACGGGCTTCTCTGGTGCTGTCGGTCAACTGTGGCTGGAGCAATCATCTACCATCAGTCTCAGGTCTGGTTCAAGCAGTGCCCATCAAACCCGGTATTCAGGCGTCTACCTTGAGCTATTCCAATCTGCACTGAACCACCCAACGAAGATGTCTGACGACGAAGCCGACCCCGAACTCCTGGCCCTCCTCCGGCAGTATTTGGGCCTGGGTGGACATGAACACGCCACCGCACCACCGTCGACGGGCGTCTTAGAGTCAGCGGAATACATCTACGACAACGCCATCGACGTCGCCATCTCCAGCACCGGCACCAAGAAAGCAGCAGAACACATCTACCGTCTCATGCAATCGAAAGGCTACTCCACAGGGACCTGGTCAACACATGAGCTGCATCCCAAACTGTCCGAAACCGGCGAAGAGGAGACGGTGGATTTCATATTTACCATGAACCTGCTGAATTTCTCCTTTTGGTCCGAGCTGCCTGAAAGTGAGAGGTTCGCAGTGGAGTACAAGGGCCGGAGGTGGACGGGATACTGGTCTCTCATCGCGGCACTGCAAAGAGCCTTGAATGAAGGGTATACGATCACCAGTCCGGACTTCTGGCAGGACCGTGATGCTTGTCCGGATAGTGTCTTTGAACACATCTTCCGGTCCTCCACGCAGGAGCCGATACCTTTGCTTAAAGAACGGATCGCCATCCTCCGCGAAGCCGGTTCCATCCTTTACGAGCACTTTGGCTGCAAACCAACGAACATCATCCGTCGCGCGAACGGCTCCGCGTCAGGCTTGGTGAGCATACTGGTCGAATACTTCCCCAACTTCCGGGACGTTGCCTGTTTCCAGGACAGGGAAGTGCGTCTGTACAAACGCGCGCAGATCCTGGTGGCAGATCTCTGGGCGTGCTTCCAGGGCACGTCCTACGGCGCCTTCTCCGACATTGACTCGTTGACCATGTTTGCCGACTACCGCATCCCGCAAATGCTGCAAGGACTGCATTGCGTGATGTACTCACCCCGGCTGGAATCAAGGATCTCCCGTCAGGAGATGCTGAAGACCGGGGCGGATATGGAAATCGAAATCAGAGGGTGCAGCATCTGGTGCGTAGAATTGATTAGGAGGGAGATTCTGAGAAAGCATCCCGAGGCCAAAGGAAAAGTCAATGCCATCTTGATAGATTTCTTCTTGTACGATACGTGTAAGGAGATGGAGAGGGGCGGTGAGATAGAGGAGTTATTGCCACATCATCGCACAAGGTCGATATTCTACTAGACATCTTGGGCTTCTTAGATAGAGCATTTGGATAGACTCAGGATCTCCGGCTCGAGGGGTGGAACTTTGGTAGCATAGGAGTTTCTTGGATAGACGCTGCTTCGACTGGCTGTCCCGCTTTGCAACCAATTCCAGTGTCTGTCATTTTAACACAGCATTGCGCCCGCTCTTGCCCTTCTCCCTTTGTGCCATACACAGATGTTGGATGTTGGATTTTCCTCTTGTCCAAGAACCAGGACCACATTTCCCAAATGTGCAGTTACGATCATTTTTCTCTCTGTGGCCACTGGACATTCGGACCGGAGGCGGTTCCATTCAAAAGTTCTTACAATCCTCAACCTCAGCCTCAACCGGCGTACCGGGCCCTTTCGACCTCGACATGGTAAAAGGTGCCAATACTTTCTTCGCCTCCCAGATCCGCCATGCCAGATTCTCGATTTTCCCGTCCGCTTTGACGACCTCTGCCGCAAATTCAATCCCGAACATCTGATGAATAACATAAACCACGCGCTTGGCATATTTTCCATCACGATCGACGAGGCTTCCAAACGGTTCTTGGGCTGTACGTGGCGCGATCTCAGGGTCGCGGTCAAAGCAGTTCTGCACGATCGGCAAGAGGGCACTTTCAATCGTATGGCGAATCATTGCATCATTCTGAAGAGACATGGGTGTCGACAGAGAGATGGTGGCGTCGAAGGACTCCAGATCATCGTCGCTGAAGCGTGGGATACGCACTTCGAAAGGGAGAGAGATAGCCATGACGTTGTGCTTGCCGTTGTGATGGTATCGGAATTCAAAAACGCCCTGAGTCCACCATAATTTGTCGCCAGAGAAGACCATTTCCCCAGTGAAGCATTCCTTGAAATCACCCGTTTCAGTAGTGGTGGTGCTCCTCATGTCGCTAGATATGATACCAACCTCGGAATTTAGGAGTTCGTACTCGTCACGGTTCGTGGCGATCCATCTTCCGGACGAGGACAGTCTTGTAACTTCGCGCGAGTTGTTATCTGACACCATGTACAGACCGACCCAGTCCTTCTTCCCATGATTGAGCGGTGCGGTCCATCTGACTTTGATGGGCGCACCATATTCGAAAAGGAGGGCTTTGAAATCGTTTGTGCGTTCTGCCGGAAGCCTGGCTTGTTCGGACTCTCTATCGCTCGAGCGTTGAGAGTAGACGAGAGAGGATGCCGGCGTTCCGTCGATCTCCAGTTTGTAGTCTTTCGGATCCAGCCCAGCAAGCTCCGGCTCCAACCGTGTCATGGTCAAACGATGTGGGTTCTTCGGCAAGAGGCTTTTGGTATCCTCAACAATGCTGGTCACGCCTGCCGCAAGTTTAGGTTTTGCCGCGTCAAAGAATTCTTCCAGGACATCAAAGGCGTCGCCCAGCATTTTGTCCATTCCGTCTTGCCATTGTCGCAAAGGTGGGGGAAGTGATCTGCGTAGACTCCTGACTAGGCCCGCATCTTGTCGAAGGCTCCTCCCGTACAGCTTTTGCATATGCGGCCTCTCCACGAATTGAATAAATGCCAAACTCAATGTATGGCTGAGTAAGGCGAGGCAAAACATGGCTTTGCTGCTGGTAATCAGAGCTATGCCCCAGACTCCTGCCGTCCCAAGGACTCGCTCTGGATTATTGAGGAAGCGGTAGATGCCGCCGTACGTCAACTTAGAAGATTGATCGAAGAAGAAGTCTCCAAAAAACCAACCAAACTCTCCAAGCTGGTCGTAGATACTGAATGAAACCCAAATTTGCAGAGCAATCAGTCCTAGTCCGATGACATGTTTTGGCAGTGCCATTCCGCCATCCCAGTTCAAAGGTATACGGTACATCTTCCAGGCAGCTGCGGCAAAACTCGCATAACAGACAGTCATGCTGAGGTGATAGATGCCTTTCCATTGTCTCCAAGCTTCGCCCGTGCTCTCACCGTACTTCAGAAAGTGGCGGGTCCATTTCTTCTTTGACGATTGTCTGTTTAGGAAATAGCCAATACCCACGGAGTACCAAATCCGCCAAACGGTGGCGTTGGTGACGAAAAGTGTCTGATAGAATCTCGTATTGGGTGTGAGGACGGTCAAAGCAAACAAATAGAACTGCAAAAGAAATACTGCAGTGTCTGTGGTTCGATAGAGATCGATGTTGTGTATGCCCAGTAGGTTGTGCGTTTGGGAAGGTTGCGCATGCGCTGGACTGGGCCACACTTCTGCCGTAGAGCTGTGATCTGCCAAGGATTTTTCCATTTGCGCAGCTGCCGGTAACTCATTGATCGCTCTTCTGGGAGGCGGAGAGTTGTAAGTGCGGTCGATATGAGGGCTTTCAACCATGATAAGGAATGCAAATTGAGCAGCATGAGCAATAATTGAGATAAAGAGAACCTTATAGCTAGCAGCCATCAAGGAGATTCCGTAAAAGCCAGCGTAACCGATGCTGTACATTGCTGAGAGTTGCTGTTAGCCGGACACCAAGCAGGGATGAAAATGTAATGATCGTGTCAGAACTCACGGTGGGGCGCCATCTCAAAAACTCCGTCAAAGGTCAACTCTTGATCGATAAGGAAGAAAAAGTCACCCCAGTACCAAGCGAAGTCTTTGACCACACGATGTGCGTCCAATTTCACCCAGATGTTAAAGAGGAACAGGGACATGCCTACAATCCATCGAAGCGTTGTGAGGAGGATCGGCTCGGCGGCAGGGATATGGGCGCAGGCTACAGCGAAAAGCATGTAGGTAGTGAAGTCGCACATTAGAATCAAGTCGACGAGGCGGCGGAAGATCAACCACGTGTTGTACTCTAGGGGAGCAGTGTCGAAATCGTAATCCGTGGGAATCTTGGTTTCCAATTCTCTCTTGATGAACGCGCGGAGTTTGGGATGAGGGTTTTCGCCATTGGACGCAACCGGGAACAGCTTCGATTTTCGGGCCCACCTTACCAGTAGCTTGTGATGAGATTGCATGTGAAGGAGGTAGCCAATGCCGATATTGTAACCGGCTCTCCAGCACAAGAAAAGGGTAGCAAGAACTGGTTTTCTCAAGGCTGAAGGTAGGTACCATGCCAACAGGGCGTGAAGCAACAGCATCAGAAGCACGCAGATGTCTGACAAGTTCTTGGGCTCTTTGGGAGACAGGAGCTGCGAAACCATGTCATGGGTATGTGGAACAGTGAAGACTAGAAAGACGTATGAGAGACTGAATCGATTAAGCAACGTAGCGCAATTGCAATATACGTACCAGTCCCATCGAGAGTGCGGCCAAAGGTCTTGCGATCTTTTTCATCTTTGGCTTCCTTTTCTTCGAGGGCGTTCAACTCAAGCACGGCTTTTCTAGCATCTTCTTGAGTATTTGCTCGGATGGGAGCGTTTCTCTTCCGCAGGTTCTCCGTTGCGGAGTCCACAGACGATGGTTTGGCCATGATTTCCGTCATGAGGGTGGTTGTTCACCGCTGATGGTGAAAATATTTCTTCCACTGCAATTGAGAGCGATACCAAGTGGAAGGGAGGGATGGCTAAGGCTGTTTGTGGATTGGGTCTTCACTCGAATCCATGTTACTGTCCACATGGACGCGGGGTTGAAGCAGGCATTTGAGAGGCAGTGACAGGTAGACCATGTGTAGTGAAGGAAAAGCAGAGGTTGGCCAAGGTGAGTTGAGTGAGTTGAGTGAGGTGTTCTCCCGCTCATTTGCGGTGTCCAATCACTGATGCCCGCAGCGTGCCCCCCATAAATGACGACACATTTGCCTGGTAAGCCCAAGATCTCCCTTGGATCTCCCTCACGCCGTCGGCCGCGTTGTGACGGAGACATCATCCAGACGCAATAAGAAAGCACACAATGTCCATGTGCCGATATACAGGGATGCCAAAGGATGGGGGGGGGGGAAACAATTCGACAAGTATTCCCCTGGTCCGTGGGGGAAAGAGGGCGAGAGGGGGTGGAAGATGAGGCTGAGGGGTGGCAAGGCTGCTGATCAGTGATCAGGCCATGCCCGCTGGCTTCACGGCCAATCGGCACTCCCCCAAGCCATTACCAATCCATCTACTTGTGCATAACAAGTACTTTTTGTCAGAACCACGCTTGCTCGAAAAGCTTATACCTTGCACCTCGATCTATACCTCCTGATCCGGTGTCCTTCCTCCCTGCCGAATCCTTTCGTCCCCTACGAATGGCGCCCTCCTTTGAAGAGCCGGTCGCCGAGGCTCTAGAACACCCTCTCAAACGAAAGCCAGATCTGGTCGCCCCAGAGCCAGGTGAGCGACTGTCCTTGTTGTGTATGTCTGATATACGTCTTGCTGACTTGGAGGCTGAGAACATTGCCCTGGTCCCGAATCCGAACAAGCAGGCAAAGGCGACGCATGTAACGGCTGCCCCAATCAAGCAATCTGCGCCTCCGCACCCAAAGGCCCCGACCCGGATATCCCTCTCATTACCGAACGACTTGCTGGAGTAAAACACAAGATATTAGTGCTGTCAGGGAAAGGCGGAGTGGGAAAGTCTACGTTCTCATCCCTCCTATCGCAGGCGTTTGCCGCCAACCCTGACTCGACAGTGGGCATTATGGACACGGATATCTGTGGCCCCTCGATACCAAAAATGATGGGCGTCGAGAACGAAACCATACACGTTAGTAATGCCGGATGGAGTCCGGTCTGGGTGACAGACAACCTTGGAGTTATGAGCATTCAATTTATGTTACCCAACAGAGACGATGCAGTTATATGGAGAGGTCCCAAAAAGAATGGTATCATCAAACAATTTTTGAAAGATGTCGAATGGGGCGAGTTGGACTACCTGATTGTCGACACGCCACCGGGCACATCAGACGAACATCTGTCGGTCAACTCTTTCCTCAAGGAGTCCGGGGTGGACGGTGCGGTGGTGGTGACCACTCCACAAGAAGTGTCTCTCCTGGACGTGCGGAAAGAGATTGATTTCTGTCGAAAGGCAGGGATTCGTGTCCTCGGGCTGGTTGAAAACATGTCTGGCTTCGTCTGTCCCAAATGCACCCACGAGTCTCAGATCTTCCGAGCAACGACAGGAGGAGGTCAAAAGTTATGTCAGGATATGGGCATACCGTTCCTAGGGTCGGTACCCCTCGACCCTCGGATAGGCATGGCATGCGACTTTGGTGAAAGCTTTATGGACAGTTTTCCCGACAGTCCGGCTTGCAAAGCCTTACGACAAGTGGTGAGATCGGTGGGCCAAATGATTGGTGAGGACCCCGACCAAGTTCTTCCCGACGGACCGATATAGGAGCACAGCCATCCACCATCCACCATCCACCACCCAGTACTATTCATAATACGAACTCTTTGCTCGGTCTGCAGCGGAACGCATGCGGAGGATTGTGGTTGACTCGCGCAGTCCAAAACCTCACCTTCCATGGTAGAGGATCGATCCCCCATCTGTCGCACAGGACAGCCTTGAGGCAGCAGAATGCATGGCGTCAATGTCTGGCGGCAGATGAAGCTACTGGGGGGGATGGGACCCTGTAAAGTGATGCCGCGTGTTTCTGGTGCACTGTTACTGTCACTCTATCACTGGACGCGTGCGCGTGCAAGGCCCAGTGCCGATGCGAGTTTCTGGGAGCCTGGACACCAACTGGGAACAATACTCTTGTACTACCGAGCTATGAGATCCCACAGAGCGTGCAGATGGGGACACCAGCACGAGGCGCGTGCCAAGCCACCCTGGCCCGTAAGGGGTTAGTCCCACATTCCCGCAGCGCAGCGGAAAAGTGGAAGATCAAGAAGATGAAACTCCAACTTCTGCGCCTTCTGTTTCAGCTACACCCTTTGACCCTCTCGACCCCCTTTTTCCTCTCTCCAGACCCGTCATTTCTCATCCGCTCAAACTGACAACCACTGATCCCATTCCTTGGTACCCGCTCCCAAGTCCATCAGCCCTTCAGCCTCGACAAGCAAGCCAAGCGACCTCCACAGCCAGTGACCTTAACGACACACTGCCACCTCCATGCACTCCTGTCCGCCCCAATGGTTGGCTCCTTCAAGGTACCTTCAGATCTGGCCAGTCGCAGATCCATGCCGTCGGTGGAGAGCTCCCTCTTTGACACCCAGATCCCCTCTTTGGCTCCAGCCCTCAATCGAGAGCTTGCCCGGTCCATCATTGACCTGTTGACCACAATCCTGAGACATGCAGATGGCGCGGCTCAAGACTGTCTAGCACAATTCGAGACGAGGCCGCGCATGTACGCAGCACTACTTCGACCTACCTACATAGCTACTATTACCGTGACTTCTTGTTAAAATGTTGGCCTTCCGTCCATTTCTTCACTTTTCCTATCCCTGTTGGCCCGCGAGCCTCGTTATTTTCCTTTTTGTGTAGTCTATCCTTTTTGTTTGGTTCATATCGAGGGCAGGTCCTTCACTGTATTCTTTCCTCAACCGCCCTCAAAATTCAACCTGACAGATTTGTGCCCAGTGGGCTGACCTATATCGATCCTTGTCATTCTACTTCTTATCCTGCTTTCGAATCGCTGATCGATATTTGCAATCAATATGCTTCAAATCCACCACTTTCTCTTGGTCATTCTTTTCTTGACAGCCACCTTTGCGAGCCCCGTTCAGAAAAAACAGAAACGCTCCTTCAAAGTCCCTCGGATACAACAACACAACTACAAGCCGAATGGCAAAGCCGCTTATCGAAGAGCATTGTTCAAGTTCGGATTTGGCGATATCGAGTTCTTGCCCGGTGGAGAGGTAGCTACGAGAATCAAAGCAGCAAGCGAGGCCCAGATCAACAACACGGCAAGCGAGAACGGCGAGACAACTGCCTCACCGACACAGAATGACGCCCAGTTCCTGTCTCCGGTGAAAATCGGGGGACAGACTCTGATCATGAACTTTGACAGTGGCTCGTCAGACACGTATGATAGTCCATTGTGTTTTCAATTTCTATTTTCATGACATGCTGTTACTGACACAGATATCGACGGACAGATGGGTCTTCAACACCAACCTCCCTACCAATTCCCAACAAGGCCACACAATCTACGACCCCAACCAATCGCCTACCTTCCAAAACACCCTGCAGGGCAGTACCTTTAACATTTCCTATGGCGACGGCTCCTCTGCCTCCGGTCCCGTGGGTGTTGATGAGGTCGACATCGGCGGCGCCACTGTATCTGCTCAAGCCATTGGCCTCCCCAACACCGTGGCCGACAGTTTCGTGACTGACTCTGCGTCAAACGGCCTCGTCGGCCTCGCCTTCTCGCAACTCAACACCATCCAACCCACCCAACAGAAGACCTTTTTTGACAATGTCCTCCCAGATCTCACGCTGCCGGTCTTCACCGCGCAATTGAAATCTGGCCAAGTAGGCTCCTACGAGTTTGGCAACATCGACACCTCGGCCTTCACGGGCCAACTGAGCACCACGCCCGTCGATTCCTCGAATGGGTTCTGGGAAGTCGATTCCACGACCGCCGCCGTGCAAGGCCAAACCGTCAACATTGCCAACGGCAGAGCAATCCTCGACACGGGCACCTCGCTCATGCTCGTGCAGAATGAAATGCTCGTCGCATACTGGAACACCGTGCAAGGTGCACAGCTCTCTCAAAGTGCGGGTGGCATCATCTTTCCATGCAACGCGCAATTGCCGGATTTGCAAGTCGCCATCGGAGCCAATTATATGGCCACCGTTCAGGGGGATGGGATGAACTTTGCGAACGTCGGCACGGACACGCAGACCGGCCAGCAATGTGAGTAGCCATATTTCTCTTAAACTCCCGTTCCTCGGTATTTCTTTTCCGCTCGTCATTCGACAAGTACATACCACATACCTGGACCGCACCTTTCGCTGGGAAGACGTCGTCACCGCTAACAGTTTCATGCGATGCCAGTTTGCTTCGGCGGTCTTCAGTCCAACCAGGGCCTCCCCTTCGCCATCTACGGCGACGTCTTCTTCAGGTCTCAATTCGTCGTCTTTGACGGCTCGGCACCTTCAGTCAGCATTGCACCGCATTCTTAGAACCTTTTTGGAACGCGGACGGACGATCATTGCATAGCGCTGGAGTTTGGATGCCATTTTGCATGAGGCCTCGGGAATTGTGGAGGACAAAATGAAAGTTTTGTCGTCGTGCGTCTCTCGTATTATCTAGCATTGCATTGCATCACGAACATAACACACCATGACACGGCATAGCATGGCCTCGCATAGTACAGCGATTTCCATCAGAAGGGATCTGCGTATGACTGGATGGGATAGACGGGATGGAATGGACGACCCAACAAAAAGAAAAGATATTCTCACGCATTTACTCCGTACTTTTCATAAGAGAGGGAGGGAGAGAGAGGCATGACTCTCTTTTCAAACTGAAATTTTCATTTCCTTCAAAAACATGTTCTTTCTTCATTCACGCGTGTGCATATATATATATATATATAGACATGCCGACCGACATGTATTCATACCACATGTTCTACATATCCCGTCAATGCAAGGGCGATTGTAGGGTTCACGTTCTCTTCACTCCTCCCCTTGTCCTCGTATTTCCTTTCGTGGTTTTCCTTTCGTGGTTGTAGGGTATAGAGAGCTAAAAAAAAAAATGAGGCCAAGTTTCCCTCTCTGTGAAACGCCAACGCTATGCAAAAAAAAAAAAGAGAAAAGCAAAGTTGTCATCATGACGGACGCTTCGTGAGACCCGTGCCATAATCAACTAGGTCACACCCATAAATATGAACAAGAAAAGAAAACAGACGTAGACCTCGAAACTCCCCACTAGAAATGACCCAGAGAAGACCGGGTTATGCAAATAGACGGTAGGGCCAATTCTTTCTAGATGTAAAATTTACCCTTCACTGGGTGGTCCAGCACCCGGTCACTAAAGCAACAGTGTCCAAAGCTGGTTCCGTCCTCGTCCAGATCACCACTCAGGAAGACATGCGCGTAAGGATCGTGGATACCCAGGTCCATGACTTTGCCTGCGCCTGGCACAGCACCCCAATTCAGTGGCCTGAGTATCATCTCGTCGCGCTCGTTCTGGTCGGTGCCGGGTGGCAGATGGCACGCGGCGCTGATGGCCATGGAATTGCTCCCTATAAGAGGCATCCCATAGGGAAGCTTTCTAAGCGCCGTGGCAAAGAGGAAGACGAGGAGAATGAAGCCCAGGAAGAGGAGAAAAAGCATGCCTATCGGTGAGTACGCCACCGTGGTTATCTCGTCTTGCATGGGCACTGTCCCGTCGCGAGGGATGATGGCGATATTTGCGAGGAAGACGCTTTGCGAGACAAGCCAGTGCATCAAGCCTGAGCCAGCAAGCAATGGTAGGCCATATTTGAAGGGCAAGTTGAGGAAATAGGTCGACTTTTGCTCGCCCCTGGCATCGCTGACACGCAGATACTTCCGTCCCCGACCAGCCGTGACACTGAAGCGCATGACTTCGCGCGAGAGGAACATGACTGTGAACAGGCTGTTGTAGCAGACGTAGAGGAAGGAGAACAATGTTTGCGGAGCGTTGGCGATGAGTGTAGATATTGCGATAGAGCTGTTGCCATAGCCCGGTAAGTTCCACCCCATGATCAGGTTCTGGGGCCGCACCGTGTTCAAACCGATCGACCACGCATTCTGGATCGATTTGTCGCCCTTCAGATTCTCGATACCAAGACCTAAGCAGACGGCGGTCCCGGTGCCCACGAATGCGAACAATCCGAAGAGAAAAGCCCACTGCTTCCAGGTCGCGGCTTCGAAGAACCGATGCTGTCGAGGGTCGTATCTCATGGGCATGGATCTATATCCAAGTTTGGAGGAGGCGACGATACTTGAGTGGCTGGCTAGACACATTCCCTCCGTGGTGGAGTCGGGATGACGCAGGAAAGATTGCAGTGCATCCCCAACGGTCACCAGGGGAGACTCTCCCAACCCGAAAGTAACGTAGGCGATCCCGACAACTTTGAGAATGTTAAAAAACAGGACGACTCCCATAAGGATGAGGGAGAAATGTAGATGGCATTGGGATTCGACGGGTTCAGAGAGGCAATGGTCGACTTCAAACCCGCCTGTGGACCACTGATCCGCTATATCGACCAGTTTCGGCGCGATCTTCGAACACGGGACGAAACCCCATTCATTCTCACAGCATGCGTGTGTTTGATTGACGACGTCGGGGTTGTCGCAGATCCACGCGAAAGCGTTGTACTTGCTGGTGATGACCTTGGGGAATTCATTGTCGGCAATCTTGAACAGTGAACCCCCACTTGCTGGAGGATTCTTGACCACTACGACCACGTTACGGCGATTCTCGACGAAATCCCGTGCATAGGCGTGAATGCAATCTTCGTTGTTGAGGACGACAAAGTCCTTGCTGGCGCGGGCTTGGATGTCGGTGACGTTGCATTCTTCGGTGTCAGGGAATTCGTTCGTGTTGTAGCTGGCACCCTGGACGAAACTTTCGGAGGCGTATAGGATGCTATAGTTGTTCGTTGCGAGGGCAGAGTAGAAAACGGAATTATAACTGGGATCATTAACTCTATGCAACCTGGCTTTGGGATCCTTGGACGAGACTCACACTAGATGAAGGGGAATCGATGAAACTCCCAGAAGCCACCACAGAATGACTTTCTTCTTTCGCAGGAAACCGAGATTTCGTATGCTTGGAATGCCAACGTCCAACCATTTGTGCTTCGCATGGGCCTTGTCCAGCTCGCTGCGGGTGGGGGACGAGAGCAACTGCATGCAGTAGTTTGAGCTTGCCAGCAAGACGGTGGCCACAACGTTAAGTGCCAGATGAACCCAGCTGTCCTTCGTTTCGGTCTTCGTACAGCTTCCGGCATAGACCATGTAAATGCCTGGGTTGTGTCAATACTCCGACCCAAGTCAAATGAGCAGCCCTTTCAGGCTTAAACATCAACTTACCGCCCATCATGTCCATGCCTGCCGTTACCACCCCAATTGTCAAACCGACATTAGCCACTAGGACCAATACTGCGCAACCCAACGCTATCCGCGAACTTGTCTTCCATCCTCCGGTTTGCCATTTCGTTCGCGCAGTACTCGACCTGCTCGGCGATTTCAAGAGTGGTTGGGGTGTGCTGGCCAGAGGATCTGGGGTGTAGGCTGTATAGCTATTGAGATCGGGACTGAAGAGGTTCGCGCTCGGCAGGCTCGAGCCGCCGGTGAGAGGAAGTGGAGTTAGTTGGACATTCTCTGTAGAGCCCAATTGTTGATAGGGTTGTTTGAAGGGCGGCCAATGTGGGATGTGTCTCCTGGGGAGGACCGTCAGTTACACTTACTAGCCAAGCTCACGGACTATCTCTCTCCGTCATTTTCTCTCACCTTTTTGCGCCAGACTCCATGGCGGGCGTTGATCATGGGTCATGAAGAACAGCAGATCACGGAGGGAGAATTGCAACAAACAACAATTAATGATCTCACAAGCAGCGAACTTACCAACAAGGTCATGGCATCACACAACATGGCTCAGGGCTGACACCGACATCCCGACGCAGTCAGTGTTTGCGAGTTCAGCCGTTCAGTTCTGGCCATGAAGTTTGGGCCCAAAAGGAGATAGCTTACGGCGCGGGCTGGGAGCGCAAACGATTGCGGTCTTCAGCAAGTGGGTTAGTGAGCCCCAAGATAGAACATCGGGCAGGGGGGGGTTTCTTTGGTAAGCAACTGCCTTCCCGCCTTGCCACCTCCCCCTGTCTCGACTCTCCAGCCTCACTACCCAGTACCCAGGAGCCCGTGGGCGCCGGACCGCCAGCTGGCCCCAAGCCCAAAAATCAAAGCCCAAATTGGCTGACACTTTTTACCGACCTGGTGATCCCGCAACGACTAATAACTAACCAGGCACGTTTCAGATCCGACACCTGGTTTTCCGTTCGGCGGCCTGAGGCGGACCCGCCATTGCATCCGGTACGCAGATGCTTGACCATGAGCAGGTCGGTTCTCCTCCGTCCAGACAAATCACCTAGGTAGGTCCATAGGTACTCATTTCACGCGAGCCCCAGGGAGTCCGGCTGTACTGGGTACGGCTACTTCCCCATACCCAGAATGAACACGGGAGTTGGTCCAAGGACGTTGACCTCTACGAATCAGGAACATGGATACATCAAACTGCGAATAGTATCCGCCAGTCCTCAGGCCTCCCAGAATGTGGGTTGAGATTTGCATCTGAAGATCCGGAACATCGCCGATCATGATTCACAACCTCGTTTGGAATGCTTGGAATTCAGACCAATAGCAACAGACAGCCTTCTCCTGTTTGCCTCGCTGCGAAATAGGTACTCCCCAGAGGGGGGGGAGGGGATTGATTCAGCCTCTATTCATTTCCCGCGTTTCCAAAATCCACAAGCTCAACTTGGCCTACAAGTCGGAAGGTGCCAGCAAGAAAGCGATCCCAAGACACTGTCCGTATATGATGTGGCTGCGGTTGGAACATCGGCCCAGGTTGAGCAGGCAAGCAGGTCAGAATTTGGGCTGCGCCATCTCTCTGCGAGCTGAACGACGGGGTAGTTGGACAGGTACCGAGTACCAGTGGACGTCGACACCCAGAAGCATCGTCCTGTTGCTAGTCAGAGGGAGCATTGGAGCTGACTTCTCGTACTGGGTACTTGAACAGGAATAGCCATTTTGCCATTACCGCTGCTCCACGGGGAAGACGGTAATCAAAATCGAATGACTCGTACGGGTTGCCGTACTTTCTCTATCATGTTCCTTTAAGCGCCGTTTTGTCCGACCTCCTTTTCCTTGTCAACCTCCTGTGTGATGATATGCCGGATGCCCGCTAGTCCCTCCGCCGCCGATACCTTCAAGACTTTGCGCTCCCTGTCACCTAGTCCGACGAATTCTTCTGGCAGAATCTTACTGAAGTCAAATCCCTTCTCTTCCTTCAAGGCCAGTTCAACCGCGCCAGCGAATTTGGCTGGATGCGCGGTCGCCAACGACACAACTGGCACGCTGTGAGCAGGGCCTGCTGCTGAGATCTCTCGCAAGCTTGCGGCCACGCCGATTGCAGAATGAGGATCAAGTACATATCCTTTTTTGGAGATGACTTGGCCTCTATAGCAATCCCGGATAGCCTCGAGAGTCTCTGGATTGCTGACCCTATAACTGCCAAAGATCTCGCGTGCCTTGTCCAGGACTTCCCCATCCACGGTGAAGGATCCAGTCCGTTTCAACTCTTGGAACCAACCATCAATCTTGGCCCCAGCGACTCTCACCGAAGATTCGACCTTGACATGGGGATTCAGGTCGAGCTGATGTTCTAGGGTCAAGTGCCAAAGAAGCCGTTCGAAATTCGAAGAGACAAGAATATCCATGGCAGGACTGTATGTCTCCTTGACGCCATCCTCATGCGCCTGTGCGCCATCATCCCTGACACCTTCGTGCGGTTCTCCTGCTGGCTTCTGCTTCTTCGTGTATGACCCCGTCTGCCAGAACCGGTGCAAAATGTCATTCTCGTTTGTCGCAATCACAAGTTTGGCCACCGGAAGCCCCATGCGTTTCGCATAGTATCCGGCCAGAATGTCACCGAAATTACCAGTTGGTACCACAAATTTGACCCCCTTCACGTCGGGTTGCTGCTGGAGGAGCTGAAAGTACGCATAGAAGTAATACGTGATCTGAGCCAATATCCGCGCCCAATTGATCGAGTTCACAGCCGCCAGGTGGTGGATTTTGTTCATTTCGGGATCAGCAAACAAGGCCTTGACATAGTCCTGGCAGTCATCAAACGTGCCTTGAACACTCAAGCAGTGCACGTTAGGGTCGAGCACAGTCGTCATCTGTGCTTCTTGGACCGGGGATACTTTGCCATCAGGGAACATGATAAAAATGCTGACATCCTTCTTTCCCCGCAACCCGTAGATGGCTGCTGATCCTGTGTCGCCAGAGGTGGCACCAATGACTGTGAGATGATGGCGTGCATGGCCTTTCTCCAGGTTTTGGTTCTTGCGCACAAGGAAGAATTCGAATAGATTCCCCAAGAACTGGAGGGCGACATCCTTGAAAGCAAAGGTAGGTCCGTGGAAGAGCTCCAGCAGATGGAGGTTCCTGTTCTCATCCAGCGTAACCAGCGGCACCGTCCTGGGGTGTTTGAAAGTCGAGTAACTCCGGTCGACGATGGACTTTAGCTCTTGATCCGAAATCTCATGCTCGTCGATGTATTGCCTCATGACCTGAAAGGCCAGCTCTGGAAAGGAGAGATCTTTCCATTCCAGATACTCTGACCTGACATTGGGCACCGCATGAGGATGGAACAAACCTCCGTCTGATGCCAATCCTTTGAGCACGACTTCCTCGAAGCTGAAGAATTCCCTTAATGAATGGTCATGATACCGGGTGCTGGAGTATTTCGAGGTACTGGCCACCATGGTGGAGGACGAATCACAATTTAGAGCGGTGGGACAATTCGAATAGACAGATCCAGTTTGATATTCTCCTTTCAGCGCCAATTGGACACCCTGCTACACAATCAGCTGGGCTGCAGTCCAAAGAACGAGCCAACGCGAGAAAAGGCGTCGTCGGGGGAGCGATGGTGCTGTCATTATGGTCACACCAGTGAGTCCCATTGTAAGAAAAATTTCCAGCATCGCGAGGAGTGGAACTCCGAACGAAGGGGCGCGCTGACCCACTCACGTGGTGGCCAAGGAGAGAGTGGAGGCTATTATGAGACTAAACCTCAAATAGGTAGCGTGCTTGGCGTAGCCGAAAAAATTTCCCTAGTATAAAAATTGGCTGCGTCTCCCTCAATTCAATCTTTTCTTTTCTTCATGTCGACTTTGTACGTTCACCCCTGCCCTTGCGGATGATGCTCAAATTCCCCTTTACAATGGCTTGCCTGCTAACAACCATCTTCAACAGACTTCATAGAATCATTTCTATAGTAAACGTCCTCTTCTGAGCTCTTCACACGAGCCACAGAATCCTCAACCTGGCTGACGAAATAAAGTCCTCGGTACCCTGGAGTGAAGCCTTATGTGTACTCTCGCTGCGTTCTTGTTTGCGGTCTTCGGATCAGAACAAGAACAAGAGAGTGGTGATGATCTTTGACCTGCGTTTGGTGACTTGGCTTCGTGCCGGCCTGCGCAGGAGGTACCGATGGATTTACTCTGACAGGCAATACTTTTCATGAGCTTGGAACCCTTGTTGGTTGGAGTTTGAGAAGAGTATCAGTCGTTGACACAATACAGAGAAATATGGAACGCACATTTGATGGACCCGTGGCCAGTTGAGCCGGTCGTGTAGGCAATTTCCCGATACAGCTCGCCGTCGGCTGCTGCAGTTAGCATGGATCCTCTGCCCATGCCCAAGGAGAGAGTCGTTTGACACGACCAAGCGTGCTACTCACGCAGACTGGACGCCTGCCTCTACATTCTGGTACCAAATAAACAGCAAGCAGATTAGCTACCCAGTACTGCAGGGTTCGCCGTTCAGGGAATGAGCATCTCATTATTGACGATTCACCACCCCTCTATCTGTGCCGTCCTCGCTCTACAGAACGAAGGAATGAATGAAAGATGCTGGAAGACGAAACAACATTAAGACAAGCTACATGAAGCCCACTCGGTCGATGATGGCACGATTTCCCCGGCGGCACAGGTCTCATAGCTTTCCCTCTCCCTCGTCATCTCTCAAAACCCACCTTACAAACATCTCAAGCTTTGTGCTCAATGCGTTTGCCGCGTCCACCAGCTCCTGCTTCGCGCCTTCATACCCAGCGATCAAAGAAGTAGGCTTGTACCACACGATCTTCACGCCTCCCTCGGCTTCCTCAACGAGGCACAACTCTACCGGCACACAGAGGCCCGCGCTGAGGTCGTGCTGCAGGATGGTGATGGCGATCATCGGGTTCCCCAGGACGAACCGCTTGCAGTTCAGGTTCTTCTTCTCCCCCTTGACAGTAACAGTCGAGCTCGGCGGCACGTAGAACGGCAGCCAGAGCCCGTGGTTGAACTCGTGGAAGTACATGAACCCGTGCGGGCCGACTAGCGACTTGACCCGCGCCTCGTACGACTCGCGGTCCGTCGGTCGCTGTGCCTGGCCCTGGGACGAGCCCGGCGACGGCCGAATGGATGAGCGGAGACGAGATTCTGCCATCGAATAGGGAATAGACGACCGGTAGACGAGACGCTCAGTCTGGATGGTCTGTGTTTCTGTGGTGAGGGTCATGGTTGCGATGGATGCAGGCAAGAACGGGATGGTTGGTTCGGCGGAGGCGCATGTGAAAGGTACAACTCCTGCTTTGATTCTCCCGTTCAAGGATGATTAGGAAGTCGTCCTCGAAGTTCGAGACGATGCTTCATGATATATACTCCCAACTTCGGTCTATAAAATCCTTCGGTCACGTCTCCACGTCGCCTACAGAGCAGGCCATTTGGTGAGTAATTGCGCAACCCGTTCGACCCTACCTCGAGACAGTATGGTTCACCAGAGAGTCTGCTCTATGTGGAATACCATCCAATTCCTCTGAACGCTTGGGGACTAACATGTCGGCAGCATATGGTTCAGTAATCCACTTTCCAGTTTTCTCGGCCGTTGCGCGCGGGGAGGAGAGGGGGCAACCCGTATTCCTCTTGTTTCATTCTGGAATATACCCTGAGAACCCACTTTCTCAAGAACCGGTTTCCTAAAATCTGCGAAAGCCTGCCCCGGAGCCCGCACAGAGAGGATTGTCGTTTTGAAACGTTCTGATCTCGGGGCGCGGGGGTGTGGATCGCGACGAGGTGTTAGTCGGAGATGGCACAGATTAATCGGATTAGTATTGCTCCGTTCGGTAGAAGTCCTTCGTGCGTCAGGCTGAGGCAAACTCCCAGTTTTCGGTGGCTCGACGGTTAGCTTTTCGACAAGGATCGATCCATGGCCATTTGAAACACGAACAACGTTTCGTGTTCCAGGTCGCCGCCCGAAAAGGCTTTATCATCATGAGGAGCCATCAGCGTCATCTTGCACGTCACCCGGCAAAAATGTTTTTCTCAATGGACTCAGCAAACCTGGCGAACCTCTGCTTGATTTTGACGATGTTGACCGTCGTCTGGTTCCTCGGGTGTTGATCAGCAACTTGGGACGGGACGCGGTGCCATCTTCGGCGTGCGTAATCGGAGAGTGCTCTTCACTGATGCTGGGCGTGTCGGACAGCAGAATCTCCGGACCTGAAAGCCGCCTAGAATGAGCTGAAGACTGCCTTGCCCTGGCCTCTTGTATATGGCGTATCCGATCATCCGCTTCCATTTTCGCCTTCTTCTTACTATCCTCCAGCCGCACAAGAAAAGGGTCTTTCACGGGAGAATTTTTGAATCCTTTCAACGCATCGTGCGTATCTCGGGAAGCTCGAGTTGCAGCGCCAGGACCATTGATTATCTCTTGAACCAAGGCATCGACACTATCCATCAAGTTGGCGTTGTACGGGGTGGCAATCGGCGGTAGGTGTTGCAGACGGTATGAAGTGGTGACGGCCAGTGGATCACATTCAAGGAGCTGGCCTTCTTTAAGGTCCTTATGGTTTATGTCGTACATAAGATAGTGGTACAGATCACTCTGCCGAAAATTGGATCTGTCCGAGCTTGGGGTTGACGTTGTTGGCGCCATGTCGTTGGCGGAATCGGGCTCACCCAAGCGGTATTCAATGTCAATGGTTTCGATTGGTTGATCTGGCTCATCCCACGCCTCAAACAGTTCGACGTCTTCTTGACGCTGGAGGTGCCATCTCACTCTCTGAAGAGTTTTGTAGTTCTCGTCGAGGTTCGTTGCTTGTATGAAACATCTCAGTGCATTCTCGTCATCACCACTAACGTCGGCAAGAAATCCCCTCAAATACCAGCATTTTCCAACCAGGGCCTTGCTCACAGAATATTGTCCTGAAAAGCACAGCAATACTGCCTCTTCCAGTACTTCCTTGCCTCGATCAAAAAGATTCTCCTGTGCGCCGACATCGTCGCGGTCTGAGTTGAAAAGGAGGAAATGCGCTCGGCTCAACGAGATGTCTGCATATAGCTCGAGAGCGGCGTTCTCGAGGGAATTGCCTTCAAGGCGCCGATCGCTCTCCGGCGAGAATTTGTTCTCTGGAAGGTCGGTAGCGGTGCCATTGACAGAATAACCGTGTTGGCTCGGTTGTCCGTGTGGTGGAATGTGGCGAGACGGTCTCACTCCGTCCTCATCCATAGTGGTGATATAAATGATATTGAGCCGTGTCCAGGAATTCCCTGAAGAGAGTTATTGCGACAATATAGATTATCACAGCTGAAAGCAGGACAGTAATGAATCACCTCATTGTTTGCGCCGGTACTGCCACCCGTCCGAGAGCGGGATGCTGGAAGGGGCCACAAAGACAACAAAGGAACTCTCCAAATGTTCGATGCAGGGCTTACCCACTCCCGCTATGTCTGGCTTGAGCCCTTGCGGTAGCTTGAGACCATGAGACGCGAATTCTCATTTCGAAACTCTCCGTCTCACACGTTTTTAGGATCTTCCAAGGCATGTTCAGCTAGGATTTGCGCAGAGGCACGGTCGATGCTAGGGATAGCTCATTTAAACATGGTGCTCGAGCCAGGCATGCAGTCTCAAAACGTTTGCACTCAATCTAACAACTGTTGTGCGAGTTATTCTTCAGTCATAACATATCTGGTTTCATAGCAAGTAATTATCCATACGAACGCTCTTGCTGATATAATCACAGACGGAAGTTCATCACCTCCAATCTTTACTGAGGCGAGAGCATGCCAAGGCTGTTCCGTGTTCCCGGACCACTGGTACGCAAATTCTAGCCTCCAGTGTGAAAAAAAATTCATGTATTAATATTCTCAACTTCAGTTCAACAATCAGCACAAACTGGCCGGATGGTGTAGTGTGAGTAATTCACCTGATCAGCTCTCGCATCTTCCGCCCACTAACTCCTTAACAGTGGTTATCACAGTATGTATCCGCCAATGTCATGGCAATAGATCAACATCTAACAGTCCAACAGTCTCCTTAACATCTTCCGATGAATCGGAGAAGGTCTTGAGTTCGAGCCTCAATCTGGTCATTTTTTTTTTAGCTGTTTTTGAAACATTAGAAACCCTTGATGCAAAGGAACATCCTCTAAAGGTTTGGTCCCGGAGAATGCCGAATTGTCCCGAGACATCGAAGGAGTAGCCATATAGAGAGTCTGGATGTACCTTGGTACATTTTTGAGCAAGTTTTTTGTTATCGGGCCAGTTGATCCAAGATCGTAATATCTACATAGCTCTATTTCTTTCTATATTTCAGCTCTGGCTAGTCTATACAGTCTCTAGGCAATACTATTTCTAGTCCAGGGTGATACTACCGTTAGCCAGCGGCTTATAGTCCTCCTCTCCAGCCCACTGTGCCTCATACAAGCTCTCATCCATTTGAGAAGCATCCATTCCAACATTCACTTCTCTGCCAAGCTGTCAGCAAACTGAAAACAGGTACTGGTACTGGGTCATCACATACTTGTCTTCTGCGAGGACCTCGAGGCCTGGAACGCAGTCAATCAAAGCAATGATCACGAATGATCCAACAAACGACCAGATGAAGCCAATTAACGCTTCGACGATCTGGACACCTAGTTGACGAGTGTTGCCGTCAAAAAATACTCCACCATCCACCTCGACCCCTCCATAGGCCGCCACTGTCTTCTGAGCAAAGAGTCCGGTAGCGATAGTACCAAGAAAGCCGCCGACACAGTGAGTCGCAAACGTGTCCCCGTTGTCGACCCATCGCACCCTTCGCGCAAGATCTGTGAACTTGATTCGCAAAGCTTGACGGCAAACAGCGGCTCCAAAGATCCCGAAGAAGAGCGAAGTTGGAAGGTCTATGAAGCCCGCTGCGGGAGTAATCATGACCAGACCGGCTATCGCGCCCATGAAGATCGAGTCCAACGACCAGCGACCGGTCTCGAAATAGGTGATTGATGCCCAAGTCAACGAACCTGCCGAAGCACACAGATTTGTCACGCAGAGCGCCATGACCGATTGAAAGCTGAGGGTGAGAGTAGTCCCAGCATCGAAAGCCAACCAGGAACCCCAGATGATGATCATTGCCAGTAACTGGCACATCGAGTTGTGCGGTCGGTGCAATTTGAGATGAGAAGGCGTTCTGACATCCGATTTTCGGGACCGGAATATCGGGTAGGAGAGGTAGAGACTGAGAGCACTGGCCGTTGCACCACTGCAGATATGCACCGGAGTTCCGCCAGCAAAGTCGAGCACACCAAGCTCACCGAGAAAACCTCCGCCCCAGACCATGTGAGCGAGAGGACAGTAAATGAAGGTTGACCAAAGCTGTATGGAGCCGGTCAGTAGGAGCCAATCAAGTGATCCAGTGTTGCCAGGTAACGTACGAAGATGAAGGGAATTAATGGAAGAATGCGGCCACGTTCACAAGCCCCTCCCACCGCTATGGCACAAACAGTGGCCAGAAAGACGAGCTGAAACTCACTGAACAGTACGGCCGGGATACCCCCGACCGGTTCAGCAAGCACACCTCGATGAAAGGCAAACTTGAGGTTGCCAATGACCCCTCCAGGGCCGTCTCCATAAGCCAGAGCATAACCAACGATAAACCACTGGATTGAGCAGACGCAGACCGTCAACACAGCCGGGATGAATGAAGCAAGCCCGCTTCGCCGTGTGGAATATCCGCTGTAGCCGAGTCCGACGGCAGGAATGATGGGCCAGCAGAAGACGGTACAAACCAGAATAAAGACCGTGTCTGTTCTGTCACAGGCCTCCCAGGCCTTCTGCACGTCCGAGACCATGGCACAAACGCGAGAAAATTGCCTCACTGGACGGAGGGACCGAGGACGATACGGACAATTAAATCTCGCGATGAGAACAGTTCACGAGGCTGCGGCCTGAGCTCTTATCCTCAGTCGCCCCCGTCTTATCTATCGCATGCAATCTGCCAATCGAGCCATGGTCTCGGCATACTGGGTCTGAATCAGCACGTCGCCCACGTTATTGGGCGTGCCAGGCCGGTTCCTCGCTGTCGCTTTCCTGCTCCACAATTAAGTTCCGAGATCCAAAAGTCTGTCACCACTTCGACGGTTCTGCAGTGCTGCTCTCGGTAGTGCTCGGGGACTACAAAGGTAAGGGCATCTGGCAGCGGCTTTTACTGGGGTACCTGCGTCGACGGACACATGGGATTTGGTCACGACGACACTCCTGCCAATAAGCCAAGCGGACGTTCTCCTTGACGACGGGGTTCTCCAGAAACCAAACAAGTCCATGACAACTTTGTCGTGTTGTCTGGCTTCTCCCCAATCCACATCCAAGATAGCTTCCAGGGGGCTAAGCAACTCTACAACGCCATGATTGGGTGCTGATAAGGGCCTAGTCTTGAGTCTTGAGGTCGGGGGGAAGCTGATACGAGAGCATAATCAAGCGCCCACCAGCCCTAGGCCGGAAGAGGGTATGTTTCCCAGTCTCCCATATCATACGAATGCTTTATCGCGCTACGCTTGCTTGCTCACCACCCCTCCCCCATTCCAGGTTTCTGATTTCGGGAAAGGAAATTCGCCTCCGCATCCTCCATGTGCTAGCAAACTCGTGCTTGACAACCTCGATAGCATGACCGAGAATTCGTCGTCCTAGAGCTTCGACGTTCGCAATAATAAGAAGCCTCGGCCCGCCCTGGGCTTCAGAAAAACACAGTTCACTTCTCGCCCTTGTCCCACCACCCCAAGCATACAGTACAGGTGTTTTGGTCCCGAGTCTTTGCCATCCACCATGACCATCGACGCAGAAAAGGCCCCTCCTGCGGGCGACGTACCTATCGTCGACGGCAGAAAGGGCTCTCTTCGAGCCGGTAGCGTCGACGACATCGTTGTCATGGACAAACTGGGCTACAAGCCAGAACTGAATCGCAATCGATCAATGGCAACGCTGTTGTTTCAGTCCCTGGCCATCGCCGCCATCCCGTACGGAGAAGGTGGTCCATTGATCTCGGCCATCTACGGCGGAGGTCCGCTTGCCATATTTGTCGGCTGGATTGTTGTCCTTGTTCTGGATGAATGCATTGCTCTCTCCTTGGGCGAGCTGGCTTCGAGATATCCCACCTCTGCTGGACCGTACTATTGGTCTTTTCAACTGGCAAGCAAGGGGAAGACCACCCTATCGTTTATTACAGGCTGGGTATGGCTCGTAGGGAATTGGACAATCAGTGAGTACTCTCTCGTGCGCCCTGTCTTCGGTCCTCCTGCCCGGCGCTGTCATTCCTTTGTGGAATGAACTCTGTGTCTTCTGGTACATCTGAATGGGATCCACGAGCGTCTGGTCTGTGCTTCATTGGAAGGGGTCGAGTTTATCATCACCATTTGGGTGACGATGACGACAACGAATGGGCCTTTTTGCATTGGCACGAGCATCGCGGCGTGGGAGGAATTTGGTTTATCCTTGGGGCTCCAAGTTTTGACGCACGGCTTGAGCTGACGTGCTGACTGTTGAAACAGCCCTCTCGGTCAATTTCGGATTCGCTTCGCTGATTGTTGCGAGCGTCGCAATGTATCATCCAGAGTGGGTTGCAAAGGACTGGCAACTGCTCCTGATTTTCTACGCCATCTGCTTGATGACCCTGGTCATCTGCACTTTCGGGAACCGATTCCTGCCCATGGTTGATACGATCTGCGCAGCCTGGACGGCGGTGAGCATCATTATCATCCTCATCGCACTCTCGGTCAAGGCGGACGTCGGGAGACACAGTGCGAGCTATGCGCTCGGCCACTACGACAAGTCTTTCTCCGGCTGGGGAGGATTCACCTTCTTTATCGGTCTGCTTCCCGCGGCATACACGTTCTCGGCTATCGGAATGATATCGGCCATGGCAGAGGAATGCTCAAACCCCACCGTCAAGGTCCCGACGGCCATCAGTCTGTGCGTGCCCGTGGGTGGCTTCGCCGGCCTGTTCTTCATTTTGCCCATCTGCTTCACCCTGCCTCCGCTGGAAGACGTCATTGCAGCACCGTACGGTCAGGCGCTCCCTTATATCTTCCACACAGTCATGGGCACACCTGGAGGTGGTCTGGGCCTCATCGTAAGTTGCTCCTACTCCTTTGCAAAAGACCTGTTCCGTTTATGGGGGCAACAATATCATTCTCGGGTCCGAGGAGCTAACAAAGCCCTCGCAGTTCCTCGTCTTGATGATCACCTTGTTCTGCAGCATCAGCATCACTGTGGCCGCGTCGCGGTGCACGTGGGCATTTGCTCGAGATGACGCCATTCCACTCTCTCGCGTCTGGTCCAAAGTTAACGGCAACCTGGGCGTGCCCGTGTATGCGCTGATGCTCACGACGGTGGTGCAGATGCTGCTCGGCCTGATCTATCTGGGCTCGTCGTCGGCCTTCCTGGCCTTTGTGTCCGTCGGCGTGATCGGCCTGGCTGTGTCGTATGCGATCCCGATCGCCATCAGCGTCCTGCACCGACGGAAAGAAGTCTCGACCGCGCGCTGGAACTGCGGCCCGATCGTTGGCCCGATCGCCAACGGCGTGGCCCTGTGCTGGATCACGTTCGAGGTCGTGCTCTTCAGCATGCCCTCCGCTCTGCCCGTCACGGTGGTGACGATGAACTACGCCAGCGTCGTCTTCGTCGGCTTCATGTTCATCTCGGCCGTGTGGTACATCGTGTACGCTCGCAAGGCGTACAAGGGCCCGCCCGCATCTGATGGGATTACCGCCGAATGATGGTGGCCTACCTGCATAGCCACAGGCCGGCCCGGAGCCGTGCCAGAGCTTTATTGTGAGAAATAGCAATCAGTAAATAATTGTCTGTCGCTGGCGAACTGAATGCGAGCTCGTTTTCGGCCAGTCCCCGAAACATGCCGACATCGCGGTCCTTTAGACTTTTTGCCCCTGAGCTTGTTGCCGTAGGGAAATACCTAAGTCCCTTGGTGCGGGCAGGACTTATGTACTAGTCGCAGCAAAAAGAAAACCACAGAGGGACGGCGAGGCGTTTAATTAATTTAATTGTGATTAGTATTTTCTGGGCGGATTCTTTTCCCATTCGGGGGGTTGTCTTCCCCTTTTTATCTTTACGAGAACTCGGTACTGTACCTGTGTAATCCTCCGTACTACGTACGTCTGAACAAGCGGGGATCTCGAGGCAAGACAAGGCCCGAGTCTTAAGGCCCAAATCCGCAAGCTCGAATTACTCCATCTGCGAATTTTGCCATCCCACCATATCCCACGAATATCGTATCACATACATCGCATTGCGTTATATCTACTCCGTGCCAGCCTCTGCTCTAGCGAGTCCGCATACAAAGAGAGAGGACGGAGAAAACATCGACGGACGTGCGTACGTGCGCATCTTGTATCCTCGCGTACAGCTTAACGTGGGTGAATAAGCGCCGTATCCATGTCCATGTCCCTGTCTACTTATGCGCCCCAAGCTCGGTTCGAATCATTTCGCTGGTGCTTTGATTTCGGTTGTGCATCTATCCATGCATACGACCGATATTTCGGTGGGCCGTCAGAAGGCTAAGGATTGGCGATGGCCAAGTGCAGGGACGTAGAGAAAGGTGAAGGTGGTTTGGTCGCTCAAGGACAACGATCTAGTGGTAGTACAGCAACAACAAGACCTAACGTACATCATGCGAACACACCCGTAGGATTTCACAGGCGGGGGGGAGTCAAGCATTCGTGTGTGTGAGAGGTATGTAAGTTTGCTGACCTTGTTTTGATCGTCCCTGTCGTCGTCCTTGTCCTTGCCCTAGTCCTAGTTGTCGTCCTCCCATCGGGCTTTGCTCCAAAAGCCAGACCCATGAATGAATGAAGGAATGAATGAATGAAAGATAGAATACAGCAATCAATAGACTGCATCGCAAGAATCACACAGGACTAGTGAGCTTAAGGTCCGTGAACATCCAGATGATGCGGGGAGAGTCTCCGAGGAAGGGAAACGCAAAGGCTTCGTTCGCAACAAACAACATGGCGATCGTCCTCCATTTTCCTGATTTCGACGTCCCTGCGCGAAGGTTTGGGACTTTTCGCGAGAAAATCGGTTAGGAGGTACTGGTTCTGGGGGGGGGGACTACTGCGTCGGACAAGGGACAGGGACCGGCAAGGATTTTTGGTCAGAAAAAGCAAAAACTCAAATACTAGTGCGGCGATCCCGTGGCGGTGGTTATTCTCCGAGTTTCTTCGTTCGCTGTGATCCTGGTTAGCCAGCTGGCCGGTGAACTGGATAGGTTGAGTGTCCTCGTAGGTAGCTTGGTAGGTAGGTGCGGTGATTTCGTCTCTGGTCAAGAACCCAGAAACCTCTTTCATTTGTAAAAGCCTGGGAAGCAACCAGCCGGATGGCCCGCTACTCCGATTCGTTTGCGCTTCGGCAACCAGGCACCACGCGCTGGTGTTGGTGTCAGGGCTGCTGGGTTGCTCGAGAGGGAAGGGGAGGGTCTTCGTCCAGGCGTCCGTTGGCTCGGTTGTTCCAGGGTGCAGGTTGCAGGTTGCAGGGGTGGCAAGCAAGCAAGAAAGAAGGGCAAAAAGCCCGGGGGCCATTTGCTAGCATTATCAGTTGGGAAAGTGATCTGCCCGCCCAGCCCAGCCCAGGCTGGCGGCTCTTCCGAGACGAGTCGATTCGAATCGAGTCGAAACTGGGGGCGTTAGTACGGAGCAAACGAAGGTCGAGATTTGGGTGGCCAGCAGCAGCAAGAACAGCCTGGGCTCCCCCTCGCTCGGGGGAGCAATACTCCGCTATACTCGTACTCGGCACTACTAGCATGAGTACTTACTAGGACGTGCCGTAGTTGGGACCTGGGAGGGTCACTAATCGGAGGCCTGTCGCCTTCGCCCATCGCCCATCGCCCATTGACCAGGCCGTTGGAACAATGATCGCCCAAGAGGAGCAACTGGAGGAGGAAGAGGATGGCTCCGTTGGTGCCGTTGCACAGCATGAGCATGCGCAAGTACCCAGTAGCGTGACTCAGTCTTCTCAGAGCCAGAGCCAGAGCCAGAGCCAGACCCAGACCCAGTCCTGCAACTGCTTCTTTGTCCCAGGCCTGGTACGGGGGTACTTCCAAGGCCAAACCAAGCCGTGGCTGTGTGGGATATCCTGTCCCAAGTACGGAGTACCTCCTGTACTACTTACTCTGTCATCCTTACTCGGTCCCGAGTACTGGGTACATTGGTAGGTATTTGGGAGGTGTCACGGTTGCGCCAGGGGATTTCCACAGGGTCCAGCCTCCTCCTCCTCCTCCTCCTCGTCGTTGTTCTCGTCCTGGTTTTTGGTCCTCCTGTTGCTGCTCACGCCTTCGGTACCAAGTAGGCTAATAGGGACTAGTAAGAAAGGGTAGGTACGTTCTCCTCAGATGCATGAGTGAATGAGTGTGTGAGTTGAGTACATAAGCGTTGTGTGAATGAGTGTCTCTGTCAAATCAAGCGCGCTGATCTCCGGATTTGTCCATTTTATTGGTCCAATGCTGACACTCTGTGTGTGCGTCCGCGTGGGAATACAAGCAGTAGCCGTGGTGGCACATGTGTATCTAAGGTGTGTGTGTATGTGAGTTGAGTGTGACGTAGAATGAGGACAGCAGGGCTTGCATTATCATGGGCCCTCTGCCACCATCCCTCCCCCCATGCCCATTCCCCATACAGTACGAGGTAGAGGCTTTTCGAGGCGCATCTGGCTGCTTTCTGCTTCCTTGCTTGCTCCTTGCTGCTTGCTGCTCAGCTCGAGCGGATGCGGCGTGGGGAATCGTGTAGCAAAAAGTGGGTTTCGCGGGATCCGAAGCTGGGACGAGGTTCGGATACAGCTGGAGGCACGAAGCACAGTAGTACAGTAATAGAGTAGTCCAGTAGTCCAGTAGTCCAGTAGTCCACGAGGTAGAACAAGAGACATGTTCCCGCCACAGCGGTTGGCTCGGTCGAGGGCACAGGGCGAGCTTCGTCTACGGAGTATACGGAGTAAAATGCAGGCTCTGGGGACTACTGTACCTCGCACTGGGAAGTGCCACTGGCCTCCCGAAAGTCTGTGGCAACCCGCGCTCCCTCGCTCGCTAGCTAATGGCATGGCTAATGGCTAAGTAACCAACTCGACCACCACTGGTAGCAACAAGCTTGCCCTGCCTTGCCCTGCCCTGCCTTGCCCTGCCTTTCCTTGTGCTACTCCAGAGCTGTCTCTGTTAAATGTAATTATATTTGAACGAGCAAACGACCAACAAGGACCCCTCCTCCCCCCCTCTGCTTTCCTCAATGGACTAAACAGTTCATGCCCACATCTTCTTCCATCGACGGCCCTTGCATACTCCACCAACTCACCTCGAAATGGTAGCCCAGCTACCCCATCCACCCTACCCTCTTCACCCCAGCGTCAAGGATAGACTGCATCCCGACTACGTCGCCTTCTACAACAAGTTCATGCTAAATGAGCAACAAGTCCATCATCTGCCTCTCTCGGTGGCTCGAGGCCCCCGGAACCTGCCTCATTGCCACAGCAAACCGCTGCCTGTGGGCAGAGTCCAGGACATTTCCATATCACGACAAGAAACCGCTGGGCCGAACATCCTCATCCGTTGCTTCACCCCATCGGGCATACCACCCCGATCTGGCTGGCCGCTTGTGCTGTATTACCATGGCGGAGGGTGGGTATTCGGCGATATCGACACCGAAAACACCGTTTGCACCAACATGTGTGCCCGAGCTCGTTCTGTGGTCATCACCACTGACTATAGGTTAGAAGCCCTCTCTGTGAATGCCCTTTCCCCCCAAATGAAGAACCAAAACTTCAGCCTTGAACTAAAGACGAAAAAAGAAGAAAGAAAAGAAGAGAGGAAAAAAAAAAAAAAAAACCTATGTTACTTGGTGAGCATTGCCAATGCTAGGATCTTACTCTGACCTCGCCCCTTTTCGAGAGACAGGCTCGCGCCCGAGGAACCGTGGCCAGCAGCAATCCATGACTCGTGGGAGGCCTTCCTCTGGTCGACGTCGCAGGGCGAGGATCGGTTCGACTTGGACCTGAACAAGGTGGCCATCACCGGGGCCTCGGCCGGGGCGAACATCGCGGCCGTCATTGCACAGAAGGCTGCGCTGCGTCCGCAACCGGGGGTCTCAATCCGGTCCCAAGTGCTGGTAGTACCGGTGACAGATAACACGGCGACGCCCTACTCGAGCCCCAGCTGGAAGGCGTTTGAATTCACAGCACACCTCCCCGCGAAAAAGATGCTTTGGTACCGGCACCACTATCTCCCAAACCAGGCGGATTGGTCGCATCACGAGGCGTCGCCCCTCTTAGCGCCGGACGACGTCTTCGAGCTCCTGCCTCCCTCGTACATCATCGTTGGGGAGCTCGACGTGCTGAGACACGACGGCGAGGAATACGCGCGGCGTCTCCGCGCCTGCGGCGTCGAGGCCCGTCTCACCGTGATGGAAGGTATGCCGCATCCCTTCCTCGCCATGGACGCTGTGCTGGAGGCCGGCAGGACGGCTATCACAAATATATGCAATGAGCTGTTAAGGGTGTTTGCGTGAGGAGACCCAACCCGCGGCAACGGTCAGGGCGGAGGCGTTAAGCGGGGGAAGGCATTCGTCCATTCATTCGGTTACTTGCTAGCGTGCCGGTCAGTTGGTTGGTTACCTAGGTACTCGGTTCTAACTCGTGCTGCAATTGGGGGAGCCGCCAACGAGGAGAAGGAGGAGGAAGCGGAGCAAAAGGCGCATGAATACGAGGTAGAAGAGGAGCAGAAGGGCACGAGGAAGGGAAGCGAGAACGGCCAAGGCGCAATTCGGGTCCACTGCCCCTTATGGAAAGGGCGCAATTGGGATGTGTTGTCACGTGCCACACATCTGGCTGGTGCAGGCTGGATATGGAGGCGGGGTGCTGCACTCTTTTCGTTTCCCTCTCTTTCACCCTCTTTTCAAAATACCCCGTCCCCTTTCGTTCCTGGAGCGGCTGATCTGAACACCACACAACAGACGTACATTTATACAGACACGCAGACACACAGTCGAACTCACACACAGATATATACTACGAACATATAACAGAGAAGAGAGAAATCTCGTATACGTGATCCAAGACACCATCTGATTCGCTTCGTTTTGCTGGACGGATGCATTACTCCATTGGATCTAGGAGGCCTGGGTTAGACTTCGGCCAAATTCATAGTACTTGTTGCCAGGTACATGGTCCCTTGATGGTCCATTTGAACTACTCCGTGTATGCCATCCTGCGCCATATTACTTGATGGGTGACATGAGCATTCCTCTAGCTCGGAACTTTCTTGTCGTCTGGGGTACCTAGGCAGATACATGTGAACGATGCATCCGATCACCCACCAGGGCGTCCAACCCGGTGCTCTACCCCCCCTTCTCCAAAGACAGACGGCAAATGAAAAGGCCTGCATTGAAACTACCATGCCTGAATTCTGGAGTTGTAATTGTGTGGTGCATTAATCATAGTGTACAAGGGGTTACATCAACGATCGCTTGCTCTGTCTCAAAAGCACATAGATTCTCTTTCCTGCCCCAAGGAGAAACACCTTGCCACCCAGGAATGCACACGTGAATTCCGTAGTAAAGAAGAAATGAGAGAGATTCGTTTCGTCGCAGTCGTAAGTTAACCCAGATCTCAAAAGAGCCACAACAGGCTCAATCCCAAGCTTGTCCTCATTGGCGTGCAGAAATCCACCCACCTTCATTCCAGCGTGCATACCATACCAACAGAAATCCTAAAAGAGGTCTCGAGGCGCCTGAGCAGGGAGCAAAACTGCCGCGAGACAAGGCCTCGAGTGTCGCAGTGTAGGAAAAAAGGAGCTCTCGAAAAGCTCCAACAAGAGCCCCAATCGTTTCCCATCCATGACACGGCTTTGTTGTTTGTTGTTGTCTCACATCTTTCACATCATAATCGCCAACCATTTATACCCTGCTGGTTGTCCTCTTGGGCTGCAAGCTCTTCAAGCCAGGCACAATCCACCACTCTCGTAATGTCCCAGCGCAAGGTTTCATCCATTTCAAGGCATCCACTAACCAGCTCGTGGGCGTCCGTCCCTCCTTTGTCCGAAAGCAGGGCACGATTCCAATCTCCACCCAGAATGGCCATGACTACCCGAGGCTGAAAGGAGTTCTGGAATGGACGCGAGCCTACAATCATGCTGTAGACACACACGCCGTAGGCCCAAATGTCGACCGCCGGCGACACAATAGCACGCTCGACAGGCACATGAGCCTTGAGGCGTTCTGCAATACGCAAGATCTCGGGGGCGGCGTATTCAAGGCTTCCCCCTGCGAACGCCGAGGTTGAGGTGTCGGCCGGTCCGATGGGTTTCTGCGGAGGCCGATCGGCATCGTTGAATTCAGGGCTGGGAGGGCCAGACATGCTGTCATTCGAGAGCCATTCTGCCATACCGAAGTCACAGAGGCGAAGGAGACCTGGTCCTCCATCACTGCTGAGTTCTATCAGGCAGTTTTCTAGCTTCACGTCACGGTGCACGACGCGGGCGTCGAGGTGGAGATAACGCAGTGCTGAGGCAAGTTGGTAGGAATAGCTCTTGGAGAGCTCCTGCGGAACACCTTGGCGGTTGGCGCGGACAAGATCAAAGAGCGTTCCACCTGTGTTGAGTGGGATGAAGCAGAAAGTCGCTTCGTCCAGTTTGTAGACTGCCTCAAGAGGCAGGATATTGGGATGGTTGAGGAACCTCCATAGCTCAACCTCGTGCTCAAACTCGGCCTGAGCTTGCTCGTTCTCCGTCTCACTTTTATCCTCGATCTGGCGGCGGACGATCTTGACAGCGAGTATACGGTGCGTACTGTCTTGAAGCTGCGTCACTTGCCTAATCGTGCTAAAACCGCCGTATCCAATCTGCTTGCCGAGCACGTAGTCATCACCAATGGTCTGGCCCTCGGAGTCGCAGGCGAGGGGTCCTGTGTCAGCTCCCTCACCATTCGTCCCGCTGCTCATGGAGAACGCCCGCAGATACGAGGAGGCTGCTGATCTGGGTGATCGTGTGGCGGAGCCCGATGTGTCCCGACGAGATGCCCGGCCTGCGATATCTCGCATGCTTTTGTTGCGCAAACTCCCTGCTCGTGCAAAGAAGTCCTGCGGAGAGGCGCTGGTGTCGCCCTCTCGCCATCTCTGAGAGGCAGTGCGTCGGAATGGCTTAGGTTCCTCATAGGAGAATGCCTGACTTGCGAAGGGCGAGGCTGCTGCGGGAGATAGCAAATAGTTGTCCTCATCTGGAGCCGTGATGGCTTGCTCATCAGAGGACAGCACGGAATCGGACAGCATCGACATGGTATGCTGGAGATCTGGTTGAGATTCTCTTGCTAATGCATCCACGGTGGTTTGCAGCAAAGGAAAACGGCCCTCACCAACACGGGCTTGTTCCCTCGGTGGGCTCTGAGAGTATCTGGGCAGGTGCCGGCCTGTGACAGGATCATAGTGTGACCGCTCTGACTCACTGTGCGCCCTAGACGATTTCTGTGCGTCTGCCATGGCCTGGAACAAGGAGCGACCACGTTCGCGAGTTTTTGAAGGCTTCTCCAAGGGCTCTTGCATGCTCTGACGATGTCCCGAGTCCAATTTGATCTCGTTGCTGAAGCTGACCGAGGGGTTTCGACGGCGCATGTACTGATCTATGTAGCTCCCGGGGCTACTAGAGTGTCCTATTACGGCGGGAGAGTCGCTGGTAGCTGGTATGTCCACAGGAGGAGTGGCCGTTGGCCGAATGGTGTCTTGACTTGTACCAGAGCTTCTGAATGGTGGGCGGCGTGGTACAGGAGGTTTATCCGAGGACCTGCTCATCTCGCCAGAGATGTCGTCCGAGGACGAGGGGTCATTATGGTTGATGTCATTTTCATGGCTTGACGAACTCAGGCGCAGGCTTTCGAGAAGATGGCCAGTGTCAGCCTGCGCCATTACTCGCAAGAGGAAGGCCGGAAGATGCGCTTCAGCTCGTCGCTCGCTGGGAAGCCAAACTCTCGGTGGTGACTTTGTGGATGCGAGATCTGAGAGACCGGCAGGGTCTCACAAAGCCGACGAGCTGATCTCATAGAGCTGATGGTTGTGGTGGTGAACACATGCACGGACGGAGGAAAAAGGTGGTGGTGGTGTTGAAAGTCGCACGTGGGGCATCGAGGCTGCAGAGTCGCGCAAATCTTGGTTCAATGTGAGAAAAAAATATTAGGCAAGATTTGCAGGCAATCCCACCCAAGCCGGGCACTTGGGCGTGGGCATTGGGCACTGCGGCGACCTCCTAGGGCTAAAAGCGCCTTGGATAGGCCTGGCCCGTTGTGGAGGGTGCCGTTTCAAAGGACGCACACCCATCGCGCTCTTTGTGCCAGTTACCATCAGTTTGCCCAAAAAGGACGAAAAAGCAACAAAGCAGTCACATGAGATGATTTAATAAATGAAAAAGAAAACTTTCTCCGGGATCTAATCAGGGCATTGAGCGCCATGAAATGCCATCTGGACAATGAAAACAGTGTGGGCATCTTGATAATTGGTGGCCTGCCTCTGCCCGCAGGGTGCAGATGAGTGGAACGGAGGTCCTCTGATCCCCACACGACGCCCTCAGTTGTATCCTAGGCAAGTGGCCCCAAAGAACCACCCAAAACAGGCGCCGGGAGCCTTTCGAGGGCGCTAATCAACCTCGCCAACTCGACTCCCGTGGCCTTGCACCCAAAATACCTGAATACCCTGAAGCTGGGCTGCCCTGGGCTGCCCTGGTGCCTGAAAAATAATTCGCCCGTTCCTGAGGGTCCCCTTCCACTCCCCCATGTCGATTCAGCAATTCCACCCTTGAGCAAGACTCCGTCTCCCGTCCTGGCACCTCCACCAAATCCTGAAACAACATCCTCCTTTCCTTTTTCGCTCTTTTCAATCATGGCCTACTTTTGACAGGGGAAGTCAGGGCTTCGTTTTTATCCGCTGCTCCTTCATTATCGTCGATTGAATCTATCCTACTATTGCCAAACGACAACGCCATTCGCGGTACTCCAGCATCTGCGCCTGCGCACACAACTGTCATTTCAAGGATCCTTTCTCTTCTCTTTGCCTCGCTAATCCACGCGTCATTGCGTTCATCGTCGAGCGAAAAGGCGGCTGGCCACCTCTCCGCCCTCACAGTCATTACCGCGTCTGGTCTCGAGGAATAGGTCCTCCACGACTTCTCTCTTTCGCCCCGACCCTCGATCGCTGCACCCCCGGAGAATCTCTCGTTCGCGCCTGTTTCTTCCTCGATCGATTCGAAAGTGTCTCTATGCGACCTGTATCAACCCGAAGCCCGTCGATTCTGGTGGGCGAACACACAACGCGACACCCAGCCTTCCCGCATAGATGGTTCGCGCAATGACCACCTTGAAGCCACAGCTTGTCAGAGCTGGTAAGATCACATCGATGGGGAATTCCATTGCTGTAGGGAGGAGTATGCTCACCAGATCGTGCTGCTAGATACCCTTGATTTGCAAGATCACACCTCGCCATCTGCGAAAGACCACTCGAGACAACCCGCCCACCCTTCACCATTTGGTTATGGCCCTGCCGCTCCACATCAAGCCCAGACGTTGAGGCATGCCGAGCAAGAATCATATCAGGAACAACACACTAGTCCCAGGGCCTCAGAAGACAGAGCCAATGGAGGGTTTCAGCAGTCGGACCAACATTTCTACGATGACCTAGATGACGACCGAGACGAAGATCTCCCAAACCCCCAAAATGCAACGAATGGAGTTGGATACCATGGGCAGGACCTGGATGACGCGGATGGTGGGGACTCCCATGATGAGGATATGGACGACGACTTGCTGGACAAAATCTCGAGTTCCCCTTCGATTGAAGATGGTAAATACTCCCTTCCCCCATGGCCGCCCCGGGTCGATTCTGTGGATTCCGAAGCTTCCCCGGCTTCTCCATCGACGCCGACTCAAGGCAATCCCTTATCTTCATCACCATTCTCTTCTACACCCGACCATTTCCCTCTACATCCATCGCAATTGTTTCACGCGGCAAGTCATCATGGTGAGTACATCGAGGACCTGGGTCAAGCGAGATCAGGTCGAGACTTTGTGGGTGAGCGGTCAAACCCCCGTGAGATCTCATCACCCACGCTAGGACTGGGCTTGGCAGCATCGCAGACCCGTCTTCCACTGTCCGAATCCCAGGAATTTCGGCGATACTTGTTACCTCTTGACGATCCACTCTTAGCCGGCACGGTGGAGGACTACGGCGACGAATTTTCCTTTGACGAGGATGATGAGTGGGAAGACGAAGAACCTTGCCTGCCCCGGCTTGAGGAAAGTTCTGATGATGACACCGATGAATTTCAATTTTCTCTCGACGACCGCTTCATAGACTCCGGTTGGGGAGGAGAATGCTTACGAGAAATAGAGGATATTGATTTCGAGTTTGTGTATGCACTGCACACTTTTGTCGCGACGGTTGAAGGACAAGCCAACGCTACAAAGGGCGACACTATGGTGTTGCTCGATGATAGCAACAGTTATTGGTGGCTTGTTCGGGTTGTGAAAGATAGCAGCATCGGTTAGTCGAGCTGGAGTTGAGCAAGGCTTCGTTCGCTCATCGTGGAATTAGGCTATCTTCCCGCCGAACATATTGAAACCCCGACCGAACGACTGGCCCGACTCAACAAGCACAGAAATGTGGATGTACGCGGCTTCCCTACCTGTTTACATGCGATTGCTGATGTGACAATAGTTATCCGCTCGAATGCTGGGGGATAACCCCGAAAAATCGAAGAATCCGCTGAAAAAGGCTATGCGGCGAAGAAACGCGAAAACAGTCCAGTTTGCACCCCCCACTTATTACGAGCCTTCAGATTATGAGTACTCTGATGAGGAGGAGGAAGGCGAAGAGGGTCAGCATGACCAGATTGGAATGGACAATTCTGATGACGGGGATAATGCTGAAGACCAGCAAGAGGCTTCTGCAACTTCGGCTGAGCCTCAGGAACCACAAGAATCCGTCGCAGCCAATGGTATTCAGCGGGTTACCAGTAACGACAGCTTGAAGAATGAATCAGCCTCAAGCCCTGTCAAGGGTCAACAGTCACAGTCTAGCTCAGAACAGAGGCAGACTGACGAACCCGTTCAGCGGTCTAGGAAAGGGGTCGTGAGAAATACCGATTCGTTCTTTAAGGACGACACGGTCGAGACGAAGAAGATCTCTCTAACACCCCGGCTATTGCGAGGTGATTCCGACTCTGGTGGATCCATAGAACAGGAAGTCCGCCAACGTCTAAGCTTGGAGACTCTCGATAAAATAGTCGGGGCGGACGACAAATCTAAGGATAAAAAGAAGGAGAAAAAGGGCATGCTTAGTGGGTTCTTCAAGCGAAAGAAGGGCAGCTCACAGGAAGAAAGCGAAAAGACTATCGAGGATCCTCGTCAATCTCCGGGATCGAAAGACTCGGTCGAGTCCTTGACCATGAAACCTGAAACCGGCCCGGAACGCAGGCCGAGCAAGTTGCAAAAGGCACCACCAGGCACGTCACCGAAGGCGTCGCCGACCGAGGCAAGACCTCCGCAACAGTCGCTGGGACAAGCACCTCCAGCCCCGAGTGGCCCTGCGCCTGAACCGTCAACAGTCCGCAGAGTCGAATCCGACAGCCAACAGCCCGAGGCGTCGGCGCAATCTCAGCCCGCACAAGTCAATCGCTTCCCGTCCCTTACCGAAAAGAGGACGATTTTATCGCCAGCCACGACTGCAATGAAGTCTACTCCTTCGACGAGTCCAGATGGCGGTTCCCCGTCCAAGCCGATTTATGCAAAGCGAGCAAAAGAGCGCTTTGCGATAGACGAAAGCGATTCGGAGACAGACGACAAGACTGCAAAAGCGGATGAACAGGGTCGCCGGAGCGTTTCCCCCGCCACCGAGTTACAAAGGTCGCAGCCTCGATCAGACTCTGCTATGCAAGCTTTGTCCACTGCAGCCGTAGCATCTGGAAGGTTCGGGGACGGTAAATTTCAACCTCAACCGCCGGCAGTTTCGAGTTCGTCTCCCCTACCACAGGAGGCAAACCCATTAGAGTCGGATGGGACTGCTAGCACGTCGAAGCCATCACCTTCGACTACGACACATACACCATCAACTTCTAGGTCGACACCCACGTGGTCAGATGCATCGTTGAGATCATACATGGAAAACAGTCAAGACATCAAAGACCTTCTGATAATTGTGCATGATAAATCGAACGTCACGCCAGCGGGCCCGGACCACCCCTTTATGCACAACCTCTTCTTAGATGAGCGGACGAAACTGGCTGAGATGCAGTCACAGCTCGACACCATGCTGATGTCCTGGATATCGAAGAAGAACGCCAACATAATGCCTACAACGACTTGATCAACAGCGACCTTGACGAGAAAATTTTCTTGAGTTGGGTTGATTTTCATGTTTACTCTTGTACAGTTTCGATTCTCGGCATGTCAGAGCGGCTGCTCGACATTGTACCATTAGGGCCAGGTGTTCTCTTTATTGAACTGTGTCACGACGATATACCTAGGAAAGAATGAACGATGAGCGATCGGAGATACACATAGGATATGCATGTGTACAGGCATTTTTTCCGCGACACTGCGGACGGTCTATTTTATTGGAAAGGTGGAAAAGGTGGAAAAGGTGGGACAACCGCGGTATGGGATGGGTTTTCATATGTGGATATTAGCTTCGAGTTGCCAGCGATAGCTTTGACCTGGCCCGGCTCAACGGGTGACAAGATATATCGCTTGTGAAGGAAAGATGTGCTCCATAGGGCAGATGTTTTCCCAGTCATAGGACTCGCGTGCCATTGACGCAGGTTGAGTGGAACCATCTCACACGTGACCGTCCAGTTTTCTTCGCCCAGCAGCAGCTGTTCGTCTCTTTTGCCGAGTCTAGTTCATGAATCGACGGGTCTTGCTTTCCCTGTCTCTTTAGAGAGCCTCTTCAGAAGCATCTGCAGGAGCGCTGAAGTCGCTCGTCTCTCGCAGTTTGAGGTCAACCCCCTTCATGGATTCTTTGCTACAGCATGTCTGTCACGGTAGGTACCGGAGCCCCCATCACACTCAGAGTTACATGTTCACACAATTTGCCAGCTCCATACTACCCAGGGTGATTTGAAGGTCGAAATCTTCTGCGAAGCTGTGCCGAAAACGGCGGAGAATTTCCTCGCATTATGCGCGTCCGGGGCCTACGAAGGCACCCCCTTCCACAGACTGATACCCGATTTCATGGTCCAAGGCGGTGATACATCTTTGTCCCCACGAAATGCGACCGCAGAGAAACCCGTTGTGAAGGGCGGGGAATCAATATGGGGCGGGTACTTCGAAGATGAGATCAAAGTGCCTGCGTTGAGACATAGCGGGCGAGGTATGGTATCGATGGCAAACAAAGGGCCTGGCACCAATGGAAGCCAATTTTTTGTTACGTTCAAAGATGCGGCTCATTTAGATGGCAAGAATACAGTTTTCGGAAGGGTCATTGACGGAGCGGAAGAAGGTGGCACGCTGGACAAGATGGAGGCCGTGGAGGTGGACAAAAAATACCGGCCCAAGGAGAAGATCATTCTGGAGAAGGTGACGATCCATGCCAATCCTTTGGCACGTTGAACCAAAGGGAAAAGATGGTGAGGCGAGGGACACACGAATTAGTGCCATTCGACTCGGGCCCCTTTGGCGCAATCTTTGACAGCTGGAACCGCCGCGATTAGACCCTCAGGTTGGGACATACGACGACAGCTAGAGAGGGAAAAGAGCGTCTGAGCAAACGAGATGCAGTTGATAGAGAGGCTGAGAGTCGTGGAAAAGCAACAATCCGGCGATTTCGATCGTCAAGCAGAGCGCCTTGCCCTTACATTTCAAAATCGAGGGCGACCCCAATGTCAACGGAAGCTCGAGCATGCACCCCAGAAAACCATTCCGAAAGAAACAGGATGACGGAACATGAAACCACCCAGTTGCAGCGGATCAGATCGGGGGACTATATACCATGGGGTGTCGACATATCGGGACCAAACGTTAGGGAGGCATTCACATGGCGGGAACTACTGGTTAATTCAAGCCAAACAAATATCCTTTTTTTTTCTCCCCCCCCCCCCCAACCGATGACAGCTGAGAAGAAATATCACGACATGTGTTATGCCGATTGGATAGCCCTCTCCAGATGGGTGTTCGTGGTTGGCCGACCCTAGCGGTCCAAAGGCATGGATGTGCTGTCCACACAGCGTCTCCGCTGGCAAGAATGCCAGCCGCTCCGTGGACGGACTTTGACGAGTGGATGGAATCAGGCAACCCGAATTGGCATATCGACACACGGCGAGACGGGTGCCGCGGTGATTAGCGCAGGACGGAGTAGTCGCCGGATATATTGTGACAGGCAGGACAGGTTAAGAGATCGGAAGGGTCTTGAATACCCACAAAGCCGAAATGCTGAAGGGGGAGGAGAATAAGCGGGACAAGCAGCAAGTCGGAGGATTATTGCTGAAGACCTGGAGATGGATGCGATGCATCCAAAAGCCACAGTGGGCGATGACAGATTAGGACAGGATACGCGTCGAGGGTCCTTCGCGATATGCGGCAAGGTGGGGGCGCCAATGCAATGGGCAAGGACGGCGCCTCTGACGAGGAAGTGGTCGCTCTGGCTAAACGCTTATAAGGCTGAGGCGCCCTGCAGATGGCACAAGTACGCACTCGGAGTAGAGGCAACAGTTAGCCATTGTGGGAAATAGTTGGATGACGGCGACTCTCGACTCGAAATATCCCTATCGGGTATCGACATGAGTGACTTCGATAGTGCTGACCGGTGGTGAGAAATTTGCACGGAGTCGTAGGTCTGTCCATGTCATCACCAGAGTCTTAAGCGGGTGCAGGGACATGGGCTGGTGGGCGTTGGGTGAGCTCTAGTTAGTAGTTATGAAGTAGACACAGGAATCCCAAAGGACGGGTTTCTAGGTACTGGGTAGACAATGGGGGGTCCTAGATCGCCAAACACCACGAGGATCAATAGGGATCCTTAGGCACTAGGCTTCTATCGATGAATGCCACACCACCGCCATCCCATTGCACTCAATACCCACCCCCGGTGCCTGCGTGTCTTGTGCAGTGTGCAGGTGCAAGGTGCAAGGTGCAAGGTGCGCGGCGCATGCTTCACGTAATAAGCCGCCCGACGCTGTACCGACCTGCGACCTGACAGACTGGCAGACTATACTGGGTAGTCCTATCGTATTCCAACCATCTGCGCCTAAATCCAGCCGCGCTCATATTCCAGCTCATCAATCCCCATCTCAACTCCATATCTCATCACCTATATCCTTCAGTCTACTACCATCGATCATCGACCATCGACCATCGACCATCGTTCAGTCCGTCGCTCACACTCTCCCCGCTCCTGAACCTAGACGCTGCGAACCTCTGACCCGCCCTTGTCATCACTCAGTTCGGCCCCCAAAACCACACCGACGTCCAACCACCCACAAGCCCATTGATCGTACGACAAAGACCATAACAACGAAATCCGCATCGCTCTGCATGTAACATCCTCTGGCGCCTCATGGGCCTCATACTGTCTCTCAGAAACAGGCCGCCGCAGTTCTCTCGTCCTACCACTTCCCTCCGAGGCCGCAGTCAAAGGACAATCTCACTCCCGCCTCGTGGTAATGGTCCCAACATAGGCTCGAGCTCAACGAGAAGATGAGCGCTTTTGTGCGAGTATCTGGCCGCCCAAACACAAACTTTCTGGTCGGATACCCGGGGATCTCTGCTACCCTGGTGAGTGGGGAAAAAAAAAAAAGAGAGAGCGACTTGCGCCTGATCCCCCCAGGAGGGTTTGTTGCTGACACTTCAGAATAGCCTCGCATCGAAGGAACCGTCGAAATACGCCCTGGCGTCGGCATCTCAAGTCCCGTCAACGTCTCCATCGTCACCATCTGCCTGCAGAGAAGAGAAAGCATCCATCCCCATGCGGATTCGGTCACAAAGAAACACCTGGCCGCACCTAGGAAGGAATCGACGGAGACGGTGGGAAAAGAGATGCTCTTGTTCCGCTGTCCGGCCAACAGGGAATACGAAGAGATTATGTACATGGACTTGCCCTTCGTGATATTCATCCCCTTTGGGCGGGGCGGGCAGGAGACTGCCCGACGGGTGCCACCAGCCAGTCTACAACTGCCTCGGCGGACGGCTGAGACATTCTACGAGATGGTGGTGACGGTAGGCTATGGAGGGACGGATCGCAAAACTTATGCTTTTCCCGTACCCATTGCTCGGTACGACACGCTGTCGACCTTTGGCATGTACAATCGGCCCGAGACAGCAGAACGAGTTTCGGATCATTTGGTCACACTGGGAATCTCCTTGCCGCGATGGTCCTACGGACCCCTGGACCCGGTCAGCGTGTATATTAAGCTATCTCCGAATCCCGACTGGCTGAGCAAGGCGCGTAAAGTGACGATCAAAAAGATCGAGATCGGGATCGACGAGGAAGTTATCTACAACCACGAGGGTGACGAGCCCCAGAGAAAGACAAAGAGTCTAGTCAAGAAGACGGAAACGGTGGGCGTGAAAATGCCCGAAGCCGGATATTTCACCAACCTTGGTCTTGTTTTCCCTTCGAGCGACCTTCGCGACGCGGATGGGATCATGCCTCGCGGCCGATCGGCGTTTCCTACCTACGCAGTGACGGGCTTTACGACCACAGCAGGTCTTTATAAGGTGGAATACTACCTGACCATCAAGGTATGTAGATGGGCTCTAACAAACCGCAACATCCTCGCGGTTGATGGAGTTCTAGATGGCTGATCATCAACTTTAGGCATCCATGGCCGGCGCCAAAGATATCATCCTGAAACAGCCGATTGTTGTCTGCCCCCTGGACCACGCAGCGTGCAAAGCGGAGATGGAAGCTATTGAACAGGCGGCTCGAGACGCATCTCATGTCAACGCGGAAAATCCCATGTTGCCTTTGGCCACCATAATACGCGCTTCAGATCCTAATGCGTTGAGCTGTCTGGGAGTGGCGTTGGTCGGCTCGGTGAAGAAACCTTTGATTGACTGAGTACTTTTCGTGAGATCTCGGGGAGGAATATGGCAAGTTTCGATCCGCCTGCAACCGACGTGGCGGCGGCGACAAACCTTTAACTTTCGAGACGCGGTCCTGCAGAGGGTTGTCATGCTTCTCTGGTAACGTTGGCCCTCTTCACCGTGAAGCAACGGTCCATAACGAGACACCCGATTTCGGATGGAGACACGACATAAGCAATTGACGGCCTGGTTATCACGCTCGACGCCCGAAAATCACGAGGAACGACGCACAGCTGCACCACCAAGGTGCAGGAATATCTCTGTTCCACAAATAGAGCCATCAGAGTTAGGATCGCCAACAGCGCGAGATTGAATGCGTTAATCTGGGCCAGGCAAGCCACTTGCCGACCACAGACGTAAAGTCACTAATGACGCTGAACTTTTGAGATAAAGGAAGCGGCCCGGCGAACAATACGGCGGACCTCAATGCACAAGCTGGGAAATTGGATCTGTTGCGGCTCGTCTTTTTTGACATGCAAGGCGTTGGTTTTGGACGGAACATTTTGGGGCAAAGGCCACGGCAAAGTGACGGCTTGGACTAGGGATAGCCAGAGGCGCTAATGAAAGATCTACTTGTATTATTCACTGAGACTTGCAGGCAGCCAGATTGGCCTCAGGTTCGAATCTCATGGACAATTGACAATGAACGTGATCGCTGCCCCCACTGCCACCAGTGCTGACTCGTGCTCAAGTGGCGCGTAAGCTAGAAACGGGTTTACGGACGTAGTAGACTCTCGGGCCACAGACTGTGCAGGAGCCATACGTAGTCCTTTTCTGCATATCGAGAAGTATGGGAAGAGAATAATCGAGGTTGGTTGGATTACACCGTCATACAACCAGACAATTAGGACGAGGGACGAGGGGAGAGCGGAAGGATGGAAGGAAAGGAAAGGAACCTGACGAGGGCGTCTCTACGCATGCTCAAGCATATATGGTATATATGGTATATATATATATATATATGTACTCTATACCCACAGAGGGACGATATGTTCTCCTTGTAGGTATCCTCATGCATGGGCAGACCGTCGGATTCTCCAGCCTTGCGCTAGTGAGGGGCACATATGCACTCCGTATTCTACCCTATCTAGGGTATTATCCGTAATTCTTGCCCAACTTCGCACAAGGCTCAGTAGGTAACATGTACTTGTTATACATCCATGTACAAGGCTGGCAGGTAGGAGACCTGAGCCACGGAGTACATATTCGTGAATAAGCCTTCCCGTACCTCGTACTCTGCAAGGAAAGAGCGGGCATGTGGATAATCTGATTCCGCAACCCATCCATCCTCGTCTTCCTTCCACACGAGACCGCGGGGGATGCGACAGAACAGGGAATGAACGACCATGGGCTCAAATCCACCTGCGCATCCGAGCCCGGATCCAAGTCAACATCCGGGGTTAAATCCAACCACAACCACAGACACAACCACGCTCCCATGCACACACCACGGCACACAGGCACGTACGGCCGCCGCAGGCGCACCCCTCGACCCCGCCGTCGTCGCAGACGTGCTGGCCACGATCCGCGGCAACCTCGCGCTCGTGGCGCGCACGTGGGGGCCAGAGAGCAAGCAGCACCGCGAGGCACGGGGGCTGATGCTGGCGTATCTCGAGGAGAATGTTTTGCGGCATCGGCGGCAGCAGCAGCAGCACCGGCAACGGGACCAGAACCAGCGTCAGCATCGGTGTCAGCATGGGGATCGGGACCGTGACCATCGGGACTGTTACGCAGGGGGTGAAGCGCGGGGAGGGGGGAAAGAAGGCGACGGCGGAGGAGGGGTCGTGGAGGAGGGCGGGAGCGAAGGCGAATCAATAGGAGCGGACGATGTGCGGATGGAGGTGCAAATGGATGTGGATATGGATGTAGAGATGGAGTTGGAAATGAACGTGGGGAGGGAAAAGCAAAGGCAAATGATGGACAGAGGCATCGACGAGGTCCTGGCGGAACTGAGACTGTCGTGATTCTTTTTGTGCTTCGTCTCTGGCGTGGATGAGTAGACAGATGGACTCATTCCATGGTGTTTCCTTGAGCTTCTCTGCCCCTCTGTTTAGAGCCCCCTTTCCTCTCAGGGGTATTATCGCAAGGCTACGTTTCGTCGAACCAACTTCGCACGGAAATGGAATGAATGCATGCATGCTTGTTTCCGATTCTGTGTATTTACTTCTGCAACATGGCTTCTCTGCGGAGCCAGATATATCCACACACAGCATCCCCGGCACAGCAGTAGCCTCTTTTCATAATAGTACATACGCTCATGCCCTCCCTCGCTGTCATGGGTAGTCGTACAGCCGCACATCTCAAGCCTCGCTTTCAATCAAGCTTCAACGACAACTTGCTTTGCCCTGCAAACCAAGTCTCGCCACGATGTGACTCCTCAACATTCCCGGCTTTGAGAGAGGTCTCCACTTCATCATCCCCTTTGTGCTCGTCTCAAAAAAAAGCAAAAAGCATATCTTGCTTGCAGCTCAAGTCATCCCATAACAGCCGTCATCTGCATGCATGTTGTTCATGGTCGTTATCGTTGCTGTTCGTTGTTACTTGCCGCACGCCGAGTTTTCCCTAGACATTAAGTGATGTTCCATAATCCAACTCGATTGCGCCTCCCCTCCAGAATTATGTTCTTCCTCGCTTGTGCATAGCATACACGGTCCACCCGTTAACCTGCGAAAAAGGAAAGAGTAGCACTGGCTATTCGCGAACAGTCAGGCACTGGGTATGCTCAATCCCTTCCCATTGACGTCTGCTTTGGGCCATTCCTGGAGCTGTCGGCCGACGTCACCACACTGCCAAGATTACCAAAGATGAACCAGCAAAGACCAATATTGTAATCTGCAGTTGCAAGGCCCTTGACGAAGCTGCTGAAGAGAAAACCCCATCGAAGGGACTGCCTCCGCCACTGCCTCCGCCTGAACCTTGTGTGTTCGACGTCTTGCTCGACGAAGCTGCTGATGAAGTGCTTGAACTCTGTGAAGATGAGGTCGACGTGACAGCTGAAGTCGCGGATTGAATAGACGTTGGTATTGAGGTTGGGGTGGAGGACGATTGCTTGGAATTTGTGCTAATACTCGTGGTCTTGTTCGCAGATCCGGTCGGACTCGGAGAAGTTGTGAGGGTAGAAGCTAGTGAGGATGTGTCGGTGGTGCTCGCTCCTGGTGGAACTGTGTCTGTTGCCATGCTCATTGATGACTCTGCAGAAGAAGAGGCCTGCGTCGTGCCCGGCGCTGTCGTCGACGTTGTTGCGCTTGCAGCATTGTCGTCCCCGCACAGGAAGTTCACAACGTTCCCAACGAAAAGTTGTCCGATCAAAGAATTCCCATCTGCTTGTTCCCCTGAACAGAACCGCTGGACAAATCTCTGTGACGCCTCCAGATTCGATTGACAGTCGGTTGAACAAGTGCCCGTTCCTCCTAGGCCTCGAAAATCATTGACATCGCAGTCATTAACTGGGGTGTCGTAGGCAAGCGTACATGACGTGGAGAAGCCGATGATGGCTTGGATTGACGGGAACGACACAGTGGCAGATGAGCTCTGTGCTAATGCATAGAAGATGATGACCAAAATCAAAGGATGCTGTATCCGTAACTCCATGGCGAATGCAGATGTCTGTAACCGAGAGAGTGGAGAATGGAGGCAGGCGTCTTGAAGCAGGACTGGACAGTTGTTGTTCTGGTGGACGGTTTAGGTTCTGTTTACAGGGGGTGTGGCAGAATATAGTGGTGACCGCTGGGTGACTGGTTCACTCAAGGGAAACCTCCAGATATGCCGAGAAAAAGTGAAGATTGGATAGTTAACCAGATGGATTTGACGTGTCAGGAAGTCAACATGGCCGTCACCGCCTTTGGAATGGATGAGCCAGCATCGCCCTGGGTTTCTCGATAAAATAGATGGAGGTGAAAGAGCGAAATCTCAGCAGTTGAATCCCAGCCGCACGAGGTGGTCTCGATGTTTTTGACAATCCTCAAGGCTTCCTCAGAGTCCAATCCAATCCGTCGCCCGGCGGGAGTCGATCGTGTCGTTGCAACTGTCGTCGAGGTCAGACGATATTCACGTCCACTATGGTCCACTCGTAAAAGATCAACGCCCCCTCTACGTCAGTTCGACCTTCCGGCAGCCAGGATGTGCGACTAGGTAATCTAGGAGACGATGATCTGGTAAGGGATGACAACAGATGTCCGCCGATCGCAATCAAAGGTGCTCAGCCTCGCAGGAGGCAAGTAAAAGATTCGGCCACCGACTCTCGAGCCGATCCAACCCAGTTACCGCTGACACTGCACCATTGCAAGGTGCACAGACAGGAGGAGCAGTTTGGTCAAGATTGGTGGATGCGCCCTGTTATATCAGATCTCCGTCTCTTGTGACTTGGCCAGAGCGTTGCTCGTTTTGCGGATGATCGCCAATGTTGTAAGGTGGGTTGGAGAGGGGAATACAGGCGGCCGGGGAGTCCGCTCGCTTCTTGAGTCTTGTCAGCTGGTTGTTGTGCTCAGTTTCGGACCTTTCAGGGGATATGGAAGGCTCAGCCTCTTGCTTCAACTGCGCAGGAGAGGAGAGACAGGGGATCGGTCGTGTGGTTCACGATTCCGTGGCTGTCGCCTTTGGGACAGCGCCAGGCCAGCGTGCTCTGTACTCCTGCATGGTGCATGGGCATCGGTGGCAGGGCGGTAGGGCGGTAGGGCGGTATTGCTCGGAGCGGGTGGCATGAGGCCTTCTACGAATGATGAGAGGAGGCCAAGCTCATTCTGCGACAACGGACAGCACGGGTCACCCTGACGCGATACTGAGGAGGCGAGGAGGATGGTCGACAATGAAAACATGGAGCAGGAAGTGTATGATCGCCAGGCACAAAGCACCTTTGATTGGTGAAGCGCAGGCGTCAGGGGTGCCAGGGGGGATTCTGACACACACAGCAGCACGGCCCACGACAATGACGGCGGCTGCTTCGCCAACCATCTACTCGTACAAGTGCTCAGTGTCTACTATGTCATACCCCCCAATTCACATTTCGGACGGAGTACGGAACACCGAGCGCAATCCCTCGTGTGGGTGGAAGATGTGCAGGATGCTCCACAGAACATGCATGTTGTTTGTTATCGTCGAACTATCCAGGACACACTAGGCTATGGACGAAGTACCGGCATAACAACATACTCATCCTGATCATTGATCCCCCTCACCTATGGGATGAGCACCCCTCGGAACCTGACCTTGCCGCTGGTCATCTTCTCCATGGCTTCGTTGGCCTTGTCCAGTGGGAACTTTTCAATCATGACATGGACGCCGTGCACTTGAGCAAAAGAGATGGCTTCTTCGCTGTCGAGAGCGTGACCGCTGGGCCATGCCTGGATGCTGAGGCCCTTGGAAATCATGGATGCCGTATTCACCTCGACGGGGCTCGACGCTGCCAGAATAATCAGCTTGCCCAACGGCCCCAGTCCATTCAGCAGCGAAGGAATGAGTTTTTCGTTGGGCGCAGTGAACAGAATGCACGCAGCGCCTCCCAACTTCTGGAGTTGTGCACCAATGTCGCCCTGGGATGCGTCAATGTATTCATGTGCCCCCAACTGTGTGGCGAATTCCTTCTTGTCGGAGCTCGAGGAGATGGCCACCGTCCTATATCCCATCTTGCTCGCGTACTGTAACGCAAGATGCCCGAGGCCACCGAGTCCCTGGACCGCGACGAGCGAACCCGCCAGGACCTTTTGTTGTCGCAAAGCTATTGGGGCACGTCTCGTCAGTCTCCCTCACTGGCGGCGGGCCGGGCGGCAAGGGCAAAAGCAAACTCACAATTGAACACCGTCACTCCTGCGCAAAGGACAGGACAGTATTCGGCTGGATCGACGTCGGCCGGGACCCTGACAACAGCCTCGGTCCGCAAAGTGACATATTCCCCGTATCCCTGAGAAGAAGCGGTTCAGCAAAAGGGACACATAGTCGGCGAGGCCAAACCCTACTCCATCCCTAGTGACCCCGTTGATGGCTTCCTTTTCACACATTTGGAACAGCCCGCGCTGACATGGGATGCAGGTGTTGTCATGACCACCGTGCCACGGTCCTCCCACACGATCTCCCACTTTCCAGCGCGTCTCCGTATCTGGAACTGCGGCAACCTCACCGATGATTTCATGACCGGGGATAATGGGAAAGCTGTTGCCAAACAGGCCGAAGCGAACGGCATGGTCGGAGTGACAAACGCCACAGGCTAGCACCTTGACTAGGACCTAGAATAGATGGCTTAATGGAGCGTTGGTGTGATTGATCGAGGAGACGTACCTCGCCCGGCTTTGGCAGCTCCAGTTTGACTTGCTTGAACTTGATCGGTTCGCCTTTGGCCTCGAAGACGCCGACCTTGTATTCCTTGGGGAGGTTTGATGCCATTTTGGTAGGGACGAGGAAGCAAAGATGGAGATGTTCTGCAGCCTTGGTGATCTGATCTGGGCTCGTAGACTTGTCCGGCAGAAGGTGCTCTTATTCTGAGAGAGATAAATTGAGAGTGAGATTGAGATAGGACAGCGAAGGTTATCTTCAGATGAGGACTTTATACCTCGCTCGCCGATGGAGGGGCTCGCATTGGGCGGGCATTTGAGCTTTGAGCTTTGAGCTTTCGTCAGGGTTGATGATGATGATGTAAAAGTTGCAGCTGGAGCCAGTGCTGCAAGTATCAGGGCTACGCACCCATCACGCAGCTTCTCTACAATGGTGGTTGGTGGGCGCGAGGTATCAGGAGGTAAGGATGCCCGGAGATGGATGAGTAACATGCCCAGCCATGCCTCCCAAACCCTTGCATGCGCCTCATCTCTTCCCCACTCCTCTTCCCCCCCTCTCCCTCCCTGGTGCCTCCCTCGTCCTACACACCATGGTCATTAACCTGCCCTCGCTACCCAACAAGCCTCCTACAGAAGCGAACACACGCATACTCTCTATCTCCGCGACCCGGGAATCGATTTTAAGACCTACTGCTTTTCGACAAGCTCTAAACTCTCCGGGTCCGCTTCTCTCGACCGGCGACTGGCTATTGAATACGGATATTAAGGTCATACGGGCGAAACCATTGCGGCGCTGCGGTGCCGCGCTCGCGATGTGGCAAAAATCATAGCTTTGCTCGTGCACTGTTTGCCTGGCACGCTGATCAATCCATCTCTGTGATCCAGAGCCAAACAAGCTTTGACCCTCTCCTGCCCGCCGTCTGGTGGTCGCCATAATGTCCAAGAGGTGTTTACGATAGGTCTGATCTAACGGATCACGCCCGCTCGCAAGTCCGAAGTCGTCCAGGATATAACAATTACCAAATTGTCAACGTTGCGAGCAGTTGCCGTCTTGGCTCTCAACATGCCATTCCGACCAACTAGAGCAGGGGTGGAGCCTCAAGATTAATCATGGCCGCAAGATTTTGCTGAAGGAGCTTCTTGACAACCAACTCGACACATTTCCAGACCTGACTCACCCTCCGGCACAATCTGTTTGGAGGCGAATCCTCAAGCTTCCTTTGCCGCCAGGCGTCAGTCTGGTCGGTATCATAACAGAGCAGAAATTATAAAGGTAGGCTACTGCCGCTGCGGCGGCCAGGCCTCAGCACCTAGCACTCAAGGGCACTTCAAATCACACACCAGTTGAATTGACCGCCTGAACCAAAGAGACCCACGGACAGGATTCAGAGGCACCAGTGCGGCAACAGCACCCTGGGAGTCGGGCGCAGAGAGCCAACGACAGTGAGACATTGCGCCGGCGCCGGCAGTTCAAATTATCATCCCTATCACCGATGGAAACCACGGCACTTGTTGACGAGATGGGGATAAAGACGGTAAGCGTGCCTGTGTATGGGCAATGTGCGTTGTCGATACGGCAGCCCCGGCAGGGATGTCTTCGACGGCAAGTCCACTGAGCCTGCCCTTGTTCACGGCTTGGATTGTGGTTCTCTGACCATGCAGAAGAGGTCGCAGACCTCGCCTCCTTCCTCGCACACCATCTTTCGGGCAAGCCGAAAGCCCATCTTCTCGTAGATTGCAATGTTGGGCTTCTCCTTGGAAGATTCAAGATAGCATCGGCGCCCTTCCTTGTCGGCCATGTCAGTGACGGTCTCGAAGAGCTGGCGGCCAATCCCTTTGCCTTGAATGCCGGGCCTGACAGTGACAATGTTGCAGAAGTAGTAACCCTCGGGGTCGGTCCAGATTTCTGACTGAGCAATGGCCTGCTCGCGCTTCCAGATCCAATATCGATTCGTCCTCAACCCGCCACGTCCTTGGAACCTGAAGAGATTCCACCCTTGCTTGAACCAGAGGATGTAGTCGTCGATCCACTCGGACCAGGTCTGCTTCTGATTGACCTTCCTGGGCTTCATCCACATGCTGACTCCTAGCACTCTACCATCCTTGTCATCTGGATCCTTGGCCACAAAGAATAATGCATTGCGCATCCCCCACTCACATTTTGCCTCGAGACTAGCAAAGTTGCGCTCTTTGTTGAACTTCGCAGCATCAAAGGCCCACAGATGATACGGATCGTCGGCAAATGCGAGTTGGATGCACTCCACCGTCGAAGGGATATCTTCCGCAGCGATAGGGCGTATGATGATGCCCATTGTTCCTCTTCCTAGCTAGGCTGTAAAACTATGGAAAACCGGTGCTGGACTGTCTAGCCGAACTTCCTGTAAGACTCCGCAGAAAGTTTGCGCGGAATCTCGAATTGCCATTCACAAACCTTTGTCGACCAATGTGCGAAGTAACAGACTATATAGTCCCTTGGACCTAGGTAAGGTTAGAGCGCGAGGGGTGAAAAGATCAGGGTAGATGCGTTGTGAGATGAGAGGAGTTGTGGTGGTGGCGTTCAGTTGAATTTTGCAGGTTCCGGCTTCGGAGAAACGTGCCTTCCGAGCTCCATCGACTCGCCAATCTTCATTCCTCTCCAACATGACCTACAACACTTCCAATCTTCTCTCTGCCTTTCTGTCTCGACAGCACTGTCCTTCGTCCACGGTGACACGCTGCTTTGGTGAGCGGAAAACGTACTTTCCGGAACCAATGGCAGACCGATTGAGAATCTCTACAGCTTCTGCCGTCTCCAACAATCCTTGGTAAAGAGGGGTTCTCCTCGTATTTCCTCGCCGTCACAGAGTTCTGGACCCGGGTCGACAAGTCAGGCCCTTTCCACTTAACATCCCCAATCATGTGTTGGCCTGAAATTCAAGAGAATCAGTCCTTGAAGGGGGGATTCTCTCTGCTCAAACGACTCGTTCCTCCCATTTTTGACCTCGAAATATTGCCAATAGTGTCTCTTTGCGTTCATGTTTTTACAATGTCTTGGATTTCCCCTTTTGTCATGGTTTCTCCTTGTTGAATCAGCAAATCTGGTCTGGGCCATCAATGTCACCATTCCAACTGAGGGTGAAACTTATTCGTTGGATCCCGGGCCAAGCTCCATTCAATGGCGGCAACAAGCGTGAGCTTACACGGATTGTGTGAGTTTGCTCTATAACTAACAGTTGCCGCATCAGTGGTGACCCTTCAGAAATGTGATATTTGGCTTCAAAAGGAGGATGGAGGCAACGCCACTTATTTCTATTTCGCCCATGTGTTGGTGTCATCGTGCCAGCTCGCCTTCTCATCCTGGCCCAAGTCTCTGATGAACGAATCTTGGTCGCAAATCCCGTATGCATACCCAATCATGAGATTTTCTCGAGAGCATTTATTCCATGAAGATTCTAATATTGGCGCAGGGGCGGGTGCTGCTTCACTTTTACAACCACAGCTGCTACCGCTGAGGAGGGAAGCTTCCTGGCACAGTCGGCGGATTTCGTGATCCAAGATGAGGAGAGTTCCAAGATACGAATAGATAGTCCACGCTCTAGTTCCTTAGGGAACCGAGTTACTAACCTACAATATGGCCTCTCTGTTGGCGCTCAAGCCGGTATTGGGGTAGGTGTTGGTTTGGCTGGGTTGGTCTTCCTTTGCTTCTGTTGCTATCTCATCATGCGCAGAAGGCGAAAGGGCAAACGTTCCGGGGAAACCCAAACATCTTACTCCAAGCCAGAGTTGGCAGACAATCAAGTCGGACACTTCTCTCGCCCGACCGCAAAGCTCGAGCTATCAGCCAGCGTGAAAAAGGGTGGGCTCCCAGAGCTCACTTCTGACGATTCTATGATCCACGAACTCCCCAGCAGTAATCATCAGCCATGTGAGGCGGGGGCTAGCACTGACCGTGACACGACATTCAGCTCGAGTGACCGAGTCTCCTGATCAACGACGAAGACGTTGGCACTCAGTCGAAGTCGCAAGAAGCACCCCCCCCAAAAAGCAGTCAATAAGCTCGACCTACTTAGAGAATTCGACGGAGGAACTTGGCGCCTTTACCGTTCCGTTGTTCCAAGTACATCCACTCACGGACTCACTGCCATCTTTCAAAACGCTGCATGCTTCCATCAACGAAGAAGCCACAGATTGACACTCTCGCCCTGCCCTAGATAACGGTTGCATGACAGTTCAACCCAGCAGTGAACGCATCTATATAGTGATATTCTTCAAGATCCTCCACCCCCTCCATTCATTGGCCTTTCAGACTCTTCTTCTGCTTCTTTCCTCCCACGTTGCGACTCATTGAAGCACATACGTTGAGATGGGGCCAAAGCAAGGAACTGACGGACGGTCGATGCACACGTCGCCATTTGGAGACTTTCCATATGTTAAGAGACAATGAGGCCTTCCGCAAGCCGTGGAAGTCCCCTGCACTGAGATTGATCTGCATTGGGCAGAGAATTTCCAGGGCCAGCAAAAGCCCGCTGGCCCCTTTGCACCGCCTTCCTTTGGGGAGCGAAGAATACTCGGCCTAGTGAATGTAGGTATGTATGTTGCATTATGCCGGGATAGCCTATGAAGGGAAAGCCTAGGTTCGTCGTCATTGATGATCTCTCTCTCTCTCTCTCTCGTTCGTGGTTTCTAACGTATGATTGACATGGTGGTATATATTAACGACGGTTACTTTCTATTTCAATATCTAATTTTAGCCGTTTAACGACAGGAACCACCACGTATCATACATGCAAGCCAAAAAAAAAAAACAAACAAAAAAAAAAAAAGGGATCCTAGTATGGAGATTGGGTGGAATATTTCTTCGGACAAGGAATAAGGAACGACTCCGGACGATGTTCTGCCCAAAAACACCAAAAACCGAGACTTGAAACGAGAAAACAATAGAATCCAGAAGCTCCTGTTCAGCAAACGCTATGTGTGGACAGACGCCACGGCGATGTCAAAAACCATCGCTCGCACGCTCTCACGCACGCATTTTGCCTTCTAATGGATGGATGTATGGATGTAGACAGCTTTTCATAGATCAACGCAGGAGATTGTGGTTTGACATGTCTGATATCCCTATGCAAGGTGGATTGCTCAACTTCCAAACATTGCAGCACAGCACAGGCAGGGAAGCCTGACTGTGAGACACTGATCACTATAATTTGCTGCTACCGGCCTTCTCCTGGGCAGGCGGTGACAATGAGCTTTTCGTAGCATGGCTGGCCTTGGCCTTCTCGACCAGCTCTGCCGGAAACCTCAACATGCCGTCTTGGATCGAGGTGCCGATGACCCTGCCGGCTTCGTGGTCCCACAGGAGGCTGTGGTGGCAGCCGCGGTTGTCGCCACCATTGCTGGTCCACGACTCCTGGACGAACCACTTCGAAGTGCCGCCCTGCCGATGATGTTGGGGGTCGTCGTCAACAACCATGCGCAGATGGTCGGCTAGGCCGTGGAAGACGACCGTGTGTGACAGCGACGCCATAGTGGTGCGGACCGCCTCGTAGCCGAGCGCGCGCTGGATGAGGAAGAGCGAGTTCCTGTCCGAAGCGTACAGGTGAGCCGCGGCGTGCAAGTTCAGGTCGTTGGCGGCTTCCTGTCTCTCTTCGGACGGTTCGTCGTCCTGGATGAGCCGGTAAAAGAGCAGCTGGCGCCAGCGCGACGCCCCATTCCCGTTCGTGCCGCCCCCGAGTTCTGCCTTGCCGTTGTATCTGGCCATGTTGACCTTTCTGGTTTCCACCCCCGGGAAGGCCGCCGCGTCGCGGCTCCAGAACTCTTCCTCTTCCTGCTCCCACCAGAGAGCATCGGCGCCCGGAGCCAGAGGGTGATCTTCGGGCCTGAAGCCTTTCAAGACACTACAGTACTCTTTCTGGATGTGGTCCTTGGGAATCTCTTGGTACTCGTAACCGGTCCATTTCTGGATGCCCTTCTCGCACCGCTTGAATGAGATAGTGGCGACGAAGCAAGGCGACGTGCCCTGCGCGGCGGCTTCGGAGTGTTGGTAGACGTCGACCCCTCTCAAGCAGTACATGCCGCCGTCCCGAATTTTGCGCACGCGATACACGTACGGAATATCAATAGCGCCGGGGAGGATAAAGTACCCAGTCATTTGCTATATCCGAGGGGACACAAGCTGTCAACAACAGCAAAACGAAAACGAGATCAGGCTCATCTTGGAACAGAAGAGCACATATAGGAGGGAACGTACATGGACTACCAGCCCTTTATCCACGGTCTTGCTTGCAGCGTACATGGCCTGGGCGTACACATGGCCTCCAAATGCTCTCCGATGGGGGGCCGGTGGCCAGGCCGGAGTCAGGGATTCGAAGACGTTTTCTCCGGTCTTTTTCAGGGCCATCAGGCGCCTGAACGAGATGGGCTTCTTGCCCTGGAGCACTTCAAACCTGGTCGTCATGGTTCGGGGTGGTCGTTGCCAGAAATGGGAGTGACAAACATTTATCGGCGGCAGGGGAAGAAGCAAAGCGCGCATGCATGCATGGGTCGCCGTGCTATCTAGCTGGATCACTCGGTTAATTGATCAGTCTGGATCCACCGAGACTCCATTGTCGGGTTGGTGTTCGATCAAAAGATATATAGCATCGCCGGCTTTTATTTGGGGGAACAACAGGAAGGCCCGAGGAATTTACGACCATGGATTCATAACAATTCACCTAAGTCGCGTACAAGTACAAAGTAGAATTAATGGTCAAAGAAGGTAAGCTCGCAGAGAAACAACCTCGGTAACAGTCCCAAGCCGGAACGAGGCTGAAGTTGGAAGGGATCAAAGGGATCAAGCTTCACGTGCAAGGCTGTGACACAGTCCAGAACTGCGTGGCATGACATCATCGTCGACATCCGACGCCTTGGCGACATCGTCATTGATCGAAATGCAGCACCAGCAACATATTAATATGAGAGCCAAAGAGTCGGAATAGACGAGGTGAGGAGTAAAAAAACACAACCGGTTCACAATGTCATCAAACCAGCAACAGTCGTCCAGTTCTTCGGACTCCCAGGCTTCACTGCTCGGAGGCCATGTCAAGGTAAGTTCCATCCACACATATATCCATATGCACATTGTCACTCCCCCTCTTCGTCCTCGTCCTCATCGATCCACTCAACCACCTCCAAACTAACCCTCCCCCCCTTTCTGTAACCCAAACAGTATGTCCAAGGCGCCATCTCCTCCGCAGCAGGTTACAGCTCCGGGGCGCAGACTAAAGCCGCCGCCTTGCAAGAGATGAAGGACGCCAAGGCTCAGTCCGATCCCGAGTCCGCCCAAGGACAACCCATCCAGTCGTCAGTGCTGGGCACGCTCGAGAACGCAGCGGGCCAGGTTACCGGGTGCGAGGGCATGGTTGAGGAGGGGAAGCAGAGGATCCCGGAGAAGAGGGGCGTCGAGGAGCAGAGTGGGACGGGCTGACGATGAATATGACTAGAAATTGCCTAGAGAGACAGCATGAATGTGGCTGTCGAGAGGGTTCCTGCATGAGGGAAAGGACAAGTACACTCATGGTATGGAACAAGGATCAAACTCGACGAGAATGAGGAGGAGAAGGAAGAGGAAGAGGAAGAAGAAGAAGAAGACCACGAGAGGAGAGGAGAGCAGAGGAGGCTGTCTTGCACAAGGAATGGAACCTACCTAATCACGCTCTGCTCTGACATTCACTTCTTTGCAGCCATCGCTCAGGGGTGGAATCGTCGTGGTCTTTAAGAGTTAATTCAGCACTCTCAAGCCTCCTCAATTTGAGTTCATGTCCAAGTCGAATTCATTTTCTCCCGCGACCCTATCAAGTTCCTTGGTCGGTGTTGTAATTCCTAAACGGGGCAGACTCAGATCGCTTGACGGCCAGCACGCCACGCCCCGCCCATGTTCAGCCAGTCAGTGCCTCCAAGGATCGAGTTCGGTGTAGTGGCTTGCTGAGTTTCCTTGTCGGAGTTGAGTGTGAGTGTTGACCTTGCGCTTGACGAACTTCCGGTGCGTGAGCCCTAGCTACATCCATTCTGCTCGACTTCGATATATCAGCTTGCCCATTCCGTCCGGGACTTGGGATGTTCTCCCAGATCCAGCATTCGCAAATTGGCGGTGTCGTGTCGTGTCGTGTCACATGTCTCGTCTCATGGCGGTCATTGTGGTGTCTTTTCCATCTCTAGTTGTTGTTGTTGTTGTTGTTGTTTTGTATATATGGGGGAACTCCTCTGTCGAGTCCTCATACCCCAGTATTGCTTCTCGACTTTGGCAGCGGCATTTCTCCATTGGCCGCCCTTTTCTCAACAATCACGCTGTCCTCAAGCTCTTCATCCTCCTCTCTCATCTTTAGGTCTCCATCATCTAGTAGATCATCAACACCATCTTTACCGTAGTGTACATCTACAGAGTCCCAGTCCTTACCCAGGTTCCGCTCTGCATCAACATCGGCATCGGCATCGGCATCGACATCTGAGTGCTTGTAGGAATTGCCATAGCGATCTTTTGCTCTCTCCCGAGCCCTGATTTCGTCGACGTCGGGCTTCACCCATCCTCCGTCTGGTGATTCGCCCAATCCCACGCGGTTGTGCTCTGCTTTTAGAAACGTCGGTCCGTCGCTCGCCCGGTACCAGCCTTGATCAATCCACCGAGCGATGCACTCTTTGGCATGTTCCCCAAGGGCGTAGAACCCCGGGTTATCCCGGGGAATGAACATGGATACATGCGCCGTGGTCTCGTCGGAAGCTTTGTCGTTGACAGCTTTGATCCACTTGAATCCGTTTCGTGTTCCTTCGCGCGTCCCTTCTTTGCCCTCTTTCCTATCTCGGCTAACATGCACGGGTAGATTACAAAAAGTCCGCTCCTTGCCTGCCAGAGTTTCCGTGATGCCATATCCGCCACTAGCTCCTTTTCCGAGGTTAGTGTACAGATTCGCACATCCTGCTCCTCGCTCTTTGCATTCCTGCTCTAGGATTTCGACCCGCTTACGCAAGTGCTCCGGCTTGAACAACTCTCCCACGAACAGCAAGTGGTCGCCAGCCCATTTCCAACCAGCGCTAAGCCTCTCGCGCTGTGAGTACAAGGCCGCGGCACCACCTGCAACGACAGCGCCAGCTGCACCAGCAAACATTGCATATTTCCCCCAAGCCTGCCATTTGGGGGCGGCCGCTGCATCTTCCGTGGAGGAGGAAGCCGGTGCAGGTAGAGCGCCAATGGATCTGGAATTAGATGCGGGTGAGGTTGATGAGACATTGGGCTCGGACTTGGAGCCCCAACCGAACATGGAGACAACTTCAGAGTATGTATTGTAGGCATTGGCCACGACTTTGTGGCCACCCTCGAGCCCGTGGGCTACCATTCCTGGGGCCAGCCCGAGAAATGGCGTATCGAAGGCCAAGACGCCTTGAATGTGCGGGAACATGAAGCTGTGAGACATCGGATCCGGCTCATTGTGATATGGGGTCGGATGGGAGGTGGATGTTGTCGAACCCAGCGTCGTGTTGGAAGGGAAATTCGGCCTTTCTGGATTCTGCCCAGAAGACGGGGCGGGAATGGGTTGTTCACTGGCGAGTAGGAGGTATGTCTCAGCCGCGACGATGCCGCCCATCGAGTGGCCGGTCAGTATTACATGGACTGAAGGATCCACGGTAGGAGATGGAGTCGAGCGCGCGACCTCCAAGTCGATGACCTTATTTTGTAGCCTGTAGATGTGCACTCTTAGCGGGGCTCTCTGGAGCAAACGGTTCCTCGCACACCACATACCATTCTCGAAACCGGGCGACACAGTCCCTCAGCTCGCCTCGGGTCTCGAATTTGGGATATGTCACAGTGACAACATCGATATTCGGAAGGGTATGGCTCACGAGCGCTCGTAGGTGTTCTGGGAAGACCGCGAAGGTGTCATCGTCGCCCTAGAGGGGGTATGATCAGTATTCTGACGACGAAAGGTGCCACACGAAAGTAAAGCGACAGAGCCACAGCCCCGGCGGCGCCGAAAACTGGGTGTCGGGCAGAGCATTGCTTTGTGGCATTGAACTTACTTTGAAGCCATGGATAAAAACTAGGAGTAATGTCTTGCGCATCCTTGCGAAGAAGCTGCTTGCATGGACGCTGCATCGTTTGCCATCGGTCTTATGCCCTGCTCGACACCATCCTACCGTGACGATTGCGTATATCAAGCTTTGCTGCACATCGTTCTCACCTTCCGCGGCATGGAGACGAGGGATTATGGAGCCATCGGTGGAAATTCCGATGGGCTTGGCATGCGTCACCTGATCACAGCCCGCTCTCACGAAAATTGCGGTGATTGGAAGAAGCACCAGCTGAAAACAATGCCCGGGGTATCAAAGTCTTTTGATTCAATTGACCAGCTCAATCCCCTCGCCGTTTTCTTCTCCCAAGCATCACGGGAGGTAGGTCTTGTGACCAAGTTATGCTGGATCTTCTAGTTCTGTACACTTCTTTTTGTCTTTCCAGACAGGGTATTCTCAGCTTGCCATATGTTGCCATAATACCCTCTAATCCCAGCGCCATAAAAAATGCTTTTCGCTAAGCCGAGTACTTTCAGTACAAAACAAAATATCAAAACAGGACCCGCCAGGCTATGCAATGTAGGACAGTGCAATGTTTCCCCCCTTCATGGCAAGAGAAAACCTACAGTGTTGAGAATCGACTCTCAAAATGGATATTGATGTTGAGCAACGGGCGTGGAAACATTGCTATGTTGCCACCCATCGGGTTGAAAATTGGGAAGCGGTCCAGTCCGGCGATCAGTGGTGATTTTGCTCAAGGGGTGGTAGTGGATCTGGTCGGAGGGGACATTTCTGACCGGCATCTGTAATGCGGCCGACGGCGGAGGTATCAAAAGTGTGTTGACATGTCGAACCGGTCGATATGGAGAGGTGCGATGGGTCAAGAAGTATGAGGGCGATAGTCCCGGTAATGTAGGAGTAGTGATATTGTATCCATTGGATGGAGAGGTATGAGCCGAGGGTAGGGCCGATATGGATCGGGAACCGTCTCCTAGACTTGGGACGGGATTTTGAAACAGGGTCTGCGGTACTGCAGATATTGGCGTGACAGGGTGGGAATAGGTGCCGGTTGCGGTTGGGTAGACAGTCGACAGTGCTCGATTCGTCTGGACTGGCAACACGATGGGTTGAGGATTTGAAAGTGGAAGAGAGGGTGGCATCCGCGGCACATCCAGTCTCGGGATGTCCAATGTTGCAGGGATCCCAGCATCAGTGATGCCGGTGCCGTGCGTAGGAGAAACTCTTAGACTATTCGGAGTATATGCATGTGAGCTTCCCATACTTCCAGTATGGTCAGAAAGCTGGCCCGGGAATAACTGTTGCCTTTTCGCTGGAGGGAGCTCGGCAGAGTAATCGGCACTCCGTTTTCGCTCTTGGTGGTATCCCCTCAAACCGACTTGTTGCCGAAGAGGTGAACTCGGAAGTTGTGTTGCTGCGGATGAAGGATACGGCAATACGGGGTAGTGACCGTTGACGGACGGTGAGACACCATAAGGGCTAACACTGTGATGAGTGGATGGAGGCGAGGGCAGCTTCTGGGGGAAACTCTGAGCAGTAGGCGTGACTGGGGTGCCACCATTTGCTCTGCTCTCATCTACCAGGGGTAGCTGGGAGGCTTTCTGATAAAACGCGCCAAACCTTCCCAATTTGGATTTCCATTCATTCCATTCTGTAGCCGAGGCGTAAAGAGCATATCTCATGTTGCTGAGGAATTCGACTTCCATAATGTGGATTTCGGTGACTGAGATGCCAGAAACCTCAGCCCAGGTCTTGTTTGTGTATGTATTGTCGTCCAGAAACTTATTTCCTAGCATCAGAGCAATCGTCAGGAGCCGGAATTCGCTCCCACGCTTCCCACTCACACTAGGGTTGAATCGTTTGAGTCGATAGATAAACAACAAGGCAAGTAAGATAACATTCTTCCCGACCTGAGTGGTGCTGATAATCGTGGTCACCCATTTTCGAAACCCAATCGCGGGTAAGGCATCTGGGACCAATCCCCTGTCGACCGGTACGTCCTCTGGGAGATCTTCAGCGTACTGAAGGGTTCGGGCCGTTTCAAACCAGAAGAGGCATGTTATCTCTGCAGCAAACTCGGCCAGACTCCCTTTACTCTTGTTCACCGACTCTGGTATCTGAAGGTGGGGTGCAATGGCATTCACATCGTTTTGATCGGGAGCTGCTCGACGGTTGTAAAGGTTCGGTCCGTTTGCAGGAGGAGCCAGAGCGTACGAATGGTTTGTCGTTGGAATCGCAGTGCGTTGATGAGAAGAAGTGTTGGTTCCATCTGGTAAATTGCCGTGCTGGGTCTGCGGGAAAGCAGGTGCAGGAAGTGCCGCATAACTGTCGCCCAGCACCACTCCAGGCATGGTCCTTGATCCTGGAGGCGTAGGTAAACCGCTGCTGAAATAGCTCTCAGAGTTCCACCTTTTGTACCCATATGCAGCTGGATCTTTACAGGGTGCGTTCAACGTCGAGTTCAACCGATCCGAGGGCCCAACAGCACTGCAAATGGCAGACATTGACGACATGAGGTGAAGGAATCGGTCGGGAAAAGAGGTCGAGCTAAGTGGAAATGTTGTGTTAAGTAGCGTGCGGTGACGGGGGCGGCATGAGTAGGTGTCGGACGAGGTTGAGGTTGAGGTTGAATATGAGGGTGTTGTGAAGTGTCAGGCGGACTGTGCAAAGTCTAAGTGAAAGGAAGGAAAGGGTGATGTTCTCTGATGACAGAGAACATTGCAATGAGACGAGGATCGAGAACAATTCAAGTGAGGAGCAAATTAGATGTTTTGGAGTCTCTGGACTGAATCGGGGGTTTGGAATGAAAGTCAAGGCAGTGAGTGGTATTGTAGAGGTGGGTCCCGGATGTTTGGCAGCAGAAAGGGCAGGCAGAGGACCTTCCACCCACGACGCCTGGCTTTTCAAACAATGCCTGGGCCACACGCCAAATGCAATCAGCGAACAAGACGACGATGATACACTGGGGCAATCAAGTAATGACAAGAACCGCACCGCAACCGTGATTAATGAATGAATCCACGCGACCGACCGACGAAAGCAGTCAGCCGAGCAACGTACGCTTCGGCAGGCAGAGTTTGTGGCGGCACCAGGCAGTTGGGACCGATGGAAAGGATGATCTTGTATTTGGCCCATCAAGCCTGCAACAGGCATGATGCGCGGTAACTCACTCTCACTCCTCAGGGACACGGGGCCTTGTCTTGGATCGAAAGGCGGTTCGAGGCTCGGCTGTAAAACCGTCAGGGTCCCCTCTTCCCGCGTCCGTCGTAAGTTGACGAGAGCCCGGTTCAACCCAGAACCCAGTTGCAGGCAAGGGAGACGAGACGACGCAAGAACGAGGGTGGTAAAAAAAAAAAAAAAAAAGAGGAGGAGCAGCGGCAGCCGTAGTCAGAAGGACCAGGCAAGCCGCAGAAGTGGAAGGGAAGCTACGACGGCGGGCTGGGTACGCGCGGCGGCAGCCAATAAGCAATTCACACCAGGGACCAAAAGATGGAGCGACAGGAGCACACTGGCGCAATGATTGCCAGAGTGGACTAAGACGGGCTGGCTGGCGGAGGACAAGTTACAGTCAAAAAGAGTGATGGGATGTTTTGGAAAAAAGAAGGATGGCCTAGGATGGATGATGGATGGGATGGTGGGAAAAGGGGGGGCCACCAGAAAAAGCCAACGGGAAACGGGCAAACGGGGGTGTTGGAAAGTGTGAGGTCAAGGTCAAGGTCTGATCTCGGTCACTGGTCATGGTCACGGTTGTGGTCATGCACACGGTCATGTCACGGTGACGAGCGATGCATCGCCGGCATGCTTTGGCAGAGGGGGCGAGAGATGGGACAAGCCGACGACCTTTCGACTTGACCGCATTTAGCTCGGCATCATCGTATCAGCTCCATCTCCATCTCCATCTCCAGCTTGCCAGCGATCCAAAGATTTAGTCTTTTTTTTGGGCTGGCAGTGCTCAGACTCTCAGGGTGTGGATTATTTGGGGCCTAAGGACCAGCCGGAATAACAGGGTTCAAACTGGTTGGTACTAGTGACCTGTTTTACGGGTGACTAGAGCCGTGTCCGGAGTATTGTTATCGGTTCTGAGTCCTGACGTCTGGACGGAGTACTTAGGTAGGCAAGTAGGTCGGGCAAGGTAGAACAGGGATAGTGGGACGACTTGAGTGGACGAGGGTTTTGGGGCCGTGGTCTTCGCCATGAGCCATCATCTCATTCGCCTGCGCCTCGCTCCTTGGGTGCCCCTACTGTAGTGACGAATTGCAGAGAAGCCATTGGTGGTCTGGTACAGCATGGGAGTTGTTGCGAGACGAGTTTGGAGGACCCAGGAGGAGACTACTTGGTCGGCAGAGCGAAATTGAGACAACGGACACCACATACCCAGGACCTTGTACCTCGTACCTCGCAGACAAATAACAACAAGCACTGGACCGCCGCAGGGCAAAGCCAGGCAGGCAAGGAGCTAGCTGGTGCAGGTCCTACCAAGGTAGATGAGAAATTGAGAAACTGGAGCATTCTTGGTGGGCAGCGATCCGGACAAGGACGCTAAACAGGATGAAGGGGGTAAAATTGGTTGGTTGGTTGGTTGGGTTCCTCTTCAAAAAGACAGGTCTCATCAGGTGGTGATGATCTGGATGGAATTGGGGAGGAGGCGTGGGAGTGTGAGTGGAAAGCTACCAGCTGAGTCTGTTAGGGAGCCTGGGCCATGCAGCCTAGGAGAAGAGCAGGAGCCTAGGTAGGGGCCACCAGGCCTAAGAGTGAGAAACGTTTAGCGAGTCGACAAGCCCTGAGGTTGGATCCCGCGTTCGCCAGGGAGGGATGGCAAGCCCCGTGGTATGTAGTAAGTGGTACTCACTGGGGAAGGCAAAAAAGAAAATTACATACGAACAAGACTTCCAGGAGCCGGTCTCTGGTTGGAGGGGGGGGGCGGAGGGGGGGGCAGCGCCTTCTTGCTTGGGTCAGAGTTGGTTCCTTTCCTTACCGCGTGCACAGCAAAGCGGGCGGGCGCCGGGCAGAAACAGCAGCTGCTCTGGCCTGGCTACCCATGTTGTGTTATTGGAGGATCATCTCCTCTGCTCTCCCACCCCTTCTCCAAGGCCCCGGTCAGTCTACTTGTACTGTAGGTAGGTTGGTAGGTAGGTTGGTAGCATGACGGCAACACCAACACCTCCACCTCAATGGTCCGCAACGACGTTTCCGTTTCCGTTTCTGTTGGGTGCTTGCTGCTTGCTACTTGGTATCATTTGGTTGTTGTTGCCGGACTAGCAGGGCTCCAGGAGGAGGCAGGAGGCCCCAGCAGGGTAGGGCGGCGCAGGGCTTCCCTTTGCTAATTAGTTACATAGCTGCTACTGCAGATTACGAGCGGCGGATCGGCGGTGGGCGGCAGGCGTCTACGAGCTGGAGGCGGTACGGAGGACCTACGGTGGGCAAGACACACAAGGCACAAAAGTTATGCCCTGTGAGTAACACCGCATGTCTGTCGCTGGCTTCGTTTGAAGTCAGTCCGCACTCCGTGCTCCGATCCGACTGAGTTCTTTGAGCCCACTAATATTACATCGCAAGCTGTAAGGGGATGGGGGGCAAATCCCAATTCTCACTCGGAAACCCGCTGAGCATCCTTCGAATGTTACTTCGTAGGTGCAGGCAAGCAAGGACTGGCAGGCTGATCTCATTCCAAGCAATTCAAGACTGCAGCTCGCCACGACTAACTGAGCCCCTGCCGCCATGGAGTCAGTCGTGTCGGACACTTTGAAATCCTGGGAATTTTGCCGACGAGTGGAGCTCGCTCGCTATGAGATAGATACTCAGAGCACAAGGCACGACGAGCGAAGCTCTTTCACCATTCAATTGGATTCTGATTGGCGTCTTTGGGACCACAATAGTCTTCGAGTTTCGGCACGGTCATCATGGCGTTCACAGTGGTGGCACAATTTTTTTTTTTTTTTTTTTGCCATGACCATGACCGGCTGCAGGGAGGAAAGTTCATACCTAGTAATTGAGACACTTCACATTCTCGGATCGAGCCAATATTGTGTTGGCGAGAAAATGTTTGACAAGTAACATGACCAACCCTTGCTGGAATTCCTTGGGATATTATTGGATGATAGGCAGAGAAGTGGCCGTGCAGCATATCAAGGCCCAAAACAAAGCATGAGAAAAGAAAAGCAAAGCCCCGTGTTGTGTTGGATTGTGGGGCTGGTAAGATGGCGAACGAGATGTGCAAATCTTTGTGCCAGTAGTACCGAGTAGATCATTTCGAATGACATGCAACACGAAACATAATACCGATAATGAGCTAACATGATAAGTTTTAAGTGTGTATCTCTGCTCGCGAGCCAAGAACGACAATGTGTGTGCCATCGGGCTCGTGAGGCGTGAAGCATCGTGGTCGACATGGAATCCATCGAGAGAAAAGGCCACACATCCGAATGACCTAGGTATGTATTCCTTACTCGGCGAAAGTTGCTGCTGCCCCATTTGCTGCTTGCAGAAATCCGGGTTGTGCTGCTGATGCGTCGTTACCACCTTACCACCATTACTGGGCAACAGTTAGGAATGTTGGAAAGCCGTGGAAGTATTAGTCTGGTCCTGAATCATTGATGGGCTTGTTCGGTGTTACTAGGCCGTGCAGGAGCAACAGGCCCATGGATACTGGCTGGAGTCCCGCGGCAGGCAGGCAGGCAGGCAGCGCTGGGCATGAGCCAGCAAAGCTGAACAATGGAGCCTGATCGAGATTCCCAGTTTTCGCCGAATAGCCCAGAGCATAATCGTTCAATCATCCATCCTGGTTCCCGGAATCCCAAGCTTGTCAGAAAAGGGCCGGAGAGGTTTTCAAGGCGTGTCGATAAGATAATATGAAACCTGCCATCAGGAACCATGTCAAAGTATGTACATACTCCGTACAATTATGGATTCTGCCCCCGGGGGGGGGAGGGGGGGGGGAGTTACGCCCCACCAGGGCAAGAGATGCCGATGCATGTGAGTTCGTTCTTTGCTATTCTGCATTAGGAATGAGCGTTTGAAGGACTGACATTCAGAGGACGTCCGGTAGGAGTTTGACATGGTGAGGTGGAAAGAACGGAAGTGGTGGTAGCCTAGTATGTACCGAGTAGTACAGTAGAATCCTCAGCCGATAAGGAGTGGTTGGAATCTGCGATGCGATGCGGTGCAGCAGGCGGCGACAAGAGGCAATGCAGACCTGGCTATGGAGACCCTCCGCTTTTCTGCGAGACCATCTACGGTAAGCCGCCATTATCCCAGCCATGACTGTTTCGCATTCGCCATGCGTCGTCCAGGCTGCGAGCCAATCATGGGATATTGCGAGGACTGCAGCCAAGCATGCCACGAGCAACTTGGGACTTTCCGCACAGATCCAGTTCCAAAGGTGACGTCCCCATACAAGTTCGTCATTATTGCCTGAACAACAGTGGCAGGAAGGAAGCCGACGGAAGCGAATAAGTCGGCGCCGGGGTCCAGATCAACGATTACCGTTTCAGACCAATTTGGACGATAGGCGCTAGAGCAGGATGATGATAACCACCATTGAACTCCGTGCTCGTACTCCGGTCCTCCGTATGCTGATCAAACTTGAGCGTTTGAGCGGATGAGCGGTGGTGCTTCGTAAGGCCAATGACATGGCGTTGCCTTGACGGGGATTTGTGTCGGGTTTTTGGCAAATTGTGAGGCATGTTTGATGATCTACTGGGTACTGGGTATTGTGAAGGAAATGACATGGGCCCTATCACCACTATGGTTGAAGCTCCGATTAGCTAGGTAGTGTTCAATAGTGAACCAGACCCAAGGATAGCTCCAAGGTGACTTTTTCCGGGCGGACACAGGCGTGAGTGTGTCCTTGATTCGTCCTGGTCAACATCCTCTTGCAGGCGTCAGCTGGAGGCTGAGATTGACATCTCACTTCTCCCTCGCCTGTTCAACGCCCACGTAACTCAACTCGTTGTGGCTGCAACTCGTCTGTCCGACTGACCTACCCGCTACCACAACTCATAATCACAGTCAGACATGGGGTGGCAATGAGGCCGAGGACAAATTGATAATCCTGAGTGACAACAAGGCAGCGTTTGCCGGGTCGGCTGTGCGTCGCATCAGGCCCTAACAGACCAAGGGCGAATCATCTTCTTGTCATGGTCCGTGACGTGACCATCAGGCCTGGCAATCAATTCCCTTTACGCAAGACCTCGTAATTGTTTCTGTTTGAAATTCTTTTCATATTATCGTTGCATGTTTCGGCGGCATCGGAACGACCGTCACCACCCTCATCTCCATCACTGCCGCCAGCCTGGGTTGAGCCTGTTTATCATTTGTCTTCGTCATCCTTGGGTGCCGCCTACCTGCGGTGGTGCGTAGTGGGTGGTCGCCGGTGGCTGCTGCTTCTCTTCTGCTGTCCGCCCACGGATTCGTAATATTGTTTCATTATGATTTGGCGTCGACTCTTTTTTTGTGGCTGCTCCACTTAGCAGCCCATGAACTCGCCAATCCGGCCGTTTATCCCTGTCTTCGAGGGAAGGAAGGTGAGGTTGAAGTGGAAGTGGAAAGTGAAAGTGCAGTGAAGGTGAGGACGAAGTGTCACGCCTTCGCCTTCGCGTTCCCTCGCGCCCACCTGCCGCGTTGCTGCTAATTCATTGCTTTGCTCATCTTTCCCTCTTTCCCTCTTTCTTCCTCGTTAGCTTCGAGACAAATGTCGTGTCCGAAGCCCACACTCAACCACGATCATCCAACTCTCATTCTCGGGTCCTGCATCGACGGCCACCGACGAGACCCGCCGACTTTTGCCTGTTATCCATCCCCTGTGCCGTTGTCTTTTGCCTTTGGCTGTCCCCCCTGCCACTTGGGCTCAACCAAGGCGTTTTGCACCTCAGCAATTGCGCTAGGTTCATCCGTCCACAGCTCCCAGAACTTTGGGCATTCAAGCAAAACGGTAGCTTGATATGGGGTCAACGGGGCGTTTTTCGTCCTTCTGTGACTTCATTAGTGCCGTCGTCCAGCTGCACCCTGGTCCTCCTGTTTCCTCTCGCTGTTTATTACCACATGTACCCACGAGAGAGGTGTTCCCCGTTGCTCATTGCTCGGTCGAGAAAAAGGAGCCACCTCATTGTCTCCGCCGGTGCAATCTACGTGTACCAAGCGCGCCCACGGCCACTATTGTTATGCACGATACGGCGTAACGAGTAATTCTTCTCTTTCCCGTGGTGCTAGGGCTAAGGCGTTTCCCTTTGCTGTTTTGGGCTCCTGCTCTGGACCTGACTTATGTTCAGTACGGAGTACATATCTCGTATCTGCCTGTCACTACCCAAAAGTCAACCGCACCTCCTCGGCCGTCTTCCGCTCCTTTTAGACGGAGGCCACTCTCATGACAAAGTTGGGGCTCCTGCAGCTGTCTCCATATCGTTTCCTGCTGCTTCAACAGGAATCTAGAATATCTGCCGTTGTCCGTTTGAGTGACATATTGTTTCGGGGTGGCCGTCTCAACCGCAATGTGTCCCTTGAAGCTAACCCACTCATTCCAAGTCAGGCTCGTGCGTTGTGACCTCGAAATGGAAATACAGCGAGGCATCAAAAATCTGCAATCGAGTCTCAGTCCGCTTTGGACCCCAGTCAACGCTGTCGTGTTCGCCAACCAAGTTTTCAATTACTCCGGCTAACGGAGGACGTGATGATTCGAAGCGAAATGCTTCACCCCAATCAGCCCCCCCCCCCCTTTTTTTTCGAGACCCAGGTACGGAGTGTTGGGAGTCCTACTCCCCTATCCCGCTTTTCGACCAAGGCGGCTCGCTAACAGACCTGACGAGAAGTGGGCAAAGGATGTCTCCGAATGCCTCGGTTCGCCAATGATGTTATCATGACTGCAGCACCGATGGAATGCTTACACCCTGTCATGGTCGTCCGCAAACGCAGCTGTATGCCTTGAGGGAGACAATCCTCCTGCACTACAGGGTTCAAAACTGCGCATCACTAGCTGTTCATGCTGGTCCGCACTAGCACGCGAATTCTCAACCATTCGCGACTGGATCCAAAAGGAACCTTTGATATTGAATTGCAGCTTGCCCCGAACGATCCGGGCTTTCCTTCTGAACTGAAGCCAGATGTGTTCCCGCCACTGCTGATTCGTGTGCATCTGGTGCTGTTTTGAGAGTCTCGCATGAAAAAAGGAGTTGCCTCAATATTTTGCCACACAGCTGTTGACCAGCAATCACCCTCAGTCCTCGTTTATTCAGCCATCCCTAATCCAGGAGTTACAGTTCGCCGTCACCCTACTTCTCAATTTCGCATCCCGACTTGGTTCAAGCGACTGAACAACTGGGGCTTCCTCGTGTTGCTACTACCTGACCGTTTTCTGCTAACGCACCTTCAAGGTGTGCAACCTCACCTAACAACTTTGCGTCCTCGATACCTCAGGGGCTCCATCGGGTTGAAGGATAGCACGAGATAAGTTCATGCGAGAGATTTGTCCTACATGATCGCACACACTTCGCCTGTGGTTGCAATGACAGCCGTTGAGAAGAAGTGGTCGATGATTGACCATCCGATCAATCATTCTCTGATGTGCCCAATCCAACCTCAGCAACTCCGAAGAGATCTCGGTGACAAATGTGCCGTCTTTAACGTACCACTCTTGTATGGAAACCCTTCCCAGATCTGGCCCTTTTTTTTTGGCGGAAGTCTTATGTGTTCTCACTGAGGACCCCGACGTCTGACACCAGCTTCGCCCGAATATTACAGCATCGCCAGCATTCCCCTCAAGCTCTGCGCAGGGCAATTGCGAGCGGGAACTGTTGGTTTACACCGTGTTCAGAAATGCACAAAGCCCAAGGTAGGTTCGTCTTGAACTCTTCTTGTCTTGCTGCTGCGGAGCAAATCTTTAGTACGACATCGGCTCTGCCGAAGTCGTTCATCCAGGTGTTCAATATGCCTGCTCTTTTTTGCTGACAACAGTTGATGCCCTTTTATCGCTGGCGTTTGAGACCACACCGTTCACAAAACTGCAGGCCCGAGAGGTATGGCAAGTCCGCACAAAACCATTTAGCATATTGATGATTGTTCATTTTTAAACCCTATGGTTGTCCCAGTGGACCGACTCATTCAAGCATGCCTCTTAGGAACGAAGAGGTTGTGCACTATATGCTGTCGCCGGTAGCAACGTCTAGAGATCCGTTTGTGACGGGACGATTGTGGATGACGAATGCGTTTTTCATCCAACCACACGGCTTCCCCTCTTTGGCAGCGCTGCAGCTCGCTGACATTGCTATACGAGATTAGGACGAGTTGTGACGGCGACAATGAGGCAATGACTTGGGTATACTCGTGTTCGCTTCACAGACCGAGCTTAGATGTCTTCAACAGGTGAGGAAGGGCGTATCGGCCCCATGGGTCCGGTGACTTGTGATGCCTCGTCGTCTCTCTCTTGAACACACATCTAATTCAGCAGCAAAGAAAGAGAATCTCATCTCAAATCAGCTGAGCTCTACTTCTTGCCCAGTATTGCTGGCGACGACTTCGGGGCAACGATGCCACCAGAGCCCGTACCTCGTGTAAGGCTGTCCGGAAGCACGAGAGGGCTCTTCACAATCTGCTGCCGCAAAGCTTCCTTTTTCGTGCTGTCCCAATCGCTTGGTCTGTCGATGAGCAGAGGCTGCATCAAACCTTTCACGGATTGTTTAGTCGCTGTTCCCCCAAGTCCGAGCCCAAGTCCAAGTCCTAGACCTGAAGAAGCAGGTCTTGGGGGCTTCATTGGGAAATCTATCTTTACTCGATTCTACCACCTACAGGTGGAAGCGGGCAAGTCGGAATTCGTATTTCTGCAAGTGTCGTCATGCAGGCGTCATACTAAAAGCAGTCGATCACTTGGACAAGTTCGTTGTTTGTTTACAATTGCGACTTAACAAACAATTGCGACCTCCAAGACAGCAAAGGACAAACTCGACTCTCATCCATTTTCAACGCTCGATCTGTGCTCGTGTCCACCACAGATACAATGGCCTCCGAATCGAGTATCACTGTCGACCCCTCGAAGAAACAAAGTCCTCTCCGAGATGTTGCCCAGGGGGCGGATCTAAAGGAACAGCTACCGCCCGCCAAGTCAAGCCAGACGTATCGTCCTCAACAAACCTCATCTGAGTCGGCTGAATCAAATGCCTCGCTGTTTTTCGTGGGGACCGCGACCACGATTTTGGAGTGGGAGGGTCTCCGCCTCATGACAGATCCCAACTTTTTACATGCTGGTGACCACGTCCATCTGGGACCCGGTGTTAGAGGGACTCGCAAGACGAATCCGGCGGTCGATTTGCATGATCTGCCCCACATTGATCTTGTTCTCTTGTCGCATTATCACGCCGACCATTTTGACCAAGAGGTCGAAGCGTCGCTACGCCGAGATCTGCCCATTATCACAACGCCCCATGCCCACAAGCATCTGACACACAAAGGACATGGCGAAGCTTTCACGGCAGTGCATCCCCTCGACGCGTGGGAGAGTATGTTTGTAAATGTCACCTCATCTTCCACGTCAACTAGACGCCCCCATCTTCGCGTCACGGGCACGCCTGGGAAACACGTCGGCGACGGCCTCCTTGCCAAAGCGAACGACATCCTCGGTGCGATCCCACCCACCAACGGATGGATGCTGGAACTCGGATACATCAGCTGCGACCAGTCAACTAATTTGGAATGCGGCCATCGAATTTACATCTCAGGCGACACCCTCTATGTGTCTGAACTGGAGAAGATACCCGAGCTGTACACGCACGCGGGCAAACCGATTGACTTGATGCTGATACATTTGGGCGGAACAACAGTTCCAGGACCGCATATGCCCTTGGTGATGGTTACTATGGATGCCGAACAGGGGGTCAAGTTGGTGAAGCTCGTCAAGCCCGAGGTCACAGTGCCGATCCATTATGAGTAAGTCTCAATTTTCCCTGTCCTTTCGATTTGCTTGGTTTATATCTGCATGAGAGAGAATACATTTCCCATCACCTATGCGCTGTCAAATGCGTAAGGGTGTCCTTTCTTCTCCCCGAAGTCGTCATCCTTCTTCCACGGGTTCCAGATTCCTCGGTCGCTTCATCCCCCCGTTCTCTGTTTCTTCGTCTTCCCTTTCTATAATTCTCCACTGGAAGCACAAAAACTGACGCCACTCTCCCCTCGAACGGGGCTGGAATCCAAAAAAAAAGCGACTATGACGTCTTCCTCTCCCCGCTCTCCGATTTCAAAGACGCCATCACCAAGGCCGGGCTGTCGGACAAAGTCATCTACCTGGACAGGGGGGACGAGTTCAAATTCCATGTGAAATGAGGCGCGACGAAGGAGAGGGAAGGGGAAGGGCTGGAAGCGCGAACGAGGGGGAGGAGGGGGATGAGGAGGAGAATAGGTCCCCCTCAATACGTCGCGCGAGGGTACCCATGGGCGTGGAGGGCGTAGGGAGAAAGACGCAGGAGCATTGAAAATGAGAGCTTGAGTGCCATGTATTGTGTCGGGATGGGAGTGCATGGTTAGCTCCCCAAGCGCTGCAAAGCGACCAAGAACCACACCACACTATCGATTTGGATCCGCGTCCCTGTGGATGTACATAGACAGACAAACAAACTGACAGGAAGAGAGAAAGAAACTACTCCCCCCTTGCATCTCTGATCTCGAGATTCCATAGATGTATATACGTACGTATGCCTTTTATCACGCTCCAGGTCCGAGGTGAAAAGGACGACGGGCCAGGGAACAACGGCTCTCGACTCTACGTAAGTACAGAACATACGTGCATATATTTTGTTGTCATTCACCCGGCCTTCCGACGACTTATGCTACAACACTGCGTTAATTCAGTCGGTCCCATCATGCCCAGTGCCATCCATGTCTAACTGATCTCATTAGCGCCATGCTACAAAGCTTGGCCGTCTATTATATGTTGTACGCCATATCCCTTCATGTAGTAGAATGCAGGAGAACCTATCTCCGTGTGGCAGATCAAATGTGACATAATATCCGCGCACAACTGAATGACCACGGAAGCCCAAACTCTCGTTTAGTCCCCTGTAAGATCATCTCAAACGTTGCCTTTCAGTCAATAGGCATAATCCCTCTCCCTCTCCCTGTCCCTTGTGCCGTCACGACTCCTCAATCCTGAACGGTGCATCTGCGAATCTGAGTATTCCTCATAATTCGGCAATTGCCTTCTGATATCTCCATAGCTTTGTCTTCCTTCAACCAAATGTCCATAGGCCGACAACCGATCTCGGCTTGACGAATACTGATGACTCAGGCCGTGAGACTGTTGGTTGCCATATTGGTGGCCGATTGACGGATGTTGATGGAAGTGAGCGGGCACTTGGGGGGCATAGTCCAAGCTCATGCTGCTGGCGTCGTAAACCGATTCTCTCCCGGTGGGGGCGTTTCCTCCACCGTAAAGACTGGTTCGATAATCTTCATTGGAAGGGTCGAGGAATGCCTCTTTGACATCCCAATGGCCTTGCTTAGTGCCGACGCTGAATTCGAGATCTTCTCTGGTGATGCTGTCCCAATACTAATATTCTTGTCAGTTACGTACGAGCAAGCAGAGAGGGGCTTGTGCAGATAATTTACCTTGTACACCATCATGACTCCTAGTAGATTGCAAACTGTGGCAAAGAACAAGCCGTCCAGATAGTGGCTGACTCCCTCGCAAATCCTCTTCCCGAACACATATAGGATGACTTGGCCAATGATGAAGAAAAAAGCTCCGAAAGCGAGATCACCTAATGGCCACCGGTCTTGCAAAGTGTTGACGACGAGGATGATTTGCATGACAAAGTAAACCGCGAGGAAGATGGCATTGATGATGTACAGAACGATGAAAAGGCCCGTCGTGTTGGTCGGCGACAAGCCTGCCCAGCTCTTGAAGGTGAGCAGGCTGACGGCGAAACTGATGACGAACATGATGAGACTGCCGAGTCGCAGCAGCCAAACCGAGAGTGTGGTGCCATCCTCGTAGAGCTGAAACCCAACAAACCCATTGATCAACAGACTCGTGCACAGGGCGGTAGCCAGGCCGTTCTGCACCGCCACAAACCAAGGATATGCACTTCCACTTGTTGCCTGAATCACACCAGCGTCCAGCACCAGGCTAATGATGGTCAATAGACTGTATATGTAGAAGAAGGTCAAGATCTCTTTCCTCCCGACTGCTGTGAACTTGGACCGGACGTGGAAGATCATTATGGCGGTCATGAAGAGGGCTGCGATGTGGGCAAAGTCGGTGGCAGCTTGGAAAATGATGGTGTTGGCCAGTTCGATGGACCGGGCACTGCATCCTGGCAACAGCACAGGGTTTTTGGCAGTTGTGAACACGGCGGGAGGGCCCAAGATGTAACATAGAGGTAGCGCAGATTGTTTGCAGATCGGTTCGAAGGAGCCGAAGCCCATCTTGGGCCAAGTGCCCTCAGAAGGGCAAGTTCGGAGGGGGGTTTTAAGGTGACGCGATACTGATCCCAAGGCGCAAGGGCGAGCGAGGTTCGGACGTTGTTTGCTTGCGGGGAATCAGCGGAGTGAGGATCGATTGCGGACAAGTGAGACTCGTTGCAAGGGGGTCTGTGATCGAGCAAAAACGAGAGGGAGAGCCGACGGGTGTAGAGGCTGTAGGAACGACTGACGAGGTTACAGGATGATAAAGAGGGACGCGTTGGAATAAGAGAACGACAAGAAAAGTGTAACAATGTGTCGAAACGAAGATGAGGTCTCAGCGAGTGGTGGAGGAGGAGCAGTTGGTGGTGGTGATAGGATCCTGGGGCAACGAAAGTTCCGAAACAAGGCTCTGACCGAACCAAACACAGCCTTTCCTATATGGGTTAGGCCGGGTAGAGTTTGGCATGACCCGGAAATAGCAACATCGGCCAGGCTCGTCGACAAGGCTGTGTGTATAGAGTATTACTTCGTAGAAAAAGATCAAACAGGGAGTTCAATACTAATGGCTGGCTCATTCAATGGATCTACTGAAGATCAATATGCTCAATTGCTAATTCCTCTGGAGGGTATACATCGTTCCTCATAAGCAGCGCATTTGTCCCTCAACCTGTGACACGCCTTGCCCAAAGACTCCAGCCACTCATCGCCTATCCAACGCCTGATGCTATTCCTTCAGCCTCTCCTGGTGCTCGTATCATGCAGGCAGAAATTAATATCCTTCACACCCGCCCACTTCCTCCCTGCACTTCACATCCCAAACCTGAGTTCAAGCAAGTGCATTTGGTGCTCTAAATTTCTTTGTTGCCTTGGTCACAATCTGCCTTGCTCTTCCTTGGGCAGCAGCCAGCCGGTGAAGAATCGCTTTGTTGTCAAAATTCGGGGAAAATCTCGGGATATCCACAGATTCAATCGCTCCAAGTAGGCGCAATCGAGCATTGAAAAGCCCCTCGGACAATACGTCACCGAGTTTCCTTCCTGGCATAACGTAGCTTTGGGCCATTCGGACCATTTCCTTGTTTAAAGTCTGCATTTCTCTTCTCAGCCTCGATTGGCCATCTGAAAGTGTTGATATGTCCAAGAGTTGCCATATCGAATTTGTCGATTTTTGTTGCTGCACTTTTTCCCTGGCGAGCCTCGGAAGCGAACGAAGATCATCCAGGGTCATACGTTCTCGCATATCCTTCCAAAAACTTGAAATGCTCAAGGTCGTCTCATGAATATGTCCGCTCAGCATTCCAAAAAGCTCTTTCAAGCGCTGGAACTCAGAGCTTGGTCGGTCCCCAAAGGAAACGGTGAGCGTCTCACTAATTTGCGGTTTACTCATGGTCAGGTTGACTTCGATATCACCATATGTATCATGTGGTTGCAGCAGGACACCGAAAACCCCATCAAGGAGTTCATGTACCGAGACAGGAACGGTCTGGTTTTCCCGCTTCAGCTCAACAGACAACGGAGACCGCTTCTTGCGACTTAGGGCAATCTTGGGTAGTCTGACCAGTAATTGGCTTTCGCCTGCGATACTAACTTGAAAATGCAGGGCATCATCGGCAACTGCAGGGACAACATTAATCGAAGCAATGTCAAGTAGTTGTTGAGCAACCTGGTTTTCATTTCTAGGACTGTCGGTGAAAGTTGCGAATGTTGACATAGATAGTTGCGTTCCCGTTGATCGTGCTTGCTCCTGCACTGTAATGTTCGCCATAATGTCGCCAGTAGTCGCGCCTGGAGTTGGGTCCGACAATATAGGCCATAAGCGGAGCCCCAGAAAGCTGTACACGCCGACAATCCAGAGGACGATGAAGACATTCTTAATGAGGAAAGCATTGGCTCGTGGGAAAGTGCTGAAGGTACCCGACGGCTTCTCGTGATGCTCCTTCGATAAGAGATCCAAGTCGTCGATCTCGCCAGCGCGGGTTTGCTCAGCGCTTGACACAGCATAAGCGATGTGCTTGTTAAGGGCGGTAGCATCCAAATTCAAGAATGCCGCCATATCCAGGGGTAATTTTGGAGAAACCTTGTGCTGCAACAGCCGGGGCGGCAGAGTTCGGGTTTCAATGCATTCGTGTAGAGAGTCAGCGTTCACACAATCTCGGTAATCACCAGCCCAGCCTCGATTCATCCGGATGAGAATCTTAGGTATGCCGTGTCTCTCCACGAAGGAAATCATCTTGCAACTGTCGCTGTTCATTTTGCCCTCCGCATCGAGATGAACGCAGATAATCGCAAGATCTGGAAGTGTCCAGCGTGGGTTGCAGACCACGAATCCGGAACCACTCCACTTTGAGACGATCTCCGAGTGTGTTTGACTGTTTTGAAGGATCAACTGTTCCTGCTGGCCAAGGCCACTAGATGAATGGACCAAATCGTAGCAATCAAAATCAATCAGTTTATCGATGGCAACAAGGTCAGCAAAATCTGGTTCTGATCCAGGTCCAAATGTGTTAGGAACCAGATGGAACCTCGACACGGATGTTGGACTGGTGTTGTTAGACGTCACTGGACGTGAGACCAGAACATCACCGAGCTTTCTCTGAATTTCTGGCCTGAATTGTTCAACGTGTTGGCCAAGGAGGAGGACCTTGAAGTAATTGTGGGCGTCCAAATCTAACCCACCTCCTAATACAGGCATTCGAATGATACTGAAGTATCTTTGTAACCTGCTTCCATCTTGGCCATGAGGAAGTGATTTTCGGGTGTCTGCCTCAGCGAGCGGTCGGCTGATTGTGTAAATGCAGATGGGACCCAGCCCATTTGGTCCAACGTCTTGTACCGAGTAAACTATCTGGGGGACCCGAGGAGGTGGTGGGTGGGAGAACAATTCTTGCTGACTCGAAGGTTTCAGAGTTGATCTGCGATCTAGTTCTTCCGTAAGAGTGTCCTCGAGGCCCTCTTCGTCTGATGATGCAACATCGTTGATATGGATTCCATCGGAGACGCTTTGAATGTCATCTGAGCTGTGGACATCGAGTAGAGATCCCACGTCGGTATTTTCGGATTGCAGGTCGTCTTCGTTCGAGGATTCGACGTCCGCAATCGAGGCCCAGCTATCGTCCAGTGAGCCTCGGTCAGGCTCAGGTGGCGGCATGGTGGTAATGGATGAGGAATTCGGAGAGGAGGAGGACGAATGCGCGAGCAGGGATTCAAGTGAGAGGTGCAGAGGGATCTCTGGATATCTGAGGTCGAGGTCGTGAGGAGTAGTGCCTGGAGGCGGAGAAGGCAGTTCCAGCTCGTTTTCAGGAGCCTTGCTGTGGTCGTGCTCGAAGGTGTCAGTCATATTGTGATGAGCGAGCAGCCACGAAACGATGACAGAGATGCTGATCCCTGCTGTGGTTGATGGAGAACGGAATGTGCATTCGAAATGAACCTACTACTAGAAATAAAAATGACCACAGACACCTTCCCAGCAGTCTCAACAGTGTTGCAACTTCTGGTAGGTTGGGTTGTCCAGTTTCGTGGTTCAGCAAATGAGATCCAGCACAAGGCGATTCAGCGTCGGGGATAGGACGAGTCCGGTTCAAGCTGTGAACAATCATCAGCCTGGAGACATGGGAACATCAAAGGGAAAATCCACCATGTCAAGAGTACAGAGCAAGTCCAAAGTACTGACAGAGGGAAGAAGTCACAAAGTCAAAGAAGGTCAGAAGATAGTTAGGCACCAAACAGTTCAGCAAAGGTGATGCAAGGCAATGGAAGCAGGAACCCCGCAGACGCGCTGCCCATGCATGCTGGGCGACTTTGCTAGTAGGTGATACTTACCCCTCCACCACACCCATGTTCAGCCTAGTGGTCTCTTGCTGCCCCTTTGTAATAGCTCCACCCTTGATAAGCAAGGCTAGGCTGCAGCCTTGCCTAGCCTTGCCTAGCAGTGCCTACTCTGGGCTTTGTACACAGTTATGCTGAGTTAGTACTCCGCTATATTTTGTATTCACACAAGCCCAACCATACACTTCAATCCCATGGGGGTATATGGATGGGTTCCTTTGCCCTTCCCAACTTAAACCAATTATAGAATGGCCCCAGGCCCCAATGCGACTCGTGACCGCCAGTGCCCGTCAGCATCGGCGACATGTCGCTTCCTCAATGCCCAACAGCCTTTGTGAGCCAGTTCTCCGTACATTTCCTAGAGTCAGCTTTCCCTCTTTCGGTCGCCGTCTCTCATGCCTTCAGCTCTTCATTTCCTATTGCACCACTCCGCTTCTGCAGCTGCGGGGGGTTACATGTTCTGTACTCTTCTTGAGAACAATCCCAGATAGTGCGCCTCTCAGAAACCAAGCCTCTTTCCGATATTCCTTGCACAGCCCAGTCCGTTCTGTCGCGACGCCCAAATATTGCACCTCAAATTGCACCAAAGGACACCAACGCCGGGCTGCGATGCAATAAACAGACTTATCTTGCTCTACCATTGCGGTCTGCTTGTCGTCCCTAGCCTTCCCGGTCAGGGAGAAGCCCACCCACCGGCTACTTCGACCCATTCAGCAAGACAGCTGCCTTCTTTCCCTTCCACGTCTCGGATGTCAGTGTCGCATCGGCACCGACATCCAACCCCATTTTCTTTGGGTGGATCTGGCGTGGCCCAGTATTCGTCTTCTTCTTGTCGTTCTTTCTCATCTTCGGTGGTTTTCTCTAGCCAGGGTATTCTGGGCAATTGGCGGGCGGGAGCATTCGCAGGACAGTGCTGGATCGTGGTATGGCGGTAGCCAAAGTCGCGGAAATAGTGGATATCGCGGGGGGCCAGGAGGGCTCCCGCCGCAAGAGAATGGATCGGGGCATCTCCCCACTGGGTCGAAGTTAGAATATCTGCATTTGACGAAGGAGGTGGAGAGTAACTCACCCTTTCCATCCAGAATCCTCCACTTCGATCCATCATCTCGAAGAAGTCATTGTACTCTTTGCTTCTGAACCAGTCCAAGCGGGCAATCTCGAAATTGCTCCAGAAATGGCACATGTTGTACTTCTCACCCTCCATCGATTCTCCGTCGATATCCTCGATGTTCTGATGGCCGGGTTCAGTCTGAAGAATCTCATTCGGCAATGTTTTGGCTCGTCTATCATCGGACGCGGCTTCCTTTTCAGGCTGGGGCTCGATGAACATTTCCCAGAGACCTTGGGACTGGAGGTTGTTCTTGCGTTTGTAAGCTGAAGCATAACGAAAGATGTTTGGCACCGTTTCCTTCAGTTCCTTGACGGCGATGGTGAAACCGTAAGTTTTGTTGGCCTTTGCCATTTCGATGAATGGATCGTAGGTGATGTCGCAGAAGTACTTGATTTCCGGTTCCAAGCGCCAGTACCATTCGTACTTGTGCAACAATTCATGCTTGTAGAAGAATCCCGAGTAGAAACGACACATGTGATGGTAGCTCTCCATGCCACCGTACATGATTGCAAGGTCTCCCTGCTTGCGAATCCCCTCTCTTGCAACTTCATGATCAACCCAGTCCGGATATCCCCACATCGAGGGGTCAATCTTGCCAAATTCCACAGGGGAACTCGTGTAGTTGGTGACGGTGTCCTTGAAATCTTGCTCAAATTCCCCATCATTGAGAAAAACGTAAGGATAATGGAACCATCGATTGAAATGCCTTTCGATGCTCTTGATTGATTGAATGACGCCTTCCAGCTCCTTATTTCGGGCAAGTACAACAAAAGCCGCGTTGGCACGTGGCTGTTTCGCGGCGTCTTCGGGGTTCAGGCATCCCGTCGCAAATACTCGATCGTGCTTCTCACTTATTTTTCTGCCGCGTCGTCAGAAAATCCGAAAAGAGATTCAGGAAAACAGAGGAGAGCAGGGAGGCATACCGTATTGAAGGAGGCGTGCCAGCCGGGACCAATATGCGTCCCGGAGAGCTAGGATGTTTTATGACAAGAATGAGGATGATTAAGACGACCAAGCTGGGGAAAAGGAGCAGGAAGCCCAATGGGATGGATATGGACGAGTTCCCTTTTAACCTGATGCGCCTGCGGAAGAAGGATAATCTTGAAAGCGTCTTCGGCTTTTCATTCTTGTAATCGTCTACTGCAGGCGAAGTGTAAAGTGCAGGTAGGCGTTTATACAGGCGCTGTACGAACCCCATTATTAGGGACTTCTACCCCGGACGAAGGAGGGCTCTTCGCGCTGCTTCCAAACTTTTATCTCGCGGACATGCAATCGTCATCGAATGCCGGCTTGGTGAAGTCAAAGGGGCTCGTGTATTTTGTGCTGGATCGGTTTCCAGTTACGTGCCTTTTTTTTTTTTTTCGCAGGCGGCGAGGGTTGGGGCGTGTAGGGTCGGAGACGGAAGCTGATAGGGATGAGCGCGCAAGTGACAAGGAGGAGCTTAGATGTAGACGGGCTGGCGCAATAGGATTATCTTGAGCGATACCAAAGCAACATAATGGGCTCACAGTGTTGATTGAACAAAGTATGAGGACAGATATGGCTCTTCATGGATGTTGGGAGAGGAGAAAAGGACTTTTGGCTCGAAGTTGCAGACTGTGGTGATCCACAGCACGACGGCCTCCAGGGACCAGGACCACCAGGACCGCCGCTCTTACTACTGGGGGCAGCCGGGCCACTGAGGAGCCACTGAGGAACCACTGAGGTTGCGTAGCTGCCAAGACACCTCCTACCGCAGACTCCCGTATAGGGACTGTACCTAGATATCATCAACAACTCATTTCCCATCAGCACTACGCCGTACAGTACTTGAATCTATAATGAGTGCGTGTCGCGTCAATCTCGCGGCTCAACCGGAGGGAGCCCTCGTAAGGGAACACATTTTGTGTATGCGACGGGCAGTCACAGGACCACCATGATTACTGAAAGTATTGATAGAATAACCACCCGCGGTACCTCTCCTTTTTTTCCATTATTTTTTTTTGTCAAATGCTTCTGAGACTCCGGAGTGGCCAAATGATGCGCCCAAATATACTCACCAATAGGCGGTTGGGGCGGTCGACTCAGGGTTGTCAGGGTTGCGCCCCCTGCCGAGAAAGAAAAGGAGGCTTTAAAGTTGCCCGGCAGCCCCAACAGTCCTCGTACAAGTAGGTAGGCGGGCAATTCCCAGGGCGGAGCCTAAGAGGGACCTAAGAGGAAGCACAAGGGAGCAGCTCGGGGTACCACTAGCACCAACAACAGCACCAGTACCGAGTACCAGCACCACCGACACCACCTGCAGGCCACCTGTCAGTTTCACAAGGCCGATCCCCGGCTCAACTGCTTGATCTTCTCCCCCAGCCACCTTTCGCCACAGAGCTAACCATGAGATGTTGACGTTGACACCGAATTGCCTCTAGCATAAACAAGTGGCAACCAACCACCCGCCGAACCTGCAACTACTTCATCTTGTAACGCCTTTTCTCGACCCGATAGCATGGAGGCCCCTTGACCTGTTGACCAGCTTCGAACTCCTCCAACCGTCGAAAGTTCAATCATGTTGTTTTGAAACACCTTGTTTGATCCTGATCAGCGGTTGTCAGGCTCACTAGGCCTCGAAAGACCCTTTTCCCCGCGTTCCTGCAGCCGCAGCCTACCCACCGTGCGCGGCGGCCTGTATCTGCATCACGAGTCATCCATCTTCACCGCATGGAACCATATAATAGTGACGCCTAGTGTCTGCGCGCGGACTGATGGTTGTCAACTCTCCTCGCTCATCTAGCATTCTGCCTTGTGGATCATGGCCGCAACTTCTCCTCTACGCCCTTCAACTCCTGCTCGTCCAGTTTTCAATGCACCTCATCTATCTCCAACTCGGATGCCCCCGACCTTTGCCTCGCAGCCGTCCTACAAATCGGGACATCGAGGGCTCGACGTCTTCTCACCGGTCGACCAGAATGGGAGCTTCTGCTTCGACCGTGTGATCAAAAGCGGGAAAGTACATCGAAGGGTCAAAAACAAAGGAGCCTGGAAGCCGTCATGGAAGCCGGCGTACCTTGTGCTCCGGCCGAACCTCTTGTCTGTTTACCAAAACCCTGAGGAGACCGATCTCAAAGCTTCCATCACCTTGTCAGAAGTCACGGCTGTTGCACGCGTTCGAAAAGCCCACACCGAGCATGTTTTCGGCGTTTTCTCCCCTTCAAAGAACTATCATTTTCGAGGCATGTCCGAAGCAGACACCGAGGATTGGATCATGCATATCCGATTAGAAGCAAGGACTGACGAAGATGATGACTTGGACCTTACGGCCCCGCAACTCTCGAGTAGGGCCGGTGACCTGTCCAACACTTATGAGTCTACCGATATATCAGCAGATGAGATGCATCGTGCTCCCGGTTCGCCTGAAGGACAATCAAGAGCGATCCAGAACAGACCCAGAAATGGGTCACTGCTAGCAAACAGGCAAAGGCGGCCATCCAATCTTCAGGAGTACTCTGGAAACGAACAATACACAACGTCACACTCCGACTTCTCAGATACGTTGGGAAGTTCGCTACCAAAAAATTCCTCTTCATCGCTCTCGAAACAACAACCGGCTCTGACACCGATTGCCTCATCACAGCAACTCACTGGCAAGGTGGAAACAAAGGGAAACGCACAACTGCCCCAACCAGCACCACACTCTGACGCCGCCAGCGATCCGGAACGGGTGGTTCGGCAAGGCCATCTACAAATTCTGAAATCCCACAAGACCGGTGTCAAAGGGTGGAAATGGATCTGGGTCGTGCTCCGTTCACGAAGCCTCTCCTTCTACAAGAACGAAGCGGAATATGCGGCCGTGAAGATCCTGCCGATGCACTCGATTGTCAACGCCGCCGAAATCGACCCCATCAGCAAAACCAAAAATTTCTGCTTCCAGATCATCACCGATGATAAGACGTATAGATTTTGTGCTCCGGATGAGGAAGATTTGGATAAATGGCTGGGTGCACTGAAGAGTGTGTTGAGCAAGCGTAACGAAGTGGAGAAGGCGCTGGCTGCAAAGGCGAAAGAGAAAGAAAGGGAGAAAGGAAAAGGCAAGGTTAACTTGGAAGGCGCCGCTTCATTGCTCCAACGAGCCGGCCAGCAAGCGGTGTGATTTCTCCACGAGGACAGCGATATTGGATACTTGGACGAAGCTCTGTTTATACCCCCCACGTGACGACTTTTACGACCTTGAATGTGCATACTGTGCATACTGTGGACGATGCATATATAACCTGATGAAGTGGTGAAAAAGGGGCGAAGACATACCACGCCAGATGAGACAATGACAGGGTGCACGGGCACTGGCCTCCTCTGAAGATCGGAGTCGTTGGAATACGAGGAATACCCCCGTTTTATGCATTGATGACCGTGGATGACCAAACTTGGAAAACGTTGTATACCCCCTATTGCAGTTGTTTGCACAGGATACCTAGTACATTAGATAGCACAATACGGCTAGTATAAAGCTCTCGAATACATGCACCGTGCAGTACTTACTATCTACCTCCATTGCGTACTCTGTGTAGATAAATATAGTTATTTATCTATGTAGGGGGGAGAAGAGACTCCACGCCATGCTGCACAGGACTCGAATACTGAATGCCAACTACTCGATTTTGCATCAGATATAATGATATGACACACCGGTGGCATAGAGTTGGTGGTGTTGTTATTGTTGTTGTACACATGTATACATAATACATATATTCCGTACAGGTCGCCAAAGGGAACATTTGAAAGTTTGGCTGGCCTCTCACACATACAACACCCACAGCCGGCAATGAGATAAGAAAGGGGCGCTTGACGAGTCCTGCGACCTGGCTCCACAAGAGGTCGGATGGCTCCAGGATCAACGAGACATTTGTTTCGTTGCAACTGTTCGACGTGTTGCTGAGAGTCCCATCATTTCCACATAGGCTGTCCTCCCCCCC